AAAAAAAAAATGATTGTGCGTGTTGCAGGCCTCGAGCTCAGCGGCGACAATGGCGGTGGCCTCGGTGTCGCTGATTGCCTGGGCGGAAATGGCGGAGAAGAAAAGCGAGAAAACTTTCATTGTTTATTTGAAATGGACATCGAAATGACGGTCAACTTTATGAGACGAATCAGATGGGATACTCTCAAACAGAGTTGATGGGTAGCAGAAATCGACAGCTGCGTGTGAAAAAAGAACGAACGCTATTTCGTAGAGAAAAGCTCAAGTTCAATTTATTCATGTTGAGCACCTCATGGCAGGTCTGCGATAGATTATCCAGAGAGAAATTCCAAACGGGAATGAGTACCCTTTTTCTTTCTTCTTTCTTCGCCTTATTTACCTGCCCAAGGAACGTTTTTTCCGATCATTTTTTATCATGAGTCTCATCTTATGATTTTGTTCTGACTATCAAATAATATCATATGCAGCATGTGATATGCTACATATATTTCGTATATATATGCTGATATTTGGTTTACTCACGTGATCCGTGCTCGTAGTACCAGTAAGCATTTCCGAAGACATTGACAGCTCCGATTTCGGAGGCAAGACTGAACAAAGCGTCGCAAGTGTCCGGGTAGGATCGGTAATGCTCAATTCCCATATCTACAAAGATTATCAAAAAGTGATCCTAAAAAGCAACAAACTGATGTGATTGAATTCGCCGTTTAGGCTCTTGACATCCTTCATTTCTCCAAATTCCGGATCGTAAGGGAAAGTTCCGTCTCGCATGAATTGGCCGAAGTAGTCTCGCATCTTCTGCTGCATAAATTTCTCATCGTCGGACATGTAATCGGCAATTGGCTTGCTTCCGATAATGTAGCCGTTTTCGGAGCAGTGGCAAGTTCGAGTGTTTTCGTCGAGATCGTTCTTGACGCAAGTTGGCCAAGAGAACTCCATTGGGTAGATTGGGCCGATGTTCGGGTCGGTTACTTTTTGAGTTTAAAAGTTTTTTTAAGTCAAACAGCGCAAATATCGCGTCGTTAACGAGTTGCCTCCTTTTCTTTAACAGAATTTAAACTCATTCCTGGAGCACCTGCCAGTGCCCACTGAGAATTACAAGTCCAGGTTGTTCCCATTACGTAATTGTGGAAGGGCTCTTTGCACTCATTTGCCGATCCATCGGCATTGTTAGGACAGCCAAATTGACTTTCGATGTTCGAGGAGAAAAGTTCTGGGCCGTAGACTTCTTTGAAGTAAATGTCAGTGTAGTCGGATGGAATTTCGAATCCTTCTCGCTGAAGATCTCTGACAAGCAGGTTCAAAAACAACTGATAAGAGGCGATTATCATCAACGAAAAGAACCGGGCCTGATAGCTTCCTCCGAATCGGCGAAAGCTGGCATACGGCCGGTGCATGATCTGAAAAGAAGATTGTTACGAGTTTTCCAGAAGAAGATTATGTTACCGGAATCCTCCATTTGTGAATCCCCAGGCGTCGTCCCGAGCGAAATTGAAACTGATCGGGCAGTTTGGCTTGACGTTTCCGTTCATGACTGAGTCCATGAGAGATTCGGACTTGAAGTCGCCATCGATTACTGGACCCCATCCAGGCTCAAGGGCAAGCTTGATCGGGTGGTAGACGTTGTCGGTCGCATCTCGGAAGAGCTCGTTGAGTTCATCGTGGTTATCTTTTAGAAGGTTGAAAATTTGAAAGAATATTTTTGAATTGTTTATTATTATCAACCCAGTTCCTAGTCCACGAAGACAGTCGATCACTTCTTCGTCCGGCTCACCAGCGCAAATGGAGTTGTCGATAACATACTGTGCCTGGCCCGATGCAATTTCGATATCGTGCGACCCATAAGCCGCATTCAAACCAACACCATTTGTGATTGCCCGGTTAAAATATGGCCAGGAGAGTTCTTCGGTCAGATGCCACCAAGTAGCGTCACTTCCAGCCGAGCAGCCAGAAACAGTGACTTGGTCGATATCTCCTCCAAACTCGGCGCCGAAGGTCTGTGTCCACTTCATCGCTTCTCGCTGATCAAGAAGGCCAAAATTTGCTCTTGGTCCATCAACATCGGGTGTTTTCGTGTCGTAGAAGAAACCGTAAGGCCCGAGTCGGTAGTTCACAGAAACCACCATGATTCCCTGTTCATTGACGAGATTCGTGAATTTCGATCGATTGGAACCTGAGTTGAAGCCACCTCCATGAATGTAAATCAGAATCGGATGTTTTGTCCCATCAGTCAGCCATTCTGGCTTTGTCATCACATTGACGTTGAGACACTGTTCGTCAAACTGGTCAAAATTATCCTGAGTGGATTTGCTGTTTTTCGTCATGCACATAGGGCCGTAGACGGTGAAGTCGTGCTCTTTTACTTCGTAGCCGTTCGCGTCTCGGGCCTCGGAAGGAGTCCATCGTTCGGTAAAATCGGCGGCGTAGGGAATTCCTTTGAAAAATGCGATGTCGTCACTTGTAAGCTCGCCGATGAAAGTTGCGCCGTTGGAACTCAACGTCAACTTCACATTGCTATCAGTTATGCAACTGTAGCCATCCCCACTGTAGCCGGGTTTGCACTCGCACGTGAATTCGCTAGAGCTAGTTGAGGTGCATGTTGCTTTCTCGTGACAAGGACTTGGCACGCAAGGATCGTCGACACAAGCGTCGCCGACTTCGATGAAACCATCTTCGCAAATGCAGGTTGTGGTGACTCCGTCGTCGTTGTTCACGCAAACTTTGTTGTCGCCGCAATCAACGTCGTCGCAGGGCTGTGGTCCCATTGGCCCGTGCTCGTAGAACCAGTGAGCGCCGCCGAAAACATCGTCGGCGCCGAACTCTTCAACCATCGCGTTGAGGACATCGCATACGGCAACGTTTGTTTCTGGATGCTCAAGGTTACCAGAAGGATTGATGTAGTTGACAGTGTTAATGTTGGGCAAGTCCTGGATGGACAGCATCGATCCTACGGTGGAGGGAAAGGTACCAGTGTTGAAGAAATTAACCCAGTACTCGGAAGTCCACTCGATCAAAGCTTGCTCGTCCTGAATAAGAAAGAATTTACTGATAATTTTCTTACAATTCAAATTACCTCTGGCATATTTGGATTGGCGCTTCTCAACGAATTCACATATCCGGATTCTCCACAATGACACGTTTTCGTTTTGACTCCATCGACTTCTTCGCAAGTTCTCCAGCCAAACTCCATCGGATAGATCGGTCCAATGTTTGTATCAGTACTTGGTGCCCCACTGAAAGCATATCTTGAGTTGCAGACCCAAGTTTGTCCCTGAATCCATCGGAAGAACTGCTCTTTGCATTCGACTGTCTCGCCGGATGCTGAATTGGGGCAGCCGAGTTCGGGGGAGATGTACGTATTGAAGACGTCTTCGCCAAAGACTTCTTTGAAGTAGAGATCGGTAAAGTCAGACGGAACTTTGAAACCAGCTGCTTGAAGATCCCTGAATTATATAATGAGCTTTCTTATTCATTTTTTATATTGAGAATGTTGTAAATGAGATTGACAACAGTAGTTTGTCTTACTTGATTGCGTTAGTATGTGGAGCGAATGCAGGGATATTCTTAATAGCGGCATTAAATCCACCATCAGTCATGCTCCACGCGTCGTGCTCCGCATAATTGAAGCTGATCGGCGTGTTCGGTCGAATCGTCCCGTCGCGAACGTTATCGACCAGTGAAGCTGACAAGAAGCCCCCATCGATGACAGGACCCCAACCTGGCTTGTTTATGAGTCAACAATTGTTCAAGCAAAAATATCAAGAAAAGCATTGTTCGCTCATTTCCTGAAGTGCCAGTTTCGTCGGATGGAAAGCTCCGTCAACCCTTTTCGCATTTCTGAAATGCGGATTCAGCTCTTCCGCTGGCATCGATCTCAAACAATCGACATCAGCACAGCCAGCTGCATCAAGAGTCGCCTGAGTCAAACCAGTCGCAATCGAGAGATCGTGCCCACCGAAAGCGTAGTTCAAGCCGACTCCGTTTGTGATGGCCTTGTGGAAATAGGGCCAGGAGCCTTCCGACGTCAAATGCCACCAACCAGCAGCAGAACCGGCAGAACATCCGTCGAGAATGACATTGTTGACGTCTCCGCCAAACTCGCCACCGAACTTCTGAATCCAGGCCAGAGCTGCTCGCTGATCGAGAAGACCAAAGTTGCCTTTGTGGTCGAAATCATCCTGAGTCTCATCGTATAAAAATCCATAAGGACCGAGACGGTAGCCAATATTTATCTCGACAACTCCGGCTTTGACGAGATTGTGAAAAGCGGCTTGATTCGAGCCGGTATTCCATCCTCCACCGTGAATGTACGCCATGATCGGCTTTTTCTCGGCGCCTGGTTGGAGATATTCTGCCATCGTGTGGACGTTAACGTTGAGGCAGTCTTCGCCGGTGAGGTCAGCGTTTGGCATGTCAGGCGTCCAGCCGTAATTCATGCATCTGTATCCGTAGTTCATGAAATCATAGCTTGCCTCGCTAAACAAAAACATTGTTAAAATCAAAACTAAATGTCGCTGAATTCTTAGATGCAATAATTACTTCATCGAAAAATGATTCTATGCAAAATATGCTTCAAAACGAAATTTTAAATTCATTGGTCTTTTTTCAATATTAATTTCTCTTTCGATAAAGTTAAGGAAAGTACCTGTATTCCTCAACTGGAACTGGCGGTTTCCATCTGAGCTCTCCAGTTGGCGCCTGAGCGTAAGGTACACCCTTAAACTCAATCGTTCCCCGATGATTCTTAGCACCAATAAACTCTGTTCCGGTACTCAAAATATGACTGTAGGGTTCTGGTTCCGGAGGAGTCCATTGCGATCGCGCAACGGACGCCAAAAGCGTCGCTACAATCGTGTATTTTTCTCTCAATTTCATCAAAAAAGAGCTCACCTGAAAGCTTCATCTTCAAAATCTCAAATTCTGCGTCGAATTCGAGAAATTTAGCAGACGAGTAAAGTCGGCCGTAATCTTCGGATTACGAGCGCTGATTAGCGCCATCATGGCGAAATGCGGGCGAAAAATTCTCGGTGATCTTTATCGTAAATTCGATGGAAAAGATCTTCACGGGTTTTGACTTTTGAGGCAAAGGCAAATTTATTTCATTGGAAGAAAAAAATGCAATTTCATGCTTGTGATTTTCTTATTCTTAGATTTTCCTTCTGTATGATGTAAAACAAGATGCAGTGAGAGTTTACTGTATAAACTTTACAGTACATGCAAAACAAATTCATTATCGAGACAGTTCCCCGTCAAATTATTGCCGAATAATGCATTTAAAATCGACGTTCATGTCTTCCAAATTAATTATGCTCACGCGTAAACATCTTAATTATTCTAACCTCCCGCTTATTAACCGATCGCAGTTCTCTTCAAATCTGTATTTTGCGAAGAAAAAGAACCAGAAACAAAAAAAAGCCATGAGATTTTTCAAGCTTTTTATGTCCTTTTTACTGTCATCAGAGGCAGCTCTTGAGGGTTGTGAGAAGAATGCTGTAGCTTTGGCGGTCAGGAACGGATTTTTTTGTTGAAAAAATGACCTTCAAATAGAAAGTACGGTCTTTAATCCGATTTTTAAAATAAGGGTGTCAAAAGGAAAAGTCATTTTTGTTAGCTCATGCATTTTCAGACTCCTAAGAGCTGAGTAACTAGACGAAGATGTCTATTTTTTTATGAATTATCCTGCAAAGACAATGCGCCTTGTTTTGCACAAGAAACTTTCTGACGATAAAAGGCTGCGAAACAATTGAAGGTAACGCTGATTGATAGACGATTTTTCATTCTTTTTCTTAGATGCAAAGGGCGGTTCTCGAATGGCAGTTCTCAAAATGGCCGAAATTCCCTACTGCGAAATGGCCTTCCAAGAAGAAATCGTCAAATGTTTTGCTCGATAATAAAATTCAAAAAGGACAAGTTTTGATCTCGTTTTGAAAGCAATTTTTATTTCAAGAACTAAGGCGTGCAAATGAGTATGTTTGTCTACCACCATCGATTATATTGAAGAAGAGCAGCGCTTAAATACATAATGATACCATTTCATTCAAGAAAAATTTTTACCTAAAAAAGTCAAAGCAAGAAGAAGTAGAATATTCAGAGATCTTTTTCTGAGACTCTCCGCAAACATGATTACGTTCCTCTGAAAATGCTTAGGTTTTCAAAAACGTGCGTTTTCGTTTACTTATCCTGGTTATCTGGAAAGATTTGAGTTTATTGCACTTAGCAACGATTTTACGATTTGACGAATTGACGACGGTTTTTTTTCCAATTACTTCAAAACAAACGATCGAGTGGATTATATTTTAAAGATGAGAGAATTACAACTTATCCCAATGACATTTCTGTGTTTTATTTTGTATTGTTCGTTGTTTTTTGGCATGGAGCATTCAAGTACTAGTCAGGAACTGACAGTGAAGAGAAGTTTTTGGCCGAAAAGAAATATTTATTTTCTAAAAAGTATGTCTCTTTTCTTTGATTCTCAACGATTAACCTATTTAGCTCATAAAACCGGAAGTACCACTATGCTAAACATGATTTTCCGACTTGCAATCAAGGAAGAACTCCGAGTCGGGTTTCCAAAGCTCCAACTAAAGGGGAGAACAAATTATCTTTGCAAGCATAGACCATTTCAACTCTCGTGCACCGATGAACACAACTATAATGTCATTGCCAATCATCATGTCTGGTCAAAAGGAAAGGGTTGCTGAAACTGAAAGTCATAGATAAACTTTTTTATTAAAACCTTTCAATACAAGTTTATTAATATAAGAGTAAGGGGTAATCTTAGACTTTATTCTATCGGTGGACTTGACATTTCGTGTCAAAAACCCTCTCAAGAAATCGACAGGGCTCTTCCAAATGCCACAAAAATAACGATACTACGCGAACCACTTTCTCAATTCGTCTCTGCGTTTGAGTACTTCGGCAATGCAGTTTTCGGGGTCAATGAAAAGGGTCAAACTGCTGGCACACTTGAGAGGTTTATTGCAAAAACTTCACCCCGAATCATCGACAATACAAGGAAAGCAGTTATATCCGAGAATACTCGTAATCCGGCGGCGTTCGATCTTGGTAAAATATAATTTTTCCAAGAAGGATAAAGCTATTTTTGAAGGTCTTTCTTATATGTACAGAACAATGTCCGAGGACGAACTTGGCAAGTGGCTTGTTGATTACTACGATCTAGTCATGATCACAGAATACTTCGATGAAAGCCTTATTCTTCTGAAGGACCTCATGCAACTGGAATTCACCGATATTTTTTACCTCAAATCTAACTCGAATAAGAAAAAAGGCTTTACCGAGAACGATCTGAACGAGGAAACGAAAAAACGCATTCTTTTCCGCGAAAGACTTGATGGTGCTCTTTATAAACATGCGAATGCGACTCTATGGAAGAAGATTGAAAAGTTTGGATTTGAAAATATGAAGGAAGAAGTGCGGCAACTTCAAATTCATTGCGAACATTATGTTAATGATCAAATCATGAGCATGGATGAGTGGGAACTTTTAGCGTACATGCGAAAATGGCAAAAGACTATTTAAATTTCTGTGATTTTTTCATAAACTAAAAGAAGCCTTATTCTGACCAATTCATACAGCCTATTGGAAGTAATAGCACAGCAGTTCTAAAAATCAGTATTTTCAAGCTCGTAATTCTTCTCCGTCGAGTCGAATGCCAAATTATCATCGCCTTCTTCCTGTAGCGAAATTCGTTTCTCAATCTTCGGGGACCCAGATGATGCCCAATCGGATTCTTTCTTCGAAACCATTTTTCGGATATCGAAGAACATGTAAACAACTGAGAGTATGCAGATTCCAGATGCAGCTGCCATTCCGTAAGATACTGAAGGAAATTTTTCTCAATCACCTGGCTTCTTAAGAGTTTTTTTTTGACTGACCTGCTGTGAAATCGTAGTCTTTAGCTTCTGTTGCTCCGCCGAGGATTATTTTATAAAGAGGATCGTTGAGAAAGCTGATAAAAATTGACGGAATCGTCAGAACAGCATAAAGAAATTGAGACATTGGTGGCGGAAAGTACGAAAAAAGAAGCTAAATAAAGTGAATTTTGAGCTTGAAAATTATTTGACTTACTAGCCATGGAGTTGCATAATGAAGTGGGACGATAAAAACAGAAAGAGAGATCAAGCTGATGGCAAGGCCGATTGAATCTGGAGCTGAGGCAGGAAAAGTCATCATTATTGAACAAACGACAGCGACGATGATGCAAAATGTCATTTGGATCAGGAGAGCGTTCAGCTTGAAAAATTTTCTAGAAATGAAACACGGGCAGAAGTTATACCTTTGTTCTCATCTCGGCGAAGGGATAGTCGCTCGGATATCTGTTTGTGAAGAACTTGATCAAAAAAGCCGGAAGAAATGGAATGACGGCAAGTGAGAAATACGCGTATCCGTTGATATCAATTAAAAGTAGGATTGTTTCCTCGATTTTCTCTTCGCATTTTTCTATGTGGTCGAACTCACTACAGTCAAGAGATCTGTAAGCGAATTGGATCCACGACGTCATCCAACCTAGAGTTCATATGAGTACGAAACTCAATGATAATAAAACCTCTGATTGAGTTGATGCGAAAAGTGACGATACTGTAGTACACGGCGTAGATGAGAAAAATGGCGGATTTTATGTGCGGCCAGTGATCTTTCATTGGAGGTCGTTTTCCGACGGGAACATCGTTTGCTTCGATTTTGTTTTCTTTGTGGCAGCAGAGTTTCATGACGATGGAAGTTTTCATCATGTTGAATCCATCTACATTTTTGGGAATCTTTCTTTGGCTCAAAAAATTATTAACAATATGACGAAAGCAATTGGTGATTTCGAAGCCGGACCGGAACAGCAGGCATGAAAAAGAAGGTCCTCACGTGAATCAAAAACGATCCAATGAACAAAATCATGAAATAAACGTCCAACGGAAGTCCATTTGAACACTCCTCTTTGCCCTGGTCATCAGTTGTACACCAAGTTATTGTTGATTCATAAAGCTTTTTCGCAATCAACAACGATGTTGCTGAGGAGTTAATCAATCCAGGAATCATGACGATCTGTATTTCGGATTTCAAGTGCTCATTTTTAATGACTCAAAAAAACTTGACAATCCGTTTCAAGGTGGTCGTGATGGCTTTGTAAATTGGCGCGACATAGGAGTTTAGCATGATATAGGCAATGGAAGGAAATGCAACAAAGGTGACTCCAACGAGCAAACAATATGCACTAGTTTTGTAGAAGGACATTAACAGAAGTCCTACTGTAGACAGTGTTCCTGCAACGACCCTACGAACAAGATAAAGGAAGAAATACCGGTCTTCCAGTAACAGAATTCGACCTTTAGTGAAATCTAACCCGCGCTGACCCGTCAAACGAGTTCGCAAGGAGTCTACGTAATATTTGCGGAGCATTACTGCCCCATAACCGCGCAAAGTTTAAAACCATCAATCTAATTCACCTGGTCCAGTGACTGCCAATAAGCTGCTGCAATGTTCCGAAAATAATCGGCCCCGAGCATGAAAATATCGTTCCAATCGTCCACATTGTTCCAACCATTTCACTTGCCTCAGTACAGTATTTGCCGGCATTATAATCTTCTTCTGAACAAAATTCCTTCATGAAAACTTTTTGGTCTGTGAAAATTTGCTGGATAAAGGGGATGCCGTAGAAGGTATTCGCATAAATCAGCATTTCTGACATCGTTTTTTGAAAGAAAAACTAAGAAAATAGAATCCGGAAATAAAAAAAAAACGATTCCTAGTACGCCTAAGGCGAGAGAGATATATTTCACCAGCATTGCTTCTATCTATTCTCTTCCTTGATTCCCAATATTTTCTCCCTCCAGTTTATGACTCTCTGTATATTTCGAAAATCAGCTTGTTCTTCTCGCCGAATCAGCGTACTTATTTGAACTTGAACCTCCAGTGACTGTAGCTTTGATTCTGTAAGAGTCACACACAAACAAACTGGCCGGGCTTCAGTCTCTTTTCAGCCCCTTTTTTCAATTTTTTCTTCTTTCTAGAAATTCTTCCGGTGCCGAGTGCAGATTTAATAGCAAGAGATGTTGCAGAAGTTTGCGTAAAGCCTGTTTGCTTTGCTTCAATAAAGCAGAATGAGCTTCCTAAATGCCATTCTCTGCCAAAATTTACAATCAATATATTTTTCCCAAAAAGAGAGAACTGGGACAAACTGTATCTTTCTCAATTTCAATTTCCGTCTTGCTATTTAAAGTTGAATTTATTTAAAGCTCCGAAAATTTGAAAAATGACGGACGATCATTTAGCAAATATCGGAAGGAAGAATCGACTTGGGACTGTGTTAACTTGAAATTTACTCTGTCATCTTACAGTCATGTAAATGGTTATTAAAACTTGCAAAGGGTTTTTTAAAAGGTAGAAGGTTTTGTTTTGTCGAATTTATTTATTATTAAAAATGCAAAAATAACTAATTTTCAAGTGTCGAAGATTGAAGATTTCATTCGTCCAATAAGGCCTTTTTTCTCTGAAATTAGGATTCAAGTTTTCAAGAATTTGGGCATGAAAAATTTTTTAATGAACTCATTTTATGATATTAATACTTGTGACTCCTTTTCTTTATTCGCTTTTTCCTCCAGTTTCCTCTGTTTCATCGTATTTCCTGCCTAAAAACAACAATGAAGTACCATCCAAATTTAACAAGCTTCATGTTTATATGTATGATCTTGAACTTACTTTATATTTCGATTTCGGCCCTGTTTGTTCGTGATTATTTTGCAATTTTCCATTCTTCGGGGGCGAGTTTCTAAAAGCTCCCTCGTTTTCTGAAATATTTAAACGCAGATGTAATCAGGCAATCAACTCACCTGCTTTTTCATTTTTCTTTGAGAGCATCATATTCTTCTTGTTTGCATCTCCTTGCTCTTTTAGCTTCGACCGCAGTTCCTTTTCCCTTTTTTCGACTGATGTTCTTTCTCTAAAAACAGATTAAGGGGGTCACTCCTTTACTAAAAAAGATTGAACCTGAACATCCTGGGTCACGAAAAATTCGCTTGAAACTTTAATATTCTGTAGGAGAAAAAACTAGCCCGTTTAAATTCAATTTAACGCCACTTATCCAGCTTAGTTTTTCAAATTGAATTGCTGCAATCAATAAGAAATGCTCTCTGTCAGATGAAAATCGCTGAGAAAAGCATCAGTTTGGAAGTATTCCTCAATGTTGACGATTTCCACGTGTCAAATTAAAATTAGGATGTTCAATATTTTATTTTTATATTGATGATCGGATGCTAGTGAGAACATTCATCTTTGAGAAGAATCGACAATTCGGTCTTGTCAAGACAGTATTCAAGAAAAAAATTCTTACTTGTTCGGTCCATTGGTTGATATTCTTTGAGCTCTTTTTCGGGCTTGAAACTTGGTCATTTAGTTCTGAAATTTTTGGTCCAGTTTCGATTCCAGCCCTTCCCTGTCAAAGAAATCTCCGAGCTGATCCATCGTTCTGTCTCTTACTGTACTCAATTTTCCTCTCCCTCACTCTCTGTCTCTTTATTTGTAAAAAAAAAACTTTGTCCGACAATCAACCTCGACGTTTTGTGTTCCTCAAAACCTCGATGGCAAGTTATTTGCGGAATGTATCTGGTGCCTGACTTTCGAAAAAAGGGATTAAAATTGCAGCTCCGCTATTAATATTTGAGAGAGAATGCAGAAGTAGTTAAGAAGCAGGGACGGGCTTGCGAAGCAAATGGACGCAATATGTAACTATTCTTTGTCTAAATTCAAGTCAGCTTTCGAAATAAAGGAAGAAAAATATGAAATCACAGATGACAGAGGTTTTGAAAAATATAAAATGAATGATACCTTATTCATTGATAGGCTCGAATCACGAAATTGTTTCGTTTTATGTCGATTTTTAAATACACAAGGGTTTGGTACCTTTCTCCTTGCCGTACCCTTATCTGACCTACTTTTAATATCTTACAGTGTTGAAGGAACTATAGGACCTACAGTGTAGGTACAAGTGCCAATCCCTGAATATTCCGAACTCTCAAAGGTCGGCCCAGTTCGAGCCTAACTGTACATTCTATCTGTATCTCAAAACGACGTTTGAATTAATAATTAAATACACTACTTAGCTTAAGAATGAATAAATAACCTCAATTGTTTTAGAACAGAACTTTTGCTAGTATTCGAGCTTCAACAAGGTTTCGTTGGAACATGATGTTTATCTTGCGGAACAGTCGCTTTCATCTCTCACTGTATAATTCGACCCTGCTTCTTCTGTACAAAAACGCTCTTACCCTAACCCTGCATAAGGCCCTGTTTGCAGCTCTCTTACTCAGAAATCCTGAGTCAGGGTAAAAATGAATGAAACAGAAGAGTCGAAATTATGAATCGAAAGTTAATTTATTGAACTTGAAAACACATTTCAGACGGAAAACGTTCAGAACATAAGACAAATACAGTATATAAATAGTATTGCATTGCAGTAATGAAATAGAAAATCATTATATACCAAATTTTGAGTATAAAGTCTGGCCGAATAAAAATGTTCTGTTGAAAAACCGTCTCAAAGAAATTTATTCTTTCGGAAAGAAAGAAAAAGAATTCACTCCTTTGAATAGAAATTATGCGAAATGGAAAAGAAGGATGTTGTTTTTTTTCTTCGCAAAACTCGAAACTAGGAACTATGCAAGAATTGAAACATAAGAACGTAATTTTTGAACAAGAATGAACAAGATATTGAGATATTATTTATAGAGCAGAAATGCCCAGTCAGAAAATGGCGAGCACGAGCTTTTCTGATAAATTAAACTTCAGTTTTTTGGAAGAAATTCATCAGAAATCGCACTTTTTAAGCTTTTTTAGGATTTTATGGGAGCAGTGGACAAATTGTTGACCATTTTTTGATCCAAAAAAAGGCCCGAGAAATTGACGCCGGAGATTTTAACGGCCGGGACCTAACCTAATTCGATGATGATTGATTTCAGAGCTACAAATCAAAATGGTTTCTATCGCCAAAATATGCGAAAAAAGATACTGACTGGGCTATTTTCTGCGGCGCAAAAAATATAGAAAAGAGTGGTGCGTTCTCCCCTCAGGGCGGAAGAACCTTCGCCCGAGGCAAGAAAAGCCAGTATTTTTAAAAGTTGAATAATTCAAGTACAGCAGGAAATAGTAAAATAAATATTTATCGTGAATAGAAAAAACCCACCAAAATAGAACGGCGCAAATATTCGATATTCGGCCAAAGAAGCGGGCCAAAAATAGTATTATTGCGTTTGGTGACTGATTTCGTTTATGAATTCATTTCGATGTCAGGAAATTTTTATAGTTTTTTTTTTATAGTTTTGAGATATTGAAAAAGAAAGTAAAGGCACTGTTATTTTTTAGTTAAGTTTTTTTTACGAAGATGCGCCAGCGAGTTTAAAATACACAAGCTCGACAGAAAAAGTTTGGGATTTTTTTTTGTAAAAGATATTTTGTGTTGTGTCAGCAAAAAGATTATAAAAAGGATCATTCTGTGCGGGGTTTTAAAATGTTACTGTAGTCAAGGTACTTGTGCCGCGCCCAGAGTCAAAAAGTCAGATTTAGAATCTGACGAAAGAAAAAAAGAAAGAGAATCGGAGAACCCGATTTTCAGAAAAAATGACAGTAAAAATGACGAGAAAAATAATGGTTTACAACTACAAGAAAGATAAATTACTGTAATTTAAATTGGCGATAAAAGATTCTGTAAATGATGATACTGTACGGAGTAGATAATATCGAGGGAGCTACAAAAAACAAGGGCGCTTGGTTCGTCATTTAGGAGAGATACCCTTAATTGACAGGTCTTTCCGGATAGATTAGGGTACCCAATATTGAATTCCGAACCTAAAATCATAGGATCTAAGCCCGAGAGATAATTGACAATAGCAAGTAAGTATATAGAGAGAAAAAATATAAGGATAAAAATAAAAAATGCCGGTGAACTTGAAAACTTGAACCTTGGATTTTGAAAATTTTGTTGAACCAAAATGGAAATTTTGAACTTTTGGACATCTCAAGGGGAGTTTTAAAAAATTTAAAAGAAAGGTGTTTAAAGAGGGTTTACTTTGATGTTGTTTTACTTTTGACTTTTTTTATCAATATTTTATCGAGGACCGCCACGGAAAGGTCTTGGTCCGCCTCCCTGGTGACCGCCGCCTCGGTGGCCACCCTGGCCAAAGCTCTGGGTCGGGGGAGGGCCAGAGGGTTGACGGGGCTGGTTCTGCTGCTGCTGGTTGTGACGCTGTGGCGAGAAATCTAAAAAGTCATTTGAGAAACTTTGGCTTTGGATGAGATGAAAGACAGGAACTTCGAAGTTGCAAGCGGCTTCTCGATTTTTAAAAGCAATCAACTGAAGTGTTGATTGATACCTTGCTGAGGTGGAGCTCCTTGCTGAGGAGGGCCAGGGAATCGACCTGGACTGACGAAATTCTGGGGGTAGAAAGGTGGAGAGTTTCCGTATGGTCCAGGCTGATGCATAAATCGCTCGTTCGGCATGCCATATGGGTATGGCGGCCGAGTGTATGGGATGAATTGCTCGTTTGAATGTCGCGGGTCGAAACCGTATCCTGAAAGAATGGATAAAAAAAGGATGGATTGAATGGATATTTACCTCCATAGTCGTAGGTCGGGTCGAACATGTTCGGATCGTAGCGCTGTTCATTTCCCTTGGCAGGAACGCGCTCCAGAATGTCATAAATCATTGAGATGCATTTCACCACGGTGGCAGGTGGCCCTAGAATTTCATTATTAATCGCTGGGAGAGCCTTAGAAACATACCCATGATGGCGGCGACGCGCTCGGAGCTGTTTGGGCAGCATTCGGGGTTAATATTGATTCGCGAGCCAGTCGTCTAAAGTTAATTTAAAATATGAATTCGAAAAAGAAAGGGGTAAGGTTCGGTAACCTTCTTGACTGACTGTACCTCTCTTAGATTCTTGACAGTAGATCCCTTCGTCCCAATAATCGCTCCGGCCTGGCTCGATTGAACCAAAATGCGCAGCTCTGTTTCGCCTTCTTTTCGCCGCCCATTGTGCGATCCTTTGGCATTTTCGTTCTTGAGGATGTCGGCGATTTGCGCAACAATCGTGTGTAGCTTTTCACGACTATAAATAATGTATTCACTGAAATGCGAAAGAGAAATGTTACCTATTGACGCAGATTTTCAAAACGCGCTCGGGAGCTCGTGCTTCTGGAATATTGATGATTGCTTGAAACTGAATTCAAAGTCAGAAAGCATTTGCTTCGATAATCGAATTCGATAAAAAGCCGGATGCGGCTGAAAATATGGTTCTGGAATTGTCCTTTTACCTCTTCTCGGAGAGCTCGGATAGTAGCTCCGCCTCTACCAATGATGGCTCCAGCAACTTTGGAAGGAATAAGAAATCGACACCAGATTTTGTCGGAAGCAACGGGCGTGTTCTGCAATTGCTGCATTTGTCCGACCGAGCCCATCGAAGGCTGATTAATTTGCGGCTGGAGAACAGCGGCTTCTAGGTTTTGAATTGGCTTCTGCGGCTCGGCAGCAGGGTTGTTGTTCAAATCGGCATTGGCGGCTACTTGGAGAACGGGAGGTTGGACTTGACTCTTGGGCTCTAGAACCAAAGCTATTAGATTTAGATTACAAAAAGAATAAGAAATAATTGCCGCGCGCGGCTTATCTTCAATAAGATTGACTAGACTTTACAATAAGAAGTCTTAAGGGACCTGGGCGAGCAGCGCTGAGCCAAACTTCACGCGCTCGCCGTTCTTGTTGGAAATAAGATTTTTTGAAATTTCTTTTTGTTAAGTATATCTCCAAATCTTCAGCTTTCTCTTTCAATTCTTAGTTCTTCGCTATCATTCTTGGTTGATGAGCTAGCGAGAAAAAAAGAAGCCCAACTTCAAAAGGCATCAAGTCTTGAAAACTTTATTTTTTCTTCATGAAACTTGTACCATTAAAAAGCGCATTAAATTCTGAACAGCTAAACTAAATCGGTACTCATTCGCGAGTAGGGCCAGATAAACAAGATAACTTAGCCCCGCCCAGCGGGAATCATGTCCAGGAAGCCCAAAATAGCTAAATCGGAGCGTCCAGCCGTGCCGCGACAAGCTGCGCGCGCTAAGTAATTTTCTTTATCTGGCCTTACAAGCCAATAAGTACCGATTTAGTTTAGCTGATTGGGTGGGATCTGTTCAGAATTTAATGCGCTTTTTAATGGTACAAGTTTCATGAAGAAAAAATAAAGTTTTCAAGACTTGATGCCTTTTGAAGTTGGGCTTCTTTTTTTCTCGCTAGCTCATCAACCAAGAATGATAGCGAAAAACTAAGAATTGGAAGAGAAAGCTGAAGATTTGAAGATATAATTTACAAAAAGAAATTTCAAAAAATCGTATTTCTAACAAGAACGGCGAGCGCGTGAAATTTGGCTCAGCGCTGCTCGCCCAGGTCCCTTAAAAGAAGTCTTGAAAGTTTTCAAGTTTTCTTATTTTTTTATTTATGCGACTTTCTATAATCTGGATTACATCCTTGATGACATATCAATTTTCTAATTTTCAAATCATAAGATAATTTCTGATAAGCTTTCTCATCGATGCGTACCTTGCTCTGGAGGAGAGGAAACGTTGAGATTGGAGGAGATCTCGGCGCTAAGCTGGGACACTTCTTGTTCGGACATTTTAGCCTTGGGACGACCTACAGCCTGAATTAAATCTTTTACATGTTCCTCGGCATCTGGAGATTTCTGACCAATAATTTACGAATAGATTTATTTATTACTAAATAAAAGAGTCATAAAACATGTTTACGGAGTCGTAAACACGGACTTCAAAGATACTTTAAAATCTATGATTCATAATAATTATTTATTATGTAATAACATATATAATAATTTATATAGACTATGATATGATAATTAAACTTTTATTTTTTTTCTAGTTTAAAATTTATCAAAATAATAACGTGTAATCAAATAATTAACTTCAATTTACTTAATAAATTGCTGATAAATAATTAAGTTTTTATAAAAACGAGCGAAAAATGCAAAAAGTTTAAATTTACCTTAGATCAAAATTCAGAGCGCGTAAATTCTTCAAATCAATAACTTTTATTCTTCGCCAAAATCGTCCTAAATCGCCATAATTTCTTCAATTTTCTTTGTTTCCGATTCTCTAGAATTAAATTCTCCCAAAAAGAGATTTTCCCTTTTTGGGAAAAAGGGAGTTTCTTTCTTGGACAAAGGGCGAGGCTGGGAGAGAAGCTACTAAGGGAGAAGAGGCTACTAATTAAGGGAATAGGAGAGAGAGAGAAGAGGGAAAATCGGAGGGCAGCGGGTGGCTTCGCGGGCTGGACAGGGCTTGAGCGTGGGCGGGCTATTGCGCAGGCGACGCGAAAACGGCCAGTCGCAATTGGCGCCACCGCGCCTCCGGGCAAAATGCGCCGAATCGAATCCGACTCGAAAAAGAGAATTTTCGCCAAAACGCGATTTCGCACCACCCACCACCCGCGCCTACCGTCACACACTGTAATGACTCAATTTCTAACGCAATATTGAATTAATAAACACCGAATTTTAAAATTCTATTCTGAATTTCATGACCGAAAATTATTCCTGAGAAAGAATTTTCAAATGAAATTTGAATTTTCGATTCTAAGAATTAAATTAACTACCTATTTAATTACTTATATCTATTTAATTATTATATAATTATACTAATATAAAATAATTAAATAATAATTAGCCGTTGCTACAAAATTGATTCAATTAAAACTAGCAATAGACAATCTCGAAGAAAGAAACGGCTGTATCTAAAGTACTGATTCTGTACTGAAACAGGCGAGCAAAAAGTCTATTTCAAGTTATTTTGAAAAAGCCAGCTTGTAACGGAAGAATTACAGTCGCTTCCTGAGGATGTTTTCGGAGCTCGAACGCTGCGGCTTTGCCGAGCGTCATCGATCGATTATTGAATTTATTTCTTTTTCCGAAAACATCGAAATAAGGTTGTTTTCTAATTTTGGAAAAGTGACATCTTCTTACGACATTTTACATACAAAAGATGATTCATAATAAAATGAGAGATTGAGTTAATTTTTATTTATTCAATTAATATTTGAAATAAAAACTTTAAATTAGTAAAATCTCGCTAAATTAGCGAGAGTATCAACTCGGGAACTGTTTAAATAGAAGTACTACAGTCGATCTAAGTATTAGAAGTTATCGAGCTGACGCCCTTATTTGCGCTTTCTACAGAATTTCAATAAAGCAAGGCTGAGTAGCGGGCGCGAGAGGAGCAGATTACTCGGCGCCTGTTCAGTTGCGACTGGGGCGCCCACGCTCCAGCTCCTCCACCAATCAGCGCGGCTGATTTCCCTCGCCGCCCGCGCGTCTCCTCGATCGTAGTAAAAATCGAATCGGCGCGCCACTACCGACCCGCGCCGTAGTAGAGACGCCCTCCTTTTTCAAAAACACACAACTGAACCACTTTTTCTACTTTTTGTCAAGAACCAAAGAGATAAGATTCTGCCTAAGGGCGTAACGCTTTCCCCTTTGGGCGAGTGAAAACTGTGTTCATTATTAGTACAGCAGTAGAGTTAATATTTGAGGTTCGTAAATAGCGCGTCATTTGAATTTTCTCCATGTTAATTTAAGGCTCTACCCTCTTTAACGTCGAGGTCTTATTCTGAAGCTACACCCTTATTTTCTCTTTAGCATTTTAAGGGTTTACCTATTCAATAAACATGTACCAATAATTGAGAATTAAACAATAGTTAACCCTTAATTATTAATCATTTTAATACCCTTAATTTCGACCCTAGAAACAGAGAGATTCAACAACTTCAGAGATTATTGTTCTACGAAAAGCCAGGCTACTGTATGATCAAGCAGCAAGGACAGTGTTTGGTTCCCACTTCCCTTAATTCCTAAAATTAAGGGTATATCACTGACTAACTGAAAACTTTCTTTGCTCGCTCAATCATCCTAGCCGCTGTCTACCAAGAGAGATGAATCATTCCAGAGATCAATCATCACAAAAGTCGCCCAGAGCGTCAGAACTGTCTGAATGGTTGGCTAAACGGGCTAAGGTTCCCCGGCCAGTCTGCGAGACAGTTCCGTTGCTCGGCGACTCAGTCGACCGGCGTGAAAAAGTGCGCGCAATTTCGAATTCAGAAAATGCGCGCGAGGAGCTGTTTTCAACGACAAAAGCATCGACCCATGTTGGGACCACTGGAGTCACACAAAGGAACTGACCCTCAAGTGAAATTGTCCGGATGTACTAATTACTAATTAGGGCCACTTTCCGGAAAGCGATTGATTGACAAATGAGTCGAAAAGCTATTGTTTTTCTATCATAAATACGCGGCTAACAACTTTGTTAGATTCTAACCGATCGGTTCATTTATTGAAACTGATGGAAACTGAGCTGGCAGAAATAGCCATTGATCGATAAATTATTAAATGGACGGAGATGCCGAGCAGATGCCTCCAATATCGATCGCGCGTAACAATTTCGATCGGGGATATTTTTCTTCTCGAAAATAGAAAAACTCGACAATATTTTCATCCCCCTTTTGAAAAACGCGGCTTCTTTTCTTTAATCACGAAATTGACTCACACCATTTTGGACGATTTCATGAGCCTCTTTTTATTTTCTCGATTTATGAAGCAATAAAGGCGGATTATGAGCGGTTATCTTTTTCATGATTTCAAGGTGTTGAAATTTGATTAACTCGTGGGAAGAAATTCGACCATTTTCTTGGTGTTTTCATCAGAATTTTGAAAAGAAAGACCTTTCTTTATTTGCAAACCTGTCTGTTTCCACAAAGATTTTGGGAGTTCTTTGCTGAGATTTTAATTTTTACGGTTCCCGTGGAAACTAGTTGCTCCAACTAAGACAACTCCTTCCCGATTGAGGTGCGAGTTGATACACACGAAAAGCTACTGTTTCTTTTTTCCTTCTCTTCTTTGAAATAATGGCTGATCGTTTTGATGGTCAAGCGAAGCATATCATTTTCACAGGTGAAATTTACTCTAGCTTTTTTGATGAAGAGGATTATTGTTTATAGGACCGGATGGATCAAGAGATCACAGAAGTCATTTGACAAGAGACGGAAGAGAAGTTGGAATAGGACCGCTTTCGACAGAAGCTACTTCTGAAAATGGTGAGCAGTCTTCCATGATTTCAAAAGAGAAATTTTCCTCAAAGATTTTATTTGCCGCCAAAAAGAGCTGAATCAGCCGTGGAGAAGGGTTCGGGTAGGAGATGTGGGCTGGAATGCTTCAAGATCGGAGCTAACGACTGCCCTTGATGGTGGATTCAAGGGAATTCGGAAAGGACCGTTTAGAGCTGCTGCTGAATTTCAAACTGCGAATCATGTAAAAATATAATTCAACAAAAATGAGCAACTGTTTTGATCGTATCCAAAACTTCAATGCAGTGCATGGGACCCAGTTTATAAGTCTCCGGTTAGAGTCAAAAATAAAGATGATTTTTGAGTTAATTTTGTTTTTATTCAGAAATTTGAATTCAGAATTGTCACCAAAGAAATGTTTACTTTTTTAAGTTTTGTCAATGCGGATAAGGGACGGGCAACACTCACTGTACAAGTTTGCTTTATACAGTAAGAGGGGTGAGATGCAGGATGGGCAACAGTAGGCGATCCTGGAGGGGGTATTATCCAGCACAGATATTTTTTAAGAGCAGCAAGGATGAGTCATCTTCAATGACGGAGAAGTTAACTGTAAGAAAGAATCTTACTGTAAGAAGAAGGAAGAAGAGGGGTTGACAAGTCAACATGTGGGCTGTACATTTTGTTCGAAAGATGGTTGGCTGTTTGTTTTACTTGTAAAGCATTCTGCAGAAGAAACTGTAATCGAAAAAATCGCCTGAAAGACGGAGCTTTCTATCGACGGTAGAGCGAGTTGCGTCGCTGTGGCGAGAGTTGGATAATTGGCTGAGAAGTACGGCGTTGTGGTGGCACGTACCGGCGCATCTCGTCACCTGAAGATAAGGGGTTAATTTCTTGATAGTGATGTAAAGCAAAAATTTTCTGAAAACCATAAAAGTCTTCCAAGAAAGCTTTTTTAATATTAATTCTGAAGGAACTAGTGTGAACTCTACTTCTAATGTCCATAATTTGCTGGCTTATTTGGATTGAATCCACAACAATTCTTTTATCTTTTGATAAAACTTACATTCAAAGTCCAAAGTGGGCGTAAATTTGCTTCCATTGTGATGTCTGACAGACAACAAGTACTCTCGAGTGTAAGTTGGAGCCTTCTGCTCTTTCTTTGGTGTCAAACTCAATCGGCTTGTTGTTCGTCCTGAATATACAGTAAGAAAATGTCATGATCAATTTCGAAAGGTACCTTTGCTAGGAGAGCTAAGATTGATGGACAAGGATGTGGTGATGCGGCCGTTTTCGCCGATTTTGACGGATGTTTTGGAAGTCTAGAATTGGTGATTGTCAATTTTGATCGTGAAAAAGGGGTTGAAAGATTGTCTGTTGTTTTTTACCGTTCTCTTCTTTGGCGAAGTCTGGCCAGGAACGAACTCAGCAACGTCGGGGTTCCATTTTTCAGTCTAGAAAGCGTCTTAAACGGATCATGGAAGGGTTTTTTGTTACCAAGTTTTTGAGATCAGTGTCAGACTCAGATCCCGAGCTGACCCGGTATCTTTCTTTGATGTCGCAATCCGAATCACGGTCAGATCCAGAAGATCGTCCAGAGCGTTCTGAAATAAATTGTTATAAAAAAATCTAAAAATAGAAAATTGTACCAGATTCGCCGATTCCAGACTCGTCAGTTGTTCCAGGGCCGGCTTGGCCAGGCTTGAGCATTGGAAGCTGTGGCTCGAGTTCGGGGCCGTAAAGATCTTCCTCGGCCTGAAAATTATGATGAGATTTCATTCTAGATTTCCGAATTAGAGAGTGCTTGAATGAGAGAAGAATGGAGTTCTGTAAGTTTAAAGCGATTTGACGTGGCCTGTCAAAAATCGCGCACGAACGAAATTATCTCCAAAAGAATAAGCTCATGTCAAAATGTGCTTGACAGATAAATGTCAAGTGCTCTCTCCTCTGCGTTGTAAATGAAGTAAACTCATAAGCATTTTGTAACTTACTCCGGCTTCAAGAAGGGCGAGTCGGAAGCCGTAAGCTTTGGTTCGCATCTTCAGGGCTTGAACGGCGAATCGGGCAGCATCGGCTTGCTCGAACTCGATGATGGCGCAGACGGTTTTTCCGAGATCGGGGATTTCGGCCTAAATGAGTTTTAGGGGATGAATGAAGATAAAGATAGGGATTCCATTTGGTAGAGAAGGGTGCATACATTGGAAGCTTAGAATGATCAACATAATTTGGTAAATATTTTACAAATTTATCTGAAAAAAATCAGATTTATGGTTTCTTCTGACAAATTTTTGACAAACCTGGAATTGCTTAAGATCAAATGGGAGCTGTTTCTTTGGTCTGAGAACTCTGACGAGAAGGACCTCTCCGTATGGGTAGAAAATGGTGGTGACAGACTCGATCGTTTGCAAATTCGATGGGAGATCGACGGCAATTACTCTTTTGGACGGTTTTGCCTTTTGCTGACGGCGAGAGGTGTTAGAACTCTGCTGGGAAGAGCTGACAGATGGATGCTGCCCCTTGATCATTTGCTGCTGGGCTTGAGCCTGGGCAGAAGCGGCCTGGGCGATGTGAGCTTGGCCGGCTTGGACCTGCTGGATTTGTCGGAGACGCGCCTAAATTGACTCTCATTAGCGAAATTGGATTACGGAAGGGAGATATCGAACCGCAAAATGCGCCGAAGCATCGTCTAAAAGGCCAAGATTTTATAGAATACCTGAAGTCTAGCGGGGTCCATCATATCGTAAGGGGAGAGCATCATCATTTGGTTGCGCTTGGCTTCTTCCATGAGCTGCATGGCCATTCGTGGATCGATCATTCTGTTCATTCCAAAGGGATTGGCGAGCATCGTGTCTTAATAAATGCATTTAAAAACTGTCGATAGAGCAATAAGTTTATTCCAAAAGCCTCACTTCTAAATGCTCAATCTAGCCGCCTACGCAAATAATTTAAATCGTAGGCGATAGCGTAGGCGCCAGGATTCTTATTGGTGATTTCGAAATGAGGAAAGAATATGCATTTTGACTCAAAATATATCAGGAAATTATTTTTTTTTATTTCGAGTCCAATAATTCTTGATAAAAAATGATTCGTCTTGATATACCTGTAGTGTAGTGCTTGTAAGTTATGGAAGTAAAAGATAAGTGGTTTAGTCGGACGTAGAAATAGTCGTAGTAAGTAGATACAAGGAGGAAGGATTTACAAGCTGATTTAACCCGTTTATCGACCAATTGGTTTCAACCGGACAAATTCGGATTTGAAATCAGACAAGACAAGATACGGACTTCTTTAGTTCAGGCTCAACATTTTCATTTTAGAAAGCGGCTCTAATGCGTATCGATAATTCGCGCGAACACCGAGTTGGGGCTACTTGGAGCCAAACAATGATGGTCGCCCATGAAATTGGCTACCAACGAGAAGCTGCCCGCAGCCCATTCGGATTTCTGATGAGATCTGAGTTACACGTATCGCGTTTTACTCGTTTAGAGCGCAACAACATAATCAGATGCAGCTGTGCCTCCTTAAGATTCTCTCACAGCAATACTAACACAAATTAAACCAATCCTCTACCCTTATTAGGATCCAGGTTTTGACAAGCGCTGTCAGTCCTCAATTAATTAAAAAGAAGAGTCCCTGTCATGTTCTTGTATATTTTATACTATTAACGCAACATTGCTTGAAGCAGAACCTTGCGTAAGCGTACTTCTTTAGAAGAACACTTCTTCAGAAAAAGGAAGTTCCGACCCTTAATTAATCGGAAGGCAGCGCTTTGTCCACACGTCAGTTACTCGGGATTCGATGCGGGAACCACGCGAGCCGAGGAGGACACGTCTCCGCCGAGAGTTTATAGCCCAAACTTCGGGTTATCTAATCGACTGTCGATTTCATCACAATTGGCATAAGTTATAAATCGATACATGTATGTAAAAATATCCCCATAGAATGAATTTGTTTCAAAACGAAGAATCTGCTTTTTTCGAGGTTGAAAAATGATTGATTTTAGCATTGAGATACCCTTAAATCAAATTAAAGAAGATATCAAAAGGAAACGATCCCTATTGAATTTAAAAATATAGATAACAAAAATATTACTTTTTCTTTTTTTTTTTGAAAAATTGCCGAAAAAATTGAGCCTTTCCTTTAATTCAAAAAGAAATCTTCGTTCTCTTGCTTTTTGCTTTTTAATCCGGGCGGATTGACTCTCTCTCTCTTTCTCTTGGTGGATTCCCTCGAGGTTGGCTCGAGTTTCGGCTTCGATGTAAAAGCCCCGTAGCACGTGATTACTGTGTTACTGGCTGTAGACGTTCGAACGGCTTGCAAAACCGTTTCACCGAAAAACGAATAAAAAAGAAAAGAGTTTTTTTGGACTTTTTGGAGAATAGGTTGAACCTGTCCAAATTTACCCGAGAAGCAGATTGAGCCGCTCAGAAGGAAAAGAAATTTAACTGGACCAAAAAGAAGCATCTTGGACGCCACCTCAACGTTGCTCCACCACCACCGCGGTCTAGTAGAGTACTACACCAATCAGAATGGCGACGTGTAGTGATGTAACGACTTCCTCAACCGCATTCATAATTTATAAGCAAAAAAACTCATTCATATGAACCAAAAATGAACCAAGGTAATAAGTAAATTACGTTTTTAATAAAATATAAGTCCTTGGTGTCCAAATTTCGAGTTGTACGATGAATCTCCACAAAATCCCATTTTGATATTTTATACATGACATAAGCTTCTTTCAATAAATTATGTTTATATTGCAAAATAATTATAATTTTTGGGCTTCGGTAGTTTTCTTTCAGTACATTTTATGCTTTTATAGTTAGAATAGTAAACAAAACTTATGATATCCATGAATCGCCTCGGAAAAAGAACATATCACGCGAAACAGGACATGATTCACTTGAAGCCTGCTTTAGCCTTTTGTGAAAAGAGCTCTATACGATTATACCAAAAATTTTCTCAATTGTTGATATCAAGGAAAATATCTATTTATATTTTTAGTAACCATCTTATGGTTATTCTTTCATCCGCTAAAAGGATCATTTTCTTCGAAGACTCGCAAGAAATGTGGTGGAGTTTTTTGGTCTATAATTATTCTTGAACTTCACGAGTGGCTGAATTCCGTGAAGCTGCCGTGGCGCGCTCTGGCGAAAAAGGGCTGAATTTGGAGTAGTCAAAGGTGTTATTGAATTGAACAGGCTACCCAGTGGAGTCTCCAGCGCGCATGTTACTTAATGAGCTGGAGCTCCCCTCAGAGCTAGAATCGTGACGTAGCTAGGGGCTCCACGCAATTCAAGAACCTGTTTTTTTGAAGAAGTCTTAGTACTGTAGTTAGAAATTACAAGAAAAAAAAAGAAGATTCAAGTCATAAAAAATCGAGAAATATTATTCTTGAAAAAAGCCGCGTGCGGCTTTTTAATTTGGGAAGCATTTTTAATATCCACGAGTTCAAAGCCCTGTCAAATTAATTTCTCCCCATCCACCCTAGTTCCACCAAGCTCCCCCACCACCGCCGCGGCGCAGTACTAGACTCGGCGGAGCTCTACTAGCCAGGCGGACACGTCGCCAAGTTCCAAACCCGTTGCAGCACGCTGCTATCTGACGAATCAAACATTATATAACGCGCGAGTTTTTATATTTTCCCTTGCTCAACTTTTGTCGAAAGTAAAAATATTTTACTGTCGTTCTAACACGCAGGTCATTTTTGTTTTTCACGAAGATTGATCAATTAAGAATATAGTCATTTTTAAATCCTGAAAAAACAGTTCAAAAATACATCGAAAAAGCCGCTTGCGGCTTTTTACTTAAGAAATATTGAAATAAGTTTGATAAAAAACCGACCAAAAAAGCCGCGTTCGGCTTTTTTCTTCATTAAAAAAGGAAGAAAAAACAGCGCGCGGCTTTTTTGTCAGAAAATCTTCTTGAACTCAGAGAACTAAAAACCTCTTCGAAGGCGTTTTTTGCTGTTGCTATTGCAATTATGATTTTGTTGAACCGGTCGCTTCCGCAAAAATTGAAAGGTTGCGGTCAAAGCGAAGACGCAAAAGATGAGCGCTTGATATTTTCAAAGTAAATAAATCAGCCCTAACTCCCCGGAAGAAGACGGATCATCTGCGTTGCTGTGACTCCACGTTATTTTTATATTTGCATTCAGCCTTTTTTTTCGAAAGAGTGTGCGTGTTCTTTTTGGGGGGATTGGCGAGCGCGGATATTTGATATTTAGAGTTTTCGAAGCGGGCAAGAATGGAACATGCCAGGAGTAATGAGAGACGATATTTTTGATAGAAAGAAGGAGAGAAGAGTGGGCAAGATTTCGTTTCTTTTTTCAAATTCATTTGGGAAATTGTTGACTCAAAAGTAGAAGTCGCCAAAAAGAGACGACCCTTTTCATCAGATTTTTGTATAAAAAGTTAAAATGCTTCCTTGTTTTTTTATCTTTTACGATCAAAATTGAGATCCTTAGGAGACAATAATGAAGTTTGCGGAGAAACTAACTTTGAAGGGCGTTGACTTACCGAGATTTTTAGACATGATGCTTTTTAATTCTTCTAAACCGATGTTGAGGGCTTTAACTCATCTCATAAATCTCCTTCTACCCCCTTAATATCCAATTTCATCGTGAAACCCGTAATTTCTATAAATGTTTTGAGAGACGATTCCTTCGACTTTCTCCGACTGAACATGCTCGTTGGCAATTCTCTCCAGATTCTCAAGTCCTAACACACTCATCGACATTTTATTTTAGTTCAAAAATTAAAATTGTAATTTTTTTAACTTTTCAATTCTTCGCGCCTTGTTGGATTTTCAACGAGCGCTAGATTTTTTTTCTTTTCAAGTTTTAGTATAGGGGTGCATTTTAGAAGGTGCAGTCTAAAAAAGGGGAGGAATTGCGTGGGTGGCCGAAGAGACGGGATTTTTGCATTGAAAATCTTCACGGTCGGCTTGCTGGATCAATGCCAGTGAAAGCCCACGGGCAGAGAGAAAACCTCTCGGTTGGATCGGCTCCAATCCTGCGACTTTCTCTGAGTGTCTGGAACAAACCAATTTGATGATATTGTACTACCGAGGGTGACAGATTTCACGACGGAGTCTGTTAGGCCGGCCGGGGATTTTGACTGTTATGCGCGCATTCTAGTTTTTTCCAATTCCCGATGGAGGACTTATATCTGGTGGAAGACCAAATTGATGGAAGATATCATTTTACGAATTTTATTCTGAATTTATTCGAAAACAAACAATATTTTATTTGATATTAATTTATAAAGAGTAATATTCTCTTATTAAAAAATCGAAATGATAGAATCAGTCAGAATTCTAGAGACCGTTCAGGCAGTAGTTGGCAGAAACTTCAAAAAGAACGGGAGGTTCACCCGCAGTATTCGTTCCAATGACTTCCTGATTGATCACTTCATCGTCTTCCAAATCGAGTCGCTGAATCGCATGAGGACTGCTTAGTCCTGAGACAATGAAGACTGAGTTATTTATCTTCAACGCAGATGCTCGCGAGGCAGCCTAAATAAAAGTCAGAATATTTTTCTAAGAAAAGTTTGCTTACGTGCTGTAGACTTCCGATTATGGTCCAGCTGTCATTTTTGAGAAGCCAAATCGCTGATTGAGCATGACCAGCACTATATCCTCCAGCAAGCAAAAGATTTCCACTGGGTAAGGATATCAAATTATGGTATGCGATCGGCCTAAATAAAATTGATAAAAGATGATTTTTTCAAGAAAAATGATTACATTGGAAAATCCGCCATCGTCGACCAGCCAGTAGAAGTAAGAGTCTCCACCTTGACTGCCCCTAATTCGGGTGAAGCATCATGGCTTCCAACAGTTGTTGGATTGCCTTTGTAAAATCCAAGCCCGCCTCCAGCATGAGAATAAGCTGTCGCCGATGTTTTTATCGATGGCGTAGTGACTGTATCAAAAATTGTACAGTGTTTATAGCGGAGATCGTTCGGAAAGCAAATTAATGCTTTTTCGCCGTTTTCAATCGCAAGTGCCGCCGACATAGCATACATAACGTAGGGTAAACTAACCGCTTGTTCGACCCATTCGCAGCCGACTAATTTTGCAACCTATAAAATTCATTCATTCCAATTATGATCATGATTCATGAATATTTACCTTTGTTTCCGCTGTCCATCCACCAAAAATATACAGCTCGCCTTTGACAACAGCATGAGTGACATCAGCAAGGTAATTCCATACTGGTGCGTCGATCGTTGCTCCTGTCCCTGTTGATCCATCTGTAGCGATCGTTAATGAGCTGGTTGTGGCACCACCCCATCTGTTTCCAATTCCCATAATCAAAAAATGCTTGAAATTTGATTAAAACGAGTGAAATTTCAAAATCAAAAATTTGAAAATTAAACTCACCTTTACTGGTTCTGGCATTGGGATTTCTTCATAGTAGTAGTTTCTTACTGGATAAAGTCGTGATGGTTCGTAAATGTTCGAGCTAACCCGAGCGTAGAGCACTGGGGGCATATCAGGAATATCGTCCGTTGGTTGGACGTAGTCAATGAGGGTCGCACCATCAGAATGTCTGATCAAAGTTGATCTTGAGTTCGTTCCGTCGACATCGCTTCGCTCAAGAGTAAAGGAGTCCCATTCGGTTGTACAGGACTGTTTTGTGTAAAGATCCTTATTCAGAATTTGCTCTCTCGTAAATGCGTTCCCATAAACCCAATATTCAAGAGGGTTTTCGCGGAGAGTTCCGACTTCCAAGACAGTAACGCCTCGATTTTCCCAAGTGATGCTTGATGGAGGTGGATCAGGATAGCTGTCAAGTCGAAGAACGTTCGCAGAGGGAACAGTCAGGAACGAGTCAATTTCGTCAGTGCATTTAAAATCAAAAGAGATTTTATAATGCTTTGATGTTGGAGAAATGGTACCGACAACTGTTGCCTCTTCAGGGTAGATCTCACAGCTATCGACGAACGTAGTGCAATTTTCTTTACCTTCGCATGGATCTTCGCAAGCTGGCGGATCAGGCATCACTGGAACAGGGCAATCTTCCCAAACGTAGATAGTTGAGTCTATTCTGCAGCGAAACATCTGCTCGAACCAATCGCAAGGGACGTCGTTCCACGCGAGAGGATCATTCTTTAAAGCCATATCTGTTGCGGCACAGTATTCATGGTCGAGATAGTTGTTTGGTTCTCCGTCGTACCAAGCAAATACCGTAGCTTCCTCCCCAGTCACAGTTGCCCATCCGCTTTCGAAATCCGCGTTTCTAACGATTCCGAGCCATTCCTGTTGAGGATCTGGTCGATTTTGCCACTCCGCTAGTTCCTTTTTACTGTTGAAAAACGGAAGATTGCCGCCAGCCAATTCACAATATTCTTGAGCCAACGATTGCTCAGTCGTTCTCATCGGCGCGATCGGAAACGACAAGCAAGACTTTTCAAAAATCTGGCCGTTTTGGCAGACTGCGTGGGCTCTGTTTTTACAACCAACTGGTCCGTCCCAGAGTCCAGCGGGGTTGGTGTCAGTAGGTTTGAATTTTTGTTGCATCCAACACTCGCCATCAACCGCTTTCGAAGGATTGAACCAGGTCCATTTTCTGAACTCCATGGCGTTTATCATCCCGCTTTGCTCTCCATCGTTTTTGGGATTCGCAAGCCACATGCCTTTACTGAAGCAATATGCTCGTGCTTGATCGTAGGTCATCATATCGTCAGAGATGTGAAAGGATACATCCTTGTCGCGGTTGATGTTCTTCTTGGCGATTTTTCGAATTTCAAAAAGAGCTTGCTGAACTTCTTCGTTCGCTGCTTGATCTTCGATGCACGCGTATGACTTTTTAAATTAACCAAATATTCAATAATTTATGCAATTTACACTGGTTTTAACTTCATCTTTTTCTCCAAGGGGGCCCATTTCTCTTGTCAAATACCCTGGATTAACTATTTGATTAATTTTCCTGTATCCAACGATCAATCAGATCTGTTAGAGCGTCAATGTTTGCTCCTGGGCTCGCTTTGCCGTCAAAAACTGCATCGAAGCTGACCGATTCGTAGCTTGGGCTAGTAACATCCGTATCGCAAATACCCTCATCCCGGAACCATCTCATTACGTCTCTTACTTCATCGTACTTTTTGATGAAACGATTTCCGAGGCCATTCTTTGGTATATGCTCCCGAACTTGGTAGGCGAAAAGATCGCTTTCTCTCCAAAAAGTCAGCGGTTGAGCTTGGCCGGAGCCAGCTAAAACCGTCAAAAAGGGTGAAAGTTTCATTTCTCTAGTACTCTGGTGTCCAGTTAGCTAGAATGAGCTTCCCCGTAGAGTTCGTTCCTTTTATAAGGAGGCTGACTCAAGGCGATTTCCATTTTGTTTTGCACCATATCAACGGAAAAGTGATGTTGTGGGCACGAGGTTTTGCTTTAATTAATTTTTAATTTAAAACGCAAGAAATGGAAGCATGTTTTACAAACACGTGAATTTTGTTACGCGTTTCATTTCGTCATTTTTTCTGCCTGAAATCATGGAAGAGATTTTATTCAAAAACAAAATTTTGCTTTCAGAAAACAAATAGTTATTTATCTTTTTTATCAACTATTTCTTGTTCCAATCGTACAAACAGTGTCAGTATATTTTCTAAAATAGCTCTTCTTGAGATTTGAAACTGCCAGTCGAGATTTGTTTATCAAATTCTTTGCCGGCCTTGGTTTGTTTGGATCGGTTGCATTTATGTACTTGAGAACATCTTCTGGAGAATAGCCGAAGACGACAAAATCGAGGAAAAAATGCTTGTAGATCAGTTTTGCTGTCTCTCGAGGAACATTTTTCCAATAAAGCTGATCCGGAGGGCGCAGGGTTTTCTCATGCACCCTCTCTCCATTCTTCCAGGAATATTTTTCTCCGATCATTATTTTCCCAGAAAGTCCGATTTTCTCAAGAAGCGGGTCAATTTCCTCCTCACTTTTTTCGAGGTGAGTTATGAGCGAATAATTCATCGCACAGTCAGAACAAAGATTAAAGCCAGTCATCCAGTGCTCATTCATTCTAGAGTTTCCAGGGTTCGAAGCGATGTATTCGACGAAAGCCTCAAATGAGCACCTGAAACCTTCTGGTATATCTCCGTAAAATTGCTGAAATGGCTTTGCCCCTTTTTTTTGTCATGCCAACCAGAATAAAGTCGAGCAAACGGATTTCTTATCACAGATTCAAAACGATTACGACTTTTTTTTATTTGCTGAGAATTAATAAAACTGTCCCTGATGTTTACCACTCGATTTGAGGCACTTCTTAATGAGCTAAGATCTTTTCTTTCTTTTGTAAATTGATGAAACCTCGTTGTCTTCACTCTCGGCAGCTTGGAATAGACCGTCTCCCCGGCTTGATTGGAAGCAATTTTCTCCGCTAAAATGTTCGCTTCTTTTTCACCTTTCGTGATATTCACAAAATGAACATCGAGTGCTTTCTGCCAATTGGATGTTCCGCATTTCGGGGGAAGGCAGATCATCAGATCCATGCTTGTTGTGAGGTTCATAACCGATGACTTTCGTATATTGTTTGAAATACAAGTTATGTTCTGATAATCTTCTTGAGTTGGATTTTTTAAGTAGAAGATGTCTCGATGCAAGTCGAGAAGAGTTTCGAAGGAGGTCTCATTCGACTGAAGAATCTCTTCAATAAACGGCAGAAATGAGCAAGCTTGGTCATAAATGTTTTTTCGTCTTCTGAAGGTGTCCTCTATGATTTCTTCTTGGCTCCAGATTCTCTCGGTTACCAATGAATCTTCGAAATTTAAAGTGGTTCCAAGGAAGTAAATAGAAAGCAGCAATGAAGCAGCGGTGATATAAAAAATGATGTTGGAAAAATTCATTTTATAGAGGGTTGAGTTTCAAAAGCTCTTGGTCTCTTCTTAGCGCCATGCAAACTTGTTGGAGATAAATTTATCAATGTTTGCCTCCGCCTGTTTGCTTTACGCGATCTATCATTTAAGCATTCGCGCTTCTTCATTTTTATTTGACGTATCATAAAGTTTATAGCCTTAAACCTTATAGCCATAAACCAAAGCCTCATCTTTATTTTCTTCCAAAGTGACACACATAAAAGTAACACTTCTATTTGGTTGCCAGCCGCGGGACTCGAGACAAAAGTCTAGCACTAGCTCTTAGCCGAGCTACCACACCGCAATAAAAGCCGGCGCCTTAAAATTTCTTAAAAAGAATAAAAAGATTTATGGAAAAGGAGGTCAACTATGGACTTTATTTGAACAGTTTAACTAAAAAATCGAGTGAGCATAAGGTTTTGAAAGATGAGTCTTCCATGATTTCAGGCGCCAGGTCATGACATAACTTTTTCCCTTTTTTGATGATTTGGGCGATTTTTGTTCTCTTTGGAGAATTAGTAAAGGTTCAGTGAGGCTTGGAGCTCGGAGAAGAGGTCATCGTCGATGTCGAAATCTAAAAAGAAAAGTTGCAAAAATGAAAAAAATAAATGATTTCGAAATTTTTTTCTCCCGAAAAAGTACAGATTTTACGATTGCTGTTTGTCGAATCAGTAAGTAAGTAGATCGGATTTGATGGTTCTAATTTCGAGTTGCCGGGCAAACATGCAATTTCAAGTTGCGACCCGCGCGTTGATCCCAAACTTTGCGAGTAAAAAAGAAGGGTCATCAAGTGCGCCAGCGCGGAAGGGATTACCTTCTGATTGATGTTTTCCTAGCCTGGCCGATTCTTCGTCGTAGATAGACGGATGCCTCGCCCGTGCTGCTGTTGAACTTTTTCATTAATACCATTCATTAGTAACATAAAACCCGGGCTTTTCTTCAATAATACGAAGTCTGAAGAGCAAGAAAGTGAAAACAAGCAAGAGAATTTCGTTCATTTAGAAATTTTGCGATGATATTTTTAGGAAACTGAGGCACTAGAAAAAATTTCGGGGAGAGAATCATTTTGTAGGATAATTAGCAGTATCATTCTTTGTTTTATCAGCTCAGTACCACAGGAAAGTAGTCATTGAGGAGGCCTAATTCCCCTCGGCTAAGAGGTGTCAGGGGATATCATCATCGCTGATTTTATAATTAGCCTTTTAGGCTAGGACAACCATCGCAGGATCCTAAAAAGACCAAGGTCTACAATTATCGGTCGTATTATGGTGCTTGATTTTTCGACTCGAAAACCAAAAATGCCTTCTTGCATATTTGAAGAAGGGATGAAAAGTTTATTTGTAAGAAGGATTTGGCCAAGTTCATATCTAATTCTGATTTCGGCAGCTGTGATATCATGTGTCAATTTTGCCACTCGAGATTTTGACACTGAGCGCAGATTATTTCTATAATACCATCACCTGAACAGCTTCTTTACAAAATAACACGCATCCGTTTTTCATCCCTTTTTTCCTTCTTTTCATTTTTGACCAAGAGTACTCCTGAGAACTGCCTTCTCTAATTGAGTTCAAGCCTCAAGTTAGAAGAGCTTCTTGCTCGTTAGAGAAAGTTGCCTTGAGAGATTGTCTCGACCCTTGACCCTTTGTTTCTGTAAGAGTACTGTGGGAACGGCAGTCAATTATCCTATTTCGCGGCTTGCGGAATTTTGAATATGTTCAACAGCATTCCTTGACTGCATGGAATGGGCTGCAACAGCACATTTTGTCTCTTCGATGAAGTTCTCCACTGCTCGCGCGCACTGTTTTCGGGGTAATTTTTTAAAGAAAGAGAAAGACATAAACTAAAGTTGACGTGACTCCCTTAAGATTTTTCGCCCCCCAGTAGTAGTATGCTGCTATTAACCTCAACTCCTCCTACTAATATGTCAACATAAAAAAGTAGCAATTTCGTGGCCGCACGCTGGTTTTTCGTACCCCACTTGAGGCAGTAGATTTCTCCGCAAAGTTGCTTATAACTAGATTATCCTCTGTGGTCAAGCGCATCACCAACCTTGAATTTTTGGTTTTCTAAACCCATCAAACATTCGAAGCAGGTAAAACACTAGAATATTACAGTGTTAATTTTTTAGCCAAATTTTGGAGGCGCAAATTTGGAAGAACAAAGTTTTTATCGAAAGCCGCAAGTTCTGATAACTCTTTAAACCCCCTCTTCTACGAGTGGCTTCGGTAGCTCGAGCGATAAGAAGGGGTGATAAAGAGAGTGTTTCTAAAGCAGCGTTCCTTTGTTTCTCGCGCATTTCGACACTGTTAAACGCGTTCTGGGCTGGAAAAGGAATGGGGTACTTATGCAAAGATATACGTCACACGGAAACCTCCGGATGCCAGCACGAGTTTTCGTAAGTGATCTTGCGCAGCTCGCCAAGCCCAACGACAACTTCCAAGCATCGCTCGCAATCGCGCCCGAACTTTGTCAAGAGGGAAAAAGTGGATTTCAGGGAAAGTCGAACATGAAAGATAGGCATCATTTTCAACTGAAATTCAGCTTGAAAAATTTTTTCTTCGTAACCGAAATTTCATTTTTCCTTTCATCGTCTTTCTTCCAAATAAGGCATTTCCTTCCCTCGTTCCTTTGAAATATAACAATCGAAGCAAAAACAATCTCCATTTTTAATCGCGAATTCCGCTCCTCCAAGCTCATATCCACAGCCTCCTTTGCAAGTAAAACTAAACAAACAATAGTAAAGAATCAATCATTATTATCTTTTGTTTGTAATACCAGTAACGATGATAATTTTTCCCTCTAAAAGCGACTGCTCCATCTCTTTCTCAAGGTCATCAATATGTCATTTTAACTTATCTGTTTGCTTGTCTGTTTACTGTCATCTTTGACCGAGTGTTCCTAATTATTCGATTGCAAGTTGGGCAAATTGCTCCTGCTTTCAACGTAGAACTCTTAAAAAGATTCGTCCCCAGAAGGCCCCAGAAGGCATACCTTTTTTGAGAAACAAATATCACATTTGAGTTTGTTATCACTTTTGAAGAACTTGTTCTTGTCTACTGGAGAATTGCATTCCGAACAAACAAAACAGCGCTGGTGAAAGATTTGGTTGTCGTACAAAATTCGCTCATCGCCTGAAAAACTTGCTGTAGTTGAACTTGAAAGAGAATATTTTTCCAGTTTCGAATTTCCAGTAAGCTTATCTCAGCGACCCTGGGTGCGGTATTTCTTCTCGCCAAAAAATTTCCAAGCGCGAAATTCTCGCGGAAAGCCTGTAAGTCGCTTCCCTCGACAAAAACGGTTCTCGAATATTTTTTTTCTAGAGTGGGATTTCGTTTCAATTATCCGAGCTGACTTTCGCCTGTCACGATTTTGCATTTCTTTCACTTTGAATTTCGTGGCTGTTTCCTTTTTAGCGGAAGCAAGGTTCCAGCTCAAGAAGGTCCTGGGCTGCGAAATCTGTCACAGGTTCTCTGTTTAGATAACCTGTGTCAGGGACCCTGACTCAGGGTCATTAGAGATTTCTAATGAAAAGCCATGTAAAGGAAGCCGCGAAAATTACGCGGCTTTTTATTTAGGTCTTAAAAGAACCTGACTCAAATTTAAGGGTGTCACTGTATTACGTACCCTGTTTGAAAGCCTGAAGACATTGAGAGCATTTCGGCATGTAGTGTGTTCGAAAACAGTCCCTAAAAAGAAAATCATCATTAAAATTTATCTCTTCACGATATGTTTTAGGGAGTTTACTTACTCACAAATAATTTTTGAGTCTTTTTTCTTCACTAATTTTCCAGCGATCGAAACATTGCATAAATCACAAGTAAGGCACCATTCATGGTAAGGTTTTCCATCGAAACGGAGTTCTTTTTTCGAGTTTTTTTTTTCAATTATCGTACCCTGGTCCCTTATTTCTCCCCCGCCATTTATCGGATAGGTCTATGCTTGAAAACGTTCCTTTGCAAACTTCTTTTCCGTTGTATCCAATAGTTTCTCCGCATTTTTCGCAAGGTTTACTGAAGGGTTCAAAATTCTCCTCTGCATCGTGATGAGTTCTCATTTTTTTCTCTGTTTTCTAAGTTTTAATCTGCGAGGAGGAACTTTGAAAATAATCAAGTGTCAACTTGTGACGGAAATTTGAGCTGTCCGCGGCAACCTTGTCTACTTTGCCAAGGTTAAAAACGAGCGCAAAAGCGATTTTATTGGGTGAGTTTGATGGTCAGTTTCGATAGTGGTTCCTAGTTGATTTAGAAAAAAAAAGAATACTTTCGATGCGCCGTGAGCTCGGTACTAAGTATTGCAATAGCTTTAGAAGTAAAAAATTTCACGAGAGTGGCATTACACGTGTCGTACATGGTCGGCGGAAACGGGCGTCTCCGGACTCTGAAGTCAATTTACGCAGCCTCTTATTTTCTGATTTTGGTGATCGTTGAATAATGCTTTTGAACCCTTGGCAGAACTTTTTTTCGTAGCAAGTGACGCAGTATTTGCCATCGCCCTAAAAGTAAAAATCCTGATTTCTTATTGCCCCGAAATGGGAGTTTGGTCAATTTAAGGGTATACTTGTCGATAAGGCAAATTTAATTTTATAATTTTTAAGAAGAAAATATAGAGAAAAGTGATTATTTTACTCTAATTTTTGGCTAATTTTTGACAAATCAGATGTCCGCTTTCGGCCAGTAGGCCAATCAAATTTCAGAAAAACGCCAATTTTCCTAATTTTTGGCTTTTAGGACGAAAAAACAAGACATTAATCAAATTTGAAATAAAAAGAAGGCCACGGGTAGGAGTCAATCTCACAAAGCAAGAAATGCGCTTTTCCGCAAAAATCGGGAAAGCCAAAAGTTCAAACAGAATTGAACGCAAAACAGCTTATCTCCGCTTTTCTAAACTGAGTTTTGAGTCTAAACTCGCCATCATGGTCATTTTGGTCAAGTGAGTCGCCGCGATAACAGATTCGATAACGCGAAAAACGTTTTTAGCTCTGCGCGAAAACCGGATTTCGCAAAAGTTGCTTTTTGGATCGGGCGGAAGATAAAGCCCCCTCTTTTATTTTTCGAGAATTCTAGAGTTCTGCTTTTCCTTTTTTGGACGAAAAAGACCTTTTTGGTTGTTCAAGTCATTTTTGCATAAGGCTAACGAGCTTCCTAATTGCCGTCTCAAAGTGAAGAGAACTGGGCTTTGGCAAAACTGCGCCCATCATAATTTGAAGTGGGTCGTTTTACCTCCTTGAAGCAGACGTTCCCGAGAAGACTCATTGAACACTCGGAGCAGCTGATTTCGCCCATATCGATATTCAAGACCAGTGGCCCCGCGCCACCGCCACCCGACGGGCAACTTTTCGACTCTTCTGACATTCTGAATTTCAAGTACACGAAACTTTTTTCTTAGCTAAAGATTTTTTTTTGCGAATTAAGTGTATTTTTTATCATTATTACGGAATTATTTCAATCCAACTGAATTTAATAGCGCGTTTATTGCAACATTTTAATTTTACTTATTTTTATGATTTTTTTAACAATCAGAAATAATAACCCCCCCCGTCAGCTTTTTTCGAAAAAACAAATTTCGGAATTTTAAAATTTTGACCCCGGAAATGGATTCTACGATTTTGAGGCTTCATTTTTTGGGGGTCTATCTCGACTCCTTCACCCCCAAAATCGCATTTGAAAATTGAACTTTTCGCCGAAAATTGACGAATTTGCACTAATTTTGGCAAAAATATTGATTTTTCTTGGTCAAAAATTCGTTTTATCAAGTTTTTGAAGCAAGTTTAACCTGAGGACGCATTAAGAACCAAAAATATGGCCTTTTTAGAAAAAAATCCATTTTTCGAAGGGTGAAAAATAAAATTATTCAATTTAACTGAAGAACTTCAGCTTCATTTGACCTCGAATTCTCTTGATTTCTTCGATCTTATGACCTTTTTCGGGAGCTAGAAATGACATGGATTATGCAACAGAGAAAGATAAGGAAGGCTACTTTTTTCTTGCAGTTAATTTGGCTCAGGGATAGTTCGATCTCTTGGATATTTCCCTCATCTTATTCTTTTAATTTTTGGCCTCTTGTGAGTGGCTCAGCAGCATGATTCCGTGCATCTTAGCACCTGGTACCTCAGAACTCTGAAAGGCCATAAATAAAGGAATATGACATAATTGAACTCAGAGCAACTCCTTCCTTCGAAAGCTGAATCTGAGCACGTTTTCTAAATCGTGTCCATTTCAGAAATTCTCCGTTATCAAAGACAGAAGCCTGGGTAGAATTGGTTTCAATCAAAATGCAACTGTCAACGGAGGATCAAACTCTTTCCGGCCAGCGAGTTTAATCAAACCACGAATTCAAGGGATTTTTTATTGAAAATTTGATCATGATTAAATCAAAAAAGTCTAAGAAAATTAAACTCCAGTTTTTGAAAATTTTTTTTCGAAAATTTGAGTTAGAAAAAAATCGAAATTCGAAAATTTTGAAAAAAAAAAAATCGAAAATTTGATTTTTTCAAAAAAATTTTTTTTTCAAAACTTGATTTTTTCGAGAATTTTTTTTTTTCGAAAATTTTATTTTTTCGAGAAAATTTTTCAAAATAAATAAAGTTCGAAATTTTTTTTCCTAATCTTAACCCTAACCCTTATTTTTTAAATTTCAAGGCAGAAAAAGAACGATTCAAGTTCGACCCTAATAACCTGATAAGAAAAAAGCTTTCGAAAAATTCGATAAGAGCATTCTTGAACTCATAATGACGTCGTCAAGAATTCTTGAGATTGCGGCGAATTCTGCTGAGAAATCAATGACAAAGGGATTGAACTTGAACACGGCGGATTTCTGTCCTCCGAATATTTTTCGTGGGAGCGATCGCATTTTGAAAACACGTTAGCAACAACATTCCAATTCCATCAATTGTGCTTATTCAGCGAAATCGTCACTTTCTACAGTAAAAGAACTGACTCGAATAAATCTAGTCGGTAGTACATTATTATTTACATTTCGGCTGTTGCGGTAGTCAAAAAAGAGACATAAATGGGTAATACAAACGGTGAAGTTTTAAAAAATAATCCTTGAAGAAAATTATCTTCTTCTGATGAAAACTTGTCTTCTTTTTGCTTTTTTTATTTTCATGGAAGATTTTAGCAGATTTCTTGTCCAGCGAATCGGTATGGAAAAAGTTATAATGATAAACTAAAAATTCAGACATGAACCTCGAAGTCAAAATCGACAGAACTCATGGCATTCATGGTGCGCTGATAAAAGCAAATGAAGAACAACAGCAGCATTTAGAGTTCATGAAGAGATACGGCATTCTGTACGGCTTCTTTTAGAGTTAAAAAACACCAAAGCTCAAGGTCCCTGAATTGACCTAGTTCGTTGTATCTTTCATAATGGAAACCGAGCAAATTATCTTATCAAATAAACATATGTTCCGTGAATCGGCAAAAGTGCGGCTGAACTTGAAAGAGAGTTGAAATATCACAAAGTGACAGATTTTTTTATTAAATAATTTTGAACTTTTTAGACATCGTCTGTCGCAGTTGCCGAAAGTTGACGTGAAAGAGAAAGAATGGTCAAATAGCCATATTCAGTATATTTTTTGTCCTGATGAATACTTTTTTCTTCTTTGCGCTTTTATTTTCGATCGAAGATTTGCCAAGGATTCTCTATCAACAAATTGGTAAGATGTTTTGTTTAAGGAAGTCCCCCTAAAAAAGATATTGACTTAAAATTAAGACATAAACCTCCAGGTCAACCCGGACAGAAAACATGGGGTACATGGCGCCTGGGGGTAAGAGGGATTCGCCTGCCCCCCAATCCGGCGGGTGACAAAAATGACCGGACCAAGCGGGTGACAAGCCCAACACGGCCTAACTGCCCAGCTCTGCGGGAAACAGCGAGGCTCAGTGGGAAATCGCTAATTTATCGAGGAAAATCATGATCAGAGGGTTGTTGCGACGGTCTAGCTTATCTGCACAAGGTTCACTTTTCGGAGGATCATGAGCATTTTTGCTCAAAAATTTTCAGGAAAGATGTGATTTATACTAATTCGACCATGGAGATTCCAAAAATCACACTTAAAACTTCTGAAAACGTGAGTTTATGCAATAAAACCTCCATCAAAGTTCATCCTATTGTAATCAAATTTTAATCCAGCTGTCTTGTGATCTTCTCTTCCGTTTGAAAAGTCTTTTTTAATCACCCAGCTAATCTCTTATTACCTTTCATCCTTTTCCAGCTGATCTAGGAGACTAAAACTTTCCATTAACGATAAGAACAGTCTGGCGGCTGCCAGAGATCTTTTCAGAAGCCTAGACGGAAAATTTCTAGCAATAGAAATCTGACTTAGGAGAATTTTCGTTGGCTTGACCCGTTTTCTACGAATGATTTTCCGAAAGATCCATATAATATGGACCATATTCATATGGAAGCATTATTATCTCTATTTGATTATTTATCATACTTGATTTAGCCGGAAAAAGTATTTTTCTAAAAATTTTGAGTCGAAAATAATATTTATCCTCTCAAAAATGAGCCTTGTGGGGATAAGCTCGAGCTCAAAACATCTCTTTGATCATGATTTTCCTTGGTAGATTAGTGATTTCCAACCGAGACTCGCTGTTCTCTGCGGAGTTGAGCAGTTCGAGCATCGCGGGCTTGTCACCCGCTTGGTCCGGTCATTCTTGTCACCCGCCGGATAGGGGGCAGGCGAATCCCTCGAGACTCGGCGCCTGGATAAGAAAAATCAAGATAAGATTCGACACTTGAAGTATATTGGCGAATACGGCATTCTGTACGGTTTCTTCTAACTGTTAGAATTCTTCATTGAAAATATAAAATTGTTCAAAATTTGACGTTGTTGAATGAGTTTTTTGGGGGTAAATTTATTCGACTAGTTTCGGTGTGTCAGCACCATCATCAGGAATCTATAGAAAAGTGAACGAAAAGAAGAAAAACACCGAACTTACTTGACAGGGACAAGTCCAAGTAACGAAAGATTTTCGCTATACCTCTGCTAAATTCTTTTGCATTTCGTTACTTTGACTTGTCCCTGTCAAGTAAGTTCGGTGTTTTTCTTCTTTTCGTTCATTTTTCTATAGATTCCTGATGATGGTGCTGACCCACCGAAACTAGTCGAATAAATTTACCCCCAAAAAAAGAAAATAAAAAACGTGAAGTCAGCAGTAAAGTCGCTTCTTGCACGTCAGGAGTAATCGTAGCACACTTGGTTTTAATTTCGCGGCGAGTCAAAATCTCGCCTGTTCAAAATCTTGGTCCCACGCAGAGCAAAGAGTTGGTACGAAGAATTAACCGCCCAGAAAATATTCATTCGCGGTGCGTCCTGGAATTCGAAGTTGAAACTAGGTTCGTCAAAGAGATGGGGAAAACTGATAAATCAGCTTCTATTTTGGAGTTTCTGAGTAATCATGTTTCTAAAGACAAGAAACTGTCTCCTGGATGGATCTTTGGAGGATCCTGGGGAAACCGCGGGGACGTTATTTCACCGCCGCCGCATCGCCCCGTTTGAAGTCGGAGCCCGGGAACCCGAAAACGTTATGTTTTGCTACCCGCCCGATCAAGCTCAAGTAAAGTGCGCACCAAACTTCAACCGATTTACATGCGCCGAAGGAGTTATACGTTCTCCCGAAGAAACCAAATCACTCTTCAATCAAATTTCTTTTTTACATTTTACATTTGGCTCTGTTCGGTTTGCCAAAGTGGCAACTGACCTCAAGTTTCCGTAGTGTAGTGGTTATCACGTTCGCCTAACACGCGAAAGGTCCCCGGTTCGAGCCCGGGCGGAAACAAATTTTGAAATTTTCGGACATTTTGAATAATCGGACATTTGAAAAACGGATATTTTGAAAAAGCGGACATTTTAAAAACGGAAATTTTGAAAAACGGATATTTTGAGAAACGGACATTTTGAAAAACGGACATTTGAAAAACGGACATTTTGAAAAACGAAAATTTTGAAAAACGGTCATTTCAAGAAAGCGGACATTTCATGGAAAACGGATATTTCAATGGCTTCATCAAATGTCCATTTTCTTTAAATGTCCGGTTTTCTCCGGATCACACCACAAAAATAGAATGCCAGGATCATCAAATTCTAGAGGACGAAAAGCGCCAAAAAGAGTCCCTTTTTTCGGCAAAAGACGGTCCGAAGAACTGCCGACATTATCACTCATAATATTTGTACTGGTTTAGTACGGGTTAATATTTTGCTTGAATTGGAGATACAGGCGGATAGCGGGGGCAGCGGATCTCGCCGCTTGTCAATCGCTTTTCAAGGATAAGCGCACGTTCAAAGTGCTAAACGGGAGGAAGAAATTTGAAATTTTGAAACAATTTGAAAAATTGTTCAAAGAATTACTGTACCTTTGGTAGGTTTGGCGAGGGGGAACAAGGATTGACCACTCTAGAATCTGTCGCGTAATAATAAACGCGCAGATGGAACATTCGATCTGACGCAATCTTCTGAATCGCTGGAACCGCAATGTTAAAACATAGCACATGACTTCTTCGAAAATATTTTTAACAATCTCTAAATGTTGGTTATCTCGTCATATGTCCAGGGAAGAAACATTCCGCTATCTTGTTCAGGACGACTTCAAATCTACAAATTACATCAGCAAGACTGGAATCGAAGCTATTGAAAAGAAAAAATCACTGATGCTCTTTTTGATTTGGAGGGTTTGGTTTTTGTGCAATTTTTCGGAAAAGTTGAAAAATTGTTTCCGCCCGGGCTCGAACCGGGGACCTTTCGCGTGTTAGGCGAACGTGATAACCACTACACTACGGAAACTTGAAGGGACCCTTCAATCAGACCATCCTCCCTGGCAATTTCGGCTTGGAAACCTGTATGGAAAACCTGAGTCAGGGTCCTAAAGCTTCGCCACAGCTATAATTTCAATCCTTTTAATCAATACTGGTAAAAGCTCCCTTAGGACCCTGACTCAGGTTTTCAACACAGGTTTCCAAGCCGAAATTGCCACGTAGGATGGTCTGATTGAAGGGTCTCTTCAAGTTTCCGTAGTGTAGTGGTTATCACGTTCGCCTAACACGCGAAAGGTCCCCGGTTCGAGCCCGGGCGGAAACAATTTTTCGTGAAACCTCATTTTGGACCCCTTTTTATCATGTTTGCCAAAAAGTGCTGAGCAGTCCAATGTGAGCTCCCATGGTCGAATAGGAGAGAATGTGATGATGCCAGAAAGCCGCTGAGCATTTGTAATGAGGCTGACATGAATTCCAACAACGAGTGCTGAAGGACACTTCCAAAAGACACATTTCTCAGGCATCGTGCGACAATCAGCCAAACTATTGCACAATGAGTAAAATCAAAGCCAGCAACAGTGAAGCCAAGAGCCCAGCTGATCCTCAGGATAGTGAGTCAAAAAATCAAGAGAACCTGAGCCGCGGTCAGAAAACTCGAAAAATGAATTTTAATTTTCGTTTTAAAAGACACGTCTATTCCGGCACAAGTGCGTGCACTTGCTTAAAATTCAAGCCACAAGGAAAATGATTTTTGTCGCTTTCTTCGAGAGGGTCTTTTTCGAGAGCTTTGAAAATTACATGGCGAGGCGGAAATGCTCTTATGGGTGGAGCCAAACGAGGAATTAAAAAGGGATAGAGAGAAGTTCATTTGCCGGATTTTGAAGTTTTTATTGTTGCGGAACGAGTTTTCTTTCCGAAAAGAGAAAATTTTTCCAACAAGTAAAATAGTGAAGAAATCATTCCTCAATCAAACGAATTGGCTGAATCGTGTTCAGTCGTAACTGGCAAAGGCTCTCTTCAAGTCGTGGAATGTCATCAAAATCTTCGTATGAGTCGATGATGTCAGTGAATTCGAGACAGAATCTTTGCACTGCTTCGTTTCCATTATTAGCAACGCTAAATCGGGTCACTTTTGACTGCATTTTTCGCAGCATCTTTTCAAAGAGCCGGTCCCTATTCATGAGTTGCGCATTGTTTTTGTCGAACTAAAAATTATGTTAGTTTTATTGAAGAACACTGATTCCTTTCGGCAAAAACCTAAATGAAAATTTGAAGCATTCTTCTTTGCTTGATAGTCCTTCACAGTACTCTGAAGATCTTGCATTGTTTGCCTGTCAGCCTCAATCTTTTCATCAAGCTTTCGGTTCTTCTCATCAAGCTCTCTCTTCAATCTTTCATTTTCTTCGGCCTTCATGACTTTTATAAGAATTTATAAGAGAGACATTGAAAGAACCTTTTGCGATACTTTTCTTGGTCTCGGTCTGACATTGCTTTCGCGTATTGTTCAGCTTTGATTCTTTCATTCTCGGAAATCACCCTTTCGTTCTCTGCCAGGACTCTTTGAGTTTCTAGTTCTTCTCTTTTAAAATCATTCTGTTTTTGAGCTAAATCGGATAGCCCCGCAACAGTTGTTCCGATCGCTTTGCCTGAAATAATTATTATTCAAAGTTAATGATATATGATTTCTTACATAAAATCAATTCCGGCAATGCTTCAAGAACAAGAAGCCCTGCAGTTCCTGCAGCAGCGAGTGCCATCTTTGAGATCTCTTTTAAAAGACAATCTGTGAATCTCTGCAGGAAATTCAAGAAATGCAAATTTGCAGACTTGTAAATTTGCAAATACTTCTGAAAGCCAAATACAGATATCAAGCTGATGAGTAGCCTTGTAAAAACTGGATAAATTCAGAAAATGCACGTTGAAGTCCAATTTGCCAAGAGCGGAAGGGCTTTTCCTCAGCTCCGGACATCATTCGTCAATCGGAAAATGACCTTGTATTTTGGGACTAACTGCTTACCTGGTATTGTGAACAATAAAAAGTACCAAAAGATTGTTTCCGCCCGGGCTCGAACCGGGGACCTTTCGCGTGTTAGGCGAACGTGATAACCACTACACTACGGAAACTTGAAGTGACACCCTTAACCGCAATATATGAAATGAACGACTTATATCAGCGATGAAATTAATTAAGGAGAGGTATCAAGCTCGTCTTTTATTTCGGAAAAAAGATTTACTTTCTATGTTTGTTTGCTATTTGTAATTCTAGAGCCAGGTTCCAAAAAACTGCTTGAGTCATAATTCTTTCGAAAAAGTTCCAAAACTAATATATAATCATCGTCCATTTTTGTGAGCTTGAGCTCTCCACAACTTGCGGCAAATAAACTCTTACGCATGTTTTTAATCCTTCTTTTAAGAAAACACGCTCACGTTTCTCTCCGCGCTCGGATCATCTCGCTTTCTTCAAGGAAGATACTGTTGCTTAAAGCAACTTGCTTTTGAACCTGCTGTTTTTGTTTGCTTACCGACCTTGTCTCGGACTTTTATCGGTGAAAGGAATTTCTTTTAAAAATAGATTAATTCAAACTTTGAAAATATAACTAGACGAAAAATGGTTCAATCTATGCATAAAACTCTCCGAAAGATTCAAGTTTAATTCATCACAGCTGTCCTCAAAAACCTGGGGTAAGCAACCATCTGTCCAACAGCTGGCCAAAGGGCATATAAGGGTTCATTTTTCGTGCTTTTTCCTAAGAAATGATAAAATGACTTCATTTTTATTACTTGGCTGTAAAGAACCGATTTTTGAAGAGACAAAAATATAGAAAAAAATTTCCAAAATTAAAAAAAAAATTTCATCTGCAAAATGAACTTCTTCACCCTTCAGATGTTCAAAAATAGAAATTCGATCTATTATAGACGAAAAAAAAATAAAAAAAAAACGCACTTATTTATCTCCTTGAAATATTTCAAATCTCCAAAACTACGAGTCCCGCTCGTGACCTTGGCCGTTGTTTGATGTATAAGCCCGTCCGGCCAAGTTAGTGTCAGTGGCGGTGGAGTTCTGCCGCCATCGTGCGGCGCGAGCTTTCACGAAAAAAAGAAACGCTCGCTCCCCACGGCGTGGCGCGATCAACGCGGCTCTTTCATCCCTTTTCTTTTCGACATCGGAAATTGCTCGAATCGAAAATCAACTAGAGAATTTGAAGGAAGCAAAAGAAAGCGAAGCCCATTTTTATTTATTGAGGTAATTTTTTAATTGGAGGCAAGAGATTTGTGGAAGATTTTTTCTTGAAGAAAAAAGAACGCAAAGAAAAATTCAAAAAGAAAGAATAAAGAGAGTAATGGATTTCTGGAGAAGATAATTGGCTTTTATTTCGGTTCAAAATAATTAATAATTTATTAATTAATATATAATGCCCTATATTTTTCCTATGGAAATGATGAAGAAAGATGATATATGCTTAATAATCATAATTTTTATAAAATTAAGGGTATCACTTTGTTATTTTTGTAAAAATTCATCTTCATCATCAGGTTCTTCAACAGTCACCCACTAGAATTTTCTTGAAGCAGAGAATGATAAAAAATAGTACTTTAAATTTAGATATCGTCGAATATTAAGGGTATACGTCTGCAAAACCGTGGATTCTTACCGCTTGAGATTCAAATTTCAGAAATTTTCAAATGTTTAAAAAGTCAGCTGTTTTGCGTGTTACGTAATTGAATGTTATAATCATTTTTTTTTGTGGGAACACAAGAAAATCCTTTTAACACGATTTTTAACATCGATCACGTGAACTATTGAGCGAGACGTTCTAATCCGCTTAGTGAACATGTTTTGCGTGTCAATGCGCTGCGTTGTGCTGTTTTTTCAAAACACGGCCAAATGCATAACATCAAATGTTTCTGGCTTTGTTTTTTTCGTTTCTGCTCAAAGGGTTATCAGGGTCTTTTGCGCAAGAATTGATAAAAAAGATTTCAAAAAATTTTTTTTGAGAATCGAAAAAAATCTTTTCTTTTTTTTTGAAGAAAAATTGTTTTTTTTCTATCTTCGTACAGGTTCGAAAAATAAGTCGAAAAAACGAAATTAGCTTATCACTGGTTAGAGGTTATCTAATAATTCCCTGAACACTTGATCGGAGGAGCTTTACAACGAGGGCGAGTAAGCTCTTCTCATCCTTATCATCGTCGAGCGTCGATTTACTCCGTTTTTTGCAGTCTCTGAGTCCGTTATGTCAATGGCCGAAGGAAAGATTCTTTCTAACAAGGGCATTTCTCTAAATTTCTAATAAGGGCTCATTAGTTGAGCAGACTCGATGAAAAAGGCCGCCGGAAGTAGGCTTACGCGGCAACACTGATTCGCCACGATGGCGAACTTTTTAAAGCCAAGACGAATGATGACATCGAATATTTCTCATGTCAAATGTCAAAGACTTGGAATGTCAGACTCAATGTCAAGCGCGTTCGCGATTCAGAAATTTTTAAGAAAATTCTCTAGAAAATGCATGATAAAAAAGATCGAAAATGGCAAGAATAATGACCCGAATTCGGGCAACGTTTTATGACAAATCAGATTTTCGCCTTCAACTGGTCGGCCAATCAAAGTTCAGAAAAATTTTCTCGAAAGAAATCAAATTTTTGATCCAAATTTCGGGCGAATTTTACGGCTTTTTATCACGTTGATATTGACCCAAATCATCTCACGTTTATTTATCGTTCTTATTATTCGCCTCGCATATTTGAAGATAGTCTTATCAGCTTCTGCTTCGGTTTTTCTTAAAATTCAGCAGCATAAATGCGCGGGTCTAAACCGCCCGCCAGTGGATTGCTTCAACCTTTTTCATGATGGAACTGATCATGTGGCTTATATCGCTACCCTGCAGCTTTGTTATCGAAGCTTTTTTCCGAGCGATAAGAGCGCGTCACAGCGGGTGATCAAGAGGACGGACTAGATTTTTATGCTGAAATGAGTATTTTTTAATATAATTTCGGACATTAAAATAAACAAATAAGGCGATGTATTTTGATTTTTTAAATTTAATTTTATTATTAATTTTCGTTAATAATAAAAAATCTCGTTAACGAAAAAACATTATTTTAAACCTCCGTTATTTGTCTAATTCTGAGTTTCTTCATTCTGATCTTGGTGAAAATGAGATTTCCCTTGTCAAAGGAACTGTCACATGAGCGGTGGTTGAAATTCAAATTCGATTCGAATTTTGAGAAAATCGATTTTATGCCGCCAGACATGCATGCGTTCTAACAAATGGCCCCGCTTTTGGCGTAGGAGCCAATTTTTGGGCGGATTTTCAGATAAGCGCTTTCATATTATTAAAGCAACTGGGGGCTTAATGGACTTGTTTAACAAGAATTTTTCTTTTAAAAAATCCAGCATTTGATAATAAGAAAGACCGTTTTTTCAGACGTCTTTTCCGAAATCTGATTGGCTCGCCGACCGAATGAGGAAGTCTGATTGGTCGAAATTTTTTTCTTCAATTTTTAACAAAAAAAGCTCAAAAAATTCAGACGACGAAAAAATTCATTTTTGCGTTTATTTTTCTTTTTGAGAAATTTCCAAAAAAAAAAATTTATTTTTTATTTTTAAACTTGAAAATTTGAAGGTCTAAATTTCTCTTTTAGTTCGTGAAAAAGAGTCGTGAAAAAGCAAAATGAAGTTGCTGTTTTCACTGATAGCTAGTTCCACGAGCTGGGCTCAAAAGACAGATACGAAGCTTCAAGATGAGCAAAGGTAAGAAATTTCCAGGATTCCCTGAAAATCAAGCAGAAATCATTGTTTGGCGTTTTTGTTTTTAGCTGAGAACCGCATCGCTTGTTTGGAACAAACAACGGGCTCTCCTAGCCACCTTTAACAAAACAAATCCTCTTTTTTAAAAATTTGACTTTTCCTTATCATAATTATAAAACCCTTTTTGAAAGTATAAATTGAAAGTATCATTCTAACTTATGAAAATTAAAAAAGAGGCTGTCAAGTGTACTTTGAAAAATTTGAAATATTTTTGACAGATCAGCAGTTTTTCCGAAGAATGATGCATATTCATGCGCCGGATAGTGCAGATCCGGTCCACCACATCCTTGTTTACCCAACCGATAGGCTACCCAAAAACGGACAAGCTTTCTAACCGTTGAATTACTCACTGTCTCGCCGATTTAAGGATCCCCCCCGTCAATAATTTTGATATTCGATTTTTACAAAATTGTTGACGGGGGTGCCCTTAAATTGTGGTTTTCCTCAAGATTTAGCTTGAAAAATCAGGGACCTCCTATTTTAAAGGAGTGACACCCTTATTTTCCTCAACCCTATCTTCCACCCTAACCGTTGTTTTCAGTTCACAGTCCGGTCGAGCAGCTCGCGAGGTAACGAAAAACTCCTTCTCCTCCCCACCTCCTCGTCGTCCATTACGGTCGATCTCCAACTCGGAGAGACTCTGGCGAAAAATGCAAAAGCGTCGCCGTGCGCCCATAATTCGCCCGGGCTTCGGCGCGCACGCCGTGCACAACGAGTTTTTGCACGAAAAAAATGAGCGAGAATCTGCGCCAAAAAGAGAGAATGGCCTAGAAAGAACCTACCAGTGGCCGCAGTTTGGCCGCGCAGCCAAGGTCAGCAACGCGGCATTGCTCACTTATTGTGGTGTCATTTCAGTAATTCGAAAAGATTAACTCCGAATAAGCAAAAATCAAGTGACTTTCAGCTTTTTGAGTTGCGTGGCTTTTTATTGCGAAAAATCGACAATCTGATTGGTCGATCAGAAATTTTTCTCTTCGACCAATCAGATTTCTCGATCGACAAATTTTAAAGCATGAAATTTCAATGCGATAAAAAGCCACTTTCTCGTGAATTCACACTTATTCGCTCGGAGCGCCCACTAGTGCTCACTATCGCGCAGCTACTGTAACAGTCAGCTAGTTAGCTATAAATCTATGGTTTCATCTTTCATCTTGCGGTGCTAGTTTCTAGTTTCATGGCCAAAACGCACAGTTCATCCCACAAAATCGTAAATAAAGTAGTTAATCTTGTAGTCAAATCCCAAAATGCTCTTCAGAACTCTCGAGGGCACTCATAAAAAGATTTGCTTTCAAGTTCGTACTTGAAGATTTATCTTCATTCCGCGGCGGGATTTTTGAAGATCTCTCGAATCAAGTCCAAGTTGGAAAAGTGCCCCTCACGTTTTCGCCGATTTTGACTCAAAATTTCGGGACTAATAATCAGAGGGCTATCTTCAGACCCAAATTTTGGTCCAAAACGAAGCCAATTTATCTAAAACATGTTATTTTCCATTACATACTAACCCATATTCATCCATCTCATCCAAAAATAGCTCTAACAATCATCATCAGTTTCATCGTCGTAGAACGATTTTCTATTTCAGGTTGACTCTTTCGCCGCCTACTTCGAATATGAAGCAGAAGAGGCCGAGCTCGAGGAAGAAATGGCTGCTACTAGCGCTGGATTCAACTTTGACGAGCTCGAGGACGTCTGCGGCAAGAGCGCGCAATCAGACCCGATCAAGAGAAAAAGATGCCGGAAATATCAAAAAGACTTGCTGAAGGAACACATTCAGTTGGAAATTAAAGATTCTGTGCAGAAGTTCGAGACGGAGCAGACTGAAATGTTGGGGGATATTGGGCTTGCGCCTGAATGTGATGCAGAGAATTCAAAGGAATGGCTCTAGAAAGTATAGGGACTTTGGGTACCGACGGGTCCGGGATCTTCTAGGGATAATTCTTGAGCTAAAATAGCAATATAAAAAGTCTGGCCAATGCTGCCACGAGGGAAAACTTCATCAATCCGGCGATGTCTGGGAAAGTCTAATTGAAACTTCGTTCGACAAATACCGAATGGTATGCGGCTGCTCAGATGGAAAAACAGTCTGTGAAGACAGCGATTTCGAGGAGCTCCTGAAGAGAAGAGAAAAATGCAGTTTGAGGACAAACTGGTACATAAAGAAGATTCAGAAGGGATTGATCAAGCGAGATTTGAAGACGGAAGGATTGATCTCTGTCCAGCCGATTTCTGGTCTTGAGGGATACAAAGTCAACGACATGACTTTGTTCAGTTTCATGAAGATGAAATGCCACAATGGCACGTTCTATCTGAATGGGGAGAAAGTAGGAACTCCGTATGGAGATGAGTACACAGCTGATTTTGGAACCGAGCTCGATTTTGACTGCAAAATCGCCAAGGGAAGATTCGACAAAGACGACATCGAAGAAGAAGAGGAAGAAGAAGAATTCCGAAAGCGACGAGAAGCCAGCGAACCTGAATGGAGACAACTTCCTTCTTGTGTTCTAGACACGCCACTAGAAGACGCGCCTAGTAATGATGCTGAAACACCATCGAATGATTCTGAAAATGGATCAGATCATACTGCTGGCTTTGATCCTTCGACAGCGAGAATTTTGGGAGGAACGAAGGTTGCGTCGACTGGAGAGTTCCCTTGGCAGTGTCTCCTTATTACTCATAGGAAAGTGGTTAAATTTCATTCCCTTATTATAAAATTCCTATTAATTCTTTGGTTGAAAATAAAAATAATAACCCTCCAAAAGTGGTTCATTCTGTGGATGCGTCGTGATCGACGAGCAAGTTATTCTGACAGCGGCTCATTGCGTTCTGACATCTTCAACAGGGTACGTCACTTGAAACTCGCTCTAGAACTCGATCCCTTTTCTTTCACTCCAGCGAGAATATTTCAACTTGAAATGAGGGTATTCATTTTGCTCAAGACGTTGCGGAGTTGGCTGGGTTTAAGGGTGTTCACCACATGTTGCATGTTTGTGGCTGAGTCCACGTCTTTCTAATCTTCTGGACATGGTAGATTAGTACGCTTTTTTGAATAACGAAAAAGGCAATTACTTTCAAACCAGAAAATCAGTCATTTTTTGTGAATAATTGGCTCATAAAGGCAAATACTAAACATGATCTATAAATCTGAGTTGGCATTATGATTTTTCTAACTTTTGATTTTAGCAATGAAGACAGCTTCCTAGAGGGCGATGCTCAGGAAGTAACCGCGATGGCTATTTTGGGCACTGTAGACAGAATGTCGAGCTTTTCGCAGCGAATCCGAGTCCAGAACTGTGGAATTCATCCCGGATTCAAGTCTGATGGACCGATTATGTACTACGATATTGCTTTTTGCACTCTGAGGGATACAATTGATTTCAATGATGACAAGGTATTTATTTCTAACTTGTAACATTTCAACATCATCAACATCATAATTTTACTTTCTCGCAAAATTTTAATTAAGAAAGTATAAAAACTTCGTTTTCTTTTGAAATTATGGTGTTTTTTCTTACTATTTCATATTTATCTATTTGACCTTAATATTCAGGCTCCTGTTAAACCTGCTTGCCTCCCATCCCAGCTCGAGAAAGAAGAAGCACATGGCCAGAAAATGTGCATCGCAACTGGCTTTGGAACCACAAGTATGTATCCAACAATTGCTCTACAATGATAATCATATTCTCCACCTTACGCATATCTCTAAGTTTCTAGTACTTAGATCTTCCTTTAGAAAGCAACCTAAAGCCACGCAGGAATTTTAAGCAAGCAGATCCCTTTTTTTATACTTTCCACTGGCCAAAAAGTCGACCGACGTTTTTGTTTGCCATTGATTTGAAAAAAATGGGAAATGAAAAAGTCGCGTTGATTTTTTGGATATTCTCGTTAAATGAATTTTCAATGCTTCTAGCGCTGAACTTGAAAATTGCTCCGTTTGAAATTCCTCCTTGTATTTCAAAAAATCTATATCCTCAGGTGAACAAACAATCGCGCTCTCCAACTGGATGATGATGGTCAACCTGAAGCCGGTCGGCACTGACACTTGTCGCGCCGCTTATCAAGGCATGGTTCAGAATATATGATGCACAATAACGCTATCATATATTGACAGATGATATCATTTATATTGGGAATGAGTATCATGTCTTTTGAGAAAGATTCTTGAACCAAAAAACGACCCGGCTGATAACGTCATTGGAGGCATCAGAGATGACATCCACTTTTGCGCTGGAGGTGTTTCTGGAAAAGATTCCTGCCAGGTAGGCTTTCTCTAGAATCACAAATACTCACCCTTCGACTTCAGGGTGATTCGGGAGGGGCCCTTGTTTGCGATCTTCATCCCTTCACCAGCCCAGATCGACAGAGCAAATGCGGCTCTTACTTTCTTCAAGGCATCGTTTCTTTCGGAAAAGGCTGTGGACGAGCCGGAATTCCCGGGGTTTACACAAATCTCAATGATCGAGGTACCATAGCCACAAAAAAACTGATTCTTGATTTATTTTAGATGTGGCTGATTTTGTCGATTTTGGCCTTGGAATCGGGAAATCAGGAGATTGGAGGGACTTCAGATCGTGGGTCAACTATCATGACAAGATCAACTCTTGGGCAATTTGTTTGGGAGGGATATGCGGAGATCAACAAAATAAACCGTAAGTCACATGATTGAAATTCCTTTCGCCAAAGCTCTGTTTTAAGAACTTCCAAACCTTCATTGGAGAGAAAGGGTGACCAGAAAGATTGTCCAGCCAAGTGTCTTGATCGATACGAAAGATGCGACAAAAAATGCTATCGAAAGTGGCTGAGACAGCAAGCAAAGAAACCGAAAACAACGAAAGCTCCAGAAACGACGATTCCTGAAACAACCTCTGTTCTGGAGACAACTTCCTCGTTCTGGCAACCAACAACTACAACACAGACTGAGTTCTACACAACAACAACGACGACAACGACACAGAGGCCGACTCAAACGACGAAGCGAGATTTCCAACGATTTGGTGATCGAAAATTGATCAAAGTAAGGCCAAACAAAATTGAAGACCAAAAACCAAGCCAAAACTGAGCCAAAAACCAATTTCCTTTCTAGCAACTCACTCGTCAACTCGCTCGTCTTGAAGAGAAAAACGCAGAAGATCCCAACCCCCGCCTCGAAGAAAAGATCCAAGAAGTCAAAGAGGACTTCTACCTCCTAATGCGTCCAGGTGGCGCGGCCATGCGAAATTCTCAGGCAAAAAGACCCAAAGGCCCCAAACAATCGAACCCAATTAACAATCTTGGAGAATGGGGTCAAAACATGGGCTAAAAGCTAAAAACCCTTTTTGAGTTACAATCGATGCAATAATTCTTCAATTTGCTTTTGTGTAATATTTATTGAATTTATTTATAGAACACTCTCTAAAATGTAAATAATAATGGAAATCCCCCATGTATTATTATATGAAAAAAAAGCTCCAGTAGCCTTTTCCATGTGCCATTTATACAGATTTGAAATGATGATGATGCCAAACATACAATGATGATGTCAGCAAAAAAATGATGCCAAAAATGAAGATTTTGGCCATGTCGAAAGGAATGGTCATTAATACATACACTTTTTTAATCTCACCAATATTTTGGTAGACCTTCATTCTAGGGTTAAATGTCGATTAGAGACCTGGTAAAAGACAGAACCAAAAAAAAAACTTGATACAAGTTCGCCCCTGAAAAAATCTACTTTGGCCCAAAAAAAAACACAAGTTCAAAATTGAATTGTTAATTTCTTTTCTAGTCAATCTCCACTGCTAAACCTAAAATACTAAAACAAAGTCTTTCATGTTCTTTTTCATTATCCATTTGTAAATAAACATTCTTTTTCAATTAAGTTTTGCTGACAAGAAATCTTGTTTTTGGTGAAAAAATCAACGAGGATTGATTTTTTGAAGACAAAAATAAGAACTTGATCGTGTCTTCTTGTGTGTCTTGTTTCTTGCAGGGCAGGACGTATTATGTAAGCGTATATACAGTTAACAATGTCTGTATATACATGAATAATGAATTTATCTTTCCAAGGTTCCGACCCGACCACGGCCAAAGCGTCTAACCACATGATGAAAGCAATTGTTCCGCTCTGGCAAGTAAACAGCTGCAACAAGAGATATGAAAAGAAACTCAATGATATTCATATCTGCGCTGGCGGACTTGGCACCGACACATGCCAGGTAAGCGGAAAAAAATGATTGAAATCAAGGAAGAAAATCTTGAAAAGGAAATCTCGGGGCTTTTTTTGATTGCTCTTGAGATAATTTATTATTATTAAAAAATCTTATGAACCATCCTTTTAGGGCGATTCTGGCGGAGCCATGTCCTGTCAGATCCCGCGAGGCCACCCCGTCTACGAAAAGTGCCAAGGATACTTCGTCCGCGGACTCACTTCCTTTGGACTCGGATGCAACCAAATTGGCACGCCTGGAGTTTACGTAGATCTATCAAACAAAGGAATCGAAAACTGGATCAACGATATCATTAGAGTAAGCGAAATGAAACCTCTCCCTTTCATCTTCCTTTTTCTTCTAGTTTCTCGCGCGAAAAGGAGCAGAAAACCTCAAAACTGGAGTCAGATACGGAATCTTTGAGAAGAACTACGATTCTTACTTCGAGCACTAACCCCCATTTCCTTACTCCCCCTCTCAACGACCCGGCTCTAACATCAAGAGCTTGAAGCTTACCTTTTTATATTTATCTAACCCACCAAACCATCGATTTCATGTTCCAAATGCAGTAAATAACCCGCCAGAGCGAATAATTCAAAAATCCAAAGTGAATGAATTCTCTCCAACAACTTTTTTATAGAAAACCTTTGCACACAAACTTTTGCACACATTTCCTGATATTTATTTATTCTCTTTTCAATCATGCCATGTTTTCTTTTTTTTACCAAGACCTCCAAACAGTTCCTGCTGCAGTGATTACAGTACAAATAAACGATTTGCCCAAATGAATTTATTTTATTTCTTTCTCGATTTGATTATCGTTATGATTCTTTCGATCAAAAGTGGAATAACCAGAACAGACAGAAGGATCAAAATGTAAACAAGAACATTTCCATGGGTGGAAGAAACTGGCTCGCCAAGAATAGTCAGCTCGGGCATTATTATCAGTCCCGCTTCTCCACTCGACTCTGCTAGCCCTTTGTAGTGGATGGTATCGAAAACCTCGCAGCATTGAGCTTTTTCCATCTTTCTGCAGAGGGTATGTTTATCGCTGATCAGCTTACAAGCGCTGCAATAGTCCTCAGAGCAGAACATTGCATTGGTGGTGGCGGAAATGGTGAGGAGAAGGATTTTCATCAATTTTTTTTCTTTCCTATTTATTATTTATTTTGAATCAGAAATTATAGTCGCGCCATTTTATACCACGAAAGGAGAATGGAAAAAGCACTGGAAATCAGACTGCGAGTCAGCATATCCGTCTCCAGCGGGATGGACCATTTCGGATAGAATATATTATGTTATATAAATTTTATATAAGCCAAAAAGTCCAAAGAAATATAGACTTGATTGAGTGCACATTCGATTGATCACGAATCGCCGGCAATAAGTCATTTCAATAAGGTTTTTTATTGCCAATCTTTCTCGTCAAGCGAGTCTCCAATCGAATTCCTGTTTAATAACCGGAGCGCTGGTGAATAAGATTCTTCAACTTTGTGACGTCGAGTTGATACTTTCAGCGGAGTATGACATCTGCGCTGTCAAAGGTGAAAATATTCTTATTGAAAACACGCTATTTTTACTTGAGCTCGAGTTGCGTCTGAAAACATAGAAGACTCCCCTTTCAAAGAGTAATTCACATTCGACACAAATAAATTGGTCTTTGATTATGTATTCGAAAAATTCTCTTATGAGCCTCGAAAGATGCAGAATGCAATAACATAAGAATGATTCGCGGTCGAATATTTGCCGCCGTAGCCGCTCCAGTACTGATACGCAGGGTCGGAAACAAGGATGTTGAATGATCTGGCCCCGGCACAGAAGAAGTGACCGGCATTTTCGCTGAGATAGGAGGCGCAACATTGATTGTAGTCTTGAGGAGAGAGACCCCAGCAAGCATGGGATGCGTTCCAGCTGTACTCGTCCAAAACTCTGAGACGATTTTTCAATAAAAACCAATATGTAACCTCACCGACATTCATCCAGTCAGAAGTAAATGCACACGTGACATTCAAATTGTAAGAATTCGCGAAGGAGCTGCGGATATTTTCAACACATGTTTCATGATGAAAATCATAAGTTTGGCACCTCAAAAGAATAAATGTTAAATGATCCTAAATTTCGTACCTGCTCAATTCTGATTGAATCAATTCGTCGCTTGAAAATCGTCAATTGCGCTTGAAAGTGCTGCTAGAGCCGGGAGAACTCTCATTTTATCTTATTAAAATGAAAAATAACAGAAAAGGAAACGCCCAGATTATCCAGATGACAATTTTCACAGAATGTAATATTGGAAGTTTCTGACTCTTTTTTATGTTTTTATTTCTCCTTGCGATTATGTAACAAAAACATTGTTTTCAAGCTGTCTCCTGTTTCTATTCGAAAAACTGTAGTTGTTAAGTAATTATTCGCTGTTAAACAAAGTTCGAGTCAAAGTGTTTCCGCGCGACTTGATGCTTCCGAAGGAACTCCATACTGTCTCACTATCGAAATTACAGTTAGAGCAACTTTTGAGATGTTTGCGGGAAGAATAGAGGACGTCAATTTTCGACGAAATTTAAATCTATTCAAGTGCTTTGGTAAACAGAAAATTGCCAAGGTACTACTGTTAACCTTGGTTCTGCCAGTTATGTAACGAGTTGTGACTGTAAGACGCGCATTCGCATTCGAAGGAATTTGGATCTTCAGAAGTGCGCGCTTCTTCACTCGCAAGGCAAATAAAATAATTGACAGTGGGGCACACAAGAGACGAATTCAAGCAGCACTTTGAGAAAAGAAGATTCTTCAGTGTGGCACGCGACGGGGAGCACACACTCAAGTACCTTCTTACGGCGAGTCATTGATTTTCACATGCTCATATGCGTAATTTTGACAGCTTCGTTTTTCATCTAAGTTTTTATTTTCGATTCATAATGGGTTGAAAAAAGATCTTCTGCAGGTAGCTATTTTTGTTTTCTTCGACACAAATCGCTCGTTTTCTCAAAAGAAGATTCAGAAACCCGCTATTAATTAAAGAAATTACCCTGAATACTGGAAATCCAGGCGTATTTCTCGATCATAAAATGACCAAGCAATATTATTCGCCGACGGGCACCAAGAAATTTCTGTTCTTTCCGGGTCAAAGTTTTTGACAGAAGAACTGGTAGCCACTTTCAGATCCGAATTAAAATAGCTTGTGTTCCTGTCAGGCTTGAAAATATAAAATCTTCGATAACTGTCATGCCAGAAAAGTTGCCAACGATTAATAGTTCTCTTGTCCAGCCTTGTCATCTCGCAGGTGATTTCATAACTTTCATGAATTATCAGTCTTTGATCCCATGTATTTGGGGAGTCAAATTTATCATTTTTGCAAATAAACTGAGATTATTTTTTATCAAAGTAGTTTTCTTCGAAACCTGTTTAAGATTTTTGGTCGTAGATAAATCAGGAAGAACGCATATCGGAGAAAATGTTTTCAGGTTTTTAAGACATAAAATCTATAAAATACGAAGTTTTGAAATTTTTTTAAAAACCTATTTTTTGTGATGGCGATCGTGCGTGACAAACGTTTGTTGATTCAAAAACTCAGAAATTCTTCCATGAACTTGAGGCTTGAAAACTTTTGCAATCTCTGAAATGCCTTTTGTAAGATCAATTCTTGAACGAAGCCAATATTCGACCGGGACGCTTTGATTGATGAGCATATCTGTAGCAAGCTGGAGCCCATAGCTTTTGCAAAACTTATCAGTAGGCTTATTAGATGAAAATTTGGCCACTTTTTCCAGCTTAGTTGAGAGGTCATATGACACAGATTCTGAAAGCTCAAAAGCTGACCCCTAAACTTAGCTAGAAAAATGGACCGAATTTTCATCTTATAAGCCTACTTATCAGCCTCTTCGTAGCTTAAATTATCTAGATTCTTTCTTAGCGATATTCAAGTTGGTATAAAACTGACTTGATTTTGATTGAAGAACTTTTGTTGAATAAGTTATATTTTTGCATCCATCATTTTTGTAGAAGTAGGCTGTTTTGATCTCTAAATAATAATCAAATGAAAATCCTTGATGAATAACCCTAACCCTAACCCTAACCTGAATCCTTTTCCCTTGATAAAAAGGGCCTTGTCAGAATCAGGGAAATAACAGGTAAAAAAGTAAAAATAGCGATAATTTCTATTTTTTCTCTCATCATATTCGGGATTAATTTGATACGAGGAGGTATAGATAGGCTTTCTTTCTCCTTCACTGAACAGCAAGAGTTACAATTCTGACTCGTAAGTGAACATCAAGAATCAGTACTTATCGGGGAGCTGACGAGAAATGGCAAGAAATTGCGCCAATTTTAGCGAAATTTTTGTCAAATTTTAGTTCAATCAAATTTTTATATTTGGCCGAATTTTGCAAAAATCGAATTTATGTCGCAATTAAATGTCGATTTGAATTACCAACCAAAAGTAAGATTCTTTTCTGAGTCAAAAAAGTCAATTTTTGGATAATTTTTCTGTGAAAAATTTCCATAAATGCCTTGTTTTAAATGTAAAAAGAAGAAACTCATTGGAAAGAACATACAGATCTCAACAAAATCCGATAAGAAAAAGAACAAAATCTACAGCAGTGCGAGAATAAGTGTATTTTCCGGCGTTGGACAGCTGTAGAAGGAAGTTCCGTAATCCATTGTGCCGTATTGTTGGCTCGAATCCGCTCATGGAAAAAGGAACGCTGCGTTAGATAATCCATTTTCTTCTTCCAAAAATCATAAAGCGGCCCAGGTTCAAAAGCGAATTTGTTTGGCCACTTACAAAGGAACATCGCAGCGTAAAAATACGGCGCCAAGAAAACATCGATTCTATAAGACGATTCTGACGTAGAAGGCCTTTTTCAAAAATCACGTGATAGAAAACCCAAAATTTGAAAATCAAAGGAGAGGCCCTTAAGTTTTTTGTCAAAATTTCGGAAAATTTAAGGATCGAAGGAATTCTCAACAAGTTTCAAGAGGCCCCTTTAGCCAAATGATTTCCGGTAGCACCTGTTTGTGTACTAATGCTTTTGAAAATCTGGGTCGAAAATTTGTGTTTTGATTTTTTGTGCTTTGGCGACGAAAAGAACAAACATGTCAAGTTATGCTCTAAAGTTCGAGTTTTCTTTGGCTGCTGGATCTCATCTGGAGCTCACGTGGAGAGATCGTAAAGGCATTGATACAGTCTTATACTGTTTCTGAGGATGATAGCGTCGAGAGATGCCGGAAGTTGAACTGATATTGTCAAAGGTCGATAGAAAAGTAAGGATATTTGACAGGTCTTATTTGAGTTCTTTTAAGCGAAAATACTCCGAAAATCTGATTTCTTTTTGAGTCAAAATCGTCGATTTTCGTTCGACTAATGTCCTATTTGGGGGAATGATAAAATAGAATGCATTCCATACTAGAGTAAGTTTTGAATCTAGAATTAAATACGACTGTAATTCAATTCTAAAAGACAGGAGAATCCATATTGTCATCGAAATTCCACGGTACAAGCACAACTGAACAAATCTAATTCCAGCTCCTTTTCTTCCTCACCGGAAGCCCAGATCAGCTTCGGAAACACGCGCCGCTAAAGTCAAATGAATCGCTGTCTGCTTAACACTTTAATTTTATTTAAAGTTCTTGAGCGTTTCTTGAGTTTTATTGTTCGATTGAAAAACGCTCGTCTTTGCCGAGTAATCACATGCTCTTTCAGTAGTATTTTGGCTTCCCTTTCTTGACTTGCCCCGCGGCGCGTTTCCACCCAGGTGTCGCTCGCGAGGAGCTTCCGATCAGCTACCTGTGTGCCCCAAAACCCGGTGCCGCGAAATTCCATCTGAATTTTTCGTTCAAAAACTTCTTCCAAAAAACTTTCAAAGCAAAAAGACTCCTCAAAATCTTGCATAATCGACTCTGAGATAGACTAGAAAAAAAACCCAGTGTGTGCCTAAATTGAAGGTGCCTAACCAATCAAGGAGCGAGGAGAACGAGTGATAACGCGGCCATGGCAATGGTAAGTGTGGATTTTTGATAAGATAGATAGATTTTGCTTTTGGTAGAAAAAAAGAGATAGAAAAAGAGAACTGAAGTAACGAAAAATATGCGCATCATCATTTTATAAGCTTAAATAAATTTTAAAAGTATTGAAAGAAATGACTAAGAAGCACTCTTTTTTGTTAAAATCGGACCAAAAAGGACCAAAACTCAATTTTAAGAAAAAAAATGGCCAAATTTACGCATTTTTTATAAAGAAAATTTGTGAATATTAAAAATTGATTTTCATGAGTTTTCATGAAAACAAAAATAAACTTTTTCGGCCAATTTTTATTCGAAAATTTTCATCGACAGCTTCAGTTATCCTTCCATATTTACCATGTTTTCTTTTTTCGAAAGCAAAAACAACTTTATACTAATATTCAAGCGACGCCCTGTCAATTTCAAGTCATTTTCATGTCTCTCTTCTCAAATTCGCCAGTTCCAAAAAGACTTGATAAACAATACTTTCGTTCCTTTTTTTCAATTTTTTTTCTGAAAAGAAGAGAAAAATGTTGAATCAAGTACTTATTGCCCCCCATTTGAGACACATCAAAGGCGTTTTGTTCTTTGTGTGCTTCATTTAACTGTTTTCAAATAAAATTTCGTCTTTTGCGAGTTTTGCACTGGTCACGTGCCAGATTTCGCTTCAAAAGCTGTTTGAACTTTTCGAATTTTTGAAAAAGAATCGACGAAAAATGTGGTCAGAAATGTGCCGCGCTAAAAGGTCAGCAAAGTAAAGTAGCATTTGTCGAGTAGACAAATCATCACGGCTTCTGACAGTATGTTGACAGTAGTCATGACGTATAAAAGTAAGAAGGAACGGAAGAAGAATATTCTTTCTTGTTGTCAAAGCAGAAAAAGTTCAGAAAGAGGCTTTTTTTCTAGAGCTTTTTAAACTTTTTCCGGGAATTTTTTTCTAGACAAAAATAAGGGCATACATCCTCGTTAATCTCAGCAGCTAGAGTTTGTGATGATCAATCTGGTAAAATTTTCTGGTCGAAAGAGAGGATCGCCTAAAAATGCCAACAAGAAAATTGCAAAAAAAGGACCAAAAAGGACCGGGAAAAAAACGACCAAAAACGAGGTATTTCAAGAATTTTTTGTTTTTTTTTGCTTTCGCGATAATTTTTTTTAATAATTTAGTAAGTAGACATGTGACTGACTTGCTCAAAAGAAGCTGGCGAGTTTTCTTAATCCGCTGACAATTCTTCTGAATAACACCTGGATGAATTGGCGCGTTTCCACACTTTACACCTCTACATTCTTTTTTGACTGTTTTTGGTCAAGAAGGAGTCGAGGTTATCACTGAATTGCTTGTTATTCGTGATTACGTAAAGAAAAGTGAAAAAAAGTCTTCTCGCCGCAGAAATTAATCGTCCACTAATAATAGATTCTCGCCATTGTTTCGAAGACAAACAGTATTTGCGATCAAACTGCGTGCCCAAATCGTAAGTGGCTGATCAATTCCTCTTGCGTCTGGCGCCGCGGGAGAACATGCGTGCCTAAGCGCTAAGAACGCTCCAGCTCGCGTCGATCATCTTTCGCCTGACTGGCGGACAAAGCCCTTTGGCACCCATTGTGCCTAAATTTGGAATTTTCGTCAATTTCGAGGGTCCTTAAAAAGAAAGAAACACTGACACCCCCTTGGAGCAGCTTCAAAGGGTCGAATCCTTTCTTGCTCTTCGTCTTTTTTAAAAACGATTTTCAGATTTAATAGAAAAAAAAAGCGAAAAAAAGAAGCCGCTCGCGGCTTTGAACCAAAAACAATTTGAGCCGCGCTAGGCGCGGCTTTTTTTATATTTTTATTTTGAAGCCGCAAGCGGCTTATTTTTCTTATATTTTCTTTAAAGACTATTTTCCCGATTACATAAGAGTAAAAATGGAATCCCAGCTTTGAGAAAAAAAGAAGTGTAAACCATAATTCTCCCACAATCGCCCCCAAATGCCGGAAATGCCTGTACAAGCTCTCGGACTGACAGTGCCATTGTCAGATTTCACACAGTGTGAGATTATTCTTTCATAGTTTTGAAAGGAAACCCTCAAAGCCCACAGTGCATCGCTCCCATGGCTTCGCCTCGGGGCGCATCTGACCTGCCCTGCAGCAAGAAAATTTGTCAGCTACTGAACTAACATGAGAATTATTCAGGTTATTCCCGGCTGTTTATATTTTCTCGCTATCGTTCAAGACTGATAGTTTTGATTTTTGATCTGGAAGGACGCTTTTACAAATTTGACCTGTCAGTTTTATCTTGTGTACTTTATCGATTCGGGTCTATTTCATAAAAAAATATCTAGCATAAATCAGACCTTACAGTTATGTAATTTTTTCGAATAAGGAAAGAAATCGGATTTTGTAGAAAACCTGAGTCAGGGTCTGTGTCAGGTTTTCTACACAGGTTTTCGAGCTTATCCAAAAACAGCTTATACAGTTATTTTGGAATAACTTCAGTGCCAATAATCGACCCCAAATTTCATCGGAATGCCTTTTTCTACTATTTAAACTTTGGCAGTAATCCGGAAGTCATTTCAAAAGAGCCTAATTGGCTACTTGCGCAGAGTTTGAACTTTGAAAAATCGTCAACGAAATTGCTCGGCAAATTGCCGCGGGCTGCCCGCCTAAACATTGCCAATCGACGCTAGACATACGGTAGTTAGTTCGAAATTGGCGAGGAGAAAATTCTCAAAAGGGATTTTTTCTTCAAAGAAAATGGAACTAACTTGAGTGTGAATCTTTGACAAGCTTCAACAAAGCGGCCTTTGGGAAAGAGCTTCGATTTCGTTTTGGGAGAGCTTCGGGCTACCTTTCAAACGAAAGAGCACAAAGCCAAAGGGTTTTATTTTGCAACTCAAGGTCAAAAATATTTTTACTTTTCTTCGCCCTAATTATTGCTATTTTCGGTCTTTATTCGTCAAATTTTGTGAAATTTATAAATAAAATTTATATTTTTGATGAGGTTGAAAAATTGTATTTGTAATTTGTATATGTAATTTTCTTGAAATCCGAAATCTAAATTTTCCAAAAATTTTCGGGATTTAAAAATTGGTGACGTTCTCACTGTGCAAATTTAGTCAATTTCTGGTGACTATTCAGCTCTTGCGCTAGCTTTGGAGACCATTTCGATTCAAACAAAGACAGGCACCGCTTGGGCACACACACCTATTTGACTTGATTTTGATTTTTTTCGACTTTTTTTGAAGCTTGACTTTTTTGATTGGTCAGAGAGGTTTTTTTTCCGTCGTCAAGAATTCTTATCAGGTTTTTATTATCAATAATTGAATCATAAAAGTTCTTTAAAAATCTTGATGCGCAGTTTTTTCTTCTTTATTTTTGTAAAATCAACATATTTTTTTTTTCTTATGAATAATATTTAATTTTTAGACGGTTCCAATGATCGCCTGTGCTGAGCAAAAAGTCCAGACTCCGACATTCACTCAGCAAGAAAGCAACTCATCGCAGAAGTATGGAACTATGATCCCTAGTAGAATCTTTGTTGGTGGAATCGACTTTAAGGTTTGTTCATTTTTTCATCAAAGAATAAGAGTGTCACGTCCTTATTTCCAAAAAACATGGAATAGAGGTGTATAAGCTTCATTTCGGTTCATAAAAATAAGGGGTCACTTTATTTATAAAAAAAATAAAGGCGACTTGGAAGCGTTTCTTGTTCGTTATTGGGAAAATTGGAATTTCAAAATTTTTTGCAAATTTTCGGAAATTGCTCTACTTTCGCTGATTTATAGATTCGCGGCTGTGCAAACGCCGCGCCCGTGGCGAAATTTTCACTTATAGTATTTATCTCCGGATTACGCTTGTAATGAAGAAGTATTAGCAAAATTTATGGTGTGACCTCAATCTGCGGATTATGACGGCTCGCATTTTCGGGGGGCAATCCGGGTTGTTTTCGATAAATAAGAGATTTTTCAAGGGCCGGATGATCCTCTTCCCGAGAGGAGTCCTCATCTCGGCCAAAGTAAATTTGAGCAGGAAGGAAAGCAACGCCCTGAAAATCGATGATGATGATTTTTAAGTTTTATTGCTAAAGGAAGCTTTTTCGTGAGAACTGGTTTTATGATCTGTAAATCTGTCTGTAGTACCCCACCTAAGGCCAAAAATATTCATTCCTTGCCAAAATAATGCTCGAATTAATCAAAAACTTTAGACATCGGAAGAGGATCTCCGCGAATATTTCTCCAAATTCGGTTCCGTCCGCGACGCAAGAATCATCCGAGACAGAGCCGAAGTTTCCAAAGGGTAAGTCTACTAGTACCACTACCATTTTTTGTTTATGCCAGCGTCAGTCAGCCGTCGTCGCGAATTGACAACTGTTGACAAGATTAAAATTTCCTGTACTGTAGAATTCGGATACGATAAAATTTATGTCATTTCCTTCGATAAGGAGATTATCTGAAATCCGCAGCGGCTAGAACTTCTGGCGGCGAAGTTTTACGGGAACTTAGAAAGTAATCCGCAGCGTAAATATTGAACTCCCGCCAGGAATTCAGGAAGTACTCTTCCTTGATTTCACGATACTGGATTTGCTCTTCAACTTCCATTTCAGCTACGGTTTCGTGACGTACGACAATGCCGATGCAGTCAACAACGCGCTCGAAGAAAGTGACAATCTTCATCTTCACGGGAAAAAGTTAAACATTGGCAGAGCTGTCAGGAAGCAACCAACAGGCATTCCCTACAATACCGATCCATTGATGAACACTTGGATGCTGCACCCAGGTGGATACGCCTCCATGACCAACTCGACTGGAGTCACTTACTTTGTTGCCCCGCAGAATCAAATGCCACTGGTGAGTTTTTCATTCGTTTTGATTGGTTGCTTGATTTTATTTGGTCTTCTTATTGGTCAGAATCTAATTTGCCCTTCAGCCTGGATATTCAATGGGTGCAGGCGGTCAAATCATCGCCCCATTAACCTACATCCGCAACCCAACTACTTCCGCGATCAGCTACAACCACCAAATCATGCAGCAGATGATGCGATTCGGCGCGTTGCCTCAGTACTACGGGCCACAGCACGCCGCCGCTGCTCAATACAGTCAAATGGCTCATGCTGCTGCTCAAATGGCCGCTGCAGCCCATGCTCATCCAATGTACTATCCGGCAATGGGCCAGCCAGACGAGTCTGACAGCACTTATTCGGACTCGGACCCGTACCAGAAATTTACCTTCGGGGACAATCCCGCTATCGTTCCAGGCGCTCCCCTCGGCGCAGCGCATTTGACACCGCCCGACACGCCACAAGAAGAGCAATACCAAGCTGCGTAAACACCTCTCTTGAGACTTCTACTAAATAAGCTTATGTGTAAATATTAAAGTACCTGTAGGGAGATGAATGTTTTCTAGCCCTAACTAAAGAACCATAAAGCCTTAGGCAAAAAATGAGCCTCGCGTCAAACCTCGGTTGAGACCCTTATTAGATGAAAAATAACAGTATAATTACAACTCTATTAGAAACGAAATACCAAACTATAATCAAACTGCGCATATTTATAAACAACAAAAAATATATCCTCTATGTATCAAATCAGTAAAAGAAAGCTCCTGTATCTACCTGTAATCCAAACAACCAACCAAAACAACAATCTGAAATCGAAAATCTTTTCTGCGTAAAATTTTAAATTCCTTAAAATTTGTACTGTCTACTAGTTCTATCGAAAGAATGATAGTTTGTGTCTGTAAATAAAGAAATAATATTATCGACTAGATCAAATATCGAAGAAAAAACCACTGTATTAAAACAAACAACAATAAAAATCCGAAAAAACCGACTTGATTTGTGCTTTTTTGTGTCCAAAAATCGCATAATAAAGTGACCCTGAAAGTAAGCTCCTGTCTATTTCTCCGAAAAAAAACGCCTCGACTCGGATATAAAATTTATCATCAGCCGTAAAAGTATTCAGGACTCCTCTTATTCAACAGTCTGAAACTGTTCTCATGAGCATTAAAACTGTTTCATTCTTCCGCCTCTTAAACTTTCGATTATATAATCACTTGGTATAAAATGCGACAGAACAGCCCTCTCCGTCACAAAATGAATCGTACGCTTTTTGAAAAAGAGAATTTTTGGGAAAAGACTTTTTCTATCCGTTGCTTCTGGTACCTTGTCTTTCCCAGCGAGACAAAATACCAACACCCATCCGATGTCCCAAGCATTTTTGAAGGCTTCATGCCCCTTTTCGCGACGCTGATAATTCTAGAGGCGCTGATCTGCCAGTTCAAGGGGCGATTCCGACTGGTTGATGCTTTAGTGACTCTGGCAAACTGGAATTTGGTTAAAATCGCGGATTTCTTCACATCGAAATATCTGATCCTTCTCTCCTACACCTACTTCTACAACAACTACCGGTACAACTATCAACCTTAGACCTATCAATGATTAAGGGCGTTAACCCTCCCCTGGGACTCAAATTTTGTCTGGGCGCTAACATTTTTCCTCAACGATCACAACTACTACTGGGAGCATCGATTCCTCCACGAGACAATGATTGGTTGGTCGGCTCATCAGGTTCACCACTCCAGTCAGGACTTCAACTTGACGATCGGGATTCGACAGAGTGTTTTTCAAAAGCTCTTTTCTGCTCCTTTTTATATTCCGTTGGCTTTGCTTGGTATTCCACCTTCTCTTTTCATGACTCACACAGGTAAGAAAGCCGCCAATCCTTTAGTCTAAATTATTTTCAGCAATAAGCGCCGTCCATCAACTTTGGATCCATACTGAGCTCATTGATGGAGTCTCGCCTCTTTACGACTTCTTTTTCAATGTTCCCAAGCACCACCAGCTCCACCACGGGACAAACAAATACTGCATCGACCAGAACTACGGCGGGGTCCTCATCATCTGGGACCGAATCTACGGCACATTCACCGAAAAAGATGAAAACAAGGAAGAACCAATCGCATACGGACTAGTTTACGGATCAGAATCGTATGAATTTTCATATCTTCAACTTCGATACTACAAATTTCTCCTCGAAGAAGTCAGAAAAGAGAAGACTTTAAATGAATTGCTGATGCGTATTTATATTTATGTGGTGAAAGGGCCAAGCTACAACCCGAAGAAACCAAAGTTCAGAACTGGCGATAAGGCAGATTACCCTGATGGCTACCCAAAATATGGGAAAGGGCTCTAAAATTTTCTTTATCTTTATTTTTATGAGTATTTCAAGTCCCAAATAGACTTTACGACCCGAAAATTACTATGAAAAATATCATCACAGGTTTCATCCTTGTCTCCAAGGCGTATTTCGTTGCTGATTTTTATCTTTTGAGGTTTTTCTCAGATTTTTGCCGCCATTAATAGAATTCAGTGATGTTGACACAAATCCACTTGTCTTCGGACTCGGCATCTTTTATTGTGCGATTACAACGATTTGCATTTGCGAACTTTCATCCGGACTCAAATCTTCTTTGAGAAACTTCCACCAAACGCTTGGAATGGCCTTGTTTTTATGCTTGTCGATCATTTTTACCAGCAATAAGCTTGTTTTTGCGTGCTATGCCTTTTGCTTCGCTCACTTGATTCTTTAATAAAAAACTGATTATCAAATAATACGTTGATTTTACTGAGGATCGTTCCAAAATCGCGTCATCAGAGTGCTCAAATACACAATAATAATAGCAAGGAAATAGAAATACGCGCTAAATCTATCGAAAACTTTCGCAATGAATTGCCATGTCTCCATTTTCTTTTCATCTTTTTCATTTTCCTCGATCTTCTTTCTAGTGAAATATAATTCTGAAAAAATGCATCATTTTCATCCCATTTTGTTGATCTTTACCATTCAGAACTTCGTTCAAGAGATGATCAGTTTTCGAATCAAACTTTTCCTCATTCCTTGTCTTCGAAGCTATTTCATTGACCCTATCATCAATTGCTTCTTCCATTGTTTGAGCATTTTCAGGAGGCTTCATGCAAAGAACTTTTGGCAGAAATCTCAAAAAGACACATCGAATCCAAGCCGGTATATGTCCAGTTTCTTCGTTCATTTTCAAGCAAATCACGGTAGAAACAAGGGACAGTGCTACCAAAATCAAGGATGCGACAAAAAACTGACCAATTAGAGAAGTTTTATCAGGCATTGGAGGAAGATCTCCTGAGAGTTGGTCCATGAAGACAACAAGAGCCAAAAGAATCGTTATATCTCGGAAGCATATAAGATGGTGAAAATTAGAAATTCTTACTTAGCCCAATTTTGGTCCCGGGATCTTGGGGGAGTAGAAAACTGAGGATGATAAGTGCCACTGCTAAGATGCAAGGCAGGGCGATTGACATCGTTGGCTGAAGGGTATATCTTCGCAATACCAAAGTATACGTTATATCTTGTAAGGGTCTCTCGTTGATTTTTGAGAAGATTATCATTTTTGATGAAGGAGAAACTCTCCTGCGTAAAGATCAATGCAACAGGGGTACTCAACAAAGTTGAGCATTCCGTCCGTGCTTAGGATTTCCCACTCAGTCGAGTTTGGTTTCATTGGATCTAGAAAAGATCATTTTTTTTTTTGAATAACCCCTCAAATTACCATCAAACATAAGGCCGGTTTGGCCAACGCCAGTGACATTGTTCGTGGGTGTCCGAACTCCTAAATTGACTTCGGCGGATGTAAATGTCCACGATCCGAATTTCAACGGACAGTATTGCGTATCGTAGGGGTAGAAAGTCATGTCTAGACTGCAGCCAGCAACATATTTTACTACCGGATACCAATAGCATGTCCCGTCGTTATATAGTTCAACTCCTGCTTGATGCTTGCTATCAAAATCATCAAGTAAGCTTTCGTAAAGAACCATCTCTGGTCGGCAGACACGATCGACCGGAATAGTCATTTTTGTTATTCCTCCGTTCATGCTCGGCCGCCAGTGGAGAAATTTGTTCTTCCACTCATAATAGAGTCTAAAAACCAAATTCAGCGGAGCGCTGGGGGACGGAATATATGACTTACAGAATGGAAAAAGTGATTTGATCTCTTCCCTCAACGCCATGAAACTGTGTCAATTTCGAGTCCATCAGAAGTTCCACCGGCTTTCCCGTGTCGGAAGGAAGCACTCCTGGGTCAACTTTAAAAAGAGGATCCGCAACGTATTTGACGCATTTGTCTGGGACCAGGCTTGAATCCCAGGGAGTTCTGTCAAAGATTTTTTTTGCCTCCTCGTATTTAATTGTGCAGCCTGTTCGATTTTTATCCAAAACATATTTGAAGCCATGTTATAGTCGTTGATAGAGAAGAGCATTGTCCATATCAAATCCATTGACTAGAATTTTATAAAAAAATGATACTTTGATCCTGATAATTCCCCTTACCTGATAAAAATAAGAGTAAGAAAAATACTCTCATATCTGGCTTATCTCTTTTTGGCCAATGCTTTCTGAGAAAAATGCTGCTAAATGTTTTTTTTAATTATCGCTGTCACTTTTGTTTTACGGTTTTTTGACTAGAAAGCAACATAAGGCCATTATCTTTAAAGACCTGGGAAATAAAAATAAGCTTTCAAACAAGATAAATCTTAAACCAAACTAGTTGAGTTCAACCGTGGTATCGGGAAAAGTGAGGAGCTATCAATGCGATCATTTTCAGGCCGTCATAAAAATAAATCATCATATTTTTTAAAATGTACAGGTGAGTTTATTTTGCAAAATCAGAAAGGTTTTCAGCTGATGAAATTTTCGAATTTCTTCTTTCAAAGTTAAGTTAATTTTTAGGCGAGCATCGAATTTTTACAGGAATCATGGAAAAGGATCTTAAAGTAACAGTCGAAATAAATCCTCTATCAACTGCAAATTATACCTTTAGATTGACAGGACATTTTGCCAATCAGCTGGCAGTTCTTTTTGCCAGCTGTCGACTCGCTGGACTTGCTTCCTCTGGCGGCGTCTTCGTCTTCGCTGGCGTTGCTGCTGCGCTGCTTTGATGGAGTCTTCGGTTCCGGTTTCAGCGGATTGCTCATCGATCGTGTCTAAACGACTTACCTTTGCGCTTTGCTCCTCTTCGCGAAGTTGCTGGAGAAAACCACCCCAGATTCGATCCATCGAAAGACCTGAGAATCAGTTTAACTCCCTCTCGCTCCGGGGCACAAAAATTGCCGGAAATTTGTTATCTTACCGCTGAACCGATCATTGAGTCTGAATTCTTCGGTCAAAGTGTCCGAAAGTTTCTTGCCATCATTTTTGAAGATATGAGAAAACCTCGAAAGCGTGGATCCATTTCTCTTTGGCCTCTTCATTTGCGTATTTTGCTGAATCTGCTCGTATGTGAGCCCTTCTCCATTATTTTCTGTATCAACGGATCGCTCATTTATCTTCTTTTTCTTCGGCTTTTCAGAAAGAGAAGTGTCTGGTTCCGAGTCAGAATTTCCAGTTCGCCGGCCGGAGTCAGAAGCAGACCCCATTCCAGAATCGTCCATTCCGTCGGAGCTAATGGATTTGCCGTTTTTACGAAGCGAATCAGAATCTGAGTGCGACCCTGAAAACAAGAAATTTTAGCGATTGTTAATTAAAATTCCGAAAAGTGTTAAGAGATCGATTCACCGTGGAAGGTGCGTTTTTGCGGCTCAAAATAGAGAATAATAGTTACTAATTAGTCAGGGTCAACAGAAGGGTTTAGAGAATTTAAAGAAAGCAATTTTTAGATGCCTTTTTAAGGACCCCCCGTCAGCTTTAAGCTGAAAAAAATTTTCTTCGAAAAATAGAAATTTTTAAAAACACCAAAATTTTGGTTCTTAATCCGTCCTCAGGTCAAATTTGCTTCGATTACTTGATGAGAGAAAGTTTTGACCATGAAAAATCAATATTTTTGCCAAAATTAGGGCAAATTCGTCAATTTTCGGCGAAAAGTCCAATATTCAAATCCGATTTTGGGGGTGAAGGAGTCGAGATAGACCCCCAAAAAATGATGCCTCAAGATCGTTTTTGACCTGAAGAATCTATTTCCGGGGTCAAAATTTTTAAATTCCGAAATTTGATATTTCGAAAAAAGCTGACGGGGGTCTAGGGTCGGCACCGACCACCATTTTTCGTGGTCGGTTTGGTTGGCCCCCGTGAAAAGAGGCCAAATCCGTGGTCGTTTTGGTCGGTCGGGTCGGCTTTTGGTCGGTTTTTTTGGTCGGTTTTTAAAGAGCAAAATTAACATTTGTCAACATTCTTCTATCGCACACGGCCCTCGAGGGCCTCGGATCGAAGCATTTTACTGTGGCAGTCGATTTGCCATGAAAAGTTTAATTTTCAAGAGCTTTAGCCCGGACTCGCCGTCGATTTTTCTCTTGTCGCCGGAGAGAAATAAAAAGAAATCGCTGAAATGCGTTTGTTAAAACCGACCTAAAACCTACCAACCCAACCAAAAGACACAAAAAAACCGACCAAAACCGACCAAAAGCCGACCATCCAAAATCGAGGTACAAAATCTGAGGTCGGGCTGGTTGGTGCCCGTAAAAACCCGACCATTTCCGACCAGGTCGGGTTTTTTGGTCGGGTCGGTGCCGACCCTAGGGGGGGGGGTCCTTAAGAAAAAGAAACTTACCGTCGGAATCGTTTTTCTGGTAGTCGAATCGGTTCAGGTAGCCAGGAAGTTGAGTGTCGATCACATGGTTCTTCGCGGAATCGTTTTTCACTGCGCCTAAATCTTGAAAAAACCGTTAGAGAAGAAGTCTGGGAAAAACGCCGATTTCTTGATGACGCAAAAAGGGAGATCCTGTGGACAAGCGTTCAACGTCCGCTGAAGTAGCCCATCCTCGCGAGTTGTCACAGACAGCTGCCAGAATAGTCAACGAAAGTAAACACCTCCGCCTAGAGTCGATGACACGTTAGGAAATCGTGGATTTATTCGGCGAAACGCACTTCAGATTAAATTGGGCACTATCAAATTAAACAAACTTTTTTTCAAAAATTTCAGAAAAAAATTTTTTCAAAAAATTTATAGATTTTTTTTCGATTAGAGAAAAATCATGATTGTAGTAAAAAAATATCGTGAGTCCACGAATCGCTCGGTTACATTATTGTTGTAAGTGGTTAATCTGATCTCCTTGGAACGCGAAAGAAAATTATTTTCTTGAGGACGGGAAGACGACGTCTGATCCGCCCGATCGCAAAAATAAAACGCGGAATTTCGAATTTAGCGCGAACTTCGCTTTTTAGCCAAAAAACAACGGTATCAAAAATTAACCAACATTATTAGATAAATTCGCCTCAAGGAGGCTGCAGTTCCTCTAAAGGGAAATTTTATCAATTAACAATTTTTGTTCACCCAAAATAGATTTTGTTGGACATGGAGTTATCCGCTTCGACCGAAAGACACGTCTTTTAAGAATTTTATTTGCAAGGCTGCTAGAACAGGTCATTTCTTAAATTTGTTAACACCGTTTTTTAACACCGCGCGGTCTTCTCGAATAGCCAATCCGTGTCAACAAGGCTGAGAAATGACTGTAATTGATTGTCGATAAATCAAGGGAGGTCAATTAGCTAGGGATGCTAACCCGTCAATTTAAATCGAAAAATAAGGGTGTCAATTAATTAATTTTTATCCGAAAATTTTACAAAAAAAAAACCTGAAATTCTTTGTTTATTCTTTAGAACCGCTAAAACTGAATATAAGGCGCACTGTGAGTCGAAGGAAATTAGAGCACGTGATTGCAAAAAGGTTTGAAAATGAGTCCGGTTTCGCGGTCGAGCGCGGAAACGCAGCCCAAGCGCGGTTACAGGCGGTTTACGCAACGTCCTTATCCACTTATGCTCAAGATGAAATTTTTCACCGTAAATCGAAGGCGCTTGGGTTCCAATACCGCTCTTATCCGACCGTTAATGATGAGTCAGCAAAAAATAGACGAGTCTAAAAGCCGCTTGCGGCTTCGAGCAAAAAAGACGATAGCCGCGCTTCGCTCGGCTTTTATCTATTTGGCTCGAAGCCGCAAGCGGCTTCTCGACTCAAATGATTTTGCTCTGAAGTCACCGTAATTTTTCACCCCTTACCTAGATCCCTATCTAAGAGGGAGTCGGTTAGTTCCGTCATCGTTTTCTGATCCTTTTTGGAAGTCGCGTTTTAAAGCCTTTAAAGCCTTTTGAGGCGTCTTTAGTCTTGTTACCTTGGGGTTAGTCCAGGGTCCAATGTGACGGAGCAGTTAACTACCTAAAACGGATTTTAGGTTTTTAGATTTTTTTTTTGAAGAAAATTGAAATTCCTCTTTTTCCGTTAAAAAACGCTTTAGAGCGTTGGCTTTGAGGTTTAAAAAGTGTAATCTTGCTGGAATGATATAACATTAACTCGGGCGAGCGGTGCTTATCATTCCAGAATTGGATCGAGATAAGTTACCTGTTGAGAAAAATCACGTAGAATTCCAGATGCCAGAAAGCGACGCCGCCGAGCTGTCAAAAAAGACTAAAAGATTTGTAAACATTCAGAACGCACGTGGATCAAGTTTTTTTTTACTTGTAACGACTCATTTGTCAATTTTCTCAAAAAAAAAATAAGTTTTTTTCTTGGTGTTTATCAAAAAAAATCATCATCCCCGGAAACACATTTAACGCATCTTTCTTTTCGGAGAGCTACAATTAAAATCCACGTTATAACGAGCGGTTTCCAAAGCTGGAAGCTCGTTTGTCATGTTTTTCTTTTGAGCGTTTTCGACTTGTAGTTACTCAAGGTGCCGCTATCTCTGAGCACGCGAAAAGAGCAAAGAAGCTTTTAGAGCTACTTCTTTTTACGAACGCTCTTCCGCTCGACATTTTCAGAATTTTTTTTTTTGACTCGAAATATGGAAATTTCATTTTTCAGAAGAAAATTTTTTTCGACTCGAAATATTGAAATTTCATTTTTCAGAAAAAAATATTTTTTTCGACTCGAAATATGGAAATTCCATTTTTCACAAGAAAAAATCAAAAATATCTTGATGCCCTGTATATAATTATGATTTTTGTAAGTGCGGTGCTCACAAATATTTGGTAAGGAGCTGCGGCGCAAAAATAAATGAGTTGAACGAAGTGGCTAAGTTGAGCTGCTCTTACCTGGCTCGGAGTTGCGGCAGTGCCATTATCACGATCGTAAGGGTGGGCTCGTGGGGGAGCGTTATGAAATGTAAGGACGGGCACAGGTGGAAGGGATTAGACAGAGAAATTTGGGAGAATAAGGGGCTTTTTAGAAGAGTAGGCTTGGGTTAACGGGATTTACTGTTCATTCACGGGTTTAAGGGGGGCAAGAGCTTATGCTGAGGTTAGGGTTATGGTTGAGAATGGTCAAGGGTGGTCAAAAAGGGTTCAAAAATTTTACCTTTGATTTATTTTTTATAAATTTTTAAAGGTCACTTCTTCGATATTTCGACTTTGAGACAGGGAAAGGAAATTCTCTAAGTTTTTATGGAAACCGAAATTTTTGTCTAAGAATTTTTCATAAAAATTATTGATTAAAATCCGTTGTCAAATCTGAAAATTGGGAATTCAGGCGAAAAATTTGTAAATATATTAAGATAATTTTTAATTAAGAAAATTTTTCTCGAAAAAGCATGTTTTGATTGATAAACTAAAGAATATCAAAACAAGCTTGAGATCGAATTATGAGAAGCGATAAGCTCTCAAAAACCTGTTTGAACGAGACTAATCCCTCGGCTTTTTTCTGATATTGAGACTTAATTTTTTCGCGAAATCACCCGCCTAAAAAGTCGCATTATGACAGATGATCTTGGTCAGGGATCAGCCGCGGCTAATGCGATAAACTCAGATTTGTTCTTTTTTTTGCTTGTTAAGTTGCATAAGGTGCGACTCTTATCTCAATAAAAATGATAATAAACCTCGCAAAAACGATTTTTTTACACAAAAACGGGAAAGAAATGAGGGTTCTATCTCAGAGTCATATTTCCGGGGCGAACATACCTTGATCGAAAATGTCTTCTTCCCTTTTTCTGCAGCAAATCCACAATGCAAATTTCTGCCCACAGCTAAGATCATACGATTCTTGCTCAATTTCGCAATCCATTTTCTGATTCCAGTTGTTCATTTTTTTTACTTGGTGATTTTTCTCGGTGATTTTCAAAACTCTTGTGACGATTTTTGATTCGATAAAAATGAAGGAGTTCAAGAAATTGCAAAAAAATACTTTTCTTGAAGTTGTCTTTGGTTTTTTTTGTTGATTTGAAAAGAAGCTGAGGAAGGAATCTCAGACGCGGCGCGGCGGGAGCGCGAAAGCGGGCTAGAGGGCGCTAGGACGAGAAATGCGCGAGAGCAATGATTAGTCACGATTTAAAGAATAAAAAAACCGGCTGGTTTTGTCTTATAAGCATTTTCACTGAAAAAAAAGTCTTGCATTCGATATTCTTTTTTAAAATAATATTCTTTTTCATTTTTTAGAATTACATTAAAAAATATTCTTGCCCAAAATATTTTTCAATTTTGCCAATTTATACTTTTTATGGGGCAACCAAAGAATTCTTTTCTCAAAAAAAACGACATTTTTCAAAGAGCAAAATTTTGGTTCTCAGCGTGTCAGGGGGTTTAATTTCTATGAACTAGGCGATTTTGGTCAAAGAATTTTTCGGGAGTCGTAAAAATGATGATCAGCGATGATTCTCAAATTTGATACTTGTCATTGGAAAGAGAGCCGACGGTAAGAGTGGAAATCCGCTCGATTCCGAATGTATAACTCTTGACTGAGCGGTGATTCTCCGGTCCACTCTCGCGCGCTTATTTGGACAGGTCATCTTTAGGAGACAGAAAATGCCAAATCTTCGTCGGGCGCATTTTTGATCTAGTATCGCTTCGTCGCCCGATTTTCTTCAAGTCAGAAAAAATTCACCAAAAAAGATTCACGTGGACGATATTTTCAGAAAATAATAAAGTGAACGGAAATGATGATCGATTCGGAACTTGTTATCGTACGCTCTTTTCGCATCACAAAACTTTTGCGTCCTTTTTTTAGAATGCTTTTTGAGAATCGAATAAGTCAAAAAGACCATAAAAAAGCATCTTAGAGGAGACAATCGATTTTTAAATGAACCATTGAAATGATAAAACATAAAAAATATCTTCACCATCTATAATTTGGTCGTTTATGAATTTCTGAGTAGAAAAATCGCTCTTCCAACCGCAGCTGCTTGAAAAATAAGGAGACAAAGGCGCTTCCACACGTTGAGGTCGAGGAGTCTTGAGTACTCGCTGTCGGATTTGCTCTTCAAAGCTGGAAACATTTGTGGTCTGAATCAGGTCCTGGAAATCTACCCTCAACCTTGTCAAAACTTTTTCAAGTATCTTTTGATGATTTTTGTATACAAAATTGAACAGCTAAAGTTTTCAGAAAAAAAAAGTTCAATTCGAGACGAAAAATCTGAGAATCCAAAAATGCGGCTTAAAATGGCGATAGGCTGACCAGAGAGTCAGTTTCGCGGAATTACGTGAAATCAGCGCGCTGCCGGTTTCTGTGCATTTTATCTGAAAGGCGGCTTGAGTGCCTGACATTCAAATAAAGCGCTTTCAACACTAATCTTTCCGAAACGAAGAGTTCTCTGTCTGATTGTCGATTGTTCATTTTTCAACATTCTACAATGCATCTTATCAAGTTTTTTTTTCTGGTTTATTGAATTTTTAGAATGACTGTTTATATATTAAAAAGACTGTTAAAAAGGGTTGAAAGTTCTTCTTTTTAGAAAGAATCGTCTAAGTGCTCATGTTTTTTGTCGGTTAGGATTATTCAACCTAAAAAATAGGATCAGTTTTTGCGTTCACAGCTCTCCTCCGTCATAATTGGATTCGATTACCTTTTTTCCTTGAAGAAATTTTTCGATTTGTTTTTGCGCTTTTTCCCAGCGAGCTGAAGAGGCTGACGGATCTGATTAATGATTTACTGAGGGTCTTATCAATCGAAATCTTCTCAAGTTCAAGTGACATATTGAATATGCAGTTTTCTCTTGAAGAAATGCCGCATTTCGAATTTCGAATGTGCAAAAATCATGTCAATTACTGTAATTATGCTCAAGCAGTTCAAATCATTTTCCCACAGATCATCCCAGCAAGCATATTTTGAAGAATGATCACAACCAACAACAGAAGGATTGTCAAGACCATCATCAAAAAGACCAAAGTTTCTGAAAAAACCACCAACCTGGCAAAAAAATAACTTAGCTTCTTTACCGATATTCATCTTGAAAATAGCCGCGGCTAGAATTCCCTGATCATTTTCCATTTTTTTCTCAAAATAATATTTTTGAGACCTCTTTCTCTTCTTCATGGAGAATAGCTTTGATTGAATTTGTAATTTCAATTCAATCAAAAAGCGACTTAATCAAATATCCAAAGTTCACGAAAAAACTAGCAAGTTTCGCTCCTAAGCCGCCAAAAGCCGATTGCTAATCATCTGCAAAACCGCATTTGGCACCTTATTATGAGCGAACGGGTAAAAAATGACGCAATGCATGACTTTGATCCTGTTACTTGTTAATTCTGGAAGTTTTGCTTGTTGTTTTGGCTTTCGGAAGTGATCATTTAAAACTTCTATTGGCGGAGTGAAGTTCTATTCGATAAGCGAGGCGGATCTTTGGAGGATGAAGGGGGATCAACTGGCGACTTCAAACGCATACACAATATTACTCTCTTACACAACACGCTTTTTTACAGACTCTCCTCTTTGACCCCTTGTGGTTAAAAAGAATCGCGGTAAAATAGAGTCTTTGTTTATTTTAAGAGACCCTTAATTTTTTAAAGATTTTTCTTCCTTTTTTTCTATTTTTACTTTTTTCTGAAGTGTCTGCTTCTTTATTTTTGTTTGATTGAACCGTTTTTTCACCCCAAAATATTTTTGGTTCGTAAGAGTGATCCCTTCCGCTTTTTTCAAAGTTATGCAAGGCCCAAAATCTATCTAAAGAATTATGCAGCTTGAATAGTCGTTTGTCTATACTCAAGGATATTCAAAATGCAGAAAAAAACATCCGGATTGATTTAATTTGCTCAACAGCTTTTTCTGAAAAAATCTAATGGTTCAAAACAAAATAAAAATACCCTCAAAAAAACAGTTTCTTTTTCAGGGGAAGCTAGATTTTCCTTTGATTAAAATTTTTTGTCTTGAAATTCAGAATTCTTGAAAATGGAGCTTCGTCTAAACAAGATCAGTCCCTGAACGTGTTCCACCGCGTTGGATCTTATTTCTTGATTTGATTCGTGAGCTGGCTCAGGCTCATCTCTGCTCAGACAGTTCACATTTTCAATGGCCCCCGTCTCCCTTTACTCATGTTCAAAGGCAAAATGACTAAAAATATTTCTATTTTTTTGAAGGAAAAAGATGATGTAGTTTTCACGATTATGTCATCATTAAATCGGATTCGTCAGAACGTAATTGCATGGCAAATCGTAATTTGAGACTTGTCGAAAGAGGACAGTTTGGTGAGCCGAGAGGAAGAAAAAGTGACATATTGATTTGATCCCTGTTTTTCCTGCTGATCCCGATCATCTTTCACTTTTCAAAAGAATGTGTTCAATGTGTTTTTCGTTGTTTTTTTTTAATTTTCATCAGAAATATTTGATGACTCATCATCATCATCATCATAATCGTCAAAACAGAATTTACAGGCGCACTTGTTTTGAAATCCTTCAACAACGATCGCCTCATAAAGCAAACTGAAAGGAAGAGCAAGTAAAATGCAAGGGCAACAGAGCAGGTATAAACTGTCTTTACACGAGCAGTCTGTAAGCCTGGCTTTCCCCATATTTCCCCATTAAGCCCCATGATGTAGGCAAATTCCCATATAGGTCCACCATGAGGACAGTGAATCAGCAAGAGCATCCACTCAGCCGAGTGAGCTCATGTCTCAGCGCAAGAGCGCCATCCGAACTCATCCAGCGCATGCTTCGGGCTCTCAACAGCGCCCCCAAACTCTGGCACGCGCCTGGCTCTGACTCACGATGGCGCCTGAGAACCAAGCCTCAATGACGCACATGCAACTGATAAGAGGGCTTACTCACCTGAGAATTGACGTCAATCAACCAACTCGGTTCTCACACACTAGCGCCCTCGCCAACGGCCAGATTCTCCAACGACGCCCAACGATGGTGCACGAGAGTCACTCTTTAACGCCCTCTGTACACTTTTGCGCCCTCACTGTTCTCCTATATAAACTGTAACAATTCGGAATAAATTCATTCATTAACTTGAAACCCAAAAAACAAAACAACTTGACTTTTTACTGACTTCGCAACAAACAACAGCAACTAAAACAACTTGCAAACAACCAACAACAAACAAGACGATAGAGCTCTATACCCAGGCATATAAATTCGCTTGGCGATTTTCGCCAAAAGCGAAAGCGAAGCGAAAGCGAATCGAAAATTTCGCTTTCGCCCCCCGAAAATGACACTCCGAATATTCGCTTCGCTTTCGCTTTTTGTCCCCGATTTTCGCCAAAAATTCGCTTTCGCCGAGACCTCGCTTTCGCCAAATTTTCGCTTATGGCGAATCTTCGCCAAAATTTCGCTTTCGCTAAGCCCTAATTTTCGCCAAAAGTTCGCTTTCGCCAAAATTTCGCTTTAATTTCGCTTTCGCCAAATTCTCGTTTTCGCCAAGAGTTCGCTTTCGCCAAGAGTTCGCTTTCGCCAAGAGTTCCCTTTCGCTAAGATTTCGCCGAATCTTATGTTTTTATCTTTCAAAGCGGTATTAATGTTTCATCACTGATTATTTAATAGGCAGATTGCAATTTTCTTTCATCAAGATCAAAAAAAATCATCGTTTAAATTATCTGCGGAAGTCTGCGCCACCTTTTCAGCAGATGTTCTCTGCAATAAATTCAAACCGGAAAGTCAGTTCTCAAATCAAAACAAAAATAGTAAACAAAAATGTCAGAAATTTTAAAATGTCAAATGTGCTGGTGGATCGGCCCGAGAAATTCTCTTTCGAGACATTTGCAAGTTGACCATTTTCTTCAAAAGCCATTTCAAGCAATGGATTTTGCTCAATACGACTGGAATCAAGACCGAGAATGGACAGTCGAATTTGACGGAGTAAGAAGTGATCCAGGAACGAAAAATATACAAGAAAAAGAAAAAAGATACGAGGTCCGTGTGCTATGGGATTGCGAAAACATAGACAAGAAGACGTTTACGAAAACATTCGAAGACATCATGGACTACATTCTCAATCCTACATTCATCGATGCAGTCAACAAATCGCTCAAGAAAAAGTCAGAAAAATCAGCAGCGAAGAAAGTCAAGGAAATCCACGAAGAAATGAAAAAAGCGCAAAATGAAGCAACCGGGGAGTGCAAAATATGCTACGTTCACGAACTCGATTCAAGCAACTTCTCCATCTTCCTCAAGAAAAATACTGCCTATGAATATTGTCATTCCACTCATGTTCTCTGTAACACCTGTGCTCAGAACTGGCGACAGAAAACATGCCCTTTCTGTCGCGAGTCTGGACGTTTTCATTCTTTTGAAAATGAATAAAACAAAAAATAACTAACCAAACTCATATTTTCTTCTCAAATTTACTTCTCAAAGGGCCTTCAAAATTGAGCTCAAGAGCAGCTACAACGAAATGCGCGATAATTGGGAGGAGCAGAAGGAGAAACAGTTGAAGTGCTCAAGCCAGACAACTCCAACTCGACAGTTTGGAAAAGTGGACGGAAGTGCCTCTTGCTGAGGCGCAGTTAAAGAAAGCCAAAAAAAGGTTTCCGAGAGACTACGAGAACCTTTTGGAACGGGTCGTGGATCGAGACAAAGATAAACAGGCACTCCTTTTTAACCAGGATGATGGAGTGGATGAACGAGACCGTGTTAAAATCCAGTAAGTATTTTTTCCTTACTTCTTTATTCTTTACTTCTTTATTGACTCTTTTTGTTGATTTAATTTTTAAGGGCGGAGTTGAAGGACTTTAAGGACAAAGTGAGCGCGTTGGAAAAGGAGCAGAAGAAGCAGGAGGCCAAGCAAAACAAAGACCTTCGCTTAAAGTCAAAGCTGGAGGATGATATTACTCACGCTGAATGAAAGATCACCAACTGCAAGCGTCAGCTGAAGTCTTACAAGGACAACCCTGTCGTCGAGAAACAGGCTCAATTGAAGGAAGCGCGTCTTGCTAATCGTGAACTAATGGAAGAGAAAAAACTCAAGTTGGTTGAGGAAGTAGAGCCTACCATGTTAGAAGCTAGAGAGCAATTGGAGATAATTGTCTAGAATATCGACGGAGCCAGGGCTGCCATCCATCAAGGCGAGAAGCGCATTCAAGAGTTAGAGCGGGAAAGGGACGAGATCCGACGACGATCCTCGGCGAAAGAAAATAAGTTTGGTCCTTACGCCGGGGAGATTGCCCGGAAGATTGGAACTGGTGGATTAAGGAGCCTGTTGGCCCGATTGGCAATCACATTGATATTCACGATAGCTACCAAAAATACGCCGGTGTTATCGAGAAACAACTTGCCACCACTCTCCATGGATACATCGTATTCACTCTGGAGGACAAGATGAAACTGAGTTAGTCTACTTTTAATTATAGTAAAACTATAATGTGTCAGCCAGCCTGTTCAGAAGAGGCTGCTCAGGACATTGGTCAGTCCGAAGTAAGTAACCCCGGGGGATCGAACTACCCGAGTGTGCTTACCACGAAAGGCGGCGAGTTCAAGTACCGTTCTGGTATCAGTGGAGGAAGTAACGATCTCGTTGCGCGTTATCTGTGCGAGTCCAATGATTTCCAGAGTATCACCGACAAGAATGCAAGGGTAATTTGTCTTTTTTAGTTTGTCTATTACCAATCACTGATTGGCAATCAGTAGTCGACTAACAAGTGCTCAAACACGATATTTTTAGGATCTTGGACAAGCGAAACGGGAGCACGAGGCCTATCAGAATGATTTCAAAAAATGGCAGAAAAGAGCTGGCGAAAAGAAGGACGTTAAAAGAAAGAAGGAGCAGATTCGTGCAAACTTAGATAATCTGATCAAGGGATGCATGAGGAAAGATGAGCATTTTGAGAAGCAGCTCCGAGAACTCGTTGTCAATACTGACGGCCGTCATGCGCAGTTGATGACCGAGATTCATCACAGCCAGGCAGAGACCGATGCGAAGAAAGATCAACTTGTAGGCATCGAAGAAAGAATGGAATACGCTGAACGCAAGATTGATGAAAAAAGGTTTGCGCTCGTGAGGGAGAAATGCTCGACAAAAGAGCTTGTGGCCCTAGAAGCACGAAAACTTCGCAGGGAAAATGACGCCAGGAAAATCGAGAAGGAACTGAAGGAGATCAAGCTGGCGAAGAAAGAAGTCGAAGATACGATCGTCGCGAAAAAGGCTGACGTGGAGAAATGGAAGAAGGAAGCTGAAAACGCCATTCAAATCGCGGAAAGCCACTGCGAGCGCCCAACCAAACCGCTTACGAAAAAGCTGCTGACTGACGAGCGGGAGAAGATCTCTCGTGACTTGAAAATCAATGTCAAGAGCTCCGACAAGGATTACGAAGACATCAAGCGAACCGCGGAGTAAGCAGCCGAGACCTACAAGAAGAAAAAGCCAAATCTCAAGGCTCGTCAAATCGTCGGTTTTATTTTTTAACTCTTACTATTTATAAATATCAGGCCACTGGGAAGATAGAAGCTGCAGTGAGAATTCGCCTCTCGGAGCTCAATAGCCAACAAGTGTTGAGGATCAAGCTCAACGAGTCTCCCACTTCTTTAGCCACATCTGCCGAGGAAACAAATACGAGGGCGAGTGTAAAATCATCCCAGAGAAATTCGACCTCAACGCTTAAAGCCAAAGCCAAGGAAGTGAGTTCTATTTGATAAAAGGATCAAATTGTTGATTCTCGATTGCTAAAAATAATTCAGCGATCACCATAAACATGTCGAAGATCATCGGTGACCAAACGATTGACATGGAAGCCCTCTCAGAAATGGGCATGAATAAGGCCAACACAGCGACTCTCTCCGGAGGGGAGCGAAGCATCAGCACGGTCATCCTTCTCATCGCGATTTGGCACGCTACAAGCTCGCCATTTCGATGCATTGATAAGTTCGATGTTTACATGGATGCCCACCACAAACATATGGCGACTCACGTATGAACCAAGATATTTTTTAATGCTTACTTCAAAATTAGATCTTGTGCCGCTACGCATAAACTAATCCGGGCGCCCAAGTCATCTTCCTCACTCCCCAGGGCCCCTCTGACGATCAGAAAGGTCTCCGCAAACAGTTTGGTGACATCTTTCAGTTCCTCAAAATGAAGGACCCCACTCGCGCCGAATAAAACTAAATGCTCACACCATTGCTGCCTACTGATACAAGTTCACTTTATGCAGGGCTAAAAATTATTGAGCAAGTATTGAAGAATACAGTCGTTTTGCCGCTTTCTATTAGGGTTAATTTTAAATTTAATTTCTAGCTGTAAATTTTCTATTTAAAAACTAATCTCCAACGAAGAAATATGCTGATTTTGACGGGTACAATACAGATGACTCTGTTTACGTTGATGATATTGAGTCAGTTTTGACATGCCAATGGCAACGTGCTCCCAAGTGGTGGAAAGGGGATGACGAGCTTGATTCTCTATTTGGCCTAGTTCAGCAAATCAAGACAAAATTGAGGAAGAAATACCGGAAACCACCCAAAACTGGGCATTTTAAGAAAGGTAGTGTCGATTATAGAATTACTGGGATTACGAGATTGAAATCTATCCTATGTCCAACTTTTTTGCTCGTTTTTTGTTCAACTTTTGGCTGAATCTGACGCACTCAGGGCCCATAAGAAATATCATCGCTGAGTGAATCATCCATCAGCATGGACTAAAATTGCGCAAGAGTTGCGTATTTTCGTATGTCCAATAAACATCCCCCGGATTCTGCGCATTTTTTACAATGGCCATTTAGGAGCCGGACTTGCACCTACGCTTTCTTTTTCTCACATTACGAGCCCAGAATTTCCCCCGAGCCCAACCGGGTCCTGCCAGAAGCCAGAGAGCGCCGCATGGCAAGGAGCCATGTCAAAGCAAACAAAACTCAAGTTTTCAAAGCCTCCTAAGAGACCGAGACCTGACGATGAGAATGAAACTCTAGAAATCTCAAGTTCAGACGAAGAAACCGAAATTTTGACGCCGGAATTTTTTGCGCAGGCCGGGTCAAGGAAATGGTACGAAAAATTTTCGGCGACAGGCGAGTGGCGCTCAATTATGGAGCGAGACATGACTACTGGTAATTTTTCTCTTCCTTGATTTCCATTGATATTTTTCAAGATGTTCTCCGCGGGCTCCAGACATCTGATGACCATCCACGTACATTGGAAGGACTTGAAGCTCTCTTCTACAAGAATCACTTTTGCGGCTGGCTTCGCTGCGTCGGATTCTGCGCAGACAAGAACAAGCCTTTCAGAGCCTACGAGAAAAAATCTGGTCAAGAATACAACATCAAAAAAGATGCTCGTAAGAGAATCTCCTTCTATTCTAGCGCTTATTTACTTTTAGTTCGAAGCCATCTGCGAACAAAGCACAAGAACGTCCAGCCGAATCAACAAGAGCTTGCGCAATCCAGTCAGTTCAGAAGTTTCGCTAGACTCCCGAAAATCAAAGATCATGACAAGGAAACTCATCGAGAAAACAATGCGGCGGTAATTGCAAGCCAACATCTTAGCCTTGGTTTCTGGCAAAAGTTTGTCCATGATTGCGCATTCATGTCCTTATATATATCTAGATCGGAGGTAGTCGAGCGAGATCGACATTTGCTGGCCTCGGTTGGAGTCAATCCTGACGTGCTTCGCGATTTTGGACCCACCTCCAGCTACGGGTCGAAGCAAGAGTTAAAAAAATGCGCAGAGAATTTAAAGAAGATCGTTTCCAAGAACGTTCCCGAGCTGTGTCGGAGAGGAATCGTAACTCTGAGTGGCGATCACAAGTCTATCCAAGGGCTCACCAAAGATGGATGCAAAAATGGTCTCTCGATTCTCATCCATCTCCAACGAGGATCTTTGAATTCAAACATAACCCTCGACTTTGTGGGATCTGAGACAACTGATGACGAGACAACTTCCAGAATCTTGGCTGACGTTCTCAAGGTAGGCTTTGCTAACCGGAAATATTTGCGCAAAACTAGCGCAGAGTTTGCGCATAATGATCCTCATAATTATCTTTAGTCTTATGGCCTCACCGATGTCTGGAACGCCAAACGTGTCAATTTTGTCGCAGACTCCAAATTAGAGGAATCATGGAGGAAAACACTTTGGTCTTCACAATCTGCTGGCTGCACAGTCTCAACTGTTTGTCTGAGAGCATTCAAAACAATGCAAGAATCTTCATCTCTGAAGAATCATCCATTTTTCTCACCCCAGCTCAACATGAAGAGGACATCACCGAGTTTCTTAAAGCCTGCAAGAAAACTGTCTCAGGTCCACCTGGAGAGCCAAAAAGCGTGGCTAAATATCTCAAGACTGTTGCGATGACGTCTTCAGATGCATTGCGAATTTACAAGCAGTCACACAAAGGAGACATCAGCGCAGAAGAAGCCTTGAAAAAAGTAGCAACTTATCCAAAGCTAAAAGTAAGTATAATTTGCGCAAACTTGTCCAACTAATAATTTAGTCGAGCTACAGAAGTATCAGATTCTCTTCTGATTTCGAAAAGTACAGCACGCTTGCTGCGCATGAAAAGAACTTCATGAAGCTGAGATACGAGACTGGAGATGATATCCCGCAACATCTTGCTCCGGCCGTCCAGTTTCTTCCATGTTTTAAATGGATAAAGGCGAAGGAGATAATTTTGCGCGAGCTTCACTTCCTCCAAAAGGAATGCGAAAAGGATTCTAGCAAGGTAAATATACTCATCTATGATTTCTTGTTCGTAATCTCAAAAATAACACGTTTATTATAGATCATCGAATCGATCCTGGCATGCGAAAGACTCCTTGTTTTCTTCTGCAATGTGGATCTTCAGTTTCCTAACGAGCAGACTACCACCGAATACCTTTCCATTCTTGCGCGAGCAGGAATAAGAAAGACTATGCTGATGATCTGCGGGAAAGTGTTCGTACCAAGACACAAGAAGAAAGACGGCACAATTCAGGAAGCAAAAACCCTCGAAAAAGGAAAAAACGAGCCTGTACGCATCAACGACGCCCATAAGGCCGCACTCTTCCTTCAATGGCAATCTCGACGGTGTAGACTTGGGGATGCGCAGAAAGCACTGGAATCGCGCGGCACTTCTAAGGATGAGTTTTACTCGGAGAATCTTTCAATTCTGAAAGAACAAGTCCAGACATGGCAATCCGAGGCAAAAGAGTTCATCGAATCGTTTGCGCAAACTTTTCCGGAAGCCGAGAGTGAACAGACTGACGAAAACACCGCATCGCAGGAAGTGACCCAAATGATGACAAATCAACTCAGATTCGACCCAGAAGATCAGCCTCTCGTTGCGCAAAAACAGAATCAACGAAGAGAACCAAGAACCAACCTCGAAAAGATTCAGGACCAGATTGCGCAATATGAGAACGACCAGGCCTTCCCCGAATGGATCAAAAGCACAGTCAAAACCAAGAAACTCGATCCTTGTGCTGCAAATTTCTATTCGGAAATCCTTCTTCTGTACTGGAATCAACAAAAAGAAAGATGGCCGATGCTTTCGGAAGTTGCTCTTAAGGTAAAACTTTTATATCAGACAGATTTTCACCCGACTTTAGATTGCGAGTTTGCCATCTACATCCGCAACAATAGAAAGATCATTCGCGGTTATGGACTATGATTTGGACAAGCATCGATGTAACCAAACTTGCGAACATATTGCGCATCTAGCAATCACGGCGAAATACCGACAGTTTACAGCAACACTGAAAAAAACCTTAGAACTCGAAGGTCTGCCTTATTCTTCTTAGGTGAGATAATTGTCAAATAAAAGTACCTAAACAATTGTTTTTAGCTTTCTTATTGACTCCTTGATGCCCTCCTTTGATTGAAAAAGAAAAACTTGACTTCTCTTCGCGCTTCCTTTCCGCACTCAAACTTGCGCAAACCTGTCCGCGAGAAACTGACTGCGAAAACCTGTCTGCGCGAACCTGTCTGCGCGAACCTGTCTGAGCGAACCTGTCTGCGCAAACCTGTCTGCGCAAACCTGTCCGCGCGAATCTGTCTGCGCAAATCCTCCCACTCGTTTCCAGTTTGCACAATTCCGCCGATTTTTTAGCCTCATTTTCACTGTCACAAAAATGCGCCGAATCCGCTCTACTGAAAAAACTGATATTTTTTATTCCAAGTTCAAAACATTGAAAACTTAATTTCACTCCCGTTACTGATATTCTCGTAACTCACAAATAAAAAAAAAGTCTTTTAACCCCGCGTTTTATTCAAATTTATCTTTCATTTTCGGCGAATTTCAGTTTTTGGCGAATTTTCGCTCTTGGCGAATTTTCGCTTTTGGCGAATTTTCGCTTTTGGCGAATTTTTACTTTTTGCGAATTTTCTCTTTTGGCGAATTTTTACTTTCCGCGAATTTTCGCTTTCGGCGAATTTTCGCTTTCGGCGAATTTTCGCTTTTGGCGAATTTTCGCTTTTGGCGAATTTTCGCTTTTGGCGAATTTTCACTCTTGGCGAAGTTTCACTTTTGGCGAATTTTTCGCTTTTGGCGAATTTTTCGCTCTTGGCGAATTTTTCGCTTGGCGAATTCGCTTTCGCTTCGCTGTGCAAGATTTGCGTTCGCTTCGCTTTCGCTTCGCTTTTTGGCTGGGAAAATTTTTCGCTTTCGCTTCGCGTTCGCTTTGGGTTTTCGAACGAAATTTATATGCCTGTCTATACCTATTAGAGTTCTCCTCCACCAAGCCCTACGAATCTACTCTTTCGTACTAAGGCTTGTTCACCTTTATTAACTGCTAGTAGTCAAGCGAGTACATCCGTGTATTTTCGCTGAGGCCCTAGGATAAAAACAGAGCAGGACTTTCGAACTCTAGTGCATACATCAAGTGTCTTAGTTACATTGGTGACTGAAGTTTCGAAATCCACGTTATCGTAGACCCAGGCTTTCCAATAAGCTTTTATTTACGTTAACGGACTCTTTTAATAGTCTCGTGTTTTTTCACGAACTCCGTCTTAGCCTATACCTGAAAAGGGAAGCAAGGACATAAAAGAACCCTCAACAACACATTGAGGAAAAACTTTTGTGTGGACTACAATAGTCATATAGGTTACGAACCTTAACTGACAACGTTCAGTCTTATCTGTTTGATTCCCTACTTTCGCCATCGAAAGAAGCTCTTGTCCACAAATCGATCTTCTTCTTCTTTTGATCTCTTCTTGTAGCTTCCGTAAGGAATCCATCACAGTCAACGAAGAAACAACTACGAAAAGGTAAGAATATGTCTAATCCACCAAAACTTTCGAGATACGAAAAATTTTTAACTAGAAAATCCCCAAAAAGTGTGTCAGATATAATACCGGTTTTCGTTAAAATTGAAAAGCCCATAAGGTCTGTCATAATTAAAACAGTAGCAATTGACTCAGGCACCCCAATTTTCGAAAGAACTAAAGATACACAAATTATTGCTCACCTTCAAAGAATAGATGCTTGTTTTCCCGCTGTTATCCTCGAGGTGATATGCCTCGAATCTAAATCCTGTTCCGTTCACGTCGTTCCAATCGGCGGTCCAGTACGCAAAAAGTCTCCGATTTTCTCTTGGAGAAACCTTGTTGCCGGCATTACAAAAAAGCCGGAGGAATTCGGCAAATACTACACTGTCATAAAGACTCAAGACGAAATTAATCTTGACAGTAGGTACGCCGCAGTAAACAATCGGCTCAATGGAGTCATAAAGGGAGAAATTTCCGATTATCAAATCCTCGAAAATATCGAAATAGAGCCCGTACAGAATTTTCAAGAAAAGGTCGCCGAAGCCGAGGACGATCTTGAGGAAACCCTCCAAAGCCTTTCAAACTTGAATTTAAATACAACGGTAGCGGAACTTGAAGATGAGGCCGATAAGGAAAAATCACTCGCATCAGAAATGGCGAGTGCAGAACCTCAGCAGGATGAGGACATCAAGGAAGAAGCTCCAAGCCCCTTCGACACTAAAGTCGAGGACTTTTCTCTTGTTGTCGACAAGCCACAGCATGAAATTATTGAGGAAACAAAAATTGAGGAAATGCCCGGCAAAGGGCCCGACAACCTTGATGAAGCAATTCTTGAAGACAAGCATGAGGAGGAATTACAAAAAGCATTAGAGCACTTTCGAGTGGTGATGAGTCTATGGACAGTGACTCCGACTCGGAATGTTCCTCAAATGATCGAGCCCACATATCACTTAATCAAATGTCGAGCTCAACCAAATACAATCTCCCAAAATTCCACGAAACGGATAACATTAAATCTTGGATTAAGCAATGCAAGTTTGTTCTTTTTTATGCAGGAGTAAAAGACGCATGGAAACAAGTCTCTCATATGTCAACCCATCTTCCACAGCCCCTGCAAAGGACTGTCATAATTGAGCTGGCACAGCTCGGGGAAGATGAGGATAAAATGACAATAGAGCTTTTTGAGCAGACATTAACGAAATGCTGCAAAAAGGACAGTTTTGAATATGAATCCATGCTTAAGAAAATCCGCTTCGATGAGGATAAATACAAAAACCTTAGAAATTTCTTTTACGCTGTGGAAGAACTCGTAAAAACACCATAACAGAGCAAATTTCGGACAAAGCCATGAAAGCTATCTCTTTCCAACACTTTTTGGACAAACTTCCAAAGAAAATTCAACATTCCGAAATGCTCCTTGAATATAGAAAAGATAAGAGCAAGGAAATAATGGACCTTGTCGATAAATGCTCTGAATTATATTTAAAATATAAAAACGGCGAGTTCCAAGAAATCAACAATGTCTATAAAGGGAAAAAATCCTCCAACCAGAATTTTCATAATGGGAAAAAATCATTAAACAATTTCGGAAAGACCTGTAATTACTGCGGAAAAGCAAATCACATAAAACGTGACTGCCGCAAGCTTAAGTTCGACCAAAAAAACGGTCGCCAGAAAACTGAGAAAAAGAATTCTCAGATAAAATGCTACTCGTGTGGCCGTCCAGGCCACAAGTCCCCTGAATGTCGTTCTAAAAAGCAAAATGCACAAAAGCCATGGCAAAATAAGGATCAAAAATCCTTCAAGCCAAATGGTCAAAGTAAAATTACCTGTAATTACTGTAAGAAGCCTGGACACGTTATTTCCCAGTGCTTCAAGAAAAAGAACGCAGACAGCCGTAGAGGGGGCTTTAACAAAAATAACTCATGACTCCAACAACATCGATCATTCTTAAGCAATACCAAGATGACGGCTCCATAAAACAGCTAGAACTTCCAAATTGCCTTATTGATACTGGAGCAGGGGAAACTTACATTAACAAAAGAGTTATCCCCGAAGGCATGAAAATATCGAGGCTTGAGGAGCCTGACATAATATCAAATGCATTTAAGGAACAAATTAGCACAGTATATAACGTTTTGCATGCCAATTTATTCATAAAAAATTCTAATATTGAGATCCCTAATGTTGCACTAAATATTCTTGAGGAACCAATGAGATATAATGTTATTCTTGGTATGAACTGCTTATCTTTCTTCAAAATTGATTTTCGACATCATAAACTTAAGTTTATTAATAATATCTTCAAAAAAGACAAAGATGTTGTTTCGACTATTATTTTTGAAAAGACGGACCAAATTTTACCAAACACAATTGTAGCTCAAAGTGATACTGAATTATCGCCACATAGCAATAGGAAAATTTATTTTTGCATCCGCAAGACATTTACGCCGGAATCGAAAGTAATACTGCACCCCGAAGAAGTATTTCTTGAGAATGACGTTTTTGTCAAGCAGATGCCTGTATCGCTAAAAAATAAAATTGTTGAAATTCAAAATAGATCTAACTCAGTCATTATTATCGAAAAGGGAGCACCCCTTGGGGCGCTCATCGCTCCAAAAAGATCTATCGACCTAAACTTTCTTCTTACCGAAAAGCAACTCGAACCATATGAGCGTATCACTCACCAAAAAGAACTACGAAAATGGAGAAGAAGACGGAATGAGCTTGTTAGAAAAGTCCCCTTAGACAAAGAAATCTATGATATCTGCGCAAAAGTGCCAAGTAAATACAAGGCAAATTTGATAGAAATTCTCAAAAAGTACAGCTGGTCATTCTCACGAAACGTGAGTGACGCTGGACTTTCGGCTCATTACCTAACGGAATTAAAATTGAAAGACAATTCAGATCCAGTCTATACTAAGCCTTATAAAATAGATATAAGCATGCAGGAAAGCGTCGAGCAGAAGCTCAAAGAGCTTAAAGACGCCGGAATTATCCAAGAATGTTGTTCCGCCTGGAACTCTCCAGTATTATTTGTGAAAAAGAAAGATAATTCCATTCGTGTCGTTAATAATTACTCAAGTTGCGGGCCGCGCAGTGTTAACAGCAGACTGATCATTCCAAAATATCCGTCACTACCGATCCGATCGGTCCTATCAAAAATAAGCTCCGCAATAACGACGCTCAAAAATCGTTTCCCTCATGACAAAATATACTTTATCGGCCTGGACGTCCGTAATGCTTTCTACTTAATTAGCATCCGGGAAAAAAGCCGCGATGTAACAAGCTTCCTTTTCGGAGGAGAGCAATTTCGATATCAGCGGATGTCACAAGGACTCTCCAGCAGCCCTGCAACTTTCCAGTATTTTATCAATAAAGTCATGAGCGGAACTGAGGGCATGAACAAGGATTACTTCCTTGTCAATTACCTTGATGACTTTTTCATCATTGTGAACGAGAGATTTCACAATAAATGTGTTGACCGACTCCTTCATCGTATGTCGGACCAAAATCTAGTCATTGCCCTCCAAAAATGTGAATTTTTCAAAAAAGAAGCAAAATTTCTTGGTTTCTTAATTACTGAAAATGGAATCAGAGCTGACGATATGAAAGTCAAAGCTCTACTTGACCTTGACTATCCTCGTAACCAGAAGGAAGGTCAGAGATTCATCGGTTCCCTTAACTACTACTCAAGACTCATTCCCAAAATGTCGGCACTTCTTGAGCCCTTGACAAAGGAAATTGGGAAAGGAAAGGAGTTCCAACTCAATGAAACCATAACAAAAGGAATCGACGAGCTGAAAGAGGAAATCAAGAAAGGCGTCAGCGTCGACCATCTTAGATACCCCTCTGAGGGTGACCCAGACAGCTTATTTTTAGCCGCAGATACGTCGCTGACAAGAACAGGTTGCATTATCGGCAACCTAACGAAAAATGAGGACGTTATTACCAATATAACCGTCGCTGGCTACGCTAGCCGCGCCCTCGACAAGCAGGAACAGTTACTGTCAAGTCGAGCCAGAGAACTTATAGGACTAGGTCATTGCCTTAAGGCTTTTGAGGATCTTATCCCAAAAGACCGACCATTTATGCTTCTTTGCGATCATAAGTCCCTGGAAGGTGCCAAGCACTTGTGCAAACTGAAAACCTCCGGTAGCAGCAGAGTGCGACTTGCTTTTTCTAGGCTTCTCGAATATCCGCTTTGTACGGTCCATTATATCCCAGGCGAGCACCCGCTCATAGGGGTCGCCGATGCACTCTCCAGGTTACCTGTCCTTGAAATCGGAAAGGTCAAGAAAAGTTTCTTTGACCCTGAAAATATAACTAAAGAGCATAAAACTCTCAATCAGCTCAATACGGAAATTTTCCGCCAACAACGACCAGTGGTGGATATTGAAACCATCAAAAAACATCAGATGATGTCTGATAAATTTTCGAAAATTCGTGAGAAGCTTCACAAAAAATCATCAGTGACTATCGACAAAACTATTTTCAGGTTGCATAATGGCTTACTATATCGCTCCACTAAAAGAGGCGATCTTCTCGCGATCATTCCAAAATCACTCACTAAGGATTTTGTCAATTTTTACCATGTGGCCACAGCCCATTCAGGCAAGGCACCGATCGAAGAGAAGCTCAAAACAGAGCCAATCTGGCTGGAAAACAAGACACAAGCGATTGCAGAAGCAGTTGGAGGCTGCCTCTACTGTAATATAGTCCAGCCATCTAGATTTAAGTCTAAAAAGGACATCGTTTCATTTAAACCTTCTCACGCATGCTATACAAAAGTTTTTGTCGATCTCATCGAGCTCACAGTTGGGGACAAACTGCTCCACTACCTTACCTTGCTCGATGACTTCTCTCTTCATCTCTCTGTTCGAAGAGTCATGTCAAAGAAAAAGCAGGATGTCATTCCAGCGATTATATTGCTACTCAGTGAATTCGGCTGCCAAGGGCAAGCTTTACTCGTCTCAGATAACGGAGGCGAATTCCTTAACTGCGCAGTTCATGAAGCACTTTCTTTCATGCATGTCGATCGATCTCTCATTTCCCCTTATAACTCACGTTCTAACAGAGTCGAACGTGCGCATAGAGATCTTCGCGCATTTATAAGAACTGCAAAATTGAAATTTAGCGATGCAAATTTCGTTGTGCAAATGAGTTGCAATCTTTACAACCACCGGAACAAGAAGGGCTTAAGGGACTTACCCCAGCCCAGGTCGCAAGAAATATCGACCCTCCAACCCACTTTGGCTCTCTCAAAATTACTGAAGAATCAGTTAATTTTAAAGACATCTTGCAATATGTTGAAATTTTAGACAATTATCACCTCGAACTAGCAAGAGCAAAACGCGAAAAATTTCTTATAAAGGATAAAAGAATTCATGAACTGAAAGAAGGAGAAATAGTGGTTCTCAAGAATCAGACGGACGTCCTTAATTCCCATAAAAAGGTTAATCTGGGACCATACAAAATTTTGGAGAAAAGAGGAGTTTCGGCTTATTATATTGAGCATCTTTTATTGGGCACAAGGCTTATTCGAAACCGACGATATTTAATCAAAATCGATATGACTCCAGAAGATAAGGAGACCCTTAGTTCTAAGAAAAATTTACTTTTTAATACTAATCATGATATCATAGAAAATTCTGACAAGCAAACTCCAATCACAAACTCTCCTTTGGACGTCCAAAATCTCAGAACCAACATTCGTAGAAAAGATTCCGAGAATGAGGAAGACAAAGCTTACAACCTCAGATCTCGGAAGAAGATCAATTACAAGATGTAGAATCTTCATCTCCTTCATTCTTATAAGGGTTGCATGCGCCGATCCGATGGAAAGCGGGCTGGAGATATCCGAGTACGGCCCTGGCGCCTACTTCATCTCCGACGAGGTCCGCCGCACCTTCGTGATCGACATTAATGCCCCCTTCACTGATTTCAATGAGGAAACGCACAATTGCGTTAATATTCGAAAAAACCTGAGCAAAATCTATGAGCACGAAATGAACCGTAACTACGCTCATTGGCTAAAATTGGAGAACATCCACATGGAGGATGTATCCGCCCGCCATTTGATCAATAACGAGCTCTCTCTTCTCGAAAATGAAAAAGAAATTGTTATTAAAGATATTCTCATAAAAAATTCCGAGAGCGCAATCTGTGTAAATGAAAATTGTCGAAAAACGCTAACTTCGGACTCAATTATTGATCAAATAAGAGCCTCAGGATATTCACCACTTGAACAATGTCGGAACAGCACCGACAAAGGGACTATTCGGTTGACTTACTCACTCCAGTTACAAGAGCCAGCCGACGCAGTCCTTCTTAATACAGCTTCACTTCGTAAAAATTCGATTCAAATTTTTGCATCAGACAACGAAAAAGCCATTCTTGAGACTGAAAAAGATGGACACAGCTATTTTTTCTTACCTTTCGGGAATTCCCAATCTCAGAATCCAACAGTAACTTTCGAGTTTGAGACAAGCCACGAACCCGGCATGGGCCCCGCCGAGTTTGACTACAATCGGAACTGTCTCTCATTCGTTATTTATAACATCACAGCTGTTAAAACCTTTGATCCAGTTTTGGATAGAAAACCCCGCGGGTTAGGTAGCATTCTGAGCCTGGCAGCGCTGTCAACATCATTTTTGAATTACCAATCAACGAAAGACTTGAAAAATATTATTGCCGATGAGAGATCAAACATCGAAGATCTCCAACAAAACGTCTATCATAATAAAGTCTCTTTAAACAAATTAATCCAACAAGAATGTTCCTTGATAGAAGCAATCACTGAAAATCACTTTAGAAATATAATTTTTGAGCATTTTACGAATTTTAGGAGTGAAGTGACTGAAATAATCAATAGTATCCAAAGTAAAACACCGGGAAATTTGGCTCACAAATATAAATAACAAAACTATCGACTCGTTAACATCGCAGCAACCAAAGCGCATAATTAAATCTTGCTTCAATTTTATATAGAATTTACTCACCCGTTATTGTGGAAAATGGACGATACTAGAAGAATAAATAATATTCCTGTCCCAGACCACCGAAGTGACGATTATTTTGTCTTTCGAAAAGCATTTGTTCCAAAAATAGTGGCTAGCTTCCAGGAATATACATTCAATATCGATAAATGCCCAAAATTTCTAGATTCAATTTATTGTAATTACGAGCAATTAGACATAAACGATCCAAAAATAAAATGCTTTAACGAAATTATACAGTCAAAATCGCTAGAATCATGCTTCGAGAAAATGCACCTTAAGAAACCATGTGCTTTTGTTATGTCAGAAGATACAGTTTGGATCTCCCATTTTACAGTCCCAAAGATCTCACCATTAGAGTCAAGCCATTTTCCCAAAGAAAAACTCGAGAAAGCAACGTTTAGCCCAGTTGGGATAACAAAATTAAGAAGGTGGAATCATAAATTGAACCTTCAGTGTGGAACACAAATAATGAGTTTTCTAGAGATCCAGAAAAATTACGATGACATCGTGGTTAACTTTCAAAATGATTTAGAAAATAGTACTATTTTGATTCACCATAATCTCACTTATACGACTTTTCATTCTGATAAAAATAAGACCTTTTATTATAGATATAAAAACGAATTTAGTAACATTATTACTATATCTCTTTTTGCATTCTTATTTCTAGCACTTTATTTTTATTCTCTGCAAAAACAAAAACATAAAATGGTCACTATTCGAGATTTAGAAAAGCAACAAAGGCGGAAACAACATGCGCATTTGATAAATTATTTAAAAGAGAATTACTGTACATCTAACTGTACAAAATTGTGCAGAAAGAGCCGGAAAATTGAACAAATTGAACCGAAAATTGATGAATTATAACGCCATGCTTTATTTTGAAAACCATTCATTTTACGGGTGCCAACATCGATTTAGGGTATCTCTTATGATTCGTACAAATAAATCCTAGTTAGATCTAAATGTGCCTACTATTAATCACATAATTCAATTTTAATGCCCGGAAATTATTCAATTCTCTTGTAAATCGCAGTTAATCAACAGCAGAATCGGTTTTTAGTCGGACTCATGCGACTCTTCCTTTCAATCAGCCCAAAAGTAAGAAAAATCTCGTGATAATGGGCTTGTTTATTGATGCATTCCGACTTGCAAAATCTCCATCTGGAAAAGAGTGATTCTGCTCGTCAAAAAGGAGCAAGATTGAGCAGCTGAAGCCGTACTGTACTTAATCTGTCGATACGCGCGCTAGATTCCCTAGACAAATGCAAATATACAGCTCCATTTAACTTGTTAGTAATTTCCTTTGAAAAATTCATAATATTCCAATCATGTGGCCGCGAAACAACAAAATGCGAAACTCGCTGAATGCCCGTCTGGCGTAATGTCAACTTTTCTCGAACTCGCCTGTATCTATCGAAACACATTATAGTTGATGCGCGTACCAATGTTTTTGGAATTTCTGATTTGTACTCAGCACGTGTTCACGTGACTCTAGAACTCGTGGGAAGATTGACATCCAACAGAATAGCTTCGATAGACTAATCATTTAAAGTTCAAAAATCAAAAAATCAAAGAAGACCCTGTTTCAAATTTTCGCTTGCCGGAGAAGGACTTGAACCCTCAACCTCTGTACAAGACAGCGCTCTCGCCTTGAGCTACCCAGCAGAACCAGCGCTAATTTAATCAAGGGTTCTTTTTCAATTTTTGATTCAGCAATTTCTGAATGTCCGACGAGTTCTTTCTGAAACGGCGTAAGGAAGTTGATCAATCAATTTTTCATTTTCATGAGTGTATTTTCGACGAGAAGCGCGAATTTTAGTTCACTCGAGGTCATTTCCCTGGTAACCGTCCCCTAAATGCTTTTTAAGTGCGAGAATATCGTAATTAGACGTCATTTTTGAAGCGTTAAAAGGCAGTTTTTGTTAATATGAATTCGTAATTGTTCAAATATTTTAAATTATAATACGTTCTCTGACGAAAGAATGACTGGTTAATATATTCTCAAATCTAGATGCCTGGATTATTATTAAGCAAGTAAAACTTGAACTCAGGTGGCTTAGGCTGGGATGAGAATCCTTTCTTGCTTTCTTTGTTCACATGGGCGCCACACACAAGCCGTGTGACGAACGCGCTAGTGCAGTAATCTCACGTTCTAAGAGTCACGAAGCAAGTTCGTGAGAAAGATGCAACAAAAAGCTTCGAACTCAAAGATCCCCTGTTTCCGATTTCCTTTCTCCGAATTTAAATTAACGAGCTAGATACCCTTAATTCTCTTCAAAAAAAAGTCGTGGAAAAGAGCTAAAAATTTAAATTTACTCTAAGATTGCTCCAGTTTTACACTAATGCACATAAAATAAAACAGCTAATAAATTTCGCACGTTGGATGCCCCTTTATTCCATATAATTTTGAGTGCCAGTATTTCTTTCGGGATTCTCGCTAGAATTTCCTCTGAATTCATGATTTCCAACACAATCTGAAATTACTGATTTGGAAGATCGAGGCTTTCAAAGATAAGATTAGTCATACTTTCTTTAGGAACAAGTCCCCTCAAGAAAAAATAAAGTTGAATCAGTATAGAAATCAATCATTAATTCCGTATAATTTCGCATTAGGTGATTTTTGGGAAAATGCGCTTTCTCAAATGCTGGAAAGGCAGGTTCTAGGGGTATTGATCGAAATCCACGAGATTCCACAAATCTTAGTCCGGCAAAAAATGAGCCCTGATATTCGGCGACAGTTTCCTTTCGCAAAATTGAATTTTCAAAATTTATCGCTTTCAAAAGATCTTCTCGGCAGAAAGAACTCCATTTTGGAAAAAATACGCCAAATTTTATAGCGGAATTATACTTGAGAGCTTTTTCTATTTGTATTAATTTTCACTCGCGAGATTACCATAAGCAACTGACAGTTACTGCTAATACTGTAGCTGCATTTTCTCAGACCTTCTGCTCAAAAATCTCTTCAAAAATCATCATTTTCCGACGTTTTTTTTTTTTTCAACGGATTTTTCCCCTTTCAAACTCTGCGAGCTCTCCTCGATGCTGCTTTATCACTGATAAAAACCTGACTCAGGCAAAGAAAGAAAAGAAAGAATGCGTGATTGGCTTGTCTTTGACAACGAATTTTTCGTTCAATGCTTTTTAAGTGAAACAAGTGCAAGTTTTTGCGCATTATTTTATTCAGGAAGTTTTCTGCCATAACAGGCACTACAGTAATTGAAAATCAGACTCAATAAAAATTGTCATTTTGGAAAAAGAGAGAACTAAAATTATTCGACGATCTGGTTCGTTTTTCTGTCATAAGGGCAGATATAATGGCCTTTTGGGCCAAGCCCACGCACACATGTTTCACATAGAAGATGCGTCTCGTGGCAAGCGGAACGTACGCCTCTCGAAAACATTGAACCGCATAATTGACACTCCTCCTTAATCGACGTAAATAAGTGTAGAATGTAAAATGTTAGTTTTATGAGTGTTATTTGAAAATTTCGATACTTTCCAAGCCAATCAATGCTTCAAACGTTACCCAGATTTCTTCACATGAAATCAGATGAATGCTGCTTGTTTCTGTTTTTGAGAAAGATAAGGAAAAACTTGACTGTCAGAAAGAAAAAGCGCGAGAAATCAAAGCCAAGGGAATCAAAATACCTGAGGCGCAAAAAACTCAATACGCGTCTGAAGTGGCGGACCTCCGTTAAAGACATCGATTCCGAGCTCCCGGTTTTCTTCGACCGTTCGGTACCTTCTATCCCAGAGCTCTTGAAGATCAGGATCATAGTCGGCCCGGAGTAGCTCTGATTCTTGTCTGTAAACAAGGCGATCCTCAGGAAGCAAAGGCTGAATGCCTGGTGCCGCTTCTTCGAATTCTTCATCAACAAATCTATCAAGAGGGACGTCGTCCATATCACCGTCCCAATCGTCAAAACCGTCAAAATCTGCGTCGTAATCTGAATCAGAGAAGAGACTGGACCGGTAGTCGTGAACAGACATGTCGTCATTATCATCCTCTTCTTCTTCGGATTCACTTGGAAAACTGCTTATTAAACATTAGAACTTCTAAGTTTTTTAAAAAATTAGGATGGATAAATGATAGTTTTTGTAGCAAAACCGCCTGGCTGTTATCGAATAATGACACACCAGAATTTTAGCCGGTTTGCCGTTTACTCCGAACTATCTGAAATCAAGTGCGCTACTTAGAGCCTCAATTATTCAACATTTCATTTTTCTTTGGCGAATTAAAGCCATTTTAAGAACTGTTTCATGATGAATTTTTGTAAAGAATTAATGAAAAAATTAATTCTGTGTAATCAACCACAGTGCTTTTAATCAAAATAATCAGAATCTACCCATCAATGGAAGCCTCATCATCTGCATAATGATCGAATCCGTCAATGCTCATCGGCTCGACATCCGTTAAATTGTCGCTATCAGCGTAATATCTATCTGCTTCTGGCGTGGAATCTTCCGATTCAACGTCAGAAGCGACTGGATGAAGCTCCGCATAAACTCGATCACCCTGATCATTGTCATCTGCCATTTCCGGCTCCTCATTGGCAATCGGAACAACTTATTTTAGTAAAAATAACATTATAATTAATCAATTATTACTTTGTCGTGGCCGGTAAGGCTGGAAAGGGATGTAATTCCAGCCCTCGGGCTCGTAACATAGATCGCGAAAGCGAGGCCACTCAAAGCTTTGCGGATCAAACGGCAAGGAGGTTACGAACCAAATACTTTGATCCTCTCTCTGTTCAAAGATGGCTTGATCTCGGATCAGCTGAAAATTAAAAATATAAATATCTAATAGTTTGAAACTCAATAGATTTTTACTTTTAAATTCTAAACTTACAAAAGATGACATTGGGACGGGACAATACATCGAGCAACACAGGGCATTCCAGGGGATGAACGGATAGGGCAAAAGTTTCGAGGAACAATGCGGGCACGGCGGAAGTTGCAGATTTACCACTACAATCGGTTCTAACATGCCGCTTGTCTCTTTTTTCAAATTTTTTTCCGAAGGATGAGTGAGAAAGAAAAGGCCAAAACCCCCAGAAATAGAAGTCAGAATCATGAAACACAAGAGCTCCCTCGCAAGAGTCGGCATGAACGAACCTAGCAGTTCAACCTTCTTGCCGGCACCATTATGCAATGGCGCTTACTTAAACCTCGAAAGACAAAAACCTCTTCTCTTAAGAATTTGCCGACAACGTTCCGATAAGATTTTCCAAAAGCAACGTCTTTGGGATCAATTGCTCCATTCCCTTCAATTTTTCCATTTCGATCGCCCTACAGAATGTTTCTCAAATTTTACTTGAACAACAAAGGAAAGCTCTCAAGCCAGTGATGGAAAACTTACCCATGGCAACAAATGGTTACGTGAAATTCGCTTAAAGGGAGCCGTACTATTTTTACGAAAGAAGTTTTATCCCTTCACAAATGACAACTTTAATTCAAATAAGAAAAAACACTCTTTTGAAAGGATTGAATATTGCACTTTATTAAATACTGTGTTATGAATATTTTCTTTTTCTATAAGTTCCAAGACAGCTTCAGATCAAATGTATTTTCAAGATCTTCTGAGCTCTTCTTACAAAACTCCCGGAGCATTTTCTCTGTCTCCTCGAACATGGCAGTTTGACCAGCGGATAACTTCGTTCTACCTTTACTATCGGGCATACAGTCCAATGATTCGGTGTGGTTAAAGATTCTAGTGCAAAAGTATCCATCTTCTCGTTTTTTCAAAGAGGTCTTCAGTGAAATAGGATTCGAGATTTAGTTTTTAATCGAAGTATTGGAAGACTATCCAGAGCTAAATTTTCAACTAAAATGAAGAGTCTAGAACAACAAAGAGCTTCGAAATTACCTTTCCGCCATCAAGAACGATTCCATTCTTGCTATCAATCAGCGCATCTTCTCCCAAAAAGAACCGTTTCGGCGGCCCGAAGTGACCAGTAACGAACATTTCATTCACTTCCGATCGAGTTCTTCCTGAAATCCCTTTTTAAGGATAGAAATAATTAAAGCCAAAGAAATCTCAATCCCTCAAAATTTAAGGCGCACGTGCGGTCAATAATTATTTTCGATCGCGCTGATTAATTCCGACCGCTGATCTTTTGCTTCTGGAAACCGTAAAATTCCTGCTCAACACAAATAACAAATTGAGAATCAAAGCCTCGCTACAAGAGGATTTTGAAAGAATATTTTTCGAAATAAGGTTGATTTCAAAATATTAAATCGACTCTTTTGAATCTACCATTTTTTCGGAAAGATTCAATAATTGTTTTCAATAGCGCAAGTGCTCGCGGAACTGTTCTTTTAACATTATTGTATTCTCAATACAGTAAAGGCACAGCAAAGAGAGTAACTCATTTTCTTTGAAGTTTTCTTTTCTAGTTGAAACTTAGGAACGGAATAAGCCTTGTTTGTGTCCGCATCCAAACATGATAATGATCCTAGTCTGTATGGATCAGCATTTTTTGCCGGCGTGTGCGAGCCAAAATCGAAAACGGTAAAACATTTTCCGATGTCTGACGAGTTTGTTCGTATTCAATTTTTCTTCATACGCGAGTGTAACAGTCAGAGCGCCAACAATTCCTTCAACTTCCATAATCTCGCTTCTGGTGCAAGACTCGTTTCTGAAATTTTCCGTTTTTTTTATGAATCGTGCCGTGATAATTCTCTAGCACAAAAAGTCCAGCAAAAATCTCTTCAGCGGTTAAAATATTCTTGATATAGCACTAAAAATCCCTAAAAAATTGTCTATTTTAAGGGTATAGAGGCCAAAATTATCAAAATTTAGAGGCTAATAAAACGCATCTAGGAATAATTGAGCGTTCCAAAATTGGCTTATATAGAAGATTTAGACTAGATCTTACTTTTGTCACAGCCTTTTACGTAATTTCCAATAAAATAATTGTCTGCTGATCGCTCGAAGTCGAGTTTTCAGCAAAACACAGAATTAACCTTTCAAGGCATTTTTAGCCAAAATTTTGGTATAAATAATATAAAACTTACAGACTTTATATCTAAATCACTCCTGGAGCAGGTTGTTGCTATAATAATTGCTCTTGTAAATCAAAATTTTGGACAGTTATTTAAAATTTTCGAAAACCAAAAGTCTTGAAAATATTTATATCTGACACACTGGGGCTACCTTAAACAGAATATTTACTTTATTTTAGGCGAAACATGCATTTCTGCTTAATGTGCAATGCCTTTCGGCCTATCATCTATCCACACAACTGCAATTTATGCAATTCTCCTTTTGTGGAAGGCCCACCATTAGAAACCAATGATTCTGAAAACAATGAGCCTTCACCCCAGTCAAACAATTTTGTTAATCTAATTCGAACAAGATCTACCAACGGATGGGTAGGAGTTCAATCTCGAAGGGGACTTCCGCCTGCCCACCGCCCGCTCTATGTCAATTCAGACGGGGATATCATCTCCCCAAACCATATATCACAAATAAACCATGCAAATAATGGTCGGTCTAGCTCCGTGGAACGAGATATTGTTCTACCCGACTACTTACTAGAAAATGATGAAACATTGAATCCACCAGATCTGAATTCATGGAGATCTATGTTCAGACCTCAAATTGGTCAGGCAAACGGTTGGTCATACCTCCCGCCAAGGGACACCGAGGGCAGACTTCTGCCAGAGGCCCTTACTCGTGACGGAAAAATCATTTGGGGTCATCGAAGAAATATAAGGCAGGTCAGAACCCGAAGACCGCCTGCGTCCTGGATCAGAAGACACAGACCGTATCCATGCACAAGAATGTCAGCCCACTCTCGAATCAATGATCTGATTAAAAAAGAGCTAAAGGAAGATGATAAAAATTCGGAGTGTGCTATTTGCAAATTCAAAATGCAGGAAACTGCCTCATTCATCGACTCGTGTGGTCATTTCTTCCATTCTGCTTGTATAGAACAATGGGCGGCCAATCATAACACTTGCCCATTGTGTAGATCTCATATTTCAAAGCGCTAGATTCTCCATGCGTCATGGGAACCAGCGGTATCACCAGTGACGCACACCGCCACCATTTTCCCATCCCAAGCACTGCGATGAATCATGCTAGAGCGCCACCGTGCCCTACCACGAGAATCTAGGCCTTTACAAGTTACTCCGTTGCGCCCCTTTAGAGGGCACAATGAGTTACTCACTTGCTCCCCCAATACGCTCAAGGGCACCATGCCCACTGCGGCGCCCAAGAGCACTAGAGTATATAAACGAGCGAGAATTCGAACTCTCCATCTAAAAATGGATAACCAAAACCAAAACACAAACCAAACCAACCAACCTACCAACAACTTTCCTTTCGAGGAAAAATCGACTTCGGATGATCAACCGAGCCGATCCTGGAAAACCGAAAGGTCCAATACCAACGAGGACTATGAAAACGGCGACGACAACGTCTTCGACACAGATCAAGCGGCTCTCGATGAGTTTATGAGTGTTTCCCTGACGGACCAAGGCAACCGCTCCGACGACGAATCCATGGAAACCGATTTATTCATCGATGAAGAGCCCGACGAAAGTCACGCCGAAAGCGACGCCATGAGCATTACATCTTTAGAGACAATGCCTGGCACACCTTGCCGAGACGAGTTAGACCCATCAGCTCTACAAGATGATTGTTCGCCCGGCGAAGTCATCATCGAACAGCCAAATCCACCGAACACCCCGGTTGAAACCGCCTTCAAAACTAATGGATCTGACCCAACAGATCTCCGGCGAGATTTTGACAGACAAGTGCGACGAAATCTCGGTAAGCTCGAAGTTACCTACACACACAATGAGCGTGGACAGCGGCGATGTCCAGTTCAATGTGGCTCAGTCGCGCACCTGAACTGCCAGAATAACAGAAAGCGAAACTTCGAGGGAAACAGAGTCAATCAGGCCTACGCAACAAGCCGACCTCATGCAGGTACTGGCCAAGCATCGTACAGAACGGCGATTGGCTCTAAATTCAATAATGACCGCAATCGATGGCTAAAACAAGAAAAGCTCAAACCGCACCAGCGAATGCCTTACAAGTACAGCCCATCAGAGATCACGGTCTACCCGAAAAAAATGAGCGGAGTTTCGAAACGGGACCTGGATAAAGCGCTAAAGGCAAACGACTGGCGAAAGATCAGATCGGCACTTTCCGACATCGCAAACAATCGAGAATGCCTATCCACTTACATGATCAAACGACTGAATCGCCAAGTTGAGCTTGCCATATACAAAGGGGGCCTCCCTCTCAAAATAACTGACCCATTACCACTCAAATGCCTCCCAAGATTCTTCCGAGCGAGCATAACGGCCACATACCTCTGTGACCCAGGCTTGCTGCTCCGTTACTTCAACTTTCCATCTGCTTCCTACAAACTCAATCGCATCAGCAATGCGGAAATCTTGTGGAAACGACTTGGGCAGCGAGATTCTATCAAGTACTACCGCCTCGCATTCGCCCAAGGAGCCAGACTTGTTGAACGAATCCAATAAATGCCCCGTAAGGAGCCTTCTTCCTTGGAGGGGAGGGGATGTAAGCCTGGCTTTCCCCATATTTCCCCATTAGGCCCCATGATGTAGGCAAATTCCCATATAGGTCCACCATGAGGACAGTGAATCAGCAAGAGCATCCACTCAGCCGAGTGAGCTCATGTCTCAGCGCAAGAGCGCCATCCGAACTCATCCAGCGCATGCTTCGGGCTCTCAACAGCGCCCCCCCAAACTCTGGCACGCGCCTGGCTCTGACTCACGATGGCGCCTGAGAACCAAGCCTCAATGACGCACATGCAACTGATAAGAGGGCTTACTCACCTGAGAATTGACGTCAATCAACCAACTCGGTTCTCACACACTAGCGCCCTCGCCAACGGCCAGATTCTCCAACGACGCCCAACGATGGTGCACGAGAGTCACTCTTTAACGCCCTCTGTACACTTTTGCGCCCTCACTGTTCTCCTATATAAACTGTAACAATTCGGAATAAATTCATTCATTAACTTGAAACCCAAAAAACAAAACAACTTGACTTTTTACTGACTTCGCAACAAACAACAGCAACTAAAACAACTTGCAAACAACCAACAACAAACAAGACGATAGAGCTCTATACCTATTAGAGTTCTCCTCCACCAAGCCCTACGAATCTACTCTTTCGTACTAAGGCTTGTTCACCTTTATTAACTGCTAGTAGTCAAGCGAGTACATCCGTGTATTTTTGCTGAGGCCCTAGGATAAAAACAGAGCAGGACTTTCGAACTCTAGTGCATACATCAAGTGTCTTAGTTACACAGTCATCTTCATCTTCCGACTCGTCTTCCTGCTCTTGGGGTTCGTCGAGAAGAGTTCTTGTTTGCGGAATATTTTCCAGTTCATTTTCGCACGGAGCGGTGGCAATAATAAGCTGATCTGTTTTATTCTCAAAAGGTACTTGGGCTTTTCGCCTCGGGGTAAGCTCAAATTTTCTTTTTAGAATTACCGGGTTTTGTTTCAAGGGGAATGCAAGAGTCGTAAGGAGGTGGAGCTTTATTATCTTCATTTTTATCCATATCTCTAAGATTTTTTCGGTTTGGTAATTCAACCGTGATTTTCTTGTTCTTGAGCAACTGATAAAATATTTAGTGCGTCCGTGAGTCTTTACTTAGGTCTTTGAGACATGCTGACTAAGGGTCTTTGGAGAGCTCACGCACAGGTTCATAAGCTTTCTTATAGCAAAGAAAAATTTATTGAAAGAAGAAGCCAAAAAAAAAGGAATTCAGTTTAAAAAATCATCCAGAAAGAAGCAGCAGAAAATCTCCTTGATCTGCTCTTTGACTGCAACAAAAATACACATGAATGGACATATTATGCAAAAACAGATCGATTTAAAAATGCAGGAGCAGCAGGAGAACTCTTCCTCATCGTCTGGATCTATAGTCATTTTCTTATCATGTTTTTTATGCAACAAAATTTTCAAAAACAAACTTTTACTTTTGTTTTGAAAAACAAGTTCCTTAGATGGCTCGTTTTTCAACAAAAGCTCATTGTTTTGTTCATCCTCGACGATTGGGACGATACATTCATTTGAAGCAGCAGTCTTCGATTCGTTAATTTGCTCTTCTGAAGATACAGTGAAATTTTGAAATAAACCTTTTTTTTCTTATATTACCTTTCGTGTCACTAGAATCGGCACAAATCTCCTGCTCAGGTTTGCAAAAGAGTTGGTTGTGATCATCGATAAACTTCTGAATTTCATTACTCCTCTGAAGCGAATCCTTTTGAGAAGGCGAAGTAAAGTCGTCGATTTTTATCGAAATGCATTCTTTTTCTTCAGCCATTTCCTCTCGCTTTTCTATTTTTGAAAGAGCGACTGGTTGGTAAGCGAATGAAATAATATGTTTATTTGCTGATTTCAACAAAAGATAAGAGTTTTTTGTTCCCATCATTTTTGAAGATGAAGCAGTTTTTGAATAATTTCTTTCAAAGAAAATTTCAGGGTTTATTTTTTTAAATAAACGGTTACCATGATCACCAGCTTGACCACCATTTTGTTGAAATGATTTGATTACGATAAATTGATTATATTTCTCAAAGCTTTTGTTTGGCAAGTTCAATCTGCCTCTTCTAGAACGTTAAGCCGGGCGTGATAATCCTTTGTAACCTTTACGGTTTCACATAAATAGAATAAGATGACATAACGCATTTAACGATATCAATCTACCATATCATTGCTCAAGAATATATTTTTACTTTTCGACTGGTCGTCATTTCGCAAAATCCAAAAAATGAGAAAAGAGATTTGTGAGAAATTCAGGAATGTGGCGGTTTTATTTTGGGGCTTTTTGGATCTTTTGTAAGTACGACTCGTTTTATGAGCTGGGTTTAATCGAGTTCACTCTTGAGGCAAAAGACTTTTTTAGATTTCATTCGTTGCTGATTTTTGCCTGGAGCGCGCTGGACGAAATTTATCGAGAAAATGGCTTTTTCTCTTCCGGTTGTGAGATCACTAATGATCCGTCGATGATGGCATCGAGTTTGAATCAATCTAGTCGGTCGTTTGAATGCCCAAGTCAAAGTGCCGAGCTTGGAAACATCGTCTCCGTATCTGGTGCTCTTGCTGGCGTTGTCCTGATGATTGCTGGAGTTCTTCGAGATCATCTCGGATTCGGACCGAGTCTGTTGATCATGAAGTCATTTGTGACGATTGGATACATTCTCCTGGCGAACGCGCAACCGGGTGTTTCTGATAACTTGCTCTACGGGTGGGCCCTTCAATATGGTTCAGCGGTTTCGATGCTCTTTTTCTACATTCAACTAGCGAGGCTTTTTGATTTGACAAGCTTTTTGATCTCATTTATGATGCTGACAATGGCTCTCAGCTCCTTCGTACCAGAACTCTGGAAGATTTTGTACATCGATCTTGGCTTCAGGTGTGATTTTTCCAAAAGAAACTTTATAAAATATGTAGTCCTCAAAATATGGCATGGATTTTTGCTGGATTCATGGCTCTGTCAATGATTTTCTCGCTTATATTCATGCCTTGGTATAATTTGGAGTCGAGGGATTCCTTCATAAATCTAAAAGGTGCGGTTTTATCATCAAAAACTTCTTCGAGAAAGCATGATAAAACCGTGCAAAGATGTTATAAGGCAAAAACTACCATTTATCGAGAGAAAAAAAACGGCTGAAAACAAGGAAGACTCAGCCTCAACTTGCTCCTTTCTCAAAAAGTTTCTCCAAAGCATCAGAGTTTTTCTCAATCCTAACTTTTTCGCCGCCCTGTGCGTTTTTGGAAGTGGAAATTTTATTGTCCATAATGTTCTCGCACTGATGACGCAACTTATCGGTAATAAAAATTATCAAAAATTATCTGAAAACAATTTTAGAGCAGAATGAAATAGAAATCGTCGCTGCTGGCTCTACCGTCTCTCTTGTCAATACTCAGTTCAACACCCTAAAAATCGTTCTATCTGGCTGTCTCACAGTCGTTTTTGGCATCATCGTCACCTTCACAAAGAGAAAATTTTCGCAAAAATCAAAAGGAGATCACAATTTAAAGCAACTGGTGATTCCGCTCTTCTTTCATTTGATTGCTTTGGTCTTGTGCATTATTGGAATCGAAAAGAGCGATACTCTGGGGGGCATGTGGACGCTTTTTGTTGGATTTGGAATTATCCAGGCGACGCCTTATTTCTACGAAGTAAATGAATGGATAAGAATAATTTTTGCAGACCATAATTTTATTATTGCCTTGAGTGATCGGAAGTCTAAATTACTGTGGAATGTGAAAATCTTGCTGAATCAAGAGTACTGTTGTGGTCTTTAATAATAGCTCATATTTCGATCCAAATAAAAGATTATTGAAATTTGCTTTCCTTTCGAAAGCCACGGGGTCGGACTAGCCTCAATTGAACTCATCGGTGGACTCTTTAATTTTCTTGGTACCCCGATTCTGAATGATTTTGAAAAGACTGGAAATTTTAACGCCCTGAGACTGAGCGTTTGGATATCTGGACTTGTTGGAGCCCTGGTGAGCTTTTTATTCGATTTGAGCGTAGTCTTCATTTATGAATTTGTAGCCAATTATCTTGCATTTGCCGTTTGCCTATGAATTCGGGCCGAAATGGTTTTTGAACATGGATAAAAGAAGAAAAGAAAAAATGACATTGGAGATTAAAGAAACTGTACCCGAGATAAACTAGAAAAATAATAAATAATTGTACTACGAACTTTATCGAGAGCTCTTCTTTCCTTGTTTGTCTTACTATGTTTTATTGGTGAAATGTCCGTGGAGTAAATAAAGCTTCTTTACAAAGTCGTTAAAAATACAGTAACAGGCATGAACTTTCATTTATCAAAAAAGAACTTCTGATCAAACACGAATAAGAAATAAAAAAAACGAGTGTCAATCATCAGTTGATACTGCCCCTGATATGTCGTCTTGACAAACAAGCTATGATAATTTTGTTTCTTCGGTGCACTTCCGAGAAATTCGGGCATCAATGATCGAAAATTCTACCTCATGGTTCAGAGAAAAAAGAAAAGACTACTTTTATGGTGCATCGGGATAATCTTTCTCATCGCTGGAATAGGCACTATTTTATCTACCCCTCTTATGCTTGCTAAACGAACAAATGACGGATATGATACTGACAAGACTGATTGTCAGTCTACTTGCCGAACAGATTTCTTGGGCTGCAAGGTTCTGTGTGAGACTGACTATTGCCTATCTAGGTGTTTAGAATCATCAGAAAGTAGGAGTCAAATTAAATTCGGATGGTTTTTATTTTTTTCAGATTGCATGGAGGAGTGCTCGACAATCTCTTCATCGACAACCAGAGTATGGAAACCAACCACATCTACCGAAAATTCGCCGATAAAGACTACAAGGATGACATCAAATACAGATAGCTCACGAGACACACTTATCACAACAACTGCAAGAACAAAGCCCGTAACGCTTACAACAACCTCAAAATCAAGTCATCCGCTGTCTACAACTCCGGAGAACTACGAAACACCATCTTCTTTGACGCCAATTTTTAGTTCAACAGTCGCAACGAGTACAGATGTCTATGTATCTTCAACAAATGTGCTTCCAACGACAAAAAGTTCTACCAATATCTTTAATTTAACAACGCTTATTTCCTCCACTATGTTATCTTCAACGACAACAATAACAACGACGTCAACGTCAGCCACAACAATGACAGCCAGAACAATCCCGAGCATAGCGACAACCACTACAACCACAATAACCTCCACAACAACGGCGACAATGACAACAACTACGACAACGACTATGACGACAAGTACAACTACAACAACAACTACGACGACAACTTCAACAACGACTTCGACGACAACAACTACTTCGACGACATCTACAACTACAACAACGACTACGACTACAACTACTTCTTCGACTATAACTACTCCTTCGACTACAAGTACAACTACAACAACTACTACGACGACAACTACAACAACGACTTCGACGACAACTACAACAACGACTACTATGATAACTACAACTTCAACTACAACGAAAACTACAAAACCATGCGTACCGAGATTATGGTTTGAGAAACAAGACGGAAAAAATGTCAGTTTCGAGAGACAAAAGCAAATCTGTATTGATAAAGGAAACCAACTTGATCGAACTTCTGGATACCTTTCATTTTTCAGAACTGAACAAGAGTACGCCCAATATCAACAACAAGTTCCAAAGCGCACCGAAAGAATCGGCTATATTCAGAATGGAAACAACATTTACAGTTGGAATAATGTTGATGGAACTCCAGCAACTTTCACTCAATGGGCCTGGCGTCAGCCAGATCAATCCAATGAAAAATGTGTTTTTGCGTTTTCGTCTTGGTCCGATGATTGGCATGATGTCACCTGTGGCAGTAATCATGGCCAGAACGTTTACTACAGTTGCCGTTTTGAAACAATATGTTCTTGATAACTGTCCAATAAATTTTCTCTTCGTGATCATGGTCATCTCAAATTTTAACATTGAGTTGCTTGTAGTATAATTGCGCTAGATTGTAGCTCGTCGTCAATAATAACTTTGGTTGAATTTGGGCTAATTGCAAATCCTCCTTCGCGGGACGTTAGCACGCTGTTCACTCTATTTTCTAGCCCCTGCGCTTCCTGCTTGTATCATAAATAAGCTCTTGTCAGAAAAGAAGAAGATAGAGAGTACAGAAACGAAGATAAAACATCTTGAGTGATGGGGATTATCAAAGAGATCTCAAGGTATAAGACTAAAAAAAACTCTAACAACATCTCTTAACGGAATCTTTACTTACGGAAAACAGCTGATTATTATTTTTTAACATAGGTCAATTGACAAAATCGGGTAAATATGTAATTCTTTATTTCTATATCGGGAGAACCTCCCAATATATGACATCAATTTTTCATTCATTTTCTTTTCTTAGACATTTTTCTTTATACAGAAAAAAAAACAAAAATCAACTCATTCATTCACTCATTTAAAATTAATTTGTAGGTTCAATTGATATAAAAATATATCAACTTTATTTCCAATTTAACCTCTTCTATGAAAAGAACCCATTATTTACATCAATTTGAGGCGAGGAAGCCAAACACTAGAGAAAATCGTCGATCGGAAGAAGCCTGAGCCCAGAGAGCGCCCAAAACCAAAGGACTCAATTTTCAGGTAATAAATTTGACACTGCCCCTGATCCTCAGATTTATAACGCCACCTTTTTTCTTCATTATAAATGTCTAAAAGGGTCGAATTGGATCAAGAACAGCTCTTGGAAGGCGCGAAAAATGAGTTTACTGAAATTCGGCTGAACCCAAAACAAATGCGAGAAATGCAAGATTTATTCAATTTATTCGACATTGACGACAGTGGCTCAATTTGCAAAAGAGTGAGTTACAGTTATTTGAACTTGGACAGATCGATGTTTCAAGGAGCTAAGAACAGTACTGTCTTCACTTGGCGAATATCCGACCGAGAAAATGTTGGATCAAATGATGACAGAATTTGACGAAGATGGCAATGAGGTGATAGGTCGGTCTCAGATTATCCTTTTCTTCGCGGTTGATCCAAGGTCAAGATCTTGAAAGGTCTTGAACTTAGTGATAATTTTACAATCAATAATTTCTGATATTACTTGTTAAGACTTTGATGAGTTCCTGGCGATGGTTGTAAAATACAACGCAAATGTTCAAATAAACCCGAAACTAGAGCTTTCAAATGCGCTCCGGTACGCATCAAAATCTTTCTCTCGTTTCAATCTTTTTCTAGTGTTTTTGATAAGAAAGAAACAGGGCTGCTGAACACAGATGAGATCATGAAAATTTTATCAGAAAACGGAGAAGATCCATTAAGCCCGGACGAAGTGCAAGGATTTCTAGACATGATCAATTTACCAAGGTAAAGAATCATTCGATTGATTACTTTTCAACCTTTTTTAAGTGGGGGAATAGTCAGCCTCGATGATTTTGCTGAACTGCTAACTAAAAAATTCGATCAAAAATAAAAAAAAATACATTATTCAGAAAAGAGTCAAAACTTTGATTTGATTTTTGTCAGTTTTTATTCACAAGAAAATTTTAATTCAAACTGCAGGAAGTCATAGTGGCATCAAATAAAAGGGGGAAAGTGACATATCCTTCCATGCCCGTTTCGTAGCTTTCTTTGTAATCGAATGATTCGCCGTTCCAGATGAGTTTTTGAGCCACCCAGGGTTCTTTTAATCCCGGAACAAAGAGGAGTTCGTTTCCGTTGAGGGCTGCTTTTCCGAGCATATTCCCCTTATCAAAATGAATGAAATATTTCTCATGAAATATCTTACATGCTGAAGATTTCCGACATGAGACCAGGTAAAGTCGATGAGCGAGTAGATGCCCTTAACAGTGTCGTATCCGTCCTCGTTGTTGTCATCAACTCTGTTGGTCGTACCACCGACGGTTAAGATTCCGGTTTTGAAGGAAATCACGGAGGTGTAACCAATGTCGCTAAAAATAAATTTTCAGAATTGTCAAAAAAGCTTGCTTTTACATTGGATGGTCATCGATCTCCCTCCACTGATCGCCCCGAAGCTCAACTTTTCCTCGTCCACCATCGTTACTTGCTCCAACAGCAATCAGTTGATTATCGTAGACGGTAATAGATGCGCCATATGAACGCTCGAAGCTAACTTTCACATCGTCAAGTCCATTCGATTCGCCATCGAAGACTTCGCAAGTAAAGCCATCGCCAAAACAGAGCCAGACTTCTTCATTGAAAACCGTCGCCGAATGAAGCTCTGAGCTGAAATAGTTCACGAGCCGCGAAGTTTGTTCCTCGAAATTGCAGCCGCGGAGGATCGAAATTTTATTTCCATCTAGAAAAAAGTAAGCATGATAATCAAAAATGATCGTACCTGGGTAGCCCCCAAAGACCCAAAACTCGCCCTTGAAATAGACCCCTCCAGTGCTGTAAATTGTGTTTTTCCCTGGCGAAAAAGCATCAACCTGAGAAATTGAGTTTTCTCCAACTAAATAAGAAGCAGTCAGCTCTGTTTGATCATATCGTTGGCCGAGAACGACTGTTTGTTTCGCCGGGTCGTAGCAATATTCACTAGGGCAATCTTCGCAGCCCTTGGAAAAATGTTGAAATCAAGGAAGAGAATAGTGATCTTTACCTTTGGGCAGGAACGGCCACAAGGGCAGTTGTTGAAGCAGGCTTTGTACTGACTATCGCATTGGAGGTTACAGTCATCAGTCGTACAGGCAGATTGGCAACTGAGGAAGTCAGCGATGCAGGCGTTATCGCACTGTTCTGACGGTAGCAGATCGTTGCAGGCCTCGGAAAAGGCGAAAAAAGCAAAAGTGAATTTCATTTTGACGGACTGTTTTTGAAATGATAATTATTATAAGGTCAGAAGGGGGTGGTTTTTATTCGACAAATCAGCTGGAAATTCTCACGAACTCCGAGGACCCGTTCAATTCTGTTTCAATTTCTTTCGAAAATAAGTCACATTCGGCTATTTTCTCAAGAAATTTGGCTTGTTGTTTTTTTTACTTCCGACTCGTTTTTTCAGTTTTCAGTTTTTCATTTCCTCGATGAAAGAAAAAAAGAAGTAAGCCGCAAACTGCAGCCGAGCAGGTCAGAAAGTGGCTTTGATATTTCTGACCGCCAAATCCATGTTTTCACGCCTTTTTATGTGGTCAGAGTCAAATTTCGAAGCTGGATTCTGCTTCGTCTTTCGAAGTAGAGTTTTAAAGCTTTGGAGAAGAGCTTACATAAAAATGCTTGATTCAGAATATTTGTCTAATCATGCAGCCCTTAGTCGCGCATGTTGCTAAAAAGCAGCGGTTCCACCCAAACGCGTGTAATATGTACGTTGTTTTATATGTAACACAACGTTGCATTACAAGACAAACGGATGTGAAGAAATGTGTTAACACCGGAACATGAGTTGACAGCAGTCACATGACATAAGTGACTGGAACTTACACTCGTCTGACAAAGAGTTATCAATAGCAGCGGCATGTTAGACACATTTGACATTGTCGCCCGCATAAATAGACCTTCTTACTAGAATGCGAAGGACAATTAACCCTCTCAAACATTTTAGAGAAAAAAATACCGTATATGCGCAATTGTAAGCGGAAAAATATAGACATAGAAATGATTTTGTATAATAAAAAGATAAACTTATCTTCGACCGCGGCGAAAATTGAAATCAACGCTGCTTGATTTGCAAAACATCGGCGAAACAAGGCGAAATTCAAGCGAGGATGGCCCCACGTGATAATTAGCAGATAGAGGCTCGGGAAACAACAGCATGAACAAAGGGTAGTCATCTGCTCACCGGCGGCGACACTGTTTTTGCATTTTTAAATTTATTATGTTCGGCAAACAGGGCAGAACTCCCGTGAGAATTCAATTGTCGTACTTTGAATTCTAGTTTCAAAAAATTTTAACTCGAATTTTTAGTCTCATTATTATGTTTAAATGAGAAGACTATAATAAAGCTTTAAGAGGGGGGTCGTCAATATTGGGACTTCTTTTGACCAAAAAAGCGAGAAAACCTGATTTGATTGAATCAAAAAGAACTTTAGAGTGTAAAGAAAAGGGTTGAAAGTTTCGACCGGCGACAAGAAGTAAAAAAAATTTTTGAAAAATTTTTCAAAAATTAGGGTTAAAGTGGGGTCGTCTCTTGACCAAAAAATCTCAGAACCCTTAATTTTTTTCGATAATCAGATTTTTTTACTTATAGATTGGACCCTTCAAAATCGACCGGCGATCAAAAATTTAAGTGTGACTCCCTTAAAAAATTTTTCTTATTGATTAACAATATCCGATTTTCAAAAAATTCCATATTTTTACACGTTTTCGGCTGATTTTTTTTCAAGAGTCGCATAGACTCGGAATTTTTAATAAATAATGATTCAAAAACCATTTAAAAATGATGTCTTACGATAAAAACAGATATTTTGATTGTTTTTGGCCGAAATCAGCTGCTAACAAAGTCCCGCCGCGCACTCATTTTAAAAATTTAAGTCGATTTTTAGCAGGTTTTCCGTGGACCAATCAAAAAAAGCTAGTGACCAAAAAGATTTAGTTTTTGACGAGGAATTCAAAAATGTGGTCAAAATTTTCAAAATTGAAAATTTTCCATACTGACGACTCCCCCCTTAAATCTTAGCAATAAATATATATTTTCTTCAGTTATGTTGATGGTCGTTTCAAAGGAAATATAATTCCACAGGAAGAAAAACCTCATAGCATTTGCACTGAAAATTTTCTCAAGATGAAAGACCTCGCCGCTTGTTCTCCCGCAAGACTGCCGAAAAAAGAGGTTTTTTTTCTCTTCTAGCGACAAGGTATCAAAATCCGCTGCGATAGCGCGCATGTCGAGTACGTCAAAAAATAATCAGATTTTGTATTTTTCCCAAAATATAATTATGGTCAGAGAACATCCGCTCGAAAACATACTTCTCAGGAGCCAGGGCAGCGTTACGAGGAAGGATATCAAGAATACCGTTTTACTGAACTGAGATTTAAGGGTCTCCCTTCGATAAATGCACGTAAAGCTCGAATAAAGCAGTCAAATTTGAATTAATTTTTTCAAATTTCGTTTGGCTGACAATGGATCTTTGAGCCTGGGAACAAAAAAAAGGTTCATTTTGGACGGAAAATGAAAAAAAGGGAGGAGGGCTCGGCTCGGCGTCGAAGATACAAAGTGATTCTCGTTGAAGTCGACAACCCGCTCGACAAAGTACCTAGGCGAGGCCCAATGCCCGTTACCGCCGAGTAATTCACTGTATTAATTATAACTCGGCGCTTTGATTTTATGAAACAGCAGCTCAAGGATGGGCGCGCCTCACACTTTTTCTTCAAAGAATAATTTTTTCCTGCTTCTTTTTCTTTCAAAATTTAAATAAAAGGACCATAAAGATTCTTTCTCACGAGAAATATCCTCATTTCTATTGTTCAGAAAGCGATATAAAAATGTTAAGATTTTCAATTGGCATTAACTTAGCATTCATGTTTTGAAAAATTCTGTCTTTTTGCAGTTCCGAAAATCTTTGTGGGGAAAAGTTGGTTTGAGATTTCGCTGCCAAGCGAGATAACATTGGCAGGTTACACGGGCTTAGGTCAGACTATCGGTCACCCGTCAGTTGAGAACATGTTCCCTGCGCCAGCTTACGCAGATTCGGCTTCTCTAGCTGGCTGTTTTTTCATTCTTGTAGATTATATTTTGAAAAAAATTTTTAAGCAAAATAATACCGATAATTTTGTAATTCTCTGGTTGTTTGACATCTTATGAATATTTTGTTTTTGTTTATTTCAAGTAAAGCTTTCGGTAAGAAATTACCATCATCAGTACTAAAAAGAAGTTGCAAAATCTTGGAAACAAAGAAAACTTTTCACCTTTGTGAGAGGCTTGAAAGGCACACTAAAGCTTAGAAAGAGAAATTTGAAGGTGGATGAATTTGGTCTAGAGAATATTTTGTTTTGCACAGAGTCGGCGAGACAGTATTTTTGAAAATGTGATCTAACCGGGCTTCGGAACATTTTCAAAAATAATTTTGTACTGAACCAGGATCTATTGCAGCGCTAGTTATCCGTTTAGTTATTTCTTCGGTCTTTCAAGTCAAGAAAAATCCATTTGATATATAAAAAATAACTTGTTATGTTTTTTCTTTTCAATAAAAATCTTGAATCATTTGCGTTTATTCCCACCATCTGGCCTTCGTTCACAACAATCATCCCCATTAATTCCCATTTCGCAACTTCTAAGTCTTTTCTACCATTTTTCAAGTGCCCTAAATACTTGACTTTTTAATTCGCCGCGCGGTTCAAAAGTGTTCTGGAATTGAATTGAACCTGTTACATTTCTAGCCTTGCCACTTGATTCCAATTTCTAGCGCTTTCGTTCCGTTTTCCTTCCGCTCTTCGCCTAAGATCGCGCCGCGTCTCCTCGGACCAGAAATACTAAACAGAAAATATAAACAGCACAACAACATTTTCGCTTTTTGATAATTTTCAAACCACAGTTGGCCCTTGAAATCGAGGGAAGACGCAGCGCATCAACAGTTGTTTTCTGTTTTTGGTCGGTGAAACTTTGATTTCCGCGCGTTTTGGCGAAAAGGTGCAAAGAGGAATGCATTTCATCTGAATTTTGGAAGGCGATTAGGGTCATCAGAAATTGAAATGTTTTGGAAAGAGGGATGAAAGAAGACTGGAAATTGGAATTTTAATTCGGCTTTGATCAAATCTGCCATACACCCTTTTTACGGACTAAATCAATTTATGGAAATGCATTTTTGGACAACCAATAAGATTGCTGTATTTGACCTACCGGCCAATCAAAACCCTGATCGATAAAATCACTTCCAAAAATTATTTTTACTTCTTTCAGCCTCGTTTCCTGGATTTTGATTTTTTTCGAGTCAAAATATTCTTTTTTTTCCTTGTTCGATAAAAAATTCGATGGGAACAAAAATGATAAATTAAATTTACAGCCAAAAAGGGGCTTTTTGCTGCATCCCTTGTGGAAATTAGAAATTTCGCGCAAGATGTTCGTCCTCTTGGGCCCTGACCGCAGCGAAATTCCTTTTCCTAATTTCCTTGACCGGCTACCTCATTTTGCTGTTTCTCACCGTCTTGCGGTCAAAAACTTTCTTGCATTTGAGAAAAAGTCAGTTCCATGATTCTCTTCTTTTTTCGAAGAAGAAATTCCAGCGCTCATCTGTCGCCTCGTCCACTTTCCATGCAGCTCAGCCCAAACGATCCGTTTTCACAAAACTATTTTTCTCGCACAAGAATCCCAACGAGAATTTTATACATGTTCGAAAATGAGCGGCCGCCTTTGATCTTTCGTTTACGTTTTTTTTGCCTGAGTGGCGGAAGCTGCAGCCAACCTCGTTTTCTTTTTTCTTGGTGTATTTTCTCATCAGAACTAACTTTTATGATAGTTATCCGAAAAAGAATGATTTTCAATGGAAAGACAACCGTTAGGGAATTGCCAGCTTAATGATTGTTCATCGTTATTTTCAAAGTTTTCTTTATGATAAAATAAATATACTGCAAAATTGAAATTTCTTTATGGTTTTTTCAAAAAAATTCTTCTTTCAAGTGCCCAAAACAAACTTTTTTTCTCAGCGAGGTTTTCGAGAAAAAAGTGCTTGTGACAGGTCGAACTTACGTCAAAAAGCGGAAGGGAATAATTCTAGTGCAGGCGCCGACTTGGGCAATTTGTAACAGCCGAAAAGCCGATCGTGCGAACTTGAGAATTAACTCGAGTAAAGAACATGCTAAAGCGGGTTAAAAACTCATCCACCTTTTCTGTCCAAAAATTTTCCTTTTTGTTTGCTTAACGTGAATATTCAAGTTTTCTAGTCGGAATGTCCAGTGTTTAGTATTTGCCGATATCATAGTTTTAAACCGGTTATTTCAAGTTTTTCGCATTCCCGTTTCTTGTCGAAATATTTCCCTATTTTTCCGGTCGATTTCCACTTCCATGTCTTTATTGTTAATTTTACGAATGTATCAAGAAGTGTAATTACAAAGGAATTGATTCACCTTTGGAAGTAGATCGGATTTTGACAAGTTGTACTCGTGCGGGGCGAATTCGGAGCCGCTTTGAAGTCGCCGCCGCTGAAAAAGAAAACGCTGCTTCATTATTTTCATCCATCACAATTTTGAGAATACAAAGCAACAGTTAGAACTTGTCAACCTACCGCGAATCCACTAATAACACTAATCAGCTACTAGCGTCACTGAAAATATTTTCTGAGACGAAAATTCTATTTCGCGAAAATAGTCATTTTTTAAGGATAAGGGAGCCCTTATTTCAGAATTTCCCCACTCCTCTAGAATCTAGAATCTCTCTTCAGAAACATGACAAATCCGGTTAGCACTTCACCCATGTCCAGTTGATCCCCTCCTCATCCCTTTTCTCGAAGATGAGTTCTGGAAGAAAACTTTTTGACAGATTCGATTAGTCGAGAGAGAACCTTATGTTCTTCCGCGGACATGCACCAGCGGAAATACAAATCGGGTTAATTTCACGCCGCGGAAACAACATTTCGCGAAAAAAATGTTCTTCGCTGAGAATGATCACGTGTGAAGATGAAGAATGTATATAACGAGAAAAGACGGGATAAGGGGGCACGGAGCGGAAAGTTGTTTACAAGAAGGGGCGAATGGAAATAATGACGATAATGTAATGGGAAGCTTTTCATTAAAAATAAGGACGGGAAGATCCTTATCGTAGAGACCGTAATACCCTTTTTATCAGGACTTTTTTACAATATTGAATTACCTATCGGTATGAGGCTTTAGTAAGACACTCAGCAATTTAGCAATGTAAGTAATGTGATAAGTAAGAATCGGGATTTCTGTGACCGAAAATGCGGGAAAACCTGATAAGAAAGGCAAAATCTGATTTTACTGGTGGATAGAAAAGGGTTGAAATAATCAGGCGGCGAAAACTAGAAAAAATTTTGGCCAGAAGAAATCGGTCAAAAATCCCTTCAAAGTAGGGCCATTTTCGCGAAAATACATCAAAAGAGGTCATTTTTTTATCAATTTAACTCATTTCACCCCCTAAATCTAATTTTTATCAAATGATTTTAGGCTCAACAGATTTGGGAGAATCTGTAGATTCCAAAAATATAAGATTCATATGCAGACTATCTGTATAAGCGAAATTACGATCACCCCTGAAAAAATTCTCGTCGACCCCCCCCCTTAAGTTTTGATCTCTTCGGAATTCAAATAAAAACACCATGAAAACCCAAATCATCTCATATGACCCGTTCGAATTCCTGGAAGTACTCCAAGCGAATTCGAATTCGAAGCGAAAATTCGGAATGTCAATACAAGCTATCATACATGATGTTTTCTAGTGTTAAACTCAATTTCCAAAATACGAGCGCGCCAAATGCTCAATGAGATTCGCCTCAGCGAGTATTAATTATTTTTCACTGAGTTTTGGGTAAACCGACTGTTTTTTCTCCCTCTTTCTTTTCGAGATCTACTGCGCAAGATAGTTGCCAAAATAGTGTTGACAAGGTCGCGGATCAAAGAAAAAACGACGGGACGGGAGAGGGGGTTTTCTTGAGGAGGTTTGATGCGAGATGTTCTTGTGGTCAACCAGCTGGACTGTCGCTTTTGATTTTTTGACTCAAAAATTTTCTTTCATCATTTATACTTAAATTTGTGCAGAATTTCAATACGAAATTGGCAATTTTAAATTAGGGGAAAAAATTAAAAAAAAAACGAAATATTTGTCTCGAAATCGACAATTAAGGGCTTCAATCTCTCGATAAAGTCGAAATTTCTGATGAAAAAATCACTCTTTTTTTCTCTCATGACCCGAAAAAATTGGCAATTAGACGTTGTCCTTTGAAGTTAAACTTGCACATAAAAAGTTGTTCTCTCTCTCTCTTTTTGTGTTTTGGATTGTCTCCAGATTGGATCGCTTTCTGAGAAAATGCGGGTTTGGCTTTTTGGAATTCTCCGAAATTAAATTTCTAAATTGCGCCCTTAGACCTTCAAAGCGCGCTATTCAAGGGCGAATTACAAGACGAAACGCTTCTTTCTTCGCGGAGTTACATTTTGCTAAACGAATTGATTGTGATTCTTCAACAGGAGGATCAAAGAAGCACTCTTGAATTTCCGGGCTCAATCCAGACTTTTTGATTGAAGACGGCGAAATACAGTTTATTCCCAACAATCAAATATAAAGAATAAATCTCGAGATTTCGAAAACAATAACTTTGTTAAAATTATTTGTTTTTTATATTAATTTTGCTTGATTGAATTCGAGTTAATTTGATAACAACTTAGAACAGGGCAAACGCTACGCGTCATCGCTAGTCTAGGATTTAAACCGTAAAAGGTCTTAAAATTTTCTGCTTATTCTAAAAAGGTATGGTTTTCGGGGGTCTATAAGGCGAAAGAGGGCAGTAAAACTTCGTTAACCTTAAAAAAAGCATGTCTTTATACGATAACTTGATGATTCTTGCTTGTTTATTTACGTTTTCAACCTGGCAAGCCGTGATCGTCAAGAATTACTAAGTGTTTTTCATCGTTTATATTTACGTTTTTTCGTTTCAAATCCTCAAGTCACAATTGCACCAGTCGACAATCGACAATTGTTTGGTACTTTCGACAAGACGTAGCACTATTTTTGTTTACACAGCCGACTGAAACTTGAAAAACGTCTTAATAGCGCACTTCAAACGTTTTCGCCGCGAAAAAATATGCAGCTTACTTATTGATTTCTAGAGTTTTTCATCAAAGAAAGACGTGAGAATGAGAACTTGAGTGGCTATTATTAGATTGATTAAAATTGCAGTTTTGATGCACTTGAAATAGTTAATAAGTGCTTTTGAGTGGATTTCTTATTTGATCTATCCTATTGCTTGTATTTTGTATTTGAATCGCTTTCTGTAAATTAAGGGGAGGCGCATCGATAAGCGAGTCTTAAAGGGTCTTTTCGAGATGATTTAAGATAGTGACACCCTTATTTTTCATAAAAAATACCTGCTTTTTCGATACGAATTTTGAAGATATTTTTGAGGACGTTTTTAACATTGATATTGAATTTTATTTTTTTGATCGGACAACTTGATATATACAGAAAGAAAAAAAAATAAAAATATTCAGTCAGAAATAGTGTTTTCAACGTTCGTTCTTTCGATCGTTTTTTTCGCCATCGTTTATTTTTTGAAAATAAATACCAGTAGTGTTATTACAGTCACTGAGTGGGGAGAGCAGTATCTATGGATGATGCAGTGTTGCGGCGGTGGTGAAGACTTTTTGCAAGAGACTTTTCAATCAAGAGATTAATTAAGAATTCTAGCTCTGCTGGGCGCTGGCTGCTGCGGCTTGACTGTGGCTGGCACTGTAGTAACTAGCGGGGTCGGTGGCTGCTCCCATGGCGGCGCTGGAGACTGGATAGTAGCTCTGGTAGTAACTGGCCAAGGAGGGGTCGGAATAAGCACCGAGGGCGTATGGATGGTGGAGGGCAGTTAACCCGCCTTGGGCAGTAGCGCTGGAGGCGGTGTAGCTACTGCTCGAAAGACCAGAAACTGCATCGGGTGTATTTCGGGAGTGTTCTCCAGTCGTGTTTAGCGTATTGCTGTCACTTGATTGACCCGGCGACTCAGTTTTCACCTGCCCATCTGGAGCGGCGCCGATGCTGGTAGGAGTGCTTGTCGCGAACTGGTTGTTGACCCAGCTTTGGAGGCCGGAAACGGGAGAAGCATACGGGTTGCTGGCGCTGGAAACGGGAGCAGCAGCACTTGCGTGGGGGTGAGCAAGTCCGACGGGAGTGGTGGCGGGATCGGATGAGAGGGCACCAGGTCCAGCAGCGGATTCGTAGGGCTCGGTTGCGGAGAATTCGACTTTTTCGCTGTCTTTGTCGTGGGAGAATGCGACGGAATCGTCTTTGTCGGCATCTAGAAGACCTGTTAGAGAAATATTCGAAAGAAAACTCACTAGAAATTTTAAGACCTTTCTGAGTCAGATCGCTTTTTGAGTCAGTGTTTATCGAAAGAATAAATTTGATAAAGGATCATTCATTTTCTTCCAGTTCCATTTTTGCTGGGAGATTTGGGCTTGGGGAGGTATTTCAGCTACAAACTAACCTCTTTACAATTCGTTTTGGGTTTGGAGCTGTGGAATTCCCACGGCGATGCCGGAAGCCGCCGCGCTGGGCGCCGCGCAGAATTCCCAAAATTTTTATGAATCCACTAATTCGCGAAAACGCGTGTTAACCCACTTCCTCACTAAGGGCGGGGCTCTTTCTTAGGAGAGGGCTGTTTTTTCTATGTGGAATAAACATTCCTGGAGAGGGATTATTTACTGTAAACAGCACAATTGACAATTGCCAATTGCTAATGCGAAATTCGCGAAGAGGGAAAAAAGTGTGTGACGGAGGTTTGTTAAGAGCTGTCACGAGTGAGCGAAAATTTTTTTATGAGTCGATCATGTGGGAAGGCACGCGTGACAATATTTGGAAGTTTGGGGCAATTTTAGTGAAGGTAAACTTTACTCAAGCCAAATTACGATACTGGCCCAAAAAAGACTAACTTTTCATTGAAATAAAGCTTTTAACCAATCAAAAACTAAAGAGATTTTTTTCGACCAATCAAAAATTGCAATTATTTTCGACAAAATTTGAGTAAAAAATTTCGAGAAAACATATTTTCAGATAATTCTATGTCTATCTCATTTTTTTCTATATTTTGAGTGATCAAAGTTCCCACCCAATTTGGCGGAAATTAGCGGCTCGGCAAGGCTTCTCGAGCAAATCTGAGCGCAGGTGGCTGACCACCGACTTGTCGTCAAGCCTCACGATAGGAGCGCCGAGCGTCTCATCCTCTCGTTTTTGAGAAAATAGAACGGACAGCGCTCGAATTCAATAAGCGGCGCTTTATAAAGATAAATTTAGACCTCTTTATCGAAAAAAATATGACTCAAAAACCGATCGAAAAGATATCAAAAGACCTTTCTTTCTGTCTTACCCTTTTCATTTTCGTCGCCAAGACCGTTTGATTCGTCATCTTCTCCATCCGTCGCTCGGTTTTTCGGGACCCAAGTCATTTTGTTCTCCTTTTTTAATCGTCTCCGGGCGTTAGCAAACCAGGTGGAAACCTAAAAAGAACAGCTGAGTTTTGATACATTTCTTGATAGTCTACCTGTGTAAGAGTCATTTTCGTAATAATCGCCAACATGATTTTCTCCCCCTTCGTCGGGTAAGGATTCTTCTTGTGCTCATTGAGCCAGGCTTTGAGCGTATTGGTGCTCTCGCGCGTTGCATTCTTGCGCCGGACACCGTCGGACATGTCGTTGTATGCGCCGTATCTATTGGGTGGAAATGTCAGAAAATGTCAAAACATGTGTTTTACTCACGGGTATTGCGCGCCAAAGGCTGATCCGTAAGCCTCGGCACCCGGATATGGAGACGCGCCGTAGCCAGCTGTAGCGGCGGAGCCGTAAGCACCTGGAGCAGAGACGCCAGCGCCAGTCCAGACATCGGAACTGCCAGCTCCCTAGAATGAAGTTGTCAATGATTGCTCTAGAATTCTTCGAAAGAATCGCCTATCTTTTCCCCTGTGCTCGGCAACCTGAATAGAAAACCTGAGTCAGAGTCTGAAAGAGCAAAGATGAAAAGCCGCGTAGCGGATTTTTTAAAAACGAAACCGCGGATCGTAAGATTATTACTCCATCTTATATTAAAATTCTGGCGAAGCCGCTTTGCGGCTTCGTTTCCAAAAAAGCCACTACGCGGCTTTTCATTTTTGCTCTTTCAGACCCTGACTCAGGTTTTCTACTCAGGTTGCCGAGGCCAGCTTTTCCCTTTTCCGCTCAATGACACCCCTTCTTGACTTGATCCTCTTTATTAGTTATCCTGATCTAATCCCTAGCCCTAAGACTAACACACATTGGCTCCGGATAAGGTACTTACAGACTATCTAAACAAGAAAACCGTCCGCGCTCAGCGAAGCATAATGCCTCGTCTAAGCTGGCGGATACACTTATACATGCTAACTCAAATCGCCGCGTCGTGTTTTGCGCATGTTAATGATCAGAAGATGCACTCGCGCGGCGCTAATCAATTAACGCGAATTGAGACAGCGGAATGTTTCAATTGTAAACACTTTTCGAGAGTTGTTCTCGCGCTGATAATAACACTTGTAGATTATTTAAGGCGTAATCAAATTATTTCTAGCGTATACCAGACGCGAAAAACATCGATTCAAAATATTTTTATATTTTTAAAAAATAAATTATCATTCTCAAAAAAGTTTTTTCGGACTTACCAAAGAGCCATAAGAATAAGCACCAGAATAAGCGCCGATGCCAGCTGCAGAACCGTATGCAGCAGCAGCGGCAGTTGGCGAACTCAAGGCAGCACCGTACGAGCTCATATGTGAAGTTGCAGCAGTGGCGGAAGCGGAATCAGTAGCACTCGCAAGCATCGTCGTGGCACTTCCAGGCATCAAAGTCGAGCTGCCAAGGGAAGAAGCGGGATAATGGAGCGTCGGGGCAGCTCCAGAGACGGAAGCCAACGGGGCCACCGAGTCGTATTCAGCGGGACGCTCGATATCGGATTCGCTTTTTATCGCGAGTGGAGATGAAGACTTAAAGAAAAATTTTAAGAAAAATAAAGAAAAGCGTTCATTTTTTTAAATTTGAAGCTATTTGATCATCCCAGTATGTCCCTCTTTTAATTTATGGAACGTCTAAAGGGGGCCCTTTTCTTAGACAAGTCGAAAATTTCTGTTAACACGATGGCCTGGCATAGTCGAGGCTCAACGGATCGGAGGTGTTTGGTGTTCGGTTATGCCAAAAAGCGTTGTCACATTCACCTGCGCCACATTCTTCTGATCCGTGTCGAACACGAGCTGAATTTCAACGTGACACATCTTAAGGAGCACCCCCTTAACAGGGAGAAAGCGCGCTCCAAAAATCGGCCGAGAAAGAAATTCTTAAATTCTAGCGCCCCGGATGTTCCATTCAAGGGAGGATCTCTTGAATAAAAAACTATTGATAAAATTCTTTCTTTTTCGCAAAAAACCTTGATGACAGATTTTCTTGTCTTCGAAGTTTCATTTCTCTTTTTTCTCAAAATCATTTTTTTTTTGTTAATTTTTTTTCAATTCATTATTTTCCGTTTCCCGCTACTTCAAACAAAAATGATCCTTTTTATGTATAATTACATTTGAAAATACATGTAGGCATAAGTGAAAAATGGACACTACGCGGCGCAAGTTAATTTCAAAACACCGCTGTTTTGAGACGCTAACTAGGGTTCTTTGATATCCCGCTAAGTGAACTGGGACGGGATCGCTGGTGTGAGATTCAGAATAATTGTGTTAAAGCACCGTTTTGACCTTGTTCCAAACTTGTTACAAGTGGAGAAAATCGTGGCAAAAGAAGGCCACGGCCAAAATTGAAGGATAAGGGGGAGACCCTTATTTAAGGATGGAGGGTTTTTAAAGTGTCATAAGAAGCAAAAAGACGCAAAATATTATTAGTAAAAATATGTCTCCATGTATTCTAGCCATTCTTTTATGACTTCTGAAAGGAAAAAAGGCTGTGTTGGGATGTTCAGAAAAAAGCCGCGAAAAAGCCGCGAAGTCAGAAAAAAAGTCATTTCGAGGTCGAAAATTGACGGAAATTACGATTCATGAATACGTAATTATGAGAACTTATCGACCCCATTTTCGCCTAGTTCTCCCTCTCTCTCTGGGAATGATCGTCCCTCTCGGAGGTTTTTTTCTCGGCACCAGCCGGTCACCTCAAAAATGTGTCGCCGCGACCCGAATGTGTCGTAACGTGGAAACGCTCTCAGCCCACTAAACACTTTTGCCCCACCACCACATGATTTTTATCAAATCATTTGATATGCTTATCTCATCAGCAAGCTCTATAATTAGCCATGTTTTGACGTGAACCAAGTTTTCTTGCTTAAAAATGGAGCAGAGGGGCTGTGAGGATGTATTGGGGTTAAGGAGGTATGCAGCGATTTCCGATCGATTCTAAGATTGAATTTTTCGATAAGTTTAATTATGACAACAGCAAATTGAGACGAAGAAGATAATTAATTGGATAGAAATTTTTCGACTCAAAAAGTTTTTTTGAGTCAAAAACTGCGTTCTTGAATTAAGGGTTTACAAGCCGTATTTTTAAGAATCTTTACATGAATTTGAAACTTTTGAAACTAATTCTGAGCGGCGCGCGAATCGCAGCCAAAAAGTCATGTCGCAGCTCTAGAAAATAAAGAAAAGCGGGCGCGTTTCTGCTGTACTCGTGTGATGAATGAGTATTTCGAATATGCGCCGTGGCGGCTCCATTTCTGAACTCCGGAATTAATAAATGGCGACTTTGGGCGACAGAGATTTTTGAAAAGCGAATTCGACAATTTCGATCTGCGAGATTCGAAATTGTCAAGGAACCATTTTTTAATTGTCGGGAGCGATTTTTTCGGCGAGAGCAGGAATTTATCCCACAGAGGGGAGATCTTACGCTACCCGCCGAAAAAATGCAAAATCAAGGGCTAATGGGCTATTATTTATGAAATTTTTGAAGACGCAAAGTCTACGGAAACCGATACTCTTCTTTTTTCGGCTCTCTTCATCGTTAAATCCCACTTTTTGACTCAAAAAAAAAGACGGGAAAGAAAGAGAAATCGGTAAAACAAACTGTAAATACAGATTGACTTAAAGAAGGGAGACCCTGAATAAGGGAGATGTAAGTTCAAACTGGATCGTAAGTGGATAGGGAGAGGTAGACCCTTAATGAATAAATTAAGCGCGCGTGAATTATGATACCCTCCACGCGATTCCCACAAAAGTTCCTTTCTTTTTCTTTCTATTTTTTGGGGCGGTCAAGTGGTTTCATGTTTTTCCGATTTTCACGATTTTTTTCTGACAATGGTAAGAAAAAAGTAGAAGCTGCCAAGTTCGAAGCCTTGAAACAAGAAGTTGAAATATTGATGGACATGTCCTTAATAATCCCTTGTTTGGACTGATGATGTTTTTTCGCCATGTCAAGCGAAAAGAATGGCGGACCAAGATTGAGTGCCGCCCCGAAATGAGCGGTGATACCCTTATGCATCAACGTTATTGGAGCTGAAACGTAATACTCTAGAATTTTTTCTCGATTATTCAAAAGACAATTTTTTAGTTTTTTGAAAAAAAAAAGACTATTATCTCAGTTTTACCTTAAGGGTGTCACAAGGATAAAAATTATCTTCTGAATTATTTTCTCTGAAAAAAAGGCTCTATTCTAGTTCAAAATTGGGACCGGTTGTTTCTTGTTGCTCAATTTTGTATTCTCAAATTGGCCAGAGCGCGCATGAAATATTTACAAATTTACTGTGGTTTAGGCGAAAAAGTTTGTTAATTTTAAAACTCTTTGTTAATTATCAATTAACATCTATTCCTCTTGGCCCCTTGAGGGTTGGGTCCTTGAGTAGATAGGTGCTTGGCGCTCAGACTGTAAATAATATGGATGCAAACAAATAAAACGAAGAAAAATAAGGGTCTACCTTCAGTTAATTATTCAATAAGTTATTTATAACTTTTTGGTCAGAAATTTCAACAAAAAGCGAAGTTATTAAGGGAGTGAGTCTGTTAAAGAAAAATTTTCAAGGAGGTTTTTTCGTACAAATAACGAAGAGACCTCCTTATTATTTTATCTTTTCCGAAGAGGAAACCCGTTTTATTCATTCTATGATCGGCAATTTCCAGTCATTAAAACCCTTGTTTTCAACCCTTAGAAAAAGTTTCTTATCATTCGAAATGAATGTTGATTTTCATGTCTCTCTCACCTGTGGATATCCTGCAGCGGCGTATGTAAAAGTCGGCGGCTGATGAGCGGCCGGTTGTTGTTGGTGCTGTTTTGATTGGTTCACGATTTGATATCTACTGTTTTCACTGTTGTGTTTATAAAATGTCTCAATTTGAAAAAGTGTTGTTGATCTTGTCTGGCTGGTCGATAAATTACAAAAAATAAATCTGCTCAAGCAGGACAAGAACTCATGTAGTACGAGGTTTTAACAAGGGGCGCAGATTGCTAAGGATACGCTGGGACACCACCGCGCAGTTTCACTTCTAGGTGGCGCTGGGGCACCTCGACGCTGGGACCAAGCAGCCAGTCCGCGAGTGAGGGCCAGTCCCTGAGCAAGCGGAGCGCCCAGCGGACCCAGCGCGCCACCTGCTGGAAATCGAGGCAATAGAAGGTCTCTTATGCAAAAAATGCGCATGTTTTATGTCTAGTATCTCCCTGTTTTTATATCAAAAAAGGTTCATATTTTCATTAATAATGAATGATGCACTTGTATTTTTAAGCTTATTCATATTTTAAAGAATTAATGGAAATTTGGATGAAACATGAGTTTTCATGAAAAAATCTTCGAAGAATGGTATTTCAAATGATTTGTTTTTTATGATAGTTTTTTAAAAACTGGAATTCCGCAAATTATAGGCATATCCTTCTTCTTCCCTTGTTCATTTGTTTCACCTTCCTCTTATTCTTTTCGTAGCTCTCTAGCACCCTCTTTGTCGCGAAAAAAAAAGAATCAAGAACGAATTAAGTTGCTTGTTCCTTGCCCGGCCGGACGTGGCCACCTAGTGCAACACTGTTAACAACGCTGGTAACAAGTGTAAACAACGTTCAACTTATATAACTTACAATGTGATAAATCGATGTCCCCTGCATCAAAAACCAATAGACAAATGTTTACAAACCAAGATACAAGCTCAGAACCTGTTCGAGGATTATTTTTTGGATACTAAACAAGATTCTTCCTTTCTTACCTCAAAAAGTAGGAATCGCAAGAACCTGTATAGAAAACCAGACTGTGGTTTTTAGATAATTCAATCAAAAGCCGCGCAGCGGCTTTTTTAAAAACGAAGCCGCAAAGCGGCTTCGCCAATATAACCTTTGCGGCTTGACATTGAATTAATTCAAAACCCTGAGTCAGGTTTTCTACACAGGTTTTCGAACCTTGTTCAGGACTGAGCTTACCTGGACCAGGTCATAAGTAAAAGGCAGGTTTTTTTATGAAGAATAAAAAATGAGATTTCGACGAAAAAAATTGAAAGTTGTAAAAAATATTCGAGCAAGAGGCAATAACAATTCCGGGGAATTGCGAATCCTGACCGTACTACTCATAGCTGCAGCTGGCGGTTTATGTTTATTACCATAAACTGGGCACGCTGACAAGAACTAACTGAAGCCAGTAGTTCTCGATTCAGCTCAGCGCGGCGCAAATTATTCTCCGCTCGGAAAACACCATGTTAAAAAGTCCTCGCCCGTAAAATTCTAATTGGCCGATAAGGACATGGCGCGCACGACAACGGGGCGCAAAACCATGTTCAGAATATATAAATTTGTTGCGCTTCCAATATTCCAATATAAATGCTGATAAGAGCATTTATACATTCTTCCACGAGCCAAAAATGTTCTTGAAACTTTATACACAGGCTAATTCAGGTTCTGAAAGGGCTTTAATGAAAAGCCGCGTAGCGGCTTTTTCAAAAGAAGCCGCAAAACGGCTTGAGCATAATAAAAAATGGTCTTTTTGCGAAGCCGTTTTGCGGCTTTTCATTAAAGCCCCTGAGACACTAGAATGTTTGAAAATTGCCCCCACGTAAAATTGTCGCCTCCTTAATTTCCTGCTGGCAATGAATCCAAAACGGGATGTTTCTCCTTTATTATGATGCTTGTTTGGCTAATTGCTGGCGCCCAGCGAGTGACAAAACTACAAAATGAAATTTGTGTTTTCTGCTCATTTCAGTTTGTCTCCCTTTCATTCTGAGTTGTTTTTCTTCCCGTTCACCAACTTGTCGCAATTACCGAGCTGACAAGGAAAAAGTAATTTAGACATAAAATTTGCTCCTCGCGGGCGGAAACGAAAACTTTGTCCAGCAAAACATAAATATTGTTATTCTGTTATTCTTGTTGCAATCCAAAATTAAGGAGACGTTCCCTTTTCTCAGCACTTTTAGCACATCCAAAATTCTAGCCGAAAATTTCTTGAAAAAAATCTGGCCATGTTCTTTTTGATTTTTTTTCTGGGCAGCTGACCTTGGAGATCAGAAATCTTGTCATGTTTTTCGCTTGTTTCGGAACTATTTTGGGGCGCTTTGTGAAAGATAAACCTCGTTTAGCGACAAAGGGCCATTGAACGGGAACATATGTTTGCGTATAATGCTTCCCTTATCCATGTTTAGAGCCACGCGCGGCTTTCTTTTCGTTTTCTTTCGAAAGAAGCTGAATTCTAGCGCTTGTGATTCTTGTTACATATTTGAGTTCAAAAAAAAACATAATCATTCTTTTTTAAGTTTTTATTTTAAAATTTGAATAACGCGAAAATTTAAGGCTTTCCTAAGGGTGAGGCTTAGGTTAGGAGAAAGGAATGGGGTTTAGGATTTCTTCATTTAAAAATTCAGAAAATACACCCTTTATTTTAATTTTAAAAACTTTGATCTGATTGTAAAACTATTATGGGTGTGACTAAAATAATTTTTTTGAATAGAAGTCAAGAAAAAATCTTGATTTTAGAAAATTATGCCCTAAAGAAAAGAATAATTATTGACCACGTGACACTGTCTGTCTGAGAATCACTTCGTGTAATAAATACTAGAGTAATACAGTTTTCTTATATCTTGATTTCTTTGATTTCAAACTCAAATTCATGGACCAATTAAATATCTCTCAAAATGCATTGCCCATTTTCGCGTTTTCAATTCTCGGGTGACGTCGTCGAGAATTTTTGGAATTTGGCGGTCGCGAATTCCAGCCCCATGTACTTTCGCATACCCCCTTACATAGAGCACGAAGCGGGGGAGGCAAATTGAGCTAGGCCCTTCACTTTTAAACATGACATATTACTTTTTTCTTTCGATCGTGAACCACTTTCCGTTAGCGACATTTTTTCTTCCAGAGATGAGTCTTCTTTGTCTTCACTTTTTGATCTTCGTTTTTTGGAAATTCTCTGTTTGGTCGAAATAAAATTGATGGCAAAATGGCAAAGCTGCGAAATCTAACAGGGAAGGCGGATAATACGGGCCTCCTTTGCGAGTTGGTAGATGCTTAGGTGCCGAAATATTAGAAAGATGGAAAGGACACAGGGGAGGCCACGCGGTGGCGCTGCCATATTTTTCCTGCAGGAGTCTCTTTTCGTTTTCCACTGGAGCTATTTTCTTTCTTTTTGGAAGGTTTTGGAAGGTGAAGAATGAATTATGAAGACAAATAGACAATTTCAAAAAGCAAAAAATTTTAAAACTATAATTATTTTTTACTTAATTAAAATTGAAAAATACTCTTTTAAGAGTATCAATCTTTTTAAGAGTGAAAGTTAAACGCATAAGTTAAAAAAACAGGTGAAAATGAGGAAGGATTATTTTGAGGAAAAAAGAAACAGTATTGAATCAGATATTGATTCAGGCAAAAAGTCAAACACGAAAACTCCTGTCGGGAGAATTTTAAATTGCGCAACTTGGAGGAAGAAGACCGCTTAAAATAACGTACCCCACCCCCTTGCTCGCTCACATTTTGTGAACATTTTTCCCTTGCTCGCTTAGTTAAATTTTATCAAAGTCCCCTTGCTCGCTCTCATTCTTGTTTCAGCGCGCTCCATTAGTCGCCATCCTTCTTTTTACCTCGCGCGCCCTTGTTCGCTCCTCCTCACCCATTTATCCCTTGTTCGCCGCGAGACCGCCAAAGCCTAGCTCGGCTTGGGTCGCTCTTACAGCTCTTACTGTACTTTCGACTCAAGCTTTTCATAGGGAATTTTATTTTTCATTTTCATGAATATTTTGACATTAACTAAACTTCATTTCCTCTTTTTAAAGCGTCCAGTTAAATTTTTATATCTTGTATCAACGCTGAATTATGCCGTACACTTGATCGTGTGACTTCATATGTACATTTATACTCAAAATAGTCGGATCTTCAAGTTGAGACTGGTTCTTTTAACAAACGCCGCGGAAATCCCCCCAAACTTATCTATTTTATTTAACTCTAGCGTTCCATGTGGATTGAGCGGGTAGTGTACCTCTGCAATTTTCAAAAATTACAGTAGATTTCTGAAATTTCCTTGAACAGTATTTTTCCCTTATACAAAATGACGACTTGAGAATTTCATTTCTTGTGTCAAAAAGAAATAATCTCACCTGACTCGAAAGATATGAATTTTAACGTTACCCCGCCAGGAGTTACTTATGTTTACTCGAAATGATGTGTCCAAATTTTCTTCTTATGAAGAAGATATGAAAATTTGACAAAATGGACGTAAGAGAGCATAAAAAGATAAGCTTGCTCGGAAAAAATCATGAAAATCAAAGTTAAAAAGCCTTTTAAAAGTGAAAACGAAAATGAGCTACGCGTTATAAAGCGTTGTCGCGGGGCTTCAAGAGCGAACAAGGGATAAATGACGGAGAAAGGCGGGCGAGCAAAGGTGCGCCGTCGAAACCAAGGAGGGCGAACAAGGGGGCGTAGAATGCAAAAGAAGGAAAGCGACCAAAGGACTTTGGTAACAAAAAGCGAGCGACCAAGGGGGGTCTTGTTGGAGTTTAACTAAGCGAGTAAGGGGAAAATGTTCACAAAATGTGAGCGAGCTAGGGGGGGGGGGTACGTTATGGAAACTTCTCCCAGACGTCTTTGACTGGTCACAATTTCCCCATGTCAGTGAATGTACGACCAAACCTTGTGCTTCCGGATTAACTTATCCAAGAGTATTCTTGAGGCAAAACTGAGGATGCACATCTGCGTGGAAACCTATTTCAGGATGTTGAAGTTAGGAGGATGGCGTCATTTTCATATTTTTTTTATTATAATTTTTTTGAGACTCAAAAAGTTAAATTATGAAAAGGACGATCTAACATGCCGTTATCAAACGAACATAGTTGCACGTGATCATGTTCGCGCGCTAGAAGAGGCTTAGCGATGTCGGAAAGTTCAAAACACGGATGTGACATGCGCAAAAACATTTTCGATTACATTCGACGACGTGTGTTCGAACATCCAGAGGCGACCTATATGCGACAACATGTGTATAAGCCCAGCATAACGCGTGTAACTCCCCCAAGAACTCGAGGCGAATGTCACCGCAGAATTAACTCTCAGAAATAAACAACAAAGACAGCTTCGATAAAATTTAAATAAAAAACTTTCTCAAAAAACCTTAAAAAATCAACAATTTTTTCTTGATTTTTTAATTTCAAAAATCTTAATTTCTAAAAAACGGAAGTTCGTGGCTGACAAATTAATTAGCTGCTTGACGCAATTAACAAACTTTGGATTGATTAGAAATTACAAAAATGGGACAAACCTGTCGCGCGCAACGAGAAAATGATTGATCGAAGCAAGCATGCACCTCGAAGTCTTCGAAGAACTCATTTTTTGATCGATAATTTGGTAATGGAAAGTATTCGAAAATTGAAATTCTTGAGGAAAATTAGATTTAACCAAGGCCAAGCGGGGTTTCTTTTCGTAGAAGAAGGAATAACTGGATCAATTACAAAAACATATGTAGCAGTTAGCTCATGAATTAACCTCCCACTTCACTCAATTTGGCCATTTTCTCAGGGCTCACCCTTATTACAGCTCTGCTTCTTTCGCTTCATGGATAGGCTGATTTTTTTTTGGGAATTTGAAGAAAAATTTCTTTCTCTTTTTCTTTCCCCATATCAGCCCGAAGCGGTGCATTTGGCATTAGGATGTGCATATCGTGCTCTGCGTACTTTGCTCAGCGCTACTTGAGCGCCATGTAAGTCAAGGATTAATGACAAGGGATTTAAATTTTGAATTTTTCGCCTTGTAAGTATTCCGCCAGCCAATTTTTTTCGCGAGTATCGAGTCGATCGACCGCGGATTTCAACCAAAAGTTGGATTTCTGACTTTTTCTTAGTAAAAAGTACCGTTGATTGGCTACAGTAAGACTGATCTCTAGAATATGAGTCAAGAAGCTTCAATAAAAAGCCGCGTAGCGGCTTTCTCCTCAAAAGAGCCGCGAAGCGGCTCCGCAAGATGCTTGAGAAAGATTGAGCTCGGTATTCTTTATTATAAATTTTATGATAAAATTCAGTCCTGATGAGTGATAATATTGATGGAACGTGAGGGATAGTTTTTGATGGAGATCCTGCTTAATGAATTTGATGCGAATCAATGTTGTCGCGAGATTGTCCCTGTGTCGATGAAATGTTCTACATCGCTCGTGACTAGCCAAGGCGTGTTCCTCAATTAACCAAAAACACAGATTCCGGCCCGCTAAAATTGGCTTATCCAACTTTTGAACAAAATTTTTCTTTGTCCGGACATATGATTATGTAACAGCGCGCCCGGACCTCTGTAAACACGTGTATTGAACCTTGTAATGGATCGAGACGATCTGTTAACATTCGCGCATTTTTTCAAGAACATTCTTAGACGCTCAGATTTTCGATCTCGAAATCGAAGCGAAATTTTCTTTCTGAATTTTTCGATAAAATTTTTCTTCTACTGAAAAGCCAAAAACAAAAAAAAACCGAAATTTTTCTCTTCCTTGATTTCAAAATCAACAATTCAAAATTCTTTATAATCTGTAAAAAGATAAATCAACTAAGGAAAACCTTTTTATCAGCGATTTTTTGCCCGTATCTTTCTTTTTTCTTTTTCCCGATTTTTAATTTCTTTCCAAATTGCTTCAATTTCTTCCGGGCGCCGGGTTCAGCGTCGTCCTTTTTCGTCGTCCCTGTTCGAATCAATTCATCGTTACCGGTTGGTTATGGTCTCAACACGGTTGCGGTTGGCGGTGGTGCCGCTTCGGCGCGTGGAGGCGCCTCCTGGAATGTCCTTTCCAGCCCCCAACGCGGCCGTGTTTCTGCTATAATAGAACCTTTATCAACGGCATGTTCCAATTTATCTGATAGACGATAAGCCGCGCTAATTAGGGATAAAATGCCATTAGCCGAGCTCCATTTTTTCGCCATCAATTCTTTTTTTATAAAGGAATTTTATCAGAAAAATGAACCAAAAATAGAAAAATGATTGCATCACGAATCAAATTTTTTTGAATAAAAAAATCGAAGCCGCGCTTTGCGCGGCTATTTCTCTTGTTATCTCGAAGCCGCAAGCTTCTCGATTTTGCCATGAGTTATCCGCTAACGACCCTATTACTCGAAAAAATAAGCCTAGAAATGAATCAAACCGCAAAATGTGGATATTCGGTAGCTTTCCTCTTTTCAACAAGCTATCGGAACCCGGTCCAGACGCGCTGAACACGGAAAGTCATGTTTTTGCGCATGTCGCGGCCGTTGCGCTAAAAACCAGCTTGGATTACAATTTCCGAAATTTCAAAGCAACTAAAGCTGGCTTTTTCTCTTTATTTCAAGAACTCGTTGAGAGGTAGAAAAGAGCTAGAATAAGAAAGAAATTAAGTGAGTTGGAAATTCCGGCGTCGGGAGAGCAAAGTTTCGAATCGTCAATCAGCGGGTCTACACAAGCGTATCCTCTGAATCCAGCGCCGCCAAAGCATTTTTCCGCGACCCAATTTGCATCGTCCTCGTAAAAATCGGGGAGCAAGGAGTTTTGCTTCGTGTTGATGGCCATGACCACACAGTTCTTTCCCAAGGATGAAAATAAGCATCATTTAAAAGCTGAAAAAATTCAACCTTAGACGTCCCTGTCCTTTTCTCCATCAGTTCCCGATTCTCCTGGAGGATAAAACGGAGCCCAAAAAGTTTCTGCCGACTCACTGAACATAACATCACCGTCGTTTTCAATTCTTCCTAACAAGCAACTATTATATAGAAAACCTCATGTTGCAAATTTGAGTTGTTTGATCCTCGCCCTCCTTCATGTAGTTCCATTTCCATTCCGCTGCTTCTGAAAACATGTGTTCCTTACGCGGAGAAAGACGAACCCACCTCGCTTCAAACCGATATAGAATGAGACGGGTAGTTCTGAGACAGGCTTTCCAGCTTCTTCTGCTCTTATTTTCATAAAAGCTTTCAGCTCTTCTACAAAAAATAGTTGGTCGCTCAGATCTTCAATATACGGCAGCGTCTGATTTCGTTCTGTATAAAGATAGACTCGTGATGTAATTTTGTCCTGTGAACATCTTGTGCCCTGGTATTTATGGGCCATGATTCATGGCTCCTGGTGCTTAAGTAATCATCTTTTCCTGAACAGTGCTCCAGAGCTTTCTCCCAAGTCGGGCCAACATCTGCCGGAACGAGCGTTAGATGAAGATTCGGTTTGTAAAAGGCTGAAGAGGATGATGCGAGAAGAAAAAACGAAACTAGCTTCATTTGGTTTTCTCTCTTTTTTTGATTTGATGTTCTGAGATTGAAAATTGGGAAGTTGAAAGGAATATGTGGATGAATGAAAAAAAGTAATAATGGAGAAGAAAAGAGACAGCTTTGGAGAAAAGTAAACATTCCGAATAGGAATCGTAGGAACGGCTTCATTGGCCGAAAAAAATCCGGTCTTTTTTCGAGATTTCTTTATCAAGACGGCTGAAAGATGCGCTTTCCGTCGCCAAAAACCTGGCTTGGGAATGATTTTTTAACATGTCGCGCCATTTTATCATCTTGTTTTTGCCATTTAAGGGGAGCCGGAGCGGTTTGAGAGAGGCGGAGAACATGTAAATAGATAATCCGATTTTCCGAGAGCATCGACCAAAAAGACCAGCTCTAGAAATTTTCGATTATGTCGAATTTCGTTTTCCAGAGCAAGTACGGAATAATGCGTCTAAAAATACTTTCTTTCGATGAAACGAGTTCTACACTGCTTCTTACACCAGACTCAACTTTTTCCATTTTCGCTTCATTCAGTTTTCTTTTTATCATTTTTTTCGTGTTTCAGCGCGGCGCTAACAATTGTTATCATGTTACTTGCAACCGCAAAACATTAAACAAAATTGGGAATACTCCGCGGTACCAACTTTTTCTTTTTCGTCGGCGCCGGGCTAAAAATAATTATTTGGCTTGTCGAATTGTCGCGAAAATGCAGCTTAGCTTTGAATCTAAACAGGCGAAAAATAAAGAGAAAAACAAAAAAAAAAACTATTTTAATAATTTTCTTATTAAAAATGATGATTTCAATGGGGAAAATACAGTCAGTACTGAAAATTTCACGATTTTTCTGAAGATAGAATAGAACTCCCCAAAGGGAATTCCTCACATGAAGGTTTATCAGCCCTGATATGGAAAAGTCAAGAAGTGATTCGTTTGCTGGCGGGGATCTTACCGCAAATGCGTCTACCATCTTCCAGAGAAAGGCTGGACACCGCCGGTGTTCCATTCGCATCAGCCGTTCTTAGTTGACTTTGAGAATCTTTCGCTTTCCCTTCTGTATTTATCATTGATAAATTATCGGCAAAAATGACAGAAATAAACAAGAAGCAAATCATTGAATAAATAGAACAGATGACTGCTGAGCACTTGCTTCAGACATTTTCACAACAAAATTTTCTTGAAGATAGAAAATGAGAGGAATTCCAGTTGAATTTGTAAAAGGAACTCGTTCTCCTTCGGATTTTTGTTGGTATTGCAGGTCAGATCTTGGTTCACGGACCATGAATCATAGTTTAGGTCTTGACTAACAGATTCATAGCCAAGTGAAGAGAACCTTGTTCTCGCATTCGATTGGGATTGAACAACATGATGATTTCAAAAACCATCCTTTATCAGGCGGCATGTGTATTCGCTGGATTTGTGAGCACTGCCTTCGCGAAAAAGCGAAGGAAAAATGCAATTGCCTCTATTGGTTTTCGATAAAAGGGGAGAATACAAAGAGTTTTATGGAAAACTGCGATTTTTCATTTGATGAAATGAAGTTTTTTCGAGAATTGCAAACGAGCACTGGGCATATTCAATCGCTTGAATTCTCTTGTCCACAGAAAATTTGCAATCAAATTCTTTCTTACGAAGAGTTCGGAAATCATTTTCATGAAAAAACAGATGGTAACTGATATTTTTTAATTGACCTTTCTTTCTCTTCAGTGTCTTCACAACTCAAAAATGCCGATATCGCAATTCAGAAAATTCAACGAAAGCTCGAAGAAATCAACAATGAAGACTCAGAAAATGACCAACGGATAAAAGAAGTCTCTGAGAAGTTGTCAGATCTAAAACTGAACAAAAGTCGTCTTGATAAGAAAAAGAAAATGCTGGTCGCAAAACTAAGTGAAGTGAAAAAGATACAGATGAAATCAGACCAATATATTACGGTACAGCTTTCGATGATAGTTCCTTACTTATATTTTTAAGCTCGACAAATGAATTCCATGAAAGAGAACGCCCTTACTTGCGGAGTCTGCTATGAGAAATACGACAATTAGAACCATCATCAAGCTTGCATAAGCACCTGCTTTCATACCTTTTGCTTTCAATGCCTGAGCATCCTTGACCCAAAAACATGTCCCAAATGTCGGTGACAGTTCTCAAATCAACACAATTTTCTGATTTTAATGCCTGCTCTTTTTTACTTGATTATATTTTACTTGATCATTCTAGATTCATGTTTTCTTAGTTTTATTATTTTCTAAAAAAATTAGGGGTAGACTCCTTGTTGATTTCAGCACCATTTTCACAGAAAATTTCCAATGAATCCCATTTCGCTTCCTTCGTGATGTTCTCTTGTCAAATCATCCATAGTTTCTTCCAGCTCGCTATAAATGAATAAAAATTAATGAATGAAAAAAAATGAGTCAAAAAAATACACTTTCTGTTGATCAAGAATTTCAGTGGCCATGACTAGATTGCAGATCTTTTCGATTCCGGACATGTCCAGTTGCTTGAATTCGAACATCTTCGTCATTGCTAAAAGTGCCAAAAAACAATACGAAAAAGAATCCCATAATTACCGACGCAATTCATATACATCCCGTTTAAATCATAAATACTTGGACCTTTCTCTTGAGGAAAAGGTTCAGCAAAAGCGAGAAAAAAAATAATGACAATCGTTCTCATCTTTTGCAAATATGTCGGCATTATTGTTCTATCTTTTTAAATCCACGATTCATACGTCTCATTTAGGCTGATGCAGAATATTTCTGAGTGCACTATGCACTCACGGTTCTTTTCAAAATAGGCTCTTCTATGTACGTCGCCGTTTAATCATGTGTGTTCAAGCGTTAGAATGATTCGGTTTTGTTTTGTAAAAATATTTATTCAAAAAGTTAAAATTTCTGATTGTCAGTAAAAGTTCAAATGTAAAATAAGAGCGTGAGCAGATACAAATCTAAATTGAGTCAATTTCAGCAATATTTCTTGTTTATTTTTTCCAACCACTGTGGCCATCTTTTCAGTGCTCGTTTCGTCACTCCATCTTTACAACCATAATTTGCCGTCCAAAGCTTTGCAGCATCTTCAACAAGCGTGGCTTGAGAACAAAGATCGCTTGAGTTCGAAGCACTCTTAACGAAATCGGTGAAATCGGAACCGCCGTATTTAATAGGATCGTAAGGCTCGGCACAACTCAAACTGTCATCGTTAGTTGTAAAGATTCGATCGAGCTTGGAATATCTTCTCGAGAAGAATCGGTCCGTACGTCGTCCTTGTGCTTATGATATGATTGAAAAAAATCGAAATTAACAAGACAAGAAGGAAAACAATCTTCTTTTGAAAATTTGTCAATCATTCCTAAAAGATCCGCCATCTCTGCAGCGAAATTGCTGATTTCTGTTCTTGCTTCTGATCCTGTCATCACTGGAGGCTCAATTGTTGTCGTTGTTGTTGTTGGTAGTGTGGTGGTCGATGTTGCTGTCGTCGTTGTTGTCGCAGTGGTCGTGGATGTGGTGGTAGAGTACTCTGTCGATGTCGTTGACTCAAACTCTGTGGATGTTGTTGACTCTTGAGTTGTTGAAACAAGAGTTGTTGTTGTTGGTAGATCTGTGGTTTGTTGTCCGTTGACGAGGGCTAAAACTGTAAAGGAAAATTTCATTTTTAGCTCGCTTTTTTTCTCTTTTCTGAGTTGTTGTGCGACGGGAAAAATGTGATCGAGCAATTTATACAGCGGTTCTGTGGCGCCAATTCCAGTGATCGCCACTTTATGCTCTTATCAGGGAGTGTTCTACGAGTTAAAACTAGCGGAGGCCCCCGCTCCGGATTTATCTACTCCAGCGAAAAGGGCTTACCGAGGATATGCCCAGACAAGGGGATTAGATACGTTTGCATTTAGATAAAACGCGCTTGTTAAGAAAATTACTAATTTTAGAAGAAAAAAATCCGCTCTAAGAGCTTTCTATTTTTTAAATTACAAGGGATATCCTTTTATAAATGGGCTCTTTGTCTCTAGAATTGGATCTGTTGTCTTGAACGATTCATTTTTTCATATTCATTATGAGAATCACTTATGCGAAGAACGCGCATGATGCGCGAAAAATCGCAGCATTAGTCGCTGGAGGTAGATTTTAACTCCAAACTTCCAAAAAAATAGTTTTACATTCAGAAACGCAGCCAAAAAAACCATTTGCTAGAAGAATCGTCGAAGAAAAAGATCTGCAGCACACGATTCTGGCCTTCTTGGTTTGGCTTTTGGTCCTTTTTTTCTTGGTAAGAAACAGGAAAAACACAATTCTTATGATTAGGTCTTCGATATTGTAATGTTCTTCGCGAAGATGTCGGCTCCAGGAGGGCTTCAAGTCATTCAGACGAAAACTGGTCAAAGTTTAGGAAAGATTCAGAGCTAAGAAAAAAAAAAGAATAAGTAAAAAAGAGATTTGATCTTGATAAAGGCCGACCTTTTGACCGAGACCTTACAATTCTGATCCTGGTTGGACATGTCCAAGGAATCCTTATTTCTTGCCAAGAAAAGTGCTATTAGAAATCGCTTTTTAATACTCAAAAAAACTCAAAGATAGCACCTTTGAAGCCCACAATATTTCGTTGGTCAACGGCAAAAGCATCAAGTTACGAAAAGTCAGCGGCATCATCATTTTCCTCCAAGCTCTTACATTTCTCCTGAGAGTCGCCTTTCAACTTACATTTTTAGATTTTTTCTCTCTCCCCAAGCCTTCCTGAATTATTAACACTTTTTGATGGTCTCCCTCTATTTATTTAACGCAATAAAATACTTTTTTTCCTATTCAAAAATATTATCAATTTCTCATTTTCTCTCGAAGAATTGGCAAAAAAGAGCATGATCTCTAGAAAAGAAATTATTATCAGCCTTTTCTCATGTCAAAAGCTCAGAGAAAGAAAAACAGAGAGACAAAAACGCACAAAATGAACGAATCCGCCACTAGTTTAACTCCATCAGCTGGGTACAAAAATATGTACAAAAAGCTACCATCCGAATCAGAGGTTTGAAAGACTATAAATCCATCGGTGTGAAAAAAATCTTTTTAGGGAAAAAATAATTTTAAAGTCTGCAGTGGCATTCTCTTCTTGATCATCGGTCTTCCTTCTATCTACTACATATTTATCAACCCGATGCCGGAATATGAAATTTGTGCCGTGAATGGGCAAGAGTTGAATGTCACCGAATTCGGAATCATTCTCAAGTATGTAGTGGCTTGTTTGAAAATGACCCAGATCCATTTCTAGAGACGCGCACAATCATGTTCATAGAAGTAACCAATTTACATCGAATATGACGCTCGAATGTTCTGGTAAGAAAAAAATCGGTGATGAGTGAAAAAGTTTTATTTTCGAATTTTTAGTAAAAATTCTTGTTCCGCCAGAGTTTCTTGAAGACAGTCGCTATCAAATAACGATGCAATTTCTCAAGTTCGAAGTTGATGCTTACAATACAACTGCGTGTAGAAGCTATCTTGAGATAGAAGACAAATTCTACTGTGGAACGATAACTGGAGATAGTGGAGTCTTTCGCGATGCAGTAAGTCAGAGAAGAAAAACAGTATTTCTACTAAATGTTTCTCTTTAGGGCTTTGAACAGTACGAAAAATATGACACGGAAATGACGAGTCTCAATTTTCGGTGGTTTAACAAGGGTCAATGGGATGACCGCGAGTTTCAAATAGTTCTCGCTGTCGCAAAAACCTGTAAGTTTCGTACAATTTCGACCCCTTTGTTTTGTTCTTTATCAAATCAAATAATGAAATTCAGCAAACAACGTCAACTTCTTCTCGAAAAATTTCAACAAAACGGAAATGATAGACGCCAACAACTTAACCCTTTCTACGAAGTTCTTCATTTAAAAAACTGTATTCAATTTTAATTTTTTAATAAAACTTTTTTCCTTTAACTGTTATCATTGCGTGTTTATGATCTCCATTGATTGTAAGAATCAATTCACCGAGAAAGTCTTTGTTCTGAGCTCAGACGGATTCCGATTTTTTCATCCCTTTCAACCTTGAAAAGTAGATCGATCCAAGCAAGGTGAAAAAAGTTTACGAAAAAAGGGCGCGATCAGATTAGAATTGAACCAAAATCGGTGAACCGGAACACTGGCCCGCCCTGTGAACACTCTGCGTGGGTTCATTTGAAACTCACGCTGGCAGCGTTCCAAGCCGTAGTAGAAATAATTTTTATTTGACTTTTTAGCGCCAAGTCAGATCGAGCACGATTTTACGCGTTTTGAGATTTTTATAATGAGTTAGAGTGAATTGCTAAGAATCAGAAGAGAGAGAGAGAGTAAAAAAATCGAAGAAAACCGGAAGTTTTTGTGAAGAAAGAGGGTTGATGAAAGCTGTTCTTGCTCAGGTAAAAGTCAAAAAAATGGACATTTTTTAATTTGGGCGTATATGAGCGCTTACTTCAATTTTTTCTTAACAAAAATTGGCTCAAAACTATCTTTGAAAGTTTTTAGCTGTGGTCATTTTTCTCCTTATTGAATAATTTTAAGGTGAAAAACATCATCGTCGGTGCTTTATTCCTCCTGCTCGTCCTCTACGAACTCGCCCGAGAAACCGAGAATGTGATCAAATCCCTTCGACTGAAACGATTCTGGCACGATCTCCTCTTCTCCTTTATCCTCTTCCACACGATTCGATGCTTCATTGGCATGGCCATCGTCTTTGTGACTGTATATTTGTCTGTTTTGGCTGTAAGCTTGGCTCATGAGATTGTCTTCTTGAAGGACCACAAGCTCTCATTCAAAGTTGAGATCAAATAAATTATTCAAAAAGTGATTTTTCAAAGTTTTTATTTGAAAAGAAAGATTCGGCAATGACAGCTATTTTTTTATCGAAGGATACTTCATTCATTCGGAAGTGTGTAACGTACCTAATCCAGTGGTATCTGCCGCTCTAAATCAAAATCCCCGGTGCACCGGCGCAGCGAAACACTGATAAAGTATCTCACTACTGCCCGGAGGCGGATTCGTCTGGTGGTATTTTCACGAGGCAGGCACGTTTAGATTTCTGTTCTAGCGCTCTCAACCCTTCGTTTCTCATCATAATCAAATTTCAATATTTCAAAATTGTCAACTTTTTAAAGCTCTTTTTCGCGGAAACAAGCGGGCTCATTTTACGAGACTTTTTCCGATTTAACGATTGAGAATACAAACACAACCCAAAACTGAAAAGAAAGAGAAAAAACTGATGAAATTTTGTTGAACGAAAACTCTGAATAAAAACTAATCAAAATGGAGGAACTTCATAAAAGGAACTTGGTCAGAAATGATAATAGAAAGTGATAATAGGATTAAAATGGAAATTTGGCAAGAAAGCGGTGGCGATATTTTCACGGTGGCTCTTGAGGGTTCTTTGAAGATTTATTGCTAAAATAGCAAAATGGATCTTCAGGAACTTTTTTTCAGAATACTTTTTTCCAAGTAATGTCCAATAAAGTGAAAACTAAAAAAAATAGAACAATAGCTCCTTGATTCAATAATCTGTGTCTAGTCAAAACCCGGATCCGACAATGTCATTTTATTTTGAGTTCGTTCAAATTTCAGAATTGAATTCAAGAGTTTCTTGAATTTTCTTGGCTATTTTCATCATAAAAAATGAGAGATAGAAATTCAGACTCCGAAATTGACTCAGAGAATGAGCATCTTTTAGAGATAGAGTCAGAAAATGAAAGTTTATGGTTAAATTTTATCAATTAGATGCGAACTTTTACGAGGGCCTTATCTTGTTTCAGGCTTTTATCATTGATAAGCAAAAGCGAATTAAATTTGTGTTGACCAAAAAGAAAGTCCTTCAACAAGCGCGAAAATTGGCTCTGCCCTTTTTTATGCTATCAGGAAAAGGTTGAACAAAGCGGAAATTCTTCCAATAAAAGAACTTTTTTTCCACGAGGAAATATTCTCATCCTCGAAATAGCTCTATTCTCATCGTGTTTGTTAACAAATCCGTCCTCTCAATCTACTCGTTCCCATCTCCCGAGCTGCTCGGATGCGGCCAAATGACAGCAGCTATCATCGTCCTGTCATTTCTCAAACTCATCAAAAAGGTCAGATTTTTTTTTAATTTACTTGATAATAACAACTTATATTTCAGATCGACTTTCCAGATCATTCAATAAAAGTTGTAAAGGAAATCTTTCCACTGCCGCTATTATACCTGGCAAATATGATTTTCGGCCTTATGTCCACACAGGTACTCATTTTCTCTTAGCTCTCCCTCTTTTCAGCCTCTATTCTAGAGCTTGTCACTGCCAATGTTCACGGTTCTCCGACGATTTTCGATCCTCATGACGATGATTCTCGAGTGGTTCATCCTCAAAAACGAGGCCAGACGACCAATCATCATCGCCATCGCCATCATGATTGGTGGAGCCCTCGTTGCTGCTCTTGATGATCTCGCTTTTGACCTGGCTGCTTATTGCTTTATTCTCTTGAATGATTTTTTCACGGCTTCTTATGGTGTTTTCACGAAGAAGAAATTGAACGGAAAGGACTTGGGGAAATATGGACTGATGTATTACAACTCTCTTTGCAGGTATTTTCGAAAGACTATTTCTTGCTAGGCGAAATGTGAGGGAAATTTTTTTCACACTTTTGCCGCGATTTTTCGCGCTCAAAGAATTTTGATGATCCATTTTTCTTCAAATTTTCATTGAAATCACCATTCATTTTTAGTCTTCCTCTGGTGCTCCTGATCTCCTTCTCAAAGGGCGATTTCGAAAAAGTCTCTTCTTTCTCGGAATGGAACAATCCAATGTTCATCATTCAATTCTTCGCATCCTGCTTTATGGGCTTCATCCTCATGTACTCCATCATCCTTTGCACGCAAAACAACAGCAGTTTGACAACCACTGTAGTCGGATGCATGAAAAACCTGTTCGTCACCTATTTCGGAATGGTGTTTGGACACGACTATCAATTTTCAATGCTCAATTTTATGGGAATCAATATCTCCGTCGCTGGAAGTTTGGTCTACTCGTATTTCGCGTTCAAGAAACCGAAAGAAAGCAGCCAGACACAACCTCTTCTGAAGAAATAATCGAAAAAGAGGCATGAATTTTAGGCTATTATCATTTTAAAATCTAAATATATTCATTTTCTGTGCAATAAATATCATTAATAAACAAGTGCAAACCTAAATTTTTACTCTAAATTGGATGATAAGAAGAAATCGAGCAGCATTATCGATGAATGGTCAGCGCTAGAAAACCACGAAAAAATGCAAATATTATATTTGCAAATGATTTCCGTTATTGTTTGCGTTCGCTAAACGCGCTCGTAAACGCGGCGAGCATTTTGCATCAGAGAAAATGTCAAATCGCGCGAAATCGCATTCTTCGGAGAATATCATTAACCCAAACTACTCGACAGAGTACGACGAAGAAGAAGATGAAGATGAGTTCTCGTCTTTTTGGGCGTTCAACTCGCTGCTGGGGCTTTTGGCCGCGATTGGTATGGCATTGTTGATAGTTTTTCCATATTGGGTCGAGACGGATTTACATGAAAGCTCATCCCTTCTCGGGGATGTTCGAGTTTTCAAAGGTTTCTGGACTCAATGCCTCACAAGAATGGAATCTCAGTGGCAATGCGCGTATTATTCCTTCAACGGGCACTTTTCGATGAAATCGATTCAAGGGCTTCAGCTTTGTTCAGTTCTTTCTGCGACTTTTATTTGGATCAGGTGAGGGTTTCAGTTGGCTGTTTTTGATTATTGTTGTTAGTTGGCCATTTTTGATTATTTTTCTTAGTTGGACTCTTTCATTTTACGGAGGACAATATTTGAAAATACTGGAAAACGAAAAGACAAAAGCGTGGTTAGTTCTAGCTGGGGGCATTATTGCGCTCTTTGGAATTGTTTTCTGGTGGATGATGATAGGAAAGAGCATAAATAAGACAAAGCAAGCCCATCATCGACCGACGATGAGGATTCAATTTTTTCATTTCTTTGATATTTATGCCTTTCAAAAGGTCTTTTATCCGACGTCGTTTCTGACGAATACGAGCGCGAACTGTACTTTGACTCCCAAGTTGCAGTTCCTATGCCTTCTTATCCCTCCCACTCAATAAGCAGAAGATCCAGCAGTGGAGGAGGAGCGGTTTTTTCCAGCGATGATTTCAAGTTTCGCCAGGGAACATGTTTTTACATCGCCTTGCCCGTCGGAATTCTAGCAACGATCAACATGGTCTTGCTGCTTGTCGAGGGCATTACAAGAGTTAAAAACGCACCGGAAGAAGAGGAGGTAAGTCGATTTCATGCAACAAAAATAACTGATAAATAAGGAGAGCTACAGAAAAGGCTCCACTCCAAGTGATCAGCAGAATTTGCTGAAAGAAGTGACGCCGATTTACTCCGAAAGCTCAATAGAATCCATCAAACAACAGAGAGTAGATGTTCAAGAAGCAGAGGAGAGAAACTGGATATGAAGTTCATCACGGTTTATCTGTCTTTCCTTCTTATCACTGTCAGCTTTTGCAGAGTGTTCGCTATCAACTTATCGATAATAAACGATATCTTCCAATGGAATTCGAATTGGCTTTTGAAAAGCTAAACCGAAAAAATAGCGCAATTGAGTTTATTTCATTCATTCGCATAATTCTTTTGATATTTTTCTATAAAACATGTTCGCCTTGTAAGCCCAGGGCTCGCCGCGCGGGGGATTCCTGCAGACCCCCTCCTCGCCTCGTTAGCTACGGCCGTGCTCGTTGCCGAAGTTAGAGCGGCGTGGGCGGTTTGGCAGCTTCGTTTCCCTCGCTTCTCGAGTCCGTTCCCGAGCCGAAAGTAGCCCGAGCACCCACGCAATTAGCTGCCCTGGCCAATCATCAGCTCGAACAAGCGTAACGGCAAGGGCAGCACCGAGGAAGAGCTTGAATTCACCCCGCAAACGCAGAAACCAGATCGACTCGATACGCACATTTTTATTTTTGGATCGAAAGCTACTGTAACTTCAGGTTAGTAGAAAGGATACAATGAGAAAATGATATTATTTTAACTCAGAAATGAGGGAGTACTGTTTATAGTAAAAATATTATTTAGCAAAACAAGGTTTTTATTCATAATTTTTATTTCACTGATTAGCTCGTGACTTATGGATTCGAATGATATATCGGACATATTTATTAAGTTTTCTAAAGGCCATATAAATCGTTAGAAAAAGTCATAGTGGGGGTAGAAAAGATCGGCGCGAAAAGCGTCGAAAATTAGCAGAGTCCTGCAGGACCCCCCGAAAAGAGGCGCCACGGAGCGCGAGCTAAGATTGTCGCGCGAGGGCCCGGAGGACCCCGAGCCTCGTCCTTGGAAGATCACTGAAAATTGCTTGAAGAGCAATTTTCCTTCCTCATAACGGAATTTGTTCATTACAAAAGTTTATCTCTATATTTTTCTTTTATAGAATTTTCTGTTTTATTGACAATGCCAGTGAATTTTCACAAAGGTTTTGATCGCAATTTCTCTTTTTGTTGTTTTTTGTACTCTTGCAAAAGTCTGTATTTGAAATCTGAAGTGTTAAGCAAGCAAAGAGTAGTTTTTCTCACTTACCATAGAAACTATTGAGTGCATCAAACATTTCCCCCATGTGAACAAGATCAATAAGCTGGGCTCTTTTCAAAAGGAAAGCATCTTCCTTTTAATAAGGTTTCAATCACATGAGAAAAATAAGTGGACATAGTTTTTTTTCTTTGTTTTTAGGAATTGTTACCTGTTGTCGATAATGTAATTATAAAAGAAAAAATATTCATTTTTATCTTAGCAGTGCTCTGTTTTCGTCTTCCTCAAACTTTGGCACTTCTTTTTATAACATCATTAAAATCATTAAATCATTAGAAATGACTGATTGTGCCATCAAGAAAAGATTTACTTAGAATAACTAATTGAACGAAAAAGAACTCGACAACTGATTTTAATTTTTTATTCCGATAGAATTTTGAAAAGAAAGAAGACAGTAAAATAAAAATCAATAAAAATTCACTTCAAAGTCGTTCCGTTTGCCAGGATTTCGGGACTTCTCTAAATTGCTCTAAGATCTTGTGCGATTTTATAAACGCGATTATGCTGTTTTTGAGCTCATTGTATGTTCCAGTGTCTTTATAACCGCGGACGGCGAAGCTTTTGGACGAACCTTTCTCTTTTTTGCCGGTTTTTATACTTTTGATGAAGCCTCTTTTTCAATGCTTAAATTTTCATTTTCAAAGTTTTATTTTTTATTTAAAAATTTTGCTTTCCAAAATAAATAAGCTAAAAATTGTGAAATTAATCGGCAAATTTCATAAAAATTTCCGAATTTTAGAGCGCTAGAATCTGAATCATGATTCATGATACAATTGGCAATTGATCATTGATGATATTTCATTTTGGCTTACCGAAGAAGTTATTAATTCGATCGTGAAGTTCCCCCATGTAAACAAGATCAGCTAGTCCCGATCTTTTTTCAATGCGACTGCATTTTCCTAAGAAAGACGATTGTAAGAGGATAAATACATTCCACAGTCAAGTTTTTATTTTCTGGATATATTTTTGTCTGCTTTCATCCTGAGTCTTTTTAATCTTACCTGTTGTTGAAAAAGCAACAAGAAATGCAAAAATATTCATGATTTTTTGATATTCTCTTTTTAGCAGCAAAAATCTACCGATCAGGGGTATATATCGTCCTCGGTGGCGCTAGATTAAAATGATCTGATTCTAATTGATTTATTAGAATAAATATGAATGAATAAAGGGCGAAACGACTTTTTTTCGTCGATATATGTACATTGTCATTAATTCTTCGGGAAATCTGTTTTCATTATTTTCATTATTCTTAGGCAATAAAGGCATATTTTGCGATAGAACTCATGTCACCAAAGGGTTACTGTTGTTATTTTTGCTCAAAAATATACCCGATTATATCCCGAATTCTAGATGATCTAGAAGATTTTGGAAAGAAAATACACCTTCATAGCAATTTTGGCGCTCTTATTTTCCTTCTAAAATCTTCTAGATGCGATTTTTCCTGAGTTTGTTTTTTAGTAAGGATAGTAGGATTAAATTTTTAGTCCCGTCCGGTAACCGTTTTTTCTTACCGCTTTGAGAAATTTTTGTGATTTAATAATTTCAGTAACGAATCATGGCCCGAACTAAGCAAACCGCCCGAAAGTCGACCGGAGGAAAAGCTCCCCGAAAGCAGCTTGCGACCAAGGTAATTATCCATCGCTTCTCATTTATAATTTCTCGGCTTATTGACAGCTCGATCACTGGATTATCCAGACTCGATTCTTGGAATCTTCTGGCCGAATCAATCAACCAGTGCCTTTATCAATGTCTAACACTTGAACTTTAGGCCGCGCGAAAATCGGCCCCATCTACTGGAGGCGTCAAGAAGCCCCACCGATACCGACCAGGAACCGTCGCTCTCCGAGAAATCCGACGATACCAGAAATCCACCGAGCTTCTCATCCGAAAGCTTCCATTCCAGCGACTCGTCCGAGAAATCGCCCAGGACTTCAAGACTGATCTTCGATTCCAGTCGGCTGCCATTGGAGCTCTCCAGGTAACTTCTAGACGCAGCAATCTAGAATTCACCTTTTCTTTCAGGAAGCTTCCGAGGCCTACCTCGTCGGTCTGTTTGAAGACACCAACTTGTGCGCCATCCACGCCAAGCGAGTCACCATCATGCCAAAGGACATTCAGCTCGCCCGACGAATCCGAGGCGAACGAGCTTAAACCCTTTTCATCTTTCTTGCTTCCTCTTTTCGTTTTCTAAATTTTCCCCTCTTCGGACTTCTAGGAAAATCATTTTCCTCAGAATTTCTTGCACCCCTTTTTTGAACATTGAAATTCAACCAGTCGTAATTCATCAACCCTGCCGCAAGTAAAAGAGACTGATTTCTTTCTGCCTCTACTTTTATTGAAAAATAAAGACATAAATCGAAAATCGCCTATTTTCCGACAGTGCAATTAACGATGAAAGCATTTATTTGACAGCTTTTCAAAAGACTAATTTATGCGCCAGTATGCTTTTTCATTGAAACCATGTAGCCAAAAGAGTTCTTGAAATGCAATTTTGATCAAGTCGGACAAGTTTAAATTTGCTCATCTTTTGACGAAGAATACTCTTATCAAACACTGCAAAAATTCTCAAGCAACACAGCAAGTGCTCTTCAGAAAACGCACTCAAGCCAAAAATTTCTTTCCATGAAAAAAAAATTGAAAATGAAAGCGATTTTGTTACTTTTCTTCCTTGATTTTTGTAAGACTCAATATTCGGGCGATTATTTTGACAATTATGAGATTCAAGATGACGATAAAGAAATCCTCGAGGTAATAAGCGCTTACACCTTGTTATTGATGTCAAAACCGGTAGATCGAGATAGGAAATCTGAAGCCAAAGGAGGATGATCTCTTTTTCGATTCAAGGCCAGACGAAAATGACGATCCTGAGGAGCTCGATTCGAAATCGGATGTCATTATTTTCGCGACAAGGGAATTTAGCAAAGAGATCGCCGCGGAAATCGGTCAGTTTTTCAACGAAAATAGCCTGGTGATACCCTTATTTCGACGCTCAGATGGATAGAATTCCCAATTGTTAAAGTTAGACTCTCTCTTCGAGCGATTTACTAAGGGTGTCACTTCGCTAACTCGCCTAGAAAATGCAATTAAATGTAAAATAAATGAGTAAGTAAAAAATTTTCAGTTGAAAAGATGAAAGAAGCATTCCTGTCGCTGATCAATTTCCTCGATTTCTTTCACTGGTAAAGTCAAATTTGAAATTTTATTGTTTTATTCATTTGATTCTTCTGAAAGACGCTGTAACAGAATAACTTGTGAAGATAAAGAAAAAATTGTGTCCTATTTGGAGTTATTTCAAATTTTGCAAATGTTGAAAAGGCTAAAGAAAAAATAGATAAAGTGATAATAAATCTGGTAATGATTATCATTCAGGCTCGGTTTGATTCGGGGTTGAAGGATGGTGACTGTTTTTTTTTCTAAGCTTGGGCGTCGTAATTGGCCCCACCAGCTCGGCGCACTTCGGTTTCGATCGCTTTCAGGTCCAGTTCTTTCAGTTCAGAGAAAGTTCCTTCCCAGGCAAAGTTCTAGAAGTATGGCTCAAAGAATAACACATATAAAAAAACATACCGTGATGACTTGTTGAATAACGCGCTTGTTCGGGCCCGCCCGGGCCTTTGACATCGGCGAGCCTTTTTCTCCGATCCAAGTCATGAAGGCAAACTTTGTTCTGACAGACAGAGCGTCTCCAGTCGTAAGTCGGAAGAAAGCGAAGAGAACATTCGAGTCTAGAGAGAGGAATAAAGAGGGGATGATAAGTTTGTCTACCTGTGAACTGCTTCATGAGATCTTCGAGCTTGTCACCGGAGGCTTCTGGGCTCACCCCCTTAGCAGAACTGCTGAATGTCGCCCTGAAAATAGGATCAGAAGCTGTGGACCGAGAAAAAAGGAAGGCAATGAAGAGAAATTCTCATGGACTAACCAGCAGGTATTTGAGTCGTCTGTTCGAACATCTTCGTAAGCAGCGGAAAGTCTATCTTTCTGTGACATTCTGAAACGGTTCAAGTTAAAATCTTTCTCTTTTTTTTTCGTCCCGGAAAAACTGTTCAAGTCGAGGGGATCCCATGAATAACCGCTGATTCTTGCAAGTGTAAATAGAAAAATTTAATAATTTATAGCTGACTGCGCTCGCATACTGAATAAATTTAGACATTTTCTGTCTGTCTTTCGTTTTTTTTTCTCTCCTATAATTCAAAGAAAACGTCTTTCAGAAAATTATTTATATTGCAGTCGACAGATTGAAAACAAGAATTTTCTCTGATTTTCGCAGTTTTCTCTTTGAAAGAAAAAAAATGAAAAGTGAAACTCTCGGCTCGCTCGACCGCCGATGACCGCAGAGTGACCGCGCGGGAAATTCCCCCTTTCTATCGATTAACCCAAAGGCTAAGTCAGAAGCGAACTTCACAGCAGAACTTGAGATTGAGATTCTCTAGGAAGATAAACATGGAAAGGAACATTTTTCATAAAAATTATTGTATGCATGCTGATTCGTTATTCGTTCAAGTTCTATGCGGTAGAAGCAGCCGCCGGGCATGACGATAAGTAAGAAGGTACTTGAAGGAAAAATGATAACGATGACGAAATAAGAACGCTGAAAGATGGGATCAAAAGAAACGGGCGAGTTATCATGAATGAAATGAATCGTGGCTTGGAAAACGAAAAAATTCATAATAAGAAATTCTGACGATTTGACCATCAATTATTAGTGTGCTCATTGTTTGTAGGAAATACATATGTATCCGCTCTTCTCTAAAGCGTCATTTCGAGGCTTGTTTTGAACAACAAAGATGAAAATTTTTTACTTGTTTTTACACGGTTTGAATCTTTTTTATTTTCGATCGGAAACGTCATTTTTAGAGACTATTTTGGCTTGCTCTCAATGTTCTGGCGAAGCGGATGGGTGTTCTGCAATGCAGCCTGACGATTTTGAGCCTCAAGTTCAAATTGCTTTTAATGATGAAACTGGAGGTATGCTTTTTCGATACTGTATCCATGACACAAGACCTTTTCATGAGGCTATTTTAGAAATGATGACTGTAACTGAACCTCCATCAGAAGAGAAATTACGAGAGGGAAAAGATGGAAATTTAGGATTTGGAATGCAATTCTGGTTTGCAATATCACTTGCATTCATTTTTGTTCATGATTTAAGGGATGAAAGAGTGGTGAAATACATCAACATCAAACTCCTCCATGACTCCCAAAAACACGTCATTAAATCTCGCGAGGTTGAACGCTCCGAATTACCTTCCAACTCAAACTGGGCACTTGGAGTTTTCAACAATAACAACAAACGACTCAAATCTATCACCAAAATTCAACCGGGCGAGATGACCAATTATGCTGGATATTCTAAGGAAGGGTTCGATAACTTTTATCCGTTATTTTATTCAAATTTCCTTATTTACCAGGTCTTAGAACCCATTTCTTAGGACTCTATTCAGCTGTTTGACTGTAAGTATTTGCATAAAAACAACGATTATGATTTCTAGTGAGCAAAATCAAAAGCTTTGAAACGGATAATTGCTGGGCTGAAATGGTAAAAATCAACGGCGAGTACCATGGCTTCGATAAATGGTAAGACCGAACAGATATGCTTGTGTTCATCCTTATTTAGTGAATCCAAGCCAGAAAATTTCAATCTTACGCCAAAGGAAGAGAACTGTACCTTGCTCACTCTTGATTGTGAACTCAAGGAGACCATTCAAGACGGAAAGGTTCAAAAGGATCTCGAGTGCGATCTTTTCTGGAAGGTTAGATTTTCAGAAGGACGCGATCATCATCATTTTTCTAGTGCGGAGTCGAAAAAGTTGAAAAGTGGTATCAATTAGCAGAAACAACGCCCGTCAAGACTGCAGATGTCGAAGACTATGTAGAAAAAGAGATCACCAATATCAGATCTTTGCTGAACTAAAAAAACGTTATTTAATATCGAAAATAAATGTTATCTGTCCTTTTCAAAATAATACATGAAAATGAAGCTTGATTACCTTGTAATAGAACTTGCTCTTTTGTCGAGTAGTATTCAGTTTCTGATCGCAAAATAGGACCGCCCCTTTTCAATAAGCAATTGACAAGAGCAAATTTGATTATAGAAAGAAAATTTTAATGAATATTTTTTGAGCTGAAAATGGATAATAGTTACTGCCCCTTGATTGCCAAGGTATAAGTTGACTTCTTTCAGCAAATAATAGAGTATAAGACGAGACCGACGATCTACCCTTTTAATTTGGACCCAAGTGGGCACGGAGCCCCTCGATTTCATGATGGCAAGCTTGTGACGCAGCGACAGTGGAGAGCTTTGAATAATATGGAGAAAACTCCTTATCAAGTTTCCCTCGGTCTCCACCTTCTTGAAGGTAACCTTACAAAAATAATAGCCTTGATATTCGGTTGAAGAAAATAAACGACTAATGGACGCGAAAATCCAGCGCCGCAGCGAGAGCAAGGAATATCGAAGAAGAACTAACCCGGTTTTTCATCCTTGGGGAAGGTTTTCTTCGTGAATAGATTGTCAGAGAGGTTTTAATTTGATTCTAGCGGCTCCGGAAATCCAAATTACACTCGGCCGTTTTGCAAATCTAACGAGCAATTTTTACGAAAACTGAATGGAGAAGATTGTCATCCGATTCTCAAGAGGTAATTTGATATAAAGAAGGGAATGAGGAATCATGTTCTAGCGATCTTGGTGGCGGAGGAGAGCCGATTTTTAAGGACGACGGAGAGCGAGATACAAGACGAAAAGTACTTTTTTCTCTCGTTTTAGGCAATTTGAAGCTGACTGTGTTTGATAAGGGCCCCTTTGTGAACATCGAGCCATCGGGAGTCAAAGTTTCGGAAAAGACACATTTCCCGGTAATTTCAATTTTTCATCCCTTTTTCCATCATTCTTAGGCTCCACTTGACGGAAGAAGGATCGGGAGAAGAAGACGAAAAGCTTCTGATAATTTCGGTTTTGATTATTATTTTTGTAAATTTTTATTAGATGACTTTTTAGCGGTCCTTTCTCAACCGGATATGGCTGCTTGGATGAGCCGGTTAGAAACACAGGAACGGAAATGAACTTTTCTTTGAATTAATCTACACTTAATTTTATTCAGTTTTTACCAAAAGCAAACGCACAGAACAGCACCGGAAGAAGCCCTGAAAATCAAGAAAAACGACGTCTCTCATCCTCACTTCTTTGGGTCTTATCGAACAGTTCTTCCGATAAAAGACTACCCAAAAGTTCCTTTGAAATTGATTCATGGAGAGCCGAAGCAGAAAATTTGGAAGTTCAACGAAAACAGCCCACTTTTCAGAAGCCTTGTTGAAAACTAGAATAAAAGAAAAACGAAACCAAAAAGATGAAAATTCAATTCGATAAGCGATTCTTACTTTTGCTTTTTGAATAAACGGACCGAGTGTTTATTATTTTTGTTTTTATTTATTAGTAGGATAGCACATAAAAGCCATCACAGTCAAATGTAAATGGAGAAAGAAAAGTTTGAGCGCGAAAAAAATCATTATACTTGTACTCATTATAACTACTTTTTCAAGCGAGAGCACATGTACAGAAGTACAAGGGTTAATATTTTTGAGGAGGGTTGAGAAATCTTCTTAGCCAATGAAAATTGCTTAAAGCCCATTTTCGTGATTCGATTTCGAAAAATTTCTAGTTTCAATTAAGCTTACTTTACATAACATTCTAGACAACAGAGGCCAAGCAATCGTCTAGAAGGATCAGCACTAGAAATTTCTCTCGAAAGAAAATAGAGCTTTCTTGTTCATTTTCTTTGGCGAGTTGTTACTGTAATAAGTTGTAGTTCATCCACCAAGTATCTTCATACTTTCCATCTTCGCCAAATCTCGTGTCTCCCTCATCGTCATGAACCAAAGCAACTTCTTCCTCCCGAACAGTGCATTTTGTGCTGCCCCATCCGTATTGCTTCGCCACGCAGTATTCAGTGTCGCATTCGAAGGGGTTGATCTTCTTGCACTGCTTGGCGTACTTCATGAAGGTGACATTCAGAAGATTCTCGTACATTGCCCGGCGAGTTTCTGTCAAAGCTGGTTTGAACTTGCATTCCTCGGTGAAGACGTCCTCAACCACCTGGTTCATTTTCGCCTAAAAATCGTCTTTAAATTTTTGAAAAATTTTTAAAGAAAACCCGATTGGACCGCAGAACAAACCACGTGCTAGATTGCGGCTCACGATTAAATTGTTTCCGCTCAATAGAAATACGGATGCGAAAAATTGATAACTTATCAAGTTAGAAGTTGTAAGAAGAAACTTACAATGGCGTATGCTGCGGTTCCCACTTCATGTGTGACGTCTGGAACGCTAGATTCTGCCTGATCATGTCCCGAGCATCTGGACCACTTGTCTGGATCGGTGATTTTGTTGAGCTTTCGCTTGTAGTAGTCGAGCATGTATTTTTCTCCTCGGTTGATTTTCTTGATCGCCTTTGGCTGAAATAATAATTTATGAAAATTTTCAGGTAAGAGTTCGTTTTTCGTTACCTCTTGATTATCAGCAGTCTTTTCAGCGTGCAAATGTCCAACGAGATTGGCCTTGACCCACTTTCGCATGAGATTCCATCGATTGACAATTCGCTTTTCGTATGGCGTCTGAAAGAGTTCAATCAAAATTTCTTGTTCTCGATTGACGTGAAAATGAACGGGCCCGACGAAGAATCAATTAGTAAGACTGTCAAATTTAAAACGCGGGGATGAACATCGAAGCGAACGCGTAATCCCAAGAAAGTGTGCAGGATTACCAATGCTTCGCGCCCTAATAACATGGTGCGATCGACACTAACGGGCACGATTTTGTTGCTTTTTCGAAAACCATAATCATGCTTTGAATTTGGAGGCCTGCTCATTGCTAAGTAAAAGATATCGTGAGATTTGCATTTATTATATACAAGATCGTGAGTTTCAACTAGGGTTAATCACTAATAAATCGGCTTTTTATCATACCATTCTCCTAGAACGACCTCAACTAGTAGTCTTCTAATTGCTCTCAAATAGTGCATATTTAAATATTTTGGATTTTCTCTGAAAACGGCTGAACTCCTACAGTCATGGTAGTTAAGGCTTTATCTTGCCAAAGACCCCAAGACACTAATTAAGTAGTTATAAAGTAGTTAAAATGAATTATCGATTAATTTTCATATGAATAAAAATATATTATGATAAAATATAGATTTCTATAAACTTCAAAATATCATTATTCTTTAAATAATTAAAAATATTAAGCATATGTTTACTGCAAAAGGATCAATGAAACTTACATCTTCAGTGCCAAGACCTTCTGAAGCCGCGAGAAGAGCCGCTAGTAGCCGGAAATTCATTCTTTTACAAACTTTTCCGTCTTCGCTTTTCTCTCCAATAAAAAATTTACAAATGAAGCCGCGGCTTATTACAAAAAAAGAAAGCTAGAGTTGAATTCTTTTTTATTAATCTAGGAACTAGAAAAATTGGTTGTTTCGATTCTCGCCCGTGGTGGCGCTCGTCCGACCACCAACAACACAAACTTTACGAAGCCGCAATACATTTTAAACGGGCTCAACCAGCGGAGGAAGGCAGTTGTTTTGGATATACACTTATAGCATCGGCTTGGGGATTATTTTTAAGGGATTTATACAACGTTTATCAAGAAGGGTTTTTCTTTCCCTGTAAGTTTAATCCTGCTTCATGAGACCTATATTTCGTCGTCAGGTTTCTCAAGAATCGAAATTTGGATGTTTTAACCCGTTCACAGGAAGGTCGATTTCTCCTATGCTTTTGCCAGTCTGTGATTGAGTGAAATCATGGATCCGAGCATGTGATTGGCTACTCATTTCAACGCAAGGTCCTGAGAGGGCCTCGCGCCTGCTAACGGGTTAATTCACCGTCTTCTTTTCAGTAAGACATTTGTCAATTACAAATGATTTCTTTGTCAAAAAACAACTGAACTTTATTGAATTTTGAAGAGGTAATGAGTCATTACTATAAGTGGTTAACTTACCGATTCGGTAATACCGAACCTGTCAAATCCTTCTTCTAGCGTCTATCAATTATCTTATCCGTCTTTTTTTCACTGGAATTTCGGTTGAAAATATAAAAACATGACCGGTTGCCTTGTTCCTGAACACTAAAGAAAATTAAAAAATATTTTCTTTCGAAAAAATTGTTTGAAAACGATTATAAAATAGTAGTTTTGAAAAAGATGACTTTGAATTATCAATGTTTTAAAATGAGAACTCCGTTATTTCCGACCAAAATTGTATTTCTTGCAAATAATCCTGGAACAATTCGTATACAATATATAATTGACCAACACAAACATTTCTTGCAACGCGCGCGAAAATGCCTTTTTAATCACTTGTCGTTACAATAATGGATAAAGCGATTCGTACTTTTACAAATTGCTTTTTTTCTTGTTGGACAACTATCGTCAATAATTGCTGGTGTAAAAAACGAAAGCTCAATTTTCGATTTGAACAAATTGTTTTTATAAACAGAAATAATTGAGCGTGTATTTTGGCTTCAAACTCGTCGAATTCGAAAAAACTCAACAAATTCGCCTGACGCGCGCCCGCCTTGTTAAGGGTATCAACACGAGTGAAACATTGAGTCTAAACAATTCTCATTTTACCAAAACAGTTCCACCGCTCTCGGCCAGTTAATCCGCCATCAACAGATTCGTAACGATAAGCGCCAGTTAATCAGCAGTTAGCGCCGTTTTCCCTCGAAATAATTAAAATAAATAATTTTAATGAGGCTCCAAATATTTGAGATTATTTTTTTTTCTTCAAAATTTTAGGTTTATTTTTCTCTTTTCCCTAGCTCTTCCGACATTTAAGCCTTAAATTTTAAGGGTATCCAAATCGAAAATGGCGAAATTCATAATGACACCCTTAATAATCAGCCGTAATTAAGAATTCAAATACAAAGAATAATTAGGATCGATTAAATTTAATTGAAGTTTGTTACGTTCTGAAGAACCCCTTTGTTCCTGGAATAATGTTTAGCGTGGCAATAAGATGAACCTAGACTTAATTGAAGAGTGCTTGTTCTGGATAAAACAACGCTTTGTTTTCGGAATAAATGATAACGGGCTCTTCCGTCAAAGCTTTTCGCTGACCTCGGAATTATAAAAAAGACTCACGGAGGATTAAAATTTTTCGACCGGTTATACCATCAAGTTCACAAAAAACAAGAATTTTTAATTAAAAAATAAATTGCGAGAATTTTTATTTTTCCCGAAAATGAATTGCCTTCAATTCGGCCCCTAATAATCATTGTTTTTATTGAGCGCCTTGAGGCTGAGATTTTACAACTATCTTGAAAATAAACATTAGCGTCAGTGCATCCTAAAATTGTGAAACCGGCATCTTATTATGTGAACCTTCCTTTTTCCCGGCTCTAGTTGCCTGAAAAATGCAAAACTATGGTACCTTGAGAGCTGTTTGCGCATTTTTTATTCTTTTCATTGTGATTTTTTCGTTGGCGATTGAGTTTGGAGCGAATTTGGAGAATGACGGACTTGTGGTGGATTCGTCGAATATTTTGAGTTATTATAAAGAGTATCAGCAGAAAATGATTGAAGAGAAAATTGACGATTATATTTATGAAGATGACGATGAAAGCGAAGAGTACGAGGATGAATATGAAGATTTTTTGAAGATGAAAGAAAAGTTTTCCGACGCGCTGAATTTAGGACCGTCGTTTCTTGAACATGATGAGGGTATTGTTTGAATTTTTTTATCTTCTGCTTTAAGCGTCAAGTTCTCAATATGCTTATAGAATAATATATTATATATTTATTTAGAGATTGAGTCGCTAACAAAGTAAAATAAAATGTTAAACGCATAGATTTATTGATAAAGTTATGATGTCTTCTTATGTGAATCGTTTAGAGTGGCAGAAAATAAATACAGTCATGAAGAACCGAGTAAAATACATGAAACGCACCTGCGGTGTCCGAAGAAAAATCCAAAACCTCGTCGATCAAGAAGATTTCGACGGCCTTCTCGCCCTCCATCGCCAAATTTACGACCTCGAAGGCCCTGCTCCTCAAGAAGATCGTCAGCCGATTCAGTGCAACTCCCCAAGTTTTTCGAAAAAGTACAATAAAGCAAGATTCATCAAGGGAAGATCGAAGTCGAAGATTGATATTTTCTTCCAAAGAGATTTGAATTTGACGATATGTTTGCCTCCTAAATGTGGAACGACGAATTGGCAAAATGCTCTAGGTAATTAAATGAAAGAAGAATGGAGGTTGCTGATCAAAAACTCCTAAAAATATATCCGGCTTATGTTTTTGGATTAAATATTTTTCCCTTTTCATTTCGCTAAAAGGCTATTTCTGAAAATCGAAAGTATTTCCATCTTTTATTTATTGTCTCGAATATCTTCTAGAGAGCACCTCAAAATGTAGGTAGGTATATGGCAACAAACCATAAATTTATTTTATAAGTCCTCATCATATATTTTTAGAGTCTAGCTATTTTGACGAGAATTACCCACGTAAAGTTTGCGATTGATGAAACCCGCATATATTGAGTGTAAAAATAATTAATTTATTCAGCCTCTCTGAGTGGAGATCACGGAAAAGGAACAATTCCTCGGGCTGATCCTTCCGACTACGGCGATGCCAAACGAATCAACGCAATGTCTGACATCAAAATCGTCAACACCCGAAACCCCTTCCAGCGACTTGTCTCCGCCTGGCGAGATAAATTCAATGTCAACATCAACGCACGCCGTCAAGGGTTCTTTTTGCCTTCGATAGAGACATTTGAAGAAGGATACGAACATGATGAGAAATATTCGTGCTCTTTTGAAGCTTTTGTTTCTTACAGAGCGGCGAATCCAAGTGAATTTTGCAATAATCGGCATTGGAGAACGTGAGTTCTACCTCATTTTTACGCTCTATAATTTGATTAAGGGTGTACTGGGAGTGCAGCTACTGTCACTTCAACTACGACATGATTCTCCACCTCGAAGAAGTGCACAACGAATACAACTACACTTGGGAAAAGATCGCACCAATCAAACCGGTTATGGAAGATCAATACAAAACAAGCCCCTTAGCTCACACGCATCCAAGTGAATTCTGGAAAGATGTTCCAAGAGATGTCGCCAAGAAGATTTACATGATTTATTTTATGGGTAAGTTTTTCTCGTACCTATTGACTAGAAAGTTCAGGTTAGGGTTGGGGAAGCAGATATAATGATATATATTTGGTCAAAAACCCCAATAAGAGCCCTCGTTTGAAACCAATCTATTTTATTTCAGATCTGGCCGCTCTTGGCTACGACCCAGAAGAATGCCTAAAATACGTCTTCGCCGGCCCAGAAGACAAAAACGTCCTTTCCGAAGACGCAATAAATCTCGCCCGCTCAAAACTATCCCACAGTGATGTTTACAAAAACCAATCGTTTTTGAACGAAATTTGCTACTAGTATATTTTCTTCAATTAAAAAATTTATATACGCGCCTCAGAATAAAAGCCTTCCATATTTTTGAATGTGTTTTGCTGGCAGCAGAAAATCGTATTGACCAGACTTCCAGGAGACTTTCTTCAAGTTGGTTTTTCGCCACTCATGGTTTATTCTTTCGATGCAAACTAAATTGGAAGTTTTCTGAAAAAGAAAAATCATAAAGGAAAATTGAAATTGACAAATCTGTCTTTTTTTTTCCTTTGGCATGAAAATGACAAGAAATATTTAGTTTTTCTTCCAATTCCTATACTGTTAGACAATTGTGAAAGTCCATATAATTCAATACTAAGTACCTGGGTCGCCTCTAGAATCGGTAACGAGCTCTAGAAAAGAAGTCAACACCATCCCTTCTTTCGTTGCTTCCGCTTTGAGTTCATCCCATCTTTTGTGGCAGAAATCATCGAATAGCTTCACCGCAGTTCTTACCGCCTAAAAGACTGACTTTGGGAATTTACAGTTATGCAGGATCGCTTCCGGCACGGGTCAATAAACAAGAAGTGCAGCTCTATCAGCAGTCATTATCTTCAGAGCAAATACGAAAATCTTGTCAAACTTTTAATTGCTCGGCAAATAGCAACTCAGACGAAAGTTACGGAAAGTACAGTTCTTATCGAAAGTTATTTACTTGAAGATGCTTTGGAATGTTTCCAGACATGGGTAGTAGTTGCTGGTTGATCATTCTCGTTGCAACTTCTTTCTAGAAAAGGGATGATTCGTTTTAGTTTTCAGATTTAAACCTATATTATATAGGCTATATATAATAATAATATATATTAAATTGAAATAGGCTATATTTTCAGAAAGCAAATCAATATAAGACAAGGAGGACGTTTTGTTCTGTTTATCACCAAGAAGACAATTTCTAGCGAGGAAAATAAGGGTGGTTCTTCATTATTTCAGAATTTTTAGCCGTTATTTTTTGACTCTTACCTTCATATTTGTGTCCATTGACCATTCCTATAAAAAGCTCTGACTCAATCATTTTTTTAAATTCTCTTCTGTTTTCGCTGCTTTTCTCTTCCTTGATTTCTTTTAGTTCTGATTTTATGGCGAAAGTAGAACAATTCAATGGAGAAAGTGAATGAGCACTGACAATTGTGAACTGATCAAACACATTTCCGCCTGGCGAGCGACGCCCGTTTATTCAGTTTTAGAATTGACAAAGATCAGCTTCTCTGTGCAAACTTATTATCAGTTTCTGTCATAGAGATACTCATGATTTAAAGTTAAAATCTTTATTTGGCAGAAACTAATATACATAGGGATATCGCACAAATTTTTAGGTACCCGAAAAAAGGGTCTAGAGTAATTTTAAGACTGATGGACTAGTAGAACTTTTGACGGCGATTCTAGTGGTGCAGAAATCTTTTCATAACTATTAGTCATTTTCGTAAAAATGATGCGTCAAAGTGTGATTTTTTCGATCTGGGTGAAGCTTTCAAGATCTTAGAAATTTTAAATGCTAGACTAACATAAATTTGAACGAGAATTCCAAATCTGCAAAAATTTTCACTGACGCATCTTCCAATCGCTAGAAATGAACCTCCGGGAGTTGTTTTTTTCTCTCTCGACGCTTGTGGCGCTTTTCTGTTTTCAGCTGCGCGCTGATTGGTTGACACTCCTGAAAGCCTTGTTCACAAAAAGGCTCGGAGAGTTTCACTAAAATGATGATTTCTCGGGACTGGAACGATAAAATTCGATGATTCTTGGATCAAAAAAATCCTTAAAGACCACTTTATTAACCATCTATTCAAAAATTATGAGATATGAAGTTGTAAAGAGTTTCTGAAGGTTGCATGTAAAGTCGTCTCTGGCCATTACGAGCCTATTTTGTCGGGTATTTCAGAAGCATCTGTCTGAGAGGAGAAATAGAGGTGAAAGAGGCGTTATTTTTGCTTGCTATTTCTCGAAAATTATTCTCTCAAGGAATCAGCATGAGAAAAGGGCATATTTTAAGTTCTTTTCTGTTGTGGAATCGGAGAAGCGAAAATGCGCGCAGAAACGAGAAATTGCGCTAAAGATCCTGACCAAATTGTTTTTGCAGTCAAAGACGAAGGGAGAACTTGTTGTGCCCAATCGTGATCGACTTTCAGTCGAAGATTGACACGCTTCCTCCGGAAGACCTCCCTGCGTTCCTGCAAAAACAAATGTCCAAACAGATGAAAATGAAGATGGACTCGGTTACCAAGGAAAAAGAATCGGTCCAGTCTAAACGTTGGCCGAATTTGTATCTCTTCAAAAACGCCAAGAAGAAGAAATTGAATGCCTGAAGCATTTAAGTCGGCAACTCTCGAGGAGACTCTTAGGGGCAGCAGCTCGAACAAGCAATCTGATCAGATGTAGTTCAAATATGAAGAGCTCAAGCTCAAATTCGAAGATCAATACGAAAAGATGGACAAGTTCCGCGACATGTTCGCGCATCGCCGAACTTGAATCAGACCTGTTCAACGAAGAAAAGGAAAACAGCTTCACGCAGGGTTGCAAATCTTTGAAAATTTTTTCTGAGCTGAGCTAGCAGAGGTGAGGTCGAGATTGAGCTGAGCTAAGCTGAGCGGGCCCTTTTTAAAAATAACTAAGTTGAGCTGCGCTGAGCTGAGCTAGACTTTTTCAAAAAAATTAAGCTGAGCTGGGGCATATTTGAAAATTTTTGAGCTGCGCTGAGCGAGCTTTCTTCGGAAAAATTGAGCTGAGCTGAGCTGAAGTGAGCTGAACCCTCAATATTGCTGAGCTTAGCTGAGCTGTAGCTTCTAAATTTTCGAATCTAAAAGGAATGAACCCTTCCAAAGTCGAAGTCAAATGGCAAGCGCAAAATTGTGAATTTATACTTCTAGAGGGGCGGATGAATAAAAACCATAAACAAGAAAAAAGCAAATGTAATATGAATTTTTAAAACCATGGGTGCGGGTGGGGTTGGGGACAGAACTGACATTGATCAACTCAGACTTCTCAGCCTTTGTCAAGCCCGTTAAATTTAAAATCAAGGAACAGGGCTGAAACGGCCCGAAGGGCCGTCAAGCCCGTTAAAATTTAAAATCAAGGAACAGGGCTGAAACGGCCCGAAGGGCCGTCAAGCCCGTTAAAATTTAAAATCAAGGAACAGGGCTGAAACGGCCCGAAGGGCCGTCAAGCCCGTTAAAATTTAAAATCAAGGAACAGGGCTGAAACGGCCCGAAGGGCCGTCAAGCCCGTTAAAATTTAAAATCAAGGAACAGGGCTGAAACGGCCCGAAGGGCCGTCAAGCCCGTTAAAATTTAAAATCAAGGAACAGGGCTGAAACGGCCCGAAGGGCCGTCAAGCCCGTTAAAATTTAAAATCAAGGAACAGGGCTGAAACGGCCCGAAGGGCCGTCAAGCCCGTTAAAATTTAAAATCAAGGAACAGGGCTGAAACGGCCCGAAGGGCCGTCAAGCCCGTTAAAATTTAAAATCAAGGAACAGGGCTGAAACGGCCCGAAGGGCCGTCAAGCCCGTTAAAATTTAAAATCAAGGAACAGGGCTGAAACGGCCCGAAGGGCCGTCAAGCCCGTTAAAATTTAAAATCAAGGAACAGGGCTGAAACGGCCCGAAGGGCCGTCAAGCCCGTTAAAATTTAAAATCAAGGAACAGGGCTGAAACGGCCCGAAGGGCCGTCAAGCCCGTTAAAATTTAAAATCAAGGAACAGGGCTGAAACGGCCCGAAGGGCCGTCAAGCCCGTTAAAATTTAAAATCAAGGAACAGGGCTGAAACGGCCCGAAGGGCCGTCAAGCCCGTTAAAATTTAAAATCAAGGAACAGGGCTGAAACGGCCCGAAGGGCCGTCAAGCCCGTTAAAATTTAAAATCAAGGAACAGGGCTGAAACGGCCCGAAGGGCCGTCAAGCCCGTTAAAATTTAAAATCAAGGAACAGGGCTGAAACGGCCCGAAGGGCCGTCAAGCCCGTTAAAATTTAAAATCAAGGAACAGGGCTGAAACGGCCCGAAGGGCCGTCAAGCCCGTTAAAATTTAAAATCAAGGAACAGGGCTGAAACGGCCCGAAGGGCCGTCAAGCCCGTTAAAATTTAAAATCAAGGAACAGGGCTGAAACGGCCCGAAGGGCCGTCAAGCCCGTTAAATTTAAAATCAAGGAACAGGGCTGAAACGGCCCGAAGGGCCGTCAAGCCCGTTAAAATTTAAAATCAAGGAACAGGGCTGAAACGGCCCGAAGGGCCGTCAAGCCCGTTAAATTTAAAATCAAGGAACAGGGCTGAAACGGCCCGAAGGGCCGTCAAGCCCGTTAAAATTTAAAATCAAGGAACAGGGCTGAAACGGCCCGAAGGGCCGTCAAGCCCGTTAAAATTTAAAATCAAGGAACAGGGCTGAAACGGCCCGAAGGGCCGTCAAGCCCGTTAAAATTTAAAATCAAGGAACAGGGCTGAAACGGCCCGAAGGGCCGTCAAGCCCGTTAAAATTTAAAATCAAGGAACAGGGCTGAAACGGCCCGAAGGGCCGTCAAGCCCGTTAAAATTTAAAATCAAGGAACAGGGCTGAAACGGCCCGAAGGGCCGTCAAGCCCGTTAAAATTTAAAATCAAGGAACAGGGCTGAAACGGCCCGAAGGGCCGTCAAGCCCGTTAAAATTTAAAATCAAGGAACAGGGCTGAAACGGCCCGAAGGGCCGTCAAGCCCGTTAAAATTTAAAATCAAGGAACAGGGCTGAAACGGCCCGAAGGGCCGTCAAGCCCGTTAAAATTTAAAATCAAGGAACAGGGCTGAAACGGCCCGAAGGGCCGTCAAGCCCGTTAAAATTTAAAATCAAGGAACAGGGCTGAAACGGCCCGAAGGGCCGTCAAGCCCGTTAAAATTTAAAATCAAGGAACAGGGCTGAAACGGCCCGAAGGGCCGTCAAGCCCGTTAAAATTTAAAATCAAGGAACAGGGCTGAAACGGCCCGAAGGGCCGTCAAGCCCGTTAAAATTTAAAATCAAGGAACAGGGCTGAAACGGCCCGAAGGGCCGTCAAGCCCGTTAAAATTAAAAATCAAGGAACAGGGCTGAAACGGCCCGAAGGGCCGTCAAGCCCGTTAAAATTTAAAATCAAGGAACAGGGCTGAAACGGCCCGAAGGGCCGTCAAGCGCGTTAAAATTTAAAATCAAGGAACAGGGCTGAAACGGCCCGAAGGGCCGTCAAGCCCGTTAAAATTTAAAATCAAGGAACAGGGCTGAAACGGCCCGAAGGGCCGTCAAGCCCGTTAAAATTTAAAATCAAGGAACAGGGCTGAAACGGCCCGAAGGGCCGTCAAGCCCGAAATTTAAAATCAAGGAACAGGGCTGAAACGGCCCGAAGGGCCGTCAAGCCCGTTAAAATTTAAAATCAAGGAACAGGGCTGAAACGGCCCGAAGGGCCGTCAAGCCCGTTAAAATTTAAAATCAAGGAACAGGGCTGAAACGGCCCGAAGGGCCGTCAAGCCCGTTAAAATTTAAAATCAAGGAACAGGGCTGAAACGGCCCGAAGGGCCGGCAAGCCGTTAAAATTTAAAATCAAGGAACAGGGCTGAAACGGCCCGAAGGGCCGGCAAGCCCCTTAAATAAAAAAATCGAGAAAGAGGGCTGAGACGGCCCGAAATGCGGGTAAGCCCCTTAAATAAAAAAATCAAGAAAAAAAGCTGAGACGGCCCAAAGATCCGTCAAGCCCCTTAAATTCAAAAATTAAGGAATGGAGCTCAGACGGCCCAAACGATTGATTTTCCATTTTAACGGGTCTACGGGCCGTCTCAGCCCTGTTTCTTAATTTTTGAATTTAAGAGGCTTGACGGCCCTACGGGCCGTCTCAGCCCTGTTTCTTGATTTTTAATTTGAGGGCTTGCCGCCCTTCGGGCCGTCTTAGCCCTGTTTTTGATTTTTGAATTTAAGGGCTTGCTTGCCCTTCGGGCCGTCTCAGCCTTTTATCCTGATTTTTTATTTAAGGGGCTTGCCCGCCCTTCGGGCCGTCTTAGCCCTGTTTCTTTATTATTTATTTAAGGGCTTGACGGCCCTACGGGCCGTCTCAGCCCTGTTTCTTGATTTTTAATTTGAGGGCTTGCTTGCCCTTCGGTCCGTCTCAGCCCTGTTTCTTGATTTTTTATTTAAGGGGCTTGCCGGCCCTACGGGCCGTCTCAGCCCTGTTTTTTGATTTTTTTCTTTAATGGGCTTGCTCTCAGCCCAGTTTCTTTATTTTTTTATTTAAGGGGCTTGCCCGCCCTTCAGTCCCTCTCAGCCCTTTTTCTTGATTTTCTTATTTAAGGAGCTTGCCGGCCCTTCGGGCCGTTTCAGCCCTGTTTCCTGATTTTTAATTTGAGGGGGCTTGCCGGCCCTTCGGGCCGTCTCAGCCCTTTTTCTTGATTTTTAAATTTAAGGGACTTGCCGGCCCTACGGGCCGTCTCAGCCCTGTTTCTTGATTTTTGAATTTGAGGGGCTTGCTTGCCCTTCGGGCCGTCTCAGCCCCGTTCCTTTATTTTTGAATTTAAGGGGCTTGACGGCTTTCCGGGCATTCTCAGCCCCGTTCCTTTTATTTGAATTTAAGGGGCTTGCCGGCCCTTCGGGCCGTCGTTGCTCCGTCTCAATTTACATATATAGCTACAGTATATATTAAAGAGGAAAATCAATTTTTTTCGGCCTTTATCTATTTGATGAGATCGTGGTGGTCGGAGCCGTCGACGGTGTATCCAACGGACTGGGCAGTGCGGAGGATTTCTCGGATGGTGCCGGAAAGATCCCGGGCGCCAGATCGTGATCGCATGATTCGAGCGCAGTTAATGTTGTCGTCTAAGGTGATGCTACCGATGTGCTTGACTGAGCAGTTGCGGTTGGGGAAGGAAGAGGAATGGGAACAGTCTGTTCTTGACCTTCTTTCTGTCTCGGAGGGCCTTGATGATGATCGAGGAGACGGAGACCTAGAATCGTTCGAACTAATTCAGTGAAGCTACCAGCTCCTCCTAAGCGGATCCCGTCAAGGTCTTTGCTTTAAACGGGCACCGCCGGTTTTGGCCATCAAGGGCGGAAGTGGCACCGACTTCGCCAACAACTCGGAGGTAGACCTCGACAATGGCGGTTGGATCGAACTTTGGCAGTTTTTTCAACTCTCGTCAACAAAAAAAGCTTCATATTTACTCAAGCATGGCTTGCTCCTAGAGACGGACAATGCAGATTAAGTTTTCGTGTGAAAAATTGAAAAAAACTACTTAATTTAACTATAATTTATAATAAAAAAAAACTAATTTTCTGTATCAAATATTCTAGATATCAATTAAATATTCTTATTCATAAAAAAAACACCTCAAAAGGTCCAAAAATATGCAATTTTATGAAAAATAGCATAAAATAGTAAAGAGAAAAGAATGTGAGTCGGGCTAGCTTGGCCATGCAGCGGGCGCGCCCCCGTGCGGCCGCCTCCAAAATGACGCAACGCCGCTCAGAATTCACCTCGGAAAACTTTAAAAATTCATATTTTCAAAACGCGAGGTGCGTCAGTGAATTTTTTTTTACAGATTTGGGTTTCTCAGCCCAATATCTATAAGGAAAAAATATAAAATCATTAACGACAAAACAGTCCTCGTACTGATCCGAAAAATGAGCTTTTTGAACGCAATTTTTACGAAAATGACTCATTATTATGAAATGATTTTGGTAGCATTGAAATCCTCGTCTTAAGTTCTACTAGATCATCCATCTAAAAATCGGTTTGCACCCTTTTTTCGGGTACTTGAAAATTTGTGCGATATCCCTAAATATACAATAATAAGGAAAAAAATAATAAATTAAACAGACACAATTTTCAATAAACTGTTTCATTACAGATAAAATCAGTTTCTGTTTCTAAAAACACTTCTTTCATTCTTCTCAAATTTTGCCTCGATAATTGTCGCATTGATCTTGGTGGCCTTGGCATCCCTTTTCTTGATGCACTTATGTACCTGTAAAATATATTATTTTACCATTTTTCATCGGAAAACTTACTTCATGACATCTTTGGTCGAGTAGCCAAAAAGCACGAAATCCAAATAATAATGTCTATAAATCTCAATTGCCGTCTTTCTCGGGACATTTTGCCAGTGAAGTTCATCTGGTGGTCTTTCTGTGCTTTCTGTGTCTCTTCGATTCTTCAATTTTCCGTGCGTTTTCTCATCCCAAGTGTATTGCCCATCGATATGAATTTTCCCATAAAGTCCAAGCTCCCTCAGAAGGGACGGAATTTCCTCTTTGCTGTTTTCCAAATGCGTGATGTGATTAAAATCCATTGCACAAGCAGAGCAAAGAGAGAAAATCGATCTCCAGTGAGCATTGTGCCCTGCTTCACCTCGATTTGTTGCGATGAATTCGAGAAACGATTCGAAAGAAGTTCTCATTCCCTCTGGGATCGTGCCGAAATAGGGCTGGAAAGGCTGAATTGCAACGAAGTATTTTTGAAAAGCTTTGATCCATTTTGGCATGGCTCGCATTTTGTCGTGATATGCGGAGTAGACTCGGGCAAATGGGTTTCTTTGAGCGGTTTCTTCCATAATTAGGCAAAATTGGTAAAAAAGAGGAGGAACCGTTCCCTTGTATTTGCGACTCGATTTGACGCGGTAAGAATTTCTTCGAGACTTCTTCTTTCTTTCGTATATTGGTGAAGTTTTGGGGCATTTACTCTTGGCATTATATGGTAGATACTATTCCCAGCTTCATGATTCTCGAGCTTTTGGAGTACTCCTTTGCTGCTTTTGATCCTTTTGTCAATTTTAAATAATGAACATCGAGGCCCTTCTGCCAATTTGTTGTTCCGCTTTTTGGCGGGAGGCAAATCATCAGGTCCATCGATTCTGTCAAGTTGAACACGCTTGATTTTATAACATTATTTGCGATGCAGCTATCGTTGAATTTGGGAAGAGGGGCGTTTAGGTTGTGGATTTGTTTATGAAGCCGGAGAAGCTTTCCCAACCCAGGAAATTGTTCGGATTTGAGAGTTTCTTGAATAAGAGGAAGAGCTTTTACGAGCTTTAGGATCTGATTTCGAGAAAAGAAAAGTTAAAAAATTGAAATCGAAAAAAATTCTAGAGCCCAATTCAGAACATGCTCGGTTGTAAATCAGCTTTCTTCTTAGAAATACTTCTCTATTTCGAATATCTTGAATTCTATCATTTTCTTCACTCGATATTTTTTCTTTCAAAAGTCTCTCCGTTTTTATTCCTGCGTATTCTTTCACGCTCGAAAAATCACCAAAATAAATCGTGCAGAATAAAATTGAAAGGAGAAAGATTATTACTGCTTTTTCTGTCATCTTCATTATTCCGAAAAATACGTTTCCTGAGTTCGTCAATCAATGATTAGTAGGACAATTAATTTTTATGATGTGAGTGAATAATGCCGTATCGTAAATGATAAGCCGGTGAAATTATGATTCGTCTTTGTCTTCAAAAAGAAAAGTAAAATTAAAGAATTTTTATTTATTTGTACAGTTTTGAAAAAGCATGACAGAAATATCAAAAATATTCTTTCTTCATACTCTTCCTTGATATCGCCAAGAATTTTTTCTTTCGATTTCTTGGTGGCTTCTAGTCTTTCTTTTGTGTTTTTTATGAAGCTTGTTTCCTTCACCAAAAATCTTTAAGAGCAGCAGATTGTATTGATGATTCGACTATTGGCTATTTTTTTATTTACAAGCGCGAAAAATTTCTTTTCAGAGTATTTTCCGATCACGCGAAAGTTTGAAAATTTTGAAACTGCGAAAATTGGCGAAAAAGGCAGCGAAATTTAAAATTTCAATATTTTGGAAAATTTTAAATAAGACTTTTGCGAAAAATTAAGGGGCCTAGGTGCTGAAAGCGGAGTTAGATTGGCCCTCGTACAGGCGAGCCTTAAAAGGGGTTGAAAAAGATACCAGATTATTTCGAGGGAGATGGTTTTAGAAAAGACTCTCTCGAATCTTCTTCTTTTTTCAACCCTTTCCTTAGCGCTGGCCTTCTTTTTCTTGTAGACGAGGATCATGATGGCCGAAATCAAGCCAACAACAACGACTAAGCATCCAACAACGATGTAAATGAAGTATTTCGGGATGTAAGTTGATGCTTCAATGATTTCCAGCTCTTCGAAAACTTCGATTTCTTCCGTCTCTTGTCCGTCCACGAGCAGCACTTTGTTTCCGAGCTTCAATGGTCCGATTGAAACGATCGCATCCTTCAATTTAGTTTTGCTTCAATTTCTCCCTTTAGTTTTTTACCTCATCGACAGGAAGTCCCGCTTCCCTTCGCTTTCTGCTTGTTGTGCAATCAAATTGGTCGCAGGTGTTTCCGTCGGTTGTGAAACAGATTCGGACCCGGCAATGGAGGTGCACGTTCGGCTCATCGACAAACTTGAACACGTTGGATTCCCAGCGGCTAGTTTGAGAAACACCATTCGTTAGGAGATCCACTTCCGCTCGTTGATCCGCTTCATCATCGACGCAACTAGAAAAGGGTTTTAGTAAATGCTGATTCTTCAAATAAGAGAGCCAAAATTATCTCCAATTCCAACTCACTAGTCTTGAATCAGCTGATATCTGGTCGTATCATCAATATCCGCCGACGCTGTCGCCCAGCACTCCTTCGTCTGAATAACTGAGTCTTCCGGTCCCTTGAGCAGTTGAGTTTGCACGTAGAGCCTAAAATATTCGTCGACAATTTTTGCCTTCAATTCAATTTTCAGATAATTGGGGACTCAGAAAGTCCAAAAATGAGAAGAACCGCGGCAAGCTGACTATTAGGTGGTAGAATAAGAAGGCATTAGAGATTAGGGGATGAGCTCAAAAGGGTTCAACTAAAACGTGGCTCTTTTTATTAATGTTTTAGCAGTTCTATTGATGGAGACTCTTTCTCGAGAAATCCCTAATTATAGGGCATGTGACATGCCCTATAATTAGGGACATGCCGCATGTCCAAATTAATTTCTCACCTGTCAGTAACATTCAAAGTTGGGGGCTCGTTGTAGACCTCGGCGTAAGTGTTGTCAGTATACAACATCATCGTTACTGGAAAGTCACCCTTTCCCTCGCCAGGCTGCATGAGAAGCGTTACTTTTACGACGTCGTAGATCTTTGGGATGAAAAAGCCGTAATCGTTGCCAGCTCCATTGGATAAGCCGACAAGGTAGTCCAGCGGGTAGACGCAATGCCAGGGGACGATGAACTCGTTGATCGAAGAGAGCACCACAGATCCCTGAAAATTATTTGAAAAATTTAAAATTATTGAAAAAAAATTATAAAAATAATTGTTAAAAAAATTATTAAAAAAAATATGGAAAAATTAAAGAAAAAAATTAATTCAAATTCTTAATTCAAAAATTAAGTTCAATTTTTTAACAAATTACCTTGTCGGTAGTGGACGATTCTCGATTGGTAGTAAAAAGTCTGTTGAGATAAGAAACGTGCGTAGAATTCATGTGCATTTCTGTGCCACAGGTGTTAAATCCCAGATCGGTGCATAAAGTGATGAACTGCTCTGTTTCGTTGCGCACGCCCTGTTAGCTGGTCTCTCCATAACTTCTTTTGTATAAGTCAAGATCAGAATCAAAATCCGGTGAAAATTGATTTCGCGAAGGGAAAAAACTACGGAAAAGAAAGAAGGGTTCGGTAATCTGCGCGAACAGTCAGCTTGTGACATTCAAAGCGGACGCTGAGTTGTGTCCAAACCCGCTCAGTTTAGAATATCTGCCCGATCCCCTTATCAGGATGAGTACTTTTTCTTATCAATAGTCACGAGTGTTGTTCCTCTGATCCAGCTCGATCACGCTGTTCAACAAAAATGATAAAGAAAATATCAATTTAAAGAAATCAAAAATTTTGTTGAATCATTTTTCGGAAAACCGAGAAGAACTTTTGAGATTAAGGAGATACCGTTCCTGATCGCAGTTTTTAAGGTGGACGCCTTCGAATTTGTCGGTGATTTTTTCGTCGATGAGGAATTGTTTTGAGAGCTTGATGCACATGTTTGTACTGGTGCACTCGACATTGACTGAAAAAACGCTCATTTCCGCGCGAAAAAATTGAAACTCACCATCGGAATCCTGGAATTCCCTGTCCAGGTAAGTGATCTGATGCGTCTCCCCCGCTTGATCGAAGATTATGCCAGAATCGGCGGGTTGATCCGTAACGATGCCTTGAGCTTCGCCCAATCCAATCAGCGACGCTAGAATTCCAGAAAGTCGCATGGTCCAAATCTGAAAATGGCAATTGTTTATTTCTTTCCTTTGATAAGAGCGAACGTGAACGAAATTGATGATAATTGGACTTGAAATAAGATTGAAAATGGCTTCTGAGGAGGTAATTTTAGGGGCAATTAGGGGAATCAGAACGAATCAAAAGTTTAATGAGACCAAAAAAATGACTCATGAACATATCATATGTTACATATGTTTTCTCGGAATTTAAGGAATGAAAAGGAGGATCTTGGTTTGGCGGCCTGTGTAGAAACCTGAGTCAGGGTACATTCTATATCAGAACCCTGACTCAGGTTTTTCATTCAGATCTCTGACCACTGATTTTATGACATAATAATTGTCGAATTAGCAGATAAAATTGATTTAAAAAAATGACGAGTGCGAAAAGTGGGTCCTTTGATTATGAAAATCAGCGTCAGCCTTCGCTTTTCAAGAGACAGTCAACGGTCGCCATTTGCATAAAAATGAGGCACTCCAGCGCATCAAGTCCGCGAAACGCGAAATCGCGAAATCGGACAAATTTGTTCCTCCGACGATAAGAGAGGAAACATAACAATCTCTCTAACTCACGTTTAAATATTTTGCCGAACAGCTCAATATTTACCGTGAACTCTCATCTGTCGCCCATGGTAGTTATTTTTACTTCATTCATCAGAAAAATATTTAAAATTTTATTTTTTTTTCTGAATAAAGAAAATGAAATAAAGAAAATCATCGATTTGAAGTCACAAAATGTTCAAAGACTAGAATAAGGGATACCGAAAAAGGGACTTCTTGCCAAAAATTAATAAGAAGGGGAAAAAAAATTGTTATAACAATTTTGAATATTCAATATGGCGAATACAGTTTGTTACCTCTAAGAATCAAGATTTTGTTTTATTGGTTTTGCGGTGATTCGAAAGCGATTATTTTCGGTATTCAAAATTCAGATGAACCTTTTTCTACTTATTGTCCAAAAATTGAAGAAATTTATGGTTTCCTGTTATTCTTTTACCTTATATGCAGTTTTTTTGTTTCTCTTTCTTTTTCAGGGACGTTTTGACTCCTTTTTTCGTTTTCTTTTTTTCGTTGCTCAAAATTTGACTTTTTTTTCAAGTTTAAAAGCGTCCAATTTCTCAGTAACTGTAAATTGTCCGAGCGCTTCGTTGTTTTTCGTCAAAAAAGGCGGTGCTTCTTCTTTGAGCTTTTAAGAAAAGTAGAAAGTCGACAATGGGATGAGTTGAGTTGGCCGGGAAGTAATTTTTGCTCCGGCGCTCGGCGGTGGCGCGCTCCACTTCAGCGCCATCTAGGAGGAAAAATACGCGCGTGCGAGGAAGAAGGAAGGCCACGGGGATGGACTTTTTGTATGCCGTGGTAAATTACTAATGCAACAAACGTGGTGAGGGAAACCTAGACATAAGCTTTATTCTGAAAAAAAATTAAGGGTTTACCCCAATTAAAAACCCGAAAAAACCTTCACTTAGCAATCTTACCTCTAAGACCCTGTATATCCTTAAGTTTTTTAACGAGTGATAAACAGTTTGTATGGTTTTCAATATGAAATACCCTAAAAGGATTTTTAAAGGTTTTTTCTCGATCTTGATAGCTTGAAAATTATAATTTCTTGCCATCTGATCCGGGTGATATTTAAACCTCTCCGCTTATAAATTCTAAAAAATCAGGAGTACAAACTCTTTTCTTTTACGCGAAAAAGGGGTGAATTTGACTTTCCGGCGGAAACTCAACCCTTTTTCGCCACGCCCGGGAAATGATGGTGATTGACAAGATCGTAAAACACCCGGTTTCGTTGAAAAAGGAAGATCAAGGGGAAAAATAAAAGCGAAGGAGGAAGTCTGAATTACCGACGAAGAAGAAAAAGGGCTTAATTGAAGGCTTCAGAATCGCGCTTTTTCCCGGCTTTTCTGGGAATTATTTCCGTAAAAAATAAAAAAAGTGAAAACATGAAATCGATGTTTCAGTATTTTTTCTGTCATCGATATAAATACATTTTCGGCATTACGCGATTTGTTGGGAAAATCAAACACCCAGGTAATCACTGCTTAGACTCGGCTCGTGACATTGTTTTTCAACAAGTGTTAGAAGCTGGCCCCTTTTTAGTTGCGGCATTTACACAACAGATTCTTTCCGATTCGTTTCCTGAATTCAGAATCGTGCTGATGATCGACATGGTATTTTTTATTTTTACGAAATGTTTTGTATTTAAGGTTAAATAAGGGTGGAGATTTTTAATGGATTTTTCATAATTGGGAAACGTTTCTCTTGCTGAAAAACTCGATTTATTTATAAAATTAAATCAATTATTGCTGGACATTTTTGTTCACGTTTTTCGACTTGAATTTTTGAAATAATGAAAAACCATGAATTTCTTCTGAAAATTTTTCGTCGAAAAGAACCATCATTTTTCTAGCGTTGTCATATTTTACAAATCAAATAAGCAAGCTTCAGATGGCATCTCACTAGAATCATACGTCATCAATTTTTCTCCTGAAGTTTTTTGAAACCGGAAGTATTCGGCAAATCCGATTATTTTTTATTTTCTTGCTGAAAGGCGTCTTTTTTTTAAGCTTTTGAAAAGCCTCTTAGTTGAAAGCTCGTCTGATCTGCTGGTTCAATTTATATAAGAAAATGTCAAATTGAGCGGCTCCGGGAGACGGATTTGCATCGACATAGATAAAAACTAACGCTAGAACGGGTTTTGTTTGAAAAGAAATTATCGAAAAGCCGGTTTCATCCTTTCTAAGGAATCAGAGGGGAAAAAAATTTGCGATGGCCGGGAATCGAACCCGGATATAATGCTTGGAAGGCATCAATGCTGACCATTACACCACCAACGCTTGGGATCGGCTTCATTGGAGACAAACAGTATTGGAGCTTATTTTTTAATAGATACAGTAGTCCGCTATAGCATGGAACAAAACAGGTGTGTAAACGATTTCTTGATGTTCGCCAATTATTATAATTGATACTGTCAAGTCTTCTTTAGCTGGGCTTAAATCTATTCTTTGAACAGCCAACTCTTCGGAAAACCCTGGAAAGACATAAATAGACGTTCCAATTTTGATCGAACTTCCTTCCCCGAAAGACTAGAAAACCAAATAGCGATGAATCTTGATGTAAATCTACCTTCAGCAGTTGACCAATTAGGGACCAAACGTTTTTCTCAAGCTTCCAGATGTCTGAAATGTATTCTTTTTCGCTCGTGCCTCTTCTTTCAATTCCCCAATCGACAGTAGCGCTCCACAATCGAGGCCAACGAGGTCATGGGAATGGAGGTTTCTCAAAAATGATCAGCAAGAACTAAAGTAAGAATTTACCGTGGATGGTCTGCAAGACGAATCCAGCCGTTTTCTCCTAGCGTCTCTGTTATTCGATTGCCATAGAGGTAGTCAACCGATCCAACAGTTGTCGGCCGCCCCTCGTACTCGCCAAGTTTGCCTTTGTGGTGGGAATAGGCTGTGGAAAATGTCAAAGTTGAGTTTTCGCCATTGAAAATTTCGCACTTTTGAGCAGGGAATTCTCCTGAGGGAAAGCAAATCAGAGCTATGTTGTTTGAATTAACTGAAATGGCCGCACTTTCTGTTGAAATTTTGTTGATCAGTTGGGCAGACAGCTCAATAAATGAGCATCCAACAAGCTTCATGATCTGAAAAATGTTTTATGGAGAGGTTTTTGTTGAAACAAACGTTTTTCATTCGCTCTCGAGTTCCTCCAAAGATGTGCAGCTGATCTTTAACCATTGCATATTGCGAATAGATTGTGTAATCTCCTGGAGGACTGATTTCAACTGTCGATTTCTTAAGCCCATCACCGGAGAGAATGTAGCTCTGGCTCATTTTATTCATGAAGTTCAGAATAAATGTCCTGTTCTGAACAATTCTTTGCAAAAAAAGAAAGAATTCGGATTTTACCGGCGTCAGGCAGAGCGGATGACTACAATTTTCACAACCTACCGGGCATTTTTCTCCACATGGGCAAAAATCATTACAAATAGCATACTCAGTAATGCAATTGTCAAAGCAGTTAGTCGAGGCGCAATCTAACAAGCAGGAATTGTAGTCCCTTCTGCACTGCGTCGAACAAATATCATGTAAATTCTCGTCTCTGAAGCAAAAAGTCTTATTTTTCAAAAATTTTGATTATTCTTACGGGCAGTGTTCAAGCAAAGAAGCCTCAATAAGAAAAATATAAAGTAGAAATTTCATCTTTGTTATTCTTTTTGAACCAGATTGAGCTTTTTAAGAGGCAAGGGCCTGATATTTGCGCATAATTCTGACTCTTGACGAAAGCACTTTTTTTCTCTGCAGTAAGATTGCATGGGAATCTGATAAGAATTGTGATCCTATTTGTTGGAAATATGTTATGCGTTGTCTCGAAATGGGATCATTTCTTATCAAACCGGCTCTGCTTTTAGAACTCTTTTCTTTTATCTTTGAATACTGTATCTGTTGCAAAGTAGGGTGATTGTCCGATGACACTGGGTTAGCTCACGTTCACTCGGCGAATTTCTCAATTGATTTCTAAGTAGACGATTATTTGTCGTCAATTCTCAGCTCAATTAGGGAGTCGGAATTAAAATTGCTCAATTTCGAGGGCAAAAATTTCAATCTTCCGGTTCCAGGAGAATCAAATGCCTATTTATTAGTAATAAAATGCTGGTGGATATTGCGGGACGACCCGCACCGCTCGAAGTTGGTACATGTGTTGAGCCATGACGCAGGTGTTGCAGCACATAACGGTACAGCAGCCATCAGTCTTCGGGATGTTGAATCTCATACGAATTCGGTCTCGCTCGCTACAAAGAGTGCAAAAAGCAAAACAAGGGAAAAACATGCAAAAGAGAAATGCTCCGGCGTAGCTTCCGCCCATCATTTCAGCAACTTCTGCGCGAGCACAAGGGGTACACCTTAAATAGGTGTTCGCAGTGTTACAACCTCAACAAATACCAGCAAGCGTAGCACATAAGACTATCAAAGCAAAGTCCACAAAGATCCGGTCGAACCCAAGCGCCCTGAGTGAAGACAACAGGTTGGGTGGTAATAACCTGTGCATCAGAATTAACAACAGCACCTTGATCAGCTTCCTGTTTCTTCTTTCGTTTTTCAGCTCGTCGTTTTGCCAACGCGATTCTTCTGAGCTTCTTTGCTCGCTCGTCTTCGTCTCCGCTGGAATTAGAATCGGACTCACTTGAACTGGAACTAGAGCTGGAGGTTTCAGTATCTTCAGTATCACTCTTTCAAAATTTTAATTTTAATTCTCTCCTTAAATCTTACCATTTTCACTTTTTGAAAAACAAAACTGATTCTATGCAAGAAAAGTCTGGATTTTATCAAAAATTTCAATTGTTTTCACAGGGTTTTATTTGTTTACGATTTTGTATCATGACAGATTTCAAGATAGACGGAGCTACTGACAAGAACCAAATTCTTTAGGAACATTGATAGCTGCGTAGGAATTATTTAGTTCTGTTGCGATGACATTTGTGCGGAAAAAATGTTCACAAATATTCAGTATCAAATATTTTCTCTATTGAAATTCATAATAACTCGCATCAATAAAGTGGTTTGATTGGTACAGTTCTCAGTTGATGCAACTGCTGTGAAACAACACATGATTCGCACCAGTAGACCGTGCAGAATCCATCGGTAGCTGGGATGTTATATCGTGTTCGAAGTCTATTACGCTCTCCATGAAGAGTGCATGTCGAAGCACAGAAAAAGCACCACCGAATCAAAAACGCGGACAAGTAGCTTTCGCCCATCAATTCTGCTTGTTCTCCTCGAGCACAACACGGGCAACTTTGATCAATTTAGATATCCTTGATTTGAAATCTGTTTCTTACCATGAAGCATACCAAGTTGTCGGATCACATGCAAGACCACAAAGGTCTGGTCGAACCCAAGCTCCTTGAGCAAAACCAACAGGCTGAGCTGTTACTACTCCTGGCTGGGGTTGAACCATTGTTGGCTGAGGCTGGACCACAATCTGCTCAGGATATTGACCTTGAGGCGGATATTGACCAGGTGGATACTGAATAGGCTGCGCTGGTGGAGGATATTGCTGAGGAGGAGGGTATTGAGGAGGTGGAGGCTGATTCTGGCGCTCCTCACGTCGTGATTGAGAATTATCTCTGATTCTTTGCGCGACTTTGATTTTTCCAAAAGTACCAAGTTCTCGTCCATCGTCATCGCCCTTTGGAATTTCTATAGGTTCTGGTTCTTCGTCCGACTTTAATAATTAATGAACAATTTTTTCGAAACTCTATAACTTACCATTTCAATGAACAGTCTCTAAGTTTCTGTCACTAACTAACCGATCACCTCTCCTGCCAAAATTACAATCCTGTTGACACAGAGATTTGATAAACACGGTCAATAGTCGATTGGTACTATCAGCAAACAAGTTCCTCCCCTAGTCCCCCTGACCGTAGGATTATTTACTTTCGTCTCCAAAATAGAAAAATTTCCATGTTGAAAAGTGCATTTTCTTATCAGTAAAATTTCTAACCGCACGTTATTAGAAAAACTGGAGGAAAAATAATCATCAAAGCGCCACTTATTTTCCCAAATAAGAAATCAACAACAACTCTTATCAAAAATCTTCTCTAGAGCTCGATGTTATGTCAGTCAAAGTGCTCTCACTATCTGTCAGTCGGAAAAGAAAGTTTTCTAAAAGGAATTTCTAGAGGCGGGTCGACTACAGCGATTGTTTTTCAATTTCGATCATTTTCAGTTTTCGGCCAGAGAAAAAAGCTTAAGAATTCTTCTTTGGCAGTATCTATAGCCCCTGATTGTCAGAAAACCACCAGTCAGAGGCTTGCCCAACTGCCCGAGATCAATTCTTACATTCGACGCGTTTTGTAAAGCCACCGGAAAGGGAGTTTATAGCAGTGAGAGTTTAGCATTCGCAACTTTTCAAGGTTTGTTGCGGTGCTCCTTCCTGCTTATGACTCATTTCCACGATCGACCAACTGCTCAATTTTTCAAGTTATTCAACAAGAGAGCAAAAACTGATGGAATATCAGTGTCTAAGAAAATTAACATAGAACCGCGATAGTCAACCGCATCGAAGAGCCTCCGAAAGAGAGCCGAGTCATAGAAAGATAATTTCAGTCGACCGCGATGGAACGTGCACAGAAGCTATAAACAAACATTTTTGGCTTTCGTTTTCCCATTTTTATCTAGAAGATAAGATACAAAAAAAATTGTTTTCTGACGAACAATCTTTTTTTGGTGAAAAGCCATTTTTATTGATCAATAAAAAGTATCCAAGTTCCTTTTTTTCAACCTTTTTTCCCTGCCGCAAGTGGAGCGCAATTCGTGTCCGCAAAACCTTTTCAACTATTAATTCTCCTTTGTTCTCGCCGCAAGACCTTTCTCGTTTTGAACGCTTCCTTACGTATTTTCTTCTTTTCTGATTTCTTCCGGCTACCACAATGCTCCAGGTTTCCCCGCGCCAAGTTCACAGTTCCAAAGATATACAGAAACGAGGCGGCCTTATCCTTCCAATTTTGCGTCTCGTGAATATTTCGCATGTTCGTTGATCCAATTTTGACGCGTTCGTCTTACTCCCGTGCCGCATTTCCGCACTCACAGAAGGTGCTTCGCGTAACAAAATGCAAACAAAAACTGATCTTGTTCAGAATGGCCCAACGAGGGCCTTATCGCGAGCACGGGTTAATTCATCGTGAATGCTACTACGCAGCTATTTTTTCGTTCGGAAAGGAGTCAACGTGGAAAGCAACAATTTGATCCCTCCAAAGCTGGCTGAAAAGTATCAAAACCCCGGGCTTAGATTCGCATTAGTACTTTCCTATCCGAGCAGATGGCGCATCACGTGGAGCGAACTCAGATTACGCTGGTCAGAGAAGGTTAATCTACGCCAGTATTACTTCATATTTCTTTTAGACCAAAAAGGATTGAGATGAACTCGCGAGATTAAAAACAGCGAAATTGTCAGTTTTCCTCGTTTTCAGGCACGTTCGTTTCCGATCATTTTCGGATGGGAAAGTTTGAACGCGGAGTTTTTAAAATACAGAAAAGGGCGGATGCCGCGGATATCGACGAGGGAAGAGAAAATTTAGGACAAAGCAAAAAACTGATGACGCTGCAAAAATCATGATGCAATTTTGAAGGTGCAATTCTTTGAGGGGGAATTCCTAATCATCTGTAAACGACACTGGTCCAGGTGAGCGATGCAACTCTGCGCTAGAATGATAAGGCAGGTGAATTCGTGTTTGACAGGCGTTACTCAAACGTTTTTGCAAGTTATAAACGAGTCATTTTCACGGTGATACGGATTTTTATTTAGCGGGATCAGTGACGCGACCGATAAACAGGGGGATATTTTCAAAGGGACAGTGATTTTTCTGATTGCCATTCGTCCAGCATCGATTTGTCACGACAAAATAGTAGGGCCGGTTGATTGTGATCACGGAGGGTTGACTCATTGATCGGCTAGAATGGATGTGGCGTAACCCCGGATTTGAGTCTGCTTTCATCGGTAGTTTGACTGAAAGAAGAGTGGAGACTTACCTCGTCAAAACAGAAGCAGTAACCGCAGCTCCTTCAATCCCGTTCTCATCGATCTCAAACTCGACCGCGTGGTTAACCTTTGACACAAAAGCACGCGATTTATCCCCCAACAAAGGCGAAAAATCAGCATTTCCTTCTTCGAAAATTTCGGTGATTCCCATTCCCTTCATTCAAATTTTTTCTTTTTGTTAATAATATGTGTTTTTACCTCGAGTTTCTCTTTAATATCTTCTTTGAAGGAAAGCTTCACTTTTGGCATAAAAAACTTGAGCTTTTTTCGATTTTGTTCTGTTCTTATTTTATTGTAGTTTTTCGCGATTTCAGCGGAAATATCTTCTTCTGGATCGTCAGCCATCCAAATTTGGACCGTCAGCTTAATAAAATTTGATGAAAAGCCATAAGTTTAAATTTTACCAATTGATTGAATGCATCTTGACCTCCTCTCTTCATCGACATTGGAAGCTCATAAACATTTACAATCGCGCCATTCGACCATGATCTCGTCGACCATGTTCTGATGTTTGCTTCTTGGTACAACCATTCAATATCGGAACGTTTTTCGAAGGCATTTGTTTCATAATTGTACCACTCAATCGGATCAAGACCTGAAATGACTCATCATGATTAAAAATATAAAGCGTTATTCACCCATTTTCTTCAGTTTTTTGTTCGTCAATACTTCGAAGGGATTCATCCACTGAGCTTTGAGATAAAGAGCAGAAGCAAGAACGACCTTTGTGTCTGAAATAAGTCAGTAACAACTTGATAGTTCGCTCATACGGTATGAGTCATACCAGAATCCAAGTCGTCATTAAATAGTTTCACAATTTTTCCGTTTGTCGATTCCTCCGCCCATTCATTGATTTCGTTCGTTGCAGATTTCGAGTTTCGGAAAAAATCGAGTTCTCGGACATTTGCCAGGTCTTTCACGAAATCGTTAGAAATAATGTCATAGGTTCCAGGATCGAGCTGTTCTCCTTCCAGGCCTTCTCGAAGTCCTTCTTGGTAAAACATTCCATTTGTGATTTTCAGCTCGTATGCAGCATCAGATTTTCTTCGACCCCAATGAGTGGAGTTAGCTTGAAGTCCTTGCGAAATTTGATGATAAGCAGTGAAGGGATCAAGAATGCTTTCTGTGGTAAAGTATTGATTCAGGTCAAGGCTCGCTAGAATCTCTTCCCGAGAGGTTCCACCAGCCCCAGCAGCAACCATATAAAGAGAGCCGATGATCGAATAAGGAGAGATCACTGAGTTCTGACTAATAAAAAATTTCTTTTATGATTTCTTGCTTTTTGGACTTACGTCTTATCATTGTTTTTGAAAAACAACTCCCATCCCTTCTCTTTGAAAGCAGCGGTGACATCAGAATCAACATCATTTTCGCCCGCAAAGGCGATCGCTGGAAGCAGAAAATTCGAGAGCTTCATTCTCTTGATTTATTTCCCTCTCCTCGGTCTTCCTCTTGATTGAAGATATTCTCAGAGTTGTTTATTTGATGTTTATTTAGCCTGACTTACTTTAACCGTCCTGAGCACACAATCAGCTTGAGGGTCGAGTTACTTGACCGTGGATCTTGAAGAGCTAGATTCTCAATATTAAATAATTCTAGCGATTTTTCCTCTTCCAGACGAAAGTTCTAAAGACCCCGCCGCTTTATCAGTGACAAAGTGCCAGTCTTGTTCTGGTGTTCTCAAGAGCTTCTGACGCGCAATGTAAACTTTCGCAGAAGTTTTATGACTACCGGTAGTTACGATATAATTCTAGTTCAAAGAAGAAAAAAAGTTGTTTTCCCAGATGCTTTGGGCAAGTTATTGCGGGATCAGCAGGTCGAGTGACCTTTTTGGAGAAATCCATTTGTAGTGCAGAAAGTCAGCATTTCCGGCTTAGGGAAGAGGGAGATATCTCGGTGCTGATTTAATTGACACAGCTAATGAGCAAACTAAGGCTCTCATCAAGAGATCTGCTCGGCAATTTCTGAAAAAACTGAGTCAGGAACCCAAGAAAAGGAAGTCCGAGTTTGATGAAAAACAATCAAGATTCTACGATTCTCAAAATGGAGAAAAAAGAACGTGTTTCAAAACGTTTCGAATGGGATTTGAAAAACAACTCGTCGCGTTGAAGAAATTGCATCGCAAATGCAGAAGTCCGTTTAGCGCAGGAGATCCAAACAGCAATCGACTTCCGTCCTGATTGATGTTGTCAAAAACCGCGCTTTTTCTTTGATACGATTTTTCCGATTTGATTGTTTTTATTATTTTATTCATAAACGAAAATGAAATACTGGTGGTTTATTTTGAATGCTTTTTTAAAGACGCATAAAAGGCGCATAATTAATCTTTATTTTGTTTTATCAGTTTTGACATGGTGCTCAGATAGTTCTTTCTCCTCCTTGTTTTCTTATCAATCGACCAGACGGATGTTTTTTGCTTTGATCTGAAAAGCTCGTGGTTTTGGAGCACTCGTTCATATTTTCTGTAGCTTATGACACCCTCGACCATGCTGATTGTTGCTAAGATTGGGAAAATTTGCATGTTTTAAAAGTTTTCAGTGTTTTTTGGTTGAAAATTCCCGGTCGAGAAAGGCTTTTATAGATGAGATGACATTGCGAAGATATAACTTTTCACGTGGGTTTCGATGATAATTGGAGCACGAGAAAACAATTATCATGGGACGATTTTTTGGCTGGAAAATACCGTTATTTTCAAGATTTAAAAAGGGGAGAGAGTGTTTCGTCTGCCTGCTTTTCCATACCCTACGTTATCGTTCTTTTCTGCGTCTTTCTTTTTATATTTTCTTGGAAAAGATCTTTACTGGATCTGACTGAAAGCATCAAGTACGTAATCTCTTCGTCTCTTGTGTCTCAAACAAACGTGAAATATGTTTTAAAGATTAAGGCACATACCTATCTTCAGTAAGAAATTTAATGTCTGGAAAAGTGTTCACGATCGCTGAATCAGAAGTGAATTCAACAATCACTGTGAATACGTGATCTGTTTAATGGTATATTGATAAAAATTTTACTTGGAAGATTTACTTTTTTCATGTTTGAGAAAGCATACTCTTGAACAGATATTTAAAAATTAGATGTTGAAACAAACCTATCCGGAGAAACTATTTCTCGAAAGTTCAAAATCCGCGACGAGTTTAAAATCCCAAGATATGGCGCCATATATTCTGAAGGTATTCGAATATTTCACGAGTTCACTTTAGACTGGTCATTTTCTGACGCTACGGTAAATCAAGCCCCCGACGAGAATCAGCATCGCGTTCATGTGATGCTGAGTCTATTTTCGAAGAAGCTTCCAAAGGTCAATTTTTTAAGTGCTGAGTTGACATCAATTCTTCTTTTTATCTTGTATTATTCTGTCGATCTGCATGCCGGTCAATGAGTTCTAAAATACAAGTGCAACTACAAAAAAGGTAGCTGTGGTTAATAAATTATCTTCTTTCTACGACGAGCGGAACTGCGCACTGTCTTACTCTTGAATTGTTAAAGCGCTGCACCTGATCCTCAGATCATCAGCTGGAAAAACCGCGAAGAAAAATCTTTAAAAAAATGGGACAAGGAAGACGAGGAGAGAGATCTGATCGAAGGAACTGTTTTTCATTGCAGACTTTATTTTTGATTCTGAACAGAAATTTGATAAAATGGAGGAAAGAGATGAGAGAAAAGGTGACGGAGGAAATCGTAGAAAAGAGAAAGATAGAAGGGATGATGATTATCGAAGAAGGGATGACGATCGGAAAGGGGATCGAAGAGGAGACAGAAGAGATGATGATAGGAGGGGAGAAAGAAGAGATGATTATTATGAATCAAGAAAATGGCGAAAATCGTTGTTCTCTTCCTTGATTTCACAAAAAGGTCCTTGATTTTCATCATCATAAAGATCAAGAAAAGGATCTCCAAAGTCAAGAAAGGGGTCTCCAAGGTCGAGGAGAGGGTCTCGTCGAGGAAGCGGAAGCTCTTATCGAAGTGGTGATCGATCAAGGGGAGGGTCGAGAAAAAGCTCTAGAAGAGGCTCTCCCAGTGGAAGAAGGCGAAAAAAGGTGAAAACGAAATATCAAAATCCTTGATTATTAATCAATGATTAATATAATATTAGTTATATACAGTTATATATATAAATGTAGGAGTTTATTGCAGTTTGCTGAACGTTTTCGGTCGGACGACCATCATCAGAGCTTGTTCCTTGATAAACTTGATAACAGTTATATATAGTAATATTAGTAATATTGAATAAATAATGATATAAATGATGTATTTTGAAATTGATATTTTAATTTTCTAGATACACTTCAAGACAGTCGGGCGAATGACAAGAAATGCGTCTGCCTTGGCCCACTACGCGCATGAGCGTAATCTCGACAGGATTCCAGATGAAGTGCGGCTAAAACGTTCAGATCTCTATGGAGACAATCAAAACATCGTCGGTCAGGGCGATGATTTCTCCTCGGCATTTTCCGATGGATCGGTTCGTTCTGGGATGCCAGATGGAAATGCTATGCACTCGGTTTACGGCAACCGCCAGCCATTCATCGACCCCGTCCTCGAGCAACCCAGAGGATGGAATCAAGGAGGACAGAATAACATGGACGCTTTTAATCAATTCGGAGCTCCTTCGTTTGAACAAGGATTGGCGATCATGCCAGAGAGAAATCTACAATCGAATTTTCATCAAGAACAGATTATGCAAGGGCAAATGATGCAAGAACAAATTTATCACCAAAACAGCGAGATGATGAATTTCAGCAATCATCCGTCCCAAAATGCGTCGCAACAAATGCTGATGCAGCAAATGGTCGGAACTCAAGAACAACGTTTGAATATGCATCTTCCAGGCCAAGCAGCTGTTTTTGTTCAGCAACAAGTTACAAGGTAGGTAGGTTCTGATAAGAGGGGAAAGACAGCCATTTATAGATCATCAAGTAAAGAAATCACAACAGAAGAACTAAAAGATAAGAAACCTTTGACAAAAGGAATTTCGTTTCATGAAACTGTCAAAGTCAAGGAAATTCCATCAGTCTCAAAAAGTGTTTCCGAGAGTTCAGAAGAGACATCAGAAGAATCTTCAGAATCGATAGAAGTGACACCGCCAAAGAAGGCCCAACCAAAAACGGAGCTAAAACGCACTCCTACTCAAATTCTTATGGGTCAGGCTTCTCCATTTATTTTTCGGTAGTAGGGATGAATTTTATCAGCACTACGTATTTTTGATGAATGAAGAAAAAGAGTAGCCTTGACAAGACATGAGAAATAATCGTGGGAAGAGATGGAAGTCTGGTCTCTTCGGCTGTCTGATAGACTCTTCTACGCTACTGACAGGGGTCGTCCCATGTATTCTAGGGATAAAAATAGCAACAATTCTTGGTGAACCCTTTGGCTCAATTTTATGCTGCGGAGGAGTCGCGAGTATGCGAACGAAATTTAGGATGCTTTTTGATATTCAAGGGACTTCTTGTTCAGGTGATTTTAAGAGATGACTTGATACTGATTATTTGATTTTAAGACTGTCTCGTTTCCTACATCTTCTGCCCATGTGTGATCTGCCAACTTGTGAATGAAATCGAAGCTTTGCGCCGAGAAAACAGATAATTTGATAATTGCCATGTTCCTTATCTAAATACACCGCTCATTCAAAAGTACAATTTTATGGCCTCTAAAAGCGAGATACATTTTAATAAGGAAATAATTGCTCTAAAGATTTGCATATCAACAGATTATATTCGCGGATGAACGTTTATCGCTATCAGGTTCATGCAACTTTTCTTGCTGTTTTTGCGCAAGAAACTTTAGTATCAATTATTATAATAAAATTCAAAGAAATTTTTTTGGTAAAGTTGAAGATCTCAGATCTCTTTTCGGTGTAAGGTGAAATTGAATGCAACTTTCACTTCGATCTTCATCTTTGTGCAATTCGCGTTTTACGTCATCGGTCGCGACCCTTTGCCATTCCAATAGTGAGCAGCCGTTCCGTGAACATTCCAGGAACATAACTCCTCGACTCGACCTTCCATCATAGAAAGTGTCTATGTTTTTTGCAAGCTTTTTATATTGAACATTTTCAGACAAATTATCGCGATTTTTTATTATTTCAATTTTCAAAGAAGATATTTGACAGCTTTCAGAAAGTCAACAGGGTGAAAGTGTTCATGAAAGAAAATAAATATAATGAAGAACAGGAAAAAACATGCGATATCAGTTTTTACCCAGCAGAGCAGGCAATCAAGATCTGTTGAAGATTCATCCGATTTGAGGGCTGAAAGAACTTATTTCCGTCAATTTTTCGATTAAAGTAACCTTGAATGAATGAATGTATTTCTTCTAAGAAGTAATTGTTGTCCAAAAAGCATCAAGTTCCAGCGAGAAATTCAGACAATAAAGAACGAAAGCAAACTAGAAATTATTTTCAACTTTTTGCTTTCGAGACTTACAATTGTAGTTGCGCAAATCGCCAAAGGGTCCAAAAAATTGACCTCTATTTCATCTTCAATTTGTCGATTTTGATTGTCGTCCATTTTAAAAGAGTTTTCAAAACTACCCAGATTGGAATAAAATTCATCAAAAGCAAAATCATTCTAGAGACAGGAAATAAAGAATGTTCCTAAGGTCGGCAGTGACGTTGGCCCTCAAGTCGTAGTGCATACGAGTAGTGCAAATTGCTAGTGGCAACTGAGGTTGATGGAGCCCCTTGGTGCTGGCTCCGTGTCTTTTTCGCATTTTTACAAGGAGAGCAAAGTGGCAGGGGCGGGCGAGCCGCGCACTATGTCCAGAACTTGTCTCAGAATTCCGAACACGTTAAGGAACAGACTCCGGTAGTTCTTCGGACTAGCCAAAGTTGCTTACTGATATGATTCACAGCGTCTTCAAGAAGCAAGAAAATATTATTTTTTAGGTTTATTCAAACAATAAAAAGAACTCAACAGACATCATTCAAAGCGCTCCCTTTCTACACCAAGAAATTCAAAAACATTGTTCGCAAGAATATTTTCCTAGAAAAAAATCATCAATTTATTCACCACCTAAACTAACCTTTTCTTCTGCAGTCAAAAACTTTGCATCTTCGACAACTTTTCCCTCTCTATCAATTTCTCCAAGCGGAAAAGGATAGTCGCTTCCAAGCAAGACTCGATTTTTGCCAATGATGTCGACGAGAAATTCTAGAGCACGATCGTCATGAACAAGTGAATCCGTCCAAATTTTGCCGAGATACTCTTTTGGAGTCTTTTCGCAATTGGTAGCGCACAAATCAGGTCGACAAAAGTGCCCGTGCTGAAATCTTCCTGGTTTTGGTTTTCAAAACAAAAAATCATCTTCCTTAAATCTTAAGAAAACCGGTCCTATTGTGAATGGAAACGCCCCACCGCCATGAGCAAGACAAAATCTCGCCGAAGGAAATCTGTCCAAGACGCCTCCAAGAATGAGGCACAAAGCAGCATGAGCAGTTCTCTGAGGCATTCCAGTCAGCCAGGGAGACCAGTAGGCTTCCAGGCACCCTCCTCGCTGAAAATCCCAAGGATGAATGAAGAAAGAGAAATCCAGCTCCACAGCTAAACACTTGATAAGAAAGGGAATCAAAGAAGATCTCACCAGCTGCCCACAAAGGATCATAATATGGGTCGTCCAAGTTTCTGTCATTGATGGTCGTTCCGATCTCAAAACCAACAATCCCCGTTTCTTTTTTTGCATCGCTCCATTTCCGCGATAGACAAGTACACATCTTGCATCGGAAGCGTGCCAAGAGCCAAGAATCTTTTCGGATACTGCTTGACCGTCGAGTCCAAATCGTCATTAATAATTTTGCACAAGTCCGCGCAGTCAGCAGCTTTGGCCCAGTAAGAAAACATGACGGGAACAGTGCTCAAAACTTGAACAGTCACTCCAGTTCGGTCCATGTCTGCTAGACGCGCTTTTGGGTCCCAGCAATTCGGCTCGATTGTCCGGAAGAAAGTTTCGTCCTTCATCATATCTGCCCGGCCGTCTTCTCGGTGCTTGAGCTGGATGAAACCGCCATATCTTCAAAAGAAATTTTTGAGCATCAGTTTTCGTGTTTGAAATATTATGAACTCTGGAGCTACAAGTGTAAGTTTTCTACCAATGTTAACACATGTTTTCTTTTCTTATATAATCATTTTTCTTCGGGAAACAAGTGCACTATTTCTCTTTCACACAAAAACGCGTTTTTGATAAGCAAAAAAAGATGCTTACCCGTATCGTTCTTTTAAATTTGGCCATTCTCTTGGTAAAATATGGTTGTGAATATCGACCTTCATCTTTTTTTTTTGTTTTCAGATTCAAATTTGTGGGAGTGTAATCGTATTTATGTATTGACCGAGCCCATCAAAAATGCTTATCTTTACGAGCAAACGATTAATCACCGATCAGATTCTAATTGGACGGCTTTTAATTGACTGTTTGCTTCTTGGCACTAGAACTTGCCTTTGACATTTCCGGGGGGATGGTTTTCCAAAGTCTTCATGAAAAGACGAAACGTTGCTTTTTGCGAGTCTGGACTCCTCGTCATGAGTTGTCCGTTCATGTTCAAAGAAATCTTGGAGCGGTTTTGCGGTCGAGTGCGCAATCCGGGAGCCGCCGCAAATCGCCTTAGCCCCGGCCCCTCCACCTCCATCCACGACGTGTTAACCCCCACCTTGAAATAACAGTGAGCAAATTCAAAAAGTAACTTGGAAGTTGCTCAACAAGTAATTTTATTTTTATTTAGAAAATAAACTTAAGAATTGATTGATGTATGTCAATTCTATATTTGTCTTCAGTATCCTCGAGAATGGTATCAAACAGTCGGCTAATGTTAGATTGATTGTTCAGAGTACAAATGTACAACAAGATGTTCCAATCCCAAGATCTTGTCAAACATGAACAATTATATCTCCTCCAGCATGATCGCCACCCAGGAGCAAACATGATAACAAGTGTCCATAAAAAGCTCCCCAGTTCTCTCCGATCCTCATACTCCAAAGTTCGAAAAGTACGATGAAAATCCAAGTTCTTTCCTCTCTACTCGGCCTTGTCTCTTGCTATCCCTATGCATTTGTGAGGCATCAGCACTATCAATCGTACATTCATGTTCCTGACCGATCCCTGACTATTGCGATGCTCAAAGCGAAACTGACGGCTGGTGACATTGCGGATGAACTATCGGTTTGTTGCTTTGTTTATGTTCGAAATAAGCATGCTCTTTTTTAGGACCACATTACATCGGAGATCAAGATGCTCAGAAGATCAACTTCTCATCGTTCGTAATCTGTTCTTTCCTCTAATTTTTTTGGAATAAAATTTTGACAGGGATTTTTTTCGAGAATTTCAAGTCTTCTTGGCCACGTTCAATATGTGTCTTGGGTAGACTGATAAAAACCCGCGCTTCTGACATTATCACTTTCGGACCAGGAACCCATCCTCCCTTATCTCCCCAGGACTACCGTGGATGCGTCAGGGTTGAATTCGCTGAGTTGGAAGAAGTTCTTAGTAAATGATTTACCCTAAGCGCCTTTCTATTTTTGGTTCCCAAATCGAAAAAATCTCATTCGCAACGTATATTTAGATGCTTTCAGAAATCTTGTTAATTTTCAGTTTTCACCTTTTTCCGCTGAGTGGACGAAACGTTTCAGCTCTTCATGGAACGAGCGTAATACACGTTATCGCTTACGCTATCTTCAAGGACACTTGGTTCGAGTGTCAAGGGGGATAGTCCTCAACCACTTATGCCAAGTCATCCCGTATTATGCAACAACAAGGAAGGAGACTTTACCGTTTTTACGTCACAAGTGTTTTTGGCCGTGATCGACAAGGGATGAAAATTCTGCCAAAAACGGCGATGCCAAAAACTTTTCTTCGAAATCTTCATGTTGTTTTTGGCGAAATGATTATTGCGAAAGAGAAACAGAATCGTGCTCACGTCATTTTTCGCCGAAGGTTTTTCCGCGAAATTTCGTCTTGGTGGTTGGTTGAACGGTCTCGGTAAATTTAAAACATCGCAATCACGCCTTGGACCGCCAGCCGCTGAGCAAATAAGCGCGACTAACCTTACTACCCCCAGCGATGGGCAGAGTTTGTTTTACAACGTCGCTGGGTTTAACCCACGTCGCCAATCTCTCCGCCTCATTCTTAACGAGCTCACTTTGCAATCTCAGCGTTTTCCGCGAATTTTAATGATTTTTATAATTGAAAGGCCCTGACTCAGGATTCTTCACAGGTTGACATTACTGGTTAATTGCTCTCAATTAAAATTATTTTCAAAAAAGCTGATTTTCAAAAAAATTTCTAAGAAACTTCTGACTGTCCATTGTGCGGTTTTTGGGATTCGTCGAGTGTCGGATTGAACCCGCAACTGTCGACTGCGGTGACTTCTAAATCAACCCAGAGAACATTAGTGGAACCCAACGAAGTGACAACTCATCATTTTGGAATAGACTGAAATAGGGATCATTTAATAATTGTGCTTGCATTTGCGATTTTTGTTGATTTGAGCGAGCGGTTTTCTAAAAGAATTCGTTGAGCCGCGGCTCTCGAAATTGATCGTCTAGGTAAATTTTGGGATTTTTGGATCTGTTGCCGATCCCTAAATTACAGAGTTACCACTCGAAGCCAGCTCTCTCCGGGATTCAAATCGGTTCAATGTATTGGGGGAGAGCAATACCGTTTCTGAGGAAAAACCATTTCGACAGCTTTCTTCTTTGATCAATTTATATTTAAGCTTGATATAACTTTTGAATCGAAGAAAGAAATAATTAATTTGAGTTTTGATTAAACAAATGTTTTGAAGACAATTATGATCATTTATTATGATATAATCTTATGATATTCTTATATTTATGTTAATTTAATTGTTAAATATGGATCTTGAAAACACAAAACAAATGTAGTCAAACAGGGTTCGAATAAAGGAAAGAATATAAAAAAATACTTAATCCCTACAAATATAAGACTCACTAAAAATTTTCCGTCAAAACCTAGCTTGACCAAGAGGTGCCCTCTTTAATCCTTCATCATTTCGAACCTTCATCTATGAACTTTATGGCGAAATATTTTAGCCAAAAGGTCACCAAGGTAACATGCAGCAAGTTCAAGGATGAAAAAGCCCGGTTTTTACACTTTTATCCACGATGTATATCCTATGGTTCTTCTTTGAATATCAAGGTTCTGATCTTTTTCTATGTTTTACAATTTTCAACATGTTCATTCCATCTTAGATGCTAGTAGCAATTTGTTAAAAAGTTCTTTTACAAAAGTTCTCTGATATTGAAATTGGCAATGTTATATAATATAATAATATACCTTAATATTAACTATATACCGGTAATATAGCTTATATTGTTATCATTGTTCTAAGGACAAATTCAAATATTTTTTCTGATAAAAGAATACCGAAGTTTACCAAGGAGAGCTCGCGGTTATCAAGAATCGCGAGGTTTTCTTAGAATTCACCGGTTTCGGAATTAGAGCGCATTTTTCTGAATTGCGTTGGAGCCGCGCCAACGAATTGAAATGAACCTGCTCTGCAGCACTTTCGCAGAAAATTACGTTTTCAGTAGAAAAATCAATATATTAAACAAGAATAAACGATCAAGGTGTTGACGGCTTTTCAGAAGGAAGAAGAACTGTTGCTGTTGTGGCCATGTCGACGTTGACAATGAGTTTGTCGATCATGGATATTTGTCTGGATTGCTCGAATGCGTGCATTTCTGTGTCGTACATTAACCGGCGGATGACGTATTGGACTTGGTAGACCACATAGGACTATAAAAAGAGATAATTCAAAGGGAGACTTATTTGGGACCTTTTTACTTTAAAAAATGGGCAATCATAGATAAAGGGGTCCGTTAAGCCAATCAACGGCCCGTATTTGATCCTTTAAAGGCTAATAGCCAATCAAAAAGGAGCTTATCTTGGACGATTTTCAATAATTCTTTCTTTGGATCCAAATAGAAAACTTACCAAAAGAAGAAAACTCAATGAGGAAAGACTCAAGCTCAAAATCATCCCCAACTCGACCAAATACCAGCTTTTACTGATCCTCAAAATATGCACATAAGTCAGCCCTCCTCCAAGCAAAAATCCCAGTAGCGCGATTTCAGCTGTTATAAGAAGAAATATTGTCGAGTTTTTTCGAAGCTGGCACCATCCAGCAAGGAGAGAAATAAGGGTGCAGACCAAGATGCTAGAAATATTCAGGAAAAATTGAAAAGGGAGAAAACATACCTGGAAAGGCTAATTTGCCATGGAAGAAGTTTTTCTTGGTAAATTCTGGGCGGCTTATTTTGACATTTTTTTTTTTGATAATTATTGCAAGGAAAAATAAGCTCCATTCCTGTCAGCATTCAAGCAAAACAAAGTATCACTGGCAATCACCAAAATCGTCACCAAGACACCGACAACGAGGAAAATGTAGTCGGCTGATTTAATATCGCCGAATAACTTATTCAAGAACTTAAAAAAGATGAGTTAAGAGCCGGCTCTGAGCCGCTTCTTCGTTGTCGAATAGATACGTTAATTATAGAGAGGAAAGCGTCATCAATTCGTCGCGTGAATTTTTAAAAGGTAAAAAATCTAAATAGCCGGTGTCTGATAAACTGGTTTTTTAATGTTTTACTTGATTTTGGGTTCTGAAATTTCTTAGTAAAATTGATAAGTAAATTTAACGAAAGAAGTTAATATGCATAAAGTTAAGTGGTAGGGGAAGTCCTCAGTTTGACAAAAGTCAAACTTATAAAATTTTCTATAAATATTTAGAAAAAACAGGAAAATAGCTACAAATTTCGTATTTATCACGATTTGTTAATATGAGAGAAAAGTCCTTAAAATCACTCTTAAAATTTTAAACTTTATCGTTGAGAATCAATTTCTCACTTACTTCCGTCTCCAGGTCGTACTTGAGGTGTTGGTGGTTATGGTTTCTCTGGTGATTTTTGTCATTCTGTTGGCACTGGTCGAGAGGCATGACTATTCCCACGTTTTCGACCGCTTGACTTGTCCTCCTGGTCGCAGAGCGCGTTAATATTTCAGTACCTTCAAAGAGTTTATTCAACGAACCTGCTGTTCATTTCCGCAAGCAAATCCGAGGCAGTTCGCGTGTTTCGCCGTGCGTTTTTCTTCGAAAATGGATTGGGATGCTTCTTCATCACTTTTCATCATGTTAAAAAATATCAGAGTTTTCCTTTTTTATTTGATGATTGATATTTTTTGACATTTTCCTTCGCCAGGAGATGAACTAGTTCTTGGTCGGAAAACTAAAGGATAAAATCACGGAACTTATTAACCCAGGGTTTTGATGATCTCGGCGCTTCTTTACGTTATTACGCAATAATAACAACGACATTTTTCATCATAAAAGAAAGCTTGAAAAAAGTACCTTCATCATCAACATCAATTTGTTCCGCCATTTCCTCTATAATTCAGAAAACTATCAACTTTCTGAGTCTTCCGAATAAAATTGCGTTTCTCTCTTTTTTCGTAAAAATAATTATCTGCTGAAAGCGTGAAAGGTTCTCGCCATCTGACCCTCTGAATTTACGACTATCATTAAACCATTTTTAAGTTCGCTGAAGCCAACTTAGTAGAACCTTTGCGGGACTTGTATGCTAGTTGCTTCGAGTTCGCTGAGATAATGAGATTTTACAGGGCTTAGCTTATTGATCATAGACGCATTTGATTAGCTTTCATTTTTGGGACAGGGGAGTAATAAGCGAGAGAACCTCGATCCACATAGTAAAGTAAAGGAATTCGCTCGGCTGGGGATCAAAAACGTTCAACTCAGCAGGGCGCTGCGCTGATAAAGCTCCTTGGCGGTGGAGCACCACGATGGCGCTTTGCTCCACCAAGTAAGCTCGGCTACGCCATCCCAAGATGCTCGAGCATTTATAACCTACTCGGAAACGTGATCGTCTTCATAAAGAAAACTATCGACAAAACGCCGAAAAAGAACTTCTTTTTCTAAAACTAAACACGTTCGATTCATTTTTATACAACCCTTATTTATACTGAAGAAAAAAATACTTCCAAAAGAGATAAAAAATGAAGATTACCGCCCTTTTCACCGCATTTCTCGTCCAATCCGCGGCCGGTATCTCCGTCCAACGAGCTGCCATACACCAGCTGTTTGCCGCAGAGAGCCCCTTAACCCACAGCCGCACGGAACGCGCCGTCAACAGCCCGATCTGCAGCGCTAACATGCAAAAAATCACCAAATTAGCCCGCGTGGCTGGAGAACTATTCGTAAGTTTAACCCCAATAAGTACACGGGGTTAGAAAAGAACCTTGCCTGCGCTAATTTTTCCGCCTTATTGATCGTTGTTCAATCCCTCGGTTGACCAACAATCTGGCACCTTTTAACCCATTGAGCAAAAAAGTCTTATACGTGTCTTACGCGGCATAACACTTTTTTCAATCTGGCAATCCTCTTCCTCAGAGAATTGTAAAGATACGTCCGAAAATGATGGACATCCCGACTGTAGTACAAGTACTGTATCTGGTCATACAGTACCTCTACTGCATCAACACTCTGAAAAATTAGACGCAAAGGGCAACCAGTCGATTTTGCCAGTTTTAAAATGTATCGATATACTTTCAAAACTGCTAGAATGACTCAATTTCTATTGGTTGGTTAAAGATCTCCAGAAATGTACATATGGAGTTCCATATGTTTCTCGAGTCCAACCTTCTATATAAATCGACAATGACTAAAGCGCCTCAATGATAAAAAATCGCTCATTCTTCATTATAGATGGATGTTGATGAGTCAAGCCTGTACCGACGTAGCCGAAATCACGTTAAACTCGTGAACTTGGAGCAACCTGGTAGATATCGACACACAGAAAAAAAAACAAAAAAAAACAACTGAACAATTTTTAACCACATTGAATATCCGATTTTTTGTTAGCCCGCTTATAAGATTCTTTAGTCATTTCTATCATCAAAAAGAGATCATCGTTTTTTTTCTCAATCAGACGTAAAAAGTCATGATGTCTATCAGACAGTCTATCAGAGAAACTTTGTTTTCTTAACATTTTAAAGTTAATTATAACAAATAAAATTCTTTATTTTTTGTAAGGCTTTGAAGTCCTTTTTGATGACTGAAATGGCTCTTGAATCTTATTAAAAACACCCGCAGTAGGTCTTTGGACTCAACGGGAGCCACCGACCTGCCCGGCGGCGCGTGTTTCGGGTCTTAATCTGTTATCTCTTTATAGCAATTCTCGCTACATTCTACCATCGAACTTCGACTATCAGTCGTCACGTGATGTGGAGCTGAAGATTGACCAGATGACCAGAGGATTCATTTGATTGGCGCTTTTTTAGTTTTTGCATTTTATTAATCGTTATTATTTTCAGTCGGTTCATTTTGCAAAAAGCTGTGGCTCAAGTTGCTGAAAGTAGAGGGAGACTTGAAAACGATCGCCGGATTTCTCGAAGAATATCATCTTGCCTCCCAGACTGTCGAGCTTCTTATGCGATCCGTTCAAGAAATGGTAATTAGAAGATAACTCTGGTCTAGAGAACGATTTGAATTTCAGATGAACCAAGAAGGAACCAACTATGAAATCTCCTCCTCAGACAAAGCCGCTGCCTCTCACAAGGGTCGCTTGAACATCGACATGGTCAAGGAGCGCGCTCAAATCCAACTCGCTCATGTGATCAACGAGCTCAGTTCCCTCGAAGTCAGCTGCTCCGTCCAAAAACTTTAAAACCAAAAAAAAATCCAAAAAAAAAATCTTAACGACTTCCAGAAATAACAAAGGAAGGATTAGCGACCTGCAAATTGGTCGATGACCACCGCCGCCGAAGCCAACACGAAAAAAAAACTATCATGTCTACCTCTTCATAATTGTAAATTTTCGTTCGGAAAAATTCTTACTGTATATAATAGAAGTTCAATAAAGTTGTTTTCCCTACAATTTTTGGTTGAAAGCATTTGATTTTTTTGAAGACATAGAAGAGTTTTTTCTTCGCTTTACAGATTTCTATACAGGGAAATTATTATACAGGGGGTATCTTTATTATTATAACATCAGGAAGAGAAAGAAAAAGGTTGAGATTTTCAAAGAAAAAGATGTGAAGGCATTTCTCATTTATCATGAAGAAAAATTTAGAGAGATACAGTGTAGACAACAGTTCATTTCTTTTTGAAAAAAGAAGGGGTTGCTTTTAGGGGGTGTTTTCTCCAGAGTCGGAGGCTTGAGGCGAGCTCTTTTTCTGTTGTCGGTTCATTCTGAACTTGCTATTTTTTCGGACTTCTCGGGAGATGAACTTGTTCTGCTGCTTGATCTGAAGATTAATATTTTTTAACTGCTCCAAAATTGCTTCCAATTGTCAAGTTGAACCAAAATCTCCCCATCGCGATATCTCCGTTGGCAAACAGTCATAAAAGAGGAGACATTTCCGGCCCTCAACATTTCAAGCCACTTGAGTTTTTCTCGAGTGACTGATTCAATCTGTCAGGGGCGATTTTTTGGCACCTGTCAGACAAATGCCAATTTCAGATGAGAATGGGAATTTTTTTGATGAGCGATCATTTTTGCTTGAAAATCTTGAAATGGACAAATTTACCTGGCGCGTGGATTGGCGATTTTCAACCAGTCGACGAATGTATTTTTTCATTGTTTTCTGCTGTTTCCTTTCATGCTGCTAAAAGGCAGATTTTTCTAAGAGGAAATTTTTTTCATGAGACTTACATGTTCTTCGAGGATGAAATTGTTAAGTCTCTGCTCCAAAACTTCATTTTCTCGACCTCTTTTTCCAGCAGTCGTTCTAGATTGCTGACTTTCTTTGCCATCGCCTGATACGACTCAATTCTAGAGCTGATTTCTGCTGCAATCATTTCTTCCGTCGTTGGTGGATCGACTCTTCTGACGATCGATTCAGCTAAAAAGGGTTGAAACGGAGTTAACAAGAGCTACAGTAGGGGAGCAGATGTAGAGGAAATGGGATTGAGGTGATAGATTTGTCAATTTAGTTGTCAGAAGGCTGACAAGGAAAATAAACTTGAATTTGGCGAGTTGATTTTATGACCAGATAGCCAAATATTACTTATGATCCAGTATCGCCTTCCCTTTTTTCGAAAAAAGATATTTTTTTATGAGAAAAAGTAGATTATTATTTTTTTTGACAAATAAAATGCCAAAAATGATAAAGTAAGTTTTCATATTTTATCGACATCTTCTTACCTGTTGTTAATTTTATGATGAGAATAAAAAGTCGGGAATAATCTCATTTTGCAACGACGAATCTTAAAAAGTAATATTCAAAATTTTCTATTGAGCAACTTCAAATTTTGAAATATTATCGACAACATTGATTAAATAAAGTGAGCAAGTTACAGTGTCAAATAAAATTTTGACATTCATCAAACTATTCATGCAAATTTTTCGAAACCATGTCTCTGCATTCTTCGCAAAATCTCTTTGAAAAAGTCGCAAAATCATCATTTTGTATGCATTTGAATCTCCCATTGAATTCCGCAAGCGGGTAGCGGCTTATTTACAGAGCGAGAAAATAAAATTTCAAATATTCTGACGTCGCCCTCGTGTGATGTTAACATTTGGAGGTACACTCTTATTTGTGCCAGTGTAAGCAAATTTGGAGAAGGTGAGGAACCAGTTGTTTTCTGTCATGAAGAAAGATAGAGGTAGTGGAGTAATTCTAATAGAAGTAGAATTAAGTAAAGGATAACGGTATAACTCAAGCCGAAAAATACAGAATAAGGGTTTCACTTCTTTTCAGAATCTGTTTCTATCATTTAAAAAAATTTTGACGCCAAAACTTGGCTTGAAAATATATATATTTTAGGGTACCCTCAATTGTAAATTAAAATTTGTTTTCACGAAAAACGAATCCACGATAGTCAAAGGTATACCCTTAAAAGTTATATCAGTCGGAAATCAGACGGCTCAAAAAATTTGAAGATGGCAAGTTCCCATCTTGAGCAAATAACCGCAGCGGATTTACGAAAAGTCACCCAATTACAGTTAATGTTATTTGCTTATTGACCAAGTGATTAAAGCTTTCGAAAATTGTAAGTCAAATTGACTCAAGAATTAGTTTTCCCTGTTTTCTTCGGGGAGCTCAATCAGCCAGCTGCTTTTTCTTGGTTTTCTTGCCAAAATCTCTTTCGATAAATAAAACAGTAAGAATTCTCTTTTGGATAACAAAAGTTTTGTTTCGGAAATGAGGTCAGAATCAAAATCAACTGAGAATCAAAGGGATGTGAGATGATTAGTTGAATAATCACATTTTTGAAGTAGACACGCTCCGTGCTCGTAAGGAGCTTATCAGACTGACGTTTAATTGCTCCTGCAAATTTTGTTATTTTCTGAATAAAAGGCCCCTTCATATAAGAATTTCCCTTTTCTTTGGTTGAACTTCATCCCCTCTCTATCTTTATTTACTCTTCTGGATCGCTGAGATAATCCAGAATAAGCAGACAATAAAACTTATCCAAATTAAGCAGTCCCAGAGGGCGCCGTTTTTTTAACAAAGGAATAAGCTACAAGGAAAAATGATCAGTCAGAAACCATCGCAGCTTCCTGACGCCGCTCCGGGTCAAAGTTAATTAGGAAGTCAGAGAGGGAAGCATACTCAAGTTTAATAACGGCTCAGTGTGAGGCTAAAAGAAGTAATTGGGTTTTTCTCTATTTTCTTTTGAATTTGCAGATTTCTGCGAAGGTCTCTTCCTTGATTTCAGCTCCTCGAAAAAGTGTTTTTTCCAAGATGATTAAAAATCCCATTTTTGGCAAATAATCAACGATACTCAAGTGATTCTACAGTTCAATTTTTTATTTTGATGAATCAAGAAATTATTCGACAGTTATAAGATTAACAAAGGATGATCGTCGTCGACGAGCGCAGTTTGGTGCGGTAACGCATACGCTAGAAGCATCATTCCGATCGCAAAGTCTAATCTAAAAATTTGGTAGTGAAAATCAAAACAATCCTACTTACATCGCAGCTGAGTTTGAAGTCACCGTTAAAATCGATGTTCTCGGGAACTGCTATAAATTCAAAACTCATGTATTGAAAGTAAACTGAGTCCGCATTGTGAAGTGGACGTAGAGAAGCATCGATTGGCCATGTTGAATTATCCTCAAAATCAAATCCAACAAGATGTTGTGCACAACCATCTGAAAGGATTGGGAATTCGATGCTGAGCGCATCGTGAATGATTCGACAATCAGTCACTGAGAAGGTCATCGTGGCAGGAAGAGAAGACTGTGTGTCTGATCCAGTTGGCTAGAAAAAGTCAAATTCTCGAGTTATCTTCAGATCTTACATTTATACCAAAGTACACGATTTCCCCGCTTTCGAAAGAGGCATCACGAGCAACATCGGTATAAAACTCATCGATGAAAAAGATGATATCGAAACTAAACTCGCCGAATCCAGTTTGCCCATCAAAAATGGAAGAATTTAATTCAGCATTACTTGCTTCAGCTATCGAGTCAGATTCGCCGCCAAAGACGGAATTAACTAAGGAAGGATACGAGCATGTGAACGTGATGCTCGGGTAATTTTTGATTTGGAGGACTTGAGTGAAATTGAGATTCGTGCCATTGACAGAATTAACCGTTCCACATCCGTCAAGAGCAGTCGTGAAAGTAAGAGAGTCTTCATCAATAGAGCCAACTGAACGACACTCCATCGAGGTCTCGTCAATAAAATTAGCTTCATATTCGCCATTGTCATTGAAAAGGTCAGTGCTAAGGATGACCGTCATCGATGTTGAGTCGCAATCGACACTTGCAAGGCCAGCTTTCGGAGTGCAAAACCAGAAATCATTCTCCGAATCGTAAACACGATTCCAGAAATCATTTGGACAAGAGAAAGCTTTGGTTGTTGTGGTGGTTGTGGTTGATGTATTTGTCGTTGTCGTTGCCGTGGTTGTCGTAGTCGTAGTTGTAGTTGTGGTCGTTGTCGGCTTGGTTGTTTTATCAGTTGTTGTTACGGGAGTTGTCGTTGTGGATGTTGTGGAATAAGTTGATGTTGACGTGGATGTCGGAGTTTTTGAAGTGTTGATTGTTGAGGTGACAACCTCGGAGATTTCGCCGCATCGGCCAGCTCTTCTCGCAATATCTTTGAGCTTGTGAGAGTGTTTGATCAGCTTTTTAAGAAATTGTCCTTTTGGAAATCCCTCAATGCACCCAAATTGGCGAGCGTAGCTTCGCATCATTGATGGTACTTTTCCCGCACCATCACAGAGATCTTCGATCGTGTCGATCTCGTCACTGAATTTGCCCTCTTCTTCGGGATAGGGGCAGGCGGAAGTGTTGATTTTGGTAAGATCGACGAGGAGTTTCGAGACCCATTTGTCGACATTGTCCTTTTGCTTTTGTCTTGCTCTATCAAACGATTGAACGAAACTGCTGAGTTCGCTCGCTCGTGCGGTGATTTTTTCGAGGCGTTTTACTGCGCTTTAATTAAAATTCATGAGCATTTTTCATTTTTAAAAAAAATTATAAACATTAAATAATCCTTCAGTTTCGAGTTTTACTAACTCTCATAAATAATTTACTTACTCAGGTTCTCTGGCCGCCAATACCGTCGACATAAGAGCTGCTAAGAGCTTCATTTTTATTTCTCTTATGCGTTTTTATCCCAATTTTGGATGTTTAAATGCATGTTGATTTGCAATTTTCATTTATACTTTTTTCAATCAGAAGGTGGCACCATCGCTGTGTCAAAGGTTCGATGCTGTGAGAGCGGTGAGGCGCACGTGTGTGCATTTTCTAGAGCCGTCCTTGTTCAGAATTGGGTGGGACTCAAGCACCTCCGCATACCTGAACTTTACAACGAGTCCTTATGTTCTTGTGTACTTTTAATGCCGCAAAAACGTAGCAATAACCTCAAATTCCTTATAAGGTTTATTCTGAATAAATTATTCATCAAATAAGTTGCTCATTAAATACCAGAATGTGGTGCAAACAATTTATTCGGTTAAAAAATATATTTCCGAATAATTCAAAAAAATATTTTTATTAGAAATTTCAATATAAAAAAGGATCTGTGATCAACGGTAACACTAATGTATGTAACTATTTTTTTACTATTTAAAGCGGGACTAAAAACTACTACTGAAGTCCCTATCATGTAACTTTATCCGTCGATAAGAGAGCGCCACGCAAGAAAGTGGTACGTACTACGTAGCACGATAGAACACGTATACTGGGAGTAACGCCTTTGTTTGTAGAAAGATCAGCTCTGATAATTATAAAACTTGGTTGAAGACCCGGGAAAATTTGAGAGACTGGAGGACAAAGAAAAAAACTTGAAATTGAGATTGTTTAGATTCTAAACTTAAGAACAAGTTTATTTTGGAAACGCCAGCGATGATGTTTCAAAGCATGTTATTCATGCATTTATTTCACCAGCTGACGACTAAAAATACAGTAGGAGCTTTTTTTCAAAAATTATAGCGAAAAATGGTAGTATTTTCTATTTTTCATATCACAATCGTATCCTGCTTTTCAGAATTCTTTAGAAATTTTCAAAATGAAAACGTCGAACCGAAGCGTTTAAGGAACTGTTAAAACATAATGATTCGAGATCTATATTTATAAACAACCATAAAGGATCATCAGTAGCCCTCATCACACACACTCATTCAAAGAAGAAAGCAAAGAAATTCTCGACAGTAACCGGACCAATTTCCGCAACCGATTCTATGCTGCATTTATGTAGCGCCGCTTTGACCATCTGCGAGAGTTAAATTTATTCACCTTGTTTGTCAAGAAGAGTCAAAATCAAAGCATCTTATTTTCGCATTCTTTTCGAATTTTCGCTCGTTCAATTGGAGTTGGAGGGTTTGCCAGAGCCCTTGCCATATCTCAAAAAAAAATTAAAGACCTTTCTCTTGAAAAAAATACTTTGTTTGCAATCCACCGAAATCTTCACTTTCTTCCAAATATCAAGCATCATGTTCGGCTTGACATAGCGCAACCCAAATCCAAGTCCAAAAAATAAGCAGAAAATGAAAAACTTCATTTTTTAACGATTCTTTATTGTTCAATAGTAGGTGTCACTTCTCGTCTTTAAAATATGAATGCACATCCATAAATTATTTTTTAATTCAGCAGAATGCTCACTGTCCATATCTCCTTTTTTATCGCAAATGCTGCTTTAATTTATCATAAGGCCTTCTTATCCATTTATGTCCAGCTCGCAAGTCATGATCGCATGCGATGATGCGACTTTGAGTGTTGATGGTGTGCATTTCGGAAGAAATACCTCCTTTTGCGGTCTTACAGTCATGCAGCATGACTCATGCTGTTACTTGTCTCTGTCAGCTGAACAAAGACTAAGCCCTCATAATTTAAGTAAAATCGTAAAAAGAAGGGCTTCTTCATAAAAATTGGTCTCAGGATCAAAAATATAGCGCCGGACAATTATGATGACAGTCTTTGGTTTTACTCTCAAAGCCGCAAACAATCATTCCTACGCATTTCCCGTCGATAGCTGTTCATATTTATTTATCGATAATCCAGCTTCACAAAATTTTGACGCCGGCAAATTCGTCGTCATAACATGCGGATTTTTCTTCTTCTTTTTCATCTTATAAATGCTTTTTCAGAGAATAATGCGACTCTAGAATTCCAGCTGGCGAATCTAAGCATTGCTGGTTTTGCTGGAGAATTGAAGATTTACCTCGGAAAGAATTGTAATAGTAACGCGAAGAAGGGGAAAATCTGCGACTACAGGAAGAGATTTAAAATAATGTCTTTATAAATATTAAAAAAACATGCTTTTCAAGCTCTAGAAAAGCTATGAAGGCTCCGTTTCGTACCCAACAGACATTGGAAAAACCGTCAACCGCGGATTTCACCATCGAATGAAAACAGTCGTTGATCCAGACAACGATCTTCTTTTCATGCATTACAGAAATGCTGATGAGGCTATTTTCAAGGCAATCCGACTAAAGGTTCATACTGGAATGAAAAATCAAACTGAGATTTATGAACTTTACAATTCCAAAAGTGGCTTTACTAATGCGCAAGATAAGGTGAAATTCATGAAAAAGAGGGGTTGATAATTCATTCGTAGTTTCTCGTTTTCAAGTACAACGGCCGTTCCCAGCCATGCGTTACTGATTGGTTTCCTCGAGGAGCGAAGTGCATTTGGGACGCTACTTTTGATATTAAAGCTCGGACAATGAGTTCCAAAAACTCATTTCTTCATGGCAAGAGCACCGGGGGGGGAATCATAACGGCGACGCAGGAAGTGGAGCACAGCTTATTTTGACAACAAAAAAGAATGATGCCTCGACGACTGGGAGAGGAGTGATGCTTTATCATGGCTTCAACTGTGGAGATGATATTTGTGAATATAGAAAAGCAAGTTTTGTCGAGAAAAAAATTACTAACGAGATTTTACAGATAAATGAAATGAATGTTCCGGATATGGATAAAGTTTATAAATTCAACTTTGCAACAGTTGATACGACCAAGTCAAGGATTACTCATTTATCATATGCTTGTAAATTTATTGCTGTATCGTAACTTATTGAAAAATTGATTGAGAACCCTTGTAAAGGATCAAATTATTTTGGACACCCGAAGTAATCGAATAAAACTGAGGGACTTCAAGCTGATTCCGAGCAATGGTGCGGGCGAAATAGACTTATTGGCTAAGTTCTCTCTTGGAACACCGACTATGCAATATCACAATCAGATTTATGATCTTGTTCTTGATTTTGCCTCTGGTGCTGCATTTATGGATCATTCTGTATTTATTGGAAACTGAGTACTTTTTATGATGAAAATATATTTTTTACTTTCATGCTGGAAAGAACAAGGAAAAGTTTTGTTTTGAGTTTATTAAACGATTAGCGAGACTTTAGCACAGAGAAGCATGGAGAATGATTTGAGGAATAGAGTGGTAAGAGTTTTTTCTCGATTACCAGTATGGGACAGAGTGGAGGATAGCCTGTTCGGTCATCTCGGCTTTGGAGAGAGTGTCGACGTTCTTGTCCAAATCGGAGCCAACCCAGGTCTAGAAGATCGTCAGTATTGATATCAGAATGAAGGAACTTACATCAAGGATGGGGTTGATGAGGTCTCGGTTCTTGTCAGAAGAGAACTCGTCCCAGATCTGGTTCAAGCCAAAGTGCATGTCGTGGTTTTCCTGTCCCTCCAATCGTCCTACGGAAGACTTTAGAATCGCGAAGAAATAAGAATAACTCACCGTTGCCATCGGCATCGAAGATATCGACAAGGGTGGAGCCAATGGTGGAGAAAAATCCAGCGAAGCCTCGCTTGAACTCGGAGAAGCAGAGTTTTCCATCGTGGTTCTTGTCCAACTTGTTGAACTGGCTGGCTCCGTATCGGCCCATCAAGTTGAAAGCTAAAAGAAAGAGGTCAGAATGGACGAAAAAGAATTCTGCATTATCTGAAATGACTGTACTTACAGGGGTTCTTGTCGAAAGTAGCAGCAGTGACCTTCTTGCCGCACTCCCAGATGTCGTCAGCGGTGACATAGTCGTTGCTGGTGCACATGTGGAAAGCATCGTCCATGGCTTTGTCATACTTTCCGTTCCACTACAGAGGCGTTAATATCAAGAAAGAGAGCTTTCTGACTTACGGAGTTGAGGATGCTATCAGCGCTGTCGGTGATGGAGGCAGCGTTGGTCCAGAAATGAGTGTCAGCAGCGACGAGATGTCCAGAAATGTCGGCTCCGGAAGCGTTTGTGGCGGCGATGAGAGCGGCGGTGGTGGAGAACTTCATTTTTGGTTTTGTAAAAAAAGTTTTTTTTTGTTTTGATTCGATTTGTCGAGATCGATGATTTCGAGTTGAAAACCGTCATTTTTATATGGAGCATTTGGCAGTAGAGAGAAGCCGGTCGAGGTGTTACTACACCTGAACTCGCGAAGGTTACCGAAGTGCACTTGTTCAGGCAAATATTTTCCAGACGTTTGCAAATGTCTGCTGAAAAGCAAACGAACCCTTGTGACCGGATAAGAATAACCCTATCAGAATAGAACTAAAGCCTTGAACATGATGACGATTCATGAACCTTCTTTTATCGCTTCGTTTAAATTTCTTGGCAATTCAACTCTAAATGACTAAAGTAAGTAACAGTTGTACTGTTACATAATAGGAGGTCAAGGAGACGTTGACTCTAACCTTGAAGATAAATTTTATTTGAGTAGGCAAACCAGACAAGTCTGGTAAAAGTGATGTTTGGAATTTAAACTGAAATTTACAGTTTCCCCAAATCTAAAATGAACTCTCTTATTTTCGATGACCTCTGCATGAGAGCAGTAAGGCATTTTCAATTTCAAATTCTATAAATTATCGACAATAATGAACTTATCATCGAAAGAAACCATTATTTTCGAAAAATTTATTCAAAACGTAAAAATCAATAGAAATAATACGAATCAGGGCTCTAAATGGATTAGTCCGGGCTCGGACTTAGTCCGAAGTCCGTCCGGTCTAGTCCGGCCGGACGGACCAGACTTCTGATTTTTGGCTGAGAAAATTTTCGGACTAGACCAGACCAGACTTGGCTTTGTCCCCGGACTTAGTCCGAAAAAGTCCGAAAAGTCCGGAAAAGCTTGACTTATGTTTTAAGTCTTTCAGACTTATGTTTTAGTTCGAAAAGTCCGAGAAGTCCGAGAAAGTCCGAGAAGACTTGACCACTTCCAAACTACTTAGAGACTTATTCTCAGGCCAATTAAGTCCGAAAAAGTCCGAAAAGTCTTCATTTTTTTAAGAAAAACTCATTTCTCTCTGGAACCAGAGTTCTAAATTCTGAAAATTTTGAGCTAAGCTAAACTAGCTAAGCTGAAGCTCTCAAAAATTTCTCCTAAGCTAGCTAAGCTGTGAGCAGACACTCTCAAAAAATTGCTAAGCTAGCTAAGCTAAGCTGAGGTGCTTTTTTGCCCCAGCTAAGCTAAGCTAGCTAGTCTAGCAGGGTCAAAAAAAAAGTAATTTTTGTCGATATTATTTCCTGTTTTTCTTATTTTTTTCTTCTTTTTGGCTTTTAGAAGATATTCATTAATTTTTTTAGCTTCAGAAAATATAATTTCTTCTCCCTAAACCATTTTTCCTGAAAATTTCAATTTGAGATAGAAGATAATATCTTGAAGATCATTTTTAACTCTTGCGCGCATATCGACCTAATTTGAGGTAGCTAGGGTGGTAAAAATAAAAAAAAAGTGCATCACTAGAAATGAGATCGATTTAGCTGTCTGTTAGAGGTTATAAAAATATTACAATTATGTTATGTCGAATGTTATTCTTCAAATAGAGTCGGCGATGGAATGGTGTATTTTTTCTACGGACCTCAGAGAAGGTCGATGTGATCCTTGGGTTCATATTAATGATATAATATCATTATACTTATCATTTTTTCTTGTTCATGAAATCAGAAATTTCATCTTAGATTCAAGGGTATAGACTCTAGAGTCTAGACTGTTAATCAAGGAGCACGAGCAATTTTTAGACTCAACCCAGCTTCCTTTTTGGGTGTCCCAAACGAGCGGGTCCGGGAGTGTCTAGTTGAGTTTTAAAAAAAATACGTGGGGACAACCGTAAAAATAAATTAACCGTCGACCATGTCAGATCTAGACTCAAAATATTGCCAATAAGTGTGAATCTGCGGGACAAATTCGCTAAAAACGTAGGTTTTGGAGATGGTTCGATCATGTCACCTTAGGGGGCCTAAGCTAGCTAGACTAGCTAAGCTGAGGGCCTAAAAAAATTCTACTCAGCTAGCTAAGCTGTGAGCTGACTGTTTCCAGAAATCGCTGAGCTAGCTAAGCTGTAGCTGTCAGCTTAGCTAGCTCAGCTAGATTAGCTCACCAGATTTAGAACTCTGTCTGGAACTCCCTTATTTTTATGATTTTTTTTCTTCGACAATGCATCATTGGGGGGCCCGGACTATGTCGTCGAATAGCGTCGAATGTCGTCAATGTCGTCAGATTTTTCTTCAAAAACGGAAAAAAAAAACAAAATACGAATATTTTACATGATTTTGCTCAATAAATTTTCGAAAAAAGTTCGAATCTTCGTTGTTTAATGACTGATGAGTAAGTTGCGATTTTTCTAATTCGAAATTTTCCAAAAAAAAAATCGAGTTTTTCTTGTATTTTATTCGAAAAACTTTCGGACTTTTTCGGACTAGACCAGACCAGACCGGATTTTTCGGCTTTTTTCTCGGACCAGACTTTTTCGGACTTTTTCGGACTTTTCCCGGACTAGACCAGACTTAAAGTCCGGGTTTTCCAATTCGGACCTGGACAGACCAGACTTGTAAATTTCGGCCAAGTGCCCGGACCTGGACAGACCGGACTTTTGATTTTTGCCTCACATTTAGAGCCCTGATACGAATCATAGGCTCGAATGATAACCCCTCTCTACGAAATACGCCTTGTTGTTTTTTCCATACAGTGAAAACTCAAAATTTGCCTACTCAAAATTTGCCTACTCAAAATTTGGCCGGTTTTGGTCGAAATTGACTGATTTTTAAATCTGAAAAAGACTCAAAATTTGGCCGCTTTCTGAAAAATTTTGCATCAAAATTGCGCCCAAATTATGCTATTACTGAGCATTTTTAGCTTTTCTACAACGTTTTAATTATTCAAAATGGCTAAATTCTAATAAGATGACTTCAATCAAGCATAAATTTGAATAAAAGTCCTTAAAAAACGTGGAAATCATGCTCATTTTCGAAAATCTCGAAAATTTGCTTACTTGAAGAGGACTCTTTATCCGGTAAAAAACTCAAAATTTGACCGCATTTTTTCTGGAATTCGGATCTAAAAACCGGCCAATTTTTGAGTTTTCACTGTATCACTAGAAAACCCGTTAACAAGGCCCCATGAAAATATTTACAAGCCCAAAATTTCTTACCAATTTTAGAACTTTGCCTTCATTGACCGTTTTTGTCCAAGCATTCGCCCAGAGATGGCCATCAGCAGCAATCAGAGCACTCGAGATGTCAGTTCCTTCGGCGAAGGCAGTGCTATCGACGACAATTAGAGGGATTTTCCACGTCTAAACTTTCACTTCTTTTTTCGAATGTACTTGAACGTTCCCGTTGGGCGGTAAGTAGAAACAGTATTTGACGGAGCACACTAGACTTGTTTGATTTACTTGATCTTACAATCTTATAGTCGGCTAAGATCAAGAGTGACACTTTGTAAATAACCTTCCTGCATTCGTTGTAAGTTCAACAGCTTACACAAGATGCAGTAACCCTGGAATTTATGTTCTGGATAATGGAATAAGGAGTCCGATAAGGAGCATATGAAGAACAAAAATGAGCGCTAAAATTTTTCAAGCGCCCGAAAAGGGCTGAAATCAGTATTCAGAATACTCCATCCAATCAGTATACCCATTTCCAAGATTGTAGGTCAGGTTCTATTCTTCCAGCATCAATTCACAGAAATTGTGAACGGGGACTCTAGTGAGAACCAGCGCCGAAAGAAGCCAAAAAACCAAAATCAAGGCGAAATCGTTAGTCTGAGTTGTCCGAAGCAAAACTTGGCGATTATTTTGCCCAATTTTATTTTGTCTTCTTTTGGTTCTGGTCCTCACTAGAGTCTCTAATAAGAAATTCTGTGAATAGATTCTGGCATAATAGAATCAGCTCTACCAACTGAGACATGACTGGATGGAGTACTCATCTCTTTTAGGGCGCTCGAAAATTTCAAGCGCTCATATTGGAACTTCAGATGCTCAGTATCGTCAAAAATTGGGCCTTACGAGGTGAGAATTAAGAAATCCGACAAGTTATTTTTTTTTTCAAGTAATTTTCTGCAATATCACAGCCAGATTTTTGATCTTGTTCTTTGTTTTGCCTTTTCTGCTGCATTTAAGGATCATTTTGTGTTTTTTGGAAACTGAGCCACTTTTATGATGAAAATATATTTTTACCATTCTTGGTGAAAATAACAAGGAGAACTTTGGTTTTGAATTTATTGAACAATAAGCGAAACAAGTGCAGTGAGGAATGCACAGACAAGCACGGAGAATGTTTTGAGGAAAATAAGGGTAAGAGTTTTTTCTCGATTACCAGTATGGGACAGAGTGGAGGATAGCCTGCTCGGTCATCTCGGCCTTGGAGAGAGTGTCGACGTTCTTGTCCAAATCTGAGCCAACCCAGGTCTGAAGATTGGTCACTATTAATAGGAGGACTAATTAACTTACATCAAGAATGGGGTTGATGAGGTCTCGGTTCTTGTCGGAAGAGAACTCGTCCCAGATCTGGTTCAAGCCAAAATGCATGTCGTGGTTCTCCTGTCCCTCCAATCGTCCTAAAGAAGACTTTAAAATCCCTTAGAAATATGAAATTCGTACCGTTGCCATCAGCATCAAAGATATCAACAAGGGTGGAGCCAATGGTCGAGAAAAAGCCAGCGAAACCTCGCTTGAACTCGGAGAAACAGAGTTTGCCATCGTGGTTTTTGTCCAATTTGTTGAACTGGCTGGCTCCGTATCGGCCCATCAAGTTAAAAGCTGAAAGAAAGGGGGTTAAAAGCGGACAAAAAAGAGAGGGAAAGGCTTTTTCGGCAATGACTGTACTTACAGGGGTTCTTATCGAAAGTAGCGGCAGTGACCTTCTTGCCGCACTCCCAGATGTCGTCAGCGGTGACATAATCGTTGCTGGTGCACATGTGGAAAGCATCGTCCATGGCCTTGTCGTACTTTCCATTCCACTACAAAATCGTTAGTACCAAGAAAATGACCTTTCTGACTTACGGAGTTGAGGATGCTGTCAGCGCTGTCGGTGATGGAAGCAGCGTTGGTCCAGAAATGAGTGTCGGCAGCGACGAGATGGCCAGAAATGTCGGCTCCGGAAGCGTTGGTGGCGGCGATGAGAGCGGCGGTGGTGGAGAACTTCATTTTTGGTTTTGTACAAAAGTTTTTTTTTGTTTTGATTCGATTTGTCAAGTTGATTTTGAGTTGAAAACCGTCATTTTTATATGGTGCATTCGGCAGTAGAGAGAAGCCGGTCGAGATGTAACTACATAACAAAAAACCGTATTCAAAGTGCACTGTGCACTTGTCCAGACAAATATTCTTCAGACGTTTGTAAATGACTGCTGTAAAGCAAACGAACCCTTCTGACCGGATCAAGAATGAGTTATTCTGAATAACCTTTTCAGAATAGAATTCAAGACTTAAATATGATGAAGATTATTCAGCCTTCGTAAATCGCTTTGCTTTAATAAATTGACACAAATAAATTCAAATTTTCGAAACAAAATGTTAAATAATAGGAAGTTAAAGAGACGTTGACTGTTACCTTGAAGAATTACGATTAGACAAACAAGACAAGTCTGGTAAAAAGTGTTGCACTAAAGTTTACAATTTCGCCAAACAATGAATGAACTCTGCTCTTTGCATGACCTAAGGTCATGAAAGTTTGCATGAAAAGAGAAATGCCCTCTTTCTAAATCAACAATAGAAAAAATCATCGAAAGAGACCGTAATTTATTCTCGAAAAATGTATTGAAAAGGGTAAAGATTTTCAAGGAGAAAATAATTAAAGGGATTGGTACAGGATCGAAAGTTGGACCGCCTTTTCGGTTAGGTCGGCCTTCGAAAGTCCTTGCTGAGCAATTTTTTCGACTTCTTGTTCGCTCCAGAGCTTTAAAATCGGAATATGAAATTTCAAAAGAAAACTTTACCTCAAGAAGGCCTTTAGCAACGCTTCGATTCGACGAAAATCGTCAAACATTTCGCTGAGACCAGAGCGCATTTGCTCGATTTCTTGTCCCTCCAGGCGACCTGAAATTTTCTTATTTGTTACTGTCTTTGGAAATATTTACCGTTGAAGTCAGCGTCAATAACATCGACAAGGGTTGAGCCCAGTGTTTGAAAAAATGATGAGCGCGAGCCGCAAGCGAGCGTAAGCGAGCGAGCAAGCGCTCATTCTCACTCACCTAAAAATTGGGAGATCTCTGCTCGCGCTCATCCGCGCTCGCTCACGGCCTTTTTTGGAAAAATAACGTCCGCGACGAAGCATTTCCAGATTTGCGAAATCTCTCTTGGTTTCATGTTTTAAGGGTACTATCTTCGATTCCCCCAAGTTTAGCCTTGAATAACTCAGGACTTAGTTATCTAGGCGGCAGCATATAGGCGTAGATCAATCCTGGATCTTAACTTTTACAGAGAGGTTTCTCAATTGTTTAACAAAAAATGGTTAAATTTCAGCTTGAAGTCAACATCTTTGCCAAACAGTCCTATATAAAGGGTTGAATGACTCAAAAATAATCCTGATGAATTGAACATTGATTTTCTAAATGAAAGAAGGATTTTTTCATTGAGAGAACAAAATAATTTTTTTGAAAATTGTGTCTCAAAAATCTTCGGGGCTTGAAAATTTCAGTGTAAAATCATCACGAGCGAGCGTGAGCGAGCAAGCGGACGCTCTTGCTCGCTCCCTCATGAAAAAATTTTTGAGCTTCTGCTCGCGCTCGCTCACTCACGTTAAAATCGGGGAACCTCCGCTCGCGCTCGCTCACTCACGAAAAAGTTTAGGTGGGCTCTGCTCACGCTCACTCGCTCATCTTAGTTTCGACCATTTTTTCAAACACTGGTTGACCCAACAGTTGCAAAGAAACCAGCAAATCCGCGCTTTGCTTCGGCAAAATCCATTTTACGATCGCCATTTCTGTCCAGTTCGTAGAACTGAGACGCTCCGTATCGCCCAAGTAAGTTGAACGCTTCAAACACTCAATTTTTATTCCGGAATAATTTTCTTACTAGGGTTTTTGTCGAAAGGACCTGCTCCAGCAGCTTTTACGCAGCTCCAGATGTCTCTTGGAGTAGCGAAATCACCATTGGTGCGCATTCGGAAAGCATCATCGATCGCTTTGTCGTACTTCCCGTCCTACTAAAAACCCATCGGTTAGGGTTATGGTTAGGGTTCGGGTGAGGGTCCGCTCCTCCGGCGAAGGCAGTGGTGGCGACGGCAGCGGAGGTGAAGAATTTAATCGTAAAAAAGGACTTGTTTATGGATTGAAAAAGTTGATGGTTTTGCAATCGAATGATTTTTATACCAATTTTTCTCGCAGCAAAGAGCGGGAGTCATTCGAGGTTGAAAGCGGTTAGTTTACTTCGGTTCAATTACATCTTAGTACGTCTTAGGCAACATAGTAAAATTTAGCCTTATTTCGGAGACAATTTGAGAGTTTTTTCAAGTCCAGACTTTCAATTCTTTTTGTTACTTTTTCGAATGTTCTGGACCTTTTCCGTCGGGCGGTAAGTCGAAACAGTATTTGTCGGAGCAGACGAGACTTGTTTGATTTACTTGATCTTAAAATCTTATAGCCGGCTAAGATCAAGAGTGACACTTGGTAAATAACCTTCCTGCATTTTCCGAAAGTTCAACGGGTGACACAAGATTGAATAACTTTGGAATTTTTGTTCTGGATGCCGAAGAAAAGAACTCTGCTGACATCCAACCTGGGAACGCCTGCAAAAGATGAAAAGCAAAGATGACGCTTACTGATATGATGCATTTTGACGGTTTTGGAAGGCTTGGGAATGCGATAAGATGAGTTTCTTTGGGAAAAAATCAATGCGAAGTGCTGAGTTCAGAGAGGTTTCCTGCTTGCTGCATTATGCAACAGTCTTTTGGCCATCGAGGAAGTTATTTCTCATTGAAATTTATTCTAAAAACTTTTCAGCGAAAGAACTTTTTTATCCAATCCACTCCATCTTCAGAGCTGGACACCAGCCTCCCAAGGTCTTTGTACAATTGAGTCTGATTCTTCTGCATGTAATCGGTCTAAAAAACAATGATAAAATTATTTTAATTAAGAGTAATTACGTTTTAAACGCATGGTAGGAGATGCCTTTCTGGGCATCCCATTTGTAGTTTGTTTGAAAGCTTTCTCCACGGATCCATTTTCCTGCGCCAAGAAATGGCTTTGGTTTTGGGCTAGAAATTGAAATAAATTCGAGAGGATGAAAATTGCTCCTTACGAGTGAGAAATGAAGAAATCCGTCAAGTTGTTTTCTTCTGGAAAGTCGCGTTTGCCGTTGACGTGTTCGAGCCATTTGTGAACCTCGCTGACTTGAATCATTATTCCGGTGACGACTGTATCAGAAGCTTAACAAATATTTTGAAAAATTTTTTTCTGGAAAGCGAATCTTACGAAAAGTAACTTCAAGCCACTGAGGAGATCTAGCATTGGCGGCCATTTTTGAGCACCAATAATCTTCATCATGATTCAGTCTTGCTTTGCATCCCGCACGCGATTTGAAGGCATCCGAAGCGCTCTAGAATCAAGTTTTATCGGAAGAGGAAAAAACAGGCTTACCTTGATTTGACTGTCTCGAATCGCGCCCGACTCCATGCCGAGCTTTTTAAACTGCGAGTAGTCGACTGCCTGACTCATTTTGAAAATTCAAATTTTTTTCTCTCCCTTTTTTGTGTTTTGTTGTGCTCTGGAATGTCACTAGGTCCTGACAATTCTCACCGGTCAGTGTTTTTATCACCAACGCCTCGGGCTCGGTGCTTCATCCTATCAATTGGACCGCGTAATTTTCCCTGCCGATGATTTTTGCAGCCGATTATTATCCGTCGATCGCCGATAATGAGGTGCTAATTGCGCCTTATCACAGGAAAAGACGTAAGATTTCTAATTTCCTGACTCTGCTTTGAAATTTGAAATTCACGTTGCCTTACTTTACCAATCTGCGACCGCGAATTCATCATGTATCCAAAAACGATTTTTCCAAATCATCTTGCGGTAGAATATTTTCGTATAAAAACGATTTACTCAATTTTATTTCATCAAATTTCTAACGATAAAATCGAAAATGAAAATAAGTTTTTTTGCAATGATTTCGCAGAGTTTTGCGCAGAGAGGGCCAGGTGCTAGAAGAATGTCGGAATTCGAATCGTTGATGACTTTTTACAACCCAGGTTTGATCGGTTTTTCTCCTCGAAAGCTTCTCATTGTTTGATTTCAGATTTCACCCTAGAAAACCACGGCCAATATGGCTGCAAATGCCAATACATGATCACGGATCGACCCCTTTCCGCCGGTCCTGCTGGCCCCGTTGCCGTCGACGAATTAGATTACACTTGCCAAGCTCATAAAGATTGCTACAGATGCGCGAAAGAAAAGTGGGGAGACGCTTGCATCCCGGAATTCAACAATTACTTTTTCGAAGTTGTCGAAAACGACATTCAATGCACCTCGACAGTTGGAAGCTGCAACAGGTAAAGAAAAAAATCGGGGGAAAAGGCAAATTAATCGTTTTCTAGAGCTCTTTGCGAGTGCGACCTGGAATTCGCGAAAGCGCATGTTGCGAAAATTGACGTCTACGATCAGAAATTCACGCTTTTCAATGGATTTATTGCCGGAATGACCTGTCGTGAGTTCTTTTTTGATCCAAAAGATCCGATTTACTCGATGTTTTTTTAGCGAATTACTGCGGAAAATCCAAATTCGAAGTTGATTCTGACTCTGACGAACTCTCCGCTGGAACATTCCGCGCCCATGATGAGCTGGTCAATGGACGCCGATGCTGGGAGAACCAAGATGGCTTCTTGATCACGTGGGATCATGCCAAGTGGGTGATTCAGAATTCGACGGATACGATCGCGGAGGGCCTTGAAGATGTCGGCTGCCCAACTGTAACCGAATGGGTGGTGCCAGCGTCGAAAGGAGGAGGTGGATTCGGGATCACTTTCAATGGACAAGGAAGAGAAGAAATCATAGACGAGCATGTTGCCGTCGACAAACAGGTTCATTTTGACTCATCTTTTCTCTTTGAAAAAAGGGACTTTTTGAAATTTGAAATATTTTTCTAGTGTTGCGTGAATCAGTCGTCAACAAAATTCACCGTTTTCAACGCTGTCACTCATGAATGCTGCGCGAATGGAGAAAACGCACTGATTGGAGAGTGCTAATGTAAAAATTTCATCAAGAAATCGACGATAAGTGGTCGAAAATGATAAAGATTTCATCTGGCCTTGAAATCGTTATTTATTTTTATCATTTTTAACACTTGAAAATGTCCACTAAATAATTATCTGTAAATAAACATAAAAATTCAAAGTACTGTATGTGAATCAAATGAACTTGCAGAAATCAGTTTTATTTCAAACTTCATATAATAAAAAGTTCAACAAAGAAGTTTCCTAGAGATACGCCAGTCTCAAACGAAAATACAAATAATTGAGAAGCAAACAAGGACAGTAAGTGGCTCTGAATAGATATCTGACGGCGCCGTTCTGATAATTTCAGAAGAGCAAACTTCGCGTCGAGATAATTCTGAAAAATAAACAATCGTCAATTTCCTAATTTCGGAAGTTTACCGTGTCTTTCGGATCCATTCCTCCATTTCGGGCATTAGATTCAGCGTGTTCTTTGGGTGCAGTTGATTCGTTTCAAAGCGGGAGACGAGTGTTTGCGAAATCTTTTTACCGACAAGTTTGTAGATCGATTTTGCGGTTTCGTGCTGCGTCAATCCCAAATGGGTTCTGTGGTTACGTAGCCGCTTGAAAGAATAATTATGGTCCGATACAACGAAATCATATGGTATTTGTCTCAAGAAGAGGGGGTAGCCGAGTTTTTTTTGTAGGAAGGTCAAGGAAACGTTGAAAACAGTTCGACCAGAGCGAATATTTATTAAGAAAAGACGAGCAACTCCCATTTTTCTCATCATTATTGCTTCGAAATGACTGTTGTTTTTCTTTACCTGCTGAAAACTGAGAATATGCGCAGGAGTAGAAGCATTTCTCAACGCTTGGTCCGCTCTTGGTTTTGATTTTTGCCGCTTTTTGACTTTTGATGGGTATTTTTCAATCACATCATCTTGTTTTTCTTGCTTGATGATTTTCGAGGGAAATTCTTTGGTCTCTGTTGAGTTTTGACTAAATGAGCGATTGAAGCTGGTGTTGTTTCCATTGACGTTGTAGACGTTGTTGTGGTAGTTAATCGGAGCATCAGGATTGTTGTTGTTATTATTGTTGTTGTTGTTATTGTTGTTGTTATTTGTTGCTTGGAGATATTGCTGCTGTTGCTTGGCTTTAATCGCTAAAAATATTTTTTTATCCAAGAAATCGATTAATTTTTTGATTGGTCCGGATTTTTTTTTTGCGTCCATCTGATTGGTCAAACATATTAATTAAATTTGCAAATTTTTAAAATAAGTTTTTGCCTTTTTTAATCAAGTTTTTTGAATATCAATTTTATTAGTTATAATTTATTATTATTAATGATAATTTATTGCCGAATCCTACCTGAGCATTGCAGGAGATACTGTCTCAGCTTCTCGGCTTCATGTGGCTGTAACTTCAGATAGTCGAGTTCCTCGAAATCGTCAGCTCCCGTCTTGAGGTAGGTTTCATTGTTGTTGTTCATTTTCAATTAATGTTTCTATATCTGCTTTTGATGAGATTAGCAAATTTACACTTTTGCAACCGTATCGAAAAAAGGACAAGATTTGTTTTCATTAATTGAGGGTCATTAGAAACGGTCCGCGAAGGCAGAGGCATGGCGTTTTATGTGTGGTCCTGTGAACTAAGCAAATACACCGCCAAGGTAATCGACAGTCACAAGCAAGGTAGTTCAACAGCCACGCCATTTCAGCATGGAAGTTATAAAGAGGAAGACGAAAAAAAAACAAATCTTTCGGTTGAAAAAAATTTTGACCAAAATTTTCGTCAAACTTGAGGTTTTTTTGTCGATTCTTTCGACCACGAAATTGAATCGTAAATATTTTTTTTAACTATAAAAAGAAATTTTTTTAGGGAGGGCACAATTGAATTGATTAAATATTTTAAACATCATTATCTCGTTTATTGCAGAAGCTTTTCGCCTTTCGGCATCATCAGTGCTACCGAAAGGCGAAAAGCTTCAGCAATAAACGAGATTATGTATTAAATACTCGTCAACTTTACGATATTTTAAACATCAGTTCAAGAAAGAACCCTTATTCAAAAAAGTTCTTTTCCTATCTTTCGTCCTACCGGTGAAAGCAAGCCTTTACCCGGGATTTCAAACATGTCTCCACCCCCTGTAGACATCTTTATTATATATTTATAGAGATATATTTATAGACATTTATTATTATAGTATGATATATCTCATCGTTGCCTTTATTGATATTTTTATCTCGTGCTCTGATTCTTCCGCTTCATGTTTCCGGTGCACTTGTGCTCATCGGAAGCCAATCTGTAGAACTTGACTTCTGAAGTCAGAACTTTCTCCGCAATTCATATCTTCTTACAAGCTCTTCCATAATTGTCGCAATAAAAACCCAAAAACGCAATTTTAAAAACGATGCGGTCCAAAGAACTTAATCTCCAAAACAAGCCCGTCCTTTTTGCTCAGCCTTGCCAGGAATCGTTTCAGATGAAGTTGAAGACATTCCTTTTTGTTTTTTATTTCGCAGAGAGTTATGGAAATTTCAAAGATAAATTCATCAGTTTCTCGTTCGACAAAGAAGAGTTTCTTTTTCTAGGAAAGGTTGCCAAATAAATATTTTAAAGGGGGACACCCTTAAAAAATTTTTATAAATGTCTATATCAGACCTTATGACCTTGAAAAGATGACCAACTGACCTGGTCAGAAGGAGAGCAAGGTAACCGAAAAACAAACAAAAAAGCTGTCGTAGTTACTATTCAAACAAAAATTTTTCAGCATGTGACTCGTTTGGTGGGCACCTCGCGACGATTGACAGGAAATCGGCTGCATTCAAAGTATCTTTGTTTTATCTCTTTCGATCGCAGAAATAGCCGAAAAAAGTGAGGCGACAAACGATGCCGTCGGCGCGCTGCTCTGTAGATACTGGGCTTGTCAAGTCTGCTTCCTTCTGACAAGAAAAAATCTTGTCCATGAAAAAGCCCGGATTCAGTCTCCTAACAAACTGCAAAGAAAACAACACCAAGGAGAAAGGTCTGCTTCAAGCCCTTAAATTTGAAGAATTGTCCGGTAGACAATGGATTTATTTAAGATTTTCTTGGATCTTCGGTCTGGCTTGGCTATTTTCTCCGGCAAACACCTTCATTCCAACTCGCAAATATTTTAAATGATGATGTCAGCGACGAATCCTTCAGCAAACTTGCTTCTTCTTGGAAATCTGACGAGTTTACATACGATTACGAGCCGATCAAAAACACAAGGTCAAAGATAAAGGTCAATTCTAGAGTAAGTCTTGACTTTGGAAACTGGGACTTGCCCGTAAGTGGTCGAATTTATGTAGAAATGATCATGAATTTTTTAGCCAATCTGTTTTGAAATGTGTCTTCGGTCTGGCTATTCCTGGAAGAGTTCATAAACTAATAAAATTTTGCCCTTCGAATAGCAAATTTGAAAAGATATCGAACTCGGATGTTGAGTGCGAGCAAAATTGTGAGATGAAACGAAGTGTCCTGTGTAAACTCAAAGCTGGACAGCTCGAGGGCCTCCAGATGCGGGCACTCGGGTCTACGTTTTATCCCAGGAAGGAAGTTGAAACCTGTGGGAGGATTCAATGGAAGAAAATAAGAACCGGACAAGGTAGGGTTACTTGAACTTCCCTTGTCCTTTCGGGGGTTAGGGTTAGGGACCTTCAAGAAGGGCTAACCTTACCCTTAGTCTAATACAGAAAATAACGCCCACGGGACCCCCCTTTCGCCAAATTCCAGTAAATTTAAGTCATGCTGAACGGTCCCGATTCAAAAATGCTGAAATTCAGCGTGCCTAACACGCATCCCACGGTTGATATCCGTCGCCAAACGTATATTGGCTTCATCAGATTTCCGAAGGTCAAATGTGGCGTCAATTTTATCAATTCTGTTAGAGAAAAACTCGTGAGCTTTGAATTCCTCGATATAGGAAACGGGTCCATGTCATGATAAAAAGGCCGCACAGTTGTACGTCCTTGGGCGGAAGGAAACTGCATCTGATAAGTCCTGTCAAACTTGACCCGTAAACAGTTTCTTGCTACGACTTAGACTTTACTTCAATCGCGGAGGAGCGCAGTCAGACCAGGTGAGAGCTATCTTTCGATTACTGACGGAAAAACTTACAATGGAAAACTAAAGCGTGATTTTGCAATTTCGTCTCAAGGGAGTCATCGATCAAGACTTGCCGGCGACGAATTTTCGAAAATTCATGAACAAGGACGAATTCTATTTGCTTGTTAAAGGAAGCCAGAAGGTTGACTGGAGAAATGTTGATCCCGACTCTTGCTTAGGTAAGAACGAGCATTCAATAGAAAGGTCTTTATTCTTATCATTTCCAAAGAATCTGCTCAACTCGGAATTCGGGAAGATGATGGAAAAACAGATGCGATAAACTATAAAAACTGCGCAATCGAATCTTTTCTGAACAAAGAATAAAACTAGAACTTGATAAAAAGAATCGTTTATGTATCTTTTTATTGTCTCATTTTCAATTTATCTCGCTTTCAAGAAACTCGTCCTCGTTCATAAAAGAAGGAACCATGTTTCCGAGCATAAACTTTCGCATTTGATCCTCAGCTAGATTCATCCCCACATTTGAAGCAATTCGAAGGCCGAATCGTACTCCAGAGCGCTTGATTCGATTCCAGAATGACGTTCCGGTCCTCATGTGGCCGAGCTCTAGAATGAAATTGGCAAGAGTAATCGTAAAGGTTGAAAACCTTTTGACGAATTGATGATTTTCCGAGTTGTTGCATCTCGCGCTTTGAAGAACTTCTCGAAAGCTGTTGGAACATCTTCGGATTCGTTCAAACATCTTCCCAAGTAATATCCATCAATCATCGCTTGATTCGCGCCTTGCCCCATAAATGGCGATGTGGCATGAGCAGCATCACCGACCAAAATGACATTTCCCTTGTACCAGTTGGAGACGTGTGGTTGTTGATAGATCCCAAGGTGGCTGAGGCAGTGGACGTTTTTGATCATTTTCTCGTCGATCCAGTCCTGTTCTTTGTAGAAATCATGGTCTTCCATCAATTCGTGGAAGATTTGAGGAGAGACGTCGAATCTAGAAATTTTTGATGAAAGTTCAAATTCTAGAGCTACAGACGTCCATTTTTGACTGTCGACATTCCATTTTTCGGACGCTTGATGAGCCACAACAATCATCCCGTCAGTTTCACTAACTCGCATGACCATGGCCATTCCCATGTTTAGGTGCAATTCGAGAGCTATTAGAAAGATTATAGAGAAAGATCATCGATATTCCTCTTACTCGAGTTATCCGGGAATCTCTCCTTGTCGATATCTTTCAGAAGACAATAAAAAACGCAAAGTCCAGAGTGCTCTGGCGGTGGACAATCTGGATCGACGAAATCTCGACCGATTGAGTGAATCCCATCTGCTGAAACGACGATATCTGCTGAATCTGTTGTTCCGTCGGCGAAGGTGATTTCAGCCCCGGAATCAGTGTTCTTGTATTCCGTTACTTTGACACCAAGTTTCGTTTTTATCTTGATTTTTTTGGTTTAAGAAATGTATTTTGGTTCCTACTTTTGGATTTTTCTCACATTCAGCCCAGAGCTCTTTCATAAGAGCATTTCTCTTTGTCATCATAAAATGATCTTCAAGAACCGTTCCTCCAAGAAGTTTTTTGATGTTTAGACTGCTAAGTTTCTCATGGCCAGCGGTAACTCTTGCTTCATAGACTGGGTGACCGACTTTTTTCCAAACATGAGTCAGATTCATTTTGTCAAGGCACAGAGTTGCGCCTTGAATACCGAGTCCAGCACCGATCGGATTCAAGATCTTCGTTGATTTTTCGTAGATTCTGATTTCTTTAAACCCATGGAAAGCTAAAAAAGATTCCTTCATTTCGAATTGAAAATATTTCAAAATACCGAGGGATAGCGCAGTTGTCATCCCTCCGAGACCAGCGCCAACAACAATCGCAGTTTCCTTCATTTCTCTGAAGGTCTATCCTTTGCCCTTTGTTTTCTCGAGTATTCTTTAGGGCGCGTTTATTTGCCAGAAGTCAATAATTCTGAAAAAACTTCTCAATGAGATCGATTTCTGTATGCCCTGGAGGAAACTCGGCACAAACCAAAATAAGTATGTCCGGAGCTAGGACGTGACAGCGTAGGACCAAATCAGAAAGTATCATACATTAAAGTAAGATTTAATATTCTTATTGGAAAAAAAGAATCGTTTAATGTTCTTAGTGGAAAAAATGAAAAATTTAAGATCCTTATTTGAAAAAAAGTAAGTGATTTTTAGGAGGGCCAATAAGATTGCTGTATTTGGCCTACCGGCCAATAAGAAACCCAAACTTTTTTAATACTTACTAGTTTCACCGATCCAATTTTGCACAGTCCTGACTTGGATTTACATTATAATTTTATACTTCAATGTATGATACTTTCTTATTCAGTCCTTCAATGTATGATACTTTCTTACTTGGTCCTACGGTGTCACGTCCAAGCCCCAGACTTACTGATTTTGGTTAGCCCCGGAAACTCGGGTTTGATAAAGGAACAATGACTTTTTGAGATTAAAAGTTTATCACTTATTCCCTGCTTCTAGCACTAATAGTCGATCTTTTGTATGAAAGATATTTGGTCAGAAGGATACTTTCAACCGCCCAAATTATTCATTCAATTAATCATGTTCTGTAATACAAATTTTTATGCTAACAAATGACTAAAAAAGAAAACGGTCAATTCCAAGGAATGCAATAACCAGTGCTTCTCCTCCAAAGGTCGCCCGTGGTGGTGTTGCTGTCGAATGAGAATTGATAGAGTCAGAACACTTTCTTGCCGCGGGCGTTACTGCCTCAGATTAGTAGCAGCAGCTCACTATTTTCAATTGCATCTTTCATCAGACTTTATTTTTATCGTTCCAAAAACAAGTCCTTTTGTAGAGAAAGCAGTTTATTTTCTGAGAGATGAGAATATTCGAAGGACTGATAGCAGTAGCTACAGCTTTGGCTCCGAAGAAGTTGTATACCCTGAAATCAGAGTAAGTTTTAGAAATTAGAATCTAGAATTCCAACTTCAATAATTTCCTACATTCCACTTCGATTTTTCTTATCAAATTTTTTACTAAAAAGAAATTTTTATAATCAAAAACGATTTTTCCTCTTATGGTCCTTTCAACTCAAAATATTCAAATCTTTGAGATATAAATTCTTTTTTCAGTGTGCAGGTCGACGGGGTAAAAGTTCTTAATGGCCATCTCACCCTTTTCGGCCCACACTACATCGGAATCATCGACAACGTCAAATCAAAATCAATGAGCGTCAAGAGAATGGTTCCCCGAGCAATGATCGACTCAATCGCCTACCCAACAAATATCGGCCGCGTTCCTGACGCAACGTTCCCCGGCGCGAGGGGAAAATGGTGGATCACTTCAGCGGCTTTTAATGGAACATCTGGGCATGTTTTCTTTGTAAATCCGAAACCAAAAGGAACAAATTATAAAGGAATTTCGGGCGATGATGATTATACTTATGAAAACCTGAGATTCGTGGATATGGATTTGGATGGAAAACTCGATGTCATCACTGCAAGAAGTTTGTCGAATTCCATCGGGGCAAAAGGAGAGCTTCTTTGGCTAAAACAGCCGGGCGGAAATGGGCATTGGCCGGCTACTTCTCTTCATGAAGGAATGGCAGATGCGAATTTCGAACTTCTTGAGCGACGAAACAAGAGATACTTCATCGTTGCTGGGCGAAAATACAGTACATTGGGGATTGTCTGGACAGTGAACAAAGGTGACAAGTTTTTGAAGAAACAAGAAGTGCGCCATCGAGTGGTGGATAATTACGGGCCGTATAATGATGTCCAAATTGTGGATATCAACAATGACGGTAGATTTGATGTGCTGACTTCTGTTATCAAAAGAGGCGGTGGTCGAGGTCACGTGCTCGCCTACCAAGTTCCAGATGACTTCCTCCATGGTCAGTGGAAGAGAAACGTAATCGCGGCTGGTTTTGATATTGACGGCTCCCCGGGTCGTGCTCAGGCTTTCTGGCCCGATCCAAAGACTCGAGGAAATTCCCGCCCGCATGTTTTTGTCTCCGGCTCAGCCGATGGAGGAAGCTACATTCTAGAGCCAAAGGGCAACAAAGGCTTCGCATTCTCGAAAATGGTCGCTGCGCCGAGTTATGGAAGAATTGGACTCTTTGATATTGCAGATATTACTGGAGATGGCCGACCGGAAATCATCATCCCTCAAGAAGACAAAATCCACGTGTACACCTTCCCAAAAGTCAGCAACAAAAAATCGAAAGACTTTACAAGCCACAATCCAATGGAAACAGTGGAGAATCCGAAGCTTGGTATCATTCCTAAAACAAGATATCAGGACAACTCCCCAAAGAAATCTTCTCTTCAAAATCGAGTTCCAATGATGCCGGGTGCGTTCCCAATGATGCCGAATGGCATGCCAATGATGCCACCTATGCCACCAATGTTACCAAATGGAATGATGCCGATGCTTCCAAATGGTTTCCCAATGTTTCCACCTGGAATGCTTCCTCCTCCAGCCGGTTTACCAATGAGCCCAGCGATAATGCCAAAAGCACCGATGCAACCAAAGAAAAAACTGCCAACTAAGCTGGTAGAAGGACCAAAAGTGATGTTAAAATCGACCGATCTTACCTCCCCAGAACAGAATAAGACTTCAACAAACGGTCCACCGATGCCGTACGAGACATCAGAAGAAGGAGAAATCATGCCAGGACAAAACACAGTCGGTAAGTTTTATGTCTCAAGAAAAAAAATCAAGATAATTATTAGAAGAAAGAATTTTCTTTGATCACGAAATGTTTTCCGTCACTTCTGGAGTTTACGATGGCCAAAGTCTTGCTGGCGAAGAGTGTGTTGCTATGGGTCGACAGGTAATTATCAAATTGTTTACAAAGAATTGCGCATTTTTTAGCTCTGTACCCAAAAACAAATTCTAATGGGCTTAAACATCGAAGATCCAGGTATCAAATCGTGGCTTCTCTACGACTCTCGTGGCAAAGGCCCTCGACTGGCGAGGATGAAATCTTGCAACGTCGCCGATGTTCTTTGGGAGGGGTGAGCAGCGGATTAACCTGGGCTCAGAATGATACTTCTTTTTTAGTTACGAGTGCATCAACGGAGTTCTCGAAACGAGCGCAATCAAAAAGGCGGTTCTTTCAAACGGGCTTTGCTGTGGAGTAATGGCCGGGGCAACTCTTACTGACTCGTATTTTCCACATAAGCAACTTGCTGAAAAAGGATGCAAACAACAAGACAAGCAATTATGCCAGGTTTTTTGGCTTCCATTTCTCAGTTGTTAATGAATTTTTTTAGGCTGATGAACTGCTGAAAATTTGGGGTTACTCAACATTAAAATCACCTTTCTGGGGTTGGATCGCGGAAGGAAAATTGGCGAAAATGGCGAAAAACTGCGACCCAAATTCGGTTTTGTGGAATGGATACACTTGTTTCGCGGGTAAAAACGAAAACAATAGAGTTAATTTCTAATATTAAATTCAAAGGAAAAATTGAAATCACTGCGCCAACAAGTGAAATTTCTTCCAATGCTCCTGCCTACTGTTGCGATAACAATCTGAAGCCCGGCTTCAAGAAGAGCTCTGGGAAAACAGCTATTTTCTCATCTCTTCTTGCAGTCATAACAACGGTTTTCCTACTGTAAATATTCAAAGATCCCACTTGACCAAGCACAAGAGGCTGTTTTGCTTATTATTAGCAGTACTGTAAATAAACTTTTGCTCAATACGTAAAATATCAAGCCACAAATAAAAATTTTCATTATTATAAAAAACACTAGGATACCAGAATTGTTGAAGTTTGGTGCAACGAAAACTTTTTTTTCCAAGGGCCGCATTTATTTTTTTGCAGGAAAAAGAATAATTTTATTTGATTTTTCTTTTAAAATATTCGCCTTCTTTGCTGTCAGGAAATCACAAGCACAATTGGGCCCTATTTTGTTTTTCAGGTTTCTTGAAAATACGGGTATTTTTTGTAAAATTCTTCTTCCAATCTTTTTTCGATATATTCTGGCAAGGAATCAAGATCGGACTCGTCTGTTATTACGCTCAAGTCAATAGAAACCGCTTCAGGTTCTAGCGACTGTGTCATACGATTCGAACTTTTTTGAATCATTATTTCTCGGAAGAGCTCGTCGTGGATCCTTCGATTTTGCAGAGAGTTAACTTCAAAGTTCACACAGGAATCAGCGTCTTTGAATTCGTTCAAGCAAATTGATTGAGGCTCAATGAAAGAAGAGCTCATAAAAACAGTTTCAGTCGATGATGATCGTTTGATTCCTTCGGAATAAATAGAAAACTCTTTTCTTCCCATAAGTTCTTTGAAGAGTTCATTGTTGACTTCGTTATGTTGATAGGACAGAGAAATTGAATATGCTCCAGGAAGAAGATACCAAGTTTGTGGACACATATTTTGATAGAGCTCATTGACAAGCCAAAGGGGCCCATTATTTGGAAGGAAGTATTTATAACGGCCACCATCGCATTCTTCCATCATTTCTCTACTGCCGTAGTAAGGATGTAATAATGAAATTCTGATAAGCGGGTCAGAATGCCATAAAAGTGTATTTTGAATAATATAAGTGCCATTTTCAACGCGATCCAAAAGCATTTGATGGTAAGTTACTTTTCCGTCGATTTCAAGATAAGCTCCCGTGACGGTAAGCGGCTCCGTGAAGTCGAAATTTTCATGAAGAAATACTGAAAATTTAATGACGACCAAGTTTTTTTTCGACGATTCTTTTCAAAGTCGTAAAGATTGCTTACCCTGCTCATATGAAAACAAAGATGGTTTCACTATCTCTTGACATTCTGGCGGTAAATGACGGTTTTTGATAATTTCCCATCCACTCGAGTTTAAGTATGTCTTCATTTTCATTCTCTTTAGAAGAATCTCAACTTGGCTGAAGGACTGATAATCTTTTTCTTCTTCATTCGGATTTAAATTGAATCCCGCCACACTTCGAGGATAAATTATCATAATAACCAGCAAAAATATATATCGAAACGAGAAATTCTGGTTCAAAAGATCATCGGTCAGTTCCAAGTCATTTTTGATTGCCCATCGTAGAAGATTGCTTATTGCAATGGGAACACACAAAAGAGTGTCTTTTTGGTCAGTTATGTTTTTCGTTAGATGATAAAAATCGGAAAGATGAGTTTTTTCTATCAGCGGACTCAAATTCGCCAGATCATATGATTTTGTCAAATTGCTATCGTCAATGCAAAGTGTAGGAAAATTTTGCTTTAAAGTGATGATGTTCTTAACTTTCTGGATAAAGTCCCTCTTTGGATGATACAGGTACGCTTGGCTCACAATTTTATTTGCATGAAAACGCTTAAAAGGTAATTAAAAGTGTTAGTTCATACTTTTCCTCTGCGCAAAAATCGACCTTTTTGATTATTCAATCAATGTCTTGGCTTGTGAACAAGGCGCGCTTTTTGGAAAACAATCACGTTTGTAAGGCGCTGCCTAAAATATGGACGATGTTTGCTCAGGGGTTATAGATTTTACGAGTGCGCAAGTGTAAACAAACTTTTAATTCATCTCGAATCGTTTCTTTTTCTTCTTGAGTAATTGGATAATAAAGAAGACTTGGTGCTGTGTCCTTGTCGCAAAGAAGAAATATATAAAGATTGGCGTTGTCGGGAACATTATTGAGATTGAAAAGTTGTCTTGAATTACAGAAGCCAGATGTACCAGCGCCTTGAATATAGATGACTCTTTCATTACAAAATAAAACATACGTAGTGAACCGACTGTTCTGTATTTGCTTCCCCTTCTGGCGTATCCCATCTTTCTGTAGCTCTTTCGTCCAGTTTTGTCTCTTAGAATACCAAAATCAATGATCTTTGGAATTCCGCCTTTAATCAAAATATTTTGAGGTTTCTTGTCGAAATGATCAATCCCCATAACGTTGGACAAGTAATCAAGTCCTTTTGAAATTCCGGTAGCAATACTTTTTCTTTCATCTATGAGAACATCATTGTCGCAGAGATATTTTTTTAAATCTTTCTCACATCGTTCCATGATTGTTATCCAGCCCAAGCAGTCCTCCTGTTCACTGTCTTCCTCATTAAATATTTCAATATTGCAAAAATGCCGAATAATGTTCGTATGGTTCGGTATAATTTCCTTTTCAAAATCTTAATTATAATTTTATGTGTCCATACATCTTGCAGAAGAAAAATAATCTATATCAATAAGTTCGTTCATACATACTTTTAGACATGTGTATAACGGGAATAGTAAGCTCACAATTTCTTGTGAAAAGGGCTGAATCAAATGCTTGAATCCTCACAGCAACCTTAAGGATGTCAACAACGATCTGGCCAATTTTGTGACTGTAGTTTCAGTACCTTCCCGTATCGTATTCAGTTATTTTTTTGGATGATATATTACATTCAACCCTGATTTATTAGTTTAATTTGGCGAAATTTTAAAAAACTAATCCATTAATCCCCACCGCCGCTCCAAAGGACGTTTAAATGCTTGATCTCACCAAAATTGTACCTGTAGATTCGGTAACTTCCCGAAATTCAATTCCTTTCATTTTTCTCAAGATGAAAGGTTGAACGCTAAACTATTAGTTTAATTTGACGGATTTTTGAAAATTGAGCTGCATGCACCTGTTTGCATGCATAATGTGATGCAACGATTTTTTCAAAGTTTGAGCACGATTCTAGTTCAGTTCCTGAAATTGGAATTTTCTCATTTTCACATGGATTATGGTTTTACTCTTAGACAATCTCCCGGTGCACTCAGATTGTGCACTGATTAATCCCTTAATCCCCTTTTCCGGCGCCAAAGAGCAGGTGTTTGCGACTTTTGGCGCGCAGTTCGAACTTGAAAAACTTGCCTGATCTTATCGATATTGGTATCAGTGAATAGAGAATTTTTCGAGCTTTCAGAAAATATATAGTTTGCTATATAAAACCGCAAATTAAAAAATGACCTTTCTAACAGTGACTTTCTACAGAGCTCTAGTGTATTAGCGCGCCCATAGAATGTTGCGTATCTCGTGATCTAGTTGAGATATTTCGGATCTGAAAAAAGATTTGGGATCGTCATAAGCTAAATAAAAAGATATCAGTTGGTCGACTCATAAGATAGACCCTTATCCGATCGTTGTTGACACCCTTAAGATCATCGAAATTTTCATTCATCACAATTGCTTCTCCTCCAGCGGAAATAACTTGGCCTGGAAAAAGATGATTTGTCTGCCATTGACCTGTCTCTTCTTTTAATTCACATCGCTGTATTAATTGATCAATGAGCGTCGGATTTTTGCGAAGAAGTATTTTTTGGAAACAAGTTGTGTCGACAATCTTTTTCGGCTGGTTATCAGTAAAGACTTCTGCATATCTCTTGTGAAAGATGACTTCCTTCCATTCTTCTTTTTTAAAATACTCGATTTCTGCTCTTTCCAGCGATAAAATAAGTCTGTCTTTATCATCTCTGCTTGTTTGTCTTTTTAAATTTTTAACGAAAGACGAATACCATTTCAAAATCTTCTCCTCAGTTAATTGGTACGGAAAAGCCTCAAAAGTCATTTTTTGTGATTTTTTCTTGGAGAACTGAAGCTTTTCAAAATATTTAACAGTCCTGTGAGTCAACATGAATCACCGCAGGGCGTTCTTGACTCTGGTAAGAAAATATTAAGATAAAATTTCCTCGAGAATTATGATTGAGTTTGGCAAGATTTATATAATGCACAATAAATTTCAATAAGTTTCATTGTATTTGCAATTAAACTTGGCATTGCATGCAGGAAGATAAATAAAGAGAACTACTGCTTTATTGAATCCAATAGACAGAAATAGCGGTGTAGCGAATCTATCTATAATTGATATGTATATCAATTATTTGCAGACGTATTGGTTTCGAGAAGAGAAATCAGCGTTGCAAATTACGTTCGCTGCCCTTGATGCCCGCGGAGAGTGAGTGGTATTGGTATAATGAGCGTGTCTCGTCTGGCAGTTAATCATTTTGTACAGCGCGTTTCTTCATCTCCTCCCTTCACCAGTTCTCATTAGCCCCATAACGAGCAATCTTACTGGAAAGGCAGGATTTTTTCAGAAGCTAGTAGAGAAACGGTAATCTAAACGGTACAACTTAGACCGTATAAGAAGAGGGAGAAAAGAATGAAAAAGGATGTGTCTTCAATCAAAACAAACAAGAAGTGATGTTCCGGTAAGATTGTTTACATTGACCCTGGTGTTATCAAAAGATAGGCTTTATAAAGAGTTCAATCATCGTTAAGTGGGTTTCGCCAACATCAGAAACATCTTTTCACGATGGCAAATACGATGAAATTTATGCAAATCGTCATAAAATAGCGCTTCGGTGATTATTTCTTTCTTACGATGAATTTTTAATTGCAATTTAGACACAAGAAGCGGATAATCTACATGTGCGCTTTATTCGTCCTTTTGTTTCTTGGATTTATTCTATACAAAGTAAGGGTGTCACTTAGTAAACGCGTCAGCTGATCAATATCCATAAGTTTCGACGACGAAATGAGAAAAAAGCTGCAGAGACAAGGTGAAGTTCATCATTAATGAAAAACCGAATGAAAATTAAGGAGACAAAGCGTCGTTGAAGAATTTAATCAGGTTCGAATTAGGCGACAATCGATGATGAGTACGCGGACTTCATCCTATGGTGATGATTTTGAGAAGACAAATTTTTCAAGCAGGAATCGATTCCACGCTACTGCATTTTGATTGAAAATGAGCGCTTTTGTGAAATCATAGAAGAGAACCTCTTCATGTCAGAAGTACATCAATCGACGTTTTAGGAAACAATTCAAATAAACAGCGAAAGTAACCTCCATTTTTCCATGAAAAAAATCAATTCTTTTAGAGACCAGAGATCCCAATCCTTGATCCCTACTCATCCCTTTTATCAATCTCCAGCTCATGTTCCTGGCAGAAAATGGCAATCAAGCGTCCATTTCATGTAAAAATATCACGAATTGCAAAAAAAAAAAGTTTTAGATCGATCAAATGCTCTTTATTTTACTTGCATTCTGAGGTCTGAAAATTGTCTATCAGACAAAGAGGTAGCCGTAGTTCGACTCGTAGTCCGTTCAGTAGAAATTCTTCGTTGGAGATTTTCGACGAAAATTGCCTTGAAATCTTTTCGAAAGCTCGATCCTCGAAAAATCGTCACAAACTTTTCTCGGGCTCAAAAATTGATAAATTGAAGTTTACATGTTATTATCACTGAATGAAAAAGAGCCTCTCCTGTATAAAAATGCCATTGAGATAAAATAAGAAGGAGGCGATCTCTTCAAACCGTCTGAGTCTATCCTTGAATTCCAGAGAGAATTGACTGTAAGTCACATTTGATGTCACATTATCATAATAAACAGTAAGTAAAACCAAGACCAGAATCATCGGGAGAAGGCCAATAACAAAAGCAAAAGACTAAAATTGCTTGAAAAACAAAACAATATGAACATACCTCTAAGATGGTCGTTTTGGCAAGCTCAAGTTCGATAGAAACTGTTTCGTCTCTCGATGATCTCAAATTGGACGATCGTCGATGAGTGGCGAACATAAACGGAATACAGCAATTCGCAATAATGATGAATAAAAAAGGAAGGGCGATGGAGAAAAGATAGATATACACCAGGTTTTCTCCAATTCCAGCGATCATCAATCCAGAGACGAGGTCGTAGTTTGATTTTTTGTTGAACCATGGCTAGATAAGCAGTCGTGAAAATGCGGTAGCGATAAAGAACCTACAAAGACTCCAACAAAAGCTGCAATAGAAAAAGACAGCGCTAGAAATGCTCTCGTTCTCAAAAATCGTTCCCTGCTTCTCGTTTTCAGCGGATATTTGATGATCAAAATTCGGTCCAAACTCAAGAAAGAAAAAATCCAAAGCTTCGAGATCAGTCCAAAAATCGACACAAATGCCAGAATGTTCCCGATACTCCACCAATTCTCAAATGCCTTTTCTCTGAAGCTCTTGAACGAGTCGTCTTTTAGCAGCTTCGAGTTTGAAAGTGTTTGGTCCTTCGAAAGCGCGATGGTGAAATGGACCAAAAGCGGAACCAACAATGCAGATTGAAGCAAATGCAGCAAGCCAATGGAGATTTTGAAAATGTTCAAATTTTTGTCGAAAGATTTTTTCTTCAATAAGACGGCGAGAATCGCGATTGAAAGAAGAACATGAACGAAGCCGATGGAACTCAAAGAACCAAGACCAATACTCAATTTTGTGTTGCAAGAGTCGGAATATTGGTTGATCAGAGGAGTCCGTAAAGAGGTATGGTTTTGCAAATCGAGTTTGATAAGAATTGATTTACAGAAGGAAACTGCTTATTGAAGTTCGAAATTTCATTTCTGTAATAATGAAAGATTTCGATTGTTTTCTCTTTTTTTCGAACTTTTCATGTGAATCCGTCAATAAAGCGTCCTGTATCATTGTCTCGCTCTGACATGTCTGTCGTACAGATATGATTTAATATACCTTCGTACCTCTTCGCTAGATGACCCCATTTATCGTCCAACCCAACTCTGGCTTCCTTGCAGAAATCTTGTCTTTCGGTCATTGAACAATTTGAATTCAAGAACACTCCGAAATCTCTCATTCCATAGAACTTTCTCTCGCCGCTTCTAGGTGGCCAAAAGTCAGTTAGAATCTCACATTCTGATTCCGCCATTTTTTTTCATTTATATTCTCCTGGATCGACCCAAAAAGACGATAATGTATTTAATGATGCCAATTATCCGCGAATTTCGAATCTGCGCTTTGATTTATTTCTGTGATCTTACAAGCTTGTCAAAATACTTGTTTAGCAGTTTGACTTGAAGTTCTTTCTGACCGGGATCTTCTTCTATATTGTTGTCGAAAAGACTGTGTGTCATTTCGGTCATTTTCACAGCGTTGTCCATCGCTTGTTGATACCAGTAGCGTTTTGTGATCTTAAAAATGCCATAAAAGCTGTTGAATTCGACGAGAAAGAAAATCTTATTTCTCTACCTGATGAGCTTCATTTTCTAAAACCAAGCTAGAAAATAATGCAAAAAGAAGAAAAAACCTCATCTCTATGAAACCAACTATTCTGAATTGTATTTAAGCGACCATTCAATGTCAGTTTTTTTAAGATGAAAGATACAAATTAGTCCTCTTGTGCGAGTTTTTAAAGATTCACGAAGAGATGAATAAAATAAATTTGTCTCACCATGATCTTATACTGAAATAGAAACTGAAATTCATCACGCGAAAATTCGTATCGTATAATTTATTAGCAAAACTAGGTGACTCGCAGTCCGCGAACTCATATTCGTTGTTGAACTTGGGTTATTATGCGAAAAAGAAGAGGATGCGAAATTAAAGATGAATTCAAATAAGGGTCAAAATAAATAAGTAATCATACATCAGAGTTGAAAAACTTGGACACATCAGCTAACAGCTAAAGATTTAAAAAATAAATCAAAAAATATCTGAAGACAACTGTCAAAAGTACCCGAAGAATCGAGAGTCTTGATTTTTTCTTTTGATGAAAAATGAATGGCAAAGACTGATTTTTTATATTTTTTTTTCATTTTTATTACTATCATTCTTTTATGAAAGAGATTTTCTTTCATTAATGAAAAACCCTTGTCCCAAGAAATTTTTCATTCTCCGAGAAAATCTTCTTCTTCAAAAACAGCTTAAAACTTGACGCATCAAAGAAAAAAAAACAGTGAGAGTGGTCCAATAAATAAAAGTTCTATGCAAGTTCAGATTTTGAGTTGTGAAGCGGATCTTCGTCGTCGACTTCCGTGGCGGTCTGTTTGTACTGTGGGGGCTCGTTTTTGGGCATGTAGACGCAGATTCCGATGACGGCGAGGGCGGCAAAGAAAGTCATGGCCAGGAAGCCCAAGGGGTTGTTTTTGATTGTGTCAATTACTGAAATTATTTTAGCGGCAATGTTTTTCGCTCAATCAGAATAGGGATAAGTTCAAAAAATTTCTGAACGGTAAAACAGCTGGAAAAAATGAGCCAATCAAAAGCCCGGATGGGGTCTTTTAGCCAATCATTTGCTTGTATTTTAAAAATTACCTTCTGGATCAATATTGTAGCTCAATACTTCCGATTCCCATTTTCCTTCAAAATTTTCACTCGTGACGACACATTTGGCACTAAGATAAAAAATTACTACCAATCTGGAATAAGAGTTGATTTTACCCAGTTGAGTAAATCTTCGAAAGTTCTTCTTCAGTAAAACTGTTTCGATTGAAAACTGCCTCGCCATTTTCCATTTGTTGTTTGACGTTTCTGTTCAGGGTCTAGCAGACATTTCAAGACCAATAAAAAAGAGGGGTACTCACAAGAGAAGCAGTGACAGTGTCATATTGAGAGTACTCTGCAGTACATTTGAATTGCTCCGGCGTTTGGAAAATCATGACGTTTTCGGGCTCATGCATGACATTGAGCGTACCGAGTTCGATTTCTTTCGTCTCGTTTCCAGATGAGACGACGCAGGATACAGTTGTCTGAAGATAAAAGATTGATCTTTTTCCAGACAAAGAAAAGTAAATTGAATTACCAGGTCAAAGTCGACGGGTACATCTCGATTGACAGAAATTGAATGTTTGTTGACGCCAGGAAGAGGGGTATAGTAATCGTGTCCTTGAATTTAGAATTAATTCCATTTTAGTGCCTTTTGAGACGAACCGTCTTTGTGGAATTTAATCGACAATTCTGCTGGATAACCGGGAGCATTTTGGCTGCAGGAAGCAATGTTGACAAGTTCAGAAGTGACGGAAATCACGTGATTTTCGGTGGCGATTCCAGAGCCCCAGGAACCCGAGACTTCGAGAGTGGCGATGTCTGGATTTGCCTCGGGGGATTTGACAATAACATGCGGCTGAGAATAGCCCATCAAATCGTCTTCTGAAAATCAAGTAAAAAACCACAACTCTCTTAATTGTAATAGGGGTAAGAATTATATATTTCTCGTTTGATTGAAAAGTACTATTTTTTCTTTTCGTTCTCTAAATTTCAATTGTAAAAGATAGATTTTTACATAATAATAAGTACCATCTGAATATTTGCATCGGAATTCAGCGACTCCATCAGCTCTTCCTGCCATATCCAAAGTGATTTCATATCCATCGAGAGTCGTTTCAAATACCATCAGCTCATCTGTTTCTGGCTCCAAATCCTCTTCAACAAGACAGTAAAACTAACATATCTCGCCAATACTTACCGGCAACATCAGGAAGGGCATTTGAAACTTGCTTGAAGTCATCAGATTCATACAGGTTTCCATTGATAAAGGAGACCAATCTCACGTTTTTCGCGTAGATGTCAAGAGGGCACGTGAAGTGGACTTTTTGGTAGTCTGAGGTTGAATCAACCTAAAAAGAAAAAAAAGTAGCTAAAGAATGAATAGAAAGATATTTACATAGTGCCAAACTTTGTGAGCATCATCAGCAAATACGTCCTCAGTGTATTGACTCTTCATCGGCGGAATGAGAATTTGCGACTTGGTCTTCGTAAAGTTCAAGATCTTTCAAAATGACTGAGCAAAAAAGATGTTTACTCTTTGAGCTCAGAGTTGATATAACTATTCAAGAACGATTCCTGGACAACAGAACATTCATCTTCATCATACTCTCTGTCCAACAATTCACATTCAAGGAAGCTCGAGTCAAAATGAGTCTTTCCAGAAGGCACTGTTCGTTCGATCAAGTTTGCACCTTGAACATCAGAGTCTTTCCAGCGGAGACTGCTAGCTGGAGTAGATGGAAACTCACAACGAGCGAAGACGTCGTTTTCATTAAAGCCTTTTTGGGTTACGAAAAAGCGAAAAGTCTATTGAAGACAACGAGGAGTTTTTTTGTAAACCATTCCTACAGGGTTGAAAGACAGACTGCCGCCAGACTCGTGCCAGCCGAACTTTTCCCATTCGATGTCGTGGTCCCAAGAAGCTTTGATGGAACAACCCTCGACCACGTGAACGTCGACGACGTCATCAGTCTTGATCTTTTTTGTTTCTTTGTTCTTCAAAACGCTCAGATTGGTTAAAAACGCTCGTGCAATTGCAGCAAAAATTGAGTATTGACTATCGAATAATCTCATTATTTTTTAAATCTTTATCTTATTTTTAGAATTAACAGATATGGTTCCTCGAAATTTAAACCAATTCCTGATATAATAGCCGGCGGAATGATCTGAAAGCTTAATTTTCTCCTGTTCTCGGTCAATTGACGCTTCTGATTCTGCAATTTCGGCATCAAAGGGGGTTCCAAAGCTATCAGGTGTGATTTTGTACATTGCTTCCACGAGCACATTTTCCGATGATTTGAATTTATGTGCGGCGGCCTGAAATATCCTGTGAATCGAAAAAATTCGATGAGCTATGAAAATTTGTAATCGCCCATTTTTCGGGTCCATTCTTGATATTTGACATAGAACGTTGACTTCTGACATGTTTGCCCAAATTCGACCTCCCACCCTCAAATGTCAAAAGAAAACTTCCAAATGACTAACACTCTCGCAAACAAAAACTACCGGCTCCTGTTAAAAAGCACTTACATCGATGTTTTCCGCGTCAACGAAAAAGATGAAGGATTCTTCCTCCTCAGATGGCGCGAGGTAGTCGATTTCGAAGGAGCTTCCTGACTTGATTCGGATTGTTTTGCCGGTGGGAGGGAGGTCTTCTTCGTCGTACTCCCACATTGGACCTGTTGACGGCTCTTTATGAAAAGTATTGGAAGAAGCCATAATTGTTAATAAATTTCCGTCTACTAGGATTTTTATCATATTTATTTCTTGATAAAATAAACTGAAGCATATTATTAAAATCGTCTTCTCTTTGACGAAGAAGACGAATTTACGGTATTAGTTTGATAAGATGAGAGACTTCCCATTTTTGTAATAAATTAAAACAAATTTATCGCAACCTTTTGGTATTTCGAAATTGTAGATAAATACGTCTTCTATGTTTAAAACAAATAAAATAGAGCCGTTTGCAAATTTATAAAGGGGCGGATTATTTTCTCAACTCACCCGAAATTCGCTTAACAATTCTTTTTGATTCTCCCCAGGAGAATTTCCAGTTACTCCGAAAGTCAACAAATTCATTAAAATTTGTTGAAAAAGATAGATTTTTTATTATTTTTTGTCATTATTTATTCCAACAAAAGCTAACGATCAAAAATATAAAAAAAGTTTATTAACAAAATCGAAATGTGTGTCCTTCAGATTATGATGAAAAATATAGAGCTGAATTTTTTAGACCGAAAATAGTTCCTCAAATCCTCGAACCAAGAAAGGTTAGATAAGAACAAAATCTTTTAGAAGCCGGTCCTTTGTTGCGGGCCATGGCCGCTCCGAAGAGCAGCGGGGAAATTTTCATCCCTTCTCTTTTCCTCTCTTTCTCCCCTTTTTGTTCTCTTTCCCCGCTCGCTCGAGCCGCGCTAGTTTTTATCGGCTACCGGTGCCGTCGAAGCGATTGTGACTTGAGTTACAATGCAAATGCAATTTTCGAATGCAAACATAGACGACGAGACGAGCAAATATCAGCAGCAATGACCGGCGATTCTTGCGATTTTCGAAAATATCATAATTGACCAGATAAGCAATTTTTAAACAATCGAAAGATAAAAAATTTTCTAAGGCTCTCGATAAATGAAAACTTGAATAAGATTCTTAGAATTTATTGCAGAAAAGAATAAAGAAAATACACTTGAAATCGAATCGTCGTTTTCATAAGTACTGATCACATTTTTCACTTGTTGTAGCCAAAGTAGTCGTCGAAAAGATGATCGAGAATGCGATCATTTCCTGATTCACCACGCATCACTCGTGGAAAAAACCGAGCTGCATCGAACCTGCTGAGCATTCCAGGATCACTTCTTTCTTCGAAACTCGAGAACTCGGCCGCGTATGAGAGCGCTAGAATTGGAAAGAAAATTCTCATCGTTGCTCTTGATTTCTCGTTCTTTCTCTGTTGTTTTATAGAATAAGATTTTGTTTCGTATTAATTTTTGAATGCTGGAGGCAAATTACTGTGGTTGATTAAAAATTAAGATTTGGTTTGATGCTCTTTTTAGAAGGATGCAATAAGTTTGAGTACAAGATGAAGAATTTATTGCATAGAATGATAAGGAAAGAATTTCTTGGTGAACACGAACTGTCGTTTTCAACAATGCTTGTTAAAGTCTTCAACCGAAATAGTCGCCGAAAAGGTGTTCGATCACCTCGTCGTCAACTGAATTTTCATGCATATCAAAGATTTTGTCTTGTTTCAAACCTGTCGGAGTTCTCTTTTCAAATTGAGAGAAAAGCTTAGAATATGCATCGTGGATCGCGCCTTAAATGAACTCTGTTTCAAGGTCACTTATTCTAAAAGAAACCTTGACTGTCGCTTCGTGTTTGTCGCTTATGGACATCTTCTCCTTCATGATGTGCTTGGTCGATTCGCGAGAAACGATTAGTCAATGCGTCGTGAATCGGGTTATAGCAGGTGACGGAACTTAACAGAAAAACAGAAAAGAAAAACTTCATTTTTTCAGCAATTTTTTTTTTCAAAAAATATGCTAAGAAACTTGTGCCCGACTGATTTTATACACAGTATTCAGCTTATATATATTCAGCTTGATGAAAAAGGATGAATTTTTAAGTTCAAAAGACAAAAAGCACCAAAAAGCTATCAAAACAACCCATTTTTACTTTAGAATTGCCATCGAAGAAGGAAGGAAAAGCTTAAATAGTTAATTTTTCAAATAAGTGTGATTTGAACGAACAAAAAATCATAGTCTATGATTCATAGAAGTGGACTTGTTATTGAAAATATTGTAAAATTTGCTTTCACGACAAGGAAAATTCTCTAGAACCATCAATTCCTGGAATTAAAAATATCATCGCTAGAATTATTATTATCATGCCATTTTCCGAAGTAACATCACAGAAAGGCATTTTAATGCTTTTCTGATGGTCTTTTTCCTCAAATGCTGCCAGTAAGTACATTTTTTTCTGCAAACGATTTATTTTTTAAGGCCAGTGAAGTCAATAGCATCAGAGAAAGAGCGAGTTAGCTTGAGAAAGAAAAAATTGGGATTATCCGATGAAGAGAAGAGATCAAGTGTCGGATCAGAATCAATGCCAGTAAATAGACGAAGTCTCCAACGAAAGGGGCTTGACGAGAACAGATACAAAAATTTAAACGCGTAAGTACCTTTCCCATTTTTTTTTTGATTGCATTTTTTCAGTATAACGGAGCAAGGAGACTTAGAATTCGCTGCATCAGCAACTGGAATAGAATTATTCGCTGGAGGATCAGCCTCACGACAAACTAAAGCAATGCAACTTATTCGAGAAAAATGCCCGGAAATATTCGACGAAGAAGCAGAAAATATGGACAAGTTCGAATCAGATTATGAAAGGAAGGGTTAAATTTAATGATTTCTTTTTTAATTTTTCTTCCTTGACAATTTCTAACCCATAAAAAGCGAAGTGAGAACATCAGCGCTCCGAACAAGCCGCCAATCAAAACGAGCAGCGGGGAAGACGTCTCTTTTATCATTGACCACGGCTTCAAGAAACTCATCTTGTTCGACCATACGCGCTCAGCGCTCAAACAGATCTGACAGCTTTGAAGACATGTTAAAGGAAGATGAAAAATCATCGCAGACTGGAAACTTGTCCCAGCACTCCTCCGTGGACTCCTTCGAGGAACCACGAGCTTCGAAGCAGAGGGGATTAGACTTGATCTTCAATGATATTCTTAAAGCAAGAGCAAGCGTAAGAAAACATCAACCAGTTCAGTTATCAAATAAATTTTAAGAAAGAAGTAAAGCGAAACGAAACGTCAAATGTTCTGCGACAGAATTCAAGTCAAAATCTTCACTCAGCTGTCGCTTCTTTTACAAGTCTTCAAGCTGGTCTTCAATCTGTTTACTCCTCATAGTTATTCGAATTTCTATTTTTAATAAATTTTTATGATTATTTTACTTCCAATTTGTTTCTTTCGTATCTGATATTGATGGGTTAACCTTTTGGGATTTTCATAAAGTTGTGAAACCCGTATCGGGAGGAAAAGACGATGATTGAGCAGGCAAGATAAAAGTGGTTTGTGACGAAACTCAGAGCAATAAAGCAATTTCCCAAGAAAGCACATTTTTCGGGTGATGATTATGTTGTTATATTTTGCAACGCTCAGGCGGAATGGCGAAAGGTGAAGCCGTGAGTTTTATGATTCTACTAAAAAGTGGAGAATTGTAAAATAAATATCTTGAAGACGTTCCGCTAAGCCTCAGAATTAATCTTTCTCATTTTGACAATTGACTAGTTTCGTCTTTTTTCAATATTGAGTCAAAATGAAGATTCTAGCAGTTATTCTAGCCACCATCTGGGCGGGATGGAAGATCGACTTTGAAAGAATGGATGAAGTAGCTCAATTTGCTCAGGTATTGACAAAGAGAATATTGGAAAATTAAGGAACCCAGTTGCTAAAAGCGTTAAATCCTAGTTCGAAGCTTGCAAATCAGCTGTTCAAGACGTTCTCTACGCGAATCCGATCCAAAACGGCGAATTCAGTTGCGATTTTCTCGATTCTCCTGTCCCTCATCATACTATCTCGTGCGCAGCGCACTGTGACGACGACATCGAACATGAAGCCCAATGGAAAAAGTCCGAGTTTTTCGTTCAATGCCGACCAGAGCCAAAGACAGTGACGAAAATTAAAGGAGAACAAAGCTGCTTTGAAGTTTTGGAGGACAAGTGCAAGCCATTTTATGATGAAACTCTCTTTCCAATGGTAACGTAGAAATTGGAAGAGTCCTCACCAAAAGCTGATTCTAGGGTGCCTTCATTCTCAAGCGCCACGGAAAAAGACCGCCACACAAGCTCGCCCGATTCGAGCTTCGATGCCACGACTATGGCAGAAAAGCAAAAGCAACGTGCATGTCAAACATCGGCACGCTCAAAGTAAAACCATCAAATCTTTTGGAAACTCTTTGTCTTCCTTACTGTGACCCTCCAGAAGCAATCGGAGGAGAGTGGATCTTTGTCAAGCAGAAACAGAACGGAGACCGAGTTTTCAAGGTCAGTGGTCGAATTTATGGCCCGATAAAGTATTAATGTAGCTCATTTGTCCGGCTCTGGGAACAGAGATGGATGGAAACATCATTTGCAAGAAAATGACCGGCGAGTTCAAACACAAGATTTACAACGAAGAGGATTTCTTAACATTCTGTGAGCCTGAAGGTTCCGGTCTTTGATCTGGTCCACCCGGGCTTAGTATGATTATATAATCACTTTTTTGTTACCCGTTTATTCGTTCAATAAATTTCTCCGTAATAACCTAATCGGGCAATATATTTTGTTGCTCATCAAATAAAATTTAATCGCTAGTGGAAAGTGGACCTTATCAAAAAGAGCATATAATTTATTGCGAAAAAAGGCATCAGTTATCGAAATTTCTCGTGAATGACGCTGCATTTCCCCTCTTTACTCTTCTGATCAAAAAATTGTATTACGCGCAAAACCTGGTTGGGGTCGTTTCCTCCAAAAAGATTTCTGACGTGGTTGTGTATTTGGTAACGATAAAGAGGATTTGGAAAATCGAGCCCCGATTACAAGAAACCATAATATTATTCCTCCAAACTTAGTCCAGCTCCGCCAAGATTCCCGCAAAAACCTTCACAACGCAAAAATATTCCTTTCGATAAGACGGGAATATGAAGTTGATTTCTAGTGCTTTGATTTTGCAGGCTTCGGCGAGAGAAAAAGTTGATCTTAGAGAAGATTTGGGGGATTTTAATGAAGTTGTCGGGGAAGCGCTGATCACGCCAAATGTGGCTGAGACGTATGAAGAAATTATGGGAATTCCGCCGAACGCTAGAATGGTCAAGGAAGGGTTTATGGAAGTCAAGACCCTCCGCATATGTCGGTCAGTCATGGTCTGTAATTGACATCGAAATTCGGCCTTGAAAAAAATTTAAAAGATTAAATTTTTGGAATAAATTAAGGTTTTCAGTAAAAAAACAATTAAATAAACAATATTTCTCAGCACACATATTTTCCAGGATGATTTCTCGACCCTTTTTAAAGCCTATCGACGCCTGGATTTCCGCCGCTGATCCTCCCCGTCCTACTTTAGAGGGTCGAGGAGCGATGCGCGCTGACATCAAAAAATGGCAGTTCAAAAAAGACAAAGAAGGTGCCTGGATCGTCCCAATTTGGCAAGACGACAGTTTTGTCGAGAACATTCTCACCCCTCTGAACACTTGGGAGCGAGTTGATTGGATCAACAAGGAGCTCAACAAATGCGTCAAATTCGTAGAAATTGAAAGAAGACATCGAAGACGATACACTCATCGTCTTCGATTGGTCGGAAATCAAAAGCTTCCGTGCTTCTCGTACATTGGCGCTCAGGAAGAAGGAGATCAGGACATCGGCTGGGTTGAAAAATGCTCTTCAGGAGGACACATCGGTGCTTATTTGATGACTGCGCTTGGCTTCACCTACGAACACATGCGGCCGGACCGAGACGATTACGTCGACATTGATTGGTCCTCCGTCGGAGTTGGCAGGGACTACGCTTTTCTCAAGCTGCCGTTTGAGCTGAATGAAGATCTTGGATTGCCATACGATTACCGGTCGGTCCTCCACTTTGGTACTTACCACCTCGGGCAGGTCAACAGAGACGGTTCTCGAAACCCCGTCATGACGAAAAAAGACGGGTCCGAAATAAAACCCAATCGACTTCGACTCACCTCAATGGATGCAGCAAAGATCTGCAAAGCCTATGGTTGCAATGACGGCTGCGGTCATCAATGGACCACCTGTCGAAACGGAGAGCCTCTTTTTGCCCATCGTCATTGCGACGGTTACGTTGACTGCGAAGATGGAAGTGATGAGGACGGCTGCAATGATACGATTTTCACAAGTTGCTGTACTAAATTCTCCGTTGATTTGGGCAAATCGGACACAAATGTGATTTTCCAACATATCGGGATGTACAATGGACGAATGGCGTACATTTCTAATCATCCTCACGGAAAATATCTTTATTTCCGTCAAGGAAAATGGGCGATCGGCGAGCTGCTCGGCGGCCAATACGCATGGTACTGGACAGACGATGCTGAAATTGATCAAGCGAGTCTCTTTGCTTCCTTGGGATCAAATCGAGAAGTTGAGAAGCCGACCATGTTCGACGAGCCCTGTCCTGATGGGCTTGAATTCCGATCGACTGTCAACGTCCGCGTCTTTTTCAAACTTGACAATTGTATCGACGGTGGTGACCATCCACCACCAGCTGGTCAACCAGAGGCTGGACATCCTCTTGAGATTCCTCATAAACCTGCTGCTACGAAAATTCCCGGACAAGTTGGCGGCCATATAAAACCAGACAGCGTCCATGCTCCAATCGGGCCAACTGTTGCAGCACCAACTCAGAGACCTACAGACTTGCCTGAACTTCAAACTTGCAATATTGGTGATCAGAGCAAAGTTCTTGGAGGTGTTTGGAAATGCAAAGGAAGGAAGAATCATGAGCTTTCGAAAGGAAAGGATTTCATAACCATAAACCATTTATTGTTTAGATGTTTTTTGTAGTCCTGAGTCAGGACTCATGACATACTACGTCTACAAGACGACTGATATAAATATGCAAAAAATATCCTCAAAAAGGCAAGAACGTCCATTGGTTTGCCGGAACCATCTGCGAAATCGAGTGCAAGGTCAACAATCGCGTCGGAATCTGCGGACCCGAGGATAAATACCCCATGTTCGAGAAAGAACATCAACCGGGAAAAATCAGATGTCTTTCCACAGGAACCTGGGATTACTTCCCAACCTGCAAGTGCCAAAAAGACGATTGTATGGCACCAAAAACACTCTTTACGAAACGAGAACTGAACGTTGTCGGAAGCTACTACGATTGCATGCATCCTGATCCTGAGCTGAATAAAATCGTCAGTAAGACGTATTTGAGAAAGAATCCGCTTGGAACAGTTTGCGAAGCAAAATGCCCAGATTCTCATTATTTGGAGTGCTACGGCATGAACAAATATACAACCTGCAGTATCAACACCAGCTACAAGTAAAAAAAAAAGAAAATGATCGTTAAGCAAGATTTTTACTTCAGGCCAACATTTGACCAAACTCATCAATGCAACTGCGTCGGCAAGTGTGGCGATCCAAAGGACTCCCTTCTCATTGGAGAAAAAGTCGTGGTTCCGTGCCTCGAAACAGATCAATTCTGTCATCTACAGTGTCCTAGCTGGGATGGAAAGAACTGGGAGCTTCGATTCGGAACTCAGAACTTTGTGAAGTGGGATGGTTGGCTCGAATGGTAAAACTGAGAATCTCGATTCAATCCTTACCCTCTTTAGTAAATGCAAAGTCGGCCAAGAATGCGCCTGGTACGCAAATAATCAGCCAGCAATGGACTATATCCACTGTGTCGAGCACTCAACCGACATCAGAAGAGAAGGAAGAAACACAACAACAGTTTCTGACTAATATTAACTCAAACTATATTCTACCCCTGTTAATAGTTAATAAACGATTGGTACAATAAAAAAGCATGTAAAAGAAACATGGAAACAGATTACTTTTTCTTCAAATTCTGTCGCATATCGATCTGCTGGGCTTTTCCCTTGCCGCCAAGGAGAGTCTTGAGCATCTGGTCGGCGCTGATTCTGACGCGCTTCAGGGCGGGCTTCTTAAATCGCTCTAGAAAAGGGGATAGGAATTTGCATCATAGAAATGTGAAATTTACCCTTGACTTCTTGTACTCGTTTTCGAAGCTCATCGATTTCCTTGTTCATTTTTTGGTTCTTGATTTCAAGGTCGTATCGGTTATCATCTGTCTTATCGGTTTGGGCTAAAAGTTGGTAAATGATAAACTCATGCTACGTCATGCGACTCATTTTAAAAACAGGCTTAGTCAGGCTTAGACGCGATAAATATACGATCAAATTAGAAGTCATTAAAATGAGCTTACCATGGAGCTCTCTACAAAGTTGTCGAATTGCGTCTTCATCCAACGTGGAAATATCTAGGAAAACGTTTTCATGGTCTTAAAAGACGTCTCAAAAGTACCAGGAAGAGGGGGAAGTCGCTCAGCAATCTTGGCAGCCTTCTTTTCGGCCTTGTCTTTCGCCAGTTCTTCGGCGCGCTTTTTGGCGTAGTCCAGCAATTTGGATTTGAGAAAGAGCTTTCGCTTTTGGTCCAATTTTTTGTCTCCCATTGTCGACTTAGAATATATATTTAGCAAGAAGAAATCTTATAAAAATTTTATAGAAAAATGACTATTTAAGAAATTCTCATTCGAGAGAGAACCATAAAAGCAATATTTATTTTAGTATTGTTGATTTTTTTAACTTTTTATTTATTGAAGGAACAAACTTATCATAACTCTCAATGCCGTAGACTGGTTGAGTATAATTTTATGGTGTTGGGGGGTCTATAAGGCGGAAGTTGGCTGGAAAACTTCGTTAACCTTAAAAAAAGCACGTCAATATAAATTCATCAAATTATTGACTAGCCGATTAGACCCAGTTTTATTCCCCTTTTAGAAATTTCTATTGGATAAAATTCAATGGTGCCAAATCGGAATTCCGACACCACTCTTCATAGACCGCAGGTAAGTTCTCATCCTACTCTTATAAAGATCAGTAAATTCCCTGGAAATACCTATAAAGCAATAATAAAGTCTCTCTTACTCTGTTAAAGGTTTGAGGTTGAGGGGCAGCTGTGTGACACTCTTCGACCACAAAGCGCGCTCGTTTCCAGCGTGTTAAGGAGGTGATGCGAAAATCTGTAGCGCAATTCAAAAAAATCGCAAATCTTCGCTCTTATCAAACCCTGATGATAAGAGCAGAAGCATGGTGGACTGCTGGCAAAGGGCACGCATCACGCACCTTTCGCCACCTTATTTGTGAAAATTATACAGTCTGCTCTTTATTGATGAAAAATTTTCCATGAAAAGGCCATTTAAATTAAATAATTATGCATTTATTTCAGTTTCAGTTGTTTCTGTAATCGTAGAAGGATTTCTGGCTTTTGTTCGCCATTTATTGAAGCTATTTCGCGCGATTCTCATCGATGTCTCCATTCGCTCTTTTTCGTCTTCGTTTCGGCAACTGATGATTTCGGAGAAGACCGCGTCGATTGTTATTTTGCTCTCTCGTTTTGTGGATTTACCGATGCTATTTCTGAAAGGAGGCTCGTTATTTCCAACTGAAATAAGTTTCTAGAGGCTATGGTGGGTAAAAAGTTGGGGGTCACTTTGAGGGTAAGGGACCCACCCTAGATTCTAGAGTTAACCCTAGACTTACAGTGATTTTCTTGATCGCATACTCTGATTGCTCTTTTTTCTGTTTATTTGGTTTATGTTGTCCCCCAATCTGTTTACGCTGATCGTCGACATTTTTCTGATTCGCATTTGATCCTGCTCGTACATAGTCTCACACTTGGACTGGCTATGGAAGGAAGAAGTGGTCGAGTTGATGTCCAAATCTGGAGACTCTTCAGGGACAGTGGGGATTTTCTCTAGCTCCTCTGTTCTCAGTCTTTCTTCTTCTTCCTCTGCTTCGTCCTCAGAGATCCATGAGCGGGTGGATTTTATTATTTTTTGGTCGTGATTCCATGCTTTCTAGAGAAAAATGATCATTCTTATTCAGTCGCACTCGTTTTTACCCCACAGCCGCTGAAGCAGTTGCCCATCAGGGCAAAGAATAAAGTGATTTTCAAACTGACTGCTATTTTCGTTCATAATAACTTATCCTTTCCGACTCTAGAAAACTTTCCGATCTTTTCCCAGAAACGAATTATTATCGTGCATGATAGGCTATCATTGATAGCTAAAGAACTAAAAAGCGAATTGAGTATCGCCAAAGAGAATTTCTAATTGTTTTAATTAAGAAATTTGCCAGGAAAAATTATTGCTATAAATTCGCCTTCAAGAAGCCGGAAACAGAACGGTGAATGATATTCGTGAAGACACCGGGTTTGTTTAATTGTCCACAGCTGACGCTTGGATAACCGTTAATAATGGGAGGATACCTTCAATTCCTACCCGTAAGAAACAACTCCAATCAGAGTCCATTTTCCGTCGATATTCACTATTGCAGGTCCTCCAGAATCGCCCTAGAAATTTCCTCCTCCAAAAATATCCTCATTTTCTCTTACGTGGCAAGTATCAATCCCGCCCTCCTTGTATCCGATACATAGTTGGCTTCCGTCTCTCCTCAGATAATCGGCTCCTGCGAATCTGGTGCACTCTCTGCTTTCATAAACATGCGCCGTTGCGAAGTTGAGCACTTGGGTCGCCTCATGGCCTTCGTTTTCCCCCCACCCGCCAACGATAGCAGTAGTGCCGGGTGGAAGCTCGTAACAATCCGGGAGGAGGCAAATTGGTCGGACAAATTCGGTGAATTTCGCTTAAAAGATAGGAGGAGGGTTTAATAATTTCTGAAACCTGATTTACTAAGCTTGACGATCGCGATGTCGTTCAAAAAATCAATGCGTTGGAATCGTTTATGCACTAAAAATATTCTTGAGACTCATAAGACCCCTCTTACTGATGATTTCTTTGATACGGAATTCTTGAAATCCATCTTCCCTTCTTGCATATCTCCATTTACGCTGTTTGTGACCCATGGTGACTCGAAATTTAGAGGCAATCGTTCCTCGGTCGGCGAAACAGAGAGCTGCCGTAATAACTGTATTTTCATCGTACACTTGAAAAAATAAGGCCGCTCGGAATCAGTTGATTCTAACTCACTCGCTCCGCCGCAAAAATGAATCCTTGAACTCTTTGAATATCTTATGGAGACAAAAAATGGCAAGAATCCTTCTTCTCCATGATGAACTCGTCGGTATCCGGCGACCATGTATTCCGAAGAGTTTCTCCTTGCATTCTCCTCGGCTGTATAGGCATCGTATTCTTTTTCCAGCTCGTCATAATGCTGATCCATGTAGTCGTCCGACGGTTGTTCTTCTTCGCTATCGTATCCGTAAAAATTATCGTAATCGATTGATCGGCGCTTTCGGTGATACGGATCTGGGCACATTTCGAAGGTGGTTCTCGCGATTCTTCCGTTCACGATAAAAGTCAGAGCAGCGCGCTGGTGCGAAAATTGATCCTTTGGATCCTTGACTTAAACATATTTCAGCTCGTCGAAGAAAAATTGCGTCTTACAATTGCATCCCGGGCCGGTGCGCTTTCCAACGCAGACGCAGGAGATTAGAGAAATCTGACCGCAAGACTTCGAATCCAAGTGACAGCTGGACAAACTCTGACGATAACTAATCGTGGTTGTTTTTGTTGTTGGGGGCATTGTTGGCCGAGAAGCCCAACTTGCGCTTATTTAGGATTTTTAAAGAGAAATTGACTTTTAGAATCGTCTGAAGATGCGCTTGTATGAAAACCCAATTTCCATTTGTCCACTTGGTTGCTCTTGTTTTTGATCTTTGAGTTGTTGTTTGTCGGGTTGTTTCTGCTCTTAGTTGTTTCCTTGTCGTTGTTGTTGTTGTTGTTGGTTTCGTTGTTAGTGGATAAACTTCATCACAGAAGGGGATATTACAGAATCCCTTTTTATGGCTGTCAAAAGACAATAATGTCTTAGCTTTCTTGCTAAACACAAAGTTCTTGTTCAATCGTAAATTATGGTCAAAATTTTCAAATTGACACCGACATATTTGGGCATACCAGCGCGCCACTCACTTCTTGCAACCAAACACAAAGGGCCCTTGCCGCTTTTTAGATATTATTATTTTTTTTTAAAACAAACCTTTGGATTGCCTCTTGGATTCCTACAATAATTATGAAACATGCCAGTTCGAGGATTCCACATGCCACATTTTCGCTGTGGATATTGAAGACCTGCGCCTGTTGTACTTTAAGTTCCGTTGTAGTTTATGCCCAGCGGATCATTTCGATCCAAGCATTCTCTTCCTAGCGACTCGTAAATTTTGAAAAAGCATAAAAGTACAACGGAAAAGAGCTTCATTTTATCATCGGCTGAGAAGTGCTGAGTGAACTGTTATTCAGTATTTGTGTCAATAAACAATTTTTGTTTATTCGATTTGAGCTGAAGGGATCGACAACAAAGTTCGTGAAGGCGAAGTTCGTGAGACTAAGTTCGTGTGTTTGTTTCTCAAGAACGTTTTTGACAGGCACCCCATGACAGGGGCCCGAAGAGTTGATCTTTCTGGTTTTGACATTTCTACAGCTCCGATTTATTTTCGCTTTATCTTTCAACAAATTCTCTTCATATACAGATGCAAGCCATGGATCGACATCAAGGAAGCATAACCTGTTCAATATGTTAATTAATAAAGATTGCATTTGTCAGAGTTGTCATTTTGCATGATATAAATGTTGCTTGAGTTTATTTTTCTAACCTAAAATGAAATTCGCCTTTCTTTTTGCTCTTATTTCCTCTCTTCATGCGAATTTTATCGAAAAATTTCTTCAGGTACAAATCAAAGGAAAATAAAAATATTTTTAATGATCATTAGGAAAAGGAAAATTCGAAAATGAACCCGACCAAAGGCGAAAATCTGAGAAGTTACATGATGGTTGGTTTTCTTTAACTTTTTCTAAAGAATAATCATTATTTAAGAAACCGGGTGCGTCAAACTTTCTTGACAGCTATCTGAAGAATCTCAAGAAAACGACGCTTTTCCAAAATGTTCTTCTTGGAAAAACTCAATAATGAAACTAACATCAATAAATTTTATCTTTGTCAATTTCAAAGTGTCAGGTCTCAAAAGTGTTTTATTTCTCTGGAACTCAAGACAGTAAAGAGTTTCAGTCGAGCCCGATATGAAGAAGTAAGGAGATGTACAGCAGATGATACAGTTACAGTAGTCAGAAGTAGTGTAGTGACAAGCGTGAAGTGTAAAATGGAAGGTAATATACTAATTGTTCTGTTTTTTTTTCAGGAATATGGGCAGGAAAGCGCATTTTTGCCAAAAAAAGTTGTATCCTTCATAATTTTTTCCGTTATTCTAGAACAGTGATGGAGGTCTTCTTTTCCATGGAAATTGATGATAGGATCATATTAATAATTAAGATGTAAGGTAATAAAGTTAATATGTACAAAAAGAGTTTTTGGGTAAAACCAGGTTTTACGATGATTTACCCGTCATAATTTATAAGATGAATGAGAGGATTAAGTAGGTTAGAGGTAAAATAAAATATTCACAGCATGTTTTCTTTGTCGTCGATATCACCTTCGGAGGGCGCGTAGATGAGTGGTTTCTGAAAGAAAATCCTTGCTGATTTGTTCACGCGCCTTGTCAGGCTTACCCTTGATCTTGACTGATTCTGGTCTTGCTGGATTTGTGAAATGTTGGGAAGAGTTGTCTCGTCGCTCACGACTGACTGGTTCGGATGAAAGAGACCATTGTTCATCCCGCTGCCGGGCCTTAATTCCGACCGTTACTAACTGCTATTAACTCCACTCGATGATTTCACTTTTGACAAATGAGGAGAAAACTTTGGAAAAACTTGGAGACTTACATATGGCTGGGTTTGTTTCCATACCAATTCGGCTTCCTAATCGTCTTGTCAAAGTCGCCATGATTGAGCGATTCGTGAAGAAAGCCGTTTCCAGTTCCATTCGAATTGCTATTCGACAAAACATCGTCATGTCTGCTAGACTGCGTCATTCCCGAAACAGCTTGTGATGGTCTTCTCGGCAATGGGGCCACGATTCCGGTAGTGTGCGACTTGGCTTTTCGGCTGAAATTGCGTCGTTGAGTTTGTCTTCGTTGATTGAAGCATTGATAGACCACCAGGCCGAAGAGCATCACTGTAATAATGAAAATGGAGAGCCCAATCGCTGCCCATTGCGTCGTTATCGCAGGAACAGGAGTAGTAGGAGTGGTATTTCTAACTATATCGACCAGCTGCTGGCAGCATTTTCCTTCTCTTCCTGATGGACACTCGCACTTAGCTTCTTGAAGCTTTTTGTTGAAGCATATTTGTCCTCCGTTTTCCAAGCATTCTTGTCCTGCATTGCACCAGTCTTCGTGTGGCTTTTGAACGTCTCTTTTAAAGACGTACGAAGCAGAAGATGATTTATCCAGCCTGGTTATCAAGTCAAAGTTGTTGGAGCAAGTTTCTTGGGTCGCTTTTGACTCGAGTTTTATCAATTTTTCGATGGGACCAGAAGACGAGAAGAACTTGAAATCGAATCCAGCTCCGTGACACTAATAATTAATTATTGCTATGACTTAAATGGCCAGAAAATTAAGCCTGAAAAGGAAAAACTTACATCTTCATTGAAAGATTTGATGGAGTATTCGATGTACTTTTTCGTAACTTTTTTCGTCGTTGCTTTCCAGATAGGATTTTCAAAACAATGCGAGTTCGTAGCCCTTGAATCCAGCATAAATGGCTGAAAGTTTTTACCCAGCTTTGCGGTATTCCCATCGAGGGGCGTTATCGGAATTCTGAAGGTGACGCGAGAGCGATTTTCCAATGTCTGTACTTTCTTTGGCTTCTTGATTTCGTAATGGATGCTTTTCTTGGCCATTTTAATTCGCTTTTCGCGCTTTTTGTCATGCTCCAATAGCCATATTTGATCCTAAAAGAGGATTAAATGAGCTCCGAAAGGATTTTTCTTACATTTCCGTTGGCAGATTGAACGAATGCGAAGAGCTTGTCTTTTGAGGTGAATTGGCAGCTGGAAGAGGCGGATTTTAGGAGCTTCGCAAAGGATTTTTTCTGGTCGCTGGAAAGTTTTGTGTCACCCCTGAACTCTTTTGGGCGGTTTTTGCGGACGAGCAGTGTTTGATTTGAGGTCAAGGTAAGAATTTCTGAAAGAAGAAGTTTAGGATACCGGAACAAAAGGAAAGAATAGCACAAGATCAATGAATACCGCATGAATTATACAGTATGAATTTTAAGTTTTCTAATTACAAACGACTCATTATCATTTCGGGAGAATTTTTCAGTGAAAGCTTACTGTGCAAACTTAAAGATAAAACGCTCGATTTTCATTAAATACAGTGAAAGCCCAAAAATTGCCCACCCAAAATTTGGCCGCTTTTTTCTCTAAATCTTTCTTTTTTGGAACCTGAAAAAAACCCAAAATTTGGCCGCTTTTTCAAAAATAAAAATTCATATCAGAATTGGGCCATAATGATGCTATTTCTGATCATTTTTAGCATTTTTAAAGTGTTTTAATCATTAAAAATGAGTGAATTCTAATTACAATGTCTTCAACCAAGGAAAAATTTGAATAAAATTCATCAAAAATATGAAAATCATGCCGATTTTCGAAAATTTCGAAACTTTGTTTTTTTGAAGGAGAAACTTGGCTACCCGGCAAAAAACCCAAAATTTGGCCGCTTTTTTCGGGAATTTATATCTGAAAACCGGCCAATTTTCGGGTTTTCACTGTATTGAAAAATTTATGTTTTTAGCCTAAAACTTTTAGTTATATAGATGTCAAAAAAGGCAGCTCAAGCATCGATTATTTTTTCAGTTATTTAAATTTTTATACAGTTAAATGAAGTTTGTCTAGTCAAGTACTTACATTCTCAACAACTATTAATTTCAAACGAGCAAGTCAAATCATATCCGGTCAATTGTTTCCCGCGGTCGTTAAAAAGATTCTTACCTGCTATATTTGGCAGTTGATGATTTGGATGCTTGTGTATACAATCTTCGCTGAGCTTGAATTTCTCTTCGCTTGCTTTTCCGGAGGCTTCTGTGAGGAGCACTGCCAACAACAAGGAGAAAATCTTCATATTTATTTTTCGTCTTTTTTCTTATCTCGTTTTTAATGCTCTGAAAATTGTGAATAAGGGAACTGGTCGCATAGTAGGGGTGCCGCGCGCAGACGCGGGCCTGGGCTGAATCACCACCGCGCTGGAGGTCGCCACGAATCGTCATGAAACGAACAAAAAAGTCAATAGATCGCAGCTTTATTCGTCCTTTACAAATCATCAAAACCCTCTTGGTAAATCAGTGTCTGTTGATGATACCAAAAACCTGGCGCTGACAAGAAATCCCGTCATTTTTCGGTTGCTGATGGGCCTTTTACGCTCATTCATACAAGGTCAAAGGGAGATGACTTGTTACCGTAGAAACCGAATCAAAAAATATTCCAAACGAAGAAAATTTTTTACCCCGGAAACGTAAAAAACGTCAGTCACAAAACTAATCACTAAGAAAACAGACGCTGAATAGAACTTGTTCTGTAAATTTGCTAATGTATCAATAAGTGAAAGGCAATTCTGTGAAAGTCAATTTAATCTTGAGGGACGTCGTAAAGCGCAATCATAAAACAATTTAAACATGCAAATAAAGCGCAAAAAAGAGAGATCATCGACCAAGCCCATGTTTTTTGCTGAAAAAGGAAAAATTTCGATTTCGGAAAAGCAAACAATATTAACGATTTTACGATAATGACGTTCACCTTTTTGAATCACAGAAAAGCGATTTAAATACGTCGCTAGGGGAGAGCTACGTCAAGTTTAAAAATAACCGTGCTAAAAGAGAGGGGGCACCCTTATTCATGTTAGTGTGCCCGTTTCGGTTTTTTTAAGAAAGTGTCAGTTTTTTGACGCTCGGGTGACTTTTCGATTTGTAAAGCTCAAATTGACTTACATGTCTTACTTCCGGAAATCTCGGAAATCGTAAAAGATCTTCTATTTCCGACCGATGTTATCTTATTTCTCTCGCTTTATTTTCTTTTTAGCGGATTTTCAGTGGAAAATTTCCACTGGTAATAAAAAATGCTCGTTTTCTTTCTCGGATGCCAATCCTCCTTAGACTAAGGAGTCCTTAGTTACTGATGGATCATCCCTTTTGGATACGTCAGGATGAGGAATAGGGTTACTGTAGCCTTGGGGCACAGTAATTGGTCTTAACGCCTAATTGACTTGATTGACGGTAGTTTTTAGCAAATGACTTAATTAGCAATTCAAATCAGGGCACATTACAAAAGTGTATTCATGACTTGTTCGAGCCTCAAAGTTAGAGGCATGATTTTTCAATTGAAGTAAAAGTAAACTAACAAGAGCAAAACATACTGTAAATATTAAACCCTTTTGAACATTTACCTTGGCTTTAACAATTAAGAACTCTTCTTCTTATTAAAAACTCTCTCATAAAAAATGCTTGGCAAATATAAGGACGATTTTCAATAAGGAATTCTGAGTGAAATCCTTACCCCCCTTTTTTATTACCTTTGAGAAAAAGTGCGAATGATGGAATTCTTGAGCTCATCCCACAAAATTCCGGCGCTGAATCATCCCTCCGCGGGGCATTCTTCAACTTTCTGTCTCTTTCTTTCTTTATCGTACTACGTTTTTTCTCTCTTGAACTTTTCGAGTTTCGCAAAATCGTCAATTAACAAAAATTGCAAAAAAGGGATGGCTGTTTACATTATTTTTGGCGCGGGAGGAGATTTTCAAATCAGGTCAAGCGAAAAACCGGGATTTCATTGGCTGAGTCGCCCGCCCTTGGAGATTGGGGAAAATATTTTTCTCCGGGGTTCAAGTTCAATATTGAGCGTAGTAAATTCCTTGTTCGAAAAATGATTGTGCCCTGCTGGGCAACGGCCTTTTCCTTTTTTTCACAGACTTATCTTAATCTTTCTCTATTCAGAATTGAATAGAGCGATTTTCTGACGTTTTCTTTTCCTAATCATCGTCAATTTATTGAATAACTTATCAATTATACTCATTTTTTGCTTTTAATCAGACTATATTCAAATCATAAACTGTTCAAACCAAGAATCAGGCAAGAAATTAGCGGCATAACCGACGAGTCCCGATCCGTAATCAACCGCTTCGACTCGATTAATTTGAAGTTCAGGATTCAGAAGGGAATTTCTCCAAAGAAAGTCGGCTTGTTTCTCTTTGAAAAGACCCCATTCTTTCCTCGATCGGCCGGCTTTTGTTGTCCATAAATACTTAAAACGATAAAGAAGCAGTATTTCATTTCAAGTCCCACCTCGATTTTGTCATTTATGTCAACCTTAGCACCATCGTCAACGACTCTCAAAAAGGCCATCATAATATGCGGGCTGTAAGTTTTTAATTCGTTATTTTTCATTGTAGTTGCTTCGTATCCTCCAGCAGATGAGCCGGCTCCACAGCCAAAGACTTTACCGTGAATGTTGACAGGTTCTCCACGATCAGTAGCGTTGTTTCCAAGACTCCACATGACTTGGTCGGGATCGGAGTTGAATTCTTCGAAAGAATCGAGTTCCGATAGATACCAGTTGTTCAGCGCGTTCTTCCAGAAAGCCTTGTTTTCTTCCCCAACACGAAGGGCCCTGTTCGACAGCCAGGCGAAAAGCGGAGTGAAGGTACTGTAAGGACCATACGGGCCGGAAATGACATCGTGTCCAAAGTAGTCGAAACGATCAGGTCGACCATGCTCGGCCATTCCAGCTGGGTCGGCGCCGTTAATTGAGGTGTGGAATTTTTCGTGGAATTGGGCACACTGAAAAAGGGGGAAACCGGAGAAATTTAAAGAAAGTTTTCACCTTTGTATCAACTTCGGAATCCTCTGTCACGGCAGCTAGGTAAGCAAGAGCGGCGTACTCACTAGACAACAGAAAAAATTATGAAGAAAACTTGTTTCTAATACCTAAGTGCTGCATTTGTAGCGCTCATCGTGTCATCACCATCTGCCACCATCATAATCGAAATCGAATCATTCGCCACAACAGTTCTATCGTAAGCAGAAACGTCTAGCAACTTCCTCGCTTCTTCCAACACCTCCCCTCCAAAATAATTGCCAGCAAACATCATTCCGCTTGTTGCCAAAGCACTTCCAATCGTCGCCCATTCGCCAGAAAATTGCCATTTTCTCGAAGTAAATCGCGAGAACATCCCAGTGCATGGATCTCGAGGCCAATTTTTGAACGACTGGATGGTTTGGAGCGATCTTTTGATGCCTTCTTCTCTTGTTCGGATTCTTGAAAAAATTCTTTTTGAAGAAAATATTATTTTCCATACCCAAGTTCGACCTCAATGCAATTAACTTGGAGACCCCATCCAGTCGCTCCCTGATTGTACAAATTACCCCATCTTCCACATCTCCTTCCACTATCAATTTTCTCACTATCGCAGTACAGTCCAGTTACTGGATCTCTAAAGACATCCCACATCTTCAAGTGCTCGTCAAAAATCTCTTTCTTGATTCCATCATATTCCCAGGTGACTTCTGCCGACCCGCGAGAGATCAAGAGAAAACCTGAAATTTTCATTTTTTCTGTCTCAATTTCAAAGAATTGAGAAATGAGGTTTGGATAATTGAATGTCAAAATAAAGATAAAATCGCGCGATTCAATTATGAAGCAATTTCGTTTATCTTATTTTTGTTTTTTTATTTTTGACTTTATTCAGCAAAAAATTATTGAAAATCACAAATTATTTCTTTTATCATTAGTTGTCTTCTTTGTCTTCAACGCGTAGAAAGGTGTTTTTCGTCAGCTTAACAATCGCATAATTTCCTCTTTCTTTTCTCGTTACTGGTTCGCAAAGGGTCGAGATCATTTCGTACTCATCATCTGATTCTTCTGAATCTTCAGCTGGAATGGACAGCTGAGAATTCTTCTCGTTTTTTCTACGTTTTTGCTCGTTCTCTTCATTTTTGCCTATCAATTCTCGCTTGGCGGCAATTTTTTGTTGTAGAATCCGGTTGACCACTCGATGAAGCCTTCTTCTCTGATTTTCTGCATTGGGAACTCTTGCAGCAACTTCTGTTCCTTTTTCTGCGACATCGGAATATTTCTGAACGAGTTTTAGTTGCATTTTTTTTGGTAATACTGAGGTATAAAGTGTATAAAACAACCACGGCACAATTTTATACTGCGACACAATTTTCCACCACTGGACATGAATTTCATGCTTATTTGTCAAAGCAGCTGATTTTCCGGATTTTCAATTATTTGAGATATTTCCGGGTTCTTACCCGCTGAGATTTTCAAAGCACCATAGAATAGAGGGCGAATGCATGGAGGGTGAGTAAATTTTTGTTCTCAGACCAAAAATCTTTATATTTAAGGTCCGTCAGATTTTTCGTCAAAAAATGGAAATTTTGAAAAACACCGTATTTTTTGGTCGTTGATGCGTTCTCAAGTTAAACTTGCTTCAAAAACTTGATAAGAGGAATTTTTGACGAAGAAAAATCAATATTTTTGCCAAAATTAGGGCAAATTCGTCAATTTTCGGCGAAAAGTCAAATTTTCAACTGCGATTTTGAGGGTGAAGAAGTCGAGATAGACCCCCAAAAAATGAAGCATCAAAATCGATTTTTAACCATCCATTTCCGGGGTCAAAATTTTAAAATTCCGAAATTTGATTTTTCGAAAAGTGTTGACGGGGGTCCTTAATTAATAATTTTACATTAATTGATAATTAAAACTATGTAAATACTTCTCTAAAAATAATGTCTTTTTGCAAGACTGTTCCCGGAATATCAAAGGGAAGAAAGCGCGTAAGTAGATCGAGAAGAAGCATAGAAAAAATATTTGGTTCAAAATGAACTGCTTTCCAAAATCAGATTTTCACACTTTTGTCTCTCCTCATTGTAAGAAGCAAATAACTGCGCGATCACAGCAAGAAAACTTGTTTGGGTAAGAATAAATGATTTATTTTTGATAATATAAAAGCAAGAAAAATCAGCGAAAAAGCAGTAAAAATTAGTAAAAAAAATTATGCACACCAAGAAGGTTTCGAAAGCTTGGCGGCAATCTTTCCCCATCGTTTGGCGGTTCTAGTATCGACAGAATCGTTGCAGCCGAAGTTCTTGAGATAGAGGTCGACTCCGGTCTGCAGGGACTGAGAGTCATCGCATCGATTGCCGGTAGTAGCGGCCGAATCAGCCCAGACTGCGAAGTCGTCGCCGCCGAAGTTGTCAGAATCGTAAGGAGCGGAGCAAGCGGGATCGGCCGATGTAAAGAGACCGACTGAAATGTGATGATAAAGAAGTGCTTGGCTATTAAGAAACTTACGATCTGCGAGTTCTTGCATTCTTCTGGTCATGGCTTTGACGCTTTCTCCGGTGGAAGAAGCAGCAGCTTCGATTTCGCCAACAATTGTATCAACTGCGGCTTTGGCTTCTTCAGCTGTGACTGGAGCAACTCCAGATCCTTCGCCAGAGCTTTCCTCGACGACAGCTTGGTTCTTCTTCTTTCGTCGTCGGGCGTCGGCAGTGGCGGCGAGGAGAACGATGGTGGTGAAAAGCTTCATTTTTGAGTTTTTGTTTTTTTTTTTGACTTTTTACTTCGTTAGATTAAAAAGTATTTGATGAAAACTGAAGGAGCGCCAAGGTTTTTATAAGGACCGTTATCGCGTCGCCACCGGATAAGAGCACTCGATGGAGCCAGCAAGCACCGTTGCATTTTTTTTAATAGACGATTCTTTATCGCAGTGTTGAACACGTTGTAGTAAACAGATAACTGGATTGAGCGAGATCCCCGGGAATTGGAAAAGGATCAGTTTTTTATCGTTGCTGAGTTACGGAAAAAAATGAGCATTGTTGAATTTTTAAGCACGCAGATTGTTTAATCTATCTATCTGCCGAATTACAAAGGTTGAAAAAAGGAGCCTTCGATACTTGTTTTTTTTTATAGTAGTTTGCATTTATTTAAATAATGAAGAAGTATAAATAAGAAAAAATACGCTTTGAACGAGTTTGAAGATTTTGCAGTGATTGAGGATTGATAAATATGATGACAAAGTATTTACAAAGTACAAAAAGTGAATTCTATAAAGTGCTGAAATTTCAGCGGAGAAATAATTACAGGCTATTTTCGGTGTACCATTTTCCCAGTGACGACCTTTTTCCAAGAGCTAAAAGTGAGATTATTATTGATTTCATTTTTTGAAATAACCTTTTGACTGTATTTTGATGCACTTATTCGACAAAGACGACTCATTACAGTTGAAAACGATTGACCGAAATCGTAAGCTTGGGTCTAATATTCTCAATTTCTTAAATTTTGTTAAAAAATGAACAAGTTCAATTGATTATTTTACCTTCGAAGAAGTTGTCAGGTGAGAAATTCTAGAGCAAAGAGTTTTCTCGTTGATCGCATGGAAAATTCCTTCGTTTTTCGCGATTTCTTGATCTTTTCCTTCGCGAAATTTTCGTCCAAAAAGTTGAAAGCCTAAATTCTCATCATTTTTGACGGGGAAAAAGATGGGTTACCAATATTCACTGTCGATAGATTTTCTTTCGCCGCGTTTTTCCTGCAGCTCTCCAGTAAATCTTCGGAAATCAAGTCGCTTGGTTCCAGCGTTATAAAAGCTGCATCTTCGTTAATTCCGTCCAGAAGGGTTTTCAAGTATTTCTGCCTATTTTCTTGTTCAAAAAGGACATCTTCATTGTCGGATTAAAATGACATTTCCGGATTTCGGTCGATTTATTCCGCGAAGAAGAATTGTATTTTGTTAAGCTAGTATTAACTCTTGTGATGGTAGGAGTCTTAATCCGTTCCCTGAAGAAGTGAAATGCCAAGTGAAATCAGCTGATTCAGCGTTTTTGTTAACAAGAGCTAAGCCGGATTTGGCAAGGCGATCTTTGGCAGCACGATACGAGGTTTTAGGATTTGAGATGAAGATTGGAAGCAGTTCAATATCGTCAGCTTAGTAATTTATGTTTTCTTGAAAAATAATATTATAAAGATGTTACTTACTTTGAAACGACTGCAGCGTGTTCAAAAACTTTGGCAAGTAGTCGACGTTATGAGAAGAAACAAAAAGCAGAACAATGAGAGGCATCGGAGCTTGAGAAAATTCCAGCGCATTGACGAGTTCAAAGCCGATTGTTTTGCGAATGAGATCGAATCTCATTGACGCTTCGCATTCGGGACCGTCGAAGTCCAGCAGGTAGCGGGTGTGATCGTTCAGAGTTGCGTAGTAGCCGGAAATGGTGATGGAATCGGATGAAAGGCAAGAATGAGCGGAGATGGAATGGATGAAGTTTTTCGCGTCGGCGAGTTCTGATTCAAGCCAGTTTGGGAAGGGGCATTTTACTTCTGCAAATCGGGATTTTTGTCAATGAAAAAAAAACGTTCAAGAAAGTTTTGACGAAAAATTTTACTCGACCCTGAAAATTTCGTTATTCGTATCCGCGATTTTATTTGACCGCAGTCCCATAAACGAAAATAACAAGAGCCGGTAACGATCCGAACTTCCTCATCATAATAAAAAATTGCTCGTTTGCGGCGTTCTCAATAATTCTGACACTCTCGTCATAAAAATCCCTTGCCTTGACTTTGACAGGAAAATAACTCATCTTCTTCAAAGTATTTCCATTCAAGGACGTCCCATCTTGTCGCTGGAAGCAGATCTCTGTAGAGAATTTGATTCATTTCTTCTGCTTGTTGGGTGACTTCTGGAGCGGTCATTGAATGCATCGAAACCTCAATTTCCGTCAGTTTTTCGCGGAGACTTTCGATCTCAGAGGCGATCGAAGCTTTTTGCGCAGAAGCTATGTTTTCGAAGGAACCAAGAAGGGTCTGCGGTAGAAGAGGGGTTAACAAAATCGCCGGGTCATTGATCTTTTTGAGGCACGAAACGAGCCAGGACTCCACCTTCCAGCCGCTATTTAATCCCGTCTGACATTTGCTCACCAGCTCTTCTTTTCTCTCGCGTAAGATCTTTGTAGTATACAAAATGCCAGAGTCAAGATTGGAGCCAAAAAGTTCTTCTCGATAAGACATTTTATCTTCCAAAAACGACTTCATTTGATACGTCCCCAGTTTTGCCCCGTTGGAAATGAAGATGAAATTGAATTGATCAGCGAAATCGGTCGAAACGAGCTCCATTAAAATTTGCTCATTTTGTGATCTCGTCCCGACGTCTGGCAGGAGAATGGTGTTGATTCCGTCGATCATGGATAGATGATGATTTTGGGTGTAAATGACAAAGACCATGTCGTCGAAATTGTCACCAAGTGTTTCTGTGATAAACCTTGCTCGTTGTCGGTATTCATCTGGCGAAAGTACAGTTATACTCAGCAAATGTCTTTTGATCCCGAGTTCTTCGCTGAGACGAGCAGGTCGTTTTATAAACTTTTTATTTTCCTCCGGATCTCCCAGGGCTTCGTGAAGGACCAATTCATTCGTAATTCGAACCGGCTCGAAATCTTCATAGTCAATATCAAGCCGAGCAGCGATATTTTTAACGGGCTAAAAATGAGATAAGTGGTCATTTTGGGCAGAAGATATATGATTCATATAATATGAATTTCGGTTAGATTACCGAAATTGATGGATTACAGCTTGTTTGTCGCAAGCTGTCAACTAAATAAATGATTTATTGGGTTTTTCTGCTGATTTAATTGACTCATTAAACGATCCGCGCTTAACGATGAACTTTGTTTTGAATCTGGAGAACTACGGTTCATATTAGACCGTATCTCCGATCAAACGGCTCGTGAATTTCGACCGAACAAAACATTCGTAATTCCGAGGACTTAATGGCCCGCTTTATAGAGGATTTAAACTCTTTAAACGCCTTTTTATATTCTCTATCCCCGTGTCCCTTAGTCTGCTAAAATTCTGCTTGAATAGAAAAAAAATCGTCTAGATTTACAGATTATGATAGAGGACCTCTACTGTAGGTTAGGATATCAGTAATATCATATCTTGTCATGCGCTCTAGGAAAAAATGGATGAAAATTAAATCGATAGGTTCATAAATGCTTCGATTTAAAAATAAACGACTGCCGTAAAGCGTTAAATTCTGACAGCTTTACTGTTTGAGAAAATGCTTAGAGATACTCATTAACGAATAAAGAAGAAAATTACTAAGTTCATAATCTACTTAGTAACCTAATACTCTCTCGGATTCAATTCGTAGCTAGGTAAATAAATAATGGTTATCGGATAATAAATTCTCATTTCTTTCATTTTTGAAAAAAATAAATTAACCATTCGGTACCTTCCGTCATCAGAACCAAAGTTGCAAATTTTTGAGCTGAGCTGGCTCTTTTCGAAGAACCATTGAGCTGAGCTAGCTGAACTGAGGTCAAATTGAGCTGAGCTGAGCTGAGCTGACCCTCACCTCAAAATTACTGAGCTTAGCTAGGCTAAGCTTTAGCTCAGCTAGCTCACAAAATTTGCAACTCTGATCAGAACTAATTAATATATCTTCATATAGCTTGAAATCACCTTGAAAAGTTTGACTCTTTTCGCCCCGATCGAATAAGGACTATCCGAGCATCTCGTCTCCACCGGTACCAAAAGACTAAAGAAACTTCCGGTCAAGATCGGAATCAAAATCCGAACCACCAATTTGATTAAATTTTTCTTTCTCTCTGATAAATAAATTTGCACTTTCATTTTCAAAATTCAAATAGTTGTTTTACCCGCTTCCGTATATTTTTTTCCTGCTGAAGCTTTTTTAGTCGCTTGTGTTCGAAACGGGAGCGCCACCAAAATTCACGCGTGAATCAGAGAACTTTTATATTCGCGCATAACTTTGCTTTGTTAATACGGAAGCGGAGAATCACCAACTTGCCACGCAAAACCAACGATTGTATGATTCGTTGGAGAAAATGTTCAATCATTGAACTTCAATGGTAATCTACCCATTGTATCAAGTAATTATTACGATAATGGCCCATTATTAATGGTTTTATCGATGAATTACCAAAAGGATTTTCCGAGTTTCTAGCGCCCGATGACGTCAGAAAGGATGCTTTTTGCATCGAAATCAGCATTTTTCGGGTCAATTTTTTGAACCTTTTTCATTTGGTTTTTGCTCGAAATACAGTTTTTTCTTTTCGGGATCTTTTTCAGCATGAAAAAATGAGAACCCACAAAAAATTGTCAAAAAGGTAAAGCCTATTCTTATGCTAAAATCATCTGTTCTGACATTGCCAAAAGTTGCTGATTATTATTAAATATCGAACAACACAAAGCGTGAGCGGTCGAGTCATATATACCATGGAGTTTAACGCTTTAGGGAGAAGGCCTCCGATCCGCTTCCCCGTTTCCCGCGCAGATCACTCTCGGGGAAGTCTAGAAATTTTCCTTAGCGCCTGGTTTGCGCTTGAGGAGAATCTCGAGATTCTGAAGATGTGAATCTCGAGATTTTCTGATGTTTCGGCCAATCAGAGAGCCGACAAGGGTTTTTGCAATGACTAGTTGCTCTTGCCGCGAAATTGCGCGCGCTCCAGATCGAGCGACGCTCAGGGCCAGCGTCGCTCAGATTCTCCAATCTCCCTTTAGAGCTCAACTCCATGGTAAAATTTATCGTGTCCGCTTCGTGGTCAGTAGGAAAAATGCTCATAAATTATGGGCCATAATCGTGCGTATTTATGATTGACGTTTAAAACCTGACTTTGTGACGTTGCGTCTGCAAATCTGCTGTTGACAGACCATTAAAGGGTAGATGTGGGCCCGGATTCGGCCTGACCTTCTTCGGAAACGCCGCGAAAGGTAATTTTTCCGTGAGAACTTTGTGCTTTTGACAAGTTTATGAGTTGAACTGACTTTTTTCCTAAGTAAAAATTCTTCGAGTCTGATTTTGATCAGTAAATCCAACTCAAGCTGAATTCAATCCGTAAATTAATTCTAATTGTGAAAAGATTTCAACAATGAATCAAAGTCAAAGCGACCCTCGAACATTGTTTGAACAGATTTTTTCTGAAGAATAGCCAAACTGGAAAAATTAACGGTAAGAAAGTGACTTGGTGATAAGCGCTGGCACTCGCTAGCTCCTCCACCGTCTATGGCGCTCCATTAAATCCGGTCTTGAGCGATAAGGGCTCTTATAAAAAGCACCACTATCTAGCAATTCCTCATCAAATACTTTTTAATCTAACGAAGTAAAAAGTCAAAAACAAAAACTGAAAATGAAGCTTTTCACCACCATCGTTCTCCTCGCCGCCACCGCCGACGCCCGACGACGAAAGAAGAAAAACCAAGCTGTCGTCGAGGAAAGCTCTGGCGAAGGATCTGGAGTCGCTCCAGTCACAGCTGAAGAAGCCAAAGCCGCAGTTGATACATTTGTTGGCGAAATCGAAGCTGCTGCTTCTTCCAGCGGAGAAAGCGTCAAAGCCATGACTAGACGAATGCAAGAACTCGCAGATCGTAAGTCTCATAGAAACCTTGCATTTTTCTAACAACCATTTTCAGTCGGTCTCTTTTCATCCGCCGATCCTGCCTGCTCTGCTCCTTACGATTCTGACAATTTCGGCGGCGACGATTTCGCGCTCTGGGCTGATTCGGCCGCTAACACCGGCGATCGGTGCGATGATTCTCAGTCCCTTCAGACAGGAGTCGACCTCTATCTCAAGAACTTCGGCTGCAACGACGCTGTCGATACCAGAACCGCCAAACGATGGGGAAAGATTGCCGCCAAGCTTTCGAAGCCTTCCTGGTGTGCATAAATCATTCGATTTCTTTTTTACTGCTCTTACGCTCTTCCCTGCTTTTATATTCACAAAATCAAAAAATAAATTATTTCAATCAATTTAAAGCTTTTTTTTCTTACGAGCATTTTCATAACAGGAAAAAAGCGATTGTTGCATGAAACGATGATAAACGAATCGCCTTGCTTTATCGTTTCCGTGCCTCTTATTCCCCTGTAAATAAGCAGCTCTCATTTTATCAACATTACAAAAAACGTGTGCAAGAAGTTGATAAATGAATATAAATAACCTCCTTTAGCAATAAGCTTGATAAAGCGTTCCGTAAGCCACGTTTCGTTTTATCGCGATGAAAAGTTCAAAAAATCTTATTCATGTTTATTAAACATGTTTGGAACGGTAACTGGGCAGTAAATATAATATGAAATGAAAAAATTTGATTGGTATAAATGGCTTTGAAGGAAAACAGTGGTGAATTGGTGATATGAAAACCATAAGAGTACTTTGATTTCTATAACATGGTGATTTTGCGATGAAGAGAGGGTAGGTCAAGGATGTTCACAGCTTCTAGGCAACAGAATACCACTTGGTGATATAAAACTTCGCTTAATAACTGAGACCAACCAGTAGACTACCCAAAAAGGGTGGAGTTCCGTACAATTGTCGATCAAAAACATGGCCGTTCTAATCAAGACCCATCGAAATCGGAAGAGCACTGAAGATAGCTTCGATAAAACCAGAGCTCGGCATTTCTCTTCAAGATCCCTAGAGGAATAGAAATTATACACATCAACGTCGTTAAAAAGTCATACCAGCCCGGGCTTCTCCCTTCCCACGATGCTTTTTATATTCCTGGGATTCAGCGCAACGAGTTTTCAAGCCAACCTCTCCGAAGTGGTCGACCCAGGACTTGCCGCACCAAGCTGTTCTCAGGTCTCCCAAACCATCGAGGAAGTATTCTGGGTGCCCAATGTGATCGAAATTCGGATCTAAAATCAATTATTTTAGATTAATTGCCGTTGATGGTCGGAAACAGCGTGCGTCGCATGATGTCACAGACACTTACCCATTCTTATCCGACCAGCCGAGGACGTTCTTCCAACAAAAAAGTTCAGCAACACATCAACAACGAGGCATTCTTCCTCGAAACCCGGCAATTTGATTTCATTAGAAAATCTAACTCGATGATAGCAAAATCCCTCTGAAGCGCGCTCGACCACGAAATGATCTCGTTCTGCCCAGGTGTTTCTTTTGTCGGTTGAAACGCCGCCGCCGATGATGTCGTAGCCGCTTTTGTCTGCAACGTCGATCATGTAGGAGAGGTCGGTGTGAGAGTTGAAGACGAAATCGTCGTCGACCCAGAGAAAGTACTCTGTTCGTACTAGAATCAGTTTTAGTAAAGGGTGGATAATGTGAAATGAAATAATCGAGAAGCCGCTGGCGGCTCCGAGTCTACATAATAGAAGCCGCGAAGACCGCGGCTTTTCGTTTATTTACTCGAAGCCAGAAGGGGCTTCCTTCAAATCGTCTAATACCTTGGCTTATTGCTAATCCTCGTCCCGCAAACCAGCCCTCGCTCTCTGGCAATCTGTAATGCTTCACCGAAGGATATTTTTCCTTGTCAATGTCTTGTTGCTCTTCTCTTGGGCTATCATCGGCAACAATCACAGTTATTCCTGGGTATTTGTCGAGAATTGAGTCCAGAAGGGTGTAAAGACAAGGGTAACGCAGAAACGTTTTGGTGACGATTGTAAGTCGATCATTCAGGGAAGCTGTTGTGGCTGGAAAGAGTTGAGGAAGAGGGCGGCGACGAATGAGAATCGGGAAGATTGCGAGGTGGGAGGTGGATCGAGGGGTTTTGTCGTTGCAAGTTACAGTAACTTGAACAAAGTCTTGGAGTGTTTTTCCGTCGAAAACGAAGGTCGAGTAGCGTAGGTTTTCGAGGATTTTGGCGAGTTCTTCATCCGAAGCAGCGGCTCTTTCAACTATAGAAGCAGAAGAAGTCCTTTCACTTTCCCTACTGAAGAAGAATTTGCCGAAAAACGACTGAAGCTGAATCCGAACAGGTCTTTGTGCTGAAATTCCACAGTGAGTGCGGATAAAAGGCGTGAATTCTTCGTCCGGCTCGATTTCGTATCCAGATGAAACGAATTCTATAGGTTGATTTGGCTTTTGAAGAACGAGAGGCATTTTGGCTTGTTGGAAATAATTGGATTTGACGAAGCGGGACAAGTCGGACTTTCTCTGGGCGACGATTTCGGGCGAAGGAGTGGGAAGAACGTTTTTTGAAGCGTCTTGGCAGGAACATGTGAACTGAACATAGAGAGCATTAGATTTGAAAGGAGATACACATTCAATAAACAAGGGCACCCATTGCGTCAATTATGTCCCGATCTGTCGATCAAACGAAACTGGTTATCGAAAATGATCGATAAATGGCTAGATTTGCGAGTCGCAAATTGCGACAGATGAGATTTGATTTCTGTCCATTTTTAAAAACGCGAAAATGGACAGATTCGAAATCGACCGAGAAGAGAAAAATAAAGTTTTTCTCGTTTTCTACATCATCTCTTCTATTCCCCTGCTTTGTATTTACAAATTCTACATTTCCAAAATGAGTTAACTAAAAACAATCTCCTCAAATTTGATATGAGTTATTACTGTAGTTGAAGAGTACAAAGAGAAGACGAGGCGAAACTCCAGTCTTCAAATAATGCGAATGACAAGGGTTCTGTCGAATATTGTATTGAACGGTACTCTGGAAGAAGAGCAATAGAAATATTTTAACCTTTTCGAACAAAATAATGATCATTATTTACCAAAAAGCTGAGAAACTCGGAGTATAGAAAGTTCAGTAGCGTTTAACTAAAATCTTGTTCGAAAAGGTAAAGATTTCGATTTATACTAGTAACAAAAGCATGACAGATGATTCAGTTGGCGATCAATCGGAAGAATTCAAAGATATAATCAAGAAAGACCCAACTTTGAATAGTAAGGAGACTCAATTTCTTTCCCCGAAACAATACGAAAAATATCTTTCTGTATAACTTCTGTCTGCGGACGAACCTGTGAATAAATATCTTCATGTTTCGTATAAAACTCGGGCAATTTTAAATCCCAGGCCGTAAACGGATGATCAGTGTTGACCCGCTTTGCTTTCAGCAATTTTGGATCGAGGAGATTGTTAGCTTCATTGTTGAATTCTAGTTTTCTTTCTTGCCTCAGCGTTTCAAGTGTCGGGTGCCGATAATCCAGTATTTTCACGGTAACGAAGCAGCCGAGGAAAAACGAGACGAGAAGAGGAACGAGTCGGCGGAGGTGGAAAAATCTGGGAGACATCCTTTTTTCGCTCGAGTTTTTCATCTTTTGAGCTTTTTCTGAAGAATATTTTTCTGAATAAAAAATAAAACGAAAAGAAGGAACATTCTCTAGAAAAATAGCAGTTCAATTTTCTGACAACAGCCATTGTATTTCGTTCTGCACATTATTTGTCTTCTTCCTATATTTGACTTCATTTCAGCAAATTTCTCTTTTCTCTCTGTTCTCGGATTGGCCGCTCCCACGCGCCAATTATTTTCTTCTGGAAAAATCGCCCTCTATCATTATTTATTCCGATTATTTTAGAATTGAAAAGAAAGAACGTCGGTGCAGAGAAAAATGGGGAAGAAAAAGAACGGAAATGCGCAGAATAAAGTGGCGAAGCATCGAAATATGAAAAAGACGAAAACGCAAAAGAAGAATAAGGACAAAGAGGAGGAAATAAGGAAGATGCTGAATGATCAGATTGATTTAATAGGTAACCATTAGTTTACAACTGAAATTGAATAGTTTATCCCCTTCTTGACGGGACACGATTTTGTGGGGGCTATTTTTTACAGTTTGTTGCTCAAAAAGGTCCCAATTTGAACGATTTGATTGAAATCGCAAGTAGCTTTGAGAATCAGGAAGAAGAGCCGCGTGTCGCGCGGCTTATATTTTCGGGGAATCAAAGCCGCAAGCGGCTTCTCGATTTTCAATCCAATAAATTATTTCTAGTAACCACAACGAATGGAACTCTGAAAAGCGCGCCGAAGAAAGTGGAAAAGATCGGTTTACCCGCGGAAGTTGCGACGGACGAGATTGAGTCTTTAATGACAAATATGTAGCTCCTGATCCCCCAATTTATCTTTGTACCTTTTCTTTTATCTTATCGCTAGTTGCTTGTAGAACTAGAATGTCGAGATTGTTGTCGGCGCGGTTGCCTTTTCTTCACTTATCAAGATGCCCATCGCAAGTGGAACAACTTCACGTTTCAATGCGATTCCAAAGTTCGGATGCTACAGCAGTCGGCCCGCAGCCGGAGAAATTAAGGAAGAGCTATAAAATGATGCGACCAGTCAGGCCATCTGATGATATTCTCGCGCCAAGGCAATATCTTCATATGATGGTAAGAATACCATCCTAGAATGGCCATTTTAGCCTATTTTTCCTCTAAAAAACGGCTTCGATAGTAGAGTTCAACAATCATAAGTTCTTTTGTTCAGCAACAAACAGATATCCAGCACACGCGATGGAAGTTACAAGGCGGCTGGAAGAAAAAAGTCGCTTGGCTCAGGTATTTATCTTCTTTCTCAGTCTACTCACTCTTTTTAGTATAATTTTGGGTCTTGTTTGCTACATCTACTGGTACACTCTTGAGATCTTCAAGAGGGACTCTTTCTACGCAGAACTCGAAGCAGCTGAAAACGAAGCGCGAGAACTTGACGGTAGAATGCCGCTTGGATATAATATTTCTGATCCTAAAGATGACGAGGAATTTGAATGATTTCAATAAACTTATTCTATCTTACTTGGTTCTCCCTGCACCTTGGTCGGCAACCTGTTTAAAAACCTGAGTCAGGGTCCCAAAACAGATTTGATCAAAAGCCGAGCAAAAATAAAGAGACCCTGAATCAGATATATGCATAGGTTGCCGAGCATAATCGCTGTCTTTTCAATTTGTCCTTTCTAAGCACTATTTCAGGACACATGCAAAATTTCGAACTCCCGTATCTCCTCTCCAGGGTGGCTTAGCGAGTCTAAACTCGGCAAAAGCGGATTTTGGCTCTTGTTGACGTTTGAGAGCTCTCGTTAGTAAGGCGAGTTATCTATTTTCCCGCACGGGAAGGGTGTTTTCGGTTGCTTGAACGGACGAACTATTTTGCCAGCGATCTACACCTTGTCGACAGTGTTGTGTGCAAATGTCGCGTATCCTTTTTGAAGTACGCTTTTTCTTGAAATTGCTGAAGTTTTTCCTTTTTTAGCCAAGCCATGCTAGAAACTCTCTTTTTCTTACTTTTTTTGATTCGGTCAACTGTGTTTAGAGAATATTCTCTAAGTTATAACTTTCGTACCCGATGAACTTTTTTTAAGTCTATGAAAAAGAAGGGAGATAAAGTTCAATTCACGTTGTGCTCCGTTGTTTGTTATCAGGATTTAATTTTTAATCCCGAAAGACGGGAAGTCATTAATTTGTTTTATCGCCTTGTTGCACACGTTTTGCACGGCAGATAAGGCACGAGAAGATTATAGAGGATTGACATGCGCGGAAAGGTATTTAGTGCTGGAGATATACTTTATCGTTATTTATGTAACTGTTTATTTATAGCCATCAAAACAGCCATGAAAATATTAAAATTAATAAGAAATTCTCATAAAGCGTAAAATCGTGAAAATATTTTTTTTATTCGTATCAGTCTTCGCATTCGCATGAACAGTCATCTAAGCAGTCACCTAAGCAGTCACATAAACAGTCACATAAGCTGTCAACAATCGCCTCCCATATTCCATGGGTTTCGCAGAATGTTGCTTCAGAAGCACAATCAACACAGCAATCACGAAAGCATCCATAGTCTGACTCAGCAACATCAACCTCTTCGTAGTAATCAGGTAAACCAGTGCTCTCGAATTCGTTCGTTGAGACAATTTCCTCATCGATTGTTTCTCCCGCTACTGGAATATCTTCTTCTTCCACTATCTTTTCCGATTCTTCGGTCTTTGAAGATTCAATGATTATTTTTTGAGGTGTCCAAGTCTCAGAAATAGGTTGAGTTGTGACGACTTCATCGGTGTTTTCTGTTTCGATATCTGGATAAGGATCAACTCTGTTCGACATTATTTTCGATCTCACAACAATAATGAATAAGAATAAAGATCTATGCGTAGAATTTGCTCGACAGTAAATTTGCTTCACGGAAAAGTCATGACCTCTACTGTAACGCTAGAAACGGTTAAGTTTTATTTGTTTGGAATGCACTAAAGTGTTGGAAATTCTATTCATTGACAATCGAGGCATATAATTTTATTCGCTGATTTCATAAAACATCTGAGCAAGAACACAAGCAGAGCAGTAAAGATGAGCGCAGCAACCAGTCTCTTGCTGAATTCCCCTTCGCGCAGCTATGTTGTCATGAAGGTTCATTTGTATTTGAAGCCAGCAGCACCAAGGCAAACAGCTTCCTAGAGGTTTGATTAGCACAATTCTTACTCTATTTTTTGTGTCGAAGAAAAGTCATCTAGGTACTTACTTGCACAACAAGCACTAAAACAGGCCTGTTCGCCTTCGAATTTCGCATGAACTCTTCCATAATAGCAAGGCTGCGCCCAAAAAGCAAGACAGACTTCAGAGTCACACCAGCTCAATGAATTGTATGGCCGTTTCCACATACCAGTCGGTTGAGTGACTACGACCCCCGGAGTCACTACTGGTACTTGTGCAATAACTGGCTCAGAAATGACTTGTGCAACTGGAACAACAGGAGCAGCTGGGGGAGAAGTTGAGGGTTGGTTGGTAGAATCAGAATATGCTGGAGGGGATGTGGTTTTCGTCAATTCTTGCTTGAGCAGCTCGAGATCGGCTTTTTCTTTCTCAGACAAATAAGGGTTCGACATTTCTGTTGCTGTTTTAGACTTATGAGAGACTTGAGAAACCAGCTTGCTTTAAAATGAGGCAGCATTAGTTGAGCAATATATATTTTGCGGAAATTTTATTGACGCAACTATAGAAACGCAATTTTCCGTGACCTCGATTTTATAGTTTTCCATGAAAAAACTGTAGGAAGCATTTCCTAGGCCTTAAAATCATAAAACTTTTTATTTCTATTCCATTTTCAGAATACGTCAGAGATGAGAACAGTAGAAACGCTCCTTATTTTGTGAAAGCATTGGAAAGATATTGAGCAACGAAATCGTAGTTGTCACAATGTTGGCTGTAGTAATGGCTTAGCATTGCGATTCTTCGCGCGACTTCTTCGTGTTTTCGTGGGGACGATAAAAACTCACACGGGACCCGGATCTATTGATGCAAAATGAGAAAAGGAAGCAGATTATAGAATACCTCCTCTGAACATTTCTTCTGAAAATTAGCAAAGGCCATGTAGTCTAAAATCTCATCCGCTCTGTCGACAATTTTCTTGACACTCTTCTTCAGCGAATTTTTCTTGTCGAGAAGATGCTTCTGAATTTTTGGAATTTCTGCGGTAAGCTCATTCAGTGAGCATTTTTTGCCAGGAAAAGCGATTTCTCCAACGACGAGTTGGCGAATATCTTCGTCAGAAATTGAGTTTTGCTTGAATTGAGAAATTTTTGAGCGCTCGGAAGAAGACATTAGTGTTTTTGGGCATTTTCCGGACTTTGGCTTTTCAGGGTTTTTGCTTTCACACTCTTTTAGAATCAATAAAGAATCAAAAACCCGATCTTGAAGTCTTCTTTGAAATTCTTCAAGACATTTCCGTAATCTGCTTCTACTTTTTCTCCGCATTCTTTTTCAACCATTTTAAAAAGCTCAATCGCTCTATCCCCAAGTTGACAGACGTTTTCATTCTTCGGAAAGTACGTCAAATCACAAGGTGCTCGATGAAAATCGCATTTTTTGGGAGCTTGAGAAATAAATTCAGCGAGAATTCGAAATCCGTCAAGAGCGCGGTCGGGGTTCGATGAGGAGAAAAGACGATTTTTGAAGGGCTCGATGTTGCGGGAAGCATACTGTTTCAAACCGCAGAGTTTTTCGGGAGTTTTAAGAGATCGGGAAAGCGAAGATAGGCCGTCCTCGATCGAGCCGCTTTCGCCCTTGCACTTCATGCTGTCCCAAAGCTCGCTCATTCCATCAATCTCGACCCCGCATCTCTTCTCCAACGACTTGACAATCTGCTTCATTTTCTTAAAAGCTGCGGTCCCCTTTTTCAAATTCGGGTCAAGACGCAAATCGTCGCACCCAACAAACTTTTTCGAACATGAATCCGTCTGTTCGAGTAGCTTCTTGGTAATGGCCATGAATTGGCCAACTGCTACGGGCTTCGATGGGCAGTTCTTGTCCAGGGAGTTTTCGAAGATTTGCGAGTTGCAGAAGAGCATTTCTTCGTCGTTGCATTTTCCGAAAATTGACATGGAGCAAATGTGTTTTGGTCTTTCAGTCGTAAGGAATGGTGACTCTGTTACGATGTCGATGTAGTCTGTATCCTGAGCTTTGTCGTTCACAAATTGGTAAAATGTGTCTTCATAGTCATAAGTTGTGAAATCCTGGACGGAAGGCTCCTTTGAAAAGATATAGAATAAAGGAAACGAAAAAAACTCATATGTAATCATCTGTTATTTACAAGTTAAACGTTCCCCCTTTGTCGTGTTCCTCAGAGGCATCTTGTAAATATATTATCATGATCTCATTCGCAAACATTTTTAGGCTAATCGAAATCTGGTCTCATTTACTCAAATAAAGTAAGCTTTATCAGGAAAGAAAGCTTCGGAAAAAAAAGAGAAATTAAAATGAACACATTTATTTTTCTCATCATTTCAGGTAGAAACATGGTATAATACCTTCTTCTAAGGTTGTCCATTTTTAAGTCATTGGAAATTCCGACAATTTGCTTTTTGTTCATGATGAATGCTCATACTGGCAAAGTGTTCTCAAGGTGAACAATATCGGCAATAACAGAAGAGCCTGTAAACTGATAGAAATGATCCTACACGACAAAATTAACAAAGACTACGATTTTGTCATTTTTGAATAAAGATGTTTTTTCTGCATTTGAGAATAAACTTGCATCGATACTAGGTCAAAATCGGGTAAAACAATGTTTTCTTATTAACAGGAAGGTACATTATCTTGAATCGAGAGCACTAAGCCAATGAATTATTGAGAAGCATATTGATATTCAGTCGATACGTTGTAGGCACACCTGTATAAATGAAAATTATACGCAGCCCTTATAATATTATTGAGAGATAAAGAAAAGTGCCATGAAGTCATTTTCGATTCTTCATTTATCAGGTTAGGCCGAGTAAGGTATAATTTTTGACAAATTTCTAGTCCTTGGAAGATCCGACAACTTACGTTTTGATCCAGATGAGTGTTCATTCTGGCAAGATATCCTAAGAATCGAACCTATTGGAGACAATACGATAGCCTGCAAATTGATGGAGTTGATCTTGTACGAGGGGGTAAAGAGAGACCACGATTTTGCCATTTTTGAATAAATTTGAAAACTTTCATATCTTTGTCTTGATGGGTTTGATTGCCTGGATCCCTTTTGAAATCAATTCTCGGAATGCATCTGTGCATTTCTCAAGGATCTGCGAAGCAGACTTATCCAGGGCGTCGAGAAAGTCTTCCAAGTCCGGTTTTTCCTGTATTTTGTTAAGATCTGAGCAACTTACCTCATTGCGAATTTCTGAGCACTTTCTTGATCTTTCTGCCCCGGAGAGATGATCCAGAATTTGACCGATTCGCGATCGCTCATTTCTCTCGAAGCCGAAAGAAACTTCTCTTGCTGATTTTATAAAATCATGTGCGGAGCAGTTTTTGTCGACGATTTCCCATTCGAAGAGAAATTTTAGCTTGAGATCTTTGCCAGCGTCGCCGATGGAATAAACGACGTCGATTTCATCGCCACCAATAGCGATCAGATCATCGGTTATTTCTCGTCGATGGCGATTTTTGTCTAGAAGACAATCAGCATAGTCAAATAGAAAATTGATACCTGAGTCAGACTTTGGACAAAACGGCCCAATTTTTTCCTTCTTCGTCAGAAGAAACGCCTTTCCGACATCACATGGTACACTCATCCCACTATCATCCATCAATTGTATGTTCAGAAAGCTGATTTTCCTCTGAGTCTCTGGAAATACCTTGAAAACACAAAACTCCCCGGGAGAAAGAGTATTTATTGCTTGAAGCGTTCCATTTTGCCCAACTCCTTGTCCGCATATTTTTGCTCTAGCGTTCAAAAACAATAAGAAAAATGTCAATAAATCAATCATTTTTTTCACTTTGATTTACGAGTTTTTCAGAAATGATTAATGAAATGAACTCGCCTTGTTTCGTCGCCAAGAAAAGAGCGGGTCTGTGGTCGTGTTCTAAGGATTTTTTCATGTTGGAAAATTTCACGCTCTGATACTTGGAAATCTTTGCTTTATTTTGAATTGAATTCGATTGTTGTAAGAAGTTTTCTTTAGTTTATTTCAAATCTGCAGGTATAATGGTACTCTGAGTAGCAATGAACATCTGCAAGTTGCCCCGGAAGCCCGTAATTGATGATAACGCACGGCATAGTTTGAGTATTCGGCTCACCAGGGAACCATTTGAGGAAAGATTCTCGATTTCCGGAAACAGTTGAATACAGCATGTTGTTTTTCCCCTCACGAACTCCTTCAAAAACTGTTCTGTAAATCTTTTTCGAATCAAAACTAACCGATGAATTCAGAAATCAACCCAGCTGATAATCTCTTGAATTCCTTCCATTCTTCTTCTGTGTCAAAATATGCCAAGTGACCTCCTTGTTGATTACACTAAACGCTAAAAAACTGTCGCTGAAGCTTAATTTACCCTAAACTCAGCGAGTTCCATGCTTGCTTTTTCCTTTTGTGGCACGAAATTGACAGCTTTCGGCTTCGAAGATAAAGGAGCCGCTGCAGAGCCTTCTTCGAATCTGCATGAAAAGGGCCTGTTCGTGTAGCTACAATAGCCTGCTAGACTATTTTTTAAATTCTTGCATACCAGTGGCCAGATGACCAGATGCCAGGAGAATCGTGAAACAAACACAATTCTCTTCCTGGCGAGCGACCAGTTGAGAATAAGTCGAATGTTGAGTTGGTTCCGTCAGTATTCCGGTAAAAATAATCATTTTCGGAGTTCCAAATAACTTGTCGATAGCCAAAGTGCTCTTGGCGGAATGTTGGGAGCTCACTAAGATACTGATCGTACTCCTCTTGCGACTTGAAGAAAGCGAGGTTTCCGCCTTGATCCTCGCAAAACATCTGAGCTCCTTCCATGGTCAATTCCTCCTCATAATTTTCGAACCAGATCCGAGGTTCTGCAGTTGTCGTTGTTTTTTCTTGAGTAGTTGTCGGAACCGGACATATTTTGTTTTCGCAACCAGCGCAACCATCTGGGCAAAACTCACCACAAGGGCAAGATTTTAAACAAATTTCGAAGATATCGTTGCAAATATCGAGGCAATATTCAGTCTCGCAAAGACGCCGACAGCTCGAGTACTCCAGTCGACATTTTGCCTCGCATTCTTCGTATAAATCAGCGTCTCTATCAAAATTATTAAATCACCTATTTGAAAAGAAGAAAACCTAATCAACTTACATGCAATCGTCGGGAAAACCAAAGCAAATCGTAAGAAAGCAGTGAATAACTCTCATTTTTCTTTCAATAAAGGCTATTTACTTGTTGTTAAGATATTCGATGAGAAGCCGACATCTGCCCCGGTGCACCTTCAGAAATTTTTTGTTGATTTTCCATTCTTGAGAGATGTTAGGCTACTTTTGGGCATTTCTGCCCTTTGTTTTCTCCCAGGAGACATTTACTCAGCTTTACAGGTACAAATAGGCTGTGAAAAAATCTCATCGTGTTTAGCGATAAAATCCGATTTCCCGATGGGAACTCGCGACAACTCAACATCCCTGTCACTCCTTTCTCCAAGACCTCTCAAATGGTGAAAATCGACGACGATGCCGTCATTTTTCGCGATACTTCTTCTTCCGCTGAGACATTCTGGCTTTGGCTTTCCGACTCTCCGGCGAACTTCACCAAGCTTCGTCTTCAAACCGGGGATGTTAACAACTCCCCTGGATGTCTCATAGACGCCGGCTCAGCCATCGACACCAGTGGAACTCCGCAGCGCGTGGTCACTCGAGTTTGCCCTGGAAACGCACAGTTTCAGATCGATCAATGGCTTATTGACGACACCCTTTTCCAGCCGCTTTTTTCGACTTCATATGTTTTCGAAGACCCTGACATCATTTCAATCGCGCAAATTTCTCCACAAATCGTCTTTTTGGCGAGTTCCCGAAGACTTTTCTATTACAACTTGAGGATGACTGAGCCTTACATTATTAATGAATTCTTTATGCCAATAACAAGTGAGCTCATGCTAACAATCTAAAGATCTTTATCCTTTGTAGCGGCCGTTCTGAAGAGCCAGGATGACGAAGACACCGGAAAAGTCTACTTTCATATGTCAACGGATCAAGGCTTCAACACCACATACTTCTGGCTCGGAGAACTTCTTTCTGGAGAAAATGTCGAGTACCAATTCAACTGGAACTGGGATTGGACTTTGCAAGTAACAGACGGAGTCATCACGGACTTTGATTTTCAAATCGCGGGCGGAAATTATACCGACTCTCTTGCCAAGATCATGTCTGTCGATGTCGCATCAGTGAATATTCGATATGAAGACGGGACTTGGTGGAGAATGGGAAGTACAAAACAAGGAGTTCCTTTCGGAAATGCAACTGCATTGGGAGTTGTTGATTGGGGACAGAAACAAACAGAAAAGGTACGAGGATCTAAGACCGAATAAATTAAATACATTTCTAGAGCTTGGAGGCTAGAACTCTCGAAGATGCTGGAATCGTTGCGTTCGTTGGTACCAAATCGGGTGTTTTTTATCTCGAAGATGGAAGTCAATCCCCTTGGAGAGTGCTTGAAGGTTATCGCTGGTTAGTTGGAAATGAAGTAGAGCAGTTAAATGTCTTGAACGGGAATAATCCCGGCGCATTTGTCAGAACTCAGGACGGTCTGAGCTGGATTACGAGGAATACTTCGCAATCATTTGCGGACAAATCTGATCAGGTGCTTGAAGTTTACAATTCTGGCCGCCACGGTCAGCGAAATCTCGGAGTCGACCATCCAATGAACGGGCTCGTTTCGCAGATCAGCTTCCCAGAGTTCGGAAATCCGGAGAAAAACTTTTCTCAAAGTGCAAATGACAATGATAGTCTTTGGACGTCAATGCTTCTTGCTGCTGAATGCTTTAGATTTTCTGTTACTGGAGATGAGCGAGCGAAAACGAATGCATACAAGATGTTCAATGGAACAAGATTATTGCAGCACGTGACTGGTCATTCCGGGCTCATTGCTCGGGCAGTCTCGACGACACAAGAAAGCTCAATTTGGCAGAAATGGGAAGCAAATGAGATTCCGTGTGATCAATGTGACCAGCTTTGGTGGAAATCAACAATTAGCCAGGATAGCATTATTGGTCATATGTTCATGTATCCGATCTTTGCTGAACTTGTTGCTGACAACGATGAGAAAATTGAAGCGATTCAGTTGTTCTTGGACGTTTTGGACAGAATAGTGGAGAATGGGAAAGGATTTAATAAAAATATAAACCATAAACAAATTAAATTTTTATCAAATATAAAATTTTTCAATACATTTGAATATGGCCAATAATTAAATTGACGATAAGCTCATGATTAGGGTGAATTTACAAAAAATCAACTGATGATCAGCCTGTTTTCTGAAAATCACCAAAAAGTTACACAATGCCGGATTACGATGGGATCCCGACTCGCTGGGGTCATTGGGACCCGTACTCAGTCAACTTCGACATGGACCGATATTCTGAGCGAGGCCTCAACTCCTTACAAATCTTAACCTACCTCGCTGGAGCAGAAGTTCTCACGAAAAAATATGGAATGACAGCAAAGAATAACTACATGTCGCATTTTGACTACCTCTACAACAAAATGGACTACAAGCGAAACCTTGGAAACGTAAAATTACAGGCAGCAAGCGAGGATAATTACAGTGACGATGAGCAGCAGTTTCTCGCTTATTACTTGTTCTACTTCACTGTTTTGAAGAACGAGCATCTTTCTAGCCTTGGTTTGTTCTTTAAAGTTTCCTGTCTCTTAAGATTTTTTTAGATAAAGAGACAATTACTGTCTTTAAAAATTCTATCTACAAGACCTGGAAGCACGTCAGCTTCTCCGAAAATTCCGTTTTTGCTGGCGTCGCTCTTTCGTTTCTAGGAGACGATCTATCGGACACTGATAAGAAATTCACAAGAGATATTCTGATCAAGGACTTGACCAGGATTCCGATTTCTCAAGTCACCTGGGATTACGACGCGACTCCGGGAAGTAACAGAAAAGACATGTATCTTGATCCACAAGAAGGTAATTTTCATCTCAACGCTGCGATTTCATTTTTTCAGATCGACGAGGAAACTTTGGAACCCACGTGACAATTCCCATCCCAAAAGACGAGCAAGCATATCTGCAATGGAACAAGGACCCATTTATGTATGGACCCAGTAACGGTCAGAACTTTGAATTCCCGGGAACTGTGTATTTGCCAGGGTTCGGTAATTTGAGCTCACGCTAAAACTCAAGGAAACAAAGCTTGAGACTCACGTTTTTTAATTTGAGTTTTGAGAACTCAGAGTTGAGAGCTCGCGTGAAAATCAATTCTGGCGATCCATGAGCCAATCAAGGAAGCGCTCGCTTAATTTGAGTTTTGAAAACTCAAAACTCTCAAATCTCCCAAAAACTCAAAACTCTCAAAACTGTCAAATCTTCTCAAAATGATTTCTCAAGTCACTCTGAGTTCTCAATTTGAGGAAATTTGAGCGTCCAGCCAAAATGAGTTTTAGCTTGAGCTCAAATTACCGAACCCTGGTATTTGCTTCCTTACTGGCTTGCAAGATATCAAAATATTTTGTCTTCTTAGATAAAAATAAATGATTAAACCGAGATTTAGTTCTTTGGTCGAAAGCATTTTATTCACGGATTCCAAAAATCAGGCTTCGAACAAGGCGGGAAAGGCATTTCACCTTGACCTCTTGGTGTCATGTGAGTGCCCTCGGAAGTTCCATCAGTGCTCAAATCAAGTCTATTGATAATGCATGGCCAGGTGTAGAGCCCGGCAGGATTGTGGGTATCCTGGTTCACGAAACGCGAGCCGTAGGTAGTGCTGTAATAAGCAAGGCCATCGGTGTTTTCTCTGGTTCGGATCGGCTGGTCGTCAGGCAAATCAGGTGCCCAAGCATCGTAGCAGATTATTTCATCCTAGGGAAGTTCAGTTTTCTCTTCATTCTGAATAAATGTAGAGTCACCTGGATATACTGCTTGTCAGAAGAAGAGGAATCGTATTTACGGAGTGAGTCCTTGACCTTTTGAAATGTCGCGCATTCTCCAGAGCTCCAATCTTGATTCAAGTGAGCTTTCTAGAGATTTAATATCTGATAAAGAAACCAGATTATGGTAATTTTCAAAAACCTGATAATCTTATATTCAACTCTACAATTGAATGAAACACCTTACTACTGATAGACTCTAAGAAGTGACGATCGTAATCAAATAAAAAAATTTAATAAATTATAAATTTAATTCAATTGAAATTATTATCAAAACCTCTTCCCTGCGCTGAAAAATGCAACCTCTGGCTGAACAGCGTCGACCAAATCCAAGGTCGTTCCGTAGAGGCTTCCATGATGTGAGAGTTTGAGAACAGTAGAACTAAGGTAGCCGGGATCGATCGAATCATAGAAGTCAACAACTCGCTCTTGATCGGGGCTTTTGTTGTCTCCCATCAGCATCATTGAGAAATCATTCCAGGAGAGTTTTGCAACAAGACTGTCCTTTTATTTTTCTCAGAAAAAATCATCATCGTGGTTCTTACCTTATCGGAATTAAGTTGCCCAAATCTATCCCGTTCGCAATTATTTAAATTTGCTGCCACAAAATCCAATTTTATATCGAGATGGCCAGGACAGAGGGAGATTCCTCTATCATCTTTCGTGTTGATTAAAAATTATTCAGAGCAAAATTAATGCTCAAAAGATATCAGATCAGTTCCTGAGCAAGTGCACTTCTTCAAATCACCTCCGTTAGCAAGACAAGCTGCAGTTCCACAGGCTTCGCCTTCGTTGATCATGAATGTCTTTTCCTTGTTGTCTTCAAGCCAGTCCATGACTGATGTATCTTGAGGGCAAGAATTGCAAGAACCGAAAGAGTAATTGTCAAAGGGACAAGTATGGTAGATCTGCTGCAGTTGAGAGAGATTCGGGTAGGATTCTGTCTCAGCTTGGTCAGTCGGGAAGACTTTTGGGAAAAAGCTCACGTGGGTCTCGTCGGCGTGAGTCAGAAACATGTATCTGAGGAAAAAATTATACCCCCTCTTTTGGTTTTTTTCAAGACCTGATCGGATAATCGCCGAGAAATTTGACAACATCCCACCACTCGTAGTACTTCACAATCGTTCCAAGGTCAAAAATGCTCAGTTCTCCGCCCGATCCGTCCGGTCCACCAGGACATTGGATGATCGTGCCATCTCCGTGGCCCATTGGAAGGGCGTAAACATTCAGCTCTTCATTCGGCTCTGGAATGTCGTCGACAAGATATGCCTGCGAAAATGCAAGCAAACTGCTGAAAAACTTCATGGTTTCTCTTTACACTTCAGTTCCTCTGACTTTTTTATTGCAAAAATAGGCGTGGGAAAGAAACAGATGATTCAAAAAGTCAAAGATTGAAAGATATTTATTTATTGTTTTCTAGAATTTCAGTAACCTCGAAGCATTCGCAGCATTCTATTGACATTTTTTCGGTCTCTTCTTTGGCTTACTAGTGAATTCCACTTTAAAAAGATTAGGTTAATGAAGTCTCTTCTTCTCTTACTGCTGTGTATCGAGGGATACGGCTCAGAGCATCATCCGGGAAAACTTAAATTATGTTTAAAAAAGCATGATGATTCATCATTGATGAACCAAGACTTACCCTTTATTTCTGGCTCAGCTGGGTCCTTACTCGTTATTTTCTTCCAGTTTGAAAGATGATTTTTGATTTCACTGTAAATATGATTTATAAAATCGTGCGTCATTTCTGGTCAAAAAACCTGTCTGTATAAGGCCAATCCAGTCTTGCCTGTAGTAATTTTGGTATAACTGCATTGACGCTAACAAAAATCGAGCAAAAAAGGTAGAAAATGCGCATCAGCCTTATTTTAAAAATGGGAGAATTTTTCACAAACTTGGTTTTATACTTGATCCAGTGACTCTTTCCTTCGATAATTTATTCAAAATCAGATGCCAGCTTCTTTGTGAAAAACCTGTGCTGACTATTTTACTGTTTTTAATCATTTATAACTTGAGATTTGATAAATATCCCAATTCGAAACTACTTATGTAAGTTGGCATAAATATTATCAAGAAATAAAAATATTCATTATGTTTGAATAGAAAGACCTCTTGAGAGCAGGATCAAATGTTACGACTCATCGCAAATATTTGACCATGAAGGAGACATCGCTTAATTTTCGACCAGCGCGGACTATGAGAGAATGAAAATACGCCACCTATTGCTTTTTAATTTATATTCTTCTCAAGAAATTCCCCTGCCTTGTGAAATTGGTTTTCCTGAGGTGTATCCACATTGCCTGACAACCATGGTACGCTTGACGACGATTCTTGCGCTCACCGCGAATTTCGCTGTCGTAAAGGAAACTTGATTTAAATTATGAGAACAATTTTTATCCAAATTGTTGCATGAATGAACACAGCTTGCACGCTTTTCACAAGTATTGATTAAATAAGGTCATTTTATCAAGAAAAAATAAGGCTGAAGAAAACGAATCACCAACAACTTCGACATCATCAACTTCAACAACAACAACAACTACAACCATCACTACAACCACAACAACAACCACATCACAAACTACAACTCAGTCAACAACGACCACCACTCAATCCACTACAACTCAAAAGCCAGCACCAGAACTAGCCGGCTTTGTAGTCACTGTAAGTTTCATCCCCCTTCCTTCAAAAAAATTTTCTTTCTTTGTAGGTTATTGAAGACTCATGCAAAGACGCAAATTCAAGTGAGACTATCCATTATCGAATGAGAATTTGCGACTGCACATTAACTCCAGAAAACAGAGCTGACCGAATTGAAGAATTACCAGTCGCTTTCAAAATGATTCCAACGAATAATTACGCTGTTTCGTGGGCTTGGGCTTCTTTCATGCTGCATCTATGCATTTCTGCATTTTTCGCCCTTATGTGGAACTTTCAAGTCAGACCAGGTTCAATCTCATCAAGAAACTCGTTCTCACTGTATTCAGCAATTACTCCTCCTTACAACAAAGCAGTTCTGGCGATGTTCCTCTGTCTGCTTGCTCTTATCATCATCGATTGCTGCGGAATGTCAAAATACGTGAGTTTTTGCCCTCAAAACAAATTTTGAAAGAAATTCTAGATCGTGAGGGAGAATCCGCATCCAACTGCCTCCGCTTCTCTTTGCTTCAACATGTTCTTGTTCTTTTTTGGCTCGTTTGTGGCGATGGGAGCTTATCAAGAGCGCGACACTTCTTTTGACAGTCAGCAGTTTAGTTAAATTGTCAAGTCCTTTATTGCCGAATAAATTTCCTTTGTAAGAATGAGCCCTGTTTCAAATTTGTCAAATTTTCCTCAGAAGGATTCTCTTTACGTCCGAGCATCTACCGGAATCAGCTTTCGGTCCGTCGTGAGTCTTTATTTTCCGCTCACATTGCGTCCGACTGTTCCGATTTTCTCCTCAACATGCTCCGAAATGAGAGCGCCAGTTTCATAAAATGCCGTCAGCGGAGACAAAGTCTAAAAATAAGTATAATCAATCAATAACAAAAATGCTGTTGATCAAGCTTTTCTTTATTTTTGGAGCCTCAGCGGACTCGATTGCTTTCAACAGATTACGAAACAACGCATTTTTACACATGAAAAAGCGACATTTTTCTGCAACAAAAACGGTGAAGACCTTTAAAAAGAAGAAACTTGAAATCCAAGAATACATCAAAAATCTAAAAAGAGTATTTAGCTGTCGAGTGTCCAAAACACATTTTGACTAAAGCAGCTTTCAATATGCCAAATCCATGTTACTGCCTTATCTCTTTACTGAATAAATACGGTCGATACTGAATATGTAACGAATGTAACGAATGTAACGAATGTAACGAGTTTGCTGACAATGTAACGAAAACGGAGACATGTTGTTTTTTTGTTAGCTGATTTTAGAAACTTTTTCTAAAGAGCGATCTTGGGGAGTTTTACTTTATTCAACAATTGAACATATCGAAAAGAGCAAAAAAAGACAAAAAGAATGCAGAATAGCATAAATATGGTAGATTCGTTTTCCAAACCTGCTCTGAATGATTAAAAACGCCCGCTCCGCGGGTAAATTTGTAGGAAACTCAAGGGGATGAAATAAGATAAACAAAAAATCTCTAGAATTTTACTGACAATGTAACGAGAAAAAGACATGTTTTTGAGTTTTCGTTACATTCGTTACATTCGTTACATATTCAGTACCGTCGATAAATACCTATATTCTTTGAGAACAACTAATAGTTATCAAATTGATTTCTCATTCGAGCTGTTCCTTATCCTCGGATGAATAAGCATCAGACTGGTGGAGGATCGCATGATATCGCGTTCAAAAATGATAATGAAATTCGAAAAATCAGCATTTTTTAATAAAAATTATATCATTGATCATAAATGAGCGCACTAGCAAAAAATATTTATTGCTTGTTATAATTTGATTTTTCGAATCGAGTCACCTTATTTGTTATGTCATGTGATGTTGTCCACAAGATGCTAATAACAAATTAGATTTTCTAGGCAACAATGTGCAGTTCACTTGCGTTTGCACAGATACTACGGTATTATATCGCCGTCCGCATATATTAAAATCGAGTGCCCTTTTCTGCGAGTGAATAAGAATTGATGAATGAGAACTGATGTTTCAGAATTATTTATTCAGTTGACCAGGGTTTCGAGATAAGATACCTGCAGTCGGGAATTAATCTTTTTTTTCTTCAAGAAACATCTTTTTGAGAAAAAATGGATAAAGAAGCTCTTCATGGAGCTATTCGTGAACTTGGTTCTTTTCCGGTTGAAAATTTAACGCTGTCAATGGGCAAGATAAATGAGACTGTTTCCGATTTTCTTGGCGAGTTTGGCGACTCGGAAGAAATCGTAGAAGCTGTAGAAGACTCTTTCAAAATCATTCTGATCGTTACTATAACTTTTGTATCTTTCAGTATATTGTCTATCATTGGTACAATTTATTGCTTCTGTAAAAATTCGCTGAAATGTCTGACTTGTCCATGTAGGGCTGTTGTTACTTCTATCGATGCTTAATAAAAATATTTGTTTTTTTTGAATTTCAATATTGATAATCATTTTAATTTTTCGGCGACTTTTATATTTTTCCTAGTAGTAAATAAGTTGTTTCACCGTCTTTCCCAAGGAAACACGTTATTTAAAAGTATTGATCGCCTCCTAAATGTTCCGAGAAGCTCATCAAAGAGCCGATGAAGACATCATAAGGTTCGCTGCCCCCGGGGCATATGCTAAAAAAGGATGCATTCCATGCAGAAAACATTGATTTTCTTTATATCTGCCATAGTTTTTTTCTGCTGAAACTTAATTGAGGTTACACGTCCCTCAAAAGTCGTTTTTTGAATAGTCAAAATTTGCGGATTTTCTGAAATTTTCGTCTCCGAGACAGACATTTGCAAGAGACAGTCTATCCTCTCGGGGATAAAACACGTTTGAAAACGGGAAAATGATTCACAACGACGAAACTTCATCCTTTTTGGCTCAATATTTTGTTCCTCTGGAAAGAGAAAGTCCAATCCCTAAAGAAAGCTTTTTTCAATTAGGAGAAGAAACAAAATAGCAAACTCTTGAAATGAGCGGCTTGATCAATTTACAGGAAACGGGTAAAATTTTGGAAAACCATAAAAAGCAAAATATTTTTGCGTTCTTGAAGTATTCAGCCAATTACTAAGTGAATTAAATACAAAAGAGTAACTAGATAACAACGATAATATTTTCTCGATTACCCAAGAATAGCTTGAAGATCTGATGCCTGAGCTAAGGCCCGACGCAGATCATGATTTCACAAACTTCAATGATCAAAAATCAGCTGATGATCCCTTCCTCGCCGAGCTTTTTGATACGCCAACTTACGACTTTCTTGAGTAAATTTCAAACCTTTTTACACTAGCTAACAATTCGTTTGTAGACTTGATAGACAGGAAATAACAAAAGAGCCTGAAAATGAGACAATGCTTCAGACCGAAATGGAGGTGGAAAACGAAGTCGATCTTGAGGTGGAAAAGACTTCCTCCCAAAACCAAGAATCGATCAATTCGGATATGAAATTTTGCTCATCTCGCCCTGGCAGCTTTCGGGTAGGCCTTACTCATTCGATTTAGAAGCTATTTTCTTTAGGGCATCCCAATGACCTACTACGAGCTCATCGAAACCGCCCTTACCCACTCTGAAAACGGAAAACTAACGCTGAAAGAAATCTACGACTGGCTATTCGAAAATGTCGCCGAATTCCACGATGGAAACGCGAAAAAGTGGCAAAACTCAATTCGTCACAATCTGAGTCTTCATCGATCGCGATTCAAGAAGGAGCAAAATCCAGAAGAAGGAAAAAGTTCGCTCTGGTCGCTCAATATCGCGAGGTGCTTCTCTACCAATGACGGGGATTTCGGAGACAACGATAGTTAGGGTTGAAGATTGCCAATATTTTATAATTTTGATGAGGCAAGTTTTAACCCGAAAAGCGCGTTCGGCTCAGCTCAAACCTCCCGCCGCGGGTCCGTTTCTGGCAGCCTTGGGTTCAACAACTTTTCTGATTCCTCCCGGCGCTCCTCTCACATCCTCCCAGAAGTAGCATCAAAGCTAAAACAGCTCGTCTCTTCAAGAGACCCCTCAACAACCAAATCAAGAAGACGGTCAATGCCAAGCTTTGCCCCTGAACTTCAAGAATCTACATTTTCGAAAAAGCGTCGGATGAGCTTTTCCGCCACCGGAGATGCAGATTCAGCTCCAGTCTTCGGAAAACCACGCCAACCAAATAAGCAATTTCCAGTAGAAATGTGCCAGTCGCTTAAAAACTCGATGGAAGCAATTAAGAATGATGAGGATGATGAAGAGATCTTGGAGAAATTTCACTTTTTGCACAGTCTTGTTGATTACTACAGAGCCTAAATATAGCTTTCCCATTTTTGCGTCGCGAGAAAAATACCATAATACAGAAAAAAAACTTATGATCATTTTGACTTAATTTTCTTTCATATTGATGATTGGATAATTTGAAAAGTATGAGCGTCTTGCAGTTTCCAGTGTTCCTGTAAAAGGAATCCATTAGCCCAGAAATATTTGTTATGAAACGACCACAATGTTATAAACACAATTCCCAAGACCACTTTAAAAAAGAAAATGCTTCATTTCAGTCGAAATCAGGTCAAAAAAAGTGAAAATATAATGAGAACTCTTTTCTTGCTTGTTTCAATTTCAAATGCGTACGTTACCCTTTTCAATAAAAAACGGACACGGAAAGGAGCGGAATTCGCATGTGCGAGAAAGGGGGGCAAACTTGCTTCAAAAGAAGATTTAGATTTCTTGTGGCAAAAACTTTCCGAGGATAAAATTTCTCCGGCTACGATTTGGATGGGTACGTGAAAATTCTAGAGAGAGAGGGGCAATAGATCAATTTTAGATACTGGGGATGAAAACTGCGCGAAGATGGACCTGAAACTCTGAAAGGGCAGCTTCGAGGATTGCGGGGAATTTCTTGAGTTTGGCTGTCGATTTCCCAGACCGCCGACTCCGCCTCGTTTAGGACCTCTTTCTCTGCCGAAAAAGCTCGTCGCGAAGGCCGTCGTCAAGCAACTTCTCCCTTCAAAACGACCGCGGCCGCCAGTTTTCGGAAGACCAGCAATTCGAAGACCGATTGTCATCGGATAAATTTATTTTCTTGGGAAGAGTTCATATTCATGTCCAACAATAAAATCGTCCGCGGGGTTCTCTACTTCTGCAGTTACAAAGCTCACTTTTGCCCTCTCCTTCGTCACGTGAACGGAGGTGAAGCCGCTGTTCATGTGTCTCGTAGACCAGTAGTACTTGCAAATTGCCTGGCCGTTGTCGTTTCCGGAATTTTCCCAGCGCTCGTGACAGCCAGATCGGGGGCTTGGACCGGCTTGGAGGATTTCAAAGATGACTGCTTCTACGTCTTTCTGGTGTTTTTGAGATAAACTTTGAATTTAACCACTAGAAGTACAACACAGTCCTAACAGTGCTCCAGCGCCAGTAGTTATGTAATGAACAGTACCTTGAAAAATAATTTTCATTCAGAAAGAAAAGCTTTCTCTACCTTCATTTTCCTCGCCGCTTTCTGGAAAAAGCTTTGGCGATCTGATTGCGTGTTCATGGGTATGCTTGTGTCCCTGGAAGAATGCATTGACGCGGTATTTCTCGAAAAGAGGGTCGAGGCGGCGGAATAGCTCGTAGTCGTAAATTCCGCCAGTATCAACAATTTGGTAATGGCCGGCAACGAAGAGGTAATCCGCGTGCTCAGATTTTACGAGTTCTTCTTCGATCCATTCAAACGCCCAGGCAGAGATTTCCGGGAAGAGTGGGTTGAGGCGTTTTAGTGGGCAATCGAGATTGTAGAAGTTTGAACACCTGAAGATATTTTCAGAGATATACATTGAAAGTTTTTTAGGTCAATTCAATCAAAATTTTGAAAAAAATTTATGTCAATTTTCTTGATAAAAGTGACATCTTATGGTTACCGAAATTTGCGAAAAAAGACTTTCTAGATTTTCAAAGAAAGTATACCTTGGGTCATCTCTATCCGGAAGTGGAGGTTCTCCGCTGTAGACCCCCGTCAGCGTCGGAGTATCAATCACGATTGTCTTAACAATTGTTCCATCGCCAGTTGTATATTCCGTCGTGAAAAACAAATCCGGATGAGTCCATCGGCCGGTTCCATGAGCCGAGTACTCAATTTGCGCCCAGCCATTTCCAAGTCGATCTCCTTCGGTATCTTCCGGGAGTTTGTCCCAATCGTGATTCCCCATTGCTGGGTACCAAGGAACCATCATTTCTGCCGAGTCATAGACATTTTCGAACGTTCTTTCCCAGCGTCTGTCTTGGACGGATTCGATTCCGTTGAAATAGAAATGATCGCCGATGGAGACGACGTATTCTGGTTTGTAGAGTTTTGCGTATTTCATCAACGCAACGGCCCCAGAAACTTGAAGCGGGGATGTGTAAAGCGGAGCTGGTCGGCCTCCCCAATCGCCAAGAACGACGAAATGGTAGTCATCAGTAGAGAGGGTTTTGTTGATCTGGAAAGTGTCTCGTTGTAGTCCTCTTGAGTCAGTATAACTTCCTTTGAAAGGAAAAGATCAATTCAGATACAGACTTGTCAGACTACCTGTTGGAGAAATTACCTCAGCAGAAGCAAGACATGCTATCACGTTACTCAAAACTCTCATTTTCAAAAATACAAGGGTAAACTTGATCAGAACTCATCAGCATGAGAAACGACAGATTGTTGATTATCGTGACGCCGGAATCTTCTCGCGAGTAAATTCTCGCTTCAAATTTGAGAAAACACTTTCTCTAACGGTTAGAGTCTAACCGAATGTTTCGACTGTTTCGTAATAAATCAACATAAATTCGAAAATTAATTTCAACAGCCTTTATTCAGAATAATAAGATGACGCAGAAATTGAATAATTGTTTATTTAATTAACTTTATTCAAAACCCCCCTTCACGGGAAAGCATATGTAAATGTCTCATTTTATAAATGCTTTTACAAGATTTCACTCTCTTCTTGCGTTCTTGAATCATTTTATCAATTAACTATATTTTTGCAAATTTTATCATTCCACTATTCAAAAATCATTTCAAAAATAAAGGTTTTTTCTCGACTGAGCTCGAAATGTGATCTTCTGCGTATTTATTTCCAAAGGAATCTGATAAAAATCTGCTTCAAAAGAACGCTGCATCTGGCCTAGGTTCATTCCAAAAAACAAACCATCTGTTCGCAAATCTATATTTTTAATCTTGATCGTCCGCAAAAATGAAAATCTTCGGCGATTTTCCTCAGGAAAAAGAAACTCCTTCTTGGGGTCAATTCCCTTTACAGTGGACGTGTTGATTCTTTTTCCTGAAAAATAAAGTCGTTACTCAATTCCCCAGAAAATGCGGTAACGTTAAACGTCGAGCACTTTGTACGTGTTTTGCCCGAAGCGGCGCATGATCACGTCTCCCGTTCACATAAAACCAACCGCGCATGATGCTCGTTTCATAACTCCGACTTTCTTCATAAGATAATTATGAAGTTGTCCGCTTTCGTTTTTTCGACCGTGTTTGCTGGCGAAGATGCTCCAGGAATCAACGTTCCTTTTGAAGTAGAGATTTTGGGTGGCAAAAATTGCCCAATTACTCAAGGTAAGGGAAAGAACTGAGAATATTTTATTTAAAATTCTGCTTTCAGAAGTTTTTCATAAAATTTTTTTTTTTCTCAAGATTTTTTTTGGGTCAAAATCATCATTTAATTTCTCATCCTTTAGGTACTGCTCTCGTCGCGAAATTCGTCACGGAAGTCTTCGTCCACAACACTGTCATCACCATTCCTGTCGACGGAGAAGCCAAAGACTACAAAGACTACGAAGTCAGCCTCGACCATCCCGACCTCAAAAAGCCTGTCCGCTGCGGATCGAAATACTCCGCGAAATACATCAAGAAGCAGGATGACAACACGATTGAGTTTTACTGCAAAGGTGTTGGGAAAACCAAAAAGTTGGGAAGACTAGCCGATGAAGCTAAAGTTTACATCAAGAAGAACAAAGTGGGAAAATGCGTCGATTTCAGTGGCGTTGAATTCCACACCGTCCAAGAAGACCTTCAAGTCTGGTCGGATTGGTCTGACTGGGGCGAGTGCTACGATGACTCTTACAACCGAACCCGAACCTGTGAAGGGCCATTTTGCGAAGTCGAAGTCGAGTACGAAACGAGAGAAGAGCCCTGCTTGATTTGCGAAGCTGGTTACGAAGCAAATGAAGACGATACCGAGTGCGTTGATGTCGATGAATGCGAAAGGGGAGATGCCTGCCCGATGAACTCAATTTGCACGAATGAGGAAGGAAGTCACTCTTGCCAGTGTGAGGATGGCCTGTTTGGAGATGATTACAACTTCTGCATTGAACGAAGAGCCTGTCATCCTGAAGGTGCTGGAGATTGCAACTGCGAGGTAAAGATCATTACTACAGTTCTAACTTGAGAAAATTTTCCTATGGAAAAGGATTTCCAAAATATAAAACTAAGCATATTTTATTGAACACGAACATGGTTGCAGTACAAATAAGGATTTACGTTATTCATTTTAATTTTTCTTGAGTTCATCCGCTGGAAAACCAATTATTTTTTGAAAGAGAGAAATTCTGTGATATTTCTATGAAAAGCTTAACAAAAGCTTTGTATCTTTTTGTCAGTCATTTTGATTTCTTATGATATTCGCTGGAACATTGGCGCTTTTAAACCCTTTTAAATTTTACGGTCAAAGATTTATTGATTGTGTTTGCCTGAAACTGTCTCTGGAGTCCGCTACCACCTGCTGGGCCAGTAAAATCGTTAAAATCGTTTCTGAATAATCAAAAATTTTCAGCTTCTTGATGTGGCAAATGCTACTTTCATCACAAACACTTGGAACTCCACCGACTCAAACTGCTTCTACGAGTTTTCCGTCCAACTTCCCGACATCCCCGTCAATTCTTGGAAAGTAAACATCGACTGGTCTTCCCCAGTTTCGATTCATGGTCTTTGGCGAGCAAGAACTGACGCAGCAGAGGCTTCAAGCCACGAGCTCCAAGCTGCGTATTTCAATGTCGACGATTTGATGGATTTCACGATTCAAGTTCAATCAGAAGAAAGCTGCTCAGCGGTAAATCCGATTGAAAATCTTTCGCTATGCACGGAAGCGGCAGAAGAATCAGATCGATCTGACTACACGACCTTCAAAATGACGACACAGACAAGTAAGTTCAGTTCGATGCCATCTGGTTTATATTTTTTAAGTTGTTGGAGAGCCCTTAACATTTGCCACGACAACCAAAACGCCACTCAATCTTTCGGAAGAGTCATGTGACCTCGTTTCCTTTAATCCTACAAATGTTTGGTCCGAAGGAGAAATAATGGCCGGACAATATAAGGACAGGGTCGTTAAATTGCATGAATAAAGTATTAAAAGATGACAATTTTCAGTTTCATTTTTTAAAAAAATTGAAACGACCCGGGAAAAGATCAGCTTCGAGTTGGAAACTAGCGCTTACGAATGGAGAATCGTCTTGCCTATTCCCGACGACTCTGATGTTTCGCCGTGGACTTCTGTTTACGCTGACGGCTCCCTCACTTCTCATGATTGGAACGCAATTCTTCAACCGGGAGGAAATGATTTCGGAATGATCATCAAATCGAGCGGCTTTGAAGAAAAATATGCAAAATTTTGTTACAAAACTCTTCTTGACTGAAACTCTCATGTGACTGTAAATTAAAGATGAATAAAACATCATGATTCTCGAGAGGAATTTGTTACCTTAGGACGGAAAAAATCCAAATTTAAAAAAAACTTTTTTTTTGGAACTTCAATTTTTTATTGCTACCATCGAATTCTCCATATTTGAAAACCTAGAAAAAAATTATTTGTTTAGACAGGAGGTCTTCTAAATCTTTTCTAACTATCATCTGAAAGAGCAAAAATGCCCTTCAGGAAAAGCTACTTTTAGGAGGGTTGCCGGATTTTTTCTTTTGATTTCTTTGTTGGATCATCAAGAGACAAGTCTAGGGCAGTCGGCAAACCAAAGAAAATAAGAAAGTTTTGATGTCTTCATGTTTAAAATAGGCATTTAAAAACGTGAAATTCGTCAAAAACAACGAGAAACGTGAAAAATCGCTTGACGGTCAATAATCGGCATACTAATGAGCTAAAAAAGTCGAACAAGTCAAAGGGAAGATATTTCGAAATAAATGCCTATCGAAATATATTTATATATATTAATCTTTCAGATCTCCTCTTTCAATAAACACAGATTCGACTACTTCGCTTCTTTTCAATCAAATAAATTATCTAGGCTTCTTCAAAACGCAGCACGACTAATTTTTCAAGAAAATTATTATTTTTGAATGCTTAAAAATAACCATTTATTTTAAAGATGGTCGAAATCTTCGGGCCTCCAGTCTGATTTTTCTCGAGCTGGTTCTAATAGAGTCACTTATCATGTACACAAAATTTCACGCGTTTTGAAGTGCAGCGCGACCATTTTACTATAAATTATTAGATAAGCTTTTATCAGCTCTAGAATCTGATTTTCGAGCCTCCAAGCTAATTCCTCTTGACTGAAGTTTGGTTACTGTTAGGTACCCGCATGCAAAATTTCATACAATTTGAGACGCAGCGCGACCTTTTTGACTTAATTGTATCGAAATTTTAGTAAAATAGCCATTTATAAGTAAGTTTTGGCCCTAGAATCCGAATTTCTAGGGCCTCCGATCTCATTTTTCGAAAGCAAAGTTAACTGAGTGCATTCTATCATATTGCAAAATTTCAATCGATTTGATGCGCAGCGCGACCATTTTTTAAATAAATTTAAAGAAATATGCATTTATTATTTAATTTTGCCCCAGAATCAAAACTTGGAGGGCCTCCAACCCAATTTCTCTCAAGCGAGCTAAAATGGGTGTTTTCTATCTGTCTACAAAATTTCAATCGATTTGAGACGCAGCGCGACTAATTTTCTTCGATAACTTACTTTATAGTGGTTATAATTATTATTTTTGTAAAAAATGGTCGCGCTGCGCATCAAATCGATTGAAATTTTGTAGACAGATAGAAAACACCCATTTTAGCTCGCTTGAGAGAAATTGGGTTGGAGGCCCTCCAAGTTTTGATTCTGGGGCAAAAATTAAATAATAAATGCATATTTCTATAAATTTATTTAAAAAATGGTCGCGCTGCGCATCAAATCGATTGAAATTTTGCAATATGATAGAATGCACTCAGTTAACTTTGCTTTCGAAAAATGAGATCGGAGGCCCTAGAAATTCGGATTCTAGGGCCAAAACTTACTTATAAATGGCTATTTTACTAAAATTTCGATACAATTAAGTCAAAAAGGTCGCGCTGCGTCTCAAATTGTATGAAATTTTGCATGCGGGTACCTAACAGTAACCAAACTTCAGTCAAGAGGAATTAGCTTGGAGGCTCGAAAAATCAGATTCTAGAGCTGATAAAAGCTTATCTAATAATTTATAGTAAAAATGGTCGCGCTGCACTTCAAAACGCGTGAAATTTTGTGTACATGATAAGTGACTCTATTAGAACCAGCTCGAGAAAAATCAGACTGGAGGCCCGAAGATAATATATTATTAATATATATTATAATATATAGATAATATATATTAATAGATATATTAATATATATAAATATATTTCGATAGGCATTTATTTCGAAATATCTTCCCTTTGACTTGTTCGACTTTTTTAGCTCATTAGTATGCCGATTATTGACCGTCAAGCGATTTTTCACGTTTCTCGTTGTTTTTGACGAATTTCACGTTTTTAAATGCCTATTTTAAACATGAAGACATCAAAACTTTCTTATTTTCTTTGGTTTGCCGACTGCCCTAGACTTGTCTCTTGATGATCCAACAAAGAAATCAAAAGAAAAAATCCGGCAACCCTCCTAAAAGTAGCTTTTCCTGAAGGGCATTTTTGCTCTTTCAGATGATAGTTAGAAAAGATTTAGAAGACCTCCTGTCTAAACAAATAATTTTTTTCTAGGTTTTCAAATATGGAGAATTCGATGGTAGCAATAAAAATTGAAGTTCCAAAAAAGTTTTTAAATTTGGATTTTTTCCGTCCTTAGTCGAAGCAGGTCGCCTAGACAAGCAAAATGCACGTAAATTCTCTAGATAAGCCGTTAATAAAACCTAAAAAGCATCACTGATGGCAAAATTTTGATAATTGTCATGATAACAGTGGTCACGATTCCACCTGGACAAAATTTAAGTTTGCTTGTTGCAGAGAATGATTCAATTTTATTTCCTGAAGACAAACACTCAATCCAACCGAAGATAGAGCCGAAAATAGAGCCGAAGATTGAGCCTAATCAAGAAGAATTTCCCGTGAATTCACCCAGCAGTTTAGAGAGAGCATACAGTAGCTATCCTGTGTTCTCCCGACATGTTCAGCTTTCTGACGGTCGAACTTGCTCTCGCGTTTTTCCGCGGCGCTGGAACCCGGTTTGTTGCCTTCTTTGGATGAAAGATTGACAGATTTTTAAGTGGAGAGATCGATCATTCTTCAAGTACACCTGCGATTTATGCCCAATTTTCGGTGACGAGCGAAAGTATAAAAGAAAAGCCGAGCTGACGCGTCACCGAGTCCTGCATTTTCAAGAAGAAGCTCGGAAATTTAAATGCGCTTTTTGTACCTACACTGCTACTCGGTAAATTTTCACGGGTTCGATTTCATCAGATAATGATTTCTTGTTAGAATGGAATATCTGAAGACTCACATGACAAGTCGACATGATTGCATTTTCGAAAAAGGTGCAAGACAGTCAAGAAAAACTCATCACTTTCATTTCCCAACGATCCAAATGCGATAAAAACTGGTAATAAGTAAGTTTTTAACCATATTTTATAGTCGTTTATTTCAGAATCTACATTTTTCGAAGAACAAAATACAGGTTGTTTCTGCGATGATGAGCCTGCTGCACACTGCTGTTTTCTTAACGGAGAATCGTGCTGTTTTTAATTTTATTAATTCAACTCACTGATAATAATAAACTTGAGTATAAAAAGCTGGAGCATAAATTTTTGATGAAAGTCTTCTGAGCAGCAATAAAAGTTGGGCGGAAAGAAAATAATAAAACAGGTCTAACTTAACGACTTGCGCAGCATGTCATAACTTCAGAAGTCTCATAGCTGACAGATAAAGAGAGAGAAAAATGAACATACCAGGTCTTCAAGGTGGCGGCAAGAATCCTCAGTTGAGGAAAGGGCCGGACAACAACAGCTCGGAGGAAAATGCGAAGAAAGAGGGAAATACTTCGAACGCAGCTGGGCAAGCCGTTAACTCCGCTCTTTTCGTCTCCAGCTCGAAATACCTCAGGTATTTGAAGATGAAGATTCTAAGAGTTTATGGTTTTTTAGTGATTTGCTGAAACAACGGGATTTCTGCGAGCGCGAATGTTTCAGTCAGGAATTAAGTTCTTTGAATTGCTCGAAATTCTTGAGCTCAAAATCTCGAAACCCGAATCAATGCATTCAGTCAACTCTCTACATCCCAATGGTCATCGTGATTCGTAAGTTTTCAACGTTAAAGGATGGAAATCTGAGCGGCACGGCACGGCACGGCACAGCGGCATGGTACGGCACGGCACGTGCCGTACCGTGCCGCAGAATAAAATCTGGTGGCGGCACCGCGGCACAGTATAACACTATTTTTACATAAAATTTTTATTATCGGTAAATATAAAGGACATTAATTCCCGTTCTTTGATTTTTGAATTTAAGGGGCTTGACGGCCCTTCGGGCCGTTTCAGCCCCGTTCCTTGATTTTTGAATTTAAGGGGCTTGACGGCCCTTCGGGCCGTTTCAGCCCCGTTCCTTGATTTTTGAATTTAAGGGCTTGACGGCCCTTCGGGCCGTTTCAGCCCCGTACCTTGATTTTTGAATTTAAGGCACCCCATTATCGAATTTCGTGCCTTGCCGTGCCGTACCGTGCCCCGGCACGGGTATTTTGGTTGTGCCGTGCCGTGCCGGTGCCGTTGGAAAATTTTGTCATATTTCCATCCCTGCGTTAAAGCAAGCTCTATCATCAAATTTTAGTATCCTTGGCTCTTCAACTCATCTACGGCCTCATCTCCGTCGGAAAGCAACGAGGAATCCCATGGGTTGGAGATTTTTCCTCGGAAATTCCAGCCGTCGCTCGCCTTGGAAAGAAGTGGCTAAAGGCTGAAATGTGCATTGCTCTGCTTATCAGTATCTCTAGGGTTATCAGATGAAAATTCGACCCATTTTTCTAGCTTTGTTTAGGGGTCTTATGATACAGTTTTAGAAAGCTCAGAAGATAAGCTTTTATTTGGGCACAATTTCAAGTGGTCTGGGTCATGCCCGCAAGGCAATTTATGGCACCGGAAGTTCTGAAATCGGCACTAGAACTCTTCAATCAATCTTTGGAGGCTGGGGTTCACTCGAAATAGCTCGAAATCAGGTGCGTAAGAAAGCTCATCGTCTGAGCTTCCTAAAAAGCCAATAAAATACTGCTGACTCGAAACTTAGTGGCCGCTAGAGGCGCTAGAATAGTAAATTTCGATAGTAAAAATCGATTGAAGAGTTCTGGTGCAGATTTCAGAACTTCCGGTGCCATAAATTGCCTTGCGGGCATGACCCAGACCACTTGAAATTGTGCCCAAATAAAAGCTCAGCTTCTGAGCTCTTTTAAACGGTATCATAAGACCCCTAAACAAAGCTAGAAAAATGGGTCAAATTTTCATCTTATAACCCTAAGTATCTCTAACTTTGCGATTGGTGCTTTCCAACTTTCCTCATAACTCTGCAACATAAATTTTGTGACATAATCTTTGGTAATAAAAGGGTTCACGAGTAAAGCGGAAATAGTCGACTCATTTTGTGCAAGCATCAGTCGTTTGTAGCGAAAATTTCTGCTCTCAGGAGTTTTTGAAACCATGAGCTCAGAGAAGCCAACTATTGATATTCTTACCCTCGGCGACAGTAATTCCTGTAAATCAACGATCGGTCACCTCATCTTCAAATGTGGTGGTATCGATGGCCGAGCTTTTGAGAGAATCAAAAAAGTAAATCTCCATTTAATGCCAAAATTTATTTGCTTTATTCATAGAGAGAAGAAGCAGCAGGTGGAAAAGGATCCATTGACTATGAAACTCTTCTGAGCAAACTCGTTGACGAGGAACAAATTGAGGGCGGCAATAAACATTATTGGAAATTTAAAACGAACAATGTTTAAAAAACATTCATTTATCAGGAGAACAATAATTTTCAGTATGCTGCCAATATCATTGATACTTGCGAACCTGATGATATCAAAAAAATGATGAGAGTTGCTACAAGCAAGGTCGATTGTGCCCTCCTTATCCTTTCTGCTAGGGAAGTTGAAGCCAGTTTCTCAAAGCACGGTCAGATTCGAGAGGATGCTCGTCTTGTTAGTCTTCTTGGCATTGACTTTATCGTTTGTGTTGATGACATGGAGTCAATATTAAAGTAAGTTCTTTTTTCTTATTCTCAAATATTTAACCATCTGTAAAAAAGCGAGAATCGATTCAATTATATCACCGTTAAAATTTCCGAATATCTCAAGCAGATCAGCATCGACCCTGAAGCCGTTCCCTTTATCCCGATCTCGGCATTGCACGGTGACAACATCGTTGAGCCTTCAACCAACATGGCCTGGTACAACGGATGGAATAAGAAAATAGAAGAAGGCAGGTTCTCCGGAAAGACGCTGGTTGAAGCGCTAGACGCGATTATCAATCCAAAACGAGTATCTCTCGATACTCTCACAGAATCACTTCGTAAGCCACTGCGACTTCCTGTCAATCAAGTTTTTCATTTCAATGGTGAATATCATATAACTGGTCGAGTCGAGACAGGTGTCATCAGGGTTGGAATGGACGTCTCCTTCTCTCCCCTCAAGCTCAAAGGAGAAGTTGAGTCGATAAGCTTGATAAATTTGGGCGTGTCGAAGTTTTCCAGACAGGTTTCTGAAGCTTCTATCGGTGACACAGTTGGATTCACTCTCAAAGATACAAAGATAAGAAAATCAACGAAGCCTTCAGAAGGTTCCATCTCCATCGATGAAATAAAAAGAGGAACCGTTGTCTCTGACCCCAAGAACGACCCTGCCAAGGAGGCGAAGACTTTTAAAGCTGAAATAACAGTTTTGAACCACCCAACTCGTATCACTGGCGGCTACTCCCCGAGATTAAAATGTAACAATCGGTCCTTTCCTTGCCAGGTAACGATCCCCTCGAACGATTCCCTCATCGAAATTTTTAGTTTACAAAACTCCTGGCAAAAATAGATAGAAGGTCTAATAAATCGCTTGAGGACTCTCCTGAGTTTCTTAAAAATGGTGATACTGCTCTTGTCCAGATTACTCCAACGGAGCCAGTTTCTGTTGAGCCTTTTAAGGACTACCCAGTCTTAGGAAAATTTACCGTTGTAGACATGAAACAGACCGTCGGTGTCGGTGTCATCATGGAGGTTGAAAAATATGAGGTAAATATTTTACATTGTAAAATTTACAAGACAAAGTTTTCAATTGTCCAAATGATTTTAAGGAAAACGACAATGATTTCAAGCCGGCTAAAATAAAATATGAAAAATGAGATGTGAATTGAGATGTGCACCGCTGATGTAAACCAACTTTCATCTGAAAATCCTCTTGAATTTGCTTAATAAAAATGCATCAATTCAAATAAAAATATTTTTTGTGAACGTGAGTGCTTCAGTCAGAATCGCAGCTCTCTAAATTGCTCGAAATTCTTGAGCTCGAAGTCGCGTTACCCAAACCAATGCATCAGATCTATTCTCTACATTCCGTTGGCAGTAGTTTTTTGTAAGTGTTCTTTTTCGTAAAAGTTTTATCCAGGGCTGGATAATTTGAAATCAACACAAATCTCAACACCCATATTTCGGGAATTTGGCCATCCTGATTGGTCAATAGGGCCTTTTCGGGTGTTGAGATTTGTGTTGATTTCAAATTATCCAGCCCTGGTTTTATCACAAAGTCAATAGTGTCATTTGATCTGCAGCTAGTCTACGGGCTCATATCTGTCGGAAAACAACGAGGAATTCCATTGGTTGGAGATTTCTCCTCGAAAATCCCAGCTGTAGCAAAGCTTAGAAAAAGTGGCTCAAGGCTGAGATGTGCATCGCTTTGCTTCTTAGTATTTCTAATTTTGCGATTCGTGCTTTCCAACTTTCATCATAACTCTGCAACATAAAATTCGTGGCGCAATCTTTGGTAATAAAAGGGTTGAAAAGCAAACCGGAAATAGTCGACTCATTTTGTCCAAGCATTTATTTTCGTAGCGAATTTGTGCTCTGAGGAATTTTTGAAGCCATGAGCTTAGAGACAAAGTGGAGTGTGCCAGAGAAGCCAACTTTTGATATCCTGGCGTTTGGGCACAGTAATTCATGTAAATCAACTATCGGTCACCTCATTTACGAATGTGGTGGTATAGATGGCCGAGCTTTTGAGAGAGTCAAAAATGTAAATCTCCATTTAATGTTCAATTTATTCGCTTTATTCATAGAGGGAAAAAGCAGCAGAGAAAAAGGGATCTGTTGACTATGCAAAGCTCCTCGACAAACTGATTGTCGAGAAAGGAAATACTATGAGCGGAAATAAAGATATTTGGAAATTTCAGACGAACACGGTTCAATTAACATTCATATATCAGCAAACTTATATGCTTTAGTATGATCTCAATATCATTGACGCCTCCGACGAGCATGATAACATCGAAAAAATGATCCTTGGCGCTAGCAAGATCCAATGTGCTCTCCTTATCCTTTCTGCTAAGACCGAGGAATACGAAGCAAGTTTCTCAAAGGACGGTCGGATTCGAGAACACTTTCGTCTTGTCAGTTATCTTCTCAATGGCATCGACTTTATCGTTTGTGTTGACGACATGGAATCTTCTTCAAATTCGTTATATAGGTAACCTTTTTTTATTATTTTCAAATATCCATCCATCTGTGAATAAGCGAGAAAAAATTCAACGAAATCACCGCGGAAATTTGCAAATATTTCGAGCAGATCGACATCGACCCTGAAGCTGTTCCCTTTATCCCTATCTCATCATTGCACGGTGACAACATCGTTGAGCCTTCAGCAAACATGACCTGGTTCAAAGGATGGAATAAGAAGGTCGAAGAAGGCACGTTCTCCGGAAAAACGCTGATTGAAGCGCTAGACAGGATTATCCATCCCAAACGAGTAGCTCCCCTTACAACTATAAAATCACTTCCAAAGCCACTACGACTTCCTGTTTATAACGTTTTGTATCACAACGGTCAATATCTTATTCTCGGTCGAGTCGAGACAGGTGTTATCAGGGTTGGTATGGACGTTTCCTTCTGTCCCCTCAAGCTCAAAGGAGAAGTTAAATCGATACACTTGATTAATTGGGGTTCTTGGCCCGAGTCGATGTCTTCTAGACAGGTTTCTGAAGCCTCCATCGGTGACACTGTTGGATTCACCCTCAAAGATACTCTTGTTAGAGTATCAATGAAGCCTTCAGAAGGTTTCGTCTCCATCAAAGAAATTCAAAGAGGCAGCGTTGTCTCTGACTCCAATTACCCTGCCAAGGAGGCGAAAATTTTTAAAGCTGAAGTTCTAATCACAAATCACCCAACTCGTATCACTCGCGGCTTCTCTCCTAGATTACAATGTTTCAATCAGTACATTACTTGCGAGGTAACGATTCCTTTGTTCGATTCTTTCATTGAAATTTTAGTTCACAAAACTCATAGCGAAAAAAGATAAAAGGTCAGATAAATCGCTTGAGAACTATCCTGAAATGCTACGAAGCGGTGATTTTGCTCTTGTCGAGATTACTCCAACTGAGCCAGTTTGTGTTGAGCCCTTCAAGGATTATCCAGGCTTAGGAAGATTCGCCATTACAGATATAGTTATGAAACAGACCGTTGGCGTCGGTGTCATCATGGAGGTTGAAAAATATGAAGAAAAGGAAACCGACAATGACTACAAGTCGGAAAAAATAAAGAATGAAAAATGAGATGTAAATCGAGATGCGACCGCTTTGCTCTTCATAATTTCAAACTAAAAATATAACTTGTGGTAATCTTTGTTAACCAACTTTCATCTGAAAATCCTCTTGAGTTTGCTCAATTAAAATGCATCAATTCTAATAAAAGTCTTCTTTGATAATAAAGCAATTAAATTCTCGGGAAGAAATCTCAAGAAAAGAAGAATAAGGATATTAAAATTGGATTTTTACGACTGGCAAAAGATTTGATTTTCACTTTGAACTACCCAAGGAAGAGATAATGAGCATAGCAGGGAAGAGCGCTTTGTTGAGCAAAGATTCAAAAAACCTTGAAGAAATCGCAAAGAGGGAAGGAGTCACTTCCAGAGCAGCTGGGCAAGCCGTCAACTCTGCTCTTTTCGTCTCTAGCTCAAAATATCTCAGGTCTCGAAAAATTTTTTTAGTTCTATTAACATTTACATTAGTAACACATTTCCTAAATGTCATTTAGTGATCTCTTAAAACAGCGGGATTTTTGCGAGCGTGAGTGCTTTAGCCAGAATCGCAGCTCTCTCGATTGCTCGAAATTCTTGAGCTCAAAGTCGCGCAACCCGAACCAATGCATCGAATCTATTCTCTACATTCCGTTGGCAATCGTTGTTTGTAAGAATTTTATTCCAAAAAAGTTAAACAATAAAGTCAATAGTGTCATTGATTCTGCAGCTAGTCTACGGGCTCATCTCGGTCGGAAAACAACGAGGAATTCCATTGGTCGGGGATTTCTCCTCGAAAATCCCAGCTGTAGCTAAGCTCGGGAAAAAGTGGCTGAAGGCTGAGATGTGCATCACTCTGCTTATCAGCATTTTTAACTTTGCGATTGGTGCTTTTCAACTTTCGTCTTAAAACGCTGACTGAAAAGTTCACAATACAAAAAAAAAATAAAAATATCAAAAATAAGTCTCAATCTTTCTGTCGTTTTCGCCATTTCAAAGAGTTCCATGATTCAAGTTGCAGTGAATTATTCAGCATTATTTGGGTTGACGTTGAGATAAAAGTAACAAAGGTGGCGCTAGAGAGTAACCCCCAAAAATCATATGCAACTTTTATTTATTTCGAAAAAAGGTTTTTATCAAAAGAGAGAATAGAGTCTAAAATAGATAATCAGATAAGAAAATGTGCATAAAAGCAAGAGCGGTCAGGTAAAGCACGTCCCTTAGGAATCCATTACTGTCAAATTACCCGTAATATCGTATAAACCGAGTCTTCTGGTGGAATATTCATAATGCAATATGCCTGCATCTCCCCAATTCAGAGAGAAAGAAGGATGGAAATCGTCTTGATATTTTAAAAATTCTAACATGCCGATTAGGAGAAGCGACATACATGGAGAACCACTGGATCATTTCAAGACTTTTTCAGACAAAAAAGGTCTTTTTGCATGGTAAGTGAAAATTTTTGAAAATTATCTATGTTGAGTTTTCAGTCGACTTTTTACGATAAAACCCTTTTTTGGGGATCAAATTTTAACGGTACTAGCAATTTGATCTTCTTAATATTCATCGAGAGCGAAACTAAGAACGGCGGAAAATTCATTTCCATTCATCTTGAAAAGAGCTCTTAGTGTGTCAAATGAAGACTTGATCTTTGAAGAAGCTCATCTTCTAAATGCCCTGTAAAAGCCCCGTTCTAGTAAGCCAGAGAGGCACGATACTCCTTCGTCCGTTTGTGTTCCACTTGAGACACTTTTGCATTTTCAATTTCGTCAAGTAGACAGATCGCATTCTTTAAAATTCGCTTTTAGGTGTGGACTTTGCTTTTTGGTTTCCTTCATTTTTCTGATCTACAAAATATTCGATCGTGTGGCACAATCGTCCCAGCCAACGACAAAACTGTACTCTTCCTGCGATAATTTCCCTCCCTAAGCCACTACGACTTCCTGTCAATGACTTTTTGTATCTCAATGGTCAATTACATATAACTGGTCGAGTGGAGACAGGTGTCATCAGGGTTGGTATGGAAGTGTCCTTCTCTCCCCTCAAGCTCAATGGAGAAGTTAAATCGATAAAATTGATAAATTGGGGCTCTTGGCCCGAGCCAATGTCTTCCAGACAGGTTTCTGAAGCCTCTATCGGTGACATTGTTGGATTCACCCTCAAAGATACAGAGATGAGAGTATCAACGAAGCCTTCAGAAGGTTTCGTCTCCATCAAGGAAATTCAAAGCGGTAACATTGTATCTGACTCCAACTACCCTGCCAAGGAGGCGAAGACTTTTAGAGCTGAAATTACGGTCTTCAACCACCCATCTCGTATCACTAGCGGCTACTCCCCAAGATTACAATGTAACAATCAGAACATAACATGCAAGGTAACCATCCCGTCGTACGATTCTTTCATCACAAGTTTAAGTTCACAAAACTCATAGCGAAAATAGACAAAAAGGTCAAAAAATCGCTTGAGGACTCTCCTGAGATGTTACGAAACGGTGATACTGCTCTTGTCCAGATTGTTCCAACTGAGCCAGTTTGTGTTGAGCCCTTTAAGGATTATCCAGGCTTAGGAAGATTCGCCGTCATAGATATGAAACAGACCGTCGCTGTCGGTGTCATCACGGAGGTTGAAAGATATGAAGTAAGTTCTTACAAGAGAAAGTTTTCAATTGCTCAAATGATTTTTTAAGGAAACCAACAATGACTTCAAGCCAGATAGAATAAAATATGAAAAATGAGATGTAAATTGATACTTGCATCGCTTTGCTCTTCATTCTGAACTTCCATCTGAAAATCTTTTTGAATTTTGCCTTAAAAAAGGCATCCATTATAATAAAAGTCTTCTTTGATCATAAACCAATAAAATTACCAGGAAGAATTCTCAAGAAACGTTAGCATATTAGAATTAGACTTTTACGACTAAGCATAGACTTGATTTTCACTTTGAACCCCGTAAGGAAGAGAGAATGAGCATACCAGGCAAGAGCGATTTGTTGAGCAAGGAGTCGAAAAACCTAGAAGAAATCGCAAAGAGGGAAGGAATTACTTCCAGAGCGGCTGGGCAAGCCGTCAACTCTGCTCTTTTCGTCTCCAGCTCAAAATATCTCAGGTCTCGAGATATCGGTTTTAGTTCTATTACACATTTAGTGATCTATTGAAACAGCGGGATTTTTGCGAACGGGAGTGCTTTAGCCAGAATCGAAGCTCTCTCGATTGCTCGAAATTCTTGAGCTCGAAGTCGCGTAACCCGAACCAATGCATCAGATCTATTCTCTACATTCCGTTGGTGATCGTTATTTGTAAGTTTTGTATTTCCAAAAAGTACTATTACAATAGTGTCATTGGTTCTACAGCTTCTCTACGGGCTCATATCTGTTGGAAAACAACGAGGAATTCCACTCGTCGGGGATTTCTCCTCGAAAATCCCAGCTGTAGCAAAGCTTGGAAAAAAGTGGCTCAAGGCTGAGATGTGCATCACTCTGCTTATCAGTATTTTGAACTTTGCAATTGGTGCTTTTCAACTATCATCTTAAAAATCTGACTGACAAGTTCACAGAGCAAGAAAAATTATAAATTATCAAAAATAAGTCGCAAACGTTAGTTTTCGCCATTTCAAAGAACTCCATGATTCAAGTTGCAGTAAATTATTCAGCATTATTTGGGTTGACGTTGAGATAAAAGTAACAAAGGTGGCGCTAGAGAGTAACCCCCAAAAATCATATGCAACTTTTATTTATTTCGAAAAAAGGTTTTTATCAAAAAAGAAAAGAGAGTCTAAAAGAGATTATCAGATAAGAAAATGTGCATAAAAGCAAGAGCGGTCAGGTAAAGCACGTCCCTTAGGAATCCATTACTGTCAAATTACCCGTAATATCGTATAAACCGAGTCTTCTGGTGGAATATTCATAATGCGATATGCCTGCATCTCCCCAATTCAGAGAGAAAGAAGGATGGAAATCATCTTTATATTTTTAAAATTCTAACATGCCGATTAGGAGAAGTGACATACATGGAGAACCGCTGGATCATTTCAAGACTTTTTCAGACAAAAAAGGTCTTTTTGCATGGTAAGTGGGCCTTTTTGAAAATTATCTATGTTGATTTTCAGTCGACTTTTTACGATAAAACCCTTTTTTGGGATCAAATTTTAACGGTACTAGCAATTTGATCTTCTTAATATTCATCGAGAGCGAAACTAAGAACGGCGGAAAATGCATTTCCATTCATCTTGAAAAGAGCTCTTAGTGCGTCAAATGAACACTTGATCTTTGAAGAAGCTCATCTTCTAAATGCCCTGTAAAAGCCCCGTTCAAGTAAGCCAGAAAGGCACGATACTCCTTCGTCCGTTTGTGTTCCACTTGAGACACTTTTGCATTTTCAATTTTGTCAAGTAGACAGATCGCGTTCTTTAAAATTCGCTTTTAGGTGTGGACTTTGCTTTTTGGTTTCCTTCATTTTTCTGATCTACAAAATATTTGATCGTGTGGCACAATCGTCCCAGCCGACGACCAAACTGTACTCTTCCTGCGATAATTTGATCTATAATGAGACCGCTAATCATTCAAGGTAATTAGTATGTGCTCTTATTTGACCTCAAGAGATTAAAAAAATGACTCAAAGAGGCGAAATCAAGGAGGATATGCATGAGTTCACCAAAATATTTTAGCGCGGGTCACTCAGTAAAAGGCCGGTCCAACTGTAACTCACAACTTCTGCACTCTTCTGAAAGAAGGAATCCCTATGGAACATCGAATTATTACTACGTCAGTGATTACTCAACCCCGACAGCCTCAAGGAAAGCGGCTTAACTTGTAAATTCTTTCATTTTTTTCTGGCAAGATCATTTTTGACCGATAAAAGACCTCACCACTCGAGGCAAGGCTCTTCTGGAAAGTTCTCACTAGCAGATACAACCGGTCTTCTGGTGGCAAAAGTGGGCACTACAAGATCAATTGTACAGTCAACCGTCGAGTACCCACGAAGTTCGATACCATTGGAGTTCAAGAAAAAACCCGTTATGTCACGGGTCCGCTCTTTTCCGGAAATTACCGAAATTGTCCTTGGTCTAATTCTTGAGATCTATTTTGGTCCATTAAAAATTAAAGCGACAACAAACATGATTTGAGCTAACCTTTCGAAACTTTGAATTAATTATTTTTCGAGAGAGATCCATGAAAAGACAACAATGCAGTGATCAAGTCAACAAATCAACTTTCAAGGAGATTCAAGTTGAAGCTTCCTGAAAAAAAAAAACATGAACAAAACTCAACCAAAAGTAATTCTTCCACAATTTTTCTCGATTTCTGTACAAAATGTAAAATTTATTGGGTCCTTGGCTTTATTGAATTTTTTGAATAAAACATAACTGTACATAATTTTTCTTCACTTTTGAACTCTTCATTCTCGCTCATAGATAAAAGGGAATTTTTCGCCAGCCTTCCAAGCCGAATATCCGGGCACCCAGGACGGTAGAGTGTTGAACTTGTTTTTGTACTTACTCGCCGCTTGCCAGACGAACATGTTTATAATCGGCCTTGGCGACCAATCGCTAATCATTCTTTTCCCGGACTAGAAGAAATCAATCATTCATAACTTTTGACGCAGGTCTAGCCCCGTTCCTTCTGCTAGTAACTCCGCACAGTGCGTCAAACATCTGAGTTTTAAGAGCGTCCAAGGTCGATTGGTCAATGGCTGTAAATACATTCTGAGTATTTCCAGCGGCGATGTCTTCTAGAGTACTTGACTAAAAATAATTGAATTGATCAATATGAAATTGTTTTTTCTTTCAAACCGAGACGAAACCACTTGGATCGTAGCCAACAGCGAGAGTTGTTATTCCAGAGGCGCTGATTGCGCCCGCCGATGATTGCAACGCTAGAAATCTTAATTTTAGGTCTTGGTTTAGAATTATCACCCGCAAGATCTCCATCCCAGCCATCAGTAATAACAATCATTGCGTCTGGAACCGCATCATTCGTGTCCAGTTGTTGTGCGCCAAGAGTCATTCCGCCGCCTATAGCAGTAGTTTGTTCGTACCAATCCAAGTTGTTATCGTAGGCATTCATTATTGCACTGTTCGTATTAAAACTTGCGGGGCCTGAAAGAATCATTTATTCAAGACTTCTCTATCGACTCTTTTTTAGACCAGTTTTCCCCATTCCATCATTTTTAATTATTCTCCGTACCTAATGATACGCTGAGTTGATTGTTTCGGCTGTCACCGACGTCGACGATGGAGAATTTAACTGCGGTTTGCGTGTCGAAATTATCAACAAGATACTTGAATGCGCATTTACGATCACTGAAAAAAACATTACTAACCTGAATCAGCTCCCGAATTCCAGCTTCCTCGGAGACTCGAGAACCAGAAGTGTCGATGACGATGGAAATGTCCAAACGGTTGTTGGTTAGAACACAGACTCGATCACAATGCTCTCCCTTGAAATATTGCTGACTAAAAGAACGAGAAAAAATGGCTGTGAACCTGAAAACCAGGAGGGCAGATGCAATCGTAAGTGTTTCCATCAGCGATACAATCACCTGCGTTGCATGGGTCTGGGCTGACAGGGCATGGATCGGGAGTTGTTGTGGTCGTCGTTGTTGTTGTTGTTGTTGTAGTCGTTGTTGTTGTTGTTGTCGTTGTTGTTGTTGTTGTTGTCGTTGTGGTTGTTGTTGTTGTGGTGGTGGTGGTGGTTGTTGTCGTCGTCGTAGTCGTCGTAGTCGTTGTTGTCGTAGTAGTAGTAGTAGTAGTAGTAGTAGTAGTAGTAGTAGTAGTGGTGGTAGTTGTTGTCGTTGTAGTCGTTGTGGTGGTTGTTGTAGTTGTAGTGGTTGTGGTTGTTGTCGGTCTTTATCATGTTTCAAAATTGCAAAATCAAATATACAATAATAAAATAATTGAGACAATTTTCTGCATTCGACGATATTCATATCTGGAAAATTTCCACAATGAGTGCCGTACCAGCATGGGTCACAAACACATTCATAGCTCCCTGGCGATACTGAATAAAAAGAATTAAAGCCAGCTGATGAGAGTTAGCAAACCAGTTGAAGATGTGTCTAGACATGATCCATGATCACCGCAAGGATCTGGTTGGCAAGATGACCATTCACACAGCGAGCCACTGTATCCTGCGAGACAGTCACAGACCGTACCCGTCTCTGTCGTCACGCATGTCCCGCCATTTTCACATGGGCTTATAATATGTCAACTTGAATAATAATGCGTATTTTATGTTACCATGGAGGCTCAGTCGGGGGAACTGTAGGAGCGCAGCCGCCAAGGCCAACTAAGGTTTCCCCGCAGCACTCATTTGTCGATGTTGAAAAAACCTTTCCATTACAACAGGATCTTGCGCCGGAATCGGAGAAGTAAGGGTATCGCTTCGGATAAGTTCCGCAGCAATTATCGGCAGCACCTCTTTTGAAAAAATAATATGCTGATTTACGTTAACAAGTAACCTGGCAAAAGGATTCGCGTGACACTGCTCGGCGGGGTTCCAACCATACGAGTTCACATAATAGTTGTTCATTTCATGGAGCGAGAAAATGAGTGAGTTAACGAAATCGACATCACATTGACATGTGTTATCAACGCACTCGTTGCCAGTTGATTGACAAACAAATTTCTTGCCAGTAATGTCATAGTGCGCTTGGTAGACTTGGGAAGACGGGTCACATGTCCCCTCCGTGTCTGAATAGATAATTTGATGATTTGATTAAACAGTTTAATTTGAATGAAATTTCTTATTAATTTTTTGTCAGCAAAAATATCCCCTACCCATTGTGATGCATTTATGGCACCTCTTCCTATTCTGGCATTTTCTATCAATGTTATCCACCGGTGGCCCCTTGTGATATTGATACAGATCCGGGTTCTCCAGCTGACACCAGCATCCGTAGTTCAATATTTCATCGACGCTGTATTGAACCAGATTGTTCATTGAAAAATGATACTCTAGCATTGACTCGATCATGTTAAGATTGGACGATATCGAGTTTGAGCTGCTAAACACACTTCCGGGGTTGTATGAGTTTTGAGATAGGAAGTTGTTGCTGCTTGAAGAGGAGCCAGAGGAGTACATATTGGATGGACTTGATGGCTGATTAAAGGGTTAGATAATAAACTTTAGATAAAAATTATGTTGAAAATTTAACCCAATCTGAGCTGGCTGAGAAGGAGACCCAAAACTCGGACCATACTGCGACACCTGACTGGATCCAGATCCCGAACTCGTCGTTGGAGAATACTGTGTCCCCTGATGCTGTGAACTCTGATGCGAGCTAGTTATGCTCATACTCGGATAATTCTGATTTCCTCCTTGATTATTGGGCCCGTAAAGTGCCTTATTTCCAAATCTTGCACTAAATTTCGGATTTTCTCCAAGAGCGATGAAACTATTTGACACCGGATCAGCTGTTATTTCTTCTCTACTGTGTGGCAACGTTTTGATACTGTACATTTCCTCTAGATTTTTATTTATCTCTTGAGCTCTTGAAAATCCGGAAAGAAGAACGATGACGGTAGAAAACCTCATCTTGCCTTCTTTTTTATAAAACCGTTATTTAACAAAAAGAGATTTAGAAAGAAAAAAATGCAGCTCTATGCATTCGCAAAAATAACGCTCCAAATCATTGACTTTTGCCAAAATTCATATAATGTGAGAGTTCCAATGAAAATCGATCTGTTACGCGGAATACAACGGAATTTAAATGCCTCGCCACGATTTTCACGGTTTTCGTTGTTTTAACTCCAAAATGAACTTTATTCAAAATCAATTTGATTTGATTTTTGAATGCCGAAAGTGTTTTATTTTAAATTAATCCTATAAATTTTCACTGGCTCTTTCTCGTGATACTTTATCACTAAATTGAGAAAAAGCAACTCTCGTTCTTTCCCAATAAGGATGTCTCTTTTGAAGATACCGATAACACACCGCCTTATCAAAAGCATTTATTTTAATAATTTGAGTTCACTCAACCATTTAAAACTACCGCGATTGCCATAACTGTCGAAAATATCAAATTCCGAATATCACAAAAATGAAAAAAGAATGCTGCAGTTTATTTGTTATTGTTTTCATCATTTTACTTTCAATTGCTGGTCTGGTTTACTTTGAGAACCACGTGGACCTTTTCCCCGAGACAGAAATGAGACCAGTGATAACTTCCTCAAGATTTGACAATGATAAATACAAAAATTTAACAGTCCTTTTTCGACGAAAAACAAACAATGGAACACAAACAGAGACATATTTGGCGAACTCGATTATTTCCGAAAACTGGCTATACTACTCGGAGGCGGAGCGTTTCTGTGATCGGTTCGATCTAGACCTCGTTTCGGATGAGCATGTATCAAGTAACAAAAGTTATATGCTAAAGAATGGATTTTGGTTGAAGTCAAGAGTCAATTTAACTGCTGGCGAATTGGAAGTTTCTGAAATATTTGAATCAGATTGGTTAAATTTGTTCGAAAGGTCGGCTCAGCAATCAGGAATGGATTTTTGGGGGGTGGGGTGGTCAGAGACCATTTTTTGCATCGGCCAATCAGAGGCAAGCAAACCCCCTAAAGACCACCCCAACCGAATTTACAAACTTTAGAAAAAATTTTAACATTTTGTCGAGCCAAACATTTAGTATGACGAACAAAAGAATGCAACTAGTTGGAACTGAAGATCGTTCAATGGACGCAGAGAACCCACGACGCGCGAAACCTTGCCTGCAGAGCACAAAACTGTTGGCTCTCGAATAACTGCAAAAACACGAACTCGGTCTAGCGTAGAAAAAGAACTGGTATATTTTGTAGTGCTCCGAGGAGCAGCGAGAACGAAGTGAGTAGAAAATGCAGCGCGCTCCGCATAAATACGTTGCGCGATAAAAACATGATAACAAGATAGGATCATGATCGGCTTCTTCGAGAACCAACGACAGCCCCCCAGACGATGACGATTCTAGGTTGAAGAGTTGAGTTGGCTGGACGCGCGGCGCAGGTTTAGAGCGCGAGCGCGGCGGTTCGGAAGGGAAAAAGCGGCGACCAGAAGGGAAAGCGGAAGCAGGCCTCTGATTGGCTAGGACAATCAGCGACTGAAATACGGTGAAAAAGTCGAGAAATAAATCTCATGAAATTAATCATGAGCTACCGAGCTGCTGGATACTGCAATCGGTCGGGTTGGCGTCGGTTTCTTTTCGAACGACGTAGAGATTCGCCCGCCGCAGAAGAAGATGAATTTTCACCAGGTAATTTTTGTTGAACGTTTTCTGGATTTTGAGGCGGCGGATCAGGTTCATCGTAGAGATCAAGTAAGTCGGGATCGAGGCGAGTTGGGCGAATTTTGGCTTTGACCACATGATAGCGGTGTACCCAAGTTGGCTTAGAATCGAGGTCGATCTGTAGAATGACATCGTCGGTGGCAAGAACACGGAACGGGCCGAGCCATTTTTGTTTTCCTGGCTTAGCAGCAGCGGCGAACTCGCGTTTGAGCATGACAAGGTGGCCAGCGGTGATTTCTTCGGGCGGCACTTTAGCCTTACCTTTTTCAAGCACTAGTCGGTCAACAGCTTCTTGACTGAGTCGCACAAATTTATGCGCACGTTCCAAGAGCTCAGCAACGTGTACGGCGTAGGAGGAAGGAGTGCCATTTCCGATCGGCTTTTCGAGAGTGATGCCGTTGAAAGAGGGATCTCGGCCAAAGATGCACTTGTAGGGGGAGATTTTGGTGGCGGTGTTGATGGAGCGGTTGAGACAGCTGACAACGCTTGGCAGTGCCATTTCCCAGTCCAACGACGGATTATCTCGCACCATGCCCCACAAGGACGATTTCAGAGTCTTGTGAGCACGCTCAATGACACCGGATGATTCGGGGCGGTAGCTAACATGAAGGTTTTGTTTGATCTTCATGAGTGTACACAGATCAGCTAGGACCTCATTATCGAAATGTCGACCTCTATCTGACGACAGGATTTTCGGGAAGTCGAATTCGAGAAAGTAGCGCATTAGACCGCGAGCAGCGTCGATGCTTCGGCAGCGGTGAGTAGGATAAACTTGAATCCATCGGGAGAAGCCACACTGGACGGTCAAACAATAGCGCTTACCAGAGCGAGAAGTAGGGAGAGTGATGAAGTCGCAGTAGATGATCTCGTGCGGGCGAGTGGCGCGGTAGAGATGTTTTTTGTCAGGGCGGCTAGGCTGCATGTCGAACCCTTTCTGCTTTATGCAGTTAAGACAGCTAGATACGTAGGAGCGGATATCATCGTTTTTATATGGCCACCAGCACCAGTTGAGAAAGTGCGAAGTCCTATCAACTCCCATATGACCTTTCAAGTCATGAGCAGCTTTGCAGTAGTGAGCGACCAGAGAGTCGGGAATGACGATGCGCGTACTACCCCCCCAGTTGATGGTGAGCAGATTCGAGTATTGGTGGATGGAGAGGGCAGAAGCGTATTTTTTGAAGATGGAACAGCCATAAATTTCATCGGGCCATGTCCATTTGTCGAGAGGAGTAGAGCTAGAGACAAGTTTGCGAATGGAAGATACGAGGGCATCTTCTGACTGAGCTTGTTCTATTTCGCGGAGCTCTAGAATCGGAAGAGCAGGATTGAGCTCGTCAGACAAGATAGCGCGCACTGTGAAAAGATCAGCAATTTCTTCGTTGCGCTGGAGGAGCATCGATTTCTTGAATTTTTCGGCAGGGGCGACCCAGGAAGGAATGTAGACCTTCAAGTTCGAGTCGTTGTTGAGTTTGTAGAAGTGGCCGGCGCAAGTGTCGTCGACAATAGGGTCAGATGTGACTTCGTCGAAGGGGCGAGAGAGCATGTCGGCTAGAACGTGAGTGCGTCCTTCGACGTACTGGACAGTGAATTTGAACTCGGAGAGGCGACATTGCCAGCGCTGTAGTTTCGAGTTGTTCAAGAACTTCTTGTCGATTGCTAGGAGAGCGCGGTGATCGACCAGAGCGACGAAGCCAATCGGGCCTTTTAAGTAATAGGCGAACTTTTCGCAGCCGTGGAGAAGTGCGTAGCATTCGCGCTCGGTCGCGGACCAACGGCGTTCAGTTTCGGAGAAAGACTTGCTGGAGACTGCGATTAGTCGCTGGCGACCGTCAATCTGTTGCATAAGGGCTGCGCCGGCGGCTCGATCTGATGCGTCCGTTAGCAAGAGAAATGGGGATGAGAAATCAGGCAAGGCGAAGACCTTAGGGGACGCGATCATTTTCTTGGCCTGTTCGAAGGCGAAATCGGCCTCGGCGGACCAGTAGAACTTTTTGCCAGCTTTGTTGAGTGCTGTGATTTCGCTCATCACGTGGCTGAAGCAGTTTTCGGCGATCGGCTGTCCAAGGTTAGCAGAAACCCAGTTTTTGAGCCAACAGAAGTTGCCGATTAGTGACTGTAGTTGTTTGCGCGTTGTAGGAGGTTTGAGCGCTAGAATATGCTCCATGTTTTCAGGTGGGATGGAGATTCCTTCGGCGCTGATGATTCGGCCCATGAATCTGGTCGAGGCTTTTCCGAATGAGCATTTTTTCGCGCCGAGTCGAGCGCCGTATTCTCGGCAAGCAGCGAAGATCTGGCGAAGGACTTCCAGATGAGTAGCCGTGTCGTCGGAAAACACTAATATGTCGTCGACATACGTGCAGAAATTCTGCTGGAGAGTGACCTTAGAGAGCATCTTGGTGATGGCTTTGCAGAAGGCATCACCCGAAAATCGAAGTCCGAAGGGGACGCGCACATATTGCCAGCATTTCGAGTCGAATGTAAAATTCGTTTTGTGGCGGTCGCGCGGGTCTATGACCAAGTTCCAGTAGGCCTTGGACAAGTCGAGGGAGGAGAAGATTTTGTGGCCGTGCTGGATGTCGGCGAAGATGGTTTCCATAGAAGGAAGTGGCCAGAAATCGGTCGTTTCGGTGAGCACCTTGTTGAGGGATTCCTTGAAGTCGCTGCAGACGCGCAATCCACCGTCGCTCTTTCTAACGGGGATGAGTGGAGAGTGGAAGCCTTTGCCGTCTTTACAAGGCTCGATGATGCCTCCAGAGGCCATTTCACCAACGTTTGATTTGACTTCCGGGTGCAGGTGTTTTGGAATCGGGCGCTCACGTTGAGCTTTGGTGAGGCCTTCGATAGTGGGGATGCGCACCATTTCTTTGAATTCTCCGATAGGGTCACCATCGCGCTTTAAAATGTCGCGGGACTCGTAGATCAGAAGGACGAGGTTGTCGAGGTCTGCGCCCTTGAAGAAAGTGGTGTCAATGGTGATGCCGTAGTCTTCGGCGAGTTCCTTGATCATTTCATCGGTAGAGATGACTTTTAGAAGCGAGCCGGGAGCTGGAGGAGTATTTGACCAAGGAAATGCGATTTTAGTGCCATCGAGGAGAGTGAGATTGAGGCCAGAACCGGCGAGAGCAAACGAGCCATCTTTGAAGTGAGGACCGGTGAAAAATTCGCGGCCGAGAATGGCTGGGAAGTTCTGTTTTACGACGTAGAAGGTTACATGGTCGAACGAATGCGGCGTTGCTTCGTGTGAGAGGCGACCAAAAATAGTGCCGCTAGAACTCATAGTACCACATCCGTTGAAAGTCATGTTGCACGGTTTTATCAAGTCGTGAACCGCAGGCGGAAGCATGTGCATCGGAATGATGTTCTTGGCGGCTCCAGAATCGGCAAGAGCGCGAAACTTGAGGTTGAAGCCATTGATGCGCAAAGACAGATCGAGGTTGAAGTACGTGTGGCAAGTGAAGAGTTCTGCTGAGGTTGCACACGTAGTAACGTCAGCAGTTATTGAAAAACCGCCGAAGACTCGACGAGAAGCGACTGTGACTGCTGTGGAACTTTGTCCTTGGCGACAAATGCAGTAGATTGGGATTTGGAGCCGAAGCCAGGGCCGTGGTAGAGTTCGCATTTGCCGGCTTTGCCTTTGCGGCAGTCTTTGCCCCATTTACAAGGCTCGCGCCACTTTTTGCCGGTCTTTTTCTGATCGGGCTTTTGTCAGAGGAAGTGGCGGGCTTGGTGCTCGGCTTGGAGTAGCTTGTGTAGAAGGCAGAAGATGAGCGGCCGGTTTGCGCAATAATGTACTCGGCTTTGCAGGCAAGGTCGGCGGCGTTGTTGACCGATTTCCATTCTTGCGCGAGGAGGGAGTGGATTTGGCCAGCATGTGATTTCAGTCTCTCTGCCACAACGGCGGCGCTGAAGAAGGAAAAGATGTCATCGACAGATGGCGCGTTGTCGTCGTGGTCACTGCTTTTGCCGTTAATTTTGGCATTGCGGGCTCGTATCTGATCGACAACTGCGGCTTTAGCGGCGGACATGCGAGAGTCGACGTCTGTGGCGAAGGCTTTCCAGCAGGAATTTTTCTTGTAGTCGGTCTCGATCGCCCGAGTGAGCAGTTGAATAGACGTGAGACCGCTATCAAAGTTGGCGGTAATCCAGGCTTTCAGCTCGGCCCAGGTTGAAGTAGAAGTCGTGGATGCCTTGAGTCGGGCGTAGGGATTCTCGGCAAGTCGCATTTTTACTTGCTTGACGAAGGGAGCTTCAAGCGCGGCGTCGGAGTCGATGTAGGTGTCGTAGATCTTGTCGACAAGCACGAGAAATTGTGCCGTGCGATCAAAATCGCGGCCGGTGAACTCGAGTGTCGAGAGCGCGGACTCGGACGAACGTCAAGATGCCGTTTGATCGCGCGTGAGATCGCCGTTGGGAGATTTGGCGTTAGGAACTGGCGCAGTTTTCAGCGCGGCGATGATTTTGGCTTTCAAGGCCTTAAGAAGATCGTTGTTAGTGGCGTACTCGGAGGAACTGACGTCCAAGGTATTGAGCTTCGATTCGACTTCCTCGGACCATTTCTTGAGCATCTCCAGGTCGGTCATGACGGGCGATAAAAAGTCGAGGTAATTGGCTCAGCAGGTCAAAATACCTTTGGTGGGCACTCTTTATGTGGCCGGTAAACCGGCAGCGTTAAAGAGTGACGCGCGTACGCGATTTGATTCTCGTGCCAGCTTAAGAAATCGGCGTGACAGTGGTTGACGGTGCTGAGGTAGTCGTAGCGAGTGTTGAAGGCGAAAAACACGCGACGGTTAGGCTCGAGAAGATCAGGATTACCTTGTTTGGGCACTCTTTGTGTGGCCGAGAACTCGGCACGGTTAAAGAGTGACGCCCGTGGGCGGTTTGATTCAAGCGTCAGCTTAACAGTTGATTTTTAGGATGTCCAGGGGATGGGCAAGCGGCTCCGTTCTCTACCAGCGAAGATTTGACGAGACTCCAACAAAAAAAAACGAAGTTTTTTAGATGAAGGGCGAGGGTTCTAGTAGTCCTGGTACCATTTTATGTTGGCTCTCGAATAACTGCAAAAACACGAACTCGGTCTAGCGTAGAAAAAGAACTGGTATATTTTGTAGTGCTCCGAGGAGCAGCGAGAACGAAGTGAGTAGAAAATGCAGCGCGCTCCGCATAAATACGTTGCGCGATAAAAACATGATAACAAGATAGGATCATGATCGGCTTCTTCGAGAACCAACGACAAAACGATCCCTCTTTGAAGCGCCCTCCTTCTTCGGGTACATTTGCGAGGACGATGTTTTCGACGAAAGCGGCAAGGTTAAAATCCGCGTACGGAACCACTACGAATGCGAGGTTCTTCAGCTGAATAGGACTTTTGCTGAAAAGTATCATCTCCACAATGATTCTTCGTCCTACGTTACAGCTGACTACCACAAAGACTCTTATAAGTCTATGTAAGAAGTCGAACTTATTTCCAGCAATAACCTTCATTCTAGATTTCGAATCGATGCTGGAATTGACAGAGATGATTTTCAAAACGGAACAAATGGATTTTCTTGGTGCCCAGATAACCCCTATGGTAACTGAGTTATGAATTTCTTTCATTTAGTCAATTCCTTAGTTCCACAACGGTTTCGATATAGAATAAAGTCTGGAATACTCCTTGCCTCGAAAGATAAAAGGTAATTGCGCGCTTAAGGACCCCCGTCAACAATTTTCCTCGAAAAATCGAAAATTTCAAAAAAGCCATATTTTGGCTTCTAAGTGTTCCTGGAAGTTCAATTTATCATAAGTTCATTCATCTCAAAATCGTTTTTTGACCTGTAGAATCCATTTCCGGGGTCATAATTCTGAAATTCCGAAAATAGATTTTTCGAAAATTGTTGACGGGGGGGGGGGGCTCCTTAAAATGTGAACATTTTCGAATTTTTTAGGGAGAAAGCTCTTTGCACAGAGAAAAAACTCGTCAAAACAACGCTGATACGATTTCCTCCACGACAGGGTTTCTGAAATATTTTCTTATTTATTTTTCCCGAATTTTCAAAATTAAATGGAATGTCCGCAGAAATACGCATTTTCAATCTGTGGTACTGTTTTCGATCTTGTCTCGAATGAGAACGTAAATTCGTCTGCTTGCAAAAGGTTGAGTTCCTCTGTCGGGCCAAACTTGACATATCAAGAGCCGAAAGAGCCGCTGATTTTCCAAATTGGATCGACCTTTTGAATCCTCGTCCCGTAAATCGTCAATCCTGTGAGTTCTTGGTTGAAGTCTATGCTCAGATCCCATCCCCAAAGCGAAGGGCTAGAACTTACGGGGTCGCTTCGTCTTTTTGAAGATATACTCTCATGACGAAATTCGATACAGTTTCACTTCCGTCCATCCATGAACTACTGTGCTCGAGCTGAATGTCTTTTCCAAAGTAAAGTAGTCCCTCAAACCGCTCGACTAAAAATAATCGTTCTCTTGAGCTGCACTTACAATCGCATCCCATCGGATCGACTGTGACGCCTCCTGATGAACCAGTCTTGAGATGCCGCTGGAAAGTTCCATGGACATTTATGCTGATGTGGGCTCGATCGTCAACAAAGGCGACGTGGTCCATCGGAATCATGAGTTGATAACTTCGCTCTTCATCGATGAAAATATTTGTATTCTTCGGATCACGAATCTTCGCGTCTTGGTCACAGGCGATTTTGATGACTGCGTCGGGAAGTTCATGATGAATTTGAAGAAGAGTGTGTTCGAAGACCTCACGCACGCCGATTCTTTCTAAGCTTGATGATGATGTTCCTCGAGGAGCGATGAATCCCTTTCCATTTGATTCGAGTTACTCATCGGTGATTTCTTGCGGCTTTTTGACACACTGATTGCCGATGATTTTGAATCTTCTACGAACTTTTGCGACACAACTGACGATGCAAGCTTGCGCCCAATTTCGTTTATGGCCCAAAAAAAAGAATTATATATCCGGTTATTACAAATTGGCTAATTAAAGCCCGTAGAATTTTCCGAGCAAACATGTTGACTTCTGTCCAATAACAGCCCTAGAATATTTGTGGAAAAATTCTCTTAAAAGACTTTTGTCCAATTACAGCCCTAAAATTTTGTCGAAAAAGTCTCTACAAATTGTCCAACTACAGCCCTGACCTACCAGTATCATTATAACACCCATCTATTGCTACATCAACAGTCTTTGATTGTTTTCTTCGTGCTTCTGATATGAGTGAAGTTCTAGCAGCAAAAATCGATTTCTTCGCAAGATCGATGATTTTCTGATCGACGAAGTCTTGGAGACTTTTGGCGGTCGAGCTCGAGTGCATGAAGTCTGGCATCCTTTTTTCGCTATTTTTCGTTGTTCCACTCGTTCCAATCATCGCGAGAAATCTGCTCATCTGAGTCTCGACGATTCCGGTGCAAGTTTTCGCTGCTTGGAAGGCAGTGTTGAATTTTTCGGGGAGAAGCCAGCTTCCATAGCTCCAAACGTAGTTGTTGCAAATGATGTTGAGATAGAAATTCAGGAGATTTATCTTCGAGAAGCTGGTTCTGAAGTTTCCGATTTTTTTGCATTTTTGGCATGCAAAAACGTTGAAGATGGAGGTAAGCGAAAGAAGAGATACGAAGACGACTGTTACAGGCTCACATCGGTAGCTGTCAATTCGAAATTTTTTACTTTCTTGATTTTTTTGTTTTTTGCCATTAGACTTTCTTTTATTTTTCTGTGGCATAAAGAGAATATGAGTGACAAAAATCATAATATATGACCCTGCTAGAATAGATGGTGCCAAGAAGCATTCTTTGTCCAAGGAGATTGTTCTGACACTAAACGTTAGTTCCTCTCCCAGGAGAGCGCAGAAGTTGCACCTATAGCTCCCACCGCGCCGCGCCCTGATGCGCGCTAAGATTCTGTGTCTATCTGGACTTTGTCGCTAATAAGTAAAGATTAGGCTTTGCGCATTGGTTGGGATATGTTCAGAATTCGATAAGCTTTCTAATGATGGTAGTTTCATCAAATTACAATGAACATTGCGGGACTTGATGCCTTTTGAAATTGAACTTCTCTTTTTCTATGTAGCTCATGAAATAATGATCATAGAGAAAAACTAAAAGCGGGTTAAAAAAATGAGGAAAATTAGATATGATTTGCAAAAAGAAAATTGAGAAAATCTCATTTCTAAGAATATTGGCGAGCGCTTAAACTTTGACTCCGCGCTGCTCGCCCAGGTCCCTTAAATAACGCCTTTAAAACTTCACTGTCTCTTTCTCCTGATATTTTATCACTAAATTGAATAAAGCAACTCTCGTTCTTTCCCTGTTAGGATGTCTTCTTTGATGAAACCAATAAAGCGCCGCCTTATCAGAAGCATTTATTTCTATAATTTGAGTTTACTCAACCATTAAAAACTAGGTTTAAAACTGTCGAAAATCACAAATTCCGAATATCGCAAAATGAAAAAAGAATGCTGCAGTTTATTTGTCATTATTTTTATCATTTTACTTTCCATTGCTGGTCTGGTTTACTTTGACAACCACGTGGACTTTTTCCCTGAGACCATAATGAGACAAGTGATAACTTCCTCAAGATTTGACAATGCATCCAAGGATAACAATGATAATTACCAAAATTTAACAGTCCTTTTCCGACGAAAAACGAATAATGGAACACAAACAGAGACATATTTGGCGAACTCGATTATTTCGGAAAGCTGGTTGGCCTACTGGGAGGCGGAGCGTTTCTGTGATCGGTTCGATCTAGACCTCGTTTCGGATGAGCATGTATCAAGTAGCAATGGTTATCTGCTAAAGAATGGATTTTGGTTGAAGTCAAGAGTCAATTTAACTGCTGGCGAATTGGAAGTTTCTGAAATATTTGAATCAGATTGGTTAAATTTGTTCGAAAGGTCGGCTCAGCAATCAGGAATGGATTTTTTTTTTTGGGGGGGGGGGGTTGGGTTTGCAAACTTTAAAAAAATTTTAACATTTTGTCGAGCCAAACATTTAGTATGACGAACAAAAGAATGCAACTAGTTGGAACTGAAGATCGCTCAATCGACGCAGAGAACCCATTAAGGGACTAGGCCGAGGGAGCGCCGCGCGCCATTATCTCTTTTCTCACTTTCGCCAGGAAGCCCAAATTTTTTATTCGAATTTAATATAATTTGGCATACAAACTAAACTTTTCACTCTCTTTCCTCTCCGACTTTTAGAATTTTCATATCTTGCCGACGAGCTGAGTTATAATCGAAAAAGAGATGCTTGAATTCAAGTGTACATAAATACTTGAAATATTCTTATTGACAATTTGAGACAAAGTCCATTGAAAAGCCCGTGGTCTCTTCTAAAAAGTCTGCTAAATGAGATTTCCCGGAAACATCTATTTACCTGATTATCGAGGGATTACTGTGGGTCACCTGGAGCGCTCGGTGTGAAATGCGGTGATTTTGCACTATTGGCACGCGATTCCCGCTGCGTTCGACAAGATCACCTGGATTACCTGCGAAGTAATCAGCAAACAATTCACTTCCAGGAAATCTAAATAATAAGTAGACTTTGTAGAAGAGACCACGGGCGTTTCAGTGGACTTGGTCTCAAAGTGTCAATCCGAATATTTCAAGTACTTATGTACACTTGAATTCAAGCATCTGTTTTTCGATCATAACTCAGCTCGTCGGCAAGATATGAAAATTCTAAAAGTCGGAGAGGAAAGAGAGTGAAAAGTTTAGTTTGTATGCCAAATGATATTAAATTCGAATAAAAAATTTGGGCTTCCTGGCGAGAAAAGAGATAACTGCGCGCGGCGCTCCCTCGGCCTAGTCCCTGTAGCGCGAAACCTTGCCTGCAGAGCACAAATCGCTCCCTCTTTGAAGCGCCCTACTTCTTCGGGTACATTTGCGAGGACGATGTTTTCGATGAAAACGGCAAGGTTAAAATCCGCGTACGGAACCACTACGAATGCGAAGTTCTTCAGCTGAATAGGACTTTTGCTGAAAAGTATCATCTCCACAATGATTCATCGTCCTACGTTGCAGCTGACTACCAGAAAGACTCTTATAGGTCAACGTAAGAAGTCGAGCAATAACAATTTCTAGCAATCACATTCATTCCAGATTTCGAATCGATGCTGGAATAGACAGAGATGATTTTCAAAACGGAACAAATGGATTTTCTTGGTGCCCAGCTAACCCTTATAGTAAATGAGTTATGATTTTTTTTCATTTAGTCGATCTCTTAGTTCCACAACGGTTCCGTTATAAAATAAAGCTTGGAATACTGCTTGCCTCGAAAGATAAGAGGTAATTGCTTTTTACTTCTGTCAACATTTTCGAATTTCCTAGGGAGAAAGCTCTTTGCACAGAGAAAAAACTCGTCAAAACAACGCTTATACGATTTGCACCACGACAGGGTTTCTGAAATACTTTCTTATTTATTCTTTCCGAATGTTCAAAATTAAATGGAATGTCCGCAGAAATATGCATTTTCCATCTGTGGTACTGTTTTCGATCTTGTCTCAAATGAGAACGTAAATTCGTCAGCTTGCAAAAGGTTGAGTTCCTCTGTCGGGCCAAACTTGACAAATCGAGAGCCGAAAAAGCCGCTGATTTTCCAAATTGGATCGAGTTTTTGTATCCTTGTCCCGTAAATCGTCAATCCTGTGAGTTCTTGGTTGAAGTCAATGCTCAGATCCCATCCCCAAAGCGCAGGGCTAAAAATGATAAGTCATGAAAAATCCAGGTCTCTTACGGGTTCGCTTGTTCTTTTTGAAGATATACTCTCATGACGAAATTCGATACGGTTTCACTTCCGTCCATCCATGAACTACTATGCTCGAGCTGAATGTCTTTGCCAAAGAATAGTAGTCCCCCAAATCGCTCGACTAAAAATAATCATTCTCTTGAGCTCAAAGGTGCACTTACTGTCGCATCCCATCGGATCGATTGTGACGCCTCCTATCGTTGTTATCTCCAGATCATCTTCGTCGAAGCAAGACAGATCGGTTACTTTCTAAAACCCCCCTTCAATTATCATTTCATTTTCATGCTTGAAACACTAATCGTCATGTGCCCACTACCTGATTCCAACCAAACGCATGAACATCACTAAAGTGCGTTACATCATCAAAATGAATCGCAACAGATTCATCATCGTAAGCATCGGAGTTGGCTTTTGAATGAAGTGCGAAACCCATGTTTTCGCTAAAAATGGAGAAAAATTCCAAGTTCCAGGCATTGATTGTTGCTTTTGGTGCAGATTGTGAGAATTTAAAGGAAATGGTGAAATCGTTCCTAGAAATTACTAGTAAATCAAGAATAAGAAAAAAGAGATGAAAACTTTTGAGGAAGAGTAAGAATTCCGATAAAACTTTTCCCATTATTCCAAGCATCGAGGATTTGAAAATCAAGTCGTTTTTTGATCCCACAGATTGATGTGTCCTTTGTTGTTTGAATCGAAGTCGTCATAAGAGTAGTTATCCCGGGGGGAATTGTAGTTGGTAAAGATGTCGTTGATATTATTGTTGTCGGCTCTGGTTCTTCTGTTGTTGATGTCAGGGTTGTCGTGATTTCGAGAGTCGTTGTTACTTTTAGAGTTGTTGTGGCAGGGTCTGTTGTTGTTATTTCAATCGTCGTTGTGGTCGTTGTTGTTGATGTAGTAGTAGTCGGTAGTTCCGTGGTTGTGGAGATGATCGTGGACGACGTGGTTGTTGTCGAAGTTGTCGTTGTCAGAGAAACACATGAGTTTGGCGGATTCAATCCTAGTGGAGGGTTTTTACACTTGACTTTTGTATTCGCCGGATCTTCCAGTTCGAAACCATCTTCACAGGAAATGTCGAACTTATCTTTGTTATTCGGCTCGCCATAAATAGTGCCTTTTGGGATAATACACCCAGAAACATGAAAATTTGGAAGCGAAGTTATTGTTTGGAGAGGACTAGTTGTGGTTGTTGTGGTAGTTGTAGTTGTTGTTTCTTGATTTGAAGAGGTTGTTATGAAAGGAGTGGTCGTTGTTTTCTCTTGAGTTGTTTGCTCTTGAGTCGTGGTTTGTTGAGATGTTGTCGTTGTCGTCGTTGTTGTTGTTGTAGTGGTTGGCTCTTCAATTTTGAAACACTGATTGAACGGATTCAAAGCCCCATTTTTGCACTTTACTTTTGTTGATGTTGGATCAGCCAGCTCAAAGCCTTCTTCGCATGAAATTTCAAACTTATCCTTCGCATTAGGCTCTCCATAAATTGTCCCTATCGGAATAGCACAGCCGGAGATATGAATCTCTCTTTCTTCGTTTGTCGTTGTCTGTACTTCTGTTGAAGTTGTCGTTGTTGTTGTCGTAGAGGTTACCATGATAGACGAGGTTTGTATGGTTCCAGCAGTTGTCAATGGAATTGATGTTATGACCATTGAAGATGTTGTTGTGGTTGTGGTTGTAGTCGTCGTCGGAAAATCAGTTGTACCCGAAACTGGTAGGCACTGTATATCATTATTCAAAGACCCCTGTTTGCATTTGACTTGGTTCGCTTCTACATTCATCTCAAATCCCTCCTGGCAGAACGGCCGAAAGAATTTTCCTCCTATGAGCTCCAAACAACCATTCTCTAGACTGCAATCACTGTCATTTGGACAGGCGTTTCTCTTGATGCGATGTGAAAGTACTAAAGAAAAGAAACAGAAAATCAAATACATGTTTTAGCGGAATGAAGTGGCTGGGATTTATCAACACGTTGAAGGGGATGAAATCGGAAACCAATGTCGGATATGAAAAGGTGCTTACAATGCGAGATGGTAAGCCTCATTTCTTGTTCCAAAAAAGGTCAAGCCCTTTGAACAATTAAGAGGCTTATAAACCTATAACACTATCTCAATTTCTTTCAAATAATTTTTTGACTTTTCCGTGAAAATCTTTCATATTTGGAGAGTCTTCTAGAATCGAGCTGAAGATTATTTATTTCAAATAATATTTTTTTACTTTAGATATTAAGCGAAGTTAGAAGGTCCGAAAGAAGCGGGAGCAAGGTAATAACAGCATTATTGTTTGTCGAAAAATGTCAAAAATGTATTTTGATACATTAACTTCTCAATACACGTGGTCCAATGATTGGTCCAATGATAACTTCCCCAAAACGCTAACTTGCCCAACATTGTGCAAGTTAGCGTCTGGGCAAGTTAGCGTCAAAGTTGCCGGTTATAAAAAATATTTTTTTTTCTCGAAATTTCTATATCGAGCACTGAATACAGTATTCAGAAAGTATAGCCTATACTGTATAGGAGCCATTATTTCTAAGTTATTTAGACATAGCCTATGTCACATAGGTTTGAGAATTTAGGCATTTTTTGGGATTAATGTTTTAATAATAACGCTTCGAAATAATTAAAAATATTATATTTTTACGCCGGAACGCATATCGACCCATTTCTGGGTAAGGTGCTGAAATATGGCCTCAAACATCGTCATTTTCTAGTGTTAAAACAACACATGAGAAATATTTCATGTATCTGATCTTGTAGTTCGGGGTCTGAAGATCATATTTATGATAAAATATGGGTTGATGAAAACAAGAAAACGGGTCTACGGCCTCTCACCCAAAAATGGGTCGATATGCGTTCCGGGAAAAATCTATTAGAGCTTAGATATTTTGAAATCGACTGTCAAAATGAGTGTACTCTCGGAGTACAAAAATATTATTTCAAAATGTTAAACTAAATTTGCTCAGAAGAAATGGAAAATATGACCGCTTTTCACGCGGAAAGGTCGAGGTTAGATTCTAAGAGGGGTAGACTGTCTACCAGACTAAGGGTGTTAGTCTAAGACATGCTGAAAGAGCAATTCAACGCTCCACGGATCGCCCACGCACTTTAGACGCTAACTTCCCCAAGACGCTAACTTGCCCAAAACGCTAATTTGCACAACCTTGGGGAAGTTAGCGTCTGGGGAAGTCAGCGTCTGGGGAAGTTAGCGTCTTGGGGAAGTTAGCGTGACTCGGGGGGCGCTTCTTCTAGAACAAGCTTTGTTTTCTAATAATTTTCTATAATAACCTCAGATAGTAATTTGACTTTTTCAAGGTAAGAACTTCTTTCTAAGAAGTTTACTTTTCTTAAAAATAAAGCACCGTCTTCTTTTTTTTATTAACTCGTTGGTTTTCAGTAATCCCAAGATGGGCTGGACAGAAGAAGAGCTGGAGCTCTATCCTTATCTGAACAATTACACTGTTCCTGAGTACTTCAACCAGTATGGCATCACGGATGAAAACCTCATCAAAATGATTTTGTTTACTAAGAATTGTAAGTTTACTTATTAAAACCAAAAACGAATTAATTTTAGCCCAATTCTTGATTGTGATTCTCTGTTTCGTTCACTACATCGTCACATGGTGGGTTCGAAGAGGTATCTCTTTAATGAAACTCCTTGGACAAGAATCGATGACTCGCTTCCAGAAATTTGCTCAGGAAAGGTTTTTTCTCAAATGCCAATCTAAACAAGTCTGGTAGCTGCAACGAGCGGTACTAGTGGTTTTACTATGATTTACTCAATCGAAGGGATTGTGGTTTATATAGTTTAAGAAGGCTTATAAGATGAATTTGGGCCATTTAAATTTATGGCCCATAAGTTATGGGTATAAATTATACCGTATAATAGATTCCGAAAAAGCCACTGAACTAGAGAAGTAGAATAATAGGAGTTTTGAGAATAACCCGATCTCAGTATTGCAAACTAGGACAAGAACCAGCTATGAATTCGATTTCCTCCACCATGATCACAAACGACCGAGTTTTCATCATCATGCGAATTACTCTTGCCATGTGGTCACTGACAATGATTCTTTTCGGCTGGGAAGGGATTCGATCGATCATTTTTGGTGCCTACTTTCCATTCGGTAAAAATGTTTTTAAGATAAGATGTCTTACGTATTTCTAAAGCTGCCATTTTATCTCTGTACGTCAATTTCCAAAGATCGCGAATCGTTGAGGGTTTCGGCACTTGGACTCAAGCTTTGAACAAAGTAAACTCATTCCTCTTCAATGTCCAGGTACTTCAGACTGGATTAAACCATTCAATCATAAACTTTGAGGCTCCTCTGCGTCTCTTGGTCTCCTTAACTTGGTGGACACGATGGATCGGATTTCTCCGATATCGAGATATGGCTCGATCTCTTGACATTCATCCCTTCTGGCTTTGGAGCAAAGAATATACGCCAACGCTGTTCCTTCTCGTCGAATTGCTTTGGTTCGACACTAAAGGTAATCAGAGATCCTTATAGCTCATGCTGAAATGAAATCAGTTCCCTTCGATGGATTTGTTCACGTGACTGTGATTGGATCGGCAAGTCTTGTAGCATTGGTTCAAAACACCAACAAACCCCCTCCTCAAGGACTCAAGTAAGTCTTTACTTCATGAATCAAATCTGAAGAAGATTGTTTATAGCGCAATGGACAGAGATCCTGCTGCATGCGTCGTCTGCGCCGTTATATTTACCATTGGCTTAATCGTCATTCACTTGGGTCTCGCATTCTTCTCTCATGGAAAAATTTGGACTTTCAAGAAGGTTCCTGTTATCGGACAAAGACTGACGAACCGACAGGTAATAATTCAAAATGTCATAAAACTAATTTTTAAAGGCGTGCACCGAGATCTTCCAAAAACGACACGCGCTGAACAAGTTCATGCCCCCTTCGATGCTTGAACAACGAAAAACTACGATTCGAAAATCATACGCTAACTTCGGCAAAGCATCTGTCGTTCGCGCCTCGATCGCCCGAAAATCTGCTGCTGTGAGAAAGTCATGAAGAAGATAAAACTAAGTCTTTTCCTTTTGAATTATATCCCCTTTTAATAAAAAATATTTACAGTGATCATCGATTATTTTGCAGTTCAGTATAGAATATAATAGGGCCGAATTGTGCGGGTCCGAAATTCGGATTAATTTGCTGCTCCTTCAAAAAAGATCAATTTTGGAGCCCTAAAATGTTAAAATCTCACTATTTTCGTCAATTATCCCCGTAAATTCTACGTGTTAATCAAAAAAAAGAGTAAGAAATAGCATTTCTGTCGTAAATATATCTACAAAATACGTTTGAGCAAGGAAAATTGACTGAAATTCACATAGATGGCTAATTGAGCGATTTTCATTAATTTTCGCGAAATTCGAAAAAAGGGCCGAATTGTGCGGGTCCAAATTGTGCGAGTCGTCTGTACAGTGTATTATATACTGCATAAATATGCAATTGCAGTTTTTTTGAAATTTAGAAACCAATAACGGATATGAAAAAGTGCTTACAATGAGAGTTGATAAGCCTCATTTCTTGTTCCGAAAAAAGGTCAAGCCCTTCGAAAAATTAAGAGGCTAAGAAAGTTATAAGTTATAACATAACATAAATTTCTTTCAAATAATGATTTTGGTTTTTTTCTGTGAGAACCTTTCACACTTGGCTAATCTTCTAGAATGGGGCTGAATATTATCTATTTTTAATATTATTTTTCACTTTAGACAAAGTAAGAAGGTCCGTAAGAAGCAGGAGCAAGGTAATTACAGCATTATTTTTTGCCAAAAAATAACGAATCTGTCCAATATTTTGGTAAAAACTTATTTTTTCGGTCTTCACTCGTTCAGGTTGTTATACAACAGTCGACCCACTGCGAACGAAAAATCTAGTTATTTTGAAAATTTATAATTTATGCGAAAACATTGAAAAAAGGGCCCATTATCTTCTAGAACAAGGATTGTTATCTCGCCATGAAAGATAATAAGGTCAGATAGACATTCACTTTTTCAAGGTAAGAATTTTCGTTTTTTAGGCATAAATATACCTCCGTTTTTCTTTTTCTTTAATTTACACGGTATTTTTCAGTAGCCCGAAGATGGGTTGGACGGCAGAAGAGCTAGAGCTCTATCCTTATCTGAACAATTACACCGTTCCTGAGTACTTTAAACAGTATGGCTTCTCGGATGAAAATCTCATCAAAGTAATTTTGCTAACTAAAAATGGTAAGTTTACTTTTTCAAGTCGAATACGAATTCATTTCAGCGAATTTTTTGATTGTGATTCTCGGTTTTATTCACTACTTCGTCATATGGTGGGTTCGAAGAAATATCTCTGTTTCGAAACTCCTCGGAGAAGAATCGATGACTCGCTTTCAGAAATTTGCTCAGGAAAGGGTTATTCAGGGGACCTTTAATTTTGGGGTAAGCCTCATTCTCCCAGAAGCTTCATTTGCCCAGAGCCTCATTTTCCCTGAAGCTTCATCAGCCCAGCTTGGGAGAATGAAGCTTCAGGGTAGATGAAACTTTGGGCAGATGAAGGGGAAATGAAGCCTCAGAAGGATTTTCATTCCATAATCCAGTTTCATTGTGGAATAACCTGATCTCAGTATTGCAAACTAGGACAAGAACCAGCTATGAATTCGATTTCCTCCACCATGATCACAAACGACCGAGTTTTCATCATCATGCGAATTACTCTTGCCATGTGGTCACTGACGATGATTCTTTTCGGCTGGGAAGGGATTCGCTCGCTCATTTTTGGTGCCTACTTTCCTTTCGGTATATTTTTTTCAGAAAAGATATCTAACGGATTTCTAAAGCTGCTATTTTATCCTTGTACGTCAATTTCCAAAGATCGCGAATCGTCGAGGGTTTCGGCACCTGGACTCAAGCTTTGAACAAAGTTAACTCATTCCTCTTCAATGTTCAGGTACTTTAAACATAATTTAATCATTGAAGTATACTTTGAGGCTCCTCTGCGCCTCATGGTTTCCTTAAGTTGGTGGACACGATGGATCGGATTTCTTCGCTATCGAGATATGTCACGATCTCTTGACATTCATCCCTTCTGGCTTTGGAGCAAAGAATATACGCCAACGCTGTTCCTTCTCGTCGAATTGCTCTGGTTCGACACAAAAGGTAGTCAGAAATTAAGAACCTTATAATTTATGCTGAAATGAAATCAGTCCCCTTTGATGGATGGATTCATGTGACTGTCCTTGGAGCGGTTTCTATTATAGGAATGATTCAAAACGTCAACAAGCCTCCTCCTCAAGGACTCAAGTAAGCCTTGACTTTAGGAATGAAATCTGAACATAACTGTTTCTAGCGCGATGGACAGAGATCCTGCTGCATGCGTCGTTTCCGCCAATATTTTTAGTATTGGCCTTATGGTCATTTCCTTATGTCTGGCAATTTTCTCCTTTGCGAAGGTCTGGATTTTCAAGAAGATGCCTGTTATTGGACAAAGACTTACTAACCGACAGGTATTAATCTTTTTATTATTCGGAGTGTCATTAAACTAATTTTAAAGGCTTGCACCGAGATCTTCCAAAAACGACACGCGCTTAACAAGTTCATGCCCCCTTCGATGCTTCAAAAACGAAAAACTACGATTCGACAATCATACGCTAACTTCGGCAAAGCAGCTGTCGTTCGTGCCTCGATCGCCCGAAAATCTGCTACTGTGAGAATGTCCTGAATACGATAAAACTTAGTCTTTCCTTTTGAATTATATGATATCATTTATATTTTATAAAAATATTTATACCGAAAATTAAATAATTCCAATATCATAGAATAAATTTGATATTGGAAAAGAACTTTGCTTGTTTTTCCTTTCCGCTGACGATATCCTTCGTTGCCATGGAAATATCTTCTCCCTAGTTGTGCGCTGGAAAGGCAGCTTATTAAAAAAGAGAAAAGATGACAGATATTCTCTGCAGCTGGCTAAACGATGAGATCGGTATTTCTGCCGTAGTCCGGAGAGATAATTTCGCATCAACTCTTCAAAATGGCTATCACTTCGCGGAGGTTTTCTACAAATATGGCTTTCAAATTGATCTCGACTTATTTTCCGCGAGAAAACATGACGACGTCCTGGTTCGAAATTATTCCATGCTCAGACCTGCTTTTGGGAAAATCGGCGTTGAAATAACTCCCTGGAAAGTGGCGCAGTACAAGAAACATAATCAGCGGGAAATAAGAAATTTGGCGTATGACTTGTTTGTAGGAATGCGCAGATTTGTCAAGCAGCAAGAAGGGCCTTCGAAATCACAACTTGTTTATACAAGGTAAGATTTCGATCCCGTCTTCTTTCTATAATCTTTGTTCTAGCATCGAAAAGCTGTCAACCCCAGCGGGGCCAAAGATGATGCCCCTCGACTTGTCAGAACTCCCAGGAAGCGCCGACCCAAGCAACCAACCTGGAATAATGACGTCAATCGTTGGAAGTACTCCAAATCTTGCAGCTTATCGAAAGAAAAAGAAGACCTCGAAGTTTTCAATAGCTGAATTCGAACTGGAAAAGAACCAGGCTTTGAAAGATATTGATGACTTTGAAATGGCGAAGAGCGAAGCTGTCAAAGGAAAGAAAGAAATCTTGCCGGCGATTGAATACATGAATCAAATCAAGAAAAAGGCTGAAGATGCGCGAGTCATTGGCAAGCGTCGCGCTGAGAGGCGACGAAGAGTCCTTGTTGATTCGATTCAAAACGTTTTTGATGACAATAGCCGAGCTAGGGACATTCAACTTGTCGAGCGAGTCTCTCGCGTGAGCATTCTAGAGCGACGGCTGACCGCGGATCTGGTCGCGACGAAGGAGAAGGAGAAGCAAATTCTGCGGGATAATCGGATCAGAATGAACAAGGAATTCGAGGAGCAGCGACAGCAGCAGTTTATGACCTTCTTGGACGCGGAAGCCGAACACTTGAGAGTCCAAAAACTCGAAGAGCGGGAACAAGCGAACAAAGAAATTGAAGAGCATAAAAGAAGACTTCAAGAAAAACGCGAAGCAAAACATGCCAAAAATGTCGAGTATGCAAAAACTATCACAAGCGACATTCTTGATATCGCAATGACCATCAGCTTTTACAACGCGGGAACTAACAAGAAGGTTCCAAAGAAAATCATTCGAGAGCTCCGAGAAAAATTCCATGCTCAAGTTCCTATCGAAGAAGATGACGAAGACCTTAACTGTGAGTTCGCGCTAGAAGAATACAACAAGTTTGAAAGCCAAAAAGACCCTTGGAATCTTCAGGAGCCGTTTAAAATGCCAGTTGTTGACAAAATGAAGCTCGATATTTCCGAAATCCTAAAGCCAGAAGAAACCCCTGAGCCAGAACCAGAACCAATCTGGCCCCTAAGAATCGCAGTTCTTGGAAAGCCACTTTCAGAGCACGATTCTTTTGTTGAAAAATTTTCACAAAATCATCCCGTCGTTGTGAGAAAATTTGTCGATATGGTGAAAGATTGCATGGAAGCATATGAAAATGAGGAGACTGTGACTCATCATTTGACTGAAAACGAGGCAAAGGGGACTTTTGAGGTGATTTCTTCGAGCACAACATCCACGAATCCTTCTCGGGCGCAAAGCTCAATGGCTGTGCAACAAAATGAAGAAAAGACTGAAGAGAATGTTGACCAAAAATATGAAACGCCAAGCGACAGAGCTAAACTTGGCAAAAGGATCTCTGAAACACTCGCTGAAGGAGGATCAATTGACGATGAAACTGTAGCTCTCATCGCAGTCGACGAAGCGCGACGAATTCAAAAATCGTCTGGTTTCATTTTTGTCGATTTTCCGAAAAACGCGACCCAACTAGAAATCTTTGAAAAAGAGCTTACCTCACTGCAGTCGATTATCTTGATCGAAAAAGAAGACGAGACGATTATAAAAGAAAACGTCGCAAGCGCTGATGTCGCCGCTGATGTCAGTTTGGATATTTCTGCATTTGAAGAAAAATGGACAGAAATGAAAGAAATGCGTAGAAATTGCAAAAACATTTTGAACAGTGGTGACTTTCAATTGACGTACGATAATTTCGAGCAAGAAATTCTCGAAATAATGAGCTCCGAGAAAGAACCAGAGCCAATCGTCCAACCTGAACCAGTGACTCAGCCAGAACCCGGGCAGAAACCAGAACCAGTTACTCCCGAACCAGTTCCAGAAGAAACCCGCTCTCGACCGACAAGTTCGAAGAAAAACTCACGAAAAGGATCCGCAAAGTCAAAAGATCGAAAAGGCTCTGCACAAAGTAGCCGTCCTAGTTCCAAAGGATCCAAGGGTTCGTCAAAAAAGTCGAAAAAGGGGAAGGAAAAGAAAGAAGAAATTCCCGTCGGTCCGGTTCCGGGAGACGCTGATTATCAATGGCTTTCGATTTTGGATGATAAGAGTGATAAAACAAAAGGATTTTATTACAGGCTTACTCAGTCAGAAAATGATATCGTCAATGCAACGAAAAAACGATTGCTCAAGAGCTTCAAGAACATCGATATGGAAAGACGAGAAATTGTCAGATACCTCGCTGCAATCATTGAAGACTTCCCCAAATTTCTCAATCGACCTGATCCAAAACAAGCGTATATCGAGCAGTTCCAAGCCGATTTCAACAATCAACCTGCGGATTTACGGGATGACAACGAGCTAAAACAAGAGCTTCACGAGCAACTCGAAGAATTGACAGAACAACTGTATCAAGTTGGCGATACAAGGCGAGAAGAAAATGACCAAGAAAGAGTGAAACTCATGACCAGCAATTGGCTCAAAGAACGACTTGCGCTTGTGATAATGCATTTCGCCGCGATGCTCAAAACTCTGGTTCTTCAATGCGCGGTGAATGTGATGATCATGCGGAAGCATTTCGCATTCCAGGCGAATGCTCCGATTGATTCTCCATCGATGATTAAGGAGATCGCACCAACCAAAGCGATCGAGAAATGCGAGTTCGATCTTTCCATCGAAACGGGGGAGCCAATGGAAGGCGAATCTGTTGTCGATAGATCCTCCTTGGCGAGCTCCGTTAAAACGATCATGTCGACAGTTCTCGCGAATCTAGAAGAAATCTTTCAATCCGAAACAAAAGCGATCGACGAGATCTCTCTTGAAAAACCAGAAGCAGAGGCGCCAAAGAAGGACGATAAAAAACGAGGCAAGTCCCCGAAAGGAGGCAAAAAATCTCCAGCTGGAAAAGGTGGAAAGAAAGGTGCAAAAGAGTCTCCTGTTGGAACTTCACCAGAGCCAGATTTGAAGCTTGAACGGCTGTTGAAAGCGAAAAATGAGGCGAAGTGTGGAATTATTGAGCTTGTCGAGTTTGCTAAAGCAAAGCTTCAAGTCATTTCTAGGTAATTTTTTTTAATCAAAAAAATCTTCTTAATTTTTTTCGAAAGAAATCTTGACGAAATGACGGAATCCTCAATTTTGCAGTTTGAAGCTTGCTTTGGAAGAATGGCGGATATGATTTCAATCGCTCAAGCAAACGAGACGAGTGCAGTCGAAGAAGCAAATTCCTTCATTAAAGCTGCGATAGAAAATGCCTCTCCTCTCAGGTAACTTTTGTGAAAATAAAAATTGTTTATTTCTTTTGAGGAATGCTCTGAATTTCGGTCCAAGCTTCGAAATGATCGACGAGGTAGAAATACTCGTTGCAGAATCGACTGCAGAAGAGGAAATGATAACCGTTACTCCAGCGATTGAAATTGTCGTGAAGGAGCTTATCAAGCTCAATTCATACGATCTGAGCGAGGAGCAAATGCATCAAGTCGCCAAAGATCTTAATGTGAAGAAGGAACTCATCGAAGAAGCAGATGGAGACTGGCGAGTTTTGGCTCTCTACGCGGTTGCGTCAGAAGAAGAATCGGGGATCATTTCTAAGGTGAGTTCAATTATATTTGCGACAGACCAAATTAACGATTTTAAGGCCGTTGCTGAGGGTTCAAATTCGATAACTTTAGAAGAATGGACAACTCTTTTATCAGAAACGTAAAAACTAATATGTTGCTCTTTGTTGAGAGAAATTTTAAGCTCCCCTTTATGCAAAATCGGACAACTCCTTGTCGAAGAAGAAGGTTTGATTCCATTGGATGAAATTGAACGAATTCTTCATGTATAATTTTATTTTTTTCACAAATAAAGAAGAATATAATATCATTGATATTCATTCGAACGAACATGCAAAAAGATAATTTGTGCAGACATATTTGTCGAGATTCTCGGGAAAGTTTTCTCTTGGTCAAATCAGGCTGCCCCAGCACATGAGATACCAGAATCCGACTCTGAATCGGCAAGATGTTCCAACGCAGCTTTTGTTACTCTTCGCTTGAGACGGTCCTCAACCTTTGTTGTTGCTCTCGTATAAGGAGTATTTGATGCGATTTCTAGTATTCCCGTCCAAAAATCGATTCTTCTCTCGATCGCGTTTTTCGCAGCAGCTGTAGCTTCTTCCCACTTTGTCTCGTCATCGCCGCAGATTTCACTTGAAAGAATAAGCTTTGAAATCATTTTTGATTTTACCTAAGAGCAGCAAAAGCGAGAGGGCCATGGTCGTCTCCGTCCACATCGATATGTCGTTGGAGGTAGAGTCGGAAGCAGTCGAGCGTTTTATCGTCAGAGAGGATTTTGTTGTCGATGATTGACTGGAACATCTTCGGAATAGGGTCTTCCCGGCCGAAGAGAAAGGCCGCCATCACTTTGTGAGTGCTCCCTTTGTCGGCGGTTCTTAACGTGTCGCGGACAAAATCGTAAATAGCTGCTGGAATCGTCTCGCCAAAAACGCACTCGTGTGACCGCAGAGCATCTTCATAATGCTGCCCTCGCTCAATCATCGAAACAAGCTTGGTGACCTCGATCGGGTCTTTTCGATGTTTTTTGTGACTATTATGTGTTCTCGAGGGCGCAAGTGCTCTCATGTAGGGAAAATAAAGTTTGTGAAAATTGAAAAACCTTTCCTGTTCCAACCTCGACCATTGCTTTCAAGTAAAGCTCGTAGTGGGAAATTGCGTTGGACACTTGAGCAGTGTCGAAGTCGTCGGATTCCTCACCAAGTACAATCTTAAATTTGAGATTTTTTTTCCTAAAGTTATTATTGACTAAGTATACCTGATTGATGATGTAAGCAGCTGGTCGGTTCTTTGGCGGTGTCCACGGTGTTTTCGTACAGGTCAAATCGCGCTGGAGTCGTTTGACAAGGCTCATGAAGTCCCAAACGGAAAAAACATGGAATCGCATGAAATGCTGCACAGCTTGAACGCTATTGATACTTTCGTAAATCGGATGAGACAAGAGCTCATCTTGAAGCGGTTTAATTTCGGCTTCTAATGTCGACCTTGAAGGGAAAAATTATTGAAGGAAAAAAAAAAGATTATTTACTGGTTGGCCATTATATTTCTTTTTGGTGAAGTTATTTTAGGTATTTTTATTTGTGATGGAATGTTCTCAAGATAAGCTTGGTTTTATTCGCCTTCTGAGATGGCGCCAAAGGCTTCGATGTTATGTAAATTGAGCATAAATGCTGCATAATGAAATATAGGGTCAAATAGTTTCAACTTTTTTGTTCATATTTTTAGCCCTGAATCAGATTTGCCGGGTTTGAAATATCAAAAAACCCCCATCGATAAAAATCATTGATGAAATATGTTATACAGTGAAAACCTGAAAATTGGCCGAATTTCAGAAATAATTTGCCGAAAAAAAGCGGCCAGATTTTGGGTTTTTCGCCGGGTAGGCAACTGTCCCCTTCAAAAAGAGGAGTTTCAGGAGTTCAGGTTTTTCAGGAACTTTTCTTTCAAGCTCTTTAAATTGCTGACTGTATCATATTTGAAAATTTAAAGAGTATACCGTATACTGTATACGTGTATAATGATTGAATTTACTGCCTTTCTGATACAAAACGACTTTTGGTAGTTATTTCGTACAACAATTAGAAATTTTAAGGATTTTAAGGGACTAGATTTGTTTGATGATTGCAAATTTCGACGCTCTCGACAACGGCACCAGAATCTTCGATGAGATAAGAAATTGTTGTGAAAATTCATCGTAATCAAGTTAATAAGCTGGTGAGTGATGCTTTGAGAACTTCTTATTTAGAGTCTCACATAAATGCGCGGCCTTCCGTACTATCAATAAAAAATCAAACAAACCGATAAATAAAAGCAATGAAGATGACCTTTCTTAATAGGTTTGGGCTCCACTTTGGCGCTGACCTTGCTTTTAGGTCCGTCAATGAGGAAGTTGATGTTTCTAATAGAGTTTCTAATAAAAATGGAGGCGGTTCACATTCTTTGAAAAAGCGTGAACCCGCTGTCAACGATTGCTGAGTATCACGCGGCTTCATGTAAAATTTGCTCGAATTGTCGATGTTCTGGAAAGAGCAAATAAAGAGTTTGCAGATTCATAAAATTTTAATGATTTTTAAAATCGTCGCTCTCGTTAAATTCTATGCAGGATTCGAGAATATTTTTTTCAAATGATTAATTTGTTTTCAATAATTTTGTCTACGATGCTTTTTGCTCCAAGCAATTGTTTTTCACCAGAGATTTTAAGAAAATCGAAACATTTTCTTTCGAAAGAGTCTTGCATGTAATAAAAGCATATTTTATGACTTGATTCTACAATTATTTAGCGACGAGGATCTATATGAAGTTTGTTCGACACAATGTAGACTCGACTATCTTGACTGCCTTGCATTTTGCGACTCGACTTTTTGCGATGATCAATGTCGGTCTGATTACACAGGTACCCAATTTTTCCATTATTTAAAAATTTAAATAATACAACTTTAAGATTGCGATACTTTTTGTCCCTGTGGGGAGAATTGTCCAAATGGGTGTGTTAGTTGCAGCAATCAATTCTGTCCAAATCAATCGGTTTAAATAAAAGTTCGATTGGTGCATTAAACTATTTTTAGGATTATTTCCTCCTTGTTTTCACCTATAGTATGATGGACAATTATCTTATTTCGCATGATGGTTCCTTCAAGAAAACGCCCTCTATTGATGCTCCTTCTGATGATTACACGAAATACTCGGTTTATGCCATCCTCTTTGATGATCTTCATATATTTGGCGGGGCATCTGATCCGAGAAAGATCGCAAAGCTCAAAGGTTGCGTCTTTTCTGAGCTTTCTGTTCGCACGAGTTTCAATATTTCTTATGGTGGTGCTGCTCTGGCAATGAATGATGAGGGTATTTACCTATTATTTTGACCAAAAAAAGGTTATTTTTAAGTTCTGATTTGCTTCGAAGACGGCAAGCCGTATTCATCGTGTGAACTTTTTGATGGCGAACAAGTTTCAACAACCTTCTCGACCGCTTACACGCATCAGCTAGGAAAACTCGGACTGTACAATGGAAATCCAACTACTGTAGGTAGCAGCGAAAGCGACGGTTTTGGTAAAGTAGAGACACTCTTTTCTGATGGCTGGATACTTCTTGCTGACCACCCAAAGTAGTAAAAAAGCATACGTTGTTTTGAATGATTTTAGAAATCTTTTTGGACATACACTAACTGGACTTCCAACAGGTGAAATGATTCTTGCCGCTGGATATGACAGAGATACGTATGTTTATACCAAAGAGGTCTGGATTCTCAAAGATGATATTTGGTCTTCACTTGGAAGTCTTCAAAAGGTCTTATTTCTCTGCAAATAGTCACTGCTCTAAATTGACCTTTTAGTCGAATTACCGAGGCTCGTCAATTCTCATCGACTCATCTATTTTCATCTTTGCTGGTTATGGACCGTATTGGGATTACTCTATCGAAAGAATAGATCTGAGCGGCTTTGAGATTTCCGAAACTGAAGTAATTGGGAGCCACAAAGATAATTGGGCTGTTCCAGTGCTTTTTCAAGTTTCAGAGAATTACTGTATTTCTGATTGAAACAAATCAGTTTTACTTCATCGTAACATGTTTTATTGATGAATTTATGCAGAAAGAAATAAAGAAATGGGTCGGTATTATTGAACACCTTGAGAAAAAATGGTATCGTCGAGTTTCGTGTCAGTCCGTTGCGAGAGATCCGTTATTTATCTGTTTTGATTATTGATTGCATGGGCGGTTTCCGTTGCAGCAATCAACAGAATGGGCGAAATCACAAAGAAGCTTGTCGGTATCCCAGTAGGTTCCGGGAGGACAAGTGAAATCGACATTGCCGCCGTTTGAGCAGAGAAAATAGTGGTCACACAATTCTGGATTAGGATAGTAGTTGCCGGAAATACAGTCGCCACCGGGAGAGGATGTTGGTTTAGGGGTTGAACCAGTGCCTTGAGTCGTCGATTGGGTAGAGATTGGAGCACCAGTGGTCGTAGTGTATCCATTGTGCCAGTAGTTCTTGGCTGCAGTCATGAGTGGGTAGGGACCTTGGCCGCAGAATTGACCAGTAAAGTCGTCAAGATCGATGGCCCACCACATGATTCCTCCGAGGTGGTAGTGCTCTGCCATCTTTGTCTTGTAGACAATAGATGAGGGGTCGTCGTATCCGACCCAATCGCCTTGGCCAGTGGCATACGGGGCTTCGATTTCGCTATCGTAAGTGACTTGCCATCCGTGATTGCGAATTTTGTCACAGATCTCGTAGTAGGAGAGAAATCCGCCTTCGCCGGTGTATTGTCCGGGAGCGCCTGAGCCAAGGCCTGCGTAGTTCAACTTGACTGGAGCCATGTAACCATTGTTGCTCGGATCTTCAAGTTTGAAGGATCGGCCGTATGCGCCAAGTCCAAGAGCGAGTTTCTGGGGGTCAGCGCCTTGAACGAGCCAGTTTTCGACAATCCATTCGACTGAATCAGTGTAATCAAGTCGTGAGTCGGACATTTTATTGTGAGCTGGAGCATGGTGTCCGGTGAGTTCTTCCCAGTGGCCGTGGATGTCGTATGCCATGAGATTGATCATGTCGAGGTTGTCAGAGAGATTCTTGACGTTGTAGCTTGGGTTTTCTCCCTCGGGGCCGTGGTAGATCTTGTCAACGCCGATTCCGACAGCAGCGGTAAGGAGGAATCCGGGGACCTTGTTGACTTCTTCTCGGACGATTTCGACCATTCGCTGGAATCGCTCGTAGTCTTCCTGGGGACTGGTGTCGACAGTCGTCTTTGCTGGGTACTCCCAATCGAGATCAAGTCCATCGAAGCCAGTGTCGAGGCAGTACTGGATCGAATTCTTAGCCCAGGTTCGAACAGCATCCCATCCTTCGTCCAACATTCGGGTGAAATCGGTCGATCCATGATTCCAGCCGCCAACAGCGAGGAGAGTCTTGAGATGAGGGTACTCTTGTTTCTTGTTGTTGAATCGAGTGTACATGCCGTCGGCCCAGGTCTCGTCTTTGTCGTTCCATTCGTAGGGGCACATGGTCCAGCCGGAGCTTTCCTTGCACATTTTTGAGAAGGAGTAGATCAAATGGGTGCAGAGGGAGCCATCAATGTCTTCTGGGTAGAATTTACCAGGAGAATTTCTAGAAAGGAATGAGCGACAAGGTTTTCTGATGAACTTTACCTGTATTGGGACCAGTTTGTATGGTAGCAGACAATCCATTTCTTGCCAGAGTTGACGACATCATTTGAAGTGATGCGGGCAGCATCGATTGTGCTTGAAGAAGCGAGAAGAGCTGTTGAAAGCTTATCAATGGATTTTCAAAGAGGAACTTAATTCGCTCGAAAATGAGCTCGAAAAGACTGCAAATCTTTTCTATTAAAAGCAGATTTTTACTAGAATCTCTTTGACTTGAAAATCCATTCCTTCATATTTTTGATCTGATTCGAAGCACCCGCAGGCTTTCAATTTATAGATGAAATTATGTTTGAGCATTGAAATTCTCAAGTATCGTCTGACGTTTGCGGACAACGACACCTCGTAAATCTAGTTATCGCTCAAGACGCAATAATTGTGGAAAACGCATTAATCGCCTAGTTGGAATCTCTTCCAAATTGTATGAAAAGGTGTCTTGTGATTGCTTTGCGTAAGAAGTGGAGAACGTGGTCACTTGAAATGGCGAGTGTCGAGGCAAAACGACGCATGGAATTTGAGTTTTATGGCTTTGGTTTATGGAAACTCTCACAATGGCGATCAAAGGTAAATTATCACGAGGTTCGATGAAAGAAATTTTGTGAATCAAAGTTGATTTTCTTTATTTCAATGTTTTTTTCAGAAAAAATTGTCTCACTCATCCTTCTTTTCTTCAATTTCTGACTCTTCTCCTTTACAGACGGGGCAAAGTTGATCGCATTCTGCCCAACATTGATCGCAGTAAAAACACTCGCAGATTGCACAATTCACGAGTTTCCCTCAATAATTTTTATTTTTGCTCAAATTTAGTAAAAATACCTTTTACATGACAAATGAGGCATTTGTATTTTACTCCTGAAAAAGTCCAGAATGCAACTCTCGAGAAAGTAATAAGCTTTTTGTTCGTTTTATACAGCTTTCTTGCCATTTTTCTCATCTTAAATAATTATATGCCATGTTTTTCATGCTTTACGGTACCTGCTTATGATAAGTTTTTCGATTCTGAAAGATGCTCCTGTATAGCCAGATCATTCTTGCATGCGCGATCGACGGGAAGAAATACGAGCAAATCACGTGACGGCATCGAAGAGTTATTGGCGTCGAAATTATCGAGGCAAGTATGAGAATTTGGTAGATTCTTATCGAGTCGAGGAAGTCTGGGTCGAGAATCTTCATTTCTTTCATGCAGATTGTCGTGTTGAAGGTCTGGACGATGTTGATTTCCATCTTGTCAAAAGCCCTAGAATTTCATGAACAAGGATTTCAATAGAGTTTTTTACCTGATCGTATTTCGGATGATTTGCGCTAGAACACCTTCGCCAATGACGGTTATTTCGTGTTTGTGGTGCATTTCTCGAATCTTCTCCTGTGCGAATCCTTTGAAGATTTTATATTTTTAATTTTTAAAGGAAAAATACCTGTTGTCATCCATTTTAAAACGATATACAAGTTGTTTGTCAGCCAAACAGCTCCGTAAACAATCCCCATGTAAATGATAGTTCTGAAAACGGCCTTGATGATCAATTTCTTTTCATCTGTCTCGATTCTTGGGCTGAAGAAAGAAAAATACTTCTTCTTCTCCAGTTTTTTGAGAGGGAAAATGTACGGCTTTCCAAGTTCTTTTCGTCTTCGATCTTTTCTCTTCAGAGGCTTCGTGATGAATTTGTTGTCGAAGGAGAGTTCTTTGAAGTCTTGAACATAGTTGAAAGAGTCGAAGATGGCTGACATTCCATAGACAACTGTAAGAAGCCGAAGAAAGGCGCGGACAACATCGATGAGTTCGACGGCGTTGAGGTTGTACTTCATTACTCGACCGATGAGACGGTTAGGATTGAGCTCGTCAAGTTGCGGGGGAATCACTTTTTATGGGTCGCGACAAACTTTCACTAAAAAATTTTGCTCTTTCAGGCCTATTCCTTCGAAATAAGCAGTTCCCTCGAACTGTCCAAGAATTTCATCTTCTGCAAGGAAAAGTCGGTTTTCAGCTTCCACCAGCGCATCATCACTTAAAAAGATCTCAAATCGAATGCTTTATCAATTTTTTAGCCAGAGAATTTGCATTTTATTTCTAATAAGACCTTATCTTGGAACACCGCCTTCTTCTGGCCTAAGTTCGCATCTTTCAATATTCAAGTTGTTGCAGGAATTCTTGATTCCGGCCGCAATCAACGAGCAAATACCAGAAAAAATAGGATTGATGGACATAATCGTGAAAAACGTCTTCAATCCTCCTTTATGATGCGCGTCCATTTCCTCCATCTTTTTCTTGGCAAAAACAGAAGATGATGCCGCGTTGCAAGTGCCCATCATAACTCTCCAGTACACGAAATCGTGGCATTTCTGATTGGCAGTGACCATCATTTCTTTGCATTTCTGGACAGTTTGCTCTTGAAAATGCACGCATTACCATTTACGCTTGAATAAAAAAGGCAAATCACCTCTAAAGGTCGCTCCCTCGACATTTGACTCAACATCAAGAGCTTGCGCGTCTAGTTGCTCTTCCATCTCTTTTTCTAGTTCTTCGAACTTGATCAAGTCTTCCAGCATCTGGTTCCATCCTTCTCGGATCGGTTTTTTCAAAAGATCGCGAAATTCGGTCTCGTAAGCGTCTTTTTCTTCGAGAATACAAGATGCAGTTTCGAAGGTCTAAAAATATCTCCAAAACTCATTTTTAATTGCGTAACTTACCGACATAATGTTTGTTTGCAAACTGCTAAACGGGCCATTGAGGGTTAACAGGAGAATTTGATTAAAAAGGAGGGATCTTGCAATCTTCGTCCCGTAATTTGGCAGCAAAATATACTGAGCGCACCTGCCCTCGGAAGTCTGAGAGCCGAACAGGAACATCAAGTTGATCATTCCAAAAACGGGCCACATCGCGTTCCTGAGTAGAAACAATAAAATTATATAAAATTGAAATACGCAGGTAAACGAAATGTCCTGATGAAATGACAATTATTTGAAATTGAAATCATTAGTATCCGGTTCGTTGATAACATCGGGTGAACTGTTGCTTACTTTAGTTTGTCACCGCTGAAAAACGGATTTTTCTCCCCCGGAAATCCAAACATCGCAATGAAGACCATTGATCCTGTGAATAAAGCTGCAGCTGCATGAAAAATTGAACTATTCTTCGTCAAAATCGCCGCTGTCAGGACAACACACACAATCATCCAAATCCAGTACAGTCCGTGAAGTCGGTACTCATCGGGTAACTGATAGACTGGCTCCCTTTTTGAACCAGGGTAGCTAAACCAACATCAATTCAAAGGACTACAACTGGGTTCTCTTGCCTGAAAACCGCGACGTAAAAACATGCGCAAATGAAAATGCTGAAGATAAACTTAAAATGCTTCGGAAGTTTTTCTGCCGTAAATTCTCTCATTTTTTCAATTTCCGGCAAAAAATACAAGACAAAGTTAAGAATCAATTTCATCTAGAAATTATTCTTTTCAGATTTTAGTGAATGTGACTTTATTTGTTAAAATACAGTTTTTAAACAGCAGTTGCTCGAGTTTGATCATTCTCAACTTCGATTTCTTTCAATTTGTCTCTAAATCGCGCCGAGCACTCTTTCGAAAGTCGTCTCAAAACGATCTTGTCATCTTCTTCCAATACATTTGTTACTGAAAAGACAGTTATTGATCGATTCCCGTAGACAAAACTTACATTCAGAGAACTGTCTTTGAGTCAAATCAAAATCCCTCCCAGTGAGATTTTTCTCCAACCTAATGAGCTCGAGAAAATCCTTTTCAAAATTCTCGTTACTGTAGAAAACTTCGCCACTTGAACTGTTTTTGAAATCTTGGTAAATTGAGCTTCGCATTGCTTTTTTCCGCGTTCAAAAAAGGTTATCAAATTTAATTCCAGCACATTTGTAAGTTGAAACGCGCTCCTTTAGTAAATCCAGGAGGAAATTCTTCTTTCGTAAATGTTTCTTTGAATAATTTTGGAATAGAAGTTGACCGATTCGTAAGGCTTTTCGTCGCTTGCTCGAGAATATGATCGATTCTACTGTAATTATTGTAGTAATACAGCCATCTAGTATCTCCAATATCTCCACAGGACTCTTTGACGTCTTGCAAAAAGCTGACAAATGAATCGTTCTATATATAATTTTACAAAAATATCAAGAAATGTCATTTTACCTTGATAGATTCGAAGTTGCCTCGTAGGAAGAAGATGTATTTCTCCATGATTGCGTCGACAAAGCTCGACCGAACAAGTTCATTTTCGATTTTTCCTACTCCGCGGATCAGATTTTTGATCAGTGAAATATTTCCGTCGACTGGAATCGCGTTCAGGTCAATTTTCGCACGAGCGGGGTTGAGTGTTGCTCCTAAACGCACGTTTTCCCAGTGATAGGATTTGGCAAGGAAGTCGCTGAATTGGTTGACGTTTTCTTGAGTAAGTCGAGCGCCGAATTGCTCCGCCATGTCCAGTCGGCCGGAGCAGCAGGCGGCGATAAAGAGCTCGGTGTTGGCGTTGAGATTCAGGTTGTTCATCATTTCTGACAGAAGCTTGCCCATGATCTTTTTCGAAAAGAGCCGATCTTGGGAGCTTATCAAGTCGGCCAAGAGCGCTCTTATATTCGAAATATCCAGCGGAAGATCCAGTCCTACTTCTTCCAGTTTTTCCATGATCTCTGGCCCGGTCTCGTAACGATTCAGCAGCGCAATTTTCAACCTTTCTTTGAGCATCGGAATTCTTGAATCAGGAAACTTACTCACTGCAGAAGTCGACAATCCAGGAAATCGAGCAAGAGAGCTGTACAACGCAAGGTCAGGAAGCGATTCTAGATTTCGAATGTGTCTACCGCGGAAGCACCTGGCGCTGGAGACCTTTTCTGTCGAGTTGATTACTTCGATTTGAGAGAGCTTTGGTTGAAAATCGTAGCTGGCATCGGCAACATAATCCTTCACTTTTTCATGGAAGTCGAAAATAACCTCTTCTGACTGACTCGTTTGGAGGATCTTGTCATAAATACCGGGTAGAAGCTCAAAAAGCTTCGTTTGATCGCTGCAGACTTTCAAAATCTCGACATTTTTCCCGAAAAGATCGAGAAGTGGCTCAGCTGTATCTGATTTTGAAAGAACACGGACGAGATCGACGATGAAATCGGAAGGCAAAGCGACCAGGTACTCTGGTTTGCTTATTTTGGCAATGTCTTGGAATCGGATGTGGGGCTGGGTGGCGATGAGAGTGACCATTGAGGCGAGTTCTGAGACTTCCACTTCGTCCGGGTCGTTTTTAATCAGCTACAAAGATCATTATCTGGAATTGAAAGCTGTGACAGGTTTTACCTGAAGACTGTCGTCTAAATATCCAAAAAGCTGTCCTAATGGCTCAAGAATCAGCAATTGCCTCATCTCTGTTGGCAAGTCAACAAATTGGTTCTTCTCCGACTGTGTCGGGAAATCGACGTATTGATGGCTCTCAAGCGAGCCAATCACCTCTTGAAACTTTTTCTGCTTCTGGAGGTAGTTGCTGTAATCCATCGGGTAGTAAACGATATGGTTAAAGATATTGTGGAACTGCTTCCGCTGGAAGGTTTCGGAGTCCATCGAATTCCAAGCGGCGAGAAGAAGGTCTTTGATCAGTCTTATCGCCAAGTCTCGATCGCCGTTGATGTCCATTTTTCGTAGCAATAAATTGAGAGCAGCGAAGCTCGAACTCGTTCCTCGCTGTTTGATTGACCAGTTGACATAAGACTGGGCGATTTCTTGAGAAAACTGGGCCGAAATTGAAGTAGATTCGTTGAGAAGCAAGTCATTGATTGAGATGAACAGCTGATTGGTGCCTTCGTGCTGAGTGGAGGAGGAATTTTTAGCTTGAAGAATGAACTGGATGAACTTTTCGGAAAAGCCAGCGAGGCTCTTCCTGGTTATTTCTTCTGAATGCGGGAATCCAAGCGAGATGTTTTCAGCAAAAACGGCAAGTAGCTCTTCACGATCTTCATCAGAGGACTCGAGGAAGAGCTTCTCGAAGTTGGTCAAGCGATCGGCTTTGAATTTTTCTTCAAATTGGGCGAAAAACACGGACCCGAGGAAAATTGGATCAGCCTCGTTTTTTCGGTAGAGCTTGAGCGAGTAGTCGACGAAGCGCTCTTCAAAAGCTTTAATTCGTTCCCAATGAACTCGTTTGGGATTCTTCGCGTCGGTCTTGATCGCCTGTCGGGTCGCAATGAAAGAGAGAAGCGATGGAAGCTCTTCTGGACTTTGCTCGAGAACGTCTTTGGACAATTTCAAGAGCATCGGGCTTGATTCTTCGAACTTATTCACCTTTGAAAGCGCATCGTGATTTGTCACTAGCTGGAAGGGGGTTGAGTGCCGCATGAAATTCTCAAGAATTCGAAGATGTTGAGCTACGTCGAATTTACCATCATTATGAAGAGATCGGTAGAGTGTGACGATGTCTCTTGGGCGAAGAGACCACTTTTCGGCTTCAATTTTTCTCAAAATTCTGTTGATTTCGTTTGCGTCAAATCGCTCCACAGCGTTAACTAACAATGATAAGTAGGTATTCTTGCGTTCAGTAGAAACCCGGCCGCCTCGTTCTAGTCCTTTGAGCCTTTCCTCTTGAGCAAATTGCTCTTTTTGATTTCCCACGCGATAGAAGCTCGGGATTAGGAAACGCTCAAAGTTCTTTGGTAGCTTTAAATCGCGCATGATTGCGTGCGAGCCCTGGATATCATCGTATTCTGCCGATTTTTCGATCAGTAGACGGCCAAACATCAGGCGCATTTGGTTCGCTTCTTCAAGGTTGAAATTTAATAATTTTTGCGCAGCCGCGATGGCGAGCTGGTTCGATTCGTGGTACAGCTCCCAGAGCACCATTTCTACTTCGAGAAGGGGCGATGCAACGACTTTGCATTCCCGTAGTAGGGTCATGTACTGTTTTGCATCTTCTGTTAGGCTCGTAGTGCTGCGAGGGTCGTGTATAAGATTCATAAAACTAGCATTGTGAAGGGCGATGCGTCGCTCATGATCGACCGACTCCAAGTCAGACAAAATCGAACTCGTAGGAAGCACCCCATCAAGAAAACTTCGCCGATAAGCATTAAGAAACAACGAGGTGGAATTTTTATCTGGCAGTTCGGCTGAAGGATCGATTATTCCTTCCCATATTTCATCCCGGATTCTTTCATTTATTACGCCATGATTAAACTGGAGCTGGCCGATTTGCTCGAGGGATTTCGAGGAAAGTGAGGAAGAAGCGAGTCGCTGAGAGGCGGAAACGAGCCGATTTCGAAAGCCAGAACTTCTCAACATCCTCTTGAATTGTAAGATTTTGAAAAGTGATTCGAAATTGTGAAAACTTTTATTGATAAAGGCAGTGAGTGAACAAAAACAGTGAACTAAAATTTTTGGGGTGCGCGTCAATAGCTACGGTTTGGGGGGTTTGCGTCAGTAGCTACGGTTGCGTCAATAGCTACGGTGCGTCAATAGCTACGGTTAAAAATGAGTCATAGGGACCATAGAAATTGACACACAGTTTAGAGTGGGCATCAACCTAGGTCGGGTTTGCCGGTTATTGAGATAACCAGAAGAATCTGAAGCTATCTAGGTCGGTCGGAACGAGAGTGTGGTCGCTTTTCGCTTACAAAAAAGTAATAAGTAACATTGTGGACAATGTTTGTTGAATAAAGGCTAAAAATGGTATTTTTTCATATTGGTATCATTTTTGTAAGCGAAAAGCGACAACACTCTCGTTCCGACCGACTTAGATAGCTTCAGATTCTTGTCATTTTCTAAATTACCGGCAACCCGACCTAGGTTGATGCCCACCCTAAACTGTGTGTCAATTTCTATGATCCCTATGACTCATTTTTAACCGTAGCTATTGACGCACCGTAGCTATTGACGCAACCGTAGCTACTGACGCAAACCCCCCAAACCGTAGCTATTGACGCGCACCCAAATTTTTGCCTAACTGTAGGTGAGGAATGTTTTTTCTTGTTTTTTCTAATCCGAGTCAGAGCCAGCTGCGAAATCGTCCATATTTACAGAAGCTGTCACAGCTGATCCACTCGTATTTTTTGAGGCAGAAGGGGTGGAAGAAGAGGTTTTCAGCTTTTTTGTGGCAGGAAGCTCGGCAGGGGTATCCTTTCTCTTGCCGAAATTGATCTTGCCTTGGACCTTGGTTGACTTGGCAGCGGCGTTGGATTTTTTCTGCTTGTTCCTTAAAATAATTGCTTTAGTGAACGAATAACGGATGATAACAAAGTACTAACCTGAAGTTGGCGAACTTCTCCCTCGAGGTCTTTGGTTTGGATCGATGAACCTCCATTTTCGGCAGTTCATCGAGCTTTACTTTCGTTTCGTTTTCTTTGTTTTCCCCGCCAGTTTTTTGGGCAAAAGGATTGTGAGCTTTTCGACGAACAAGCTGCTCCGCAGCCTTTTCTCGCTCTGCCTGACGAGAGGTTGAAGCTGATGGTCGAGAGAAGAGGTTTTCTGATCGACCAGACCCTGATTTTTAAATAAAGCATGTATGGCTAAAACGAATGAGTTACCTGATGAGCGGCTACTTCCGACCGACATGTTACTTCCACTGCGAATTGTTGTCCGATTAGTTCGATTAATAACTTGGTTGATTTCGTCCTCTTCATCAGAAGAATCCAGGCCGGATCGCTCACGAGCAAGCTTATTCAGCTTTTGAGCAAGTTTCACGCGTCCCTAACAAATATAATTAGCCTTTAGGACAGATTGAGGTTTACCTTATTGTTGGCGAGTCGTACCGCCATTTGAATTTGCGCCGGGTTCTCGAGCATTTTGCAAATCTCATAGCCGCGGTCGTCAGCGTCCTGGATGATCGCACCAAGCAAAAGTTTCAAAATGCCCTTAGTGATTTGTTTCTGCACGAGTTCTTCCATCGTTTCGTCCGACTTGTATCCTCGAGATTGGAGAGAGTAAATCGTTCCAGTTACGTTTTCATTCATTATCTTATTGTATTTAAAAAGAGTATTTTCAACGATTTCCTTACCAAATCAGCTTCTTGAACGGCTATATCCGTCTTTGGATTAACAAGCGGCATGTTCATTCTCAGCGTTTGAACTTCAGGTCTTGGATGTGTTTCTGGATAAGTCGAGTTGTGGCAATGAACAGCTGCGATTTCTTTGTTTCCTTCGTTGACCGAAATCACGTACCACCAATCGACCGTCTTGAAATTCTTTTTGATCGTAGTCATGTTCGCCACAGGAATCCATTTATTCGTAATCCACGACACTTGAATCGAATTAAAACTCGTTGGTGTTATTTTGGCTTACCAATTCTGACGACACCTTTTGAATCGTAAATCGCAGGAGTTCCTTCGTCCGTAAAACCGGCCCAAGAAAGTCGAGCGCCCGAAGAGAGGCAGATCTCAGTCGGAACTGGCAGCGGCTGGCGCTTTTTCTTGAAACTCTTTTTGATGGTTATTATTCCACAAGCCATGTATTGCTCTCCTTCGAATCCTTGTCCGCGATGGTAAACATAGAACAGTTGCTCGAGATTTGCTGCGATCGTGACGATCTGACCGGGGATCGAGATCAACCTTAACTGTGCCCCGCCATGCGAAAAGACGCGAAGATATCTACAAAAGACTTGTTTTTCTTAGCAATAATAGAGAGCCCATTACCGTACTGAAGTAGCGACCGCGACAGAATCTTCAGATGTACAAACACACTCTGCAATTTCTTTTCTTGGCAACTCGATTTGCCATTCTCGGTTCTTGTCCCACCAGGATTTGAAATTCATCACTTTGACGACGGACTTTTTCTTCTCGATTCCTTCTGATTCGCCTTTTGAAGCCAGCACAATCGCTAAAATAACCATCAAACACCGATTAATAATCGGCGATTATGAAGTGAAACTCCTACCTCTTTCAGACAAATCACCGAGAACGAACTCATTTTGGTTGGCAATTTGTATCGAATGGTGGAGCGTTGAGTCATGGAAATCGACGATGATCGACGAAATTCCTCTCTGCTCGTCGACGACTCCTTTGATGACCCCTGTCGCGTTCCAGCAAAGATACCTCGTCGCGTTGTAAGTCGGCGTCTCTCCGGGCTGAAAGGCTTTCTGCAGCTTTGACGGCTGTAAACCGTCGTAGAACGGCCCCGCTGGACCGTCAGGATCAGCTTCTGCGTCTGAATCATCTTTTGGCTTTTCCAGTAGGACACTTTCTTTGATCGCGTTGAGGCTGATTGCGTTGTTGGAGTCTTCGTCATAATTCCAATTTGGTGCATCGTCGTTTCCGTCGTCATTTTCTGGCTCCGAGCGAGCATCTTCTTCCCAGAGCGCTTCCAAATCGTCCACATCGTCGTCAGCGTCCTCATCATCCGCTTCATCGTCAACGAACTGGTTCCTCTTTCGATCGTCAGAATCTGATCGATCAGACATGGCGACTGAGCTTTCCGAGGACATTTTCATCGCGGCAGCTGGTGACTTCTTTTTCATTTCTTTAGTGATGAAATCGCTGACATGTACAGCCATCAAGAAACCAGACGTTTCTCCAATGAGGACTTTTTTATCGGTGAAACAGAGGGATGAAATTGACGAGTTATCTTCTATTTCAATTTCGTGAATTTTCGCAAAACTTAAAAAAAAAACGATGAAGGTGCTTTTATCGCTGTTTATCTCACTGAACGAAATCGAAATCTATGCTTACCTGTTTGAGTCGTAGAAAGAAACTGTTGTGATCCAAGCAATTGCTAGAACATGTCCGCATTTTGACCAAGCAAGAGTCTTTGTAGCTTCATTTCCGTCGCTTATCTCATGAAGCAAAGTTCTATCAGAGCGGTTGAAAACCTGCGCTCCATTTTCGACCAAAACTGCGATGAGCTCTCCACTTTCTGGCTGAAATTCCACCGTCGCCGGACATTTGGCATGTTCAATATCGCTGCATCTTATGAACAATTTTTGCTCGAAAATCGACTGCGACGAAGAAAGATCCCAGATTTTGAAGAAGCCGTCGCAGGAGCTCGAAGCAGCGAGTTCCCGGCGGGGATCGAGGGAAACACTGAGGATCGGGGCTTCATGACCTTCTAGGATTGTCTCTTTGTCGGCTTGTGTGTCTTTGTGTTTTATTTTGAAGTCGCCAGCGCCGGCGATTGCTTGACTCTCGAGAGTCGCGATGCAGCCGATGTCGCAGGTGAATCGGAAGAGGGTGTAGTTTTTGTCTTCGAGAAGGGAGGGCCACTCGTAGCTTTCTGTATCGACGTTTTCGGAAGTCACGTGCACTACAAAATGGTAGAAAAGTGGTAAAACATGGAGAATCTACCCATTTCATACAAGTTTTAGGAGTTCCAATTCGTTGAAAAATAATCGAGCTGCTTACCTAGAATTTTATCGCCATGTTTTGCCGATACTGCGCATCTGACATCACCGAAACAGTCTAACTCCTCACATTCTTCTTCCAACCCTTTCGGCCAAGCTTTGACAAGACTCTCTCCCCAGGTCAAGAGCTTTCCATTCGTAAAACTGATCCCAACATTTTCATTATGAATTTTGTAGCGGTTTTCCATCATATTCTCTATTTTTATTACAGTAAAAATGAATGAACGAGCAACATTTCGGAAGAAAGAATTTTTTAGTCTAGAAAATTATTCTTCGCTTTCCGCGATAAAAAATCGAGGATTTAGATGAGCGGAGGACTTTTTCCCACGCTCCGCGGAAGACGCACGTTGATTGAAACTCAGGATAAGACGATTACAGTGTACTGTGAGGTATGATTAATTATACCGAATTTTCCGACGAAAGAAACTCCATAAAAATGGGCGAGGCACCATGCTACGTCTTGAGTTGTATTGAATTTGTTTTATTCATTTCTAAAAGGTTAAATTCGGCAGAGAAATTTTTTATGCCAAGTAATCGATTCCGACCTTCCATTATTTGAGATAATCAAAATGAAAGTAAGTTTTTATAATTCTCCTCAAAAAAGGAAGTAAACATCAGGACCTTAACTATTTTCAGCTCTTCGCGATCGCCACTACCGCTGCACAAGCATGGGAGCAGCCGAAATACTTCGATGCTCTGGCAAAGATGCAGCAACGATCAGGAGGTTGGGGAGCACCAGTCAACAAAATCGCCGCTCTCCACTCCCTTTGCTCACCTTTGACCCCTCCAGCAAACGCCCAGATCGCGTGTGACCAGTCAACCTGTGCGCTTGTTTGCGACCAGGGTTACATCGGAGTCGGCAAGCGACGGACAAAGTGCCGATGGAACACTACGAATCAGTTCTTCTGGAAGAGACAATTGGGAACTTGTGAGACCTGTGCTGATCTCACCGCTCCTTCTCATCTCGTGCAGACCTGTTCTTTCTCCGGCACTGGAAAGAAGAAGTGCAAGTACACTTGTCCAGCTGGAGAGAACATGACCCTCCCTGGCTCACCAATTCAGCCAAAGGTTTTCTTAACCGTCTGTAAGTGTCCTCGAGGAACAAATCCACGAGTTTGCGGCTGGTGGGGACGAAAGTTCTCAACAACCATGGCCGCAACTCAGGCTGATATTGATGCTATCACTTGCATCGAAGGAACCGCTACCACTCCTGCTCCAACAACGACAACCACCGCTGCTGCTGCTTCCACAACTGCTGCTCCGCCAGCGTCCACTACCGCTGCTCCCCCAGCATCGACTACAGCTGCTCCACCAGCATCAACAACGGCTGCTCCGCCAGCAAGTACAACCGCGCCGGCAGCCACTACAACTGGAGCCGGCGGATTTTCAAGAGATGCTTGTATTTCCCAGCTTACAAGTGATGGACATGCTGACCCAGCAGAAGGTAAAAATTCATTCTCTTCTCAAAATAATATTTTGCTAGCTTGTGATGCTATCATCCTCCACAACACCTACCGAGCCAACCACAACGCTGCTCCTTTCGGAATTCCCTCGGCCGCACTTTGCCAAGGAGCTCAGGCTTGGGCCGATAGCGAAGCAGCCGCTAATGCAGGAGGGCATACTGGAATGACGCATTCGGCTATCTCTGACCGACCAGGCGAAGGGGAAAATATGGCCTGGTCGTCTGCCACTTCTGGTTTTACCCTTTCGGCTGCCACTACTCTTTGGCAAGCCGAGGATGCTTACTGGAATTTCGATGATCACCAGGTTTGATCCTCAGCATAAACAATTTAACAAATAAGCAAGGAATGCACCATGAGTCCTCTGTCCTGCCCATCATGTGACTTTGGGCCGAACCCTAACTCATTTGGTGATTGTGGTCACTTCACTCAGAATGTCTGGAAGGTAAGAGACGACTCAAACTTGCTTCTGATAACATAACTATTAGGCGACTACAAGTGTCTGTGTCGCTAAGGCCGTTAATTCTGAAGGTACCTACATCGTTGCCCGATATGAGCCAGGAGGAAACATAATGGGACAATTTGTGGCGCAAGTTGACAGCGCAGGACCACTCGATGGCGTCTATGTAGGAGAACCACATCAGTCTGGAATTGGATTTCCTTAATTTTACCTGTTTTACATAGTCCTTGATTCCCTGTTGTTTAGTATCCTGCTATTGTTTTGAATAATGACTTCTCCTGCAATAAAAAGGTGACCAAGATAAGAAAATCAAGGACGAAAACGATAAATAACTGAAAATTTAATATATTGATAAGCCGAAACAATCGAAACTTGTAAAGCATGCAGTTATTCGTGACCACATCCTGACTCTATAAGGTCTTATTCAGTTGCGATCTGAATCATGCGTTCTATCGGATTTGAATCTGGCATAATAATTATCATTCGAGAGAGTCGCGATGAAAGTAAGATAAGTTATCTTCGATAACAAAATGAGATATTTTCCCTATTGATTTCCATAATAACAAATTTAAGTTATTTGCGTTTGTTACCACTGCTGCTCAAGCATGGGAGCAGCCAAAATACTTCGATGCTTTGGAAAAGATGCAGCAACGATCAGGAGGATGGGGTGCCCCAGTTGGCAGAATCGCCGCTCTCCACTCTCTCTGCTCTCCTTTGACCGCTCCTGCGAACGCCGAGATTGTCTGTGATCAATCTACTTGTGCGCTCGTCTGTGCACAAGGATTCATTGGAGTCGGTAAACGTAGAACAAAATGTAGATGGAACTCGACGAATCAGTTTTTCTGGAAGAGACAATTGGGAACATGCGAGACCTGCGCTGATCTCATTGCACCAGCTCATCTCACACAAGAATGCTCCTTCTCCGTCACTGGCAAAAAGAAGTGCAAGTACACCTGCCCTGCCGGAGAGAATATGAACATCCCGGGCGCATCAGTTCAACCAAAGATCTTTTCGACTGTCTGCAAGTGCCCTCGAGGAACAAATCCACGAGTATGCGGCTGGTGGGGACGAAAGTTTTCTACAGTAATGGCGGCTACTCAGGCTGATATTAATGCAATTACTTGCATTGAAGGAAGTGGCACGACTCAAGCTCCACCAAGCAGCACTGCTGGTCCAACAACACCGACAACGTTGGCTCCAACGGCATCAACCTCGACAAGTTCTTTTGACAGAGCAGAATGTATCTCCATGCTGACAAGTTTTGGACATTCTCTTCCTGAAGAATGTAATAGAAATGTCATTAAAAAGTAATTATGAAATTTCAGCTTGCGATGCAATTATTTTGCACAACACATACAGAGCAAATCACAATGCTCCTTCCTTTACGATCCCATCCGCCACCCTCTGCCAAGGAGCTCAGGATTGGGCTGATGCACAAGCGGACGCAATCACAAATGGACAAGATGGAATGAATCATGCCACAAACCTCCAAAATGTGGGAGAAAACTTGGCTTGGCTTCCAAGTGGTGGCTTTGAATACTCAATGTCTGAAGCGACCGAAAGTTGGCAGAAGGAAGATGTTTTCTGGGACTTCAATAATCACCAGGTTTATCTTGAATAATTTCAATTTTATAAAGCCAATCATAGGAGTGCACTGATAGTCCAACACCCTGTCCATCTTGCAGCGGCGGGGAAAACCCTGGCTCATTTTCCGATTGTGGTCACTTCACGCAAAACATTTGGAAAGTATGGTCACTATTAATTAATCCTCTTTGACCTTTTTCTAAGTCAACAACGACGGTGTGTGTTGCAAAAGCCATCCGACCACATGGAACTTACATCGTTGCTCGCTACGAGCCAGCAGGAAATATGTTTGGTGAATTCTTGGAAAACGTAGAAGGTCCACTCAACGGAAATACCATCGGCGGATCAACCTCGACTGCTGCTCCAACAACAGCGACGACGAATGCCGGAGCTGGTACAACGAACGCTCCGAGTACTTTTACGAGAGCCCAGTGCATTACTCAGCTGACTGCTGATAATCATGCTGTCCCAGAAGAAGGTGAAAACTCGAAATATATTTATGTTGATTTTATATAGCTTGTGATGCTATCATACTCCTCAACTCCTACCGTGCGAATCACAATGCTCCTGCACTGGGAATTCCATCTGCCTCGCTCTGTCAAGGAGCTCAAAATTATGCCGACTCACAGGCTCAAAGTATTTTTAATGCTGCCGGAGATGGAATGGCTCATTCAGCTAATACAGTACGACCGGGTATAGGAGAGAACCTCGCATGGCAGAGTACTTCTGATTATACTCTTTCTGCTGGAACAACCGCTTGGCAATCGGAAGATGCCTATTGGAATTTTGACGACCACGCGGTGAATTTAACTTCACTGAAAGACCTATAACAAAGGCATTATTAAGGACTGTAACGGAGATCCGATTCAATGTCCCGCTTGTGTTTTTGGGAAGAATCCTGGTTCATTCCTTGATTGCGGTCATTTTACTCAAAATGTGTGGAAGGTACGAGAAAAGAGGACTTAACGTTTAATTGAAAATCTTATTTAAGGCCACCACGACTTTTTGTCCTGCAAAAGCTACAAATGCGCACGGAACCGTCATCGTTGGCTGGTATGAACCAACGGGCAATTTTGCGGGAGAATTTATGGAGCAGGTCGATGGTCAAGGCCCACTCAATGGCGTGTTTGTTGGAACCCCGCACAATGCTGGTTTTCCTTGATGATAAAATCGTATTCATCAAGATTAAAAGAAGATGATCTCCTGTAGAACATTGATCTATTTCTTGTACAATAAAAATACTAAAAGAAAATGAATTCAACAAAGTTCATCGCAATAGATTGCATAAATTTCAAAAATTCGTGACGCAAGCTATTTTGAACGCATATTAAACATGTCTAAAAGATCAAATTCACCAGCGAATTTCGTCGTTTCTAAATCATTGAATCTAATTCCGCATTATTCGAGATAATCGTAATGAAAGTAAGTCGTGAACTAGATAAATCTTAGATAAATGTAGCTCGGAAGAGAGAAATATTTATTTTTAGCTTTTTGCTATCGCAACAACCGCTGCCCAAGCATGGGAGCAGCCGAAATACTTCGATGCTTTGGAAAAGATGCAACAGCGATCAGGTGGTTGGGGTGCTCCAGTTGGTAGAATCGCCGCTCTTCACTCTCTTTGCTCTCCACTGACTGCTCCTGCTAATTCTGAGATTGTCTGTGACCAGTCTACTTGTGCGCTTGTCTGTGCACAGGGATTCATTGGGGTCGGCAAGCGACGAACAAAGTGCAGATGGAACACGACCAATCAGTTCTTCTGGAAGAAACAATTGGGAACTTGCGAGACTTGCCCGGATCTAACCGCTCCTGCTCATCTCGTCCAGACCTGCTCTTTTTCAGTTACTGGCAAAAAGAAGTGCAAATACACCTGCCCAGCAGGGGAGAATATGAACATCCCGGGCGCATCAGTTCAACCAAAAATCTTCTCGACTGTCTGCAAGTGCCCTCGAGGAACAAATCCACGAGTCTGCGGCTGGTGGGGACGAAAGTTTTCCACAGTGATGGCGGCTACTCAGGCTGATATTGATGCAATTACTTGCATTGAAGGAACTGCTACTACACCAGCTGCACCAACAACTACTGGAGCTGCGGCTTCGACCACGGCAGCTCCACCAGCTTCCACCACCGGTGCTCCACCAGCTTCCACCACCGGCGCTCCACCAGCGTCGACTACAGCTGCTCCACCAGCATCTACGACTGCTGCTCCGCCAGCCAGCACAACTGCTCCAGCGGCCACTACTACCGGAGCCGGTGGATTTTCTAGAGAAGCATGCATTTCACAACTTACAAGTGATGGTCATGCGGACCCAGAAGAAGGTAATAGAAATAAGTAAGAATTTTTTTGACCAATTTCAGCCTGCGATGCAATCATCCTCCACAACACCTACAGAGCGAATCATAACGCTCCACCATTCGGAATTCCCTCCGCTGCTCTATGCCAAGGTGCCCAAGATTGGGCTGATGGTGAGGCTGAGGCTAATTCTCAAGGCCACACTGGAATGGAACATTCGGAGAACTCTGAGCGACCTGGTGTTGGAGAAAACATGGCGTGGTCATCTGCTACTTCCGGGTTTACGCTTTCCGATGCGACTACTCTCTGGCAAGCCGAGGATGCTTACTGGAATTTTGATGATCACCAGGTTTGATTCTCGGCATAAACAATTTTACATATTAGCAAGGAATGCACCATGAGCCCTCTGTCCTGCCCATCATGTGATTTCGGGCCTAACCCGGATTCTTTCGCTGATTGTGGTCATTTCACGCAGAATGTCTGGAAGGTAAGCTCGAACTAATTTGATTCAATCAGAAATTATTTTCACTTATTTTTCAAGGCCACGACTAGCGTCTGCGTCGCTAAGGCCGTCAATTCTGAAGGCACATATATCGTCGCCCGATACGAACCAGGAGGAAACATGATTGGGCAATTCATGGACCAGGTCGACAGCGCAGGACCACTCGATGGCGTCTACGTCGGAGCACCACATGACTCTGGTATTGGATTTCCTTAATTTTACCTGTTTTTCAACAAAAATAAAAATGAAATGATAAACAGTCTTTTTTAATTTAAACAAGAGCAATTTGCAATTTAAAATTGCCTTCTTCGACTGCCATACGCAGTTGCTTATCTGCCTAGTCAAGTTTATGACTTTCCCACTGAATAATGCAGTTGATGATTAGCCGCATTTTACTTCCCTCCTCATTTTCTTGTTTGCAAAACTGAAAATGGAGAGACCAAAAGTCGCCCCAAAACCGAAAATAGAGAAATCCAAGAGCCGGCAAATCGTACGAAGAAACACCCTGACAAACATTCGAGTAACCGAAGCCATCAAGGTAAGAACTCAAGAAATAAATTGAAACCTTAAAAATTCTTGAAGAAAATTCGAGTGAATGCCAAAACCTTCGAACAAGCAGTGGAAGAGTTCGAGAAAAGCATGAAGACTTTTGAAGCGCCTGTTTAACCCGTTTCCTGTGCAAAAATTGAGAATAAATTTGCTGATAGAAAAAAACAGGGGCGCTCTTGGAATTGAAGTGTTTGAGGGAATTCTTAACCGCACTTCCGGGTCACATCACTTTCCCCTAGTTTCAAATTAAAAAATTTCTCCTCAGAGAGAATTTCAAATGACATTTTCACATTCGGATACACGAAAACTTCTTTACCAGTGAGTCTTTTCTTTATAACCACTAAATTGTTTGTCTTCAGAGAACTAGAAGAATTGCGAAAACGAAGACTAGATGCAAAATTGAAAAGAAAAGATTTCGGTTTCTTACCAGGTCAGATATGGAAGTCATAACTCACGAGAAATAACGAAAGTTTCAAGATTTACACAAAAAAGTCGAAAAGCAAAAAAGTCTTTTTCGCCAAAGAACAAAAGAAAAAATCTTCGACGACTTTTCCACCTCTGTCCAGCTTCTGGAAAAATCACCAAAATCTTCTTTCCCGGTCGAGTCTATCAGGAAGCAATTAGGAAAAAGGTCATCATAATCGTCCCCGCAGCGAGAGTGATAAAGTCATTTTACAGATTTATATTGTCTCCAGTGGTTACCAATATTTTTTTATTGAGTGCACTTGAGATTTTGTCTGTTGTCTGACCTTGGAATATCGAAGATTGTTGATTGATCTTTGATAAGTGTACCTAGCTTGGTCTTTTGGATCCATTTGCTCGGGAGTCGAACAAGAAGAAGTAGGTTTTTAATTCATTTTAAGACAACCCCTAACACCTAACCCCTAACCCCTAACCCCTAACTCGGAAAGATTTCATGACGAATATAAACACTCAACTTACCAATGGTTTTTTAGCCGATTTTCCTACAGCAACGATTTGAAAAACATTTTCCGCACTCTTCAGAAGCTTCATGGAGATGGCTCTCTTTCCTCAACCGCGATCAAGGAGGAGAATCATTAATTGAAAATATCAATTTTCCAGGATAGTCTATCCTCCAATTTATCATGAACCTTATGATGATCTCCTTAATCAAGGTTTCTCGAGAAACATCACAGAAAAAGACCACCAACTGCTTCTTGAAAGATTTACCAAAAAACAAATCAAAGGTCTGCAAATGGACTCTCGAGATCAAGGCCTTATCCTTCGACAAATGAAGCAAAGTAGAGCTGAAAGAATGAGAGCGCTTGAGAAAATGACGCATCAACTGCATAGAAAATTTCATAAAGATCGTCAATTTCAGGTTCTGAGACTTGAAGCCTCTGTATTTATACTGTATAAATTTACAATTCAGATGATGAGGATGACCGCTAGAAGAGTGACTAAAACAAAAGGCCAAGAAATAAACCCACTGGAGACCTGGTTCTCAAAGTTCCTAAAGCGATTCTCTAATGAAGAAAAAGAAGAAATTTTCAAACAAGAACTGAAGGTACTTAAAGCCATCAAGCCGCCATATTTGGATGAAAAACTTACTGACAGCTTCATGCGATTTTGTCACAGAGTTGACAGGTATCTTCTTCAGGTATTTTGCCTTCAACAAAAGCTGATATTCTGATTTGTTTGGTAGGATCCTGACATGATCGGAGCGCTCTATTATTTGAGCTCTATTTTGAAGGTGAAAGGAGATTTTATCAAATTTGTGCAAATAACCAATCAATAAAGAAATTTTTAAATGAAAATATTTTATTTTGAATTTCGATGGAAGCATATTTTTTACAGTTTTTTGAAGTGTTTTTTTGATGAAAACGAAAGAAATACTATTTACAGATTCATACAAGAATGATATAAAATTTACATCATTCATCGGTTTGTGGATCAAGAATAAATGGAGAGAAATGGATGGCAGGTGGCTCGAGTTACTATAAAAAGGCGTAAATTTCAATTTTGTAAGATGGGACAGAGTGGCGGCGTCGAGGTGTCGGCCCGCTCCGGAAGTAATCGCTCAAAGTTTCGCGCCAGGGAGTGGTTACAGTTTTCGACTCTTGAGATTATTGGGACTCAGAAGTTGGGCAATTTTGCTCGGATTGCTTCCAGGTATAATTTTTCCGCGAGTGGATTGACGATTGGAGTGAAGGGCACGATTGGGACGGATTGGAGGATTTGTCGGGCGTATGCTGATGCTAGAGGGTTGGCGCCGAGGAAGAGGGGGAAATACGGCTTGTCCTCGACTGGAGAGCTGTTCAGGCTTTCGACCGGGAGACTGCGGGAGGTTTCGATGGAGTTTTCTTCGGAAGAATTCGATGGGGAAGAATCACCAGCGTTGGAGGAGTTCTCTTCCTTGATTTCACCAATTGCGGGATTTGAAGCTTCTGATTGATCTTGGGTACTGGAAGAACCGCTGCTGGAAGAGGAGCTAGTATTGTGCTTCACGAGATTTTCTTCTTGCTTGTTTTCCTCGCTGAAGGGCGAGATGGCGGAGTCCTCAATATTTTCAACGTCGACAACGATTTCGTCGATCTCCTCTTCATTCGTCGAGGAGCAGCTGCTGTCAAGCTTGATTTTCTTCGCATTTTCTTGAGCGCATTTGATCGAGGCCGAGCGTTTCTTGTCCTTGCGGGCGTGACCGTTATCGCGAAAGCCTTTCGCGAACGGGTTGTGATCGATCTTGAGCTGAGTGATGCGCTCGTTTTGGTAAGCAGTGACGGCGATGAAGCTCATCTCGGGGAAGGTAAAGGTTTTGGAGAAAGACGAACAGAAGGAGAGCTTGGAGAGATCATCGCATCTGGCAATGTGGAATCGGGGCTGGTATTTGTGCATCGAGTTGAGAATTGTCTGAAAAAAATTTTAGAAAATTGTTTTTTGGTGAATAATTTTCAAATGATATGTTTCCATTATGGTTCACTTACCGAGCCAGTTCGATCAGAAATATTGTTGGTAAGTTTCATCTTGTGAAATGAAATATTTGGCCGGGACATCCAGTGCGATCCTGAGCAGGGCGAATCCGGATGGATGAACATTCGTGGGTGCATTTCCGGGTCGGCTTTTCCAGCGACTAGCCATCGCCCGTTGTGAAATTTGTATCGGTTTTCGTCGACTGGAACGATGTCCACCATCATGACATAGTTGGCACGGGGGTCGAGGCCGCTTACTTTTGCTTTGAAGCTTGGAAACATTCGTCTAAAAGGGAAAAATTAGAATTTCGAAGGAGTTTTTTGTTATAAACCGTTCTCAAAATATATTTTTTTTGTAGAAAATGGTTTCTTAGCTTGATTTTTTGACTTACCGTCCGTTTTTGGTGATGACCATTTCAGTTCCAATCTTGTGAAAGTCTTCCCAAAGATGCTTCTCATCGAGTTCGGCTTTGATATCTTCATCGATGATTCTTGTTTCTTGTCTCTGAAGACCGCCAATGCCGGGTAACGCCTGAGAAGTCCTAGGAAAGCCGGTGAAGGGACCAGAAGGAGTGCCGAGAAAAGTTCGATGAGCAGCTGGGAAGGGAAAAGCTCCGAAAGGGCTGATCATTTTCGTTGTATTTTGGCGATATGAAAGTATCTATTTTTCAGGTACTCTCTGACTTGGTTTTTGAAAAAGAAGTTTTTGTTGAATCGTAAAGTGAAATACTGATAAGTGCTCGCTAATCGCCAATGTTGATAAATGTCTCTTGAAGAGAGCGAGCGGCGCTGTTGTCCGGCGCCAGGGAGCAGCGAAGCAGGGAGCTTCAGCGACTCAGAAGGTTACACGCGGATCATCTTCGATTCCCACCTGTTTTACTTTATGATATGGAAGTTTTTTTATATAAGAAAGTCCTTTACATGTTTCTCTGATTTCTCAGATTCTTGAAAAACAATCGAATAAAAAGCATAATTTTGAGTGATTTATATTCATATTTTAGATATTTTAATAATTCTATCATATTGAGGTTTATTAGTCACCCTTAAGCTTCAGTAGAAAGGCTGGCCATGTATGTACATAGCTGAAATTTCTTGTAAAACTTTGTTATTATTATAGGATATAGAAAAATATGGGTCTATTCATCTGAATGTCAAGAGCTCCGAAAAAGTCAAAAATTTAACATTCTCTAAGATAGTTAAGAATAGATATCTGTAGAGCGCCAAATATTTGGTCATCAGCCTTTGGGGCGGTAATCACATGATTTTCATTCCAAAAAATGATCAAAGCGCAGCCTTAAATTTGCGCAGATTTTGGACGCTACGTAAAACAACATGCGGTAAAATCGAAAATCATCATTATATTTGCGCCAACTCAACAATGTGGCGATTGGCGTGATTATATTTTTCGTAAATGGTAGAATACATAACTTTCCGCGATTGAAGTGTGACGGGCTATTGTTTGGCGCGCTGGACTCGGGGACACAGGTGCTTTCACCGGCGGCGGGTGGGCCCCAGCTCGGCGCGCGCCTCTGATCATACAAATTGGCGAAGCCGTTTTCTGGATGAAACGGGCTATGGATCTGCAAATAAGGCATTCTTTCGCTTTCAAATAGGCCTTCAAAAGTTCTTTTATAATATAAAAAAATGGATTTATTACCAAAAGCGTGAGTTGGTGGCCGAAATAATCCGCTGTGAAAGTCCGAACAAGATATTTTCAAAGTGAAACCACTAAACTCGATGTTTTTGTCTATGTGTGGCTCCGAATAGCTCGAATAATCTGCCTCTGATTCTCTTCTTTCACGCGTTATTGTATATTCTCAAGAATTTCGATCAGAATCGCAAATATTATTGGCTTAATTTCCCGCTTCGTGGTAATGCCATCGAAAGTAGCAGCGAAAGAGTACCTCTCGAGGAGATTTAGCATCATGCACGAACACGAGCAATGCCTTCGATATCAGCCCTTGCGATCTGGCTAACTAGGGGGCATTAAGATTTACACTAATTATTTGCCTTGATGAAATCAGTGCCCAATGACCTGGATAAACCGCGCTGGGCGAGGGGCGATATCGTGACTTGGGATCTCAAGTTTTACTACTTGTACCTATAATTCGCCGAAAAGGGGGTATATACAGCTCGGGTTCAAGGAAATTACAAAAAGGCAATCTTCAGCTGGGGCAATAAATCATGAAGACGTAATTATGGTCTGAGAAAATTGACAAACTTGTATCGATAAAGTTCTTATTGGGCTTTTTTCTTCGATTTTCTAAATATTGGATGAAAATGCAGCAATTATCATTTTCGGCCTTTTCATCAGAAATTTTTTCATAAATAAGGGAATCAATTTTTTTTGACCATTACCTTACCGCATAAAATTATCATTATTAATCCGAGCAAAATGGATTGTGCTTTTTTATTGTTAAATTCCATTTCGAGCAGGGACGAAATTCATGTCCAATTTTGTAGAAAGCTCCGGAAATTGAATAGCTTGAGAAAGGACTTTCCATTGAACGCCAAAAACTGCAACAATCAAAATCAAAAAATAAGTATTGAGTATTCAAGGACAAGAATTGTATTCCAGCTGGGAAAATGCGAGCGACAGCATGGTGAAAAAAGACAAAGAGACGGACACGGGTTGTCGGGTCTTATCCAAATAGTTTCCGGGGCATTATTTCTTACTCGTGTGAACTATCAGTTACTGAACTTATGGTCATATTGATAGAGCTTCATTCCTGTGATGAAATAAATTTGTTTCGCGCGGGATTTTTCTGGAAATTTTCCGGCTTTCTCCAAAAATTAAGGGAATTAAGGGTGTCAGAAGGCTATTTTGATTAAGTAGTATTTTTGATAGTAATTTAATTAACAACAAAATAAAAATAATGGCTGAAAACTGCGCCGTTCCGACGCCCCTATCAATTGGTGATGGATTCCGCGCCACCGAGTCCTGAGACTTTTTCTTCGCGTTAGGGAATAAACTTGATCAATAAGCCCTCTTTCTCTCTCCAATCTTCAGGTATCGTTATAGTGTGAATTAATTGGCTCGATCAAGCCTGAGTTGACGAATTCACCACCAGAACGACTCCAGCAAGTCTGGCAAGAAAAAAATTAACAATCGTATAGTACTATTTAGTTTTTGCTTTCTCAGGCCCTTCTATTTCAATAAAACGATTAAAATTCTTGATAAACGAATTCTACCCCCTTTTGAAAGTAAAAAAGAGTGGTGTGTAGTTTTCCACTTTGTCGCGCTAAATCCCTCCTTCCGTTAGGATTTCGGACCCTTCCGTCTGAAAGTACTCTTTTCAGCGCTAAGTACTTTACATTCGGAAGTGGACTTTGTTTCGCGAAAAACAATCATTCGAGTGTCCTTTTCGAAAGTTGCCGGAAAAAGAATCGGATCGGCGGTGGAGGAGTTGCGAACAAAGGGGATGAGCGGATCGAACAGATGGGCAATTTTTTGAACAACTATTCTTTCAATGCATCAATTAAAAAGGGCAATAAGGGTGTCACTGTAACGACTCTTTATTCGAATTATCTTATAAGGATACTGCTAAAGCTTCTTAATATTTAACAATAAAAAAAACATAAAAATATGTTAATTTTTCTCCTTTATCTTCATTTTTTCCGAGCCTGTTTCAGAATCCCCCGATTTTCATTAGAATAAATTGATCCTTTCAGGTCCTTTGCCTTCTGATTTTTCCAAATAAACGAATAATTGAAGGATTTGTTATCCGGAAGCTCTGTTGCTATTTTTGGCAATTATTCGCCTCACACCCGAATCGCCCGTAAATGACAAAACTCTTCCCGTAATCTCGTCTGATTTACGTCCGCGTGGCTATTTTAGGCTTGCGCGCAGCCGCCAACCATGATTTACTCGTTACAATGTCATAATTTAGATATTTACGCGCAATCTGATCTCACAGCTGATTTTCTTTTCGTAAATAGCTTTATACTGAGAAAAAATGGTGTCAATATCTTTTAATTCTATGGCTCTGCAATCTGTGTAGAAAACCTGAGTCAGGGTCAGAAAGGGCTTATATTTAAAGACGCATAGCGGCTTTTCTTCGAACGAAGCCGCGAAGCGGCTTCACGAATAAATTTTTACAATCCATGATAAAATTTTTGTTATTATATTTTATTTTTATTTTTTTACTAAAAAGAGCCACTGAGCGGCATTAATTGTGATTTTAGCGTAATTCCACAGTAAACCTTCGCCTTTATCCCAGAGATTTTCTGTCCTTTTATTGACAACCGGGATATCTTTAGGCTGTCTCTTCTGATCCAGCCGACTTTCCCTTGACTTTTTCTGGATTGAGGACTCACCTATGAGCATTTGCTCTATGAAGTAATCATGAGAAAGAATTACCAACAAGTTGGCATTTCCCTCTTGTTGCGCTAATCTTGCTGAACTTTTTCTGGTAATCCCACTGATCTGTCTGTTCGTTTCTCAGAAAGAAGTGGGATTTCAGAACGGGTTTCCCGGGGCTGGAATAACTATTATTCTAGAATTTTTTGACCATAGAATTCTTGAGTCGGGTTTGAGTTTTTGATTTGAGAAGAAAAGAAGCGTCAAAATTCGATAATTACGGATATTTTCTGCGTCTGGAGTCCACATCATCTAAAATGTTAAGGTGTCTTGCTGGTGTCATTTGATTTTGAATTTCCGTCAGCGAGGCTGATAATGCTACTGGTGGCATGGCTGGCGTCGCGCTGGTGTGTCCGATTTACGACGGCGCGGCGGGATATCAGGTGATAATGCGGCGGCGAAAATGGCATTTTCCTGATGCAGGGGACCTCGCACAGGCATCGAAACGTGAGTTTATGTCACTTTGGACGCGAGGGATGAATTTCAAAATGGCAGAATCCGACTAGAATTCCCACTTTTTATTTTCAAAAAAAAATGAAATCTTTAAAACCAGCTTTTCAAGAAGAGTTTTATAAAAAACTTGCCATGGTGACGCCCTTATTTGATCATTAAAACGACCCCCTTGAATTTGTTGGAAGATTTCCTCGATAGATTTTGACTTTGACAAATTTGAACGACGGTAATTATTTTCGGTGTCACTAGTCTCGCGCGAATTTGAGAGTGTGAGCGCGTCGTGACTTTTATTTTTTCCTGCTTCCGATAAGAAGCCCGTTTACTTCCAGGTCTCGTTTCCTCCCGGAACCGACTTCGCGTCTCTAATGACTTTTGCCAATCATAATCATAAAACTATGTTTTTTATCGTGTATTGTGTAAACTTCAACTTGGCTGGGTATTTTGATACTTGTTCAAAATCATATTTTATCCATTTTAACCTGTTTTTTGTCATTTCTTTTTTTGAACCCCTGATCTTCAACCCTTCACTTTTAACCCCTTTATGCCAGTGAACCAATTTTCGTGCAACTTTTACTCTCAACCCCTGTACTGTTTGTTTGTACTGTCATATTTTGCCCATTCCAGAAAATCCGATTTTACGCTTCTCCTTCTTGAAATTTGTCTTAATACCTGTGCCACTTGTCAGAATTCTTCCCCTTTCCTTCCGGTCTGCTCCGTGGAGCCTCCCGTTTGCTAAATAGGCTTTTTCGAGTTTATATTTTCGCCCATTTGTTACAATCCGCTGATGCGTGGCGAATCTATCACTCAACAGGAGGGTGTATTATTTATTCCGGAAAAGGGGCTTTTAGCCAGAGAATAGATATGCGTAATCGACCAAAAAGGGATCAGCCGGAAATCGGTGGTAATCCGTTTTGGGAGACATTTCTGCAAAATACATTTTCTGGTCGAAAATCTCGCTTTCATTAAAAGTCGATTTTCCCCGCTATTTTAAGAAAATTCAGCAGAGTTGGCGGAAATCAACTTCGATGGTGCGCCGCGCATGTACCATGACTTCTTCTAGGACATTGCGGCGCCGCGGCGGTGGAGTTTTTTCGGCGCCTGATCATTTGCCCTGAATAGGCTTTGGTGAGATAAATCGACACTCTAATCAGAGGGATCGCGCCCCGCGCGTCGCCTCTAATTGGCGGTGGAGCAGAATGGTGCCCTTTGAGCAGGGACGCCACGAGTCTGCGACATTGGCACTTCCCGGAAGCTTAGGCCACATCATTAGATAATCCTCATAATGAGCTCTTTTGTATTTTAGAAACTTCAAGTTCTTCTTCATTGAATTCAAATAATATCAAACCAAATGAACCAAGATTTTTGATAGGAATAGGGCTTCATTAAAACATTGCACAACAAACTGTCTACGAGACATTTATCGAAGCTTTTTGATTGGTGCACGCCCTTGATTGTTGAAAACTGTATTCACAAATGAACTTTTATGGCTTTCTTCAGTATTTCTAGGCGGCTCCATAATCGCTCAATTTCCGAACAACAGAGGGCGCAAATATACAAGGCCAGGATGCTCGTCGCCTCGGATGATCCTTTTCGTTTGATCTCGCCGCGCAGAAGTGGCCAGGATCTAACTCTACAAGAAGATTGATGGCGAAAAACTTGTCAGCACAAAAAGGCGAAAGTGGAAAAACGACGGCGCCGGACAGACCCGTGCTAGAATCGGCTTTGTTCAGGGCTTCGGGTCGGCGCCTGAAGGCTTCTCGAAATACACAGAAAAATCAGACTTGTTACGGTTCAAAAATAGTAATCAAGTGCTATAATTAAACAAGTGGCGATAAAGTGTGTATATTACGCGCCCTCTCCGGAAACAAATTTGACAAGCGGCTCTTTCAAAAATACCGCTGACCAGCAAAGACTCTACGCGACCGGATGTCAGCCATAATTAGGGGATGTCACTAATATACGCTCATAAGACTAATCATAACTCTAACGCATCATTTGTCAAAGAAAGGTTGCTATAAATAGACTTTTTTGTTTATTTTTACTAGAAGCTTGCTTTTTCTAGTTACGTTTTTCCTTTTGAAAAGTTGAAATCAAGGAAGAGAACGACCCGTAACGAGTCATTTTCCCTGTAGTTTCATCGTCCACCTGTAATTTGTTCCGACTGGCTTGGAACTAAAGAAATTGCCCGCGAATGCCAGGTTTAATAAATTTATCTTTTTGACACCTTCTAGTGACACGTGCCTGCGGCGCTTTTGATCCATTGTACGCCCGTGCCGATGGTGGAAATGCGCGCTTCCGCCTGCTGAAACCTGGCGCAAAGAAACTATAAACTACTACCTTTGCTCTGAACTAGAGGAGTTACAGTAAGGAGCAACTCTCACCTAAGGGCATACTTGGCGGACACATTTGGCGACCACTTGTGTGCCCAACTGCGCCAAGTGGCTTGATCAGCGAGGAGGATACAAATACTTAGATGCCCTCGAGATTGTGCGAAAAACCCATATTGTCTGACCTTGGCGCTAATTCTAAAGGAAGATGCCGCCTTTTTTGTATTTTCCCCATTCCAAAAACATAAAAAAGGCTGACTTCTTCAGTTGAAGCGAAAATTGAGTGTGTTTCATTTGGTGAGAAAAAAGTTAGAAGCTGTCATTTTTTAAACACCATTGCTTGGCTTTAACTAAAGGGAAGCGTGACAACTTGATTAATAATTTATTCTCTTTGAGCTCATCACCCCTACCAGACTTGTTTTCAAAGCTGAATGAGCGATTTCCAGCATGGTTCTAGGCAGAGTTTGAAATTTTCGTGACTCGCGAGCGGCTCTCTTGAGAGCGAGCGAGCACGAGCATGATGCTCTTTGTGCTCCCGAGCACATTTATTTCAGAGTTCGCGCTCTTTGCGCTCGCGAGCGCATTTCATTTCGCGCTCTCGCTCTCTTGGCTCTCGAGCACTGGTCGAATTGTGCTCTCGCTCGATCGGCTCTCGAGCTGAAAAAACTGACTCGCGAGCAGCCTTCAAGGGTCTCAAATGATTCGGCGGCCCCGTGACTAATTCCATATGAGTCCCTGTCACAGGAGTTAGCACCTCGCGGTGGGCATGTTTTATCTGTTTACATTCGGCTTTTCGCATTCTGCTGCCGAGATTACGGACCTAATGAAGCTTACATAAAACTAAAAGCACCAAAAATAGATCCTCAAAGAAATTTATTTATGAAAGTGAATAATTATGCGAAAAAATTATTCTTTTAATTTTGCTCGCGAGCCGCTCGTGAGTCAATTCCATGGCGAGCACGAGAGCAGCCGCTCCCGCTCGTCTAGCTCCCGAGCATTTCTGACATATGCGCTCGTGCTCTCTGCGCTCGCGAGCGGGTTCAAATTCGGGCTCGTGCTCTTTTGGCTCTCGAGCCAACTCATTTTCATGCTCCCGCTCCCCTGCTCTCAGAGCAATGATAAATTTTTGCTCTCGCTCTTTTCGCTCGCGAGCATTTGCGAGCATTTCAAACTCTGGTTCTAGGAAAAAAGATTGACGCCAATTCTGGATTTTTAATTATTGGATGACGATTAAATTTGCGTGAATCACTGGTTATAAGCTGGATATAAACTTGATTGATAAAGATGAGTGAATTCACAGCTATGGCGTCAAATAGGCGCCATTAGCAAATGTTAAAATAATCGCTTCCTTTTGAATTTCCAGAGCGGCGCCAGTGCTGACAGCTGAAGCTGCTGCCTACAAAATGGTTTGAGATTTGTCAATTTTATTCAACACCTAAAGAAACTCGAAAAAATATAGTTCAAGTTTGATAATACGATATTGGAAACAGTGTATCAATAAATTATTCAAGAAATTCAATAACCGAAGTGAGCAAAAAACTCTGCCAAAAAGATAATCGTCGCCAGTAGCCACGAAACCGGAAGAATAGCCGCAGTCGCCACTCCCGGAAGTAGCTCGTTTTCGAAAGGAAACCGAATAATAGAGTTCTGATCGATAGGCGACGATGAGACGCCTTCTTTTTTATACAAATAACCGCTGTCGATACTCGAAAAGAAATCTATTCTTGAACAGTTGAACATCAGGAAATCACATGTCTGGCAGACACTTGATCATAACTTTCACTCCTTCTCCTCGGCGAGTTGTTTCGAAGGCTTTGAGTGCGTCTTTCAGTTCGAATCGATGGGTTACCAGCGGTTTGACATGGATTTGCCCTAAAAATGAATAAAAGAATATCAAAGAAAAAAATAATGCACCTGAGGAAATCATGTTGATCGCAATAGGCCAGGTATTGCAATATCGAAAAACCCCTCGGATATCAACTTCTCGAACAGCAGCATTGACAATCGGAAGATTCGCCATTTCCTTGCCCAATCCAACTAGCAAAAGACATCCGCCTGATTTGGTCGCGTAAATTCCAGTCTAAAGAAATCAGAAAACACTCATCTCCCTCTTTCTAAAACCTGAATGCAAGACTCAGCTCCAGTGCATTCGATGGTAATATTTGGTTTTCCGCCGAGCTTTTCTTCCACAATTTCAGCGATTTGCTCGGGAGTTTGCTCCCTTGTCACTTGAATCGTTTCACTGAAATTTTTCTAAAAACAATCTCTTTCTTTCTCAATTTTACCTGGCGCCGCATTCAATGGCTTTCTTCAACCTCTCTCCGTTCATATCCGTCATAAGCACCTTCGAAGCTCCCATCGCTCGAGCAACGAGAAGAGAGACAAGGCCGATAGGTCCACAGCCAGTGATGAGCACAGTATCTCCAAGAGTGATGTTCGCCCGGCGACAAGCATGAATGCCAACAGACAGGGGTTCGATGAATGCAGCTTCTTCGTAGCTCATGTTTTCTAGCGAAAATAATAAGGAATATTCATGAGTCATTTCTTTTACCGGGAATCTTGTAGCACCAGTTTGCCTTGTGCTTGTAATACTTCATCAAGCATCCATCATCCGGAGGCGTCGCGCAGAAAAAGACATCTGACAAATTATATCTTCCCTTCTTCGCATAGTCGTCCGCCTCCAAGTTGTAACCAGGTTCGATGGCGACACGATCGCCAACTTGCAGATTTTTGACATTCTTGCCGGCCTTGATTACTTTTCCAGAAGCTTCGTGACCGAGAATCATGGGCTCGTTGACGATGAAATCGCCGATTCTACCGTGAGTCCAGTAATGAACATCAGAGCCGCAAATTCCGACCGATCCCTTTTCGAGCAAAACATCATCTAAAAAAAACTAAAGAAATAGAATCAGAAAAAGAAGATCTACCGTCGTCAATTTCTGGCACTGGCCGGTCTTCAATAACCAAGTCGCAGGAAAATTCCTTTCCTTCTGCTTTTTTCACGACAACAGATGGATTCTCCATTGTTTCTCTCCCGTTAAATTTTGCCAATAAACTTGCGTTTTTTCCTCAAAGCCCGGCAGTCAAGTCGAATTATCTGCTTTGAGCAAAAATAAATCAGAACAAATATGTGTGGACGACCTTGGGATACGCCCACTCAACGAGTTTTCGTTTTCTGTTTCTGTTTGCTGAACATATTCTAGAGGTTTTTGCATTTCATTTGTCAAGTTTATTTCTTTGGCAGTCAAATTGGTAATTGTTGTTGATGGCTCAAGAAATAGATGTGCACTGAAAAGTTTCAAAATCTGAAATCAAGGAAAAGTTTACCTTTCTTGTGGCGCTTCCCATTTGTTGGAGCACTCTATCGAGCCACTGTAATGGTCCGTTGAGATGCAGCTCAATCCAACATGGAACACTGGTCACGTGCTAAAATAAAGGACTCGTAAGATTCTAAGTTCAAATGAAGTACCTGTCTTCGATAGTCGCTTCCCCATCCTTTTACAAAGCTTATTCTCATCGTGCACATTTTAGTCAAACTAAACCTAATAGGATTTTTATGTGAAAACCGATATTACTTGTAAACAGCCTCAAATCCATGATTGACAGAATCGGAAAGAATCGCCGCAAACGATTGATTGTTGAAAATCGTCGCACTTTGTCCAGCCGTTATTTTAACAACAGTAAGTGGATGTGCTCCAAAGAAATGGTTCATATTTGGGCTCTAGAATAATTTCTGAGCGTTCATCCTCCAAGCAGAATTTACCTGGACAAAGATAGAGGCTTCCGAGACATTTTGAATGGTCACTTCTCCGAATTGATATGACAGTTGGAGGCCTCGGCCAATATTCGTTCTGGTCATTTTTGTCTGAGCATCCCGAGTTGGGTTCGAAATATTGCCAAGGCAAATTCGATCGGCTTCAGACGGATTGGTGAAGCCATCTATGGTAAGATGCGGCTAGAATCGAATAAATGAAATGCTATTTTTGATACATCATTATATAAATAAAGAACAAAAAGCTGCTTACAACTGTGATTTCAAACTGTTTTCCAAGCCGCTGACTCAATTCGTAGTAGCTAAAAGAGGGATTTTATTTTTTATCTTAAAAAACACGGTTTTATATCTCTCTTATCCCTATTCTTGCTGTACACCAGTTTTCTCTCTCTTCGTATGCGATATTTTCTTTCGGGCACGCGCTCAATGTCTTCAAATTTTATGTATTTTGGAGTCAATTAGAATTCGCGTACCTGAGCAAGTTGATTTAACTGTGTATTATAATCACCACGGTCTTGATGCTGCTGCTGTTGTTGAATCTGTTGCTGGGGCGGGTTGATGCTGAGGTTTCTGTTGAACTGTTGAGTCAAGTTGTCTTGATGACTGAGAGTGGCTGGTGAGGGAAGCTGGCTGCTCCCAGGGACGCCAAAATCCACGTCTGGAAATGATGCTCTTTCATAATTATAAATTGAATTTTTAAAATGAAAACTGGATTATTTATAAAAACTTTTCTCGATGAAAAATAATCTCCGTCTTCGGACAACATCGCTGGCGAGGCCGGGCTGCTGAAATCGTTCTGCCCCAAGTCGCCGTAATTCATGTTGCCCGGGACGGAAAAACAGTTCTGGTTGTTCATCTCCTCGGAAAAATTGTCGATGTTGAAATTTGAAGAGTACTCTGCGGGATAGCGAGGGACGAGGACTGGAGCGATGGAGTCGAATTTTTCGACCTTTTCGTAGTGAAAAGGGTTGACGCAGACTTCTTCGAGGCGTTTGATGTAGGCGAACTTGCAATTGCTGACAGAAGTGAGCTCATGCTGAGTCGTGACTAGAGATTTCAGATGTTGAAGACAATTCTCAGAATAGGGGTTCTTTGGATTGGTTATTCTTACCTTCTGGAAATCGCCAAATTTGAACATAAAGCAGATGAGGGAGCGTCTTTCGGTGTTGAACTTGAAGCCTTCCATCAAGCGATCTTTCGAGAATTTTTAATTTTCTTCGGAAAAAAATAAATTCTTTGCTTGAAAACCATTCCTCGGGATTCGAACGCAAGGCGTGTCCTTATTTCTCTCCAAGAGCGTCACTCTTAGATTTTGAAGCGCATCTTCTCAATGTCTAGACAAATGAGACTGTATAAAGAATCTATCTTTTTTGACATTTTCCTGGGTCTTTCGACTGTCTCAACCGTTTGATCAAGGACTTGATCGCTTTATCGAGGTATTCAGGGGTGTTTGAGGGATACAGTGGATTCTGTATCGCATGCGCCAAGAATTCCTAAATTTGAAATTCGAATAAGCTGCGTTTCTTGAGATTTACCTTTGAGATTGGCTTTCCGAACCAATTCATTTTCCAAAAAGTACCGTTTATGAAATGTCAAAATCGAGAAAAGAAAGATTTTTATTTTGATTTTTCTCTGTTTGTTTTAGCTCATCTCTCGATTTGGAAGAGTGGCACATTTTGAAGGATGTATCAAATATCTTCCGGGATAGATCGATTTTTGAGCGCTGTGAGGACTTATTCTTACGAACCGAAAGTTCCGGCAGATTTTTGCTTTAGTATGAACCTCCATGACCTTATTACAATGAATTTTAAAATTAGAATTAAAATATTTAAAATCTTGCAACCAAAACTTTCTCGAATCTTCTTCAATACATAATAGACTTCCGTCGCAACAACAAAATTGCATTTTTTTTCTTGGGAGAACTTGCACTTTGCCGGTTGATCTTTGTCTTTCGCAGAATTAGATACAGTAACAATGAAAGTTTTGGCATTGAACGCGCTCAAGTTCGTGAATCTGCTCGTTTCAGTTAAAGTAAACTGCAGCTAGAAACCGTCTCCATGCTCGTGACCATGGCCACCAGAGACGGTATAAAATCGAGCGAGTTCCGTAGTTGATCGCACAACAGCCAAAATGAAGCTTCTTCCTCTTTTAGGAATAAGCTCTTCCTATGCTTTTTCAAAAACTGAAGGTCATTATCAACTCGATGATGGTAATGGCGTAGGTATCGACGGTTGCTTAGTTTGTGAGTATATCAATGTCGCCGCAAATGAAGATGCTGCCCGAGATGCGCTGGCTGATGCTTCGAGTACTATTCCTTGTATCAACGCAAACACCGTAAGTTTAAAGATTGATATTTAAGTTTTGAGTAACATATTCAGGCTTCTCCTGTTGCCAATCTCGATGGCTATCCCGGATACTCACATGAGGTTGAGAAGTATTGTGTCGCAACTTTCTTCATGTTTGAAGCAAAAGACATGAACAACAAGGTTTTCTATGGTGTTCGTCGAACGGTCGCCGAGTCAGAGATCGCCAATGGAAACCGAGTTGATCTCGAGCACTACGACGGTGTCAAGGGGTACCAGCTGACAGGATCTGACAAGGGTCAGAATGTTTTGTTCACCGCCCGAACTGACGAAAACGGAGCCCAATTCTTTGCAATGGACGGTCGAGATGACTTTGTTGACGACGAAGCTACTGATCCTACTGTCAGTACTTCTAGCATTCAAGTCCAGACTGAAACTCGTTGTCTTGTCTGCCATGGTTCTCAAGAATTTTCAAACTATCCTGGACAGGCTTCTGAGGTAACGATGCCATGCTGGAATCCATCCGGCTCGAACACTTTCGCAACTGACTCAAGTGCAAGTCTTAATCCTGAAAAATACTGTATTCCAAGTGAAACCGGTCTTTGCTACACAAAGACTTTCCAATACGGAACGAAGGATACCAGAGGAGTAACAACCTCAAATTGGATAGTTATCGAGCGAGGCTGCGTTGGCGCTGATGATCTCGCAACGCCAAATACAGACAGCGGTGAAGCTCTAACCGGTAACACAAGATCAATTAGCAACGCAATGATGAATGTTCGATTCTACGCTGCCACAAATTCTGCGTCTAAAGCAAAAGATAATGCAAAGTATCCGGACAATGATGTTTCTACTCAAACTTTTTTCCAGCTAACAAGTGGAAGCGCCACTTCGTCAACTCAATACGATATCCGACCACTTACGGTCCAGTTTAGCTCTCCCGATGGATCTGGCAAGCCCGATGCTCCTTCTTATTCAAACAGCATCTTTGATGAGCTTGAATGTCTCCAATGCGTCACTCCAATTGGTAACACTGATAATACCAACGACTGCGTAAATGCGAAAACCACTGGCCGCGTCCGATGCAAAACCTTGAGCTGTTCATCTGTCAGTGCTGCGTACAAGCTTGGCGAAGACGCCTCAGAAAACTTTTACTTTGCCAAAAGAGGATGCACTCCTGATCCCGATGATGGCGTTACCGATGGCGAGCAACGTATTGCCGATCCTTATGTTGTTCCACAGGGATGGACTGACATCAAGCAGCAAAATCAGCGATCGACCACTGCTAATGGTAACACTGGCCGAGCATCCACCGTGTCCACCGCTCAAATTTTCGATTGCTTCTCTTGCGAGAGCAGCTTTTCCGAAACTATTTCCGGTGTCAACGCCGGTGAGCCAACTTACGATTCAGTCAAGGACAAAGACAACGCTCTCTGCTGGCAGACTTTCACACCAACTCAGGATTCATCCACTACCGCTACTGGAACTTCCGGCTCTTGCACCGGTAGATGCTTTGTCTCTGCCTACAAGTACAAGCAAAGCGTTGTGAATGGCAAGCTCCCCGCTACACAATACAACTGGTACGTCAAGCGAGGGTGTGATCAGGATGGACTCATGATTGACAGCAGCACCGCTGCGGAGGATATCTATGGCGTCGCAGTTACCAACCGAGTCTGTGACTACTCTAATGGCACTCTCTGCAATGGCAACGTCGCCGCCTACGAGACCACCCTTGAGATTCAAACTCAAACAGCACGACTTCTGCAGTGCTTCAAGTGCGAAACCGATCCCGGAAACACCAATAAAGAAGACAAATGCTACACCGTTTTGTCTACAGAAAAGGCCGAGAACTGCCCAGATCTATCTTACACCTCTTGTGTCACCACCCAATCTTCCTACACTGTCAATGGAGAAGCTGTCTACAACATGAAGCGAGATTGCCACAAGGGTGAGCGCGCTGGTGCATCCGCTCTCGTGCCTGGCTTCAACAACGTCTACTCCAGCACTGAGTACTGCAGCTCTGGATCATGCAACAAAGCGGCTGGTGTTTCTTCTGATGATCTTACTGAGGCTGTCGCCGCAGCTCCCACCGGAGAGACTCCCACTGATTCTGGAGCTTCAGTTGCGCAGATTTTCTTTGCTCTCAATGCTGTCCTCCTTGCTATGGTGTTTTAAATGAGTCATCTTCTACAACTTTGGATACCGGACAAAACGCAATTCTTATGACAACGATTCAGCCCCCTTTTCTTTATCTTTTCGTAGTTTGTAGTTTTCCTTATCTCGTATTTAATCCCGCATAAACGGCTCATCAATCATGATGCAGTCAAAAAAAAACAACAGTCCCCAGTACCAACAATGAAAGGAGAAGAATGACTTGACATATGAAGTGCACAATTCTACTTGGTAGGGCGGAAAAGCGTCTTTTTACGTGTTGCCTGACTGTATTAACTGATGTCACATTTTTTGAATAAATTTGTTGATGATTTCCAAAATGTGCCCTTTTCTTGAAAATAGAGTTTTGAAAATATTGACAAGCTAAATCTTCTGCAGGAAAAATTAACAAGAGTAGCCCATATTTCTTCGCTAAGCCTGGTGGTCCCACCTTTCTTTAGCCGCAGGTTGTGGCAACATCTAGTCAGCAATAACTCTTAAAAGGTTAGAGCTCGCAAGTCAAGAAACACCCCTTTTGAATCCACGTCGCTAGCACTTTTCTCGATCAGAAAGAGCTCTTTCATAAAAGTTCGAAAAAAATGAATGTGACGAGTTCTTCTTTCGAGAGATTCAAAAAATTTGTCGGAGGGAAGAAAAAGGACAAGGAAAAATCTTCACTTATCAGTAAGTTTGAGAAGTTCATACTAGTATAAGAAATGCATTTCAGATGGCTTGGCAAGCTTTTACGACAAAATTTTCGAAGAAAAAATCGAGCAGCGCTATGAAGAGTTCGAGCGCCAAAGCAATCCTGGCAGCACCAAGCTGATGCGCCGAAGAACACCGTCAGTTGGCCGGTGTGTCGGGAAACTCGACTTGAGCAGAAGTGTCGAATTTGAAAAGAATGGAGAGAACTCAGTGAAGCTGAGGAGATCCAATTCACTGAGAAATTCGGCTTCGAAGTCACCTGGGATCAGTTCTAGAGCCTCGTTCTTTCAGGATGCGATTACTTCGAAGGTCAAAGGCCAAAGTTCAAAATGTCTATAAGAATAACCTTATTATCTTTATCCTTTCTTTTTCTGAGCTTTTTGTAAGGCAACACTGAACAAGGGTACTACAGAAGATTGGAAAATGCTCTAGATAAGAACGAAATCTTCGACCGACGGACCTGTCGTCTTCCTTTTGAAAAAGAGCTTGAATCACGAGGATGGATCGACAAAGCTGCCACACGAAAGCGGAAAGCCTCCAAGAAAAGCTACATTTCTCGGCGAGAAAGGGGGTATTACTAGGGGAAATCACTAATAATTCGACTTTTTTCTGGGCTTAGTAGGGTGGGCATATAATACAGTTTTAGAAAGCCCAGGAGCTGGAGATCATTTTGACTATTGATAGTGGGGGGTGATTTCGTACCCTGAGGGCATTTAGGTACCTCTGAAGTCCCGAAATCTGGCCAATTTCGGAAATGGGGATTTTCGAAGCCCTAACTAAGCTTTTGAAGGGCTGCCTACTAGCCCAGATTGTAGCTCATGCTCTGGCGGTCATTTTGAGCCCAAAAAAACCTGGGAGGGGGGTGGGTCTGGGGGGAGCTAGAGGCTCTTGAAGTTTGGGAACTAGTCAGGAATCGAGCACTTTTTCCCAAAAAGTTCATGATCTGTGTTACAAATGCCTTACAAAGACTATTTATAGATGTTTATTCATTAAAAATGTTAATGATGTCATTTGGGGTCATCTGAGGTCACTTTTGGTCAAGGATTATGAGAAATTCAGAAAACTCCGATAAGATGACCCCAAATGACATCTATAACATTTTTAAATGAATAAACATCTATAAATAGTCTTTGTAAGGCATTTGTAACACAGATCATGAACTTTTTGGGAAAAAGTGCTCGATTCCTGACTAGTTCCCAAACTTCAAGAGCCTCTAGCTCCCCCCAGACCCACCCCCCTCCCAGGTTTTTTTGGGCTCAAAATGACCGCCAGAGCATGAGCTACAATCTGGGCTAGTAGGCAGCCCTTCAAAAGCTTAGTTAGGGCTTCGAAAATCCCCATTTCCGAAATTGGCCAGATTTCGGGACTTCAGAGGTACCTAAATGCCCTCAGGGTACGAAATCACCCCCCACTATCAATAGTCAAAATGATCTCCAGCTCCTGGGCTTTCTAAAACTGTATTATATGCCCACCCTACTAAGCCCAGAAAAAAGTCGAATTATTAGTGATTTTCCCTAGGTATTACAGTCTTGCTATGACTGAACACGCGGTAGATGAGGCAACGGATGCACTAGGAAAGGGGTGGCGACAGCTTGAGGTTTCTGTCTTAGATCGGTTCTTTGAGACAACTCCCGAAGAACTCAAAAATTCCTGACTTATGAGTTGTTCATCCTTTCAAAAGATGCCCGACTGAAATCAGAGGACCCGAAAATCGCATTTTTCGCAACAGTTGATGTTTCGAAAGGTCTCGTCTCTTACGACAACTTTTCATCTTCGACCATTATAAATCATTTCGAAGAAGGAACAACATTCGTTCATAAGCAAAACCTAACCGAAACGATCCAAAAACGATATGGGGCCTCCGCACCATATTTCAAAGAAACTGTTCTAGCCGAAGACACAACTGATGATCAAATGAAAAACGTCAAAACAACTGTTTATAAGGGCCTGCTTAGATCCTTCGCGCTTTATACAACTGAGAACTACACTATCAACTACAGGTTCTTGTTTTGAAAAGAAGATTTCTAACAGTTTGAAGGTCTCATGATCAAATCAAATTTGCCCTTTCGCAGCTTGATAATTTCAATGCCGACTCGAAAAAGTGGAAAAAGCTCGAAAAATTCTTCCTCAATGCTCGATATACCGGAAAGATCATCAAAATTTCGACAGGTTGAATCGAATAAGACCCGATTACATAATCATTTTCTTGAAGGCGACCTCGAGGAGATTCAAAAACATGTGACTTCAGAAAGTTGTGAAGAGGAAAATATTTGGATCGTCAAGGAAGGAGTTCATATCAGCTATAAATTCAGAGCAAGTTCGGAACTAGTTTAAACACTGTTTAATTGCGTTGATTACGAGCTGTTTAGCCTCTGACAAAGCCCTGCTTGTCGTCACGCGGTCGAGGGATCAAAGTCACCAATCAATGCTCAGAAGTTCTCAAGGTAGGTCTTCGTTGATTTCACCCAAAAACTGTCTTGCAAGCACATTGAAAATATAATCTCGGACAATGCTGACAAAGAATACTTTCCGGTCATGGTTCAAAAATACATCGAAAAACCTTTGTTGATCCACAAGCGGAAATTTGACATTCGGCAGTGGTTCATGCTGCATCGAACAGACGAAAACCTAGATATCTATATCTACGATGGAAGTTATCTAAGGTAAATAAGAGTCATCCAGCTGTCCAAGCAAAGAAAAATGCTTAAGATTTTCCGGACAGCACTTTTCTCTTGACGATTTCGATGAATTCATTCACCTTACCAATCACTCCATCCAAGTCGGCAACCTGAAACGAACCAAACACGAAATCGAACTCCTCAAAGAAGAACAGTCAATGTCGATGCTCGAGGAAATGAGCGGCCAGCGCTTGGCAAAGCTAAGATCGGTCGCGCAAAAAGGACCGCATGAGTTTATCCCGTCAAGTTGTATTTGGTCAAATGAGACGTTTCGCACCTGGCTTTTGGAGAAAAACGAAGGAGAGGATGTTTGGCGAGAGAGGATTTTCCCAGCGATGAAGGATGTTCTAAGAGAGGTGGTGAGGGATAGCTTGGAGGATTACTCGTATCTCAGGAAGGCTTTCAAACCCAATCAGCAGGTGACTCGCCCCTCGATCTTCCAAAGCCCAAAAAGACCCAACACATTCGAGTTCTTCGGCGCCGATTTCATGATCGACAAACAAAACAACGTTTTCCTCCTTGAAATCAACAAATCACCAGACCCTTCTCAAAACACAAGAACCCAAAAGAACATCTTTGATGGAATCGCTTCAGACACTATAAAGGTACAGACTTTTAAAAGCTAAAATAACATTTTTAAAACCAAGATCCTCATTGACCGGGAAAAAGACAAAACTGCTTCGATTGGAAATTTTATTCAGCTGTAAATAAGAATAACTGTCAATAAATGTTAGATTTTCCTATCGACTCCTAATTCCTATTTCGTCTCCTACATAAATTTTTAAAAAGAAAAGAATTCTCAAACGCAAATCCTTGAATCGAAGGGACAAAAGGAAGTGGTTGATCCCTCAAAGGCTGTCGTTATTCGCAATTTGATTAAAGTGCCCCTGGCGCTTTTTTTTTTCCTCCAGAGCATTCTATGGCAGGTAGGTTGAAAACTTGAGAGAGGAATTGAATGAACTTGTCCTTATCCTTCTTTTTTATTGATGAAGTTAAGCTCCTTACGAAGGACATAAGAGAGAGAAGTTGTTAAAATTGATGCTTTCCATTTGGCGCTCTGATTTTGGGAATATGACAAGAGATGCTGACGAATCTTAATTAGGTTTAAGGCTTTCAATTTGCTCCAGTCTCAAATTAGGACAAAGGTCAAGTTCAAAAGGGATCAATACTGAATCCAGCAGCCTTGGGCCCTGGCTAAGTACAAACAGCTAGACAAAAGAAAGAGAACTGAGTCTGAGAGGCACAGAGAGAAAGTCAAGTGTTAAGAACGTCAATACTTGATAAAAAATATCCACTTTATATAAAAAAGCAGGGCAACAACTTTACAGTGGTCTAGGAATGACATTCTCTATCTAATAAATTTTCGCAAATAACGATGATTTTTTTTTCTAGAATGCAGAGTCGGGAGATGATATAAAATGAAGCGCAATTACAAAAGAGAAAAATGTTCCCTCGAACGAATGGAATCGCCAAACGAATAGTTCTTCTGATCGGTCTTTTTTATTCCGCTGGAATTGTTTTGTAAGTGAATATTTAAGGATAATTAAATCATTTGAAAGCTATTTTTCGCTCGATTACCGCCGCAGAGAATGCCTCTTCTTCCCGTCGCTCGACAATCCAACTTGCTATCCGAAAATTCCGGCGAAATTTGCTCATCCGCGAGCAGCAGACTCAGACTCTGAGAACAGATTTCTTGGGAGCTTTTTGTCCTGCCCGGAGCGATCGGAAAATCCCCTGATTTTGGTGAAAAGTTCTTTTGAAAGTTCGTCTGTGAGATATCTCTGGAGAAATTATGCAAAAAGAATTGGTCACCAAATTCGATTTCTGGTCGGAAAGAAGCATGAAGAGGATGACTTTGTTCCAGGTAAAAGGGAAGATTTGAAAGAATCGACTTGTAAGGGCGTTTTTAAGACTTGGTCGGAGAAAACCCAGAAGACATCATTTTCGGAACCTACAATGATACCTATAAAAATCTGGCAAAGAAGACTGCATCAGGAAAGAGCTCAGATAACTTGTCGATACCCTTCCAGAAATACAAATTCTTGAGCTCAAGTAAAGCATATGAATTCGTTAACACCTGTTTCGGGCATCACCCTGAGCAAGAAATCTTACTTATTGACCAAGATACTTTTTACGATCCAGAAATTGAGCGAGTTCCGGATTCCATCAATTGTGGCTTCTCAAAACTTCAGAACACTCTTCCTGTCCGTAAGTCATCCCATAAGAATTGAGCTCTTTCAAACTCACTTTTTTAGTAAAAGGAAAATGGTTGATTGATGAAAAAGAATGGCCAAAAATCAACATGTTTCCTACTTATTGTTCAGGTAAAGTGATTTTTACCATCCTCTTTCCACCCGCCTTAGGAGCTTGTTATTCTGCGCCCGCGGGCACCTTCATGAAAATTCACGAAAAAGAAAAGTCTCTTCGCTGGCCGGAGTTGACGCTTGAAGATCTTCTGTTTGTGGGAATTTATAGGATTCGGTCTTTTATCAAGTTTTTTAACAATACAAAAATCACTGTAATGCCGAAATAAGAGATCTAGCTGGACTAGAAGAACCCGTGCTAACGAAATACATGTGCCAACATCTCACAGGAGATATCGCCCTTCTCAGCGAAAAATTCCATGCGAAGATTCAACTGCTTGAATCTTCTCAAAGCCGCTAATAAATTATTATTATAACCAATTCGTTCCTTTACGTCATCTTCCTATTTGAAGCAATCGATTCTGTGTTTGCCCCTGTATTGATTCACCCAGCTAGTATTAGTCAAATTGCTCAAATAGCAAACCGATCCTGGTTTTTTCCTCTTCAACGTGAGAAACGCAAACTCGCAGAGAAATCCACATTTTTATAAAAAAAAGAAAAGGATAAAGTGAGAAAAAATGGTAGACCCAGAAAATCAAGAATCTTCTGATGCCGGAGAACCCCAAGTTCCTTGGCTTGTCAAATGGGGTGCTAAAGGACTCTGTAAGTTATCTTCGTCTTCTATTTTGTCTGGCTCGTTTATTATGTTTTAAAATGACAGTAATTATACTAATATGAAAAATTTTTTCTTCGAATTTTTCATCACTTCGGATGATCTCACGCAACTGCATCATTTTCTATCAAAAGATAAATCATCATACCAAGAATAGCTAAATAAATTATTTTTTAATGTTTTAAGTGTCAATCAATTTACCGATCGCTAGAACGGAAAGAAAAATCACAAGTTCTATTGCGTCTGTCTTTTCATTCTCTCTCCTCTGATTTTCGGACACTCTGATTGCGACAAATCCTTTTTCTTGGGAATCGCTCTCTTCATGAATTTCAATATATTTCATGATTTCAAAAAAAAATATTTAAAATTACGACTTATACTCTGCTAATAAAGGATCAAAATGCGAGCGCAGGCCTATCTCAAGTGCGATTCGAACAAGTTTACAAATTGCTGAATTGAAAATTATCCAGCAAGGACTGGCAAGCAGACGTTTAATGATAATAAATAGATTCTACGTTATCAGCAACAAGTCGTGACAAAACAAAGCAACAACAACAACGTAATGCAAATAAGCATTTGAAGTTTAATTTTTAAACAGCATGACTTATTTTCTGACTATCTGTTAAAATCATATAAGTCAAGAATATTTTAGCACTTGCTGGAGCAGTTGGTGTTGGAATCTCTGCAATTTGGTGCTTTTTGTCACTCGCAAATTTCATTCCTTGCATCATTGGCGGTGTTTCGCAAGTTGTTTCGGCCATATTGATTTTTGTCATCGAAGTTACTTTTCTCTTCAAAAATTCTCAGGTTGTTTTTCTGTTTTTTTTCAGTCTTTAACATATCTTCAGTCGAAACCGCTGAAAGCAGCTCTCTGGATTGCTTCGAAAATGAGATGGTGGCTTCGAGCATTGCTTTACGTCGGACTGGCGATCTTTTTTGTTGCGATGTGCTTTGGAATCGGAAATTTGGTCTCAATGTTTATGCGTAAGACGGGTTTTCTGAACACTTTTATTGAATTTTTCAGTCGGCGGGGGCGGAGTTCTGTACGGCATAGGGTCATTCCAACACAAACGAAATACTGGTGGAGCCCTTTTTTGAAAGAGATTGCGATGTCTGTAGGTATCTTATAATTACTGTTCTTTTGCCAAGTAAAAGTATCAATCTATCATTGTAATAAAAATCAAAAATGAAAAAACGTTTTGTCTTGAATTTTAATGGCAGTAGAAAAGTTGAATTTTAGGAGCAGAAAATATCGCTGGGTGAAATGATCGAATTGTCGGCCTTATTCACCCATCCAAGTTCTTTGTCGCATCTTATTCGCTTCGGACCAGTGCGGCTAGTTTTCCGAGCCGCGCAGCGAGGTCGGCACCAGCCGCGCTCCATGTGTTTGACGCGGGGCATTTTCTTGCAGTGCCAAAGTAGGCCTTGTTTTTCAGTTTATTTTCGAAAACAGAGACGGAACTCACCATTGTCGATGTTTTCATCGAACACGGGAACGCCGTCGCAGATCATTGTCTTGGCAGTTTCCCCTTAATTTTTTTATTGAATCAGTTTGGCTTATATAAAGGTACTTCTCTCTTGACGAACAGCAAGTTGGAAAGCCGTGAATTCTCTCTTTGCCGCAGTTTCGACAGCAAAAAGTATCAATCCAGCAAAGATGGCTTTCATTATTCCTTTCTAGAGTATTTCCAGACAAGGAAAAAAATCGGAAAAAATCGGACAATCTTTTGATGGAGCTCTATTTATAGCTCTGCAACTGTCATTTTTTGTTTTGAAGGATCCGACCTAATGTCACCGCGGTTGCGAAACTAATCCGGTTTTCGAAAGAATGTGAATGCCATTTTGAATACGCTTCTAAGAACTATTCAAGAATATGAGCGAAGAAAGAAAATAAGTTCCGGTTAGAAATGTCATTTATTAAAATCATTGCAAAAGAGCTTCTCAGCAGTCTTGATCGAAAGGAACGGTTGTTTCGATTCGGCAGGAGAACAAATTATTAACATCGCATCGTTTATCATTCCATCCTCTGTTGTCTGTCTCGACGCAATCTTCGATACCGTTGTTATCATTCGGTTCGCCGTCTCTCCAATCGAAAACAGGGTAATCATTACCATCCATGGAAAACCATTGATCTTCATTTTGTCGAATAATTCCGAGCCACTCTTTTCGACCATTTCTCGCAGCCTTGTAGATTTCGAGCTCTCTTTCGTTTTTAAAAAATGAAACGTGGCCTCCTTGTCTTTCACAAATTTCCTCAGCGCTCCAAAACGAAACTGATGGATTCATTATTCGGAACTCGACACAGGTTTTCTAAATGTGGAAATGATGATTTGGTAAATGTAGAGTATGCTTACGGGTGGTGGTTCTGTTGTCGTAGTAGAAGTAGCTGTTGTTGTGGTAGTGGTTGTGGTAGTTGCTGTTACGCGAATCTGCCCGCTTTGGCAAATCGCATAGTTCTTGTTGTCACAGTCTACTGCTCCGGCCCAGAGACCCTCTTTGACGAACCCACCTGGCCCAGAAGCGGTGAAGTATTGTTGAACCCAGCACTCGTTTTCACGCGCTTTCCATGAATCGAACCAGACGTAATTGTTGATCGTCATGTTATCAATAATTTCGCTTTGTTCTTCCCAGTTCTGAGGGTCGGCAAGCCACATGTCGTTGGCGAAACAGTAGGCTCGAGCTTGATTGTAGGACATTTTCTCATCAGAAATATGATAAGAAACATCTTGGTCTTGATTGACGGGCTTCTTGGCGATCTTTTTCATCTCGAGAAGAGATTGTTGGACTGCCTCGTAATCATCAGCGCTCGAATCGTCTACGCAAGCGTATGACTCTATCCACCACTCTAGACGATTGACGAGAGCTTCAATATTCGTAGATGGGCTGGCTCGGCTGTCAAAAATAGCAGCGAAGCTCTGGGCTGGCTCGTGAGTTGGAGAAGTAATCGTTGACTCGCAATTTCCCTCGAATTGGAAAAATCTCACGACTTGTTTCACCTCATCGTATTTTTCCAAAAATCGCCTTCCGAGGCCAGGTCTTGGAAGAGATTCGCGTACTTGATAGGCGAAGAGATTGGCTTCTCCCCAAAATTCGAAGAAACCCGCGCTGGTTGAGCTGGCGAAAATGGCTGCAAAAGGAGAAACTTTCATTTTTCTTTGACTAGTTAGCTGATATTCAGTTGAGCTAAAATGATTTTTTCAAAAAGTTCATTTTCATTTTATAAGGCGGGGATCAGAGAGCGACATCATAATAGTACGTTTCGCTGTTATTTCAGCGCGATTCGTTTTTTAAGCTCCGTAAAACCGGCTCGGCCCTTTACCGCGATGTCATCATATTTTGGTGAACTTACGTCATCTAAGGTGCTTTGAGTATTTTTCCACGATGAACGCAGAATAAACGCTTACGACCTGATTCCAAGAGGTCAGAATCAAATTATTTTCAATCAAATTCAGGATTTATTTATTATATAGTCTGACAGATATGATAATAAATATGAAAAACAGTGAGAATATTTCAGGATTTTTAATTATTGATAGACAATCGCTCAGAGCACTCAAGAGTTTCGAGAAAGCGATTGAAAATTTTCTTTGATTTTTTCACATCAGACTTGATGTTTTTGTTTCTTCGTTTCGATTTTCTGTCGAAATTAATTTGATCCAAGCAGACATGATTATCGTAAAAAGCCATAGTTGAGTCCATCAAGGCGACGAAGCTTCCACAAAGGTTCTCATTGCTGAATTTTGGCGATTTCCATTCTTTTGACCCAAAAACAGGCGAAGCTGAGTTTTCGCAAGGATAAAAAGAGTTTTCGAACATCCAGGAAAATTTTTCAATGATTTTTTTGAATTGCTTCATTTTCTTTGCTTTTTTCTTGTTCTTTTCTTTTTCTATTTTCGTTTGAAAGATATCCTCGAGTTCGGAGAATGAGTTGATCATCTGTTCGCTTGGAGAACTCTTGACCAGATCCGATTTGTCGGGAAAATGCGAAAGTTCGTCAACTGTTAATTTTGGCACTTCAGTTTTGAGAACTTCAGTCTTCGATCCGATCCAAAGATTTTCGATGAAATTTTGAATGACTTGAGTGATGAAAAAAAAAAGAGTTTTTCAGAAATTTCATTTATTAAAATTACTTCAGAAGAGTTTTTTAGCATTCTTGATTGAAAGGAACAGTTGTTTCGATTCGACAAGAGAAGAGACGATGATGATCGCATGAGATATCGTTCCACTTCTCCCATCCGAAGCTTTCGATGCAGTTTTCATCGCTGTGGGCGTCATTAGGCTCACCATCGTTCCAGTTGTATACAGTGCTCTCAAAGCCGTCCATGCGAAACCATTGGTTTCCATTTTTACGTTCGATTCCGAGCCACTCGCGTCGGCCGTTTTTAGCAGCGTGGTAGGCTGTGAGCTCTTCTTCGCTTTTGAAAAAAGATACATCACCCCCTATTTCTTGGCATCTTTCCTGGGCGGTTGCGAAAAGCACTTGCATAGTACCAATATTTCGGAACTCGACACAGATTTTCTGAAAACTTCCTTAGGAAAAATTCAAAAATACAGAATATCATATTCTGAATATGTAAACTTACAGGTGGAGGCTCAGTGGTCGTAGTTGTAGAAGTCTTAGTAGTCGTAGTTGTAGTTGTGGTAGTTGCTGTTACGCGAATCTGCCCGCTCTGGCAAATTGCATAGTTCTTGTCGTTACAGTCTACTGCTCCAGCCCAGAGACCCTCTTTGACGACACCACCTGGCCCAGAGGCGGAGAAGTATTTTTGAACCCAACACTCGTTTTCACGCGCTTTCCATGAATCGAACCAGACATAATTGCTGATCGTCATGTTCTCAATAACTTCGCTTTGTTCTTCCCAGTTCTGAGGGTCGGCAAGCCACATGTCGTGCGCGAAACAGTAGGCCAGAGCTTGATTGTAGGTCATTTTCTCTTCAGAAATATGATAAGAAACATCTTGGTCTTGATTCGCGGGTTTCTTGGCGATTTTTCTCATCTCGAGAAGAGATTGTTGGACTGCTTCGTAATCATCAGCGCCCGAATCGTCCACACAAGCGTACGACTCTATCCACCGCTCTAGAAGATTGGCGAGAGCTTCAATATTCGTAGATGGGCTGGCTCGGCTGTCAAAAACAGCGTCGAAGTTCTGGGCTGGCTCGTGCGTTGGAGAAGTTATTGAAGACTCGCATACTCCAGCGAGTTGGAAATATCTCACGATTTGTTGCACCTCATCGTATTTTTTCAAAAATCGCCTTCCGAGGCCAGGTCTTGGAAATGATTCGCGTACTTGGTAGGCGAAGACATCGGCGTCTCCCCAAAACTTGAAGAAATCGGCGTTGCTTGAGTTGGCGAAAATGGCTACAAACGGAGAAACTTTCATTTTTCTTTGCCTAGTTAGCTGATATTCAGTTAAGCTAGAATGATTTTTGCTGAAAGTTCATTCTCTTTTTATAGGGCGGGGAGCAGAGAGTGACATCATTATAGTACGTTTCCATGATATTTCAGCCCGATTCGTTCCGGCTTCTTAAAACCGGCTCGGCCTTTTACCGATGTCATCATTTTTTGGTGAACTTACGTCATCTAAGGTGCTCTGGGTATTTTTCCACGATGAGCGCAGAATAAACGCTTACGACCTGATTCCAAGAGGTCACAATTGAATTTTCTTTAATAAAATTCAGGATTTATTTATTATATAGTCTGACAGATATGATAATGGGGAAAAGTGAGAATATTTGACGATTTTAGTTGATAGACAATCGTTCAGTGCATTCAAGAGTTTCGAGAAATCGATTGAAAATTTTCTTTGATCTTTTCACATCAGACTTGATGTTTTTGTTTCTTCGTTTCGATTTTCTGTCAAAATTAATTTGATCCAAGCAAACATGATTATCGTAAAAAGCCACAGTTGAGTCCATCAAGGCGACGAAGCTTTCACAAATGTTTTCAGTGCTGATTTTCGGCGATTTCCATTCTTTTGTCCCGAAAACAGATAAGGCTGAGTTTTCGCAAGGAGAAGACGAGTTCTCGAACATCCAGGAAAATTTATCAATGATTTTTTTGAATTGCTCCATTTTCTTTGCTTTCTTCTTGTTCTTTTCTTTTTCTGGTTTCGTTTTAAAGATATCTTCGAGTTTGGAGAATGAGTTGATCATTTCTTCGCTTGGCGAATTTTCGACCAGATCCAATTTGTCGGGAAAATGCGAAAGTTCATCTACTGTTAATTTTGGAACCTCAGTTTTGAGAACTTCAGTCTTCGATCCGATCCAAAGATTATCGATGAAATTTTGAATGACTTGAGTGGTGAGAAAAAATAGTTGCTCGGCTTCGTCCATTCCTTGCTTTTTCTGTCTTTCGCTGGCGCTAGATTCGATTCCGACGAGATATGTGCGGTAATAAACGACGGATTCAAATTTGTACCAAGTTCCTTTCGAGGATTCCCTATCAGTTGCGACTTCAAAGGTCCACTTTTTTGACATTCTTCTTCTTTTTCCTGCATCCGAAACATTCTGAAAATTTTGTTGAAATCATCACGACTTCTTTGAGGCTTACCCATTTAAGAAAAACACCGTTGTTCTTGATCAGCTTATTTTTGAATTTGTTCGCGTCTCCGGCGTGATAAAATAAGCAGTAAACAATTGACTCAGTTTTGAAGTCTCTCCAAAGAAGTTGCGGCGGTTCTGAGCAGTCTTTACCGGTAAGAGCTAGATTCATTTTTACTTTTGATGACTTAAAAATTTGATTACCGAAGCTTTCATAATCTCGGTTATCAATTTTGTGTCCGCGAAGCTGGCAAGTGTTTGGTCCATTGAACTTGAATTTGAAGCAACCAGGAGTATCTCGACATCTTTCAGCGCAACCGCGTCGAAAATGAAGATCATCGACGCCATCTTCTTTTTCAAAAATATCCGAGAAAATGGAATACGGGGTGAATTTGTCTTGAGAACCGATATTCCACGCTTCCATTATTACAGACTCATCATCTAAAGAGGGAAACGAACGATTAACGAGCAGAATAAATATTATTCTTTCCGTTATCATGTCTGAAAAATGTAGATTCCTTTATATTTTTTCGTTCGAAAATCTGTTCGTCACCCTCTTTATACGGCCAAACGCAAACAGGTTCGATCTCAGCATGTTTGCAATCCACATCTTTTCTTTCTATTAATTTTTATAAGAAAGCTTCTAGATTTTTTCAATACCGGGGGTTACAAGAAGATGAAAGCCTTCGTTCATCTCTCCCCAATGATCACTTTCAAAGACAATTTTAAGTTGATCCCCCGGAACAAAGATTGGAGCATCCAATGCCTCCAAATTCCCACCAACTGTCTCGTTCAACAAACTTGCGAGAGTGATCTTGCCATCGTAATCGTACTCGAAATCTTGATTGCAGAATGTACTGTTGAAGGATCGATGAGCATTTGATATGTGAAGCTTATCATCCTGGCAGTACCGAGCGCCTGAGAAAAATTTTATTTATACATTATATTTTTTGAAGAAAAAGTACCGTTGATGTCGAATCGCAAAGTTTGAATATGAAATCCATCAGCACATTGATCGAGAAAAATCCATTCGCAATATGCATTTCTTGGATATGTTCCCAAGCTCGAGTTACTAACAGCAGAAAGAGGATCGACAGGAGATGAAATCTCTACAGTTTTTAAGTCTTCATTAAACTCAGTCAAAAATCCACAATCGTAGAAATCGTCTGCCCGTACTTCTCTTTCCCCAAAAACAAAAATTATGAAAATAAAAAAGAATTTCATTTTTGAGAAATTTGATTTTGAGGAAGAGTTCACGATCTTCGACGTTTATACGGAGCGAATTTCTTGAACTCTCGGATTACTTTAATGCCGTAGTAGATCAACCACCGCTCGATCAACCGTTTATTCTTGAGCTTGACCTCCTGATCCACGATAAACTGTAGCGGAGCAAATTTCACCAGGACAACAAGATGGCCAATTTGAACTTGAAGCAAACCTCTTTCGACCCTTAGATAATTGCCCTTCTTCCTGGCATTTGCAATTGAATTTGATGCATAAAACGATGTAATCGCAATTTTTCAACCTTGCTATTTTTTCTCACTTCTCAAAGTCAAGTTCCAGAACGATGCGTTTTGAGCTTTTTACGATTCTGCTTTTCCAGCGACTCCACGCTAAAGCACTTTTTTCGATGATGAAAGAATCTTTGAAGGAGCAAGAATTCAGCGTGATTCTAGAGAAAGCCCTAGAAGAGCAACAATTGACATCAACGATTTTCCCCACTATTCTACCTCTCTGAATAAATGAAATCAAGTTTTTACGATTATTTTATGTAGATGATTACGTAAGTCAGCTTCAATGTATGGCAAACGCCGATTTTCTGTTTATCTTTCATTTCGCCCATCGATTTTTGAATTCTTTGAATTGCTCGAAGTTGAGTTTCAAAAAATGAAAACTGCAATTGTCGTCGGCGGAAATCGCGGAATCGGGCTCGAATGCGTCAAACTTTTGATTGAAGAGAAAGATGTTCAAAAAGTTGTCGCGACAGCGAGAAACCCGGAGAAATTCCCGAAAATAGAGAACGGTGAAAAATTGCAAGTCGAAAAGCTAAATATAACCAGCGAAGAGAGTGTGCTGAGTTTTGCAGAGAAGATGGGACCGTCTTCTTATGATATTTTGGTTTTGAACGCGGGTGTGGCGCCAGAAGGGAATGACAAATCATTTGAGAGTATCAAAACGACCATCGATGTCAATTATTTCGGAATTTCCTCTGCTCTAAAATCACTGTTTCCTCTTGCTTGCGAGGAAGCTCGAATCGTATGCCTTTCCAGCGTCTTTGGACTTAGAGGAATGCTCAATTTGAATCCGAATCCAAACGTTTTCGAGGGAAATTATGTCTTTGATTATGGACAAAAGCTATTTTCGTAAGTTTCTGATCCCCTTATCCATTAATAATTCTTTAGAACTACACTTGCAAAAACAACTTTTGACGAATTGGATATTATTGCAAAGAGATTTATCGAAGATCAGAAAAACCCATCTCAGGCTCAAGCTGATGGTTGGCCAAGTCCAGAGCAAACGCCAATGACTGGTATTCGGAGAAATACAACTAAAAACTGAACTTTTCTTTTAAGCTTACGACATGTCGAAGCTACTGGTTAACAATCTCGTTCGGCTTTACGGTGAAAAAGCGGCTTCTGAGGGCAAAAATGTTCTGATAAATTCCGCTTGCCCTGGATTCTGCGATACTGATATGACTGCTGGGGTTCCTTGCGAAAAGGTTAGGATGGATGAATTATAGAAAAACATAGAATCATAGCCGAAAACTGCCAGGGATGGGGCTGAATCAGTCCTTTCTCTTTGCTTCATCGCTCCAGGAAGATCTCAGCCGAATGGAAAAATGCTCATTGATGCTTAATTTCCTTCAATAATGACTGGGATTTTTATATATTTCCAGAAATAAATGTCTATTTAAAGAAATCAAGTGGATTTGAGCTATTTTGCTGATTCTGTTGAGTTTGCCCCATCATCGAACTCATCGTATTCATCATGCTTAGCCCTTGTTGGGCTTGTTGCATCGTTGGCATTTGCATGTTCATGGGCTGCATCATGGGCTGTTGTTGCATCATCGGTTGCTGTTGGGGAATCATCGGCTGCATCGTTTGCTGCTGTTGTTGTGGCGTCATCTGAGGGGCTGCTTTTGGTGGAACTGGCGCTGCTCGCGGACGGGCTTTCTGAGCTGGAGGCTAAAATTGGAGTAGAATTTAGGGTTTTTGACAAAAAGTACCTTAGGTGGGGCTTTTGGTGATGGTTTTGATGCCTGCCGCTGGACAGCAGGTTTAGGAGCAGGAGATGATTTTGAGCTCGCCATCCAGGAGTTGTCGACTGGTGGTGGTGGAGCTTGATACTGGGTATTTGCGGTGAAGTCATTAATGATTTTCATCGCTTCCTAAAAATTGAAAGAATTCTTAAATAGTATTTACTCAGGAAACTTACTTTGAGAGACGCATGAAGTTTCAAGAGCTCGTCTCGTCTTTCAGCCTCTGCAGGAGATTCTTCTGTGAGAGCAGACATGTCGCACTAAAAAAATTTATGAAAAATGGTATTACAGAAAGATAAAAGACTACCTGTTGATAGAGACATGCAAGGAGCTCGTCGGCGATAAAGTTTTTGGTTTCATTGACAAGCAAATGCATAATCAGTTTAGGAGTCATGTCTTTCAGTGTTCTCATGATAATCTGCATGTAAGAGTCGACAAGATTTCTGATTTGCTCGACCTTGAAAGATAGTAAAAAGAAAAGTTCATATTCTTTCAGAACCTGTCGTTCTAGCTGAGGATCTGCCCCAGTTATTGTTCCGTCCATATCATCATCGTCTTGAACAGTACTTACAGTACTTTGGGACTAAAAATGCATCAAATCGATTTTCTCCCGGGATTCCGTCGATCTTACCTCAGGATAAACCCCGGCTCTTAGAAAAGCTGCTTTCCAAGATTCAAGCTCCTCATCAGATCCAACAATCATATCAAGTTTGGTGCTGTTTTGGTAAATATTCTTTCGCTCATTGCTAGAAAAAAACCTTGTTTGTCTCTTGTAACAGCACTTTGGGTCACCTGAAAAGGGTAAATTTGATGGTAGTATTGCCGAACATGCTCTCATTTTTCTCTGATTTAACTTTAAGATCGTCAGTCATCGGGATCATGTATTTCTTGTCTTGCTCAGCATCACTTTTGAACCAGCTGAAACTTTCAGCATTCAAAACAAACCAGTATTGATTGCCTAAAAAAGACTCAAAAGATATTTTTATGAATTAAAATTTGCCTTTCATTTTTTTAATCCCTCCTCCAGTGTCAATGCTCATATATCCCCGTCGAATGACCTGATTCATTCCGGTCTTCTTCTTGCTCTTCTCGGACGAAGATGCGTTGTGAAAACCGATGAAGTCTTCATGATTAGTGTTGATATACGCAAGCTCAAAGTTAATTTGCAGCTCGACCTAAAAATAAACTCAATCAATCATTGAAAAAAATCTCTTAAAACCTGGGTTCTGCAGTCGCTTTCTTTTTCTCGGATATGCTCGTTTACGATTCTTTCCACTTCTTGGTGAAGCATCGGAAACGAAGCCATATGCTAAAGATATCATTGATTGCTATTGCTTCGAAATCTTTCGTTACCTGAGAGCACAGCTTTGAGCTCTCTAGAATCTCATTCGTAACATTATCGACCAAATTCAGTGGCGCTGTCAAAAGCTCCTCAATCCTCTCTTTCACGATTCGTTCAAAGGCCATGTCTGGAGTAAACAAGCCGCTGCGGACTCCTCTTGTATTCTGAATAACAACTTTGATCTCTCTCCTCAGCGATTTTTCCTCGATCTTTCGTTCGGCAATTTGAATTGGGAGGCGTTCATGGAAGAGTTTGTTGATTTTCGCTCCAACCGTGAGGCTGTCTGTAGATACTGTAACTCCTGAACCTTCAATTGCTTGCTGGAAGTTGGTAGAGAACTGATTGACCATTTGAAGCATTGTTTTTGTCCGGCGGCCTTTATCGTTATTTTGGAAGCCTTTGTACTTTGCCACGTCCTTTTCCATGGAGAGAAGCTGTTTTTGAAGATTCTGCTTCAGAGTTGGTAGTGTTTCACGAATATGATTAGTAAGCTGCTGATTCAAGACCTTCTGAAGATAAGGTGTGCCCATTCTATCCGCCATGTGTCGATAAGAAGCGTGGGTCATGAAGAATTTACGCTCATTCTGCATCGCGGCTTTGATATCCTTTTTACCATCAATGTCTTTCTGACTTCTATTGACGACACCGACGAATCCTCGGCGAAGAGGGAGCAGACGGTTTTCAAGAATTTCCTTTGCATCGGTTCCTTGATCCATCAGATCTAGTTTCGTGATGACTCCGATTGTTCTCAGCCCTTCCGGGTCGACTTCTTTGGCGATTTTCATCGCATCGGAGTTGGCCAAATCTGAATTTGCGGGAGACACAGCGAGGATAAGACATGAATCTCGGGTAATAAATTGGTAAAGCATGTCTCGAATTTGCTGCTCGATGTCTTTTGGCTGATCACCAACTGGAACTCGCGTCATTCCGGGCAAATCAACAAGCGTGAGGTTGAGAACATTCGGAGAATAGACTGTCAGGTTGATTGGGATGGCAGAAATTCCCTTGTTCGACCCGGTCATTCTGTCAGTCTCGTCTTCAATCTCCTGTCGTACATCGTCAAAACTCGTGAATTTCTTCCCTTTTGCATGATAAAACTCTGCCCACTCCCCTTGCGGACTGTTAATCAGCTGGAGCACTAGCGGCCGTCGCGTGACAATTCCAGAGCCACGAGGGAGGAAATCTTTTCCAACAAAGTTTTCCAAAACTGATGATTTTCCTGCAGATTGACTTCCAACAACTGCGATTTGGGGGAGATCAATGTCAAGTGCTTGCCCTGTTTGCTGAAACGCATCTTGCAGTTTGTTGATCAGAGGGATCATTTTCTCCATCCCCTCATTTCCGGGGTCTGCCATTTTCTCGTCTTTCTCTCTCTTTTTTGAAGAGAAAAGAGCAGATTTACGAAGAAAGGGGAAAAACGAGTTCGCGCCTTTTCGATAAAGCAAACATAAAGAAAAGAGAGCGACAAGAAAATGACGATTTGATAAAAAAGACAAGAAATTTATTAAAGAACATTGAGGAACAGTTTTTGAAGATCTGGGCTTGAGAACTCATAGTGCTCGATTTTTTGCTTACTTTGTAAATCATCAAGGATTTCCCAGAGTTCAAGAGATAGATTCGAAGGTGATTCTAAAATGAATCGACTGTCTTTCTTTGTCAGTTTGATCTCTCTGCGGAATTGACAGAAATCTTTGATTTCATCTGGCAGTGACTTCGCGAGAATGGAGATCTTCTGATCAAACTGAGCCAGGGAAGAAGAGACATCGGAGCTCTGAAATTTCACTTCGCCTTTGCTGAGAAATGTTACTCCAGCTCGAAGTGCCATGCATTCTTCGATCGTGTGTGTCGCGACGAGAACTATTTTATTGTCATTCTGGAGGACTTCGTAGATCTTTTTCATTTGAACTCGTGAGCTAGGATCCAAGCCGCACTATAAAAAAAAGGATGAAGCATAAAATCGCATTGATTGTATCTTACTGTAGGTTCATCGAGAATGAAAACGTCGGGGTCGTTGATAAGCGTACAGGCGACTGACAACTTCCTCTTTGTTCCTCCAGAGAGATTCTTCGTCTGGTAGTCTTTGAATTTTCCGATTCCCAGAAGATCAAGAGCATAATCGATCACTTCCAGTTCTGAGATAATTTTGTAATTGACCGTGATTATTCTTGACCGGGCCCGGTATAATAAAATTAATTCAAAGCGATTAGCCGGAAATCAAACATCATCAAAAATCGTAAAAGTTTTTATAGAGTTGCCCTTATTTGACCACTTACCGTAAATTCCCCTCGAGTAGCACAAGATCGCCAAGGTTTCATTTGCAGTCAATTTGTCCATCAAACTATCGAATTGAGGACATACGGCGATGTTCTTGGGAGTAAAAGATCTGCCGGAAACGGAAATGGAGCCACTATCGAAATCCTTAAGTCCACAGAGTATCTTCACAAGGGTCGTCTTCCCTGCTCCGTTTGGCCCAAGCAAACACATGGTGTTTCCTAAAATGCAAAAAGTCAGCAGGGTTCACCGCTCTTTAGGAAAGTTACCTTTTCTGATTTCCATCGAAGCATATTTTAAAATGTCCCCTTTCCTCAATTTTTCGATTTTCAATGAATTCGAATCTTCCCTTTCTTCCTTCATTTCCACCTTTTTCGGCCATTCAAGAAAAGCAAGGATTCCAAAATAGATCGGAATCAGCAAAAACTGCATCGCAACGTATTTTCCCACGGCCAAATACTCGAAGCTCCAGATGTCCTCTGCAATATCGACTAATCCCGCTTCGCAGACTTGTCTTGGTCCGTATTCAGGAAAGTCTCCGACGCAAAATCTTCTGAGATTTTCATTCACGTAGAGATCGAAAAGGCCCATCGCAAAATTATGGCTTGGAATCAGCATGAACAGGTGGTTGAGATTGTTGCTCAGATTTTTGTCATCAAAAAGACGAATCGTCAAGACAGTCAAAAAGGTGAACATCGTCACTAGAACATTGAAATTGCAGTGGTCGCCGACGTATTTCGCTGAATCGCTAGAAAATCGCCCAATAATGAAGCTTATCGGCGTATGCGCTAGAATAAAGCCAAAGAGAAGCATCATCAGCGCTCCAAAGTTCTCACTGAGCATGTCTAAATCTTCATGGCTATCAGTGAAGAAACTTGTAAGAAGCATCGTCAAGAAGAGAAGGATTCCAAATTTAGCAATGGTGATGAAATAATGCCCAGCCCAGAAGATTTTTCTCGGAAGACCAACGAGTTCTTGCATGAACTTGAAGCCGGAGACGCGTTCGGAGACGGCATTCATGCCAAACGGAGCAACGGTCATCATCAGGCCAATGATGCAATTGTACACTAGAAAAGAAGGTATTATTGAATTATTTACGAGAATATTGCTCCGACGGGTAACTTGGTTCAAAATCAAGTTACGTAACTCTAGACCGGTTGCATTAAGCCTTTTCAGCAGTAATTGTTGTAGTTTTATCGCAATTTTAAAAGAAAAAACTATCGATGCTAAGAAAAAATATCTTTTTTCATCAAAAATAGTCGTCAAAGTAGGTAACTTACTAACGCAATTTTTAGTTTATACAACTTATGAAGTGGCACTTAAGATAACGAAGCGATATCCTTTTACCGAGTTACTTTCGTCCGAACCCTCTTGACTTAAAATTCTCTGAAAACTTGACGTAATAATGGACGAACCTAGCGTAACCCCAGCAAAATACAAGCCAGGTCCTTTTGCCACGGGATTGTTTGTTGGATGAACATGAAACGGTGCATGCGCGACTGAAAAAGTGTTGTTCATCATTTCTTCGAACACCTTTTTCTGCTGCCAAAATAATGCTGCAGGTGCGCCGTGGTAATGCTCGCCGGGGAAAAGTAATTTCGTTTTGTTTTGCATAATTTGTGCCGGGTTCATCGACAATTCTTTCAAAACATCGGAGAAAAAGATCTTCGGTTGGTCGAGGCGATCAGTCGTGGTTCCCAGCTGATTGACCGTGGCAATGACCATCGCGCAAGGAATGACTAGCTGAAGGGCGAGGATTTTGATCTCCCGGATTGCGAGAATCAAACACTTTTGAACCGAACGGAGGAATTTTGAAAAAGGAGAAGTTAATGGTTCACTCGTGATTTTCTTGATCTTCGAGTAGAGTTCTTGATGATTTGTGGTCTCAAAGTCATTGTTCGTCGCGAATAAGTCGGATAAGGATGGAGAAATTGGTCGCACGTTGGAAATTTTGTCATCTTTTTTGAGGTTCTTCAGCTTTTGGATAATTTTCTTGGTGTTTTTCGGGTCTTCTAGTGTAAAGATAATGCTGTTTCCTTCTGATTTGAATGTGCCAAAGGAGGAAAGTGACGACTCTAATGATCCTAAATTCGTTTTTTCTGTCTTATTTTTGGGTTAAAATGCATATAATTCGTACAGAAGTCTTCATACGTAAAAGCCTTGATCAAGAATAAACGCTGAGAAGATTAAATTATCTGATTTATTGCCCGGTAATAATTATAACCCGTTGCCTTGTCGAAAGAGAAACTTGTGATCCGCCCAAATGAGCAGCTGACATCTTGATACCTACCCTTGTTTATGACTTTCAATTTGGTCAGCTTTAATTAATTGAATCATTTTTACTATAGCGCGTGTCAGAAGGTGAGCTCAGTCCGCGCTTTGAGAAAGTAATGCCCCGGTGGGATATTTATGATTAATCTTTTTATTGCGACGTCTTTGAGAGAAAAAAGACTGACCATTTCCTTGGCCTTGTTTTAGGATAATGACCTCTTTGGCGAGTTCATCAACTTCGTCCATGTAGTGGGTCGTCAGCAAAACCGCTAAGTCGGATTTTATTTGCTTATCAGCAAGTGCTTTATCTTTGCTGAAATTAGGTCTTAAATTATCAAATTTGGGGGCTTTTTTTCAAAATAAATCCGCTCCTGTGTTCTGTCCGAGATTCTTCACAATTTCCCAAAGCTCCAATCTCGAAACCGGATCAAGTCCAGAAGTCGGCTCATCGAGCAAAATTCGCTTTGGCTTCGAAGACATGGCAATTCCAAAAGTGAGCTTTCTCAGCATTCCTCCGGAAAGCTCATCGGGCTTAGAGTTGAGTTTTTCTTTAAGCTGGACATCTTCAGCGATTCCTTCTGGCTCGACTTTTCCTTTGGCGTTGGAAAGCTGGTTGAAGTAGATGAAGTGTTCTTTGACAGTCAGTCCAGGCCACGTGACGTTGTATTGAGGACAATAGCCGACTTCTAAACCAGCGTCGTGGACTTCTCCTCGAGTTGGGGACAAAAAACCAGCGAGAAGCTTCATTGTTGTTGATTTTCCTGCTCCGTTAGTACCAATCAGCGCTGTGACACCACGAGATGGGGTGGAGAAGGAAATATCTTTCAACGCGCACTGATCATCTTTCTCGTCGAAAATCTTCGTTACTTTCTCGACTTTGAAGCCCCATTCGGAGCTGCATTTTTGTTTCTCCCGGCGATTTTCGATCGTCATCGACAAAACCCGATTTCGTTCATCTTTGGTCGTGTCGACCAACCACGTGATTGCCATGTAGAAGAGCATATTCAAAAGAAGTAAGTTGTAAATGTCCGTCAGCGCAATCGGGTCATCCCTTGAAACTTCGCGGGTAAGATTTCGAAAGATGGAGAGGGGAAGATTAAGCTTTTCAAAGTGGCAGATGATGTCGCAACCAAGAGCGAGTAAAACAGGCGGATTCAGGGCGAGAAGAGACTTTTTCCCTGGTTGAAAAAAACGATCCCGAACGAGCATTAAAAATTACGAAATTCCCTCATGGGCCCGGCGTTTTGCTGAAATCATGTTCTTACAACCGCAGATTGATAAGCAGCGCATTCCACGACTCTAGACCGTTTCTTATAGGACAAAGTTCAACCGGGTTCCTTGACCAGAATATGCATATCTTTCCACGACGTAAAAATGTAGCCATGCGGGATAGAGAGGAAAAAGATTATGGCAGAAGCAGCAGATGCAGCGGACGCCGAATTCTTGAATAGTTTCGAAATGAATTGACATAAACTGACAAGGGTTCGAATTTTGAACTTTCAGCTTGAGTCGATTCAATTCGAAAATTGGTCCCTCTCCTGAGAACTGAGCATCCGTAGCAAAGAAGAAGCCCAAAGACAGCTGAAAATCCAACGTGTTCAAGTACTGCTCCATTTTTGCTGATGTCAGCAGTAAGCATGGTCGCCAGAAGCCCCGTTGCGAGTGCATACATCACGATCGTTGCGCTTTTTCAAAGTTGAAGTAGTTTCATATTTTTGGTTACGCATTATTATGCTCCGGTTTTTCTCGTAGAAGCTATGTTATTGTTGTGGCAATTTTACATCAATAGTAAACTACATATGGTTCACGTCAAGGGTCAGCGAAGGTAACTACCGCTTATGGCCAATAAATAAAGACAAAGTTCAAACTTTGATCCTAAAATAGGCCGCCATGATCGTATGTGTTGAAATGCCGAGCATCTTCAAGTACTTGAGCCTGTTACTTTCCCGATGCGAAGAAAAGCAATGGACGGTCTGCTGCATGAAATGGGCCAGGGAGAGGAGGAACATGAGCGGAAGCTGTTGCTGCATCACTCCATGGAATCGATCGCTCGAGACAGTTCTGCTTTCTTGCTGTAGAAATTCGACGTTTTCGGGTGGAATGTCCGTGGTAAGCTTCAGATAGTTCTGGTTGATGGAAGATTGGACAGCAAGGAATCCCTCAGTGTAGTAAATTTGGTTTGCGCCATCAGCAGATTCAGAAAACAGCGAGTTTCCGAAGGATTTTCCGAGTACTGAGGGAGAGCTTCGTTGAGTGAGCCAGCCGTTCCACAGGCCTTTCACTGGCATTCCTCTTGCATCAGCTATGGATGGGGGTTACATAAGCTCTTCTAGGTTGAGAAAATGCGAACTTACCAGTTGGAATGGTGTGAACCGTAAATTCCAATCCATCAGTTCCCAAGGAATCAAAGGAAACGCCGACAAATATCTTGGCAAGATCAGTATCAACTTCTGATACATGCGCTCTCATAGACTGCTCGTCGGGAAAGTCAACTGGGGTGAAGGTCGTGCCGTTTTGAACAGGATTACCGAACCAGTCGTATTCCATCAGATTCTCCTCAAGATCTTTTGATAGCAAATGAATGATGTTTTCGGTTAACTCGGTCTTCGGAGTGTACAGAATTTCGAAGTCGTTGGCATCTTTGAATCGTCGGGCAAAAAGGTTGTTTGGGCGAAAGGGCTGAAACTCAAGGTTCCGGTTTTCTTTTGATGGAACTGATTGACGGGCGATTACGAGTAGAAGGCCAATGATTGAAGGGATCAGGACTGTGAGGACTTTTGATGAGTTCAAACTCCAGAATTTCTACTGTACAGGGAAAGGAATTCGAATTGTGGAAAGTCCCCATTTGTGGGGCTCGGTTGTCCTCGGGCGCTTTCACAAACGAGTAAAATTACGAACCCGATTGAACTGTTTGACTAGCATTTTTCTTCAGAAAAACCTGTGACCGATGATTGAAGCCGATAAAGATTAAAATGATACGAATATTTTTGGGACCATAAATTAGATATTAAGTATTGCTTTATCAGAGAAGAAGCTTAATTGTCTAAAAATATAAATTGAACTTTCTGATTTTTTTTTCTTAATTTTGAACCCTTACTGATGATTTGGGCGATCGCCATTTTTCCAATGCGAAAATCGTCAACAAGGGCCAAAACGAAACCCTGTTGTGTGATTTTTCTCTCATTTTTTTCGTCTTTTGCCAAGAGTCTGCTTTCTCGGCTACTCAGTAGCGCTATCCTCAGACTTGCGCCATGTCTGAGTTTTTATTTGCAAAAGCAAGTTTGCTATCTCTGGCTTGAAAGAAGATGGTCGAAGATTCTCGAAGCGAACCCAAATAACCTTCGCCGATTTGGACCTTCCACTTGCAAATTGCAACTTGCTTAAATTCTAGCAATAGACCTCTAGCGCCCGGCAAAACTGGCCATAAATGAAGCCACCAGAGCAGCTACGAACTCACTTTTTAAAAACAAGTCGAAAATGAAGGTCACCTCAGCTTTGCTCGCTTCTTCTGCTTTTGCTACTTCAGCCGATATTTCTGCTCATTTGATTGCTGCGGACGGAAGCTTCTGGCAAAACGCTGGTAAACTGACAGCAAATGCTGATGCCATCCTCAGATCGGTAAGAGAAATCCTAAAGAGATAGTTTTTATATTGATTTTAAGTGGAACGGCAAATTCGACAAAGAGATGGACGATGCCTTCCACATGTGCACCAGCGGTTCTTACACCGATCAACAGATCATCTGGGAGTGTGGCAAGAAAGTCACCAAAGCAACTTTCGACAAGAACCCCAACTTCAACCTTATGGGCCGCTACGCTGCCAGCCAGTTCCACCAGCTCGACCAAAACGGCGACGGAAAGTTGAACTTCGAAGAGTTCAAACGCGGATTCGCCGGCTTCTTCTCTACAGTTGGCTCTACTCTTGTCGACATTTTCGATGCCGATGGAAACGGTGAGTTTTTTTCTTTTTGACCGGTGATAAGAGCCGCCCATTTTTACATCGCCCTGAAGCATTTTCTTTTCAGGTGTCCTTGAGGGTCAGGAAAACCATGACATGCACTTTGGCCTGAACAACATCTGGGACGAGTTCTCCTCCGATAAGAACCGAAAGCTCATCACTCCCATCCTTGACGTAAGAACTAAGGCCTTTACCAGAGAATCAATAATTTTATAGACCTGGGTCGGATCTGATTTGGATAAGAACGTCGATACTCTTTCAAAGGCTGAGATGACCGAGCAAGCCATCCTTCACTCCGTCCCCTACTGGTAAAATTCATGAAAGACGGAAGATACGATACCTGACGATATTATTTATCCAAATTTCTGCCTGTAAATCCTTTAGCATCATACATGTTACCTACAATTCGGCTGATATTCATAAAAATAAACGCTTAACGATTATTTCAACGATTAATCTTATTTTTATCAGAAATATTATGCTGAATAGACCGCATACTTTCCGGCGGAAAATATTGTAAGGTTTTTCGAATTCATCAAAATCAAGAGAGGCAACTAAGCGAGCCATTTTTCATTATCATTAAAATCAGAACAATTAACTACTTTTCCTACGAACCCTGCTGAACCTAACTTTAGCGCCATTAATCGGCGCTCAAATCGACTCTCTACTGCGAGATTTTCCCATATAAAAATCACCGTTTTTTCGCATTTATTCATCAACAAGCAGTTGACAAACAAACAAAAAAACTTTTTTGACAATGAAGTTTACCGCTGCCATCCTCGCCACCGCCTCTGCTGCTAACTCCGGCATCGCTGGAGACCTCGTCGCAGCAGACTCTCACTTCTGGAGCAATGCTGGTGCGATTTCCCAAAATGCTGACAGCATCCTTAAATCGGTAAGAGAGAGAACAATTTGTTCGTTCGGGTTAAAGTAAACTTTCTAGTGGGATGCAGGGCTGTCGAATTCGGAGCGTTTGCTTTTCTCCGCTATTTTTAAGCGGAGAATCCGCAGCCATTTTCACGGAAGATCCACCGTTTTCCGCGCGGAAAGTCCGCCGGTTTGCGGCGGAGAAAAGGGAGCGGAGAATCGCGGATGATCCGCCGAAATTTTTGCTCAAAAGACGAAATTAAAGGGTGTTCCGCTCTTCTGATTGGGTAGAGAAAAAGGGTAGCGGGTAATCGCGGAAGCTCCGCGCGACGGAGAAAATCGGACGATCGGAGGATCGGAGAAAAGCGCGGAAAAACGGAGAAAATCAGCGGATCTTCCGCAAGAAAATCGCGGAGAAACGTAAACGCTCCGAATTCGACAGCCCTGGTGGGATGGCAAATTCGACAAAGCGATGGACGACGCCTTCCACATGTGCACCACTGGCTCGCACGTCGATCTCGACATCATCTGGGAGTGTGGCAAGAAAGTCACCGCCGCTACTTTTGACAAGAACCCCAGCTTCAACCTCATGGGTCGATACGCTGCCAGCCAGTTCCATCAGCTCGATCAAGATGGCGATGGACAATTGAACTTTGACGAGTTCAAGCGCGGTTTCGCCGGATTCTTCTCCACCGTCGGCTCCACCCTTGTCGATATCTACGATGCTGACGGAAATGGTACAATGAATAACACTTTTTGTGATGATTAATTTTTCTTCAGGTCGACTTGAGGGTCAAGAAAACCACGATATGCACCTTGGCCTCAACAACATCTGGGACGAGTTCTCTTCCGACAAGAACCGAGAGCTCATCACCCCAATCCTCGACGTAAGAATTAAGCTCCTCCTCACGTATTCAGTCATTTTCTAGACCTGGGTTGGATCCGACTTGGACAAGAACGTCGATACGCTTTCCAAGGCCGAGATGACCGAGCAGGCCATCCTCCACTCTGTCCCCTACTGGTAAAGAACTATGCGACTCGAGATTTTCGTCGCCGGACATTATTAAATAATTATTGTCTTCCTAACCTCCTTAATTCCCCCTGCAAAAACTCATTCCTCAAATAAAAAAGTGAAAAAAAAAATTGAATCTGATTGCATAATAGTCTGTTACTGTATTTGCAGCTTTTGCAATGTAAACTTGATGGTCTAGTCGTTGCCGAGTTCACAAAAACGCAAATAAAAGATCAGACGATAGAATTATTTGCTCGGTGGAAACTTGGAAAGATGGAGCTATTTGCTCAGAACAAAAGTTGTAAGATCATGGTTAGAACTTGTATCTTGCTATCACGCACTCCAGAAATCTCAAAGGTCACAAATACGGTTAGATAAGTTCTCTTTTTTTGTCAAATTTCAATATTTTTATTCTCTCATTTCGAAAGCAGAAAAACAACCCCAATCGCTGAGGAGTAAAAGGCAACGGTTGCCAAGAAAGAAGCGACAAGATATAAATAAAGATTGAGGCTCAATTGAATCGCCTCGAATTTGGAGTTGTTTTGGAGGGCATTTTTCACTCTTCTGCTCGAGATCCAGCCGTAGATAGACAAGAATGGGTTAAATAGGGTCAGAAAAATAAGCTCAATTGTGTACGGATAAGGGTTCTGGTGGATTTTGGTCCGGAGCAGAGGGAAGCGTTCTGAGTACTGATTTTGCTCCTCGGAGTATGGTGCAGTTCTCGAGTTTGGAAGAATCTCTATTCTATGAGCCATTTTCAGGTTACTTTTTTCGAATGGAAGCACCAGATGGATTTTCTGTCATCTGATACGCGTTGTTATAATGGCGTTGTGAAGCTTATTAACAATGAATGACGCTTAACAAGATCAGAAGAAAAAGGATTTAGCAAAGTTGATGGTCTTAGTAATTCAGAAATTTCGATTCACTAGAAAAGAGTAGAAACTTGGCTGAAGTACTCATTGATCCCCTCTTGCTCTGACAGAATGACAAGAATGTACATCAAAAGTATCAGATAAACGGTGAAGCTGAGGCAAAACTCAACTGGATTAGCGCATGTGTTGTTTTCATTGAAATCTTCGCCGATCTCTTCAACATCGATTACTACGACAAGTTTCGAGTTTTCAAAAACATTGCTCATTATTTCCTCTCTTTTTGTCTGACTTCTTGCTTGAATTTTGCTAGAATTTATAGCTTTTGCTCGTTAGCGACTTGAATCTATAAGGCCTAATAAAGATGCAGGTGAGTTTCCGGCCTAGATTTTTAGGGTTGATACATGCATTTTATGCCATTGAAGATGTAATTACTAATTACCTATTTTCCGATCTCAAGAATTCTCTCAGGAAACAGAATTCTTGCCTTAACTGGGTAAATGAAAAAATAAATATATATTTTAGTTCTAAAAAATATAAAAGGTACAGTAGTTCGCAGGTGAATTGTTTCAGAATAAGCTGGAAGATAGAGTAGTTTTTGGCTCTATTTCGAATATTTTTTTTATCTCCAAATGCGGCAAGTGTTGTCTTTACTGGCGGTGATGATAGTTTTGCCGTCGTACGAAAAGGTGGTGCTGAAAATTTCTTGTGTGTGTCCTTCCAAAGTTTGAATAAGCCGCCCGGTCTTGGCGCACCAAATTCTACGGGGAAAATGAGAAGAAGAAACGAAATAGCGTACGATACCTGGCGTTATTATCAACAGATGCAGTCAGCAAACGATTACCACTGGGGCTAAAGACGATTCTTGAAATTTCGTCTTCAGGGTGATCGTCGAAATTGCCAGTTTCTCGCTTAGTACAGACATCAAAGCAGCGTATTTTTCCATTGACAGTGCATCCAGCAGCGAGTGTTCCTGCCAAATTAAAGGCTACATCGAGTACCTCATCTTCAAAGTCTTGAAAGACTGCTAGAATACTTCCGGAAACTAGGAAAAATGTAATAAATAGACAAAAAGAAGAAGCTCTTACTTGAATGCCATAAACGCATCGTCCCATCCATACTGCCGGAGAGAATCAAATCGCCTTTGAAGTTAAACTTGCCGGCAGACACTTCCGCCGTGTGTCCTATCAACTTGAGCTGTCGCTTGCCCAGACTCGCGTTGTTTGCCGACCAAACTCCTAGCGTCTGATCAAAGCTGCACGTTAGAATTTGTGTTCCTTGAAAGTTGAAGCATATTGAAATGATTTCGCCGCAGTGATCGTCCATTTTTGCGATTTCTTGGCCCGTCTCGATATCCCAAATTCTAGCGGTAGTGTCCATGGATCCAGAAGCAAGGAAATTACCTTAATTTCGATAAGAATTACACTCAAGAATCCTGGCCAGGGCTAAGCAACCTCAGTAAGGGTCCTTAAATGAAAGCTACAACTTGAAGGCTCTGCCTAAAATTCTACAGTAGATTGAAAAGGTTGTACCCGTACTCAAGTTTCTGCACAGGTAACCGAGTCCAGTTCCTGACTCAGGAAGCGAACTAACCTTTCGGCGAAAATTGAAGCGTGACCACCTCTCCTCCGTGCCCTGTAAGAGTCTGTAAGCATCGTCCGTCTTCTGTCGACCAAATTTTTATGCTTTTATCGAACGACCCCGTCGCTATCCTATCCCCAAATGGCAGATTAAATGCGACTGTATAAACAACGTTATCATGGCCCTCTAATGAATGAAGCTGATTGCCGGTTTCAGTGTCCCAAATTTTGCATGTCCGGTCGTAAGAGGCAGTGGCGAACTTGGACGCTAACTTGTTGAAGGCGACGTTGGTGATAGGTAAAAGATGAGCCTAGATAGCAAATCATTCATATTATCCGGAGAATAAAGGGCTTACTTTTATATTTCTGACAAGATGGAACTTATGATCTGTTTCTTCGCTAAGCTTCGACTGTATCTTCTCGATCATGTCTGTGATCATTTTCTTTTTATTCGGACTTAAAAGTCTCTCGTTTTCAATGATCTGTTCCGCGATTCTTGCCGCATCGTCATCTGTAGGGTTTCTCACGGGAATTTCAAAGTTATGCTATGTTTCTGAAATTCACACTGGACACTAAATTTGACCCGCTGATTCCAAAAATACCAAAATCGGAAATCCCCGGATTCCAGCATCGAACCACCTGATTTTGTCACCTTGAGCAAAAAGGTTCGGACTGCTCCCCGGGCGCTCTGTAAATAAGCGCGCGCCCAGGCCCTTCCGATTAGTTAACCCTCAGGAGGAGTTCAAATTTAATTGCCTCAACTTACTTTCCATGTAGCTCCGCTAATTTACATATTTACCCCATACAACCATATATTTTATGAATCCTCACGAGGAGATCTAGTGCTTTAATACGGCCGATTTTCTGATTTCCGGTTTATATCGGAAATTTTTCGAGATAATCGGATTTTTGTCAAATTTTGAATAAAGTTTAAACCATAGAAAAAGTGCTATTTTAGGCGATGAACAGCAAAGTTGAGTAACTAATATGAGTTTTAAGCACCTTCATCGCTTCAAGCTTTAATATTTTACCCGGACTGTAAAATTTTCGGGATTTCAGTCTATCATGTGGTGCTCGGCCAAACGTTCCGACCCCCTAAAATGTCCGAAAATTGCAGGACATCTGTTAGTTTAGGTGTGCGGGTTCATAGGTTGTCCTGATAGACTTTTTAAAATGTTTCCAAAAAAGGTCCGATTGTACCAGGATATGATGAGTAAAAACACCGAAACCGATAAAAATCCGATATAAGTCGAAAATCGGCCATATTAAAGCATTAGATCTTCTCATAAGAATTCTAAAAATATATGGTTGTATGGGGTAAATGATTAAATTGGAGGAGCTACATTAAAAGTAAGTTGAGGCAATTAAATTTGAACTCTACCTCAGTTTGAGTATCTGCTGAATGTTGCTGAATTCTGAATTTTTGAGAGATAAGTGATAAAGGTCTATTATCAATCATATCTCAAAATCAGAGGTGTATTTTGATGTACTCCGGGAGAAAAGTAAGAAAATTTGTGCAAAAAGTGATTTTTCGGCATAATTTGACATTTATATAGAATAAAAATTCGATATTTGGAATCTGCGACCTTTAATTAGTACTTTTGATACTTTAAATTTTCATTTTTGATAAAAAATAAGAGTTCGATTTTGGCGGTGGAAGGCCCGGAGCGCACCGCGCCGTTCCCGTGAAAAACCCTAGTCATCTGGGCTGAGTTCTAAAAACATCCAAAAGGCTAACTAAAGGCGAAAATCCTCAATATTACCATAAAGATCTATCTCTTTTTTCTTCTCTTCTCCTTGCCTAGTGTACTCAAGAGTGATCCCCGGAGGGTGGTAACGAAGAAAGATCTTTTTCAAACCCATTTCATCTGAAAAAGCTTGTTTCAACTAAAAGATAAACTTAAAAAAATTCTAGTTCAGTTTAATTGCAGTAAAGTGTCCTAAATGTACATAATCTTCGTTACAAAAGCTTCAAATGTCCGGTACACTGGTCTTTTAAGAGCTTTTTTTGACTACTTCTGGGATTTTTCAATTTTCTAGCTCCATTCCTATTAAAGATTGCGGTCCAGGGCCGATCGCAAGAACAGTTTTCGAGCCCGCAGCGATCTGTGTTCGTCCTGCATCCTTGATTACGCAAAAGTTTAAGTTGAGTGACATTGCTTTAGCTTTCAAAATGTCCATTTCATCTTCAGTCGGCACCTGAATCACTTGAGTCAATAGCTTACAAGAGGTCTGATGAATTACCTTGAGCGCTATTTTAGGTTGGCCGTAGCGCTCCCATCTTCGGAGCTGATTGGGCACGCGCATACTGGCAGTCCTGACAGCGCCGACAGCAGCATGGCCACATTGGGCACACATCTTGCCCTTTCCCATCTTCAAGTCCATTCGAACGCAGAGAACCATCTTGTATTCTTCGCCAGGGATGATCTCGTCGTTTGGATCGCCCATAAGTTCGGAGTCTGATGGATCGGAAACATCTGACCACTGAATAGAAAACGTTAAATAAACGGGAGGAAATCCACCTGAAAAAAATAGCCGCCCGGGAAAACGATTTACGATAGAATTAAGACGACTAGGGAGGGAAATCAAAGATGTGACAGTGCGAAGGAAACGACTCATTCTATTACAAAATGTTTTGCTTGGATTCTATGGCAAGTTGATTTATCTTCGCAAATGACGAAAAGGGCAAGAAACGAAGATATAAGGACTTTAACTGATACCTCTTCGTCGCTTTCAAATTCAGAATCTTCGGTTCCTTCAGTAACTGTACGCTTCTTCGACTTTTTCTTCCACCAAGCATTTTTCTTTCCAAAAGCGTGATAACCAAATAGAATCCCAGTTCCGAAGAAAATCACACTCTGTGCGAGATCAACCAGTATCTGATCTGTTTCTGTACTCTCTCCCATGCTAAATATCAGACAAAATGAATGGGTGAAAGAATAAAGAATTGTCTTTATTTCAGAATTCTACAGTTTTTGAATCACATTCAGAAGAAGGCTTTTAATCTAGGGGCAACTTTTCGAACCCAGTTTGGAATTTTTTGAATGCTAGTGTTTCTTTCATGAGCGTATGCCCATATTCTACTGCGTTCCGCGTCAAGGGCGCTTTGAAGGGAAGTGTTTTCGGTTGCGATAAGGCCTCCGGCTTCAAGATCTTTCAAGTAGCTTCTGTGCGAGAAGTTAGAGGAACCAATAGAAGCAGCGAAGCAAGAAGAGGATGAGTAGAACCACATTCCTTTGGCATGGAAAGTCCACTAAAATTTTGTTCGGAAATTGAACTAAAAAAGGTGTACCTGGTCTCGATTCCACTCATTATAATTCAACTCCTTGTCTCCTAGTTCCTCAAGCATGTGATCAGCAAAAAGCTGGTACGCCGGAGTAATGCCGCTCTTTGGAAACTTGGCCTTGTAAAATCCATTCGCTCGGCAATCAGCTGATAGAAGTTCTACAGAAGCCTTCGTATTTGAAATTGCGGCGCAAAGGGGCGACGGAGGATTGAAGTATCCAGAGCAGAAGTACATTTGATCGGTTTCTGACAATCTTGAAAGAGTAAATTAGCCATCATGTAGTAACTTTCGATCTTACTGTGAGAGAACACTTTCCAATAAATGCTCATCTGATCTGACATCGGCCCAGCCGGCTTGAACACTCGGATGAAAAATCGTATCGAGTTCAGGAGAAGCATTCTCGTTCATCTGACCGTCGTATTCGCCAAGAAGAGCGTTTACTTCTTCTCGAAAGGTTGAAAAATCCACTTTTCGGGCATCGTTCAGGCCTTCATCAGGCGATCCCATCAAATAAGAATGTTTTGCGATGATTTCCGCGAGTCTGGAGAAGTAATTTCCAAGCTTACGGCTTGAGAACTGAATGGCGAATGATAATCGTGCTGTGAGAAGCGAAGTGTCTACCTGTATGTATCGATCCTGTCTGTTTGTAAAATAGGCTGTTTCTAAGTTTGCACCGGATAGAATGAGCTGGTCATCAGCGAGGTAGATTTTGGTGTGTTGCGTTGCTAGTGTTTCTTGAAGCTGGCTGATTCTTTTGACGATTTTGCTTTGTTCAACAAGAGGCGAGTAGAAATACTGAAAACATAATTAACAAGAGTCAAAAAGACCTTGGTTCACTTCAACTAAGTCTAGCTATAGCGATACTTACTCCAAGAGTTAAATTATGATAGTATTTTTTGTACATCTGTAAGCAGCGAGCGTAAGTCGATTTTTTATCGCCTCGAAGACCACGTCCATGATCTACGATAATCGTGGCGTGGCCTCCTCTGTCAAGAAATCTCTCAATTTCCCGGTACAGCTTTTCTTCTTTCTCTCCATTTCCAATGTACAAAGAAGTTATCAACAGTCGATCTTTTGCATCAGCAATGTTCTGAATCAGCTGATCGTAGAACTCGTTTGGAGTCGACAAAACGCGCACTTCATTTCCGCTTATAGGAATTGCCGGACCATTGACTAACATCTTTAAAATCTATCTAATTATTGGGTTCTTTTTCATTCTTACATGTTGATTTTTGCCTAATTATTGATTGAACATACATGTAACAGTTGCACTAGAAGTGTTTAGCAAAAAACTAAGGTTATGAAAATTAAAGATTGCACAGGAAAAAAGATGAAGGCTTATACCATGATACTTAATTATCTTGGTTTGAAGAATCAGTGGAAAATTAGAAATAATCCGCGAAATAAGGGGTCAGACTTCAATATTAGCTTTCCTTCGAAAATTAACATAGCGACGCTCTCAGTAAGTAAAGGCTTTTGAAGCTATGATGCCTGCCCCTGAAACATGGTACTAGCTAATTGGAGATCTAAAAGATGCTACTGATTCCTGCAGGATGAAATAATAATTCGAAAGAGACAACAATTTTTTTCCGTTTCGGTTGTACTCTATTTCTTTATCTTTGTTTTTAAAATATATAAAATACGTTCTTTTAAGAAACATGTGTGGTTTTTAACAAATAGACTTATCAATCGAATGTACGCAAGAGAAGGGAAAAAAGATTAACGGAGACAGAGTAAGTAGAGTTAGATTCTAGAGCAATGTTGTTTTTTCAATAACAGCGACGTTGTGAGACGATGGTGGTGGTATTTGAACTTGGTGGCGAACTGAAGCGGTGTTTCTTTAACCGTACAGATCCTCGTCATCATCGTTAGCTCCGTAGATGTCGTTGCCGCCAGCGGCTGCGGCACCAGCGGTAGTGTTTCCGCCCTCGAATCTAAAATAAACCATTGGTGGGAAAGGTAAGGGAGAGTTTTTTACCGGAAGTTTCCGAAGCCTCGGGCTTGTTGTAAAGTCTGAGCGAAGACTTCGTATTTCCTGATGTCAGCATCAGAGACTGATCGTCGAGCGAATTTCATCGCCTCCTCGAAGTGATCTCGTCGGATGTCAGGAACGGGGTCGAAATCGTCATCCATGTCCTGTAAAATTCAATCAAAAGAGTTCATAAGTTAACCCGTTTTGTACCTCAAGACCCTTTTCGGCGCGTTCTCGAGCGTGCTGAATGTCCTTTTCGATACATTCTCTGATGGCGAGCTTGCATGTACGCTGGCAGATTTCGGTCAAATCGGCACCGGAGAAGCCCTTGGTAACGCGAGCCAAGTGCTCAAGGTCGACGTCTGGGGCGACTGGCGACTTTCGGAGGTTAGCCTTGAGGATGGAGAGTCGGGAAGCCTCATCTGGAAGTGGAATGTACATCAGCTGATCGAGTCGACCTTGAAGGAGATTATAAGTGAAATGGAGGGTGTAATGAAACTAAAATGGAAACTTGGAGCAAGCTCTCTGAATTCAAGAGAAGGGGCATTGAATTACCTGGTCGCATAACAGCCGGATCAATAATATCGGGTCTGTTGGTAGCACCAATGATGAAGACATTCTTCTTGGCGCCCATACCGTCCATTTCGGTCAAAACCTGGTTGATGATTCGATCAGCAGCGCCGCCGGCATCACCACCGCTGGAGCCGCCTCGAGCCTTGGCGATCGAGTCCAATTCGTCGAAGAAGAGGACGCAGGGAGCGGCCTGTCGAGCCTTGTCGAAGACTTCTCGGACGTTCGCCTCGGATTCACCAAACCACATGGTGAGCAGTTCGGGACCCTTGATGGAGATGAAGTTTGCCTGGCACTCGTTGGCAATAGCCTTGGCGAGGAGGGTCTTACCACAACCAGGAGGACCGTAGAAAAGAACACCCTTTGATGGATTCATTCCAAACTTCAAGAACTTCTCCGGATGTTCGACTGGGTACTGGACGAGTTCCTGGAGCTCCCGTTTGACCGATTCGAGACCACCGATATCGCTCCAGCTGACGTTGGGAACTTCGACGACGGTTTCTCGGAGCGCAGATGGATTCGACTGGCCAAGAGCGAATTTGAAGTCCTCGTTGGTAACAGCGAGCTGGTCCATGACCTCGGCGTCGATGACGTCTTCGTCAACGTCGATGAGCTCCATCTTGCCTCGGATCTGTTGAAGGGCAGCTTCGGAGCAAAGAGCAGCCAAATCGGCACCGACGTGACCGTGAGTTTCGGAAGCAACCTTGGAAAATAAGCGATCAAGGATGTAAAAGTTAATTTAGCTGTACCTGTTCAAGATCGACATCATCAGCGAGCTTCATTTTCTTGGTGTGAATCTGAAGGATCTCCATTCGACCAACAGTATCTGGAATGCCAATGTCGACTTCCCGATCGAATCGGCCGAATCGTCGAAGAGCGGGGTCGATCGAGTTGGGTCGGTTAGTCGCGCCCATGACGACGACATGAGCTCGCTGCTTGAGGCCGTCCATGAGCGTGAGGAGCTGGGAGACGATTCGCCGCTCGACCTCACCGTTGGTTTTGTCTCGCTTGGGAGCAATCGAGTCGATCTCGTCGATGAAGATGATCGACGGAGCGTTCTTTTCAGCTTCTTCGAATGCCTGAACGGAGTGTTAAAACGAATTATTCACTTGAGTTTTACCTTTCTCAAGTTGGATTCAGATTCGCCAGCCATTTTGGACATGATTTCGGGTCCATTGATGAGGAAGAAAAACGCGCCTGTTTCGTTCGCAACTGCTCGGGCGATCAGAGTTTTACCTATAAAAACGCTAGAACAAAGAATGAAACAACTCGACTTACCAGTTCCAGGAGGGCCGTAGAGAAGAATACCACGGGGTGCTTTGACACCAATAGCCTTGAAAAGACCAGGGTGGCGAAGAGGAAGCTCAACCATTTCTCGAATCTGAGCCATTTGCTTTCGGCAGCCTCCGATGTCGTCGTAACCGACCTAAAGGTGTGTATAGCTGTTGTGTCGAATAGATACTCGGATACATACCTCGTTGAGGGATTCTTCGACGTCCTCTCGTCTGATTGGGTCGCCTTCGCTGTGGATGACTGTATCAGGAGAGACGATACAGTAGGGTTCGGGATCGCAGTCGACGACCTAAAGTTAAGGTTAAAAAAATGCCTTAAATTTGAACTAAATCGAAAAGCCGTCTGCAGGTTTGAGTTATTTGAAGGAAAAAGCTGCTCGAGCCTCGAGCCGCGGCTTATTTTATTCTCGAAGCTGCAAGCGAGTTCTCGGTTCTGGATGATCAGATATACCTTGAATTCGACGGTTCTCATGGCGCCTTTGGCCTGAAAAATGTCGCCTTTTCGGACTGGTCTGTAAGCTTCAGTGAAGTACGGCTTGAGGAAAACCTGGAAAAGATCGCCTTCGATGCCTTCGACGGAATCATCGATTGGAAGGACATGGATTCTAGCAAAAATGATAAGAAGGCGATTTCTCTGTTTTAATTTACCTCTTTCCGTATTTGACATCTGGGCAGGGGTTCAACTGAACAATGTCGCCCAATCGAACTCGGAGATTGGCCCGGACGACTCGTGGGATTCGGATCTTCTCGTCGGAGACGGTGTCATCGGAGAGGACGATGCAGACAGTTTCTTTTCGCTTCTTTCCCTTGAGGATGACGGTGTCGCCTCGGAAGAGCTGCAGCTCGTCCATTTTCGCCTGGCTCAAGGAGACCACCTAAAACACAAAATAAATAAGAGAAAACGAGTAAGAGTACTTACGGATCCGTCATCGCCAACAGAGTCTTCGACTAAAAGTCGGTTGGGTTTGGCCTTCTTGTTCAAAATTGCTGTAGCCAAATCCTCGCCTTGCTGAGATTCGCCTGCCATTTTTCTCTCTTTTGACTGTTTTCAATTCAGTTTCTGGCGAAGTTGAAAATAAATGCACCAATCTAGAAAAAAGGCTTGTTTTAGAAAAAGTGCTAAATGAGCAGATTTATCTGAAAAATACTCTTTCCCGAGCGAGAAAACTGAAGCAAGAATTTGACTGTAACGCGCAAAGACAGAGACACAAAGTAATTTGACAAAAAAAAACATTTTTTTAAATAAATTGGCTGATTTATTTTTGAATCTCTGAGTTTTTTCTCTTCGAGTAATCGTCAAGTAATCAGTTTTTATGAGCAAGTTTGAAAAAAGCAAAAAAAAAAGACGAAAAAACTGAAATTGCGCGGTTCTCAGTCATTTTCGAGCTGAGTCACGGTACAGCGCAGCAAAAAAGCGCTCTAAGATGACGCGGCCCAGAAGATTCGCAACTCTTCGAGAAATTCTCGAAATTAGATTAATTCAAAAGGGTAAATGATCTAACGTATTGCTTTTTATTTGATCCTTATCCGACAATATTTTCGTAAAATAAAGAAATCATCAACGATAAAAAATATCCATCTTTTAATTTATTTTGACATTTCTTGATATGTTTCAGCAATTCTTATTGATGTTCAGATAATTACAGTTTAACAGGCTTTTTCGTCTTTCGGATGTTGTTTGGAGCTTTTCCCTTGTTTGGCTTCTTCGTCGACTTTTTCTGCTTCTTCTTGTGCGTTCGAGCGAAGAGATCTTCAAGTTGTTCGTCCGTCATCCCTTTTTCACTCGTTTTCTTGTTTTCCTTCTCAAGAGACTGTCGAAGACTTTCTGGCAGCTGTCGTTCTTTCTTGTACTCGATTCGGTTTTCGGGAATTTGAACTGGAATCAACAAAGATTTCGCCAGGAACAGGTACTCCGGACGCGGAGCAGCAAGTCGGTTGACGATTCTTTGAAGATGATTTGGAAACTTCGGGTCTTTTGGGCAGGAATAATGGCTCGTCTTCGGAGAATCTTCTTTTGCCCAGAATGAGGTTATTTTCTTCACTTTATTCCCACCCTTGCAATTGAGTACGGCGCCAGGAATTTTCGGCATGGAAGCGGCAGGGAAGTTGATGCAGCATCCACATGAATACTCCCAAAAGGTACCGGGTATTGAATCAAATTTCAGCGTTTTTATGAAAAAGTGCCAGTTTTTTGCTGGGTTGTCTGGCTCTGGAATCACCAAGAATTTGTAAAAATTTGCTTCTGGCATTTTCTTTGCTGCTTTCTTTTACGAATTATCTTCTTGTTATATCTGGTAGGGAAATTCATAGATGGTGCTAGAGAGGAGCACTGATTGAAGACGATAAGATGGATAGCATCATGCTGTGCGGAAGGCATTAGTTCTGAGCACCTGCTGGTCAGAATCTGTTTTCGACCACCTGTGCACAAAACCTGAGTCAGGATTTGAAAGAGAGCTCAAATAAATATTGCTTTGAAGTTTGGAAATTTTGCACTGCTCGTCAAAATCGTTGATCTTGAAGATGAGAACCGGCTTTATATAAATAATATTTTAAGTGCTTGAAAGGATTAAGACGCATTTTGTTGAAGTGGCTAAGAAAACTTTGAAATTCTTCTCAGCGAGCTGGCTCGCGTTCGGACGGAACGCGGAATTGTTTTCAAAGTTGAATGAGTTCTTATGTTTGTGCGAGTTGCTTCAAAACCTGTCGAGAGCGAGGCCACATAACAACCATTCATCAGGAGAAAGCTGAAGAGAATCGAAAGTTTTTTTTTATAACAGAAAGTTCGGGCGGTCCTGCTTTTTAAGTATTTAGGCGCGTTAGAGATTGATAAAAAGAAGCATGGGGAAAATTGGAAAGAAAGAGCTTTTATTGAAGGAACATACAGTAATTTTACATACAGTAAGATGTTGAATTCAGGTCTTGGCTTTTGTATCGACTGCACTTCTTTCTATCAGTTTTGCGTTTCCCGAATGGATAAGCTTTCCAACAGGAGAGACAACGGGGATTTTCCAAAACTGTTTCAGCGAATTTGAATCTAGTGCTGATGCCAGGTACTAGGCACTTGATTCTTTGATCTCAAAGATTTTCAGTGATGAAGAGAACGATACTGTTCCCGAGCCGGAGCCAGAGCCTGACTGCATTGTCAAGACGAGTGAAGAGTTTGAGAATGAGCTTTGGACAATTGTTCCGATTTCCGGCGGCGTTTTTCTTTCAATTATTGGTAAAAAATATCCAAACTAAGATTTCAGCTTATGATCAACTAGGGTTTGTTCTCATTGGCATTGACAACAAGGGTCGATTATCTAAAGCTGGAGCAGTTAGGAGCGGGTCTAAAACTTCAAAATAAACTTTGTCAAAGATGAGTTCTGAACCCCATTTAGTCAGGTGATTGGAGCACTAATTTATTTTACTGGCGTAGCGGTATGGCTCTCAAAGGATTACGACAAGCCAGATGCTCAAATTGGTTGGGCTCTCATTGTTGGAATTATTGGTAAAAAAGAGTCGAGAGATAATAATCTAATTGCTTTCAGGGATCTGTATGAGCTTGATTGTCGGGCTTGCTTCTCGGCTAACTCGCCTCTCCTGCAATAGAAACCAAAGTTATGAAACTACCGATGAAACAACAGCAAATCCTTTCCCAGAAGACCCCGTTCCCGATACTGACACCATTCCTGAAACTCATACTGCTATGTAGGCCCCTGAAGATTAAGATTTTGTAATAAATAGAATTTCGAATAGTGGATTCGATTTTTCTTCCGTTGTTTATTTCACATGATAAATTACAGTATTTCGGAATTCAAATAATCAATGCTCTCTTTTCTTAATTGAGCTTTCTGAAGATCTTGACGAAGGCTTTGTTGACTCGAGTGAGACGCGAATCAAAAGCGGGATAGACGTCACAGACCTTGTGATCAGCGAGGATATCCAAAAATGGGGAAATGTAATTTTCTGTAACGTAAGTTTCGGCCATTCGCTTCGATTTCTTGCTCTTAGCTGATGCGCATTCGATCGGTTGGTTCTTCTTGACGAGTTTCTAAAGGATGAATTGAGTTGAAAAATAGCTTTGATAAACTTACTCTGATGATTTTGTTCATTTTGTTGATATGTCGGGTGGCTTTGCCGAGCTTTTTGAATCCTGGGAAATCAGTTTTAGCCTGTGCGAGTTTGTCCTCAACCCAAGAGTTGATAAGGAGTTCAACTTCATTGATTGAGATTGGATCCGAGCCGGAGCCTTCTGGTGTCTCAGTTGTCGGAGTCGTGACAGTGGTTGTAGTTGTCACCAAAGCGGGGCAGCAATACTTCACCTTGGCCATCTGGCAGTCTCCATCAGCAGAAGCTTGGTAGCAGGAAACTCCGGCAAAGACTGGAACCATCGCTCGAGGAGAATTTCTCGCGATACCAGTCCAGCCATTTACACCATCATTCTGTCGGATGATTTCACAAGTATTTTCCATGACATCAGACGAGAGCTGACCCAACCAGCCAGCTGCGGCATCGAACCAAACAGATTCAAATGAGTGGTATTCTTCAACATCGCCAGATCCTTCCCCAGGGTAGGTAGCTTCACAGTTGACCTCAATAGTTGGATAGTTGAGGAAATCATGAGTGGTGAAGTCAATTGAACCGTCGTTGAGAACACTTCCCGTTCCAATAGTAGTAGTCGTTGTAGTTGTCGTTGTTGTTGTGGTTGTTGTGTAAAGAGGAGCGCAGCAAAACTTGAGCTTGAATGATTCGCAAGAGCCATCAGAGCTAGCGACAAGGCATTTAATGCCGAAATAATTCGGAGCAGAAATTCTAGTCTCGCCATCAACAAGATTTGCATCCTCTCTACCAGCCCCGCACATGGCATCCCTCACACTTTGCGTAGCGAGAGCAGACATCTGTCTTCCAGAATAAGGTCCAGCCCAACTTGTTTCAAAGGTTTCCCAGTCTTCTGGAATACCTGATCCTTCGTATGCGTTGTCACAAGTAGGATAGATAATAGGCGTTTGGAGGAAATCATGGGCTGCGAGGTCGATTGATCCATCATTTTCAACAGAGTTACTGTAATCGAGAGTTGTTGTTGTGGTGGTAGTCGTAGTGGTTGTTGTCGATGTTGTTGTTGTAGATGTGGTCGTAGTTGCAATTGGATCGCAACAGTACTTAGGCTTGAAATACGCACAAGAGCCATCAGGATTCGCTTCTAGACATTTAATCCCGAGCCAAGTTGGAGCGGACATTCTTGCTTCTCCATCAACAAACAATTCATTCTCTCTTGCAGCTTGACAGAAAGAATCTCGCATGCTTTGCGAGGCAGCTACAGACATCATTGTGATGGGAAAGGTTCCGCCCCAGCTTGTTTCGAATGCTTGCCAGTCTTCCGGGAGCCCGGACCCTACGTACGCGTTTTCGCAAGAGGGGTAGATGATAGGAGTTTCGATGTAATTATGAGCCAGAAGATCGATGTCACCATTGTTGATGATCGAGCTACTATAATCGAGAGTGGTCGTCGTTGTGGTGGTAGTGGTTGTTGTTGTTGTAGTGGTGGTAGTTGTGGTGGGATCGGTGGCAAGGCAACAGAATTTCAATTGAGCTTCTTCACATACTCCGTTATCCGCGTCAACTTTCATGCACTTTACTCCAAACAGAGAAGGAATCGAAACTCTTGTTGATTCAGACTTTTTGCTGCTAATTCTAAGGCTATCGCAAGCAGCATTCAGAAAATTTGTGTCCAAATGCTGCACCCAGTTTGTCATCCCAGCAAACCAGTTCGTTTCGAACGTCTCCCACGGTTCGTATGGAGCGACACCGTCTTCATGAATAGGACAATCAGGCTCGACAGTAGGGGTATTGAGCCAATCATGAGCGAACAAGTCGATTTCACCATTGTTGACAATGCTTCCTGTTCCAAGAGTTGTTGGCGCTTGAGTTGTTGGCGCCTGAGTTGTTGGCGCTTGAGTTGTAACTATTTTCGCAGCTTCTAAAGATGGACAGCAAAGTCTGAAAGCGTGCCTCTCGCAAACCCCATCAGAATAGTCTCCAATGCATCTCAATTCGACGCTTTTGAAGTTAAGCGGCATTCCGACGCTTCTAGAATTGACGACCAAGTCGAACTCATCGACAAGATCTGGATCGTCGATTGGACTAAATTGCGACTCAGCGAGGTCATCGTTTCGAAGAGCTCGTCGAAGCTGTCGGCTCCCGAGAGATGAAAACTTCTTGCGAACCATGCCACAGAGTCGCTCTTGGAAGCGCTGGATAAAGACGACCTTGGAAACAGTTCCTTCGACCGAGGAATCTGGAGCGCGGAACCAACGTGTTTGAAAAACGTCGCTTTTGGCGAATGGTGGGCGGTTAGTTGTGGTTTCACATTGGCCTGAATTATTGATTCGCTTTTTTTGGAGTTAAATAAAAAATAATAAAATTTGACATTAAAATTTTATTTTTTATATTGTTTACGGATAATTTATGTGAGATAAATAATGTGATATAATTATTGAAAGAAACGAGAATACCGTCAAAAACTAAAAATTACTGACAAACGAATTTTCCAAAATTTTTTTCTTTTTTCATACCTGGGTTGTAAACAGCATTATTGCTCCAATCTTGGTCAATTAGAAGCTGCGCTCTAGCCGTGGCGGCTATAATTGACGCCACTTTCATGATAAAGTTTTTTTCGTTTGAGTTACTCTTCAGATCGAGTATTTCGATCGTGAATGGTATACCATTCCAGCGGATCCAAATGCTTTTATAGCAACTCTGGGCGCGGGTGACATTTTGACGAATTTTCACGCTTAGGGATAATGTTGGAGCCACGCAAGACAAAAATGGTACGGGTCGAATTGCTTCCGCTGCCAATCAGCGTCAAGAGCCAATTGACCATGGAATGGAGACGTACGTTCCGGGTAAAATAGAGCTTTGACTTTTAACGTTTTTTTGCTGCGTGGTTCCATTTTCTTAATCGAGCTTTTTTCGTGATAAAACCCTTTCGAAAAGAGTTAAAACAATTCAATCCTCTTTACGTTGATTAACGTTTTTTATCATCGTAGTCTCAAGAATGTCTTGAGTCAAGAAAACTCAAACCTTCTAGTCCTCCTGATAACAGAATAGATAAAATACCACAAAGTACCCGTTATCAGAAGAGTCAAGTTGAGAGACTTCTATTTCAAGACTGATAGAGTCAAGTGCAAGTTCTCCATTTTCAAACAAAATTTGTTAATTTTTCAAAAATTGTAGTTTAAAGAAAAATACAGTAGAACGATTTTCGTTTGTTATGGTGTCTGGCAGTTCTGATGTACTTCGGACCACTATGTTTCTCTGTATTTATTTCTATGTTTTTGTTTCGTTCGCCTTTAATTCTTAACCGCTCACTGAATTTTGAAAACATAGCCGTCTGGCAACGTGTCTAGTATCAGACAATTTAGCGATCAAAATCCTGCAGCGAGCAACGGGACCAAAGGTTGATAACACCAAAAAACGCTTCCCCTTGCAGTCCGATAACGGTTGAGAAAACCCGATATCAGCCATACTCAACAAGGACAGGGTATAATCTCGAAGTTTGGTGGTGAAGACCACAACCATTTCAATTTCAAATTCTTGAAACGATCAAGATACCCGAGAACTCAACCAAAAATTTGAAACTCTCAGAGAACTTTTCAACAGAACGCCAATTTTCATTATCGTTATTTTGTGAACTCGCTGGAACCTTATTTTAAGACTGAATTGGAGACTTTCATGATAATTTTTTTATGAAGAAATGGACAATTTCTCGACCCCAGACTCATTTCGAAATGGAAGTGTTTAGGCATCAACTTTGTTCAGATAATCACAACATAAGTTAACACGAGGTGCATGACGACGAAGATAACGAGAGATTGCGAAACCGTCAACATCATGTTTTCAAGATCGTGCTTAAACGTTTTGTGTTAGATCGATTTTAAGAACTTTATTATTATAGTATTTGACGATTGTCGAGTTAATCCTCCAGTGCAAGACCTCCACGTCTTTATGGCTCAAAGAAATCGAAGTTTTTTGAGAAGAGTACAAAAACAACATATTTCTTCCAATTTATCTTTTCATATACCTTCAAAGTTTTATTTTTATAAAATGATTGTTTCTATGAATAAAGACATCTTCATATTGAGCATAAATGAACCAGCATAAGAATAATTCAAGATAAACAAATCTTGAACGCATTTAATCTAGGGAAAGAAAATTTTTGGTCCGCGACTCATGATAACATCGTTTCGACTCGCACGGTTCTAGCGCCGCCAGTGCTTCACGATGCGTATATAACCCCGATCGTAATTACCATAAGCAGCGCCTGAAAAGAATTTTCAGGATGAAGCTGTCAACGGCCATTTTGGCCACGGTAAGTCGAAGAGAGAAAAGAAGCGAATTATTTTTTTTGAGAGATAAAGTGATTTTTGTGAACTGACAACCCTTGCGTCCGTACAAGGATTAAAATGATACTAATTAAATAATTTTTAACTCCTAAAAAAAGAAAAAAAAATATACCTCGTTTTAAAAATATATCTAGGTCTCGGCCAGAAAAAAATGGAATCCTTACAAGGGTTCCGCCAGCCGTCCTCCTGCAAGAGCGGCGGATCGACCAGCTGACGCTCACGGTAGCACCGGCGAGTACGGTGATCTCATCGTTGCCCCATGGCAGGTCGATGCTCTTGTCAAGCGCGGTTACGATGCTGACAAGCTTAATATCGACCAGAACGCTAGCCAGACTGCTCCAAAAGGCAGAGGATTGGTCACCTGGGCTCAAAAATGGAGCGTAACTGACTCCGATGGAAGATACGTCGTTCCATACGCAATCCAGAACACTGTTCCGTCGTCCAGCTGGCAGAAGATCCACGATGAACTTGCTGATTTTACCCTTGCCATGGGTTGTGTCAAGTTCGTTTACGATCCAAGCTTCTCTTACGATGTCGGCGTTCACATTGCTGGTGAAAGCTCTAACGGCTCTGGTTGCTGGTCATACGTCGGTGTCTGCAGCGGATGCACTAATGGCGTGAGCGGAATTCATTCCGGATGGCAAGCACTTCGACTCCCTAACTGGTGCCTGAACGTCGGTGGAATTCATCATGAGTTTCTTCACGCTATCGGCTATCTTCACGAGCAGGATCGACCAGATTGGGCAGATTACCTCACCGGTGGCGATGTTGGAGATATCAGCGAGAGTGATTGGATCGACACTGGTCATCCCTTTGAACCAGCTTCCAACGTCATGTACAGCGGATTTTCCCTTGTCAACGGCCGAAGCTACTCTCCACATCCCCTCCTTACCACAACCGATGCCGAGCAGGGATACGCTCTCTACTGCGACGGCAAGCACGATACTCATCCAATGGAGCCACGATCCAAGTGTCTCGAGCCAGACGTAGTCGATGTGATCCGACCCATCTTCCAGCACAAATTCTGCGACGGCTTCAGTGACTGCTACGACGGAGAAGACGAGGATGGCCGTCTAGCTAATTGCTCAGGAGGCGGAGAACTTTACCCATGCGCTAACCACAATTGCGCTAACAACGAACGATGTGTCAACACTGCTGATAAATCTGGATTCACATGTGTGTGCAGAGACCCAGTCAACAGCCCTTGCGACGGATCAACAACAACAGCTGAGCCACCAACTGAGCCGCCAACTGAGCCACCAACTGAACCACCAAGTTGTAATGTAAGGAATCCACATTTTTTATTGGACTTATTGATTGTTACGTGGAAAAATCTTCGAATTTCCAAATTCATCAAACCGCTCTATAAGAAACTTCGGACACGAAGACTCTAGATTTAGGAGTCTAGAAAAATAATTTTTTTATAAATAAGACAGTAAGTCTAAGAAGGATGAAAATTGATTTAAAAAAATCAAATAGGTTTCTTTTTTTACTGAATTTTTCGATAGATTTTCCATGAAGATTAAAAATTCTTGATCTGCCTTAACGATAATTTTATAATTCTAACTAGAAATATCAACAAGAGTCCCTATAAACAGGCTTGGGTGAAATCACTAGATGAGACGTTTGATTTTAAAATTTATCTTTAAGGCCTCACAAACAAAAGGAGCACGTGAACGTCAAGCAGGAGACGTAGCGAATCTACCCGACACGAGCGATGATAATGGCGAAGGCGCTCACGGTGACCAGGGCGAGTACGGCGATCTCGTTGTTGCGCCTTGGCAAGTGGATGCTCTGGTCAAGCTCGGTTACGACGCTGACAAGTTGAATATTGACCAAAACGTTGGCCAGACAGCACCAACTGGTAGGGGTTTGGTCACCTGGGCAACGAAATGGTCTGAGATTGACTCTGATGGTCGATTCGTCGTTCCATACGCCATCCAAGACACTGTTCCTGCTGAGAGCTGGCAGCAGATTCACGATGAGCTTGCAGACTTCACCCTCGCCATGGGTTGTCTCAAGTTTGTCTATGATCCAACCTTTTCTTACAGCGTCGGTGTCCACATCGCTGGTGAGACCTCTAATGGCTCTGGTTGCTGGTCATACGTCGGTGTCTGCAGCGGCTGTACTAATGGCGTGAGCGGAATTCAGCCCGGCTGGCAAGCACTTCGACTCCCCAACTGGTGCCTCAGTGTCGGTGGAATCCACCACGAGTTCCTTCACGCTATCGGCTATCTCCACGAGCAGGATCGGCCAGATTGGGCCAATTACATCACCGGTGGCGATGTAGGAGATATCAGCGAGAGTGATTGGATCGACACTGGCCATCCCTTCGAACCATCCTCAAACGTTATGTACAGTGGATTCACCCTTGTCAATGGCCGAAGCTACTCACCACATCCCCTCCTCACCACCACCGATGCCGAGCAGGGATACGCTCTCTACTGCGAAAACAAGCAAGACACTCATCCAATGGAGAAGCGATCGAAATGCCTCGAGCCTGACGTTGTCGATGTTATCCGGCCGATCTTCCAGCACAAATTCTGCGACGGTTTTGCAGATTGTCTCGACGGTGAAGACGAAGATAACCGACTTGCTAACTGTTTTGAGGATGCCCCAAAAACCGACCTCGGTTGCTGTTCATCTATTTACGTAAACTGGAACGGTCAAGGATCTTGCGTCGCATGTGGCACATACAATGGCAAGGATGTTTACGAATGTCCAGGTGATCATCAATGGCTCGGGAGAATCCGATGGGAGACGGACTTAGGATGGATCGTCTGCGATGATGATGGTTGGGGTGGATGTGATGCTCCTTGGGCCTGGACTGGTCCTGACCCAGACAACGTCTGCTTCGGTGACAACGGAGAGCTTTCCAGTGGCTACACTTTCCCGTTCGGATCCGTTCCAGATATCAGCTTTACTTGTGAAGGTGGCAATCAACCCGGAACCGGCGAACCTCTTCCATGCGCTGACCACAACTGCGCTGATAACGAACGATGCGTCAACACTGCTGATGGAACTGGATACACCTGTGAGTGCAGAGACCCAGTCAACAGCCCTTGCGACGGAACAACAACAACAACCACGACTACAACGACAACTACTACTACTGAGCCCCCAACTGAGCCTCCAACTGAGCCACCAACTGAGCCTCCAACTGAGCCACCAACTGAGCCACCAACTGAGCCACCAACTGAGCCTCCAACTGAGCCACCAACTGAGCCACCAACTGAGCCACCAACTGAGCCACCTACTTGTAATGTAAGAGAGCCGCAGTATTTTTCCTCAAAAAATCATGCTCCGTAATCAAATAGCCTATTTGAAATAGGGTTGCTTTTTCTGAGGAAATTGATAGAATTCAGATTAACGAAAAGATTTGTCCTTACTACTAGTAAGTTACTAGTAAAATAATTTAAATTACAAAAAGTCCCTCATTTTAAACAGTCGTCGAACATTAACTAAAAAATATTGATAAATGGGTCATTAATAAAAGATAGTATTCGATATCTCCTGAATTGATGAGCTGACGTTTTTCGACCACAAATATAAATTTAATGGCAGTGAACCTCTTAATCTAAAATGTTTTTTCTAGAGTAATTTAAAATCAATTTAATGCCAAGCGATTGATAATTTAAAATTTTTAGGCCTCGCAAACCAAAGGAGCACGTGAACGTAAAGCAGGTGATATTGCTAACCGACCGGACACAAGCGATGAAAATGGAGAAGGAGCTCACGGTGACCAGGGTGAGTACGGCGATCTCGTTGTTGCCCCTTGGCAAGTTGATGCTCTTGTCAAGCTCGGCTACGATGCTGACAGACTTAATGTTGACCAAAACGCCGGCCATACTGCCCCAACTGGCAGAGGCTTGGTCACCTGGGCAACGAAATGGTCTGAGACTGACTCTGATGGTCGATTCGTCGTTCCATACGCCATCCAAGACACTGTTCCTGCTGAGAGCTGGCAGCAGATTCACGATGAGCTTGCAGACTTCACCCTTGCCATGGGTTGTCTTAAGTTCGTTTATGATCCAACCTTCTCATACGACGTCGGTGTCCACATTGCTGGTGAAACCTCAAACGGCTCTGGTTGCTGGTCATACGTCGGTGTCTGCAGCGGCTGTACTAATGGCGTGAGCGGAATTCAGCCAGGCTGGCAAGCACTTCGACTCCCTAACTGGTGCCTCAGCGTCGGCGGAATCCACCACGAGTTCCTTCACGCTATCGGCTATCTCCACGAGCAGGATCGGCCAGATTGGGCCAATTACATCACCGGTGGCGATGTAGGAGATATCAGCGAGAGTGATTGGATCGACACTGGTCATCCCTTCGAACCATCTTCAAACGTCATGTACAGCGGATTCACCCTTGTCAACGGCCGAAGCTACTCTCCTCATCCCCTCCTCACAACCACCGATGCCGAGCAGGGATACGCCCTCTACTGCGAAAACAAGCAAGACACTCATCCAATGGAACCACGATCCAAGTGCCTTGAGCCTGATGTTGTCGATGTTATTCGACCCATCTTCCAGCACAAATTCTGTGACGGTTTTGCGGACTGCCTCGACGGAGAAGACGAAGATAACCGACTTGCTAACTGTTTCGAGGATGCCCCTAAAACCGATCTTGGCTGCTGTTCATCTCTTTACGTAAACTGGAACGGCATCGGGTCTTGCGTCGCATGTGGCACATACAATGGCAAGGACCTTTATGAATGTCCAAGTGATCATCAATGGCTCGGAAGAATCCGATGGGAAACAGACTTGGGATGGATTGTCTGCGATGATGATGGCTGGGGTGGATGTGATGCTCCTTGGGCATGGACTGGTCCTGACCCAGACAACGTTTGCTTCGGTGACAACGGAGAGCTCTCCAGTGGCTACACTTTCCCGTTCGGAAGCGTACCGGATATAAGCTTTACTTGTGAAGCCGGAAGCCAGCCAGGAACTGGCGAACCTCTTCCATGTGCTGACCACAACTGCGCTGATAATGAACGGTGCGTCAACACTGCTGACGGAAGTGGATACACCTGTGAGTGCAGAGACCCAGTCAACAGCCCCTGTGATGGAACAACAACAACAACGTCGACCACATCAACAACTACCACAACAACAACTACAACAACTACTACTACGACAACATCGACTACTACGACTACAACAACGACGACGACTACTACGACTTCAACAACAACGACGACAACTACGACGACAACTACAACGACGACTACAACAACAACACCTTGTCCACCAACTACTGGTTGTTCCCCAGAGTGCACTGATGGTAAGATCTCTTTTTTTTGAATTTTTTTTAAAATTCATTAGGATTCACCTGCGAAGACGGAGAGTGTGTCGATGAGAATGAGTGTGCAACTGGCAATCATCACTGCCATTCATACGAGTCCTGCATCAATCTTCCAAATGGAAATGGATTCAAGTGCGGACCTACTGATCTTACATGTGATTCATCCACCAAATTCGCTGAATGGAAGGGAGTAAGTCAATTTATTTTTTGGTTTTCGATTTATCTAATCTCATTTTTTCTAGCGAAACAACATCAAATATATCTACAAGGGTGAAGATTCCGTCATGCTCCAGGTCAAATTCCGAGCCAAGAACAAGTGGGTCAACCCACGAGAGGAACTTTACAAGGGTTTCATCTTCTGGACCAAGGACGTTTGCGGCATGGACTTTGTGAAGAAGCTCCGAAGCGGCGAAGTCCGAGTCGATCTTGTCGATACCACTGATGTCTACCGACTGGGCGATGCCTATTTCCGAGATGCTGCTAAATATACTCATGCTGGTTTTGAGTTTGAGCTCACTCAGATCGTCGACAAGGATACTCCATGGGCCTTCAAGGGCGGTAAACCTACTAAGAACATGGGCTCAGATGATGTTCAGGTCATTCTTACCGGTAAGTCTTACTTTTTTCTTCGAGATTTCTCAACAAAACGATTCTAGGACTCAAGGATGTTCAATGGATCCCAGCCAAGGGCCGAGACTGGTGCCTCTTGACCGGCGCCAATGCTATCGTTCCTCTTGAGAATCAAGATTACCCAGACCACCACATCATGTGCCTTGCTGAAAATAAGACCTTCTGGAAGGCTCCAGCAGACCCGGTGAACTATGAAGGTTAAATTCTACCTATTCTAAAAATCTACTCATGTCTTTTTGGTTAATAAAATGACACTTATTTAATTCTTCTGGAATACATTTGTTCTCTTCAACGTGTTCAACTTGTATAAATATTGTGATATGAAACTTCACTAAGGGGAAACTCGACAGAAATCGGGATAATTCTCGGGGAAGCAGGGAATAAAAAAAATCGATTATAATTTTGACGTCGACACCCTGCTTGAATTGGCCACTCATATTCTGTTTAAAATTCTTGCATTCATATTTATGAAATATTTTTATGCATTTTATTTTATGGAGATCTTTATAATAAGTCTAATTTCCGCCTAAACTGAAATCGAAATCCACCCGGTTTAATATACAGCTTTATTTTGAGAGTGCGAATTTCAGCTGTCTTCCAATTAATCCGTATAAAAGCTGTTTGTGGATTAGCAGCCTAATGTTCTAGCGCCGCAAGTGCATTATGATTTCTATAAAACCTCGATTGGAATAGAGATTGTCAGCCTCAAAATGAAGCTGTCTGTCGCGATTTTGTCCGTTGTGAGTATAAAAATATTGAAAAAATTTTCATCAGAGAGATATTATATTTAGAATACAATTGTATTTGATCATCTCGGGTTTCCTTATCGGTAGGGGGTGCACAGTGGGAAAATGTCAAAAAACTAAGTATCTTTTTTTGTTACTTTATAGTCTTGAATGACTTTGTTATAACCCAACAATCATTCCTTTCAATTATCATCTTTTCAAAAATGCTCATTTTCACCCGTTAAATCACGTGGTCAGAAAAGGGGTTTTTAGCAAATTTCTCCCGAGATATTAAAGGTTATAAAAAATGTTAATTGCATCTAAGACAGTAAACAAAGAGCTTTAATTTGACCCCAAAATGGTATCCGGCACTTTCCGGCAAAAAATTCTAGAGCCGATTCTTTGTCAAAAATCATCACTTTTCGGCCAAGTCGGGTGTTCGAATCCCGACAATAACATTTTTTTTTTCGCACCCGTTTTTACCCAATAAATAATTGAACCTGATCATGTGATTAAGCATGAGTCATTTTTTGTCCTCCGGAGGACTTTATTGGTGGAAGAATCCTCCTGGAAGACGAAAATTTTTTTTCCGATTTGATTTTTAGGGCCGTTTCAGCCCCGTTCCTTGATTTTCAATTTTAGGGGGCTTGACGGCCCTTCGGGCCGTTTCAGCCCCTATCCTTGATTTTTAATTTTAAGGGGCTTGACGGCCCTTCGGGCCTTTTCAGCCCCGTTCCTTGATTTTTAATTTTAAGGGGCTTGACGGCCCTTCGGGCCGTTTCAGCCCCGTTCCTTGATTTTAAATTTTAAGGGGCTTGACAAAGGCCTGGAACTCTTAGTTGATCAATCTCAGTTACGTCCCCAACCCCACCCATACCCATTGATATTTAAATTTTAATTATCCTTGTTTTTTACTTAATTATGGTTTTTAAAGAAAAAAGAGAGAAAAAGAGTTTTGACAGTGAAATTTACGATTTTCAATTTTTATTTTTTCCCTCTGATGGATCAGGATGAATCCGAATATTGTTTTTATGGCGATTAAAATGATCATTGATCATCAGCGATCAATTTCATGCATAAAAAACCTTATATAAATCGATTTTGAGAAAGTTCGCATTTTGACCTCAGGTGACCTCAGGTGACCTTTGATGACCCCAAGTCACATGTTAAAATGATCAGTGGATCTTAGGCTTTCCATCGATATATCATTCATCCCTATAAGAGGATGATAAAAAAATCAATTTTCCCACTGTGCACCCCCTACTTATCGGGCATATAATTTTAAGAAGAAGTCAGAAAAAAATAATTTCAGGTCTCGGCGAAAAAATGGAAAGCTAAACGTGAAGCAGGGGATCGTCCAGACACTCCCACTAAGAATGGCGCTGGCGCTCACGGTGATCAGGGCGAGTATGGCGATCTCGTCATTGCACCCTGGCAAGTCGATGCCCTTGTCAAGCTTGGTTACGACGCTAACAAACTGAATATTGACAAAAACGCAAGCCAAACGGCTCCAGCTGAAAGAGGATTGGTCACTTGGGCAACGAAATGGTCAGTGACTGACTCTGATGGACGATACGTAGTTCCATACGCAATCCAAGACACCGTTCCTGCTGAAAGCTGGCAGCAAATCCACGATGAGCTTGCAGACTTCACCCTTGCAATGGGATGCCTCAAATTCGTCTACGATCCTGAATTCAGCTACGACGTTGGTGTACACATCGCCGGTGAGACCTCCAATGGCTCTGGTTGTTGGTCATATGTCGGTGTATGCAGCGGTTGCACTAATGGCGTGAGCGGAATTCAACCCGGATGGCAAGCACTTCGTCTTCCGAACTGGTGTCTTGCCGCCGGTGGAATACACCACGAGTTCCTTCACGCTATCGGCTATCTCCACGAACAGGACAGACCAGATTGGGCAGATTACATCACCGGTGGCGCAGTCGGCGATATAAACGAGAACGAATGGATCGACACTGGTCATCCATTTGAGCCAGCGTCAAACGTTATGTACAGCGGTTTCACTCTTGTCAACGGTCGAAGCTACTCTCCTCATCCTCTCCTCACCACCACCGATGCCGAGCAAGGTTATGCTCTCTATTGCGAAGGAAAGCACGATACGCACCCAATGGAGCCACGATCCATGTGTCTCGAGCCAGACGTTGTCGACGTTATCCGACCCATCTTCCAGCACAAATTTTGCGATGGATTCAAAGATTGTCTTGACGGAGAAGACGAGGACAACCGACTCGCCGATTGCTTCAAAGGAACTCCAAAAACTGACTTGGGCTGTTGTTCATCTCTGTATGTCGACTGGAACGGTGTTGCAACTTGCGTGGCAAGTGGCGAGCTCTACAACGGCAAGGATGTTTATGAATGTCCAAGCGAGCACGAATGGCTCGGACGAATCCGATGGGAAGCTGAAAGTGAAAACGGCACATTAGGATGGATAGTATGCGACGACGATGGCTGGGGTGGATGCGACGCTCCTTGGGCTTGGACCGGTCTTGACCCGGACAGCGTCTGCTTTGGTGACAATGGAGAACTATCTAGTGGCTATGAGTTTCCGAACGGAAATCCAGATATAAGCTTCAGCTGTGAAGCCGGAGGCGAACCTGGAACCGGTGAACCTCTCCCGTGTGCTGACCACGATTGCACTGACAACGAGCGATGCGTCAATACTGCTGATGGAACCGGATACACCTGCGAGTGCAGAGACCCAGTGAACAATCCTTGCGCAACAACAACACCTGAGCCACCAACTGAGCCACCTACGGAACCACCGACGGAGCCGCCAACGGAGTCACCAACTTGCCCACCGACATCTGGTTGCTTCCCAGAATGTGAAAATGGTATGACAGATTTATTTTTGCGAAAATTGTCAATAAATTCTTCTAGGGTTTATCTGTGAAGATGGCGAGTGCGTTGATGAGAATGAGTGTGACACTGGCAACCACTACTGCCACTCATACGAGTCCTGTTCAAATCTTCCCAACGGAAAGGGGTTCAAGTGCGGACCAACCGACCTTGAATGTGATTCCTCTACTAAGTTTGCGGAATGGAAAGGAGTAAGTTTTTTAACTCTGATGAAGGATCTTCTCGTTGTCTGTCCGATTTTCGCTAGATTCTTTTTTCTTTAAAGATTTGATTCAGCGCAATAATGTCAAATACATATACAAGGGCGAGGATTCCGTCATGCTTCAAGTCAAATTCCGATCAAAGAACAAATTTGTTAGCCCCAGAGAAGAGCTTTACAAAGGTTTCATCTTCTGGACCAAAGACGTTTGCGGAATGGATTTCGTGAAAAAACTCCGAAGCGGTGAAGTTCGAGTCGACCTTGTCGATACCACTGACGTCTACCGACTTGGCGATGCTTACTTCCGAGATGCTGCCAAATATACTCATGCTGGTTTTGAGTTTGAGGTCACTCAGCTTGTCGACAAGGATACTCCGTGGACCTTCAAGGGAGGAAAACCTGTAAAGAATATGGGATCCGATGATGTCCAAGTCATTCTTACTGGTAAGTTTCAATTCTATTAGTCTTATCTTTCAAACGCAGATTTAAGGTCTCAAGGATGTTCAATGGATTGCAGCCAAGGGCCGAGACTGGTGCCTCCTGACAGCCGCTAATGCCATTGTTCCTCTCGAAGGTCAGGACTTTCCAGACCACCACATCATGTGCCTTGCTGAAAACAAGACCTTCTGGAAAGCTCCAGCAGATCCAGTGAACTATGAAGGCTAGAAAAATTATCTTTTATTGCTTCGCCTTATTTATAAATAAACCATGCAAAATCATCAAGAAAAGCCGCATGAACTTCACGAGCAAGCATCTTGATCATCAGTAGTCCTCGAGATGAATACAGCAGTAAATTTTCAGTATTCGCACTTGTCAGCACTTATCGCATGCCGCGATTTCCTTATATGCAAAATTGTGAAATCAAATCCTTGAATTCGTCTCTTCGACCAAATGCCACTGTTCCGCGTTGAAAATGGTTTGCAATAAAAATTATTTCTAGCAATTAAGTCACTGCATATTTCATCATAGTCTTTGATTCATAGAGATTCCAAGTTAGAATATTTTTGTTCGGGGAACAATTTTTGTATTTTTTACGACATTAGTCTTTTTGAAAATGACGTTGATTAAGATTATTGAATTCTTTAGGTCCTATTTAGGATTAATAATGCTCTATAATATTTTTTACTAAAATAAACTTAATCAAAAACTACCCCAAAGAGCTCATAATTCATTAATTGCAGCGAGTTGCAAATTGCGACTTGCAATTACCATGGCAGCGTGGTGCTTTGTGACGAAAACGAGCTGCAAATGGCCTTGGGCTACATCTTCCGTAGGGCACACATGTGCCACCTACGGCTCCTTCTTTCATTACAATCTCTTTCAAGGAATCCCTTTCCGTCAATTTAAAGAGGAAATTTCCACATTTTTGAAAATCCTTTACTCCTTGAACTTGCTTATTCACCGTTTTCAGGTAATTATGTATTCCTTCGCAGTTCTTTTTTCAGCTAGAAAAGCTCTTTTTCGAGCATTAACGGTATTAGAAAGGAAGAATCAAAACTGCCGCGGGCGGGTGCGCACAGTAAGATCTTTTCATCCAAGAGAGAAAAATAGAGAGAAAGCCAGTTCGCTCTTTTTTTGCAAACGAGGCCCCAAGGGTCCTCTTCCCCAGCATCTTCTGATTTTGAAAATAAAATAACGAGAAACAAACTCTTTTGAGCCCGACCGCCCAGAACAAGCTGAATTTATTGCACTATCGGGGAGTCACATCAACAAAAAGATACAGATCTGAGAGAAAATTTCAGAAAAACCGAGTTTCATAAAAACAAGAGAAATTTTAAAATAGCAAGAAAAAGTAGCGCGTCGATAACAATTTTTACTTTAAAAAATCGGAGTATTAATAAGTCAATTTGACTTATTGAAATAATTAGGAACTTTAAAAATATTTTCGGCAAGTTTTTGCAGCGATTCTTTTAGTATACAAAAAAATGTCTTCTAAGCCACAAAAACAATAACTTCAGCTTATTTTGCCGTAAAAATATACTTGGAAAAAATTTCTCAGCGACATATTTTTTGCTTTGATGACCCAATTTAAGGGACTTTTTTTGAAAATTTTGGAGCAAAAAAAGTCCCTTATTTTGGACTCCGACTGTACAGTTTTTCCGTTACAGTCATCCCCGAAAACGAGTTCTAGAAATGCCTAGAAGCCCGATCCTTACATTTTCGCATAAGCTTCTAGTAGGCTCTTTTGCACAAAAAAAAACTATAAATTATTCAAAGCGCAGTGAACAAAAAAGAACAGCTCAAGTTCACCGCTGTCTGACTGTATCTCTTTTGTCATTACAGAGCCTTTGACGCAAAAAGCCCTTTATTCCGTTGTTTCTAGACTATCTTGCTGAAAGAAAACTGTCAATAAGGATGATTTTAGTTTAATAATTTTCATCATTTCAGACGGTGCAGGACCGGCTATGGTTCAGCTCTGAATGTCATTCCTGAAACTCTACAAGTCAGCATATACCTTCAAGTGTTTCCTGACGACATTCTAGCTACAGACGACTCATTATTTTAAGCATTTAGCTTCTTTATCATAAACCGGCATCAAGAATTAGGTAAAATGCTTTTTTGGATAAAGAAAAAGGCTCAAAATTTGGCCTTTCTCGAATCAGCTGTTTGTTAATCTTCTTGGATTTCAAAAAAAAAAAGCTCACGACTAAAGTCGCTCTTCAGGAAACGACTATCGATAACAAGAGACATTTATGGATCTGATCAACACAGCAGAAACAGAAAAAAAGAGAAACAGCTCGGACGAATCTGGCTCTGGAAGTTCCACGCAGATTACGTAAGCGACATCAGTAAGGTAGAGAATTTTGTGCCTAAAACTTATTGATAGCGATGGAATCACATCGACAGAAGGACTTCTTCAGAAGAAGCTTGAAGACTGCGAAGATTTAGTTCCAAACAGACAGGTAAAAAAAACATATTCTCTAGGAGAATTCCTCATTACAGTAATACAACGTCACTGAAGTAGAGTAATTTTCAACCTCTCGCCCCTCTCATCGACCTCATAAATCGTTGTTTTTGCATCTTATCACATTCTTCTAACGAGAAATTTAGACATGGTCGAGAAAAGCCGAATTCATTCTGGCGGTCATCGCGTTCGCAGTTGGCTTGGGAAATGTCTGGCGCTTCCCCTATCTTTGCTATAAAAATGGAGGTGGCGCATTTTTCATCCCTTATTTGATCATGTGCGTTTTTGGTGGAATTCCGATCTTCTTTCTGGAACTTTCGCTTGGGCAATTCATGAAAGGTAAAATACCAAATTGAGCGCTCTGATTCAATCAATATTTGTAGCTGGTGGAATCCGAGCCTGGGATCTTGTCCCACTCTTTCGAGGAATCGGCGTCAGTTCGGCCGTTTGCGTGTGTTTTTGCAACATCTACTACATTATGGTACTCGCGTGGGCGATCTTCTACTTGGTGAACTCATTTACGGCATCAGATCTTCCCTGGGAGACTTGCGACAATACATGGTCCAATCAATCAACCTGCTTCTCTCATACAACCTCGCGTGGATTATTCGAGAATGATACAGGTAAAAAAAGATTCTCATCCTTGTTTTCAAAAAATGTCCAGGAATTTGCGCGGAACCATTCGACGAGCGACAACTTTCGGAATTTCTAGCCATTCGAACACCCGTCCAAGACTTTTGGGAGAATCGTGTGCTCCAGAAAACCGACCGCATCGAAGATCAAGGCGAAATGCGCTGGGAGCTAGTCGCTTGTTTGGCTTTTGCCTGGCTGACTTGCTGGCTCAGCGTGAGCAAAGGAGTCAAGAGCAGCGGAAAAGTAGCCTGGGTCACTGCCATCTACCCTTACATCATTCTATCGGCGCTTTTTATTCGGGCAATTACGCTGCCAGGTGCCGCCGAGGGAATTTCGTTTTACTTGAAGCCTGATTGGAGCAAATTATTGACAACGAAGGTGATTTTGATTTTGAAAAACTTATCTTTGACAGAGTTTTAAGATCTGGATCGACGCTGGTACTCAAATTTTCTTCTCCTATGCAATTGGTCTTGGCGCTTTGACAGCTCTCGGTTCATACAATAAGTTCGACAATAACTGCTACCGCGATGCCATCCTCCTTTCTCTTGTCAACTCTGGCACTTCAGTCTTCGCCGGCTTCGCGGTTTTCGCCTTCTTGGGTTTCATGTCCTGCGAGAGTGGAATTGACATCGAGCACGTAGCGACAAGTGGCCCTGGTTTGGCGTTTTTGGTCTATCCGAAGGGAATCACGATGATGCCGCACAGTCCTGTTTGGGCAGTGGCTTTCTTTACGATGATCCTTGTTCTTGGAACCGGAAGCCAAATGGTAGGAATGGAGAGTTTTCTCACTGCTGTTTCTGATCTTTCTCCAACTCTACAGGTGAATTAACCCAAAAATGAATCCATCCTTGAGAAATAACTCTAGAGACACCGTGCTAAATTCTCCCTTCTTGTCACAATCTGCTTCTTCCTGATCGGCTTGATTTTCTGCACCAAAGGAGGAGTTCATACCTTTCAAATATTCGACAACTTTGGAGCATCTGGATTCGCTTTGCTCTGGCTGTCGTTTTGGGAAGCAGTGGCGATCGGCTGGGGATATGGAGGCGAAAAGTACTTGCAAACTGTTGAACGAATGACTGGTTAGTTTTCAGGCAAAAGGAGATGATAAATTTGAACCTAGGTAAAAAATGCTCGCGCTATTTCGTCTACTGCTGGAAGTTCTTGACTCCGCTTGCAACAACATCCATTTTCGCCCTCTGCCTGACGAAGTATGAACGAATGAAGTACGAAAACCAAGAAGTTCTTCCTCTTTGGGCGGAAGGACTTGGCTGGTGTTTGGCGCTTTCTTCCATGATTTGCATCCCCGTCATGGGTGTCATTCAGTTGATCAAGCAGAAAGGAAGTCTTGGCGAACGACTAAAAGCGTCTTTGGAACCAAAGGTAGAATTGTTACAAATAATATACCGTCATCAAAATGTTCAGATACCTCGTCATGTCTTCAAGTAGAAACAAACCTAGATGTTGATTATTTCTGTTTATATTTCTATACCTTTCCATAAAATAAATGTTTCAATGTTTCATTATTTTGATCCGGATAAAAAGATCTTCATTTGTTATATTGTAATTTTGTTTATTACAGTGTAAGTCAGATATTTACATTTTTGATGACAGAATGGTCTTCCTGGGAAAATGACGAGATCGAGCACCTTTGGCTATTCTTTATGCTCGTTGTCTTTAAAATAGTATTATTGAAAGTAGAGCAGCCGTTACTCACTGTAGTAAAGCTCCGTTGAGTGTTATAACTTCTGGTGCCAGTTGTTCTTGAGGCAAGGGAAAAGGCATTTCTTGAGCTAAGTCTGGGATCGCGGACAGGACCCAAGCCGAAGCATTCAAAAACCATAACTATCGATTGAGTTCGACAAATATGAAATTTTAGATTACTAATTAAGTGATAATATAATAAAACCTTCATTAATCGCACTACCGGTTGGAAGAGCTTATAGGACGCTTAAATCATTGATAACTCTTTCCTTTGAAATCATGCCGAAATCTCGTCCCAAAAAAGCAATACAGCAGCGGATTCAAAACCGGATTGATCCACGCCAATAGCTGGAGCCATCTTTCAGCCGACTCGCAATGAAAGTCTTGCAGCAAATCAAAACTCCTAAGCACATGAAATAACTGGGAAGGGAACCAACAAATTATGTAGGAAAGTTGAAGGAGGATCAAGAGATTTCCAAGGTCGGAGCTTGATGAGGCGGAGGAGAGGTCGCGCAAATTGTGTCGCACGTTTTTTACTGATTGCCACAGTTTCAGGTAGCTTAGGGAGATTATCAAACCAGGCAGTAGAAAACCTAAAAGGCCTGAATGGCTTTTTCAAATTAAATTTTTACCTGAGATGAATTACCATAAGAATTTTTTGGTCAAAAAAATTTTTTCTTAGATAAGGGGATATCCTGAAAGCCCGTAAAAAATAGACTGATTTCCAAAATTCTAGTGCCCGATGACGTCATTATGACGTCATAAGGGGCTTTTGAAAAAATTTCATTTTTGACCGTTTTTGAGCCGGAAAACGACGGTCGATCCCTTTTTTCTTTTGTGGATCTTGTAGCTCAGGACCTGAGCTTTACTTACCCGGGGTCAAAAAATTCTAGAGGTCACGTGTTATTACGTAATTGGAGGCCCCAAACTTGGTATTATCTTATATTGTTAATTTAACTGTATAAAATGTTTATAGTGTTTATATTTTTTAGTAAATATTTATCACATGACCAAAAATGACTCATAACAGTCATCCGGAGGACCTCTCTACTGGAAGAAAGATGCTGGAAGAATTTATTTCAAAAAATAGATTTTCTCAAAAAATTATTGAAAAATGATGCAAAAACTAAATAGAAACCCAGAAAACCCAAGAAAATGTCCGAATTATGGGCTGAGAAGATTCAAATTAAAAAAAAAAGTGAAATCGAGACTTTTTAAAGAAGTCTTCCGGCAATTTTCCTCCAGTATAGAGGTCCTCCGGATGACTGTTATGAGTCATTTTTGGTCATGTGATAAATATTTACTAAAAAATATAAACACTATAAACATTTTATACAGTTAAATTAACAATATAAGATAATACCAAGTTTGGGGCCTCCAATTACGTAATAACACGTGACCTCTAGAATTTTTTGACCCCGGGTAAGTAAAGCTCAGGTCCTGAGCTACAAGATCCACAAAAGAAAAAAGGGATCGACCGTCGTTTTCCGGCTCAAAAACGGTCAAAAATGAAATTTTTTCAAAAGCCCCTTATGACGTCATAATGACGTCATCGGGCACTAGAATTTTGAAAATCGGTCTAATTTTTTACGGGCTTTCAGAATATCCCCTTATCTAAGAAAAAAATTTTTTGACCAAAAAATTCTTATGGTAATTCATCCTGAAGAAAAAGCGAAAATAACATAAGTCCTAAACTTCAGCGGATAAACTTGACAAACTCGCTCAGACAGATCAATTTCTACTGCTCCAAAATCGCATTCTTCGATTTCTTTTTCCGAGCAGTTTCGACGAAGATTTTCCTCGATGTGTTTCAAATCGGTATTTTTCAAAGCGACGATTTTGTCGTCCGGCTCGCTGGCCCAGTTGACATTACATAATTGGCGCGCTTCATCGTGCTCGAAAAGAGTTATGTTTGGAATCGCGAAGCAAAACGATAAAAGCTCTTGAAGGATCGCTAAAATAACAAAAATCTAAAGAATACGACTCTAGTCGATCCTTTCCCAAAGAAATGCAGTAATTGCCATGTACTTTTTCTTCGAGCTTTTGATCTCAAAACTATTGTATCCAATTTTGATATATCTATCCAACGCCATCATGCACAGCAAAAACACTGTCAAGTGCATGACCGTCGTTTTGAAAGCAACGTCCATCAAACAAACCGTTTTTCTAACCTGGGTTCAAAAACATTCTCGATCACAAAACTCGATCAACTGTGAACCCAGGCCAAATCGGAAGGCGTTGTCATTCAGCGTCATATCCATCGTTATTGGTAAATGAAAGAGTAGGAGCAAATCGGCAATCGCAAGGTTGATGATGAAAATTGATGAAGGAGGTATTGTTCGTCGTTGTTTCTAAGAAAAAAGAAGTTTATTTTGTCTTTCAAAGAACCCATTTTTGGTAGAATGACAAGAATGACTTACCAAAATGGTCGCGATCACCAATATATTCGCAACACTTCCAAAAATCAGCGCAAAGCCTTGAACACTGACTTTCACCAGCTTCGAAACGCTTCGATTTCCCGCTGCAATTTCAAGTTGGGCATCAATAATGTCAAGCATCCCTGGATCCAAGTTCTTAAAGCAAATTATTTCTCGATTCAAAAAGATGCTTTTGAAATTGACCCGAAGCTTTCGTCGATTCGGGATGCTATCGATTCAGAGAAAAAAAGGGGTTAAAGTGTTTACCTGCATATCGAAGTTCGAGAAAAGGTCGAGTGGGAGGCTGCTAAATAAAAAGTAAGTCTCCAAAATTTCCTACTTGGGTGCGATTTCTGTTTCCTCTAATACCTGGAATCTGAAATCAAGGAAGACTCTTCACTCAAATCGAAATATTTCGCTTCGGCTCGATTTTCAACTCTGAAAGTCAAGAACTTGCAAACTCACCGCAATTGGCAATTGCAGCCTTTTTACCTGTTGCATTCGCAGTAATCAGTAATGAGATCCTCCGTCTGAGCGTGAGCGCCAACGGAGAAACTTAAATTAATCATTCTTTCGATAATTAGCTTCAGCTTCGAGTTGTTCCAGTCTCGTCCTGAAAATAATACGATTAGTGATGATCAAGGCGAAAATCTAATAAACAGCACTTTCAGCGAAAGAAAAAACAATTATCTTTCAAACAGAAGATCTGCGGGCGAATATTGTTAACCTTTGGTTCAGGCTTTTAATAGCTTGGGGTAGTAGGGGGTTATCATTCGAGCTGCCCCTAACCCTAAACCTAACCCAGGGGCTACGCCCTCCTGGTACCCCCACCTAAGGCCTAAGCCAGGGGGCTTCGCTTCCCCGGACCATCCGTTATCAGTTCCCAGTACCTACCCCTAACCACTACCCCTGATTCTAGAAATATTGGATGGCTCGAATCATAGGCTCGAATGATAGCCCCTTTCTACGATTCTAGGGGCAAAGGTCGTAAAGTAACACTTACTATATTTATCTGTTTCTTGTGTTTTTGATGAACCAATTCTAAGAAAGACACAAGCACTTCTCCTGGAGTATTGAAAGAAATTAAGACATACGATGAGCCCTTGCAGATTACCTTAAACCCCTGCGTTGTTGACTCAAAAACTATAATTTCGCTTTACAATTCAGTAAATAGAAAAAAAGATTTTCTTTCTCCATCTCCGTTTCCCAATTTTTCTCTATTTAAATTTCGATGAACCCTATCTCCCTACACTAACCTGTCCTTTGACTATAACTGGTCAAGATGAATGGCACCGCTCAAATTGACCCGATAATCTTTGTCAGATCGTCATTCACTCATTCCCCTCTCTTCAGAAGGCTCATTTTCTATTCAAGAATAATTGTTTGCGTTTTCTTCTTCTGAATGGTGCTCTTGAGATTTTCTTTTCAACGAGATGGATTTTGCTGAAGGAGAATTCGAGGTCATTAATTTCCAAGGGATAATTATCGATGATTATGACACGCGGGTCAAAGAAAGATTATGACTTGACTTTTGCTCTATTTTTAATTGAAACCTAGCAGTTGGACAAATTGGAATTCAATGCAAAACTGACAGTTTTTGTCAATAAGGTCTGATGCCGAAAGAATGTTATTTTTAAGTTTAAATGGGGTCAAAAAACCACAGATGTTCGGGTTATATAGATGGGATTTCATGTTTTTTGGATGAAAAAAAAAAATTAATTTTCGTAAAAAAATAGACACTAAAAAAATCAGACTTGCACCCTCATCATTGTTTCTTCCAATAGCTAGGTCAAAAATTTGCATATAAAACAACCAAAAAGGAAGTGCGCGAGCGGCAGAGCATCTTTACCAAGAAAGGATGAGCATCGCAAATCAAACAAATTTTTCCATACCGCCTTTGCTGAACCTAGAGATTTACAAAAGCGAGAGTCAGAATTTACGATCGTCCGCGAGCAACTGCCCAGATGGGTTTTTCGATCTATCGCGAGGAGAGACTTCTGATTTGGCTTACGGCTCGTGTTTCCGCTTGATCCCGCCAATGACTTTTGATCAGGCGGCAAAGTTATGCTCGTGCTTGGAGTCGAATTTGCCGACATTCAGTCGCCAGGAGGCATTTCCGCTGGAGAAGTTAGCTCTTACTTCTCCCCTGAAAGGGCCCGGCTTATATGAGAAGATCTGGCTGGGGTACACGGACAGGGAAAAGGAAGGAGTATGGATTGATGCATGGGGAAATGAACTAGAGCTGGATAATTGGGGAGAATGGGATGGCGAATTGTTGCCGGATAATGCTGTTTGGTGTAAGATAAAAACGGGGTTTTTGACATTAAGGGACCACGCGAACCTAGCTCGCGCCGCTTTTCAAAAAATCCATTCAGTACCTTATTTTTTGTCAAACTGAATGAAATTTTCAGGACATATGTGGCTTTTTCTCCTCTTTCATCTCCAGTTTGAATTATTTTCATATGATTATTTTTGAATTAAGCAGGAAGAAAACGAGATGCTCAACTTTAAAAGGCATCAGCTCCTAAAATACTTGTCACTTGAAGTTACAAATACCTTCATCGAAAAGCGCATTCAATTCTGATCAGAGATACGGTCGCGTGGTCTTCAAATTTTATTTACATCCGGTCAAAACCAGCGGATTAGTCCAGTAACTCCGCGTGAAGCCGGTGTTTCGCGGCGTGAAGCGCGCCAATTTAGCGCGAATAGTGCAAATTCCCCGCCGCGCGAAGGGTGTTCCTTGATAAATCCCCTCATTACGATCTAATGCAAATAAAATTTGAAGACCACGCGATCGTATCTCTGATCAGAATTGAATGCGCTTTTCGATGAAGGTATTTGTAACTTCAAGTGACAAGTATTTTAGGAGCTGATGCCTTTTAAAGTTGTGCATCTCGTTTTCTTCCTGCTGGATTCAAAAATTATCATATGAAAACAATTCAAACTGGAGATTAAAGAGGAGAAAAAGCCACATATTTCCTGAAAATTTCATTCAGTTTGACAAAAAATAAGGTACTGAATGGATTTTTTGAAAAGCGGCGCGAGCTAGGTTCGCGTGGTCCCTTAAAAATTAAAAGATGATAAAAACCGAAATGAATACTTCCAAAACTGCATGCTCGTCAACATCCGAGGCCAGCCGGGAAAGATGGACGACGATTTTTGCATCCGCGAGCGATATTCTTTCTGCCAAACTCGAAAATGCGACAGGAACGAAATCTGCGTCAGGAATGAACAATGTCCAGTTCCTGGGAGACCGAATTGGTTCGAAGAGCAGAGAGAAAATGAATTGCTTTTCAATATGGATAATCTGGAAGATTCAAAGTTCGAGTCGAAGTGCCAGCCACCCTTTGAAGATTACAATGACGATGAGTGCTTTATTGTGATTCCACATGCCAATGGCTCAAAATTGTTTACGTTAAATACTTTGCAATCAAAGAGGAAAACCATTTTGACCCTGTAGAAAGCTCCCTACAAAGCCTCGAAAACAATTTGTAGTGATCTTCAAGGCCATTTCCCAAGAATAAATTCTGTTGGAGATTCAAAACGAATCGGGAGGCTGGCGCCAGAATCAAAGTTCACCGAGTCAGAAGAAACAATTTGGGTCGATACCAAGAAGAAAAACGGTCGGTGGGTTTCGGACGCGAACGAATTTGCTTCTCCAGTTAATTTTTTGAACTGGGCTCCTGGGCATCGGGATAAAATTATATTAGAAGCATTGTCCTTTACAAAAAATGATCCTGAATAAGCGTTCCTGATAATCGGCAACTTCAAGGCGTCGGTCAAAACTGCATTGTTCTGGTAAGTCCTCTAGTAAGAAAGATCTGTTCTTAAGCTCTAGAATGCTGGAGGACTTGGCCTTTGGGATGATGAATGGTGTACTGCTCCCCATATGGCGATTTGCATCAGACCAAAGGCAGTTAAAATAAGCCAAGATGAAGAAGAAATGGGTAACAAAATGAATGAGACAAATGGGGTTATTAACATTGGAGACAGGAAAGAGTTTTGATTTGCTTATTTCATTATAAGCTAAAGTATAAAGAAACTTGGAAAAGCATCGACGATACGCTTATTGGCCTGAATAATATGGAAGAAGAATTCGAAAACGAAATCATAGAAGACAGTAAAGCTCCAACCATCAGCCCAGAGACTGAAACACTTGAAAATGCTGAGATAGGAACTCGGAGTGGCGCCTTTCCTTTATTCAGTTCATTTCTTATGTCATTATTATGTATTTTGCTCGAATAAAAGAAAAAGATAAAAATTTGGAATAACTCAAGAGTTTTTATTGCAATCAGTTTTTATAACAGTCAGCTGCCACTACTATTTGAGTTTCGGCCATTCGTGAAAACAGTGATTGTTCGAGTTTTGACAAAACTGACTGTAAGTGCAGTTATCGTTGATGATAGCCACTGCCGAATGTTCCGGTGCCAAAAGACGGCCAAATATTCAGCGAGTCGAAAACTTCCCCAAGCTCATCTAGGTCTATTTTTAATTCGTCCAGGTCAAACCTAGCAGGGCTTCTTTTTGAACCTAAAAATATCTTAAAAAAATGCTCATCTCAGATTGCTACCTGGCATTTTGTGAATCGAAGAAGCATTCACGAACATAAGAAAAACTGCATAAACTCTCATAGCGATTCTCTGATGGACTAACTCCCCTATTCGTTTTTATACTCATCTTTTCCACCTTCTATGTCTGATCCTCGACATCCGATAAAAGGTTAATGAAGCAATTGAATGAAACCCAAATGACGATCCGACTTGTATTGGCTTAGAAAAAATAAATAAGAAATCGAATAATAAGCCTAACATAGACATGTCACATTTGAGATAGATTTATTTATGATCAGTTCAGTGCTTTAGCTCTATATCAGTAGGAAAGATGACATTCTTCGTGAAATTAATGGCCGATTTCTGAGCTGTAAGGTGACAGTCTGTGCTGTCTATTCGACGAGTGCGTTTCGAACGAGTCTGACGGACAATTTCGTCTTCTTCGTCTTCTTCGATAGGGTCTTCTGGAACTTTATGCTCTGAAAAGATAATTGCTTGAATTGTATCGTTAAAATTACCATTTTCGACTAGTGGTTTTTCATCTTCCTCGTGAAATAAAACGTCACGTAAATTGTCCTGAACATCACTGTTTTTTCTAGCTTCGACTGATTTCCTAACCTGGTAGATTTCAAATAAAAACGCAATGAAAGCAAGTCCCATCATCTTCCAAAGGCAGCAAATCCATCGATAAAACATAATGAATTTGCCACCATTGAAATCTTCGCTATTCTAGAGCAAATGCTTCATTTTGCCATTCAAGAGGGAGAAACTACCTGAAGTGGACTTGGGGAAAGATCACCAAAGCCGACAGTTGTCAGCGTCACGATGCAAAAATAAATCGAGTCGACAAGAGACCACTGTTCAATCACTTGGAACATGATAACGGGAAGAATAAAGAAGAAAATCAAGCTTTCGCGGATTTTAACTGCTAGAAAGTATTCGCAGATGAATGAAAAAACCCGTTCCAAAAGTAGCCGTAAATCGATGAGAGAATCACTTTTTGATGGATTTTGAGCTCTCGAACAGGTTTTCCATACATAAATCCCGCTAGCCGCTCCCCAGATCGTCTCAACCACTTGCTAATAATACTGGTAGAGGCTTCAGCTACCACATTTTCTAACTCAAGATCGAACAACGGCCTCTTTCCTTATGCAAAAAAGCGTGTAGGGAATCGCAATCAGCGAAAAAATGCAAATAAAGATCTTTCCGCTGTCAGAACTGGCATGTTGCGCGCCATAACCAACAGCTAAAAATTCAATTGTTGAAGAGGTCGTTTCAAATTCTGACCTGTAACAGTAATAGTTGTGAAGAAAAAGGCGTTTGAGAAGTGAGTGAATAAGCTGAATAAAAGAAAATTAATTTTTTATCAGGAAATTTACCAACCTGGGGCAGATGATGGTATTGTTGATGGTCGTCATTTTGTCGAGCGCTGAGTTTTGTACCTTTACAGTTGATGATAGTAACCCATGAGTTCTCAAATAAGTATTGTTATGTCAATCCAACGTTGTTACGAAATGATACCTTGGAGTGCCGATTTCTGTTGAATTTTTATGAGTGGAATTTGTTCGCAAAGAAACACCATCGTCAATCTTTAAATATTTAAATCAAAACTTTTGACTCTCCTCTTGACTAACCGCAAAAGCATCACCAAGTCTCTTCTTTAGATTTTCCGCTGCAGCATTCAGTTTATCAACCGTTATTCCCTTCTTTCTGAGTATTTCTTTTTGTCGTTCGATTAATCGTTTTCTAGAGGAGGCCAATAACGAATACTAAGAGTGAAAAAGCGTACCCAAGAGAGATGAGAAAATCAGCTTTTTGGTCGAATTCCTTTTGTTTTTGCGCTTTTACGGCATCAAGATATTTTTGAACTGGAAATGAAACTTCAAAATCCCGTGGTTTGCTGAAATAAATTTCAATCAGTAATACACTCGATTTCGTGAAAGGCCTCGTCTTAAAAAAATGACCTGAGCGTATTCATTCTCTTCTCCAATTCTTCTTTATTCGGTTCAATATTGTTTTTGAGCAAAATTTCATCGGTAAGGTGCTTCGGCCCGAGCTGGTCAGGGTCATCTTTCATATATTCGTCCGCTTCGTTTTTCGCCGCTATTTCACCAAATAAAGTCAGATTTTTCAGTTCCTATAATTCTTTTCGGCGAGCGTGGAAACTGAGCTCTTACCGTGTGATTTCTGAATATTTTGAACTGCTCCCAAAAGTCCATGTTCATGTCTTCAACGTCTGAGAGCTCAATTCTGCTATCTTCGATTTCAATTTTTATCAATTTCGATCCAATCACAGCTGTAGCGTTGATTTCCCGAAGAGAATCCGCCAAATTTGAAGGGAACGAAGAATCGAATGTAATATTTTGCTTGATTTTATAAATCGACAGGCCGTTGAAATTGACTTCGCTCAAGATGGAATATGAATCATCAGAACTCACGAAGTTCTTGAGCTCTTTTTGGAACTCGGATCTGATGACGATTCGGGACAGTTTTTTTGCACTGATGACCGGTTGGTATTTTTCGCATTGATGGTTGACCAGCAGTTTTTCCTTGGCATCGCAAACTTCATCTTCGCACCAGGTTTCCAAAGTCAAGCAAGTATTTCTTTGCGAAAATTGTTATTATAAAATAGAAAATGACGAACCTGAGCCAAGGAAAGTCACTTATGCTGGCTCCTGCTTCTTCGTTGAAGCTTGAATCTTCATTCAATGCCTCGAAATCATCACCAAAGCATCCTCTTGCTGTAGCTAGTTTTCCAGCGTCCAGGGTTTCAGGAACAGAGTCTCCCGCATTTCGCCTTATCAGATTGAATTGCAGAGGGCTTCCTAAAATTTGTTTGAGTCTAGAATTATTTTATTTTACGAGACCATAAGTAAAAGGTTCTACACACATGTTTATATTTATTTACTCTTAGCCCGACGAAAAGTTTTCGTTGCTATCAAGGATGCCTAGATTATAAATTATAAACTATAATTTATAATTGAAATATCATTAACGAAAATTAAATTTCTCAATGGAATTTCGTTTCCAAGCGGAAGACTTATCAATAAATTATTGACTAGATTATCTAGTTTATTGATAAACTCACCAGGTGGTGCCTTTCCAGCTCCAAGTCGTCTGTAGTTATAGTGATTTTCGTACACATGGTACAGCGACGCCTCTAGAGACCCGAAAAAGAACACAAGCAACCGCCTCATTTTATGAACAAAATGAAACAAGCACCATTTTTGGAGCTCCTTTCTTGATGAATATTCAAGAACTTCAATTGTTGAAAGCATTCAACTTCAAAAACGTCATTCTCCAGGAAGTTGTTCTCCTGTGTACATACTCCCTAATCCTCAGCTGCAAAGGAATCGAGACAGTCAAAATTTTTTCACACGCAAAAATGTCCCTAAAATGTCATTCAATCCTACGAAATGAGAGAGCTGGCCTATGTTTTCGATTTTGTTTTAGTGATTTATGCCTTTTTCGAACTCCACGGTACAATTTTTTTCAATCCCATTTTTCGAGTTCTTTTTTAGCAACGATTTTTATCTTCACTGAGAATTGGCTGCGAATTTTCTTTGGAATTATTTCTTTTCTAACTTTAACGGAAAGGATAAAAATTTTCTCGGGCAATTTTATTATAGTGATACCCTTAATTTAATCCTGAAAAGACAACTATTTTCTCCATCAAATTTCACGAGTCGACAAATCTTCGTAAAAAAGAGAGCTTCCTGCGAGTCTACTTTCTGGCCGGCGCTATCCTTTTCAACCTCCAAATGGCACTGTGCTTCCACAACTACTTCCTCGCCAAGGCCGACTATCAATCCTCAGCTTGCGAGTTTTGCTTTGAAAATATCGAGCCTTTTGCAAAGCGGATTGAAGAGAACAATTTGCTGCTCTGTAATCGTCGGATATCAACCGGTAGGGAGAAACGATCGCATCGAGAGCATCACGTTGATCGACGAAAACACCTAATTCCACCGCCGGAAAACAGGAAATTGGTTATTAATTTCATTTTATTGAAAACTATAGAAAGACAATATTAAATCGAACATATTCAGAAGAAGTTTTTCGATTGTATTTTATAAGCTGACTTCTTCCTTTGTCGGGAATACTTGCAATTTCTTCTTTGTTTTCTTCTTTACCCGTGACTTCCCAGATTTCTTCAGCTACGGCTGTAAATCTGGCATGACTATCTAAAGGAAGAATAAAGTATTTTAACATAACGAAAGAGGAACCTATATTACAAATCCATAAGAAAAAATCACCCCATTTCCAGGCCCCTTTGAATTTGATCTCCCAGTTTCCTTCCTGAATCTCAAAATTGTCGTAACACCAGAGCTTGAGATTGATTTTTCGAGCTCCTAACGATAAAAGCTTCAATATTTTTCTCAGATGTGGTTCTTCCATCGTTGCCCGAGTGCCACCGTATTTTATAGAGCGGTCGTTTTTGTAAAAGAACCCCGCCCCAGCCGAAGGCCCAAGCTCCTTTTCGACTCTTTCTTTTTCTAAGTCGATGATCTCGGCCAATTTTGAGAATTTCACATCTTTCTCCTTTTTCAACAGCTCCAGATCTTTTGTCAATTTTTTGATCTCCCTAGCTCGATTTTGCGCGTCAATATGAAGCTTCGAGCTTTCTTCTTGCATCTTTGAGCGATCTCATGTTGACTCAAGTTTTTCCATCAAAATTTCATTCTCAATACGCATGTCTTCAGCACTTTCTTCCATTTCGACTGTTTTTAATTCTTGGGTTTCAATTCTGTTCTTCAAAGAGGCATTTTCTTTTGATAGAATTTCAATTTTGTTTTCTAGGAGTTCCATTTTTGCTTTGATCTCGTATTTATCGCGTCGTTCATCGGTCAGCGCTTTCCAAATACTTTGGAATTGGCTGCTTTTCTCGATGAAATCTCTAAATTGTACTGCTGTTTTTCCTAAAATTTTGATTAGTCCGAATTTAGCCCTAATTCTCACCATTGATGAACTGAATATTTTGTTCGTCCACAGACGTATCTGTCAGAAAACTCTCACTAAAAGATGTTGAAGACATGTCTTAACAATTTCCTTTCTCGACAGATTTGATTTAATTTGATATTATTCTCATGCATCAGGCTTAGTCGCCGGAAGAAGCACACTTAAAAAATGCAAATATCATCGTTAATCATAACGCAAAGAAATCTACTGTTTTCCCTTTTATGCAACTGTAATGGCGTCTCAGTAACCAATTCAAAGCGCAAACTACGAGTTCTTTGCTTTGAAACACTTCATGGAAAAAGTGGAAGACCATCTGTTCAACGAGGAATACGATCTTTGCAAGGATGAAAAGCTGACTGACGGAGATAACGATGAAAAACTCAAGGCGAAAGTTTTTTCGGCAATTCTAGAATCATCAGGTAAAAAGAATCATAAATTTTAGTAAAAGTATCTTGGCCAAATATTTTGAACTCATCCTTTTCTCTGATTCAAACACAATTTCTACACTTCCATCTTGTAGGTTATTACTTCACTCTCTAATTTCTGCGTAGACAACTGTCAAATCGCAAAAATCAACGGAGAAGACTACGCATCACTAGAAGCCCTTCATCATTGCGCCTTCCCGCCAGAAACAGTAAAAGAACCTCACATTTCCATCCTCGTTGATTTCTACACCGCGAAATTCGCGTCCTCCAACATCAGTGATCGAATTTTAGACGAAAAAGCTTTTTTGATATCAACAGTTGCCATTTATTCATTTTATCTAAAAAGTGTTTTTATAACGATTGCCATGTGTTTTCATTATTTTCCTGTGCAGAATCAAAAACAATGAAAAAAAAGCCAAAAACTTGAATCATTTTCTTCATTTTTCAGTACTAAAATGTGATTAAATAAGAATCAAATGAAAATATATACAAAGCCCCGTGGATGAAGCATTTCTTAATTGTAAATTGTTTACTCGAAAAACAACAGATTGTTGATTATGCCGACACTTAGCCGAGACTCCTATCTTTTCATATCAAAGCTGCCCTTTTTTCAAGACCAACAGACCGTTTCCGGAAATGTTAGCACCAGCCAAAATCAATCTTGACAAACTGGCACGAGCGAGATAGCCATATCTTTTTCTTTCAAAAATGAACAAGTTCAAAGCCGAGTTTTTACTGTAAATAACTATCAAATCAATCAATTAAGCCATATTAGAAAGATAAAGGCGATTTCCCCTCTAAAACTCTGCAACAAAAGCAAGAATAAAAGTCAGCGTCGATTTATGGCCAATTTGTCTTCATTTTGGTTTTGGATTTCTATTCTCAGCGCACCTTGAGCCAACAGAGCCTTCTGACATTCTCAAGATTGATAGGCGACAGACCCTCTTGAAAATAAGAAATGACCAGTTTCTCTCCTTGTCAGAAGAATTGACACAAAAATCTTACAAGTACGAAGTCATGAGTTAAAAAATAATGTTCTTTTTTGATATTTTTTTTATTATTTTTTTTTAATTTTATAATAATATGAAATTGAAAAAAAAATTATTAATTAAAAGCCGCGTAGCGGCTTTTTTAAAAACGAAGCCGCGAAGCGGCTTCTCCAATATTTCCTTTCGATCTTTGTCATAGTTATAGGGTTTTTTAATCCTGACTAAGGCACAACACAGGTTTTCGAGCCCTGAAAGAAAACCCTTGCCCCACCTTTAGTATTCTTATTTCTGGATAAAATTTCTAAAAGAAAGATTAAAAACAGAAGGATGTTCCGCTTCTGAAAAGTTTTCAGAGGGGCGGAAGTAGGCTTTTGGTCTTACAAAGTGGTCGAACTTGCGCTGCGCGGCTCAGAATACAGAAGAGTGCTGGTGTGGCTGATCCGGCTGAGCCGTCTTCTGGAATTTGAGCTTTTCGAGGGCGCGCGAGGGCGTAAACGCGCACAGCGGTCCCTGCCCAAAGGCTCACTTTTTTCGCCACATGATTCGTTATGTGTTATTAATTAGACTTAAACTTTCTTTAAATTAGTTAAGAAAAGACTAAAACTCAAATATCAGCCAAAAGAAAAATAATGAAAAAGAGAGCATGAAAAATGAAAAGCTGAAAAGCGGATGAACTGGGTGCCGAATTTCTGTATTTATCAGGTAATTAAGTTTTTTATTTTTAATTTTTGACGGTTCTTATGATATATTGAAGTGTTCTTTACAATCTTGACAACTCAAATGTCGGACAAATGGTCATTTTCGTAAATGAAAGGGTAATAGAAATTTTTCATTAAAATTTTTTTAAATAAAACTCTAAATTTTGAGGTTTATTCAGTCTTTATAAGTTGAATATCTTTCGTTTAGTATGTTAAAATAAGGGTTTCCCTATGTTAAGACCCTATGTAAAAGAACCTGCTCTAGAATCGCTACGAAAGAAAGGTTAACACTTAGTAACCTTAACCCCTCGCTGCGCTCTTACACAACAAATACAAATTACAATAAATTTATTTTGACAATTTTGAGTTGTATACCGACCCGGTGATAAATACATCCGTTTTTGTCAAAATTCTGTCAGACAAAATGGAGCATTTACGATTTGCGAATTACGAAGCCGAATTTATTGCCATTTACGAATTTATTTTTCGTAAATACGTGAGCCTCTTTCATCAGATAGGGAAAGGGTAAGCCGGTTAAGTTTATAGCAAGAAGGAAATATACGAAGCAGTTTCCGGTTGTCGTTAAAACACTTGTTTAGCACTTAAAATAAGCCCTGTCTTGTCAGAATTTTCTTACAGCTTTTTTATGCTACTGTAGTCTTTCATTTTTTATTTCCCTGTCTATTTCCTCCCCTGAAACCCAGAAAAACAAAGCTGTATTGTTTTTCTCTGACCTTGAGCTCGAAGCGGAAATAACCATCTTCTCGTTTTATTGTTCGCAATTTCCGTATTTAACCACTAATAACCTCCTTATTTGCTTTGTCAAAGTCTTCAACCACATCTTCAAAGTGTGACAATATTCAAATTTGAGATTTTTTTTGCCAAAAAGATTTTAACAAGCTTGAAAAATCAACACGAAATGAAAGTAAAACTTTTTGTTAAATTAACGGGTGGTCGTTTTTTGAACTAATGATTTACGGGCGTAATCTCAGATAATGCGCCAGGACGAATATTAACATCAAAAGAAGAAGCAAATCATAAATTCCGCATTTGATCTTCGGAAAATGTCTTTCAGCTTTTTATTTATATATTTGTTTTTTCCCATGCATTCTTTTGAAGATCTGATTTCCGGATTTGTTTGATAAGGTTGAAGAATTTATGAGAAACAAAGAAATTACGAAAAAGCATGAGCTACATTTGCGAAGCCTGACTCAGGGTCCTAAGTTTGCAAAAAAAAAACACCAAATGGCTTCTTTGGCGAAGCCGCTTTGCGGCTTCGATTTTGGAAAAAGCCGCTACGCGGCTTTCATCAACACTCCTTCAAAACCTAACCCTGACTCAGGTTTTCTCCACAGGTTGCTAACTCCAGCTAAAAAGAAGTCTTGAAGACAACATGTTCCGTGAAGAATTGAAATTTCCGGAAATAAAAATTATCTCCAGCTGGCTTTATTCCAAGCCAACAATATCCTTACAGAGAAAGTTGCGGTGAAAATTTCATATTTTTGTTCACAAAAGCGGGCCTTCTGGCGGCTCTATTTGTCCACTGTAGTCGAGTGGAGGAAAGTTGTCTCAAGATATGCCACAATTTGTTCTGTAGCCCTTTTGTTCCGCTCAATTCAAAAAGTTTCTCGCACTCTCCCAGGCTCTCACGAGATTTTGATTCAAGTGCTGACCTTCAAATTAAAATAAAAAGGAAAGTGGAGCAAGAATTTCTTTTTACAGTAAAATTCGAAAAACGAAGGTTACCCCCTTAATTTTGATTTTCTTTGGCACGTGGGTCTGACCAAAATATTAATCTTCTTTTTACGTTGATAATCTATTTTGGTATTTTGAGAAGGTTAATCCGCAGCCGAGGATTCTGAAAAGTTGTTATTTCTGGACCTCGGCCAAGGAAGTGTGTGTCACGTGCGCGTAGAATTTCCATAAGAATACATAAGCGGGTTATTTGTCTTTTGCTCGAGCGGGCCTTTTTTTTCTTGGCCTTTGGGTCTGTTATGCGATGCTGTTATTTTTTAAGGAAACAAACGTACAGTAACTCTGCCTTGTTGATCATGAAGCAGGTGTGTCTGCCATTTCTGTCGGAAAAAAATTGGCAGCGACATTTGAAAACTTTCAAAAATTTTTTCGAATTTGACGATGATGGGATTTGACGCGCCCTCGACGGATATCCCGGATTTGACAAATTCATAAAAAGCGAAAGCGGCCCTCATTTCCGAAAAGGAAATTCCGACTGACGGAAAGAAGATCAGAAAAGAGATCCTGGTTGATTTGACAGTTGTCAATATTACTGATCTTGCTCGAAATTCATCGCAAAATGAAATGGCAGGGGTGAATTCGAAACTTGAGGCGCAAGAGTTAAAAATCGATTTCCTTAAAGAAGTTGAAAAGTGTGTGTTTATGCAAGCGAAACCGGGGCTCATCCCTGGATCAAGAATGATAAAGACAACAGATTTTTGCTAAATATGGGGGCTTACCACTCAACAGGTTCCAGCTGGCTGAGCAGCGACATTTCAAATATCAACTTGAAACTTTCTCTTGTTTTCTTAACCCTACCCTGCGTCTCGGTCAGAGCACCCCTGTTCCGTGGCTCACTGGGGAATTTTTTTCATCCGCCTATCTAGAACAATTTTATCCATGTAGAGACTGTTATGTAATCAATTTCATGTTCTGGAGACGAATACGTTCCTTCGATTCTCTAGACAAATTTCATGTTCTCGAGACCTTATGAAACCTTTAGGCATTACGAATAACAGTGGTATTAACAACTTGTCCCTTGGTGCTCTGTGGTGGAAGTATTGGTGCCCTCACGCTAACTTATCCGAGTCTAGGTAAGAAAAAGCAAGATAGCAGGGCTTCAAGTCGAAGGCGCGTCCAAACACTGTCAACTATCACAGTCTTTATCAGCTGCCTGCATAAATACAACTATCAACTCTGGACAAGCTTTCATAAATCCCTTCGGCACTGAAACTGATCATGAAAATTTCAGGAATAACAACAATCAGTTCTGGCCTCCTTTCTTGCACTTTGACCATTCTGGGCCTAATTGGAACCCTCGGCTCCGCGAAAAAATCCCGCTATGCCGTCCTCGCTTACAGTATCTCACTCCTTTTACTCTGCATACTGGAGGTCGTTGCTGGCGGATTCCTGTACACTAGATACGAGCTCGTTACGAACTTCATCGAGGCGGATATGAAGGAAAGCCAAAAAGACGATCAAATTCTCGCGAAACGGTTTTGGTCTAGCTTCAAAGTTCAAAACCAGTGCTGTCTGGAGGAAGAGTTCTATAAGGTAACTCAAGGCTCGACCGTTTTGTCTTTCTTGTTTTAGTCCTGTCAGCAGTCCTGTATCGATGTTCAAAAAGCCCTCTTCAATTCAATGCTCCCCAGTCTTGGCTCGACTGTTTTGATCATTTTCTTCTACCAGGTAATTCAATAACCAACAATAAAACTGTAATCTAATACTGCCCAAAAAAGGGCGGCATCGCTCTTTGATCATTCTTATTTTTCAATCAATTGACAGTAGCCTGCGGGGTGTTCCGCTTTCTCCAATTGTCTCGACTTTCAACTTTCAAGGTTCAAAAATATAATTGAAACTCGCCCTTTATTAAAATGGCTCCTTGCGGTCGGTCCTCGCGGCACCAGCCTGCGGCGAAGGATAAATTGCCCTTGAGGCGAATTTTACCTCTTTGGTTATCATGGTCTAATTTATAGATTTGGGCCAAGCCGAGGCGAAGATAATAAATTTCAAATCGTAAAATCGCCGCAAACTCGCCCGCGGGAATGCCAAATTCGACCTCAAGCAAATTATTAAAAGATGATATTTGTGATTTTTGAAATTTCTGGGAGGCTGGATTTTTGTTTGGACAGCTGAAGAGCCCTCCAGCTTGACCGATAACCCCTGAAAATGTCAAAGAGCGATTTAAAAAGTTCCCAGTTTCCATCAAATTTTCAATTGTCGACCTTGCCAAGTTCTCAACATTTTTCTTTAGCTTTTCTCCGCATGCGCCGCTCTCTGTTTCTTCCATTTCTTCATGCCTTCGAGTTACTACAAGGCGCAAGTGTCTATGCGTAGATAAGGGCTGCGCAACTTCCACTTCATCTCAAAACGCTCTGCTTTCAGTTCGCAGTTCTAGAGCTACTCATTCGGCTATTATCAGATACGAATTCTTGCTTCGTTTCATCTTTTATTCTTGTTTTTCTGTAAAAAACTTCTGTTGAAAAAATGTGTTTAAAATTGTATAAAGAAGAACAGATTACTTTTCACTCCCGCAAGGACCTCAAAAATTAATTAAATAAACTGAACAAAACCTCAATTCTTTCCTTATTTTTATGGTTGCATTATGCAACTTGCATATGAATTTTATTGAAAGCAAAAGAGATAAATAATAGGAAACAGAAACATAACCGCCCATTTTTTAACAGGCGAAACAGACAAATTCGTTTTTTATCAATTTTGAAAGTAAGTTTTCATGAGAGCGTCCAATGTCTCTGGATCGTCTGGCTTTGAAAGGCTTTTTCAAGTGACTGCCGAAGAAGAAAATATGCGAAAAAAGCCGCGCGCGGCTATCTCGTAGTGTCATATTTGTGGTAAAAAACCCCGCTCCTGGAATCGTCGATAAAGCCTGATTTTCGGCTTGACATCTTCGTTGTCTCCACCGTTGGCAGGAGCAAGTCCGCTGATCAAATCCTCAATTCCTCGTTTTTGCGTAAAGTCAGAATCGTAGAAATCGTCAAAAATTGGTGCTCCGTAGCCGAGACCGCGTTTCGTCGGGAATGGCGAGTTGAAATAGTCGGCTAGATCGGAGCTAAGTAATGAAAGACCACGCTTAGTTTTCGGCTGGCGGTAATAATCGGAGAGGTCGAAATCGAATGCGAGGCCGCGTTTTTGCATGTTTTTCATGGCCGCTTTGAAAAACGGACCCCTTTTGTCGTAATTCGCTGCTCCAGCAACTGCATCATCAGGAGAGAAACTCTTGAGTTTGAAGACATTTCCGTGCGCAAAAACTTGCAGAAGAAGATATTGAAAAATTTTCATGCTCATTCAATTCTTTAGCCAGAATTTGATGATGATTCTCAGCGAAATAACTTCGCCTTATAAGCTGAATGGCATCATTTATTCAATATAAAGAGCTTTTGGAGACCAAGTGCGGGAAAGTGCTTTAAACACTTGATTGAACAAGATTTGGAAAAACAAGACAAACCATTTAATGAAAGATTGATGCATTTTCGCGAACTCTTTCTTGTTCTGTGGAATAAGATAAAGCGTTTTACAGGAATTTATTTGTACAGGAAGCGAAGACAAAGATGGATTCTCAAGGATGGTTGTTCAATCGTATCATTCGATAGACCGAGTCCGCCATGTCAATAAAATTGGTCCTCAGACTTCTCTGGACTCTCAAGTCGTTGCATTCGACTTTGATTTCCTGTGAGTTTCGATTCTTTTGTCGGAACTTTCGAAGAACTCTTGCCATCATTCCGCTCATCGTTTTCACCGCTTCTTCCGAAGCGCCAGAGTCCCCCCGGACGGAGTCGAGAAAGCGAGTAAAGATGGTTCCAGCATGAGCTTCCAATTGCTCGACCGAGACGGCGCAGATATCAATGTCGGAAATGATGAGGGTGTCTTCCTTGTTTCCAAGGGCGGCAAGAGCGGATTTCAAGGTGAGACGAATCTTCGAAACCCAAGATCTATGGTTTAGCGGCAGCTGTCGTTTTGAAACTTCTGCCAAAGCTTCCTTTAAAAGAAAATTAGAACTCAAGTTTGCGTTTGTTCATTTTTACCTGAAGAGTTTTCTTCTCTCCCCGAAAGAAATCCTCATCCATTTCCTTCAGCTCCCTCAAATCCCAGTTTTCATCAGTTCCCAGGCAGCTCTCCATGGAGTCTTCTCCAAAGACCATTTGAGCACTCTCAATTTTGGAAGCAACATCATTGAGCCAGTCGACTTCGCAAGTTCCTTCGGCAGCTAGGTAGTCCATCATGTTGGTAAGAGATTTGATCAGCTGACAACCGTGCATTTTTCGATTCAAGTCGATGAGGTCGCAAAGCACATGACTTCGATCGCAATCTAGAATGGAGAAGTTTCATTCTGATTTAAAGTGGAGAAAACAAGATTGTTTTTGATTGAAAAGAGGCGCACTTACACTTGAAACTTTTGGATATTGTCACAACTGCTCTCTTGACAATTTTCATATCTTTCGGTCGAAGTTCATTTGCTCTGGCGCTGAAGATGGTGTTGAATCGTTCTGGCATATTTCGAATTTTGCACATTTTGTCTGAAAGAATCGAGTCTCCTCGGGAAACTGCTAAGGGCCTGCTAAAATCACTGGATTCGCGTATTTTCGATGAGTACGGCAGAGGTTGTGTTGTGATTTCCGTGGGAAGAATGGTTGTTGGTGCATTGGTGCTTATTGTGCTTTGTGAGTTTGTGGTGGTGTAGCTGTCGGTTGTGGTGTAGTCGGTAGTTTGTGTTGTTGAAGTGGTGTAGTCAGTTGTAGAGGTAGGTGGTGCAGTTGTGGTAGTTGTTGTGGTGCTTGTAGTTGTTGTAGTTGTAGTCGTACTTGTTGTCGAAGTTGTAGTGGTTAATGTCGATGTTGATGTTGAAGTGGTTGTTGTTGTGGTTGTTGATGTTGTTGATGTTGTGGTTGTTGTAGTTGTTGTAGTGGAAGTAGTTGTTAGTTCTGATGATGTTGTTGTGATTAGAATTGGTGTTGTTTCTGTTGTTGTATAAGGTGTAGTTGTTGTGAAATCTTCTGTCGTCGTCAAAAACTCAGTTGTTTCTTCAATCTTTTCAAAGCCAAGAAGCTCTCTCAATTCTTCAAGATCATCTTTCAATCCGTTCACAAATGTGCTAGAGCATTCAGGGCTTATGTGCTTGACTATCTCACTTAGAGCAGTGAAGATTCCAAGCTGCGACCCTCCATCATTTTCTTCAAAAATATCGCAGTTGACCTTCAGCGCGTCTTCTTGACAGAAATCGCGATGATCCTCCTCGAAGTTTTCGTAAAGCTCAGTGAGCTTGATTCCCATTTTTCTGACGATTTTCTTTGGTTCTTTTGCCAACTTGGCTTTTGCAGTCCGAATGAAGTCAGAAGCGAAGGTAGAAATTGGACAAAGAGACACTGGAGAAACAGAGGGCTCTTCCATCATCGATCCAATGGATTTTGGCTGTCTGGGAGACGAAGCAGGTCTTGCAGACATATTTTCCCAAGCCACGGTGATCATGACTTTTTGGCCATTAGCTTCGACCTTATTCCCCGGGACGAAAATCATCGTCGTTTCCGTCGCATCGAAAATCGCGTCGTAAATGCTTTGTTCATCCTCGTCTTCCCTACCGAACCAGTCGAGAATGTGCTTCTCGTGGACTTTGGGGCAGAGCGGACCCAAAAGTGAGCCGTTGGACGTGATGAAAATGCGATCCTCGTCTTCTGTGCACGACGATGTATCGGAAAGACCTGCCATCTTCAGACGGACCTTGTGGGGAGCGTCATCGCGGGGTCGAAGACGGCAAAAGCTCTCGTCGGAGGAGAGAGAAATCGTAGTTGCTCCCTTGAAAAATGCGTTATTACAGCTTTGCATAAGCTTTTCCATCAAAATTGAAATTAAAATAATCATGATTTTCCTTCGAAGAAAATCACCATCGCTTCGAAAGCTAAAGAAAAATGACGGGGACTCAATTTTTTCCGCGATAATCTACAAAGGCTTCCCCTTGTTATTTTCATTGAAATGATATTATTTTATCTTGTCTAGAAATGCTAGTTTTAAGGGAATTTCTCTGACCAGATTCCCAAAAACGTACCTTATCAGCATCTCCTAAGCATAAATTCTCTCCACTTGCTTGTACAAAACTTGACAAAAAAGATGCAAAAATTGATAGTCGCATATCTTTTTGCACACTTTTATTTTCTTTATAAAATTATCCGTTCCCTGCACTCTGCTTTTATGGAGCGGCGCTAAATTTAACCCTGGATTGAGCGGTTATTTATATTTTTGGAAAGAGCTATTTCAGAAGGTTTTTGGCGGAAATTGGGTAATTTTAGTTTTGAGGATATGAATAAATTTGTTAGCTAGAATCTATTGACGTCATTTTCATCAAAAATAATTTTATATTTTCATTGAAGCGAGGGTCATGCTAAAATATAGGCTTTTTGGTCAATTATAGACACTCGAAATTGATTATTTTTTATATTTCATAAGAATAAAATTATCATAACTCATAGGACACGGGACAAACGCTCCCCATTCTCCTCAGAACTTCCAATTTCTCCAAAAGAAATAGGCAAGTTGACACGTTTTATGTCCATTTTTGAATAAGCTGAATCGATGTCTTCCTTCTTTTGAATAAATTTGAATCGACTTGGAAACAAGATTACCAGTCTCATCGACAATATTTGAGAATCCTTGTAGCATCATCTCGAGCGGAATCGAAAGGCTAAAGAAAACCAGTGCTCTTTTTTCGTGAAATATATTCCAGATCTTCACCCTAGAGAGACATTTTATAAACAGGCCATATATCCATCAACGAAAATGAAAATAACGCTTTTATTCACCCCCCATCTCCTCGCCGCCCAAATTCTTGGTTCATCCAGAAGACAAGCTTTCGAGCGTCACATGAACGGGAATACAGAAAGCTACAAAGTGCTCAACGAAGAAGGAGTAGAAATGATTGATTTGATGCTAGCCAGGGCGCTTTTAATGGAAGAAGAAATTGATAAATACAGAATTTTGAAGCAAAAAACATTCGACAACATTAAACCGAGACTGAAGGAAAACGGAAAATTGGCGATACGACTGGAAGATCTGTATAACAAGTTTTATTTGAGATACTTTTTGAAACATTCTGATTCTTTATAAAATATATATTCATGTGTAGATGAAGAATTTCACTGTAATAACAGCATTCTTCAGAGGAAAGGGTTCCCCTTTTAGCGGACAAATATTTACAGCAAGTGTTCTTTTTAACGGATTTTACATTACTCAAGAGGGTCCCGATTCTAACGGATTTTCGTAAATAGTATTGTGCAAAAAGCTAGATGTCCAAAAATCCGATAAAATGATGACCCTCTTGGGTAATATAAAGCCCGTTAAAAAGAATGCTTGCTAGAAATATTTGTCAGGTAAAATGGAAACTTACTAAATTATATTTCTGACATGGCAAATGTTTTCAAGATCAGTAACAAACTCAGTCGTAAAAACGATCAGAAACTCAAAAACATCTGCCAGACCAAGTTCACGGGCGCCCTTTTACAATTGGAGCACTCTCTCTTGCCCCAGACACTCGCTAGCACCAGATCTCGCTAGCACTTTTCACTCACCTGCGCTTTCTTAGCAAGAAAGTGCAGAAGAGGGGTGCGCGTTTTTTCTGGCATTTTTGGGAAATGCGTCTTTTCTGGCATCGCGTTCTTTCTGGCAGTCGCGTCTTTTCTGGCATTGAAGTCTGATTCATTGAATTCTAAAATCAAGTAGGGTCTACCAAATCTAATCAACTGTTATTTCCTTCTTAAATTTTCTTCAAGAAGAAGAACCCGTAGTTTTGAATATGATTGAGGGGACCAATTTCTTGGCACTAGAATCGAATAAAGAATTATTAGATCATCATAATAAATGCTGAAAATCTTTTAAATTATGTAAATGATCAGCACTATTTTCTTTGATGATAAAAACTTATAAATCAAATAAAAAAGTTTTGCCTGTGGCAAGTTGCTATTGAAGGTAAAGGTTTTATGCTATTCATATCAGCTTATTAGATTTGGTAGACCCTACTCAATATCAGAGTAAAATGAATCAGACTCCAGTGCCAGAAAAGACGCGACTGCCAGAAAGAACGCGATGCCAGAAAAGACGCATTTCTCAAAAATGCCAGAAAAGACGCGCACCCGCAGAAGAGTTTTTGGTGCAGATGAGAGTCGGTGCAGGAGAGTTTTTAACTTTGCGTGGGCGGGCGAACTTATTGAATATATTTATTAGTGAGAAAATTTTCTCAACCTGATTTTGGTAGAACTTTTTGTTACTCATATTTAGAATAAATAAATGCTAAGACTGCGGATAAAGGGTGAGGAAAGGTATGAATTTTCCTCATATTTATTTTTGTGTACAATTTTATACATAAAAATGATATTTTTACAAAGAAACGGTAAATAATCAATAAATTATTCAGAAAAATAGAAGTAATTTTTGTTTGAGTCTACGAGACTGGATATTTTTGAGCAAAAAATCAGCTTCTCGAGAAGAAACTAAATAAAGAAATTATTTATGCATTACTGGTTTCTTTATTTACTTTTCCGAATTACTGTAATTTATCAAAATTTGATATAAACAAATTTTAAAATTTCAAGTATTGTAAATTATAAAAAAAAATATTTTCCACCGCCCACGCAAAGTGAAAGACTCTCCTGCACCGACTCTCATCTGCACCAAAAACTCTCCTGCACTTTCTTTCGAGGAAAGTGCAGGCGAGTGAAAAGTGCTAGCGAGATCCGGTGCTGGCGAGTGTTTGGCCTAGTCGAAAGATTAGCACTTTTTTTGAGAGTTTCGGTTTGTCCAGGAAGATAAGCGAAAGCATAAATTCTTTGATGTGAGAAAATATTGCGCTTCGCTAATTAAACTGGAACTCTCAAAAAAGTGCTAATCCTCGACTAGGTTGAAAGAGAAGGTCAGTCCTACTGCACCACTTTTCAGCCGAAATTATCAAATCTAATCGCCCCTTACCACGGGGCTTCGCCCCTTAGGTCCTAAGATGCCGGGGTCTAGTCTAGGGTTAGTTAGGGTTACTGAAGGTAATGTTGTTCTGTGATCTTGCCCAGTGCCCCCTAACCCTAACTTTAATTTATATAAAGTACATTGCATATTTATTATATACAGCTCATTGCTTTCTTTTGTCATTGAATAGTCATTAACAATCGGAGTGGAGGACTCTCGCCCAAGATCGACTCTCGCCCAAGATCGACTCTCGCCCAACTTTCTGTTTCTCATTGTTGAAAATTTCCACATGGACTCTTGCCCAAAAGGACTCTCGCCCAACTTGGGCGGGAGTCCATCTTGGGCAACTCAAGAGAGAGTGCCCCTTTACAATTCGCTAGAGTCGTCGATTCTGGAGCGGAAGAAGCGCGCTGATTGGCTCGAGCGTCAGTTGAGCGCAAATTTGCTTTTTGAGCGCAAATACGCGAGAGTTCAAAAAACCAAAGAGTTCAAAAATTAACCCACAGAAGAAGTCGCAAACAAGGAAAGTTCATCATCTGTAAGAAGTCGTCTTTCAAGGTATGTTGAGAAAAAAAATAAAAAAGAAGATTCAAGTGACTTGAATCAAGTCAGTTATTTTTATTTCTGGTTCACAGGAACTGCTGAAAATGAGTTAAAAAATTCGTCAATTTGGCCACTTTTTCTCGAGTGTCCGGATCGTCGATTTCTCTCAATTGATTCAGGTCGCCTGAGAGTCGATTCGTGAAACTCGTCATTTTTTCTAAAATAGGGATTGAAAACTGAAATCGCTGAGAAAGGAGGGCCATACTTTTGAAACTAGCATTTTCTTTCAGATGAGCCATGAGTTTTGAGTGGTCATGTGACGCTTTTTGATGTTTCAAAAATGACTAAGAGTCTTTAGTACTACTACTTAGTCTAAGACCAAGTAATTCTAGTCTCCAAAAGCCGCTTGCGGCTTAGCGCTTCGTGAGGCGCCTGGAATCGGCACCCTGTGTACCAGTTTAAAACCTGAGTCAGGGACTATTTTTTTTTCTTTTGAAGCATCCTTTCCTAAGTGTATCGGAACAACAGGTTTTGCGGGGACGTTTCGTTGGCTTTCGTCAATGTCAAAGATATTAATCAGTCCACCTGAAGTAATCGGGTTACTTTCGAATGAATACGGTAATAGGGCAGCGTATGCGACATTGCTATTCTACTACGCCAGATGAACGTCACTTATTAATTACAGTGGATAACTGTAGCAGGCCACATCTTTCTATGCCCAGGAAAGTTCCAGAACATATTCTCTTTGTTCCATTTAGTTGTGCATACATCCCATATCGTTTATGCACAGATATGCCGTATGTTATTGCATTTGTATACTGTATACAGTATACAGTGTATAAAGTCAAAAGAGTTCTCAATCGACTCGGAAAAGTGGTTTTGAACAGGCTTTTATTGATTCTAAGCCACTAAACTGTCAAATCTGAAAACATGCCAAAGCTAAATGCTTTATCTTAGATAAATAAGTGGACAGTTATCTGTATATTGTGCTTTCGCAGGAGATTTAACGATAATGGTTTTCAATTCTATTAGCAATCGTGTATTCTGTAAACAGCAAGTTGATACTTTTCGGTGCAATGATCCGGTCTTATTAGAACGATTCTGACACTTCTACGCTAATTTGACCCAGTTTTCAGCGTCAGAATCGAGGATTTGAAATTGTCTGCGGTTTCTTGGCCGAAACCTGTATAGAAATCTGATTCAGGGTAATTTCAGTGCGGGAAAAAGAAATTTCAGATTCTAACTCAGGTTTTTTACAGGTTGCCAAGCCCACAATAGCGCTGCTATACAGGTAACCTGTATTACAGGTTGACTTGGTAACAAAAATAAAATATTGATACGCCTTTAGTTTTCTGATGTAAACTTACGCGCGGAAACTATAGCTGAAAGCCAAAGAATTCTTGAAAACAGCTTCATTAGATGGTTTATTTTTCTCTCTTTTTTCCTCTTTTATAAACTTCTTCCCCGAAAGCCGTATTCTCTTCTTTTTAGAAACAAGTGACTAACGAGGCTTGTATGTGAGTTGTTCAGTGTCTGTTCAGTGAATCTGAGCGGATCCAGCTTCTGCCAGCGCCGAATTATAACCGACTTTGTACAGTGTGTCCCTCTTTTCTTTTTTGATGCTTCTTTTATAGTTATGCGCCACGATGTTTTATATCTACTATGCGCCAGTATATTTATAGCCACATTTGCGTTATTCAAAATTCATTTGGTTAAATTCGTTAGAAGTGACGGGCAGCGGATAAATGCATAAATAATTTTTTATTGACAGGAAGGACGCAAATTTATTTCCCCAATTTTTCAGTCTCTTTTCGCAGTTTTTGTCCAAAATAGGGTGAAATCAGAAACATCCTTGAAACTGAGCTAGCTTTGTTGAAGGCTTTGGCCTTGAAAACCTCATAAATGAATCGTCAAGCATATGCCTTCACGATTGAAAACAGTATTTCAACTTTTGTAATTTATGGAATTTCAGCGTTAATTAGTCAGTCGATTTCAATAATGATTGAATTTTTGAGAGTATACGAGTACAGTTCATCAATCTTCGCTGATTTGGGTTCATTTTAGCGCTTTTAGAATAACAGAGTTTCTCACAAAATAGCCCATTTCTGTTGATACTTATGGTTTCTCCCATTTTTATTCCTTTTCGGAGAAAAACCGCATGTCGATGAGAGCTTTTAGTCTCGCGATCGAAGCTTCTTTCGGCAAGGAATTAAGGAAAACGTCTGGGCTAAGTCGACTAGATCTGGATCGACTTCTTAGTTTTTTTATGTCTATTTTGGGGGATCGGAAATCATTAGATAAAAGATTTAAATCTGTCAAAGCATCACTTCCTTCACAAGCTTTTAGGTGTGATTTAGACAGATCTTTTTATGAATAATCTTTCAAATCCAAATCAATCCGACAATATCTGATACTCGTAGCATCAAATTTATCATGTGCTGTTCCACTCTCGTAAAGTCTATTTATTCTGTTTTATTTGACCTTTTCTTTCACATGTCTTGAGCATGTACCCTGCGTGACCGTGCTCATCCAGATTTTAGTACGTTCAGTTATGTAATCATTTTTCACTTTCTTGACATTTTGCCCATGTCCAGACTCGCTCAATTGGCCTTGACGGTCAAGATTATTAGCTTCTCAAAACAAAAAAAATAGAACAAGGGGTCCCGGAGCATAAAAAATAGATCGATCCATTGTTCAAGATTTCAATCAAAGGCGAAATTCGTCAAGGGCAAAAAAGCGAACTCAAGTCAACTTGAGGTCAAAAGTTTTAGCGTGAAACTTGCGAGCCACTTTTTCTTAATAGAGAAAAAAGTTTCATCTTTGGGGAAATGAATGCCAACTGCCCTTATAAAATCGGTAAAATCTGGGAATCAATTCGAGATTTAGTGCATGAAAATCCCTTTTTCGACGATTTTTCACTCAAAAATCTAGCGAAAAGTTCATTCGGATCAATGAATTGCTCTTACAGTCATTCGATCCGACAGTAATCAAGAGGAAAGGCCACGCCTTCTCCCGTCATATTGACTTGTTTTTGAGTTAGACCTTGCTAAGAGTTCGTTTTGTCTCTGGTAAACTTGCCTCACAGCTATCCTCCGCAACAGATCACGTGATCGAAGAAGGGTTTAGGTCTTGAAGAAGGGCTGAAACTGTTCAGTTTTTTTATTAACTTTTTGCTCGGTCAAGAGAAAGAAAGTTTTTTTCATGCCCAGCGGCCAGAAAATTGGTAAAAACATTTTTTTTTCTAAGAAAAACGCTCTTTTTCCGGAGAAAATATAGAAAAGAGCACTTGAAATTTCTTCAAAATCGGGGAAAATCCCAGTAGAATGTTCTATTATCATTCCTCCGTTCTAGTAGACTGTTACGTAATTGCCCACAGCCTGATCACCAATTCTGATCTTTTTTAATGCGCCACGCGGAGCAGCTTATTCAGTTTTTATAACTTTCACGTTTTCAACTAAATTTAAAACTACGAAAATCCGCCCAGATACACCTTTCTTATGCAGAGTTTAGCTTCGATCATGAATTGCCGAATCGCCCCAATTGCTCGACGAATCAATCTTCAAAAGTACAAAATCGGTAAGTCCAGTTGTTATTTCATTCCTTCTCATATTCCCAAAACCTGAGGCAGGGTCCCGAAAAGTTATTAGGAAGCCGCTACTCTCTTTCAGGACTCCTACTCAGGACAAGCGAGAAGCCGCTCGCGGCTCCTATAAAAGAATGGGAAAGCCGCGCTTTGCGCCTCCTTTCAGGTCGATTTTCAGTAATAATGTTGAGCTCGAATCGATTGCCAGATTCTCAGAACTACTTGTAGTTTCATTTTTCGTCGCACTCAACTTCTTTTCCAGGTCAGATGCGCCGAGAATCCGTACTCGCCAAACTCATGGGAGTCACAGCAGTCCAGCCTTCAGTCGGCACTCCTCTTATCCTCGCTTACGGCCTCACAGTCTACGGTGGCGTGCTCTTCGGGCTCATGAATCTTCCAGAACAATGACGAAATCGACTGTAGAATCGAAGAGTTACAAAATCCCAAGATAATTCTATATTTCTTTTTCACCTGTTTTTGCTATTTCATGTTTTTATTTTGTCTCACTTTTTTAACCCTTGCGCGTGTTTGACCAACTTTTTGGTCAAAATGCGAGCAAAGGAGGAAATTTTCGAAGAATTCGAAGATTTTCTTTGCGAAAGAAAAAATCCTGTCTCTAGAAAAAACCCTCTAGAAATGAAGTAATTCCACAGATACCCAACTTTTTAAATCCAGAAGATAAAGAATGCGAATAGACGATTAAAGGAGCTCTCTTTTAAGCTTTCTTTTATGAACAAAAACTGAAAAAGTGCGACAAATATTAAAAAATACTGTTTTTTGAACTGCAAGTTTTCCAGTTTCCTGTTCTAGTTACCCATCTTCTAGTTTCAAGCTCAGCTGCACTGATCCCTGTTTCTTTATTGAACATTCAATACAATTCAAACTTCTTCCAATACTTTTCGTTTTCCTTTTTGCAGGATTCTTCGTTTCCTATTCTTTCGCAGGTTGATTTCTGAAACCCAGATTTACAAAGCCCTTGAAGTCTTCAGAAAAATTGCTCGAGAATCGAAACCGGAATGAGTGACTCAAAATTACCGACGATGCACCAATGGCTGGAGAACGTCCTCCAGGCCGACAGAAGCAACTTCGGTGGGGAAGAATTTGCGATAGAGATGTTTGACAAACCCTTGGAAGAGCGCGTTGGAGACGATAGAGAAAAGTTGGAATATTTCAAAAGAAAGACGGCTCCCATTCGCGAAGCTTTGGTCAAGTGCGGGGATGGGACAGATGAAAGCTTCAGAAATCTCGTTGCAGTTATGATGCGTGCCTGTAAGTTACTCGAATTCTTCGCTTGGGAAACTACGTAGAAACCTGAGTCAGGGTCCTGAGAGAGCACTTAATCGGCACCTAAAAATTATCGCCTCAATCTCACCATGAATTCCGCTCTTTCAGCATCGTGACTCAGTTTCTTTCACACAGTGCCGAGTCCTGTTTTGAGAAGTCTCACCAAGAGTTCTTGATGCCTCAACTCTTTTTTCAGCTGGTCCAATGGACGAAAATGTTCGCGCATTCTACGAAAGAAAGATCGCTGCCAGAGAGGCCTTGGGTGAGTCAAACCAAAGTCGATTCAAACAGTACCAGGCCAAAAAGAAGATGGAAGAAGAGAAGGAGAATCAGGTCCCGATTAAATTCGATTGGGTCCCTCAGACTTTCGAAGAACGACTCTGGCAGATGATCAAGTATTAGAAAAGAGCCGTATTTGTAGGGATTTTATGAACTGTTCGAACTTTTTTGAAATGAGACAAAAAGACACTGCCTTCTGTCTTACCAGTACAAAATAATTGAAAATAAAATAAAAATATAAAAAAAAATTGTCATTTCTTTTTTCCAAGAACGAAGCGCAAAGAAGCATAATCTGATTTCTGCGTTAAAAAATCTGTAATTTGCTGCGTAAGGCACAGGAAAATCGATAATTGGCGTGGCGCCCATGTTTGCACCACCATTGGTGGTGCAGTGCGCCGAATCACGATGACGTAATCGCTTCTGAATTCTGCCCGCCCCTTTTGTAGTGAGGCTTTCTGCATCGATCGATTGTCGTTTTCCAATTATCTAAAGATAGATGTAGAGAAAGAAAATTATCCTCGAAGTTTGGAGGGAAAATGAAGCTTTAGGGGAAAAGAATTTTCTTCTAATGAAAATTCTCCAATGATTCCTTCTCTAAAATGACGTCTTCATTGAAATCATCTACTACGGAAAATGAATGATTATCATCCTTGTTTTTCAGACTGATAAAAAGATGCTCCAAGATTTCCCTGAAGACTACGAGGACAAGTCTGGCATGAGCACCGTCAGCGGGACAGTCACACTCGCTAAAAACGAGCAGAATCTCATCGGAATCTCCATCGGCGGCGGCGCTCCCTACTGTCCCTGCTTGTATATCGTCCAGCTCTACGAAAATACGCCTGCGTTGAACTGCGAGAAACTTCAGTGTGGGGATGAAATTGTGGCGGTCAATGGGCTTTCTACTAAAGGATTGACAAAGAGCGAGCTAGCCAAATGTATTCAGGTTCGTTTATTTTTCGTTTTGGCAAAGTAAAGAAGAAGTGTAAAAGCGAGTGGAGGAAAATTCCTTCAACTTCGTAAAACTAATTTAACAGGGTGGTAGAGTCTCATTTAGACAACTGGATCCTCTGAGGATCCGTAAGGCTTTTAAAGCAGAAATGATTTGATCTCAGTGTGAATCAAGTGGCATAAATAAACAGAAAAAATAAAGAATCGAACCAAGAATATTTGAATAAACTAGATTTTAATCTTTTGTCAAGATTCTGGACCCCTTTTCGAGATCTCTGTCACCTGCCACTAGATCCCGAGTCTTGTTTCCGAAAAAGATTCGACGAAAAACAGCGTTAAAAAATGAACCGACTACGTCGCTTTTCATTTCATACCTGACTTTGGCTACTACACATTTTTCAAGCCCAATCTGAGATTATTTTTGCTGATTGGTATCTTTGGTTATTTTGATATTCATTAGGATGAAAACGCAGAAGTAACGATTCAATACAACAAGCTCATTTGTGATACAACAAAGGGGAAAACACTGGACATCAAGCTGAAGAAAATGAAGCACAAGATCATCGAAGGAATGGAACCAACTACTGCCGACGCTCTTGGAATATCAAGAGCGGTTCTATGCAACGACTCGTTGGTGAGGAAACTGGATGATTTGTCGCAGAAAGCGAAGCTTGCGAAAGGGATTGTGCTAAGAACAATCAGGTCGATGAAGATTTTGCAAGCGAGAATCAAGGGACATGATCAAATGGCTGCGGCGTTTAAGTCGATTGCTGGAAGAGACTCGAATCATCAGGTGAGTTTTACTGCTTTTATTTGAAATTTTCCTTATTGCACTAGGAAAAAATAAGTTTACTTTAAGTAATACGTTTAACGATCGTTATCGTTTACAATCTTTAAAAAAGGTGATATCTTTAAAATCAAGCCACCCAGCGAATTTTCAACAAGAAACAATTCTAGCTTTTCGTTGATTCCCAGCGTCAGAGTTTGAGATGCTCGCAAATGCTCGCGAGCGAAAAGAGCAAGAGCGAAAATTTATCATTGCTCTGAGAGCAGGGGAGCGGGAGCATGAAAATAAAGTTGGCTCGAGAGCCAAAAGAGCACGAGCCCAAATTTGAACCCGCTCGCGAGCGCAGAGAGCACGAGCGCATATGTCGGTAATGCTCGGGAGCTAGAAGAGCGGGAGCGGCTGCTCTCGTGCTCGCCATGGAATTGACTCACGAGCGGCTCGCGAGCAAAATTAAAGGAACAATTTTTTGCATAATTTTTCACTTTTATGGATAAATTTCTCTCGTTGATCAATTTTTTGTGTTTCCGTTTTGTGCAAGCTTCATTAGGTCCGTAATCTCGGCAGCGGAACGCGAAAAGCCGAGAGTAAACAGATAAAAGATGCTCACCGCGAAGTGCTAACTCCTGTGAGAGGGACTCATTTGGAATTAGTTACGGGGTAGACGAATCATTTTAGGCTCTTGAAAGCTGCTCGCGAGTCAGATTTTTCAGCTCGCGAGCCAATCGAGCGAGAGCAAAATTTGACCAGTGCTCGGGAGCCAGGAGAGCGAGAGCGCGAAATGAAATGTGCTCGCGAGCGCAAAGAGCGCGAACGCTGAAATAAATGCGCTCGGGAGCAGAGAGAGCATCATGCTCTTGCTCGCTCGCTCTCAAGTGAGCCGCTCGCGAATCTCGAGAATTTCAAACTCTGCCCAGCGTAGTAAATCCAATCAAGCTCATAAATCCTCAACATCACAGCCATTAAAACAAAAGCGACAGCAATAACAAAAGCGCCTTTTCAGAGCTACTTGGACCTGGCGAAAATCCACGAAGTAATGCGCACTGCGGATCGAGAGCTGATTGATGAAACGAAACAAGTTGTTTCCGACATCATCGTTTTTACGGATACAATCGTTCCTGATGCGAAAATGACAGTGAAAAAATACGCTGATGCAAAATTTGAATACTTGAGGTAGAATTTCATTCAGAAAATAAGATGTAAAAGAATCCTAGTTATTGCTTGAAAATCAAGGAAATGGACGACGAAGAGTCAGAATGCATCACTTTCAACGAGCCCCTCTATCGCGTAGAAACTGGAAATTACGAATATCGCATGGTTCTTCGCTGCCGCCAATCTTCCAGGGCGAAATTTCAGAAGATGCGAAAAGATGTTCTCGAAAAACTCGAACTCGTTGATGCGAAATTTCAAGCTGAATTCCCCGATTTATTGAAAAAACTCCTTGATCTCCGGTACGCTCTGATTTCAATCCAAAGAACATTTATTTCATATTTTTAGCGCGGAGCATGCTCTTAAAATCGCAGAAATCGAGAATCACCTTGACATTTTTCCCATCGAAGCTGACCTTGATCAGCAAACCTTCGAATACGGCAGCTTGAGCGAAGAAGATGATCCTTCTGCCCTCGATTCTTTAGCCAAAGAACTCGAATCTTTTGAACTAGAAGATACTCATTCAAAAGAAGATGCGGAAGATTCGCTTATCAACTTTGACTAAACCACTTTTCGTTCTTCATTCTTTCCCAAATCTCATTTCTATTCCGAATGTTTACCTCTCTGTTTTTCTCTGGCTGTATCGTTCAGTCACTTTTTCTGTTAATCTTTCTACGTCTGCATGTTTCTTCAACCCTCAACTTTCAACAACTGTCAACATTTTCTTCAAAATATAAACTATCCGACTATCCTTTTTAGAAATCGATAAAAACGCTGAAAGATGGTGTATGATATTCGTAGGTTTGACATTTATAGAAAAGTCCCAAAGGAAAAGAGTTTCAGATTCTCAATATAGAAAAGGGTTTAGCCCCACCAGCTCGGGCATTTTGATTTCTGCGTCCATTCGTAGCCATTACAGACCCATTTTTCCCTCATTCGAGTCTTTGGCTGGTCCGGGCAGTAGGCGAAACATTTGTAATAACGTCGCCTGAATCGGTCAACTCCCTTACCATTTTGACACCGAAGAAGGGAAGAAGACGAGGACCACTTGGGCTGTTCTTCAAGCTCTTCGCATCTTTCTTTTCGGGACTTTTTGTCGGCATGTTTGTCTCTAAAACAGGGGCTCACCTCGTTCCACTCAGGTTCGGCTCTCTCCGGGTCGCATTCCCAAACAGCCTTCCTTATTGATTTGGGGCCACATTGGTATTTGCATCTGGAGGTCTTGGTAACTTTCAGTGATTCTTGAAGTTCTGCCAATAATAATTGACTATGCATGTTTCGATGTATCGATCGATTAAAAATACTTAAACGAAATATTTTGTATCTTTAAGAATCCTTTTCATTATTTATTATACACTTCAATGTTCCCCATCGTCCTTCTGTTAGTTCTAATAATTCGTGTATCGGACAATCAGCATGCACGGAACCGGAATATAGATGCCACTTCTCATTCTCGGAAGAGTCCGATGCCGAGACAGCACCACTCAAAAGAGTGAAAAATTTGAAGGGATTCATTTTTTTTTCTAAATTCGAACCACTCGCTGTCGTATATATAGTGTCGTTAGGTGGCGGAAAATTCCGCTGATACGAGTTCGCGCTTATTTAGAACTAGGGTCGGCGACCTGAAGCGGCTTTAAACAAAGGATTAAGAAAAAGTAAACGTTTTCTTTGATTTGCACTAGAAAAATAGCGGCCCTCCGAATATTTTTGTTTTCTTGACCATAAGTGAGTTGGGATTTTAAGGGTTGAATGGCGGCTACGACGTAGCCGTTACGTTACAAACGCCGTTACAAAAATTTCAAATCAGAATTATTGAACGGGAGGGCGCTCCTTAATGGTATAATGGGTTTTTCTGCTCAGAAAAATAAGTAATTGGCGTATAATTTCAGTGCCGAAAATTTTGTGTTTTGTAACGGCATTTCAAAATTTTGGCTTTGTAACGTTACAGCCTGTCCCCATATTTAAGCCTTATTTACTTGATTTATTTCATCATAACTTTACCTTTTTATACCTTATTACCTGGCAGATCCCCACCAGGACAGACTACCCTAAATCCCGGCATGTCCGAGAACATCCGCTGTTTTCTTGATTATGTCAAAAATGACGGGTCCAACGAAATTAGAACTGATTCTTTCTGAAACTAAACTACAGGATCTAACCCAACCCACAACGACCGGTGCAATCATTTCTATCAGTTCTGGCGTCTTCATTCTCTTTCTCCTCGTCTCCGAGCTCCTGACCTTCCTCCGAACTGACATCATCTCCGAGCTGTACGTCGATGATCCAACTACCGGCGACAAGATCCCCGTCAACATCCGAATGTCGCTTCCTGGAATCGGTAAGTACCGTTGCCATTAAACTCGTGTAGTAACAGGAAGTTAGAATGTAAATTCTTGGGCGTCGACATCCAAGATGAACATGGACGACACGAAGTTGGTTACTTGGAGAACACGCGCAAAGATCCCATTAACGGCGGAAGAGGTAATTTTATTAGATAATAGTTTAATACAAAACGAGAAATCGTCGTAAGTCTTGGACAGATTGGAGTAGTAAAAAAGTTTCATTTTATTGCGCTTCTGAATTCGATTTGGCCATTTGGAATTGCCAATTCTGACGTTTATTTATAAACACTCGAATTCGCAGGCCGTCTGTTTGTCAGATGTACAGAAACAGCTGATTTACAGCCGTGATGCACCAGCCTTTGAATTACCCGCTTTTTTAATGATCTGGGCAGATTTGATTCCGACACTATTCTTAAGGATGTATGTTCGGTGGAACTTTTCATGTAAACAAAGTGCCTGGCAACTTCCACATTTCGACTCATTCCTCTCAGGTTAGTTTTTCTCCCTCTGATCATTTCTTTCTTATCTCTTTTCTAGGTGCAACCAAAGGACCCAGACATGAACCACGAAATTCACGAGCTCTACTTTGGTGAAAGCATGAAAAACATCAACAGCAATCTTCCAGCAAACTTCGTCCCACTCAACGGCAAGAATACCAAAGGCGCTGAGAAGATGGCATCGCATGATTACACCCTCAAAGTCGTTCCAACGGTCTACCAGGATATCAAGAGAAGAACGAAGTTTGGCTACCAATTTACCGCTGTCTACAAAGGTAGAGCTTCTCCTAGCTGGGGAATTTTGATTAATTAATTTTCAGATTTTGTCGCCTTCGGCCACGGGCACCGAGTAATGCCGGCCATTTGGTTCCGCTACGAAGTCTCTCCTATCACTGTCAAATACACCGAGAAATCAAAGCCCCTTTACCACTTCCTCACGACTTTCTGCGCCATCATCGGTGGAACTTTCACCGTTGCGGGAATGATCGACTCCATGATCTTCTCAGCTCATCAAATGGTCAAAAAGGCTGGCGAGGGAAAGCTCAGCTAGGTTTGAACTTGCTTAATTTTCTCTATGAGTGCTCATATTATTGAACAAATCAAATTGTAGCTGAATTATTTTTTTTCTTTTAGGAAACTTCGATCTTTTGACAACCAAAAACACGAAGGGTCGAAGTTTCCAAATTCTAGAGCCAAAATTGTGCCTTACGACCTATCATCCCGTTATTTTTTTTTCTTCTCATCAGTTAAAGTCAGTTGTGCAATAGCCCCAAACTAGCTACTAGCTTGCCCCTTATCTGATACATAACTCTCTTCTACCATTCTGTCCATCCATCAAATTTCTTCTATTGTAGGTGAAATCATCCTTCCCCATCGTTTATCAATCATTTCAGTTTATAGACTATTAAAAATATATTCTTACCATTCAAATTGTTGCTAAAGCAAATGTCTTACAATATATCACTAGAATGAAAGAACACATGATTCAAAAAGTCAGATAAAAGCAAAAAGGAATCATATGCCAGATATGCATTCGAGAAAGGACTCTATTCCGTCGTTGAAGGCTGTTTCAGGTATTTTACATTGAAAGATTGGTTGAACAAATTGATTTTCCTTTGATAGGAAAGAAATGAGGGCATTTTTCTCCCTTTTTGATCGGAAAAATTCAGGTTAAATTCTGCATGAAACTGTTTTGTCGGATAAATGTTGTGGAATCGGACTTTACGGTTGTCTGCATAAATTCTCTTCATAAATTTCGATTAAATATTACTTCTCTCCCTTCAGTCGTTTCATCCGGCTCGCCACGATCTACTCCTCGAGCGAAGAAGAAGGATGTCCCAAAGCTGACCGCGGAAGAGCAAGAAAAACGAAATCGCAAGCACCAGAAAAAAGAAGAGCTTACACGAGAGCATGACAAGATCATTTCCGAAATCGAGCAAAATGCGAGCATGGACACTGCCCTCAAGACTGTCTACACACTTGGTCATGTCGGCCGGTTTCAGAAAAAGCTTGAGAAACGAATCAGGAACGGATTTTTTCTTTATTGTAATTGAAAAATGAGACTTAAACAATCAGAACTTGATGATCTAAGATTACCTGATGACAGAGATTTTCATTTTCAGAAGTTTATTTTTTCGAGATTTTCTTGCCTCAAGAATTTAAGTCTTTTTTTATCTAGTGCCACCGAGTGGTAGATTTTTATCTTGCGCCGATTTCTTCGGTTTGATGAAAGCTTGAAAATCCATCTGAAAGAAACCAGGAGCGTGAAATCGAGCGCATGTGCGGCTTCCACTATTCACACTTTGTAGAAGCGATTGAAGAGCTCTCTGGAATCCAGGGCGATGCTTCCCGCCTCGTCCGGCAAGTTGCCGAGACAAACAAGGATTTACAAGAACTTGGGGCGGACATTACGAGCAGACACAAGGAGCGGATCAGGATGAGGAAGCAGCAGGATAATATCAACAAAGGTAGAGTCGTTTCAAAGAATACTGCGACCATTTCTTTAGTAATTCTAACGATGGAATCGACTCTGCCAATCCTGGTTTCTTATGGAAAACTGAGGGAGCAAATGGCGCAAGGAAAATACTATTCCGCGCTGAAAACCCTCCAAGAAATCGAGCACGGTCATTTGCCCGGTGTCATTCAGTTCAAATTCGCAGAAGTCATCAAAAATTCATTCCCAAAGCTTCGTCAGGTAGCTCTCCTTGTCTACCCTCTTTTCCAATCTTGTTTTGAAGGAGGTCCTTTCTACTTCGTCGAACGAGCTAAAAGACTTCCTCGAGATCGTTCAAGTCAACGCCCCGAAAGTGGGGACGGTTATTTTGCAAAAGTACTTGCAAAAACGAAGACCCAATAATCCTTCACAACCAAAACGAATGCCAGCTGCCTCAATTGTACCTTCTGTAGGAAATGGTCAAAATACCTGTTCACTAAAGACATAAAATAGGTCATTTTTGACTCAAATTTTGACCTTTGAAAAAGCACCACCTCCAAAAAAGATGATGAAAGTATACAGTTCAAAACACAGTTTAACCGAATCGGCTAAAGATGCACGACTCATGAATGGATCCTTGAATCGAACCACTTCTTCGCAAATGAACCCATTTGGAAATGACGATTATTCGGAAAGCGGACGATCTGGAAGGTCTGAGAATCCATTCTCCGACGATGGCAACCCTTTTTCTGACAATGAAAGCCGAGGAGGCAATCCTTTTTCAGGTAAAGTTCCACTAAGTTGACCTGAGTTATTATTTTTAAGGGGATGAAGCGTCGGCAAACGGAAACCCTTTCGGCGACGAAGACGATCTCCCAGAAGTCGATCGTAGCTCCTACTACTCCCATTCCCGCCGCCCTTCACACGCGATCAACCCATTTTCAGAAGAAGACGAGATCGCCACCGACGATGAATTCAGCGAAATGATGTCGATGGCTGAATCGGCGGCGCCTCGATGGGAATGGGACTTGGACAGAGATGTTTCTGATTTTGTCGATTTTACGCCGATACACAAAAGTCTTCATATCCACTCGCTTCTTGGCGGAAAAAGCGAGTTTATCGAGAGCTACAGGGCTGAAAGAGAGCATCAAGCGAGGCTGTTATTCACTCTGCCAAAAGATATACGACACTTTGCTCAGATTTACCGGCGATTTCTTCATCAGATTTTGGGATTCTTCGCCATCGAAGATGTTCTGCTACATTCCACGAAAGAACTGCTTATCGATCGAGAATGGCTCGGCAGATTGTTGACTACGGCAGTCAGTAGAGTCCTTATGCTCCTACGCGCGCAGCTGGCCTACTCGGTAGATTGCAAGGAGCTGATTGATTCAAAAGAACTCACAGGTTAGATCCAGCCGCACCTTTTTCATTTAGATGGCGCTTTTTTTCTCTTATAAAGCTTTCTTTCATCCGAGTTTCATAACATTTTTCTCGATAAAAATTAAATGATGCACTATGGCGTTTATTTATTATTTTTCTTGCACGCTTAGCGAAATTTTCCATGAACATATGATTCTTTCGATAATACTGAAAATGAAATGAAACTTGACTCATATCACTACACGTTCTTTCAATACGGTTTTCTGCGAAATTGATTTGATAGATAAAAAAATATATATGAACATATAATTGCACATTGATTTTGCTAATATTCGCTCCTAGTCGCTTTCAGCGATGCCCTGGCTTCTTATGGCTTTCACGCTGGTGTGTCCGACCTCAACGCAGTCATTCCTGAAATGTGGAGACAGTATGTAGAAGGGCTCCTGAAATTCTTTGGCTCAGAGTTTTCCGCTGCAATCAACAAAGATCGTCTCGTGCCAATGATGGTGGCTAGCTCTGTTGAGGAGCAAAAGTTCTTCAAATATGGCCAGAAATTGTTGAAGAAATTAGGGGATAGATATCCGAAGAAATTACCGTTTTCAAGGTAAGAACCAAAAGCAGTATCTTTTTGAATATTCAATAGAACGTCCTTTCTTATCTAGCATCTAATTATATATATGAACTCCTCACTTTTGTTTAGTTCTGTACTACGGATCCACGAAATCCTGGTCAATTTCATCGACGAAGCGCACATCTACTGCATCGATGTCGAGTTGATTGATGTCTGCGTTGATGTCGCCCTTGCTAAGTCTGTTGAATCCCTTCTTCAACGTAATCTTCGGGTCGCTCTGGAAAAGAAAATCATGGACGAAAGTCTCACGCTCGAAGAAATGCTTCAATTCGTGACGAATCTGACTCATATGGAAAAATCTGTCAAGGATATCGAGACGTATATCAAGGAGCTCGACCATGGAGATAGAAAAACATCAGGTTTTACAAGAAAATTTGTCTCTTATCTATCTTTTTTAAGGGAAAAAGAAGGCCCGCCGCAGAATGAGAGAGCTCGGCGCTCAGCTCTTCCAGGACCTTCGCCGCCTCGCCGAAAATGGAATTAATCCTCGCCTAAACGACAAGCTCGACGCTCTCCTTGATCGCCCATTCGACTGGTCGATGAAAGAAGCAACAGGAACAACGAGTGGTTATCTCAAAGAAACCTTCCAGTTTCTCGATGAGACGTTTGAGAAACTGAGGGTGCTGAAAATGTCGGATCAGTTGATTTCCGAGGCGATTTTTGCGACATATCAGCATATAGGAAGGGTTCATGCTGTCTCTCATTCTAAGCAATAGAATCTAAAGCTTTTTCAAAGGCAACTTTTTGGAACCCTGAAAGGCTTCTCGCTCCTCGAAAAACTCATCGACGACCAAATCGCGATGATCAACATGGGCGCTCTGCACCAGCTCTCGCTCGATGTCCTCTTTTGCCTCGGCCAGATCGCCAATGCTTCGCAATTTATGACGGGAAATATGCGAGAAACACTCGAAGGAATTCTTGGAGAGACGTGGCAAATGGTCGATTTGTTCACTGAATGGGACTGGGAAACGTACTTTCAAGAATATGGCCAAGAAACGAGCAAATATGCGCTTGTCAATCCTGGTACTGCTCTCAAAGGTAAATTCTTAGTATAATGGCCTTGATTAACGATGATTTTAGTGATGGAAAAACTGCGGCAAGACAAGAAGAGCAAAAACATGCTTGCCAGCTTGAACATCAACAAACGCAAGAAGCAAAAGATGCAAGATACAGTCATCAAACAGCTTCGTGGACTGATTAAAGATTGGTCCTTGCTAACCCAACCTCATAGACGCCTCTCACAGGAACTGGCTCTAGAAAATTTCGTTCAGGGAAAGAAACTTACTAACTTAGTGTCTTATAAGGTCATTAAAGAGAGAGAGGCGATTTTCTGGCAGTTAGATTTTCTGGCAGTAATAAATGGGTAAAAAGTGGCTTTTGTCAATGAATTTTTAAAAATAACGTGTAAGAAAAAATTGGTGGTACTGTCGAAAACCCTCTCCGTTTTTTACCTTCCAGGATCACTAACTGTAGATTCAAAATCAAAAGAGGCGATTTTCTGGAAATAAGATTTTCTGGCATATTAGATTTTCTGGCAGTGCCAGAAAATCGCCTTTGCCAGAAAGTCTAACTGCCAGAAAATCGCTTCTCTCCATTAAAGACTCTATCATCTCCCGAAAGACACTTTCTAGAGCCAGAAATAGGACCAACAAGACTTTTTTCGCGTCGAATAAAGCTGCACCCTACAAATCCGCAATTCATTCTACCCCCCACCTATCGAATTCCAAATCACACTTACTGAAATTTCTTTCAAAAGGTTTCTAACTTTCTCGTATTTTACTAACTATTTCTCTCTGTGTATTTATTCACCAGCGCTCAATCCGAAATCCCTTAAAATCTGAACGATTGTTTGTATGTTTTATGTAAAATACAGTCTTCCTTTTACCTACTTTTCTACTTTCTATTTTCTGACCGTACTACCTACCTTCGTACTTTGAAACCAATTGCCGTACTTCTATTTAACCCTTTAGAAACAAAACTAATCATTCATCGCATCTTACGAGCTTATTCAACCCTTTTTCTTCTTATTGTGATAAAAAAAGATATTCAATATTCAATCTGTGATATCTTACTATTCGTTGGAAAGTTCATTATATATTTATTTTCTAAATAATAAATTCAAGGAAAACTCAAAATGCAATAATCGTTATCTTGAAATCGTGAAAAAAAATCTATTTCAATTTGTTCCAAACTCTTTGTAGGCGCAGAAATTATGGAAATCAGAAGTCTTTGCATGAGTCCTCGGAAGCATCTGGTGATTTCTCGAAATCAAGGACGAAAATTTTTCTCTAGCAATTGACTTCGCAAAGTTTTGAGGGAATTTCTGCTATTGGCAATTAAAGAAAGCAAAGAATTTTAATTTTTAGATTAGTCAAACTGAATTTAATTAACTCGATTGATTGTTTTATTGTAGAATCAGAGGCACGGTGTGAGTTTGCAGGAAATCAGCACATCGAGAATCTGGATAAAAGCTGTTTCTAGTTTTGAAAATAAATTCGCCTAATCAAATCAAAACTTGATTAATAAAAGTCGCATCGTTTGTTGATTCTTTTATATGCAATTATCTTTACGTGTTGCTCGAAAATAACTCGAAGCTTTGCTTTTTTTAACACACAAAACTAAGCTTATAAGGGCGTGAAGGCGAAAATTCTCAAAGCAAGGGTTCGTACCGCCAAGAATTGGGGAGCCAATATCTTCAATTGCCTGAAAAAGGGATAATTTTAAGCAAAGCCGTTGTTTCTTACTTGTAAGTGAATTAAAACAGCGGCAGTCACCGTTGTTATTCTCCATAAAATGGTGTGAACATCCCTAATCGCCAGATGAACCCAACCAAGAACAAATGAAAAGGTGAATATCGAAGCCAGAAAGATGCTCAAAGGATTCGGGTTTCCAGCACTCTCCAAGATCCAGATGATAATATCGATGACGTACAAAAGGTTGATGAAGCCAAAAGTATGGCGAACGAGGTGGGTTCCCTTAGCATGCGCAATCTCTTCGATTGAGGATTGTAAGCGGATTTTTTAAAAGGTTTTTATCAGTCAATTAAGACAAAAAGGTGGAAAAGTCAACTGAGATCGATTTTTGTGAGAGCTTTTTGATCATTTGTACCTCCGTGTAATTTGTTACTATGGAATAAGATGTCTTGTTTCAACCTCTTGTTTAACCCCAAAACGATTTTGACCATGATCAGGTACGTCTTAGTCACGTTTCTCTCCCTCTCTTACCCAAATCAATATCCGTTATCTTAAGTTTGTGAAGTGTTTGTTCGCTAATCCTGTCCATATTAATATTATGCCATTCGAAAATGACAAAGACGGAGGCGATAAGAAGAAGCAGGTGCACTATCCATTCGGTCGGTCACACGCGAATCGAAACCAATCGCGGTTACTTCAACTTTGGCCTCATCCTTTTCGCGAAGGGATGGATTTTGAATCAATCTCACCGCAGCTGTGACCGACCTGTGAGAGGGAATGGCGGATGGATTAGTGAAAAGTCGACTTTTTAGTCATTTTTTATTGACGCAATCGTGAGTCGCGAAGCGACGAAATTTCTTTTGTCAGCTTTTGATTGGCTAACAGCCAAAATACCAAATTCTGATTGCTCGAATTCACCTTTTTTCCATGAAATAGCATTTTTCAAAGAGCCGGAAAATGACGCAACTCTTGAACTTTCAAAAAAATGACCTTGTCGTCAATTTCGTGGAAGATGAGAAGGTCTGGTCCCCATTCCGTTTCCTGAGCAAAAACAACACATGGCAATGTCCTCTGAGAGCGCGATGACAGGGTTGACGCTTTCTTCTCGGCTTCCTTCTAGCCACCACCGGTGGAATAATACAGCGCGGATGCTTTAGCTGGGTATCATGCGGTGGCGATCTGATTCATATAAGAACAGGGTTTTTTATCAAGCGGTGTTTCGATGAAATAAATTTGATTGCTCAAATCATTTTTATTAGTCTTGCAGATAAACAGCTATTTTAGTAAAAAGGGTTGAAAATCTTAAAGAAGTTTTTGTTGCATTTTATCCAAAAAAATTATGGGTATTAATAATGAATTATCGACAAGAAGGAGATTAGTTTCATCATTAAACTTTCATGTTGAGACTATGCACTGAGCCCTTTTACTCTTTGTTCTGAATATGTGAACGAGATCCTTCATTTTTATATTGTCGCTGGAATAATCAGTTTCAAGAATCAGTTCAGACTGAACCATTCTATTCGAAGTCGAACCATTTTCTTTCGATGAAGTGGTTCACTTTAAATTATGAACTTAGATTGTTCAATTTTTATCGACAGCGGAAATTTATTTTAACTTGAAAGATCAGGTGCTCTGGATTTAAACAACCCTGTGGTTTAATAGAAAGTAGCGAAAGTAATGCACTAACTTCCCTTTGAAAAGAAAGATACCTTTCCTGAAAAGAAGCAAATCCGCAGCGGTGAAAACGACGAAAATAATAAACGTCGATAGCTGTTGAGAAAGCTCAATTATAAATTTAATCAAATTGGGCCCGCCAAATTGGCAACATTAAAAGTTACGTGCAGGCACAAAGGTTTTATGTTTATGAACTCGCCCTTACATCGCCGATGAAAAACGACGTTGCTCAAGGCCAACGTGACCAGAACGCTTCAAATTATTAAGAATTTAAATGATAATAGATAGAGGTTTACCACAGATAATAAAGCGCTCTTGTGATCCATTCGGGCGTCGAGATATACGGGAAGTTCTTGAAAACGAAAAAAGTTTCACTCAGAAAAGCGCCAAAGATGATGTGGGAGCAACATAATGAGACTTTTTTTGGACGAAAATTTGATCTGAACATTTTTGTTAAAAACATCCAAATTTGAACCCGTTCATCTGTTTTCAATTTGCCCATTTCCTTTTTTCCAGCCCCTGTTTTGCAGATCGTAGAACAACTGTCTCTATAAACAAAGCTCTAATTATCCATCAGCAGAAAAATGATTTACCATAAACGCTGATCTGTTTTTGCTGCAAACTTTTAGTAGAAATGCTACTTGAATACTTTAAGAATTTTGCTGAATTTTGGCACAGAAGTCAGTGACCATAACTGAGCTTAGCATCTTGGCCAACGATGCTGGATCGACTTTGCACCTTTTTTCTGTAGTTTGTTGTTAAGAATATCATTATTCACGATTTTTTTATTCAACAATAAATTTGATCGTAGTGATGAAGAAAAAAGGGCTGTAATTGTTGCATTTTAAAAGATTTTTTCAGGCGATTTTGATTTTTTTCGTTATAAATTTTTCAAAATTGAGTTTTCATCACAAGCTAACAAAACATTCAATAACTCAAGAAGCATTTTAATATTGTTGTAAAGATGACTTCTTTTGCGTTTTATAAAATCAAAGATAAAAATCAATCTAGAGCAGCTAAAAACCATCTGATTGAGATCGAACCTTTCCAATCGAACTACAGTAGGGGTGGTCAATTTGGGAGGTTTTTTTCGGCTAATTTCCCTGAAAACTCCCAAACTGACCACCCAGCTGAAAATGGTCATATTTTCGAGAATACAAATTCTCTGGGGTGCTTAATTTTGCCGCATTGTGCCGCCTGGTTCAAACAAGAGTTCGAAATCGGACTGGAAAATCAGAAGGCTAGGCTAGGCTCCAGCGATTTCGCCTTAATTCGCCTTAAATTTTTCGCCTTCCTGCTATGCTAGGCGAAATTTTTTCCCTTGGATATTTTTATATTGGTTAGGAAATTTTTTTTTTCTTGAAATTAAGTTATAGTATGATGAAGTTAATTCGCTAGCCATATTTTTAGCGTCAAAATATGACCGGTAAAAATCCGCCCGCGGAGAGAAACCCCATCTTTTCCGATAATCCTCCCTCCAATTAGTGCGCTGCCGACTTTTTTTTGCATAACTTCTTGTTAGTTTTTTTTATAAACAGAACTTGCTGTTGAAAAAGAGAAATTGTGCTGTCGCGAATAAGAAGAACGATGCGAGTTCTCACGGCTTCGGCCAATGTGGGACTCATCATAAATCGCTGCAAGTTTGTTTTGCTTGGTGTTCTTTTGGGAGGTTTTAAAATTTTGATAACTGAACTTTATTTGTTAAACGAAAAACGGCGATAATCATAATTTTTCTTCAAATAGCTCTTGGTAAAAAATTTAAAATACATTTCGTCGAAAAAAATTCTTATGGTTTCCAAAATCTAAAACCAAAAAAAGCTCCACATCGTCCAAACCACCTACGAATCCAACTCCCTCGAAGAAGCAGCTGAAAACTACGGTAATTTCACAGATCACAGTAACAGTTCAAAAAAAAAAATAAAAAGCCTCAGACTATGACCTAATCCTCCTAAAAGAGTTGTCACGAGATACATTGTAATTACGTGATTTCGTCGCGCTTTGAGCAAAAAAAGAGATCATAATGACTTTTGCGCTCACGAAGGCTCGTTATTTTTTTTTTTGAACTTATGACAGAAGCGCTAGAAGGGCTGAACGAAGGAAAGGGTTGAATTTTTCTAGCATCGATTTTTCATTTTTCACGACATCTTTTTTCTTCAGCGAAAAAAGAATAAGTACTCGGCTAAGCTATTTGAACATCAATAATCATCGAATCCGCTTTTCTAAAAAACTTACTCGCTGAACATTTTAATATTTATGCTTACGATCTTCTGCTCAATCCACGCCCTCAGTTTTACAAGAATATTATGTCTTGTGAAAACTAGTGATCAGAATTGACAGTTGCGCACTTTTTAACTGTCAAGAGTAGCACTTGTCTCAAACCTTCTAAATTTTTTCTTTCAGTTCAGTATTTGATGGTTTATTTATCAAAAATTGAGCCTCATATTCTTCTCTTTGTAAAATTGCTTTTTCAAAAAATTGTATTTCAACCCTCAAAGCTCAATACTAAATCGAGTGAAACGCGTCTTCGGCTATGGCCTGGCTGATCCAAAGAAAGAGCATCGAAAAGACAAGGTTCCAACAAAAGTCGAAAAAGAAGGAGATGTCAAACTTGGCAACGCAGCTTTCTCCGTCGACAAAATGACTGGCAACATTGTCAGAACACACGATCGCGATGGAATTTCTTCGAAAGAAAAAGAAAAGGACATTCCGATTCATCCTGGAGAGCTCAAATGTGAAGGTTTGTTTGTATTTGATTCAAAGTACGGAGAAAACACAGGCCAGATAAGTTCCTAGTCAAGCATTCTTCAACATTTTAGCGAGCATTTTCTGCATAGCGGGATAAAGACTTTCATCTGTCAGGGCACGATAAACGCGCATAGCTACAGTTTCCACCGCATTGTTATGCTAAAAAGCGAAAATTGCTTTATAGTATCTCAAAAACTTAGAGGTGAAATAGGGTCTTTTGCTTTCAGTAGAAATTTGACCGGGGTTACAAAATGGTTAATTATTGAAATCGGGTTCATCCGATCTCCAAAACGAAAAATATGGACTTCTTGATGTGTCGAATTTTGTACACAGGATCAGTGATCTCGTGAGTCCGGTAAATCGCGTTACTTTATTTATGTTGTCACTCAAATTATTACGGAAAAACTTGAGGAGGATCGACGATTCGCTTTGTTTACCGGTAATATTTATAAAATCCAACAAATACAAATTTTTTTACCTTCCGAAAAGTTAATTTGAACAAAATTTAGATTTTTTTTCTTGCTGAAAAAAACAAAAAAAAAGATGCCTAGTTGTATAACGAATGCAACAAGTAATAATTCGACGCTGTCTTGTTTAATATCAAGATACCAATTTCCTCACTGATAAGCGACTAGACTTGAAATCGAGGCCGTTATCACCACGTTGGAAAAATGCAAGAGCAAAGTAGATAACACGATTGACAATTTGTAATAATTGTTGTTTTACATGCGCCGGTAATTAGGCTTTGGTAGAAATACGCGCGAGTATTTATGTTTGATGTAATGATTATTGAGCAAAGGACTTTTGGGGTTATTTTATCAAAACTGACTTTACCGTTTTGTTGGGCGTTGATTTTAGACAGGAAATATCCACAATAAGCAAAAAATGCAAAATCGAAATTCGAAGTTTTTCAGCTAATGAAATTCTAGAGCCGAGAACTTGTCATTTCCTCGTTAAATTGAAGACAAGGTCTACAGTCCTAGGGTTAGCATAATAACAGACCCATCCTAGTTTTAAAATAAAATAGCGTGTTACTCGTGCGAGATCCCGTACTTGCCGAAATTCGATTATATTACTCGAACTCGAGAAACAGAATCAAAATTGAATCTGCTCAAGTGCATAAATAACAATTTCTTACTTGACCGGATCTTTTATCTGTCTGATTATGGTTCACGGTCTAATTTAATTCTAGAGCCGAAACTGGCAACCGACTGGAGCGCACACGTAGAGCCAATCATGCCCCTTCGCTCGGATCACTTCCTCATCCCTGTCTTACCATACGGCCCAAATAACCAGCTCCGTGGCTTTCGCGAAACAATCATTTTGGCGATCAAGCTCAATCGCACCGTTGTGATGCCGCCCTTTTACAAGCATCGGTCGGACCCGTCGCCTGGCGAAATTTCTTTTCCGTGGAGAAAAGTCGACGAAAACATGCTGCGAAAATTCATCACCGTTGCTAGTGCTGAAATGATGGCGACTGCTTGTGGTGGGAAATTTGATGTTGCTCTGACGGCGAGGGAGGAAAGCTCCGATGCAGCGGGAAAAGTCAAGAGGATTCAGCAATTGGAGACATTTGCAGGAAAAAAGTTCAGATGGAAGTCCCCATGTTTGCTCAAGAAAAATGATGAACAAGGGGGCGATTGCAGCAATTTCGAGGATGAACAAGGGGAGTACTTTTTTGAGTAAAAACCCTTATCTTAGTTTTCCTTTTTCATGTTCCTTTTTTGAGGTCTGAAGATGCCCATTATTTATTTTCTGATAACACCATCAATTTCTTATTTTAACCTTGAGCTCCAACAAGGAAAAAGCAAACCGGTATCTTTCGCGTCTCCAAACAATTAAAAAAAGAAGCACCAAATAATACCACGATAACTGCAAAAAAGTGCCAAAAGTGCAAAAATCAAATCACAAAACAAATAGATTGTGTTTTTATCATAATGTTCAACTAACGCATTGACAATGCGGCATTGTTGAAAATAATGTCGTTTATTTTAAATAGCGTTTTATTGTTTATTTTGTAATAATATCGGATAGAATAAAAAATAGAACTGTTCGCTGGCAGACTAATTCTGCCATGCGTTCACCTGTAAAAATAATATTAAAACAGCGGAACTGAAACAGAAATAATTTTATTAAACTGTTTTGGTCATTCTTTTTTCTGTTATCATTCATTTTTTTCTTTTTACAGTATTTTTTGTTTTTTTATTTTTTTTTGACTCAAAAGTGAATTTAAAAAGGTCAGCTTTTGATTTTCCTTGTTGGATCACCTTATTCCTGGGCAGCTATAAAATTAAACATCAAGTTTGAACTTTTCGGGAGGGATGAAAGCGTTCGATGAAAACACCAAATTTCTGATGGACGAGATTTTGGAAATGGAGCATGTTGAATCAGCGAAAAATGGAATGATGTTTCTACCCCTTGAAGCCGAAAAACTACAACAGGTACGAAAAACAAGCGTTCAGCAGTTTCACTCTTTGTTTCTTTCTTTTTCTTTATCAAGCTGAGTAAACGCTCCTGCATCGCTTGTCACAAAATATTTATCTGCTATCGCTATTTTGCGCACGTTTTCTGTTTCGAACAGCTATTCAGGCTTTTTCTAATTGGGATTTGCGCGAAGGATTGATTTGAACGTCTAATCTTTTCAGTAGTTTACTCGGTGTCCGTAGCACTGATTTCGTACATAAACAGCCCAACGATATACCGTATATCATATACGGTATAATTTGTCAGTTAGCGAAGAAAATGAATGTCACCACGTTTTTGGCTCCTTCGATTTACTGGAAGAAAACTGTAGCTATATTTTGAGCCGTTCTTGTAGTCTCGAGATGATGATCTCGTTTTTAATTATTGTAATAGTATCAAACAAGGACCAAGTTACAAGGAAGACATCATATCAATTTCTCGATAACTGCAGTTTTTACAGTTATGCTTCGTAATTCAACTAGTTACATAAAACGGAATACGCCGGAGCTTATTTTGGGACACGCTTTTTGTTGCTAATTCCGTTAACTTGTGAAAGTCTCATTTATGGAAAATTAAGGTGTATCCAACGGACGAGAAATGCGCCCTGTGGTTGTTCCCCTATCGCAACATCGATCTTACCAAACTTCTGATCAAGCGCAAACGAAAAAACGACAAAAACTTCGATCCCGACAATCCGGAGCGTCCCTCCGGCCAAGATGACGACGCCGCTATCATTTCCAATGTTATGCATTACTCGCCGAGGTAAACACCAAAAATAGAGCTGCTCAAGTTCAAAAATACGCGTCGCCAGTGGCGGCTTAGCAGAATTTAATGCGAATAGAACTGGTTTTATCTTCTAGGCCACAATTTATTCGCGACGCGGCGAGTGCTTTTGTTGCTGATGTTATAGGCACAGGTTTTAACTGAGAACAGGAAACAGTGACTGTACAAGCAACGAAAATTTTTGAGTCAAAAAAACCCAAATAAAAAGGGATGGTGTCTGGAACCGACAAAAAGATTTCGACAAAATTTGCGTAGGCGGCTACTCGGCAGCTGATTCGCCCATTTGCCAGATCTAGGCTTCTGATTGGTTGAAAATTTCCACGCAAAATTTGTCCAAATTTTTTTGTCGGTTCCAGACACCTCCGCAATAAAAAGCCGCAACGCGGCTTCGGCTTACGAAAAAGCCGCTACGCGGCTTTCAATTTCGGCTTTTTGACTTAAAAATTTTGACTCAGCAAGTTTGGTATTTAATAACTATTCAATCAAGTTTGAAATGCCGATTGTTGATTTAATTCGATTCGAATTTCTCCTCGAGCGAAAAATTCGATTAGCTCTAAATTCTGTCTCAATCATGTAACAATTTGTCAACCTCGCTGAAAAGGTACGTGGGATATGGTCGCAATGCACTGGAGGTATGACGAGAAAGACTTCATGGTGCACTGCCAGAAAGGCGCTGGAAACACAGACAAGGCACGGTCGACTTTGCTTTCTAGTTTTTATTGAAACATGGAGCGTCTTGTCGACCTCAAGGAAAGTGCGACCAACTGGCCGATGTGGATCCCCAAGTCGTTGCGAAGAATTTGGCTATTTACTCGAACTCGGTCAGAAGTTATGGCCGCTACGATGCAAAAATTGTCTACATAGCTGCTCCACCATCTGAGCTCGAATTAATTCTAAAGGTGAGTCCAGTTCCAATTTCAGTTCTTTAGAAAATATTTTCCAAAATGTGAGGTCTTAGTGCTGAAAGTCGGTTAGAGATCTGATAGGGATCTCGCGCCGCGCTCTTCCCTGCCACTTTTACGAACACTGCATCAGTCCGCGCACAGTAAAAGTGCAGAATACACGCTTTTTCGGAAACTACCTTTCCTCGTGTTTTATTGAAGATACAGTAGAGGCTACGACTAGCTGCAAGAGAACCGTCTAGTATAGAGAGCATACAGCAGTACTTAGACGCTTGCATCTGGTGACAATCGCTAAGCTTCTTTCTTCATTGGACTCATCCGAACCCACGTTCGCCCTCATCACCGGCACTTCCTGCTGCGAAGCTAGAAGTGTTATTTACTTGGTGTGACCACTCGCCAAGTCGATCGAGCGATCTTCCGCTGTTCCCGTGTTTGATAAACCGCTGGAGCTCGTGAATCAAGTCGCGTCCGCGCGCCGCACAGTAACCCTTCTGTGCACACAAACGAGGTCAGTCAAGTTGTGAAAACTGTAACTGCCGCATTTTATCGCCCTGAACACCGTGGAACTCGTCTCCGACCGCGCCTGAATTGCTCATTTCGCCGCCGGCTGCCTGGAACATACACTTCACGTGAAAAAGTCGCCACGTGCGCCGCTCAAGGAAATTCCCAGTTACTTGAGCGCTTTGTAAAGGTACAATATCTTGTTGTGAACCTCTTACCGCCAATTCCGTTATGCCGCGCCGCCGATTTTGATCAGTTCCGCCAACGAAACCTCGTGAACTTCGCCGATCTCAATCTCCAACGACAGTTTGGCCCGCCAAAATGTCCCCTGTCAGCGCCTGCTACGCGCTCGACATCCCCGCTGACCGAATTGATTCATGCTTCTGCATCCTCACGCTAAATGCGTTTAGGGATGAGGTCTTGGACCACGTGTTTGCTCTCGCCGCCAACCCTGCGCTACTCAAAGCCGCCTTAGAAGCGATCAAAACTCGCCTAAAGCTAATAAATGCCCGATGTAAGGCTTTATTGGAGTTCGAACATTCACCTGGAGCCTCTCGCACTGATCCGATCGAGACCCAGAGTTCTGACGACTCAGCTGACGTCCATGACTCCGCTATTGGCACCGATTCCGCTTCTCCCGTTGACAACGACCAAGCTTTTTCGGATCGAGAGTTAGATCGGCGCAACTCTAACTCCACTTCCCCCGCGCAACTCACCTTCTCAAAACCTTCCAGACCTGACTTCACAGTCACTCTCGCCGAACATTCTTCAACCGTCAAAAACGGCATGTTCGACACTGGCGCCGACGATGTTATCTTGCCTAAATGGCTGCCAAAATGGCACATCCCTGACGAACTTTTGAAGCATCTGCAGAGCTCCAAGTTCACTTTCACTGGCGTCAACTCCGAGACTAAGGCCCGAGGCGAGTCCCGCGCTATCATCAATTTCAGCGATTCAAAATTCGCTGGAACCCGCATTCTAGTGACAGACGGCCACAACGCGCCGCCACTCATCAGCAGTACTGTCACCGATCACGCCGCAAATGTCCCATTTGGTGGAACTGGTACCAAAGGCATTTTTCAACGACGAGATAGTCCTGGAGCAGAAATCTACACTCAGGCTCTCAAAATCAAGTCGTACGCTCGTGATCCATGGAATGCGCTCCTGATCGACTCTGGCAACCCCAGTAGCGCAGATTTTCATAGTTACGCTGACGCTCGTCGATCTCAACCCTCTCAAGCTGCCAAAATTCAGCTTAACCCTCCTGCTCCAGGCCCCAACACCTCTACTTCGGACCTTCTGAGCTACTTGCAAAGCCAGAAAGAGCTCGTTCTTCCATCTTATTACCACAATAGAAGCGAACTTCATGAACTCGCCCTTCTTTGTGTCCAGTATGAACACGTCTCTGGAAGTTCTACTGACGAGCTTGGCCTGTTCTACAGACCCGTCCGAACCCCGACAAATGGCGAATTCCCCAACTGTGCCGGCAAGCGCTTGTGCTGCACTAAACTCGACACATCTACGACATGTTCCGTCGCTCGAGTTTCCACTGGGGAGCGAGCAAATGTTGCTGCTCGCACGATTGTCGAAGTGGTGGTTTTCTTCGCATTGCCTGATACTCTACACGACCCTGATGTACGCTACGATTCGCCTGAAACTTATGGCAAGCGGATTCAAATGCTCTCGAAGCTAGCGAAAATCGCCAATCGCTCCGCTGATCTAGCTCTGGAACGCCAACATAGGCGTCTACATCGTGATCGCCTTCTCAAATACGGCGATATGGTCCATCTCTATCAACCCGTCACTAAGGTAGCCAAAGATTCCAACTGTCACTGGATAGGCCCTTATGAAATCGCCTCAAAAACTGTCGTCAAAATCGTCGACGGAGCCGACTTTCGTGACTGGGCTAACCGATCTCATCTGCGTTTGGTCCCACCGCGCAGTGATCATCTCAAATCTCCCTCCGACCTGGCTCTAGTACAAGAGCTCATTTGTGGCGATGATCCCGATTCGCCTCAAAATCTACTAGTCGGCGCTTCTGGTTCGTATCCTGAACCTCTAGCAAAAATACCAAAGGTTGGGAGGCCGGCTGCTGAAAAGCAATTGTTAACCTCTGGCATGTCTACTAGAAAAAAGAGGAAAAGGGCGAGACCCGACTCGTTGCCTGATCCGAAGCGTCAAAATACGGCTTCACTTCCTCCCTCGACTGCTGGAAATTCAACCGCTCCCGCCCGTTCAACGTCAACTTCAACTACGCCTCGCTCGACTGACTTGGTGGAAAAAGATGTTCAAGTTTTACCTGTTAAGACGACTTCTGCTCCTCGTGGATGTGCGGCAGACTCTCTACATGGACATCATTTGCATTCACCTTCTTCGTCAGCTGATCTTTGTCCCTTCTTCGGAAATCCGAGCGTCTTTGGTGGTGGAATCAGGAAAAAAACTTCCTTGATTCGAGTTGACCACACTCGCAAGAGTACTCGTAGAACAAGGGAAGTTTTCTCCAAAAGAAAACTCGTCTGGTGTGAGTCTGCTTCTTCTCGCGCTCTGATTGGCTCCCGCTGTCCGGAAATGGTTCGATCTCCGTCCGACATTTCTCGACTTTTCGTCTCTACGCTGGTGCAATTCCGACGCCTCGCTGAGCTGATTGGCTGCCTTTCCCTTCACCTTTCCCTTCTGCTCTTCTACGATGACTCGTCTCACCGACTTCAACTCTTCAACCGAAGATTCTCGATCGTCTCTAGAATCTGGGGAGCTGTGAGGTCTTAGTGCTGAAAGTCGGTTAGAGATCTGATAGGGATCTCGCGCCGCGCTCTTCCCTGCCACTTTTACGAACACTGCATCAGTCCACGCACAGTAAAAGTGCGCAATACACGTTTTATCGGAAACCACTTTCCTCGTGTTTTATTGAAGATATAGCAGAGGCTACGACTAGCTGATAAAGAGAACCGTCTAGTATAGAGAGCATACAGCTGTACTTAGACGCTTACACAAAACGAACTTTTTTGAGTCATAAATTATGACAATCATAGATTCAAAAGTGGGTGCTCGCTATATATTTTTAAGAGGGTAGGGAATGGACACCCTTATTTCTGAAAAAAACATCATGAAAGATAAGGGTCTCACTAAGTTAAGAGAACGAGAGAGAATTGACTTAACTCTTGGCAGAAAATACAGGAATAAGTTCAATCCGAGCTGTTTCCGGGTAAAACTAGAAACTCTTTGCGTCCCCTTATTTTCAAAATTTGATAAAACAGCTCGCGCGTAATGATCATGTTTGATCCTTTTTTCGTTAAAAAATGTTCAGAAGACGGACGTGTCGTTTAACTCAAAACACTAACGGAAGCTTCAAGCTTTCCAAAAACATCTTATTCAAATAGCGAGTGGGATCACCTTAGCTGTGACTGCAAATAAAAACTTTATTTCTGACGAGGCTTATTTTCCGCACAATGCTGTGGGTGAGCCATTCCCGCAATTTTTAATCGCTTCGTTAATTTATCGAATCAAGATTCACGACCGTTTCTTTCCTGAACGTTTGCGTGTTTTCATGAAGTTTCAACGCGTGTTTCGCCTATAATAAGGTCACACGTAATTTAGTGTATGATGTCAAGGACACAAATAATCGCGTCATACGATGCTGATTACAAATGTGTTCTCAAATTTTTAAGGGCCGAAAACTGCTTCTTACAAGTTTAAAAACTGATCCATGAAGATTATTAGTAAAATATTAAGGGCGCCCCGTCAGTATCTGAAAGTTCTCTTTTGAAAAGCCGCGTAGCGGCTTTTTTGAAAATGAAGCCGCGAAGCGGCTTCGCAAGAGTTTCATTATTGATCATTTTGGTTTTTTTGCGAAGCCGCTCGGCGGCTTCTTTTATAATAAAGCCGCAACGAGTTTTTTAATAAGAAAACTTTCAGATCTTTTATCAAAGTTTTAATTTAGTTTGCCGAGTTTTATAATATAGAAAATAGTCTATTGGATAATCAAAGGCATCATAAAGAATGTCCAAAAACAAGCGGTTCGTAAGAGGGGTGGAGCTTTGTTGATCAGTAAATTTAAAATAATGAAAAAAATGACGAGATCGCCTTAAATTACACGGGTTTCAAGAAATTCGGATAAGGACTCGATTTCAACGGATTTCCTTTCCGGCTATCCCCGAGCACGTCATAAAAGAAGGATCAAACGCAAATATAACGTTCTTTCCTCCATTAAATTCGTTTTTCTTTTAAACTTGGCGGTTTGTTTCATACGTAAGCGTCGTTCTATTTCTAAACAACGATCATGAAACCGCATGTCACTCCAAAAAATAATGTTTTTGCCTATTTATCTTGTAAATATTTATGTTTTCAAGTTGAAAACTTGAATGAATTTTTCACATTTGACCACTTTTTTTGTTCAAATTTTCAATTTTTATGATACAAAAATGATTTTCTGAGAAAGATCATAATCTTCAATTTTCGTCAAAATGTTTTCCACGCATTTGCGGAAAGCTTTCTGAGTAAATCTTGTATTTTGTCCGCACTGACGATTTCCGCTTTTAGTTGAAAGCCACGATCGTTGAGAAGCTTAATGTGAAGGTGTTCACTTTCGAAGATGTTGACGGGTATTTGAAGAAGAAATTCGAGGGGTGCGCCCCGATCATGGATTATTATCACGACTTTGTTTCTTTGGTCGAAATGGAAATTTGCTCTAATGCCGGGAGTTTTGTCAGATCAGGTAAGAAAGAATCAGGACTAAAATGAGGATCAAAATCCAGGGAAAAACGGTTATTATTTTTAACAAGAAAAATACCCAAGTAGGGATTAAGCGAAACGCATCATTACAAAAAACTCTTCAAACGAGCAAAACTGTTTCTGGAAAAATATTTTTACGATTATAGCTAAACAGGTTCACGTTCCCTTTTGATCGTTGTTTTTCATCGAAAACGCGTTATCGTATCATTTCATATTTTGAGCTCAAAAATGCACATTGCACTGTATTTGACTTTTTATGGTACTAATGATTTACTTAAGGATCTCCCCGTCTACCTTTTCGCAATTTTCAAACAACGCTTTCCCCCCGTATACCATTAGATTTTCTAAAGATTTTGCTATCAAAATGTAGCTTATGAAGTGATCTAGAGCGAAAATAAGTTTAATCATTGATACCCTTAAGTTATCACTATAAAAATGCCAAATCAAGGTTTCCAAAAGTTTTTATAAAAAATTGCCACTGTCTACGGGGGAACGAGGCCGTTCAAATTAATTTAGAATATTTTCAAAATTTGAACTTTGATGCTGCATCAATGATGCTGCATAATTGAGTCGAAAATTGTATTCCTCAAAATAATGAAAAATTATCTTGACAGCTTCCATGTTCTTGAAAATTGAATCTGTTGGAAAAATATTATTGATAATTTGAATGAAAAACCTCTTTTCTGAGTACGATCAATTAAGACGCCTCGTCTTGGAGCAAGAATATTCATCTGGAGCGCCTGGTTCGCAAGAAAACTCGTCACGATAAGCCTAATGAGATTTTAATTTCAGGTACATCTAAGTCAAAATGAAAAGCTTATTGTCAAAAAACTGGCGATTTCAACTGAAAAATAGAGGTTTAATTCAAAATTATGAGTCATTATTATACTGATCTTCGTCAAATCTTTATGTCGAGATGTTATCGTTTTCCCACAAAAACGGATAAGCAAAATTTGCCGAGCAGACTTGATACCTACCAATTTAGATGACTGGACGCCGGATTACTGGCACCCCATCAACGAGCATATTTTGGAGTCTCTGGCAAAAAACGCGGAAGAAGAGGCAAAAATCAACGCTGAGCGAGCTGAAGCTGGTTATGCTGCGAGGTTAAAGAATTCTTAAGACTTTTGGTTATATTTTGATTAAGAAATTTGGCTGATTTGGCGAAAAAGGAACTAGAGGCGAGGAAGAACGGAAAAGTTGCTGGGAGAAAAGTTCATGATGAAAATGAAAAACTTGCGCATGAAAAATAAGCTTCAATTTTGAATAAATAAAAAATATAATTTAAAATCTTGTTTTTATTTGGTAATTCGAGTTTTGGAACTTTTTGATACAGAAACGAATGAATAAAGTTTTACAGAAAGTAGGTGTTCTCATATACAGAAATATTTTATTTTTGAATTCTATCTTTTTGGCACCCAGTTTTCATCATAACCGGTGAGTGTTTTCAGCTCTAAATTCGAGTTCTGACTAAAAAAATATGTAATGACTTACTGTCGACATTTCCGACGAGATGGTGACATTGGGGAGCGCCACCTCTTATGTCAACACATCCTTTGACCCTCAAAATGCCAGTAAATAATGCGTCTTCGATTGGAATGCTGAAGATTTCTAGCGCCGTTGTGGCTGCATCTGCGATCGCCAAAGCAGCTTCTTTGTCCATAAATGTACATGGCCCGGAAATGTAGTCAGGCCAGTTTTGGTAGGGCCAGGATGCTGTTCCAACCCACATGTTTTTTCCTCGCATCCAAGAATTCATCCTAGGCACTTTTGTGTGAAGAACGCCATAGACTGATCGGGATTTGGTCTCTTCATTGGCATAGAGGATATTGAGAATCGGCTCTAGAAATGAAGATTAAAATGCTGATTGAGCATTTCTAAGGATCTTTCAAATACTGTGTGTAATCCTCTTCAATTTTGAATGGGCAAAACAAGGATTTTTGATTGAGATTCCGTGAAGGCATGTTTTTGACGTTCTATTTTACATGGTTCGACTTTTGGTTACCGGCGCGGAGGAAGGTGTTACTGATCAAAAGCGGATCTTACCGACGTCAGCTACAGTGTCATCATCTTGCATGATCATAAACTCGGGCGGATCCTCGCAATCGGCAAAGTATTCGTAAGCAACTTTTGTTTTTGAGGGCAAATTGCTAGAAAAACAACCTGCTAATCTTATTTTCAGAATTTTCCAACCTATATTTATCATCAAAATCGCCAACAATAATATCATCCTCGATTTCATCAACAATTTCGACATCGCTTCTTCCGAGAATAAAGAAAAATGCCATGTCAGATCGTCTCATTTTTCGGAAAAATTGGCGGAGAACTTTTCTGTGCTCAAAGTGATTCGGGGCTGATTCAACGAGGATAAGGAGTTTGAGGTTTTTTGGACAGTCGGGTTGTTGCTGGAAACCAATCTTCCAGGGCTTGTTATATCGCCATTTTGGAGGGATACCTAAAAGTGGAGATTTAAGGGTGTCAACAGCAATCGAGTAAGGGTATCTCTTATGAGTCGAACAATTAATAATCGATGTTGACACTCTCAAGTAGAAGAGTGAAGGAAGGGACTTACTGATAGGGTTGCAAATTTCATTCTCAAAAATGAAATCGTTCGGCGTAATATTCTTCCCAGCTCGCCAAGGTTCGTGATAAAAACTCTCGATTTCATCCGTCTCTTCGTTTTCAACAAAAAATATCAGCAACAATATTATAATTCCCAAAGTCGCGGTACAAATCGAATATCTATCTGGTTGCATTGTTTTTTATTTATCTCAGACCGCGCTCATTTTCTTCTCTGAAACTTTGGTTTTTGAAATGAATGATTCTAGTGTAAAAGAACAATGGAGGCTTTTGTTGAAAGGATAATGTTTGAAAGCAGATAGGAAAATCAAAAAGACGGATTTTTATGACCAAAAACTCGTAATTCGCCGTCAAAATCATGACGCTCTTTTTTATGGACAATTTGGCTTACTAGTTGTGGTCGGTAAAAATAAAAAAAAAAGGATGGATCAATCATTTATCATAAATTAGTTAAGGCACAATAAAATAAGGACAGCTGTGAGTTTAAATTATGACACCCCACGTTTTTAAGACAAATGAACTTAATTAAGTCGGTCATCATTTTTAATTGGAAAATTATTTTCTTTAATTGAATTTCTTGCTCCGCTAATAGTTGTTTTCAATGTCATCAATAAATACTTGGGTTATTAGAATTTTGGAGTTTGAGCCTTGTTGCTATATTTGGAGATTTGCTTAAATTCTTCTCTCTCTTTCTTTTATAAATCTCTCTGAGAGCTTCCTTTTGTAAATATTGTCTCTGTCGTTATCACTGACAGAACTGAGCAGACACTAAGCAAGTTAATAAAAAGCTCGAAGTCATGTCTTGAGAATATGTTTTTTCATTGAAAAAAATAAAACCCAGTTATTATCTCTTATCGATACCAGCAAGCCGGCGTGTCTTGCTGCTGATTTTGATGACACATGAACAAGTTCTATTTTTATGCCTAAGGCCCCGTAGAATTGAATTTCGGGGGATGAAGCAGCTGTATAAAACCGTCAAAACTCACCAATGTCCAAATTTGAAATCCATTTTTCTTAATTTTTTCAATTTTTCTTTTGAAAATTTCTCTCTGCTTTGAATTCTCAAGGCTTTCCTGACCTTTTTCTTCTTATTCTATTGAAAAATTTTTCCTCCCGGCGATGATATCCAGCCAGATTAATCTAGGATTTATTCGCTCAAGTCAGCGAGAAAATAAATAATCGCCGCTGCCCTTTTTCCATAATAAAATGAAGTTTTCATATCGAGAGAGAAATGCTAATATTTGCAGAAAAGTTAATAATGCTAGCGTTTCAAGAAAAATTAAAAAAATTTGGAAAATGAAAAGCCTTCCAGTTTACTTTATTACTTTTTTCTTTTACGAAAAACAGACAGAAGACGAGTAGAAGCATTTACAGTGATTTATATAAGAAAAAGTTACAGATCAAAAGAAAATAAAATGAACGAATGAAGAAATGAAGAAAGTTGAACGGGAATTTAGATAGTTTGTTGAAAAACAACTGCATCAGTGGCAACTCGGGAAGAAATGACAATTGCAACTCTTGATTATCAAATGGCTCTCCCAGAATTCTTCGCCGACTGTATTGTCGATTAAGGGGACGTCGATGTAGCTTGGGGCACAGACTTTGACGTGCGTGTCGAGGCCGGGCTCCATCATGTTGTTGATTGCGCGCAGGTTCATGTGTTGACTGAAAATGAGATTGTTATTTTTTACTTGAATATCCGCCTTTCAGAGGGTAACCCTTTAGTTGATCAAAGATTCTTCACGAAACTCTCATTTATTTTTTGCCGGTAACGTTGTTTTACGGTATCTGCCGCCGTTAGGGAATCTCGAAATCTGTCTTTGTTTCCTTATCCTTCTGTCCCTGGCGTTTTTGGAGCTAAATACTGACGTCGACCTGGTGCGTCAATTAATTAAAGCCCCGTTTTTCCGCTACGTAAGGAAGAAACAGCCAATTTCGCGGGATTTCCGGGACTTTCTTTCTTTTGCCCCAAGTCAGCAAAAACGCGAAAAAAGACTTGGACCATGTTATTTTTCGGCAGAGATAAATAAATACGGAGAGACTCTTCTTGCTTACCCATCATCTCTGTGATAGCTCGAGGAACAAGTCCCCGAGCATCTTCCAATGTCGATATAAGTTCTTCCTTCGCATTCTCCAACAAACTCCGCCGGTGGCAATTCGTAATCCAAGGCTATCGTTTCATTAAGACTGTAAAGATCGATTTCAAGCCCAGATCCGTAAAGTTGGTGCAAATGCTGAAACATAAATTTAGGTCGTGACGATTTTATGGCATTCTGAAATGATTTATTGGTGTCAATTAAAGTTGTTACATCAGATAGTGGAGCCGTTAATATATGCATGTCTTCTAAGCCCGCGAAAATGTCAACGAGTCGTATTTATGATGACGAGTAGAATGGACGATTTATTAATTTGAAATGAATTCGTTGGTTTTCAAAGCAAAACTTTATAACTCAGTTTATAATCGGCTACCCTATTCATAGATGTTTCTAATATAATAAGTTCGATATAAAAACGATCAAAGACACAAGTTTATCGGTAAATTTGAACAACCAATTAGCTATCATAAATAATGGTTTGTGATTCACAAAGCTATCGACACTCTGATTATCCTACAATTAGGTATTAACTTTTACTCGAATAAAATCAAATAGGAACAGCAAGACATGATATTTTCTACCTGGAAAAGGTCTATTATAGTGCAAAAAAAACGAGATAGTAGTGCAAGAAAATCGAGATACAAGGTAAATAATGAAAATTGTTCCAAAAAAAAATAATCAATTTTGAAGAAAAAACCCGATTTTTCTTATTTCTAGCGCTATGATAAGGGAGTAAAACTTTAACTTCGAATAAAGGAAAGCCAAGATAATGGGATTGTCTTTTATAATTGATCATCTTTTTAAATTTTAGCTAAGAAATAAAGGAAATCTGACGAATGATCAATAGAAATTGAAAAGAAACATAAACTTACGGATATTTCGACCCAGTGCGTGTGTCTCTGGCACTTATTTCTGCAACTATTTCTTTCTTCGAGTTTTTGTAATTCCCAATAAGGTCTTCTATTTCTTTGATTTACGCTTTGAAACTTCTCTGTTAAACGAGCAGTGCAGGGATGGTGCCGTGAACTTTTTATGCAGACAAAAAGGAACACGAAAATTATGAACATGATAAGCAGAAAGCAGCTATTTTTAATAAAACAACCTACAATTTCAAAAGATTTTTTATATTATCGGCGAGACAAGATGAGGGCGCTCCGATTTAAGGCGACATCTTGCGACACTCCGGCATTTCTTACTTCTTTCTATGAAATGATACATCTTCACTGACCTCTATAAGTACATAGGTAGCATTTCTCCGAGCAGACATTATCAGGAGGTAGACATGGAGAACTGGATTTTTCGCCGATTTTTTATCATAGTGACATCCTTATTGCAGGGTTTTCAAAATTAAAGCCTTAAGGGTGTCCCTTAAGTAATCGTTGGGGACACCCTTAAGGGTGTCAACAACGATTTTGCCAATTTTATAACCATCTTTGTTGACACCCTTAAATTGGTGGTGGCTTAAATCGGGTGTCTGAGGTATTAAATAAGGGTGTCATGATGGTATCTTTTTTTGGAAAAAGCTGGATTCCTTTCCATAATTTTGAAGTCCAGAAATTGGCCAGTCACTTCAATAGAACTTCGAATTACGTGGACTTCTGGGTCGTCCTTAGAACGGCGATTCAATCAGCCAGTCCTTAAGATCTCGAGTCCTGGAATGCAAGCGAAGCAGGTTTAATCTCCTCCAGTACGAGTTTCACCACGTCGAGATACAGTCTTATATGTAGGGCTTACATGGGCTGAAACGAATTTTTCAAGTGTCATTTCGTCGTCTCGAGAAATTCTAGCGCTACGTAACGTGAGGGAGAAATTTGGACTTGCTTCTGAATATACAGTTCCACTACAGTTTCCGGAGGCAGAAAAAACACCTTCCGAAAAAGTTCTGTAACTTCCCTGTTTCAGAAGAAAATGAACTCATTCCGCCGCTTTGATTTTTTGATTCCTACTTTTGCCCTTGGATTCTAAACCTCTGGTTAAACTCGCTGCCGCACTCTTTTGCCCGTTTTCTTGTTTCTTGGTTTTGCGTTTCTCAATTTTTTATTTTGCGTCGTGGTTTTGACGCCAGAATAATTAGAAAATTTGTTGATGAAGATTTTTCGTTTTCAATTGAATTTGGTGACGGAGCTTTTTGGCCAAAATGAAGAGTCAAAATGAGAACATGGTTATCCACGAAAAAGTACGATGTAAATTCATATGTTCACGTGCGGAGAAAAATGAATTCGACGGGGGTTTCAATTTGTTTGAACAGCGCGACTAGAATTCAATTATGCTGAGCATGGGTGGCAGAATTTGGAGAAAGAGATTTGTCGAAGAATCAAGTTTGACAATCAAAAATCACGGCTAAGGACAGACAAAAGATTCTCTATCTTAAAAGACAGGAGAATAGTTCTTTACAATTAGGGTCATTTATATATAAATCCCGGTTTTCCAAAAAATAAGATCAGGAAAGAAAAAAGTAGTTTGACACGTGCCGATAATAAGTTTTTTGACGTCAGCTTTCAAAGAAAAAATCAGATTTTTCAGATTGAAATCGGAATAAAAATTGTTCTTAAAGAAATTTATATTTCCGTTTTGCACAAATTAGAGCTGAGAACTTAGTCTTTGATCAAGACGCTTGATGCAAGACCCTACTGTAATGCCCTTACATAGATCGTCGCGAACAGTAATTGGTACCACTCTTTAGCTTATCTTATTGGCGCTGGCAATTAGTAATAGATTTCGGTCAACAAAAACGTAAGTCCCTTAGTAGTTACGTCTCGAGAAAAGGTTAGACTGACTTTTTTACATCCTGCCCTGTTGGATAAAAAGTCAAAAAAGAAGAATTACAAATGAGTAATGAAATGAAAGCAAGCTAAAAATCGAGAGAGAACACGATCAATGACCAGGAATTATGAGATCCTGATGCCTTACCCTAAATTTTGATCATTTTTTCATTTAAAGAAACCCTTTCGTAAAGGCTTTCGCTTGGCTTATTATAGTTTTATAGATTCTACAACCGTTACCTGTTTCTTCAACAAACAGCAATTATAACTTTCAATTAACTTAGCAAAACTATATTGAAGAGTGAGCAAAATTAGAAATCTATTATCCTCTCGACAAAGCTTCTTGTCAAGCCACAACAATAAATATTTGGCATAATTACGCTACGATAGATCATCAAATTGAAATAGCACATGTGCATTCTTGCACTCGTTCGATCTCAGAGGGCGCTCGCGAGCCGTACTTACCGTGCGTTTACTCGCGGGCCCTCGCGAGCGCCATCAAAAACGCGCAAAACACGCGTTTTCATGAGCTGTCGCGATTCACGAATCGGCCTCTCTAGCGCCTGAAAAGCGCACCGCCACGAGTGTAAGAATCATCATCCCCAAAATCGACGATCGTGAACTTTACAATTCAGTTTTTCAAATCGTAATTACTCGACACGAGTGATTCGAGCATTTTTTCTACCATCGACATTTTTTAACTGTGAGAATTGACACAAGAAGATTTGAAACAAGAATAAATTTGAATGATTTTTTGATTCACAAAAGAGATACTTCCTACTGAAATTCTCCAAGAAGACGAATAAACTTTGAAATTTATAAGGTAAGCTCAAGTTTTTTTTTTGCTTTTGAGATTTTGGCTTTAGTTTAACGGAATTTTTATTGTAGAAAGCAATTTTTTTAGTATATTTTTCAAAATAAAACTCTCAAATATTCAATATCGGAGGATATTAGCGGCTAGGGCCAATCAAAATCTGGCATTTCTCGGGTCAACCAATCAAAAACCGTTATTTTAATCATTAATTTGCCCTGATTTTTTGCCTTTGGAAGGAAGAAATTTAATCATTTTCTGCGATTACTCAATGATAATTTTTGAAAAACCTTGAAATTTTGATATAAATAGTTTATTTGCAGAAATTTGTTCAATGGAAATTATTGTTGATTCATGGTCAGACTGGCGGACTGCTCATTTTCGCTTCCAATCGTTTCCACTCCAATTTTCATGAAGCCATCATTTTGTTGCTCGTCATTTTGCGGCTCGCTTATCATCACTACTTAAAAATATAATGTTAAACCCGCGCGGCTGTAAGTCATTTTCTCGGGGATCATAATTTATCCGGGGATACTACTACGCGTCTTATAACTACCATGGTATCTACAACGTCATTTCCGATTCATGCAAACGTATCTTTTAGCCAATAAAAATAATTTTGTCATAATTTAAGAGTTTTAAATTACCTTGATCAGTATCCAGCGAATAAAACATACTCTCATCTGGCTGATTTTGAGCCAGGCTGCTTCTAGGATTCGGGCAGGGTTGAAGATTTATTCCCATCGGAAGGGACTCGTACTCGATCGCTTCGTTTTCGTAGAAATATGAGTTTGAGCGGGAGGAAGAATGGTTCAGATCCAAATCCATGCTTGTCGAAGGTCCTCCATTTTGAGCTGAAGCATCGAGAAGATCTTCTTGGACCGGTTGGTTCCAGCCTCGGGAATGGGGGTTCTCAGCATCTTTTATTTAAGGGTTAGGGTTAGGATAATCTAAATAAGCAAGAGATGAGTACCGTGTGAGTTCATTTAGTACCTGTTACAAATTCTCCATTGATATACTGTGGCAGGTCAACTTCGGTGTAAATTATATTCGGGTCCTCCATCGTTGCGTATCTAAATGAGGAGAAAGTATTCATTCGGCATTCATATTCATGAAAAACCTATTCATATTTAACGAGTTTGACTGCTATCCAAGTTCAAAATGGGAGATTGACTACCTGGTAACTATGTAATTATCATTCTCATATTCTCTTTTCTCACCTGTTCGGGTCGATATACTGCTCCTGTTCTTGTAAAAGTCCCGTATCTATCGGATGATCTTGCGCATAAATCGCCAGGAAATTCTGCCCCGGAGTGAGTTCCTGGCTTTCTTCGCCCAAGCTTAACCCATGGCCGGAATACTGGCCGAATCCGCCTTGATGATGGGATGGGGCAACGAGGGAACTGTGGGCACCTTGGGAAGCGGATTTTTTCGAGCGTTTTGGTTGCTTTTTCGGTTCTTCCTCGATCGGAGTTATGGAAATTTGGACTTCGTTGGGATTGTTTCGTGATTTCTGATTGGACGAAAATTGCCCCGGGCGCGAGGATCGGGTCCTTGAGGTGGTTGATTTTCGATCTCGTTTTCGCTTTGCGTTCTTAAATTTTCAATTGAATTAAGGGTGTCAAAACGTTAATTTAAAATTTGGATATAATTGGGAAGATGGTTTCATTAAAAAACGATGTGTAATTTCTGCTAATTGGTGTCCAAAATGAATTAAATGGATGGACTAAAATAATAAGATCTTGTCCCCAAAATACTAAAAAGTAGGACGATCGAATTCTAGACATCCACGTAGTATAACGTTATGATAAAATCCATGTTTTTCTAAAAACAAAGCGTCCGGAGTCTCGATACTCGAGTTCAAGCAAAAGAAATTGGATCGCTGAACTAACCGCCTTAGAATAATATCATCACATCCGAACTTCCGTAGCGCGATTTTCCGATTTTCCTGTATGAAACAACTTACAGGAAGACTGAGGATTATTGAAGATTTTCGATGAATTCAGCGATTTTTATCTCTATCTTGCTAACTAAACTTTATAGGTTACAACTTGTAACTTACAAGGAAACCTACCAAGGATAGAGCTCAAATAAAAGCCGCGTAGCGGCTTTTTAAGAACGAAGCCTCTAAGCGGCTTCGCCAAAACCATTATTTTAATATTAAATTGTGACCATCTAAAATGAGCATATTTTTTGAATATTTTAAGAAAATTTGCAACTCTGACTAAAAGAAATGATTAATGTGAAGTTTATTGCATATCGATTTCGGCCATTTAGACCATCTTCAGTGCAAAGAGAACGTCTTTAGATTGAGGACGAACTCATTTATCAATTTGAAGAAACAGCTAAAAAAACTTATGGGAGAGTTATTGGATTCTTTTAAAATTGCCACGTCTTGTGTAAAAAAATGTAAGGATGTTTACGCTTTTGCCGATTTTATTTTAAATTAAAATAAGCCTGGTTCATCTCAATTATTTCTCGCAATTATGTGATGTTTGCTTTTATTTTTGGTCGAAACAAGGTGCGCATCGCCAAATTAGCAAGAGTGCGAGATTACTATCAAAAATACTTTTTTTTATCGCTGAAAATCCAAAATTCAATACGTAAGAAATCATAATTTTAATTCCGTTGCGGAATGCTTACCCCTTTGGCGAGCCGCTCTTGAGCTTTGAACCTCTTCTGACGTCTCAAGTAACAACCATTCTCGAACATATTATTCGCGTCTTGGTGGAGCGTCCAGTACGATCCCTTGCCAGGCTTTTCTGCCGAGCGAGGCACTTTTACAAAACAATCGTTGAAGCTCAGGCTGTGGCGGATTGAATTTTGCCATCTAAAAACAGGTTTTACTGATTTAAATAACAACCAAGTTTCTTAGTTTTTTCATCAAAAATAACATTTTTTATATAGTTTAATCGAAAATTAGGCAATGACAGCTTATAAAAGCTACTATTTTCTTTCAAAAATGTAATTATATGCCTTATTGTATGTCTCGATATTCCGGATATGTGAATGTTCTTCTCATGAACCTCTCTGAACCCAAGATTATATCTGAATATTAGCTAAAACCCAGTATGCTTGACTGACTACATCATAAAGAAATTAATACTGATCCACTCGTAGACGAATAAGATAAGATTATGAGCTAAAAAGACAGACAAATTTGATCATAAGAGTAAAATTTCAGCAGCTGAACCACGATTTTGTTCATCCTAAGAGTTAATTTATCTAGTCATAAATTGAATCTACCAGTATTTTCAATTTTTCCTACCTCTGTTGATTTTGCCTGTAGTAGGGAAAGAGCTCAATGATCCAGTTGTAGATTTCGTTTAGCGTGAGTTGTTGTTGACCACTTTGCTGGATAGCCAAAGTTATGAGGGAAATGTACGAGTAGGGCGGCTTGGCAGCGTGGAGATTGCGACGCCCTTGCCTGAAAATGGGATTAAGGGTAGAACGCGCGATTTGACCTCGGCCGCCCTTGGATGAGCCGACGCGATCAGAAACACCACGTTTTTAAATCTCTCTCTTCCCATTTCCTTTCTTATAAAACTGCGTTTATTCTTTTACAAGCTCAAAAACAAAAACCAAAGTCAAAGCGAAAATTTGTCGCCAAAAGTGCTCGACAAATTTTCCCATTGATTTTCAACCACGTTTTCGAATGTCCAATTCTGTGGCTTTGAAAATCTCATGTTCTCCCCACTTTGCTCGGCTCTCTAGAAAATTCTGTAAATTTTCACCAAGCGCGCTAGAATTCTTATTCGGACCGTGAGTAGTAAAAACTCTTTGTTGAACATGTGTTTAATAGATTTCGCAAAATTGGCAGTGAGAAAAGATTCCGTTCCGGTGAAATTAAAATCTGTTCAATACGTTTTCGTGTACGTTTTTCGAAAAAATTTTTGAAAAAAAATTTTTTTTTTCGAAGTGAACTTTTTTGCCTTAGTCAGACCCCGGTAAACCCGGTTTCACAAGTGTGCCACTTTCTATACTCCCTGAATAATCAAACAGGAAATTAGATACAAAGGCATAAATGATGCAGAATGTAAATCTGTTTTCTTAGATTCTTTGATGAAACATAAACTGACGCGATCTCGTTCCTCTCTTTCATTTCAAATTAGGCTCAACTTGTTTCTCAATGATTCTTCCGAAGATTCTCTTGAAGAAGATTCTTCTTTAGAGAAAGATAGTTACTCGTAAGAGGAATGGACACTTTTTCAAGTTCTATTTTTTATCTAAACTTTTTGATTTTAAGCTGATAAATGACATCGATGTAAATGATTTTGTGAAGTTTATTGCAAAATATAATCGGTTTCGGCTACTTAAAGCAATCTTCCGTGCAAAGAGAACTAGAACAAGTGGAACTAAAACCCAAACGCAACTCCTTACCGTCTTGGGATTGAGGACGAACTAAATATTCCTTTCAGCAAAAAAATGACTAGAATACTATTGTTAGTCAGTTTTTTGCTCAAAGGAATAACATGGCCGAAATCGATATGCAATAAACTTCACATCAATCAAAAATTTTTGTTGTAAAAATAGCACTAAAAGCAACTTTAAAATGGTCCTTCTATTCAGTGATAATTTATCACTGATGAATTATTTTGAAAACTATCCAAGTTTTGATAAGAAAAAGTAGACACCTCTTATCACTAATTGTTCATAATAAGTTAAATTAATTGAAAATTGATGAAAATATAAAATGTATTCTGAAACTACAGTCATTATCCTCTATCTAACTAACTATCTACTGCCCATTTTGCGACAGAAACATAATTACTGTAAACGAAAAAATAATTTGCCACAAATTAATTTAGTTACCTTGGCTCTTCAACCTCTTGTGGAGAGATGTGAATGTAGGAATCATTTGAATATGCGGATTCGGGATATTCGATGTATTCGGTTGATGAATTACTTGAACCGAGAGAGTTGAGTGATTTGGAGATGGAATAATCGCCCGAGTTCTTATTTTTGAGGATGAATTACTGTAATTATTCGAAATAAGGGTACCCCATTTCGACGGCAGAATGATAGAGTTTCGGCGTTCAATTTTGCTCTCAAAGAGTGATGAGCCAATCAAAAACCAGTATTTTTCATTTCAGCGAATCAAGAGGTAGTATTTCCATATCGATAAAAAATATCCTCATCCCTTTCCTGACTCTCCTCTTGAAGAAATTCCAAGCTCTGTTGATTCCCAGTTTCCGGATAGTCGAAATGAATATCTCCCTGTTTCACTCTTCCTTCGTTGTAAATCTCTTCCAGCGTCTAAATCTCTCATGCTCAAAAAGCTCATAATTACAGTTATTCTGTTACCGTTCCGCTCGGGTGGGGCAAGTACTGATTCGAAGAGGAGGATGATGAGGGGTTTGAATCGTCGAAAGAAGCGTTGACTGTACTCATAACCAATATTTATACAAGCAACTTGTATAAATCAATATTTGCTTCAATCAAATATTTGCTTACAGAAAAGGGAGGGGAAAAGGAGCGAGTCTGTCTTTCTATTTACTCTTTCTGGAAAGAACAAGCTGGGTACTAGGCTAAGAAGCGAGGAGGTGGCGTTATAGGCGGAAATAGGGCGCCAGAACTCGCCCCGGGCCAGGATTGTGAGCAGGGACTTCACATGAAGGTGAGAGGTTGAGTTTCGAGTCTCTAGCCGAGACCGGAGAAGGTGATTAATAGCGAGGGAAGTTCCCTCTCAAGCCCTGGCACAAATCACTTGGGCAAACAAAGATCTGAGGAACAAGGTCGATCCCGTGAAATTGATACATCTTCTCTTTTTGTGAAGAAATTTCGGTCAATTCTAGACGTTATAATGTGTCATTAAACCCTGTTGAAATCATGATGTCTACATATTGTCCCCCAAGAGATCTAGTTTCTATACAAGTTTAGAAAAAATTATTGATTGGGTGGACATGATGTTATTTCTGTTTATAGAACTAATATCAAAAAGAAAACATCGCTAGAAATTACGTTCTCTAAAAACAATCGGTCTTGTTTAACAATCCAATTTGTTTTTCGCTCAATTAAAACTCGGTCGAGCCACGTAATTACGAGCAAACGCTTTTAATTTCTTTCTCGGGCGAGTATTTTGCCGATGATGTTTCACAGGCTAAGCGCGGAAGTAGCGAACAAGAAAGGCGGAACTCGGCAGAAGAAGCATTAGAATACTTTGTTCAATCCTTCAAGATGGTCGGACACAAGATGGTCGAACGCAGTAATCGCTCATGATGACAATCTTTCTTTTTAGAACATAGCTTCCTCTTATCCTTTATACCGTGGAATCAATTCCTTATTTTGACCCATTTTTTAGGAAAAAAAGAAGAGTTTTCTTTCGAAAAGCGTAAAATTAATTTTGACACTAGTTATGTGTACAAGTTCAAAGTTCTGCCACTCTACTAAAAAGCCCGGCTTAGGTGGTTTCCTCTTTGTGGTCCCATGACCAGGCACAACGACCGTGAAGTTGCGATCGAGCTGACCAGAGCTGAATTGGATTAGAGGCCCCGACTCGGTGTAAATTCCGGCGAGATTATGAAGCGAGGCCATTATGGCTCGGGAAGAATTAGGGGATTAACTGATAGCGTCGTAATAATGTGTCTTATCACTTTTGCCGCAGCGGGGGATCAGGGGCACCGTCTCTGATTTTTGTTTATGCATATTTTTTATGAGAATTAGGGCAGCTTAGAAAGTCTCTTTTATGGATTATCTGCGCTCGGCTTTTTTGGATAATATTTTTTTTGCTCTTGGATTGATCACATTTCAATAAAACCAAAAAACATTGAAATTGTTTTCGGTCACATCATGGAACCGATTAAAACACGCCAAAGTTAAGTTACCTTCGCGGTCCCTGTAATCGCCCATTCAACAATGCTCTGGGAATGTAAGGAATAAATAATGACATCGAAATTGGCGCGTGTTTATAAAATGAACATAGAACACGTCCATCGCGAATCGAAAATTGCCTCGTTTTGCTAATTTATTTCATAATTATTTTACTTTTCAGGAATCCAAACAAAAGAAACGATAGCGAACGATGAAGTGGAAAAGCTTCGTGCTGGGCGGAGTTCTAGCAAGTTCAAATGCAGAAAATCATGAAAGTCCGCTGAAAATATGCGACACGAGAGACGACCTGATTGCATTGGACAGTAATGGCGATTCCTGCAGATTCAGAATCAGGCCTGAATCGAGGGACGACTTGCAGAGAATCAGATTACGGTAAGAAAATTGAGAGCAATTTCCTTCAAATTTCGGGTCGAAGAGGAAATACCTGAAATCTCCGGAGACATTGCCGGAAATTCAGGTCTTCGAATTGTTTATTTCTGTTATATTGAAATTTTAAAAGTCAAAATCATCACATTTTTTTCACCTTCTTTGGAAAATTTTTACACCAGGTCAACTCTCGTTTTTTTTTAAATCTTTATTAAGACTTTTCGAAACCTCATCTTATGGTTCCTGCGATTCCCTGGACAAAATCTACCTCCAAACCGACTCCACCCGCTATGGCCCCTACTGCGTTGGTCCTGCAGATCGACCAAAACGAAGAAAAAGAAGATCTGTAGACAACAATCTCATTCTCAGCTCTTATTCCCCCAACTACGCGCCAGATGAAGCATCGGATGTGATGCAAGCGGCGAAAGAAGACGTGGTAAGCGCGATGGCCCAGCAACTGATCGCGGAAAACACGGAGCTAGAATTGAGCGAAGAAGAAATGGAAGAAGTCGATGGAATCTTCGCGAGCGACGCGATGGATGTTATTTACGTCACAGCTCCTGGCGGGTACAAATTTCGCTTCAAATTCAACTTCGAATGGGAATTGATCGAAATGCCAGGAAATGGGACCTTCACAGAAGTGGATGGAATCTACTACCCGGGACAGTCGGCCACTCACGATGTCTGGGGCATTCCTTTACAATTCGACGCGGTTTGCGATGTTAGCCAGTTTAGACCGCAGTCTGAAGCCATTTTCAATGACCAAGTGGAGAATGCGCAAGGAACGGATGGAAAACATCTAAATAAAAACCGCTCTTTAAAAGGCAATAGAAGGTCAAGAGAGTTTCTCTAGGATATGTTCTCCTCACGTGCTCAAAATCACTATCGCGATCTCTAATTTAAATATTTCTCCCCCATACCACCGCGGCATATTGATAATTTTTCACTCTCTCAGCAAATTCTAAATTCTTGAGAGCAAATTCGTACATAACATTCATTTCTATCCGTTTTAAAAGATTCCGACTACGCATCTAAATTCTTCACCATGCTCGTCAAATCAATCGAAGCCTTCAACAACAAATTCGACGACTACGGCGAGTACTGCAGTCCGGGAAGCGTTCAAGTTCCTTGCGAGTTTTTGCGATACGGACAGGGAGAAGGAATCGAAGACGTCGTTGGTAAATTGAGGACGCTGATTGACCATATTGTCGGCGGATGTGTTGATGGATTCGGACACCAATGGATTCAAACTGTCGATGCTCTTGTAATTTCTCTGGGCCTCCACGTGCCCGACTTCATTATTCCTGAGATCCCGGTCTACACGACGACCACTACTACCACAGCAGCAACAAAGACAGGAACCAAGCCTCCGAAGACAACTACAACTCCCGAGTCGCTGCAGCCGAGCCCTACTTCTCCAACAACTCAAGTGATGGAAACCACTAAAGAGTCGGAAACTGTCCCATCTGTTACAGATGATTTTGTCGAGGTGAGTCTATTTTCTGCAAACCAACGAATATCGTTAGAGATAAGACGAATTATCGAAAAGCCGTCCAGACATTTTTAGACAGACACTTGCGGTTGCAATAATATACCAACGTTTATTCATCCAATTTTTCGATTCTAGTCAGATGCGACTCACAAAAAACATTCGTCATATTCAACACTTTTTTAAGCCAACTGTTGTTCCAACTATCGATGCAACGACAGAAGAGGATACAACAACATTGACGACGACTGTTGCATTCGAAACAACAACATTTCCAGAGTGGAAAATGACAACTAGAACAACAGCAATGGAATCAACAACAGCCGCGACGACGCCAGCACTAACAACAACTACTGCAACAACAACGACAACGACAACGACTACGACAACGACAACAACAACAATGGAACCAACAACTACTGCAACAACAACAATGGAACCAACAACTACTGCAACAACAACAGCATCAACGACAACAGCAGAAAGCCTGGAAGAAGTGACAGAAGTAATGGTCGACCCAGTCAAACTCGCAAACTTCCCAAAACGATGCCCACCCAGTTGGAAGAGGCTCCCTCCAAAACCACTCAACGACTTCCACGATGATGGACTCCACGGTGCACAAAAAGACTTGTGCGATCTCAAGTATCTTGGTTAGTTTCTTATTTTTCTAAAAGTTTCCAAAAACAAGCCGCAAATAATCATTTTTAACCCTTTTTGAAGGCGCCTGCTCGGTTGGCCGATTTGACCGAATGATTTCAACTCACTGTCAACGTGTTCCATTGATCCAGAATTTTGCGAACTTGGCGAACGAATTCGTCCGCCTGTCGCTCCACGGCGATGGCGATAGAAGCTGTTTATACCGTGTCAACGCTGTGCGCTGCGACCTGCTGGATTTTACGACTGCGCGAAACCCACAAGCATTCATCGCCAAATTCCAAGTTTTGGCCAACGAAGTAAGTTTGACACTCAAATTTTCGCCACCTACTCCGTTTTTTTATTACATAATTTGTGAATTTACCCTGAATGGAAAAAAAACACGATGCCTGGTGTATCGTGTACCCCAAAGAAACGTCGTGAGTGAATCTTAGGTTAAAAATCAATCACTCAACATGTTGCTAAAACAGAAGCGAGACGGAAAAAGTACCGGTCAATAAATATTTGAAGACTATACAATCCAGCGCAGTAGCTTATTTTTGAAATTATTTTGGATGGATCATATTCATTTTTATATAGAAATACCCTCGTATGACTATCAAAATATTGCTGACGTAATATTATTACGATTTTAAAAAGAGTTACATAAAATTATCGTGTTCTCAGGGAAACATAAGCCAGAATATCACTTTATGAATATGTTGGTAAAGAAACAAAGGCGGGTAATTTTCATTACAAGATGAAAGGGAAGATTGTACCGGTCGGACAATATTTGAAGAATATACAGTCCAGCGTAGATAGTTATTTTGAATCAAGGAGCGATCGTTTTCATGTTTAAAAAAGAAAAATTACTCAGGCGTCATCATTTTGTTCGTTAAAAATTGTTTTTCTCTTAATGACAAGCTTTTTGTTACAGCTAATTGATAAGTTGTAAAGTACTACTTTTAGGTTTTCTTCCAATGCGGCAAACCAGCTTATCGAGAACGCCATCTGCACATAATCGAAGACCTTCTTACCCTCGCTTCGGATTCCTGCACAACCGAGCCGCCAACAACAACCACTACCACAACGACAACGACAACGACAACTACTGCCACGACAACAGCGTCAACAACGACAACCGACCCATGGGAAGACTACGAGTTCACCTCCACAACGGGCACAACAACGTCGCAAACAACAACTACATCGACGGAAGAAGAAACGACTGTTGTATTCGAAGCAACGTCGTTTCCAGAGTGGAAATTTCAGGAAGAAGAGCAGAAGCTCCAGCTGGTCTTGGGAATGGGACATGAGCGGGACAACATGGGCTCGACAACAGCTCCAACAACTGAATATAGAACTACTTCAGGCAACGGTCTAAAATTCTCGAATTTCTTAGTAAAGATTTTTGTAGTTCAACCTTTTAATATCGGTGGGTTTTTGTGAACGCCAAGTTATGTAACAAAAAACAATTCTCCCGCTTGAGCTCCTATAATTACCATCAACCGCGAACTAAGAAATCCCCGGTTAGAAATCATCGTTCAAACAAAACAGGAAACTCTAATTATTGACCGTTCAAACAGGCACTACCGAAGCGGCAACTACTCATCTTGAAACTACAAGTTCAACTACCACGACAACAACAACCACGACAACGACGACAACGACAGAAGTGACGACGCAAAAGTTCGTGTTTGACTTGAGACGAGAGCAAATGCCGGACTATAGAAAGATCTTCGTGGGAGGAGGTGAGTTTTAAAGACAAAAAGAGTAGCTTAGATCATAGAAAATAACTTTGAGAAAGAAAATTTCTTGTTACAAATTTTGTTACTCGCTGCGGAATCGACTATTTGTCAAAATTAAATAAATCACAAATGCCCGGTCACGCTTCTTGAGCGCTAGAATTATGCGAATTCGGGCATTTTCAATGTTCTTTCTAGGAGAATGCGCCACAAGCGCGTATGGCTACCAAGCGACAGCGATCTTCCACGCTCGATCCTACAACGTTCTTGACATGGAAACTGCCCGAGGCGCGTTTGCCGTTTTAGCCGCTCAAATCGGACATCTTGGTCAGCAACTGGAACGAGGCCAACCCGCGTGCGACTTGAAAAAAGCGGGGCGAGTGCCTTGTGAACTTTTAGATTTGGCAAAAGACGAAGAGGGTTGCCAGGTTGCCCAGAGATTGGTCCGAGTGTTGGTTTTTATTTCTGAGAGGTATCTACCCAGTACTTTAAATCCGATAATGAATGTTCACCGAACTTTATTAGAAACCATAAGTATGGTTTAAATTTTCTTAATTGGATTTTCTTATCAGAGCGACAAATGAATAAAAAATAAGAATCTGGCAACACTATTGGTTTTCATATCCGTCGATAATACAAAAAAATTTTAGTTGTAACGATGCTTGGCTTGAAAAATACTCAGCTTACGTGCACGAGCTCGAATACGCATCCCAACCGGCGGACGGCAGCGAATGCCCTCTTCTTGGAGACCTACTTGAGCGCCACGAAATCAGAGACATGAACCAGCAACATGAGGAGGAGTTTGACAGATCTATCCAGGTTTGCTCTATCTTTCCACGGTAGGTGATGCAACTGAAATTTCAGGAGACGCTGAGGGAAGCGAAGAGGATAGGAAACGAGCAACGAAACAAGTACAGGTCGATTCTTTCCCAACAACGCGAAGCTATTCGAAAACAAAAAGCAACAGGTTAAAATTTTAACCCGTTAGGACAAAACTGACCGAATTTTTAGCGAAACAAATGCGCGAACAAAAGTCAAAAGACCGAAGAAAACTGCGATTCGAAGCTCGAGTCCGATCACGACTTGAAAAACGACGCGAAGTATTTATCACCCCTTTTCCTCTTTTTCTCAAGATCATTCTTTGTAACTCATTTTGCAGGCTGCTGAAAGAAGATTAGAAGAAGCGAAGATGCTGGTCGATCGGGAAATGCAGGAGCTTCAGCGGGTTGAAATGGCCGTTGAAAATTCTGAAACTGGCGCAGATGTCACGATGCTTTTTGGTATTTTATCCATTTTCCTTGATTTCTGACCAATTTCGCTTCAAATTTTACTTTTTTCTAGATACAAGTGAAGACATTTTCATCGAAGAACCGGAAGAATCAGAAGATTACGAGCTCAACGAAGAATTCACGCGCGAAATTCAAAATCTCTTCTTCGGCGAGACCCTCTCCCAATCCTCCATCTCTATATGCCCTCTTCCGGGCATCGAGCGCGCTGAGGAGTTAACTAGCCATGCGCTGCAGAAAATCGCGTTTTTGAAAAAGTTTAATGATTTGCATAGGATTAGGCTTTTGGGAAGGGTTGAGAGTCGATTCGAGGGATTATTGAAATATGTCTTCTCCTCGAATTTACAGTGCGAGGAGATTAAAGTCGACTGTAACTCACTTTGTAAGTACATATGTTGATTTATGAATCGGCCAATCAGAATCGAGTATTCTTTCTATAAGCCAACCAAAAGCCAGTTAACTTTTCATTCGCTTATCAGCTGCCTATTTCTTTGTGTGATCGAATGAGAAACATTTATCTTCTATTTTTCAGCTGCAATCTTTGGCCGAGGAAATGTAGACGACATCGACGAACTGCTTGAATACGCCACGGAACTCGTAGCGGACATCGAGCAATCTTGCCCAAGCTTTTCATTTAGCGAATTTTACGTCACCATAGATGGACGAGTCGATAAATTTTTCTAAAAACGAAAATTTTTTCCTGCAAAAAATTTTCTTCCAACAATAGTTTTCAAAGATCGCTCTTGAAATTAACCAGCATTGGAAATTATTCGCTCTAAATATAGCTCGCTTTAAGTTCTTCAGTTCATTGAAATGAAGACTTTTTTAACAATAATCTACCATTCATCAATGTTCTAGTTGATGATTTGCTTCATAATTTTGTAAATACTGTATATAACGGAATAGCTCCTGTAAATAAGCGAACAGAAGAGAACTCTCTTCTATCAAACCCAAATAATATTAGCCAAAAAGCAATAGTTTCACTTTAAACACACAAAATTGAATATTGCATTGTATTTTTTTGTAAATAATTCTCCCCGAAAACAACGCTCAAGCAAAATAAATGCTCAAAGACACCAACAACAATCCGAAATTGAAAATGATCGACGATGGAATCTGAAACGAAACAGAGGAAGATCGAAATTCGACAAAGAATGAAAACTCATTTACTTGCACATTTACATGAACTCCTTATTTTCCTGCTGCTAGAATAAAAAGTCTATAATAATTAAAAAAAATCGGTTTGTTTCTTAATTTAATAATCTTCTTTCCACGCAATTAAAAGAACGATAAGAACGAGAGAGAGCCTTAAGAATCTTTGAAAAAGTAAAATAGATCAAATAAGCTTATCGGAACTCAGCTAAGGGCGGGCACCAAAATATCATATTCGATTAAGCGGATAAGGTGATTTGAAAAATAAAGTTTTCAAAAAGTTAACTGGCGAAATCAAATAAAAAAAAACTACGCGATCAAATAAAAAAATAAGGAGCGGCCTCTTTGATTCGCGTGGAATTAATAACCCTAGCACCGTTGATATTCCTTATTACATTTTTACGCTTCTCCATCTTTGACTCAAAATTTCATTCAAAATATGGAGGGAGAGGTAAAATGATTAACACTATGATTTGATAAATTGAAGCTCAAGAAAAACGTATTTTTGGTAAATGCATGTTTCGTTTAGAAAAACTCAGGCATAAAAAAGTGTAACAAGATGTTTCAACAATGTCCCGCAGTTCGATTTCAGATAACAGGCCCTTGCGGAAAACGCAGATTGATCGTAATTCAAACAAATTTGATGAGGCGATTCGTAGAACATCGAATTGACCCAACGTGATGACCAAGAACGTTTTTTTTTTTTGAAACCATAAAATTTCTTTTTGCTTGAAAAAATATTGCTTTTTTAATAGAGGGTTAAGGTGATAAGTTTGTTTATGTTTTACCAACATATATTAAGGCTAGCCAGAAAAACTTTTAAAAATTTAAACACACTCGAGTGAATAAATACTGTAAGGGTCACAAGAAACTGACCCATCTGCATCAAAAGAAAAAGAGGGAGTCGCGAAGGATTATCTTTTGGATTATCACGAACTCCCTCATTCGAATTTCTCAGCAGCGCGCTTATCAGAACGCGATATCAATTATAGAATAAAGATAGTTTAATTCTACCGCTATCACATCAAAAGAAGTAAAGAACCCGCGATGCCAAAAAGAAGAATCAGTAGCTGTCCTCTAAACGGGGTTCACTATTTTCCGAAAAGAAATCAAAATCAAGAAATAGGTAAGCAAAAAAGCCTTTTTTAAGGGGGTGGTGGTCAAGAACTAGGATTTTTTCAACCTAAAAAACTCAATTTTTTCGAATAAAGATTTTTTCGTTCTCAACCTTAACAAGTTAAAAAAGGTTCAAATTGTGTTGAAGGCTCAGTTTTAGAAAAAAAAACAAGGAAAAAACGACGTAATCGCGATTTTAGCTATTTTTTAGTCGACATTTTCCGATTTTTGATCATTTTTGGCCTTTTTTGGCAGATTTGCCTGCAGCGTGATTTTGATGCTAGAAATAGATTGTTCGAGAAAAAAAATATGTTATTTCATTGAACAGCTGTAAGTTTAAGCCGAAAATAATCATTTCATAATTCTTGACCACCATCCCCTAGAAGAATAGACATCGTTAATTTATTTTCTTCAACGTAAGACTCTACCAAAATAACACAGTCAAATGGAGATAATTAAAGAACACTTAGTAAAACAGAGTTGTTTAAGATAACGCTACTAGCAAAAAAGCGTCAATGCTTGAATTAAATCGCCAAATCCGCTCTGTACGCCCTTAACTTCTCAAGGAAGCATGTCTATCCTTTTCAATTAAGATATTTTAACATTGGAAAGCTCCTCCCAGCCTGCTGCGAAGCGACTAAAGGAAAAAGTGCCGCCACTCAATCTATTCTTATTGCGAGATTGGAAAGTTAAATGAAAATAAAGGGTTCCGGATTTAGAAGATGAATTAGAAGCAGTTCCGAATTTGAGTTCAAGTGGTTGGGAACTTGAAAAAGATTCAATCAGCGATGATTCAATGCAAGTTGTGTGAGGGCTTTTTCTACGATCCGATTCAATTGGCTGATCATAAATGCAGGAAACGGACATTTTTTATCAAAAAAAAAAAAGTTCTAAATTTCGCAAGCTGATAATTTCCAGCTTTAATATTCTTTCAGAACTGTTCTGACCAAAATCCCAAGTCCTTATATAAAATCCTAGATGCTTGTCTGCACTATACTTTTATCCATCAAGTCGCTGAGGGCTTCGACTTTTAGAAAGACTCTAAAAATAAGCGCAAGGTCAATCCAAGACTATCTTGCGGCTTGTTTCGTTTAAATTAAGTTCAGTTTTGCGAGTTTTTAAACCACTGCAACGTTTTTCTTTGCACCTGGATTATCAGGATGCAACTTTTTTTTTATAAAAAATTTTCACCTAGCAAATCATAATCAAATATTTCAATTGTTTCCGAGTGATGGCGCTGTTGCTCAGCAACTTCATCTCTGATTGGCTGGAAGATAACTCTTTCATTCTACAAGCCAATCAAATTTCAGCTCATAATCAAACAGCGCCATCTTCTGAAAAAAATGAGTTATAAAAATGAAACCGTTGAAAAGCTGCTTGGTTGCGAAAAAGTACAAATGCAAGTTGTGCGAGAGAGAATTTTCTTCCGCTGCGAATTTGGCTAGTCATGACAGGAAACGGTCTGAGTTGATTAATGCTGACAGACAGCAGCTTAGTTGTTTTCTGATTAATTTGATTTACAAGTAGATTGATGGTTCAAAAAGGGTCACGTTGAACAAGAGACTGTTGTTGTTCGTACAAATAAAATTGAATCTTGCCAGGTTTCAAGTTGAAAGTGCAATTATCACATTATTTTTTAATTATTTTTATCGATCAAATTAACTTACAGATCATTCGACAGGTGGCATCGACAACAGAAAAGGGATAAACACTTCGAAGGCATGGCCTTCAAAAATGGTGACATCAGATCAACGGCAAAAGAAATAAGCGACAAGAAAACGAAATCAGAGAAAAGCTCAAAATCATGGATCACGATCGAGGTCTTATCTAATCTGGAACGGATAAACGATTTTTTCTAACATTTTTCAGAGGGTGGCGCTGTTTGAGGCTGAATTTGAATTTGATTGGCTTGTTTATTGAAAGATTTATCTTCTAGCCAATAAGAGACGAACTCGCTTAACAACAGCGCCACCACTCGGAAACATTTAAAATGGTTGATTTTAATTCGCTAGAGACAATTTTTAGCAGAAAGATCAAATTTTTTCTGAAAAATCTATTTAATCGGCTCACCTTACTGTCAGATAACTGCGATGAGTAAGCTTCTGTTTGTGGTTGACAAAAGAAGAAAGTTCTAATACAGTTTTATCTCAAGATTACGGTCATGAATAAGTTTGACTTGGGCGTTATAAATTCCATTTATCCAAAACCAAAGGCGATATTGCAAAATAGAATATGCTTCTCACTCGTGGCGGATTTTTGGTTTGGATCAAGAACCACTCACGTACTCTAATCGCCTCAAAACCATCAGCACGAATCAAGTCCTTCCACAATTTTTTCCAAGTTCACTTTCTACTGCAAATTCTGGATAAAAGTTTCTTTACTTTTTTGCATATTTTTGAATAACAATTTTGAATGTAATTGTTAGTGATTTTTTGCTAACATTGAACTAACTGTTTCAGATTTTGTTTTTACTAATAATGCAAAAAATAGAGACGAAACTTTACTTTATTTGAAATAAAAGAAACTGGTGCTTTAAATTGGCCATTTTACCAAGGGAACTTAGGGACCCTCAAAGGCTTCTGTTCTCTTTTCCGACAAAAATTAAGGGTATCTCTATTGTTCATTTTGGAAAAAAGTCATCAGAGACACCCCTCTCGATCGACGATCTCTTAATCGTTTTTCATATAAGCTTTTGTTGGTTTCGATAATTATTTTTCATTTCAAATCAATTATAAAAACTTATCTTAGATTGACACTAACGTGTCCAAATATAAATACAAAATACTTTAAAACTCTTAATTTGATTTTAGATGAGGTAGAAGAAGCATCAATGATGGCCCAGCAGTTTTTATTTTGACGAAAATAGAGGGGTACTTTATCATTAAGCTTTTATTGTACTGGATTTAATTTATATAAACATGGAAATAAGCTAGCTTTTAGACCACTAATTAAAGTCCAGAACAATCGAAAACGTGTCAAAACTAATCCAGCAATTAAATGGATAACTCATTTGGGACAATTCTTAATTGAGCTTCTTTGAGCAATTATGTCTAAAATTCTTAACTAAAATGCTTTTTGGTATAGTTTTTCTGAAAAGCTGAATTAATAACGTAAGGTTCTGAGTGCGGCATGTCAAACCGGCAGTCCAAAAATGCTAGCTGAGATGTACTCACTGCTTCGGCATCTTTGGGATTATGTTAATATCGGCGGCGACTTGAGGTTGGCCAGCCGTTTTGAACGCTAGAAAAGTTTAACAAATTTCGTGGAAGACGACCTTGATCTTCTAACTTCATTTTTGTGGCTTCTTTCTTGGCAAAAATCAAATCATTCCAAATTTACCCAACAAATTCTCATCACATGAAACTTGTGCGTTATTTTATTAATCCCATGATTCCTCTGACGCAAATTTCTTCCTTGATTTTTCCACTGAAGGACTCGATTTGACGATCGAGCTCTTCAGCTTGGTTCGAATTTGGCGCGCGCGGCGAATCAGCACGCTTTTGGGCGCGAGCGCGGCATTTGATTCGCCAAAGCGCGCCATTTCAAAAAGCGCAAATTTGACTTTCCGACTTTCTTACTACAAAAACCACAAGAAAGAGAGCTCGTAGTAACATAACAGAGATTCGAAAGAAGAACACTATGAACGAAAACTTTCCGAAGCCGGAAAATTTCTTCGAAAAGCGGGGAAGCTTCGAGGCTGATTTTGAGATGATCCAAAGTTCAGAAGAAGAAGAGATTTTTTCAAGCCATGATTCAGGTAAAAATCTTTGATTTTAGTTTATCTAGAAATTTAGGGTGTCATCAGATAAATTATATTGACGGAATTAACTTTCATTTCGGCAATTTACATGATATTCCTGTGATACCCTTAAATTTTCTATCAAAATTCACAAGAAAAGAACTAAAGCAAATGGAGATTTTGAGCGAATAATTAAGGGTATCACAAGAATAAAATAAACATTAAATTATTAACATAGTTTGTTTAACAAGTTTTATCAGTATAGTACGAGACACCCTTATTTTCATGATGATAAAATAGGAAAATCGACAATGATCGAAATTTCCTCATCGTGGAAAAAAGTTGCGTGAAATCGAGGATAAACATCTTGTTTCATCTTTTGATCGCAATAAACAGAGCATAATTTATCAATTTTTTCTGATGTTATCAATAATCAAAATAACCACCCGCTGTGCGAGAAAATTGAAAAAGAACCGTGCTTTCCGTAGTGGCGTTCTTTATTTTTTAACTAAACGAAGAGATAACATAAGCCGCTTTACTTACCAATTGTGTGGTCTGAACTTTTCGAAAATCTAAAATCCTATAATCTTTATTTATATCTTTACTTTATTCTTTTAGGAATGGAAATGGAAGGAATGGAACGATCTCTCCCGCGCTCTCCCTTCGCTCTTCTCAGATCTGCCGAAATCAAAGCAAGAAGAAAATCGAGAACGAAGCTTTTCGCCGATGAAATTTCAGAAAATGAAACCGTGGCCGATTCAGAAAGTTCACCGCCGCAAAGTCCCAAAAGAGTTGCAAAGAGGCTTTCTCTTTTTGACTCGCCGCACACTCCAAGGTCCCTTGTCCGCCGACTTTCCCAAGGCAAAGAAAATCCCCGGCTCCGACCTCGAAATATGCACTCTCCAGTTCCTGAAGCGATCTCGAATCCCTTCACTCCAACAAACAGAAATTTCCGCCCAGCCTTGAGCCACAGCGCCAGGCAGATTCGGCAGTCTAGAATTGATGTTCAATCCAGGTACAAAAAAATACTCTAGATATCTTTTGACTCGAAAGCCGCGAAGCGGCTTTCATAAAAACCAAAAAGCCGCTTGCGGCTTTTGAAAAATGAAAAAAAAAATGTTAGAGATGCTTATTTTACTTAAATTCTAGCACCGTTTCCCTATTGAAATTTTCTAATTCAGGTATAAATCGGATTTCTTGGAAGTTTCAAAAATCGGCTCTGGCGATTTCGGCGAAGTCTTCAAAGTCCAAAACCGTCTGGATGGCTGCTTCTATGCCATCAAGAAAACGAAGAATCCAATAATCGGCTCCCGGACCGAGTATGTCGTCTTCTTCGAAATTCGTGCTGAAATTTGTTTAGATCGAAAGCGATTCGCGAGGTATGCGCCCATGCGGTGCTGGACAAGCACGACAACGTTGTTAGATATTATTCGGCGTGGAGCGAAGGCGACAGGATGTTTGTAAGTCAATTTTAATTGCTCGCGTAAACTTACAAGGGCAAGGTATTTTTTTCTGAATAATAGCTTGGCGCATGGCTAATGTTGCGCGTGTTATGAAGACAATTGCACATCGGTCTGAGCATCGTTTTCACCTTGACATCATGTTTATACTCAAGCACTAAGAGTAAGGGTTATTTGGGAAGAATGATTAAGGACAGTTAAATTTTGATGAAAGAGAAACGCCAGAAGAGAGGATATAATGCCACAAAAAACCGCTTGCAGGTTTAAAAAATATCGAATTTCTTCGAAAAATGATAACCAGGAATGTCTTAGAAATGTCTAAAGCACCAATTAAGGAGAATCTAAAAAATAAAATAACAGTTAGAAAATTTTCTGAAGGCCGAACTCCAGGGCAGCTAAGAACGCGTGATTTACGAAATTATGTTTTTCCGTTGTTCGTTAGTTGAAGGGGATCAAATTTGATCCGCGGAAATTCGAGGGATGAATTGCGTAAAATCCGATTCTAAGGACTATTTTTGGTTTGGATCTAAAAACATTTCAGACATTCTTTTTTTTCTCGACAAGATTTTTTGAAATCTAAAATTGCTAGAAAGATAGTTTATTAATGCTGTTCTAAAAATCAGTCGAAACAAGTGCGTTAGGGTGTACCTTGCGCTCTTCGTTAAATTCCCGCGAGAAAATAGTACGCCTATTAAAATGCGTGTTTAGATCCAGAGCGAATTCTGTAATGGAGGTTCTCTCGGCGACGAAATTGCTGATCGCAGACTTTCCAGCCACGTGGCCCGGCCACTTGATCAAGACAGTGTTTTCAACCTTTTGAGGGATACAACCAGCGGACTGGCGTACATTCACCGGCAGAAACTGGCCCATATGGATATCAAACCGGCAAATATTCTCAGAGTCATCAGGTTAGAATCGAACATCAAAAAGAAAAAAACGTATTCTCTTCAAGGGAACTCAATCCGATTAATGAGAAACATCTAGAAGCCCAATTAGAAATATGATTATTATTTAATGTTGGACTATGCGTTGTCCATTAATAGTTAGCCCTGTCATTATTAAGTCCAGGATCCAATAGTCACTGAACTCGCCCATCACTTTTAATAACTCCCAAGTTCCTTTATCAACGAGTCTATTTCTCGAAGTCCCGTTAATATGAGGCACAAATGTTGAAACAAAATACGGATAATAATTTCTCCGAGCGATTTGTCCACGCAGAAAAAACATAGCTAACGACCACTAATCCCTAAGTGGCCAGTTGTAATTTCGCTTTCACACGTTAACAAATATCTCATTGTTTGACCGAAAACATACACATCAAAATGTTTTCTTTCCGTCTTGATGAGCCAACAGGGAAAGCTTGATTAATTGGATTATTCTCGATTGTGAATATAAACGGGGGATGTTTAGATTCCGCGAAGGTGAAGCTGACTAACTAAAACGAAAATTGAATTGAACGTAGCTTTTTTGAAAAGCCAAGCAAAGATATTGACGCAGTACATGAAATTCATTCCTTCCTTTGCGGGTAGACGTCCTTAAATTACTCAAAACGAAACTATGCTTGTTTAGGTTGAGATTCCGAAAATTACAGAATCCGTGGTCTATTCCCTGAAATTATCGGAAAATGGGAGGCACCGGATGAACCGGAAGTCTTTGTGACGACTGTCGATTAAACATCAACACTGGTGATCGAACGCATAATTTTATTTTCTGAGAATAAGGGTCTTATTATATACATAAGATAGGTGGTCATCGGTGTTGATGTTTAGTCAATAGTCAACAGAAAGACATCCAGTTGTTCTGGTGCCTCCCATTTTCCGTTAAATTAAGAGAACAGACCATGGATTCCGCAATTTTCGGGATTCTTTAAGAAAAAAATCAGTATTTTTTGTTGAAAAATTCTGTTTTTTTTTCATTTTGGAAGGCCATTTCTAAGAGCTTTTTTAATAAAGATTTTCACCTTTCGTTGTTCCTCGGTTTCTATGACGTATCCGCGATAAGATACAGAAAACATTAGCTTGTTGAAAAAACTGTGGCGAGCCTTCTTCAAACTAGTTGTTAGTGTCATTTACAACGCGCTTTTGTGAAACTTACGCGAAGAAAAAAGCGTAATCGTTTTTTCCAAGCTTGACTTGGACTTGTGCTTTTCTCATCACGTTATCAAAGTAGAAATAAATTGATGAGGCGAGTTAGAAAGACATCCCTGAAGAAATATCTGCGGCCAGCGAAAATATGAATTTCGGAATGAGAAAAACAAATAACGGCATTAGTCGATACCGCCATTCGAACCTGAAAATCAAGGTTGATATTTTGATGCTTTTGACGGAGAGACAGCTTTTTAAAGATGCAATTGCGTTTTTACGGTCTCAATTAGAAATAACCCGGAGCATTACATAATCCAGGCTCTTTGGAGCTAGAACCACGGTGTTAGAACGGTGAAAATAAATAATGAAAAGGGGTTTTTTGGCACTTGACTGTGTCACCATAAATATTCGTTGGTCGGCTCGGGTAAACTTGAAAATACTTGAAGTTCTCTGCAGAAAAATTTCGCTTTTTCTGCAATATTATCACAAAAAAGTATTTTCGTTTCATAGACGTGCTTTTTTTAAGGTTAACGAAGTTTTCCAGCCCACTTCCGCCTTATAGACCCCCTAACACCATACCTTTTTAGAATCAGCAGAAAATTCTAAGAACTTTGACCATTTAAAATTCTAGAAAACTCCACTTCCGGTCGATTCTAGAGCCGGAAGTTGACGAAATTTTTGTGTTAGGGCAAAGTGTGACCTATCAAATTGATGCTCAGACGATTTCCTATCATTTAAGAAAAGAATCAACACCAACGAGGATCAAACCAACCGGAAAAAACTGAAAAAAAAATTGATCATTTTATGCTTTTTTTACATAATTTTACCGGTCGGTTTGACCATATTAGGGACTCTTTCTTCTGATATATTGATTATAGGATAAATCAAAATCTTCTGAGCATCAATTTGATAGGTCACACTTTGCCCTAACACAAAAATTTCGTCAACTTCCGGCTCTAGAATCGACCGGAAGTGGAGTTTTCTAGAATTTTAAATGGTCAAAGTTCTTAGAATTTTCTGCTGATTCTAAAAAGGTATGGTGTTAGGGGGTCTATAAGGCGGAAGTGGGCTGGAAAACTTCGTTAACCTTAAAAAAAGCACGTCATAGTATTGTGAAAAATTTTATTCAGTGAAAACAAGATCGAGTACAAACTTGGCGACCTTGGCCACGTTACACCCTACGATGAGACGCGATATGAGGAAGGTGATTGCCGTTATGCAGCGAAGGAGATTATCCAATCAGATTCATGCATAGATTTGCGCATGGGCGATATCTTCAGCCTCGGTAAATCATAAGTTCATTACCCTAGAAAGTTTTCAGCAACTTTTCGTTTCTCAAGAAAGCCAGAACAGCCGACTAATCTGTTTTTCAGGTCTTTCAGCGTTTGAATCCGCCACGCTGAAAATCCTGCCGAAAAACGGCTCCGAATGGCATCACATCCGATCTCCAACATTTTCCCAGCTCTTCGCCGTGCACAGCCATCACCTCAGCCAAGAACTGGCTACAGTCATTTCCCGAATGCTTGCTGACAGTCCTTCCGCTCGACCAACAGCTGAAGAAGTTCATCTTGAGCTAGGAAGAAGCGAAGTCGAAGCGCTCAAAAGACAGGTTCTGATCGAGAGAAACACGAGCAAACTATTATCAAGGTAATTTGGAAAGAATTGGCCAATTAAATTGCTCCCCGATTCTGGTACTTCAATATAGTGTTAGCACTAGTTGACGTTTGGAAACCAAAATAATCATCTTGTAATACACTTGTCAATGACATTTGCCGATTGTTAGGGAAATTATTGAAAAAGAATCGTCCTAACGTGTTTTAACGGTCGTTTTCTTCCATAACAATCAAGTTCTGTTGAGCTGTTTCTTTGCTTTTTAATTTGCCATTTCCGTGTTATTTCTATGAACATCGTTCTTGCTTGACTTTCCTCTAATTGACGGTATATTTATTATTTAATTAAACTCACTATTTTAGTCAATTAAAACGACAAGCCGGAAAACCTCGATGCCTCAAGCGGACGAAAACATCTTAGAAGAATCTCCCTTCTAATCCAACTCACCTTATCTTCACCAGAAACAGATGCAATTGAGAACTTAAAGAAATATTTTACGAAGACAAATTACTTGTACAAAAGCTCTTTACATGCAAAAAACACGTGCCTTTAATTTTTGCCTTACCGATGAATATGTACTCGACAATTTTTATCTATTTATGATGCGCTTAGTTCCAATTTTATCTCTCTTCCAGCAATAAAACATGCACCTTGCTTACCGAAATACTTTGTCTTTCTTTCCAATTATCGAATTTGTATTAACAAACCAATGAACAGGAGGGACAAAAAGAAAACTGAGAGTGAAGTACACAGTACGTTGATCTTAATCCAGTTATTCCAGAGTCAACATGTTAGTTAACTCCTGGTCATGAACATGTTTGTTCAAAGACAACTGGTGACTGTACCAATTGTTGGTCAGTCTAGTACAGCTCTTCGCATGTATACTGAGATGCGATAGCATTTTTCTGCTTCTCATGAGCGTCGTCTTATGATGCGACAATTTGAGTGGCTGTGAAAAAGTTTTCCTATTCAGGGTATTTCAAAACTTTTAAAATGCGACATTATTTGTTGTGCGCATTGCTCCATTCCGAAGTGTCGAGAACGAAGACTTGTAGAATCAACTCTTTGACTGTCAGAGGATTCTAGCCTCAATTTTCGTGAATGTGGAAAATTAAGGACTTTCGATTAACTTATATTCGTGTACCAAACTCATCAGGAAATAGATGTACGAGAAGTCGTATAAATATTTCGGATGGAGTTGGCGTATGCGACCAATGTTTTTCCATTGGTTCTAGGTGGATAAACGCTGGTCACATATTCTAACAAAAAAGAAAGGTGAAAGGGAGGGGCATTGGTTTGCAGGAATTTAAAATAAAATCAAAAAGAAATAGTTGAAACAGGATCATGAAGATCCTTTGGCCGAGTGAACTCGTCTTGAGTTAACTTGATGACGATTCTAAGATGATCTTGTTGATTTCGTCTTTCAAGGAACTCGACGTGATCGTCCGTTGATTGACAAGGGCCAGCGTAATCCTTGATTTCGATTTTCTTTCAATGAAATGATATTCTCTCTTACCATTTTGAAAGGGAAAACCGGAGAGGGGGATTTTCTGGATGTTAGATTTTCTGGAAAAGGCGAAACAAGTGAAAGGGATTTTTTTCTCAACTTGTGAACAGAGAATTCAGGGCAAACCGATCATTTTATGCGACTTTGTTTTTGCTTGGCAAATATATTCCCTGCAGATTGAGATCCAGTGAGTCGCACTTTTATAGAGATTTTGATATTTATTCACAGATCCAAGCAAGGCCAGAGCTGTTGACGGGATTTACTTGCCTTCGTGCGGGTGAAAATCTGACTCATAATTTATGCGCCCCCGAAGTTCAGAGCTCTTTGTCGTATTTACCCGATTCCTATTTTGTTGAGTCTCCATTCTGCCTGACAAAGTGGACATCTCGCACCGCCTTGTGATCATGTAATTCAAAAATGCCTCGATAGATTTACCGCGCCAACGTGGTCTCTTTGCCTGAAATTCCGCCTCGCGGAAGGTGTTCTAATTTTCAAACAAGGAAAAGTATTTAACGACACGATTGTGATTATGATCTTTTGTGGCTTCAAATTAATTGAGAAAACCTTTTCTCACTTTTTAACCTTAAATTTAATTAATCAGCCTTAGTCTATCGCTAATCAAATTTGAAAAGAAAACTTAATCGATTTTACCCCGAATCAAGGTATTGAAATGAAAAGTATTCAAAACAAAAGTACCACAAAACTCAACACAGTGTCGTGTTTTGCTCCTGAGCCTCTTCGCCGTGTAAAACATTGACGTTGGGTACGTTTTACACTAGAACAATGGGCGAAAAAAACTCATTTGTTACGTTTTCTCTTGGAAAAAGGATCACGTTGGCGCTTTCAAAAATATTTGATATTATGAAAGAAATCAAGTTTACTTCACCTTGATTAGCATGGGTCAGCCAAAGCTCCATACAATGATCGTGAAAAGAATGTCCACACTCTCCCCAGATAATCTTTAATGAGGACTTTCTTGTTTGAACCGTGTACTTGTAACTTACAAGTCGTACCAGCTTTTATCAAATTATTATTCTTGCTTCTTTCAAGCCACAAGCTCGATCAAATATTATCTCAGCGAGATCTGATTTATTTCTTCGATAAACCACAAAATTCATGAAAGTTTCGAATTTTAGTCTTCAGCTTTTAAAAGTTCGAAATTTGTAAGTTGCATTACAAGGTGTTCGAATTTTGAAGATGATTCTAGTTTAAACAAAAATGTTGAAAACAAAGAAGCCCGTCCCTCACACGTCGTAATTGAAGAATCTGCTTGGCATTTGGTACACTGCTCGTCCACTATATTGCGACAGATAGCACTTTGTTAGGTTTGCGAGTTATATTCGCGATTAAGGGGCCTATGCTCGATAATGAAGGGCTATAACAAAGTTCATTTTTCTCCAAAAGAAATTTTGCTACAATAGGCAATCCTAAAATTGAACCCTTCCGAAAAATCGTGGTTATAATTTTTGATTTCAGAAAATATAACGCAAAATCTCGGAAGCTCACATCACGAGGGAAGGAATTGCTTCCTAATTGCCTCCTCATTAGCCAGGTTAAGTTCTGAGGGGTGGGGCTGATTGAACTCTCCGAACGTTAGTTTACTTCGTAAACCGTGACAGGTATCGTGAATCACATCCCAGCTCCATTCCAGAGTAGGGGAGAAATCTTTTATTTTAAATGCTGCGTTCTCCTGTCAAGGGTTCAACAGGGACAGGAAGGCGGAAATGTTGAACTAGAAACAAGCCGATTTTCGTGGCTCTGCACTTGATATTCACGTGTTCTTGCAATGACTGCAATTACTTAATTAGGCAGCTGCGTTTGCAGAAATAAAAACCGTTATTTTTTTCAAAAACATCTTAAATATATAAAACATATTTTCGCATGTACAGATGATTTGAACCCTTTCTTGAGGTCAGGAAGTGAATTTTCCAATATTTCCAGATCGTTTAAAACTAGGGAGAATCAAAATGATATGGGTCTTGAATTAATTTTATCATCCCTCAAAAGAATGCTCTCAATATAGGCCCGACCCTGTGAATCATAAACTTACGGTTTTCACCGGAAAATTTTTCGATCAAAAAGCCTTTGAGAGAATCGTAATCAGTTGCTTTTTCATCGATTTCTTCATTTGAAAAGGACTTCTTCAAGTTTGAATATCGCTGTTTTGTCGACGCTGTATTTTCTTCAATTTCCAAAATGATCCCGAGTATCTCTTGAAACTTGCTGTTGGTCATTTCTGATGATGATTTTAGAGAGTTTGTTCGTTTTAACGAGATCAGAAAGAAGCTTTAGAAAAAGCTCTATCAATAATGACGCAAGAAGCTCTGTTTTTGGCAAGTGCCTTTGACGCGTTAGCACTTTGTTCCTGCCACTGATAGTAGAAAAAGGAAAAGTGCGACATGCAATTAAGACAATTTCTTTATCGAGAGATGTATATTCGTGAACAGCTTTCAAAAAACTTCTTCAATTTGATGAAAATTAGCAGTTTTAATGAAAGTAGTAGAGCATTCTGAATCGCTGTCATTTTTTCTTCTTTCTCTTTATTTTTTCTCTTAGATCCTGAAGATGACTGATAAGAAGAGTGGAACGGTAGGTTTTTACCTGAGTTTTGAAGGGAGCCTAGGGTACCATGATGAGGGTCTTGGTCAGGTATGGAATCGTCGCGGTGGTCGTCACTGACTCGATTTTCAAATGAACAAATCCAATCGTCAAGAGAAGAACCGTCAGAAATCGAGCTCCAAGAGTCATCTGACCAGCTTTCATCAAAAGAAGCACTCTCTACATCGGTCATATTTTGAAAGTGTCTCTTTCTGTCTTTATTTTTGAAACAGGAAGATCTAATGGAAAGAAAGGGAAAAGCCAAATTTATACGAGCCGTATTTGCCGTGACTTCAATTTCGCAAACAGGGTGAAACAGAGAGATGAGTGTTATTGAAGGGAATTTTTTATCAATTACTGTCCTTGAGGTTTAACTTAGAATCCCATATATAGATTGATATCGGAGTCAAGGAAAATATAACAGAGTTTTTATTTCATTATATAGTATTCACTAAGTAGAGATAATTGACAAGCCAATCATCTGACAAACCATAAAAATCATGGTGCGAAGGGATGGAATAGCTGTATAAAGACTCATCACTCTTTGCCGTTGGATAGTTCCCGTAGACGACCATTGGAACCTATCATTTTCTCTTATTATTCCAAAAAACTAGATCTAACTCACGTCGAAATTCGACTGAGAAAAGGACCAGCCGTGAATCGGGTCCGCAAAAGGGGCAGAAGAAATTGCTGATAGAGGAAGCATTTGTCTTTTTGCTTGCCCTTTGCTCTGCCTATATATACTCTTATAATTCATTAATCATGAGTTTTCTCAAGCATCAAAATGTGTTTCCGGCAAAATGAGTTTAGGGTGATCATAAAAGGTTTAAAAAAGAGCCCATACATAATGAACGACATGAGGTCAACGAAGGAACGCATATTATCGAGGAGAGCTCATACCGTCGTTTACGGAATAAGTTTAGTAGGCATCAGTTTCGCTATATGAAGCTTGATGTTTTTCAAGAGTTATTTATTTATTTAAGCATTCGGAACACGCAAAATTATTGTACAGTCGTTTCTTTAACTCATTCTTGAATTGATAGCATCTGTAGAGCAGTTTTTACAAAAGAGGGACGCGTCGACTGGATAACAACCGCCAGCAGCTTTATCGGTGAGCAGGACCTTGCATTTCTAAAATCAGATTTCAAAATCGATTATTCTAAGCGGGGAGAGCATTGTTCTCAAAATAGAAAATATATTTCAGGCAACGTTTCATCATAAACATGAATCGTCGTCTTGGTGCCATATAAAAACAAAACGATCGATTATAATCAATTAATATCTGTATACCAACAAGTAGCAAATGGTCTATTAGTATTGTGATTTCACACAATCAAAAATGATTCAATTGAGTTAAAAAAGATCTATTCAAATAGCTCTTTATACAGTTTTTCCCTAAAGACTGCATCTCAAAAGCTCTGATCCCTCGAAAATGGTCAAACAAGTTGTCATGCTCAAAAAAGCAAGCTCTCATCCGCCGCGAATTCTGCTTGGAATTTAATTCAAAACCGCGAATGATGATGATGCGAACAAAAGATCATTTATGATGATCTGGCAATTTACTAAAAGTACCTCGCAGACGAAGCAGGATTTATGGAACGATTTTTCTAGCGCGATGATTCTGAGAGCTTCTGTTTCTCCTGCTTCTGGCACGATTGGTCGCTTGCAGGCTTCGCATTTTGGAGAATACGCCCTTAAATTTTTGGTTATGGAATTTATAAGAAGTTCTTACAGTTGAAAGCATTCAACGCAGTAGGGTTGTTTTTCGTTGTTTTGCGTGAAGGGCAGTCCATCAAGGCTTTTCTTGCAACTTGTGCATTTGAAGCACTCAGGGTGGTAAGTGTTGCCAACCGCTCGAAGGATTCGACTTTTTATCAGTTCCCCACAGGCGTTGCATTTTTCCAGCGTCTAATGAGAAGTTTTTAATACGCACGTTTTATCATCAAGAGCCTTTCTCGGTCAAAAAGTGCCCTTGAAAAACTTGACTTCTAGGTAGATCATCAAAAATTTAGTTCGACTTACAGTAAGATAGCATTTCGAGCAGTAAGGATTGTTGTCCCCAACTACCATAAACTCTTCACCATGGATGTTCTTTTCGCATTTCAAACAGATCAAGCACTTGATATGAAAATAATTGCCCATCGCCTAGAGAATCGATAAGTTCATAAAAGAGAAATATAATGATTTGAAATGAATATAGATAACCGATATGGATTGGTCTGCCCACCGAACAAGCCGACTCGTGCGAGGAAATATCGGCTTTGCATTTGAAGCAATTTGCTTTATCAAGAGTTCACAAATGATCGGGAGGAGCAAGAAGCGGTAATAGCAAAGAATGGTTGAAGTTTCTTTCCTGCTTTTGATCTGTTTGTGCCTGAGTTAGAGAGAGAGAGAGAGAGTCCGATACAGTGCGAGTTTTTGTTAGTAAAGCGTGAGATAAAAGCATGCATTTGAAGAAGCAAAGTGATTTGATATATTCATATAGTCTATATGATATAGAGAAATAATTGTTTATTGATGTTTATATAGAAAAGCTTTTTCGACAACATTGTAAACTCTCGTTCCTTTGAACTCCTGTTTTTCGACCTTTGCGGCGGTTCCATTCGCCAAACTCGTCATCAGAATTTCCGTCAGCTGATCCGCCTCTTGTTCGGCCTTAGAGTTCTGTTCCTTCAGGCTTTTCAAGCTAGATATAGTGCTTGAACTGTCAGATGTTCGGGTTGGAAGAGGTGGTGGGGGAGTGGGAGCGGAAGCGACAGGTGGAGGGACTTGTGGAGTTTTTGGAGGGTCGGGGATTGAAGGAGGATTGCAGGAGTTCGACGAAGATGTTGCCACAGAGGAACGGTTTGATGATGTTCTGAAATCAAGGATTTATCTCGGTTACTTCTATAGAGGGCGTATCGTTTGCTGCGCATGGTTCAGTAAATCAGAATTTATAAAATTATTAGCTGGACCAAAATCCCAACTAATGTGATATAATATTAAGTTTGATTTCCAATAATTAATAGAAAATCAAAACTCCTGACTTTTATAATTATTGATAGATTTATGGTTTTTTTTTTAATATCTTACCCTTCAGAAACTTTCTCTAATTCTTCAAGTGTCGGCTCTTTCGGCTTCTCTGGCTCCTTTTACAATCGTTCAGAATTTCATTTCTTCGTTCTCTATTTTAAAATCTAAGAATTCTGAACAATCCGCTCCTTGTGCGTTTGAGAAATCCACGTATCTAAGTCGGGCGCATCGGGCCAGTCGACTTCCTCCTCCTCTTTTGTCTAAAAATCACAAAAAAGTTTCTGTTTCTCCTAACTCTATTTAACTAAAATTGAGAGAAAAAGAAAAAAAAGGCAAGGGGCGGCTGACGGAAGCTAAGGTCTAAACGTGTAAATTACTTCTGTCACAGTAAATTCTGAGGACTAAAAATAAATCGCGACGCAAATTGCTGAGCTCCTTGCCAAAAAATTCAATCAAAATTCATGATTTTCATAAAAAAAAATTTGAGGAAAAAGCTTACCTGTGGCTTATTTTCCGTTTTATTATCCTCATCTCCTTTCAGCGCGGCTTGAAGTGCGGCTAATTCAGCTTCTAGAGCATCCATCTTCTCTCGATCCTCTTTTTTCTTCTTTTTTGGATTTCCTCGTTTTTCTAAATCGCAAAAAATCAATTTTTGTTTGAGCACCTGCCCAGGAAATTCGAAAATTTACAAGGGAATTTAACTGGCAGTAAATTCTCCGCTCGCGAGAAAAATAAAAAAAGGTACTCAAAGAGCATTATCATCAGACGCCGTAAATGAATCTTTTCTGAGCGAGAGATAAGGTCAACGGTGAAAAGAGTTGTTTATCATGGCGGGTTAAAAATGGCACAGCTTTTTGATAGAGAAGGTGAGGTTTTTCAGGAAACCAAGGAATTTGGGGCTCAGAATTAGGTTTATTAAGATTTTTCGGAATTTCAAAATTTTGACCCCGGAAATGGAGTCTACGGGCCAAAAAACGATTTTGAGGCAATTTTTTTCGGGGGTCAATTTGAAGCAAGTTTAACCTAAGGACGCATTAAGGACCAAAAGTATGGCGTTTTTGAAAATTTAAGGAGCAATTTTCAATCTTTTTTCGAAATATTTTAGCTTTGACACCCTTATTTTACTGAACGAGAAGAAAGCCTTCAAATTTAATTGAGGCAGAAAAATAAGGGTGTCACAGTGATATTTTCGTTTTAACATTGCGGTCGTATGTAAAAGTGGCTTTTTGAATTTAAATTTTATAGTAAAGCCCTTTTTTTCAAGATCAATTTTTTTCATTTGAAATAATTGTCGAATTTCTGAAAATTTGGCATTTTCTCTTGAGTGCGTAGTAGAGTACATGTGCTCGATCTTCTGTCAATGGGATTGTTAAACAAATTTGCTCTTTTATCGACTCTGATCGCTGCCTTTTTTTCTGCATTCCTAAGAATCCTCGTCTGTCTTCAGCAAAACTCAACAGTGGCAAATAAAAATAAAATAATCGCCTCGGTGATCGACCAGGAGATGAGGCTGGAAATGAGATCAGACTTCCGTTTCATCGTCATTTCACGCGGCTCATTTTTAAGCGCTCCGCTAATCGACCAATTTCTGTCAAAAAAGGAGAATAATTTGATAATAATATATTTAAAAAAAACATGCGCATTGCATAATTTAACCAATCGAACAGAGTGATCCTCAAATTTTACCAAAGAATAATTTAATTTGAGCCTTTTTTACAATTTTGATGAGAAATTTTGGAGTTTTTCTTGTTTTATCTTGCTATTTTGTTGCTTTGAGGTTGTATTTTTTTTTTCTTCTAATTTTCTCTATTTTCTTTTCCGAAAAAATAGCGCTGATTCAACTGGTTTTGAAAATGATTCAGAATGGTTCACTTTCACTTTGATTAATTTAACAATCAGACGACCTGCTGGTGGGAATTAATTTGACTACTCTCTATTCTTTTTCGTTGTATCATCATTTTTATTCATTGTAAAAACAGTCTGCTCTCTGCACAATTAATTACCTTTATTGAAAAAAAATTACCTTTCTTTGATTCTTTTGCTCTCTTCCTTGATTTCCGAAAAATTCTTTTTATACCAAAAATTCTTAATATCTCAAATGATGATTATTCGGTCTGAAGACAAACTGAAGCCTCAAAAATTTGCGTCAATCGAATCTGACCCGCTCAGGCGCTATCTATCTGACCTTATAAATTTTAGAATCTTGCTCAGGAGACATAAATTAGCGTTTATTTCATAATCATGCTTTATTTTCAAAGGTAAAAATGTTCACCTGACATTCTCGAGTGCTAAACATTATTTTTCTTATCAATTTTTTTATTTATAGAAAATTTAATCTAGAATTTTAGCTTTTTTACGCCAATCTCATTCTTACAGCTTGAACAAGTGTGATGAGTATCCTGAAGATAGGGTGGCCAAAAGCTTGGGGCTGGAGGCTCTGGGGGACAGAATGGTCTCTGATTGGCTTATAGGATTTTTGCCAGCTCCCAACCGATATGGTCCACCCTAGATCCTGAAAGCATTCAGTCAAGTAAGGAAGGCAGCTACATGGAAAGAAGAAGCAAGCAATGCAAATTGCAGCTAAATGTGTCGTTGTTCCCGGCGTTTTTCTAGTTTCTGATTGTCCTCCAAAACCGCAATGAGGACAAACGCAGAACATAGGTTCGTGCGTTAACAGAAATCCTGGTAACGGATCTGCCTCAATCGTCGCTAGAATAATTTACGAATTTTCATGCGGACAAAAAAATAATACCAGGTTGATTGTAGCCAGGTAACTCCAAGGTAAAGCTAGAATGCGAATAAACAGACATTTTCACGCAGGTTTCTCTTTCAAAGACCTTTTCGTACTCTACGGCAGGGGTTCAAGAAAATATCAGAGCTGACATGGAGGCCTAAAACTTGCCATTATTGCATAATTGTTTAACGACTATACGGCAGAGAGGAATCATGGTTTTCGGGAGGCTTTATTGAACATGCTTGACACTAAAATACTTTGTTCTAAGCAGAAGAGTTATATGAATTTGTCGACAGAAGTCCATCATCGATTTCCGTAGTGATCACTAAAAAAAACTAATGTTACTGTTCTTGGAATATGATTTGCATGAAGAAGAAAATGAAGACTTGCCTATTTTGGGAACAGAATAAGTCGTTGTTATCTCCGTCTCTTTTCTGATAGATCTTGGTGATGCTGCTGGCGATTTTGTTCGGCTTTCTAGCTTTTTTCGGAATCATCATTTTTTATATTCGAAGCTCAATTTTTGATAGAAAGATCCGTTCCTCGAGTTTGTATTTCACAATAGAAGTGCGTCTATTTATCGCGGACCAGCTCTGCCGCCTTTTTCTTTCTTCGTGGCGGAAGTTACATGCCTTTACTGAAAAACAGAATAAAAGGCAGGCGATTGAGCGATGATTACCTAAATAAATGATGGTGATGAGAACCAGTCCTCCGATGCAAAAGAGAACGGTTGGCCAAATACTCTCTACCCGCATCATTTTCTTCAGGTTTTGTTTTTTTCTTTAGGGTGGGTTTGCTTCAGTATTAGTTTGTCTACTGGGTCAAGGGCTCCTTTGGGTGGTTTCCTGACTTTATGAAGGATTAAGAGTTGAACTTTTTGTTTCACCAAGATTAAAAGGCAGAAAAAGGGAGCAGACATCATAAATCTCAAAATTGAAATGACTGTTGTACAAAAAGTTAACTTCGTGACATCTTTTCTCTTAGCGTAAGAGATATCATATCTCAGATATGATATGGGACCCAAATCATTAGGGTGATTGGCAGAAAGAGCTTCTCTAAAAAACCCCTTCCTTGAAACTGAAGAGTTCAATTTCTCCCCGATTATTTCTCTCTCTTTTGAAACGCCTGATTGTTCTCTGCTTGGATATCCTGAAGAAACGGCGTCAAGCAGAGAACTGCTTCAATATGCGACAGGTTCGCGACGTTTTATGAATTGATAACGCTACAGAGACTCAATTATCCACACGCCTTTTGCTTTCGAACTCGTGCAAATCGACAATTAGCTGCCCAATCTAAAATTTAAGAAGATTTGCTTTCAAAGGCGTTTTCAGGGAATAAGTCATTTTTGAAGAAAAAGGTCAAAAACCGTCTTGGCCCCGTATTATAAAATACTATAAAAGCTCCCAAAAAGCCAGCATCAGGATCCTACAAAGAGGGACTGTTTCTTGGTGTTACTACTGTATCTCTTGGAATGTCTTTTTTCGAAATCATTTGTACTTTCTCATTAGGAAGAAACGTCGATTTAATTAACAATATCAATTTTTCCTCTCTACTCTTTATTAATGAAAAAACTCGTATGATCCTTTTAACTGTCCTTCAATTTTCGAAAGAAAAAAAAGAGAATGTCACATTGATGAAAGTTTATTACTCGCAGTAAGAAGCTAAGCTGATGAATATTGACGAGCTTTGCTATTTTTTTGCCATTGGCACATGATTTACAATTATCAAAAGGAGATACTAAGATACATATTTTTTATAAAAAATTAATGATAAGTATCCAAATTTATTCTCGATTATTATTTTATCCGTCAAAACTCATGTTCTTTTGTATTTTGCTCAGACAATGCGTCACTCCGTCCAATATTTACCCGTTCTATACAAACTCATTGTATGACTAAAGAAAACTTCCTGGCTTTCAGGTTTTTTTTTCTTCTCAAAACTGGGTCTGTCGCCAGGACGATACGAAAAGCTGATAAAAGACTCAGACAGTCGTAATGCGCGGTCGTTATTGGACCGCTCGGTGGAGATAATCCCTTCTCCAGGCTAGAAGACATTTTTGCCGCAAAAAATATAAAAATTCACTTTTTAAAATCGAGAAAAACGATAACCGAAGATGGAAAAATTGATGAAAGGAGATCCAATGCCGTTTTATTCTCAGGTTTTTTCATTGCTCCATTTTTCTATCTGAAAATTCTATCTTCAGATGAGGAAGCGCTGTATCAATTCAAAAGAATTCGCCGATATTCAATTTCTCATTGGCCCAAGAAGAGAACCAGTTTGGGCGCACAGAGCTATTCTAGCCGCCAGAAGCGAGGTTTTCCGAACTGTTTTGAGACAAAAAGGAGCCTCTGTGAATAAAAATCAGCCGCTGATTTTGGAAGATGAAAGAACAGAAGTCTTTCTGACGATGCTTGGTAAGAGACCATCGAGATCTTTTGAATAAAAATTCTCGAGACTACATGTACACCAACTGCTGCACGCTAACCTACGAGCTTGCACCAGCCGTCCTTTCCGCCGCGAATGAATACGGCCTCGACGGGCTCCGCCGAATCACGTCGAAATTCATGGCGGACAACATTACGGTCGAAAACGCCTGCACCATCATCGACTCCTCCGTACTCAATCAGCAGAAAGAACTTGTCAAGCGGGTTTTGACCTTCATCGAAGAGCACACCGAAGATTGCTTCGCGAGTCAGAGCTTTTTGGAAATTTCTGATGCGACGGTTGCGTTTTTGCTTAGATCGGATTTGCTAAGGATAGATGAGTTGGAAATTCTCAATTACATCAAGTAAGTTTACCCTCTTGAAAAGGAAAGAGGTAAATCTACAGCCTGTTTTTAAACCGTTTCTTTAAGAAAATGGGCAGAAACAGTGAGCTACTCTGAAAACAAACCGATGGAAGATATCGCAGCGCCTGTTATAGGAAAGGTTCATTCGGTTCTTCTCGAAATTTCTTTAATTGACTTTTTTGAACCCTTTGAAACAGGCTCTGTTCGACTAGCGCTAATCGGATCTGACGAGCTTTCTCAAATCGAGTCCGAAAACGAGGTCGTTCCATTCATTCCTGCTTCCATGCTCGCCAATGCTTGGAAGCTTCATGCTTTGAAGAACCAAAAATACAAAGAAAGCTCTGAATTACGACTTCGACGAGGGACCATGTAAGATTCGAGAAAAGAAGCATTTTCTTATTCTTTTCAAGACCTCGGGATCATCATCAATTCATCGCAAAATCTGCGAATTTGACTGGAAAAGGCGCCGATGAAGAAGATCATTTTGAAGAGCACAATTCTGATGACCAAATTTTATCTGAAGAAAAAACCGGTTTCTTGGCTTTTTTTCTTTAAAGTTTTGAATAACTATTTTGAAGGGGAAGAGCACCTACAAGAAGAGCCAAAGCAGAAAGCGAAAAAACTCAAGAAGAAAAAGAAAAAATCTAAAGATTATTCAAAAGACTCCTCCTAGAACCAATAAATTGCCAAACGCTCGTTTCTGTCCTTTTTTATTTACAGTCCATGGTCTCCCTTTATGTAATCATATTTACAGCCGTTAACAGTGTCATCAGTAAAGACAAGTTTTTCCGGATCGACTTCGTACAGCTCTGCTGCTCGATTGACTACTTCTTGAAATTTGACAGAATTTACGAATTCCGGATCTCGGGCGAGAATCCACATTATCATGTACGAGAAATCATCGTATTGCTTGCACTCCATTCCCAAAGTGTATTCATTGTAGTCGACCTCGAAGATCCCTGAAAATCAAATTAAAGAGCTTTTTCTAGAAAACGCCTTACAGTATTGAGGATCGGTAGGATTGGATGGGTCGTATTCGTTTCTGAAATCAACATAGAGAAGATTTGGCCAGCGGTCTCCGTAGGATTGATATGCTTTAGCAAGACCCCAAGAGAGGTATCGCTGCCCATCCTCGTCTTTTCTCACCGAAGAATTGTTGACGCTGATGTATCCTTCTTCAATACCATACATTGCCTTTACGCAATCAGTTCCCTCTGGAATGTAGTAGACTGGATAGCCAGCGACCTTTGATATCGATAATTGGTTTGATAAGAAAGGGGTTTGGGTTCACCTGATACCATTCGCCAGAATAGTCGACTGCAGAAAAATCTTGCATATTTGGTGGGATTGGACATCTCCCGCCGGGCGTTATCACTTGAGAAAAACAAAGTGATAAGAAGGAAAATATAAATTTCATTTTGAACCGATTTTTGCTTAGATGCTAAGCTAGAAGATGAACTTTATAAGAATGAACATGTGCAAATTCTCTCACGAAAATGATGATTCTGTGACATCAGGTTATGAAAGTTTAATTTCAAGAAGTCATTTGAAATTTTCCATATTCAGTTGATAAGAATTTTTTTCATATTTATTCATTTTACAAAAAAAATAACAGGCAAGATGACGAAATTGTCAGACAACAGCTTCAAAATCACTCAAATTCACCATTGTCGAAAAGCGCTTTGGCTTAAAATTCATCGTTCCAATGATCGTTTGCGAAGCTAGCCCATCTTCTGCTGGATGTCTCATGACTTCTGGCGCATCAGGAGCATACCAAACAAAAGGCTCTTCAGTTCTGTTGCAGAGTGGTGCTTTCTTGAGCGGAGAAAATGGGTCGAAAATGTTTTCGAAGAACATGACGCTTTGTTCCAGCGGATTGATTGGCTTGCTCTTCAATTTTGCTTGTTGGGTGTTGATTTTGAGAAGGACGATGGCGCAGACGACCAGGAAAAGAGCGATCATGATGGAGAGGAAGATGATGACTGTGAGATAGAGGGAGTTCATGTTTTTCAAGTTTTGTGGTACGAGGAAGATTCTGGGCAGTTATATACTCCGGAAGTGCTCCGAAGCGCTAGAATCACCTGCAAGTCAACTTCTGTGAGCAATCAAGATAATGATGGAGCTCAGACTGCCTTGGTAAGGGAAAGACTTGCACCTGCACCTGTTATTTTTGCAGGTTCATCAATTTTTGGTTATTGAAGAATTCGTTTTTTATTTTATTAATCCGAAGGAATTGGTAGTTAAAAATTGTTGATGCGCTAGTGTGAACTTAATAAATCGAGTTTTAATTTGCCTCAAGAGTAATGGATTTTAGAGCTTGTCTTCTTGGACGGTATCTAACGCGGGGTTGATATCTCCCAGCGATTTTCGCTGTTCACCCGGGCTTATTTGCGACGATCGTCGTGAAGCTGGCGAGGCCTTGTAATGAGAGTTTCTGTAACTCTTGGCGAGGGCGAGGAGACCACCGTCAGATGAGGTTTCGTAAAAGCCTCCTCCCATGAGTGATTTAACATCCCTGAAGAAAATGATGACTCGGCGAATCGGTGAGTCCCTTACCGTCGGCCAGTGTCACCACCAGCATTTCCAGAGAAAGGATTTGCGGCCTCGGCATTTCCTTCTTCGTCCCAGCCGTGGCCGTACGCGGCCGTCGGGTAGCCTGGCTCACCGTGTTTCTTGATATCCAAACCTCGGATTTCAACATCCAATTCGACTCTGAAACACTTTGGCTTTTTCAATCATGAGGAAAATAAACCTGAGCTTGTCGAAGTACCACAAAAGGCCAAACATGACGATGCAAATGGCACCAGTCCACGCAGTGATTGCTAGAAGACCGATGAAATTCCACGTCCATTGTTTGTAGGCGAGATAGTCGCACTCGAAGATGTTTTCGACCTGGTTCTTTTGATGAGTTTTTATTTTGAAATAAAATCATGTTCTTTTGAATAAAATTTTATTCCCTCAAAATTAAGGGACCTTGTCATATAAAAACCGTTTCAGAGTGATTTGGTTATCGGGGCACTGGGAATTCCAGAAAGGCAAAAAGTTGTCTTCTTGTTGAGTACAGGCAGGAACTGAGGCAATACCATACTCAGCGAAGATAGGCGATAAAAGAATGCCACAAACACCACCACTAAAATGATTTTACGAACCGATTATAAAGAAGACATGTTCTAGAGAACATAAAACAGAGTTTCGCTTATCACGTTTCAAAATAAAATTCTCCAGAAATAAACCAGCGACGGTATGTTACATACCCGTAGTGCACAGCAAAAGCATCAAGAGGATCGTCAATGTGAAGCTTTTTCAAAACAGCAGAAACCCAGTAAAGAGTCATTCCAGCAATAGCGCCGATACCAAAAGCAGCACCAGTGTTAAGAGCATCGCAAGCAGCACACATGGAGACCATACCAGCGAGACCACCGTTGATGCAGACGAGGAGGGACCAGTACTGAGGCTCACCTAGAAAAGTTTAAACGACCGTTTGATAATAAGTCGAATTACCGTTGATCATTGAAACAATAAGATTCAGCGAGATCGCAAAAATTGATCCAGCAGCGCCTCCGATGATCGTATTCATGACTGACTTTGCCAGCGCCTCTCCAATATCAGTCTCACCGTCGACAATAGCCAACACTGAGCCTCCATTGAAAGCCAAAAAGCCGAGGAAGAGAATAAAGGCTCCGAGGGAGGCAACAGGCACGGAATGGCCAGGAATGTTGTTGGCGCGCTTCACGTCGCCGACTTTTTCAAATCGACCGGTTCGAGGTCCGATGAAGATGGCGCCGATCAAAGCGGCGATTCCACCGCAACAGTGGACAAGGCCAGATCCAGCGAAATCTAGAAAACAGCTTGAAACTGTTGGAAACAAGGAAGAGACTACCTTTGAATCCAATCGCATCGCCACCATAAGTGAGTGCTCCATTTGCGCAATCAGGAACTAAAGGTCGGAAAGAGGTGATTTCACTGGCAGTCAGCCAGCCGGTTCCAGACCAGCCCCAGTGAGAGACGACGGGATAGACTATTCTAGGGCTTGAGAAAATCGTAAAACATGGATTTCATAATAACAATAAAACAGTTGACAATTGTTTGACGCAAATCTAGGTCAAGCGACTAGTCAGCCAAGTACTATTTAAATCTGAGGTGGATTTAGTCAAGCCCGTGTACCAAAACCAGTAATAAAAGTCGAGTAAATCAGGTACGATCCGAACTGGGTTCGCTCAGCAACGGCACCAGACACAATGGTAGAAGCAGTGGCGGCAAAAACGAATTGAAAGAACCAATTTGCTCGGTAGTTTTCGTAATCTTCGTGGTAGATCCTTTGATGGATTGATTCAAGCGGGAAGAAGAAACTCAAGACTTACGAGAAAAAGTATTTTGATCCGATGAAAGCGCTGGAATCTTTGTCTGTGTCACCATAAGCAAAAGCAAAACCGACAGCCCAGTAAATGATCGCTCCCAGAAAGCAATCGAGTACGTTTTTGATTAAAATGTTAACGACGTTCTTTGATCGAACCGCTCCAGCCTCGAGGAATGCAAAGCCACATTGCATGAACATGACGAATGAGCCCATTACCACGAGGAAAAACTAAACAATAAGTCTCGATCATCAGTTTTAGCAACTTTTAAGGCGGCGGGCGCAAAGATTTATGATGGACAACTTATTTTCTCAGCATTAAAAGGTTGCTAAATCAATAAAATTAATTAGTTAGGACGTTGTTAATACCCAGCTCATGTAGTAAAAAATGATTTCGTAATAATACGAAAAAGCGAGAAACAATTCTTTTAAATTTTCAGTTATGAATAAAAACTTAGTGTTTAATTAATTGCGATTGTCAGTTCTGACTCATTATATTTTTTGGAATATCGTGGAAATTTTAGCCGCGCTTTTTTTCGCCTAAGAAATCTACCAGAAGCGCGGTAGATTAAAAAATAAGGAAGCTTTAGAAATCGCCGATTTCAAATCGGCATTTTTACCTGATTCAAAGACTTTTCATCAACAGAAACTTTGTCTTTGAGAGCATCAATCTCAGCCTGCAAGGCCAATATTTGAGCATCGCTCATCTTCGACTTTCAATCTCTGTTTTTGTTAAACGAATTAAAAAAATCTGAAATATGCGAGATATGTGTCAACTATTTTTTCCGTAACTAGGTCGGGCGCGGTTCAATTAAGTTAGTCGTAAATTTATTGAGAGCACTCGCTCTGCTCCAGACAGCCCTCGATCTTGGTCTTCTTTTCTTTTCTGCTCGGACGTAATTATCATCTGCTGGAGTTGGAGACCTTTTCCGCTGCCAAGAAAATGTTGCTCCCAGACGCGTCAATCTTTTTCACCTTTTGATTTTGCCTCAGAAGTCCTGGTTCAGGACTTCGGAAGCAAGAGTACGAGACTGGGTGAATGACGATGCAATTGAATTCAAAATTTAAGAAAAATGCAGCAAGATAAAAGTTTAACTGACTACTTGCAAGAAGACTACTCGCAGGAAGTTGGCCTTTTATCAGTTCAAATTCGAAAGTTTTTGTTGAGAAAACAATTTCATCTGCTAGAATCTGGGCTAGAATCTCGCTCTCAAGTGAGCCGCTCGCGAGTCACGAAAATTTCAAACTCTGCATTTAATGCTAATAGCACCGTTTCGAAAAACAAGGTGTAATGAGTTTCGCCAACAATAGCCTATTTTGAATAAGCTGCGCGTATACGCCTTGCTAACGCTTGGCGCCGGAAAAAGGTGCTAAAGTCGGTTTTGTGTTTAGTCTGAACTTTGAATGAAATTAAATTTGAATTGATTGAATTAAAATGTCGAAGTGGAACAGTCCCACTGGAACCGAGGGTACTCGAGCCGAGTGAATCGGCAGCCGAGTCTCGGTACACATTTGAACTTGAGGAATAACTTTTGAAAAGAAGAGAAAAGTTATGAATCTCCTCCGGAAGCTAGCTCCAAGTATGAAAGAGTATAGTACTCTGAAATATTTCGACCGGACTTCCGGACATGGACAGTGATGAGTCCCTTCCTGTGAAACACAGAAAAGCTTTTTTCAAATTGAAATTCAATTACTGATCGTTAGGGTAAATCACTAATATTTTCCACTTTTTTTCTTGCTAAGTAGAGTATGCATATAATACCTTTTTATAATCCCCATAAGCTGAGAATCATTTTGACTATTGATAGTGGGGGGTCATCTCGTACCCTGAGGGCATTTTGGTACCCCGGAAGTCCCAAAATGTGGCCAACTTCGAAAATTCGATTTTTCGAGACCGTAACTAAGCTTTTTAGACGGAGCTATCTATACCAGCTTGTAGCTCAGGCTCTGACGGTCATTTTGAGGGGTAGAAAAATATGTCCCGGGCTACTCTAGAAAGTGGTGGAGGTGGTGCAAAGCTGGGGTCAAGACCGGACGTCCAGCTAAAATGAACTCTTATGTGAATTAAATACAGTAAAACTTTAAAAAAGCAACTGTAAATACATAATTGTTCACCCGGGGTCAACTTGGGGTCACTCGGGGTCATCTAAGGTCAAGATTAGAAAAATACGTCTTCATTAAAAAAACGCCCCCAACTTCACCCAAGATGACCCCGAGTGACCCCAAGTTGACCTCTGGTGACCAATTTTGTATTAACAGTTGTTTTTTTAAAGATTTACTGTGTTTAAATCACATAAGAGTTCATTTTAGCTGGACTTCCGGTCTTGACCCCAGCTTTGCACCACCTCCACCACATTTTAGAGTAGCCCGGGACATACTTTTTTACCCCTCAAAATGACCGTCAGAGCCTGAGCTACAAGCTGGTATAGATAGCTCCGTCTAAAAAGCTTAGTTACGGTCTCGAAAAATCGAATTTTCGAAGTTGGCCACATTTTGGGACTTCCGGGGTACCAAAATGCCCTCAGGGTACGAGATGACCCCCCACTATCAATAGTCAAAATGATTCTCAGCTTCTGAGGATTATAAAAAGGTATTATATGCCTCTTCTACAAAGCCCAAATAAGAGCTCAAATATTAGTGATTTACCCTACTGATCGTCATTCACCCAAGATCGTCATTTGCCCGAGTTGGGCAGATGACGACCTGGGCAGATGACGACTTGGGCAGATGACGACTTGGGCAAATGACGACCACTCCTTTTTTTTTATTCTAAGAAAATTTCGTTGAAGATAACCTATCCTGGATAAGAGATGAATAAGGAAATTCTTTCTTCGGTCAATCTGTGGCTTTTATCGCCTCGCTCAGTGAAAATAAATGGATCGCGCCACACTTGATTCTCACAGACCTTCACACACTGATTATTTTCTATTGAAATTTGAGTAATTCTACTCAGAAAAAGCTTCAATTCAAAATCTTCTGCAAGGTGAAATATTTCGCAAATATTATGGCAATGATAGTTTATTACATTTATGTACAGGCAGTAAATGATCAGGGGATTTATAAAATAAGGGAAAATTAAAATTAAAACGGAAAATTAAAATTTGACAGGAGAATTAAAATGTGAAAGTGATAAGTGGCAAATTCAGAAATAAATATAAGGAAATAACAGGCAAAAGTTTAAAATGAAAAGAACCAAAATGGCCGAAGGCTTCCCCTGATCAGGTAAAGAAGGTCAGTCGTAGGAATCTTATGAAGCAGAACCTTGTGGACCAAAAGCAGCTTCTGGGTCGTCTCCGTCCTGTTCCTGAAAATTATTCTAGATTTGAACATAAAAAGGCCACCTTACATTGATTTGCTGAAGTGGACGCTTCTTCCCAGTGATTTTCGCAACTTCAGAAGCTTTCTCAGGCGGGAGGAGGAAGACTCCCCCGGCGTGGCTGACCATGTTGTTCTCCGTGAACTTATCGGACAGGTCGTCGTCTCCAGCTTGACCGCGCTGGGAATATATGGGAGTCATTTCCAATCGCTCGCGTTCTCGTTCCCGCATCTGAGCTCTTGCAGCGGCGTTGCGGGACTTTTCGAACTTTGGCGGGCGCCAGACATTCACCGTCGGTTTGAACGGCTTCTGACGTTTGATGTTCTGAAAAGTCAGATTTTGGGGATCAAGAGGGAGAGAGAAGACTTACCAGAACTTTGTTATCCGATCTTTCTCTAAAGAAAGAGTGTCTAAACTCGTCAATATCGTGCTCGTTCGAAGGCTCGCCTGTTTGCGGATGCTTCGTCAAGCTCAGCGCGTGGCGGTAGTTCTAGAGTTTTGTTGAAAGGAGGGGGCTTTTGAGGGGAACAGGGCTCTAAATAGACTAGTCCGGGCTCGGACTTAGTCCGAAGTCCGTCCGGTCTAGTCCGGCCGGACGGACCAGACTTCTGATTTTTGGCTGAGAAAATTTTCGGACTAGACCAGACCAGACTTGCCTTTTTCGCCTTACCGAATAAGTCGGGTCTGATGAGCTTCGCTTGACTTTTCGGAAGCCGTAGAGATTCAACTGGCGGACCAGGGATTGGTAGTTTTGCGTGTTGAAGAGGATACCAATCCCGGAATTGTCGGAGTTGTCCAGCACTTGGCGCGATTCTCTTGCCCAGCGTTTGTTGATCTGAAAATTGAGGTTATTTCTAGAGTCGATCGTACCCTAGAATGATGGAACTTACAATGAAGCTGGTGCAGACCAAGGATCCATCAGGCAACTGTTCCGCAACTGGATTCTGGTCGCAATAGATGCCCAACCAGAACATGCAGTGGAAAGTCGGGTCCTTGACAATGTGATAAATCTTCCTCGGAAACTGCATGCTCGCAATCTCCTCGCCAGTCTTCTCATCGAACAGATGGTATTTGCTCTTGGCTGCTTCTCGATCAGTATATGCCTTTTATGGGGTTGAAAAAAGTATGCGATGGCCGGGAATCGAACCCGGATCTAATGCTTGGAAGGCATCAATGCTGACCATTACACCACCAACGCTTGGGTACCCAAGCCCCTGGGGGACGTTTTTGAATTAGCTAAACCATTTTCAACCCCTTCCTTGTGCTGAATTTGGGCAATTCGAATTTCCTTGGTCGGCAGCAACTGAAATGACAGATTATTCAAAGACTTTTTTTGTAAAAGAGAGATTTTTTATCAACTAAATACGCGAAACCAATACTACGCACTTAGGCTAAAGAAATAGTTACTTCGTCAACGCTTTTTCGTCCTTACCTCAGTTTGGATACATGCTTTTCCTGTTCCTTTATCTTTTTCAAGTGGTCGCTTTCTCTTTCTGTTAGGACCTTTTTGTTGAGCTCGCAGCGTGTTTTCAGTGAACCTCTCTGAAAAGATCTTGAAGCCCATTTGCTCGCAACCATAAACTGTGAACTTATTCCAGTTGTCACAAGCAATCTGGAGACTTTCGATTTGGGAGATTACTCCAGTGGCAAAGAACACCAAGTGCTCTAAAAATCGAATTTGAGAATGATTGTTATTTTTTTGTTTTGCTACCTTTTATATTATTTTTCGCCATTCCCGTGTTCCACCTGTCGTTCTCTTCGTCTTCGTCGTCGGAATATATCTCGATGAAATCAAAACTTTCTCGAATTTTAATAAGTCCTTTTTCGAAGAAATTATCGCCGACCATACAATCCGATGCATGTTTAGCTTTTCCTGTGTTACTGTAGGATACTTTCTTTGCCGTAAAAGCTTTGAGTTTATCTTTGTCGAAGCCTTCCATCAACGCTCTCATCGCTGCTGCTTTCTCTTCTGCTGTCGGCTCGGCGTCATCATCGTCATTGTCGGACACAGCGTAATCGGAAGTTTCCATCGCTGGCTCTTCAGTAGCTTCAAACTCTCTCGGGTCGGATTCTTCGATCATTGATTTTGGTCGTGAAAGATCTTCGTCTTCCTGAAATTCGTGGTTTTCAGTAACCATGAATTGTTGTTGCTCAGGAAGGTAAATTTCAGGAAGATCGTGAACTTCAACTGGAACTTGTTCGGGGATCTGGTCGATCGGAGCATTCTCGGGTTGTTGAGCTGGAGAATCGAAATTTTCTGGAGTCGAAATCGGCTCCAGTTCCTCCATCAAATCAGGTTCCACTGGGGCTGGAGCATCGAGCTCAACTTGAGTCGCCATTTCACCTTCATTTTCGGACTCTGGCGTCTTTGATTCGATAGAAGGGAGAAGAGGCGCCTCTGAGTTTGATTTCCCCTCGTTGGTTTCAGCGGCGGGTTCGGTCGGTTCTGAAATTTCTTCTACGGAATTCTCAGCTGCTTCTGGCACTTGAGGAGTCTCCTCTTCCAGGTTCGAAACCGACGAATCCTCGATTGATTCGGAGTTCTGTAAAAAGAAGTTAGTTCAAAGGGTTGAAATGGACAGTAATTACCTTATCTGATTTCTGCTCGATTTCTCCTTCCTTTCCAAGGCCGGTTGAGTCGTCGATCATTTCTGGAAGCGATGATGTCCAGTAAGGAGGAGAAGTGCCGACACTGATACTCTTATGAACATCTTCAGGCGCTGGCACAACTCTAGTGCGTTTAAAATTGACAGCTTCTTTCATCGGTGGCCGCTTCGGTGCAGGCTTGAAGAACTCCAAAATGGAACGATGCTTGAACGTCTCAACTGGCTCGACGATGTCGTTCCCGGCGTCATTTTCTTCTGGCTCTCGTTCGATTCGCAGCGGGGCTTCGATGTATCTAGCGGGCTCTTCAACTCTTTGCTCTACATGTCTTTCCATTTCTTCTTCATCAGGTTGACCTTCTGGTGCTTTTTCATCCTTGTTGCCTTCTTCTTTTTCCTCTTCTTTGTCTTTCGTCGTCGCCTTTTTCGCGGAACTTCCCTTTTTCTTCTTGCTTTTCGATCGTTTCTTGCCAGTTTCGGCCGCTTTTGCTTCCTCCTCCTTGTTTTCCTTCGCGTTCGATCGAAGATTTCGTCGAGAAGGCACCTCTTTCTTCGTCTTTTCAGCTTTTTTGGACGGTTTCGGTTTGACGGACAAGTTCGCCGGATTCACCGTTCGCTTGGACTTGACTCGTTCGTACATGTTTTCTTGATACATGTTGTTTCGGACAGGGATTTCGGCAGGAGCGCTCATCGATTCTGTGTCGCTGCCGTCAGAGTCGAGAAGTTTCACGGCTTTGGGAGCTCTCGGCTGGGCCTCATCAGATTCGGCGGTCTGCGAGCCACTGAGAAGGGATGCGCGGACAGATGGCTCCAAGCTCTTCCACGACTGCGGCTCTTCGGATGGAGGTTCGCTCTTCACAACGACTGGAGGAACGGGCTCGACTTTCTGAATGAAATTTGAGTTCTTTTTGCTACTAAGATGTTACTATTACCTTCGATGTTTCCTTCTTAGACTTGACTTTGGCCTTTTTCTTTCCGTCCTTATTCGCCGCACTGAAAAGAATTTTGATAAAGCGGTTTAGTAATTCGGTTCATTTTGGCTGGATTAAAAGGCATTTAACTTTTAAAATTTCTTATGCCAAAAAAATGAGAAAAAATTTTCATGTCAAAATCCCGTTATTATCAGTCTTATCACTTTCTTATTAACCTCTTTTGGTTGCGAAGTCTCTGTGACTTCCGCCCAGCCATCTCTCTAATCTCTCCGATAACCAAAGTCGCGAATTCCCCTTGTTTTTCACTTTCCGCTCCGCACCGGCAAAAATAAGAGTTCTGGAGAAGTCGCCGCTCACATCTAGAGACAGCGCGCTAAAAAGGCAGCGCCAGATTGGACGATTTAGCGGAAATCAGAAGGGAGAAAGTCCTTCCTACTGGTCGACACGAAATCTTACTTTTTTGGGTCGAAAATGTCGATAGCAAAAAGTAATTTGGGAAAAAGAAGATGATTTTAATCATGAAAAGAGAATTCTAGGATTTACTATTATCTGGAATTGAAGAAGTCGGCAAAAAGAGAGAGTTTTTGAATTTGGAAAATGAAATTTGATAGGTAGTGTGGCCGAAGAAGATCTTCCCGCTTCTGAGGCAGATTGCTTGTCGATTTCACGATCTGATTAATCGACAAAGAGATGTTTTTTTTTATCGAGACTGGGTTTAGAAGTTGGCATGCGGAGAAAAGTGTGTTTGGCTGGCTTTTTCTGCTTGTTCCACTTCTGAACTTATATCGGAACATTCGACGATTAAGTGACAACGGAAATGAACATAAATTGCTATTTTTATTAATTTTATTCAACAGCCGAGCCTAGATTAAGGCTACCTGGGTCGAGTTCGCCATCCTTGAGGGTAAATTACTACCCTTTAAGGACCCCCCCGTCAACAACTTTCCCCAAAAAATCGAAAATTTCAAAAAACCCATATTTTGGCTTCTTAGTGTTCCTGGAAGTTCAATTAATCACAAAAAACTTGTTCGGAGCACTTTTTGACCAAGAAAAATCTGAAATTATAGCAAAATTGGCACTTTTTCGTCAATTTTCGTCAAAAAGTCCGATTTTCAAACGCGATTTTGAGGGTGTTAGAGTCGAGATAGACCCCCAAAAAATGAAGCCTCAAAATCGTTTTTTGACCTGCAGAATCCATTTCCGGGGTCAAAATTTTAAAATTCCGAAAATAGATTTTTCGAAATTTGTTGACGGGGGGGTCCTTAATCCTTACGAAAGAATCTTTTTAAAAGCTTATTCGATAGATCTCGGATCGTGACAGAGCACTTTTTTCAATTTCAAAAGAAATTTTCAGAAAAAAATGTCGTCAAAGTTGGCGTCTCGGCCTAAAATGGCCAACTTCAACGCTAAATTCAGGCGAAAATTTTCATTCAAACAATTTTTTTCTTTTTGAATTTATATAGTTTACAGCCTCTTCTTCAATCGTGACAGAGCAAATTTTAGGATTTCGAAGATTTTTTAACAATATTTTGAAAAGTTTGGGCTCGTCTTCGCGAATCTGGCATTTTTTGCTTGGTAAGCTTCCATTTAACCCGATTTTGGAATTAGTTTTATTTTCTGGGGCGATTTTAAGCTTCACCACGATGTAAACCAGGCCATGAGCTTTCATTCAAGCCCTTGATCAGCAAAATTGGAGATAAAAAATTTCTCGCCCAAATTTGAGCTTCTAGCATTTCCTATAGATTTTTAACTTCACAGTGGTTTTTGACGGTGAAAACGTTAAGAAAGCTATAGGGTCATTCTAGAGTTTTTTGTTCCTCAGAATGAGAAAAATCTGATTCTATAGTCAGAAAATGGTTTTAGGGGGTAACTTAACTCGACCTAGGTACCCTTAAGCAGCAATAAGTTTTATTCCAGGTATTTCGAATCCTTCCAGTTCAGTTTCTTTCGTTTCTTCGTCGAAAATAAGCTTGAAGTATTCTGACTCAGAATTGGAAAGAAGAATGATGTCACCATCAGATTCCAGCGCCGAAACATCTTTGAAAATCGGCGTTTTCAAATCAAATCCTCGTAATTTGCTTTCATAACGAAAATTGGTTTCCATTCTCGAAAGCCGAATAAAACGACCGAAAACGTATCGATAGAGGATGATAAAATACTCGGCTTTTGTCCAATTTTTTCGCGGAACAATCGGACACTGTTTGCATCCTGCTGGTTTAAACGGTTTTTCGTCGAATTCTCGGTATCGAAAGACTGCAACAAAGAGAACTCCTTTTCGGTCTGGAATTGGATAAAAATCATTCATAAAAGTATCGTAAGGGAGCAGACTCTCCATAGAGAACATGCCTGTTGAGAAATATTCTTTCACGAAAGACTCATTTCTAAACTCGTACTCCCACAGAGGATCCTCATATCTCCATGAGTCCCAGTCATCATCTGGATCTTCATTCATTGTGCTTAAATCGACAGTCCTAATTTGAGGATTAGGCTGTAAAATATTCAGCTTGTTATTGGATACAAACGAATGTCGGCCATAATTAGAAGAAAGCGGAGATATTGAGCGAGTAAGAATGCGGCCCTTGGCCTCAATAACAGTTTTAGCCCCCTTTTGGTCTGGGTTGATGAAGTAACACTTGTCAGGATAAAGCATCGATCCACTAAGAATCGCCTTTGATTAAGTATCTTATAAATTTTCCTTACCAGAACCAGAATTTATCGTTAAAAACAGCAGCAACACTTGGAGTCATACTTTTTGTCCAAGAAAATAGTCCAAATGTTCCAACTTGGCGAGCAAACAGGTCACATTCTACATCTATTATGAGTGATTTCGAGAGGCAGTAAATAAATTCTAAGATACCAAATTAGTACCTAAAGTATATCCACTTCAAATGTCCGTAGAGAGGGGTCTCTCTCGCCTTTTCGCCTAAATTCGACTAAGGCGAATTAGCCTATCCTAACTTTACCTTAGGATTTTTGGACAAAGATTCGCCTTACCTCGACGAGCCTATGATTCGAGCGATCCAATATCTCTAGAATTAGGGCTTATGGTTAGGGTAAGGGACTTGGAATTCTTAAGGCTACGGGTATCGATCAGGCTACGTTTGAGGCCGTATTCCTGAAAACCTGTAAATGGTGGAAGGTTTCTAATCATTTCTAAATAAAGAACTATCTTAGATCTTAATTTTGTCAGAAGGAAATTTTTTTCCTCTTAGGTTTTTTAACAAAATTTCGCCTCAAAGTTTTGATCTAGGTCGAAATTCGCCCTAAAACTGGCCGTATTCCGAGAAATGTAGCCTGTAAACATGCATATTTCATATTTTTATATGAAAGTTCGGACCTTGATCTTAATTTTGTCAGAAGCTTATTAACAGTGAATAAACTTTTACATCGAAAATAATTTTTTGAAAAATTGATCTCGGCGATTTTTGCATTTTTTGAAAATAAGATTCATGTCTTGGCTCTAGAATCCAAAATATCCTGTCTAAAGCAAAACCAAGAACACCATGATGTTTCTCGTGCTCTGAGCTTTCAAAAAAGGCCTCATTGATAAAAATTGAAGCCAAAAAATTTTTATCGACCAGATTTCTAGCGCTCATATCTCGAAAACGACAAGTGATAGCAGCTTACATTAAACAACGAAAATGCTCAGAATTTTGCGTAGAATTCAATAGACGACATAATAAATGTCGTACAGGCAATATAAACACCTTTAGAAAATCGATACCCGTACCCCGCCGACCGAGCTCCGCGCGCGCTTCTAGCTCTTTTTCACTCTCACTCTTCAGCTGGTTTAATTTTTCGATTATCGTTATTTTTTGTACACTAACTAAACTTTTTATGCTCTTTCATCCACGTTTCTTAAAATTTTCATAGCTAATCGTTACGCTGGGTTAGGGCTCAAACATTGGCGCTCTCTTTCAAGTGTACATAAGTACTCGAAATAATGGGATTGACACTTCGAGACTGCTCTCATTGAAAAGCCCGTGCCTTCTTGCATAAAGCTTACTTATTGAGATTTCCTGGAAGCGTTTACTTACCTGATTATCGTGGGATTAATGCGGGTTACCTGGAGCGCTCGGCGTGAAACACGGCCATTTTACACTGTTGGCGCGGGATTCCCGCTGCGCTCGTCGGAAGAACCTTTATTAACCGCTCGATTACGAGAGCTGCTTAAATTTTTATTAAATCTCAATAAGTAAGCCTTATGCAAGAAAACACGGGCTTTTCAATGAGGGCACTCTCGAAGTGTCAATCCGAATATTTCGAGGACTTATGTACACTTGAAAGAGAGCGCCAATGTTTTCGCCCTAACTCAGCGTAACGATTAGCTGTGAAAATTTTAAGCAATGTAGATGAAAGAGCATAAAAAGTTTAGTTAGTGTACAAAAAATAACGATGATCGAAAAAATTAAACCAGCTGAAGAGTGAGAGTGAAAAAGAGCTAGAAGCGCGCGCGGAGCTCGGTCGGCGGGGTCCCTTAAGGGGGGTTAGGTCTAGGGCTAGGATCAGTTCAAATGATAACCCCCTACTACCCAAATGCCGCAGGTAATGTTAAATCACGATTCCTAAATTCTGAAACTCAGAAGTGCCAGATTCCAAAACGTAGGAACAAAGACGCGCATTGAATAGATAATGATTTCCTCGATGAAACAATGTTTTGAAAAAGCCGAAGAAGTTCCTGAAGGTTTCTTCCTTGGAATTTTCCCCGAATTTAGAAGATATTGGCCGCCCTACTTCAATTTCCGCAACGAGTTGTTTTGCTTAACAAATGTTAGAATTTGGATCTTAAAGAAATTTAAAATATACAGGCGATGATGGGCGTGATATTAACTGGAGGGATAACAAGGGATCTGAAATCCGGTTCTATATATGATTCTTCTTGATAGATGACTCTCTCGAAAATTTGTTTTCTTCGCATGGAGAATAAACTGAAGGAGACAAGACGAGACAGGTGTTGAATGTCTTCTTCGAAAGGATCAAAGGAAGTTTTCAGCAGATCCTTGAATTTGTCTCCCACACTTCTTGTTCTCGTATTATTTTTGAGTTGAAACAATGGGTCAGTGGCGTTATAGTACCATGCGAAATTGACCTTTCTGTTATCGATATATTCACATTCGTAAAATGGACAAGGGCATCCTGCGGGACAATTTTTCTCAAAAGGACAAATTTTATCGATTCTACCAGTGTCACTCATCAGCGATCTGCAAAGCTCCTGGCATTTAGCATGATCATTTTCGTCAATTTTTGAGCAGAGACCAGAGCAGATCTTCATTTCTAAACAATAAGAAAATTTCCGAGTGTCCCCTCTTTGTTATTTTTACCATAAAAATTAAGTCTTTTACAGCGTTTCAGATTGATTTTATGTTCTTTCTCGGTGAAATGCTTAATTTTTTTGTCTTTTCTTTCACTGATAATAGTCAGATTGCCAGTTGGAAACACGAAATCGCCAAATTCTTGCATACAACTTTTGAACCTAGGGTAGCACTCGTTATAAGAAAACTCCATCATGCACTGCTTGTAGTTTCTACCACAACTGAGGGTTTTGAAAGTGTACTTTGGTCCGAGTTTTTCGAGTCCAGCGAAATTAGTCGCGAGAATAATCGACTGCCAAAAGATAAAACCAAGCACAAGATATGTGTACCTTTGCCTCAGCGTTTCAAAACCACTAGAATTCAATCAAACAATCAGAAAGAAAACAAAACTTTTACTGTGGTTTGAGGTCGTATTTGCCAACTGCATCAAATTGGTAAAGAATTTTTCCTCTCTTTGGGAAAAGAATAGTGTTACCATTATGCTGCCTCAGAACTCCGGTGCAATGGCATCCCATGCACTAAAATGTCAACAATTGGTGTCTTCAATGTCTTTTTCAAACCTTTACTTTCTCTTCCGCACTCATATTTCTCATAACCAAGTTTTAAAATGGCGAGAGACGATTTGAACCATGAAACCTACTTTAAGAAAGGCCAAAGAAAGGATTTTGACAACCTTGAGATTTGAATGCTCTTTAACGCTTGAACGCATATTGCGCAGATTTCTGCGCAGAGCCCCTTTAAAGCTCGATATCTCTTACTTTAGTTGACCAAAATTTTTAATGGACCCCCACTTTAGGAGCTCTTTTTCGATGAGGAATCCGAATCTGGCATCGAAAAAAAATTTTGACTTCAGCATAAAAATTTGGCTTCAGAACGAAAATTTCCGACTTTTTCGAATCATGATTTTTTAGCTTTTCAACAGCTCTAAATTAATTTTTCCCTCGATGAAAATTATTTTTTTCCACGTTTAATCGCATTCTTGCATCAAATTAAATATAAATTTTATCATAAGTATATATTTTGCACATTTGTATTTGCGATCAATGAAATCGAAGAAAATTGAAAAAAACTGGTTCATTATCGAGTTACTTGAGAAATCATTATTTTTAGCAAGGTTCGGGTTAGTGTTAGGATTTTAAACTATTATAAGCTTGTTGGCAAGCGTCTGAGCTTCATTCTGGTAGCTTTGATTTTTTCAAATCTCGACCACAGTCGTCGCTAGAGCGCTCTGAAGGTACTGCGCAGAAATCTGCGCAATATGCGTTCAGCAGGAAAAATATTTTGTGCGTTCATGCGTTAAGACCGTTCAAACCTAACTGTTCTTATGTCATTATCAGCAAGAAGAATTTGCCATCCGATGTTCCGTAGATTTGATGATGTTTACATACATTTAGAGCATTTGCATCCCTGTCTGTTGGAAAAGGTCGCCCGCAGTGGTTAACCAACGAATATATACCCTTTAATTGAATTAAAATTACTCCTTCGACGCAAAAAAGCAACAGTTCACTACAACAGTTATCAAACCCAAGAGACGAAGAAAACCGTATTAGATTTTTTGGTGAAAAACGAGCAGTAGATAAATAATTTGCTGTAAGGCCTCTCTTCGATATTTCGTGTGCTCGCAGCGGGACACGATTCTTCTTCTCAGGAGCGTAGTTTTCATTCAGGGAGTTTTTTCGTCGCCTATAAAGACATCAGAACAAACAATAAATTAACACATTTGACGCACACTTGGACACGGCACTACTCAAAGTCTGAAGTGCTACGATTTTATTTCTTTCGCTCTTTTTATTACATTTTTTTAATCGAAAACTCATATGACGAAAACGTATAGAGATTACCGTCCAGATGGGAAGAAGAGCTGAGTATGTTCAGATCCGACTTATGGTCAGTTCAAGTGCAGTGATTCGACTCCGTAAAAATTCTTTTCAGCGCCTGTAATGATCATTTCGGCCAATTTGTTGAAAATGATTTGAGCTCAAGTAGCTCAAGTTCGCTCGACTTTTACGATTTTAACGAGCTCTACGAACTTGATACAACATCAGATGATCATTTGATTCAAGACCAACATTCTGCCTCTATTTTCAAAGAAATCGGTAACTAAAAACTCCGCTTTTCTCCAATAAAAATCAATTCTAGCGATTATCACGTATATCAGCTTGGGAGTACCTGCAAATCTTTTGATTATTTATGTATCTATTTCGTCTCTTAGGACTGGTTGACTCTCATTTTTCCTGAAATCTAACCATTGTTTTTTTCAACCTCGAAGTAGAAGAAATCCAGCTTCAAACTGGCTTATCATTAATCTTTGTATATCTGACCTCCTCGTCCTCGTCCATTCCATCCTCGGCTTGTACAAAGAATTCAATCGAAATTGGCGCCCTGGTTCCTCCTTCACTTGTAAATACTACCAAGGCTCCAACCAGCTGTTTCTAACAGTCTCGATCTTTTCCATCGCCGCGATTTCGTTCGATCGTTACTACGCAATTTCTGGCAAAGACGGGGCAATCTCCCTAATTGACTTCGACCACAAGCGGTTTATATATTTGACGATTTTGGTCTGGCTCAGTGCGTTTTTCATCACAATCCCGACTTTTCAAGCGGCGGAATATAGCTTGAATGCGTTTAATCAGTCGGAATGTATGCTCAATTGGCATCATTTAGACAAAGATCAATGCTTAGTTTTGCTGGAGGGAGAAGACACAGGAAATACGCTTGAAAACTTGAGTTTCTCCTTGTTGATTTCAACTTTCAAGCCTTGAAAAAGAAGATTGTCGGAATTTGAACAAATGCGCTATCAAACAATACCGGAATCAGAAATTCTATGACATTGTTTTTCTTCTTCTTGGGTTTTGTATCCCCTTATTCATCTCCGGATATTCTTATGTGAAAATTTTGAAAGAAGTCAAACTCACCAGAGAACGAATTTCACGCCTCTCGGGTTCGTCAAAAATTTTTTCCACAAAGCAAACCCACACCTTTTTAAGGCTCGAATCGACAAGGCTCGAAGAATAAATACCTACTCGTTACGATCATCGCTAGTTTCTGCGGAAATCTCATCAGCTGGATGTGCTTTGTTCTCTTCAAATTATTCCGAGTTTTGAATATTCATCTTTCTCACAGGGACTGTTATTTCTTCGAGAAAGCGGATGATATTCTTATATACACTGGACCAATTCTCAACCCGATTCTTTTCTCATTCGTTGGCAAAAATTTTCGACGAAAATTTAAGGTGTCACTTTTTCAGTTCATAGATCAAACTTTCTAGATGAAATTCGCCAATTTGAGGTCGCAGACAACAAGAAGGCTTCCAAAGCAAGATTCGATTACTCAAATGAGGTACCAATGATTTTTCAAAACCCTGTTTTACCCCGATTCTAGTTTCTTGAGAAGCTTCACGGGAAGCAACGAATCGAGTTTTCGCGTATCGCGTGGGAGAAAATCAGCAAGAAGAACTCCGTCCGTCGAGTCGACAATTTAACTTTTTTTTTTATTTACAAGTTCAATATACACAGTTATTCGTATACAATCTGACTTTTTCATTCTTTGAACAAAAAGGTCGCAAAATGACTTCCGTCAGTTTCAGCGGCTAAGATAAGAGTTTCTTTGCCCTTTTGATCGCTTGGATCATTCGACTTTGTTGATCTTCTTCTGGGCTTTTTTCGAACAGAAAGAATGAAATGTCCAACAGCGGAGAGCATTCCAAATCCAGCAGCGCCAACAACAACGATGCTGAAAATCATCACCAGATAGTCTTGGTGCCCAGCGTGGGATCAGAGACGTTTTCCAGGCCAAGCCCAGAGCGAGTTCCAAAAGGGCGCGCGAGAGGTTCGAGGGGCGAACAGCTGAGGCACTCGCAAGTAACGCGGTAGGAAGCGCGGTAGGATACGAGGATTAGCAAATTAGCTGGGTCCCAGGTGTAAGCGGGTTATATCAGAGCGGAAGTTCTCTCATCATTTTCATCAAAGTGCGGACAAAACAACTGAATGCAGCAGAAGGTAAGACATAAATATATCATTCGAATCGAAATTTCGCGAGAAAAATGGATTTCACTGAAACTGTTGAAAAACTAAAAAGTGTGCCAAGATATGCCCCCCTGATGACAGTTGATTCGGAAGTGGGCTAAAGCGAAATCCGACTGTTTCTTTGTGAGCTGATTTGTTGCTTCTCAGACGTTTTGTTTTTAAGAGCCTGTCTGCCAGACAATACCGCATGGTTATCAACTACAATTAAAAATGAACATTGTCATTGAGAGAAAAAAATCTGTATAGAAGGTTTACTTACTCTTGCTGGATGTTCGCCAATATTCAATTCCATAAAAGTCATCTGTTTAGCTGAGTCTTGTTTGACCTCAACTTGGCATCCTTCCTGCATGAAAATATACTTCTTTGACCTGTGAGCCTTCCAGGTCATTGTTGATTTCTCAGCCATGTTAATTATCCAGTCACAGCCTTCAGTATCATTCATTCCTTCCCAGTTTGGCTGGTGAATGACGCCACGAGACTGCTTGAAAATCGTGCGACTTTTGACGACGGAATTCAAACCCTAGCTCGAATATTTTAATATTCAAGGAGCAACGAGGATCGAGAGTAAGTGGCTGTGAATTTTTAATTGCTCAATCAATTAACCCGTGTTTTCAACCCTTTATCTTACCTTGGAGGTTATACACGTGACTAGAAGCTCCTGATAAAGCCGCTGAACAACGATTTTATTATCTTCTTGCCACTCGCCTCGAGAAAACAGCCTGGTTTTCATCCCTTCGTCGCTAGAATTGTGATAGCATCGGACATAAAACTGGATTGATAGATCTTCAAGGACAAAGTCTTTGGAAATATCTTTTTGGATAATCTCTCCCGTGTTCAAATTCACCATTTCCATAACAAGTGGAAGATCTTCGCAAGTTTCAGAAGCAAAATCGCGGAATCCGATTTGTTTGGTGACTTCTGGATTGATCGACTCGCACTTGAGCTGGTCGAATTTCGCGATGACACCTGGATTTCGCTTTTCTAGCGCGTCAGACCACGTGACAAAGCTCTCGATGTCGCACGAGCAAGAATATGGATTATTTTCGAGATGAAGGCGGATTAGAGATGAAGGCCTGTTAAACGCGCTCTGAAAACTGAACGATGCTGATAATTACTGAATTGGATGGATTAAATATTCTTGTAGTAGGATTATCTTTCTGAGCGGGTCCTGTACGAATCGATTGCTTGAGTGATTCCACCAAGTGACATGAGCCGATTTCCATTCAGGCGGAGATACTCCAATCCTGGCAGCTTGGACGGGTTCAATAATGGAGAATGATTTTACACTTGTCTACTAGTTGACAAATGACTTTTTGTGAATATTTTACTAAGAGATACATGTCTCTTTATCCTGATGATAACTTAACCCTTCCCTCATTCAAGCAGTCCCAGCCAAAAAAATTCAAATAATTGTAACTCAAATCCAGCTCCGTCAAAAACTTGAAGATGTATCCTTGATTTGAGCATCGAAAAGAGATGAGCTCATTTTTGCTGATGAAGATTGAGGTGATATTGGCTCGATGAGGAAGGAGGGTGTGGAGATCGACGGAACGAATCCGATTTCTGTCCATTTTTAAAACTGTTGTCGAGTTGGGAAATGATTCGGGAAAAAGGGTCATGTTCGAATTGAAGCAGTTGATGTAGCCGCCACGGTCGCAGAGGCAGTGATCTGGGCAACTCTTTAGCGGGAAATTTAGTGATTGTTTGTTTCGAAAATTTTTGAAGAAAAAAGTTAGAATTAATTTTTCGCTTTTTTATTTTTTGCTAAATTTCCTTTCCAAAAGCGCCAAAAACAATTTCTTTCAAAGTCAACAGCAAAAGTCCTCTGATTTTCATTTCCCCTTGAGTATTTTTCTTCTATCAAGTTCTCTCTTTTTTTTTCTTGAGCTGTCGACCTCAAAAGTTCCAGTAGCTGAAAGGCGGGTAGATCCTTGATAGAATATTCAATTGGGGAGAGGGGAGATGGTGGCTGAAAATTGCTCCCGAAAGTGAAAAACTTGTAAGTTCGTGAATTATTTATCAGAAGTGGAAGGCAGATGGGCACCGGGGCTCAATTTTACAGCCACCCGTCTCCTTAGACAGTATTGATCGCTGTCCAAATAATATCACTACAGTATCAGCCGCATCATCCTGTCGCAATTAATATTCTTTCACCAGTCAAGCACGCTCAATTAGAAAACCACAACAAAGCAATTGACAATTGTTTAATTAACCCCTATTTTTTTAATTAACGCCGAAACGCACAGCGACCAATTAATTGGTACAATGCCCTCTAATGTCATTCCGACACATTTGGAAATTTGCATATTTACTCATATTTTTGCAATGATATGGGTTTAAAATGGGGATAAAATTGAAGCTTAGCGTCTGAGAATTATTTATCTTTATCATTTATACAGTAGACTAATCAGTTTCATTGCTAAAAAAGGGTAAAAGGGGCATACCAATTAATTGGTACGATCTGCGTTCAATGTTGAAAAAATTTTATGCGTTCCGGCGTTAAAAATAAAGATGCCTCTGGTGAAAAATAAAACCACGCAGTAAATATTTTGATCTTAATATTTTATGCAACTCGAATGAATTTTTTTCAAAAAAAAGCATTCTAATTCACATTCGTCAATAATCCTAACTCAGTCAAATGGTCTCGAAATACGGCATTTATCGTCAGATTCATCCGCATCGGAAATGAGTGCAAACAGGTAAAATTCCAGTTGCCGTTTATCGAAAACTGTTTATTTAGTTCTAAGCTAATAGATTGGCATGAGTTTTGACAAATGTCCATCAAAACGTCAACTTTCTGACGAACCGCTTTTGTATCATAGTTGTGAAATCATTAATTTTCATAAGAGAGAGCTGTTGAAATCAAGGAAGAGAGTCGATTATGAAAAAAATTTTGCTTGCGCTTTTAGGACTTGGAACTGGACAGACGTTGAGCAGTTTCAGTGCAACGGTAAAATATATTGTAATAAGTTTAAAAAATCAATTATTTTTTTGTTAAAGATAAATCTTGAAAACCCATGTGGATCTACCGAAAATGCACAAGATTGCGAGCTCAACCTCGAAGCAATCACTGCCATAGCTTGCGAGGGTCTGTTCAATTGCTCTGGATCTTTTTCGTGGCCTGATGACGAAAAGCCTGAAGGTGTGACAGATGAACCGATAACGAATCCGCTCATAGTTGAAGACAAAGTCAAAGACAACTGCAAGGATTCCCACGAAATAATCGCAATTCCTGGCCAGTTTGAGGACGATCCGACGAATCAACTGCCTAACATTTGGCCAGTACCGCCTCATATCCCAATTCTTGAACCATTTATGAATCTTATGATGGGCATCGAAGATGCAAATAACGGGATATTTCCATGTGATATCATATTGAATTTTGCGGAGAAATGTCCCGCAGACAAGCCTACAAACCAAGCTCTTTGTGATCGGATAAAAGATGTTATTCGTGAAGTTTTTGATACGTTGGAGAAGGAATTTCCAACTTGTCTTGAATCATTTGAGTGTCTGCCTGATTTCTTTGCTGATATTTGTCCGGAGCATATTGAATGTGAGGGAGACATGCCCATTGACAGTAGCAGTAATGTGTGTCTCCCAACTGTCGGTTGGCCAAGAGCACTTCTTATCAATACAAATTTACTTCAACATCAACTCATCGAAAAAGAAGGGGAATTCAAAATAAACACAACTGGTATCCTCACACGTGGCTCCATGTATTCATTTTACGGAAATAAGCATTATTTTTTTGGTGGCGAAGACTTGATTTTCGGTGAAAACAGAAAGTTCGAAGAAAATGTTGTTTATCTTGCTGACGGAGAATTCAAACGCAGTGAGACCCGTTTACCAGAGTATGACACAAACAAAATCTACAGAGGATTTGCGCGAGGTGCTGCAGCAATTTTCCAAGGAAAAGTTTGGATTTGTGGAGTTGGTTTTGCACCAGACACATGTTATTTCTTCTCTGGGAAGAAATTCGACAAATCAAGTTTGTATATATTTTAAATGTTTTTATCGATAAAAATAAGATGCAAAATTGAACATTGGACACACTGAGTACCCATCGCTGCTATCAACAAACAAATTCGGTCTTCTTATCTCCGGGGGCCGGACGGAAGTGACCTACCCTGAACAAGATTGGGTCTCTCACGGACGACGACTGGCTAATGCTGAGGCTTTTGAAGCTTACGACGGTTCTGAATGGAAGAAAATAGGATAGGTTCTCAGGAATTCAAAAGTCCTTGACGCTCACAGTTAAGAATTTGTTGCGAATCAATTGAAGATGTAATTGATCAAACAGACTTAAAAATGTTTTTATCGCATCATTTAAGCATTGAAATAAATAATAAAATATATATCCTTGGAGGAAATCAGGGAAATAAGGCTCATCCTTCTCTAAAACTTACTCTTCCTGAAGGTATTTTTCTTCTTTTTTACCACAATAAATCATTAAAAGGGTGCAACAACGTTTTCAAGAAAAATTGCAATCCAATTTTAACAAGTTCTGTGGAGCTTAACCAGTTTCGTCAGGGACGAGGTTTCTGGAAGAACAACATTTTGACGATGGTTGGAAACTCCTTGAGTTCTTTTGGTACTTTTCATGAGCAACTGACATTGGACGATAATGAAGAGATGACCGTTATAAAAGTATCGAATTCGCCGGGACAAGAGCAAAGTGTGAGCATGTTTTATGATGCTGCAATTTTTGATCGATGTCTACTCTATTCGAAATCATCGAAAAGGGAAAAGTCAATCTTGAGAAAATCAACTATACAATCTCATCCGCTTGAAAAGATATTTGAGCACTCTTTGGAACGGATTTGAAAACATATGAATTTAATTAAGGAATTAAATGATAATTAACAATTAAATTTGTAATCCCTGACAGACTGTATTCTTTGAGACTTACGATGCACTTGATTCTGTCCAGGAAAGTATCGTTGAAAATTTGACCCCTGAAAAATCAGGAGAGACACTTGACGAACTTGCCAATATGGAAGAATTTAAAGAATTGGACAAAGAAGATGTTCTTACTATTACAAAAGAAGTTCAAGTTCAAGAAGAAATTTTACCGGATATTCGACCACTCTCAAAATGTATAATTTTTAGATGATTTTGTTGATATTAAAATTCATTTAGATCTCGAATACTTTGATTGCGTAGATCACGAAGAAGACGAGTTCTGCTCACACTGTGAAACCGACTGTGATTGCTCGTTCAAGAAAGATAAGAGTGACTGTGATGCATTCTTCTTCACTGTTGAATTGGAGATATCTGCCAAAACTGAAGCCGAACAACTGCAAATTCTAAAACATTTCAAAGATTCTATTAATCTGACCATGTTTGAGGATGATGAGGAGTCTTGCAATGCATGCCAAATTCCAACAACTGAGTCTTTCCCGACGGATTCGCCATTAACTGAGGCCCCGACGACAGAATCGCCAGAAACGATTCCAATAACGATTGAGCTACTGCCTACGACATCTGATCAAGAAATAATCGACGAAACTACTCTGCCTGAAATAGACACGACCATTCTTCCGGAGATAACATCAACATCCTCTCCTGAAAACAACGAAGAAGATGACGAAGTTTCGATTCTCGCGATTGTTCTAAGCTCTTCTTATGGCGCCCTCTGTTTGACAGCAGTAACCGGATCAGTGTTCTTTGTCTTCAAAGCGAAGAAGAAGACAGTTGCGATTGTTCTCATGATTTCAGGTATCAACTCTCAAAAAATCACTCTCAAATGTTCAGTTATTATGCTTTCAATCCTGACCGCTTTGCAAATCACTTGTTATCTGAAGAATCAACTGGACGAAGCATCATTCTTAGGAACATTTATCCTGACTGTTTTATTCGGCGTCGTCTCGATTCCAACCCTTCTGTTCTAGCGCAACGGCGATTTTAAGGAAACAATAAAAAAAGATCCAAGAGATTGAAATGATAACTGCGTTAACTATATCATATTTAATACAAAAAATTGAAGAATAAAGATAATTTAGGACTCTCAGCAGAGCATTGGATTGCTTCTATAATAAATATGAAGCGGGTTGATCTTGTTGAGCTTTCTCAACTCTACTTTTTCGTCTATCGAGGCAATCATGTGTTTTTGCCGCCGCTCATCGGATTTTTCGTAATCATGAAGAATTTCTGGGTCTTCTTCTTCGTCGGTGTCTTTTAGATAGGTTTCGAGCAAGCCGGTTTCGAAGTTATTTTCTTCGTAGAATTTCTGAAAATTGAATAAATTCAAATTAACGTTTCTGTTTTGGCATACAATAACTCTTTTGATGTAATAATTGACCGTCGTTTTCATTTTCGGCTTGAAAATTTCGAATTTCAGCGGCTCTTTCTTTCGATAAAACGCTCCTTGGCTTTCGGACATACAGGAAAGTCGATTTTCTCGATCAGGAATTTCAATTTGGAAGTTGTCGCTGTACCAATCGAGAAATTTACTCATCTCTTTCGACGAATCTGAAGGTTTTTCAGCTTGTTTTGCTGATTTTCGGGATGACTTACCCTGCAAAAGATTTTCGTAGAAAATTGTCTTGATTGGAATATTGACCTCTTTTGCGTATTTTGGGAACCAGGATACGGAAGAAGCCCATCTTTTTGCTCGAGCTAGAATTTTTATTAAATTTTCATCGTGAAATTCGCGACTTACGTTCAATAAACTGCTCCCACTCGGTCTTATTATAAATCTTTGGATCAACCTGTCCGGTATGCGTTGAGCTCATTTGCCGGTTAAAATCTGCTTTGAACGAATCGTACGGGTTTCTTATCACCATGACAATCCCATCTGCATTTTCGGAATTCGAGTTAGAATGGCTTTTTACAACAACGGTTCTGCCACTCGTTGGAGGTTCTAGCTCGCCGATGAAGCCGTTTTTGAACATTGTTAACTCATTGTAAACTTTTTCGGGACAAAAATAATCGAAACAAAATGTGGAAAAAGCAATCTTGCATCCCTTTCCTGAGCCAGAATAATACCCCGTCGCAGTTTCAATCAACAATCTGGACCAAGTGTTCCCGCTTCCAGGATTACTCGTCAAAATTATTAACGGCAATTCATCAAAATCAGCAAGTTTCGTTTTCAGAACACAACTTTCTAAAACACTTTTTTATTTTTCCTTATGAAAACTTCGATTTCAAACCTTCTTCTGCTGTTGATAAATTCTCGGCATCAAATGTTTTACTTGAAATTTCTTCTAAAGAACTTTCGCAAATGAAAATATAAAATAGTGTGATTGATAAAATTGTGATTACGAAATTTCTCTTATCACTGAAAAATATTGCTAGACTCATCCTTTATTTAGGGAGCGTAAATTTAAAATGATTTTTATGAAGTTACGGTGACCCCGGAGCCGGGCTCAGGGTAAAACCGCCGCGGGCCAAGGACAGGGCTAAACACTGGAATTTGTCAGAGAAGGGATTATTTGCTTGAAATTTGATTATCCGAATAAGAAGCGAAGAAATAAAGTGAAGTTTTATCGTTTTTGCGTCTTGTAACGAGACAAAGCGTCACCTGCTTCCTTTCCGCTTATTGATAGCGCTGTTTGATTTTGACTGAATTGACGGTGGATTTTTCAAAAAAAAACATTTATTATCGGTTGACATGTTGAAAACGATTAAATTTAATGCATTTCGGGGAAGTTAGCAGTTTCATTAGTCACAAGAGTCCATTGAAATTGAGGGTCATTTTCATTAAACGGCAATACTTTTATTGATAAAAACATTTTTTCTTCTCCTCTCCAAGCCAATTCAACTCCTAAATCTCGGAATAATTTCAAACAAAATTTAAATCGTACCATTAGTGTTGTTGACTGTCGTTTTAATCCAAAAATCTTGACAATCTGGTTCCTATAAAGAGTTCATATTAAATTCATTATCCATAATTTAACAAACGTTGCATGCTTTTTCAAGTTTCCAAGTTTGCAAAAATCCCGTTTTTCCCTCATTTTCGTGTTTGACTTCATCGCCGATCTCGAGCATATCTTTTTATAGACAGTGTACGCGAAATAAAGACTTTTACCTTTCGCAAAACTTGCTCGGCAATTGCCTTGCGCTCCACAACCATGTGTATTGATAAAGTACTCATTTAGTTTGTAAGTTGGCTCAATCTCAATATGATGAACTTCAATCTCGGGTGTGGTGAGCATATAAGGAAGATAGGCGTTTCCGCACGTTACAGAATGCTGAATTTTTAAGAAAATTAAAGAATATTAACAAACTAACCTCATTGTTGTTGTTGTTCCAAAATCCCACAAGTTGATTTTCGAAGCATCTTGGTCCATCATCCATCTCTATGCAAACACCATCACATTCGGTATTGAAGCAAGTGTTTGTCACTGGAGGCAAGTTCTCACACAAATCGCCTGTAACATCTTCAGGGCACTCACACGTGAACGAGTCATCCCCGGTATTCTGGCATGCTCCGCCATTTTGGCAAGGCCGATCCATGCAAGGAAACGTTTCGCACCTTTCCCCAGTGTAGAACTCGGGACATTTGCATACAAAATCATCGCCGTTCATACTACACTCGCCATCATTGAAACATGCTGGGGGAAGGTCAGGATTTGTGTTATTGCAAGGAGTAATTGAACAATCTCTGCCGCTAAATAGCTCAGTTGGACACTCGCACGACCAAATTGGACCAAAATAACTGCACTCTCCATAAGCACAGGGCTTCTTGTCACAGGGAGTTATCTCACAAAATTCCCCTGAAAAGCCAATGCGACAGTCACATGTATACGAGTCTTCTCCAGCTTCGCATCTTCCATTTTCACAAGTATTGTTGTAACAATGGTCTTTTTCGCAAAAATCTCCGAAAAAGCCCGGAAGACAATCGCATTCTGCAAAGTCAACATGCAAAATGCAGGTGGAGTTATTTTCGCAAGGATAATCATGACAACGATCAAGTTCACAAAACTCTCCGGAATATCCAGAATCGCAATTACAAATGTAACCAGCTCCGTCAACTTGACAACTGCCAAAAACACATTCATGATCGAAACAAGGATCGATTTCACAGAGGCTTCCACTGTAACCATCTTTACATGAGCATGTGAACGAACCATTTTCATCAAAAGTACATTCTCCAGCATTTTCACAAGGATTATTTGTACAAGGGGTTTTCTGACAATTTTCACCATAAAATCCTTGAGGACAGCTGCAATCGTATGAGGTCCCGTTAACGTGACAACTTCCGCCATTCATGCAAGGATTTGGATTGCAGAGCTCAGTTTCACAGTGTTGACCAATAAAACCTTCCTTGCAAATGCATTCGTATTCTTTTTTCTCCTCGTCATAGACACAACTGGCGTCATTTTTGCAAACTCCACTGTCGCAAATATTTTTATCGCAAAAATCCCCACCGAATCCATCATCACAATCGCAGTACCAGTTTCCATCTTCAATGGTACACTTTCCATTTTCGCAGGGATCATGATCACATGGTGTTGTTTCACAATTCTTCCCGGAAAAATCGGGAGGACAGAGACATGTGTAAGAATTTCCTTCGATCAGACACTCTCCTGTATTCTTACATGGATTGTTCGTGCATAGTGTAATTTCACAGTTATCTCCGGAAAAACCGCCCGGGCAGAGACAAGCGTAGCCATCTCCAGAAACTGAGCACACGCCTTCATACAAACACGGCTTTGACGCACAAGGTTCTTTCTCGCATAACGACCCTGTGAATTCAGGCGAGCATTTACAGATAAAAGTCCCATCATCTTTATCAAAATCACAAATCGCTCCATTCTGACAAATATCCCCCGAGCAAGGATCGATTGTGCAGTTTTTGCCAGAGAAACCAGTATTGCAGCTGCAGCTGTATTCTCCGTTGACAATTTCACAAGTGCCATATTGACAAGGATTATTGGAACAAGGAGTGATTTCACATAGATCTCCAGAGAATCCGTCGTCACATTTGCAAGCAAAATTTTCATCATCAACAGCATAACATTCTCCGTTTACACAAAGACTTTGATCGCAAGGGTTGATCTCGCAGTTTGCTCCAGAAAAGCCTTCGTTACATGCGCAAATGTAGCCATCTCCGTCGATTGAACATTGTCCATTGTTCTTGCAAGGATTTTCAGAGCAGACGTTCGTGTCGCCCTCGTCATTCAATTCGTACTTTCCATAAAGGATCGGCGATGTGATGGTGGAGCTCAGAGCAACAAGTGATACTCCTACTGCCACTGCTTGCGCCTAGAAAATAAATTTAACGGGTATAATACCTGCGCAAAAACTTGCTTACGATTCGACGGTTTCTCGAAACCGTCATTTTTTAAAGCAACGCCTATTTTTTCACAAGGCTTAGCTATCTCTTTCACTGAGGAAAAATAGGAAAATTTGAACTCTTGCTTCCTGTCACGGGAATCTTGTCTTACCCGACATCGCGCCCCCTGTGGAAGTCCTTGAAGTTAAGATAATCTGGTCAATCTGTTCTGATAGATTTGATCAGGGCTATTTGCAGTTCTGGTGTTTTGGAAATCAAAGATTGTTGTCTGCTTGATTTTTTTTATGTTATATGAAAAAAAATTGTTTTTTTATTTTTCTCTTTTTTATGAATATTTGACACAGTAGCAAATTTTGAGAATACCCCAAAAAAGTTTTGAATACAAAGTTTTGACAGTTTATTCGAAGCTGTATTTGGACTGTGTCAAAAACTTCCTCACTGTCAAGATCTTCAAAAATAGTTCTGATTAGAATTTCCAGGGTTTTTCATGATCAAAGCAAATTCTGGTTGCCTTTTTCGCAATTTATTTTTTTTTATTCTTTCAAATGTTGATTTTATAATCGGGTCACAACTTGTCTGATTTCTTTGTCTTTAAACTTGACTTTACTTAGTGTTCGTAACGCATGAATTTATTTCATTCGTCAAAAAATGTCCCAGTCAAACCGTTTCCTCGTCATTTCCTTTTTAAGTTAACTGTCAAACTTACTGTACAAAGACAGACTTTTACGTTATCATCTGTATCGGCTGATTCCCCCGCCAGAAGTATCTCCGGAAACATTGGTATCTGGGGCGAGCAAATAATTAGTTGAGTGATGGTATTGACAATTAAAGTGACTGCATGATCAATGATTTGTTGACAACTGCAGATTTATTGACTCAATCTGCTAGGGCATTTAAGGACTTGTCTTGCTTGATACCTGGATCTATGAAAGCGATTCTAAAATTGGAAGCGGACGAATAATTTAAGACAGCAAAATTATATTTTAAATAATTTAAAGAATTTCATTGAAAGAACAGTAAGAGTGTTACAATTTCATAATTCGAATCCCTGAAAGTCGGAGCTGGATGACGCAAGGATGGCGATACGGAAAAGTAGAATTCTAAAAAGACCCATCATCGAGGGAGATCGACAAGAAAGTACCTTTTCGCCTTGCCAAACCGCTCGGATGAAGTAAGGGTTCTCAACAGCAACATTCAACATTGAACGAACTTTAAAAGTCTTCAGCACAATCTGCAATAGACAGATAAGAACTTAAATGCTCAATGAATAATTTGCGCGAAATTAGAAAACTCTCCAAAAGGATCAGCACATCTCATTCTCTCCTTGACTCCCCAAGTCCTCATCGTTCTCCTCAAAGGCACTAGAAGTGGTAGACATCGTTTCAGAGGCTTTTCTCGTTCTCCGGAGATCAGTTCTTCTCGATTAGCTCCTGCTCGGTCGAAGGAAAGGGCATTTTGCGGAGAAATTAACTCGTCGGTCATGATTTTCAAAAGCTTTTCCGGAAATTTTACTGAAGAAAAATAATTATCCTTCGAGTCAATTCATGCTAACCCAGTTCGAATTCGTCGTCGTTGTTTTTCATCGTCCTCGAATGCCGCCCAGAAAAAGCTTTCATCCCTTCGACATTTCCAATCGCTTGAGCCCCAGATTTCTTTATCATTTTTGATTTTCGATCAAAATCGAAAAATGCTTGATTTTCTTGTTCCAAGGCCAATTCCAATTCGTCCTTAATTTTTCACTTTCAGATATAGATAAACTAATCCGTACCAGTGGGCCTTGGAACTTAATTTTGCTCGTTGGGACTAGAATTGTCGTGAATTCTTTGCCAAAAGAAATGCTTGTAGGAGAAACATGGTAAGTTTCGATGGAGAAGTCGTCGAGTCGTCCGTTTCGAGATTGCCTGCTTTGAAAAAATGTTGGTCGAGCTTCGCAAGTTTTGGAGGCGGCTTGACAACGGAAGCATTCGCCGCGATTTTTCGTCTCGAGACCAAAGTTGTACAGTTGCCCTGAATTAATGAACTTCAGAAGCAAGTTCAATGAACTTTCTATTATCTAGATGCTTCTTGCCAAATTGACTTGGTACTGGTTCAACGGCTTGAACCCGAGCAGCTCTCTATAAGTACCGAGAAATTAATACATTCATTCTTAATTCTTCTGGAGCGCTATATAAACAAGACAGCCGTATCCAAAGCCATCAAAAACAAAGCAAAAAATGATCTTTTCGATTTTACTATCAATTGTAAAGGGATTAAACTTGTATGATATGAACAACTTGAGACAAGCCTGCTTGAAAGCAAAATTAAATAGTGAGTTGATATTGAAAAAAAGATTTAACGCTTTGCAGAAGTGCTCGATTCCGGCGAAGGAATGAATTTGTTCTCAAGTGACAACGAATGCGACCAATTTCTGAATCTCTTCGCCGACTGGTACACCGAGCAACCCGACATGAATTTCCTTTAGAAAAAAAAAATAAACTCACCCATGTTATACGCCAGTGACTTCTCCGCCGCTTCAAAATTCATCATGTTCGGCTCTCTTCCGTCTGCCTTACGTTTTTTCTGTTTGAGAAGCCATGAGCTGAGCTCGATGAATTTACTTTTGAACTTGAGTTTTGTTGGACAAAGACAGGCAGTTCCTAAGGGCCCGTTCCAGCAGCAATCGCATCCGAGGAGATCTTCCTGGCCCTTGATTTGGGCTAGTTGGTCGCTGAGTTTTTGACTCGAGCAGTTGCATCGCTCAAGAACAGTGAGAAAGGATCCGAGTTCTTCGATCGTTTTCCATTCTTTGCTGTCAAGGAATTTAATAAGAGAAAAAAAAATAGAGTAAAGAAAAACCATAAGATCACTTGTCTTTTCAATCTATGATTATTTTGAATGAAAGAAGCCATAGAGTATTAAAAAGCTTTAAATATAGCAATTTCATCTTCCGTCTCTAAAATCCCGACCTAAAATCGTCTTTTCCATAAGAAATCGCGAAAAGAAAAATAAAAAGAAATATTCTTCCTCTCATTTTACCTGTCTTTTCTCGGGAAAATCAAACGCTCGGTACAGTTGAAGACACTGAATAATTGAGAACAAGTGCTCAACTTGAAAACCGAAGCACTAGAAGCCGAGATAATACATGCATCCTGTCGCTCATTTTTCTTTTAAAATTGTGATTAGATAAGATTTAGTCTGATCCTGGCATTTATATCGGGATCTTTCGCTCTTAGAGGAGCAAAATTCACGATGCCTGACACTTCTGAATAATTCGATTTGACAAGCGTAAATATCATCCAACTCAGGGACACATTTTCAAGGAAGTTCAACGGCTTATACGAGCAATTCGGTACAAAAACTATGACTTGAAGATGTCATTCCTTTTTTCAAGCTGGTTTCTGATAAAAGCCTTAATAATTATTCTTTATAAAACGACAATCATTTGATAATATTTTAGAAAAACGAAAAATTTGATTGCCCAATGAAGCAAAAAAATCATTGTTAACGCAGTTCTGCTCACTTCCTCTATCAAAAACGCTATGTTTACTCCTAACCAAGAGTTAATAAAAGACCAAGATTTTCATTTTTAACTGATAACCCGTCGCGCCCTAGGGCATCGAACTCAGACTACATTTGAATTGAAGTGACTTGAGGAGAAATTTTCATAAATGTCTTGCTAAGAGACGTTAATTCTTGAACGAAAACAACAAAAAAGTAAGATTCATATAAAGAGAAAAGCCTTCAAATATGTTGAGCAAATAAATCAACGAAAAGGTGCTAAAGAAAATGACTCACTTTCAAAGTATCATCCCTTTTTTACTTCAGTTTTTCATTGCCAAAATACAATAAGAAATCGATTTTTTGACAAAAAATTGACATTCCGTAACCCTTTAGTTTACTCTGTGAAAATGAAACTTTAATTTACTTCAAATAATTATTTAGAAACTAAAAGTCAAATTTCTTAATCGCAATTGACGCAAATTTTTTCTATTAAATCCAATTAAGAATTCTTCCTACTTCCTACGTATAATTGTCAACTAGAAAAAGCTACGTAATAATTTCAAGTACTCATGCTCGCACGACTTCCTTATCTTTAATAACTTATCATCAGGCTCTCATTAACAGAAGATCATCATGAAGGCTCATGGGTCGCGACTCTTGAGCGCCTCAACCGCTTTTCTACTTTTCCTTTTCGTTACTCCGCCTGCTGCTTCTGCCGATGAACCAACTGATGAAATCGTAAAATCCGAACCTTCAAAAGAGATTCTGAATCACAAAGAGGAGATCCTGCAAGAACTTGAAAAAATAGTTGAATCGGACAGAGAAGATCCTGAATCGGAAGAGATTTTGAAAGAAATGGTGTTTCCGGATTCCGAAATGGAAATTTTAGGCCCGGTTTGAAAAAATGGAGAACATTTTTAGGGTTCTTTGTACCGTAGTTTTTTCTCCAGAAATAACGCAGCTATCGACCATTTTCAAACCTTATTCACAGTAACCGGTGGCGCAGGATTTATCGGTTCTCACACAGTTGTCGAGCTCCTGGAAGCCGGCCATCACGTGACAGTTATCGACGATTGCAGTAACACCGCTCCTCCAACACGAGCTGGTGGCATTCCTCCTTCCCTCGAACGCGTGCAACAAATCGTTGGACCAATTGCCGCGAAGAGGCTAAAATTTGTCCTTGGAGATGTTACGGATCCACAAGACTTGGACTTTGCTTTTGGTCATTCAAAGAAACACGCCGTCATTCACTTCGCAGGACTCAAAGCTGTTGGAGAATCGAAAGAAAAACCGCTTAGTTAGGGTTTTAAACCGATCATAAAACTAATTTTCACGTAACCAATCATGATTTTTAAAACCAAAAACAAGCTATTATCGCGTGAACCAGGGTGGTTCCGTCGCACTGTTAGAAGCAATGGAGAGAGCTAACTGTACAAATATCATCTTTAGCTCTTCAGCAACAGTTTATCAGCCAGCAAAAACAATTGATGATCTGCCCCTTTCAGAAGAATCACCGACAGGCGGAACCACCAATCCTTATGCAAGGAATGTTTTCGAAAGCTGAAATGATTTTCATTAAAAGAGCTCTTTAAAAACTCAAAAAGATCGAAACTGCATGTCGAAGAAATTCTCGCCGACGCCTGTGTTGCCAATTCGAATCTCTCCGTCGTCAATCTCCGCTACTTCAACCCCGTTGGCGCCCACGAATCCGGTCTGATCGGCGAAGACCCGCGAGGAATTCCCAACAATCTGATGCCCTACGTCAGTCAAGTTGCTATTGGCCGAAGACCGCACCTCAACGTTTTTGGAAACGACTATCCAACGCATGATGGAACTGGTAAGGTTACTTCTGGATATGCTCACTGAGTTGCGTCGTAGGAATGAGAGATTACATTCACGTGGTGGATTTGGCAAAGGGGCACCTGGCAGCGATGAAGAGATTCGACACTGCGTCGCGCGGTTTTGAAAGCTACAATCTCGGAACAGGACAAGGCACCTCGGTTTTTGAGCTTGTCAATGCGTTCAGGGAAGCTTCTGGAAGACCGATTCCTACAGGTACAGCTCCAGGGGGGCGTTTCTTTAATGAAATTTTTAAGTAACTGTGGAACGCCGAGCCGGAGATGTAGCTTGGTTATGGTGTGCTCCCGATAAGGCGCTAAAAGATCTCGACTGGAAAGCGACGCGCAACATCTCCGATATGTGCCGGGACATGTGGCGATTTCAGTTTAGAGTTAAGCAAAACCTGAGTCCCAAGAATTCTGAAATTTTATTTTTGGAAAATGAGAAATTTTTCTTTTTTTTTTTTCTTAACTCGCTGATAGTCGATGAACCCATCCGGATATGTGGCGGACAATTCAGAAGAACAAGAATCGACTATCAGTTCCGTGATCTCCGATGATGATTCGGACGAGTCAAAACGATCAGACTCTGGATTAAGCTCCGATGATGATAGTAATGCGATTTTTCCGAAGTTAAAGCTCACCATGAGTCCTGCAAAAAGCATATTTCATAGGAAGGGGTTGAAAAATTTTTTAAAAATGCGTTTTGTGAAAGCGAAACATTTTAAAGCCCCTTTGAAGATATATCAATAAACTGACGAGCAGCAAAAAGCACCATGGTCTCTAAGAAACTTACAGAATCGCTCATTTACTTGTAAAAAATTTTGCCAAAGTTATCGATAGTAAAATGCCCAGACTGCATGAGTCCCTCTCTCTCTATATTTTCATTGTATATTTTTTCTGAAATAAAATTCATCCTTTCTGTATTTTTTTAATCACTCTCTTTCTTTTGAATTTATTAAATTAATTTGGGTCTTTTTGAATTAATAAGACTTTATTAAATATCTTGCAGCTTTTTTTATTGAAGTATTTATACAGAGAGCTTCAGTGAGGCTTCAAGATCTCGTTCTTATTCCTTGACTTTGATTATCCTTCCGTATCCAGTCTTCCTTTCGCAGTAGAAACTAATTATGGTTTTATTCATGAAGCATATATTATAAGCTTCCCCCGTCTCTAGTACTTCAGGCATACCTGTAGCCTTCACAATCCCTTATCGCCATAAAAACTTCGTTTCCAGTGTTTGACCACTCATCTTCGATCACTACCAAATGTTTCGTCTTTTGCAGCGACTGGAGAATCAACTCCATCCCTTCGAAAAGAATGTAAAAGCTCATGAGGCATCATACCTTGAGAATCCATTTTTGAAAATTTGATAAGGTCACATTCCAGTTGATGCCTTTCAAAAATGACATCTGCGGCCTTGGAGGCGATGTGGATATTTTCTTCGAAGCACAAGATTGTAACATCAGATCCCTTTCGTTCCAAAGTCATAGAGGGCGCTTCGACAGCAGCCTTTTGAAAGTCCATGTCGAAAACGCCGGAGTCGATCATCTGATGATTCATCTCCATCTTTTGCTCAAATGAAAGATCCAACTTGATTGTGTCCCACCAGAAGTCGTAATTTTCTTCTTCATCTGTTTCTAATTTCTCATCACTGATGTTGACATTCGGGCAAACTGACTTTTTGTCGAGAACAAGTGCTTTTTCTTCTTTTTTAATTTTCATATTTTCGACAAACTCGACTTCTTTGTCACAAGAGAATGGAATTGCTTCATTTCCAGAGGACATACCTTTGAAAAAGGCAGCAGAAAAAATCATCAAGACACCTAAGAATAACGTTTAGCCACAAAAAAAACATAAATCTTGTTTTTACCCAAAAAGAAGGAAAAAACTAGGATTGACGACTGCATGGTGACATCATAACAAATCGACAGTGACATAACAAGCCCATAAGAAAAAGACTCCAAAATTTTTAATAATGCCATCAATCTTTTTGTTCGTTCGATCCTTCTTCTATCTTCTGACTCTTTGCGTTCATCTCTTGAGATCAAAATTATATGTTCGCGATTTTCTTCATCTTTTTCGACATATTTTTCAAGGGGAGTTTTTTTGGCGCTTATGTCCTGTTGTCTCTCAACATCTTTTTGATTGTTGCTCAAAATCTTTTCTGCTTCTTCGGCGACAATGAATCTTCCATCTTCTTGACGATAAAAGGTCGATTTTGTTGTTTGTTGTGATTGAAAGAATGACTTGTATCTCAGCTCGTTCAGGATTATGTCCCGTAAAATTTCGACAATATTATTTCTCATCTTTTTTTCTTTCATGATTTTGTCTCTTTTTGTTTTCTCTTCCCAGGCCGAAATCTTCTCAAAAATATTTTCCGCAAACCGATTAACAAGATTGTCTTCGGGCCCATCAATAAATTCAAAGTTATTGTTTTCTTCTTTATGATCCTCATGCTTATTCTCTTCTTTGTCTTCTATTTGCTCGTCGAAAAATGCATCATAAAAGTCTTCCTTCTCGTCTTCCAGAATTATTTCTTCCCCGTCGAAATCAAATCTTTCATGTTGAATTCGTCTTCTCTGAAAAGTATTCCAAGGCTTTCGATAAAACTCGAACAAATTCGAAATCTGGTTGGGACTATCCAAATATCGTCCATTTTGAAAAGGCGAAAAATATCCAAATTCTCTGGTCAAAAAATGCAAGTCATACAATCGGCTGTACAAATTTTCGCTGAGAAGAGGAGGTTCAAAATTGTGAAGCGTCATTTTTTTGCCGAGTTGTGGGTTCTCAACTTTTTGAAAGTTGCAGTCTTCAAATTTAATATTTGCATAGACTTGAACCGTTCGTCTGAGTTCATTTCTGAGTTGCTAAGTCTTTTGAAATTAGACAAATACGCATCGGCAGATGGTCATCTCATTGCAAGTTTTAGGTCGTCACTTCCAACCTTTCGGGATCCCGAATGTTTCGGGATTTCCCGAATCTTTCGGGATTACTCCCGAATCTTTCGGGATTTCCCGAACCTTTCGGGATCGCCCGAATCATTCGGGACTTTTGTTGAGGATAACGTTATAAAAAGTGGTATAAATGCCGAATTAGTGCATTTTACTAATCAAAAAGATAACTCTATCTTCTTTCGTCAAGTTCGATGGTCTAAGAAGGGCAGACCTTTTATGAATGCTGAATTTGCAGTCAAAGAGAATTTGTGCGCTCCGCGCCTGTCTTATAGAGAACTTCATGAGTTATAGATCCAGTTATTACAGTTAATTATTTTTTTTTCCTTCGCGCCTTTATTTGCTTCAATAAAGATGTACTTTTACGTTACTGTTTGGCTTTAAATATTTTCTGTGCCAAAAATTATTGAAAACAATCCCCGAAAGGTTCGAAGACAAAAAGGCTCTTTTTGACTGCGAACGTTTCGGGAAATCCCGAAACATTCGGGATCCCGAAAGGTTGGAAGATTCAACCCAAGTTTTATTCTGTGTTCTTTTTGGTTTGGCAGTGAAAATGAGTTATGTAAAATTAATTTGTAAAGGCTATCTTTTGATGAGTTTTGAAAAGGCTTTCTCGAAGGAGTAGTTGACGTTTTTTCGCTTTTTCGCGCTGCAGAATTTGTAGATCTTGTCGATTTTATCCTTCATGGCTTTGAGTAATTTCACTGAATCGTTGATATTCATCAGCTAAAAAAGGGATTGAAACTGAGGCACGAGGGAAGTGATTAGGAGGAAATGTCGAAGGGTCCAATCAGAGAGCGGTATTGCTTTTGCGAGCCAATCAGAAGCGGGCAAGAATCTTCCGCCCCTTTTTTCCGACCTTTTTACGTCCCTAGTTTGGAATCTAAGAAAACCAGAATTGACAAATTACCTTCTCAAAGAAAGTCTGATTAGCGGGGCGGTCCCTGCTTATACATCTTCCTCTGCCGTTTAAAAGCCTTTTTTCGTAGAGGCGCCATATTCGCGTATCTTTTCCGAGCTCAAAAACTGTCCGATTCTTTTATTTTTTAATACAATTGAAGCCCTGTCAAATTATTTTGAGCCAAAGCTGCCTTTATGAAATTGATGATTTTCCAAGCTCGTCGCTCGTCGCTGGAAAATCTCTGTGTTTCTGCAGTGGTAGCTTCCAGGAGTGTTGATGCATTCTGAACCGCCGCAGAGGGAGGTGAATTTGGCGCATTGGTTGATGTCGACGCATAAATTGTCGATGTGGACGTAGCCGTCGGCGCAGTTGCACGTGGAGAACATATTGTTGCACTAGAATTAAAATCAGGAAATCAAGAAAAGAGGGGTCTGCAAACTTGAACAGGAGTATTGACGCCAAAAACGCTCATGGATTCTTCAAAATTGATCGTCATTATATACGAGCTAAAATATGCATTCAAATATAAATTAAAACAAGCAGGAGAACCTGAGAACTCTTGATAAGTAAACACCAATATCCGTGGCTGATGGAAGATCGATCTTGTTAACGATGAAATTTGCCAGTTCAGAGTTTGTACGCTCCGTCAAGTAGTCGAAATTCGGCTCTGCGCCGCTTTTTCGATACAATGTGTACATGTCGATTTCAATTTCTGTTGACTTATTTTCCAGCTAAGATTTATGATGATTTTTTATCAATAAAGAAAGAATATATACCTGATTGACTCTGTAGCGGTAAGTGATACTGTATTGCTTGACGAATATTCGCCTAAATGCGCCCCAGTTGGTATCGTAGGTGTTGAGGTATTCCATGGTGTACTTTTTCTTGAAAGAAACATATGGCTTTCATTTGGTCTCCAGAGAAAATGTGAGCTACTAAGCCGACAAGAGCCAGGTAGGAGAAGGGGGGGAGAGCAAGCCAGTCCCCCGCTCCCCCAAAAAAGAAGCGCCCTGCTTAACCCCTCTTTTTAGCCACTCAAACCCTAGAAAAATGGAGACCTAGCATTGGACTTCTCCTCACAACGCCGCATTCGCTCGATTTCCCATCCGAATTCGTCCGTTGAATCCTTCCATGCCACATCTCCAGCCCTTGTTTGACATTGACCGAGGACAGTGCGCTGCGAAACTTGCCCGTTTCTGTGACAGAAGGAAGAATAATGAAGCAAATTTTTGTTCCAAGGACGAGAAACTGAACACAGCCCGCTGATCGCTCGCATTGCTGAAAATAAAAGATAAGGGAGAATAATTAGAAGAAGCGGATAGAAAAGAGCGTGATAAGATAACTTATTGAACATCGTGAAAACTGTTGATAATGCTGTGCCAGGAAGATTATCGGCTTTTCAAGCGATTTCTAGAGTGAACTAAATAACGAAAAAAATGCAAAAAATGAGCAATTTTTTCGATTTTTTTCTTACATTTTTACAATAAACGACTGATTCTTCAACTGATCCTTTGTTCACATTCAGCCTCATCAATCTATTCGCATTGACGTCCCTTAGCTCTAGAAATTCTAGCGCATGTTTCGTGATTTTCGCCATTCTGAACGGCTCAAAGCAGACGATTGAGTCTTCTCGATCCTTGATTGTTTCGCGAATCCAGTGGTTCCAAAAAACGACGTTGGTGAAAGTCGAATGTCCGAAAAACCGCTGCCGCTCGCATCCTGTCGAAGTTCTAGCGACCCCGACGAGCATTGGGGAAATATCGGTGATGCACAACAAAGGGCCGCCAGAATCGCCCCGGCAGAGAGCGTGAGAGCCGTCTTTGTCTTGCCTCGAGCAGAGAAGGTTCAAGTTGGAAATGTCGTCCTTGATGATCGTACTGTAAATCTTACAGCTAGTGACGGGGAACGGCGCTTCCTAGGAAACGAAAATGAGTTTTGCAAATGTGACTGGGGCTAATTTTAATTGACTGGCCACTGATTTGATTTGGAGTTAATTTGAGCAGAGGGACTTTGTTGGTCCCCAAAATAACCTTTTTCCGTGACTCAGAAAATAAACATCGAAGATCGGTTTTCGTAAAAAATACTTGAAAAATATTTTGTTTTCGAATATTATATTCGGAATATAAAGATAGATTTCTCAATTTAAACCGCAGATTTTAAATTATTTTGTTATCAAATCTGATACTTTTTGAAAATACGGAATTCCCAATTTGGTGAGTAATTTATGGTTTTTATATAATCATCTGTTTTCCCAATTTTGACTACCTGAAGATATTTGGCGGGGGTGATCGGATTCATTCCAAGAAACCCAAACCCGGCCGAGTAGCAATTGACTTTATAAAAATGCTGTTCTTGATGCTCTCTATGTCCATCTGGCGGCAAACAGACGACCCCCGAGTTTGTCTTTTTGAAATCAATCGACATCGCCAGTCGAATCAGGACAATATCCGCATTTTCATCCGGAACAAAAGCATCGGAAATTCTAAAGGTCGGTCTTTTGACGAGAGTGTTCATGCCGATTTTGACGACAAAGGTGCGGACCACTGTTTCCAAGTCGATCGCTGAGGTAGGTGAGTCTTTGAGGCAGTGGGCAGCGGTGATGACCCAATTTTTGTTGATGATTGAAGCTGTGCAGTGGCCTGTTTCTGTGGTCAGAAAAATTTTCAGGAACAAAAATGATGATTTTCGTCGTAAAAGTCGAAATATTTGTCGAAAAAAATTTTGTCACAAAAATCGAAAATCATCGTTGAAATTTCCGAATGACGAAATTCGTGTCCTCAATAATCCTTTCTTCTCGAGAAATAATCACGAAAACGAAGAGCGGTGCTCGTTCATAAATTAAAGCCGCCCAGTATTGAGTCGCAGTGGTAACGAGCGGTGCGTTGATTTCGTTAACGATTCTTAGCCCGAAACGCCGGCTGATTAAGAATTCAGAATGAACGAAAGAGAGAGGATCGCTTTCCGAGAGCTGCTTTTCTTTTCGAAAATGAAGCAGCGTTCTTTTTGAAATCGGAGCGGACTTGGAGGATTTAGACAGATCGCGGGGTACTCTCACGTTTGAGCGATACAAAAATCAATCGTCGAAAATATTCAAGGACTCTTTCCGGGAAACAACCAATTTCGTCATTTCAAAAAATATTTTCGAGACAGTCGCAAAACAAAAAAACACGAAAAAAATCGTCCCTTTCGATCAAGATTTAAACAAGCTCCTGACAGGCGCTAGAATGCCTGATTTAAGCCCATTTTGAAACGCCCTTCGCTTAGTTTTTTTTTTCTGACCACATCGCATTGTCGCCAATCTCGCTGACTTGGGCCACCCAGTTCCAGGTTTCCGAGGCGGCCTGGCCGCCGAACAATTTCAACTTGGCTTTCTGCAATTTCGACCATTTTCGGGACAGTCGTTTTGGGTCGAAACCGGGCATGTGGGCTTGCCAGTCTCCCCGTGAGCAGTGGAGACCATCTGGCTCCTACAACAACAAATTTATCATTATCATTATCAGCGTTTTCAACTTCTGGTTATCATGCTCAAGAAGAATTGTTTTTTCATAATAAGCAATGTAATTAAAATGGGATTCGAAACAAAGCCAACTTGACATTACATGATCTAATGTCAATTTTTCATCGAAAAAATCTTTTGACAGTCGACTTGGAATAAAGCAGTTTCTAGCACTGGTACTTAACTTTAGCCGAGATTATAGAAACGCAGAAAAAATTAACGTGGGGCGAAACTCGAGTACCCTTATCTTTATCCTTCCCCGTCCAATTAACTAAAACTAGAACATGATTAAAAAAATATTCAAAATATCAACAACTTCATCGAGTAACGTACTTCTGTTTTGAAACTGTCGGCTTTAAGTAATTGTCCAACAGTAAGAAAATATTTTATCTTCATCCAACAGACGAATTTTTTCTTTCTCTACTTTCTCTTGTTTCGTCGCTTTCTTAGAAAATTTTCTCTGCAAAATTTTTAGATGAAAAAGAAAATATTCAGGAAATAATTTTTTCTTTGTTATTTTGGCGGCGGAGGAGCGAGGAGGCGAAAAAAGGATGGAGCGCGTTTAGAGCGCACCCGGGCGCCACTCAATTTACACATTACACTTCTCGTGGAGCACAACGTCTATTGCACAATTGCGAATGTTGCCTATGCACATCCGCATGTACATACAACAATCAGGACAAAAGAAAATCTGTTTGGGCAACAACAAACTTACGCGGCAAGCATCAGTGAACCTCCAGTTTTATTCGAACGAAAAGTTTCCTGGGGGTTTCGATCTGGTCTCGGAAACCTGTGTATAAACCTGAGTCAGGATTCTTGATAACATTTAATGAAAGGTTCCTCTTTTCGACCCTTGAATGACACTGGAATCACATAGTACAATGAAAAAGGCAACGTGAAATCGAGATCAATTCTGCCCGGTCGGTTTTTACATGAGCTGATCTAGGCTCGCAACCTCCGCGCTTGAACGGCACTTTGGATAAGCGACGATTTTTCGAAAATAATTCTTATCGCGTCTGTCTCTAACTCTTCATGCGCTGAATGACTGACTCTTTTATTTCTTCCATTTATTTTTTATTTTTCTTATTTATAAATACAGCGTCATTTTTTTCTTAAAATTTTTTCGGAGGTAAAGCAGCTAGTTCTTTGTAGGAAGTTCCGCCGATTTTGCGATCTGGTCTGGTCATTTTTGGAAGCTCTTCTAAATCCGCAGTTCTAGAATCAGATCATGAACGAGTCGAGGAAAGGTCCGCTTACACTTCCCCCCAATGGCGGGGGCAAGGGGATTCTCTTCCTCGCTGAGAAAGGGTTCGTTTGAACATGTCTTCTTTGTCTGGATCTGGTTTCACGAAGTTCCCTAGAGAAAGTATGGAATTCTAGTGCTAAGCATCTTCTACCTTCAAGAACAGCGGATGCTTCAGATTGACAATCATCGACAAAATCGAGGAATTCTTGAAAACCATCGTTCATTTTTCGCCTCAGATCTACTCCAGTGCTCTCATTCTCTGAATGAAATTTAGTTGGGTAATAATTAATTTTAAATAAAATTAAATTCGTAAAAAAACGACATTACGCACAATCATATTTCTTTAAGGGAAATACTACTTCTTTTTATTACTGTTGTAAGTTTTTATAGTCAAAGAAAAATTGATTTTTAAAATTTCCAATTCGTCAAATTTATGGCAATATTATGGTTTTCGATAAATGTTTCTTATTAGAATCAACCTGAATATCTGGCTTTTCTTTTCTTCAACGTTTCCGGCGACAATTTCTCTTCTTCTGCTTTGCTCAAAGTCGAATTGCCGCTGCTGTAGGAAGAAAAATCAAGCTTCGCTTTCTCCATGTCTATCACCACATCAGGCTGTCTGTTGCTGAATTCCGCGATTCTGTCGCTTACGCAAGCGTCTTCTGAAGGAAATAATAAAAACTACATGGCTTCTCAAGAATTTCTCTTTAACTTACGCTCAGCAATTGGCTCGATTGACGATTCTTGTTTCAGTTTTCTCAAAAAAAAGAGCGGTTCGAATGGGTTCAAAACGCGGTTCTTTCTTTCCGTCTCAATCTCTCAATATTTGATTTATCGCCTTCGAATTCTATTAAAAAGCAATCAATGACTGCTGCCTCCTGAGTCCTGACTCAAGTCGATATATACTGAGCCAGATGTGAGTGAGCTGAATCAGATGACTCAGCACTCAATCTAAAATTCTCTCTCTTTCGTTCAAAAAAGGTTGAAACGAACGGAGGAGTTGGAAATGGGAAATCGATCAATCCCTCATCTGGAGGGACAAACAGTCGGACAAAATGCTCTGTCAGCACGTGATGCGAATCACAGGACAGGATTAGCCTGGATTATTCCTTGTTGGATCCTTTTTAGAGAACGAACAGTAATATCCCTTCTTTGTGACTGTAAGAGAAAACGTGCCTGGATTTGGGATCTTTTAAAAAGCTTTGAAAATGACTTTTTTTCAAAAAAAAAATTAGATTATTTAGAGTAAAGTCATCATTAATCATCTAAAAGTTCAATTCGTTGATTTCGCTTTCCAGCTTTTCCTGATTTTTCGGCACAGCGGCCAATTTGTTGTATTCCAATCTCTTTCCAGTTTCTTTGTCCATAAGTTGTCGAACTACAAGGCGTATATTACAGTAAATTATTCATGAATGCTGCTCGTTTCAGTATTTACTGTACCTTGAAATACTTTCTCATCGGAGCGTAAGAGATCTGTATCCACTTTTTCGCACTCCAGAGACTGGGTTGAGCCACGTGACCATCTTCTTGGACGAGGAGGGGGCTGGTCGAAATCGGAGATGGTCTTATTTTGCGAGAAATTGTACAGATTTTCCTAAAAATGACGAGTTTTTGAGGAGAGCCCAGAACTATAAGCAAAAATTGGACAATCTTGAGCCTTTTCACCAAAGTTTCAATAGCAATCTTGGACGTTAGGGTCTCAAGAAGTGGTCAGAAAGAAATTTACCTGAGAAACTTGTGGAGCCTTCTTGACACCGGGATTTCTCTGCCCCAGCTGGCCTCGCTTCTCCATCTCCGCATATCTCTTGCTCAGTTTCTCCCTATACAAATCGATTGAAAGCAACGAATTGAGCTCGTTGATGAAATCATAATTCTTTCGACTCATCGAAAAAAGAGTCTCTGATCTCATTTGTTCAATTATTATTTGATAACTCGAAGGTCTGTTTGATCAAAAAAATGATAATGAACGCACTTTGTAAGAGAAATTGACAGTTACGTGGGAAATCAGAATCGAAAGGGCTTTTGTCTGGGCATAAAAGGGGGAGATTTGGAGGAATTACTGTCTGTTCTGCTTTTTTACTGTTTCTTTTACGAGACAATAATTTACGGAAGAAACAGTTTTAAATTATTACCTGGCCATTTCATCATCCTTGGCAATGGAGCTCAAGAATTCATTCGACTGCGCTGGAGTCCTCATTCCTCCCGCCAAATTCGCCACCTTCTGCTTCGTCGCAAAAAGGTCATCCTCCAAAAAGTTCCTCAAAGATCTCCTCCATTGCTTTTTGAATAAATTGTCATAGTCAAAATGAAAATCCGTCATTGTTTTTCGATTTTACCTCTCGGCTTACGAATCTGAAGCTATTCTGATCCGCAGACGATGTGAAAACATGCTTCGGTAGGCGAGATAAATAGTTAGTTTCAATAAATTAAGCTGGCATCGTAACCTTCAAATTTTTATAGCGCTGTTTTTGTTTTTGGGAACTTTTTCCTTTGGCCCGTCACGCTGACTCTCCATAGTGTGCTGAAATGAAAAATTTTTTTTATAAAATTTTGATAAAAAATAACCTGATCGCATAATTGCCGTCTTCGCTCAAATAAATCAGTCCCTCTTCTTTTACCACCTCGAGTTTCTGCTTCATCCCAAACAACTTTTGGCTAAAAATTTCATAAAAATTTTTGAGAGGAAGAGTTGTTATTTTTTGAACAACATAATTAAGGGTGTCACTCTGTTAAACAAATCATGCATTTGAACGAACCATGCAAAACTTCGCAAGCAGATCTTACTGAAGCATCAGGAGCCTAAAATACAGTTACTCCTACTTTTCCTCTCAAAACGAAATCACTTTTGCCAACGATTCGAGCTTTTTGACATCATCTTCATTTTCTTCAATTTCTAAATCGTCTTCCTTCTGGCTCGAAAGGCGAGAAACATCGGGAGAACTTTCATCTTTCTCGAAATTATCGATGATTGGAAGTGCTGCATTTTCATTGACAAACTCTTCAAGCGTTTTTCCTTCAATCCTCGATCCTCCTTCAAAATCATCATTTTCTACTTCGACTGGTTGAATCAGCGTTTCTTCGACAAAATCAGGAGTTATCATTGTTTCTTGACTATCTTCTTGTTGAAAATTAACTTCGTCCAAGACAACTCGTTGGCAATCGGAACTAAGGGCATCCGCGAAAGAATTGACTGCTTCAGAATCAAGTTCTTTTGGAGCGTTGATTTTTTCAGAACGAATAGAGGTTTTTTCGGCGTTTTCCGGAAGATCAAGTTTTGCATCAACAACGGGTTCAAGGGAATCCGAGTTTAAATTGTCGTATTTTGACTTTTCTTCATCCGCGATTTTTGAGGTTGGCTCAATAACGGCATCGGTCTTTTTAGAGCAAGATTTGGGGGTGCATGAAGAAAATGATGGAGGTGTGGCATCATGTTTTTCGGGACTTGGTTGGGCATCTGTATCTTCCTGTAAATTTACATTTGAGAGATTTTAGAACGACGAAGCGATAAATTTATTCTCAGCAGGAATTTAGGTGCAAAGACTCGCTTCAGCTAATTTTGGCAATTACCCAAAAAAGTGTTCAAAAGTAAAATTTTGCTAGAATCGAAATATTATTGCGAGTGGAATTTCAATCAATAAGATAGTGAAGATCACTAAGAAAGAATTTATTGATATGCAATCAAGTTCTTAAGAAAAATATCTTATACCGCCTGAATATGTTTCACCTGTATCTTTGGTTCTTCAACTGTTTTATTTTGCTTTTTTGAGGAACAGCAGTTTCCCATGCTTTCCTATCTATCTGTTCTCTTTCAATTTATAGCCGAAAAATATTCGTAGATAATAAAAAAACAGAAGCAATGTGCGTTTTGAAATCACACGGCGCTAGAATGATAAAACGAGCTCAGTCAGAGTCAGATCTACCACGCGTCACTCTTTTTGGCTGAGCAATTTTCTTTTCTTTATTGGTTAAAGCGAATAAGATTATTAATATGAAAAATTAACATAAAAAACTGCAAGTAAGAGCTACGGAAGAAACACAAGATTTTCATTGATTTAGAAAAAAAAAATCATAAGTCAAAAAATTATTGGTGCTCAGCAACATTTTCTGTGTATTTTTTCTGTTATAAAAATATTTTCTTCTAAAATTTGAATCATCAACATTTAAATGAGCAAAATTTAATTGAGGTCCTTTTACCGAGGATTTAATGCCAAGATTCTGAATCTGCGCGATCTTCTTCGATTCTTTTATAATTAAATTTAATGACCGGTTTTTAAAATTTTCGCCGGGGGAGGGATGAGCGCAAGATCTTGTGAAATCGAAAAGGTTTGAAAAGTGTAAAGACGGCTTGATATCGTGCCACCTTACCAACGATAGCTCACTTGTCCACGCTCCTCGATAAAGTACTGTGATTGAGAAAAAGACTGACTCGTCGCCAAATCAGGGGCCACTTACTGAAAGAGAAATTAAAGAGACTTCCCCGCGAATGGCTCAGCCCTTTCCAAATCTTCAAAAAGGAAAAAAGGTCTCAATTTTTTTCAAAGAGCAAAAAATTCTAATTGAAAAAACTTCCTCTTTGAATTTTATTTGAGCCCTTTTTCTAGAGATAAAAGTAATAGAGAAAGCAATGACGCCAAAAGTCGAAGCAGAAATTTTCGACAGTTCAAAGAACCCATCCGACGACAAGATCGAAGTCTTCGACGCAGCTCATGCTGGAAGAATGATGAAGACCTTCAACGATTTGAGGAAAAATAATCTCTTCACGGATGTGATTTTATCAGTCGCTGGAAAGGAGTTTGCCTGTCACAGGGCTGTTCTTGTCGCAGGATCAAATTATTTCAGGTAAAAATTGAAAAAAAATCGACCTCATTTTTTCATCTTCGATTTTCAGAGCGATGTTTTGCAACGACCACCGAGAGTCAAAAGAAATGCTCGTCCAAATCAACGGTCTCCAAAGCGAAGTAATGGAAGTCCTTTTAACTTTTCTCTACACGGCCAAAACCACAATCGACCAAAGCAACGTCCAAATGCTCCTCGAAGCGGCAAATCTTTTTCAAATCGATCTTTTGCGTCGAAACTGCACGACTTTTATGGAGAAACAGCTCGATCCCTGCAATTGTTTGGGAATGAAGCACTTTGCTGATGCGCATGGGTTGGAGAAGCTCTCGATGGACGCAGAGAAAATGATTCTTGAAAAGTTCATGGAAGTGATGAGTCACGACGAATTCAAACTTATGCCGAAGGAAGTCATCGTCGATGTCATCAAAGGCGACGACTTGGAAGTCAACGACGAAGTCCTCGTTTACCGAGCGGTTAAAAGTTGGATCGACCACGACCGAAAAAGCAGAGCGAAAGATGTGGCGGAATTGATGAGTCACGTGAGATTTCCACTTATTCACCCGACGAAGTTTTGCACGGAAATTGAAGCGGACGAGCTTTTGCAGACCTCGATGACATTGGTTCCGATTCTTGCTGAAACTAGGAAATATCATATTTTAGCAAATGGATTTTTATAGAAACACTCCGCGTTTTTTTCTAGACTTCCTAAAAGAAACTAACCATAACAGCTTAATTTTAGTTGGCTGTAGAGTATTTCATGATGTCTGAAATTGAAATTGATTAAATAAAGTTAATTCATCCCGTAATGTAAGGTCTAGTACTGGTACTTTTCGTACTGTTTATAAAGAATGAAAAACTTCTGACACATTCGCTCTCACAAAAATCTACAAACAGGCGTTGCTGGCGACAGTATCCGATTCAAGCCTCGCAAGATCTCCTCCCGTCTCGACGTCCTCGTCTCTATCGGTGGATCCGACCGCGTTGGGGGCTACAATGCGCCGTATGTTGAAGCTTGGAATCCTCTCCAACGAATGTGGAAGCAATTTGCGAAGCTGCCGAATTTCACAAAAACGGATTATTCTGTTTGCCAATGCAAGAATATGATCATTGTAACTGGCGGCAAAATGCATAATAAAGAGGTTTGGATTTATCAGATCAATGTCGATCAGTGGATCAAAGGTAAGGCTGTTAATGGCCCGAAGAAACTAATGATTTAAGGTGCTCCACTCAATACTGGAAGATATGGCCACAGAATGGCTTCTTGTCAGGGAAGTCCTTACGTTATCGGTGGCTTTGGTGGCCCTGGGACTGGCTCACAGCCGCCAGAGAGAATTGACGCTGTTGAAAAGTAAGAATTTCTCTATTTTTTAATGAAAATAAGTTCTAAAGGTATGATTTCTTCAACAATTGCTGGAAAGACATGTGCTCAATGATCGAAGCGGTCGCGAATCCTGCCGTGAGTGCCTACAATGCAAAGATCTTCTGCTTTGGTGGACAATTCGACATGAAGGGCGCGAACAATAAGCTGCAAATTTATGACTCGATAACAAATCAGTGGAGTTTGGGAAACAGGACTCTCTCCCCTCAAAATCCAGTCGCAGGAAAATTGGTCAAAATTTATTTATTCACTTTCTTTTATCGGAACAAAGAAAAATTTGATTGTATTTTATGTTCTTACCCAGGTTTTGATTCATTTTCTCGTTTTTATTTTCATTTTTTTTTTCAAGAAGCACTCAAAAAGAAAGCAATCTTATGGTTTCTATTTATGCCCTCTTAACTTTTATGACCAATAAAAAGCCGCATCCGCTTGTGGTTCAATCTGGATTCTCGGCGGCGAAACGTCCGAAATCTTCAAATACAAGCCTTCTACTGATGAGTGGAGTCAAATGGCCATTACTCTCCCCAATCATGTACTTATTCTTGTGTCACAAAATGATCGACACTCTTTAGATAAATCACTGCGAAATGACAACTGTGAACAACAAAATCTACTTCACTGGAATCTTGACGGATCATCCAGACCCACTTTTGAATATTTGGTCGTTTTGTCCAACAAAGGGCGAGATCGACACTGCCTGTGGACAGATGGAGCGATACACATGCATGCATGGGGTTGTCTGCATAACGTAAGTGCAACCTTTACTACCTTTTGCTTATGTTTCCAAAGATTGGATAAGCCAGAGGAATTCATGGGAGCAAAGAAGCCTAATCGCCGACAGCATACGCGGAGCAACATAACCGAGTCTTTCGACGGCAGTCGACGACCAAGTGAGACGCCAAGATATCGCGACTTTTGAAAAGCTGTATTTTTCTTCACCTGCACCCCGAAACTTAGTAAAACCTCGCAAAATACCTCGAAATCAGCTGTCTTTCTTTTTTTTCTGTCAAGAGGCTGCCTCAATTTTCAAAAAAAAGGATGAGGACGAAGACGATTAGAGAAGATTTTGAGAGCGAACGAGATCTTGAAAGATGGGTAGCAAGATACAAGAGGAAGTACAGTCTGACTGATGTTGTCAAAGGAAAGCTCGAATAAAACTCTTGAATTTTTCATATTTTTCGGGAAATTTTCGGGAGACTCAAGTAACAGATCTTCTTGCTCGTCATCTTATCGCCTCCTAATCAGCCAAGTTCACCCTCTCATGACGCACACTGCCCATATACCCGCCCTGCTTCATCCTTTTAAAATAAAAATAGAAACAAAAAAAAAAAGAGAGAAAAGAGCATGGGAATTCTAGATGATCTAGAAGAGAAATCAAAAAACTCGAATTTCGGCGGATCTACTGCCAGTATTCCTTTTCAAAATGACGAATTTTATATTGCCGAGTTGTGCGAGCTAGAGAAAGAATTTGGCGACGAGTTCTTTATTGATGTCAGTGTTGACGAACTGGAAGCGTTCAATAGAAAAAGAGGGGAGAAAGTGGAGAATGTTCGGCTGATGGGGAAGATTTTGACCGAAATGGATGACACGAATGTCGAATTCAGGTAAGAAAAGAAAACTAAAATGATTATTCGAAAAAAAAATGAGTTTATAACCAGATTTTTCTCTAAATCCTTCGGTGACGACTTGGTTTGGTGGTCCAAGTCGAGGGCAAAAGAGGATAAGTACGGATTATTCTGCTCGTACTGTTCGAATCTTATCCAACTCAGTCGATTTGGGCCGTCGCCGGCCCAATAGACAACACGCGCTCGGAAGGAAAAAAACTGTTGATAGAGTTTCACCAGCTCTGGAGGTTCTTCCAAGTTCACCAAGGTTGAGGGCCAGCGCGAGCTGGCCTACAACCCTGTCCTGCTTGGAAGTTTTTCTTTTACCATAGAATTATCTGTATTCTTGTTTTAACTTCATTTTCCCTAAAAGTGATCCACAAGCCGAAGGAGCTGCAAACCTTGTCCGTGGAATCTCAACTTACATCGATGATCATGCCGACATTCCAGTCTATTTGAGGACGTCAACAAGGACTGTTGCTGAAGAAGCTGTTTTCCAAACCTACGCCTTTCAAAACTTCCCCGACGGTATTTGTTCTTCTTTGCTCCCCTTTGATTCAATCCTTTCAGTTGATATTAGCAGATTCGTTTTCGACGGACAGCCGATCGAAATCAAGAGTCGAATTTGCCCGCATTCGGAGAAAAAGAAAGAAATCGACAGAATCGCAGAGCAAAAACGCGAAGAAGCAGAAGCCCGAAAAGCCGAGGAGAAAAAAGCAGAAGAAGCGGCGGCAAAGGCGGCCGAAGAAGCGAAACAAAAGAAAAAGCGGCCGGCGATGGACGCAGCTTATTTAAACAACTTGAAAGGTTTTCCAGCACGATGTTTTCCCGAACTTGATTCAATTGTGTTTTTAGCAATGAAAGTGCAGATACCGTCAAAAGTCACCGTTCCAGAGCCGTTTCTCGGCAGCGCCACCACGAGAACTTCTTCTTCCAGCAGATTTGGTTCCTCTTCTATCAGGAGCTTGTCTTCCAGGTGAGAAAAAATGAATCATCTTCCTCATCTTCTATAAGATTTTCAACCTCATCTGTCGGCTCTTCAATTGGCTCAGCTTACAAGCCATCAACTGGGACAAAATATACAACGGCTTCGAAATATTCTAGCTACTCAAAGTACTAGTCTAATGCTCAAAACAAGAACTACTGTCTGTGAAAACTGTCTTTTACTGTATTTGAACTGGCAGTTAGAAGATGAACAAAGTTTTTTTTATAAATAGTGAACTGCATTAAAATTTTAAATAAATAAATATGACTTTCAATTAGCAAGAGCAGATTTTCAAAATTCTAGCGATTTTCTCATTTTGTGTTAGCTTTTGCCGTCAATTTTTTCGACGACCTTGTTGTTTTTAATTTTGTACAAGTATTCCGGATAAACCGTGTCCATTTGGCACTCTGGACTGGCATCTAACGACCACCATTTCATTATCTAAAAGACGAAAATTACCTCCTTCCAATTTTAAATTGGCGCTTACAGATTTGTAGTATTGGCGAATTCCGCCTTCGCGGTTTTCCCGAATCTTGCGGCACAAATTACAAAGTGCCATATCTTCGACTCGGGCGCTGAATTTTGCTTCGATTGGATGGGCTAGTTTTTCTGGGGCGATATTTCTCCAGCGATGGTAATCTTAACATGATTTTTTAAATTAGATCAAAAGCTTATTTCACCTAAATATTCATCGTCATTTTCCGCCAACCAGTTAACATATTCAACCAACAATTCCGGCGAACTAAACCATTCTGCATGAATAAAGCTATTCGGCGGCGCAACTTTATCAACATCCCCAATTCTCGGCCCGAAAACAATCGGAACCGCCCGATTCGTCAACGCGTTTCGCCAGAATTTCTCGGAAATGTAGTCGTCGCAGTGATAGGCGTTCTCGAAGGCGAGGTAGAATTTAACGTGCTCGAGGTTGAAGTCTGCGGTCGACATCCTCGAAAATTTGCGGTCCGTTACTTTGTTGAAGCACTCGCCCTCTCTAAATAAAGTCATCAAATTTAAATATTCAAAAGTTATCTCATCGTTTATTTTTCCTACCCGTGGATTTTGATGCCCGCATCAATCATCCTCTTCCCATACGCCCATCTCATTTCTGCTCCTACAGTATGATCACAGTCCGAAACAAACCACGCCGCAACCACATCTTCCTCCAACAATTTCTTCTCCTCTAGAATTCCTTGCAAATAACTCTCGTCGCTTCCCTTTCTCGTTCCATTGACAAAATAGCGGTCGGCATTGGCACGGGATCCATCACCAAAGGATTTTACGAAATCTGAGTCGCGGCGATAATTCATCGTTCCATTGAATGCGGATTCGATTTCAGAGGACTTTTTGTAGAAAAAGAAGGGTTGTTGATTGATGCTCTTTTGGAGGGTTTCATTTCAATTAAATTTCACTTGCGGCAATCTTTTCCCATTATTCATAGGAAAAACTTTGTTATTGTCGTAAATAAACCCTGTTTTCCTTAACAGCACTTTCTCTGTTGTAAAACACCCACCATTGTTTTTCATCCCTTTTCGTCACATCTGGCCAGGGCGGATACGGCTTTTCGTAATTATGCTCAGACGGATAATGTCCAGAAAGCTGCCAGGAAAGCAACTTGCCATTTGAAAAAACGATGGCGTCGGCCTTTTCTTTCCAACGACGATTTGGGGTGATGAAGCAGTCGCCACAATATTCGTGATTTCCTGGGCCGATCCAACGTTCTTTGAAGGGCTTTCGGCGCTCATCTTTTCGCGGCCCGGCGAACCAGAACAAAATGTTGATTCGCTCTCTAAAAAAGGGAAAATGAAAAAGATTTAAGAGATTTTGACGATTTTTCGGCATTTTTTTAAAGAAATTTTTTTGTTACCGAGAATACGACGTACAGTTAATAATGGAATTTCTGGACATTTTTTGTCCCCCATTTTTCCCGAAAATGTCCAGAAATTTGATACAGAGCCTTCAGAAAAATGTCCCAACAAAATTGCTTAAAAATTTTTCGAGACGGAAAAATTGACGATTTTTTTGAAAAAAATTACTAAAGAACAATAAAAGAAACGCGCTGTAGCCGTCTTTCTTGTTATATTATAAGATTTTCGAAGAATAATAGCTCTTTATAGATGAAATTGGCATAAATAACTCAAGTTTGACTAAAAATTTAGATGTCGAAGACATCTGTTGAGAAAAAAATGTCCAGAAATTTGATAACCCCTCTCTTTGAATTTGTCCCAAGAAAACCCCTTAAAATCCGAAAAATGTCCAGAAATTTGATGTCCAGAAATTCCATAAAAAACTGTACTTGTTTTTGTGGCTTTCGTAATTTTCCAAAGGATATTGCATTTTCAAAACTTCTTCATAATACGGTTTCGGCAATCTGGTCATGAGCTTTTCATGAATTTCTTTCATGCTCATTCCTTCTTTTACAATTACGTTTTCTTGGTTGAATGTCATTTTGAAGAGCTTTTCTTTTGCCGATTTTTCTTGTGATTTTTGAGTTTTTGGCGAATCATTTTCGGGGAAAGTAGATTCTTCTGAAGAGATTTCTTCAAGATTTTCTGTTGAACTAGAGTTTTCGACGGGTTTTGAGGATTTCGATGAGTCATCATTTTCGGAATTCGACGATTTTTCTTCGAATTCTGGTTCGGGGCTTTCTTTTTCACTGGTTTTTGAGTCATAAGATTTGCTCTCAGTTTTTGCATCGACTGTTGTGTCTACCAGACGATTTTCTGCCTCTAAGTCATCTTCCTCTGCATTTTCGCTGCTTGGTCTTTCTAGCCGCGGAATGTGCCCCTTGACATTCGGTGAACTTATGTTTGCTAATGAGCTTAGAGCATGTTACATGTAAAACTGTCCTCAAGCTTCAAAACTCAAGTGTAAATATACTTTCATCAACCCAAAACTGCAAAAAGCAAAAGTGTTTAAAAATTTCACCGTGCCTTGGGCGCATTGTTGGACCATGTTTTCCATTCCAGAGAGTTGTCACTTTGTAAGTTCCAGCCGTATGCGCTAGAATTCGTTGGACATGAGTTTGAATTCAAAATACGAGTGCTTTATTCAAGAGCCTGACAAAGAAGGTTTCAGGACAAGGAGAGAGCTAGTACGATAAAATGAAAAGAAATAACTGGAAAATCATCTTTTACCGTCTTATATTGTTTAAAATTACCTGAAAATCGACACTTCCGTATTAAGGAAGGTGGCACAAAAATATAAGCCAAGGAAGACGAATCCAATTAGACCAAAGAGGATTTTCATCATCTTCTGAAATTTGCTCACGTTTTCATTTTCTCTAATTTTATTTGAACTTTCTCTATTTTCGTATTTTCTTCATCGCGCGGATTTTTCTATCAAAAAAGGCTTTATAAAGTGTTTATAGTTTTGTGCGCCTGGAGGGACGCCATCAATAGTCGGGGTCAATGGAAAATGCTCTGAGTAGTGCGCAAGTCGCCTTGAGATTCTAGAGCGGCACCGCGCGGTCGACCTTGCTACCGCGCTCACAGACACCGGGTTGAAGGCTGAGAATCCATCGTTAAAACAATTATAAACGAGTTCGTTCAACGCTGCTCAATCATGTTTGGACCGATTTGATAATAAAAGATAGCGGTTTTTAATCAAGCTAAAACCGGCAAAATTTTTGATATTGAAAGCGAAAAAAGAGCTTTATCGAAATTATAACAAAACCTAAAAAGAATTAATCAAAAAAATTTCGAAGCTCTAAGGGTTCCTCATCTTCGAATCCCGCTGTAGGGGAAAAACGCTTCGCTTGAGTCTGGTGATCAAATTACGTTTTCGGCATAATTCGCATGTCAGGTTGACCTTATCCACCCGATCCCGTTTTGAAAACAAGGATAGATTACTAACACAGGCGGGAAAAATAAATAACGAAAAGATAAATCAGTGACTTGAGATAGATCTAACGCCTGAATCTTTAAATTTTGAAATCGTGATGAGTTTAGGTAGCATTTTGGTCGTTTTTTGCGTAAAATGAGCTCATTACTGCGGCTCGTCTCGGTGAGATAGCGCTCGTTTGAGTGATAAGGATTTTTTTTGAGTCGCGATAAGGAGCCACTTACGGGCGGTATGTAAATCCGCAAAACTGATGGGAGGCAAAAATCCCTTTTTTCATAAAATTAAAGGTCTTCTGATGTTTTTACAACGAATTTTCGGAAGCATCCACGGTGGATGATAATTTTTTGATTTGTGCTTGTTTTTACTAGAATTTCACGATTCTTGGATAAGTTCCAAAATAGCGTTGTTCGATCTTTAAGGTTATTTAACGAACAGCTCTTTTAGGTCTTCATTTATTAGATAAGCATTTACAGTCTTCTTTTTACAGTTTTTATACAGATTTACAGAATGTCTTTTGAGCTGCTTTTACGCAACAGGGAGCAGCTGCGGTCACTAGAATTGAACTCAAAGTGGTCGTGAAATGAGGCTGCGGCGATTAGCCGGCAGTAATTTTGAGAGTGTTGGCGGCTGCCACTCAAGATTCGTAAGCTGTTTTCTTCAATTCGCGAGTGTGGTTGTAAGTTGTTACTAAAAATGGGTTTTACAAAAGACGTAGCAACAAAAAATAATAAAAAACCACAAAGTTATTCGGAATTACATAGTTATTAATTTTATTTAAGCTTAAAAATCGTATCCAAATATCAATTTTTTAAAATTATAATTAATAGTAATAAGTGAAAATTAATCCCTTTTACGAAGGATTTCACATTTCAATTTTTTCATATCCAAATTTACGATCGATTTTGACTTTTTTCTACACTTGATTTTTTCTTCCGAAAGGCTTTACCTGTAATGTCTGCTTTTATCAAAAATGTGCGTTCGATGCCGTCTGACTCTGGAAATCTGTCTGCTCAGCGGAAAACAATAGACGCCGAATCCATTTGCTTCTGGAATCGCAAAATATCCTTGTGCCATATTCATCTGCATCGCTTTTTCTGTGAATAAAATGCAGCTTTCAAGACTGCTCGTCAAAAATCCTTCCAAGTTTTGATAAGTTACAAAGGTCGGATTCCGCGCTAGACAATTTGACATCGTTAAAAATGCGAATAAAATGTTTTTCATCTTGTTTTTCTTTCTTATTATTTTTGTCAAACCGGGATACAAAGAGGTAAAGAGTCAAACGTTACTTTTATACTTCTAGGATAGCGCCACCAGGCAGACAAAGACGAGTTAGAACTTCCGAAGAGCGCTGATAATTCAGAATTCTATGAGGCGCTATAACCGGACTTGCCAGGATCGGGGCTAGAAGAAGTTCAATGACGAATATCATAATCGGAATATGGTAGAATACGAATTAGTCGGCTCTCTCTGTCTTTCTATTTGTTGACAAACACGACCCCAGAATCGGGTCATTTTTTTTCAATTGAATTGCAGTTCTGTATATTCAAACCCGCGATTTGATGTGTACCCATCAAGTCTTCAAATAAAAGTTCTGCCAAGACTATTTGACGCTCTGTAAATCACTTATTTCTTTTGCGAAAGAAAGTTGCTAGGAAAAATGAAGCTTTCCTCGCTTTTTCTTGGCCTTTCGGCGATTGTGGAAGCCCACGATGAAGAGTACCACCCGTCTATTCGAAAGAAGGGAGAGAAAATCGAGGTCACGTGGCCGGTGGAAGAAGAAAAGGAAGGCTATTGGAGAGATGTTGGCAAAGAGAGGTTGAGGAAAATGCAGCAAAAACCGGAAATCAAGGGAAAGGCTAAGAATGCAATTTTGTTCATTGGTGACGGAATGGGAGTTCCATCAGTGACAGCTGGGAGGATCCTGGCTGGTGGAGAGGGTCATGTTTCCAGCATGGAAAGTCTTGATTACACAGGTAAAGAAATAGGAATATTTTAATCCAAACGAAGAGAAAATCCTTGGACTATATTCTGACCTGCATAAATTCTAGGGCTCGTGAAGACTTACAATGTTGACTATCAGACTCCTGATTCTGCTGGTACGGCTACTGCCTATTTGACCGGAGTCAAAGGTACAGAATTACTGTGATCTATAAGTGATCTTTCAATTTACAAAGAATTTTATTGAAAATGATCTCGATGGAGTTGTTCATTAATTTAATAAGCCGGGTGTTCCAGAATTACATTTATTTGAAAAGATGATTTTTTAAACATATTTATGGTGTGTTCTGAACTTTTGTGAGTAATGTTTACTAAGGAAATTACGGCACGGTCGGAATAACGGCTGCCGGTCGGAGAGGAGACTGCCAAAGCCAACTCGGAAACGAAGTACAGTCAGTTCTGGAAAAAGCAAAAGCCGCCGGGAAATCTGTCGGTTTCGTCACTACGACTTATGTGAACCACGCTTCTCCTTCAGGTGTCTTTGGCAAATCCGCCGAAAGGACATGGTATTCGGACAAGCGGATGAAACAAGATCCAAATGTCAGCGACAAAGGCTTTGGTTCTTCAAATTTATAAAAACGATAAGAATCGATAGTCGTTGTTGATTTCAGCGAAGTGGTGACCGGTAGCGAGAATGAATCATTTCCGCTGAACTATTATTTACGTCCTTGGCCAGTTTTCAACCTTACGTCTCAAAAGACAGACAAGTCAAGAGTCAAAGGTGTCAAAAATACATTTACCACGAACTTTAGCGTCAACGCAAGAGATCATCTTCCAGTTATTCCTCACGTTTTACGTAAAGCGTGACGTTTCTTCGTATTCATTATCCTTGGTCACCCTCAGTGACTCTCGAGTTTGATCTAAAATCAAATGATCTGATCGAAGTTTTTCGGCTTGAACGATCTTGAGATTTTCCATCTAAAAATTGACAATGAATCTAAAATACGGCGATTGCCGATCACACCTACTCGGTAGAGCGGAAATCTTTCACACGAAAGCATTGATTATTATCAAGAGCCATTAAAAAGATATGGAAGATTGCAAGGACCTTGCTCTCCAGCTTTTTGAGCACGACGATATTGATGTGATCATGGGAGGAGGGCGCGAGTTCTTTGTCGACAGATTGGATGGACGCAATTTGATTCAGGTAATTATTTGATTTGCGCTTTTCGAAATACGGAAATTCCGTAAACATTATGTTTATTATTTGCGTTTTTTAATAATCATTTACGGAATTTCGTTCTTCCGATTAAAATATATTTTGAAATTTGAAATTCAAATTTCGCGGAATGTCGAAAAATTGTTCGAAAATTATCATATATTTTATGAAAATTTTCATACAGTTGATTCCGTAAATGGTCAATTCTTGAATCTTTATTTATTTAGGAATGGAAAGATGATGGCAACGTGACCCTGGTGGAAACTGAATCAGAATTACGAAAAGCGATGGACAATTTGACTCTTGAGCAGCGTCTTATCGGCATTTATGCTGATCGACATCTGGAATATGAATACGTTCGAGAGAAATTTGTAAGTGTTGTCTTGCTTTTTCGGGTTAATTGTTCGAAATCAAGAATAAATTAACGATTTCAGGCGCCGGAGGAACCACAGTTACGACTCATGGCAGAAGCGGCCATCAAAAAATTGTCCCTGAATCCGAATGGATTTTACCTTTTTGTCGAAGGTGGAAAAATTGACTTGGCGCATCATGATACTATGCCTGTTAATGACGGGTTGAAATTATTTCTAGAACAATTTTCTCCAAATATCGGATATTTTTGAACCCTTGAAGGTCCCTTTATGACTGGAAAGAATTCGATACGATGATCGGCAACTCACTTGAGATGGTTAATTTGAATGAAACTATCGGAAGATGTTTGATCAAAATAACAGAAAAGTCCTATTGACCGATTTTCCCAAACATGCAAAAAGTTATGGTTTCTGCTGACCACTCACATACTTTCTCCATTGGCGCTTATGGAAAACGAGGAGAGAACATCTTCGGCCCTGGAAGTCAAACTTCACCTGACGGAGAAAATGTCATGATTCTTGGTAACCTACTGAGCCTTTTGAATTCCTTTCGTATTTTTCAGGATATGCAAATGGACCGGGATACAATATTCACGAGAAAACTGATCAGGAATGCGTTAAAAATGAAATAATTGATGATTCTTGCATGAAATAAATTCGCTCATCTTCTTTGCTAACACTTTAAGTACGGAAACGTCACGTGCGGACGAAGATTGCCGAGCGAGTACAGTGACGAATGGGATACAGACAAGCCGTTTGCTGATTTGCTCGCTCCAACTGCCGTCAGAACTTATTCCGACGAAAGCTGGGATCCGTCAGGAGAATACATTGAAACCCACGGGGCAGAGGACGTTCCAGTCTACGCCCAGGGTCCTTGGGCACACCTGATGACGGGCACACACGAGCAAGTTATGGTTGCTCACGTGATGGAATTCGCCCTGTGCATTGGCGACTACGCCGAAGAACCTCACTGTAACGAAGCAGAAACTGAAAAGGATGAAGACGGATCAGCAAGTGGAAAAATACTGTCATCTATGATTATTATGTTTCTCGGGCTTTTATTCATGAACTGATAAAAAAATAGAAAAAAAGAATAAATTTTTGATAAAAAAATTTATTCGATAATTGCATGCAAAAAAAAAAGATTAAATAGAAAATGTGCTTCAAAAATTCAAAATTTTGTGAAAACGTCTAAAAGAGTGGAAAAGTAACTTGCGTGCGCAAATTGCCCAGCGAGTACCAAGACGAGTGGGATACTTCGAACGGAAAAAAGCCATTTGAAAATCTTCTTGCTCCGACAGCAGTACGAAATATCAACCCTTCCGGGACCAATGGCGAAACTCACGGAGCGGAAGACGTTGCAGTGTACGCGCAAGGACCATGGGCGCACTTGATGACCGGAACGCATGAGCAGGTCATGGTCGCTCACGTCATGGAATTTGCTTTGTGCATCGGCGATTATGCTGAAGAGGAGCACTGCAAATCTTCTGCTGAACTGATTTCCTTGTCTTTTTCTTTACTCTTTGCCTTCTTTTTTCTCCAATTTGAATAAACTGTATTTCTGATTTTTGATAATTCGTCAAATCTTTTGAATTAACGCCGGAACGCATAAAATTTTTTCAATGCTGAACGCAGACCGTACCAATTAATTGGCATGCCCCTTTCAGCTCTTTTTAACAATGAAACTGATTTGTTTATTGTTAAAATGATAGAGATTAATAATTCTTAGACGCTTAGCTTCAATTTCATCTCCATATTTTACCCATATTATTTCATTAATATGAGTAAATATGCAAATTTCTAAATGTGTCGAAATGCCATTAAAGGGCGTTGTACCAATTAATTGGTCGCCATGCGTTCCGGCGTTAATTATCAGGAAAAAAAAATCTGCCTTTGATTGAGAGAACTTCGATTCCTTTTTGTAAATCGTAGCATCAAAAAATTTAATGCACGATTTTAAGGGCGGGGTCAGATTAAATTCATTTGGCTCGCGCACGTTTCAAACTTTTGTACGATCACATGAAAATTACCAAATTACTATTTTTACACTCTTAGCTCTCGGACGTAGGAATTTGGTTTTCTACTCAAGTTGGTGTACCAAGCTGAACTCTTGCTAAGAATGAATAATCAGAAAATGTAAACACTCATTAATTTCTCTTATTTTTACATTTCGGACGTGCCGAAAAACGAGCAATAGGTAGTTAGTGATAAGATTGTTGCTGAGTGGTGCTATAAAAGATGAAAACGCGAGCGAATATTCCCTCCTTGTCACTAATGATGTTTCTCTGTTTAGACACGAATCATAATTGGAAACGAGTTTTCCATTGGGGTTATTGCGGCTCATTTGTTTTTCTGCAAAGTTTTGAAAAAGAGAGTGCTCGAGCGGTGGCGCCCCGTTCCGCCGCGTGAACCGTCACGATTTGGGACTCGAACTTGCGTCTCGCCTCGCAAATAAGATTGAGTCAGTCTACGTTAAAGTTCGTTACGAGAATTTTAAACCTTGGGAAATTTATTTCAACCCCAAAAAGAAATAGAGAGTTGCTGGAAAAAAGGAAGAAATAAACAAGAAAAATGAAATTTGTCCGAGCAATTCTAGTGGCTTCTGCTCAATCAAGGCTGATGATTAACAGTAAGTTAATCAAAATTAATCAATTGTTAAATAATTTATTGATAAAATCGTTAAATCATCAGCTTCTTATTAGGCCAAGTGATTTTTCCTTATTTTGATTGGCCTTGAAATTCTTTCAAGCATTTTGATTGGACAAAAGTCATCAATTTTTAAGTGGACAAATCAAATGACAGAAACGGTCCTCTCCAAGTCCAAAATTCCGAATCCGACTCAAACTTCGCCCCGGATCGATTTCTTGGTCAGAATGCTCAACAGGGCGACTCTTGCTGCTCAAATATCATCGTCCACGATCTTCTGAACGGACAAAGAACGTTCCAGCGAGCAGTTGACCAAGATGCGTGGCTAGATAATCGAGGAGACGTGATTTTCTTCAACTCGCAGTTTCAAATTTGGCAGCTTCTTCCGCAGAGCAAAGCAAATTTCTTTGGAACAGGTACTTTCTTGAGCTTTTTCGAACAAAAAATTCCTCTTCAGCTTTCTCTTCCGGTTCTTTCGACGAGGGAAAGGGCTGTCCAACCGACAACACCTGGACCGTCTCGAACAAAAATCGCTGGACAACAGTTCCCAACTACTTGACTTGCCAGAGCTCAATTTCTTCTGAAGACGCCCTCGCGTACGATCTCTCCGAGCGAGTTTGCGAAATGATGAAAAACATGGTGCCTCGATTGAAAGAATACAAAATGGACGCGCTGTGCCAGAGAGCGAAGTTTATCGCAGACGTTAGTTCTTTCTTAGATCTTAATGAGGATGCTCTTTATTATTTATCCAAATATAATAGAAATTCTAGCGCGTGATTCGGCAACGATCCTGTGCGAGCTCGAGCCTGACGCGTGCAGATTCAAATTTGGTGATGTCTTTAGATACGTTGCGAGAGTGGAGGCAAGCTTATTTTAATCAAAACAACCTCTGTTATGGCTCAATTATTTTAGAGATAAATTGATGGCAATCAACGCGCGGCGTAACGAAAATTGCGACAACAACGATGAACTCGACGGGGCGATTCAGCGCTTTTACTCCTCGATGAAGCGAAAAGTAATGAAGAACAACAGAAAGTGAAAACTTGAAAACGAAAATTGTGTAAATACAAAATGCGGAATTGAAAGAAATATCTGTACAAAAAAATTCAAATAAAAAGTGCTCCTGAACTCGAAAACTTTTTTTTTTATTCTTGAACAGAAAAATTTAATCATTCAGATTCTGACTCAGACTCAGAACTTGCAGGAGAATACTCAGGAATGGGAGATCTTGAATAACCATCAGCATTTCTTATTGGCTCTGGCTCTTCCTCTTCATCTAAAAAAATTTTTCATCCCCTGATTTTATCCCTCAAAAAAGCATCGTGAAAAAAGATGAAATTGTAGCGATTCAACTCATTTTAAAAATTATACACGAGAAAAACTACCTGCTTGACGGGGCGCATAATTTATTATCGCCACAACTCAGCGTTTGAAGTAAAAAAGCTGCCAAAACATGGAAATAGCTTCAAAAGAGAACGAAATGCGGTTTCGAGACGGATTAAAAACGAGACGCTGGAATTTTCAGCGCTTAACGTGTTTTTGACGCAAACAGGTTAACGTTGCGCACGTTTCAACAAAATTCACCCCTCTTTTTTCTTACCACTTGATTGCTCTGGCGAATGTTGCGAAATCTGCTGTTGCTCCTCTTCTTTCTCCTCGTGTTGGCGTTCCATTGCGGCCTCACGTGCCAAATGCTCCTCGTACGCGCGACGCATGATTTCCAATTCCTCTTCTGTATATTCCTCGCCGTCGGAATCGTCTTCCCTTTCCGGTCCTTCGTAATCTTTCCAGTAATTTCTGAATAAGGAAAAATTTATTTTTCGGGAACGAGCAATTTTTTTATTGTTATAACTAAAGCCTCGGCTCCGCAAACCTGTGTAGAAAATCTGAGTCAGGTAAAAAAGAGCTGAAATGAAAAGCCGCGCAGCGGCTTTTTCTTTAAACGAAGCCGCAAAGCGGCTTCGCCAGTATAAAGAAAAAAATTGAAATTGTGATTCGAGCTCTTCTTCACCTGACTCAGGTTTTCTACACAGGTTGCGAGCTCAGACTAAAGCGGATGAAAAGTGTCTAAAAGTACAAAGAATGAGTCAAGAAATGGAGCAAAAAATGGAAATGTTTTGGGACGCGTCTATCGTTTTCTAAAATGAGTTGCGCGTCAATGTCCATGTTTTTCTCTGCTTTCAAAACAAGGAAGCGACTCCATTTTGAATTGAATTGAATTGAATTATGAGAAAAGATGATATGTAGGGAGATATAACGAAGAGTTTGGAAAGTTTACCTGTCAGAAAGCATGAACTGATTCTGCTTGGCGCGGAGGTACTCGGGCGTGTTGAAGTCCACGTTGTTGATTGCTTTCGTCCGCTCGTAATCGGCCTTGTAATTTCGGTCCTTAATTTTGTTTGAGTGACAGATGCTACTCGAAGCTCCTTGTAAGGCACGGCGGGGACTTTCAGTTTTCTTCTGAGGTGACTTAGCTATGCAGGCCTTTGTGTTTGAGATTTGTGTTGGATTTATGAGCCGAGGTAATATTCGAAATGCAAACATTTGAATGACTGAATATGGGAGCTTGATGACAAAAATTTGTTCATTTTGACAGAGGATGTGGTCCCGGACCGAAGAACAAAACAAAAGTATACCAGCAATCTTCATCCATTCAGAGAACACAGGGAAATTTTATGAGTGTTCTAGATGTGGGTATATTATTTTTTTTATTCGTTCGATAATTTGTGATCAAGCTGTATAAAGAAAAGGGACCCGTGCCAAATGTGTAATCCTTTTACTCCACTTATTGGTAGAAAACCATGTTCTGATATGAGTGGTCTCTTATTCAAATGTCCTTACGAAGAATGCAGTGCGAAATTTTCTTACAAGGAGTTCTTCAAGCACCATGAAACCGGCTGCAATCCAATCAAGAATGAGTCAACAATAATTGATGCCGAAATTCACCATCATGAAAATGAAATCAAACGACTTCGTGAATTGAAAAACAACGACAAGGATCTTGAAGCTGCAAAAAAATCCCTCGAACAAGAGAGAGAAAAATCATCGAAAAATCAAAAAGAAATGAAAGATTTGGAAAAAAGCTTACTCGAACGAAAAAAGCTGATGCAGATTTTCAGACTTCCATTCAAAACCTCGAGCAAAAAGTAAAAGAACTAACTGCAAAGGCGAATGAGATCAAAAAACTGAGTGGAGGACTCTCGCCCAAGTGGACTCTCGCCCAAGTGGACTCCCGCCCAAGATGGACTCCCGCCCAAGTTAGGCGTAGTGAAAAGTGGTGCAGTAGGACTGACCTTCTTTTTCAACCTAGTCGAGGATTAGCACTTTTTTGAGAGTTCCAGTTTTATTACCGAAGCGCAATATTTTCTCACATCAAAGAATTTATGCTTTCGCTTATCTTGCTGGACGAACCGAAACGGGAACTCTCAAAAAAAGTGCTAATCTTCGACTAGGTTGAAAGAGAAGGTCAGTCCTACTGCACCTCTTTTCAGCCAAAATTATCAAATCTAATTGCCCCTTACCACGGGGCTTCGCCCCTTAGGTCCTAAGATTCCGGGGTCTAGTCTAGGGTTACTTAGGGTTACCCTCGGGTAAGGTTGTTCTGTCATTTTGCCCAGTGCCCCATAACCCTAACTTTAATTTATATAAAGTACATCGCATATATATTATATACAGCTCATTGCTTTCTTTTGTCATTGAATAGTCATTAACAATTGGAGTGGAGGACTCTCGCCCAAGTGGACTCTCGCCCAAGATGGACTCTCGCCCAACTTTCTGTTTCTCATGGTTGAAAATTACCACATGGACTCTCGCCTAAGATGGACTCCCGCCCAAGTTGGGCGAGAGTCCTTTTGGGCGGGAGTCCACTTGGGCGAGAGTCCACTTGGGCGAGAGTCCTCCACTCCAAAAAACTTGGTAAAATGACTGTTTGCTCCTAAATCTAAGCAAAATTTAAGGCGCTAAGAAGAAAGTTGATAAGAACAACATGAACTGCTGTGGGGTTTGCTTGGAGGAATATGGCGAGGATCATCAACAAGCCTGCATTGTCACCTGTTTTCACTCATTTTGCTTTTCTTGCTTGAATGCCCTGAATCCAAAAACTTGTCCAAAATGCCGAACAGCGTTCAACGATTCTCAAATCAAGAAAATTTTCTGATTTCCTCATGATCTGATTCAATAAATGATTTTTTAGAAAAACAGTCTTTCGAAAAACTAGAAACTGACGAAGTTATGTCATCTGCGCGGCAAGTTCATTATAAGCCACGTTCACCGCTCATAACCATTTCAAGTGCTCATTACTGTCGAGCAGCAATAACAAAAATACTTGTCCACGACTTACCCTCAAACTCGCCAAATACTTCGACTGCTCCAGCTGGCCGGAGACAGTATCTCCCTTGATTTTCGCCTTCTCTGCTTCCCAAGCTTCCTTGTAAGCCTTCTCCGAAGTGACCTGAAAAACGCTTTAACTTTTACGCCGAAAAACTGCTTAGATCGGTTTTTGTGCTTATCAAAGGATGGTAGAAAAACGTGAACTGGTGATAAGGCTACCCGACCAATTTGAACATCCGCGATAAAGAGAAATGTACTTATATCATTCTTTCTACATGAACTTAGGAGAACACCGTTTTCTAGACACGTTTTCATCTATTTTAAGGGTGTCAACATCGATTTTGGCAAAATTTTCATAATCAAGAATCAATATTTTTTCGTGCTTATGATAGTTATTTGTAAAAATTTCGAGTCAAAAATTCCAGTCATGATAATCCCATACGATTCGTATTAAGGGGGTAGAAACGGCTTTTTCCGAAAAAGGCGATTTTTGACCGGTGCTACAGACAAGAAAATCTTTTATTTTCAAATTTTCTTTTCAGGTTTAGATAGAAACATCTTAGTTCTAGGAGCATTTCCCTCAAAATTTGTTTTAGTCATCAATTTTTTGAGTAAGCGGGCTCAGAAGCAACTCATCTCTCCGAAATTCTCTTTTTTCGCCACTTTTCAAACACGAATATCTCGAGTCACCTGATAGTTAAACAAATTTCATTCACAGTTTTGTGAACCTCAACCCCTTTTCTAGGAACATTTATGAGGAATAGCCGTTAACATAAATAAATCTTATGTTTTCTTCTATGTAGCTACAGTTGAAAATCGAGAAAGCTGTTTCTACCCCCTTAAAACGTAATGATTCATACCTGTTGTCTGAGCTTGTCATTTTGATATTTTTCTGACTCCGCGATGTTGAAATTATTCCCTTCCTAAAAATTATCATTGTTAATGAAAACATTTATCAACTACAGTACCTTCATCGTCTTCTCAGCATCTTTCCTGTACTTCGACGTGGAAATAGCTTCCTGCGCTTTTTGGGCACTAGAAAAGAAAGTTCAAAGGCTCATCCAAAATAAGATTATGCATTTTTTCGATGTTCACTTTTTCACGTGACTGGGGCCACGCTTGTTGTCAAAATAATCCGTCCATTGTCACGGATGAAAGTCAAGTTCCACTTACTTTTCGTAGCTTTCGGTCGCGTGAGCGGGGAAATAAACAGAGTCTTTTTCGAGATTCCAGTCTTCGGAATAAGCGTGTTTTGACAGTTGTTTTTGATTGGCTTCGTGTTGCTGAAAAGACATGTTAACCTGTTGGCGCGCGGGGGCCGTATTTGTACCTGGAAAGAAGGCACTTTGGAAATATCAAGCGACTGAAAACCCTTGTGCGTTTTGATCATATCCTGCTTTCCTTTTTGATAAATCGAATCTCTCGTCACTTCGGTGATTTTCTTCGAAGTCTTGTAGTGCTCGGTATCGCAGAAAGTCTTGGTGAACTGGTTTTGACGGTTGGTTTCTTGGGCATCTTTTTTGTAGCGAGCGCCGGAAGCGTCGATGACATTTTTTGATGTTTCGAGTGTATGCTAAATTAACCGAGTAAGAAAAAAAGAGCAGATGAATATTCTTGATTTTCGATCGAAGAGGTTAAAAATATTAGATTTCTATCTGCTGAGTTGCTGAGTCAGAACAGCCGCTAGTATAAATTGGCCTAACCTTGATTCCATTAACCTCTCCCAGGTTTTTCTCAAACTCCGTTTTCATCTTGCTGTCTTCCCAATCTGCTTTGTAATTCTTGTTCAAAACATCGCTCGTTTTCTTCGAATTGACATCGTGAGCAATGTCTCCTCGATTCATCAATCCTTTGTTCAAATCGTAATTTTTCAGAAATTCTTTGCCATTTTGAGTGTAAATTCGCTGGCTTTGCGTTTGAGCTACTTCTTTGACGCGGGCGAGTTCGACGGTTTCGGTCGTGCCTTTGATCTTCGCTTTCGATTCTTCCCAATCTTTGTTGTACTGAAGCTCGGACTCTTTCTTCGACTTCTGGTTCTTGTAGATTTCCGTCTCGCAGGCGTTGAAAGTGTAGTCGTTTTTTGCGAGCTCAGAGCGTTTTTTTGAAGAAAGTTCTTCGTTTTTCGTGGCGAGTTGTTGTTGATAGCCTTTTTCAAGTTGATTTTTGACTAATTGATGATTGAAAAATTTTGACCAAATAATTTGGAAAAATTGGCGAAATTTATCTTTTATTGATTAAATTTTCCTTTTTCTTGTTTTTTTAGATTTTTTTAAGATTAAGATTTATCTGATTTAGAAGTGGTGGTTTCAACTTTTTGACATTGATGCAATTATTCTCACACTAGACAGAAAGTGCAAAAAATTCAAATAAAATGAAAAAAAATTTACAGTTATGGTTTTTCTACTTATTAAATATTTAAATGGGCACGAATTATTTCTCAAAGACAGACCATAAGACGGCCGTAAGGATTTTCTTGGAGGAAGAGGATTCGAAGCGTAATAAATAATTATATCATCACATGGTTGATACTGCCCAGTGCAAATAACTAAGTTCAAGACTTAATAAATTGGGTCTTGTGAAGCAGAAATGCAAACTCTTTCCTGGATTCCAATCCGCTGGATAATAAATCGCATCCTTTTCCAATTCATAATCCTCTTTGTAAATATTCTTCGAAACTTGCTCTTGAATTTTCTTGTGTCTCTGCAATTCCGGATTGTCGTAGCCCAAGTTCTGCGCGCCCTTGAATGTCTTGATCACTTCTTCTTTCGTTTTAGAATAATTTCTGACGCTGGTTTCTGCAGCTACTTGTTTTGCTTGCTTGTAGCCTTGGTTTTCCGTCACTCGGAAGGAGTTCTTCGAGTTTGATTTTTTGGCGTCGGCGACGTAGGTCTTGTCTGATTGCTGTTTTGACATGTTGATACAGTGCTGCATGTGCAAAGGGAGAAATGAGCTACAGTAACATTCAGAGAAGATTCTAGTTGTCGCTTTTACCTTGAAGATTTTGCTTTTTTGTCCTTCTTTTCGGCCACTTTTGGAGCATTGTAAATTGGTCTCATTTTTCTCTTTTATGAAAAAAGGGCTTTGAAGAAATTTCTTTTGGAAAACTCTTGGAAAGGAAAGAAGATTAGGTACCAGACAGATAGTGATTGGGCACACTGATTGGCCGGAGCGGCGATAAGACCTTTTTTGCTGCACATCGTCATCTGTGACGCGCTCCACCAGCTGATTCAACTTTTCTGCACTGTTTTATCAAATTCAAAAATTCTGTAAGTTATGCAAGATAGAAGTTAACGCTTCTATTATTTGTTCATTTATATGGCCATGATTATTTTGCAGGCATTTCAAAATTCTTCTTTGCTTATGGTCTTCCTATTTTTGATCAAGAAACAAAACGATTATGCAAATGATCCCTTGAATGAATTCTTTTTTCTGCCCTTGCAACATGCACAAGCACTGTAAATAATTCAAATCCAGTTTCACGGGAGAGCTCATTCCGCAGCTGAGACAACAAAAAATGTCAGAGATCAAATCTTCCTCAATTTCAACTTCAATTTGGTCGGTTTCCGAGGGGAAATTTTTGACGCCCCGACGAGCTGACAAAAGTTTCATCAGGTAAAATATCCAAAGAAGGTTTTGTCGATAACTTTGAGTTCCTAGTGAAATGACAATCTTTGAAAATTCCGAAACATCCGAATCTCTTCCCCTGAAAACAAGCCCAAAAGGACCAGATCGACCCAAATCTGAAGAATGCCACTTCTGTGAAAAAGTATTCCTAACCATGCGATACTGGAACGAGCGATGGGAAAATCGAAACTTGAAAAACCCTCTCAATTCTGAATCAAACTCTGTTCTTCCAAATAATACCTTGCTTTAAAAAAAAGTGTTATTTTATTTGCAAGGTAGAAAGTTATCAAGCTAAAATCGCGAGCATATCCAAAGCGTCCATTTCGGCAATAACCCAGCACGCTTCTGTGTGGTGGAATCTCTGGAGGAGGGCGTTGAAATCGTGTCCGCTAGAATTTTGAGTTGAAGGTTGACTTGGCTTGAAATCTTACTTGATGGTAACTGAGGCAAGTTGTTCTTCGTCTTCTGTGGGGCCTTTTTCTGTGACGAAATAGGCGTTGGGTCGGGTAAAAAGGCCGATGACGCCCTTGGTTCGGCTTGAAACGCCTGCTGCATCTGATACAGCAACCTAAACATGGTTATTTTTTTGATATAGAATGGAGCGCTCACCTGAAGATTTCTGTGGATCAGATTCGATCGAACGATAAAAGTTGGTCCATTTTCGACTTTGACTTTTGTATGCTCATGAAGCCCGTTTTCATTCCTAAAGATATTCTCTCACTTTTTCATCCATAACAAGTCATACCAGTTGGAGAAGAAACTCAAGTCTCCATAAATCTGATCCCCAGTGAGAGGGTCAGAAACGATCCCTCGCTCCCCATCGAGGCCTTCTTCCATGACTCCATTGAGTCCGAATTTGAGAAAAGAGCCGTCCGGCGATCGGAAGTGGATTTGAGTGATGAACTCGTCGCCTTTCTCATTTTCCTCCAACGTCGCTGTTTTCATTAAGAAAATTGTTCAAAGTAAAAATCTCAAAAAATTTTCTCAATAATTTCCTGTGAGCATCAAGCCACTCTCTGGGTCTGAAAACAAGTTCAAATCAGCATCCATAGGCGGGTTGAAATCGAAGCAAATTGGCGGCTGGCCCTCTGTCTCCACCATAAAGTGGGGATCTCCAGCAGCGTATCCCTGCGCCGTCTGAAATTATTCAATTGAATAATTTCATTCCCCGTTATCTTACCTGGGTAATGTATTGATCGACATTTTGGACCTGGTTGTTGTTGTAGTTATTTGGGTACTGATTGTAAGTATTCCAGCCTTTTGCCTCATTGATCTCTGTTTTTGGATCAAAAATGCTTTGATTTCATTCTTGGCTCAAATTTGATTCAATTTCCTGGAAGCTCGACGACTTCTCTCTGTTCTTCAACAACCGATTCTGTGGTCTCTACTGTAGTCGTTGCTGGAACTGTTGTTGTTTCTTCAGTCGTTGTCGTAGAAGTTGTGGTGGTCGTGGTGGTAGTCGTTGTTGTTTTCTTTGTCGTTTTCGGTCGAGGAGGGACTTTCTTCTTTGGCACCTTTTTGATTGGCTTCTTCTTGATGACTTTCTTTGGGGATTTCTTTGCAACTTTCTTTGGCGCTACTTTCTTGATCGGTCGTTTTCCTCCACCAACGGGTCTCAAAGTCGGCCGGGGAGCCTGCATTCTTCCTCTGATTTCTGGTCCAAACGCCGGTCTAGAAGTCCTGTTTTACCTTCTTTTGACAGAATATCTCTACCTGACATAAACACCTTCATCTCCTTCAAAAGCCCCTTCTTGAGCTAGAACTGCAGTAAAGAGGGGCCAAAGAATTTTCATAGTCTCGATTTTCTGGCTTTTCTCTGGTTTATTTATCGAAAATTCTGAATCTGCTGATGAAAGGGCTCGGCGCTTCGGGGCCCAAAGGTCAGTGTATAATTTTCAACTTTTCAGAGGATCGAAAAATTTTTAATGGGAAGTGCCTCATTTCATGTAAACAAATTATTTCAGTATTAAAGTTCCTGATTACAGTCAGGTCTTGCAAATGGGCGGTTTTATTTTTCGGGATTTTCGCCAAAAACCAAATAATTGCAAGCCGTCAATTTTTTTTTGAAAATGGGCCAATTTTATTGAATTTTCTCCTCTTTTCTTTTTACTATCAAAAAAAGCATTTTAGGAAAATGCAAAAATTTTCGGGATTTTCGCCAAAAACCGCGCAATTGCAGTTCGCGCAATTGCAAGACCTGACTGTAATAGTAGGTAGTTTTTGACGTGATAGATAATTTGAGCGACTAATTTAATCGTAAGGATTTTTTTTGACATTAAGGACCCCCCCATCAAGAATCGTGAAAAAGGGGCTGTTTAGTGAAAGTTTTTCTCAGAAACTGTCTAAGGTAGATCCTTACTTTCACTTGCTACCTTTAGATCAAACCCTCGGCTGCAACCGTTCCCCTTATGATAATCTCTTGATTACAAATTTAAGGGTATACAGGCCCTTATAGGTAAAGTTGCTTAGTGAAAGTTTTTTTTAGGATTTTAGTTGAGGTATACCCTTAATTTTTTTACAGGATAAAGTTAAGGCCCTAAGCTACGACCGTTCCTCTTTTGAGAGTTTTTGGTCGACGAACTTAAGGAGGACTGCCCCGTTAAAAATTTATAAGTCGAATAAAAGGCAAATTTACAGATTTCAATTTTAAGTTTTTCTTCAAAAAACTGCCTTCGATTATATAATATAATTTATATTTTTCTGACTGTTTTTATGATGGAAATGCATTTTAAGATGGGTATACCCTTAATTAAAATGAAAATATAGCAAACCAAGGATTTTCATAAAAAATATAATGCAAATTTTCATTTTTTAAAGCCAATTTTAGTCAAAAATTTCTATAGCAGCGAAAAAATTTCAACATAAAAGTTTCTCCTCGTTGTCTAAAGAACCCAAAACGACCAAAAAATACAGAAAATTTTGACCAAATTCATCTTGATGGGGGGGTCCTTAATGTTCATTTTATTAAGAAATTAATTTGTTTGAAGAAAAGCAGGTGGCAGGTGACATCAAAAAACACAAAGTAAAATTGCAAAAACGAATCGAAGAAAGTTTTTTACTCCATAAATCGGCTAGAGCGAGCGACCTTGAATTCGACAGCAGCTCGTTTCATCATCAATCGCGGATCATCAGTCACCATATTTCGCATCACTTTTAGCTCAAGAAACTCCTCAGCGTCATTTGTCAGCAATTTCAGCGCGTTTTCGTGGCTTATCTTTGTCAACTGTTTTCCATTCACCTGAAAAATAGGCAAAACGGGTCAGTTATTCATCTTACCTCGACAATTTTGTCTCCAACTTCAAGTCCTGCTTTGTCTGCTGGACTTAGCCTTCTGATTTTTGAAACGAAGATTCCACTGAAAATTAAATAAGCTCCAAAAGCGATGAAATAAGTACCTGTCTCCTTTGCTAAATGGATTTTGATATTCATCTTGGTCGATTCCTCCACCGACAGAGCAGCCTAGTATCATTTTTCCATCTTGATTTTCCTTTTCCAACTCGATAACCTTAATTTTTGTTTCATTTTTCGACGCATTACTTGAAATAAAGGGGGTTTCTACCCTTACATATCTAAATTTTTAAGCAACAAGATTCCGAACTTTTATTTCATCGAATAAAATAAGGGTGTTACTGTATTAGCCTTAAAGTAAAAACCCACTTATTCTTGTCTATCCCCTTAATTTTCATACAAAAGTGTCGATTTCTGATTGAATCCTTCTTTTTTTTCTCAGATTTTCTGGAAAAATTTTCGATCTCCTCATTATTTTTTCTCGACAAATTTTAACGTCTCGTGTCGAAAAATCAAGAACATAAATTTTCACGCCGGTCATAAAACATAATTACGCGAGAAAAAATTTGAAAAGAAACTTGTACCTGGAAAATTTGGTCGCTCATATCTGGCATCTTTGTTTCTTTTATTGTTTTAAAATTTCCTTTTTGGGACTTTTCCAAGAAAAAAAAACGACAACTGAAATTTTTCTCTCAACAGCGCGGTTTGAAACTGTTGATAAAGAAAAAAAAGGTGGTAAGCCCTTTTGGGGATGAAAATGACTTGTCACGTGTTGAGTCTGCTGCTGCTTCTTTTAGCCGGCTTTGGGATTTGGCCATTATCTTGCACGCTTTGACGGGTATCGATCGTTTTAAATCATTTATGCTGCCGAGTTCTGATAGATCTTCTGCAGCGCGCTTTGCTTGGGCTAATGGTGCTTTAAAATGCTGTAGTCACAAGAAAAAGTAAAGAAAACAGTCGCAATAAATACGGTTTAAATTTCTTCAAAAGTTTTTCTGAGGAAAAAATTGTTTAATTTTCGCTGAGGAAATTTGAATAACACACGTGCCCAGGAAATTGATGCGCATAATCGCGCTGGCGGGAATTTATAAACTTCGGATCAATCAAAAAATGGCAAAAAATAAAAGAAAAAATGAAACTGTGTATTTTTCTCGGATTTTTTGGCAGAATCGAGAGTCGTTTTTGGAAAAGCGCTTCAGAAGAAGACCTAACTCGAGGTCAAAAATACACTGGTCCTCCAACAGGGGGACCTGGCGAATCACAAAACTTCGAAAATCCAGTTGTTCCGGATTTTATCGCTTCTCTCGATGACAATTCACCATCTGAAGACGAGGAGCTGCACTTTTACCCAGCGAATTATACTGGAGAGAAGTTTTATACTGTCGTTTACAAGGAAAATGGAGAAGTGCTGGACTATCAGAACTTGAAAATCGCCGATGCGACTGTTTATATGAACACTCTTGCTCCAAAATTAAGGGTATGTTCTTCGTTACTTTTTTCATCAAGCTTTTTTATCAAAACCTCGTTCAGAAATCAGCCCAGAAAACCATGCAAAATTTTTCCGGCATCTCAAATTCCATCGACTATACCTTGCCCTGGTCTGATGGATGTTTCGGCCGCCTGCGCCCCCTCAAACCTGCTCGTGGAGAACCAAAAACTAATCGAGAAGCGGCCTACAAAGCTTATTCCAGCTGCCTCGAATGCATCCAAAAAGACTTTGGAAGTGATAAACTCGCATTTGTCCGAGGAAGATACACTTTTTGCTACAACTTGACGAAGAAGGAGTTTTTCTGTCCGAAGCGGGAGAAGTTTGAATCTGTTGAAAAATGGGCACAGTGCGAGTGTGATGTTCAGTTGGCGAATGATTTGGCGAATGAAGAAGAGGAATACAAACAGGAAAAGGGCTCAAGATAATCAAAAAATAAATCAAATTCTTTGTCAAATTTAAGTCGCTCTATTTCGAACCCGACTTCAGGAAGTAACTCCCCAACTGTCCGATTGTTCCCGTCGAGCAGGTCCTCCTTCAACTGGAAGCTGGGGCGGCTTCGCTGAGCTCGAAAAACTCGAGTCTCCGAAAACAATCAGCGCTAGAAAAACTTGCTGCGGGGAGTACCCTCGACGATTTGTCTTCTTGGAGACAGAGAAAAGAAAATGCTGTGCGGGAAAAATTGTTAATCGTGAAAAATGCTGACTGTTATTTGAAAAACTGACGAAATCTGAAAAAAGGATTGAAATAAAAAGTAATGTAACAAATCGAAAGAACGAGAAATTGCGATTTCTTCAGAACCGTAAAAATGGCGATTTGATTGATAATTGCTCGCGCGTGACAAGACGCGTAAAAAGAGTACTTTGTATTCAATATTGGATTTGTAGGAAAGACAAAAGAAGCGACTTTGTTTGACGTTTGCTTCTTTTGAAAAGAAGCAGAGAAAGAGAAATCAAATGGCAGTGGTTCTGCATGTTTGGGAAGAAATTGTCTATGGACTTGGTTTGGTATGAAAATTTTTAGCCAATAAAATGCCTGCATTCGGCCTCGCAGCCAATAAGAGGCCAGATTTTTCGACTTGAGTTTCACTCTCAAGAAAGTTTCCTAAATTTATTGCTTATAAACGTAATAATGATTTATTCAAGGTTTTTATGATAATCCTGATCTCCTGGGTCACGGCCGAACTTAGCCACAGGTATCGAAAAATGCGACGAAAGCAGAAAAACAAGCCAGAAAGCATCAAACTCCTAATGGACAGATGTCAGTCGTCTCGCACAATGGAAACAGTTCTTCTTCACGAATGCGAATGTAAAACTCAAAATTGACAAAAAAAATTTCAGCAAAAATACTTTTGAAAGAAATAAAAGATGATCTGCTATTCAACAAGTAGTTGGTTTATTTCATCATAAATTAAGATGAACAAACAGGGCCATGCACAAGAATCATCGTTGCATATTCCAGCTGCATGTCGTTTCCATCCTCTGGTTTTCCAATGTCAGTTGATGAAAAATTTTCTTCATTCAAATAAATTTTCTCGATCGAGCTAAAGTTTTGAGTTAAAAAAAGGGGAAAGAACGCTCACTTTTCTCCTGCATATGCGAAGCTCCCCGGTGCGATGATACCAGAAGTAAAGTATTTCGAATTTGCAGTTGACTCTGACATCTTTCCGAGAAATTTCCACTCCGTATTTTTGAACATATAAACCTTCAATTTTTTTTAATTGATCAAGGATATAAAACTTACATCTCGCTGAGAAACATGCCAACCAGCAATTGTATACAAACCGTTTTCATCTGCCAAAACAATGTGTGCAAGAATCATAGCTTCTGGAAACCGAGCACTTTCAGAGAATTTATAAAAAGTCGCGCAGAGCTAATAATATGAGAGAAAAATGACGAATATTTTGTAAATTGCCTTTGAGTCCAAGCATTTCCATCGAAAAACTCCACTGAATTGTGACAAGTCGAGAGGTCCTCGCTTTCGCATCCTCCAACAACCCACATTTTCTCCTGATAAATCGCCATCGCGGCAGAAACATGTCCGGCATTCGACTCGACTGGAAGAACAGATTCATTCTCTCCATCGAAAGTTTGACATTTCTTCGGGCCAACTGCTTTGTACCGATCATCGAAGCACAAATGAGCGGCATCGTTGTAGACAGCGCAGGATCCGGAAAATCCATCAGTATGGGGGATCGACAGTTGCTGTTGCTGACGGTATATGCTGCACTCGTCAAGGTCGAGTTTCGCGATGAGTTGATTGTTGTAATAGCCGCCGAGGAACCAATGCTCGCCGCCCATGAATGCATAGCATGCGTAGTCGATTTCGTAGAGTATAATGTTGAAATTGACATTTGTTTCTCTTATTTTGTCGTTTTCGAGATTGATCAAAAAGGCTTGGGGGCCGTAAGTTATTGTTGAATAGGCATTGAGAATCAGAATATGATCTGCATCGGTGTTAGCTTAAAGTTGTAGTTTGATCTTGTCGAAATTAAGAAGTCCTTACTATGGTTGTTTTTTCATCGATTGTTGGAGATGCAAAAACGAGACTCAAAATAAGAAAATATTTCATTTCTATTTGCAGATATTTTTCTTGGCAATTTGATAGAAAGCATCTGGAATTATCTCATGCTTTTTTGACCGGCAAATATCCACAGTGCATATTCGACTCTCAAAATATCATCAATAATAGTAAAAATCAAATTAGATGTCAAAGACCCATTTCAAACTCCAAATACACCTTCACACATTTTCAGACTTTTTCTCGCCTAATTTATTAAACCTAATTCGCAATAAACCCAGCGAGGGGGTCATTTCGATCCTTTCACCTCAGGCGTGGTACGAATCGTTGTTTATGGCAGCGGAATCAGATTTAAAAAAAATTATCAAACACAAAAATCAGGAAAAATTGAGAGTAAGAAAGGTCAAAAAATCATAAAAATCCCGAGAACAAAAATTGTTATTGTGAAATCGACAGAGAAGATGTGAGAAGTCGAAAAAAGTGAACTCGTTTTGGACTCGCGTAACCCTGTCTTGTCATTTCAATTTCGTTTGCCGAGCAAATGCTCCCAGACCAATCCGCAAATAAATTCGCTCAACTTGAGTTTCTTTTTTTAGAAAACGAGAAAGTCGTGAAATTAATTGAGAAAAAATGGTGAAACAAATTTACAAAATCCCGATGCCTTTTTCGATGGAAGAGTACAATCTCGCCCAGCATTATGTAACCATGGTGGAGAAAATTGCACCAAGTGACCCAGGTAATTATGTTTTTTTTTTGTTTCAGTAAAAAAAATTTTTTTGATGAACTTGAAAATTGGGCGTTGTCAAAAGATTAGATTTATGAGGCCATAAAAATTTAATTCGATTTTATTTTCAATATGATTTCGATATAATTTTCAGACTCCGAGCTTATCACCATGGAAGAATATGACGAAAACTCAGAACACGCGAAAGAAACCGACGGAAAAGCCGGCCTTTACGTTCATCGTCGATTTCACATGGAAAAGAAGATGCCGGGCGTTATCACGATGATGGCGCCAAAAGGATCGATGGAGACAGACATTTACTCCTGGGTGGCGTTTCCGATGAGGTAAGCTCGATTCGTTGAATTTTGAAATTCGGAATAGAAAAGTCAATATTTTATTTATTTAGCAAGTCGTTGGTGAAAGTTCCGTACATGAAGGAAAAGTTCAAGATCGAAATCAAAAGTGTCCAAAAAGCGGATCTTGGCGAGTCGGAAAACGTTTTTGAGCTCAGCGCGGAGGATCAAAAGGCTATCAAGAGCTCGTTCATTGACATCACTACCAAACCAGGTAAAATAAACAGAAGAAATGATTTGCTGAAATAAAAAAAATGATTATTTGATTGGAAGAAATGCCCTGATTGGAACCTGATTTAAGATTCAACACGTAAGTTTACTGATTTTTGCCGTCATTTATCATTTTTACCATCCAATTCACAAATGATCGAGTAAAAACACCATTTTCCAAAACCCGACACCATTTGTCAAATTGTTTCTGAACTTTTTTTCTAGAGGAAAAGAAGCACCTCCTTCCCGCTGAATACAAGCACTCCAACGGCAAAGCCCCACTTTCTAAGACCTGGCTCAAAGATGCTCAAGATCGAAAAGAAAGCAACTACATGACGAGCTACAATCTGGTAGACTCAACCTTCAACGTTTGGGGACTCCAGGGAAAAGTCGAAAAGTCCATTTGCGGCAGTCAAGAAAAAATCTTCCACTGTAAGTTTCTAGTTTGTTCATAATGTTGGTTTTAAAATTGATTCTAGCGCTGCATCGAGAGATGTTCTGTTACATGGGAGAGCACGACAAGATGCCTGGATGGTATGGGAAATCGATGGAGGAAATAAAAGCGCTGAAAGCTCCATAAATTCTGCAATTTTCTGTGACTCGATAAAAAGAAGTATCTTAAAAATCTAGCATGTGCCAAGAATTTTGCATCTAAGAAGGCTTCTGGATAAAATCTACTCGAATGCAATAACTATTTTTATACAAGAAAAGTTGATTGAGTATGGTTGGATATGATGATTATTATGTCGTTTATTATGTCGGATGAAGTACATGTAATACATGTATGCAGCACATTATATGTTTCAGAAAAGAAGGATTTGAGAAACAAGAAAAGGATGATTTTTCGGGGGAAAATAGTTTGTCGAAGATGGGGTAAGTCAAGTGATGATACTTGATAGTCTGTCGGCGAGAGAGTTTTCTTCAATAAGTTATTGGTTACCACAATTCATCTGACGGAGTTTTTTCTCGAAAATCTTCTTTCGATTGCGATGGAGGATGTGGAAAAACTTCGAAGCTTTCGCCTTCTCGTCATTCAAACAGACGAATGAGTCGACGAAAGTAGAAAGGGAAGTAAAAAGCCCTTGCATTTCCTCGCAGACGTCGCTGGAATCGACTGGTGCGACGAATTGTGAGAAGTCATTGGAGCCGGCAGGAAAGGTGCATCCGGTGGCGGAAGATTTTTTCTTTGAAAAAGGGTAATAAGCTTTTGCATAAATGAATTATTGTAAGAAAAATATTTCTTTGTTACGATAATATGAATAAAAATACATGACCCTTTCCTTCAAAAGGCTCATCTGATCGAAGAAGAGGTTGAACTGGTAAGCCTTCTTGGAACCAAGAACCGAGTTGTTGCCGAGACCAGGAAGAGCAGCGTAGAAATCTTCAACACGGCTGGAAATTTCTGCGGCCTTTGAAGCGATCTTCTCCCAAGCCTGATTGTTCGGGTCCATTGGATCGGCAACTGGAGCGACTTCTTCGACATTAACGGTGGCATCTGTTGTTTGAGCAACAGTCGCGTTTCCGGCGTCGAGGGAGGATTGGAAATTGGCAATGCTGTCTTGAACGGCATCGAGCGTTTCTTGAGTAGAACGGCGATTTCGCGAAGAAGAAGACTCTTGATATCGGTCGTGGTAAACCATATGAAATTGGACCCAAACTGTATTCTCTGAAGAGTAACTGGAGTAGTAGTAGCTGGAGTAGTAGTCATCAAGATGACTTGTGTCTGCTGGTACACTGTATTTCCATGTTTCGGAATAGGCGTACGATTCAGTCGTATAGGTATACCACTCTGTAGGATTGTAGGTGTTGAGGTACTCGAGAAATTCCTCTGGAGTCTGGTCCGGATCTACCCAGAAAAGACAGTAAAAAACGGCATCAGCAACGTTTTCTGTCCATACATAGCCGGTGTCGCAAGATTCTCCAGAAAGCGCAAAGTAGTTTCCAGCTCCTGAGAAGTCAACTTCGTTTCCGCGAAGCTCGCAAACGTTATTGTTGACATCGTGGTGTAGCTTTATTTGGACTCATTTTTGGTTAACAATGTGTACGATATCGCCTTCGTAAATTTTCAGCGGGTACCTCGATCGTCTGTTTATATCTCAATCAAACACTCTATTTTGAAAGCCCGTTCCTTGTAGCAGCCAGCGTGATTAGCGCATTCTCGTTGACAATCTTCTGTGTTGCCAGCAAAATCCGCGAGTTCAAACTCAAAATATGATGTGGGGGCGGGCTTGTCCACTCCACTTTGAATGTCCCACACAAGGACATCACCGAAGTTCGTGTCTTCAAGACATGTTGTGGACTTGACGCAGGCACCACGGTTGGCAACGTATCCAGCTGCGCACGAGCAAGTGTAGCTGCCTGCGACATTATTGCAGACTTCTGTGACATCGTTGCATCTATCAGTACCCGCTACGCACTCGTTTACGTCAACACAACCGCTGGAGCTTGCTTCGTATCCAGATGCACATGAGCACGTGAAGCCGCCGTCGGTATTATAGCAGACTTCTGATGCATCGTCACAAGTATCAGTACCGGCTACGCACTCGTTGACGTCAACACAACCGTTGGAGCTTGCTTCGTATCCGGCTGCGCAAGAGCAAGTGTAGCTGCCTGCGTTATTATTGCAGACTTCTGTGACATCGTTGCAAGTATCAGTACCCGCTACGCATTCGTTGACGTCAGTACAACCGCCCGAGCTTGCCTCGTATCCAGATGCGCATACGCATTCGTAACTGCCTGCGGTGTTATTGCAGACTTCTGTTACGTCGTTGCAATTATCAGTACCGTCCTCGCACTCGTTGGTGTCCGAACAGCCGCTGCCGTCGAAGTAAAAGCCGCTCTGGCAACTGGTTGTGCCGCTTTGAGAGAAGCAGGTGCCAAGTTGTGCGGCGCATTGCCCCTCGTCGTAGTCGGCACAGCAGTCGCCGTAGCCGCAGCAGAGAGAGTCGCACCAGCAAGAGCCTGGGTTGCATGCGGAGTCGTCCCCATTGGTACAGCAAACTTCAGGAACGGCAAAATCCTTGCACGAACTACCTGACCTATTGCTGAGAGAAGCCGCTGTCAGAGGATTATTCGGTCGAGTTGATACATTTCGGCGGGTGCGTCCGGCAGCAGTGATGGTAAAAAAGGCAAATAATTTCATTTTCTTCAGGCTCAAAATATATTAATAAATATATTACGATCTGAGCGTGTTTAGTTTGCCCTCCCGGTCTCGTTTTTATGGCACTTGACTTTTGATGCAGCGCTATTGAGCACGATGGCGCCAACTAAACTTTTTGCTGTTTTTGTCGACTTCACGATAAGGTGGTTCGAAATGATGCATTCTAAAGTTTAATTCGAAATCCTTTAATGGCCAATTAATAATTGGAAAGATTTCCGAGCTAAGTGTGCTCGCGTCCGAGATCTGCAAAAACGTCAATTATCTGAATATTATTTCAATCTTTAACTTGCTCCCCTTGTGTCATCTTCGGCTAGTTGAGAATTGTCTTGAACCGAAGGATTGATGATATATGGACAAACATTCTTCGGCACATTTTAAAGAATCCATGGATGAGCTGAGCTGTTTCTTTTTTACAACAAATTGAGCTTGGCTGAACTGGGGCTTATTTGAAAATTTTTGAGCTGAGCTAACATAAAATAATTTTATTCTGTCATTTCAGAATAAGGAATCCTCCAAATTTTTAAACACTTGTATCATTTATGTGGGTGAGTCAATGTTTCAACCTTCAAGAGTAGATTGATAGGGAGCCCCTGCCCTCGCACACCTCGCACCCCTTAACCAGTCTCTAAAATTCGCAATCACATATGAACCTTATAATTTTTTGATTGTCCGTATTTTCCGAAGGGAACCCTAAGTAACCATCAGATCACTTTCTAGAGTGAGTACAAGAGGCAAACCGTAATTTTGTCTTGTCTTAAAGACACTAAGTCTTGTAGGCAACAAGACCGTCGAGTTCAAAAAGGAGGAAGGTTAGAATAAGCGAGAGTCCAACTTGAAGTGAGTAAAAAGTCTAAGTGAGCGTGCTCCAGCCAGCGAAGCAAGTCTTGCTCCCGTTCAGAGAACCTCTTCACTGGTCGTAATTTGCAAGCTTTCATGGAAGATTATTAGGTCTGGAGATTATATCTTTCTAAAGTTCATCTGCCACACAATAAGTACGCGCTTGTTTCTTGTCTCGTGTCATGCTGCTCTAAACGCAAGTAAGCCAATTTGGTACTCTCCAAAACAGCGCGACATCGCGAATGTTATCATAACAAGTACTTGGTTAGCAAGGTTAAGTCAGCGATTTGGGTGTCATTCGATGAAAAGACTAACAAAATAACGCAATGGAAAGTCGTTTTCGCCAGACAGCAACTAAAATGTGCTGCAATCAAGCAACAGCTTTTGCTACTTCTAAAACGAAAAGGTAGAGACTTTGCTGGTTAAGGGTCCAATCACCAGGCTAGGGCTCTAGATCTTGGCCGAAACTCAAAAGTGGTATATACATGTACATGTAACATACAGTTTGTATCATCTTCCAAAACACCTAAACCCGGGACAATTTGTCTAGCTGTATCTGAAGTTCAGATTCTGAACTTTTTTCAAGAAGAAAGGAAGCACCTCCTTCCCGTTTTGTACAAGTACTCCAAGTTGGAGTCTCCAACGGCAAAGCCCAACTTTCGAAAGCCTAGCTCAAAGATGCTCAAGATCGAAAAGAAAGCAACTACATGATGGCCCATCATTGATGGGCTACAATCTGGTAGAATCAACTTTCAACGTTTGGGAGCTCCAGGGAAAAGTAGATAAGGTAGGAAGCAAAAGCGCTGGAAGTTCATAACTTCTTCAAGAAACTAACAAAACCAAAATAACGAATGTATTTTATATATTTATAAAATCGTTTGTGCAGTTCAGTAAAGAAAAATAGTTTTACCAGGAAGGGATTTTTACCAGGAAGGAAAAATCGAAATTTCGACATGTAATTTGACATTTGTCAAATAAGTCAAAACATAAAATGAGCCTATTGACTTCTGAAATTATTTACTCGCCCCCCTCTGAGCATATTTTTATCGATTTTAAGAATTTTTTATTATATAAAATAATTTAACCTGCCAACGCCAAGCGTGCCAGAAGGCCCAACCTAACGTTTTGAAAGCACTCGAGACAGGTTTTCATTATTTTGTTTTTCTTTCATTTTTGAGTTTATCAAGTCATTCCGATCATTCAGTCAGGGATGCTCTCTGGGTTGAGTTCAAAGTCGCATTTGGGCTCGAATTGAATCCGACGGATTCGCACTTGGTTTAGAATCAGGGTTCGGGAGAGGGCTCTTCTCTGGCTCTTGATTTGCGTCCGGACTCGAGTTTGGGTTAGGATTCAGTTTAGGGCGGAGCAGATGCAACCCAAGATGGATCTATCTTGAGCACTTTATGAAAAAACCTCCTTACGTGGAAATATCGAGGTCAGTTTCCGCTGCAAACACGCTTGGCACGCTTGGCGTTGGCAGGCTAAATTATTTTATATAATAAAAAATTTTAAATTTTTATAAAACCGAAAATTGGAGAACATCTGTATTTTCTATAAAAAACTTTATCCGAATATCTCTCCACAGATCATCCGCAAGTTCTATATCGTGCCCCGCGGGAGTTTCTCACAGTCGTACTAAGAATTGCATTTCCTTTCTCTTTCTATTTTCTGATCATGTCTTTTCACCGGTTTTCGTAAAAAGAGAAATGCTTAGAAAACTCTACCACAATCTCACTCCAATAGGATGGTTTCTCGCCTTCATCACCAGTTTCTGCTGGAGAACAACTCTTCCAGAAGCTTCAAAAAGCCAAAGTCCAAAAGAAAAGCTTCTTCTTGTCTTTCCAATAATTCCGACAATTGAAAACTATGAAATGGTCAACGAGCAATTTTGCGGTCTTCTTCGCGAAAAATACGGACGAATCGGCGACGACCTCGGCATTGAAATCAAAACGCTGTTTATCACTGAAGGAACAACAATCACTCAACAAGCAGCGAGGAAAGACTGGAATGTAATCAACAAAGTAAGCAGTACAATTGGAATCGAAATGGCTTACGCTCCCGATCATATTTTTAACTTTCATCGAGACTTGAAAATTCAAGAAGATCCGCTCGACTTGCTTCGTTTTTTGCCCGAAAAAAGGATCGATTCAAACATTCTGCTTCTCAAATCCGCCCAGATGTCCATGGAGAAAGAAAATATCAAGCTGTTGATGGATTCGATCAAGTCTTCAGGAGTTGTCTGCGTCAGAAACTGCGGAAGGCCAGAAGCTCTTGGACTCGACCCTCTTTCGCTTGAAAAACTTCGAGCGAAACTACCAGTTGTCAAGCCACAATTCCAGCCCAGCGAAACTCGCTATCTTCTGAAAGAATTCTTGACCGCTGCGAAAAAGTTCTTGACTCGTTCTCACAAGATCATTCCCCTCTCTTCCGCCGTAACAGTCATCGCGAACGAACGAGCTCAATTTGGTTCGTATTACAAGCACGAGATGCCGGAGTATATTCAGGCGTCAAATTTGACCTACTGGATGATTTCGGATGAGCTTGCTCCGCAGTACAAGAAGAATGTCCCGAAAAAGGAAAACATTGGGTTCCTCTTTTTGCCGGAATATATTTTGAAGACAAAATGCAACGAGGCTGAAAGTGAATTCGTCTATTTGATCAAAACAGGATTGGATAAACAAGACTCTTTTCTTTTTCTTATTGTTTATTTCAAATGGTGATCGTAAGGGATTTGAAAGCGATAAAAGCTCTGCCAACTTTTTTTTCATTTCATTAATTTCTTCGATGAAGCGGCTTAATAGCTGATACAACCTATGAATAACCTGTGAGCTTACCGGTAATCATCGTTGATGAACTCTTCTAAACCATTGCGATACTCTGGAGCGGATTCTTGAATCAAATCAACAGTTATTTCAAAAGACCTATAGATAGACCTATAGATAACTTATAAGTTATAGGTAGGTTGATATGGATCTTATAGGCTATAACTTATAGCCTATAAGTTTCATGATCTCTAAAAGCTTGCAATATGAAGTCGAAGTAGAAAATAGCAAAAGTGAAAATTTTGCCAAACTGAATGAAGCCACATCGATAATTATCCAAAAAAGCGAGAAACGAAGTAATGGAGCGATTCGCAACCCGGCGAATGTTCAAATCCGATGAATTGTTCAAGGCCAAAAATTATTTTTTCATGCTCGGATCTGACTCCGATGGATCTGCTTTTGGAGAAGACAGTTATCTCCGCGAAGAAGCTGAAAAATACCAAGACATTGTCATTGCCGATTTCGTCGACACTTACAACAACCTTCCGACCAAAACTCAGAGCATGTACGATTTCGCTACGACTTACTGTAGCGATTCTGTTCTCTATTTCGTCTTTCATGATTCGGATACAATCATCAACAATCGCGAACTTGAGCATCAAATTATCAAGAAAGTCAGCTGGGAAAGACTGAATACATTGTCTAAGAGGACGATAACAGGTTTCCCATTCCTCAAGGACAATTCAGATGTGAAGACAGATATCCAAATTCCTTTCCTGAGAAATTTTTCGGACAAAGACGGGCATGGAGTTGTTCACGAAGCTTTGGGAGATGAAAGAGGCCAAATCTTCTGCCTAAGGTAAATTTTCTGAATCACGAAAACTTTTCAATACTCCAATTAAGACCAACAGGATGGAATCACAACGCCAAAAATACAGAAAAGTACAATATCACACAATCAGAATACCCACCCTTAATCCGTCTTCCTGAGTACTGCAATGGCCAGGGCGCAATTTTAAACAGAAAAGCTCTTGAAAAAATCCACCAAGTTTCGAAAGTTACCGAAATGGGCAGCTTCAGAATCGAAGACATTTATTTCACTGGTATTTTGCGTGCAAAGGCGGGTGTTGAAGTTCCAGAGCGAGTTGTGATTTTTGACTCGGATAAGATTTCTCCAAGAGATTTCAAGAGATTTCTCTTTGCAAATCATAATTCGAAGGATGCATTGAGTGGAACTAGCCCAGTCATTCAAGGAATGGTTTTGAGAGTCGCTATCTAGGGTTTACAAAAGCTGGCGAGAAATAAGGGGTTCTTATTGGACGACAAAAATATACTGACTTCTGATTCGCTTAGAGGTCTCGGCCCCCAGAGTTTCCTTCGAATAGTTTGCCAACCCTAGTCATGATTGACTGATCAAGCCTTTTTTCGTGTAAATCATTATCAAAAACCATTGAAAAGATGACAGACTTATATACGCGGCCGCATCAGGATTTTTCCCTCAAGTCCAATTCAGTCAAAAAGCGAAAGAAGACTTGGAAACGGAACTCAAAGTCAAAGAGATATTGAAACAGTTCTCCGAAAACAACGCGATCGCTTAAAAACCCATTATTACGAACGAAAAAATATAAATTGCTGAATAATTTCTCTTCTAAATAAAAATTAAAATGCCATCCTAACAATCCGATGAAAGAAAATCATTTTGAGCCTGGCTCAAAGATGCTCAAGATCGAAAAGAAAGCAACTACACGATGAGCTACAATCTGGTAGAATCAATATTCAACAATTGGGAGCTCCAGGGATAAGTAGAAAAGGTAGGAAGCAAAAGCGCTGGGAGTTCATTTATTCTTCAATAAACAAACAAAACAAAAAAAAATGAATGTAGGAGGATATCTTCGTTCTTTATTTTTCCGTTTTTTAAAATCGTATGTGCAGTTCAGTATGCGCTTAAATACAGTCCAAAAAGAAGCGGTTTTTAATCTTCTTTGACTTGTGCGCCGCTCGGCATCTTTGTCTTTTCGTTTTCTACCTTCGTCCTCCATTCTTGAGCTGATTGCTCGTCCCCGATTCGTTCTTCCAAGTGGATCATTCGTTTCATCAAATGAAGTCTTAATTTTTACTTGAACGCGAGTCTCTTCTATTCAGTCTTACCGTCCACGTGACTTGGAGCAGCCCTCTATTCCTCGCAGCAAGACTCTTCTAGCATCCTCTCCATCGCCGTATTTCAAAAGCAAGTCTCCATAGACACCCCAAATGTCTGCTCGCTTCGAATGCACTTTCAGCATTTGCTCCAAAATCGTCTTTCCGTTTTCCAAATCGCCGAACTCGAATTGAAGCTTTGCGAATTTTTGCGTTATCATCACATGTGTCTAGGGAGGATTTTAATTTTTGGAAACAGAAGGTATAGTACCTTGGCTTTGTTAGCTTGAAGCGCGCGCTGAAGAGTGACAGTAGCTTTTTCAGGATTTCCGGCTTCGATTTGGCATCGGCCAAGTTTTGCCCAGAGCTAAAAAATATAATCAGAAGAGTTCTCAGCATTATCTCGACACTCACGACTTTTCTAAAAAGTGAGCAATATTAATATTCCCCCTAGCCGATAAAATATACATGAATGAGCTTGCTATCATGCCTCCAGGCAAGATCTATCACTCAGAATGGCTAAACCCTTGGCAACGAAATTCCAGACGCGAAAGTTTTTAGCTCTTTTTTATAAAAATCATCAAACCATAAAATAAGCCGAGACAAAGAAAAAATACTCACGCGACTACTAAATTCAAGAGGCTTCAATTTTCGCGAAAGAGAAAGAGCCTCTTTGTGAGTAATTAACTCATTTACTTTTTGCGCGTGAAAAAAACTCGAGACGAAGAATGAAAGATATTATTTATCGAGGCTGTTTGCTGTGATAAATTTATAATAAAAAACTGTCGATTGCCAGAAACAGAGGAGGGCTTATTAGGACGCAGTCTGACGGATTGGGAGAGAGTCGGATTTGTTTTACGATTAAAACGAGGGAACGCGAATGAGAAAAATGGAGAAATAAAGAAAAAGTCAAAGTTATGGAAGAAGAGGAAAGATTCATCGATGAAGGGTAAAGAAATTAGTGTATTTTTTTAGTTTTTTTGAAAATAAACACAAGATAATCGAGCTTCAGTCTCAAAAAATACCTCTTTCTTTGATAAATCAAGATCTCATCCAAGTGTGTGCCCAAAAGAGCTGATAAGCTTTTCTGGCGAAAGATTGAACTTGGGCACGCATAGCAAAAGTACCAATACGAAGTGATAATTCGAATGAGAAAAGAAAGAGAATATTTATGACGCAGACTCAAGACTACTCTGATCTTTTACGGCAATTTTCCGAGCCGGTGTACCTACCCCATGACGGGGTAGCTTTTGACTGGTAAATTGAATCATAGATTAAAATAAATGAAAAAAAGATCGTAGGTAGCAATTATATCATGACACTTAAGATATACCTTTCCATGATGATAAATTCACTAGAAAAATCTAAGAAAATAATCTAAGTTTTTTTCTAGGGATTTCGAAGATGTCCTCAACAAAAGCCTCGATCCAATCGGATCAAGACTCGATTCACTAAATCGAAAAACACAAGTTTCATTCATCCCCATCGCTCGGCCGCGGAAAAATCCACCGAGTGCGCGTGAGAAGAAAAGCCGTCCGGAATCTCGACTATCAAGTTCCAGCCTCATTAGGCGTACGCTCTCGCGGACTCATACTTTTGCAAGAAGCTTCAACCGAATCGTTGGTTTTGAAAAAGATGAAGAGCAGCTCGACGAAATCATTGAAAACCCTTATGAATTCAAAAAAGCGGGATCTTACGCGCACAAGAAGAGGCATCACGATCCGTACTCACGAAGAAAAAGATTTATTTATAAATTTCAAGCTTTTGGGATTTTTATTTCGATCGCGATGATCATTTGGTCAAATGTTGTTCTTCAAAGCGAATCGATAAAAAGCTTGGGCGAAAAAGAACTCGAAAGTATTCAATTTGTAATAGGAAGCTATCGTTTCAAATTCGACGATGGGCTTCGAGCCATCCGCTCAGTCGGAATCGCCAACTTAGTCCTAAACTCAATAGGAGTAGTCGCCACTTTCACAGGAATCTACTCAGGAATGATCGTCTATTCCATCTACACCGCCTTTATGACCCTCATCGCTATCGTTAACTACAGCGTTTTCATCTCCGACTCGGCGAGAATCATGAGAACTGCTGGAGAAAACTTTCAAAAACTTTGGATGATTTATTCACTCGGCCGGTCCGCGTGGACAAAGAAATTCGAAGAAGCCAACAAATGCTGTGGTTTTTACAACGGACTTGACTACTGCGGCGATTATATTACGGAAATGATTCTCGACCCTGAAATAAAAAGTGATCTCAAAAAAATTCACGATAAATTAGATGAGTTGGAGCACCAGCCGCAGTTGAAGTCGCCACTGCCGATGGAAGGGCAGAGCGCGTACAGTTATTACTCAGAGGAATCAAATTTTGAGGAAGAGGGGATCAACGAAACCAATAATCTTGAAATGTGAGCCAGATGTATTAGGAAAAAGGCACAAAACATAAAAAGTGCCGTAATATACCCTCAAATTAACACTTTTTAGCTCTTCCAAAACCGATGATTCATCTTCCTCATCGTACAGTTACGATGACTACCTTTTGGACACCAGAAGCGCTCGCCTGTCTCCTTACTCCCCGAACTCTCCGTGTGAGCTCATTACAAGTCTGGACATCAATTTCGGCCTGATGTACCGCCCATGCACGAAACGCGGCGAGCAAATCTTATCCGTCTACGATGTCTGCCCTAAAGACGTGTGTTTCACTGAGGGCTGCCAGCCAACCCTAGAATATTACGCAAAATGGAATGTGATAATTCCTTTGTTAATTTTTCTTGCCGTTTATTCCCTGGGCTTTATTTTTGGCCTGATTTTTATTTTTCAATTGACGCACAATTTCCGCAAAACCGTGGGTCTGGAAAGAAGAAGAACTCTTCAGAGAAAAAGCTCGAGGGAAAGAAAGAATATTTACAAAGCGCCAGCTTGGGTTTCGATGGAGGATGATAAGTTCCCGCAGCTGATCTGGGGGTATCTTTCGAGATGCTTTTACTCCGATTATATAAAAATAAAAGAAGGATAGGGTCGGAAAACAGCACTTCTCGGGTTACTTAAAACTATTTCGTATTCTTTATCAAAAGAATGTTTTTCCGCCCTGAAAAGCTTTCGCCTGGCTACGAAAGGAAATCTATATCCGAGTTCACGAAGCTCTAGAAAAACGCAGAACGCGAAAAAACACTCTTCATTTGGCCGAACATGAGCTCACCCAAACATCTTGGTTGGCAGACGGAAATCCATTGGGTGTTAAAAGCCCAACGAGGAATCACGTTTTTAGCCGCTCAAAATCAACTTATAATTGAAAAAATTGTTCTTATTTAAAAACTGCTGTATATGTGAAAATAACTGTAATAAGCTCACCTCAACATCTTCAGGATACTTTTTCACAGCTTCGCGGAGGATAGGAATGGCGCTGGAGTATTTACTGCTGTCAAGTTGAATTCCGATCACGGCGTGGTAGACTTTTCGTTCGTCGTTGCACTTTTTCGCTTCGTTGAATTGATTCTAGAATACACTCATTGACTGAGATCGTCGAAGAGTTTTACCTGTAGAGATTCTTTGTCCCCATAAAGTGCTTCCAAATTCAGTCTGGCCTTCCAAATGTTCAATCTATCATCCTCTTCTCTGAAATGAATCGTCTTCAGCGCCCTGTCCATCACCATCCTCGACTTCTCAATTTCTCCCGAAGCAATGTGGAAAGCGGAATAACGAAGCCAGATTTCTGAGTTGTTCGGAGCAGCAACGATCGCACGCTCCCAACCGGACACGTCTTCGGGGAGCTTTGACTTTTCCATTTCGCGCTCTGCTTCCCGTGCTTTATCTTCCATTTCTTCCAAAGAGAGGGCTTTGCTGGTGTTTTCTTGGGGCTCCTCCGTTGTCTTGTTGATGGATTAAAGAATGATTCACACGGTTAGGCCCCACAAAAAAGGGTTGAAGGTCATTTCTGTATCCGTTCCTGTGGTTTCTTTGATCTTCTCTCGACCTCTTTCGCCACCGTGTCATCAAAATCGAGATCCATTTCCGCCGCATCGAGCAGACTTTTTGGTTCCTCCTTGATCTTTTCCTTCGTTTCTTGAAGGTCAAGCTTGATCGCTTTTCTCGGCGCCTCGCTCTTTTCCTCCGTCTGTTCGATTTCTTTCTTTCTTTTTGTCGAAATGGTCAAGTTTTCCATTTTGGCATCGATGTAGTCTCCAACCATACTGGCCTAAGATAAGATAGGTTTAAGAAACAGCGGAAAACGAACCTGAAGAGATTTTTTCGATCGGACGGAAATTTGGACCTTGACGGGTTTTCCCTTTTTGAAGTATTTCTTGCAGATCTCGGCAGATTTGTCTTTCGGCATAAAATAAGGGGTCACCTTTCCAAACGGGACATTAACCACGCATTCTCGGCCAACACAGACCAGGACACCCTGAATTCTGGTTAAGATTCATCCAAAAATTTCGGGGAATTCCCGATTCCGTTTGGAAATAGAAAAACTTTACCTTGAAAGAAATTCCGAAAACGATTCCATCAAGAATATCTCCCTCCTTCAAATCCTCGCTCGTCGCTCCCCATGCTTTTCCCTTCTTTTCCGACTTCTCCGAAGGCGATTCGCTTTTGATTTCCTTGACAGTACCGAAATGAATTCCATTGACTTCAGATTTCGAAGTAAATTCGACGTCAGTAAAGAGCCTCATCTGCTCCGTTCGGCAGAGAAGACTTGGCCGGGAGAACGAAATCGCCGGATGGCCGTTGAAATTGAGGGCGCGTAGGAATGGGCCGTCGTGGATTAAAGTCGTTTTGTCTTGCTTTTTCGAGGTTTTTCTTTGCTTTTGCTTTTTTGTTGTTTCAGTAAAGTCAGATGGTTGTTCACTGTTCTAGCAGCGCTTTTGTTTCACTTGCAAAACGATAGCTTCTTTTATCAATTTGGGCGGAGCGGCTAATCGAAAAAACGGAAAAATAATGAATCAAAAATGAAGAGCACTTCCAGTAGCCATGAAAAAGTGAACACAAAGATATTCGAAAATGCGGAGGACAACATCGAAATCCGGCCGTTTATTTGGATCAGCTCAGAGGAAGAGCTTTTCTTTGTCAACATGAATTGCAAAGTTAGATTCGTTGTCCGGCATTTCGAAGAGCTTGCGAGACTCTTTGGCTTTGATTCATGTAGGTAAAACTAATCGCAGAAAAAAATATTTTCAGTCGATTTGATTGATCAAAGCGGGCAAATTGTGGGGCTTGCGGACTTGGAAGAAAATCAACCGTTTGACAAAATGAAGAAATTTATAAAAGTTTCAACAGAATTCTTCCTCATAGCACCGGTTCAAAAACAGATGTTTGACTCAGATTTAACTTACCAAAGAATTATAAGAACCATGATAAGTGAAGAAAAAGAACGTGCCAAAATGGCAACTCTGGTCAAGAAATCCCGAGGAAAAACCGCTACAAAAACTTATCGAGAAACGACTGTCAGAATTGGTATGAAAACACAGTAAGGAAATAAAATTAAATGAGGTCTTAGAATACAAAATCGAATATTGCCACCTACTGGACGAAAATATCCGGCGATAAGGGTCGAAAATCATCCTCGAGCGCGTGGAATAAAGTTGGAAAAGAAATTCAAAAGATGAAAAATTCTTCAAGATCTACTTCTACGGTAAGTTCTTACAATTGATCATTTGTTTCCTCGAAATTTAGGGTTCGAGTACTAAATCAAGTCCCGCTACAAGCCGCCGACCCAGTAAAAAACCGAAAATATAGAACTGAACATAAAAGAAAAAGCAATAAAAAACCTTTCCTTTTTCAACTTCGACTTGACAAACAGCAGCTCATTCTTTTCCCCAAATCCGACAAATTTCGCTAGCGCAGTTGTTGTGGTTCCGTCTTTTTCAGCTCCGCCGACCATTCTCGCGGTAAATCCCTTTGCTTGGCCGATGAACTCGACCAGCGGGTTGGCATCACCCGCGGCGCGTTCGTACTCGCACTTGACGACGTATTTGCAAAGAACAGCGTCGCCAAATCGAATGTTCATTCCTGCGTATTCCATGAAATCGTTCAATTCGCTCTGATAGCTTTCGAAAATCACGCTTTCGGAGAAGTACTCTGGCAGATCCGTCATCTCATTTTCTTTCGTAGTCACCAAGAAACGCTTCTTCTCAGGGTTGACTTGAATGACCTTGGCGAGAATTGTATCGCCAATGGCAGCTGCTTCGTCGTGGTGGGGGATGAAACGCTCGACCATATTTGAACGGGAAAGGAATCCCCGGACTCGCCCGCCGAATTGAAGCTAAAAGATCATGAAAATCGTTATTTTTTCTTCGGAAAACCATCGAGGATTTATAGGGATTAACAAGAGCGCCAATTTTGGATTTAAAACTTTCTCATGGAAAAGTTAAAATGCCCTTTGAAATCGGAAAATAATCAATCAGAAGCAAAAGAGAAACAAAAAACAATTAAGAGTTGTTTCCGTCTGAAAATGAATGAGGAGCAAGCAAATAAAGAGGAGATAGAATTGCTCGCCAAAGAGGATCAATTTTAATCCAAATTGAGCTTCTCCGACGACTTGGCTCCGGGCTTCAGAGCCATTCAGATGATCATTCAGACTACTTATTCTCGCGCATGTCAGAAGAACAGTTAGGCGAAACAGAGGATTTTTTTCAAAAGGTAGGGAAGGTATAAAAATTAGTTATTTCTTCCTGTTCAAAGAAAATAGAGGTAAGAAATGGGAGATCTTACAATCAATAGTTCGTCTGTATGTAGAAATAAAATCTTTTAGCTTTGACCTTTAAGGAAATCGATGTTGTTGTAACTAGTGTACTTGCAGATCAGATCTGTATATTTCCTTGATAACATTTATTGATCGGCAGTATACAAGTATCAGCTTTATTAATCTCTAAAAATCAATTGATAAAGTAAAGATACCAGGAAGTAAAGCAACACGCAAGTATTATTTACGCATTTTATGCTTCGTAAATTATGAACAATCACGACGACCATAAAAAGAACAAACTACTGATAAGCAATCATTATCACGATGCCTTGTTCTGACCTTCATTCGGTTTCAATCGCTTGGATAATCCATTTCCCCTTGTCACGGATCAGGCTTATCGCCTTTCATGCTTTTTGTCTTCTACCTGCCAGATCAGCTCTAGCAGATCCCGATATCCCGAAAAGAACGGGCTCGAGATTAGACAAGATAAATTTTTAATTTTTCGCTTTCTACTTTTTTCTACTTATTTTCGCGTATCGATTATTCTGAGTCAATCAGGCGCACGTTCTAGTGTTCAAAGTGGAGGACCCTCAAGAACGGAGAAAAGGCACGAGACAGGAAATTAAAGAAAACTTTCTCACGGGCGATTTTTATTTTTAGAAATAAAAGGTGAAGATTGATTCAGAAGAATTTTCAGAAGGAGAAAGAGGAAAAGAAAGAATGAATCCAGAAAATACGGAAATAAACTATGAGGATCCTGGATCTGTCAAGGTAAAAAATGGTCGATCATTAGGGGAATGCTCCATACTTGCTCCTAAAGAGACCTAAATCTGATCCTAACCGTAACTCTCAGGACATCAGAAAACGATTCGGAACCCGAACAAGCACCGAATTCATCAAACCTAAAAATCCATCCGTCTGCGCTAGAGCAGGTGAAGTCATCTTTCCCCAAGTTAAGCATCCCCCTTCTATGCCAACTGAAAATGAACTTCCGAGAACTATCCAAGTCAGAGTTTTGAATTATTTATCAGAAAAATCGTTTATGGCACGAGAAAATTGCTTAAACTCGAAATAAGAGCAAAATAATTACACAAAAGCGTGGCAGGAAATCATCAACGAGGGATTCCGCGAGGCTGAAAAAACAATAGACTCATCCTTCTCGATTGAAAAAGAAAACCAAACCATCACGAAACCAGTCAAACCTCCCAAACCAGCAAGAACAGTTTCAAAAGCTCTTGGAAGGTCAAAAAATGTCAAATTTGTTATCCTCACGCATTTTAGGCCATTTGCGAATACGAATGTTAAGACGACTCCAGAGTTATTGACGAAAATTAACGAAGTTATGCGAAAAAATGCTGTGATCAAGGACTTTGAAGCTGCTGTTTCAGAGTTTTATAAAACTGTGCGCGAGTTCGAAAGCATGAAAAAATAAAAAAAAGAAGCCGCCTTTTTATATCTTACCTGGAAGCCATATTCCGTCGATTTGACCACCTGTCCGAGCAAGAGTTTTCCCTCTTCCAAATCGTCCAATTTCGAACCGCATCTATGAGTCCATCCCCTCGTCGACGCTGCTTTTACAACTTGAATTTTGCTTCCCTTGACGTTGTCTCTCAATTTGGTCTCGACGACCACCTTTTCCAGTTGCTCCTTCTTTGTCCTGATCAGATCATAAAACGAGCTAGCGACAAGTGGGTCCAGAGCGAGGTCGTTTTTGGAAAGCGTAACTTTTGTTCCGTCTTCAGTCGTTCCTGTGATCATATTTGGCGGCTGCTCATCGTCGATTTTGACTGTTATCTCGCTGCCGATCAAACTCGATTTTTCGGAACTTTTTGTTTCCTTCTTCTTTTCTTTCTTTTCCTCCAAGACAAGCGAACCAACAAGTTGATTTTCCCTTTCCGCGGAGACTTCCAACACTCTGCATCTGACAACTTGACCAGTTTGAAAGTTCTCTTTTGTTTCTTTGATGAACTCGTGAGAGAGCTGCGAAATCGGAACGTAAGCTCTGATATTATTGAAAAACTGGACAACGACGGAAGTAGTGTGGACATTGACAATTGTTCCGAGAGAAATGTCGCCTACTTCGATCTCGTCAAGATCCGTGAATCGCTTCAGCCCCTTTGTCTTCAAAATGGAGGTTTTGGCGGTGAGGAAGACTCGATCAGAGGATTTGTCCAGCACCATGACGCGATGAGACGAGCCGAGTTTGTACTTTTTTTCCAAGTTTTCTTTCGACATCCGGCTGTTTCCCGTGTGGTTAGGAGTAATCTGTCCATACAAGTGCGGCGCGAGCTGGAGAGTGACCCAGCCGGCGTCGTTGACTTTGCACACTTTTCCGAGAACGATTTGCGTGGCTGAAAACGAGTCGTAGCGGAAGAACTCGGCTTCGACTACCGATTCGCGGAAGGTGAGGAGGTGCAGTTGTTCGCCAGTCATGTGGCCGATGATTCGCGCTTTTACTTCTTTGCCGACTGGGAAATGTGAGAGCAGATCGTCGACTCGGTTTTCACTGAAAATGGTTTGAGGAAAGAAAATTTCGTTTTGAGTAATTTATTGAGAGACGAGATTAAGAAAAAGTCTAACCTGAGATTATGTCTAGGGCACCAGCCGAGCTCTCCATTTTCTCCGAATTCCAAAATAACGCCACCTCCAGCAGCAAGTTTGACTTTTCCTTTAACAACTTCTCCATCTCTATCCGCCGCTTTCTCTTCATTCAAGGTCATGTATCCGACCGAATTCGCCAAGCAAATGCGCTTGAATTCGTGGTCGACGTAAATCACTCTCGCCTGGATTTTCTCTTCTTCATTTTCGTTGCATGAAAAAGGCGTGGCAGATTGAGAGTGATGCATAGTCGCGTTGAAACTCTCGACTTTTCCGCCGAAACCTTGGCGATTTTTCTGCTTGATTTGGAAGTTGACGACAGCGCCGGGAAGAACACTGTCGATGTCGGAAATTTTCCCGATCGGGCCGCTACTTTGTGTGGAAAGGACGATCTGGCGCCCGTCGAGGAGAATTTCTTCGACGAAGAACACGCTTGTTTTGCCGAGAACTAAATTGGCACCTTCTGCGTTCTCGGTAGAAATGAAACCTTTTGATTCTTCGAGACCAAGGTCGATTATGAAACCTGTATTGGGCTGGACAAACTTTCAAAAAACATGAGTTATGAGCCCAGACTTTTAGACCAGACTTTTTCTTTAAAAAAAATATGTCCGGATTTTACGGACAAAAACGGACAAAACGGACATGTCCGAGACTAGACCGGACAAAAATCCGTTTTTTCGATCCGGACACGGATAGACTAGACTTGGGTTTTTCGCGGAGGACACGGACACGGACAGACTAGACTTTTAGATTTTGCTTCAAATTTAGAACCCTGGCCCTGAGAAAAGGATTTTTTTGAAAAATAGGCTAATTAAAAGTTCAAACACTCCGCTTATTACAGGTTGCCGAGCCCGTGCCTGTATCTTCCTCGGAAGTGACTGTACCAGCCAAGTTTTGTCCCTTTGAAAGCTTGTCGACTCTCAAGTTAGCGTTGATGAATTTCGGCTTGAGCGAAAGATGGAGCTTTGATTTCTTTCTTTTGACCGATAAACTGGTCAAAACCGCTTCTCCGATTGAATACATTTTCTCCAACTCGACGGCGACGTCCTTGCTCATCAAATCCGTCACTTTGTCTGAGACCTGGTCAAGCTTCACGTAGCCAGTCGCGCCGCCGGGATAGACGACGGACATGCCAAGTTCGTCGATTGTGCGGACGAAGCAGAGAGCTTTGGCGTTACGATTCGCCAGTTTTGTCGAAATGCAGATCGCGTTTTTTGGCAGCTTTTCGATCTCTTCTTCCGCTTCTGAAAGATAAAAGTATGAAAATGAGTCAGCCGACCGAAACTCTCTTTGTCTCAAAAGTGTTCGAATTTGAGAGGCTTTTATCTTCGATTTCAAATAAAATTTACCTTCATCTTCATCTTGGACTTTCTTCTTTTTCTTCATTTTCTTTTTGTGCGCTTCTCCGACTTTCTTCAGCGTCTTTTTCGATTGCTGCGAGAACAGATCTGGCTTCTTTCCGACTTGCTTTCGGACTTTTTTCATGATTTTCTTGTCCTTTTGGCCCTTGGAAACGAGGCTTCCGCCGCGAGGAAACAATTTTGATGCCATCCCTTGAGTCGGCATTTTCCGATTTTTAATTTGGACTCTGAAAAAGTAAAAGAGGAAGATAAAATAATTTATTTTGAGCCTTTATCATTCAATTTTTTGCTATTTTCTTATTTGACCAAAATAATTATCCTTACACAGTTTATTTCAATTTTGAATAAAACAAATTCAAGAGTAGTTTTAACAGAAATGAAAACCCAATGTGGAAAACGGGAGAAACAACCGTATTAGATATAATAAATTATGCTTCATTTTGTAAAATAATAAAAAATATACAAATAATAGATCGACAGCATCAGAAAAGTCTTCTCTAATATTTCTTCATTCGTCGGCACCAGATGCTCTTATGAAAAAAGAACAATCTTTGGTAATCATTTTATAGGAAAAAGGGATTTTCAAATTTCTAAGGCGCGCCATGAAGAGTCGGGCGGCCAATCACGGATCGCCCTCACGCACCATGGGAAAATCTCGAATTCATCAAAGAGATCTTTGGCCACTAATTATTTCTAGAATTTCTAGAATCAATTCTTGAATTTTCTAGAAAGTAAACGAGTAACGCTGATACCCTATTTCAACCCCCTCGCTCAATTTATAAACCTCAATTAAATAAAAAGAGCTACTAGCCGAAGATAGGTGCTATAACTGATGTGCTATCATGGCTGTTGGACAGCACATGTAATGGCTTCTGAAGATGTGCATGCATTTTGATTGAAAATAAATTTAAAGCTTAGGGGGTTAAGGGCCTCACGAGTCGACAGTAAATACAGAAAGATATGGGTCTTATCGACAACTGTAACTTTCTAGGGTAAAACGTCTTTATTAAGCAAACAAAGAAATTGGAAGGCTAGTGCTTCTTGACTGAATATTTTTTCAAATTATTTGCTTTGTTGCAAAATTTCTTAGAAGCAGCAATATCTTGGTCGAAGCACTCCAAATATCGTTGAAGAGCAGGAGTTGCCTTGTGGAAGGAAATCATCGGCCCGCAGTAAGGCTTCTTTACAGGAGATCGCCATTTCTTCTGATTTATCGTATGAACCATTCTATCATTCATTCTTATTCCGGTAATATTGCCAATTTGGCCAAGCCAGTGGCCGAGAGAAGTTCCTCCAAAGTCAGAGCCGTATCGCACATTCGTATTACTTTTTAGACAAAATGAAGAGTCTCGAATATGATGGCAATATGGCTTTTGAAGAATTTCCGTCATGAGCTCCCAACTTATGATGACAAATTCAGCATCAGGGCGACTCTTCAAACTCGGTTTTTCAATGTCGGACTTAGGATGCCACCAGCCGAAATACATGCGAGGATGATATTTATCAAGAACTTGACGTGGATATTAATTATGGTCTGGATATATGATCGTTTTTATGAATTCGTACCCAAATCTGTCTGATAGAGATTCGAACAGCCATAGAAATCATCGTCCGTTTTACCAACAATTGTTCCTTCTGGATAATTAGCAGCAACATATTCAAACCAATGATATAATTTTTCCCCAAATCCCTTTGCATAGCCGCTGAAACTTGCATTGATCGAGACGATGTCTCCAAAAGTTTCATTCTCAGCACGCCATTCGGGGTTCCACTGGTCAATAATGTATTTATGCTCGATATCGGATGATAAAAGCCACGTCTCTCGCTGAGCTTCTCTTCTTTCGTAGTTTTCAAATGAGCTGAATATTTTTTCGAACAAAAAATGACATTTAATTCATTAAATAATTAATTTTTTTTTTTTTTTTGAAATAATAAAAATGAGCAAGCTTACGCTAAAATTCCGACAACGACTCTTCGTTTTTCATGTTTATCTTCCGCCTTTCGTTCTCGATAGTCATATTCGTCTGTTGAATAAGTGGAGGTATACTGACAACCTGCGCTCTGATAGCCAAGTATCAAAATAATTACAAAGCAAAGAAAAATTGCTATAAATGTTCGAGTTGAAATCATCTTTGATCTGAGAATCCTTCAGATGTTAACATAATCCTGTCATAGCCCGTATTTGCAAAGTCTGAATAACACTTTGCATGGCAACTTTCCGTGATAGTCCATCTCATAAAATTTGTTTGCTGTTCATTTCAAGTAGGAAGAATTTTCCTACGAGCGATAAAATCAATATCAAAAAGAGTTTATTTGAATAAAAAAACCGAACAACTTTTTGAAACATCAAAAAGACCTCCCAATTCCTATATTTTCGTTTATTATACTCATTTTTGAAAGCAACAGGGAACTAAAAGTGTCTGGAAAAGAAGATAAAGTCCGTATCCACAGTAAATTTACAAGAAAAAGTTTGTTGTAGCAGTTTTTTGGGTTCGTCTTTTTCGTATTTTGTGAAGATTTTTTTGTTTTGTAGAAATGAATTTTTAACTTCGAAATGCTGGAATTTGCGGTGGCAGATGGAATTTAACGCGATGAGGTTTTAGTTTTCATCCTTTGTTTTATTGATTTGTCAATTGTTGAGTAAAGAGTGTGGCTTACTTTGTAATAGGGGCGACTGTGAAGCTGCTCATCCATCATCTTTTTGCACTTTTCGATGTCGCCATCAGTGATCCACGTGCAAATCGTCACGTACTTAGGTGGTGTAATTCTTACTGCTGCTCCAAGTCGCTAGAATTGATCTTGAGAAAGACGAAGAAATGAGAGATGCTTACCCTGTCTTCGTGAATGTCAGTCCACCCGGTATTCACGCCGATCAGACTGGTGATAACTTTGCTTTTCTTGTATCGAGTTCCACTTCCATAAGCGCTTTTGTGCTTCATGTAGATTCCACCGCCATCACTGAAGATAAGAGATATGGGTGCCTCCTTAATGGCTTGCAATTCTTACCCTCCTTTGTCGCTGTCACACTCGCTCCAGAGCAAATCATTCGTTCTTCCGATGAGCGGGCACCATCTCACTGCCATTTTGTCTCTTGGCTCGATATCATACGCGCTGAAAAGTTAATTTGGACAATGAGGAAAAAGTTTGAACTTGAATTTACTTCATAAAAAGTCGAATACCCTTCGGGTAGCGGATATGAAACGGATGGATCTTCTCAGGTGCAATAGTTATGTTCATGAAGCTAGTTACCAGCGGCTTGGCCAGCGTAATTACGGCATAGTCGTGCTCGTAATTGAGGCGATCTGAAAATGAAATGGTTTCTGTATCGAAAAATGCTAAATTTCACCTGGTTTCGGATTTGTCCAGCCACTTGGCAAGTGCATCTGCGACAATTTCACCCATTTAAAACTCTTCCTTGATTGCAAATTCGAAGTTTTTGATCTCTTAAAATTCTTGTTTCGTTTTCTTCGGGATTTCTTTGTTTTTCTGCGGCTTCTCGAACTAGCCGCTCGGCGAGATCGGCGACGATTTTTTGAGTTTCGTTTTGATTTTCGCCTTGAAGGCAGCGATTTTTTGTGAATTCCGATTCTTAGGCGACCGTCAGGATACTGAAATGGAAGTTTTATTCAGAGAAAATAACTAAAGAGGAGAATAAAAATGGCAAGGCAAGGAAGTTCATGCTTTTTCGAGTTATCCATATTCAACTCGGAAATGATCCATCAAAATGAAGAGAATCAAATTTAGTTCGAATTTGATCATTTTCGCAATTAAAAAAAATTGATCTCTTTTATCATCGATAGCGGAAAGTAGATTTCCTTCCGAATCGCGATAGCCTGTCTCCTTGCTTGTTTAAAAAAGAACTAAAGAATGCGTTGAATTGTTATTTACCAGATAGTCTCTACCATTGTGAATGCAGTGGGCGGCGGTGAGGACGTGTCGCTCGGAAATCATCGTTCCACTGCACATTCCCCTGTCGGCTTTGAAGCGGACGACAGTGTTGTACGGCGTCTTTGAGAGATCATCTTCGCTGATCGGAAAACGACCGTCTCTGTCTTTGCGGGGCTCAACGAAAATATTCTCGGCATTTTTCATCTTATAGCAAATTTTGTTTCGAAAGAAATAGCCGCAAGCGGCTTTCTATACGCGAAGTTCAAACGCTAGATTTTGATTCATTAAAGCCGCAGGCGGCTTTTTTTTTGTTGAGTTTTTTTCTTTGAAATTTAATAAAGAAAGTTTATTTTTGGAAAAGCTCCAATGTATCGCGTTAAAACTCACAAATCATTGGCGCGATAGGTTTCGGAAATTTTCCCGGAAATTTATAAATCCTCCGTTTAACTTTGGAGCGTCTCCAAAAAAGTGCAGAAAAAAGTGAGCGCTGGTGTTTGTTTCGTTGAGCCCCGGATCGAAAATTTCGGCTTGTGATAAACCAAGTATCAGCTGCCAGCTGAAATAATAGAATTGAAACAATTCAAATAGTTAAAAATAATTCAAGCTTTTATTAAAAAAAGGTTTGAAAAATCTTAAATTTCTCGAAAAAATGGCCCAACAAATTAACGTTTTGACAAAACTGTGGGTCTTCATGAAAAAATTGACTTTGCCTTATTCTAGCGCAGTCAATCTTGAACCCAGGTCTGAGCCACGTGCGCAGCGACCCAGTGGGGCGCCTGTTCTGCACCGGTCGACCTTCCTAAAACGCTAATTTTATCACTGACTCGAGTTTGACAACTTTTGTTGAAAGGCGATTTGACGAGCCATTACGAGACCGTAAATCAGAGTCTCTGACAAAAGACTTCAAGGAGCATTATCAGTTTTATATTTTCAGCTTTATTCGGAATAAATTATTCTCCCTTCATTATTTTTCAGAAACGCTTATTTTGATGATAATATGAGAACCGCTGGAAAAATTGAATCAAGCCCCCGCTGGAGCTTGTTGAACAACTGTTTATTTTCAGAAAAGTGAATGAGAATGGCTCAAGTGTTGCTCAAGGGGGACTTGATTGAATTGATCAGAAATTATTGGTCCTCAGCACATTCCTTACTTTTATCACTAATTCTGATTTGGTAAATTAACCACTTATATTTTGTTGATTTTTATGGCAGCCCGTAAGACTTTTTTTGGAAGGCAAATTTTAAGAAAAGTAATTTTTTTTTTCGATATTCGATTTTCGAAACCATAAATGTCAATGAAAAATAATCGATTACAATTTTAAGAATCTATTTCAAATTGAATACCAATTCTAATTTTTTGAAAATCATTTCTAGACTTCACCGAGAGTGAAACGGGAAAGGGAGGCCAGGAGCCTTCTCCCTCTCTAAAAAAATCTCATGGTAGTTAGGATTTCCGGAAAAATGAAAAACTTACAGGACACCAAATCTCATTTTCAAATTTATCTTCTTCTTCTTTCTTCTTAGTCCGATTTCTCTATCTTCTCATCGATGCAAATAATAATTCTCCCTCTCCGCAATTGAATTTCTCCAATTCCGATTGAATTCTTCTCCTGTTCCTTTTTTCTCGCAAACCACGAAAATTGCCGATCTCAGCACTTTCGCAGTCTAAAATTAACAAATTTTAAGATTTTTCGTAAAATTATTATTTGAATAAAAAAAAATTATTTTCAGAAAAGCGAACATTTTCTAGATTTCTTTTATCCAGCGCGGGAGGTTAGAAAGAGAGCGCACGGTTTTAGCGCCACCCAACAAGTTTTAGGTTTTTCTTTCGCGCGTCTTAGATTTTCTGAGCTGGCGAGTGAAAGCTGAGCTTCAGTTCTGAGTGTGGCGAGTGTTTAAACTTCTGCAAGGTGGCTCTTTTTCAGAAGACCCTCAAGTCTTTTGGAGTGGAATGAGAGGTTAAGGGATAAGGGTCAACATAAACTTTTAAATATGAAGAAAGAAAGAAAAGCGTACTGTCAATACAGTATTGATCATATTGAGATTTAAGGGTATATCGATGGTTAACCATTGTTAAAGCGAATCGTTACAGTAATTGTTAAAGCAGATTTGATCACACTTTTTATCCCCCTAAATCACTAGTTTCTCTTCTGAAAACCAGCCTTTTTGGCGCTCTGCCGATGACCGACCTTGTCGATCATTATTTGTCAACGAAGGAGAGTGACAAGCTCGACAATCTTGACCATGCCGCAAGAGTAATTTCGCTCTGTAAAACTTACGCCGAAGGAATTTATATCTAATGAATCTATGATTTAATGGTTAACCGTTTCCTTTTCTATAATTAACCCGCGCTCGCATGGCGGATGACCTTATGAAAGTGCGAAAAGATAAAAAAATTGAATCTCTTTCTACCGATTTAGAAATCGATGATTTCAGATCAGCAGTTTTTCCGATCCCAAAGTTGTCGAAAAATGCCCATCTTTGATGTCTTTTCGAAGCGAATATAAATCGTAAATCAAAGGACGTGTGTTAGAATGTCCAAATAAAATATATCTTGTCAGTCGATTCAATGAAGTTGGTCCCGTGCCGCGGCGGAAATTGATGAAGCAACTTCCGGCGGATGGCACTTTTTGACAGGAGCTCGCTTTCGAGGTTCTTTATCGAGGTTATTAGCTTCGCGGGCAGAACCCAGTTCCGGAACTCAGGAATTTCTAATTTTAAAATTTTTTGAAGAATTCTAGTTTCACTGAATTTTCTGCGCGAAAATGATCTTTCGAGCCGAAAGCCGCTATTGCTGCGGCTATTTTTCTTAAAAGCTCGAAGCCGCAAGCGGCTTTTCGAATTAGCAAGTCAAAATTCAACCTTTTTTCTAGGAGAAAAAGTTCTCTTGATGAAACTTTAGTGGGTGTTGTTGAACCCGGTTTCCAAACAAAAATAGAACATGTGATTTTCTCTGAGGTCAAAATCCAAAATGTTGCTCGATCGTCGGAAAATCCTTAGTTTTGTGTCTGACGGAAACCGCCAGACAGGTGATAAATTGCGCTCTCACTGCCCGAATAGGACCACTTGACATTGACCGATCAAATGTGGAAAGTACAGATTTATCAATGATGATCAAGGAGGTCGGGTTTGATGATTTCATGGACCCGCGATTGGAACTATAATAGCCCGGGGATGATTTGGCTCGCTAGAAATTATCTCCGGCCATATCTTAATCATTATCTAGTCAAACTCGGCAAAGAACTAATAAACAAGAATTTCCTGAAAATTAAATTGGAATCGAGAAGCCGCTTGCGGCTTCGAGTCTCAAAAGGAGAGCCGCGCTTGCCGCGGCTTCAATTCTTATTTACTCGAAGCCGCAAGCGGCTTCTCGATTTGAGAAATTGGTCAAACCATATTTCAGTGTTTTAGGAATTCACAAGCTATCTCTTTATCTGAATCTCTTGAGAATATTTTTATTGTAATTTGATTGTTGGAATTCACAACTCAGCCGAAGAGTTTAAAAAAATTTGATGTTCTGTGCACGCGTCATGAATTCATTTAGCATGATCGAGTGTGCCGGGGAAAGACAGCTCGGCACCGCATTGGATTTTAGGCACAACACTGAGAACAACGGGCACGGGCGCTGAAATTCCGACCAAGCGGCGCCCGGTGGACACATCGACTTGACTTTGTGCGCGCGATCAGATTTCTCTTGGTGGTGTAAGAATATGCTCAAAAGATTACAGTTCTGGAAAGAATGGACTTGGAAATTTCAACACATTTTGTTGGGGAAAATTTTCAACTATGTTTTTCCAAATTTTCTCTTTTAAAATTTTTCAAGAAAAAGTAAAAAGTGAACTTTAGTAATAAATTCTCTTTGCGAAGTGGCGGAAGGAAGAGTTTGTCGTGGCCCGTGCCCCACGCAGAGAGTAGCTTGAGCGCTACAATTTCATTCGTGTTATCATAATCTGCTGATAAGACCTATCCGTTGTGTTTGTGGTCTAGCGAGTTGCAAGGGCAGACGCACAACCGCAAGAATGTCATGACCGCATCACAAGCGTAAAAAATAGTGAAACGAGAAAGAAAGAGAAAGTTAAAACTAGAAGTCTCTGAGACTCAAAACTTATTGAACCTTTTCTGCAATTTTAAATTTTTTTAATAATAAACGGAGTGGATTCGGAAACAGTGAATTATGAGGACTTCCTTAGCTACCTTATCCGATTAATTCTTTTGTTTTACAAAAGTGTCATTTTGGATGATAAAAAATTACTTTTCAATAAAGCTGCCTCCTTCAATAATGATCGAGTGAAAAAACGAAATCAAGGAAGAATGTCGATTTATTGCAGCGAGCGAAGCGGGGCACAATTGTAGCTTACCGAATAACTGGCAGTCAATAATTTGTTTTGCCATCACAAGGAGAGGGTTTGAATGCGAGTCTCTTATTCTTTAAAATGAGCGAATTTTCTAAAATGCTTGGATAAAAGCTGTTTCTTGAACGAGATTCTTTCTTCACTCGATTGATCAATCTAAAACATTCACGACATTCACGACATTTACGACATTCAAAACATATTTCGGGAACATTCGAACATCTCGAAAATTTGATTAATTCATTCAACAGTATGAGTATCTTGCAGCATTTTTTATTATTTTTTTTTCTTGAACAGGTAAAATAAAAAGAGAAAATAACAACATTTCAGTCCGGTAAGCCTACGAATCACCAAGACCGCCGAGTATAAATTAAACGAAAGAAAAATCAAGTTGAAGCAGGATTCTGCGGATTGAGAAGAGTTTCGATCTTACCATTGAGAGAGTGGTAGCCATAACGGCGAAGCTGGTCAGAATATTGCTTGTTCCAGAGATCGGAGAATTCAGAGCGCTTCTTCTGATTCAGGGTTGTCAGTTTTTGTTTACGATCAAAGGGCACCTTATGCAATTGGCCAGTTGGCGGCCCTAGAATTAGATCAAAAATATCTTCAACCGTTGACAGTGCATTTAACCAGTCATTTCCATCGTCCATCAGCGGCGAATAAGTCTAAAATCATGGGGTAAAATTAAGTTATTAGGATGATGAATAAGGGTATCTCTCTATTGAAAACTTACCAGAAAAGGGGACGAATTTCCAAAAAGACCAGCGCTGTAGGCACATGCAGAAGCAAAAAGTCCTATAAGAAAAGTCAAAAATAACAAAATTATCAAAAAAATAAACAAACCTAGTAATCGTCTCATTTAGGATTGTCAAAAAGTAAATTTTCAGAAAACAAACGGGCTTTTATTGACAGAGAAGCTGATCCAAGCATTAATATTTTAAAGAAAGAGTGTCGACTCGGATTAAAGCGACTTCTGGTAGATTTAATGGCATCAAGGGACTTTTTGGCTGAGAGTGGTTTTTAACTGTCGTTTGAGCTACAGTAATGACACGAGTTGCGCAGAACAAGGCAATAATTGACTGCTGGTGCCGGTTTGCAACAAAGAGTTTTATATGCAGTTTATATTATCGAACTGATTTTTATACTTCATTTTATTATGAAAGGTCGACAGGGATATTAAAAAAAAATCAAATCAGAAATTTTTTTTGAAAAATTTTTTTTAACATTCAAATTTCTTCGACATCGCTTGGAGCGACACAAGCATCCAATTGCTCAGTGTAGAAGAGCTGTGGAAAATATGATGCTCCCCATCCTTCTGGCTCGAAGGTGTGATTGCCAATGATGTCAACAGAGTCGATGGCTTCATCGACAAGATCGAGTCGTTGGATAGGACAACTTCCATCTGGACATTGCCCAGGAAAGAGGAAGATCGAGTTGTCAACAAGCATTGAAGATCCACCATAAATAAACTTAAAAAATTTTCAAATACAAAGAGACTCAAAAATCTACCTCTTGAAGTTTTCCGACAACATTCCAATATTCGTGGAGGTCGAGCTCGTAAATTTCGTCCTGCAAGTCTCTGTCATACCCTTCAACCCGCACAACACCTCCCAACAAGAGCAGTTTTCCTGATGGAAGAGTGAGAAAGCTATGTCCATCGCTTCCTACTGGACTAAAGATATAAATGAAAGCAAATATTAAAAGTTCAAACTGGTTCTCGATTCTGATCCAGCCGTCTTCCGTTAATTTCTCGGCTATTTTGTATTGTTCCCTTGAATCAACCAATGGATCCTCAGGACTTTCTGCTCGACTTGATGTTCCGACAGTGACGGGTTCTCCCATGTGAGAGCCAAGCCCTCCCGCATAGTGAGGATGCAGGGATGAAAATGTAGGAGTTGTCGAGCAGTTTTCAGGTGAGCTGCATTCAAAAATATCGCATTTAAACCAGTCGTTGTAGTCGTAAGTCGGTCCATTAGGAAAGCCGAAGCAAACAAGTGCTATTGTTTTTGAGAGAAAGAAAAAATTCTGTCTAAGTACCTTTGCTTCCATCGTCAATAGCTAGTGCTGAATGGCCTCTTTCTAACATGAAAATTTCATGATGAAATTGAGTCGAGTAGGTATTTCATTGAAATTTCACTGCTCATCCATGTAAGCTATTCTGCTTGATTGCCAAGAGTAACAGAAAAAGTAAAGCGTATCCTTCACAACAGCATGAGCACAGTCTCTCGTGTAACTCAAATTCTCGGAGTTGATTTCCGCTAATGCTGTTGGAGTTTGTTCGTAGTTTTCTGTATCAAAAAAGTATGAATGCTTTTTTCAAGCTCAGAAAAACTTGATAAATAAGATAAAGTAAGTGTCAAACTAAAATTTTTTAGTCGAGCCCAATCCTCATGAAAATCTGGAATAACCAGAATCTTCATCTTTAGACAGATCGGATTGGAACAGCCTTTGCATCCGCTTGGGCAGTTCTCGCCACAGGGACATCCCGCAAAGCAGTCTTTAATTATTAAAATTATTAAGTGACCATAAATTAAAGATTACTTTCGTATTCTCGCTGGCAAATTGAAAGGCAGTAGTCGGTCTCACAAAGTAAGCGGCATTTGTTAAAATCAACTCTGCAGGCTCCTTGACATTCAACTTGAAGGCTTTCATCTCTTATAAAAACCACCGATCAGGGCTGCTGAATTCGGAGCGTTTGAGTTTACCCGCGATTTTTTCGGCGGAAGATCCGTAGGTTTTTCACGAAAAATCCGCAGTTTTTTTCACGTAAGATCCGCCGGTTTTCAGCGGAGAAAAGGGAACGGAGAATCGCGGATGATCCGCCGAAATTTCTGCTCAAAAGACGAAATTAAAGGGTGTTCCACTCTTTAGATTGGCTAGAAAAAAAGGGTAGCGGGTAATCGCGGGAAATCCGCGCGGCCGAGAAAATCGGACGATCGGAGGATCGGAGAACAGCGCGGAGAAACGGAGAAAATCAGCGGATGATCCGCCAAAAAATCCCGGGTAAACGCAAATGCTCCGAATTCGGCAGCCCTGCCACCGATTAAATCAAATCAAATGTTATACTTTCTTACTTGCAAGATTCATTTTCTTTGTTAACAATATCTGAGGAGATTTTCGCTAGGGGCTCTCCATGAATCAGCCCTGAAAAGTTAAGAAGAAACGGAGAAATCTTCATTGCTCTTGAAGATAGTGACCTAGATATTCTTACGCCATTGGTTTTTTTGACCAAGGTAAAAGTTAATTAAATGCCAGGCTTCATACGCAAATAGCGCACTGAACTCAAAGTCTCGTTATATAATACCTTATTATCTTAACTTATAATTTATCAGTTTTTAGAACATCTTTATTAGAAATAAGATTGACAAATTCCAAACAAGATGTTGTTATCTGTACCGAAGTTATTATTTTCGCCTCAGGGGGAAGTTTTCAAGTGTGCCATAAAATAGACTAGGTCAATGTTCTGAAAAATTTATTAACTTTTTCATCGATTCGATTTCGCTTATAAGTTTGATAATTGAGCATTTAGAAACATTCTTGAAAAAAAATAGACAGCTAGAAAGCGCTCGCTCTATTTTGAAGTCAAATATAGCGTTTGTTCCTTAGAAACCTTGTTCGTATCTGGGTCAACCCAAGAATCGACTCTTCTGATCTCATCCCTAAGGCAAAAAGGCTCAAGAACAGGTCCGCAAAAGAATGACCAAGCTGCTCAGTCTTCAGAATGAGGCTCTCGACAGCGGTCCTTTCGGCCGTTCATGCATTCAACGGTAAAAATCACCCTTTTTCGAAGATTTCTGCATCTCGAGAGAAAAATAAGACAAGGCGCAGACAAGTTTGAAGTGGCTAACAGAGTGTTTCGCAGTTTATATTCGAGAAATGATAATTCTAGTCACCTTAGAAAATGGCTCTCAACGGTTATCACAGACCATTTTCTAAAAGTTTTTCTGCTGACTTTTTGAGAAGAGATATTTTCGAGACCTTGAAAAGTTTCCAGAGAAGAGTGTTACTTCACGGTATTTTAGAATGATTATTTTTTTCTGGGTCAAGGGCAATATTTTCGGAGGATTCCGTTGAGATACTAACCTATATTAAAGGTGACGACTACGATGGAGTCGGAACCACTTTTGCCCCGCCAACAACCTCTACCTTCGATTACTCCGACCGCGACGGCCGCAACTTCGCATCATCAACACCCGCGCTTCTCCCACTCGATGACATCCCCACCGCAGATGTCGGCGCCGATCTTCCTGCCCCTGAAGCTCGATACTTGTCCCAGCTTCTCCAAATGGTGAAGCACTACGAGTACGGACACACCACTTTCGCTGGTCAGCCAATCGAGCCGTCAACTAATGAACTCATCAAAAAACGATTCAATTACGGTTGCAACTGCTATGTCAGCACAGGATCATCTCAAATGCAGAAATCCTACGGATCAGCGCTCAATGATTATGACAACACTTGTCGACAACTGATCAAGTGCTACGAAACAGTTCAGTCTCGCGATCAAAGCTGCTCGAATGCCGGTCTCGACGGACCGTACCAGTTCTCCCTCTCCGCTAAAGATGCCACGCTTGCCGCTGCTGATCGATCAGTCACGTGCTCGGACGCTGCGGATTCCTGCGAAAGAATGACTTGCGAATGTGACGCTGCTTTTGCGAAAGCCTCGGCGATGGAATTCGAAAAGCTCACTGGACCACTCGATCAGGATCAATACAACTGGTATGTCTTCTACTACGGCCAAGGATACACGGATATTCGAACAAGCGCCGTCTGCGATGGGGTTGACCTTAACGACGTGAATCTCAAATCGCTCGCAGATCAGTACTACAATGGATTTGACAGTGGCATTCCTCAAGATCTTCATGACGAGTTCACCGCAAAAATTGACAACTCAGTTTTCTTCGAAAGCGAATCTGAAGCTCTCAATTACTTCCGAGATATTGTTGACGAAATCACTGCCGACTGCAAGTCCGAAGCCTGCTCCGTCATGGCAAAATGGGCCTACGTCACTCCCGCTTTTTACGGATTCATTGCCGGAGTCGCTTACAAGTACCAGTCTGGGGAGTCCACAGAAGTCACTGCAAGGCTTTTCGCTAATGACTTCGATGCTATTGAAGCCAATCAGCAATACTTTCCTGAAAGCTACGCGAAATTTGTCGAGAACAAACGAGCCACCCTCCTCCGCGGCTATCTTTTCGACTTTGCGTTCCAGCTGGATCTCATGCCATTCCTTCGATGGGCGATTGACAACATCAATGAAGAAGACATCGTGAACATGGATGTCCGAATCTCCGACGCCACTTTCACTCATTTTGCCGTAACGAAGGCTCTTCAATTCAACGAAGTCACGGAAGAAAACTACGAGGCTGAATACAAGGCGTACACAGATCTTATCCTTTCTGTCGATGGCGGAATCGAGTCCAAGGTCAAGTGGGCGCTTTTGGATGTCCTCGACATCGGAAAATCTGCTCCAGGACATGAAGAGCGAGTCGGAACAATCCTCAACGCTCAAGTCGATATCTGGACTCAATCCGTCAACTGGGTTGGAGATGCTTTGAATATTGAAGAGATCGACTGGGAAACTGAGATCCGTTGGGCGTTCGTCAAAGCTTCTATGCTTCGAGTCTACGAGACAGATGATTACTTCAATGATCCTATCTACTTCGACATCTTCGCTCTTCCAGAAAATTCCGTCGCCGGCGCCGCGAAATTCTGCGAAGAGGCTGGCCAAGTCCTCTTCCCTGTTGATACCCACGACGTCCGAGCTGAAATCCTCCATGCTCGACTCAAAGAAGTCATCCAGAAACGACGATTTGTCAAGGAATGTGGTCTCATCATGCCGTACGAACGCGTCGAAGGAGCGGAGAGCAACGTTTTCTACAATATTCACACGGGATCAACCGAATGCAATCGACTCTCCTGGATCACATTGGACAGCGACGAAATGATGGACATGACCATGTTCGCTGCCTGCGCAAACGACAATGGTAAATCAGACAAGTTCGATCAGGCAACTCAAGCCGTCTGCCGAGGCGATGACGAAAAAGACACATACAAAGTCGACTTCGCCAATGTTCTCGCTTCATACAGCAGCTACTACCAAAACATCTACGGCCGAGAGCTCACCGAAATCTTCCAAGGAACACTCATCAGAAAATTCTACGACAACCAGGAATACCAAGTTTTCGATACTGAGCAGGCTTTCCACAGTTTCTTCCAGAACAAGATCTTTGAACTCATGACTCAGTCGAACGACGATTGGTACGGAAGATGGGCGTTCGAGTCAGAATTCTTCATCAAACTCTCAGCTGCTTTGGCAACCAGTACTTTCGTCCAGGACGAATCGGTCTATGAAAGTATCTTCGATGCACCGATTTCCGGCGGTATGAAATACGTTGCAATTTCTGAATACTTGCCCTGGTTTACTGATCGACTCTCCCAGAAGAAGTCCTCGATGATCCTTAAATCCTACCTCTTTGACTTCCTTTGGTCCGCTGGATATTTGGACTGCTATGCCTCGGAAGAAAAGTGCGAACTTGGCCGACTCATTCACGGCGGCGTTCTTGATGCCAACATTGATGATGCTCCACGAGGCGATGACATCTCTTACAACTCCCTTGTCTATCTCATCGACACCGTCACCTGGCCATGGAACTACGGAATCCGAGACGACAACGCTACTGCTTACGAGCTTGTCAATGCTGCTCGAGAGTATTCCATCAACGGAAATCCTGGACTCAAGGCCAAGTACCTTTTTCTCCCAGAAAACTGCATCAATTGCGAAGGGCCCAATGCTCTCGATGCTGCTTTCGACGCATTTATGAATTCCAACATCGATAATATATTCAAAGAAGGCACTGCTAACGACTTGATTGCCTTCATCGACACTATTTTTTCTGATTTCGGTGTTTCTCACACTGCTTCTGATGATCAAATCATTGAAATCTTCAACGAATCCGCGGAGCAACTCGATTTCCGATCTTACGTCCAATTCACTGAATCCGATCTTCATAATCTTGCCCACAATGTCCTCGCCGGCGCAGGCCTCGCTACTGAGCACAACAAACTTAGCCTTGATACCGTCTTCGAAGCTGCCAAATCAGAGTTCGATTTCTCTGGTGAGATAAGCACTGAAGGCCTCGTTGCTTCTGTCGACCTGCTCTTCATTGATGCCGGAATCGAAACACCTGATCTTGACTTTGTTACTGAGCTCACCACAGCTCCTCCAGGAGTTCTCGTTTTCAACGTAGGCCCGAACTTTGCCAACCGACTTCCTCCATCAACAGGGTGGGATTTCTTTGCCGATCTTCATGCTGGTCTTGCTCCATTTGGCGCGTCTCTCTTCATCGGTACCTTCGATCCCGTCTCATCAGCTCGATGGTTCAATGAGTTCTACGACTTGAACTACTCCAACGATGAGACAATCTCAGTTATCCTTCCCTTTGGTTACGAAGACGGTGTGGTGGGTATCACTGGCCAGCGATTCTGCGACAAGTCCCTACCATGGGGTCCATGGGGAGACGAGCCTTGTGAAGAATGCTATCTCTTCTACCGAGTCTCAAGCGAAGGCCGAGGTCTTGTTTGGGCGCCCATTGATGAGACCCTTGTCATCATTGCTAATGAACCAATCGATGGCGATGTTGTTCCGTACCCAGGCGCTTATAATAATTTTGTCTGCTACAAAAATGTCGATCTCCGCTTCCACGAAGCTTTTGAGCATCTCTGGACCAAGGGCGCTCTTGCTCCTCTTCCACAGGACGTTCAAGACACTGTTCTCCACCGAACCTACGAAAATGGCCCTCACTACATCACTTCTGATGGTGAAGCATATCTTTTGATTGCTGAGGGCATCTTTAAGGCGATCACAGAGGACTATCCATCTGGATTTGAGCATGATGTTCTCGGACGATTCGCGTTCGAAACACCTCTCTTCTTGAAATTCATCGCTGCCACCGTTGTTGTTTCCGAAATTCGAGCAACTCACGTCGGTGACTGGGAAATCGATTTCGAAACAATCCTCAATGGTATCTATGACTCCTCGATCTCACACGGATATCTCGACGCTGGAGCTTACCAATCAGCGATTCCATGGCTCTTGAATAACTACTCGGAATCCGCAACCACTATCCTGATCAAGGGCATCGTTTACACTGTCCTCGACCGAGCTGGAGTCACTTCGTTTCAGACTCTTCAAGAGTGTTTCGAACGAGTTGCCAACAACGACTTCAAATTCACCGATGAAACCGTGGTCAAGGATGTTGTCAACTATCTCCGAGTGGTGATCCCCGCAGACGCCGCTGATCTATCATCTCCCGATCTCATCCAGAACTCTGCCGTCCGAGGTTACATTATGAAACTTGTGATCATCGGCAACAGCGGTCAGGAAGACAGTTGCAATGGAATCGGCTGCTTCCAGTGGCATCCATCCGGTTTTGCCGCCGAGATTCTCTACACGAACCTCGACTGGCTTCTGGAGAATGAGCACGATCCACGAGGACTCACGTCTGCCATCGAAGAAATTTCCCAGCGACATCTTGGAAAAATCATCTTCACTAGACTCCAGATCCAGGTTTTCTTCCGATTCACCATGGAACATTTGATTTCAAACAGATGCCCAACTGGTAATTGCTGGACCTTGAACGAATCAACTGGTGAATGCGAAATCAAGTAAGATTAAAATCCTGCGAGCAGGTTGTTATTGTTTTTAGGCCTGATGCAGACTGCTGGGGACTAACTTGTGGAGCGGATACGATGAACTTCTGGTTCCGACCTGATCTTCTTGACGTTCTTGCCGATGATCAACGAGAAGGAATCTTTGCCGCCGATTGCGCCCCAGTTTGGGATGATGCTAATTCCGCTTTCTCGTGGAGTGAAAACATCGGAAAATGCATGGTTGCCGAAAGTAATGCGTAAGTAGTCGGTATAAACGATGGACTTTTTTGCTTGGTGAATCATATTTTGGTAGCTATTCAGTATTTATTTGTCATAAAAAGTCCAAATTTAATAATTTCCGCATAATTTATGGTGCTTTGCGACAAATTCATAAAATATTTCAGTGAAACTGGCGACATTGATTTCATCGTCGCTATCAGCCGCGCTGATTCACGCCAAGACATCAAGATCCACGGAATCGACTTCTTCACCGCCGACTACGAGTCCCAGATCTCCGCTCGATTCCGATGCTCTTACGATTCCGAGATCTCCGCTTCCAGCGAAGTCTTCAATGTCAAACCAGGCTACCCAGCTGATGCCTCCTTCTCTGACAAGGGCGACTTCACTGAAGCCTTCAGCATTGATCTTTACAATGATGACGAGTTCTCCCAGGCTGTTGGCGATGTCGTCTATGTTGGACAGGAACTCTTCGTCGATGTCAACTGGGCTGTCACAGAAGGTGTCCAGTTCTACGCGCAAAGCTGCGAAATCGATATCGACGGACAAACAGTTTCTTTGATCAGCGATAACTGTCTGGCAGACATCTTCGGCGTCACCAATCACCAACCGGGAGTTTACTCCAACAATGGCTCATACAAATTCAGGTGATTTTTCAATAATTTCTTCTGGATTTAATGCTTATTTAGTTACACAACTTTCACAAATGACCGAGATCTTGGAAAGACCAACACCATTTCTTGTGCTTTGAAGGTAAAAGTTTTTGAATCAGTCAATTTTCTAACTCGAAAACTCTAGATCTGTCTCACTGGTGATCAAAACACTTGCGCTCCAGCAACATCCTGCCCTCAGAATGAGTTCAACTTTGTCCTTCCATCCAGAAGACGATAATTTCTTGCCAAAAAATCTGCCCCAGTCAAATTTTAAATAAACAAGATTTGATTTCAAAATACACAAAGAGTTTATTATCTTAAAAAGCAGCGTTTATAAAATACAGAAATGGAAGCATCAATAATTAAGTTTAAAAAATTCTAATTATTCAAGATAATATCTCTCATCCAATCTTTCGCGTTGAAAGTTGCAGAGTAAAGTCCAGGGAAGCCTTCTGAAGCGCAACCGACTCCTCGAGAGACGACCGCGGCGAGAACTGCTTTTCCATCAACAGGGCAGATGAGGGGTCCGCCTGAATCGCCCTGGCAAGCGTCTTTTCCGGGATCCGTTAGGCCATTATTATCGCTAAATAACAAATGATAGGTTGCAATAGATCAGTCAAAAGAGGCATTTTGTTCATTTTTAGCACCAAGAGCTTCAAGATTTATTTTACAAATATAAGAGACCAATTTAATTTAATAGCTATCTCTAGAACCATTCCTGTCGAACTCTTATTCAAGATCATTCCTCGAAATTCGACTAATCATAATTAACGTCAAAATAAGCTCAACACATTGTCAGCTTACAAATGGAAAAGCTGACGGAAAAACTTCAAATAAATTATTATTCTGACGGTTTGATGACTTTTGTCTTTTTTCATCCTAGGGAGTCCTACTTACTTATCAGGCAGTCCGGCGCAAACGTCATCAGGCATCAGAATTCCATTATTCGAAAAGTTTTCACAGTAGTCTTTGCCCAAAATATTCACGCCTGCAGAAAGAAGAGTCGTGCTGGTACTTCCACCAGAGCTTGTAGTTCCCCATCCAGCGACCCAGCAGCCACTTCCGTGCTCGATCGGCTCACTAGGTAGACATGCGATTTTGACTTTTTCCGGCTCAGGTGCAGCGGCTAAAAAATGATGAGGTGAAGAAAAGGTGGGAAAAGTACCCAGAATGTCTTCGTTGAATTTGATGAGGCACCAGTCAGAGTTGCCAAAGTCGCCGTCAGCGCCCTGGCCCCATTCGGGGTGATTGAAGAAAGTTGTTGAGGTAAGAGAGAATTGACCTTTATCTGGCTGAAAATTTAGATTCGCAGGGATTTAAAATCTAAATTTTAGATATTTATACATACTCTGAGGCTGGTTTAGGGGATAAGATTTTATGTTCGTTGAAAAATAAACCTAAAAATATATATTGTTTCAATTTTTACATTATTTGTGGTGTTTGCATGAAAAATCGTCGCCATTCCTGATTCGAAAGTTGACCTAGAAATATCCCCAAAAGTCGCCACAACTTCCGCGATTCCATCACAACAATGCGCCGCCGACAAAACCCAATGATTGTGAATTATGCTTCCACTGCACAAGAATCCCGATCCGCCACCGATCGACTCTGTCAGGAACAAGCTAAAATCGAATTTTAGATTTTCTGGCTGATGTCATTATCATTGTACCGTGTAATCCAGGGCCAGGAGCCCTCTTCCGCATTGACGCCGCCGACAATTTTTGAAAGTCGTTCACGCTTCTTGCGCCCGCCAGTTGGGAAATTCGAAGCAGAAACGCAGGTTTCTAAGCCGGATTTTATGCTGTCGGTCAGTGGAGCGAATTCGGTAGCTAAAATAACAATTCATCAATTTATTTACACAAGACAATATCTTACTTGGGGGCTCTGTGGTTGTTTGTGTTACTGAAGACGTCGTTGATGTTGTTGTTGTTGTCGATGTCGTTGTCGTCGTGGTTGTTTTTGTCGTTGTAGTTGTTGTGGTTGTTGTAGTCGAAGTCGATGGATTAGTGCAAACATCATCTTTGAATTTATGTCCCCTGAAAACTTGCCAGTTTGGTTCGCCATCATTATTCGAGCAGGAAATTTTGAATCTCACAGGATCAGAATCGTCAGAATCACACTTTGGAGTGCATCTCATTTTACTGTTGCAATTCCATTCACCCGGGCCGATCGGGAAAAAACTTCTGCGTCTTCTTTTTTACAGACTGGGTCGCAGACATTTTGCCAGTCGTGAGTTTTGCTCGTCAGTGCTCCAGAGGAATTGAAACAGATGACTGCTGCTTGAGTTCCGGTTTTTCCGTCGCAGGTGACCGAGAAAAGAGTTTTGCTTTTGTTTCTTTTTGAGAAAGAAATTTGCCCCTTTGGAATGTCCACTGCTGCTGTTGATTCGAGACATAGATCTGGATTGCACTGCATGTTGTTCGAAACATTTCGGATCTTCACTGTTGGGTTGGTACGACATTGGACTTTGATGAAACTTCGGCGGGGCCAGTTGCCTCGATCTGTCGGGTCGTCGCATTTTGGCTCGCAAAGGATGTTGGCGACGTCTTGACCGAGTGCAGGACAATCCCAACTTCCGCCTGAATGATGTTAAATATCAAAATTTTGATTTGCTTTTGAGAATTAATGGACGATTTTTCTAGATGATAAAAACGTGGATGAAGGTAATTCAAGGTTCGTAGATTATAAGAGAGGATCTTCAATAAGTAGACAGTATAAAAAATACAGTTAATTATGGAATTTCTGGACATTTTTTGTCGCACACTTTTCACAAAAATGTCCAGAAATTTGATACATAACCTTGAAAAAAATGTCCCACCACAATTGCTTAAAATTTTTCACGGAGGAAAAATAAACGTTTTTTTTTCAAAAAATTGATTAAAAACAATAATAAAATGCGATGAAGCAGCGAATTTTGCTAAGAATACTAAGATTCTACAAGAAAAAGTCTTCTTCGTAAATAGAATAACCTTTCATAACTCAAATTTGACTATAAATTTCGGAGTCGAAAATCTTTTTTGAGAAAAAATGTCCAGAAATTTGATTCTTTTGCTTTTTAAAAGTGTCCCAATTAAACCCCTTAAAATTCGAAAAATGTCCAGAAATTTGATGTCCAGAAATTCCATAAAAAACTGTAGTATACTTTTGCTGAGAAAATTATTTTATGGTCTCGTTTTTGAGGAAAAATATCAATAGTATCGTGATAGAGTTAGGCTTAGAAAAACAAGCAATAAAATATCGAAATCACTCGACCCGGCTCAGAAAATCATAAAAAACGACTATTAAAAACATAAAGATTATCCTGCTGCAAAATCAAACCTTGAATTTCAAACTTCGCCGTTTCTGACAACGCTTTCGCATCACAAGCTGCATTTCTCTCAGTAGCTCTTTTGTCTTCAACAGCGTTTCCGAATCTCTCTTCCCATTTTTGCTTCCACCCCGCTTCGATTGTGTTCAATAATAAAATGCTTGAAAGAAGTTTCATTTTGAAGATTTTTTTATTTCAAAAATTTAAAAAGTAAGTGAAAATTTGATTCTGGCGCTGATAAGTAGCTCGCTCTGACGCGCTCGGAGGAAAATTATAGCGCCACTGTGCGCGCTCTGCGCAAATTGACGGACGTAAGTCAGCAACGCCTGGGTAGATGACGCAATGATAATGAAGCCAGATAGTAAACCTATAGGAAGATAAGTCTTAAAGTAAATTTTATGAGAGAATGAACTTATCATAACGGTTTTGAGGGTTGACCGGCTAGATTTTCGAGTAAAAAGTTCGTTTTGTTAAAGATCTCGGAGATTTACTATGAACTTCCCAAAAATAGGAGAGCTTCTTCTCAGATTTTTCTCCTCGGGTAAATTCAGGACTCTTTATTTAGTCTTGATATGCCATTAAAATCAGCGGCCTTATCGCTAAGCACCTGTCCAGTAACCGGAAAATTTGTCCTGGTTCAATTCCGCGATCATGTTGGACTAACTTACTTAGCAAAACATGCTTCACAGATTTCTTCTGATCCTTTTTTCTTGAAAAAGCCCGCGTCAAGAAAATTTTAAATTTTTCATCAGAAGATTTGTTTCGGGGCGAGCTTTTTCTAGTTCTGTGAAGAAACGGGCGAATTTGACAAGTTTAATAGCAGGAGAAAATATCAAGTGAAAGAAGTGGAGCTAGAATGTCGGAAGTGCTTCCGCTCCTGAAACTGGAAAACTCCGGTGAAACTAAGTGACCCTTATTTGAGGATTTATCGACAATTTTTCGGTCAAAAAAAGGGTTGTTCTTATGAGCGCTTTTCTAAAGCCGAGATTCATTGATGACTCTCACTCCCATAAGGATTTTTTTATCACATGAAAAGAAAGAAGATAAATTGGTAATAATAAAAAATCTTGAAAGTAAAGCGTCATTTGATTGACGTTGGCAAAAGCTTGCTCCTTGGCGTCCTTTTCCTTCCGGCAAGAATCTAACAAAGGGAAAATGATGCTCAAAAATTGACGAGAATTAAAACTACGTAAACAGATTTTCAGCTGAGTCAGAATCAGCTTTTTACGAGTTCATGTTGAAATGGAGTTTTTTTATAATTTGCAGCTGCAAAAAAAATATTAGCATTGATGATTTTGGCGATGCCGGGTGCAGTTTAAAAAACCGAAAACATAAACAGATCAAGAACGAAAGTTCAAGTTTGAACAAGAAACATGGGAGAGAAATTTTTCTTTATAATTTTTCAAAGAACTCACGAGCCGGGAATAAAATTGAGACGCAAGTATGAAAAACGATTCTATTAAATTAGGAGCTAGGGTATTTTATCAAACGAAAATTAAGATTAATTTCGCGTAAATTCGCGGTTCCGATTAAATCAAGCTTCAAGATATTCTCGAAAATTTCCCTTGAAATTAAATATGCTTGAACTTTTTTGCTTGGGCTTCTAAAGAAAAACTTCCGGACCAGGCGTAAAACAAAATGTTTCATAAGTGACAAGTTTAGTCAAATAAAGCCGCAACGCGTTCCAAGATCATCTTGTCTTTTCGAAATCTGATTTCACGGGGAATCGTGTCGACCTTATTTTTTCGTTTAGAGCATTTTTGTTCATAACGTTTAGGTTGTTTCTAAAAAATCGCTCAAACTCATCATTAAATTTTGATGTAATAAACTGTATTAGATTTAATGAGAATAATTTCATTAGTAATGCATTTTTCCCTTTTTCATATTTGGACAAACAAAACGCCATTCTGCAAATAAGCTCTCCTCATTTTTTCTCATAATGACTTCACTATGCAAATTTGCGATACTTGTAAGCGTCTAAGTACTTGCTGTATGCTCTCTATACTAGACGGTTCTCTTTATCAGCTAGTCGTAGCCTCTGCTATATCTTCAATAAAACACGAAACGGGAGTTTCCGATAAAAGCGTGTATTCCGCACTTTTACTGTGCGTGGACTGATGCAGTGTTCGTAAAAGTGGCAGGGAAGAGCGCGGCGCGAGATCCTAATCAGATCTCTAACCGACTTTCAGCACTAAGACCTCACAGCTCCCCAGATTCTAGAGACGATCGAGAATCTTCGGTTGAAGAGTTGAAGTCGGTGAGATGAGTCATCGTAGAAGAGTAGAAGGGAAAGGTGAAGGGAAAGGCGTCCAATCAGCTCAGCGCGGCGTCGGAATTGCACCAGCGTAGAGACGAAAAGTCGAGAAATGTCGGACGGAGATCGAACCATTTCCGGACAGCGGGAGCCAATCAGAGCGCGAGAAGAAGCAGACTCACACCAGACGAGTTTTCTTTTGGAGAAAACTTCCCTTGTTCTACGAGTACTCTTGCGAGTGTGGTCAACTCGAATCAAGGAAGTTTTTTTCCTGATTCTTCCGCCAAAGACGCTCGGATTTCCGATGAAGGAAGAAAGATCAGCTGACGAAGAAGGTGAATACAAATGATGTCCATGTAGAGAGTCTGCCGCACATCCACGAGGAGCAGAAGTCGTCCAATCAGGTAAATCTTGAACATCATTTTCCACCAAGTCAGTCGAGCGAGGCGTAGTTGAAGTTGACGTTGAAGGGGCGGGAGCGGTTGAATTTCCAGCAGTCGAGAGAGGAAGTGAAGCTGCATTTTGACGCTTCGGATCAGGCAACGAGTCGGGACTCGTCCTCTTCCTCTTTTTTCTAGTAGACATGCCAGAGGTTGACAATTGCTTTTCAGCATCCGGCCTCCCAACCTTTGGTATTTTTGTTAGAGGTTCAGGATACGAACCAGAAGCGCCGACTAGTAGATTTTGAGGCGAATCGGGATCATCGCCACAAATGAGCTCTTGTACTAGAGCCAGGTCGGAGGGAGATTTGAGATGATCATTGCGCGGTGGGACCAAACGCAGATGAGATCGGTGAGCCCAGTCACGAAAGTCGGCTCCGTCGACGATTTTGACGACAGTTTTTGAGGCGATTTCATAAGGGCCTATCCAGTGACAGTTGGAATCTTTGGCTACCTTAGTGACGGGTTGATAGAGATGGACCATATCGCCGTATTTGAGAAGGCGATCACGATGTAGACGCCTATGTTGGCGTTCCAGAGCTAGATCAGCGGAGCGATTGGCGATTTTCGCTAGCTTCGAGAGCATTTGAATCCGCTTGCCATAAGTTTCGGGCGAATCGTAGCGTACATCAGGGTCGTGTAGAGTATCAGGCAATGCGAAGAAAACCACCACTTCGACAATCGTGCGAGCAGCAACATTTGCTCGCTCCCCAGTGGAAACTCGAGCGACGGAACATGTCGTAGATGTGTCGAGTTTAGTGCAGCACAAGCGCTTGCCGGCACAGTTGGGGAATTCGCCATTTGTCGGGGTTCGGACGGGTCTGTAGAACAGGCCAAGCTCGTCAGTAGAACTTCCAGAGACGTCTTCATACTGGACACAAAGAAGGGCGAGTTCATGAAGTTCGCTTCTATTGTGGTAATAAGATGGAAGAACGAGCTCTTTCTGGCTTTGCAAGTAGCTCAGAAGGTCCGAAGTAGAGGTGTTGGGGCCTGGAGCAGGAGGGTTAAGCTGAATTTTGGCAGCTTGAGAGGGTTGAGATCGACGAGCGTCAGCGTAACTATGAAAATCTGCGCTACTGGGGTTGCCAGAGTCGATCAGGAGCGCATTCCATGGATCACGAGCGTACGACTTGATTTTGAGAGCCTGAGTGTAGATTTCTGCTCCAGGACTATCTCGTCGTTGAAAAATGCCTTTGGTACCAGTTCCACCAAATGGGACATTTGCGGCGTGATCGGTGACAGTACTGCTGATGAGTGGCGGCGCGTTGTGGCCGTCTGTCACTAGAATGCGGGTTCCAGCGAATTTTGAATCGCTGAAATTGATGATAGCGCGGGACTCGCCTCGGGCCTTAGTCTCGGAGTTGACGCCAGTGAAAGTGAACTTGGAGCTCTGCAGATGCTTCAAAAGTTCGTCAGGGATGTGCCATTTTGGCAGCCATTTAGGCAAGATAACATCGTCGGCGCCAGTGTCGAACATGCCGTTTTTGACGGTTGAAGAATGTTCGGCGAGAGTGACTGTGAAGTCAGGTCTGGAAGGTTTCGAGAAGGTGAGTTGCGCGGGGAAGTGGAGTTAGAGTTGCGCCGATCTAACTCTCGATCCGAAAAAGCTTGGTCGTTATCAACGGGAGAAGCGGAATCGGTGCCAATAGCGGAGTCATGGACGTCAGCTGAGTCGTCAGAACTCTGGGTCTCGATTGGATCAGTGCGAGAGGCTCCAGGTGAATGTTCGAACTCCAATAAAGCCTTAATTCGGGCCTTTATTAGCTTATGGCGAGTTCTGATCGCTTCTAAAGAGGCTTTGAGTAGCGCAGGGTTGACCGATGCAAGCTTCATAACATAATCCGAGATCTCGGACATGAAGTTGGTCAACATGCTGACGCAGATGCACGAGTTGATACGATCTTCGGAGAGGTTGAGCGCGTAACAGGCGCTGGAAGAAGACATTTTGGCGGGCCAAACTGTCGTTGGAGATTGGGATCGGCGAAATTCACGGTGTTTCGTTGGCGGGATTGATCAAAATCGGCGGCGCGGCATAACGGAATTGGCGGTAAGAGGTTCACAACAAGATATTGTACCTTTACAAGGCGCTCAAGTAACTGGAAATTTCCTTGAGCGGCGCACGTGGCGACTTTTTCACGTGAAGTGTGTGTTCCAGGTAGCCGGCGGCGAAATGAGCAATTCGGGCGCGGTCGGAGACGAGTTCAACGGTGTTCAGGGCGATAAAATGCGGCAGTTACAGTTTCACAACTTTGACTGACCTCGTAAGTGCGCACAGAAGAGTTACTGTGCGGCGCGCGGACGCGACTTGATTCACGAGCTCCAGCGGTTTATCAAACACGGGAACGGCGGAAGATCGCTCGATCGACTTGGCGAGTGGTCACACCAAGTAAATAACACTTCTAGCTTCGCAGCAGGAAGTGCCGGTGATGAGGGCGAACGTGGGTTCGGATGAGTCCAGTGAAGAAAGAAGCTTAGCGTATTGTCACCAGATGTAAGCGTCTAAGTACTGCGTCTGCTCTGAGTACTAGGCGTTCTCTTTATCAGCTAGTCGTAGCCTCTACTGTATCTTCAATAAAACACGAGGAAAGGTAGTTTCCGAAAAAGCGTGTATTCTGCACTTTTACTGTGCGCGGACTGATGCAGTGTTCGTAAAAGTGGCAGGGAAGAGCGCGGCGCGAGATCCTAATCAGATCTCTAACCGACTTTCAGCACTAAGACCTCACAATACTGGTATAAATACCGCATCAAAATAAAAATCTGCATCATTTTCACAGAAAACATCGAAAAATGAGCGTCCAATTGATAAAAAGAGAAGAGGTCGAGCAAGCCGGCAAAACTTCGTCAAGATTTATTCTCAACGAGGAAGCGCTAGAAAATGTCCTCAAAACTGCAAAATCTCAAGATATGCCTCTTGCAGTTGTCTCGATTGTCGGAGCATTTCGCACTGGAAAATCGTTTTTCCAAAGCGTCTTGTTCAAATATCTCGAGAAACTTGAAGCTGGAGAAGATCCTTGGGAGGCAGAAGAGTTTAACATCAATGATTGCTTCAAATATCGCGGCGGAAAAGGTTGTGAACTTGAAAATTTTCAAAAATAATGAAATTTTAAGAGCGCGAGACACAAGGAGTTTACTGCTCTTCCAAAATTTTTACGGTGAAGACGAAGTCTCGAGAGGAAATTGGCATTCTTCTCATCGATACTGAAGGCGCATTTGACCACGAGAACAACATTAACGATAGTGCGATTATATTTTCTCTTTCCACCTTTCTTTCCAGGTAGAGTTCTTCTCATTTACAAACAACTTTTATAAATTAGCCTTCAACTTGCGAATGTGAAAAACCAAATTGATGCGAACGACATTGCAAATCTTCATCTTTTCACCGAAGTTGGACGGCTTGCTATTAAAGACAAAGTGACAACAACGCCATTTCAGAATTTCATTTTTACTATTCGTGATTATTCGCTAGGTAGGCACTGCCTCCTTGTCAACTCCGATTTTAAGAAAATTTTTAGAGGAAAAATTTGGCTTTGAAGAAGGACAAGAAATGCTTAATTCAATCGTTCGAAAACAGAAGAAAGACATTGATTTTTCAGCGTCTTTCGAGGTAAATACTTTTTAAAAATATTTTCTCAGCATTTTCTTTTTTAGAAATTTCAAGCCTTCTGTCTCCCGAGCCCAGGAAAGATGGGAAACTTTGATGGCAACCTGAAAATGCTTGATCCTGATTTCGTTGAAAATATTCAATGTATGATCACTCAAGTCATCGAGGATATTCCAGCAAAACGAAGTCTCTGTAACGAAGAACTGAAAGTTTCAGAGGTTCTTGATTATTTCAAGAGCTATGCAAAAATATTTGAAGACGGTAAAATGCCCGAAGTGAAGACAATCGTAGCAACAAGGTTTTCAATAAAAAATTTATCGGAGAATATACTCAATTATTTTAGCGCGGAAAACGACTTCAAAAGACAACTCGATCAAGCAAAAAAGCATGTGATGAATCTTATCGAAGAATATTCTCAAGAAGATTTTCTCGATTTCCCAGCCATTCAAGGGTAAGTCTCTTGAATATGAAAAGGTTCTGAAACTTTCTTTTCAGACCGCTTTTTGAGAAAAATTCCCAGCGAAAATTCTTTCTTCCGGAAGAATTTGAGGGTCGATTCAGAGCAGAAATCAATGAGTTTTTGATGCAAAAAGTCGACGAGAAACTCAGAGCGATCAAAAAATTTCAAGATGGCGAGCTCGAAAAGGCAGAAGATAAATTCGAAAAGGAGAAGACAAAAGCGGAGAACTTCGAAACTTTGAAAGAGGAGAAAGAAAAGGCACTAGAGCAGGAAAAAACGGCGCATCAGGAAACGAAAGAAAATCTTGAACGTCTTCTTCATGAGCGAAGCACCCGTGTGACAAGCCTTGAACAAACTGTTCAAGAGAAGAACTCACGAATTTCATCCATCGAGTCGAGGGTTTCTAGTCTTGAGAGCACCGTTAGTCAGCGAGACTCGACTATCAGAAATTTGGAAAGCGAAATGTACAATAAAAAGTCGAAGATTCAAAGTCTCGAATACGATGTCAGAAGCAAGAACTCAACGATTTCAAGTCTTCAAAGCGATGTTAAGAGCAAAAACTCAAAGATCAGCAGCCTCGAAAGTTCGGTCAGCTCAAAGGCTTCTAGCGTCAGAAGTTTGGAGAGCAGTCTTTCAAGTGTTAAATCTGACTTGTCATCAGCGAGATCGTTTTCCAGGGTCTTCTTTTCGGATGCCGAAAGTTTGAGGGGCTTAGGTATCTATAAGATATTGAAAATTTTTAATTTCTTTTTTAGGCTTTTACTTTGGGTCGGATGAAGGATCGACGAGAAGTCCGCTCCCAAATGGACAATATAACAATGATCGTTTATCACACTCACTTATAGCTGAAAAAGTTAAAAATGGTCTTCGTCAAATAAATCTAAAAGTAAGTTCTAAAGCCGATAAAAGAATATATTTTTCGAAGTTTCATTGGGAGACGGGCTATGACAAGACAATCAATGGGTTACGAATCAGAGCTCCAAGGAAAGGATCCGCATCATCTGGTGGTTCAACTTGGTATCTCTATATAACAAACAGCAATGGTAATTTTCAATTATTTTCAGTTTTTGACTATTAAGGCTCTTCCAACTTTCGAGCGACTGCAGAAAACATCAATCCAACAACTGGAAGTTCTTCAAGTTTAACTTCCGAAATTTACAGCTCTGGCGGATCTGAGCAAGGTGTTTCAACTCCTAACAGAAATGCTCCTGATGGAGCCAAGGGATATATACGCTGGAATATACAGTTTCTTTTCTAATTTCTTTTTTTTCTGTAATTAAAAATAAACTTAAAATCTTTATAATTTTTGCGATTCTTTATTTCCCCACATGATTACAGCCGGAGTCCAAAATAAGGGACACCAAGATAAGGGACTTTTTGACGAAAAATGCCGAAAATCTTTCGGATTTGTGATTGAAAATACGTAATCGCTTTAGAAGCCGGATTCGTAGAGACAGAAACAGCATTTTCAGCTTCTTCAATAGCAAAAAACTGCTCTAGAAGGTTTTTGTCGAAAATTTCGCTGCGCCCGAAAATTTTCCTTCATGACTAGGGTAAATCACTAATAATTGAGCTTTTTTTTGGGCTTAGTAGGGTAGGCATATAATACCGTTTTAGAAAGCCCAGAAGCTGGGGATTAAAATGACCGTCAGAGCCTGGGCTACAATTCTAGCATAGTCGCTGGCTCTGAAAGGCCACTCCAAGCACTCAAAAATTCAAATGTCCGAAATTGGCCAGATTTTGGGACTTTGGAGTTACCTAAATGGCCTCAGGGTACAAGATCACCCCCCAGTATCAATAGTCAAAATGATCCCCAGCTTCTGGGCTTTCTAAAACGGTATTACATGCCTACCCTACTAAGCCCAAAAAAAAGCTCAATTATTAGTGATTTACCCTATTCATGACCCAATTTAAGGGACTATTTTCGACAATTTTGGGACCAAAAAAAGTCCCTTGTTTTGGACTCCGGCTGTATTCTTGTTGCCTCATCAATCTTGTAGCGTCAGATCCTGGAGGAGCTTATAAAACTGGCTATTTTTCGTCTGGTGATAGGCTTAGACGTGACTACCACTCGCAGCGGGGATCCTTACTTTGATCCTCAAATCTTTCGGTAGCAATATCGAGATCTTGTGACAATCGAAAATGGCTTTTGCAAGGCCAAGAACAAGTGAAAAAATAAGACGGCCGAATTCTCAAAAACGGCCAAAAACCGTGAGTTTTCATTTTTGTCATGATTTTATATGATTCCCTCATTTTTATTGGCAAGGCAAAATTGACTGTATATTCCCTTAATTGACTGAAAAAATGACTGAAAATGGGCGGGCAGTGGGAACAATAAGCGTTGCCAAGTTGCAAAAAGCTTGCAATTGAGCTCATCAAGAAAAAAATGAAAAACAAGGAAGAGGAAGTCATGAAAAAGAAAAAATTCTAGAGATGAAAAGAAGATGACAGAACTTGAAGATCAAGTCCCGATGGGATTGGCAAATCCTGTCGTTTTTCAGCCGACTTTCAGAAAGATGAACAAACAACGTTTTCCGCATGTTCTTTCCAAACTCACTGTAAGTAAAAAAAAAAACAGAAAAAATTTTCTTTATTTTTTGAAAAAAAAGTTTTTCGAATTTAAATTCTTTTCTATTTTCTCAGTAGTACGGGGAGGTCTCAGTAGTTCCAGTCATTCATTGTTTTCGTCCATTTTTCGACAAAAAGAAAAAAACTAAGGAGAAAGCGCTTTTCGTCTTGGTAACGTCTAAGCAAGCTTCTTTTCACTGAAAAATGCTGAAAAACTTATTCATACAACCAATTCCTTACAAAATGGAAAATTGAAAGGAACCAAGTTTTTTGCTGATTCAAGAGATTTTTTGAACTTTACGAAGATTTCTTAGTGGCTAAAAAGGGTTGGTCCACCAAACGACATTGCATTTTCGCATCAAATAAATATTACTTTTTTATTTTGATGAAATAAAAACGACGATGTAAAGAGCAAAATGATCATAATTTATTCCGAACCGATCTCGCTCTTGCAAATTTTATGGCTAGCATATGAAATGCTCAATATCGACAAGCAAATGCGCGCCTTGATCTTCGCGTTCCAGCTTCATTTTTTATTCAGTTTTCTTTCCACAATTTATTTGCTGACAATGATTTTCGATGAAGGTAGAAATCTAAGCCGAAAATGACTAAGCTAAAATGATTTTAAAATCGGAAGTCTTTAATCTTCGGCACAATTTGTGTTTTTAACTGGCAATCTTGGTTTCCAATGACGATTTTTAAAGTGTCAACGTCAAAGTCACTTTAAAGTTGCCATATTAATAGTAACCAAAAACGACACATTCTTTTTTGAACAGTAGTTCTACTGTAAAACTTTTACTATCGAACTTTACCACGACTGTAATTCTGACCGTTCTGAAGGACAAGCCGAATGTTTGAGCAGTACTTTTTGTCTTCGATTTTAAATACTTGCTGATATGTATAAAAAGAGCCGGCAGAAGTCGCAAAAAGTCAAGAATTAAAGATTCATCGAAACTTTGCGCAAATCGCCTGTGGTAGAAAAAAAGAGAGACAGAGCGCATTTAGCAGAAGGGGCTTTTGACTTTCCTCCCTTTTTTTCTCTTTTTCTCCCCGAGGAGGAGTCGCAATCGATTGAAAGCAAGAAAGACCGTTTTCTGACGATAGAAAGAGCAGCTTCTTTTTTTCAACTTTGCGAAGCCTTTTTCGAGAGAAGATCAATTCCAATTCAGATTCAAGGTCAAGGTTTCTGACTCCCGCCAAGGTCAAATCTGCTATTTTTGCAATTGAAATGTTTTCTGAAAAATGTGACAATTCGAGCTTGTTTAATAAGGACTCGGGGGAGCAATTAGGAAACGGCCAAAAGAAAAGACTTGGCACACGGATTATGAGACGGGATAAATGGGTATATGAGGATATGTTTATTGCTTATTTGAATTATCAGCTGATGTTCAAACTTTTAAACAAAAAAAAAAAGAACTCAATTGGTTGAATCGCCCCTCTTTCTTGTTTTCTTGAGCATCTTTGAGGATGTTCTCATTTGAAATTAAAGCCATGGGAGTAAAAAATGGTATTTTTATAATAATTACGAGAAAAAATAATATCGGAGAAAATTTTTTTTATAGAAATATTTTTTTCTGATCTTTTTGCTCGAAAAAAAACAATAAAAAATACGATTAGAAATTATTCCCCTGAAACAACGTCAAAACTGCCCTGCGGCGAGTTAAAACCCGGTGTCATTTCATGTTCCAATTTTCCCATAAAAACAAATCGCTTCTCTTGAAAGGTCAGTTCTGCTCTAAAATCATCATTCCCATCAAGTGCAATTTTGTTGCCCTGGACACCAAATGGATTTGATACGATTTGTCATCAAATATTTGGTGGACCTGACTACAGCGTCTTTAGTTTTTCGAATTTCTAAGTGGTGTACCCTTAAAGAAAAGAGATAATTTCCAATGAAGAAACCTTTATGAAGCCCTAAGGAGCAGAACAAGAGATGACGACGACGCGCTCCCAGCCATTTTATGTGAGTAGACCCTTGAGAAACCGCTTCCTTTCCTGATCCGATGAGATACCCTTAAGCTCATTTCTCTCCCCCTTGACTTTTGTCAGCACCTTGGAAATGTCAAATTCTGACACGAACACGTGTTGTTTGATGCTCTTGTGAGTTTAAGATACAGTAAGGGTGGGGGTCATGTCTATTGATTTACTGTCAGTGGAGGCAGAGTAACGGGACTTTAAGAATTGTCTAGGGGAGATTGTATCCAAGCGATAGGGGAATCTATCGCGTGAGTTTTTCTGTTCTGTTTGGATTTGGTCATTTTCACAGGACTTATTATTTGTGTTACTTTTCAAAAATGAAACAAAAAATCAATAAAGAATCGAGCTCTCGAAACTTCCGACTCAGAGCTTCCCTTCTTTTCTTATTTTGAGTAACCGCAAAAAGCTTAGAAGCTCATGACATATTCTTCGCGAAAATTTCTTCAGAAAACGCTTCAATTGAGTATTCTTCCTTGATTTCAATGGGTAAAAATGAAATTTCCCTTGAAAATTTATGGCAATTTTCTGATAATTGATTTTATTAATTGAAAGATATTCCGATTTTTTTCTTTTTCCAGCATGATTTTTATTGAATTTTCATCAAAAACGAACTGACAGAAAAAAGCGGACCCGTTCAGAACTCAGTTCTCACGTGTTCGTCTCGAGGGAGCTAATTAGGGCGGGTGAATCTGAATTCGTGTTGCTGATCTAGTTGCCATTCGGCTTTAGTGACGATCAAATTGGGCTCCCAAGGGTGCAGCTAGCAGCCAGTTAGAGCTGCCTCACGTGACGCAAGAGCGGAATATATGCACTTGACTCTCTCTGGACCGCTACTTTCAGATCGGATCAATTTCGCATTCAGAATTAAAAAACGGATAATTAGTGGTACATTCAATTTGATTTTTGACGAATCAATTAGATCAAATCTCATATTTTTTGCCCCAAAGTTCAAACGTCAGGGTTAGGGTAATCTAATACGGTTACGAAAAGGGTTGAATTTTTCCAGCGTTAATCAACCAGATGTGATAATTGACGATCATTAGAGTACGCACAAAAAAGACAGATAAATCGATTCTACACTGCATAAATCAATTAGTTTATTACGCGCTGTCACAAATCTGTTCCAAATTATCATGTCAATAATTCAAAGCTATCAAAATGCTGGTTTGTTCCTCAGAAATTTTTCTTTATAAAATCGTCAAAAAATATTCCATCCTGATTTTATTGAGTTATTATTACAAAAAAAAATTCTGGAAATCATTATTTTCTCACTTAATCAGTATAAATTATCCACTGAGTGCAAATAACGCTGATATTTATGTATTATTCTATCATTTATCGAAAAAAATGATCCAGAAAACACTCCCGGGGTTTCTGGATTCCCACGGGTTAGGCCGGCGCTGCCGGCAGCTTCGACTTTGGCAGCACAAGCCAGGTGCCAAATTTGAGCACGCGCCCTCCGGCGGTTTTCGTCCCCTCTTCGCTTGCAACCGAGATCGTCTTTGAATTGAGCCGGCAACTTTTTGTCTCCATTTTTATACGTTATATTTCCGCCGTTACCAAGAGAAATTCTTCTTTTGCACTTTTCATTTTTATTAATACAGCAATCGCCTAGTTACAGTTGGAAATTACAGTCTCGTAAAGATCGGAACTTGAAAAAGAGCTTTTCAAGTTGAAAAGAAAAAGATATTTTGACCCCGGAAGACTCGATTGAAAGCCTTTTTTGGCGCTTTTTGAAATTCTGAGGATAAAAAAAGGGTTTATTTTTCCAACTCAAGCAAGAAAATAACCATGCCTTCTAAGATGGAACCGCCCCGCGCGGCCAAAACGATCACAGTCTTCGTCAATGGCGACCCTCATCATTCTGGAAAGGAACTGGTTCAACAATAAAACTACCGGAATCGGAGTCGAGTTTTGTGGGAACCAGACATGAAAGAAATTCATTGTAAATACAAAGAGAACCCCAACTTTTGACTCGTTACTTGGCGATGTCACCACAGGTGAGAGTTCTTACTTTTTCAAGTGTTGCCAAAAAAGTTTTCTTCCTTGATTTCAACAAATTTATAATTGAACAGATCGAGAAGCCGCTAGCGGCTTCGAGCTCAAAAAAAGCGAAGCCGCGGAAAGATCGGTGTCGATTTAATTAAACCGTTATCATTTTCGTCATTTTCATTATCATTATTTATAATTTTTTTAGGAGTAAATGCGCCATTTGGTGCCGTCCGAAATCTATACACTCCTGTGGGCGGCACACGCGTACTAGGAATGGGTTAAAAAAGAGAATCGCTACATCGAATTACCGAGGCCATATGGCGTATGGTAGACAAAAATCAGTCGATACCATATGCTTCTATCAAATCGCCTCTAAATCATATGCTAATTAAGGCCTAACCTTATTTGGCTGCTGATTACGAAATATCAGTGGGCCGATATTTAACCCGTGAAAGATCTGGAAGCTTTAGGGAGTGGCAAGCAATATGTCGCTGGTGGCATCAAAAAGTTTAAAAAAGTGGAATATGGCCGGACTCCCCGCCGAGCAAAATCACAGGTTCCGCCCATTGTCAGTCAAAAAGGGGCTTCTACTGTCAATTTTCGGCCCTGTATTTCAGTGTCTCAACTTCTTTTGTTAAGGATCCGCGCTCTTATCGTCACCGAGAAGAGGTAAGTCAAGTTTCTTTGTTTTTAAGAAGGGTCGTTCTGAAACTCACTTTCCCTGCGAAAAACTATTCCGCGAAATCTAACAGAAAAATCTTAAAAATATGAAAATCAGGCCCTTGTTTTTGCCCCTTCCCGCCATAATCCAAAAAATGGTTCGAGAGAAGGCCGGTTGCTTTTCGTATAAATCCTCTTCGGGAGGAAACAAAGAAAATGCAAAACCGGATAATGAGAAGACAAAAAAAGGAGCAAAAGTAAATTCGGAAAAGGTTTGAGAAGAAAAAAAATAAAAAAATTTTTTTGTTCGAAGGTTTTTATAATTTGATTTTCCTTGAATAAAAATAGTCATGATTTTTTGGCTGTTTACTCATTTGGTACAGTAATAATCAAGCCGGCGTCAACGTGGTATAAAGCAATTCGAGAATAGTAAATGAGGAAAGCGTTTTTCACCTTGATCCCCTGGGAGATTTAATAAATTTATCAACCCGGCCATTTCTCACGCGTGCATGCTTTTCAGAAGTCGATTCCGGCCACAAGCAGATTCCAGAATATTAATGATCAACACATGAAAAACATCACGTAAGAAAAGCATTCCCCTGGCAATTTCTTTCTCTAATTCTAGTGTGTACGCAAATGGCAATCCTCGAGTAAATTTCCGCTTTCTACTCAAATCCCCGCGATCCCAAAAGCTCGATTATATCCTCGACGATGTGGCCGTCAAAATTTCGGCCAAGACGGGCTACGCTATCCGAAATCTTTTTGCCATGTCGGGCGAGAAAATAACCGACGGTAAAGCCTTATCTTGATTTCATCTCTTTCAGCGACTATCAATTTTAGCCGCACAAATTCGCGATGGAGAAAGTTACGTTGCCGCTGGAGTTGAAAAATTCAAGCGAGCGGCATATGGAATGAGGTGAGTTTCGGCTCAAATCCGAGAAAAAACATCATTTGTGAAACCTTTTTTATTAGTGAAATGTCTGTTCAAGGCGACCAACTGTAAGATGCTTTTGTAATGATGATTTTTGAGCTTAACCTTACACGGCAAAATGACCACATTTTTGGCACCTTCATGAGAGAGAGTCAAAAAAGGTCATTTTCACCGTTGAGAGGGACAAAATTTCCACGCATAGATTTCTGCTGCACAAATCACTTGACTCTGAACGTAAAATATTTTTGTAGCTCCGCCACTTCTCAAGAACGACCTGGTCGCGTGAGAAGCCGCCCGCTCAAGCCACTCAAAGCGCCTGTCAAAAGCCAGAAGGAAACGAAAGAAATTTCGGGTCTCAAGAAACCAACAAAAGGTGAGAAAGCTACGGTGTTTCTGTCAAGTGCTTCAGGCTGTTTTACATGCGTTTTCATGACGTTGGAATTTTTCCAAGTGTTCTGAAATTCCTTCTGAATTCAAATAATGAAAAAAGTAAGATACACTAACTTTTAACTTATCATTTCAGTTCAACGCAAAGAAGCCCTCCCCCCAATCGCCGTCGCGCCGGTCCAAAAAGAGCCCAGCGATGTCGTCCCCGACGCTCCCGACATAAAAACGGACCTTCCCATTGATCAGGTTTTTTATCTCCTCGTTGTTTTCCTACTAGCGTACTCTGGTGTCCATGAACTCACAAATATTTCACAAACGAAAGCGTTGTCTCATTTTATAACTTGTTTCTCAGTTGTCTTTAGCTCATCGTGGTTGGCCGGGGAGCACGGCTTCATCATAGGGTACAGTTGATTAACTGGTCTTTTTTGTACAGTTAGATCCTTTTTCTTCAAGAAAAGGATCAATATATCATGAAATCGGGGCTACAGAGGGCCTTAAGAAGGCCCCTATCATTTTTTGCTTTGAGCCAATCAGAAGCCAGAAATTTTCGTCTGAACCAATCAAAAAAGTCTTGTCCCAGAAGCCAAGATATTTCATGAGTGAAAAAATCAAAAGAGGGTATTGATGTTTTCCATCGTTTTAACTCATGTTGTCAATGTTGTCAATATTCGACGTCGTCAATTGCCAGTAACCAAATTCAACCGCCATTTCCAACTAGCATTCCCTCCCAACGCACGTGTCCGAGTTCGCTGCTAATGCTTCTGACTTTATCGCCTCCGAATCGACGGAAACGCCCGATGTTGTTTATTCTGCTCCGCCTGGTCCTCTCTTTGTTCAAGATATCGAGGTAGATTACCGTCGAGAAATCTGATAAGGGAGTCTAATGAATTCAATTTAGGACGAGGAAGAGCTGGATGATGCGACTGCGAATCAAACAACGACGATCATATCATCTCGAAGCGCTCCTGATGGTATGGAATTTGTACTTATTAACCCCGGTAAGATCCCTTCTTTTTCCTCTTTTTTTTTGACAAAAGTCATTCAGAAGACATCCCCACTGTAGAATCCACCCCCGAAGTACCCGCGTGCGAAGAATCCCAGTCCAGACCAAGCTCCAAAGACGCAAAAGTTCATTTCGGCGATTCTCCAGAAGCAATCAAGCGCCCCGAATCAAATCAAGAGGGCGAAGAGGCCGATCAAACTGTCGCCGAGCAGTCTGATAATGAGATTAAACAAGAAAATCTCATTTCAACTAATGAGCTTACCGGCGAAGAGACTATTGCTGAGGAGCAAATTGCTGAATCGCGAAAAGGTAAGCCTAACTTTCATTCACAATTCTTACCCTTCACTAGAAATCGAACAAATTGTCCACGAAGAAATAACGTCAAATACAGTAACAAGCGAAACAGCCGTCGAGGAAGCAACAACTGTCACGAGTGCTGCACCCGTTCCGGAAACCCCTCCGACGCCGAAAATCGAATCGCCATTGGTGGAAAACCAACACGTCAAGAAATGGATAGACGAAGAAGCCGTTTTGGCTGAGTATGGAATCGTAGAATGCGAAGAAGAACTTTCCGGAGCGCAGATTCTTCCTCCTCCTTCTACGGCATCTACTCATGAATCAACCAAAGAACTTGAGACTGCTCCTCTAGAAACTGGTTCCGATGAGCAAACAGAGGTCGAAGAGGAAGAAGCCAAGGAAGAACTTCAAAATACTCTGATTGAGGACGAAGATGTTGAAGCTTCAGTTGGAGAAGTGTCAGCTGAACTTGATGACATCAAAAAGGAAGTTGAAGTTGTTGTTGACCGAACAGAGCAAGTGAGTAATGATGTAGGAAGGGATATTCATCTAGCCAGAATTCTAACAGTAGCTCATTCATTCATTCTCTCATTTACTTCATTTAGAAATTTTACTTTGTTATTGTTTTCATCTTAATTTTATTTATGAGTAAAATCAATATTTTATTTGTTTTTTTTTTCGCGAAGGCTAAAAAGCGATTTCTTTGTCTATATTATTTCGTGGCGCAATTATATTCCTGTGAAGACCTCCTCTCGAACGTAATCGATCAAGTGCAAGAACTGGAAACATCTGCCGCTGACGAGCCTGAATCGGAAATGACCACTTCAGTAGACGTCATGAAAGACATCGAATACGTTAGCCGAACTGACAGTCCATCGACAGAAGGCCCAGACGACGATGAAATCGACGAAAGAACGCTGAATGATATCGATGGAAGCGTCGAAAATCCAGCTCCAATTATGCATGTCGAAGTCAACCCAGTTTTTGACTCGTCTGAAGTTAATGAAGATGATGAGAAGCGAGTCGATGAGTCGGATTTTGTTGTCGAAAAAGCTGTCGGAGAAGATATGCTCTGTCGCCTGAGCAGTTCTTCGACAGAAGGACCTGATGAAGATTTCTCGCTTATCGACGACGTATCCGAAGACAATATTTTGGATGAAACAAGAGAAGCTGCTCCTGAAAATCAACAACAAGATTTCGAAATGACGCCATCAGAGCGCGAATCAGAGGCCGTAGAAGTCATCATTGAGGATGGACCCGTTCAAAGGCCTGAAATTGTCGAGCAAAAAAGCAATGAAGATCTCCCTCAAAATGATGATGAAAACGCTCAAGAAAGCTTTGAGGTTCTGAATTTCGAGGAAAAATCTGACTTTACCGCCATTGCCGATGAAGAAAACGAAGAACTTGTTATCCGCGAAAATGATATAAAAACTGATACTGGAGCGCAGGAGAAAATCATCGATTCAGAAGATAAAGAGATCGAAGAGGAATCGAAAGAAGCTATCATTAGCGAAAATATTGATGTCGAGAACGCTGACGTGATCATCTCTGAGGAAACTATTGCTGAAGAAGAAACAAAGGAAGCTTTCGTCAGCGAAAATATCGATTCTGGTGAGAATGATACTCTTATCTCGAAAGAGCCTATTGATGCCAAGACTGATGAAGCCGTCATTATTGAAAACAACCAAGTCGACGAAATGGATCAAGACGAAGCCGTCGATCTTGACGTCATCTCTGCTGATCCGATTGTGAACGAGTCAATAGCTGATGATATTTGCGAAGCAGATAAAAGCATCGTCGTTGAGAACGAGCTAGAACATGTCGATAACGAAATTGATGGCCAAGAAAACGCCGAGTCTGAGATCGGAAAGGCGGTTGAATCATCCAATATTGATGTGGAAGAAAGTCCTGAAATCGAAGTTGAAAAGATCGCTGATGAAATTCAAGAGGAGGGCACTATCAACAGAAACACGAAAGATATCGTAAGCAATGAAGAAATCGATACTACTGACGAAGTTGTCGTCTCCAGTGAAGTCGAAGAGTCTGATCAAGTCATCGTTCCTCATCCAGCCATTACGGAGTCACAGACGCCAATCGACATTGATTCACCTGATATTGTGACCGAAATCGACATCACTCAAGCAAACAATGTTGAACCACAAGAGACTACCCTAGAAGCTGTTCCGGAGGATTCTATCATCGAAGATCTTATTGAGAAGAAAAACGATGATGGCGAAATTGTAGCCGAGAAAGAGGACGATATTCAACTTGCATCGGAAACAATCCAATCCGACGTTAATTCAGACATTCTTGCTGAACAAGATTACAGTCCCGAGGAAGAAACTCAAGAAAAAGAATTGTCTGTCCAAGAATCTCATCAAGAAAGTCACATTCAAGATGAACCGGAAGAAGAACCAGCATCTGAAAAATTCGATCTAATTTCAGCGTTGATCTCTACCGAGCCAGAAACAACTCAGAATGAACATCAAGCCGAGGAACTGAAGATTCAAGAGCCAGAAGAGACTCTTTCAAAAGAGAATGTTCAAGAAACTGTTGAAGATCAGACTCTTCTTTCCGGAAAGACAAGTCATGAAGACATAATTTTCGAAGATACTCCCTCGGGACCTAAGATTGTTGATTCCGAGATTCCATCAATTTCTGAGCTTGAAATTCCAAATGAAGAAGAGATCTCCCACTTGCTCTCAAGCTCTTCAAGAATCACTCTTCCTTCAGAAGAAACTCTCGATCGACGAACTGATGAGCTCATTGCCGACGATTTGTCCTGTGAGCAAGTTACATTTGCCTCGATCGACACGAATTCTGAAGATTTCATCATGTCGCAGTCAGAAAGTACGACCACTGGTCTTTCAACCATCGCGGAATCATTCGAATCTCGAATGGACTCATCCTTGACTCCAAATCAAGCTTCTGTCACTGATGATCAATCAATGGAAGTTCTTGAGGCTGTTCAAATAATTGCTCAAGATGCCAAACTTCCTCTATTTCAACCAGAGCTCGACTCAGCCATTGGCAGCACAACAGAAGACCCAAATATCATCACCGACCTGAAAAATCTAGAAGTCGTTGATGTTTCTGGACGAGAAACATCAGCTGATTCTGAAATAACAAGCGAAAATCTTGCTGCTGAAACTGAAGTCTCGCAAAATGAACAAAAAACTGAGAATACGGAAGGACCAGAAACTGTTCAGGAAGATGTGAAAATTGAAAATCTATCCAAAAGGGAAGAAATCGTTGAACAAGAACAGCTCGGAAATGATGTTAATAATCAGCAGAACGATCTCGAAACTGACCTTGAGGTTGCTTCTTCAACTAAAATATCGGAGGAAAGTGGAAAAACTCCAGAAACTCAGGAAATCATGCTCGTGGAAAAGATTCAAAAAGAAACCATGCCTGAATCTGAAGCAATCACTCATGAAAACGATAATATCGAGGAAACAGCTTCAACTACTGAAGAACCGCCACTCCAGGAAGAAGAGGAAACTCTTATTGCTGCAAAGGTCGATATTGTCGTCGAAGAAACCATCGAGGACGAAGCCATTGTCGAGCCAGTCCAGCAATTTACAACTTCAACGACAGAAGCACTTATTTCCAAGCTAGAAAACGTTGAACAAAACACCATTATTCTTGATGAAAGAAAATCGCTTGCAGAGGAAAAGATCAAAGTCGCCGATAAAGAACGTGTTGAAAATGATTCAGAAGATCAAATCCAATCTGATGATCAAGTTGTGGAAGATGAACTGCGAACCGAAGAGCCTGATCAACCCCTAGAAATTAATGATGCGAAGATTTCTGATTCTGAGGTCGAGGAAAAAGTCAAGCACCTTGTCGAAGAAACAGTCGAAAAAGTTTGCACTGTCGCTGAACCAACTCAAGATGGTCCTCCTGAAGCTAAAGAAATTGAGGAGAAAGAAATTATCGCCGAGAAAATTTTGGAGACGACGGTTGAGCGTGATCTTGATTTGGACTCGCTTGAGGGCAATGCTTCTGAGATCAAAGACGAAACTGTTGATGAAGTGTCAGACCTACCTCTGGAATCAGAAAGAGAAACTTCTCAGGCTGTAACTGAGTTGCTGAATCAAGAAACGGAAACTCTTGAACCACAATGTGGGGAAGAAGGACTCGTGATTGCTCATGAATCAAAAGAAGAAGTTTTAGATGCTGAGAAAGTCATTATTGCTGAAAAAATCGATGATTGTAAAGAAGTTCCTCAAGAAATTTCCGATGAGCAGAAGATAACAGATGAAGTTGATATCATCGAAAGTCAAAATATTACAGCTATAAACGACGCGGAAGAGTCTGAAAATATCGACCAAGAAAGTCTAACTAAGGTCTTTTGCGATAATGATGAAAAAATCCTTGATAAATCAGCACAATCTCAAGATTTTGATGACGAGAAAGAAGGTGCCGACGAAGTTATGACTGAAGTCCTAGACACGAATCCAGAAGAAGAAGCGAAAGTAAACCAGACAGCAGTCGTCGAACTTCCGACAGAAAAAATGCCAGAGCTCGAATCATCTGATCACTTCGTTGCAGAAGTCTCGGACGGTTCCGAACCATCAGCTGTTACCCTAACAGAATCAGAAAACGACCAGACAGTCATCATTGCCGAGCCTGTTCGAGAAATTGCAGAGCCAACTATTCAACCCCTACAAATTTCCAACAGCGAGCAAGACCTGAGTCAGGATGCGAGCGACTTGAGCGAAATCAATTGCTTCAAAAATCCAATGTTGACTTCGAGTTCAATCGAAGATGATCTTTCTTCCGAGGCCGTGGCTAATATCATCATGGAGAGTCAGCGCAAAATGGAAGAAAACAAAGTCGTCGAGGAAAATGACGATGAATTCTTCAGCGTTGAGTCGACAACGATCATGGATAATAATGATTCGCCCGATGTTGAACCTGAATATGAAGGTAACGCTCTCTTTTTCATTTGCAAATTTACAAAAAATATTTCTAGAGCCTCTTTCTGTTCCCGAAGAAACCGGCTACAGAAAAAGTTCATGTCAACTTCAACGAGTTCCTGTCCTCGTTTCCAGTCGATCAGTTGACACTGGTCTTCAAGAAAATCTCCAAGACGAAGATGATCTGGATGACAACAACATCATGAATACCATTCTTGAAGATGCCATGACCAAGAGCGAACCAATCGTCCAAGTTTCCGTAAGCAGTTTCATTTTGAAATATTCTTTACTTTCTCAAGGCAACACAAGAGTCGACAGAAACGGTCGAAAAAACATCAACCTCCGTGGAAATCGAGAAAAGCGCTAATGCCGCTACCGCCACTTCTGAATCGATCGCCTCGATAACTGAGTCAGAGTCTCTCGAAAAAGTCCGATCGGATAAGCTAGTTCTCGAAGATGAAGCTCCAGGTTCATTTTCTTAAAAACCTTCATTTTGACGAAAATCTTTAGAAAATATCCAAACTGAATTTGCTTTGGAACAGGTTTATAACTAAATGTCCTGACTAAAATCAGTGCTCATTTTTTGACAAAATGTTTTGTGAAATATTTTTGATGTTCGTGGAGTGAACTCATCGTTTTCCCAACTAACAATTCATTTTGTAGCAAGTTACTGAAGAAGTCAAGGAGGAAATTGCAGAGCTCAGGAGCTCGAGCTTCGCTCCTCAAGAAGAAGAAGAGAAGCAAGAGGAAGAAATCGTCGACGAGGTGAAAGTTGATGAAAGCGCCGATGTTGACAAATTCGTCGGAGAACTCGTCAGCGAAGCCGTTCAGAAAGCAAAAGACGAAGATCAAGAGAAAAATGAAGAAGTCATCGAAAAAACCGAAGACGCTGAGTCATCAGAACCAACTCAAGTCGAAGAAACTTCCGCTGAAACCAAGCAAAAAACTGTGGACGAGCCAGTGGACGAAATCAACGAGGACAATAAGGAAACTGAGCCAGAAATTTCTGAAGAAAAGGCGGAAGAGATTCCAGTTCTTGAGGAGAAAATTGACCCGGAAGATCAGATTGAAATCGTCTCGTCCTCGGCGGAAATCGACGATCGCAAGGTTGACGATGAAAAAGTAGAAGAAGGAAAGGTCGAAGAAGTCGGTGAGGAAAAAGACGATGGAGAGGACAACTTAGAAGAAATCAAAGAAATTGAAACTAAAGGTTGGTTGAAAAAAAAACATATTCTTTTTTTTTTGCAAACAATTTTTCTTTTTTTTTGAATACAATTATCTTAAGAATTCCCGGAAATCGAGACCGCGATCTCTGATGTCCAAGAATCGCAAGACAACTCTGCCCGAAAATCACCATCTCCCGCCCCCGAAGAACAAAAAGAAGCCTCGATTCCCGAGCCAAAGGAGGATTCTCCCGAGATTCCTCTGACAGTCATTCCAGACCCAGAAGAAAAAGCCGCGATCGAGGAAGCCGTCAAAGCTCTTTCTAGACCTTCTGAAGAATCGGAGCCAGCTCAGGTGGAGGACGAAGAGGTGGATGAGATTCTGGAAGAAACCGATTTGGTCAAACAGGCGATCAGCAGCGCGGTCGACGCGATCAACAGCGAACCAGCTTCTTCGACTGAGAAAGAGAAGGTTGAACAGAATGATGAGGAGCCGAAGGGTGAGGAAAGCTATCAAGGAAGTGATCCGAAGGAGCTTGAAGACGCGATCATCAAGGTAAGAATTTCGGGTACAAATACGAGTTTAGTGCTAGTATAAATTAAAATCTCATATTAATTGATAAAGAATATGACAGAACTAACGATGTTTGTGAAACTTAGATTATCAAATCAATTTTTTAAAGTATTTAAACTATATAAAACTCTTCATCACTGCTCTGTTATGGTTTTGTTTTAAAAATTCTCTTCAGGAGAGCATAAAAGAAGGAGTCGCAGCTCTGAACAAAACCGACGATTCCGGCGCAGCAGGCCTCTCGGAAACCTCCGCTGAAAACGTGGAAGTAGTCGAGCCAAGTGAAGTTGAACTCCCCGCTTCGGAAGTTGAAGAATCGAAAGAACAAACTATCGACGAGAAAAAGGACGAAACGTCACTTTTGAAAGACGAAGGCATCAGTGATCATTTCACGAGCGAAAAAGCAGCAGCGGCGCCATCTGGCGAACATTGAACAAAGCACGACCAGCTTGCCGCTTCAACGGTTAAACTATTTCTTTCGCCGTAGGATTATTACTTGTGCCTTGCCAACCAATCACGACTTCATACCGGTAAGTTTCAATGAGCAGAACAGCCCTAATCGAAGGCTTTTTTAGATAGCCCGGAAAATATTTATCACAACTCGCAAAACAACTCAAGCTGCTTCCTGATTGCTCAAAAAATGAAAAACAAAAAATATTCTTTCTTTTTGCCGTTGTCTCAATTCTCGTGAAGCTGGTGTTCTTAACTCTTTTCACTCCTTTTCTGATAATTAAAAATCCCTCTTTTTTATATTCTTTTGTTAATAAAGCACCTTTCATTTTTTAAAATAAAGTAACCAAAACTGAAGAAACTTCTTGTCTCTTTTATTATTTAAAAGAATAAATCATCAAAGAGCATAGCAGCAGCGATGAGAAGAGCTTTGTGTTCCACATTTAGAGTACTAAAGGAGACAAGTAAGACATTCATGCATAATTTGGCTACTTTTAGATAGGCTTGTACCTTGGAAGTTTTAAGTGTAGATTGTCGAATTTAGAAATTGTTCCAATGCCGAATTTTTCCATGGAGAGAATTGGGAAGCTCAGGCGGCTAAAATGATGAGAATGAGAGTTCAAATTTAGGTTTTACTTGTGGCAGGGAAAACTAAGGACAGGCCCACGAATTCGACAGACAGGTGCTCCTTGGGCATCTTGGACTTCGAAGGCTTTTCTTGTTCAGGAAAAAGTTTTCAATAGATGACAAGTGTTTTAAATAACCAGAACTTATAGATTACCCTGATCGTACAAACAAAAATTGTGATATTTAATTGGCGTCGTTCATCTACAAAATAAAAAAAAATATATTTTGCTTTTGTAATATCTTTTTATGGTTTCCTGGAAAAAGATTCTGTGATAATCTAATCTTATAAGTACCCCGGTATAACCCCGGAAGAAAACTAAGCTGATCGACAAACGAGACCTGGAAGAAAAACTTTGCACAACTGTTGAATCTTTCCAACAATAACGCCATTCGACCTTATGATCACAAAGCGTCGACAAAGACAAACTGCGCAGCAGTGGCAACTCGCGCTCCATTCAATTTCTTTCTCAAAATTATTCAACAATCTCATTGACATTCGGTGGATAATTTTGAACCCTGTCAATATTGCACGAGCCATCCATATTGTAAAGATCTATTGTAAAACCTCTTCCGTGAATGAGGTTCGGGATTATTTGGACTTTTCGCATGATGAAGAGGATTTCGTTTTCCTGGTTCTTCAGAGCAGCAATCTTAATGACACCCTTATTCTCTCGTCTCAAAAATGACTCGTACCTTTGAATGCGATAAATGATCTGGGTTAAAGACCTCTCCTCTAAGACACAAAGGAACATCAAGAATCGCTGGATCTTCGAACCACTCCAAATGGCTTCAAAATGAACTCTTCTAGCTCTAGAATCAGTTTCTAACCACAAGTTCAGGCCCTTTCCCGACTCCAACTAGAACATGCAGGCCTTTAGGCGCAAGTCTCGTTTCGATTTTTGTCAGAGCCTCTGTAATAACGATCTTTTTTCCGTTGATCTTAAATTTTGAGGAGAACGAGTCTATCAGACAATATCCCGTATTCTTTGTTTTAAGATTATTGAACCGAGCGGTTAAGAAGCCTCGCGCCAATTCAGAACTTGAGGCGTTTCTTTTTTAAAAATTGATTCCAAAGGACTGATTGCCCGAAATCAAAGTTGTCCATCATCTAATATTAAAAATCAACGGGCCTTTGTTTTTTCGTCAATTTTCGACATTATCGTTGCCTTTTCCGTCTTCTTTCGAAACGTTCTTTTTGGCCTGTAGCTGGCATTGTTACAGCTGTGCATACGAAGGCTGCAAATATGAGGCTTTTCTTCGCGGTATGGTAGTATGATCTCAAAATTCGGCCAAATGCCGAATTTTCATAAACTCATATTTTGAATGAATAATTCGGCCAGGTTGGCCGAATTTTTCGACCGAAATTGAACGATTTTTGAATGAAAAATTCGGTCCCCAAGAATAAAGGCCGCGTCCTAAACCCACTAATTTATTCAGAGTCTCCATTTTATCAGAAGAAAATAATCTAATCAAATGGTCCTAACCTCGGGGCTCCGCCCCTTCGGGCCTAAGATGCCGGGGTCTAGTCTAGGGTTACTTAGGGTTACCTTCGGTAACCCTAACTAACCCTAGCCTATCCCCCTCGGGTAATTTGTTCCGTCATTTTTGCAGGTGCCCCCTAACCCTAACCTTTATACTAGCAATACTACAATTATAATTTTCTTGACGAAAAAATAGTCTTGGGGGAGCTGCAACTTTCTCCTAGCCATCTAGGGCAAATCAGTTATTATTATAACGAGGTCGATCGGAATTTTCGTGGTAATGAAAAGTCGAGTTACATTCCTAGATATTCGAATTATCAGAATTGATAACAAGCATTCATAGCGATTGAAAGAGCCCTCAAAAAAGAATAATGAGTGTCCACCCAGAATTTCGCTGACCGAATTTTTCACCAGAATACTTTGTGAAATCTGCCCAATAATTCGGCCAGTTTGGCCGAATTTTTCATTCAGAATGATTGAAAATTCAGACGAATAATTCGGCTATAGGTGGCCGAATTTTGAGATCATACTACGCGCGGTATTTGTAGAGACAGCCGAAGATGACAAGGAGAAGTTGGTCGTAGAAACCGTGATTGGGGTAGACAGATGGCTCTTTATGAAATTTCAGAAATATAATGAATCATTTTATGTAGATGTATAACATTCTTCAAATTATGCTAACCTTAACAAGGACACCTGTACAAGTGATTGAGGATTATTTTCAATATCTATTAATTGAAAAAAAATTTCATATAATATCATTTTGGTATTTTATTGTTTCACTTTAATTCTCTAGAAAAAAAAAAGTTTAATTTGAAATTTTTCCTGCAGGTAAGCCGGTGCTGGGAAGCTGAAGAGTCGCCGTTTCCGTCGCCATTTTCTCTGGCCTAAGTTCTTGAACCTAGGAAGGAACTTTTGTTCTTCTCTATTATTGTGAGGGTCAATGAAGCAAGGTTCTGACACGGGGAGGCAATGAATACTTGATGCCGACCCCTTGTGCCGCTGAGTATCGCCCAGAGAGGTGGTCTCCTTCAGTAATTTGTTAAATTCAGAAAACTTCAATTAACATTCTTGAGATGTTTATTATGCAGAAAGAAGATAAAGAAAAAGATAAAATAAAATGTTTCCAGTATTCAAGTCAGTCCAGGCAAATTTTGACAAAATGGTTTCTCAAAATTTTATATTCGTTTTTCCAGTTTTGTTCGTTGGTTCTTTCTCAATTGCAGATTGATTGAGAATCAGACTTGTCGCAAACAACGACAGCGCAGATGATCTCTTCTGTCATCGGACTGTAGTCATCTCCAAGATCGAATCGGAAAGCGGTGAACTTTATTTTCGCCGAGTTAGTCTTTCAATGGCTTATATAAAATCTGATCTTAAAAATAAATGAGATTGCAAAGATAAAAAATAATAGTAAGCCAAGTTCCTGATCGAATGGCAGTTCATTCAAGAATTCCGCTCCAACCATTTGATTCGCCACTCCTTCCTCGATAAATTTGAAGCTTTGATTATGCTCCGCATTCACAACCGTACACTCCTTCACCATGAAATTGACATTCTGTGGCAGATTTGGCGCTTCGACGGCAAAGAAAACTTCCTCACCAACTCTGATGATGTCTTGTGATGGAACTGGTTGAGTGAAGCTTTCAGAGACATATTTGACCAGGTTGAATTGGAATTCTCCATCGCTCGAGTCTGATCCTTTGCCGACGACATCATGGACTGTTATTGTATCTGTGACGTCAACTGTACTGTCATAATGACACTCAAAGCTGAGGAGGATCGCGTTTGATAGGGTGAAGATTCCGGAGTCCTGGAAGATGGTGATTGTATTTCGGAAGATAAGCTTATCCGACTGCTGGAAGACTTCAGTACCACAGTTGTCAAGCTCAGTTGTCATGTTCAGGTATGAATTTGAGTCGATGACACCGGAAGATTTACAGTCAGAGGAGCCACCGTCGATCCAAGCTGCGTTGTAATTGTATTCTGAGAAAAGACACTTTTTGTGATTTTGAAAAAAAAAAATTCAGAATCGAAAATTTTTTCAAAAGAAATTCTATTTGATAATTAGGGAAGGTATTACCTTTAAAATCATTCCTGATCGATGACAGCATTCATTGAACTTGTTGAGCAGGACACTTCTGCCATGCCAGTTTTCGGTCTGCACCCTTCGGTGGTCATGACCCAGCAATCCGACGGGCATGGTACAAGTGGCTGCGTAGTGGTTGTCTCAAACGTTGTTGTTGTCGTAACAATTGTTGTCGTAGTTGAAACGGGCTCAGTTGTTGCGGTCGTCAGCTCAGTTGTTGTCGGAACATCTGTCGTGGTTGTTGGCATGAAGCAGTTGCTAGTATCGACAATGGATGGCCAATTACAGATTTTTGAAATCGGGTCGAAAACAGTTCCTGGTCCGCAAGATTTTACAAATGTCTGAGAAGGAAGCCCACATTGATAGAACTTCTCACATTCTGGATGCGCTTGGAGCGAGTTTGGAGCTTTGTCGCAGCAGAAACCGAAGCATGGATTCGTAGTCGTTGTTGTGGTGGTCGTTGTGGTGGTCGTTGTGGTGGGGTTGACATTAATGTTCACGGAGATATCGATTGTCACATTGATATTAGTTGCCGCGGAATTGATTCCACCAGATTGAATACCAAGATTGATTGACACCGAAACATCAAGGTTCACTTTTTGACCAAGTGCTTTCTTGTCTTTATCAGATTTGCGACCTGGGAAGCCAAAAGAAACGCTCATATCAATCTTTAGTCCAAAACTGAAGAATCTTTCTGATCTAGCGAGAGAGTTCTCTGGAGTGTTCTCATATCGGCTCAGTATGCACTCATGGTCGGCGATATATCCACCGTTTTCAGTTGCAGTGTTTTCGTGATCAGCTTGCAGTTGTTTTTTCATTTCTTCGCATTTCGCTATCGATTCTGGCGAGTTCGGATCGTCATATGCTTCCTCGTACGGCTCGTCTAATGGAACAGAGAAATCGGATTTGACAATTGTGACTTCTTCGACTTCGCCGCAGGTTTCACCCAAAGCGTCTTGACCGAGAGGGCATCTGCAGATTGATTGATGGTCAGCTGTTACTGCGGTTTCGATATCGCCGAGGAAATAGTTCACACAGACAGCTTCGCCGGTGCAGCTCAAATCGCACGTAGCATCACTTCTCGCAAAACATTCAGATAAGTCGATATCAATTTCTGATTCTTGATCTCCTGATCCATCTCCAGATCCGGATCCCTCTGCTCCTTCAATGCCCTTGCAGATGATTTCAACATCAGTGAATCCTTGATTGACAAGATCGTCATAAACGGGAGTCTCGCATGACTTTGACTCCTCGTCAAAGATGAATCCATGTTCGCAGCTGCATGTATAGAAGGTGCCGTCAACGTTGTACTCTTTGTTCTCACAAATGCCTTCTCCACAGATATTGGAGTCCGAGCACTCATCAACGTCAATACACGGCCAGGAATTATCAGTAAAATCAATTGTCGATTCATAACCTTCCTGGCAAGAGCAATCAGTTATCGAATTACCGATGCCATAGTACGCTTGCTTGCACTTGTAATTTTCTGGTCTGCCAAATCCGCATGGACTTGCTTCACAAAGATCATCAGACGTGCACCGGCAGAAATTTCCCGAGGTTATTTCGCACTCGCAAATATCAGCACAATTCAGATCATCACAGCTCGCAGAAACGCAGACACCATCTTCCATTAGGTAACCTTCATTACAGAAACACTGGTATACTTCTTCTCCGACTGTTGCATCACCGTCAATACAGAAACTGTTTTCTGGACAAAGTGCCGAGCCAAAAGAACATTCATCAATATTCACGCATGAGTGCGTCATTTGACCGGCTTCAAAGATTATTCGATCTTCAGTGCCCTCCCGGCAAGAGCAGTGAGTTCCAAAATGAGCTCCGCCATTTATATCAAATGAGAAAATATTCGAGCATTTGCCGAAATCGCAAATTGGGGCTTCTCCAGAAGCCTCGCCCGATCCAGACCCTTCTCCCGATCCTTCACCAGATCCTTCTAATTGACAGAAATCTTCATCAACGCACATGCAATCGTCGCTGTTGATCACATTATCGCCTTCGTAGAAACAAGCGCAAGAATTTTCACAATCGAGATTCTCACACGACATTCTCTCACAAACATCGTTTTTCATGAAGAATCCTGGGAGACATACACATTCATATTTTTCACCATCTTGTTCCGGACTTCTATCGATACAATCAGATGTTTCCAAGTCACATGGAATTTCCGTCTCGCATTCGTTGATATTTTCGCATTCAAATTGAACTTCTGAGCCAACGAATCGCATTTGCTCACTTGTTCCATCTGGACAGGAGCAATATGAGCCGAAGTTTACATCAGTTTCATTGGCGACAAATATATTGAAACAAGTTTCGATCGAGCATCCGAAATCGGCATCTGATCCATCAAATCTATTTGCACATCCGTCTTCCCAGTGGCACTTACAGTAAGTGTCATCAACAATGTCTCCTTTGAAACAGGCGCACGAACTCGGGCAGTTCAAATTCTCGCATGTTGCTTGCTCACAAGAATAAGATGACTTATTGAAAAAGAAGCCTTCTTCGCAAGTACAGGTGAACTTGGATTCATCAATTGATGGATCCAGATCAAGACAATTTGCGTCGATAGGGCAAGTGTATGAACCAACGGCACATTCATCGATATTGACGCACGACATTCGGACTGGATTCTGAGTGAAATCAAATTGCTGCTCAGTTCCATCGATGCAGTCACAGACGGGAAATGAACCGGCGTCAGTCAACATCTGTGAGCATGATTGACCAGCAGCACATGAGCTGCCATCGCAGAAGTCGACTTCTTCGCATCTACAATCGGTGTGATCGACGGCAGTTTCTCCATTTTCAAGACTTGCTCTGCAGGAGCACGAGACATCACAGTTCAAATTCTCACAAGTTGCAAGTAGACACGAATTAGACGACTCATCGAATATGAAACCCTCCTCACAAAGACATGTGAATTTTGGCTCATCACTTGAGGGAACAAGATCGATACACGTTGCAGTAGATGGGCAAGTGTCAGTTCCAAGGGCACATTCATCAATATTGAGGCACAGTAGTTCAACTGGATTCTTGGTGAAGTCAAGATGCTTTTCAGTTCCATCAATACAATTACAGACTGGGAATGATCCTGCAAAAGTGAATATCTGTGAACATTCTTGAGAATCGTTACAGCTATGGTTTTCGCAATGATTTTCTGCCTCGCATTTGCATTGTGAATGATCGACCGCGCTTTCTCCGTTCTGAAGGCCTAATTTGCAAGAACAAGAAGAGTTGCAATTAAGAGCATCACAGGAGGCGAAATCGATGCACGATGCTTCATCCAAGGCGAGGAACTGGGTTTCGGAGCAGACGAGAGGTGTCGTTGTCGTAGACGTTGTAGTTGTCGTAGTTGTCGTCGAAGTTGTCGTCGTTGGCGTTGTCGTACTTGTAGTTGTGGTTGTAGTTGTCGAAGTTGTTGTTGTCGTCGTCGTCGTGCTTGTAGTTGTGGATGTTGTTGTAGTTGATGTTGTCGTAGTAGTCGTAGTTGTTGTACTTGTAGTTGTCGTACTTGTAGTCGTGGTTGTAGTTGTCGAAGTTGTTGTAGTCGTTGTCGTTGTCGTACTTGTTGTTGTCGTCGTCGTCGTGCTTGTAGTTGTGGATGTCGTTGTAGTTGATGTTGTCGATGTAGTCGTAGTTGTTGTACTTGTAGTCGTGGTTGTAGTTGTCGAAGTTGTTGTAGTCGTTGTCGTACTTGTAGTTGTCGTCGTTGTGCTTGTAGTCGTGGTTGTTGTTGTAGTTGTACTTGAAGTAGTTGTTGTGGTTGTTGTGGTTGTCGTCGTGGTTGGCTCAACAGTTTTCTCCACAGAAACTTCAGTTGCAACAGCGACTGGTGCTATCGCATTGATAGAACCGTCATTGATTTTTTCATTAACAATTGTTTCGACGCCTGAGCCAATATTCTCACCAAGTTCGTTTCTTGCGTTTTCAGATTTTCGTCCCTCGAAACTGAACTCTACTTCAAAGTCTAGTCGAAGATAAAGTTCTGCCGATCTTGATTCGCCAGCGATCCTGGGATAGCTAGATGTGGAGCAGTCTTGATTTGTGACATGACCACCATGTTGATCAGCAGTACTTGCGATTTCGTCTTCAAACGTCTGTTGGACCTCATCACATGTTTCCCAAGGTGTTTTGAAAAGAGATCCGTCCAACGAATCGTCGTATGATTCGTCCATTGACACACTAAATCTAGCCAATACAATGGTTGTTTCAATAACTTCTCCACATGTGTCCCCGAGATCATCTTCACCAAGTGGGCATTTACAGACTGATTGATGACTCCTTTCAAGAGAGTCAAGAATATCTCCTTCAAAATAGTTTACGCAGACTTTATCTCCCGAGCAAGAGAAATCACAAGTCGCATTTATTCTAGCGAAGCACTGAGAAAGGTCAATTTCAACTTCATAGGACTCGCCAGAACCCTCACCAGATCCTGAACCTTCGCCAGAGCTTTCGATGAATGAACCTTGGCAAATAATTTCTGTATCTGAGAACCCCTGGCTAACGAGATCGTCATAGACGGGAACATCGCAAAATCCATCCTCTGTTGGAATGAAGCCGTAATCACAAGTACAATCAGTAGGAGAGCATCTGAGAGGAGTCGTTGTTGTTGTCGTTGTAGTGGTTGTCGTAGTTGTAGTTGTTGTTGTCGTCATAGTCGTTGTCGTTGTTGTAGTTGTTGTGGCTGATGTGGTCGTAGTTGTTGTTGTTGTTGTTGTGGTCGTAGTGCTTGTGGTTGTCGTTGTCGTGGATGTTGTTGTCGTTGTCGTTGTTGTGGTCGTTGTGCTTGTGGTTGTAGTTGTAGACGTTGTTGTAGTTGTAGACGTTGTTGTAGTTGTAGGCGTTGTTGTCGTGGTAGTGGTTGTTGTAGTTGTAGGCGTTGTTGTCGTGGTAGTGGTTGTTGTAGTAGATGATGTGGTAGATGTTGTTGAAGTTGTTGTGCTTGATGTCTTAGTAGAAGTAGTTGATGTCGTCGTTATGGTGGAACACGTGTACCCAAGCTCACCAACAACCTGACTAGAATTACGATTGATACAGATTTGCTCTTCTTTACAATTATGAACTCCTTTTTCGCATTCATTCAATTCAACGCATGATTGATCAAATATAAAAGTCGACAGGTTGAATTCCATCTTCATTTCTTGACCAGAAGGACATGCGCAATTTTCTCTGCTTCCAGTATCCGAGAAAAAATGTCTTGGGACCATGCCACTAGGACAGCTCGTTTTTGATACGAGATCTGTATTGCACCGGCATTTATTTGTCAAGAACAAAACACTGCCATCTTCGCTGTTACCCAGGAGACACTCGCAAGCGCTGAATGTCTCGACGTTACTTGTGGCATCACCGGAACAATTAAGAATTTCGCAGTGCTCTGTTGGTAGAGTTAAGTCCTTTGAAGTCGTTGTCGTAGATGTGGTTGTAGAGGTCGTTGTTGTGGAAGTTGTTGTTGTGCTAGTCGTACTGGTAGTCGTTGTAGATGTTGTGGTTGTGGTTGTGGTTGATGTTGTAGTGGTAGATGTTGTTGTCGTGCTTGTTGTTGTGGATGACTTAGTGGTTGACGTTGTAGTTGTTGTCGATTTCTTAGTGGAGGTTGTACTCGTTGTCGTGATTTCTTCAGTTGTCAGTTCTTTTGTAGTTGTGCTTGTTGTTGTGGTTGTGGTTGTCGTTATTTTGTTACACGCAAACCAATTCATGGGGTCCCGTTCATAACCGTTCGAGCACTCACAGTCGTATCCGATTCCCATCAGTGAAGTTCCACTGTCAACATTTACGCATTCCGAATTCGGCCCGCACTTATTGTCATCTGCTTTTTTGCACTCGTTCATCTCCCCACAAGTGGTGACTATAGAAAATGTGACGAGGCTGAAAGACGTCGTTGGAGTCATTCCATCAGTGCAGGTACACACGGACTTGACTCGTCCGAAGCTGTCATGATGGTATCTTTTGACAAGAGGAGCAGTACAGTCTTGAACTAGGGACTCGAAGGACTCATCGAGGCATTCGCAAATGTGATTGTTGATTTTCCATCCTTCTTGTTCATTCGTAGTTGAGAGACAAGAACATTCGCCAGCGCAATTGAGAATTCCGCAGTGATCAGCATCTGGTGAGTCTTCCGTCACTTTGGGCTCAGTTGTTGTCAGCGCAGAGTTGCAGCGGAAACCGCCCTCGGCAGGAGACAGATTAATGCATTCTTGGTCTTCCTTGCAGTTGTGAACTTTGAATTCGCATTCATTGTAGGCTTTGCAAGTCGAGACCATCTTAAACGTCTTCCAATCGAAAGCACTGTCTCTTTTGTACCCACGCGGACAGTCGCAGCGATTTCTGATCCGACCATTCGCGTAAATTGTCTGACAGACAAGAGGATCAGTGCACTTCTTCGGATTGGACTCGCATCCGAAATCTGAGCACTGGCAGCTGGTGTAATCAATCCGCCCGACGTCGAACTTATCCTTCATGACGTCACAGGCACACTCGAGACCGTGTGAGCCGCAATCAAGAGCTTCGCAGTCACGCTTGCCTCCACCGCTTCTCATCCAGTTCGGCCGGTTGTTTCTTTCTCCCAGAAGGCTCGACTCTGGAGCGCACCGGAAAAGTCCTTCCGAAGAGGGAAGATCGATGCATTCTTCGTCAAGACCGCAGTCGTCCAGCTCTTCCTCGCATTCGTTGATTTCTTCGCAGTGAGTTTTGAATTGAAAACTCCACGCACTATAATAATTTTGAAATCAAGTTTTGCAAAGATTAGTTTTCTCAAAGGGAAAGGAATTAAATAATGATGAAAAAAGGAAATTACCTGAATCGTGAAACCGGTTTCGTTCCAGCCGGACAATGGCAGATTTGTCTGACTGTTTCGCTTTTATCAAACGTTCCAACGCATTCTAGCGGCGAGTCGCAGCTTTCTTCACAAGTTTGATCCGTACACTGGCACTGGTCGAAGTTGATTTTTCCAGCGTCGTTCTCTTTCTCTAGAAGACAGCTGCATCCCGCCGCGCAACCGAGTCGGTGGCAATAGTCGACTGAACTGCCAGCTATGTGACCGACCGTCAGCAACAAAAATGCTAGTTTCATTTTTCGTCACTGCCGCTTGTGCCTTCATTTTCATCCTCATTTTATAGCGGCAAGAGTTATCGAAACCCAAAAATCTGACAGCTACAAAAGCGCGATTTGACAAACAAGCCCGGCTCAGAGATTTCCATAAGCCGAAAATTTACCGGGCTCTCCACGTTTTTATGGACACAATTTCACGTCAATGGAAGCCGCTAGAAGGTCGAGCCAAAAAGTCTGACAGTCACATGATAAGAAACAAGGCTCCAAGCCCGCTTTTGAAGATTTTTTTCTTTTTCTTGTTTGCGAACAATTCCCTCCCTTTTGTCCCGTTCGCTCAGATTCAAAGTAAAATTAAACACTTGATTTACCGCCAAGTTTCGAACTCTTTTGAAATCAGATATTTGATAGATTCGAAAGAAACAATTTGCGGCGAGAGGATAGGTCATAAAATGTTGCGGATGTGCTCTGGTGAGCGTTTTTAATGAACCTGACCGCGGTTCGTCATACGTTTAAGGCTCGTAATCACCCCTTTAGAGAATCAGGAGACGTAATAGTCCGTTTGAAATCGGAAAAGGGAGATATTTTATCGAAATGAGAGAGAATTGAGAAAGGAAGAATAGAGGATGAGCAGCAATCTTCATCTGCAAGGTTTAGACTTTTATTTTATCGAAATTTAGTCATTCAGAAATTTTAAAGATATTTTGAATTCGAGGATAACCAAGAAGAGAACCATAAACGATTTTCCATCTTTTTACTTTTGAGTTTTTTCTTGAATTATTTCTGTGGTTAAATTTTATCAATCAAAAGAATCAAAAGTGCCAATTTTCGGAAAATTTTCGTACAAAAAATCTTCTTTCAGTCAGTTTACGACGAGCATCGGCATCTGGCGACCTTTCCGAGGTCATTAGACTTGTCGAGTCGGAGAAAGCGGAAATAAATGGACGTGGAAAAACTGGCTGGTCGGCTCTCCACAAAGCTGCGGAACACGGACAAGCGAAAGTCATTAGATATTTGTGCCGAAAAGGAGCGGAGGTGAACTGTTCTGGAGGCCTGTTCGATGGAACGCCTTTGCATCATGCTGTTTATTGGGGACAAGTCAGAGCCGTGCAGCAGTTGTTAAAGTCTGGCGCTGATCCGAGCATCGAAAACTCAAATGGAGATACGTCGCTCACGATCGCAAGGGATAGAAATTATGAGACGATAATCATGCTCATGGAAAATCATGACCCGAGTTTGATAAAGTAAGTTTTCTCTCCTTTCTTTGACTTTTTAGCTTCTAATGCTCATAACATCAAAAATATTTATTGCGCATCGCGACTCGTAAACTCAAATTTGCGATTTGATATGTTTAATACATCAAAATTGATTTATTTTGTCAAGAGAAGCGACGCTATCGATAAATAACGATGTAAAAAGAGGAAAGAATGGTTTTAATAATTAGAAAAACTTTCGAAAAACTTGAAAAGTCAAAAATATGGGGCTTCATAAAGTAAGTTTAAAGCTGTTGAAAGTGTTTCTTATTCAAGATCATCAATTTTTGGCTGAGCTTGAATGATATTCCGGGACACAAAAAGCATAAAAACAAAGCTCATAATGCGCGGATCAGCTACAATCAAACTTTTCTCTCACGAAAAAGTTTCAGATCTCCAAAAGAAAAAGAGAACATTCCAGCTTTCTTTCCACCTGCAGAAGAAAAAGTCTCGAAAGAAGAAGTTTCGAAAGCTGACACAGAAAAAGAGCTCTCCGAGAAACATGAAGAGAAAATAGAGAAAGAAGCTGAAATTCCGATGCGATCTCCGGGAACAGAATCAGAATTCGACCTGGATAACTCGTTTGCTGAGACTCAAGAAAGCGAAAATGCGCCCAGAAAGAGACCATCGATGCAAATTGTGAGAAAACCGTCGAATGATCCGGAAGAGAGCAAACCAACAGTAGCATTCAAAATCCCACTCCCGCGCCAAGAAGTTCCTGTCCAACCATTCTTCCATCTCAAAAGAAAAAGGAAGAACTAAAAGTTCCAAACCACCGATCCTCAGTTTCGGTTCTTCAACAAGCAAATTATTACGACACGAAGCTTCAAGGTAAATTAAGCCCTTTAAAAACTCGTTCTTATTTATACCAAGGCGTTATCCCGGCAAAAGTAAGCGAGGTGCGAGCTACCCCCGATGCTCTACTTGAGAAGAATCACGTGTCGAATTTGATCTTTCAATTTTCGCAAAAGAAAGAGGCGCCAAGTCAAAGAAGAAGCGTGAGCTCGATTGAAAGAAATTCCAACTCTGACGCGTCAGAAGTCTCAAGTAAAATTCCAGAGGAGAGAAAGGTAAGCCGCTCTTCAGATTCTTTTCATAACCAAACTTCAAGACCGAAATGAGCGAGAGAAAAGAGGAAGATGGGGAAATGACGATGATTTCGCCGACTGAGGAGGCTCTAGAAGATTTACTTTCGATTATTCCGCAGTTGCATAGTGGAACTGGGGAATTAAGGTAAAAGTCCTGAATTAAAAACCATAAAATAAACTATTCTTTAGTCGAATATAATGTTTTAATTATTATTTTCGAGGATTTTCTTCTCGAAAAATTAGGACACAAATAAAGTCTCGCCTTTCGTTACGTATTTTGTCGAATAAAAAACTCCTTTAGAAACTTGAAATTTTCTGAAGACTTCCGGCCAAAATGGGATTATGTCGCTGAAATTTTCGTCGATCTCATGGACCTTCACGATGATCCGTCTATCCCGGTCATCATCGACACAATAAACGAGTAAATCAACCCCTCCTCAAGCCTATTTTCAACCTTTTTTAAGTCTACGAGGAGGAGATTCTATTGGAACTTTACTGCAAGACATTACCAGTGCAGTTGCGCGCATCCAAGGTTAGCATGTAACTTTGGAAGGGAATGAAAAACTAACTGTAGAGATTTTTATGCGAGAAATTTTTGACATCGGAAAATTTCACCAACTCACATTTAACCTTTTAGACCACCGCCAGGCGAATTATCGCTCCCGTCCGAGGGCGCAAGTAATGTTTCATACTGTATAAAGAATAAAATATCTATCTGAATCTGTGATTTTATTTTTACAGGATTGGTTGATAAGCAGGCAAATTGATGATTATTTTGAAGAATCGCAGGTTTCTAGAGCTCATCTTTTTCGTCATCATCATCATCATCATCGTCGTCGGCATCGGCATCATCTTCATCTTCCGCGGAATCTTTAAATTTGAAATTTTGCCTTCTTAGAAATTCAAAATCGCTTACCATCATCGTCGTCATCATCATCGTTGTCATCTTCATCGTCGTCGTCATCGTCATCATCTTCATCATAATAATTCAGATCGAAATCTTTGTCATCATTTTCCGTCGAGATTCGACCCTCGAGAACATCAACGATCCACTTATCCAGCTCTTCTACAGTTGGGCATCGTGTATTTCGCATCTCCATCTTGCAAAAAATTTTCAAAAAATGCAGGCCAAAATGAACATTTACCCAGACAGAATCAGCATCTGTAACATTGACGATTCCAATCTGTGGCTCCTTGAGGTCGATTCCAAAAGTTCGCTCCCAGTACTCATGCATCTAAATACAGTCTTATAGCTGAATAGGAAGACTATCTTACCAGTGGGAATTCATCAGGGTCGATCCAGACGATTGAAAGCTCCTCATTGTCGGTATGAATTTGAGCAGCTGCCTTGAGGTTTTGAGAGAATTCGTAGCCTTCTGGATCTTCGTCATCGGAGAAAGCGACGATGTGGATACCGTTGATTTCGTCTTCCCAGACTTCGTACATGTTCAGCCTGAAATGATGGCGAAGCTCTTCATAATTCGACTTACTTGGTGAGTTGTCGGAGAGTTGCTCGTTTGTGTCGAGCGATAAAAGCTTCCAAATCGATGTTGTCATGTGGTGGCTCTCCTTCCATAGGAATGCCTTTGTTCATAAATGGCTCGTAAAATTGAACTTCGCTGAATAAAAAGCCCTTCAGAAAGTATTTCTCATAAGAAAAATTACCCGACAGTTTTCATTCCCAAACTCTTCGCGAGCTGCTTGTTTGAAACTGTGTAGAAAGAGATGAGAGGGACAAAATCGAGGGCAGCGTCGACGAACTCGTCATAGGCGACAGATTTCTTTGTGTCAATGTAGCTGACGACTTTTGCGGAGTCATCTCGAAGAAAAGCATCAAGCTCCTTAGAAATATTCATTAAGTATAACTCGGGCAATATGATAGCACTCTGTTCGCAGATGACTGTCTTTCTATGCTAAAATTAACGAATTCATTGAATAATCGAAAATAAAAATCGATATTGTGAAATAAATCTCATCATTACGGTGTTAATTTTTAGAGTTTGGATATTCATGAAAAAAACCTTTTTATTATTAATGTCTTCGACTGGATACTCATCAAGTTCGAGCAAAAACTCGACCAAAACGTCGGCAGATCTCTGGCCATTGAATTCCACTTCATGTCCTCGATGAAAGCACCAGATCGCACCGATCTCAAAGATCTGAAGTTTCTTCGCCAATTTCTTATCTTTCGACAAGTCAACAACTCCAATCCCGACACCTTCGCGTTCAACGATCTGGGCGGATAGTTCAAGCATTCGCTCAGTCAACTGCCAGTTTGTTTCTTCAGCAGAATTGCTTTTTTATAGATTGAGGATTAAACTCGATAGACTTTTGTTGGCCTATTTTTCTTTTCGCTTCATCTTCTAATTCAATAAAAGGTCGTAAAATAAAAATGGGGTTGATAATTAAAATAATTAATTATGGTCAGTCATTTATTTTCTTTCAATCCGTTCCTTGGAGGAGAATAAAAATAAACAACGAGGATTTCATATTTCTTCGTGAATCGGTCGAAATTCTTTTTGCTAAAAACGTATTGGTAAGAAAAAAATGTTCAATTTTTAATTTGGAAAAGGCAAGTATATTTTACCTCAAATTGATAATTCTATCTTTTCCATCATGAACTGGAAACTCAAGTCCTTGTTCAGCCGATATCAAAGCTATCAAACTCGCGAAAATCGCCCAACTTCTCATCGTCCGACAAATTTTCTCTTTGAATAAACGTCAATTGCAAAAAAAAGCTGCTGCTGCTTTGGGCACACAGTGACAGATTTCGCTGAAAAGAGGAGCAGTCAAGTGGCACTTTTTTTTTCTCTCGTTTTAAAATGCGATGACAGTTACTGTTTTTTGGCTTGATTAAATGAGGATGCTCTTTTTTGAAATATTATTTGTGAGTTGTGGTCTGAGTTAGGTCAGGTGTTGGCCCCTGCGGCGGGTGACGAGCGGCGACGTGGGTGATTAGGGAAATGCAGAAATTAACGACAAAAGTGATAAGGCGGCGTGGATATAAATTCTAACCATAATTGTATTGAACCGTTTCGAAACATACATCATTTCCAGAATTTAAGGGTACTACCGTCGATTACCCCAATGACCGGTTATGTTAAATTTTTCATCGGAAATCAATTCCTCAAAAATTTTGACCAAAAAAGGTCCGAACGTTTCATTCATAACGTCAAGCGTTTTCATAATAATAAGAATTCTTTTGGTATTTTAATTGATTTCTGTACTAGAAAGAATTTTTTCCGAAAAAATTTTTGGTGTCCGATTCCTTCAAATAAGGGCTCGTTTTGAAGCTTAGAACAAGATGAGGATTATGGTGAGCTCATAAATTCTTGAACTAAGATACCTAGATATTTTAGCTTCTAGAGACAAAAATGCGTCGCCAAATTTTGAAAAATGCTCAATTTTAGCAAAATCATAGAGACACAATTTTCAAAAAATAAATTTTGGTATTTTTCCTTTTTCAATCAAGAAAACCTTCTGTCATTTTTAAGATGAAGGTTCAATTTACACATAAAAAATAAAATCAGGCAGAGTTTTCAAGCTACTTTTCGAGCTATTTCGCCGTTTATTCAATCTATTTTTGCAACAATGATATTTTTAAGCTAGAAATTAGCCGACTTTTCATTGAGCTATTCAAAAACGCCTCTGACAGATTAAAGATCTAAGATAGTTTAACTTTTAGAGGCCATATGATACCCGCTATCCATGCCACGTTAAGGGTTATTCTAGGCTAAAGTTGGGGAAATCGAAGGTAGTACCCTTAAACATAATTTCTTGGCAGATTTTCTTGGTACATTGTTTCATGGCAGCTTCAGGCACAGAAACTACCTCCTCAAGAAGAGAGGCAGCAAGTACTGACTTGGGAGCATCTTTGGCAGCTTCGAGTGCTTTCTTGAATTTGATAGCAGCGAGTTCGGCCTCATTTTTCTGCAATCCACCGGCGAAATATTGAAATGTATACTTTTTTATAAATTAACCTAAATGGCTCTATTTTTCTCATTTAAAAACACCATCATTCGTGAATCAGATCAATTTCCACCAAAATGCTTAAATTTTTAACCGGTCCGGGACGCTGAATAAACCCAGTCGATGATTCAAGCACCTTCTCAACACTCTTTTTCAAGCAGAAACTGGCAGAGCGCATCGGCCGCGGGCGAAAATTACCTCCTTTAGCCATTATAAAAAAGCTAGTTTCGCTTTTTACTCGGAAAAAGACATAAGAAAACTTTTTTATTAGCAAACAAATCTTTATCGAAAAAGCAAGAGAAAATGTCAGAAGAAACAAAAGTGAAGCTAAATCATAGAAGAACATCAGTAGCTGGGCTTGGTAAGAAGATCAGTAAAACTGAGAAATTTTCATTTTTAACATTCAAGGAATGGCCAGTTTGGGTCTCATAATAACGGGCCTTGGAGTTGTTGAAATCGCGATTTCATCCCTTTTACGATATCTGACAGTAAAGAACGGAATCGCGAGCGTTGTGGCTGGTGGATCCTTAATCTTTGTCGGCGGTCTTGGCATGATTGCTTCCAGGAACGGTTTAAATCTTAATCTTTTTTTTAAGAAAGGCTTTAAGAATATCTATTTGAAAACCGACAAAAGGTCGCGATTACATCTTTACGTTCTCATGTCATGTTTCGCAATTGGCGACATCATCGTCTTGGCTTTGTTATTGACAGACATTGTCGCCGAATTCCAGGAACTTTCCTCGGCATATTCGAGCAGAAATACGTACTGGTCAAACATGGCGACCCAGCTAAATATGACGCTGCCGGAGATAAGCTCCAGCAAACTGAGTCCTTCTGAAGCACTTGGTAAACTAGAGAGACAAAAAATAATAATCACAAACTCCTTTTAGATTCAACAACGCTATCTTCGTTATCGGACAAATGCTACAAAGTGGCAAATGATATCAACAAAGAATACCTTGAAGCCAGGGCTAAAAATGAAACGTTCGAAACTCCAAATCTCGAAAACTGCGATGGCTGGCGATTCTTCGAAACCGCTGGGATCCTCTCTGTCACTCAGGTAGCTGTTTATTCGTGCGCTTCAGTCCTCTTATTTTCAGATAACCCTCGCTGTTTTGGGAATCGTGCTGACTCTCTGAGTGGTCTCCGTTTGCCCAAGTCGCCGTTTGCCCAAGTCGCCGTCTGCCCAAGATCGCCGTTTGCCCAACTTGGGCAGACGGAGACTTGGGCAAACGGCGATCAAATTGAAAATATAATCATAATTCAATTAAGAAATTAATTCAAGGTTTCAGAAGGCGCAAAGGATACGCCATGAAGTGATCAACTTAATCCAAAGTCCAAAAACTGTTGCGGGGAGATTACTCGGGATGATTATAATAGGTGAAAATATTTTTGTGAGATTAATAGACACCTTAATGGCATTTTTTGGTCGCAGGTAATCCGAAAGGACCCAGAATCAACGGCCCTGGTGGTAAAGTTAAATCGCTAGTTTTACGTCCGAGGGCTACAGATTGAGGGAACGATGGATGCGCCGAGTCCTCACAAGCGCTAATCCGAACTTGGTTGAATTGATGGTTTCCCATATTGCTGTTTCTTGTGATTCATTTTCGGTTCGTTCTATTTTTGGAGTTGTTTCTGATTGAAACTGAGGGAAATCAGTCATTGTGAGAATTGAGAAAAAGAGAAAAAGGGGAAAACTGATGAAACTCTTCCCAAACCTTCTCTTAGCGAAGAGGAGTACTCAGGCTTGTTTTACAAACATCAAATGCACAATCTAATCACAACCGAATCCGATCCCGTCTCAGTAAACCGGAGCCTTTTTTCTTCTTGATAAACTCTTACGAGAATAATTTATTAGGACTTTGATTGAGAATTTAGCGACTCTCATAATTAAACCATCAGTTACGAAGGCACTTCGTTATCAATGTAAACGATGTCATAATTCGGAAAGCTCCCTTAGAGTCCACGATACTGTTTTTTTTTCATTTCGTCTCTCTCTGATTATGCTGTGTTATGAGAATTTATTCGAAAATCGGATACAACTATTGAAAAACAATGAAAATTGTGGTGGTCTTGTCAAGGATCGCCGCCCACGGAGTCAGCAGACTCAGTGATGATAATGAAATTGTCGCCTTACTTCTATCATTTTATGATCAATCAATTGAAAAAAAAATCACATCGCCGTTTGCCTAAGATCTCCGTCTGCCCAAGTTGGGCAAACTGCGACTTGGGCAGACGGCGACTTGGGCAAACGGCGACTTGGGCAAACGGAGACCACTCGACTCTCTACGTGATGTTAATTGTGCTCAAAATCAATCCTCTCAAAAAAATGCGAAACATTCCAAAAACCTCCGAAACTCCAACAGAACTGACCGCTAGTAATACTGTCATTGCAAACTCCAACACAGAAGCCGATCAGAAGTAAAACTAGTTTCCTCTTGTACAAAATCAAATAAAAAAATGATATTCTCGACTTGAAAAGACAATTTCTAAAAATATCAATTGAATCGTTTTCGAGAAACAACAACTTCAAATTCTTTGAAGCGTGAAAATTAAGGGTATCGACTCGAAAAAGACTTCTTTTTAATCTGAAAATTCTCATGCTAAAAAGGAAGAGGCGGAAGAAAACGATATTTTGAGTTTTGTAGATTTTTATTGTAAATATTTTAATTTGTGTTTTTTGCAATTTAGTTTATGAACAGGGTTGAACATGATATATTCGGCAGGTGAGAAATAGGTTTGCGTGGAGTCAGTTTTGCTTTTTTTCGAGACTTATCCCTTTGCGGCTATTGAGCTGAAACTTTTGCTGCAGAGGGATAAAAAGGTTTTTTTCAAGACTTAGATGTTTTCGTTTCCTGAGGTCGCGAATTCGTTGTTTCTCCTTTTCGAGAAGGTTTTTACTTCTTGCCGGTCTTCTTTGCTGGCTTCTTCGCGGCTTTTTTGGCTGCTGGCTTCTTCGCCACGGTCTTCTTGACGGTCACCTTCTTGGCTGGCTTTTTGGCGGCAGCCTTCTTGGTTGGAGACTTTTTAGCAGCGGGCTTCTTTGCAGCCTTCTTTGCGACGGGTTTTTTGGCAGCAGGCTTGGCCTTGGGAGCGGCCTTCTTGGCGGCGGGAGCGGGCTTGACTGGAGCAGCGAGCTTGAAAGAACCGGCGAGGCCGACTCCCTTGACCTTGACGAGGGATTTGTCCTCAATGCCTCGCTTGAGAGCCATCTTGAGAGAAGTTTCGTGTCGGGGACCGAGTCCCTTCTGGTTGGCCTGGATCATCTTGGAGATGGCGATGACGGAGAGTCCCTTTCGACCTGGAAATAAACGGTTAATCTTTGCTCATTTCGTTTAGATTAGAATAGGTTAAATTTATTTGGTTTCGAAAGCCGCGAGCGGCTTTCTCAACTGTTTTTTTTCCTTTGTTTCTCTAGCTTACCTTGACCCTTGAGAGTTTCAGCGATCATCTGCTTGTATGGTGGGTGAGATTGGGCGGCTTTCTTGTCTGCGGCTTTGGCAGCTGGCATGGTGGTAGAGTTGGTAAGTTGTCGGTGAAGAAAACTGTAAAATTCAAGTTTTAGCTGAAAAGCTGAAGTGAGCTTGATGCGCAGCGCGCGTGGTTTAAATGTGCTGCGAGGTGACGGGAGGGAGACAACCTCAGCGCTGGGCGATTTCGCTCGCGCGCCCCGTGCTTTGTGTGTTTCTTGCGCTCTTTTACAGGCGATTTCTGACCGTTCTGTTTATCGGATTCTTTTCAAACCTTCAAAGATGCTCATTCAGATATTAATCTTATGAAATAAAGAAGAAATTTCAAAATTGATTGGTATTAAGGATGTCTAAAGAGCATCAAAGTGGACCTAACCATGAAAGCAAAATGAGCAAACCCCACAAAACCCCTAAATAACCTAAGACGCCGATATCATACGAACATCAAACTTCCGCAGATGGAAACTTCATCGTTTTTACACTAGAAAAAGTGAAAATTGCATGGAAATCGGCCCGCTGGGCAGCAGTAGAGAGCGTTGGAAAAGTGGAAGAAACACAATTTCGGGCAGCGTGGAGCGGCATAGGAGGCACGGGCGAGAGCATTCAAAAGGATTGAACTGAAGAAATACCGAAAGAAACTGGATTGGAGCTGAATTAAGACGACTGCAAGGGGATCTCAACGATAATAAGTAATAGGAAATAAAAATATGAAAGTGTGAAAAAGTGAGAATTGAAAAACAAAAGTCATTTTTCATTAATTAGAATACGGACCCGGGCAAACGTTTCTTTCCAAATAAGGATTCACAGACTTTGATTAAGGGCAACAAACAGGGACTGTTAAACTTGTTAATAAGCTCAATATGAATCAATACAGTAATGATATCATCAGTCTTCGAACATCAAAATGTAAATTTACAATTAATTATAGGCTATAATTTATAGCAATGGTTAAAAAAACAACTTCACTCAAATATTTTATGCCAACGGCAGTGATAGAAATGAGAAAATCAAGAAGAAAACCATTTCAAATTTTAGAAAAAAATTTTTTATAAAGAAGTAAGTTTATTCCCGTGAGGATAATCCTAAGTAATAAAGACAAGATAACAAAACATGATCAGATTAAGAGCAAAAATCATCATTTGCAAAATCCTCGGTCAAAAAAGGCTCAGTTCAATAAATGAAAAGAAGAAAACACGATATGAAGCTCTCGACAGCAAATCCAGCTCAGAGCACTAGAATTTCGCCAGCTAAATTCGCTCAATCCGGGCTCGCGCGTGCTATAAATGCTTGATCAAAAACGTGATGGCCCTCACATTTCAAGCAGAATACGTATTTGTCAGATTTTTGGAAAAAAACACAGAGCTTCTAAAAACAAACTAAAAAAATGAGGACAGTTTTTCTTTTGATCGCTCAACCGCATCAAGCTCTTGCCGAGCACGATAATGGCTATTTACGAGAGGTAACGGGGAGCGCAGCAGGTTTAGATGCCGGATATGGACTTTTGGTGTTGGCAAGGGTCGGTTGTGAATTATTGATTGAGTGGTAATTAAATTGATTTTCAATGAGGCCCTTGATGATGTCAAGACTTGATTAGAAAAATATATTTGTAAATAACCGACTACCTATTCCCACAGAAGAAGCTGTGTTTCTATGTTTTACTCTTTTATCAAACTGTCATTACTAGAAAAATCTATATTTTCTGAAATCAGAGCATAGATATGGTTTTCAATCTCATTCAGATCGCGAGACAACAAAATATCGGCTACCATGCTCGACCCGTCCAAGCGAGCTATTCATTGTCATCCTCCTCAAACATCAACAGTTTTCGCCAAGTAAGTGCAAACAGGGAATTTTTTCGGGCGCGTCGATCCAGCACTTATGATTTTACGCCCCACTTATTTTCCAAAAAGATAAACCTAAAGCCTCGTTTTAGAGGTCAGCTGTTGTTCCGCGGAGTGATGATGACTTCGGAGCGTATGATTACTACTATGCTGGTTTACAGGTAGATTTACAGTCGCTGCGGATTCGTAGAACTTCTAGGATGAAACTTCCGATATAGCAATTAAAAAAGTGTCCCGGATCGCTGGACAAGCACGAGACTGGATCGAAAACAACGTCCAAAGCGACTACATAAAGGTCACTGGGGTCACTCTCATAAATCATACTGTAAAAATATGTCTCCAACTGTGCCGTTTCGAAATTGAAAAACGGTGAATCGATGAATCTGAAAACGAGCGTTATAAAAAAGTGACCCCCTGAAGCGCGGAAAATTGGATCGCGCGATCAAAAAGGTTGAAGACAAACTGCTCAAAACGTTGAGCCGCCCCTGTGCAAAAGATGAACTCACTCAGGAGGAAAGTTTGGCGTTGCAGTCTACCTTTTTGAGTGCGAAAAGGTCCACTGCGCCGTTGGATGAGATTTTAAGGTTTACTACGATTTGGCGAAAGGAACGGATTCTCGTTTTCATTGAATGTCTTGATTAAGGGATCACCCCCCGATTTTTCAAAACCTTGGCACGGGTCATTATCCCCTATTATTATATTCCTCGTGTTCTGAGGATCATTTTGATATATGATAGTACCCCTTTACATAAATACATCCCCAAAATTTTGGCGCCCAAAGTTCGGGAAAATGCATGTAAATTGTACTTAGCGTGAAAATTGCAATTTTTTTCGATTTTTCACTGTCATCGAAATAGGACAAATAAGGTGTCTATTGAAAGCTTAGAATGTGTAGATTACGAAAATAATAACCGCACTAGAATTTTCGGCCAATTGTTGGCGCTAGAGAGCATTTAAACACCCAAAAAACGGCAAAAATGGTTTCAAAAAGTTTTAAAACTAGAATTTTTTTATTTACTTATCCGATAATGCTGATTCTACCAGAATATGAAGTTTAGGGTCTGAACTTTCTAGCAAAACAAAAAGATTCTTAATCAAAAAGGCCACAAAAAAGTAGATACACTTTGAAAATGGTCTAAAATGGCCATTTTCGCGAATCTTAATCACTTTGATGGCCTCTAATGCATAAGCAAATTTTGAGCTAGGAAGCTGATTCTACCAAAATATGCTCATTAAAAAACGAGCTTTTAAATGAGCTACTAACCAGCCTCACACGTATGACCAGAAAAAAGTAGATACGGGTCAAAGTTCGGGAAATCGGGGGGGGATCCCTTAATCTTATTGGCTAGATAAAAGAAAAAAATTGTAGCACAATGTTTTTTTCATCACCTGAATCCGATGAAAGATGGCCACAACGTACCTTGTCGACTGTCCAAGAATGGAAAAACTCAAAAACAAAATTTTCAAGTTTCAGAAGCAATTCGTCAATCATTTGGACAAATCCAAAAAAGACTAATGCATAAAATATTTTATCTATGAAAATTTCTACTTGTACTCATTTTCCTTCTTCATTAAAAATCTCCGTCCTTCTAGTCTGTAAACATCGTTTTCTCCATTGAATAAATTTCACATTTTTTCACGGCAAAAGAACTTTATTATAAATAATGTCGAAAGTCAAGAGATTCTTAGTATTTTGAGTGAGTTCGAATCTTGCAAAGAGCAGCTTCAGCAGTTTCCGCTCGCTCCTCGGCTTCGTCCAATTCGTGGTGGAATTTTCGGTAGAGAGCAAGATTCTTGTTAGCATTTTCTTCAGCTTCTTCGGCGGCGCGCTTGTACGACTTGACCTTGAGTTGAAGCTGATCTGCGAGGTCCTGAAGCCGTCCGGATTTTTTCGAGTCCTCTTCAGTCGCGTACTGGAGTTCCTTGAGCTTTCTTTCGGATTTTCTCAGCATCTTCTGAGCATCACAGCCGCGTCGGGTTTCAGCTTCTAGCTCACTTTCCAACTCTCGAATCTTCGCTTCCAACCGCTGCTGTTGCTTCTTGCCGCCCTTGAGCGCTTGTTGTTCAGTATCAGTGAGTCGTTGTTGGAGTTCCTTGACGACTCCTTCAAGAGTTTTTCGAGCCTTTTGGAGATGCATGGATTGATCTTGTTCTTTTCGCAAATCGTCGGCCATTCCACAAGCATCGGTGACAGCTTTTTTGGCTTTTTCAGCGGCATTTTTCGCTTCCTGAAAAACAAGTATACAGAGCTGAAGTAAGGCTTAGATAATCATGATCGTAAAATATGGGAAACTCTTTATCAATAGCGAAAAATTCATACTTATAGTCTGTTACCTGAGTAGCTTCATCAACTTCATCGGTCAACGCCTGAACATCCTTGTCAAACTTTCTCTTTTGATTCATCAGCGCTGCGTTCTGCGTATGCAGCATATTTGCCCGATCCCTTGCCTCATTCAACTCGCCCTCAGCCACCTTTCTCGCTCTTTCAAGCGATTCAAAGTTGCTTCGAAGGTCGCTAATCTCTTCAGCAAGCATCTTGTTTCGTCGGTCGGAGATGGCGAAGTTTTCTCGAATGGACTCGTTGACTCGCTCATATTCGTCGATTCTAGCGTCGTTGTCTTTGATTTCGGCCATGATGTCCTTCACCTGTCGCTGGAATTCGTTCTTTTGGCGGAGAGAATGAGCAAGTTGAACTTCAATATCGGCCATTTCACCTTCGAGCTTCTTTTTCGATTTGATCGCATCAGCACGTGATTTAGTTTCCGCATCAAGAGAGTTTTGAAGAGAATCGGAGCTTCGTTGGCAATTTCGTCTAGACGAGTCGATATCGTCTTCCTTCTCACGAATGCGAATGTCATAGTCATTTTTGAGCTGATTAAGCTCGACTTGGATTCGGAGGATCTTGTTCTCTTCCTGCTCAACGGCCGCTTCGGATTCCTCGTACTGCGCTTGGAGCTGATTAAGTTCAACCTCACTCTCACGTTTCGCACGTTCCAGCTCGGAGATGTGACGCTGGGCCTCGGCGTTTTGGTCTTGGTAGTCGATCAGTTCTTCTTGCGTCTGTTTGACCTCGCGCATGAGAGTTTCAGTATGCTCCAAGGATTCTTCATATGCGTTTCGTACTGAAATTAAACTCAAGTTAAACTTTACGAGCGCACGCTGGTCGTTTTTTCAAAGGTCGCTCTAAAAACCGGAGCGCCACAAGCAATAATCCGTTTTGTCGACTGAGCTAAAAAACTAGTTCACTCACGTGTTTATGGAAATGAACGATTTATCTACAGAATCAGAGAGTCCCTTAGACACAACTACTGATACTGAAATTTTGAATCTGCCGCAGGTAAATTTTGTAAAATATTTTAGTTGTTTTTGAAAAATGTAACTGGATATTAAGGGATCCCCCGTTTTCGCCATTTTCAACGGCGAACTACTTTTTTTTGGGCTAACAATTTTACGCGTGCAATAGGCTATTGCCAATAGCGCAAATGAAAGCTCGTTCATAGCGGCTAATTCTCTAGTACAGAGATAAAAATCCATAGACGCAAACCTACCACACGGGGGCGCTGAAGTTAGTGTATTTTGAAAAAACGCTGTTTTTGGCCATTTTCATCGGCAAACTACTTTTTTTAGGGCTTAGCTAGTATAAATTTGGGACTAGATTTAGAAAGAGTAGAGTTTAATCTAAAAACTCTAGTACAGAGAAGTCATTTCATCAAGTAATAAAAATTTTTTCTTAAGAACAACCAAATGTACCCATTTTTGGCGTTTTTTGGTGTTTTTTTGCTCTCTAGCGCCAACATAAGGCCGATATTTCTAGTGCGGTTATTATTTTCTTATTCAGTCAATTCTAAGCTTTCGATAGACCCCTTATATGTCTTATTTCGATGATATTGAAAAACCGAAAAAAATTCCGATTTTCACGCTAAGTACAATTTACATGCATTTTTGAAATTTTTGAAGGCTAAAATTTTGGGGAAAGATGTTCATAAGGGGGTCATATGATACATCAAAATGATCCTCAGAACACGAGGAATCTAAAAATATCAAAGATAGACCCTTATCAAGTACTTGAAAAAACAGGGGGGGATCCCTTAAGACACCGAAAAAATCGACGCCACATAGAAAACCTTTGCGGCAGCTGAATCTTCACACTGAAAAATGCCAAATATCTTGCTGCGATGCGATGGTCTGCGAGAGAAAATGGCTAGACCTTGTGGTCGAGCTAAAAGAAGTTTTTTATAAGTTACGTTTGATATATTATCCCTTTTCTTAGAAAGCAAAAGCTTTGAAACAAGACCACAAGTCGATCTGTGAAGAACTTGAAAATGAAAAATGGGCGTTCAAAAATCAACTTCACGAAAACAAGCTTTTGAAAGAGAACCACAAAAACGAGATGAAAGCTTGGGCAGAGGAGAAACGAAAACTGTTATCGTCAATAAATTTGAAGGACCAAAAAATCAAGGAGTTGGAAGAGGAGTTAGCCATTGTGAATAACTCAGAGCCAACCAAACAACGGAAGAAATGTAGACTGTCGCAAGATAGTGGCCTTGGCGACGAAAACTGCCACAAATAGCTTTTCCCTTTTTAATTACGATTTAAATTCAAACAATGCAACATTTTGCGCTATTTGCTCAGGAAATTAATAAAGAATCTTACATTTGTACACTTCTGTGCTTCGTTCTCTAGCAGCTTTGTTCGCAGCGTCAACTTCAGATTGCAATTGATTTTGTCTTGCAACGCAGTCTTCTACTTGCTTATCAAAAGTTTTCTGCTTCTTTTCTAACGTGGAAATCTGGTTGTTTGTCTTTTCGAGCGAAACGGTGATCGTCTCAATTTCTCCTTGATATCGAGTCTTTGACTTATCTAGAGATCCGCACTTGGCAGAAATTGACTCAACTTGTTCTTCAACGTCTCCAAGTCTAGTAGACAGCTTCTTTTTTGCATCCTCGAGCTCTTCTGTCTTCTGAATCGCGTCAGTCTCATACTTGCCCTTCCAATGTTGAATTTCTCCTTGCGACTTCGTCAGCTGAGTTTGAAGCTCGACTTTAGCTTCAACTTCATCATCGTATTGTTCTTTTAGCAATTCAGCATCGTGAAGAGCATTTTGATACTGATGGGCGAGCGAGTTCTTGACTTTCTGCTCCTCTTCGAATGTTCGTTTTGTTTCCTCGATTTGCTGATTGACGGAGTTTTGCTGACGCTTCAACTGGCTGTTCATCGCTTCTTTTTCCTCCACAAGTCGCTTCAACTCGTTCAACTCGGCAATGCCCCGCGCTTTGGATGCATTGGCATCGGCGACTTCTCGCTCGGACTTTTCGTATTTTTCTTGGAGGTCGTTGAACTGATCTTCGACGGTTCTCATTTGCTTTTCAAGAAGAACTCGCTGCTTGGTTAGGGTGTCGATGGTGGAGAGAAGATCATCAGCTTCCATTCGCATCTCAGATCGTTCTTTTTCCAACTTGGCCTTGATTCGAGTCAGGTTTTCGATCGTTTCGCCAATTTCCGAAGTATGATCAGCATGTTTTTTTCGAAGAACAACGATTTGCGATTCCTGAGCCAAAGTCAGTTCCTCCATGTCTCTAGCCAACTTCGCCAGCTCGGCGTCTCGCTTCTTCGACTTTTCAATTTGCGAAGTTGTCGCATTCGTCGCAATATCAAGCCGCTCGGCAAATTCTTCAAGCTCTCGGGAAATCTCCATTCGAGCTTTTTCGGATTTCGCCTTGGCAGCTCGCTCGGCTTCTAGCTCTTCTTCTAGTTCTTCGATTCGGGCGAGAAGCTCTTTGATCTTTTTGGAAAGCTGGGCGATGAGGGCTTGCTCATCTTCGCATTTGGTTCGGATTTGGTTGCATTCGAATTCGGCCTTTTTGATCTTTTCTTCAAGACGCTGCTTGTCGTTTTCAAGATCCATGATAGTTTCCTGGTTGAGTCTGTTTCATGATCAAAAATGCTCTAGAATAAAAATTTTTTTATTTTCATTTTGAAAATAGTTTTTTTTTTCAAAATTCTTCTAGATCGTTTACATAATCGTTTTTCAATGTTGTCAAGTCCCGTTTTTGCCCGATTTCATTTTGCTGGAAGACGAAGCTTGGGTCGTCGGGATCTGTGCTGAGAAGCCCTGAGAAAATGATAAGCTGTCTCACAAGTATCTTGAACCCATGCTGCGTCATTCCAAAATCGACGAGAGAATGCATCTTTCTTATCGATAGACAATTAGAGATCGGATTTGTGTTTGAAAGGCGTGCTGAGGTTTTTGGGTAAAAGAACTTTTCTCAAGTCCTCTCTCGTCTTCAAATCACCAGATTCAAAATCGACAAATTCGAAAAAGAGATTCAAAAAAAAAAATAAGAAAAGCAAAGAAGGGTCGCGTATATCTGACCTGAAAGAAATTAAAATCTCTCTGAGCGGAAACACTGCCCTCCTTTGCTTTTTCTTACAATCGCCATTATATTTCTAACTCTAGAATCTCGGAAAATTTTGACCATTTCCTGAGATCTCCCTCCAACTTGCGCTTCTGTCTCTCCAGATCCACCCTGCATTTCTTCTCGTGAGAAAGCGCTGAGTCCAAATCATCAACCAGCTGTTCCATCTTATTTTTCGATTTCGTTAGAGAATGGACCTTGTCTTCTTCAACTTGAAGATCGTCGAGGACCTGCTGGTGCTGCTCCTGAAGCGCTCTTTTTTCCTTGGCCAGCTTGTCCATGTGCTCTTCTGTCGTAGCCAGTGCCTCGCAATTGCTCTTGACTTTGTCTTCCAAAGAGTTCTTCTCCTGCTCCACCCTGGAAAGGGTCGACTCGAGTTCTTCTATGTCTTTTTGCAACTCGCGTTTCTCCCGGTCAAGTTTTGCCTTCTTATTGTTCAGATCTTGGTTGATCTCTTCTTCGTCCTCGAGTCGCTCCTGAAGCTCCTTGATTTGACCATCGAGCTGAATTTTTGATTTAGCCAAGGCTTCGGCTCGATCTTCCGCATCAGCAAGTGCATCTCCCTCGCCACTCAGCATGGCCATGAACTTGTTTTTCTCCTGTGTGAATTTGATGTACGCATCTTCGAGCTTCTTTCTCAGCGCCGTTTCGACTTCAAGCTGTTTCTTGATGTCATCATATTCGGCCTTGAGCTCGTCCATTTCTTTTCTCTTCTCAGCGGAGTTGAGCAAAGGTCGGATCTTGTACATGAGATGCATCCACGGCCAGTCGGCGAGTTGAATGTAGGCTCTCCAATTGGCCTGAATGACCATTGCTCCATCTCTTTCAGCAACCACCCGCTGGTATTTCTCCTTTGCGAGTTTCGCCCGAATAAAAGACTGGAGCTTAGTCAAGATTTGACCAATTTTGTCATCTCTTAGTTCTTCCAAATGACCGATAACACCAGCCTTGAAGAAAAGCTTCGTATGGCCGAATCGATAGAGATCTGGTGAAAGTTCTTCAGCAAGACTTTCAAGAAGCTTCTCACAGGCCTTTTTGTTGTCCATGAATCCCTTCTGAGGAATGACCTTGGCGTTAAGAATGGTATATCGCTGCTTCCATTCAGCATATTCAACTCGCGATGGGAAACCCTTTCGGCAAATTCGGATTCCTTCGAGGACACCGTTACATCGGAGTTGATGAAGGACCAGGTTGTTGTCCATGTATCCGGGCTTCTTCTTCTCGTTCGGGATGATGCAACGGACGAAGTGGGGCTGAGTTGATCGAAGATTGGTCATCAATCGACCGAGGGATTCTCGATGAAGAGCAGAGACAGTTTGGAAGGAGCCACCTTTTTGTCGCTTTCCCTTTTTTCCTCCTCCACCGCCGCCAGAGGCAGCGTCTTCAGGAGAGACATAGGTCGACCAGATCTCGTTCATGACCTTGACCGTCGATTTCTTGTACAGACCGACGACACTGTTATTCAAAGGATCCTTGTTCTTCAAGAGCCAATCAATAACATTATAAGCGACAGTACCGGCGTAGTGATGAATTTCAAAGTGAGACTCAAACTTCGTTTTGGAGCTAGGAGTTGGTTTCCCAAAGCATTTTTTCTTCCCAAGATGAGTCGCCATCAACTTGTCTTTGTAAGTCATATCACTGGCTTTTGGCATCATGCATTCCTCCTCCAATAGCGACATGATTCCGAGTGGCTTTTCGATGAGATCGAGGGTGTCTTGAAGATCCATTCCGAAATCAACAAAAGTCCATTCAATTCCTTCTCGTTTGTATTCTTCCTGTTCAAGGATGAACATATGGTGGTTGAAAAACTGCTGCAGCTTTTCGTTGGTATAATTGATGCAGAGCTGCTCGAAGGTGTTGAAGTCGAAAATTTCGAAACCGGCGATATCGAGGATACCAATGAAGAAATCTCGTGGAAGATCAGTACCTAGCGCCCGGTTGATAATGTCAACAAGCCACTTGAAAATACGCTCGTAGCAGGCTTTTGTAATCGCACCAAGACCGTAGTACACTTGCTCGACAGTCTGTCCCTTGGTGACATATTCGGATCCGACCTTTACTTTAGGGTGGCACATGCCCTTGACCCACTCGGCGCCAGAGACACCGAAAAGGAAGCCGAGCTTTTCGGTGCAATCTGTTCCATCGATTTCAGCCTGTTCTTCTCGTGGCTTCTGCTTGAATTTGGCATTGCCACTGTGCATCAAACCAGCAACTAACTTATAGATAGCGTTTTTCTCCTCAGCAGTAAACCCCAGAATATCGAATGACTCATCAGTAGCGTCAAGTTCGTCGGAATCGTTGATCGACTTGACCGTGATTTCGCCGATGGAGCAATATCTGTAGTCGTAAGGATCGGTAGAAATCATGCACATCTCGTTGATTTCTGGCTTGTGACCAGTGCACATTTGGTAGAAGATATGGAAGCATCGCTCAGTTGGGAGCTGGAAAATGACTCGCGATTTTTCGAGCAAATAAGTATCAATATCTCCAGATGACAACTTGCCACTGCCGCCAAAGTGAATTCGAATGAATTTACCAAATCGAGAGGAGTTGTCATTTCTGATTGTTTTGGCGTTACCAAAAGCTTCCATGGCCGGATTAGCCGCGACAATTTGATCCTCGAGGGTTCCACCTCCTTTCAGTTTGCAATCAGCACCTCCTGCTGCATCATCTTTGCCAATGGCAGCAACAGTTGCAAAGTACTGGATGACTCGCTTGGTGTTGACGGTTTTTCCTGCACCAGACTCACCCAGAGTTTGAAATGCTCGCAAATGCTCGCGAGCGAAAAGAGCGAGAGCGAAAATTTATCGTTGCTCTCAGAGCAGGGGAGCGGGAGCATGAAATGAAGTTGGCTCGAGAGCCAAAAGAGCGCGAGCCCAGACTTGAAACCGCTCGCGAGCGCAGAGAGCACGAGCGCATATGTTGGCAATGCTCGGGAGCTAGACGAGCGGGAGCGGCTGCTCTCGTGCTCGCCATGAAATTGACTCACGAGCGGCTCGCGAGCAAAATTAAAAGAAAAATTTTTCGCATAATTATTCACTTTCATAAATATATTTCTTCTTGGGTCAATTTCTCGTGTTTTCCGTTTTGTGAAAGCTTCATTAGGTACGTTATCTCGGCAGTAGAACGCGTAAAGCCGAGATTAAACAGATAAAACATGCCCACCGCGAGGTGCTAACTCCTGGGAGAGGGACTCATTTGGAATTAGTCACGGGGCCTTCGAATCATTTTAGGCTCTGGAAGGCTGCTCGCGAGTCAATTTTTTTAGCTCGAGAGCCGATCGAGCGAGAGCACAATTCGACCAGTGCTCGGGAGCCAAGAGAGCGAGAGCGCAAAATGAAATGCGCTCGCGAGCGCAAAGAGCGCGAGCGCAGAAATCAATATGCTCGGGAGCGCAAAGAGCATCATGCTCGTGCTCGCTCGCTCTCAAGTGAGCCGCTCGCGAGTCACGAAAATTTCAAACTCTGGACTCACCAGTGATCAGCATGGACTGGTTTTCGCGGTTTCGAAGCATATCGTTGTACGCTGAAAAAAACAATCGCTTCAAGATTTCCGGAAAAAAGGAACGCTGATTAAAAAATGCTGTGTCTACCAGACAGCCTTACCATTGTCGGAAACCGAGAAAATATGCGGCGGCATTTCAGTCTTCCGCTTGTTCGCGTAGCATCCTACAACATGTGAATCATAGACGGGGAGCCACTTGTACGGATTGACGGTAACACAGAAGAGACCTAAATATTAAATCTATTTGAATCTTTTTGTTACGGTTCCTGCATTCTGAACGATGAGAATTTGTTCCAGGTTACCTGAATAAGTGTAGATCAGAAATCGTTCGTATCGGCTATGAAGATTATGGATGACAGTAGCTTCGGACAGATTCGTCATGTTAGCCATGTCTTCAAGGAGTTCGTATTTGGGAGGATTTTGCTGCTCAACTTGCTCAGGCTTGTAGAGTTTGACCTTGTCGTCAGCGCGCTTGACCTCGATCTTGCCATCCTTTTCGCCGAGTTTCTCGCCCTTTATGTAGCCGATTTCCTTGTCAGGAACCCAACAGGCAGTTTTGGCCGAATACGGAGCATTACGGATGTCCAGGAGGGTCATCTCGTCCAGACGAAGGAAGATTGCTGCATTTCCAGCGGCTTCTAAATTTTGCTTGAGCAACAGCTCCTTGGGAATAAAAACGGTATCTAGGCTTGTTCCTAAGAACGATTTAAATCCATTCGGCATTTCAAGATGAAGGGTAAATATTCAAAACTCAAAAATATAATCAAACAATTACAAACCTGGATCCCACATCGCCATCTTGACAAAAATTTATCAAAACTCTGTGTGACTGAAGAGTTCATCCCCATCCCCTCAGTATTTATCCTAGCGTGCCGCTTACAGTTTCCCTGTCAGTTCCGAAAATGAGCAACTGCATTTTGATTTTCCTTCCATCCTGTAGGAAACAATAAACTAGCTTTTGAAAGATCTGTGAGATGACTTTTGCCGGGTCTGGAGATACTGTGTTTAATCGGTTAAAAATAAAGTTGCTTCGGTTAATAAATAATTAAAATAAAAAATGAAACTTGTCGCATAAAATGTTTCCTTCGATAAAAACCCGTATAACTTGGCATATATTTAATGCGCAGCAGACGAAAAAAATAAAATAAATTATTCAATATCATGATGAAATCGTTAGACTCTGCGATATAATTCTGACAATTATCTGCCACGTAGAAAAATAAAACAGAGAAAAAAATTGACAAAAAAAAAGATTCATGGAAAATGAGCTGAGCTGTTGGAGATTTGCTCCGGAAAAGTTCTATCTAAGCCGAAAAACTTGTTATTTTCAGAATTACTAAAGAAGAACTTGAAAAGATAATTATCGCCGTCATAACTTTTCTGATCATTAGCACATGTTTCTTCATTGAAGGCACTCAATACGACCTGTATGTTCACGGAAAGCTTTTCAATAAAAGCTCGACGTTAATTGCTTTAGCCCAGGATTTAAACATTGACGACTGTTTTTTGTCTTTGAGCAAGTTTGTAGAAAAATCCAATTAAGAACACTTCTACAAATTCTGAAACGCCCGGCTCTGCTAACCGCAATGACTGGGAGACGTTAACGCAGGTAAATTTTTAACCGAATTTAGAAACGTTATCTGATCGCGAAGTCAGAATATTCTGGTTTGCTTCGCTAAAAGATCTATCAATAAAGTATGCATACATTAATTAATAATTGTTGACGTGCTCAAACTTTAACATGCATGTATTTTTATGTCTGATGTAAGTTATTTGTTCTGACTTTAAAATTCTAATACTGTATAAATAATACTGTATAATAATAATTTATACTGTATTTCTTAAGAAAAAGGATAATGTCTTCAAGGATCAAAATTAAACCGCACATGTACTCAGTTATAACATCAATTCATTCCTCGAACTGTTTAATAGCAAATGACCGGCAAGAAAGCGATTAAGTCCCGAGGTTTTTAAAAATTTATCAGAACGTATGGTATAAAGATGCTCACCCTTTCCCTCAAGTCAATTAGCACTACCCTTCGATTGACAAGAAACATTGACACGCGCCCTAAAAATGAAACTAGAGCTAATTTTTTTCTTTGTTACAGGAAATGCCTTCACGGTTTGATTAAATCTTTCATAATAGAAATCTAAGAATATCTTTTTTAAAGATCACTGCCGAAAGAAAACGAGGTCCGTCGTGGCTCAATAGAGCAATCGTCTCTCTCGCTGATGGAATTTCGAAGAATAATCTTGAAGGAGACAACAACGACTGTAAATCGATAGAATGCTTCGAAGCACAACTGCTTGCAAATATGTAAACATGTTTCAAAAAAACAACTGCTACTGCATCTTTTTCTAATAAAAACTTGTCAAAAGAACGGCTAAACTTGCTAGACACGGTATTACTCAAGAAAATAAATCAGAAAAATAGTGCTTGAAAAAAACATCGCGTCCCTTGCAGATGAAAAACCTGCCCAAGAAAGAAAACGGAGAATGCAAAATGATAGAGTGCTTTGAGGCTCATTTGCTTGCGAATATGTAAAAGTTAAAAGAAATGAAAATAAAGAATTACTCAGAAAGAATTCTTTTTCAATGTACAACTTTTAGTGAAGAAATAATTTTTATTGTTGAGCAGGAAGGGATAAAAGAAGAGGCAGTAAGAGGATTAAATGCATCACAATTTTGACAGCTGCTGATGATTATTTTTGGAGAGAAAAGAAGCTTTGCACCAGGTTTTTATTCCCTAACACGGAGTCGGTAGCCTGAAGAAGGTTGAAAGCGCATTTGCTTTATTGTTTCCTTATTTTTTCCAACCCTTTCCTTTGAAGAAAGATTTGTCCAAATGATGAGCGGCGGATTGTCGCTCCTGCTCAGTCTTGAAGAAAAGTAGCGCAGTTCTTCGCCCGCGTCGCATCACAATTTCAAAGTGCACCACATCGCCAGCGAAGACGAAGAAGTTCAGCGTTTCTGAATCACTAAAACCCAATTTTAACGAAAAGAAAACAACTCGCTAGAACTCACGTAGCGTCGTCAGGAAGATTTTCTATGTTCAAAAAGAAGGGAGTCTCTTCTTTCCCTTTTTTCATAGGTTTTTCGGCTTTCTTGTCTTGATTTTCTTTACTGGAATTAAACAGTAAGATTCGTGAACGGAATTCATGCAGGGCTTTAACCATTCAAGCGCTCATTTCAGGCTCATTTCACCGAAACATTTCCATGCAAAAAATATCGTGCCAGATTTTTCCAGAGCGAATAGTAAGACAGAAAGAAATACTTCGTTGTCGGGGGTGAAGCTTTGCGTTTTTGTGGTCTTGAGGTGTTCGTTTTTCTATTGCTTCTTTCTTGTTTCGGAGAGGTCTTCGGTTCAGAAAGATATTCCATCGCTTTGATGACATTCACGGAGAGGCATTCTTCAAGGTTGAGAATTGATCCTTTGAGAGAGGTTCGATTCAGATACTGAATCGCATCGTCGCGCGATTTTCCGCAGTCGAATTTGATTATTCCTTGATTTAGGTAAGCAAAAGAAGACAGCTTAGGTTCCTACCCATTCCATAATCAATTAGGACGTCAGTAACATGTCCAATCTGCTCGAAGTAATCTCCTGTTCTTTGGTTACAGGTAAAGATCTTTTTTGCTAAGTTCTGATAAATCCAGCAGTCAAAGTAAAAGATCTTATTTAGAAGAAACCGAAAATATGGGCAGTAAATATTCACCTTGATGATAATAAGCGAACGGAAGGCTCAAACTAAGAAAACATCGGGAGTTTTTTCAAAAAACCGCAAAACACGCTTCATATAAGTTTCAGAGAGACTTTCTCTGAAGAACTAATTATTAGTATTACTGAAATCATTGAATAACCTTGCATTTTTGATGAAACCATTCCTAGTTCTGTAGTAGATATGTCGTTGGTGACTCCTCCTACATACATCCAGCAGGAAATATCTATCATATTCCTTCTAAAAATAAAGTCCACGATAATTGAAGAATCTCAATTACTAAATGTCCATATTAGGAAGCAAAAAGGGCAGAATCAGTTTTGAACTCGATCAGACACAAACAGTAATCAACTATTAATAACGAAAGAAGATTGAAGTGTTATTCTGAAACGACGCCAACCCAGCATGGTCTGAGCACTTGATCTTTAATATTGTAGCCGGTCTTTTGGACGAAAGCGATTGTGTTTGGCTCGTTGTCCGGCATTTGCGCTCGAGGAACCCGCATGACGGCTTCGTGGAGATTAGCGTCGAATTCAGCGCCAATTTCCGGGTTGACTAAAAACCGCCATAAAAAAATTAACAACCAGCTCAACAAGTACCTAAGATAATTTGATTCTTCTCAAAAGCCTTGCTTATTTGCTGTTGAGTCATTTCAATACCCTCCTTAAGATCGTTCAGAGCTTTATTTTCTTCGAGCTCAGCAGCTGGTACATTCTCTAGGGCGAGTTGGAGCTGATCTGCGACTGGTAAGAGGTCTTTGGCGAAGCTTTTGATTCCATAGACCTAAATATATAATTGTTTGTTGAGAGCACTGAGTGGAAAATTGATGCGCGTTATGAATTTGCGACGATTATATACTGATCCACCACAAAATATTCATATAATGATGATTAAATAATATTGAAAATTTAGGATATCAATTTTGAAAAATGATGTCTTTATTCATGAAAAAGATAGAACAGTATAAATCATGGGGAAAACAAAGATGTTTTCAGTTAGATTCGACGTGAAGCTGATACATGCGCTGCTGTCGCTCGAGCGATCTGTACTTGTCCATCAGTTGCTCATTAATTCTCTTCCGCTCATTCAGCTTTGGCACCATCGTCTTGTACTGCAAGTGAAAGTAGCCCGCGTCGATGGCAGTTCGCCGAATACTCCCCGACAGGTTCTTCAAGTTGTCTACTTGTTCGTGCTGCATCTTGCCAAGTGACGTCCTGAAGTACTGGTTCGTTTCGAGAACGGAAACAAGCTCGGTCTCGATCTTAGCGCGTTTCTTGTGCGACTCTTGGAGCTTTTCTCGGGCGGCTTTGATTTCCAACTGAAGGGATTCTAACTGCGTGTCGAAGTATTCTTCGTTTTTGGCGGCAAAGGACTTTTTAGACGCACAAGCTCCCATTTTTGGAGTTTTTCGTTGTTTGAAAGTTGAAATTGAAGCTTTCAAGTTTGATTTGATGCTATTTTCTCTTTAGACCTCAGTTTTATACAGTAAGAAAGCAGATGTTCAAGCGCTAATGAGCGGAAGCACTCTTTTCACGCAGATGTATTTCAAAGAAAACTAATCACGAGATACACAATTTGAAATCGAGATCGCTATCAACGAACTTCCGGGATCTATCATATCCAGCTGCGATCTAAGAAGACAACTTACTTTCGCTTTTTCAGCTTCCCTGTCCAATCTGGTCTTTTGGCTCTTCATTTCTTGGGCGATCTCGGAAAGTCTGTATTTGAAGTCTTTTTCTTCTTTTTCGCGAGCCGCTTTGGCTTCGGACAATTGGGATTCAAGGGAGTTGATTTGCTCGATAGCTTCTTCCAGAGTAATATTTAGCTTAAATGGTAATAACGAGGGGCTTTTTAAGGACTTCTTGTTCGTTAAATTGTAGTGGTCAAAGCAAGTTGAAAGCTGGTTCTAGTTATTTCCGATAAAAAATAGCTATAGCTACGCATATGCGTTTCTCTATGAGAAACGAACCTGCTCAGTTTCACCCTCAGTTTGTTCCTTCTTCTCGGCCTTCTTCTCTTCTTCATCCTTTTTCCCGAAGAAACTGCGTCTGCTGATCACAACTGTACTCGTAGCAGGCATGTTAAACTGTGTGGCTCGGACGAAATTTGCTCTTCTGAGAGAAAAAGCTCCGAATCGCATCGCTCGAAAAGTCATTTTGCTCCTTTCTGAAAATTCAAGCAAGAACAAGAGCTGGATAAATAAAATGCTATTCGCACCGACGATTTGGTAATAAGTTAGAAATCATACTGTATGTCATTTTACAGTTGTGAAAGAAAAGGAACAGAAGTAGCAGTTGTCTCTTTTTATTTATAGAAGACGAAGCCAGAGATAGAATTGGTTCCATAGGTAAGATGCTTGAGAATTGTGCAGCAGCCGAGATCTTCAACTCTTGAAAAAAGGATAATTAGGGAAGATTATTCCCTTTGGAACTTACTCAAAGTCGTCGAGATCGGCAAAACGAGCGTCAGATTCGATGATCAAACCGGACTCGATTTCTGACCCAAAGATGGCTTTTCCAGTGGTTGGATCGATAGCATCTGCCCAGAATCCTTGAGCAACGACCTCCAAGGCGACTTGAGTCAGATCAGTCTTGAGTTTTTCGACGATGATTTTTCGCTCGACTTCCATTTCGTTTGACCACTTTCCCATGTCGTTCCTTTTGAAAAAGAATATTCAGATCAGCTTCATAAAATGGGTGTAGGGCGGCTACATTCGAAATTTCGAACGCCGTTTAAAAAATTTCTGAAATTGCTTATAAAAATGACTCATTTTTGAGCTCAGAGCTTATATGCGCTCCGCGCCTGATTTGTAAGTAAACTCTCCCATAAATCATGGGCCATAATGATGCCAACTTCCTTTACTTACACGATTTCAATGATTTCAGCCCATATTTTGGCAAAGATATTTTGGAAATTTCGAACGCCATTCTAAAAATGGGCCCAAAAACCGATTTCGAACGTAGTCGCCCGCCACCCCATAAAATATGTTCCTTACTTTGTTTCGTAGGTGATAACTAGGACTTTATCAGGGCTTTGGTTCAAGAATTCCGAGGCGAGAGAAGAGGGACATTTGTCAAACTTGAGAGTATGTCCCTCACTGAGGCAAGATACAGTAGGGTTGAGGGAAGAAGCTTGAGTCGCGAATTGAGTTGTTGAATCGAGAGTTGATGGAGAGAGAATTGTGTTGGCAAGTTCTCGCTGGCTGAGTTCTGCTTGAGATGACAGTGCTTAAGATGGATATCTATGGAAAGGTCGTTTCGAAGTAGAAACCTGTTGAAGCGGAATAATTATTAACGATCGAGGAGAGTGCTCTTTTCTGCGTTGATCTCATTCTTTAAAAATAAAACTTAACTCATGCAAAAAGATACACCAAAACTAACGTGCGTGGTGAATTTCTTACTAAGAGATATTCATTGAAGTTATCTGTGACTGAATAAAATCTAATAAACTTGACGATGATTTAAAATGTGAGGTTTTATTTCTGTAGAATTCGGCAGATTTTGAACTAATTTGGGCAAATAATTGGAACATGCGAAGTGAAAGTGGCATGAGAATAAATGTGTGAGCAGTTATTGTGATAAAAGCAGCTTGAAAATAACGGTAAAATATTCCAATATAATGTTGGTTTCCTGAGAAAAAGATCGAAAATGGGCTTTGGCTTTTGGTTTTTTCTACTTGTTGAGTTTCATTTTCTTCTTTAGTCGATCCTGATTGTCCGCCCATTCTTTCATTCTCTTCAGCTCCGATCTTGAGCTGCTGGCGTGCAAGTTCTCAAACGAGTTTTCATATCTTCTTGTGGCGACGATTCGATCCAGCGGAGTTGATTGGCCAGGGAATGTTCGCGTTGGGTTTTGGTACGGTGATGGCATATCTTTTGCGTATTCTTGACAGCGAGTTAACTGATCTTCATCGGCTTGTGGAATCTTCAATGGCTCTGGATTGACTTGATGGGGACGAGGATCGAGCACAAGTCGACGACGACTCTTCTGAATCGGACTCTGCAAAGAGCCGGCAGGTGCATTTTTCCGGCGACTTAGAGGGCTCGGATTCTCGATAAAATTTCGAACCAATAACTTTTCGACCAAAATGTCTCTTTGGCTGAAAAAGACGATAGTTGTTATTTGAGAAACATGATTTATTTACCGTTGAACCTCATTGTCGTCTTCTTGCTTGACGATTTTTGGCGACGAGAAAGTATATTCTTCAGGTTCTATGGTCAGATCAATCCAAGGAGTATTTGGGCCTCGAAAATCGCCGGATGTTCCTTCAAGTTGAAAGCCCGAATCTGGTTCTACGAAGTTTTTATTCGAATCAACACTGATCAGCGGCTTTTCGGTGACTTCAGCGACATCTTCCTTGCTTGATTCAATCGTAGACTCTGAGTCGGACTCTTCAGAATCTATAAAAAAACCCTCGTTAAAATTAGCAACGAAATGTGACATACCTTCTGCGAATGACGGTTTGAAAATTCGCTCCCCACTCTCATTGACCATCATGCATCCACTCTCGACAGATTCAGAGCTTCCCGGATCCTCATTTTTCTCGTCATCTTTCACTGGAAAGAGCTCGTCAACTCCACCATCATCTTGTTGTTTTACTTCATCGGGGTTCTTGTCTTTCGTTTTATCTTTTAATTCTACTGCTTCAGGAAGCCGGTCGATTTCTGGTCGTGCATCTTTCATTTCTTCTGTCTCCTCGATCAAATCAGCATCAACTGGATCTTGGATTTTCTGATTTTCGGGGAAAATGGATTTAATGCCGTCAGTTGCCCATTCAACAAGAGGAATTTCTGGTGATAGAGGCGTTTCCTCACGAAGATCAGGTTCAATCTTTTTTTGGTTCGTATCTAGCTCTTTAATGGCAGCGATTGCTTCTATCGAAGAAGATTCTGGTATTGCAGCAGATTCTTGGGGAGCATCAAATCCTAAAGATCAGAAAGTTAAAGAGAAAATCAAAAGCTAAAGTTCATATTAATCAAAAGCCGCAAGCCGCTCGATTCTGTATCTAATCTTTATCGGTTTCAATAGATACCTTGCTCTTGACGTGATTCTTCAGCCGTACTCTTTTCGGAATCTTTCTTTATTTTTAGCAACGGGGTCGAAGAAGAAGCTGGTATCATGGGTTTTTTGAACTGATCGTCGTTGAACATGTCGTTGAAAATGTCTTTTCGCCTGTCCAAACGATTCCTCAATTTTTCGGGCAAGTCCTGCTTGATCATGTCATGCAACGCATCTGCAAAAGGGTTCACAAAGTGTCTTCCTTCCATGTGCGGCTCTGCCCAAAGAAGCGTCTCGCCAACCGGGCTCTCATCTTTCACAGAATAGGGATTGTTATTTTTGTTCTTAACCCAGTCCCAGTTCTCATACTCGTCTTCAGGTCTCCCTTTCTTCTGACTGAGCCGCTCCGAAACCGGCTTTTCGTAAGACTTGACGATCTCACGAAGGGTCTTTTTCCGCGGCTAAAGAGAGAAGTAGGATCGACAGAACTTGGGGCTTTCTATCAAACCTTTCTAATGCGGCATTTGCTCTTTAACTGCTGGATTAAAAACTCGTTTCCATTGCAAGCCATTCTTTAGCCCCTCACTCCGCTAACAATCTAAATGACCACCTTTTTAAATCTAGTTTTTTACGCAAAATCGAAGCCTTCATATATAGATTTTAAGCTAAGAAACGACTGATAAACTCGAGAAAACATTATAAACACTTAAAGGTTTAGTTTATTGCTCTCCATTTTCGGAGTCGTCATTTTTTCAAATAGAATTTCATACAGTAAAATACAGTGTACAGTAATCGTCTTAAGTTTTGGAAAAAAACGTAAGTGAGAGGTTAAAGTCTTCATTTCGTTTTTGTGGAAATTTTTCTTTGTCGCGGAAGCACCGTTTTCGTTATTTAATATAATTGTTATTATAATCTACTTTTCTCTCGTCCTTCTTATCACCTTTCGGCCCTCCATTGCCTAAAAATAATCAGGTTTTAGAGGGACTAAAATCCAACTTACAGGCCATCGTTCTTTTTTGCTAACTTCTGTCTAATTTAAAGAAACGCGTTGATGCTCCTTTTATACTGTCATATTCGGATAGAATTTACAGAATTTATTGATGCGGTTTTTCGCGAAAACTTTTTCAAAGAGTGGACCTAGCAAGGACGAGTTCAATTCGTAATCGCCAAAGGAGTTTATCTTCATTGAATTACATCAGGATCATTTTTGAAGAAGTTTTATTTCGGAATAATGAAATAATTTGGAAGAACAAGAAATCAAGCTCTAACGAGTCGGAACAGAAGGAGTTGAACAGAAAGTTTGAAAGAATAAGCATTTTTTTTTCTTTTTTGGTGAAGATTCACGGAAGCTTTTTAGGTCATTTCATCGTACCCAGGTCGCCTTGATTGCCTCAATATCGGATATCATGTTCTGCGCAAAGCAAATTGGCACGATCTGAAAGGTATAGTTGCGTTATGCCTGTTCGAACGGGCTTTTTGTACCTGCAGCAAAGCAACACCAATAAATATTCCAGAAACAAAGATAGTTTCTTGTCTCAAGAACTGTTCGAATTTTTCAATGCATCCGTCGGTCCAAATATCTTCGCTCCAATCAGATTCCTAGATTTTTCAATAGGGGGATCGTAAAATTTTCAAGAGATTGTACCTTTTTGGTGCGAACTCCGTATCCACATTGAGTATTCGCGATCCCATCAAAATTGACATCTCCATGAGCGCAGCAAGAAAACGGCACACCACAAGACTCGACCGGCCGGTACGCTATCCCATTCAACTCAATAGAACTCGAGCAGTTGAAATAAATATTGCTCTCCCAGTCTTGTGGTCCTTGCACGCCCCCACAGCATTCGAGCTACAAGAAAAAATAGACGTCACGCAGAGGAATTTGCGCGTGGGCTGTGATTAACCGCTGGAAACCGCAGTTTTACTTTTTGCTGGCCGAAGTCGATAATATTTTGTAGATCGGGATCGTCGCGGTATTTTGTGATTGTCGTATCGATGAAGTCGTTAAACTTCTGATTGAACCAATCTTTGTAGAGGAAGGTCAGAATAGTACACACCAGCTCGCTGAAGAAAATGATCCCCAAGATTGTCGAGAACTAGATTTATAGTAGAAAAAAGTTTTTCGGGGATGGACTTACGAATTTCAAGAGGCAAATATTCTCCCTCAGCGATCCAACACAACCGGCAAAAGAAAGGATGAACATCACCATTCCAATCGAAATGATGAGCACAACTGGGTCAAAGGGAATATCAGAGACTTGACTGATATTGTCGAAGAACCCTTTTTCTGTCCATGCCCAAACACCAATTGCTATCAAGGCAATTCCAATAAGCTTAAATTTTCCTATGAAAATGAACTCATCCTTTCAAAAGTACCCAAAATAAAGTGTTGAAGCCGAAGAGAAAGAATTTCGTACAAATGGAGATTTCTACCTTCCGCCCTCCGTAAACGAGGATTTGTCCCTGAGTTGTCATCCTTTCAAGCGCCTTTTAAAGCTTTCTAGAGCTTTCCAGAGTCCTCTACTTTTGGCGCATTTCTAAACAAAAAAATGATCAGAAAAGAGGTCCCTAATAATTCTTTATTAAAATCGAAAATTGAACAGTCTGAACACAAAAACTACGAGCACAAATATATGGAAAGAAAAGGATTAACTAATTTTAAAAGAGCAATGAAATTAGCAAATAGTGACTGCAGCACAGGCCAAAGTGGCATCAATGTCGACCAAGTGGCTCTGAGCCATTGGGTTGAAAGCAGCCATTTCTTTTCTGCAGTATTTGACCTCAAAATAAGGAATGTTGGTGCAGAAGTCGTCGGTGAACTGGCTCCAGATGGCGTTCCACCAGTCAGAATCGTACTTGGCGATCTTGGACAAATCATCAGTGAAGGTCGTGCAAGTGCCGCAATGATCGAAAGCAAAGAGGCTTGGGGAGTTGGAGTCGCAAAGCGTATAAGACTCGCACCAGGCTTCAGGGTCGGCCTGAGCGGCTCCGTTCCAAAAGTTCATGAATCCTTGATCGAGGGAGATCTGGCAAAGCGGTGGCTGGGAAGAGGTGTTGTTGCAGGCAATGTTGATCTGGTTGAGGAACGCTTTGACGATGTTGTTGTTAGGGCCTTCGGCTTCATCTTTGATCAGATTGTTGAAGGCCTAAATGTTCTGTTTGGTAAAATTTGCAATCAAGGCTTACCTTGCAGTCCTGGCAGGCTTGCTCTTTGGTGGGGGCCTGAGCCGCGGAAAAAGCAATAAGACACGCGAGGAACACTTTCATTTTGGTGTGGTCGACGTTTTGAAATTTGAAAGTGCTGTATTCCACGAGCATGTGTCATCTTCCCAACAGTGTGATATCAAATATGCTATTCTTTTACAAAATACAGTTAAATTCTGTTTTTATCTGACGATTCTGCTCGCATAACATCGTCCACGCATTTAGTCCTCCCTTTTTTCGATTATTCATTCAGACCGGAAATGGACTTTGCAAGGGATGCGTTTCATTTGATCTTTTCAAATTCAATTTTGAAATGTCAGAGAAAAAGGGTATATATTTTTTTTTATCTAAAAGGTCGAAACAATTTCAGAATCTTCAGAAGCTGACGGGGAAATAGTTGAAATCCCCAAGGATGTTCAAGACAACTCTTATTCGCAAAATGCTCCCGATTTCGACTGCTGCTCGAACTTTCTCATTTTCCTAGGATGGCTCGTGAGCATCTGTATTTTTCCGATCTTTTTGTTCGGCGGAATCCGCGTTATTTCGGAGTTCGAACGCGCCGTTATCTTCCGTCTAGGTCGGATCAAAGAAGGCAAGGCCGTCGGCCCAGGTCTCTTCTTTATCAACGCGTTCTGCGATGACGTCAAAACTGTCGACATCCGAACCATTTCTTTCGACATTCCCCCACAAGAAATCCTCACGAGCGACAATGTCACAGTTTCTGTCGACGCAGTTGTCTATTACAAAGTCGCTCAGCCAATCGCATCTGTAACAAATGTTGAAAATGCTAGCTCGTCAACACGACTTTTGGCCCAGACAACTTTGAGAAACATTCTTGGCACTAGAACTCTTACACAGCTACTTACAGAAAGGTAAAGATATAGAGAGTTAACCGCCAGGCAGACTCATGATCTTCCTCAATCGGCAAAATGAGTGACGTTATTTGTAAATAGAGAGGAGATCGCAAATGAAATGCAACAGATCTTGGACGACGCTACAGATCCATGGGGAATTTCCGTCGAGCGTGTTGAGGTATAGATTCAGTATAAAATTCAAAATCAATCTCTTTTTAGGTGAAAAACGTCGTCCTCCCACAATCACTCCAGCGAGCCATGGCCGCCGAAGCAGAAGCAGCCCGTGAAGCTAAAGCTAAGGTACTCTTACTAACTTGAGTTCATGTTCTTTAAAGTGTTTAAGATAATCGCTGCTGAGGGGGAAATGAATGCATCTAAGAATTTACGCGAAGCTGCTCAAATTATCAGCGAGTCGCCATCCGCGCTTCAGCTTCGATATCTCCAAACACTCAACTCTATCGCAGCTGAAAAGAACTCGACTATTATTTTCCCACTTCCGCTTGAGCTCATTCCTCAACAACATTCTGCGTAAATTTAAAAACTACCCGATTTCTGCTTGATCAAAAGTCTTTTAGACAAGCTCGAGCAAACATGATTGATTAAAAATTCATACGTAAGCAGAATAAATAGAAATTCATTCTGAATAACAAGTTCTCTTTTTTTAACTAATATCTGAAAAACCATTCATGATGGAGCCTTCATCGAACATGATCTTCATCCCCTTGATGCTCCAGCCTGGCAAAGGAATCTGGCAAATTTTTATTCAAAGAATATGACATATGGATTCAGACGTTCAAGGGTTTGCAGCAATAGTATCAGCGACCCAGGTGTCAGTATGAATAGCGGTGTAAATTCCTGGGTGTCCTTCATCAGCGCAACCAACACCTCGTGAGACGACACCGACAAGAGTAGCAGCTCCATTGACATTACAAACAAGCGGTCCACCAGAATCGCCCTGGCAGGAGTCTACTCCAGGATCTGTCAGTCCATTGCCGTCCAAGTCGGGTAATCCAGCGCAAATATCATCAGGGAGAAGAGCTCCGTTGTTGCTGTTGGCAGAGCAATATTCCTGGCCGAGAATGTTGACACCAACACTCTGGAGAAGATTAGGTGAACTGCCACCTGAAGATAAGGCTCCCCATCCAGCAACCCAGCAGGCCTTTCCGTCTTAAAATATAAATTTACAAGAGTAGAACGCAGAAAGACTAACGATCTGGGTAGGCGGTCGACAGACAAACCGGAGCAGTTCCAGTTCGGCCAGTGACCAGGTTGTCATTGAATTTAATCAAGCAGATGTCCATGTTGCTTCCACTTCCATCAGCAGTATCACCATATCCAGGGTGATTGAACATAGTAGTAGAAGTGACTTGAAACTCGCCAGCTTCAATAGTATCCTTCGCCGCATCATTAAGAGTAGCGTCGACCTCGGCGAGAAGACCACCGTTATTGTCTTCGCAACAATGAGCGGCAGTAATGATCCAATTCTCGTTGATGATTGCACCACCACAAGCGAAACCGCTCATGTCTCCAACGTTTTCTTTGAAGAAAAGTCGTGCGATCCAAGGCCAGTGAGCTTGATTAGCGTCAACACCATTGACGATCTTTTCGAGAGTGGTTCTTGAGCCAACTGTACATGTTGTGAGCGAACTTGGGATGTTGTTAGTAAGTGGCTCGAATTCGGGAGCAGGGCCAGTGGTACTTGCTGGTCCAGTGGTGCTTGCAGGGCCGCCGGTTGTTCCTGGAGCAGCGGTTGTGCTAGCTGGCGGAGCAGGAGTTGTTGTTGGTGGCACAGTTGTTGGAGCAGCAGGACAAGTAAATCCAGATACTTCAGCATCAGTGATCATTCCGCCCATTTTGCGAGCATTCCAGCCGCAAACTCGGTTATTCCATCGTGGACAAGCGCAAAGAGTCGTTACTTGTCCCCAGCTGTTTGCTCCTGACTGGATATCCTCGCCGTTGGCACACTTGTAAGTGCACTTTTTCTTTCCCATGAAGTTGAAACCGCAAGTCATATCGACTCCTAAAAATGGTCAGTGCAAATGATTCGCGATGAGACTTTTACATACCAGCAGGAGGAGCACCAAGATCAGCACAAGTTTCACATGCGCCGAGCTGTCTCTTCCAGAAAAAGCCATTTGCGTTGTTGAATCTGCATTTGGTTCGTCTTCGACCTGTGGCAACGAAGTCTTGGAAAGGAATGAATACCTTTTTAATTTTTACATAAAGCCTACCTTCGTTACAAATCAAGGCGCAAGTAGACTGGTCACAGACGATAGAAGCATTTTCGGGTGTGGTCAAAGCCGGGCAAAGTGTGTGTAAAGCAGCAATTCTGTCAGTTGGATGACCCCATCCTGATTTCTTCTGGCTCACAGCCCGAAGAAAATCAGTATACTTGGGCTGTTCGTATGCGCTTGAGATGGTAGAAATAACGGCAAGTGAGACCTGAAAATTGCTTAAAAATCAGATAAAGCATCAAAAACGAACCTTCATGGTCTAGACTTCTCTTTCCGATATTCGGAATGACCATTATTATCGAGACGATGCGATATAAATAGAGTTCCAAATTATCCATTAAAAGTCAAAGAAATATCAAATGATATGAAATGAATTTAATTGAATTAGACACGTTGATTATGATTTGGAAACCGTGACCATACCTAGACGGATTTAATGCAATGAGACGAGTCCTGTTGGGTATGCTTCTTAATACTTTCTATTTCTTATCAATCTCGAATGAAAGCCTGTTTTTACTATTTCTTACATTTTCGGCCCGTTCACATCGGGTAAATAAGATCGTAAGAGAGAGTTATAAACTTGCCATCAGGCATATTCAGGGCTTCTCTCAAACGAGTTGTCCGATCAAGATCAAGAATTGAAAATTAAAAAGTACCTGAAAATTCTTGGAATTGAGCCTATGACGGCGATTAAAAACCGCGGTCTCTCAACCTCTACACAGCCTCACCGGTTATTTGTTCTTTTAGTTGAGATCTTCATCTCATATGAAATAAAAAATTTCGAAGGTATTAATATATGTCGGCCGTGACCAAATCGACCTTTTTTCTTTTAAAAAGAATGAAGAAACAACAATTAATGAAAGTTCCTGAGCAAGCATTTAAAGCGCTTATTTATTGTCAATAATATCAAAGAAAATTTGAACATTTAGATCTGGAATTGTATTTTTTATTCATATGAATTGAGATGTTCAAGGGTTTGCAGCAATAGTATCAGCGACCCAGGTATCAGTATGAATAGCAGTGTAAATGCCTGGGAATCCTTCTCGTGCGCAACCAACACCTCGTGAAACAACACCGACAAGAGTGGCAGCACCGTTGACATCGCAGACGAGTGGTCCACCAGAATCACCCTGGCAGGAGTCGATTCCGGCATCTGTTAGTCCATTGCCATCAACATCTGGCAATCCGGCGCAAATGTCGTCGGGGAGGAGAGGACTGTTGTTCGTGTTGGCATTGCAGTAGTCCTGGCCGAGAATGTTGACTCCAACGCTCTGGAGAAGATTGGCTGTGTTTCCACCCTCAGATGTTGTTCCCCATCCGGCGACCCAGCAAGCCTTTCCATCTCGAAGAAGTGGTTATTTTTCAGTACAATTTGATAAACTTACGATCAGGATAGGAAGTAGAAAGACAAACAGGAGCAGTGCCAGTTCTGCCAGTGACAAGATTGTCGTTGAATTTCATCAAGCAGATGTCCATGTTGCTTCCGCTTCCATCAGCAGTATCACCATATCCAGGGTGGTTGAAAATGCTAGTGGTAGTGACAGTAAACTCGCCAGATTCAAATGTATTTTGAGCGGCATCATTCAATGTCGCATCAATCTCAACAATGCCTTCACAGCAATGAGCCGCAGAGATGATCCAGTTCTCGTTGATGATCGCTCCACCACACTGGAAACCGGAGCCAGCACCCACAGATTCCTTGAGGAAGAGGCGGGCGATCCACGGCCAGTGAGTCTGGGTTGCGTCGACGCCGTTGACAATCTTGTCGATGGCGGTTCGGGCGCCAACAGTGCAAGTTGTGAGCGAGCTTGGGATGTTGTTGGTTAGTGGCTCAAACTCAGGTGGAGCCTGAGTGGTGGTGGGTGGAGGGGGCGGTGCGGTCGTGGTTGGTGCGGGTGGTGCAGCGGTCGTTGTTGCTGGTGGAGCTGGTGGAGTGGTTGTTGCAGGTGGAGCGGGTGGAGTGGTAGTTGCTGGACCGCCGGTGGTTCCTGGAGCAGCGGTTGTGCTAGCTGGAGGGGCGGGAGTTGTTGTTGGTGGCACAGTTGTTGGAGCTGCAGGACAGGTAAATCCAGAGACGTCAGCATCAGTAATCATTCCGCCCATTTTGCGAGTATTCCAGCCGCAAACTCGGTTATTCCATCGTGGACAGGTGCACAGCGATGTAACGGCTCCCCAGCTGCTTGCACCAGACTGGATGTCTTCGCCGTTGGCACACTTGTACGTGCATTTCTTCTTGCCTCTGGAGTTGAAGCCGCAGGTCACCTCGACTCCTTAGGATAACAGTTAGTTTCGTCAAAGGGAGAATCTTTTACCAGCTGGTGGGGCAGCAAGGTCAGCACAAGTGTCACAACCGCCGAGCTGTCTCTTCCAGAAAAAGCCATTTGCGTTGTTAAATCGGCATTTGGTTCGTCTTCGACCAGTGGCGACAAAACCTAGATAAGAGATGTCAGAATTTATTTATAAAAATAAGCTTTTTTTTCATAAATATTAATTGTCATTAAAAATCGAGAAGAATACCTTCGTTACAGACCAAGGCACAGGTAGACTGGTCACAGACGACGGAAGCATTATCGGGTTCGGTCAGAGATGGGCAAAGAGAAAACAAAGCAGCGACCTTATCAGTTGGATGACCCCAGCCAGAACTCTTTTGGCTCAAAGAATCAAGGAAGTCATTGTACTTGGGCTGCTCGTAAGCGCTAGCGACGGCGGCGATGGTTGGCAAGAGCTAAAAAATGCTTAAATTACATGTCTCTTGATAATTGAATTAAAATCACCTTCATTCTCTCCCCGATATTCGTATTGAATGGCTATTTTGGCGTCGAACACCGATATTTGTCGAATCATCAGATGCATCTTGAAAATATCATTGCATTAAAATTCAATAAGAAAATGAAATTTTGTTTCTACAAAAAGGGCGCTACGTCATGTGAAGATACGATAAATAACCTTAATTTCAAGGAGTTTTATTTTCATAGGAGAAATTGGCAGAAAAAGTTTAGCGCAACAGCTTGGCTAGATCATAAATTCTATCAGCAAGGGCGATAAGGCCGTGGCGAAGCAGCTTTTTCGCCGGCTGAACGGCTTGAGAAATTGATGATGGAGGTCCGTACTGGCGGATTTGAGGGATGTACGAGGCGACCAAATCGAATTGGAACATGTAGAAGTAAACTTAAGACGATTAACACGCAAGAACTCCCTGATTACTAATCAGTGATTAGTTAGCTTACCGATGATTGAAAGAACTAAGAGCAGCTTGAAAGCAGTTCTAGCTAAATGGGCGATCATTCGAAGCATAAAAATCACCATCCAAACAACCGACACCGTCATTGCAATCACTCGAATTTGATCAACTTCTGACCCCTGACCATGGAAATAAGAAGAGTGTGGCGAGTTTTGAATCCAATTCTGTGCGGATTTAGAGTTTAAAATTGTGTAGAGGGAGTATCCTGTGAAACCAAAAATGAAGAGATCTCGTAAAATCGACATTTCTTTCTTTAAAAAAGTGGTTGAACATTTGAACAACTTATTATTGATTATTATTATTGGTGGTACAGAAAATAATTCAAACAAGATTTTTTCAATTTTTAAAAATGGAAACTCAAGAAACTGAAGAAATTGCGACAACTGGACATTTTTGAAGATAGTAGAACGAAAAGATAGAGAAACGAAATAGAAAAAAGCGATAGAAAATGAAATATAATTATTTTGAGATTTAGCCTAGGTAAGGTAAATTTAAAGATTCATAAATAGACGGGTTGATCTTGACCCGTGAGGAGGCGGAACATGGCGGCGGGCATCGTTTTCATGTGGATTTCGCCCACGGATGTGACGAGTAGTCGGACTATTTTGTCGTGTTGCGTTGCTACCACCGACTCGTCTAAAAATAAAAATGAGCACAATTAACTAACAGTATTTGATTCTTCATTTAACGATTTTTTCGTAAAAATGAAAAAAATCCTCCGTGTCGGGGAATCGAACCCCGGTCGCCCGCGTGACAGGCGGGAATACTCACCACTATACTAACACGGATCTGCAGGGGACCCAATTCTAGCGCTTTAAATGCTTACCATTAATTTCAATAATTCTGTGTCCAACTCGTACTCCTCCCTTTTCCGCGATTCCACCGCGCATTAACGAGCAAATGATTCCGTTTTGAACAGAAAAACCGAGTTGGTGGCGCAAATCTGGTCGCTTGATGATGACTGTTACCACTGGAGGACAGGAGACCATGTTCAATCGCACGCAGCGTTCGGGTTTGACACCCTTTATCACTAGAAAAGATGATGATAGCGCTCAAGTCTTGAGCCCTAGGGTGTACCTTGATGAACACTACTGAGTGGAAGACCAACAAGACTGGTGCCATTCACGGACATAATTTGATCACCAATGTTCAGCTTGCCGCTTCGTTCCGCCGGGGATGAGTGCTGAATATTTGCTAGAATAACCGTTGGCAGAATTGATCCCCATCCAGATTCGACGAGAGCAACGCCTAAAGATTCACCGCGTTTCTTTTCAATCCAGATTTCTTTCGCGTTTTCTCTCTGAAAAAGGGTTGAAAAAAAGGGCTAAATAAGGGTAAGAGGTTGGGGCCGAACATCTCGCCTAAGAAAACGACTTTGATGAAGAAGCCTCATTCGCCTTGTTTACCTTTGAATAGTGGACCAAGTCATCATGATAAACTTCCGCTAGTTCCTGAACTGCTTCTGTATCGCTCGGTGGCGGGATGCCATTAATTTGCAGGAAAAGTTGAAATGCAAGTTGAAAACACTGTCCAAGTGCAGAAGACATCATCTCGGCCTCGGCAGACTAGATGAATGAATTGAAACTTAATGAGAAACGAGAAATGATTACCTGTAACACGTGACAGACAACACGCTGCTGAGGTTTTCCGCTGTCAGATACAGGGCGATGGAGTTCGCTTTCTTCCACATCTTTTCGCTTGGCAATGAGGACGAGTATGTCGCCGATATCGGCTTTTGAATGGTTCAATTAACAGACAAAAAGATTTATGAGCGAAAATGAAAAGATCTTATGGCCACAATTATCGGCAGAAAAATTGAGAAGTCGGCCCGTTTTTTGATCCATTTCCTATGTAGCTAATACTCCTCAACGGATGTTCCATGATTACTTCTTGAGTTTTCGCGTTCAAAATCTTGATTTTGCTTGTTGACGCGAAGAGATCTACTTCTACACTTGGCTGGCTTTCTCCTGCAGGGGCTAAAAATAATTTGAAATTCTTGATTCATGAAGTCGATTACCTTTGACCCTGGTCATTGCCTCTTGCGCTTGCATCATTCTAGCGGTTTTCGTCGAATTCTTATCGACTTTAAGCTGGGTTGATCCGAGATAATTCGACGAAAAGAGGACACCGTCGATTAGGTCTTCAGGATCGCAAGGTCCGGGAACTTGTGGAATGACTCGCTCTTGGATCGGAGGCGGTGGGAGCTGCATTTTCTGATCTGGAGGATTTTGAAAAGGTTGATGTTTTTGCTGTGACTGACTAGAACTTTGATTTGAACTTCTTCGTTGCCAAGGACAATCGTCAGCGAGCTGTTGATCTGGTTTCGAAGAAGGCTGATGTTGATGTTGACCAATTTCTGATTGCTGATTGTGCTTTTGGCTCGCCTCTCCGAGAGCTTTGAAAAGAGCTTCGTATTTCTGATTACTTTCTATGGCTCTTTGATGATCCTCATCTGAGCTTTGGCGCTGGTGATTTGATTGATAGGAAGAGTCTCGCTCTTCTCGCTGCACTAAAAGTCGACTGCTTGGATCGTGCGGTGGGTTATCGGGATGCATTTGATGATGGGGTGGATTAAGCGGATGTAGTTGCTTGTTTGGCCGTTTGTGCATCTGATGATGCATTTGATCGAGCTGGTCTTGGGTCGGCAGAGGCGGTGGAATGTCCGGAATTGGCCGCTGAAACTGTTGCCTACTTGAGTTTGGGTTAGACTGTGGTCCGTTTCGAGAGTGAGGAGGAGGGAATTGGGGGTCTGGATGCTGCGCGCTCGGGAATCCATGAGGAAGAACAGGGGGACCTTGAGTGTTTGGGCTATTCCAAAGTCGGAGAGGCGGCGGTGGAATATGGCTTGATTCTCGAGGATCTGAATTTCCACCCATTTCATGTCCGTTGGAAGGCCCAGGCCGCGCCGCATGAGGAGGAATATGTTGTTGGGGTATCTGAGCAATAAGCTGAGGCGGAAGTCGCTGTGGAAAACCCTGGACTTGCCCTCGAAACTGCCCTTGAAAATGGTTCTGCATTTGTAAAGCCTAATAAAATTTTTAGTTCTGGAAAATAAAAACGTGGGTTTATTACCTGTATAAGCTGCTGCTGATAAAGCGCTTGTTGCTGGGCAAGATGAGGAGGTAGCATCTGTGGACAAAATGGCAAACTATCTGGATTCAACTTTGAACTGGCATTTATTTGAGGCGGATTCGGAAGATGAGGGCTTCCAAGCGCACTTGAGTTCAGCGAATTGTTATTGCTTACTGAAGGTAGGCTACTGACGGGAGTACGGAGCGTACTGCAAGTATTGCTGAAGTCTGCTGGCTTTCGAAACTCCGATTCCTCCGCAGTTGGCGTGTTGAGAGTGTTCTTATCAAGATCATCTGTATTTAAAAAGTTAGGTTAGTTGAGAAAGGAAACACCAACTCAAATTGAAGAGAAACAGGGAAATAAATAATTAAGTCGCTGCAAAAATATAACAAACCTTGTTGGGAGAGCTCACGCGTGCTGGTCTCAAGGGGACTTGCAATTTCGTCTAGTGCCAATTTCGAAAGTGAAGCTTCAACAAGTGATGAGCTGTCCTCGCAATCTTTTGCGTATTCGCTGTTTGGTAATGGAGGGTTATTGCTTGAATTGGATGGGGAGGGATTGGCGTCGAGATTGCTGCGAATTTGATCTGGTGAATTGGTTTTTAACGCACTAGAATTGACAATTTGAGACAAATTTATAATAACTCGACAATTCAACAGACATCTGGATACAAACTAAATATTTAACTCAATACTTTACTAAATTTTAGACATCTTTGGTAATCTCAATACATCTAAAGTTAGTTGTCAAGATGAGTAGATCTACAGACATATGGAAACATCTCGACGCGAAAAAATCAGGAGGATCAAACGATGAATAATTCAATTAAATGATCCACTTACCATGAATGCAGATCATCCATGCTGCTTCTTTCATTTGCCATGTTCTCAATATTCTGATTCTGCTGGTTTTCATGATTCGCGTGATAATTCTCAGAGTTCACGATTTCGACTTCCTCAATCACTTCCATCTCTCAAAGAATCGGTTCCGAACCCGTTATTTCAATAAAGTCTCAATTCGTTTTGCGGGGGAATAGTGCTTCAACTAACTGTACGCTAATTTGAAGGGGAAAATCGTTGGCAGAGTGATATCACGTTAGACTTGTGGCTCGTTTCTGCGCGATCGATTTTTGAATTCAAATGTGCACGGTATTGATCCTTCATCCCTTTCTTCCAGATCAATACTGATACTGCCGCTCGACTCATTGGAGTCTCAATGGCGGCGGTAATTAATTGACAATTAAATCCTCGAGTGAATTTTTGATCAACAATTGTTTTTGATATACGATTTTATTTTTATATGGAATAGAGCAGAAGAAATGGCTCATACAGTGTGAGAGACAGTAGATTACTTTGACTAGTTTTATTTTTGCTTTCATCATTTATGCTGTCCTCGACAACCTATGGCGAAACCTTACTCAGGGTTCTGCCAGAGGTTTTTCAAATTATTATTGGCGAAGCCGCTTGATTCACAAACCCTGGCTCAGGTTTTTGCACAGGTTGCTGAACCCAGAATTTATTCAATTGAAAAAGAAGTTCATGCTTGGCGAGAGGATTTTTTGGCGACGATGCTTAGATTTCTTTTAAAAAATGAACCTTGAAGATAGTTTGACTTGATTTTATCAATACTGGCGCTAGTAAGAGTTATGTAATAAAATATATTTTACAGCAGATTGCACAATAATTAACTTTGAGAGGTGAAAAGAATACTTTTTCTTGATGAACTTGGAGTAAAGTTGTCTTGAGTACGAGCGAAGAGTTGTCTTTTTGGTTATTGAAAATGTACAGCGGTAGAATGAATTAGAGTTATTCTAGTAGCAGAGTTCCTTGTAGAAGTGGTGCGAAGAATGTTTTTTATGGACATTTTACTCATTCTTTTTGGCTAAAAATTGAAATAAGGTTGGATATTATGATGACATCCATATCGGATATTATATTCTTGGACATCTTTGTCGACATCTTAAGATATTAACAGACATCTATAGAGATCTTTAGACATTAAAGACATTCATGGACATCTTTAAAGACTTAAGAGATCAGATGACATCTGCAAACTAAGTTTTTACTTACATTTATTCTTCCTAAAGCTCAAATAAGAGAGTTTTCTTTTGTCGAAGAGCTTAAACTTTGGTTTTTTCGTCTTGACATGCGTTGACGCAGACGCACTTCGCAGCGACGTCGTCGATTCTTCTTCCGCAGTCGATGACGCTACGCTGTTTCCATTTATTTCAGAAATGCTAGATTTACAAAATCGTTCTCGATGTTCTATTCTAGCACTTTTAGCTTACCATGTTCGCGAGGGGGGTTCAGAAGTGTCCCTTTCAGACTCGTGCGTTCCCGTCTGCGTGTAAATGCATGAATCCGTGCTGATTGTACTGTCCATTTGTCGCAATTCCGGTCGGGTGGAAGTTGGAGAGTTGTCTTCCGACATTGTTTCTGAAGAAAAAAAGTGAAAAGAACGTTCAATTTTACGAGGGTAATCATCAAGAATCGATCCAAATAAACAAATTGATACCCTTATTTAATTTGACTAATAGAAACTTCAAACCCTTAGTTACTAACTAAAGGGTCTTGCCAAGGCACTTTCAGAGACCTGGCGTATAAAAATAAGGGTGTCACTAACATATGTTTATTTTCAATAAAAATCCGATCTTGATTTCTGCCCCCTTAGATACAAAAAATAAAGAAATAACATCAATATCTTTCCGGTTTCCGCGACACCAACTTGAATTTTATTTACTTTTTCACCACTTACTTAAACTCTAAAAAGCTCCTTCGACTTTACCCAGTCTCAAAAATGGCGCAATAGATGCAGCGGGTTTCTTTACAATGTGACTGTTTCTGCTCAGTGCGGCCCTGTACATCACAGGCAACAAGTATCTCGAGCCGTAAGGATAATTGCGGAGCAGTTCGGGCACTGATTGCGAAAATGACTGAAAATTACCATTGCTGTGGCTGTTGCCGTGGAGTTGCAGGCCGGAAGGGATGGAACTGACGGGCTTGACACCCGCTCGATTCTGATGATGGTTTGACAAGGCGATTTGATGAAGAGACTCGTTGTGGATGCTCCTCGCCGCGGAAGAAGGAGGACGCTCGGAAAGGATCGGCGTCGAGTAGATATCCGGACTCGATTCGCCGTTTTCCATCTGTTTCTGGCGCATGATCGGGATGCTGAAAGAAGTTATAGAGATGCGAAAGATGAAAAAAGAGCCAGCTTACTTAAAAATTTTTTCTATTTTTCGCCAACGATCGTGGGATTCTTTCTGGGAACTGACGATGTCTTCGATGGCTAAAAAAGAGCGTCAGAATCTGAACATTCCAAAAAAGGAGTTGAAATGAAGAAGCTGCTTGCGGCTTTGAGACGTAGAAAGAAAAGCAGCGGCTAAAGAAGCAAACGGCTTCTTGATTTGAAGCGATTGTTTACCCTTGTGTGCTTGCATTAGCGCCGCGTCAAGATGATCAAGTTGATGCGAATGAAGCAATCTGACGGAGCTGAAAAAATTGGTGTTTGCTCGTTCAAGTTTCTTCATATTCTCCGTCGCCACATGTTCCTTCTTTCGCGCGTCGCGTTTTCGAAAGTCCAAATTGTCTTAATTTCATTTGAATACAAACTGGTTGATTAGGATTTCCTAAGAGTTTACTCTTACGTTTCTCCGCACGATAAGTCTTAATGAGAATTTCTTTCACATCACTTGTCACGACTATTTTGTCGAGGGAGTAGCCATTTTGCATCTTTCTCAACTCCTTGTGAGCTTCTTCTAGGGAGGCTTGAAGCTGGTCGTTTTGCTTTTTCAGAGTTGCGAGAGAGCTTAGTTCTTCACCGCCGTCTTTACATGATTTTTGAGGCACTTTTTTAGTTTTGATTTTTTGTTAATTTGAATTTGGATAGATTTGACGCTGAAATTGGGGATCGAGCGAGTCAATTTCAGGAAGATTTTTGATCGTTTTGAGATTAATTTGGGCGTTTATTCTGATTCTCGGAAGAATAACCTGTATTTTGACGGTTTCCTGCTGGGAGATCAAGAACTGTAGAAACGGAATCATGATCAAGCGGCGTTTCGGCGTATTCTTTCCACATGTTGTCCAGTTCTTCCAGTCTCGTACTAGAATAATGGGCGTATATGGTTGATGATAAGGGGCATTTACCTTTCTGCTTTGAGTCTTGACTTGACATCCTTAAACTGTCGCTTGAGCCGAATAATGAAGGTGACGGAAAAGATCATGAACACAGCCAAAACTGCCAAGATCAAGTCTTTGACAAGAGAATCATTCACCGGCGGTCCGAAGAGAATCGCGTCCATCGATCGAAGCGCAATCTTTCGCCTGAGCAAATGCTGCCTGATTCCGATCTTCTTCAAAAACGTCTGTTCGAGTTTCGCTAGGAGCGGGAAGCATCTTCCAGTGACCCGATGCATTTGAAAAATCGCAGAAATCTGGTCAGCAATGTCGCTTCGAAAGCCAAGATCTGCTCCACGGAGCCAAGTGACCACATCGTCTGTTGTCCAGTTGTGAACGGTGGAGCGCTTCCAGGCTTTTAGAAATTCGTCTTTGGAAACGAGACCGTCATTATCTTCGAGAAGAGCTCCGATGGCAGATGCGCCGCCGCCGTATTCGTTGATGAAGGCGCGGTTTTCGGTCGAAGAGATTGATCCGTCGTCGTCATCGTCCAAATCGTCGTGAAGCTCGAAGATTGCTAAAAGAAAGGATAAGGAGAGAAAATGGCGTCATGAAATTCTAGGATGACTGGCGGTAAAATATATAACAATCAATAATTTAAAATTTGATTTGCGTCATTTTCAAGTTTCAAGCTAAAAATCGGGGAAATTCTCACCCACATTGGAGAATTTTAAATTCAAAAATCATTGACTCAATATTGACAAAAGCATAAATTTTCGACATTTTTCTCACCGCTATCTGTTTCCTCCGAATCGCAGTAATCGCCCACAACAGCTCCAAACGAAATAAAGATGGCGAAAATGAGTTTCATCGTTTCTGCCTTTTTGGTTCTTTTTTCTGTTCTCGTGGAGGCTCCTTAACTCGTCATTTTTTCATTGAAACCGTTTTCGAATTTCTAAAAAAGAGCGCTTTGAAATAAAGTTAATAAAAGGATCCAGCAGGGTGCACAGCGTGAAAAATCAAAAGAAAAAAATATATAAATCGGGACAGAAAATGTCTGTCTCTTTTCAAATGCAACTATTTGGAGGAGAGGGGATTTCAGATAAGCAGGGAAGCTCAAGGTCACATCTGGCTCAAGTTGAGTTCAGAAAAGTGGCTTCAGGGGTCAGAATTTTGCTCTGAAGGCTAAGTTACGCAACCTGAGTAGAAAACCTGAGACAGTGCTTTCTTTTTCTTCAGCTTAAAGCCGCAAGCGGCTTCTCGTTTTGTAAGAAATAGCGGTAAAACGCTCAAAATGCCTTCCTTTTTTATTTTTTCTCTGTGAATAGAGTCGTTCTCTCAATTAGGGAATCGGAGAAGAAAGAGGACAATTCAGTCTGGCTCGGAGGGGATTTGGTGTCATTAAGGTGGAGTCTTGGCTAATTCAAATTGACAAAAGCGTATTTGGGCAGCCACGGCCCAGTGACAGCAGGACCCGGATGATCTAAGACGCAAATGAAAAAAGACGAAAAATTGTGTCGATTGCGCTTTTACGCAAATTTCGCGTCAGGCGCATCTGGCTAAGGCTTTTCTGAATGGACAGGATAAAGAAATTGAGAGGGTACATGAATACTTCCAGCACTAGAAGTCGATACTGACATTGGATGCTGATAAGAAAAATGGGGCTTGAAAAGAGATTTGACGTGCGAAGAGGATCGATTACATGTTACACTAATTTTCCTTTCACGTCAATTGTGCCCGAAAATCAAGCGCATCTTTTGCAATTTTCATTAATCTTTCAGAAAAAGGCTCTAGAAATACCGCGTAAAAATGGATTTCAACTTCAAAAAAATATGAAAGTCGAGTAAAAGACTGCAAAGTCTGCATTTTCACGAAGAAATATAAAAAAAGAATAATTGAATGAAATGATATTTAACGCAGATATTATCAATTTTACGCTAAAATGAGAATTTTCTCGATGATTTTATGTCAAAATTACGTGTTTTTATGAAGGACTGTTGTGGGCCATTTCAACTGTCAACAATTAAAATTCTAAAATATCATTATTTTATATTTTTTTCTAGAAATTTTAGGTTCTTCAATTTTCTGGAATTTCTCTATTTTCTGCATCTTTCTTCTTGGCGGAAGCCTGGGTGTTTCGTTTTGAGTCGATTTATGGAGATGCACTTTAAAGAATTTATTTTTTCATTTTAAAAACTGCGATAATTTAAATTGGAAGGGGCGCGAGTGTGGCGCCAATTGGCCACGGCGCTCTTTTGGTTCGATCTCGAATCTGGCTTCCCCTCCTAAAAGGACTAGAGTAACGATGCACTGGAGGTGACGATACAGAAACGTACATTGTAGAGTCTACATTGGACGAAATAAATCGTAATTAACGTGCTGGATAAAAATTTTTCAAATCGAGTTAATTTTGCTTTTATCGGATTCAGCGTGTTCGAAAACCTAGGAAAAAATAGTACTTTTTGACTTCGGGTGTGAAATAGCGATAAGCGCGGCACTTCAAAAGTGAAAAGTATGTCACTTTTGGAAATAGATTTCTAGCGATGCGTCAATGATATAAAAATTCTAACTAAACAGACTTTTAGATAATTGTCTAATCTAGTTGGGACTTTTTTAAAATCTTTAAAAAGTTAATGTTTACCCTACCTTTCGAGCGCTCAAAGATGAACCGTCTGAAAATCGAGTGGTAATCAACGTCCGCCTGGTCCCCAGCGGGACTCCCCAGCGTGAGTTCAGCGGACGAAAAATGAGAGCGGGCGCGCTGGGTGATCATAATCGCTCGAAAAGTAGGGTAAACATTAACTTTTTGAAGATTTTAAAAAAGTGCCAACTAGATTAGACAATTATCTAAAAGTCTGTACGATTAGAATTTTTATATCATTGACGCATCGCTAGAAATCTATTTCCAAAAGTGACATACTTTTCACTTTTGAAGTGCCGCGCTTATCGCTATTTCACACCCGAAGTCAAAAAGTACTATTTTTTCCTAGGTTTTCGAACACGCTGAATCCGATAAAAGCAAAATTAACTCGATTTGAAAAATTTTTATCCAGCACGTTAATTACGATTTATTTCGTCCATTGTAGACTTGATTTCTTTCGTTGCGCAATTTTAACAAAAAGTAACTTCTTTCGATAAAAAAACTTAATTTGTCGGGAATCGAACTCGTGCGACTTAGGTTCACAACTTTTTTTCATAGGAGATGGAGAATATGGTGAATATGAAAGTTTATTTGAATAAATTTTTTTTACATCTTTTCTTGAATAATTTTCGGCGATTTTTCTTCTTTCAATTGTTTTAAATATACAGAAGTTACAATAATTCCCAGCAGTTCAGAAATAAACGAAAAGAAAAACGCTATCCCTGTTAGATGCGCGTATAAGAGTGCTTTTTCTTCGCAGCCGATGAAATTACTCGCCCCTTTTGTACAGTAACTCCGGCTTACTTGCCGATTGTCTCGGGCAATTTCGCTTCTTTCCGTCAAATTATCTAGAATTTTGATAACAAGAGTTATTTGTGTCGGAGGTTTTTTACCTTCATTACAGCAAGTCGCAGGAATCTTCTGAAAATGCGAGTCGATCCAATCATTCTGCCCACTGAGACCGCAGCATTGATTTTTCTTCTGGATATCCTCCCAAACGACTGAAACCATCGGTGACGCGATTTCATACAGCATCTCTCGCTCTTCGGAATTTTGAGTCCAGCGGCCATTCATGAGCACATCCGCCCAGCCTGATTTTTCGACTTTGAATTTCTTCTGTACAAAGCACAATTCCCTAAATTTTATAATTATCTTCAAGATTTCTTTCGTTAGGGTTAGGTTTTATCAATTGGTCTTGAGCTCGGCAACCTGAGTCAGGGTCCTGACTAGAGCTGAAAAAGGATATCCGAAGTCACCTTTTATTTTGATCCTCAATTTCCAGGCAAGGAGATAGAATCTCCTCATTTGAATAAATATCCATTGTTTTCTTGACAAATGTCTTCCCTTCAGGATAATTGACAAATGTGACGATCGCTCCGATCCACTGTATAAGCAGGATCGTTACAGTCAACGCCAGGAATAAGCCAAGCCCGCATCTTTTCCATATGTTCGAAAATAATAATGCTCATACGAAATGAGATCCCTGAAATCGAGATTAAAGAACACTGGCCTATTTTGTCTGACGGCAGCTGCGCATCCAATAATACCGAGTAGGAATAGGCCAACGCCGGCAGATATCATCATGTAAATGCCTTGGAAGATCGGAGCGATCTCAGGTCGATAAATTATGAACTCACGTAAGCTACTTGTATTTGTAATTACTTAATAGAGTTCAAACTTATTACGGTGATAATACTAGGGCAGTCTTTGCTCAAGGCTTTTGACAGATGACGTTTGTCATATGACGCTGTAGTAACAAAAAAGGGATAAAAAAATATTTGCCAAAATTTTTTATAATGAAACATTTTTATTAACATCCCGTAAATCGAGGGAAAATCGCAAATATACGAGAGAATGGATTAATTCGGGAGAATATACAATAAAAAGATGAGAATTCATTTTTAAGTTTATTTGAAAAACTTCATTTATACTGAGAATCTTTATTTCAAAAAACATTACTGAAAAAAATTATAAAATGATTCTGAATCTGTAACAAGTTTCTTCCATGGAACGACGTGATTCGTCAATAAACTCTCCTATTGTCAAGTTTGAACTCTTCCTAAGCTTCCCGCAACAAGCAAAAACATCCCGGAAGTAATATACAGGACATTCAAAAAGTACAGAAAGCATCTTGAGCAGGAGAGCTTGCAGCTCATCTTTTCTTTCTCTCTTTGATTTTTCGACTAATTTTCTGCTGAAAACATTCCAGACCCTATCTTTCTAACTGTTTCTGAAGATCGAGGTTGTTCAGTGTCGATTGGCCGTACCAGCGCTGTACGTTCCATGCCTCAGGCGATGTTCCTGCATTTTTACTACGAGATGGAGACAAGAGAAATTTATTTGATTATTTGAGGAAAAGTGGTTGAACTTGTGGAAATTGATGATTTGAACTTGGAGGATTTGGATTACTGAGCTCTTTTTTTTTACAGAACGTATTCAGGAACGGACTTAGTTCTTGGCATCTTTGGTGAGTTTTTCGCACTATATTCGCTCAGCTCACAGGCGATTGTCCTGAAGAAGATACTGTAGAAAAGTTTAGATGATTGTTTGTTTACCTAGAAGCAGTGATGGTATCGTATGTATGAGGCATGAAAGTCTCCTTTGCTTTTGGGCATTCTTTTGACGACTTTTTAATCTCAATAATTGATTTAATGCTGTATTTCTTGCTAAAATTAACTTTCTTTTGAGACTTTCTGACCTCAAAATACCTTTATATTCTCATACCTTTCTGTTGTCCCTGAAATGCCAGACAATAAAGTAGACCAAAGTCAAACAAACAATCCCTGTTATCACTCCAGTCTCTATCAACTGTGTCCTTCTCGACTTTTTCGGCTCATAAACTGGCCACTCTGTCTGTTCATTTACAGACTCCATCAAACTAGAATTCGAAACTCTTTTTTGCCTGAAATTCTTGTTAGAATTCTGAGTTGAGCAAATATTAGCTCGATTCCGCTCAGAAGGGCCCACACACGAACGACTTTCGCGAGTTCTGATTCTTTCGAATTACGCCAAGCAGAAAATACGTCTCTTTGTAAAACAAAATTGCTGGGTTTGAAATCTTCTCGTGTTGAAATCAAGGAGGAGCATTTTTATTTCGAAAACAAAAGAAAATCAAGCTCTCGTAAAACGTAAAATTGCGGAAATTCGGCGATGCAAATTGGTCTCCTACTATTGTGGCTCTGAACTTCAAGTCATTTTGTATTCAACAACAGGAAAACATTTATTTTTATGAGTTTTTCGAGATCATCGAATTTTTAGACTTTTCAGACGAGCTCAAGTCGGTTTTATCCTTCTCTTCTGAGATCACCGAGAGGGTTCTTAGCGAAGTTCGCGAGTGCTTTTTCAGGCTAGAAATTCTTCGCTTCAATTTTTTACCGCGGCTCGTTTGACCTCGTTTCTCTTGAAAAGTGAAGAGAAAAATTATTTCAGAGTAAGAGACTTACCTCTTTCTTTACAAAATGATCCACAACAATATTTGAAAATCCCGGAGATCGACAAGCCAAGATTCAGCTGGACGATTATTAAGGATGCAAGTATAATGATGATGACAGTAACAAAAAGAGCATACAGTTGGTTGACCGTTTTCGAATGAGCACACAATTGCTAAAAATTGAAAATATTTTATCTAAAATGCGAGAACTTACTGCTTGGGACATGTAAAGCGGGGCAGCTCTTTTAGCGCCAAACATTCGCGCATACTTTTCGAATTTCTCCGGATTTCTTAAAAGCCATTCTTTGAAAAAGAAGTTCATTTTTGCGGCGAAGAGGAAAATGAGAGTCTTTATTTATGTGTGATCGCTAAAAAGAATCATTAGAAAGTGACTTATGATGAAAGCGCTTTTCACTTGGAGAAATAAGCTCTCTTGAAATTTGACTGAAGGCAATCATGGACTTTTTGCAACGATAGATGTGGAGAATACAGAATGATCGTTTCTGTATAATTCATGGAAAGCTTTTGTCACCAAGAAGAAAAAAATTTTCAATATTCTATTTTTGTCCGTAAAAATTGCAGCGTGCAAATATTGATTTTAATAAGGCTTGTACTGAGTAAGTACCACGCCCTTAGTTCTGGTGCGTCGGAATTATTCTTGTCTTTAAAATGGAAGACGAATCAAAGTTTGAAAAAATCCTCGAAGGGAGTAAAGAGAAGGGGCTCTTTGACGGGCCGTTGACGAAGCCGGATTGGTACGACGATGAAAGATTTCAAAACGGAAGGCGATACTATAAAAATCACGTGGCTGCTTGCATGTTCAGGTATCGAGATAAGAATGACAACGGCTAAGTGGTAACTGTAGCATGGTGATATCGTTACTGTCCGGATTGACATTCAAGAGTCTGCTAGACGTTCTTGTTTACACTGGAAAATCGGACGAGAAAAACAAGGCTTACTGGAGATACAATCATACTGGCATTCATGTTCGTTCGTGGATTTACTCTGATGTTTGGGACCCGAGCTCAGGAATCGATCAGATTTTTAATTTTCTGAACGTATTATAGATTCTAGAGCAATGAAAATCGTTTCAAAGAGGGACATAAGTCTCTGAAACAAGTCCGCCTCATTCACAAATCAGTGGCTCAACGAATCACTAAAGATCGGAAAAACGAGAATGGCGATCGTTAGTTTCGCTCTATCAACCTTACCTTTTAAACTAGTTCTAGAGTGGGTCTCTCAATCTGATCTTGCCTTTACTCTGGTCGGTTTCGTCGGGAGCATTACAATCGCCCCCGAAGGTTTCGGTGTTGAAGAATCAAAAGATCTCCACGATTACTTGTATTTCTGGCGCGTGATGGGTCACTTGCATGGATTGAAGGACGAGTACAATCCGTTCTCTGGGTCTGTTCTTGGGGCGAAAAGAACCGTCTATGATATGGCAAAATATTGCTTGCTCCCTTCACTTATAAAGGTTCACAAAATCAACCCCTGAACAAAAAGTAATGATCCTATTTTCCAGCCGCCAAAGGAATTCGAGCCCATGGCAAGAGCAGTTTCAGACAACTACGGCCTCCTGTATCCTTTTATCCGATACGCAGTCGATCTTGCCATGGACTTCAACGGATGCCACGGTGAAGCAGTTGGTAAGAAAACTATTGAATTACGCGATGGGCCAACGTGTTTCTTTTCAGACGAATCTTACCGGGAGATACTTGCAAAAGTTTACCCTCTTGATTCTAAAGCAGGCAAACGTCAGATAGCAATCATGAAGTGGACTTATCAAACGGCGTATAGATATACAATAGTGCGCTGGATACTGAATCTCAATGCAAGTGAGTAATCTCTCCCCTTGAAAATGCATTTTTGAGTTTTAGACTTTTACCTTGAGCTGTTAAAATTCCGAGTGAGATTTGCGACCTGGCTGAGAGATAGAACTGGATGGAAAAGTCTTCTTGCCATGTGATGCAAATAAAAAAATGACGTCAAATTTTTCGTTCAAAATTTACCTTCTCTTATTATTTTCGCCTAGCCAAAATCCTGCTTATCCAAAAGGGAAAATAGCTAGTCTGGATTCCTAAAATTCTCCTTCAAAAAGAACGCGCGTGTTATCTTTTTGTGGCTTGCGGAAAAATGCTAGAGCTAGAAATTACTGTGTCCAAACGCGGTTTCTAGCGAGATTCGTACAAAATGAATGGTAATTGCTAGTTTTGTTTTGGCAACTCGTATTCTATGGAGCACTTTGAGTTTTGGCAAGAAACGCCGTATTTTGTGAACGGAAACTTGTTTACACGATTTTTTGTTACAACAAAAATGCAAGAAACTCTGAAAGGCCAAAATCGTCGGAAATAGAAATGTAAAACTGTGTTTTAGTTTGACTTTATGTAGCTTTTTTATTGTCATGCAAAAAATAAGAAAAATTTGCAGGCTTCAAATCTTTCAAATTTTTAAAGGGATGATCTAGCAGCCAAGGGCAGCGTTGACTTTGCTTGTGAACTGCTTGAGCTGTTTTTCTGACTTTTTCATTTTCTTTCGGAGGTTTTTGTTTTCCTTTTTGAGGTCCTTGGCACCAACGTTAAAGCCCCACTGTTCGACGCAGGCCCATCGCTTCAGGAATCGGTTGTTGGCGGTCTAGAAAATATGCTTAAACCTGAAAATCTAAGAGTATCTTACAGCAAGATCCTTGGCATAAGAGCAGGCATCGCTGATGTCCCAGCCGAGAAGCTCTTCTTCTTGTCCAGAAATATCATCAGCTTCAGCAGCTTCAATGATAGCATTGGCTTCGCGCTTGTTCATGCACTCAGATACGTAGTTGTCGACATGTTTCATTGGGTACTTCTTAAGGGCCTTGTTGAACTTCTTGGCAACCTTGGAATTGTCGATACCAGCGGCATCCGAGTCAAAAGCGGCAAGTCGATCTTGAATTTCAGCTTGATTAAGAAGACCAATGTCAGTACAGGTGACTCCGTCGCCCTTGAAGTCAAAGTTGCAAGTGCAAGTCTGGGAGCCATCGGCATTATTGTCGCAAGAAGCGTTGGAATCGCATGGATTGCTTTCAGAAGCGCAGACATCGACGTGGCAAGCAACTTCGTCTCTTAGATCGCCAGTTGACCCCTCAACAGTTGTGGTGCCTTCGTAGAAACCAGCATTACAGGTGCATGAAAACGAGTCGCCTTCGTTGGTGCAAGTTGAATCGACTTGGCAAGGGCTGGTTGCGCAAGAGTCGAAGAAACATTCATCACCGTCGCCGTAGAATCCATCGTTGCAAACACAGCTTTGGGATCCGTCAATCTCGTTCGAGCAAGTGGCGTCGACATCGCATGGGTTAGCAGAGTCGCAAACATCAACATGACAGGCATCATCACCTTCGCTATCTTCACCGAGGTAGAAACCTTCGTTACATGTGCACGTGTAGCTATCACCAGTATTGGCACAGGTTGAGTCAGCCTGGCATGGGCTTAGAGCGCAAGAATCGACGAAGCACTCATAGCCATCCCCGTAGAATCCATCGTTACAAGAACAGCTTTGTGAACCATCGTCATTATTGGAGCAAGCAGCATCAGCGTCACATGGGTTCGCGGAGGCACAGACGTCGATGTGACAAGCAGCTGGATCGTCCCAGGTAGAACCTTCGCCGGATCCTTCATATGGAGCGTAACCGAGGTAGAAGCCGTCATTGCATGTACACGTATACTCATCACCAACGTTGGCGCACGTTGCGTCATCTTGGCAAGGGCTGAGGGCGCATGAATCAACAAAACACTCGTATCCATCACCGTAGAAACCGTCGTTGCAGGCGCAGGATTGAGAGCCGTCCGGATTGTTGAAGCAAGCAGCATCGACATCGCATGGATTTGCGGAGGCACAGACATCAACATGGCATGCATCAGGATTTTCCCAGGTTGAGCCCTCTCCAGATCCCTCGTAGGGTGCAAAACCGAGGTAATATCCGAAGTTGCATGTGCAGGTGTAATCATCACCGATGTTTTCGCAAGCAGAATTATCCTGGCACGGGCTAAGGGCACAGGAGTCGACGAAGCATTCGTATCCGTCACCGTAGAAGCCGGCGTTGCAAGCGCAGCTGGTAGAACCATCAGCGTTGTTGGTGCAAGCGGCGTCAGCATCACATGGGTTGGCAGAATCGCAGACATCGACGTGGCAGGCCGCTGGGTCGTCCCAGGTGGAACCTTCACCTGAACCTTCATATGGAGCGTATCCGAGGTAGAAGCCTTCGTTGCAAGTACAGGTGAAGTCGTCACCGACGTTAGCGCAGGTGGCGTCATCTTGGCATGGGCTCAGAGCGCAAGAGTCGACGAAGCATTCCTCTCCATCGCCATAGAAGCCGGCATTGCAAGTGCAGGAGTTCTGACCGTTACCGTCCTCATCGGGAAGATCGACGGAGCAGGTAGCGTCGGCATCACAACCACCAGTACCAGCGGCACAGTTGTCTGGGACGCAAAGAGAAGCATCACCGTTGAAGTCGAAGAATCCAGCGGAGCAGGAGCAGACGTGGGAGTCACCATCGGCGGTGCAATCGGCGTTATCAGCACATGGGTCAGTAGCGCAAGAGTCAAAGAAGCAAACGTCTTCGAATTCGGCGTCTCCGGAACCGGATCCTTCGATTTCTACGGAGGACTGGTAGTAACCGTCATCGCAGGTCCAGAAAGCGTTGCCGTCGGCGTCGACATCGCATGTGGAGTGGTCTGGGATTACGGCGGTGAAACAGGAATCAAAGCATGAGCCCTTTCGGTAGTCTTCTGGTGCGTAATCGATGAAACCTTCCTTACAGACACACTCGAAGTTCCAGCCTCGGATCTTTGTGCAGTCGGCATTGGGACCACAGGCAGACCAGTTGGCGACGTCTTCGGCGGTGACAGCGTAGTTGTAGTTCTCGTCATGTCCGAGGATGATAGTGCCTACTGGTGGCGTGTTGCTGCATGAGTCTGAAATATTTAAGTTGAAAGTCTATCTCTTAGTGAAAGTAATCTCTGATGTAATCAAGGCGTTTACTTTTTCTCGCTGCAGCAACTGCTATGACAGTCGCCAGGAGCTTCATCGGTAAAAAAGTTTTTTGTGTGTCAGCCGCGTTGAAAGAAACCGAATGAGCATATTTTCTAGAATTATGATGGTACTCGCGAACTAAGCCAAACGCCACCTAGGGATCATTTCCTGACTAAAAGAAATGCGTTTGTCTCGTGCTTCCACTTTTCAAAATACTCATAACTTGTTTGTATTTCAAACACGATCCATACTGAATTCGTCTTTCAAAAAACGTTACAAATAATTCTTCTAGTTTTGAGAAAGAGTAGGATGAGGAAGAGGATTTGCGAATCATTTACCTCGGGTACCCGATTTAATGCCGCCCAATTTAATGCCGCTTTTTTTGAAAAATCGGTAACCTGCAAATTCCAATTTAATGCCGCTTTTTTCGGAGAGGTGGTCGAAACTTTTCTGCATGTAGAACTACTCTGCAAAAAATGGAACTATTCTGCAAAAAGAAGAGCTATTCAGAATAGCCTATTCTGCGCTCAACAAAACTATTCTGCCGAATGCAGAACTATTAACGGTCCTTGCTCGCGACTTCTTGTAGGGAACTTATTTTTGAAGATGACGGACTTTCAGAAAGAGACTCTACTCTCGCGGCTTCTTTGATAGAAGTTGTTTTTCTTATATGCAGCACTATTCTGCATGCAGAATTATTTCGTCTGTAAATAGCCCTTTTTTGATTGTCCATTATGTTGTTTTGAGTAGTATCGCTTAAAATCAAAAGCAGTTAACAAAAAACTCTGTCTACAGACTCTTTTAATAACCAAAAATCTCGACCAAATCAATTCCAAGATCGATTCCAATTTAATGCCGGATTTTCGAAATTTTGGTGCCAAAAAAGCGGCAGTAAATCAGGTACCCGAGGTAATTCTAAACGTTATAAAAGGGGGGGTCACAATTATAACGGGCAAATGCTTCCCGCGGCACACAATTATAACGGGTTCAATATTCTTCCCTAGACTCACTAAGTTAACGGGTTTCAGATTCTCAAAATGAATTGAGCGAACTCAGTTGAACTTGAAATCGGCGAACCAATTGAATTTTGTTCTTGGCATTTCTAGAAAATCCAAACTACACTTCTAGAAAAAAACGAAGAGCAAGTTTGCCATGGGCGCTCAATTCATTTCGCGAATCTGAAACCCGTTAACTTAGTAAGCCCAGGGAAGAATATTGAACCCGTTATATTGTGTGGTAATTGTGTGCTTCGGGAAGAATTTGCCCGTAATTGTGACCCCCCCTTTTATACGTAAAAATGAATGGTCATTCGATATGTGGAGGCAATATTTTATTGAAAAATGAGGCGCTCTCTGTATTCTTGTCCATGCATGAAAATACTGATTTCTCAATTTTATTGCCTAAAAGAACCTAAAAAGAAATCTATATTTTTCTATTCGCAACAATGTGAGTTTTTAATAAATTTATTGCTCAAAATCTCAGCTACATTTCTTTATTTTAGAAATCACAATATTTTGACAACACAATAAAAACGCAAGAAAGTATTCTTGAAATATGTTTATTGAACATAAAGGAGTAGTTGATCTTGTGAGGTAAGTTAATTTATCAAAAATTTGCGGATTTCAAATTCTTGATAACAGAAGGAAAGAGAAAATTAGCATTTGAGGGCGGCGTTGACCTTGCTCGAGAACTGCTTGAGTTTCTTTTCGACCTTCTTCATCTTCTTTCGGAGGTTCTTGTTTTCTTTCTTGAGGTCCTTGGCATCAGCGTTAAAGTTCCACTGGTCGACGCAGGCCCATCGCTTCAGGAATCGGTTGTTGGCGGTCTAAAAATTTAGTCAGAAACAGTAACTCTTTTAAAGTTCTTACAGCAAGATCCTTGGCATAAGTAGGGTCCACGCTCAAAAAATAGCTACCCGAAATAATGCTCGTATAATTCCAAAAATTAGATATGAAAGACAACTATAAAAAACAAGCATTTTGACACTTGAACAAAAAAAATCTATAAAAGGGTTGAGAAATTATGAGGCCACAAAGTGGGCGAAAATGCAAAATCACCCAAGAACACCCGTTTTTAAAAATTTAAAATGTTAAAAATATGAAATTTTGTATAAATAATTCGAAACTGAAATCTGTTTTTTGGAGGATGGCCTAACTTTTAAGAAATCGACAATTTTTCGTAAATTCTGAGCCATTTTCAAAGAGCGCGCGGCGCGATGCCTCAGGCGCTGCAAGGGTGTCCACAAAGAAAACAAATTTTCTTTGATATAAAATTTGGCTTTTCTCTTTTTCTGCCATAATAAATGTAAAATAAAATATTTTTAAGGAATGAAAACATAAAATTTAACTAAAAATAACTTTCATTAATAACAATTTAATAAAAACTCGGTTCTTCTAAATTAAATTTAAAAATCTAAATTCTAAAAATGTTTATCCCTCTTTTTTTTGTCACAGCCCCATCCCTGGCTTTTAAAATTAAATGGGCTTGACGGCCCTTCGGGCCGTCTCAGCCCCATCCCTGGCTTTTAAAATTAAATGGGCTTGACGGCCCTTCGGGCCGTCTCAGCCCCATCCCTGGCTTTTAAAATTAAATGGGCTTGACGGCCCTTCGGGCCGTCTCAGCCCCATCCCTGGCTTTTAAAATTAAATGGGCTTGACGGCCCTTCGGGCCGTCTCAGCCCCATCCCTGGCTTTTAAAATTAAATGGGCTTGACGGCCCTTCGGGCCGTCTCAGCCCCATCCCTGGCTTTTAAAATTAAATGGGCTTGACGGCCCTTCGGGCCGTCTCAGCCCCATCCCTGGCTTTTAAAATTAAATGGGCTTGACGGCCCTTCGGGCCGTCTCAGCCCCATCCCTGGCTTTTAAAATTAAATGGGCTTGACGGCCCTTCGGGCCGTCTCAGCCCCATCCCTGGCTTTTAAAATTAAATGGGCTTGACGGCCCTTCGGGCCGTCTCAGCCCCATCCCTGGCTTTTAAAATTAAATGGGCTTGACGGCCCTTCGGGCCGTCTCAGCCCCATCCCTGGCTTTTAAAATTAAATGGGCTTGACGGCCCTTCGGGCCGTCTCAGCCCCATCCCTGGCTTTTAAAATTAAATGGGCTTGACGGCCCTTCGGGCCGTCTCAGCCCCATCCCTGGCTTTTAAAATTAAATGGGCTTGACGGCCCTTCGGGCCGTCTCAGCCCCATCCCTGGCTTTTAAAATTAAATGGGCTTGACGGCCCTTCGGGCCGTCTCAGCCCCATCCCTGGCTTTTAAAATTAAATGGGCTTGACGGCCCTTCGGGCCGTCTCAGCCCCATCCCTGGCTTTTAAAATTAAATGGGCTTGACGGCCCTTCGGGCCGTCTCAGCCCCATCCCTGGCTTTTAAAATTAAATGGGCTTGACGGCCCTTCGGGCCGTCTCAGCCCCATCCCTGGCTTTTAAAATTAAATGGGCTTGACGGCCCTTCGGGCCGTCTCAGCCCCATCCCTGGCTTTTAAAATTAAATGGGCTTGACGGCCCTTCGGGCCGTCTCAGCCCCATCCCTGGCTTTTAAAATTAAATGGGCTTGACGGCCCTTCGGGCCGTCTCAGCCCCATCCCTGGCTTTTAAAATTAAATGGGCTTGACGGCCCTTCGGGCCGTCTCAGCCCCATCCCTGGCTTTTAAAATTAAATGGGCTTGACGGCCCTTCGGGCCGTCTCAGCCCCATCCCTGGCTTTTAAAATTAAATGGGCTTGACGGCCCTTCGGGCCGTCTCAGCCCCATCCCTGGCTTTTAAAATTAAATGGGCTTGACGGCCCTTCGGGCCGTCTCAGCCCCATCCCTGGCTTTTAAAATTAAATGGGCTTGACGGCCCTTCGGGCCGTCTCAGCCCCATCCCTGGCTTTTAAAATTAAATGGGCTTGACGGCCCTTCGGGCCGTCTCAGCCCCATCCCTGGCTTTTAAAATTAAATGGGCTTGACATAGGCCGTCAACTCTACCCGGCTGATTTTGTTTAGCCCAGCCATGTCCCCAACCCCACCCTCACCCGTATTATTAGTTTTTCTTATTTTTCATTTATTTTTTTATATTATGGTCTTTACAAAACAGAAAAAAATTTCTAAATTTTCTCAAAATTTATGACTTTGTTGAAAATTTATTCTTTTTTTAGTTTTTTCATCATATTTTTCCGACTTCTTTATTATTATTTTATTTTAACTAATACTTATTTGAAAATTATGAATTTCTGAAGAAGTTTCGTCGCGGCCACCCTTGCGGTGCCCTTAGGCGGTCGCGCGCTCAGCGAGCTGCGCGCCGCTGATTTTCGCATTTTTTGCGCCATATTTACGGGATTACTGACGAAGAACTTCATCCTCCAAAAAATTTATGGTCGATTTAGGGTTAAAAAAGGGCTTCAATTTCCCCTGTGTTGATTAAAAATTTTTTCGAGTCGTTCTTCATGGTTTTCTGGGTGTTTCTTCGTCATAACTCCTCAACCCTTTTTTATATCGGGTTGAAATTTTGTTTATTTTACTCTTTTCTTCGAGATCTTTAACTTTTATATTGATGAAAACAGCCCAAAAGCAATATTTAAAAAGTTTCATTTTTTGAGCGTGGACCCTAGGCATAAGAGCAGGCATCGGAGATATCCCATCCAAGGAGTTCTTCTTCTGCGGAAATGTCGTCAGCTTCAGCTTCTTCGATGAGAGCATTAACCTCTCGCTTGTTCATGCACTCAGACACGTAGTTGTCGACATGGCTGGTTGGGTACTTGCCCATGGCCTTGTTGAATTTTTTGGCGATCTTGGGATCGTCGATACCAGCTGCGTCAGAGTCGAAGTCAGAAAGTCTAGCAAGGATCTCGGCCTGGTTCAAGAGACCAATATCGGTACAGTCGACACCGTCACCCTTGAAGTCAAAGTTGCAAGTGCAAGTTTGGGAACCATCAGCGTTGTTGTCGCACGAGGCGTTAGCATTGCATGGGTTAGAGGCAGAATCGCAGATATCGGCATGGCAAGCGACCTCGTCTCGGAAGTCTCCAGTAGATCCTTCAACGGTCGTGAAGCCTTCGTAGAAACCGGCGTTGCAAGTGCAAGAGAACGAATCACCTTCGTTGGCACAAGTGGAGTCGGCTTGGCATGGGCTGAGGGCGCAGGAGTCAACGAAGCATTCAATTCCGTCACCGTAGAAACCGGCGTTGCAAGTGCAAGTCTGGGAGCCATCAGCGTTGTTGGCGCAGGAAGCATCAGCATCGCAAGGGTTGGCGGAAGCGCAGACATCAACATGGCAGGCGTCCTCGTCTCTCCAGTCTCCGGAAGAGCCCTCGACAGACACGGTACCGTAGTAGAAACCAGCATTGCAAGTACAGGTGTAGTCATCTCCGTCGTTGGCGCAAGTGGAGTCGGCCTGGCATGGGCTGAGGGCACAGGAATCGACAAAGCACTCGTATCCGTCACCATAGAAGCCGGCGTTGCAAGCGCAGCTGGTGGAACCATCAGCGTTGTTGGTGCAAGCAGCATCGACATCGCATGGGTTGGCGGAAGCGCAGACATCGACGTGGCAGGCTGCTGGGTCGTCCCAGGTGGAACCTTCACCGGAACCTTCATATGGAGCGTATCCGAGGTAGAAGCCTTCATTGCAAGTACAGGTGAAGTCATCACCAACGTTAGCGCAGGTGGCGTCATCTTGGCATGGGCTCAGAGCGCAAGAGTCGACGAAGCATTCCTCTCCATCGCCGTAGAAGCCGGCGTTGCAAGTGCAGGAGTTCTGACCGTTGCCGTCCTCATCGGGAAGATCGACGGAGCAGGTAGCGTCGGCATCACATCCACCAGTACCAGCAGCACAGTTGTCTGGAACACAGAGTGAAGCATCACCGTTGAAGTCGAAGAATCCAGCGGAGCAGGAGCAGACGTGGGAGTCACCATCGGCAGCGCAGTCGGCGTTGTCAGCGCATGGATCGGTAGCGCAAGAGTCAAAGAAGCAAACGTCTTCGAATTCGGCGTCTCCGGAACCGGATCCTTCGATTTCTACGGAAGACTGGTAGTAACCGTCATCGCAGGTCCAGAAAGCATTGCCGTCAGCATCGACATCGCAAGATGAGTTGTCTGGGATGACAGCGGTGAAGCAGGAATCGTAGCACGAGCCCTTTCGGTAGTCTTCTGGGGCGTAATCGATGAAACCTTCTTTACAGGCACACTCGAAGTTCCAGCCTCGGATTTTGGTGCAGTCGGCGTTGGGGCCACAAGCGGACCAGTTGGCGACGTCTTCGGCAGTGACGGCGTAGTTGAAGTTCTCGTCATGGCCGAGGATGATGGTTCCCTCTGGTGGAGTGTTGTTGCATGAGTCTAGAAAATCGGTTAATCTTAGTTTTGTCTCTGAAATTCTCACCTTTTCGTGCAGCAGCGAGGGTAACAACGGTGGCGAGCAACTTCATTTTGAAGTGTTCTCAATTTTTTCGCGTCGAAGAAATTGACTGACGAGAGCAGATGGAGATAGGGTTTTACTCAAGCGCGGGTTTGAAAGCGCCACCTAGGAAATTCCATATTCCAGCGTTCGGAATAAGGCGCCCTCCAAATAGTACCGTACTCATCGATCATTATGATATGATAACCATTTGAATGAAATCAAAGTTAAAATGGAATTCAATTTTAAAATTTTGCTCTATTTTTCCATTAATAAATAATTTTTTTTTGATTTAGGTTACACCCTTTTCTATATCATGTATATTGTTTAATATATATCTACCTATGGTATGTTGTTTTTTGGCGGACATCTGTACGCAAAGAACGTGGTAACTAGAGAATAATTCAGTTCTTTATGTGGCTTAATTTATCCAGCATAAATAATTAAGTTAAATTTATTGATGTTAAATTCAAATGTTATGAAAATGAATCTTTGAGTTTTACCAAAAGCTTTATAACATTTCCCTCTCGTTAGTTAAGCAATTATTTTGACGACAGAACTTGTCTGACCCAACAACAAACTTGCGCACAATTCTGAGAAGCAGCGTTCGTGCTTAGCATCAAGCTCTTGAAAATTAGGATGACGCGCTGAGAGTAAACGGAAGAGCGCGTTATACGTTCCAGACCTCTCCTGTATTTACGAAGCACGAAATTTGCATCCTTATCACAATCCTCAACGATAAGAGCGAGCGATGCGATAATCGGCTTTTGTCGATAATGAAAGTCGGTGTTATTCTAATTTATGCCACGTGGAAAGTGAGGCATCTTTATCAGCCGAATATACGTAAAATTTGGATATCCAATTTACGGTAAAATATAGAAGCATGAACTTTCGTTTTCGTAACTGAGCGGAAGCGGTTCCCGAAAATAGAAAGAACATCGTATTTTGCGGAAAATACCCTGCTGATGCTTGCGGCCGGGCGTGGCATTCTCAAACATGCCACTTTTGCATGGGCTGATCCATATCTCCCGAACACGGGAAAAATGGTAAGCGTTTCCGACCACAGTCTGCTCTTTATCTTGCCAGCACAAGGGTACTTTTAAAAGGTACTTTGCATTAAGCGTTCCCAAGATTGGACGCTTTAAAGTGCAGGTGATCCTTTCTTCTGAAATTCCAAGGGTTCGGGTACTTATGCACTAGCAGCGCTTTGAGGAGATGCGGGTTATGGAAATTTGAAACTTCTTGACTTTTTGAATAGCCTGACTCAGAATCTTTTCGAAAAGCTATCTTTTCTCAAGACTTAAACTAAGTGCTACAGGATCTCTTCCCAATAAAAATGATTTTGAGGCCCTTACAGACAAAAAAATAAGGTCAAGTTGGTCCACTTCCTTTTTGTTGAGAGGAGAGGCCGAACTTGAACTCTCCATATCACGATGTCCTCGAGACTATGACCCCAAAACACGTTAAAAAGCGTTTACGACTTTCATTTTAGCCCAAGCCTGCGTCAATTTCTCCTAAAATGCGTCATTCGATTTCGTTTTTTTATTTTTATTTGTACTTTTTGAGCAGTGATACAGGTATTCCTCGCAAAAAAGAATAGCTACTAGTCAGTTTAGGGATCGTGATTTTGGTTTGAAGTTTCTAGAGCTCCATGTCATCGTCATGTTGCTCTTCTTCTTGCTCCTCTTCGACTTCTGGTTCCTTTTCTTCTTTGATAGTGCCGCTGCAGGACTCTAAAAGAGAGTTTTAGAAAAAATAAAACTTTAATTGGAAATTAAGTGCTCTTAAAATAGGCTTGTCTGAGCCAGCTATTTATTTTCCCTACTTGAAACTAATTAATGAGACACGTTTGTTCTCGAATAATTTAAAAAAAGTAAGAAAATGTCTGACTCAGTTGATTCTTTTTGAAAAGGTTTGTTGAACAAACTTCCTGGTTTCGGGAATATTTAGCCCAAAATGATCGGCCCGTTCGTACGAGGATGTCATTTTGTTTTCATTCCGCGAAATGACGCTCTGTTGGTTTTGATATGGTTACAAAATACAGGGCAATTTTGTCTTTCTCAAAATCATACGTAAAAACTAATTTGATTTTCAGAGTTCAACTCGTGTTGCTGATTGAAAATGAATAGATACCGATAGTATCGTTGTTTTCGGCTCATCATATCAAGAAAATACCGTGACTCAAGCCCGAAATTGTCAAATTTATCAAAATTTAAAGCTCAATTTCAGAAGTTTTTCCTTCGTATTTTAGTTTTTCACAACGAGTTCCGTTAAATCAAAGCCGATTTTACCTGTAGCAAGTGGAGAAGTCGGGGTGGTAACACCTGGAATATTTGGCAGGTTTGGTTTTCCCTAGAAACAATTGTAGAACGTTTTTAAGCATAATTTGTTAATTGAAGAGTTTAAACAAAACTGTCTTATCTTCACAAAATCAAAATTGTCAAGGAAAAAGAGAGAAAAGTAGCTCTCCCCTAGCATTCTTACCTTTGAAGCTGGAGAATGCTTGAGGTGGAGGAGGAAGTCCCGGTCGTAGATGATCTTAGTTCCACCGGGAGTGAAGGCGAACATGGTTCCTCCGGGAGTTTCAGCGGCGTTTTCTGGCAGTTCGGAAGCGCTGTTCACCTGAAACACCATCTTCGTCAAAAAGAAATTATCACGTGATCTCACCTTAACTCGTTTAATCTTCATGGCAACCGACATCTTCAAATCGTTAGTTTTCTTTTTAGATTTCAAAAAAGAATCAGAAACCGCTCTCTTTTGAAATTAAATCAAAGTCGTTTTCTTTTTTCTTTCTGTTTTGCCTTCTGACAATAAGAATAAAATTCTGCTGAGGGCCAATGGGCGCCCGGGTGACTTGTGACCAAGGCAGGTAAACTGTGTGGTCGCGTGTGTGTCACGGGTTCGGAAGATGGTGAAAGCGCGTTACGTAATAGACACCAAGCACGTCTGGAACGAGGCTCTACGGCGGATCTAGAGAGTTTTTGTTGATTTTCATGATGTTTATTAGACATCGCAGAATGTACAGACTTGACAAGAAAATAGACATTGTCTTTAACCCTATCTCGAGCGCGAGCGCATCTTCATGCGCTCGTGGTCTAGAAGATTTTTTCGCAAATCTAACCACTCACAATGGATTATTCTTGCCTAAGACGCGCATGTTGGTGTTTTCTAGGTCTCGGAGACGTGGAAAATAAGCCATTTCAAGAGAAATTGCCTCTATTTGGCATCTGGCAAAAAATCTTCTAGACCACGAGCGCATGAAGATGCGCTCGCGCTCGAGATAGGCTAATTTTAAGCGCTCGAGACCTAGGGTCGGCACCGACCCGACCAAAAAACCCGACCTGGTCGGAAATGGTCGGGTTTTTATGGGCACCAACCAGCCCGACCTCAGATTTTGTACCTCGATTTTGGATGGTCGGCTTTTGGTCGGTTTTGGTCGGTTTTTTTGTGTCTTTTGGTCGGGTTGGTCGGTTTTTGGTCGGTTTTAACCTACGCATTTTAGCGATTTTTTTTTATTTCTCTCCGGCGACAAGAGAAAAATCGACGGCGAGTCCGGGCTAAAGCTTTTGAAAATTTAACTTTTCATGGCAAATCGACTGTCACAGTAAAATGCTTCGATCCGAGGCCCTCGAGGGCTGTGTGCGATAGAAGAATGTTGACAAATGTTAATTTTGCTCTTTAAAAAAACCGACCAAAAAAACCGACCGAAAAAGCCGACCCGACCGACCAAAACGACCACGGATTCGGCCTCTTTTCACGGGGACCGACCAAACCGACCACGAAAAATGGTGGTCGGTGCCGACCCTAGCTCGAGACAGGGTTAAGTTCTTTCAAAAACATACAACATCACGAAATTCACGCTCCTCTGATAACGTAGATCCCATCGATGTTAGACAGAACGATTGGATTTGTTGAATCTTCGACGATAATTTTGTGTCTTATTTGAGTTCGAAACCTTCTTTAATCTTATATTATCGATTATTCTAAAACTCATGTCTAAGAATCGCTGTCTCCCGAGAAGCACTCCTTCGTTTTCTACTGTTGCTTGTCAAAGATGAAAATAATGCGTCATTTCCGACGAGAGAGCAGTTCGAGACTCCATTGCAGAAGACATTGTCGTAGACATCACAAATTAATTGGGAGAACTGAAATGAAGCCGTGTTTTTCTGAAATCAAGGAGGAGAACTCGCCTCAAAGTGAATTTCTTGTGAAGTTGTGAATCTGAAAACTTTCCACTTGAAAGTCCGACCATTCGTTGAGACTGAATCAGTGCTGAATTGAGCACATCCATCAGTTACTAAAAGTTTTCGTTCCATCTCTTTTTCTTTAAGAAAATCTCTCTTACCTAAAGAAATCTCGTCAGAAGAGCTAGAGGTCGCTTTAATTTTGATGGAGTCAATACGCATCCCAAATCCCTTCTCCAACTTGTCAAAATCAATTACGATCTCACTCCCGACTTGAATCTTTGAGAGCGTGTTGAGATCACAAGTCTGGGAGCTGGTATACTCGCAGAAATCGGGCGACCCGAGTTCGGAAGGAATGACCAGAGATGTTTTGTTAGTTTGTTTAATATCATCGATGCTCTTAATCGTGATAAGCAGTTTTACAAAGAGGAAAAATTTACCAAAGTTATATTGCTCGAAAAGTCGGAGTCGACGGAACAAGTGAATTGAAAAGGAGTAAGAGTCAGGGCATCAGTCAACTGAAATTATTGAAAATGTCTAGCTTCAGAATTTCAACTTACATTGAGTCTCTCCTCGACCGCAAAGTTTAACGTAAAATCAATTTTCGATAGGTCTTCTTTAGCTTTGCTCGTAACTCCGCATTCATCAAAATTAACTTCGAAAAAATTTTGGTCTCGAATCTTATTTTACTTTGAACCTGATTTAGACGATATTATATTATTTTGGGAGCAAGGCGTGTCAAAGACAATTCTGTTCGTAAATTCCGCCCTGTTAAAAAAGAAGTCGAAGGTATTCTGATCAAGAGTGAGATTGAAGTTCATTTCAGAACAGTCCAAAGAGAAGATCGGATGGCTTAATTTATGAAGAAAAACGTAAAAGAATCAAAATTAACCTTGTTAAAGTCGCTGCCGTGAGGTCAAACTGAAATCCCTTAGTCGTAACCGTCTCGTCACTCTCAAACAAAATCGTGGCAGAGCCACCTTGGATGGATAAGGTTTCGAATTCGGTCCCGCAGAAAGTTTTCGGGATTCCTGTGCCGTCCGTTATTTGCACATAATCAAAGCAATTGCCGGTATTGGTACTCCTGCTCTCGAGCTGGAAGTTTTGTTTGACAATGTTGAAGCCAACAACGTCGCCAAGCTCGATAGTCCAGACACAATTGAGATCGTTAAAATACGCGAGGCAATCAGAATCGAAGCCGGGGGAAGTGATCGTTTGAAAATCGCTGATGTTTCCCCCACATGTTGTTGATCTTGCAGTTGTTGATATATTGGCGTCCTCACAGCTTGTGTTGTGGTCAATTCGGCAAGAGAAATAATAACCTGCATTGCAACTCCAATCGTGCCATTTATGCGAAGACTGGACAGAACCAAGAACAGGAAGTGATTTTATGGATCTGGGTTTTCATTGGCCGGTAGTAAAGTAGGCCAGAAAAGGATGAAGTCTTCAGATCCTGTTCAAACTTTCAGAGGTCATTACAGTGGGCCTTTGTAAAGTGAGTTTCAAAAACTTTCTGACTGAGAAAAACAGTAAAACTTGAATACTAAAACCCCGCCTACGCAAAAAAGTACAGTTTTGAATACCGATTTCGGAGGTCTTCCCCTCAACTTGCCTACTTGTATTGGGTATCAAAATGTTCGCCTCGTCGAGATCTATCAGAATCTGCAATAAAATTTGCTGAAATGAGACTTTACTTTTTTCTTGGCCTACCCTAGCCGGTAGGCCAAATACAGAAAGCTTATTAGTCTTCCAAAAATGCACTACCTTTTCTTGGTTTGTGCTAAAATAATTGCTGCTATAAGTGCAATCTTCCCCGCTGCTCGGCTGTCCACTAGCCCAATTCAAAACAGTGCTCTCAACACCATTCATATTTGTCCAGGTGCTTCCATTTGTAAGTTGGATTCCGACCCACTCGTTTCGATGACATCTTACAGCGTTGTAGGCATCCAATTCTTGCTCGTTATTGAAAAATGGCAAGTCACCTCCTATTTCTTGGCATCTTTCCTGAGCAGTTGAAAAAGCAAATGTTGAAACGCCCATGTTTCGGAACTCGACACAAGCTGCTGTTGTCGTTGTCGTTGTCGTTGTCGTTGTTGTTGTCGTTGTCGTTGTCGTTGTCGTTGTCGTTGTCGTTGTAGTTGTAGTTGTTGTCGTTGTAGTTGCAGAAGTGCACAGAAAAAAATACGAAAAAATAAACCTTAGCCTCATTTTCTCTGACGAAATCTCACAATGTGGCGTTAAAATTGGTAAAAATCGTAAAAAGACAAGAAAAAATCACATAACAATAAATAAAATCAGTAATAAAAGTCACGCTCGCGAAAAATAACTCGTTTGATATGAGTAGGGTTTTAAGATCTGACAAGCAAATTTCGACCAAAATAAGATCGTCAATATGTAGATGGTTGACTTCGTTAATAATCACAAGTTTGATTGTAGAACGTTTTCGATTTTATTTCAAATCATCATCAGTACTAATTAAAGTTATAAGGAAGAACATTTGTAAAATACCTCTGTTTATGAGAAAGCGACCTTACGCTAACTGAAATCAAAAACGCTTGTTTTCGCCTTCTCGCGTTTTTGATTTCAGTTAGCGTAAGTTCGCTTTCTCATAAACAGAGGTATTTTACAAATGTTCTTCCTTATAACTTTAATTAGTACTGATGATGATTTGAAATAAAATCGAAAACGTTCTACAATCAAACCTGTGATTAAGATCGTCAATAAAAATTATGATTCTGACTAATTCGAGGGGCTTTTTTCTTCTGAATATACATAAATGATGACGAGTTCGAAATGACGTTTTTCCCAAAAACTTGATGATGGATATAAAAAGCTGAACACGCTCTTGCCCGTTCCAATAAAAACCGGAATTGAAAGCGTCCGTGTGCGTTGAATTGTGGAAAATGTACTTCCGACAAGAACCGTCATTCATGCTCTGTTTAACGGGGTCGGAAGAGAATTGAATTTGCTTCGTCTTGCTGAGCAAATTGGAGGAGCAAACCGCGACGATAAAAGAGTGCGTAGAAACTACTGTTTCTCGATACAGTAACAGAATTAGGGCAACAAAATTCAAAATTCAAGCGAAAGCTTTTCAAAAACATTGCCTATCTGATGGTGTTCTTCCTTGATTTCATTTTTTCTAAACCTGAAAATCGAGTTTCCCGAAAATGTAAAGAAACGAAACCTCAGAAATCGCCATATTTCCTGATAAGCAATCACCATCTTATCACCTCCTTACTGTATTCATTTTTATTTCCGATCAATACAGCCTCAAAAACCAGCTCCGCAACGTCTCCTTTGACCTCGATAACAATCCCCTTACTCATCAAAAAAGACCAAACACACCTTGCCGATTAAAAAAAAATCAGTTGAAGTAAAAAAAACCGTGACGAAACCGATTTCTAGGCACACGCCGAGCGCCCCTGACCTTGATGAAAGAAAAAGATCAGTCAAAAATGATCAATCATTTGATCTTTCATCTTCAGGTGGGGCAAAAATGATTGATTTACAATTTATAAGTGAGCAAAATTTAATTTGAAAATTATTGATCATCATAAATATTCTCGAGAAAACAAACATGCAATAAAAAAGAGAGTAAGCAGGTGGCGATGAGTGTAAATAGCAAGTTCTGACTTTCGATGACATTTCGGAGCTCATAAATTAGCGAAATCAACGAGATTTTTTGAGATTTTCAGTCATAAAAACTAAATCGCCGGTTTGTCTACCCGGAATCGTCGAGAAGACAGTGACGATTCAGGCCTAAGATTGTTAATGAAGCTCTTTTTTTGAACATCAACGATGATCAATTCTGACAAAGACCAGGTCAAAAATAAGTTGACCTTGAGATACAGCGATAAATCCTGACCTTTCTTCCTGAGTCCGTGAGTGAACAGTAAGAGTCTGATGTTTGCGTTTTGAATATTCCACAAGAGAAGCTCGCCAAGTTCTATTTACACGGCAGTTTGTCTTCATGTTGGTTTTTAGCTCTTGTCTTCGAAACTTCAGAAAAGCTCGAGTGGCTCTTCCGACTTTTTATTTCGACAAAAGTAAATAGCCATTTTCCCGTCAGAAAAAAACTTCAGTAAAACTTCATCTGATATTTTTTGAATCTGAAAATTTGAATTTTATTTTTTCATGATAAATATATTTAAGGTCAAAATTGAAAAATTCTTAACGAAATTTTGACGAAATTTTGTATAATTTTCATCGAAAAAGCCCTCTTTTAACGACCTTGATCACCTTAATCGACCTAAAAGACCTTGAACAAGCCTTAGTCTCCTCCAAATTTAATATTATCCTCGTAGAGACATTCTGTTGAATCCTGCTGTCGCCAATCAACAAAAAAGATCCTCCCCAGACGGCGGCATCAGCTGTTCAACGAGGCAATTTGCGCCGAATCGCGCGCAGCCGCATTTTCGCACTCTCGCGCCCTCACTCGAGTACGGAGGAAGAACGGGAGGGGACTATGGGAGTCCATTTTAATTATTTCTGACAAACCAAAAAAAAAATACCGAATCCAAAAGAATTTTCTACAAGAGAGATAGAATGTACGGTACTTTACCGAAATCAACAAGGACTAAAACGAAATTTACCAAAGAAGATTACGCGAAACTAATCGTCGAAAAAATCGTCAAAGAAAAAAGCCAAGTAAGTTTCTCAATGAAAAAATTTAAAAAAGGAACATTTAAACAATAATTTATTTTAATAAATAATTTAGAAATTTATCAGATTTCCTAGTGCAATCTTTGTTTTTCCTGACTTCTTTCACTACGAATAATTTTCAGGGCATTTTTGATAGGTTCCAACGGTCCTGAACTTTTTTACGCGCCAAAATCAGCCGCAATAAAACAATAACTCCCTTCCTCATATTTTCCCACTCGGCATAAAATTTCCCTATCCACCCGGCAGCGGCCCCGTTCCCAGGCGGATTTCGCGGCCAGTGGGGTTGTGTTAATTTTCAATTTCGCGATCTCGCCGGTGACCTTATTCTCAGAACCTCGGACAACAATTTTGTTTATCAAACCGTTCTTTCTTTATTATGCAAATTTAAAGCCATCTAATTTGCATATTAATTGAGCCTCAATTCATTTTTTCAACGGCCCTCCTCTTTCCAGCTGATAGAAATATTGACCAGCTCAATATCGAGTCGCGGTTTTTGACGAAAAAGCCACTCCAAACATATTCTATAAACATTTATTCAATTTCGTTGATCACAAAAGTGTGATCAAACTAGCAAATTTGGAAGGCAAATAAATCTTCGCTCTAGCAACTGTGATATAAATAAACAACAGGCGTCATAGAATTTCTAATTGCAGCTTTTTTGGGGGATTTTTAAGGGAGTTTCTTGTCAAAAAAATGAAATGAATAAGGGTGTCACTATGTTAAATTTGAACCAAAAAGACATTAGCCCTTTCCAATTATTGCCAATAATTAATAAAAGAAAACACCGCAGAATGATTTTTCCCACCCAATTCTTTCATTGAATTATTGATATCGCTCTGACAAAATGCTTTACATAATTTATAGGAAACGATTTCAACCCTGCTCTCCTGCTGCCAGCTTTACACCACCCCGCTTTTGATCATTCGCGAGTTGCGCCATCTCTTCAACAATCACTCAAACAGTAACAAGTCTACTGTAATGGCAAAATGCAAGACTGCTCAAATTGTGAGTACCGCGAATTATCACACGATCCGTCGCCCTCGAAAAGTGCCAAAGGAGCCCAAAGCTGACGATGAGCTCGAAGAGATCCTCCTCCAAATCAAAGATCTAAAGCTCAAGCTCTTCGATAGCCAATTAGAAGAACCGTACTCACGTGATTCCGGCATCGCTTCTTCCGTCATTTCGGACGATGAGCTCGTTCTTCCCGAAATTCCTCAATTGACCAGTTTGGACACAAGGTCGAGAATCACTGAAATCGTAGTCGATTGGATCAAACGAGAACCGATGGTTTTCGTCGACGACATCGTCTTCCACGTGATGCGCAAGTTCCTCGATGAAATCGTCGCCGCCAAGTTCTTGCCTCAAAATCAACGCGCGACGGTAGAATCCTCGATGAAAACCAACACCAGAGTCTCGACCAACTTCTTTTGCAAAATCACTCCTCTCAGCGAACCCATCACAAATCTCAAAAACTTCGACATCCAGAAAACTATCGGTCCACTTGCCGCGCACATCAATTTCATGGATGGGACTTTCTACAAGAATCTTTCCAGGGATGTTATTATTTCTCAGTTGGTTCAAACTGGGGTCAGACCAAGATGGAATTCTTACTTGAATTCGATGGCAAGGTAAGCAATCCTCAGAAAAATGAGAAAAATATCACTATTTTCAGGCTTAACTCCTTGATCTCCATCGCCATCCTCAAATCGTCCTCCCCACTCGACGCGGCAAAAATGATCGACCTGTTCATCATCCTGGCCTGCTGCTGTCGACGCGCAAAAAACTACAACGCAACTGTCACCATCACCACTGCCCTGCTTTCCAAGCCGATCCAGAGACTTTCAAAAACTTGGTCAAAGGTCACAGAGCTCAAAAACTTCGCCAGTTTAAAATTACTCGCCAATCCGTCGAACAACTTCCGATCCCTGCGAAAGGAACTCACGCTTGCCAGTTCGAAGGGAGAGATTCTAGCGCCGTATTTGACGCTTGTTGGAAAGGACGTTTTCTGGATTGCCCAGGGAGCGAATGATTCTCAAAGCATCCATGAAGTGGAATCAAGGACGAAAATGCTGGCGAGCGCGATTCCCAGACCGGCGAGGCGGATTCCAGAGCCCTGTCAGATCTGCAAAGGCGGACAGAACAGTGCGACGGAAAAGTGCAAAGTGATGGAAGTTCTGACGACGTTTACGATCTTCTCTGATGATGGTAAGTTTTTGAGACAAATTTTCGAGAGATTTTTTAAACGAATTTTTTTCCGAATCCCTCTTTGAAATTTCTATAAGCCCCTATTTTACACTTCAAAGAAAAGAGGCATTAGCGGCGTAATCATATTTTGGCGCGAAAAAGGAGTGATTCTTCAAAGACACGCCAGGGTGCCGCGAAGATTAATTCAATTTTCTGTCCGTTTCACGCTGAGGAGCGCGATGGGAAGTTGTAAAATCCCGAGTCCAAGCTAAAAATAAATTTCTTCGTTTTGTCCTCACAAACCCTTTGGTACGGCGAAATTTTTTAACGGCGGCTATAAAAATCAGTCAGTTTCATGGACAAGGAAATTAAAAATCTGTTTAAGTGCTGTATCATCTGTCGTACAAGATGGAGTCTCCGGTCAATTCGTTTGAAAAAGAAGAGTTCAAGTCGCTGAAGCCAAAGAAGAAGTCTGTTCGCTCGCTGAGAAAACTTATTCAGCTTTTAGTCTGACCTACCTGTAATTAATCTTATGTAAAGTTTTCCCAAAGAAATAAAGACAAAAGATTACCTCAGATTTTTCTTATGTTTTTTAGTCTTCAGTCGAGAATCGGTTAATTCTTTTCAATTAAAAAACGCCCTCCCCAATTGCCTCAATTTGAAATTCAACGCAGCGAAATTTCAAGTTGAAATTTTCGAAAGAAAAGAGAGAGAAAAAAAAGATGTCAGGTGTAAGCTTTGAAGGATCAAGCGGGGTTCAAGTTGGTTATTCTTCTTTATTCTTTATTTTGCTTTCCGAGCTCGCCGGTAAGAATGGAGTCAAAGAGGATTAACTTGACAAAAACTTCTAAATTTCAGTAATTCTCGTTCAAGTTCTTTATTTGCTCAAACCAGGGCACGAGAAATCGGGAAAGACGGAAGTAGCTGGATGGACAAAAGAACTGGCGATCAAGTTGAGGAAGAATCCGAGCCAGAAATCGGCAAATAAAAATCTTCTCAATCAGAACTGAACCCTTTTGAATCTGTCGCCAAGTTTCTGTCTCCTTCCTGGCGCCGAGATTCCTCCGGTCGGGTTCTTAGCTTCCAGAACTTAGAAAAATAAAAAGCAATTATTAAATTTTCACCCAATTTTCTTGTTTAATGTAGTTTATATTCTAACAATGTTTTGTTAAACAGGCTTATCAAAATCTTCTCTTTGGAACTTGAAATAGATGAAATCTCTTGTCCATTCGGAAAACTGTTTCTTCTCTTTGTTGTGTACTTCAGAGATATAAGATCGAAAACGAGCATTTTTGATTTTTCTCCCAAGCAGATTAGATTTTTTTCATCGGAGAAACATTTTTGAATCGCTTTCTATAATAAGGAGTTTCCCTCGATTTTTGTAAAATAACGTACTTTATACCTTCTTGAAAGCAGTTTTTCGAATTTTCTTTATGCTCTTTTCATTGCTATCAATTTTCGCAAAGTTCATCCTTTTCCGTTTTCTATCCAAATAAAAGGCAATGACGCCGCATTCAACCCGGTTGAAGCAAAAAGAGCTGAAACCAACCGCCGCTTCTCTTCCTTGTTTTCTTTGTCTTCGATAAACCGCTAAAACTGATATAAGCAAGCTGAATCTTTTCAGATGTAAGCTCAACCTGCGTTTTTTAAAGTAAGAAGACTGTTTTTCCCCGACGCAATGTTTTGGAACACAATTTTTCGGCTGTTTGCTTTATGGTAAATCAGGACAGAATTGACGACGCAGAAAGATTGACTCGCCATCGGATGAGCTTTTAGTGGGTGTGATGGGCTTTGAAGGACCTTGCGGTGCTTGACCTTCAATAGAGGTAAAAATGAAAAGTGATACGGCTGTAAAAAGCAAAAGGAGAAATTGAATATTTCTTATTGAAATATTTTCGAACCCATTTCGAGTTTGATCGTTTCTCCTTTGTCTCCGAAGATCGTCTCAAAAACTCCTCCATTCTTCTTAACTTTTATTTTACTTGACTTTCGAATAAAACTACCGATTCCGGAGTGTTCCATATTTTCCTTGTCAATGGATCAATCGACATCGAGCTAATTAGTGACTGATTTGTTGTTTTGAAGAGCTTCCAATTTTGCCTGTTTAATATTATGGTTGAATTTTGAGCATTTCTTGAGTCAAGCTAGATAATAAAATTCAACCCTTTTCTTCGGTTTTCTGCAGTTCTCGATGTCCAGTAAAGATTATGGGCGATAGTTTTTGAAAAAAAAGAAGAAGGCCTCCTAGGTTTATGAAAATCAGACACAGTTGAAATCCTCCGAGCACCTTTCTCTCCATTTTAGTTTGATACAGGTCCACTTTCTTTTCCACCGATTTGTTTTAAATTGGCACGTGCCTTTATACAGTATCTTTTGTGAATTAACTTTTATTGTACTTTCGAAAAGTGTCAATAAAGCGCAAAACATAAAAACAACAAGAAAACGAACGAACAAACAATCAGATTAGTAATGATATAATGGTGTTGCCGATGGCATTCCATATTTAGTACTGTCAATACTGTATCGGCAATACAGTATTGGCTTTCCAATATTTTTGCGAAAAATGCAATTTCGGTATTTTCGGTATCTTCCATAGAAGTTGAAGGTTTGGATAGAGGAGTAACTCTTATTATCGTTAGTTGATGGACACAAACGCCCAATTGAATTAAATATTCAGTAGAAAAGCGAACTGATTTAACGCGCTGAGGCAGATAAAAATCATATAAAAGAAGTAGAAAGCAAGAATGAGAGAAAGAGAAAAAGAGGGAATTATTTTTGAGCGGCTTTGATGACCGGAGACAACGAAGAGAAAGTGCAGCAAAATCAGCAGTTTTGGTGCAAAGAATTGAACAAAATTGAAATTTTATTTTGAGTTGATTATTAATTTTGAAAAAGTTCTTTAACTCAGCACAACATTGGTCAGGAAGGGCTTCAAAATAAGAATTAAATTTTGAGTAATTTAATAATAAATTAATGAGCCCAATTTTCAGTAGATTGGAAAAGTCAAAACCTCGCAAATTGTCTCAAAAAGTGACGCGCTCTTCTTTTCTTTTGAATCAAAATTCAATAAATTAAGAGCGAGTTTTAAGCTTTGAGATATTTGATCGGAGTTTGGTAAATTATGTCTGCGAGTCCAACTTCTCTTTCTCAATCACTTTTACTCATTCGTAATTTCAGCTACCTCATTTTGTGCCTTTCCGTTTTACTCAGGGTCTATCATTCAAAAATTTTATCAAAGAAAATTTCTTCGAATAATGATTGAAAGTTCTTCTGATGAGTTGCTGTGAAAGACCTCAACCGAGGGAGTCGAGAAAATGCTTCAGGAAGAAAGCGAATAGTAATTGGCAAACGGAGATTATCAGGACTGGTTTTGTTTTTTCAGATTTTCGAGGCAAAATACGATGAAAAAAATCCGATCAAAGAAATACGCTGACAGCCAGCCGCCTTGCTAATAACATCGATGACGAAAAACTTAGTCCTTCTGATAGCTTGGTCTCAATCAAATCAAACAAGAGCTACCAGGGATCAACGATGGAAGTCTACATCAATAAGTTTCATGAAAGTTCAGTTTGAAAATTTTATGAATAAAGCTGGTTTTTATTAGTACGAAGGCTTGTAGCAGTTTTGACTGATTGAGTTGAGAACGGGAATGTCTCTCATGATCGTTTCCTTGAGCGAGTCTTTTCCGCACTCGCTGTCGATGTAGCGGATGATGTCTGTTAGACTGTTCGAGAAATCGGAAATCGTTCGGGAGGTCGAAAAGTTGAGAAGAAAGCAGGGAGCCTCGAAGGTTCGGTAGATACTGAAAAGGGTCAATAAGTAGAAAAAGCAAATTGGTCGATCTTACCAGTGACGATCGCCATCTCCAACAACAGATAATCTCGTAATTTCAAGCAGAACTCTTCCAGCAACATGGCTGAACTCATCAAAACAGCTGTAATTTTCTTTTCTGAATTTATCCAGCCGAGCGAAGATGCAGACAAATGAGTACTTCACTTGGCACTCAGTAGGATTGTTGACAAAATTTGGCACGATCAAATTTTCATTAGGACAGTAGCTGAAAAATCATAAAGAAAATAAAGTCATTTTTTTCTACCTTGGAGGATTTTCGACAAATTCGGGAAAATGGACGATTTCGGTTATTTCCGGCTCGTAAGGTTGATAGGTGAAGGAATAAGTCGATGTAGTCGTCGATGTAGTGGTTGTAGTGGTGGTTGTTTTGTATGTTGTCGTTTTCTTCGTTCGTGTTGGTCGGGGAATATAGCCTGAGCCCGAGCCGCTACTATCGGATTCTGACACGAGAAAAGCTGGGGCGAGGAAGAAAGGAGGATTTTTTAGCGTGCGGTGGCGAAGGGAGAATTCTTTGGTATTGACTGAACTGGGGATTTTGTCGATTAGTTCGTTTAGTTTATAATCGTTGCAGTGCTTTTTTGTGTTCTTGAGAAATGAAAAGAATTTTTCGGCGGTCTTTCTCGCCGTTTTTGCTTCGAAAAAATCGCATGGAAGTTCATCCCCTCCGCATTTATCGTAAACATCGAAGAAATCGCTGATGTATTTTCCGATCACAAGATTTCCATAGTTCTCGTTTTTCAGAGTTCTTCGCAGGTTGTAGCCAATTTTGATGAAGCCGCAGTATTTCGCGTTTTTCTCTTCGATGATTTGGAAGTCGAACTTGATCAGTTTCTTTTTTCCGTATTTGTCCGTGACTGTATACCAGTCCTCTCCTTCCTTGATCTCTAGAAGCGCGGAACTACCGGTGTTTCCTGGATCCGAGTATTTATTTTTCTTTCCTGTTTCGTAGTCATAATCGTAGTCGTAAGCAAACGCGTTGAAAATTCCGAAAAATGCGAAAACCAACATTTCCTTTTCTCGAAAAAATGATAATGAGCGCTAAGAAAATGATGGAAGGCATACATATTTATCGACAATATCTAGTCGCGTTTTTAGAATGTCGCAAGCTGTGGTGGACAGCGCTTATCATCAGTCTGCTAGGCAAGCGAAAACTCAAATTGTGCGATTTTTATAAGAGGCTTTTTCAGAAGATTTTTCAGAAGAACTGACTTTGGAGAAGAAAAAATGAAGCAATAGAGAAAGATTTTAATAGTATAGAAAAGACATTTTTACATATTTACATCAATAATTTTGTCATTACAGTCATTTTCGTCGCAAAACTCTCTCCTCGCTTTCGCAAATTGGCCATTGTACCAGTCTCTACTGACCGATTCAAAGCCGGATTCTAGAGCAAAAGCAGAGCATCCACGATAGATTTCTTTTCCGGTTGTATTTCCCAAAGGTGCAGCATCAATACTGTAAGAAGAAAACGCTTCAAAACGGTCACAAATTTGTCTCGGACTTATTTTCAAAATCAATTATCCTCTTAAATTTGAATAAAAACTTTATTCCGACCGGTGCCTGAAAAGCATCCCTCTGAGAGATAAGGCGGGCAGACTTCTGATTCCAAATTATCTGATTCTTCGCAGTTAGCATCACCTTAATTTATAAACGTTTAATGATCCCAGCCGTTTTTCTTTATAACCTTCTCCATTGATATTAGCACACACCAAGCAAGTCTCGATTTTTCCTACGCTGTCAATTTCGCCAGCGCTTAGATCATTGTTACAGGCATGTCCACTACAGTATTTTTGGCAGTCTTTTGCTCGCCCGCCAGATTGCTCGTAATATTTACAGGTTGGTTCTTTCTCCGTTGATCCGGCGCAGAAACGGTCGATTTTGATTAGTTGGCGACCATTTATCGTCCAGTCGAAGCTCATTTTGTCCAGGCAGAAGCCAGAGCAGGGAATGAGGGAATCTGATGTTGGTTTGAAACAGTTGCTGCCGCTGAGTATCGCGCCTGTATGATCCCTTGTTTCTTGAAAAAGGGTTTAATACGTTGGGAGGGGTTTTGATTTAGTACCTGAGCAGACATGGCAGCTGTTTTCAATTTCCTTCAATTTGAAGCTGAAGACGGAAATTATTCCAACTTGCGCGAAAGTAAAAAGTTTCATGTCTATCTTCTGATAAAAATCTAACGTAACCATCCATCTTTTTATATGGCCAGACAAAGTGCACGACATTTGCGAAGTTAACCACCGCAATTTCAAGGAAATTTTGATTTGCAAAGAATCTTATGGAAAATTCCAGAAGGTCGAATAGAAGACGATTAAAAAGTAGAAATTTGCCCTCTGAAATTTACGGTCGTTCTGGTTCCTGATTCCGTACAAAGAAAAAAACTAGCAGAATCGGATCGTTGTTCTTCTTTTGTCGCTGGATTTTTGGCGAACAATTGCTTCCCTACTGCGCGAGAAAAATATAAAGAACAAGATTAAACGCCTCCTGCTCTGCTGGATGTCTCCACTTTTTACCGTTAGAAAAAGGGGACTCATGAATATGGAGATTTTGAAAATCAAGAACGACTAGAGCTAAAAAACGATGACGAGGAAAGACATGACGGCGAGTATACTGAAGTCACGGTTCAGAGAAAGACATAATTTAGTTTACGCGCCACAAAGTCTCTTTAGACCGATAATCTCAAATTCAGAGAAATGCTGATGAAAAAGATAAATGGTAGGGTGGCAAGAATTTTTATCAAAAACAAGCCAGAGCCTTTTGAATCGGAAATTGAGACTGCTTCTCTCCTGAGAAGCTGGCTCATCAGTTGAGGGCCCTTGATCGTAAGCGCTGTTTAAACTGGCTACTCTTTTCGAGCCTTAGAAGAGGCCAGCTTTTTTATTTTCAAGAAAATATTTTCTATCAAGCCAAGTTTTCCAAAGCAGCGCTTTTTGTCACTGGAAATGATGAATGAGCTAGGCAGGGGCCATCAACTCTTCTGAAGGTTTTTTCTTCTAATTTTTGAACCGTGAGAAAAGTCGCCGAGTTGGAGAAAGAGGCACAGAATGAGCCAGTTTGAGATTAATATTTCGCCTAAGAAGATAAACGGTAGGAAGAGAAGGAGTTTAAAATAAGATGAATTTGTTTCTAATAAAAATTTCTCATCAATTTAAAAAAAACCGGGAGCCGTAGATTCTGCTTTAGTTTTGGCTTATGCCGTCATTCCCGCCCTCCTGGGGCTGACCACTTTGACCAGTGTGTAATATGGGCAATGCTAAGCGCTAATCCTTTGAGATCCGATAAATACGCGATGGGCTCCCACGGTGCATCTTGCCGATAAAATTTACTAATGATAACTAATAAATAAATGATACAAATAAGTATAACTATTGAAAGAAAAGGGTTATTATATATCCTGAAGGGAGAAGTTCACTGATAATTTATCAGTGATAAAGCACCGAAACCAGATTTTTTTAATTTCCGTTATTTTCGTCAAATGCGATGCCATGTTTTGGGCAACTTTCGAAGCAATTCTGCATGCAAAATAGTTCTCATATAAGAAAAACGACTTTTGTCAAAGGAGGCGCGAGAGTAGAGAAACTTGGCCAGCTTCAGAAATGAGTTCCCTACCAGAACTTGCGCGCAAGGGCCGTAGACCCGCAGCGTGCTTTCGAACACTGAAACTTAGTCTCTAAATGAAGATAATTTTTTCGACACTATGCAGAATAGTTCTGCGAAGCGCAGAATAGTTTCACTTTTTGCAGAATAGTTCTGCATGCAGAATAGATTTCCTTCTTAATAATACCCATTCTGATTAGATCCGAAGATTTTCAGTTATTGAAATGCCGGAAATCTGATGGACCGTGCACTCTCTGTCGAGGAAGGCGCTAAGTCGCCCTGATGGAGGAGTAATGTGCCCACCACCAGGTGTAAACTCCTGCAGAGGCTTCTCCTTGGCCCAACTCGACGCAACGCTTGTCACAAGTTGAGCCGAGGAGTGTCACTGGATGAGTTAGCACATTTCGGTGGGCATGTTGCATCTTTTGTGCTCATGAACGCATAGCCTATCCGGGATAGGGAAGGTGATAGATCGACAAGTTTTATCGGCGAGATGCACCGTGGGAGCTCATTTCGTATTTATCAGAGCTCAAAGGATTAGCGCTTAGCATTGCCCATATTACACACTGGTCAAAGTGGTCCACCCCGCCCTCCTGACAACTGCCCTCCAAGCCACTTGCCTCACCTCAAATTACTGGTTCGAGCAGGTCATCGTTTCAACCAACACTTCCAGCATTCCTTTCGCTCAAGAAATTCACTTCGGCTTATTCCGACATTGCACCAGAAGGATTCCCCTCGGAGGATCAGAAAGGGAAGGATCAATTTGTCAAAATCTTGACAATGTTGACATCGGAAGAGTCGACGAAAAACTGCCGGAAGATGTTGAGACGCTGAGGATAACGATGATTGTGCATTTTGTTTTCAGCGCTCTTCTGGCAGCAGGTGGGAGAAAGTAAAGAGAGCTGAAAGAAAAGGCATTTTAGCTTTGATGGGAATGTCGCTCGAAACAGTATGTTTCGATTTTGGGAAGAAGAGGAGAATCGTTGTGGCATTTGCATTTTCTCTTGGAATTCGTAAGTTTGATGGAAATGCTCGAAATTCAAGAGTTTTTTAGTTCTCTCACTCATCTGTATGCTCGCATATGTCACGTGGTCCCGTTCTCGATCCCAGCCCTCTTTACTTATTGGCGGGTAAGCATCATATTTTTGATAATTATCAAATTTTTTGATCGATCAAAAATCTAGGACAACGATACAACCCGGCGTTGGATTTGTCCTTGCATGGATTTCTTCCGCTGCCCACTTCTGTACATTGCTGACTGTATGTCTTTCATTTTACTTGAAATAATAAATGCTAATTGCCCCTCGTCTGGTTTGAATGAGCAGGAAGGTCAGACATTGACCTAGAAACGAGGTTCAAGTTGTATCATAACCGGGAGAAAATATTAGCTTTAATTGTTCACGATGAAATTTTATTGAATTGACTTTTCTATCATGCACTTGATTTACAGTATTTCCGCGAAAATTTTGAGCTGGTTCTTTAGCGAGCTACAGTAATTTTGAATTTGGCGCGCTCCCACCGAGGCAGATTTTGGCACGAACCAAGTGCGTGACCGATTTTGAGAAAATCGACAAATGTTGCGGAAAAATAAAAGTCTCGGTTTTTTTCCATTTATAAAAATTGAGAGATAAACGAAGAAGAAAATTTAGCAAAGCCGCTTGATGGCGCTCTTTGCCGTGCAATTTCTTTTCGCGGTTGGATTGGCCCAAGGAAACGGTTTTTAAAGTTTGATATTTTTATTTGAAAATAATTATCTAAAACTCATCTTAAAATCATTTAAAAGAATGCGGAGTAGAACATTATGATTGCCGACCAAACACGCCAACTGATGAGTGGGACTGTATGAAATCGAACTGTTGTTGGGTCCCTAGTGATGAGAAAGGAGCTCCTTGGTGTACCTACACGACAGGGACAGATTATACTGTCGTTCAACACGGGCTGATCAATCCGAATAGGAATGGTAAATTTTATTCTAGATTCAGTTTTTAAACGACATAAAGCTAAAAATTCTTTTGGAAATATGTATATTAAAATTGCAGAGCTCTTGAATCAAAATAAAGAAAACTTCCATGATCATGATACAGACCAAATTTCGTTACCTAAAACAGTGGCTTTGCCAAACTCACTCGCATAGAGCACCCAACCTGGCCTGACACCCTGCTCAACCTCTTCTACCAAATCGACCGGCAAACCTTTTCCGAAAACTCTTTCGTCGATCGAATCCAAATCACTGATGGTTCTGACTCCCGACATCGCCATCCCGAAACACCTGTTTTCACTCCCAATTCGACTTTTGTTCCGAGTGTCAATGATGGCGACAAACTTGGAAAAGACTACTTCACTGGCCCTCTGGTTTTCTCTGATCAATTCATCGAGTTTTCTATCCCTCTTGATCCCGAAACGCCTGTCTACGGAATTGGGGAAAGAAGAGGACCCCTGGTCGTACCGCGTGACGGGTGGGCCCATTCGATTTGGACAAGGGATGTGCCTCCAATCGTTGATCTTAATTTGTATGGAGATCAGCCGGTTTTTCTCATTGGAAATACAGGCTACATCTTCTGGAATTCTAATGGCAAGCAGTTTCAGGCTTTCAAGGTATAAGATTTTTCTTTATCACTCCCTTATTGTTTTTATCTAGGACAGAATGACGATCAGAGCAATCGGAGGAATGATCGACCTTTTTGTCATCCGCGGAAATTCGACCGAAAACGCCGTTTCTATCATCCAAGAGATCATCGGCGCAACCTACTCCCCTCCCGAGTGGGCTTTTGGTTACCACCTCTGTCGCTGGGGCTACAATTCTTCCGCTGAAACCTGGAACGTCAATCAGAAAATGCGTGAAGCAAAGATGCCGCAGGAAGTGCAATGGAACGATATTGATTACATGGATGGAAAGAAGGACTTTACTTTTGATCCTGATGCTTATGGAACGTTGCCGCAAGTGATAAAAGATATACATGCTCAAGGACAGAAATATGTCGTAATTATTGATCCAGCGATATCTACTCAAGGTCGAGTTTAATAAGTTTGCTTTTTGTGATGTCAAATTTGTCATGTTTTCTTCTGTATAATTTAAAGTTATCCTCAAAATGGGAAAACTCGAATAGCTTGATTTCATTTGTGTTTATCTTCAAGCAATATACAACTCAGAAATTACATAAAACAGTAACTTTTCTTTACTTTCTGGTGTTCAGCAGTCTGTTTTTAAAAAATGTCTAGAGACTTTTCCCATTTTTCCTAGTCTTGTACGCTCATTGCGAAGTACCATTTGTAACTCCCAAAAGACAACTACCTGCCCTACTCAAATGGAATCGAAGAAGACATCTTCATCAAGGACGAAACCGGCAAACCTGCCGTTGGAGAAGTCTGGCCCGGCGCAACCGTTTTCCCCGACTTCACTCACCCTGGCATAAACAACTACTGGCTCGAAATGTTCTCTTACTTGTACACTCAAGGAGTCGAGTTCGACGGAATATGGATCGACATGAACGAACCATCAAACTTCGTCGCTGGAAGTTCCAACGGCTGCCCAAGCAGTCCTCTCAATTCGCCCAAATTTGAACTTCCAGTTGTGGACAAAAGCTTGTTCGCGAAAACTCTTTGCCCAAGTTACAATCAGAGCGCTGGCACCCACTACGATCTTCACAATCTTTACGGGCTTGACGAGTCGAAAGCAACCAGTTATGCATTGAAGGCGCTTAATCCTGATTTGAAGCCGTTTATTTTGTCGAGAAGTACTGCTCTGACGTCAGGAAGACATACAGGAATGGGAAACTATTCTAGAGCTTATTTTTTTTCTGAATCTTTCTTTTTTGTTTCCTCAAAAAGCGCATTGGACTGGAGACAATTTCTCGAAATGGGAAGATTTGAAATATTCGATCACTGCGATGATCAATCTTAACATTTTCGGCATCAAAATGGCAGGTGTCGACGTCTGCGGCTTCCAAGGACCTGATGCGGACGAAGAAATGTGCGTCCGTTGGCATCAAATGGGAGTCTTTCTCTACAGCTTCTTCCGAAACCACAATACCATCGGCGCTCCTGGACAAGAACCATTCGTTTGGAGCAAAAATGGCCAGCACGCGATAAGAATAGCGCTGGAGAAACGCGTCCAGCTGGTTCCTTACTTTACTTCAACTTTTGCGAACGAGTCAATGTACATCCGACCGATTTGGAATTCCACAATCGACACTCAATTCTGGGTCGGTGAGCAAATCATGGTCTGTCCCGTTCTTGGACCAGGGATGAAAAATGTCGAGTGCTATTTTCCAAAGGCAGGCGATTGGTGCAACGTTTACGATACTTCTGTCTGCTTTACTGTAAGTCGCAAAAATGATTCTAAATTAATTGTTTTTTGAAGGTCAAATCTCCTGGAACTCTTCAAATCCCGACAGACCCAAATCGAATTCCCGCTTTCTATCCTCCCGAAACCGCCATGATTCTTCAGAAGAAAGCGATGACTCTTTCTGAAGCTCGAAAACTGCCCCTCGATCTTGTCTTGAATCTGAAAAATGGCTTCGCAAATGGAGAATTTATTTTTGATGATGGAGAAACGGACAATTCTGAGTTCGTCAAGATCAAGCTGTTTGTCGAAAACGATCAATTAAAAATCACCTGTGACGCCAGCGCCGAATCAGAAAGATTGGAGGCAAAATTGAAGCGAAACTTTAACTTGGAGAAAATTTCTGTAACTGGAAGCTACAGTTATCAGCAGAATAAGCTCAGATTCCGCCCAGATTCATTTTTGCTCAACAAAAATTTACTGCAACTGACCAATTTCTGCGAAACCGAATTCAAAATGAATCTATAATAAAATAAACATTGTTCTTTGAATCATTACAGTAACTTGTAAAGTAGAAACGAAGATGAAATATCAAGTGATGAAACATTAACGGCTCCCATATGCACTTTTTTGAAGATTTCTTGCTTTTTCCTCGAGTTTAGCACCTCTCAATCTTTAATAATCGCGGCCACGAAATCGAGAAAAGACTAATTTTCACCAAGAAAAAAGAATGGGAAGAAGGGACTCTTGGAAAGCAGTTGGCTTTTCTGCTGCTTCGAAGTCGCAAGAGAATGATCCTTTCAAGGTAGAAATATTTGGCATGTTGAAAATTTTTTCAAAAAGGCACCATAAAATCGAAAGTTCCAATGCAAAAAGGAATTTTTAAATATTATCATTAGATCGAGATTTAAAATTAACCAAATCTGCACCCGATATCGCTTTCGAAACACTTTATGAATCAAAAATATCAACAGTACCATAACTTTGCGGTTGAAAATGAAGAATTGGTCACTCACCTATAAATTCCTCACTACCTGTTAATTGCTCTCGGATGATCAAGCCTTTATCAACCACAAATCATTCAGGGCATCGAAAAGCTCAAGAACGAAAACGCAGTGAAGCACACTTACGATACTTCTTCCCAAAAATGGCGAAAAACGCGGATCCAGATCAAAATGGAATCCGAACAGTTCGCAGAGGGCTGTATGCGCCGAGCTTTCAAGGCAAAATTTCTCGAAGGTAAAAAACTTGAAAAATCAACGAAAAGAAGCTGAAATAGGTCGTGACTCGGATTGGTCTCATGCCACAAATGTCGTTTTGAAGGAATATCTGGACTTTGCTCCAACGGAGAATTACTATCAAGATGCTCAGTGCCAATCTTTGGCGAAATATTATTCCGAAGAATACAACAAACTCAAGCCGCACAAGAAAATTGACTTTCTGCCATGGGCTCAAATTCTTTTAACTTACCTTATTTTTGAATTCCAAGTATTGAATATTTTTGAGCAGCAGTTTTAAAGCAACTGAGCGTGGTGGAATTTCAGGAGCGCGAGTTTTCTCCATGTTTTCACTGTGAATCTTTCATTGAGGGCGATTATCAAAAACACAAGTAAGGCAAGAGTTATGAAAGAGATAAGCTTATCTTCTGGAAAGTTCAAATGCTGGATACGTCAACGCGGGAAGTGAAGAGGGCAAGGCACGAACAACGCCACACGCCTTTTCGCACTTTACTTTTGTCAAGTCGCAGTACAAGCATATTGTCGTCGATATTCAGGGTGTCCAGGTAATGGTTTATCATTCCAGTGGTGTCAGGAATATCCAGTGTGTTATTATTAGTTTTCAGCTAAGATCAACATTATAAATTTCTTTTGTATGATTTGATTTTAAAATTATGGTTTCACGGTGAATTTTCAAACTCAAAATTTAAGGATATCTTCACCGATCCCTGTATCCACACAATCGATGGCGAAGGCTATGGAGAATCGAACCTTGGTCTTCGTGGAATCTCATTATTCTTCCTTTCTCATCGATGTAACAAAGGTTTACCCTTCTTTTTCACTCGTTTTCTACCACAATAATAGAGTGCAAGAGGCTGAAACTGAAAGAAATAGAACTTCATCCGGCAGAAATCACAGAAGAAATGACAATGGCGATCCAAGACACAATTTTTGAGATGACGCAGAAAATGACTGTTCGCCGCAGAACTACTGGTAGTCAAATTCTATATGCAAACCATACTGTAGAAATATGTGAAGAACGAACGAACTAACATTTAACCAAAAGGCACCCTGCCGCCGCTAGAAGAAGACACCTGGGTTCCAGCAGAAACCTCCGCAATTACTGAAAAGCATGAACCGACTTCGTCGAGAGTCTCTAGAATCGAAAAACTGCCAGTGTCGACGAAAGAACACGAATCCCATCCGATAGCTTCAGGTTTTGAAAAACCACTCCTTGTTGATTGACAGCTTTAGTTCATTATGGAATTGCGGACTTGTACTGTAGTGGCTGGTACATGGATTTGGTCACTGAGGAAAAGCTTTAAAATTAGCCAGAAAACGAACTTAAATTTCTCTAAGGCGCAGATATCAAAAAGATTAATGAGCAAAAATAAAAACTTTAAAAAAGGCAGCAATTTTCCACCTAAATCTGGCGGCGCGAGAATATAAAAATCTGAAAGCAATGACAATCTTGGGCACAAAACTACTCGGCCAAGACACAGACGAGCTCGAAGACCTCGAAATTCCGAAAGACACAGCTGCTGGCTGGGAATTGATTCAAGAAGCGGCCCTCTTCGGCGACAAAAATTGCATCTGGAAAATGGCGCAGCGCTATCATCATATGGAGCGAGATCCGAGAAAGGCTCTTCAGTGGTACACTGTGCTTTACGATTCTGGAACAAACACCCCCTTCATTCGATATCACATGATCATTTCAAATATTGCGGATATTTATTTCAAAGGACATGGATTAGGAATGGGCACGAATGAGCGACTCGAACTGGCTTGCGACTTCTATCAAAGGTAATTAACCTTGCCCCGCCAAATGCAATTTTCGAACCCGTTTTTTCGGGTCTTCAACTTAGGTAGAACTTTCACTCTCATAGTATATAAAAGATACTGAAGAGTTCTCTTGAATAAGGGATTATTTCGAAAAAATCACATCGTGCAGAAGAAATTATGAGCGATTGAAAATTTGAAAAATCGAAAAATGCACCTCCTGAGGTGCATTTGGCGGGGCAGGGTTAAACGCGCTATTAATTTTATGTTACGACCGGGAATCAAGATTCGATTTTGTCTGACGTTTTTTTTTTGAAAGAGAAATTAACAATGTTAAAATGAAACTTTTCGGACTGAATTAGGTTGAATTCGTATGGCAATGGAAAAGCTGATCGACAGAGTAAATTCCTAATTATAATAATAAAAGGGCCGCTGATGATGCGAAACGAGATGGCAGAATCCGTCAAGCTGCCAAGTATTCTGAACTCGTCGAAGAAATTTTTGAGAAAATGGGATGAAACCTTCTGATTATGTATCTAAAAATATAATTTTCTTCAATGATATTCTTTTGCGAATTATTTGACTTATTTTTCTGACAAAATAACAATTCATCGATGAAGAGAATTTTCGGCGTTTTGAAACATATGTCTTCGTAAAAAATAAAATAAAGCTTTATTGTAAGAAAATGTAAGAAAAAAAAAGAATACTGAAATAAATGACTCTTTTTTCTATTTCTTGGAGACTTGAACATTTGAATTCGGCGCCCCTTGATCTGTGATTCCTTTGATTTGGACGTTGCTAGAAAGTTTATAAATAGATCACGTCAGAGTGACAGTATTTACTCGAATAAATTTGCCATCAGTGCAGCCTCGAAAAAGAAAAGAATAAGATCAAACCACCAGAAGCAATTTGCAGCGATTTTGGCACTGTTCTTTCCGTTTCTTAAAAATAAGGGGGTCGCAATGTTCATCATTGTCTTACGAGATAGTTATGATCGCTGCAGCGTAGACGAAGTGGTACAGAATGAACCACATAATCTTCTCGAGCGTTGACATTCCACTCCAAGAGAAGCACTTCAATTTGTCTTGGAGAATAAGCAGGATCCACCAAAACAAGCTGCAAAAGCATCAATCTGACAGTTCATTATTTTTTTTACCTGATAACTGAGACAGAAAAAGCAAAGGCCCAGCTGGTACTGAACCGACATCCATCATGCTTGTCGTCGCAGACGCCTACCAAGGCACAGATAAAGGCAATAAGCTCGAAAAGGATATGCAAGCCTCTTTTTTCGTTTTAAATAAAAAACCATAATTTTGATAAGTTTATGTTTTTATGAGAATTTTTCTCCGTTAAAATCATTGGAGAAATTATTTAAATCATTTTACCACCCAATTATTGAGGGACGGACAATTTAAAGAAATAGAGTACATATTATAACAATTAATTTAAAACGTAAACCTGAAAATAAGACTCTGATCACCCATTTCTTTCCTTCTCTTTTTTACAAAAAAGTGAGCTTCAAAAGGTGTGGAGACTTAAGACCTCAGAGTTTTGTTTGAGAGAACGTCAGAAAATGGTCTGGATGCTACAACAAATTCTCGCAAAAGAGCGTGATTCCATTTCCGTGCAAATTTGCGTAACCATCATTTTTGGTTTCTTATCGGTTGTAAAAATTAAGGCGCTCTTCTAGCTTCACCTTATTTTTGTGCATTTTGCTAATCCCGTCCAGACCTGCTTCGATCTGAACAGGCTTTGAGTCTGAAGCCGGATTAATCTAACACCGATTACCTCCTCCTCCGCCGCCAACAATCCAGTATCTTTCGCCGCTAACAAATGCCGCCCTTTTACAACTTTCCACCAATGACCTTTTTTGAGCACCTTTGATTTTATTCCATCCCCAAAATTAATTTCGCGGTTCCTTTCAGAAAGTAACAGATTATGTAAACCAAAAACCGATCATTTCATGAAAAACCGGATTTTAAATTTCAAAAAGCCGTTTCTGAGGAAAAATTGTTGAGTCAATTAAATCACGTGTTCGTCAATTAGGTTTAGAAATGTTGCATAACTTCCGGTCTACACGCGCCAGTTTCTAATCCGTCTCTCGTCGAAAAATCTTTTCGCTGTCAGATTTCGCGCATAGAATTCAACTGCCCAAAGGAAGAGATCATCGTTTTGTTCATGGAAGGTGTCTCGTGATTTTCCTTCCCCAGATCCGGAAGTTACTCATTTTAGGAGGCTTTTCCTTTTAACAAAGGGACACCCTTATTTTCATCTGCATTTTTCTTCTCCGAGAAAAACTGAAACATAGAACTACTCAAGTGCTTGAAAAAATCATCAAGTACTAGTTGGCTTCTTGCCAAAAAAAATTTTAGAAAACGAAATCTGAGCTAGAATCTGAAATAAAATATTTCCGGTCAGAAATTAAAAAAATAAAAAAATCGCGACGGAATTGAACTATTGAATAGTAGTAGCTGGGCTGGGCGAATCCTAAAGGATTGATAATTGGCTTAGGCCCTCGTCCGCGTTTAGATGAACTTTCTCGCCACTCTGGAAAAACGTCATGCTGGCTCCTTATCTGGTCTTTCATTAAAAATATTTCAACAAGATAATTTCCCCTCCGCTGCGACTTGGAATTGAACAGTTCGGCAAAGGCGAAAATTTCAAATTTGCTAATTCTTGATTTTCTTAAACGACAAAACTATCTGTTTATTTACAAAAATTAGCCTGTTTGTCTGCAACAAATTTTTACGTCAGAAACATTGAGTCATAAGATCTGTTCTCCTTTTTCTCGGAGGATTTGAGTAAACATTGATTATTTGGTATGTTACAATAATAACGCGATTTGCGATTGTCGTGTCTTTTTTTAATTGATTTAGGGGGTGAATAGCACCTAAACACATTTCTGTTTGATTTTCAAATCAATAAACGAAAAATAAAAAAGCTTGAAATTTGACTTTAAAATTTTCAATATGAATATTGAAACAAGAGAATTTATAGAAAAAATTGTACTGAGAATCGTGAGGTAGACGGGATTCTGGGCACTTACTGAATATACTTTATCAGCCCCGCTTGTTTACAAATACTCTTCTTCTTCACGCCAAAGCTTGAAAGAAGCTTGAAGCATTGTCAGCGTATCGCCGCGAGTTTTCACGAAAACTCAAATTCTTCCGCCACCGCGATAAGCTCAGACGAAACAAATGAATTACTTGGAATCGAAACTCGAGAAGACCTTAACCAGCACGATCCGAAAAAAGGATGAGAGCAAAAAGGCAAAACGTGGAAATAGTTGTATCTCGCCATTTCCGTCCCCTCGAATTTTTCGCTACGATGATAGATCGTCCATCAACTGCTAATCAAGTCGTCAAATGCATTCCGCTCCGATCAGATATTACTGGTCCTAAAAAAGAGGACGAATTCAAGTTTCACATGAATCTTTTTTTCCGTTGACGGGCGTTTTAGAAAGTTTAATGTTCGTTCAAACATGCCAAATAACTAAACTGTTCAACATGGTGGCACGTGGCTAAAGAAGTAATGTTCATGAGGTTTGGGAGCAGCCAGCAAAGCAGAAGGAACGAAATGACATCATCAATTACAGTTGGGATCTTCTAATATAAAAACAATAATTTGATTTTTGAAAATAGGGTGTCACTAAGCTATTATTTTTTGCTTCATTTCTAATTTTTCCAAATATAATTTCGATATTTTGTTTGGAAAAAATATAAATAGAGCAAAAAAAATAATAGCTTGGTGACACCCTTAATTCAAAAATTCGATTGACATCTCAAAATCCATTAAATTTAAAATAAAAATAATTTAGATAAATATTTAAAAATTGTTTTTTCGGTGAAAAATTCTGATTTTAAGTTATTTTGAAATTTTTTATACAAAAGCTTTTTGCTTGAAACCAAGTGCTTGAAGATGAAAATGCGCACTTTTGACGAAATTGGCGGCGATCTTGAGGGTTTTCAGACGATTTCGGCACTTTGAGCGTCCTTCAATCGCTGCAATCTTTATTTTTCTTTCTTGTCCAAAACAGATTTTCTCTTGAAGATACTGTATCGATCATGCGACAAGCTTTTTTGGTCGAAAAGATGCTGATTGAATCAGACGGTGTTATTATCTGTTTTCATCAAGTTCAAAATAAATGTCGTCAATCAATAAACAACCAAAATAAACCGTCATCTAGGTTGAGCCCGAGCTTTATTTTCATCAAAATTTCACGTTTATGTCTTCGTTTCCGGGAGAAGACTGAATTCAAGCGTGCGTTTTTTTCAATTATTAACGCAATTTTGATTTTTTTGACAATCAAATAATGGCAAGCACCCTTATTTTACCAAAAATGCAGTACCGCAAAGAAGAATATTGAAAAATGGCTTTCTTATCGTAACTCTTACTCTTAACTTATAAATTTTTTTGTACTCCCTTCTATAAAATTCAATAAGGAGTTATTATTTGAGGTCAATGGGAAATTTTGCAAATATGATTGCGTTTTATTTAGATTCTTTTATCAACCATTCAATATTTATAATGATAAATAATCATCACAGACACACATTCATTGATTCATTAATTCGTGACAACTCATGAGTCGCGCTCCTCCTTTTGAGAGCGCCACCTATCGCACTTTCCCAACCGCGCTCTGACTCGGAGTTGATGGAAGAAAATTTTGTCAAAAGATAAATCAAGAGAAGCAAGCCAAAAACGACCTTTTTCTTTCTTCATTTGCTGTCATAGTCAGTTTTCTAGAGGTAATCTATCGAATCAAGATTATTATTAAAAAGCCATAAGAGCTGAATTTGATTCTTGAATTTGCATTTAAGAAAAATTGTTTCCTTGAAAATCACCTGATGTAGCTACTAGTACGGGTAGTGGTACAACAGCTCGTAAACTTGATAGATAAGATAAAAATCTTTATAATTCTCTTAAAAATTTAAAAAATATACCATCTTTTGTTAAGAAATTTTCTTCGGTGAAAAGTAGTTATCAATTTTCAATGGCGGTTTTATCCGCTTTCGAGGTAGAAGCGCTGGAAATTTCGCGGTGACTTACCGGTTATTGCCTGCTCAAATGTGGTCAAGACCACTTTAAAAAAATTTTGGCCGACCACGAGCCACGCTTTATCGAATACCTTTCCAAGCTTATCAGCTCTCCTCTTAACTGAAGAATAATTGAGCTTTTATGACTTTACAGTGGTTTCTTTTTTTAAAATGAGCTTCGCAAGAAGCATCTTAGTTGACGAAAGATATCAACATCGTCGTCGCGTTTTGGTTACAGTGTTGCCCGTAAAGTTGAAGTTTTTTTGAAAAGTTGAAGTTTTGGAAGCCGGAAAATAGCCGCAAAATGAGATAATCTGGGTTTTTCTTGTTTTCTTCGCGCTTTTAGGCGGTCTTTAGAACGCAAAATATTATTATCGCACCCAGCATCGGTCCCATGTGTCCACCAAAAACAAAAATCCAGCTCATCCGAAAACTCGATAAAAGGACTTTTTGATGATTGTTCCCGGTTCAATTCAAAATAACTTATCGTATGTGGGCACACCTATTCATTTGAGTGGGATGAATCAGACTTTTTTTTTGATGGAGTTCTTTAAACTGATAATTTTTATTTATTAATAATAGTAACACGGTGTTACTAACACCCTTATTCTGTTGTTTGTCTATAAATAAGGGTGTCACCATAGTAGTTTCTTTGAAAAAGAGCAAAACATAGATCATCAGAAGAATGTGTATACCCTTAATTTAATTTCTTCTTATTATAAGACTTTTTATTAAAAAAAGAAAAGACTACAATGAATAGTGACACCCTTATTTTTCCATATTTTTAGGGCAACCACAGGTTAAATTCTCTCAATACGAACTTAACTTAGATCGATTAACGGATGTGTACCCCCTTAATTATTTCTAATGAGAACAACCTTTTTGAACATAAAGAAAGATCGATCATCCTTAGAAGGCTGAGGAAAACACAATTTTTTTGTAAATTGAGCATTTTTTCTTCCTCCAGAAAAATGATCGATCAATGTTAGAATGTTCAAAATTCTCGCATTTGTGCGCAATTTCCCATGCATTTTTCAGACTAGGGACAAAAACAACAATTTGAAATTTTAGCAAAGTTCAAATTCTGAAGATTTCAGTTTAATAAGGCTACTTTATCAAAAAAGAATGCTCTTGTCGTTTTTTTAATCGGCTGAACTTTTTCTTATCAAAAAGACGCATCCCTTGCTCTCTTATCTAAAGAAAAAACGACACGAATAAGAAACAGCTATGTACATCCGTCAACACACGTTTTGCCAAAATGTTTTTCCTTATTGCTGATAACAGAAAATAACATTATGATAAAGCCACCAAATGAACCTGCTGCAAATTAATGTCTCTCTTCTGACCTTGATAAACTTAGAGCTCCATTTAATTTACCAAACATCACTTTTAAGGTCTTTTCTATCAAAATAAGGGGATAAGGGTTAGATTTAAACAAACAAAGGGGTACCCCCTTAAGTTTAATATAAGGGTGTCACTTTGATATTGACAATCTTGACAAAAGAAATGACAAAAGAACTTGAACTTTTGGAGGCAAGAATCGACAAAAATTGATAACGAGCAAAAATTGACAGAAATTTTGAAGCTGCGTTCGATTATTTAAATTACTTTCAAATCATTTTTTCACGATCGGCCAGTTCTAAACGTCATCTTGACGAATGTTCAACTGTCAAGCTTGCGGGCAACTAATTGAAAATCCAAATTTTATGCCTGATCCTTTCAGCCCTTCCGAAATAGGTCCGTGGATACCCTTAGTTTTAGAAGAGTTCCTGGGGAGAGAATAAGTCCGGTATATTTAGATAATCCCGCGAATCAAATAAATGTGCTGATCCCTCTCCTCGTACACGCCCTTAAAACTTAAGAGTTTCCCCTTCACAGTTGTAAAAACCATTTCTAAGTCCGCTCACGTGACCAGAGTATCTTCAGCTTTATTTCAAAACATTCATCGAACACGAAATCAATTCCACTCAACTCATTTTTAGAGCAACTACAGACGTTCACAGAGAAGTAAAAAGAAAGAAAAGAGAAGACAGTGAAAAATAAGGGAGGAGACGTCACTATGGGTCAAGTTACTTTTCAACAAATCTTCAAAGCATTCGCCGTTTTCTTTCTCGGATACACAGTATATTCGACGGAAAGAGCTATTCGAAATAAACAGGTGCGTTTTTAGAGAATAAATAACGAGATAAACTAATTTAGATAAAAATCTAATTATTTATTGGTTGATAATTAAGTTTTTTTCATTAAATTTTATGAAAAGAATTTTGATAAAAAAAATAAAATTTTATTTAAAAAATAAATTAAGAAAAACCTTATAACAAAAACAGTAAAAGATTGAATTCAATATGAATGACCTAATCCTTGAAAATGAAATTCAGGCGCGGCACCAGTTCCGGCGATCAGCGACAACAAATCAAAGCCCTTTTGCCAGTAAAATTCAGGAAGCTTCAAAATCGAGCCATCCAGACTACCAAAAAGTCTATATTCTCAAAATCGAGCCCGCTGAAGTCGTTTTTCCACAAGACGCAGAGGTAAAGAATAGTTGGAATTTCGCAAATTTCGCAAAAGCAAAAATTGGCGCAAATTGAACACGTAACAAAGAAACGTAGCTAATCCGCAGTGGGCTTAAAACTATTTCTAAATGTGCACCAAGTTTGAGCGTTGTTTATTTCCACGCTGGCGGGTTAAAAGGAGCAATACTTCTGTTGACCTGCTTCGTGGTTTGTGGATTTAAACAGAATTAACAAGCAGGAAGTTTTGAAAGAGATTTTTTGAGCTAAGAAAAGCTAATTCGACAACAAGATGAAGCTCCTTGAAATTTTTCTTTATCAATAATGACTCATTATGTAGCATTTATTAGAAAAGATATGATATTTCGATATCGAGAACTCAAGGATGGTTATGTATCATTTCAGTCGAAACAGATTAAGGGGGAGGTCGACGAGAATCGGGATTTCCGTGACCAAAAATGCGGAGAAACCCGATTAGATAGGAAAATTCTGACATTTCAGATTGAAAGAAAAGGGTTTGAAAAATTAACCGGCGAAAAGCAGAAAAAAAAATTTTTTGAAAAATTTTTCAAAAATTAGGGTTGAAGTGGGGGTGTCTCGTGACCAAAAAATCTCAAAAACCGAGTTTTTTTTTCCTCATCAAATATAATTAATAAATAGTTTAGACCCTTAAATATTAACCGGCGATCAAAAAATTAAGGGTTACTTTCATAAAAATTTTTTTCTTATTGATTAAAAATATTCGATTTTCGTCAAAATCGTCATTTTTACCCATTTTTTCATGGAAATTTCTACAAAAATCACAAAGACTCGGATTTTTTAAAAATAATTAGTCAGAAATCATTTGAAAACAATGCCTAGTGCATAATAATCAGTTTTAGATAGTTTTTGGACGAAATCACCAACTAATAATTTTCAAGAAACTTCAAATTCGAGACTTAAAATCGAAAATTTTACATTAAAAAGTTAACAAGATGAGAAAAAGCTAGGGACCAAAAATACTCCATTTTTATCGGGGAATCCAAAAATATAATCAAAATTTTGAAAAGGCGAAAAAAATTTTCTCGACGACCTCCCCCTTAAGTCGTAGAAAAATTAATTAGGGTCGAAAAAAAGAAATAATACCAGGAGAAGTTATACCAGCATTTGAAGGGGTTTTTGATTACATTTTATTTTAGCGGACAAAATCCGCGATCTCCATTCTTATACGTTTTTTTGGCAGGTGGTGCTATTGTGTCGATAATCTGATCTGATTTAGATCAACCCAACCTAGTATTTACTTGCCTAATAGAACTTGGTTTAATTTAAAACCGAACCATCTGATTTCCTGAACTTGAGTTTTGTAGTAATATCAAGCCTAAAATCTACTTTAGGAGCGCCAACAATATGAAGAAACATTCAGGAAAGGGTTAAATCTGAGCTGCGTGTCTTGAAACGTTTTTGAGCCGTGCCAGCCAGTTAATCCCGTCTAAGCAAGTCTAATTACACCAAGTATCAGTTCCCGGACTACGTGAATGTTCCACTATCTGAACTCGGCGTTGTTTGTATGTCTAAACAGTATTTTCCAAAATTTATTTTTTATCCAAATTTAGATTACAACGGAATTCCTTTCTATCGACAAGGAGTTCAAACTGCTCCGCAATACGACATTTCCCTCGCCGGGCCAAACACTCGATCAAGTATCAAGGACGAAAAGTGCCCCGGAAAACCAAAAGCTGCTAAAAAGGAGCCAGCTGAAGAGCCGGAAGAATCAGTAATGCAATTTGATGTTGGGGTGAATTGGGAGCCAGAGGAGCCAGAAGAGAAGCCAGAAAAAGAAGAAAAGGAAGAGGTAAACTGGAAGAAATTTCGAAAGCGTAGGCGTAATCGCAGACTTCTTATTGGATCTTCGCAATAATTAGGGATTCTGATTGGATTTGAGTTCAAAAAAATTTGAAATTTTGATCTTATTAAAATTAAAGCTTTTTAAAAATATTATTTTTATAATTTTAATCACAAACAAATTCATTCGACCAGACGCGTTTCTACCCGGAAAATATTTTCATAAGAAAATCTCCTTCAACCCAAAATAATCTTCGCCTCGGATGATCCAGCTCAAAGGCGTGCTTTAGCTTTACTTTTAAAGCCTTTTTCAAGAAACTGATTTTTAGGTTCACCAAATCGGCTGCTGCAATGGAATGCCTTACAACACCAACAAACGATGCTGCTGCAGACGAGCGAGCTTTAACAAGGACGAGAAATTCTGCTGCGCGATTAATGTGAGTTTAAGAGAAATTCTAGCGCTAGAAAATTCTTAAATATCAGCGGAAATGCGCGCTAGTAATACGTGGCCGGCGAGCTAGAATCGAATTTAGCTCGACCGCGGCGCCGTCATTTTTTAACATCCTCGAAAACCTCGTTTCTCGATTCTCAATTCTTAATTCTTTGGACAGCTCCGGCCATAATCGACCTTTTTCTTTTCAGGGCTGCGGGGATTTTAAAATTATGAAAAAATCCGAAGCCAACTACGACATGTGCAATTCTTTATCCGGAGTCGTCGTGCAGGAATATGGCTACCACAAGATGGCGGGAGCGAGAGATATGGGATTCATGAAGAACAACTAAGAAATCAACCCTTTTGAAAAGAAAAGTACAAAAATCAACGACAAAACACTCGCGAAAACAAAAAAAAGTAAACAATTTTACTGACACATAACTGAAAACTCCCTCTGTACAAAAAACAATCCCTGTATGAATCATGACATACTGTAAGTACTAAAACTGTTTCTTTATCAACCCTTTTTCTGAAAATTCTGTGAAATAAACTGTCCAATACAATCTTTCCCCAGCGCTCAGAAAAAAGATGAAACCAAAGGCGACAGAAAATCAAGAAATCTGACATTTTTGAAATATCAAGATCGTAAAAATGAAATCTTCTGAAATCGGTCAGGACTCTTGAAAAGAACTTCGAGCGAGAAAATCGAGTCATAGAGAAAATGCGGGTTTTTGTTTGGTTCTTCTTTGTAACTAACTTTTATAATATTAAAAAGTTTGATTCACTATTGCTTTAGCTACAGCTGTTCACGGAAGAGGCGGTAAGGGAGGCAAATGCGGTAAAGGAGACAAAGATGACAGGGGAGGCAAAGGTGATAAAGATGGAAAAGATGATCACGGACAGACGAAGTCAAAAAAATACAGTTACGAAGATATTCCGATAGCGCACAAAGGTCAGCCAGGATTTTTTAATCTCATTAATTTTCATCAAGAAAGCCCATGCTTTGATGATGGAGGGCACAACTGCCACGAATACGAGCATTGCGTCCCCGAAGGTCAACATCTATACAAGTGTTGCCGGAATTATTTCCAGTGTCGTCAAGGAAATCGTAAGTAAAAAGATTCTCTCTAGCTAACTACTTTCTTGACAAGCGCATCCTTGTCTTGGAAAACACGCCTGCAACGATGGCGAGTTCTGCCAAAGGACTGTCAAGGCAAATGAGGAATCCAATGACTTTAATTGTATCAAAAAGGATGATAAATGTATCGGTGAGAGATTCTTCTCCAAACTTCTTTTCATATTTTTAAGGAATGGCTATGTGCACTAAGCATTACTTCGGATCCTGCTCTGCCAACAACAAGGACCCTCCTAAACGAACCGTTGTCCAGTCCGTTGATGATTGCTTCAACAAGTGCAAGAACAACAAAAATTGCAAGGGTTTTGATCTCGACAGTAAGGGAGGATGTCTCCTGGCCTTCCAGAGTTGCACCGAAGATGAGCTGATAGACCACCCGATTTACGATGAAGACGATATGGATTTTGGTAACGATCCTCGAAAAGAAAGATGGTATGAATTGCACATGCAATGGCAAATGTATGAAAACTTACAATACACTTACTATCCGATGGAAGGATGCAAGACTCCAGGTAAGAGCTCGATCAACGAAAGACAAATTAATCGTATGCCAGAACGGTCGCCCGAATGCGATGAAACTTTGGCGGATAAAGTTGATGAGCACATGGGTACGATCATGCAGAGCATCAATTCAATGATGCCGTATTTTGAGACGCTCAACGAAGAACTATCGAATAACAGCGATGGCGACAAGCATTTTCGAATGATAGTTAGGGACATCATCGTTGCCTTTGGGACTCTAAGCGGCATTCTCCTTCTAGCGATTCTGGCGGTGAAGCTCAACAAGACCTGTCAAGAGAAAGACAACACCGTTGGAAACATACCCATGCCCGAATCTCAACAAAGCAACACTCAGGTCAACAACCAGACAACTGTCGGCGGCGCTGTTATCAATATACTCCCTCGACTTCGAGAGGAACACCCTTACAATGGTATATTATTCAGCGAATTCGAAAACAAATTATTTTTTAAGAATTCACCGACGATGATCCTGCTCCAGATTACAACACAACTCTTTCTGTTGAGCCGATCGCGAGCATCCCAGAAGAGCTGGAAAAGTCCCCAGAGGGGCCAAAAGAAAATATTCTTCCATGAAATTAAGAAGTTTTCTGCATGCTAGAGAAGTAGTTTTCCCTTCAGTAATAAAACAGGATATTCCTCTGTCTAAACGGTTCGTAAAGTAGCATGGTTTCTTGAGGAACCGGAATCAACTAGAAAACGAATCCGACGGCAATCTGACTTTTTTGAAAGATCAAGCTCGTAAAAAAAGAATCCCTCGAAATCAGAGGCATCTGGAGAAGCTTCAAAAACAAGAATTATGAGAGAAGAAATGATGTTGGTACTTACTTGTTTAATTCAGTTTTGTAAGTATCATAATTTGGTATCGAAAAATCATTATGGTTTCTAGCGCTGGTTCAAGGGAGGATTGATATGTCGTGGTATAAAGATATCCCTGTTGCGTACGAAGGTAACCTAAACTAAGAATCTTTTATCTATTTTTCTCGAGAGAGCCCATGCTTTCAAAAAAGCACCGATCTTACCCCAAAGCACAAATGCAACGAATACGAAAAATGTGTACCAGAAGGACAGCATCTTTACAACTGCTGCCGATACAACACTGGTACTTTCCAATGTCGCCCTGGAAATCGTGAGACGCTAAAGCAATCTCTAGAGTTAGGTTCTTTCAGCGCATCCATGTCTTGGCAAAAATCCCTGCAGCAAAGATGAGTTCTGCCATCGAATAGTCAAGGCGAATGAGGAATCGAACGATTTTGAGTGTATAAAGAAAGATGAGGATTGTATCGGTAAAACCTCAATACGAGATTACCACAGTGACGATTTTTTTCAAGGAATGACGATGTGTACTGAGCATTACTTTGGATCGTGCTCGGCTAATAACGAAAATCCCCCAGAGCGAATTATCGTTCAATCCGTCGATGACTGCTACAATGAATGCAAAAGCGACGAGAAATGCAAGGGCTTCGATCTGGATAGCAAAGGAGGATGCCTTCTTGCCTATAAGTCGTGCAGCAAGAACGAGTTGGTTGAACATCCAATTTTCGACGACGATGATTCGAATAATTATGGTCACTTTCAGCAGATGTATATGAAGTTCTTCATGCACAGGCAGAATTTCGAAAATTTGCAGTTCACATACTACCCAATGGATGGATGCAAAACACCAGGTAAGTGTCGAATAAAATGTGATTTACTGAAATTTCCACCTAGAGCGGTCGCCGGAATGCGATAAAACATTGGCGGACAAAATCGATGAGCACATGGCTCTTATCATGCAAAGCCTCCATTCAATGATGCCCTACTTTGATCAGCTTAATGACCAGCTTGATGAAAATACGGAGGACGATGAACAATTCCGAAGCATACTTAGGGATATCATCGTAGCTTTCGGCTCCGTAGGTGGCGTTCTTCTACTTGCGATACTAGCGGTGAAGTTAAACAAGCTTTGTACCCAGAAAGATAATGCTGTTGGTAATGCTCCGATGGCGGAATCTCAGCTCAATACTCCTGCAAATAACCAAACAACTGTTGGTGGCGCTGTTATCAACATCCTCCCACGACTGCGCGACGAGCCATCTTTCAACGGTAATGATTATCTTTTTCCAGTACTTACTTACGCTAGAATTTCCTGAAGATCCTGCTCCTGATTACGAAACAACTCTATCAGTAACACCAATCACAACTATCCCTGAAGAACCAGAAAAGTCTCCAGAAGGGCCAAAAGATAACAATCTTCCATGAGATTCATTGAACAAGTTCTATTGCATGCTTTTAGTAGTAGGGAAGTTTATTATTATTATTATTCGGCAATAAAAGAATACAAACAGTTGTAGCCTTAGACAAGATAGGTGTTTCCTTCGAAACTGAACGAGTCAATGTTGTCGTTGCCGCCAAGTTCAGTCGAGGTAGGTCGGAAAGTGACGGGCAGGTAGCCGAGGCGCCGCATTGGTGACTCGCACATTTGCTGGATTTTTGCAACAGCGCTGTTTGACGAGCTCTAGAATTGATCGAAAGGGATCTTTTAAAAGAAAAACCCCATAAAGCTTTTTTATGACAATGCTCATCGTCGATGAGTGATCGAGAACTCTTCCTTGATTGCAAATTTTCCATCCAGCTGTTGACACTTTTCTGATCAACATTCAACCCATCAATGTAAGCCTTGACCTTCGAGTCCGAACCCAATCCAGAATGTCTCAGAATTTGTGTAGTTTCAATTCCTCTATTCATCACAAAGTCTTCATATCGGATAATATGCGATCGGGAGCTCAGCCAAGGGTCGTTTTGAATTTGACTGAGGATTTTTTCTGTGTGCTTGCAGACGAAATCCATCGAATTTATTTTATCATCGGTAGCGACTAGTGGGCCAAAGTTGCCTGTTGTTTTTGTGAGTCTTCAAAGAGCTCAAATTTTATTTCGATTAAAAATTAAAAGAAATCATAAATTTCTTTTTAATTACACATAAACGAATTTTATTTTTACTAGCCGAGCGAAACTCTGGTACTAAATCTATGAGAGTTAGCTCGATGCAGATTCCTTAATTTGAAAACCTTTAATCATTGATCGAAGAATATGCTTTCATATTTTCTTCTCAATGAAAATTCGCTAAATCGGTTTGTAACTTATAATTTTTAAGTGTTTTTGAACTCTTCCTTGATTCCAAAATACCCCGAGGATCTCTGGTCAAAAACATTATCTTCAAGTCAAGGTTCATCCTCACGGCCATGCTCTTTATCTTCTCAATTTCCACAAATCTGATAACCTTAGCCACCGTAACCAAGGGCTCGCAGCTTGATTTGAGCTGCTCAACATTCGCAGGAGGACAAACACTTTCACACTTTTTCAAATCGTCGGAAAGATCCAAATGGCAGAAGGGCGGAGCGCAGAGCTTTCGATGTTTGCTTCGAAAAGGAAAGTTGCCGTGTTGGTCGAGTTTTTGGTCGGCGGTGATGTCTTGCGAGTATTTTGCCCAGGAGAGGCGCTGGTCGTATTGATCCTCGAAGTTGCAGCTGAGCTGGTTGCCGAGAAGGTTGAGTCGGGGAATGACGGAGCTGCTTTTGAAACCGAGCTTGTAGAGCGGATGCAGGGGTTCGTGGATGTAGAACGCTTCTTCGTGCGAATTGAAGATCTCACCGATAAAGTCATCACCAGACTTTCCAAACGTCAGGAGCTACAAAAACGATTATATACTGCCGTCTTTTTTCTTTCATTTAATATTATCAAAGTATTGCAATTTTGAAAAGAATCATCCATTCGGAAAATCCAATTAATCCTCTATCAATTAAAAATATTCAATACTTGAAAGTAAAACTAAGAGAATATTCTCGCTTACCAGCACCGCTTTTTTCCTGTTGATAGGCATGGGAGGCGAGACAATCATCTGATCCGTCTCCAAAAACTCCAAGAATTTATTCGAGTTTTTCAGGTGAATATCTCCCATCTTCTTCAAATTCATCCTGTGTTCCAAATTGACCTTGACACAAGCAGAATACTGCGTTGTTTCTTTGGGCAGGCCTTCGCAATTCTTCGCATGCCAGGGGTGAAAGATTCCAGCGTCGCGGGAGCGGGAAAATTTTATCTTTTTGGTGATGAAGTTCTCGTACAACTCAGTATCTTCATTTCCCCAGCCAGAGATGGTTTGATTGTAGCGATCTGATGAGTCGTAGGTTTTCTTTGTCATGGCTACAGGACCAACACCCCAGGTTCGCCAGAAGCCGTTCGTTTCTGTCACCTCTTTTAATATGGTTGAGACTTGTTCAAAGAATTGCAATTTAGAAAAGAATGCAAAAAGCGCGTGTCAACCGTTCCCTGGTCCATTTTTCTTCGACGCTTCGAATTGACTAAGCAAAACTGGAAAGTAAACTTCCGACTCGGTCACAGCTCGAATCCTCCTCAAGAAACCTTGATCAATAATCAGGTCCACATCGTAAACGAAGAACAAATCTTCCCCCTTCAACAGATCGATTCCTTTTTGAAGACAATCGGCCTTCTTGAACGGAATATTGCACGTGATCACCTTCACGGCTCGTTGATACGAGGTCGTCGGTAAAATTGACTGAATAACGTCGATCAAAGAAAATCGCTCTTCAGGCGTTCCAGAGAGTGAAACAATTAGATTGAGATCATCGTCTGTTTCTGTCAGAGTTTTGAAAACACCAAGGAAGCGTTTGAAATTGTCCATTCGGCCAAAAAGCGGTACAATTAAAGTAACAGATCTTTGCGCTTTCTTCTCCAAGTCGATTTTAAGAGGCGTTGGCTCGCGAAAAAAGGATGAGGACGAGATTTTTTGAGAAAACATCGTCAAATGCCAGCGAGACAGCTCGTAAAAGGATCGTAAATAGGCCTTCATGTCGCTAGAAATTTGATTTAAGAACTCGCAATGGCGGTCTTCAATATCGCGTGTGTGGAAAAAGGGCAATTATTTCATACAAGACTCTTCAAACTCTTTTGTTAAGCGTAAATATTGACATCTGACTGTACTTTTGTTGAAGGGAAAATACTGAAGCTAAGACTACTGCTCTGTTCAATTAATAATTTATAAAGACGAAAATAATTTTTTGAGAAATGTCGCAAAATTCGAAATACTCTGAAAGCATCGTAACATATGACAGAGAAAACGACTCGCGTTCTCATGAATCTCAAAACCTTTCAAAGGCAGAGATCGAAATGATTATCGAGAGCAAACTTCAATTCTACAGGACCAAGATAGGCAATTACGAGGAAGAACAATACCAGCTGAAAAAGAAAAATGAAGAACTCATTGAAAAAGTGGCGGATTTTGAGAATCAAGTCGAAAATCACAATCTTAGAACAAATGCGTTCGAAGAAAAAGTGGAATTGATGACAATTGAGAGTGAAAATCAAGCAATTCAAGGGATAATTGAATCGGCGACCGACAAGATTATTGAAGGCAAGCTTCAACTCATTAAAGCCGAGCTGACGAAGATAAAACAGGAGCAGCTCGAAATGAAAAACAAACATGATGAGCTGATTGAAAACATCAATCTTGAAAAAATGCGTCAAATTGAGAGCCAAGCTTTACTTATGGCTTCATTTGAAGAAAGAATGAATAATTTGATAAATCAAATTGACAATTATAGTTGGAACATAAGCAAACTTAATTCAAAATTGATATCGTTTGAAGATCAGTTTAGATCTGACAGCAGAATATTGAAGATTTATACTTATTTACCACTGAGCATCACGATAATAGTGGGTATTTTGGCTATCGCGGTGGCGATAAAAGTATTCTAATTGAATCTGATGATAATCAGACAATCAAATATGCACATACTCTTAATTTTTCAGATTTCTTGAAAAGGATGATCAAATAAATTCAAATACCGAAACTTTCCGTATTTCGTCATTTATCTAAGGTGGCATGCAAACTGCTTGAAGAATTGTCAAAAAAAAGGCCCAAAATGCCCTTGTATCAGCCAAGTTTTAGAAGAAGATGGATTTGTATGCCAATCAATACCGAATTAAATTTAACGCTTGAAAGGGGGCCAAATCAAGACTATCAAAAATCGAAACCAAGCAGGGGGGAGGATTGATTTTTTGTAGATATAAACGAAGAATCGCTTAGAGATTCAATATCAGAAGTTGCAAGATTTGATTTTTAAATGAAACTTTAGAGTCATCCAGAATTATAAGTGAATTGAACGTATGCTGAAAATATCAGACTACTGATGAAGATAATTTTGTCTTGAAATGAATCGTGAGCATATCAAATTGTTGTGCATGCATTTCCTCCTTCAATAAAAACTATTTTATATTGATGAATCAAATAGTACTGCCTTTTACAAATATTAACCGTGATAATAAATCCATACTTCATACGATTACCTTGTTACGCATTGATAGAGCATGTGATTGAGAGTCATGTCCTTCTTCACATATTTCAGCTGTCGAATCGCAGTCAAAAACGGCTCAACCAATTTCAGCTGCGGAATCGGATCCAAACTGAACAAACTTGTCGTGTATTTCGTATCGATGTTCTTCACATAATCCCAAATACACCCATTCATCTGCTCTTTCATTCGCCCGTGCGAGCTCTTGATCATTTTCTGCAGTTCCTGAGTCCTGTTGAACATAAGTTCTCCTCGATGTCGCAGAATTCTCATTCGGACGGAAATTTGAGAAGACGGATTTTTGACAGCATGTAGCGTGATCGCGCTCCGGAGAATTTTGTCGTCGAGGTCGAGTTCGGCGTCGATGTCGTTTTTGTAGCCGATTTCGCCAGGTGCAACATGCTTTTTCCAGTTTTGATGGAGGATTGCGTTGGTTTCGTAAGATTTGGTACAGTCCATGTTCAAATGAGTCCAAATGCAGCGGCCAACTTCTACATCTTCGTGTTCGGTCATCAGGTTCTAGAATTTTGAGTAAAAAAGCATAACTCTACAAGCAAATTTTGTTGGATAATTTTTCTCAATCTGTCGTTATGTTGACAATTCTAAGAAACTCTTATGTAGATACGGAATATGGAGAATGCTTCCATGATACCTTTATACATGTCGTCAGATAGGGTCTCAAATTTCTGATAAGTTTATGAGAAAAGATGACACCAGAGCCGCCCATGCAAAAAGCCGTGCCATGAGGAATATAATCATCAGCATTTCTTCCAAATCCAGTTCCTCCAATGTAATGCGGCTCGTCCGGGTTTATTTTGTTCAAAAATTGAATAAGAAGATCGAACTGAAGATGGAGATCGTCGTCGACGCGGATGAACCAGTCGTAGTCGTCGGCGATGGAGTTGAAGTATGCATAGAGCTTGAATGATTTTTTCTGCGGCGGGTAGGCGTAATCGTCGACGCCAGGGAGGGTTAGAGTCGGGAAACCTGGGACGGGGGAGGAGATAAAACGGACGGTTGCGATTCGAGGGTCGATTTCTTGGAGCCAGGTGTCTTTTATTGCCTGTTTAAAAGCTCGAAAAAGGGTTTGTTTTGAATGCCAATGGGATGATGATACAACTAAAGACTAGAAAATTCCTTTTTGGAGCATTTCCTGGCCACGAGTAAGCAAATAATCAGGCGTTGAGTGAATAGCAATAAAAACTCGTTTCTTTCTCTTTCCCCCAATTTCTTGCCGGATTCGATCAAAATTATTTTCTTCAGAAGATGATTGTGAGTTTGAAATGCCAAAGTCAACTTCTGGAGCTTCTTGGAGGTCAAAATTTGAGGGTTGAAATCGAAGCTTGGCTTTTGACTCGAGACGGGCGCGGATGAGCTCGGGAAGGCAGCGTTTTTGCTTGAGGTATGCTTGCAAGACGTCGCCAATGAGAAATCTGAAGATGAAGAACTTGGGACCCTGGGTCTTCAAAAATACAACTTACCCAATCGCCAGAGCGATGAGAAAATCCAGCAGCGATTTTCTCTTCATCTGTTTTTTTTCGGAAAGCGTTTAAGCTATCAACTTTTCTCTCCTCTCTGGCTTCTCATTTCGTCACTGGAGAATTACGAGCGGCGATTTTACGATTCAATTTATCGCCCAAAAATCAAATCTAAGCTCCTTTTCACTTCTGAACTTTCTCGTAAACTGACATTGATACTCGCCAAATCTTCGAAAAAAATAATTGTCCGGGCGAATTTTTTTTACGCTTGGCGCGAAATCAAAACAAAAGATTTTTCTTTATATTTTCAAAGCTAAGGTTAAACATACGTTTTGCGCGAAATCTCATAATGCATCTTTTTTGTTTTATTTTTAGTTTGATTGGCCAAAGATTGTCGACTTATTTTTATGATGATTGATGAAGATAGTCGATTTTAGGATCGACAGACTCAAAAAAAGGCTGAAAACGGGAAAGGGCTGACGTAAATACGCAAGATCAAATGGACGACAACTTCAAAAAGCACTCGAGCTAATTAATCAAATCAACGAACTTGCCAAGTTTGAAAATGAGAAAAACAGCGAAAAAAAGGAGGAGGAGAAGTCGCAGCTCAGAAAAATAGAGAAAATGCAACAATCCTCAGGCCCGTTTTTTTCAAAATTTTTCAAAAAAAATATTGCAGCGTTGAAAAAGGCGTGAACAGCAAAATGTCTCAAATACTCAGTCTTTACTTTCAATTTCATTTTCTTCATCGCAGGGGTTCTTTTGCTAACATGCGGTTTTATGGCGATGAAAATGAGCTCCGAGTTTACGAAAATCATTGAATCGGTCGAGCAGCTTTCCCTTGTAAACAAAGGTACCTCGCCTTGTTTAAACCAATGTTAAACTAATTTCTAGCGCTGTATTTGGTCATTCTATCCGGAGGACTCCTCACAATCATCGGCTTTTTCGGCTGCTACGGTGCCCTCCGTGAGAATAAATGCCTCTTGAGCTTGGTAAACTTTACTCTTTGATGTTTTTCTTTTTTAATGTTTTAAGTTCTTTACAATCATCTTTGTAATTTTGGTGATTGAGCTGACTGCTGGGACAATTATCTTCCTCAATGCTTCTGAAGCGCGCCAATTCGTCAACCAAAGCCTCAACATCTATCGCTACAGGAAACCCGCATTTTTAAATATGATCATAGAATCTTTTGGTTATCTTCTATACATAATATCGAGTGAAATTGGAACGCGGCTGAAAGTTGTGATCAAACGGAGCTGAGGACTTTAAAGGCTGAAAATTCGACTGTTCCTAAGTTTTGCACGATATCTCAAGAAACTCAGGTGCTGCAACAATAAAGACAACTATATACTTCAATTTCTAGCAGAAGAAAAAAGGAGGTGATGGGGAAAACAACGACTGGATTGATAATTTAATCACGCATGACTGGAAAAGGACCGGTTTTAAGTGATAAAAGGAAATGAAGGATTATCATAATTGCGATCATAATGCTTCAATTATAACATAAGTTGCTACTTAAGTAAATTCGAGATCCTTTAGTTTATTCTAGCAGATGAATAATAATGAATAAGTAGTTTTAATGAAGAAATAAGTATTATAATTCTCAGCCGTTTAATACTCATTAAAGTGGTGAAATTCCCGTGGAGATTATTCAAATTGGAGCTCCCGTTGTTCAGCAACTTTGGGATAATGTTCATGAATTGGTAATCATTCAAACTTCATCCCAAGAGTCTATTTTTTTCAGTTCCAATGCTGCGGGATCAACGGAATCAGCGACTGGACGACATTTTCCAACCAAACTCGATTTTTCGGAAAGATTCCAAAAACCTGCTGCTCTCCCGAATCTCGCGTTAATGAAACGATCATTCCGACAAATTCAAGCGAACAATTCTTGTTTGAATTTTGCCCGGATGATGGAGAAATAAGCAACGATTATGGCTGTGGGGATCGAATAAATGTCTACTCGGTAAGTACAATTAAATTGATAATCTGGTTGAAAATTGATGCTCAAAGGATAATTGTTGAACATCTATATAATCTAACTCTTGTCGGACTGTTTTTCTTTGATAAAATCGTGCTATCGATTATATCGCAAAATTTGATAACTTATCACCTTAGGTTCAGAAAGAAAGCTCTTTTCCGATAAGAATATCCTCAAAAGACCTCTTCCAGATAGACGATACAGGAAATAAAATATTATTTCTTATTGTTAAATTATTTCTCGAAATAGCGTGAACAAAAAGAATTAAGGCTATAACCTCTCTTTTGGCCTCTCTGGAAAACGGACTTCCCTTGGTCGATTTCAAAAATTTAAAGGGCAAACATACTTGATTTCTCCAAAAGAATTCAAAAATGCCATCAAAAAATACTTTTCTCTGGTAATTTTTTGCTCTAGAATCATTCAAAAATCGCCGATCGGTTTTCCGAGAAAACTGGAAGCTCTGAGGTAGAATAAATCCGACAATAATATTAAGTAGGGCATATTCTATGATCCCTTTGGAAAAAATATCAAGAAATTGTCTAAATTATGATTATAATTTTCTCTTCTTTCAAATCTCTTTTGTTTATAGACGGACGCTTGAGATCCACGCGGCCAATCAGAGCGCGATGAATCGCTTGACTCACACGCTCGCCAACAGCGCTCTCTTTTTGGCCTGGAGGAAAGCACTCCGCGCAGCGCGTCCACGCGCATTTTTATCCTCAGGTGCCAGCACTAACATGGCCCTAGAATGAAAATTTGAAGAGATTTCGAAGATTTTTTCCATAGGGATTGTAGAGAAGGCTTTAATCTATTAATTGATCAAAAAAAATCTGCCTCTGTAATGGTAAAATTCTTCGGAAAACCGATCGGCGTTTTTTAAATGATTGTAAAGTCGAAATTTCAAATGAAAAATTAATTTTTGATAGCATTTCTGAAATCTACGATAGATTTTGAGTATATGAGTCTTTTTAATTTTTGAAATCGACCAAGGGTAGTCGGTTTTCCGAAGAGGCCAAAAGAGAGGTTATAGCCTTAAGTTATTTTTGAATTAAGGGATCCCCTCCCGATTTGAAAAATATCATCGAAAGCCTTCGTGTGATATATTTTTGGATTCTCCGTTGTTTGGCGATCATTTTCATATATTATGTCAAGGGGGGTCCGTCACGTGGTTAACCGTGACAAAGCTTTGAAAATGGCTTATTTTAATGAAAAATTTTACTTAGAAAAAATTCGCAATTTTTTCGACTTTTCAAAGTCGACATAATCAGATGAATAAGGGCTCTTTAGAAAGCTTAGAAAAAACTGAATTAGAAAAAAGTAGATTTAATAAAATATCTAACCACGAAAAGGCGCTAGAGAGCATGGAAAGTCGTAAAAATGGCAAAAATCAGTTGAAAAACATCTTGTTAAGAAAAATTCTACAATCCTTGACAGAATCACATGCCTGTACTAGAGATTGTAGATAAGGGATCAAGGAAGACAGTTGTTATTGATTAAGGGCTCTATCTAAGAGCAGAAAAAACTAGTTCGATTTTGAAAATGGCCCAAAATGGGGTTTTTCGCGAGTATCAATGTTTTCAGCCCGTCTTTTCGAGGTGTTCCCCCTGATGAAAATTAATTTCTATACTAGAGTTTGTTCATTAAAAAACGGGCTTCAAAATGAGCCCTTATCCTTGTAAAAAGCTCAGCCCTAAAAAAAGTAGTTCGGAGTCAAAGTTGACGAAATCGGGGGGGGGATCCCTTAAAATAATGTTAAATTATCCACTTTTGAGTAAAAATAGCCTACTGGTATCTAAAATAGTTATCTTAAACCGGGATAGTGTCTAGAACCGACAAAAAAATTTCGACAAATTTTGCGTGGGCGGCTACTCGACTGCTGATTGGGTGGATTGCCGAATCCCGGCTTCTGATTGGTTGGGAATTTTTCACACGAAATTTGTCGAAATTTTTTTTCGGTTCCAGACACCTTCGGTCGGCATTTATGATACCTTCTACCTTGTTCTGTACATAATGTCAAATCTTTTTTTTTAGAATCTTTTGCTGAGCATATCAGTTTCGGCCGGTTTCGTCCAAATCGTCGCCCTTGGTGTTTCCTGCCTACTCTGTAGGAATATTGGCATATTTTTAAATATCTTGTAAAAAGGCTCAAAAGCTCATGAAGAAATTAAATTCAAAAATATGAAAAACAGGGGACTTGATCAAAAACGATCGGAGAAGAAGATGAAGCAAAAAAGCAATATTCCCAGCAATTATTCGGAGGATAGAATGAACGGCTCTCATAAAAAGTGCACTACGAAAAGTTCAAGAAGAATCTTTTTATTTGAGAAATAATTATATGAGAGCTGAATTAAAGACAATATCTTTCTTTGAATCCAACTGTTGAGTGTGTAAAATTCAAGAATAAAGTCTAATAAACAGTTTCTTATATGCAACTATAAGCTATTCTAGTCAGAATGAAGCTACAGTCATACAAAAGCAAAAAAGCCTCTGATCAGCAAACAGTCGCGTTTTGGACAAACATCGTTTATCCAAATATTTCACTGATGCTCGAGCAAATTGTCAATTTCCGAGGACATTTTATCTTTCAAACAGCGGATTTTTTTTTGTCGAACTAGAGTTTCCCCTCCCGAGATTGTGAAATAATGAGCGATTGGAAAACCGGACTTTTTGGTTGTTTTTCGAAGTTGCCGATGATGTTTGCTTCTTGTTTTGCAACGCCCTTAATTCAAGGTAACATTTATGTTTATTTTTAAGATTTAAATTGTTTCTACTATCGGTTTATTTATGAATAAATCGCTGTTACATGAGTCTTCATGAGTTCTAGAAATATCTAAGGAAAAAACGCAGAATCAATCGGAGAAGATGCCACCCTCTGGGCAATGATGTCTTTTGCCCCTTGCATAAATGCTCTTCTCAGGCAGCAAATAAGAAAGAAACATGGAATTGAAGGTGAGTAAGAACAATCTAAGGCGAGGATGCATATCTCCGGCTTCAAAAGGACAATTATTATTGTTCAACATCTCATATAAATTTTACGCATTAGCAAAGTAACAAATGTTATGTAACTTCAATTAATTATAATTTAAAATAACTACGTTAAATAAATTCAAATAATATAGACATAAATAATGCATTTTAATCATTTTTAGGTGAGCTTTGGAAAGATGTTCTTTTCTGGTGCTGCTGCCCTTGCTGTGCTGCTGGTCAAGGTAAGACATGGGAATCAAAAGAAACACGAATTCTCAATTCTAGAGGCGATTCAAACCGGATCGATGGACTATCTTTTGGACGACAAAACCCTGAACGAAGGCGCTCAAAAATACGAACAAGATATTGCCAGAACATAATACAACACAGCTGTAGAAAACAAGATGTTTTTCGTTGTTAAAGAATCAAGAAACGACCCCTTTTGTGTTAGAATTCTACTTTTACTTTGTTTGGAAAATGGGACTACTATGTTTAATTGGTCTGAAGCTAAATGGGAATATTTTTATATAAAGGACTTTTTTTGAAGTTCCATTGGCGCAGTGATTATAGAAATTATTCAGGCAAGAAATGAGGCGTCTCTCGCGCGCCATGTAGCAGCATTTTCAGATCCTTTTCTCCCTCGAATTCCTTCTGATAGTAAAACCAAACCGACTCATGAGTCCAATAATGAACAGCAGTGAAGAGTCTTTTAGAGAATTTGAAAGTATTGGTAAAAACTGGACGCGGATTGAAATTGAAATTGATGAAGACTTTGACGGATATTTTGTGACGTTTGAGAGGCGAAGTCCGCTTTTACTCATGTAAGTACGAATATTTCGTATTGAAAATAAAAATATAGCTCCATTTTACCTATTTTTTCGTCAGAACGGGATCTGAAAAACAGACTTGAAAAATCGAGTTTTCGATTCTCCTCTATGATTTCAAATTTTTTTTGCTTAAAAATTCAAATTATAAATTCATCAAAATGCTTCATTAATGATGGTTAGGCTGGTCTGATCTGTTGATAATTTTAATTTTTCAGAAAAAATTTGCTTTGATTGTTCACAGTAAAAATTAAAGGTGAGCTTATTTATTCATTTCAGATTAATTATTTGGCTATGCGCGGCGATAATTGTAACAATGATCACATGTTTTCTAAAATACAAAATTGACGCCGTCAGGAGACTGAGGAGACAACAAGATGTAAGAAACAATCACGTGCGTTTTCAAAGAAAAAGGTGAGACATCTTCAAAACAATTTAATTATGCTTGTTTTTATTTTTAATATTTTAATAATCGTTTCTTTTCCAGGCAAGAAACCGAAAAAAGCAAAAGAACAACTCAAAAGCTAACGATAAGAACATCCAATTTCTGATGCTTTTGACTCCCTTTATCCACCTTATTTATTCACATTATTCACCAAAACTGCCATTGCCAACTGTAAATAAACCAGCATATTCCACTGACAAGAAATGAGTTCGGAAGATCTTGTGATTGGAAAATCTGAAGGTGACCGGACTCACGGCGCCCAGAGCATGTTACGCTTTGTTAGAGGAATTTCTAATTTCTTGAAGCGATGGGGGAAAAATGAAATGGCTAATATTGACCTTTCGTGCAGCGCAGAAGATCAAATAGAGATGAAACTCATAAGAGAATTTTTTCAGAAAAAAAGTTTTCATCTTTCAGCTGAGAAATAACTAAAAGACGACAAAATTATTGTTCGCCAATTATTTTATTGATCTCCGCGGCTTCGTTAGAAAATGAAAGAATATAACCGGTTGATACCGTATGGTATTCAGAACTAACTCATTCAAATTGAATACTTCCATTAACCTTCCAAGGTCCAAAATGCTCTGAGGTCCCCCAAAGGGGCCATTTATTAACCCAATTAACATTCCCAACTAAAATTCATCTCAACAAGCGGAGAGGATGATCATCGATCCCCAGTTGTGTGGAACCCATCGATTCCTTTTCAATCTATTCTTATCTCCCACTTCTTTGATATAATTTTTTTCTTCAAAGCTTATCTTTTTTTACTCTTTTTGAACGTGACTATGGCCACGTGACGATCATTGATCAAACCAATAGAGCAGAAATCAATAGGAGACATTTTAGGTACAAAATAGAGAATTTTTGGTAAAAACAGAAAAAGAGAGATTCCGCAATTGAGGACCCCGAACCCTAAGCAACTTGTCAAATAATTATTTTAAGGGTGTCGAATCGACAAATCATGTTTCTTTAGACATTTTTACGACAGGAAAGGTACCGCGCGCGAGAAAATATCGAAAAGCGTACTTGAGCTCTCATAAAATCCCCGGTTTTTTTACAATTCGCATTTTTCGTTAAAAGATATACATATATCTAAGAAAGAAAACAACAAAGAAAGTAGAGAAGAGAGAAGAGTGTAAAGTATTTTTTAAACAATTCAAACAAAAGGACCTCAGATCAAAATAAAGCAGAATATCCTCTCTTGAGAACTGAAAAGGGCGCCCAGGCGCTCGTAAATCAAAGAAGAGCTACTTTTTCTTATTTTTTTATAGAGAGAAATCAAGAAGAATTTTCTATCCAAATGAACATTTAAATAGAGCTGCTTGTAAGTTCAGTTCTGAACCCTCTGACATAAGAAAGCTCCTGTACTTTCTTCTTTCTTTTTAGATTGAGATCTGACGTTTATTAAATTTCATTTTTGAAATCAACGATGAGTTCTGACGAGCCCCGATCTCAGATCGTTTATGACGATCCAGGAAGTGTTACAGACATTCGAAAGCGATTTGGACAAATAAAAGGCGAAAGTGCCGCTCAGTTCAGGTACTTTTACTATTATGCCACTTGCGATTTAGTCAGGCGTGTAATTGTTTTATCTGGAATTAATTGGAGGTTCGGGCTAATCGTCTTTGTTATCAAGTGTAATTATCGTGATATTAAAAAGACAATGATCGCTGCAAAACATTTATGGAGACTAGTCATTTCAAATTTGATAAGCTCAATAAGCCAATAAAATTTTTTATGCACATAATTGACTCAAGAAATTCATGCTTTTCAGACCGAAACCCTTGATCTCCCCTCGCCCGCGTCCCGGATCCATCAAAGACGGATCTCTGTCGCCAAGACCGATCACTCCTTCTCGAAAAAGCTCAAGCTCAAGCTCAGGCAATCGATCATCCTTCAATTCCTTCAAAGATCGTCCCAAGTAAGTCTCTTTCTTATCCCTCTTATCTAATCATCTGTTCTTTCATGAAGCTCAGAAGCTTACGAATCAATCCACGAGGATTTCACTCAATCAACTCAAATTGCTCAACAACAGTTCGAAAATTCGCAATTCGATTTTCCGAAACCGCCACCTCAAGTAGCGAGCCAAAAGCCTGCTTTGAGACCGAAACCAGCGTTGCCAGCGAGGAAATTTGAAAGAAGAAGAAGGTAGGCCCTACCCTCCCAAGAATGATGATGATGATCTTTTCATAGTTCAAATGCATCATCTGTTTATGTCGTTGAATCTGCACCGAACGATGCGCTTGTGGAAAAAATGAGTAAGAGAATATTCAATCGGTGATAGCCTATCAGTTGAAATTTCTCTATCTGATTGGCTTTTATCAAATCAAAGACGAGAAATCCTTTTGAGAACCAATAAAATTTGAGAGATAGAGAAAAGAAAAATTCTTTTCAGATGCAATTTCGTTGAGCGAAACGGATGATTTCGACGAAGCTGTCCGTGAATTCTACAGAAACTTGCAAATCTTCGAATCAACCCGATAACTGTTCAATCCTAAATAAACTCCAATAATTCTTATCTTCAATATCCCCGATATTATATCGGCAACGATTGTATCAACTTCTTTGGTTAAAACTTTGATAACAATATTTATCGAATATTGTCAGAATAATAACTTCCATCAAAGAAATTCGAAAATACAGTTTTTCGACTGCTCTGAAAACACATGTTCAACTGAGAAAATTGTAAGTTGCTGTCGCTAATTTGCGTAGCAGGCGTGTTTTCTTGCAACTTGCGGCGGAGGAACATTTTTCTGACGCATGAGAAAAGTTGCGCTGCGGGGAGGGCGCGCGCGAGCAAAACGGTTCGGAATGAGGATTCATGATTTTTCTTCTTTTACGAGTACTGCTTTATCAAAAGAAAAATTATTAAATAATAATAGTAGAAATTTTTATAAAAGAGAAAACCAAAGAAGAAAGTCCTCTCCGAACCGCGCTTTTTTGAAGAACGGAAAAGAAGATAATTTTTGAAAGTAAGTTTTTAACATAATATTGTTTCTCTTATTCCCAAATGGGATTAATCTCCAACGGAGCATTAATTAAACAGGTCAGAAGAGAGAGAATTTAAAAAAATATAAAAGAATCTTCGGAGTCAGATTTATGGTTTTCGATTATAATTTTTTTTCTGAAATTTCTGAAAAAGTTTTGCTAGTCAAATAGAAAGTCAAGTTTTGAGTCTACTCCCCGTTGAGTTTCTAATGCAAAAGAAGGTTCCTGGAAGACAGGAAAACGTTGTCCAAAAATCAAATTCAAAATACGATTGACCCGTGTTTTTGGCCAAACCTCGATGGAGAAAGCTCTATTTGAACCAAAAATAATTGAGCTAATCAAAATAACGATAAACTAAAATGGAATTAACGTCAGTTAGATCTGCTTCTTTTCTAAGAACAAAACGTCGCATCATCTTTTTCGTTTATTTCTTTTCTAAAGTCAGCGAATTTTTTTTTCTAAAAATCAATCCTCCTTTTGCTTTTTTTACATCAGCAAAGCGGTCATGTGCCGGGCTTTCCGAGGATCTAGAAGAGATTATTTGCTTTCGGCCGGGATCCGCTAAGCACGGCTTCCCACCTGCCATAATTTTTTCGAATTTTTTTATCATCAGAAAACAGCGCCCGCCCACTTTCTTACTTATCGGAAAATATTTTCAAGAGAGGGTCTCACGTTTTTCGTGGAACAGTTTCTATTTCTATCAAATTACGAATCCATCACATATAAACATCGGATTTTCCCGTTAACTTAACATTGTGACCCCCTTATTTTCAACAAACAATTACTCTATCATATTACCATTTTCTATCTCAAAGAAATTGAAAGCCCGATTTGAAATTCGGAAAAATTTCTTTGAGATCGAAAATGGACTCAGAATAATTGTTTGTTGAAAATAAGGGGGTCACAATGTTAAGCTCACTCACACTGTGTTGCTCAGGTTTTACACATATTTCTGATCCCTTATCTAACCACATAATAATGGACCATTAATAATATAATAATATAATAAATAAAATAATAAATAAATAATATAATTATAATATATTAATTAATAATGCTCTATTATTAATGGTTATCATATTGTTAGACTTTTTTCAATAAATTTTCGAGACAGATACGGAATAAAGACGCTTTGAAGAGAGATTATTCAATCAAGCTGCTGATCCAGGCTATAGAAAACGCGCAATGACATGTTTTAACCGCTCACGTGATAATTATGATAATTCTGATTTTCCGGTGGCCTGTGTCACAAGAACGTCACCGGGGACCTGGGATACATGCGATTTTTGGCTCTGCTCGATTTCATACCAGAAAATTCATTGCATAAAGAAACTCAATTGATTTAGCTCTCTCTCTTGAAAATCAGCAGGAGCGGAGGAAATTGAGTATTGTCACAGTGGGATTACTTTAACCGAGCGTTTATTTTGACTTGCTTGCTTTTCGGTTTTTCGAGTTTTTTGCGGCCTCAAATCTGTTGGAATAACATTGTCTCAGCAATTTTAAAAATCGGGGACTTGCGGTTCTATTTCAATTAATAAAAAAATTCAAAAAAAACTTTCTTTTTTTTTTCTACTGATCGAGTTACTGATAACGAATTTCATCATCAAGCCTTCTGATTGGTCCATTTTGATTTTCATGAATCATGAAAGAAAATTTATCTTGAAATTCACGCCTTTAATAATTTGTTCAGAAATGCAGCAAAACGATGTTGTGGAGAAAATTCTAGAGGAAAACTGTAAGTAGTACTTTCAAATTGATGAAACACCTGAAAACGTGTTGCGAAAATTCTCTGAATTCAACGTTCGAGAGCTTAACTCAAGCACGAAGAGGCTTACCCACCGGACTAAGTGAGCAGCGGAAGCTTTAGGTTATACCACCCTTATTCAATTTCTGCTAGAAATTGATGCTAGCATTATGAAAAAAAGAGGACGAGGACACGTGGGATTTTTCAACATGATATATCGAAGTGTATAGGATTTAATACCGCCGTGGCAAAGCGGATTAAAATGATAATTTTCTAGAGCATTTATGATTTTGACTCAAATTTTCAAAATTTCAAAAGACGGAAATTTTCAATCTTGCTTTTGAGAGATATTTTAGCCTGTTGTCGTGGTTGTTTGAGCTTCCCTGCATTATTGAATCCCCAAATCACGTGGCCTGTTATGTTATGTATCGTTATATGGCAATATAATGATTTCTAATTTGTGCTTGTTATCAGCCCAAAGACGTGGCTTGAACAAGATCGAGCTTTGATTTTCTCCTCCGACAGCTTGTTCTTCGGTTTTTCCGACACCTCCTCGCTCAACTCAAAAACAACTCATAGATGCTCATCAATTTGGTCCGACCGTTGGGTCGGTTGCATAAGTCCAAATAGGAGCGGGAGAAATAAAGATAATTGAACGAAACATATGTGGAAAGAACTAAGTACGTGGCTTTCTGTCCTGACAAAGGGCAGCTTTTTCATATCTTATCAGAGAGTGAGACAGGTAATAAGCTGCTTGGAAGGTGCTCTTAGGTTAATTTTACAGGAAGATAAAGCATAAATATTATGTGCTACGACAAAAAAGAGCGGATAAGGCTTTTTCTTTGCAAATTTTTTGAATATTTTTCAGCGAAAGTTGCCTACATCTTTTTTATAAGACGGATAAAAAGATCGAAAATTTTAATTGGCGGTTTTTAAAAATAAAGCATTTTGATTGGCCGTTTTAGAAAATCGAGCATTTTGATTGGCCGTTTTAGAAAACCAAGTATTGTGATTGGCCCTTTAAGAAAATCGTGCATTTTGATTGGTTGTTCTAAAAAATCGAGCATTTTGATTGGCTGTTTTATAAAATCGAGCATTTTAATTCCCTGTTTTTTTTTACAATAGTGCATTTTTAGTCGAATTATTATCATGAATTGGATCAAACATAAAAGTAATTAACGAACCAAAAAATAAAATAAGTATTCGCCACTTGAAAAGATAAAGCGACCGCGGCAAAGTGAGTGACGAAGCTTATCGGGAAACAATCCGTGTCTAAGTGCTCGTGCCTTATCTTCTTACGACATCGCACCATCTTCATTTTTTTGTAATATCGAAAGTATGATATGAGAAAATTCACCGAGGCGAAGCGTATTTTTCAATTCCGAGTGTGGTTTCAAGACACTTGGTTCGGGGAACATCGTGGGGTTTTCTCTTGACCGCGGGGTGGTTGATTTCCACTCAATTTGAATGAGAAATTTTAAATTACGCTCAATCAACTTTACTCACCAAATTTGTTTTTAAAGATAACGAAGTGACACCCTTATTTTTCTCTTTGAATTTTTGTAAATTTAAAGATAGAAAAATAAGGGTGTCACTTCGCTAGCTTTTAAAAATGTTAAAGAGAATCGTTTTTTAACAGATTGTTCTAGTGGAGCTGTCATGCGAACTCGACGAAATCTGCCTGGAGCTAGAAGAGCAGTTCTTCATCGACCACGATATTCGAAGTCCCGAGAAAATCCACCTGAAAGATTCTAGCTGCTTTGGCGAGCGAGAGGTACTCATTCTAACTGAAAAGATCTTTTTCTAATTGAAAAGGGGCTCGTTTTGAAAAAAGCGTAATTGGATGACGGAGTAAAAATACCACTCCTAAAGGTGCAGCGGCTAGCGAGCACGTTTCGCGGTTGCATGGCTAAACGTAATTTCGAGCCTCTAAAATTTCTAATCACTGGATTTTGCCATTTAGTTCTTGAGATCTTGATCGCCCAAGTACGGTTTTCGAAGAAAAAATGGAGGGATGGGAAAGGTTTTTGTTCGTTGCGAAATGATTGAATAAAAGCGCATGTCTTAGGCACGGAGCTCTTGAATTTCTCAGAGCCCGGGCTTGAAAATTAGAAACTGTGAACACTGTTCCAAAAGCATCCTAAGCTAAACTTACCGTTTTTGGTTTTGAGTATTTTACCGTTGAAAAAGCGACCAATAGCGTTAATTTCTTGAAAAAAATTTTGTATTCAAGCAAATGCTAAACCTTCACGATGCTTCATTTAATCAGATCCTCTTCGGGGTTCAGCGAAATCTGTCACGCGACAAATACACGCGCGCCAGGATTTGGCAGCACCGTGCTTATCACATTTTAAATACCCAGGGCCGTGTATTCTAGGAACAGACATAAATAATCATTAGTTAAAACTGCTACTTTTTCAGAAAACTGAAAGTGGAAAATGGCGCTGGTGCACTAGAAGAAGCGAAAACGAAGATGGGCTTCTCGAGCCGAATTTCGACTGTTTAACGGAGAGCGAAGTTAACTCCACCCATATTGTCTACCGCAACGCCCTAAAGCGCGACGTACTTCCAGGAGGTAAGGGCTTTTCATAAGATGATAAAACACGTACTTTTTCTTCCGCTGAGGGGAACTTTTGAACTAAACAAAAATCAGAGCTCCGTTTTGAGAAAAATTGTCTCATTGTATTTTCTCTAGAAATCATCATCGGAAACGACATTCCCCGCGCAATCTCGATGCCATTCGGTTGTGCTTGGCCCCTGAATGTCTTCGTCTCTACTTCTCACGAATCAGAATTCGAACTTCATGAGTAACATCAATTTTATCTTCCTGGATTTCAACTAAGCTTTCTTTAGCACGGTCGAAATCGTATCAGATGTAATCGGCGAGGGCGTGTATTCTGCCAAGATGCACCTGTACAGCGACGAAAGCTTCTCCGAGCCCTTGGACGATATTCCAGTAAGTCCCTTAAAACCAAAATCGAAACAGCTTTGAACAAGATGCGGCTTTGAAACTAGATTCTTTCTTTCAGGAGCTTGGAATTGATGATAACGTTTTTGTTGGAGTGGAACTTTTGACCTCAGACACAGGAGTGAATATCATTGTCGAAAAAGCGTGGGCTACACCCTTACCGACGGCAAGCGGAAGTCCGATTAATATTCCTATTGTTGATGACAGGTAATGACGGGCATAAATAAGGGTGTCACTTTATGAATTTCGGCGAATAACTGCTTGGAATTAAGGATGACCCCTAAAATCGTGAATCTAACACTATCTTCATTTTTGCCAATTCAGATGTCCAAGTCTGGCGTTTCTGGATAGTCTTGACGTGAAATTATACACAAACGGCGAGTCGAATCTGTCAACATTCTCGACTGGCGTTTTCAAATTCGCCAACTTCGAAAAGGCGTATTTACACGCAAAGGTGCGTGTCTGCTTTCAGGACAACGAGACTTGTCCGAAAAAGGACGAGGAAGAATGCGACTCGAATTCTAGAACTCGGAGATTTGCACAGGACCTTCCGGAAGACGGGGAGGTCGTGTCTATCGGCCCGTTTTACATTTCAAAGGAGAAAAATAACGATTTAGAAAACTTTGAAAACGGGCCACGGGTAATTTTGAGACACAGCAAAAACGAGGATTTTGATGAGTTCGGGGCTCCAGTATTGATCAAAAATGGATTTCAACTCAGTCAGACGGATGTTTTGATCGCAGCACTTTTAGGTAGGCCTCCTTGCTTTGACATTGCTATTTATTAATTTAAATCCCATTTTCTTGAATAAAACAACAAGAATCTAAGGAGCAATTATCACTGTTTGTCCCTCCCAATTATTTCCTTCCTACAAGAATTCTAACAAGATAATTCAGGCGTCGTACTGATGTTATCAGTATCAGTGATCACTCTCTACTGCCGCTGGCGTCACGCCGTCCAATCACGACGCTTTCAGCTGAGAAAGATGTCACTTGGTGGCGCGCTGCCGATTTCCGTCATGCGCTGATTGGATGATGAAATCAAGGAAGAGTACAAGATGAAACCGATGCATTATTTCTTCATTTTTCAGAAAACTGTGAATAAACTCATTTGTAAATTATGAAATGATATTATAAAATGACTATTTGCCTTCAACGAAATCAAAATGAAAGAGAAGAGGTTTCCCAACGATGTGTGAAAAAGTCACGCAGGGGCTTTGTTCGGAAAATTTATAAGTGGGCTTGAGAGCTTGAAAAAGAGGGTATTTGAAGGTTTTTGTGAAAGAGAGAAAGATGGAAGATCAGGAAAATATGGAGATGATGATGATGCCGATGTATTTTTCAAACCACTGGGGATTTTATGAAAGTTTCTGAAAACCATAATTGCTCATTTTGGTATATTTTCTTAATTTTTTTCTCGACTCATTGATTCGATTATCCTATAAGACCATAGTATCTATTGTCACTGACGAATCGACCATAGTCGGATAGTTCGTAATAATTATTTTGACAATTGATTTCTCTCTTGAGAAACTTTAAACAGCTTCTTTGGGAAAAATGGATGATCATGAGCGCGAAGCAAGAAATTGGTGCGTGTTTTGCATTTTTCTTCATGGCAATATTTTTTGAAGGAATCAAAGGTATCTTGTCCTTTTCATCGTGTGTCATAAAATTCTAGCGTTGAGATTTTACTTCGAGCAAAAAATCACTGATGATATCTACTTCGGTTTTCGGGAAATTGCCTTTAGCAAGTTTTACGTTCTTTCAAGTCTTCTCTACATCCCTCAAGGTGGAAATAATATACAACCATGAGTTCACCGTTTTACAGTAACATTTGGCTACTACATCATGCTGGCAACAATGAGCTACAACTACGGGGTCTTCTTTTCAATCGTCTTCGGCCTGGCAACTGGCAACTTTTTATTCTCCTGGCGAAGCGTCGGCAAGAAAATAGAAGGCGATGGTTGTTGCTAGAAACAAACCTCATTCTGTACATTGTTTATTAAATAATTTATTCATCAACAGTCTTTTTTCAAATTTTCAGCTCAAATTGATGCCACAACTTTGAGTGTGAATCTGCAGAAGAAGCATTTCACCGAATGAGCCGTTGCATTTGATGCATTGAAAAGGAAGGGCGACTGATTTCATGTGACGAAATTGATGGTAGAATTGACTGTGGTTCGCTTGGATGTGGTTCTTTCAAGAGTGTTACTGATTATTAACAAAAAAGGTTATTTTTAATCCCCGCTAATGAATGCAGAAAAAAATCACGTATTATTTGTAATTTACTTACGACGTATATTGGTTTCATCAATCAAGCCTATTTTATAAAATTTAAATAGCTTTAAATCGTTTACTTCTTTATGGTATCCAAAATTTTAACTCTTTCCTGTAAGATTTTGCTGTCTCCAGAGATTTCTTCGCCACAATATGGACAGGGAACTCTTGAAGCTCTTTGGCATGTTTGCGCAAAAGTCAGGCAATCCTAAAATAGTATAATTCTCCGTCTCTTGAAATCATTTTATACCTGCATGCTTGAAGCATGCCTGACCATCTCCTGCCTGGATCGCATAGGCACAAAGCAATAGGAGCAAGTTCCAAGGACAGAATTACCGTAGCGATTTGGCTGGTCGAGCTGGAGGATTTGCCGGTTAACTGGCCCCTGAGAGACAGGAGTTTGAGCGGCGGTCAGAAAATTTGGGACGGGGATGTTTGTGTTGAGATATTGCTGATTCTGGCGCTGATTGAGAAATTGGAGAGGGTTGTTTTGTTGATTATTCTGAGCAGAGGAAGCTTGATGAGCTTGGAAAGAGGCATGGAGGGCGTTTGCCAGGGCTTGGTGCTGTTGGAGATTTTGATTATTGAACGGAAAGGAGTTTAGTTGTTGGCTTTTCTTGGGGATTGAAAGAGTTGGGGAGATACTGGCGAGATTCGTCGGAGAAACCGCTGAAAGATTGGGAGACAGGCCTGATGAAATATTTAAATTTGGGAGAATTAGATGAGGACTTTTTGAATTGGATGCGATCGATCCCTTTGGAGAAGGAATCGGATTTGCTTGTTTAGGTGGAGTAGGCTCTGGAGTTTTTGGAAGATCAGCAGGTTCATCCGCCGGACCATCAAGAGCCGTGAAGAAATCTCGTTTCGCTTGAATGTTCATTTTGCATTGTTGTTTCTGATGATGTTGTTCTTTTTCGTGGTTTGAGATGAAATGAAAACCGCATTTGGAGCACTTGATTTTCAGGAGTTTGGACTCTTTTAGGCGGAAAATGATTTGGAAGTCTTGATGTTCTTCGTCCACGTGATGCAGAAGTTCTTTACCGTTCAGGGTGATTTTGCAAAACGGACATTCGTGGCCATCCCCGTCGATTTCTTTGGTGATGGTTTTCTGAGCGGTGCAGAGAACGCTAGAATGGGAAAATTCGGCACTTGGGAAGAACCAAGAGCATTTATCGCATTTGAAGCTCAATCTGGCTTTCTTTGACGATCTGATTCGATAATACTCTTCGATACCGTGTGATTCTATCAAGTGACCAAAGAGATTTTTCTGATCTGGAAAGATCAATGAACAAATCTCACACTTCTCAAGAATTTCTACCTTTTTGTCCTCCGGAGCTGTTTCAGAAAGATTCAACGCAAGAATTGGCAAGCCGTCTGATTCCATCGAAATCCCAAAATTGAAACGAAAGGCTTTGAACTTTCGGCAGTTTTTGACCTGCCCTGGGGCTTTGTGCCTATCATGTTGCTCTTGTGATTGGCTTCGGTAGCCGCAATCTTGGCATTGAAAGTTGAAATATCTGGTAGTAGCTCTGAACCGAATGTAATCAGAAGTAGAGTGATCGATTTGAACATGAGAAGTGAGTTCAGATAATGTATCGCATTGCACATCACAGGCATTTTCTACGCAGCACTTGAACTTGTAGGTTTCGAAACTCGGAAAAGAAGCTTTTATGATTTCTTCAGGACTTTTTCTGGTTTCGACCTCAGGAGAAACGATTTTTTCAATTGGCTCAGGCTCTAAAATGTTCTCGGAGACCACAGGCACAGGCTTTTTTTCGATTTGCTCTTGCTCGGTTCCGGCTTGCTCGGGCTCAATTATGACTGCTTCTTGACCCGGAGATGCTTCTGGAGCTTCAATTATGGGTTCATCTACTTCCATTCTTTGCTTCTTGGACGGAGGCTGCACAGATTCTTCAATAGTATCCTTATCTTTTGGCGTCTTTATTGGTGTGAGTGGAATCGTTAAAGGCTGGGTCTGCTCATCAGGGTTGGTTTTTATTATTTTGACGGGATCGACGAGCTCTCTTACTGGAAGTTGATCTTGCACTTCAGGATTCGCAACTGTGTTGGCTTCCTCTTCAGTTTTTCCAGTTTCGTCTTCTTTCTCCGTTCGATTAATGACTTCTTCAGCATCATCCTCACGAGGGCGCTTCAGCATTTCCCTTGATTCAGTTGGTATATCTGTGTTTTCCGGAGATAGATCAATTTTAACATGACCACTTCTTTTCCTCTCCTTGTCGATTGTAGGTTCGTCATTCGTAGCGTTTTCCTCGATGTCTTCTTTCTGCTGAGATTCAGTGTCATCTTCATTCTCAGAATCGGACAATTCTAAATTTTCGGCTGAAGAATTTGGTTCTATTTTCGCCTCCAACAGTGGAACGAGGTTCAAAGAGGGCACCACTCTTTCAGAGGAGCCTCTTTTTGCCTCCCCGACCTGCGATTCTGAGTTCGAATTATTCTCATTCGCAATTTTTTCCGAGATATTTGGCGTTTCTTCGGTAGACTCTTCAACTGGCGCTGGAATATCTTTGACTTCCTTTTCTCTTGATATTTTTCGTTTTTCTTGGAAGATTCTTTCGATTCTTTGCTGTGGCGTTTCATCAACTGCTTCTTGGACGACGACTTTCGGCTCGACGAATTGAAGAACGATAGATTCATCGAGTCCTTTTCTTATGATTTCATCCCTTGTTTTCTTGTTCCGAGTACAAACAGCGGCAACTTGATGAAAATGGTTCTTGATCTGGCCTTCCGTAAAAGCCCAAGAGCATTTTTGACAAACGTAGGGACAGTCTGTAGTTGGGATGATCCGGAAAACGGCGTATTCATCCCTTGTATGGCATTTTCTGATGTGTGACGAAAGAAGACTGAAATAAAACGATTAACCTGAACACTTTCCGATCGAGAGTACCTGAAGGATTTGGCGATGACAGCAGAGCATTCTGGAAAGGGACAAATCAATTTCCCGCTTTCCGGATCCCTTTTTAGTTGTTTGAGCAGCGATCCACTTTGAGAAACGATTCTTGACTCGACTTCTTTCTCCTTTTCGTGATGTTTTTCAATATGCTCATCTAGCTTGTCCTTTGAAGTGTACAACCGGCCGCATTTGAAAGGACAGGGATGAAGATGATCCCGATTCTTTCGCTTTTCTTGCTCCTGGACCATCATTTGATTTCGTTCGCAGCGGTTCATTTCGATGTGTTTTTGGAGAGAAGATCGTTGGGTGAAATGGAAGTTGCAAGCATGGCATTTTACTGGAAGAAGGGAGGACTTCTTTGTTCGAAACTTGACGTTCATCGCTGGATGGCGGAAGAGATGATTCAGTATGAGCTGCAGTTTTCCGACAAAAGGACATTTTGGAAACGGACAATTGTACTCTGAAAAAACTCATTAAGGGGTAAAAAAGGAAAATTTTCTTACCAATATTTTTCGCTGGATCGACCAAATCAGTATCATCTCTCTCCGGCCGCTTGCACATGCTCTTCGTTTTTCCTCTAGAATTATAATGTTTCCTCATACTCTCCTTTCCCGCAAATTGAAGCTTGCAGCTCAGGCACTTGTACGGCAAAATATCCTTGTAAGCTTTGTCTTTTCTGAATTTCTCGGAGTGCAGTGCGTGCGAGTAGCCGACATGCTGGACGATTCCCCGTCTAGTCACGACCATTTCGCAGAAGGGACACTTCACGCGATCAGAAGAGCTGGGCTCGGGTTTGGATTGATTTCGCGTGAGGCGGGGGTTTTCGCGAGGGGTAAGAATGATCACTTCGTCCAGGGCCATGTCGTCTTCTTCTGGAATCTTCTGCTCAGATGTTTGGGGTTGGGAAATATTCGCTGGTTCAGGATTAGAGGAAGAGCTAGACGTAGAGTTTGAAGTTGGGGTAGATGTTTCTTTTGGTTGATTTTCGGGTTGAATAGGTTTCTGTGATTTTCCAATTTTTTCTTGAGATTTCTCCTTTGCTTGATTCTTGACGAGAGCAGATTTTCTACTCGATGAAATTTCTTCCAGTGGTGTCAAACTTTGATCGGGTGAGCAATTATATTTTCTGGTTACCTTGAATATTTTCGATATCAAAATATGAATGGCCCATTCTGTATCCCCAATCTGTATTATAACCTCACCCATTCTGTAATACATTCAGAATGGGCAAGAAAATAAACTTTCTGCTCTGATTGTAAGAGATTTACTTAGCCGATACCTTGGTGGCTCTTCTGTTTTAGATTTTCTCTTTGATTTTCCTTGGCGATCATTTCTCTTTGTAAAAAATTTCTCGAGCTCTTTTCGAATATTTTCCTTCCGGACAGAAATCGGGTAGAGCGTACCTTGCTCTTCCGCTTCAGTTATTTGCCGCCGGTGCACTTCTTCGACATGCTCTGCCAATTCTGCAGGCCATGGGGACTCGAAATCGCAATTTATCTCGTCTTGCAAATCGGTCAGATTTATATCACGTGTTTTAGCATCGTACCTCTGCATGGATAAATGGCGATTTTATGGCGAGAAATAATGTGCTGTTTGATCTTCTTTTCGATCTTTTTGCTGCTTTTTGGAATTAATCCACAAAGGGGACATTTTTTCGCTAATTTAACAGCTTCTGCTAATCGAGAATACAGATCTCCAACCCAATCGTATTCTTCCTCTTGCCCTTCGAAGTTTTCTGGAGTGGGATGACTGTATCCTTCAGGAGGGATGCAGGGAGAAATTCCGAAGGATTTGAGATGTGTTTGGAGCTTTCTGCAGTTTTCAAGTTGATCGTCGTTTTTGTGAATCTATTAAAAAATTTTTAAAAGAAATTTTGCGGATCACGATTTTCAAGCTGATTTCTGTATGATATAATGCTAAGATACCCTTATTAATCTGAGTAAAGTCAAGCTTGAAAATCTGAATCGTTCCTTTTTACTTTCTTTTCGACCATTTCTTGTATATATATTTGATATTCATACATTCTCAGCCCCGGCAAGTCCACATTCTCTACATTGTTTTTCCACAAAATATCCGTTCGTCGCCTAAAAACTCAAATTCTAGCGCTAGCCCATTCTCAACAAAAAACCTGCAGTAAAAACTCTTCAATTTTATGATCTTTCTTCAAGTGTTTCAAAAAATTCTCTTGGTTATCTCTTTTGTCGCAGAAGAGACACTCGATCAGCATTATAATCGTGGTTGCAATAAAATCGAGTTATAGCGGGGCGAGCAGAGTTGGTGGTGGAGAACGGGAGCCAACCGTACTCGGCTGGATGTGGCCGCCGCGCCCGCCAGGCATCCACACGCGACTGAACATACCTAGACTTCTATAAACATCGCAATTTGACATTTCCAAAGGATGGGTAGTGTTTTTTATGGCAAACTTGAAGACACGAACAACTCGCACATTGTCGAGGGATGATTTGCTTCGGAATAAGTTTCAACGATTAATGTGTGCAGTTATCAGACTTAGAGAGTCATAAACTATTTGCATTTCGTTATTAAGGACCCCCGTCAACAATTTTCGAAAAATCTATTTTCGGAATTTCAAAATTTTGACCCCGGAAATGGATTCTACGGGTGAAAAAACGATTTTAAGGCTTCATTTTTTGGGGGTCTATCTCGACTCTAACACCCTCAAAATCGCCTTTGAAAATTGGACTTTCTGACGAAAAATGACGAAAAAGTCCCAAATTTGCTATAATTTTCGATTTTTATTGGTCAAAAAGTGCTCCGAACAAGTTTTTATGGTGTATAAATTTTATACTATAAAACTTCCAGGAACACAAAGAAGCCAAGATATGGCTTTTTTGAAATTTTCGATTTTTTGAGGAAAATTGTTGACGGGGGGGTCCTTAAGCAATTTTGTAAGCAACTTTATACGTTTGATTTTATTGAAACAGAAAAATACAAGTATGAAAGTTCAGAAACACTTTTTATTCGCCAGTAAGCATTTTCATGTCTTGTCGCTCCAGAATCGCCTCTAAATAACTGTATGATTTTCTTTTCACACCAAGGCAGCTCGTAAATTGAAGTGAGAATTGCTCGAGTTAATAACACGATAACAGTAAAAATTTATCGACTAACGAAAAGGTCTTTCTCTGGACAAAAACAAGGACCTACACTGAAGTAAGGAAAACAACTTACGAATGTTTTTGTAGTTTGATCGGGCTTGGTATTTGAGGTCTTCTACGTAAGAACCAAAGCATCGGATATCCTAAAAGGGCGATTTTCGGGTCTTGAGGTGATGAAGGGACTTACTTTTTGCAAAACTTGTAGATTTTTGGTCAAACTGAGTGCTCTGGTGTTCAAAACATTAGTTTCTTTTCGCATTCTCAAATTATCCTTGAAGTAAAATAAGACTTTTGAAAGATAAAAACGACGCTACCTGGAATTGCTGGTTCATTTTTCGAACAACAAGTTCTCTTTCGGCAAATTTTGGCATTTTTAGAGATATTCTACTTGATCGTTGGAAGGGGCCTTTTGAAGGTCTGTGTGTTGAAAAGTGAGGGTCGATATTAGGGAAGATTATCAGACTCTTAATTTATAGCGTTTAGACCATGAGTTAGAAAATTGGAAAGATTTGCGTGTTTCTGTCTCCTAAATCAACTTAACTAGAGGCAAGGTTGGGAAGAATAATGCTGATGGAAAAGAAATTATGCTGAATGATTCATTTAAACAGAGTTGTCTTCCTTGATTCCTTAAATTTTGAATCAAAGGCTTCGCAACCACTTTTTAATTATAAAAATATTTTTGCGAGTCAAAATCATAAAAGATAATTGATAAGTTCAATTTATTGGCGAACAAATGTCCAGAGATATTCTTCATTTTCCATGTTGACCGATTCTTCGTAAAAAATTCTTGGAGCTTATTTTGATATGAATGAGTTTTTTAGTTGAAAAATCTTTTCTAAAAATCTTATTTTATATCTTTCCGTAAATCGTATCTTCCATCGCGAAAGAATTGTAGAGAATTGAAAGAACATTGCGGTCATTGATATTGTTGTCATAGTGATAGTCAGTATCCAAATGGATTTGAAAAGTATCCGGCTTGAAAAGTTTACTTGTGATGCGCACTTGAGGACGCACTAACCATAGTAGGATGAGGAACAAATCGCCAGAAATCACCTTCGTCAATAACTCGCTCCATCATATTTCCTCCGTTTTGAGCTAGCCAAGAAATTCTTCTCCACTGCTCATTTGTTTTAACATCCTCAATCTTGCCTCTTTTGATTCCTCCTTCGAGAATTTCCATTTCTACAATTCGAACAGCGTCACCCAGCGTGTCAACTGGCCAAAGAACATACATTCCATTCAAAAAGGCTTCAGAAACTCCGCGGCCCTTGATTCTCGGCTCGGCAACCTACCTGTATGTAGAAATATGAGTCAGGTTGCCGAGCCAAGCCTTGATTATTGGATAGAAGATGCCGTTGTCGTCAGAAACTGTTGTTTGAATGGACTCTGTTGTCGGGCAAATCGGATTTTCACAGCATTCGCATCCATTTGGACAGTTTTCTCCACAAGGGCAATCGTTGTTGCATTCTTAATTTCTTATTATCCTAGTTCTCTTCGATTCTTCAAACTGTCAAAATTCGAGGAGCAAATCGATAGACAATACTCAGTCTCACAAAGAAGTCGGCAAGCAGTGTAGTCAACGCGGCAAATTCCAATGCAGTCTTGTTGAAGATCTTGGTCACTAGAATTTTCGTCAAATTAAAGCTCAAAGCGGAATAACTAACATGCAAACTTCGTCTTCAATTGCTACCCGAGCGGACACAGCTGACAGAAAAAGAATAAGTCGCCGCATCTCTGGAAAATGTCAGAATGTATTGAAAATCATTAAATTGGTCTTGGTGAACTTTTTGATATTTGCCTGCTTGGAGATGACCTTTATTTTCCGGGCTATGACCACACATAACAAGTCAAAAACAGGGTTACTTAATTTATCCTGATTTTTGAAGGACTCATTGCCCAATAAAACTCTCCGAAAGAAGCTCTGTCTGTGACTGACATGACATTGCTCACTTTCTTAGCAAAATCGCAAGAGCAATCTCAAAAACGTCGCTGGAATTTGGAAGGTCGTAATGAAAGGCGATTCGATTTTCGCGTAAATACGATCGCCAACAAACCGCAAAAGCCCGTGATGAAATGTCAAATCTGAGTTCCACACTTTTCCTTTTTCGCTGAAGTTCATTTTCAGTGAACCTTGCACAACTGATTCTTTAAAAAACAGTGTTCGCATCTACTTTTGGCTTGTTTTTTCGCCACCGCGAAGAATGCCTTCGCGATCCAACTTCGTAAAATCGTTGTCACCGCATTTTTAAATTCCAAAAGCGCATATTTCTTTTCAGGGGTGACGATATTTGAACCAATTTGATAATCTAATCCTCTTTGTTAATTACGCTTGTGGCTTGTCCACGACACCGCGTTTTTTCTCGCCTCTTTTTCTTGTCTGGACCGAGTTCTTAACTTGGTCAGGACTTGAGGTTGGGGCAGCTTACTCTTGAACCTATCTTCCCTTTCATACGATTGATAAGGCTCAGAAAAGGCCTTGGAGGCTCTGAAAAGGCGTAAATGAAAAGCCGCATAGCGGATTTTTTTATAATCGAAGCCGCAAAGCGGCTTCGCAATTACAACCAATTCAATCTTATCCTAAATTCTTTAGTTTTTGAGTCATTTCATGAGTTGAACTCGTGGTCCTCAAAAGAAAGTTCGTCAGCGCTTATTTTCCTGCCCCGATCAAAAATTCCCGGAAGCCGAAAGTATTCATTTTCCGCTGCGGGGGAACTTCTTTCGGGATCCAAAACCTTCTCAGCACTGGTCCAGAATCTCGCCAGTTATGCTTGATTTTATATTTTTATCTTATCTTTCGAAATATATTTATCTTTGAGGTATCTAAAGTTAAAACTTTTAAATCTTCGAAGGTGACTTAAATTTTAGATTTCAAAAGAACAATCCTTTGAAAATCCAGCTTGTCAAAGGTTAATTGCCGCCGAGTCTGCATTTAGCGCTTTAACCCCGCGACCCAAAACGCGTTGTAAATGTGTCGTGTATTAGAACGAAGGGAATCAGCGAAAAAGAAGATGATACTAGTGTAATTGGTTTCAACCCTTTTGGTTTTGCTGGCGTTGCTGCTGCTTCTTCGACTTTCGCGTCTTTTTTCGGTTTCTTCTTTTTTGCTACAAATAGATTCAATTTTCATGGTTGCTTTTTTTCGTGAAAACTTACTTTTCTTTGAGCTTGAAGTTGTTGTCGCTTGTTCCTTTTCTCCCTTCTTCGCTCTTTCTTGAGTTTCTTCGAACGTGATTTATGGCCGCTATCTTGACTTATTCTGAGTTATTCAAAACCGCTGGTTCAACCGCAGCTTCGTACCCTGATAAGCTTTCTTTCTTCAATTCAAAGTAGTTGAGAGTTTCGAAAAATTTAATTTTCTTAATTTAATTTTCGTTTTTCTTTTCTAAAAATTTCGCTCACGCTCAGAATTTATCATTTGCACGTGTGGCAAAAAATGAGAAAAGAGAAAAAGGTAATGAGTTGAAATGCGTGATAAGCTTGAGAGTGGGATTTTAAATCACGTGCCCGCTTGGATTTATCTTTTTCGCTTTTGACTCGCTCTCGACCTTTTTATCGGATGTATTTTAAAATAGCTTTCTTTTTCTAAAAACTACTTCCAGTGCAATATTTTTGCACTAACCAATCAAAAATCTAAGGTTCAAGAGCCATTTATCGATTCGAAAATTTGATTGGCTCGAACAAAAAGATCGGATTTTTGATTGGTTGAGAGCTTGAAACCCTTTCTCTGATTGGTTCCTAAAAAAGAATAATAATTTTTTGATTCTAGTGATCCGATTCCTTTCGATTTTGCTGGCTTGGGCGCTGATGTTGGCAATAAATCGTTAGCTCTCATGTAGTCCTTCGTAAATCTCGCCTTCAAAATCGGAAATTCCATCACCGATCTGTCCATTTGAGCATTCATATGAGCTTATTTCCAAGTTCAACATATTTTTTTTTTGTTTTCAATAAGGGCTTGCGTGCATTTTTTCAACACCTGTACGCTTTTAAGAATGTGCGAACTTGTTTCCTTCGACGAGAACTTTCGTTGCCGAACACGATTCTATGCAGTTGACGCATGAGTCCTGAAAAACAAGCATGGTGGAGAACTTGTTAAAAAAGGGCGTAGCTGTATTTTTCAGAAGAAATTTGAGAAGAAAAATTTCAACCTCGATTCGCCAAATTCGCTGTTATGCTTTTAATATTGCCCTGTTGAAAAAAAATGATAGGCTACCTGTGTTTCTGGACATTGCCGTTTGAAGCAGTCAATGTGACAATCAGAATCAGAATTTTGGCATTCTCCATCACACGCGGTTTTGCAATCGTTTGCCGCAGGAATTGACGGGCAATTCATGGATTCTAAAAAAGCTCAAGAATCCGCCCTTGTAACCCATTTTCGTCTTACCATTACTGGCACATTCACTGGCGCAGTCGACAGTATAACCGTAATGCATCTGCAGATCGTATTCCGTGGCGCAGTTTTTCTGAAACGAACCAAAATTCGAAATTCGGAAGTAAGAGTAAATTTTAAATTTGCAAATTGAAATGGCCGGTGTCTCCTGCGAGACAGGGAAACTGAATTTACGAATTCAGCTCGGATGAGCTGGCTGACGCTTTTTCTAAACAGAAATGCACAGCGAGCAGCATCTGTTTGCATTTTTTCCAGTTTGTAATTTTTACGATTTCGGCATTTCGGATCGGAAGGGGGAATTCGGGAAGTATTTTCTGGAAAATTTTTGGGGCATCACAAGAAATCGTCTTCCAAGAAAGTTCAATTTATAGAAATTACATTCAGGATCGGATATTAGGGTTCAAACAAGAAAATATGCCGAAAAACGGCAATTCTTCTCAATTTTCCGCAAAAAAAAACCGTAATTTTGAAGCTTTTGAGTCGAAATTTTCGACAAAAAAGCCCGGACAACAGCCTTGACTGTAACTAGCCTGACTCTAACCCTAACCCTAATCGTAAACACTAACTGTAGGGCAATTTTCGTAAGTTGAAAATTACCTGTATCATACAAGCCAAGCAATCCTCTTGTCTCCACCTGGACGGAATTCCAAAAAGTTCCTGAATTCAACGTTACAAATCCCCTTTGATCTCTTTTGTCCCTGAGAGAAGCGATCGTGGATTTTGAGGAACGCTCTTTGAATCTGAAAATTAAAGGGTCTTCTCCCTTCAAGTGGCTATTACCGCTCATCCCTATTTCGTGTCGTTCTTTTTCGAAGAAATACGGTCCTTACTCTTGGCTGTAGCTCCTCGTGACATTGTTCGTGACATTTGCTCTTGCCACATTTTCTTAACGAGTCGAGGTCCAAGCACTTCCAGCGAACGAGGCAAAGACGGCATTCGACGTTGGTGTAGAAATCCGCTTTCGAACTGGAAAACCGGCAAACGTCGTAACACTTGGAAGATGGGGTTTTGACGCATTCGTCTTTTACGGCTGAAAAAAGGGATGAAAAGAGGGAAAAGGGATGAGAAAAAGAGAGGTCCTACCGAGATTTGAACTCGGATCGCTGGATTCAGAGTCCAGAGTGCTAACCGTTACACCATAAGACCGCTGGGATTCCCATAGAAATAATTGATTACAAATGTACAGTGAACTTACTGTTGGTATAAACGAATTCACTGTGTCCATCAGCATCCGTGATTCCAATAAAACGGAGATGATCAGGACTGTCTGTTCTCGGCTGGATTACAGTAAGAGAGATTTTCGCTAGGGAAGGGAAATCCTTATCAGTTGAAAAAATATAACTCGCCCGGGAAAGGAAATTTTTAATCTTGTTTATTTTGAACCAACTCCGATATTCGCGCATCCACGATCTCTACGGCACCTCGCGCGCCAGGAGAAAATTGCTGTTTTCTTCAAAAATTTTTCTCCAAAAAACCACGTGTTCATCAAATCGAAATGTAGCTAAGCGCGCATTTTTGAAGTGAACCCCCTTGCTGTTGTCTAATCGGGCGAAAAGGGGATTAGGAGTGCTTATTTTCGGAAGACCGGGTTGTTGAAAGACTTTGTTGTTTGGAAACAATTAAAACGTTTCAGAAGGGTCTACGGATAAATAAGGGAGAAGAGGTCTTTAAATTCATTTTTTGGGGATAGGTTTTTGAAATTAAGGGTATCACTTTGTTATTTTTAATTAAAAAATACTGTTAATAAATTTTCCTGTTCATTATCAACCCTTTTTTGAGAGTTTTCGATCATCATTGATGTAAAAATAAATACTGAAATTTCAAGAGATACGCCCTTATTCTTAGTCCAACTCTTGAAAAAAGAAGAAGCTAGAAAAAGAAAACTATCGAGGCTTTTCGTTCGCCCCTTTTTTGACAAATTCCTTTTTTTACCGGTTTTATTTTTACGAAAACTTCACGTCCGAAGAAGCGGAATTTACACTTGCATGTGTGAATTTACGTGTAAATATGATAATCAATATTTAGAAGCTGTCGCGATTTCTCGAGAATCTTGCTAAATGTTAATTATATTCAAAGGCTCGCATATTGACTTGAAACAAGAATCTGAACTCGTTTTTAGAACCGAATACTTTTCAACATCAATACGCGTCATTGACTGGCAAAACGTGTCAAAAAATGAAACAAGGCTTGTTAGGCGGTCAAATTCGCCGACAAGCAAGTGATAAGCGTTCAAATTGTTGAAATAAATCGACTTTTTATCATTCAAAATTAATCAAATTTCTTTTTTTTTTTTGTTGAAATTTCAGCATTATGAGGAGGAGGATAAAGACAAGCTTGACATGAATCTTATTTAATTTTCTCAAGTGCTTTAGTTACCAATAAACAGATGTTCCTACAATCGACTATGTTATGGCTAGAAAAATTCCTACGAGTCTTCTGTATTTCCCTATCGTGTCAAAAATATCCGACCTTCGTCTGATAAACACGGTAACCATGAATATCAATGGTGACGACAAATAGACAGGGCCTTTATATTGCTTCTGCTCTAGAAAAACTCAGTAGAGAGAATCGTCTTGTAACAAGAGATGAAGCATAATTATCAAAGTGTTTCAAAGGTTTTGATCTTTGTACCAGTACAAGTCTTTTAAATTGGAGACTTTTTTAAGGCAATAGGAGCGACCCTCATATCTTTCTCCATCCTTCTCATTATCGTTGATTCGACATGGATTTGGATGGATGTGTATTCGGGGTATTTTTGGATATGCTCATGGACATTTGGAACAGGAATCATCGCTGGAGGACTGGGCATTGCAGCTGGATCGTTAGGTGTTAGCGTATCGAAAAATAAAGAACTTGTAGACTTTTTCGCCAAATTTGGACCAACAGGTAAGATTTCAGTATAAAAACCGATTTTTAATGTCAAACAAAGCGGCTATGGGAAATGCTGCTGGATCTGTTGCTGCTGTGTTTTATGGCTATATCACTTGGTGTGTTTTTTACCATCTTTACGGCATGCCAACGACAAGCGGGCCGTTTTGGGGTTCTTTCGTTGCCATCGTCATCTGTGAATGGATCTTCTTGACTCTCGTCATGGCTCTTTCTTTCTTCCAAGCTAACTTTATCGGTTGCACATGTTGCTGCAGAGACCCCTCTGATTCCGGAGCAATTGGTAAGAAGTTTTCTCCAAGACTCCGCCAAATGATTTCTTAGAACCTGTTAACGAAGCCGTCTCTGCGATTCAAGGATACCCAACTGTTCCCTACCAAGGGTACCCTTCACAAGGTCAGCCCGAGATGATGCCTACCTATGGACAGTACCATCCGTATCCAGCTCCTAAAGAAGTTGAAGAATCATCATCGGATTCTTCTGACTCTTCTTCCTCAAACTCTGATTCCGACTGATTATAACCACATGATTTAATAAAAGAATTTTTTCTTTTCTTCCTTTGGGTAATTGTCGAGGTGCCTGAGTGCGTGTAATACTGTAATAGGTTAAGACACGCTCAAGCCGCAAGGAACACCCGCAGCAAGGGGTTAAATCTGACCAAGTCTTCGTCACCCGGAAATCCTTTAATTATTGTATGAGCTCTCCCATTAGAACACCAGTTTCCCCGAAAAAAAGTTCAAAAACGCGTCGAGGAGTTAAAAAATTAAAAATCAAAAAGAGCAGATTATGCACTTTTGTACAAAAAAGCAACATTTGGTGAGCCCAAAATAGGGCTAATCGTAACGGGCATTTTTCTGGCATAAATCTTTCCTGTTACGTTGAATCGCCAAATCCAGTATTTTGACTATAGATTCGATTCCATTTTTAAAATATACAAAAAAGAACTTCGCAGAGGAAAATAGGCTAAGAATCAACCTTTTTTCTCGGTACATCAAAATTCGCGTCATTTCTGAAGACTTCGAAAATCTCTTTCCTGAAACATAGCTCTGTGCGTTCGTGAAATTCCATAACAGAAAATTTATCAATTTTATTTTTACTATTTTTCTCATTTTTAGGGAGAAAATCTTAATGAATGGAACGGGCGAAAACGTGATGAACCAGCGCTCAACTTTGTGGTTTCTTCAAAGAGCCTTCAAATCAAGCTCTTTTTTTTCATAATGACACCCTTATTTTATGAACCCCTTAATTGAAAAATAAGGGTGTCACAACATAAACTTCCTAGCGAAAAATCCTCTCAAGAAACTCGCAAACTCCTGATCCTTTTCCAGCGAAAATTTTCCCAGAGGATTATTCAGAGTTGTTTTTAGAGCTTTTTCCTATCTGAGTTTTATAATTGCCGCGTTCAGTTTCTTTTGAAGCTTTCTCGAAGCGCAAATTTTACTCGGAAAGCCAGCGCACCCTTACTTTTCTCCATTTTATCAAAACAGCTGATCAATTTCAAAAGTCGTTCTCTCTGTTTTACTAAAATGAATCAGAGGGAATTTTAAGTTGATCAGTTCCTGGACCACGAATCCCTTTGCCAACCTTTTCGCCCTTCAGTATTCTTGACCACGTGAGCCCGAGTTGATTGTAAATCTGCAGTGCACATTTCGGCAAATCCCCTCTGATCCTGTTTTTGGGAACTCAGTTGTTGCATTTCCGAACGGAACTCCATTTGAAGATTTATTTTTCTTGAACTTTGAGCACCACTCAGACCTTTCATAAACTTTGGATCCGACGGATTTTTATTTTTTGACAGCGGACGTGCGTTTTTGGTCATTCAGGTGGGGAGAGGTGCTTATAGATATTTCAACCTGTCGAAGTTCAATTCATTTCTTTTCAAAGTAGAATTTTATACGCTAAAATCTTTGATTTCTTTTCATTTTTCCCTGCAAAAAAGACCAATTATGAGCTTTCATGATAACTTATCATCGCATTTTTAGATTTTCGCTATCTATTTTAATTTATAATTTATAACCACTAAAAACCGGTAATACCCATTACTAATGGGGTATCCTCTAATTGCCCTTAATTTTAAGCGTTCTATTGATCTCCAGAACCCCTTTTCTTTTTGAGAAAACTAAAAAAGGAAAAGCTTTCTTTTTTATAATTTTTACCAATTTTCTGAAATAAATTACTATGCATTTTCAATCAATCTTCAGGAAATCGTCAAAATCGACTCGGACAATTTTTCATGACAACTCGCGCTCTCTGCTTTCGCCTCTCTCGCGCCCTCTGCGCTGAGCGCGCGCGCTTGACTTTAAAAACGCATCTCAGAGCGCTGATTCTGTAGAAGTCTCTTCCCTTGTAAATTTCAAATACTTTTTCTCGCTTTTCGATCAAGAAAAAATACACAAAAATGAAAATTTTGTCTTCCATCCTCTTTGCTGTCAGTTCCGCAGAAGGACTTTTCAAAGCGCCGAAGAAAGATGCCGATGGAAACAGAATCAAGGCGAGCCATCCCCAGAGACGACTTCAAGCGTAAGTATAGTTCTTTGGCGATTCTAGACCCATAAAACCCCTCAATCATAAGAGAATCCGGTGATTTATATTTTTCGTTTAGTTTGAACCAATTTCTCTGCTCCTGGAGCCAAAGCGGCCTCCCTGATGGAAAGAACGATCGATTCTGCACTAGAATGACGAGTTTCATCAACCAACTTGACGAAGCTTTCAACCGAGAACAATGCAGCTTCTACGATGTAAGTCCTTTTTTTCTAAAGATTTTCTAATATACAAGAGAATTTCATTTTTCTTACTCCTTCTTTTTAGCCCGCTGTGAAAAACGGTGGTCCAAATCCAGATGAAGAAACGCGAGGAATGGTGCTGCGCAAGAACCCGAACGCCAAAGGTCGAAGCGTCTACCGCCACCGACTTGTCAACGGGAAGCACCCCGTTCGTCGACGAAGACGAAATGCGGATGAGGAGGACTGCGAGGGTATGTCCGATCTTGCTTGCGACCGATTGGCGATCCAGGACTTGAGCACTTGCACTGAGGAAGACAAGGCTGATCGTAAGTTTATATCTCGAAAATTAGGTCATGATGAGTTTTTTTAGCATCATTGGCTGCTTTTTGCTCTCCAGAAGAATTGAAGCTAATGCGATCCCAGAACTCTTCTGATCGAAAATTGAAGCGATTGACGACTGGAATCAAGAAATGGTGTGACAGGTACTGTAAACACAGAAGATATTTTATCAAAAAAAAAATTTTTTTGAGAAATTATCTTTTTTTTTCAACCCTAACCATAACCTCATTGTCTACTTTCAGATACATCTACGACTGCCACGGCCCAAGAGTGAAAGAAACCTGCGAAACCCGTGCACGAAACATTTTATTAAACAACAAATCAGACAGCTAGACACTTAACCTTGTATCAAGAATAATTCTGGTTCAATTTTCCGAAGTGAAAAATCTTCCAAAATTATCAAAATATGCCCTTTCCATCTATTTTTGAATTTTTCCATCTCATGTTTTGAAAATATTTCAATTTTAAAAATGGCCAAGAGATATTTTATGATTGAAAACATGAGAGGGTTAAATGACTGTAATTTGACAATTCTGTACTTTGTAAAAATGATATATCGTTTCTGCCAAGCCCCATTATTATGTTTTTTGTAAATGTTTAATTGTTTTTAATAAAATACAAAAATTAATTTGTTGAAAATGAAAAATCGAGAAGTTGAAGGAAAAAGCGGCTGAAAAGTCGAATGCGCATTTCGACCTTTATGAAAATCCGTGAATTCAATTCTGAGCAGCGCTTTTAGCCCTGATAAGATTTAAAAAGCGATATCGGCGGAGTAAGAGAGAATCATGAAGCTGTTCTCCGCGTTTGTGCTCGCTGCGAAGGCTCAGGTTGAGGTTAATCCAGGAATGGTTACAAAAAATCAAGTCAGCGAGAAACTAGTAAAGCAGAATTAATTTGTTTTGAAATCATAAAAGACGCATTTGCCGCATTTGAAGGCCCCGGTGCATTAGCTGCTTCCTTCCAAGCTTACGAAAACGACTACGAAAATGCTGTCTACGGCTACTACGCCGACTACGACACCGACTACGGCGAGAAAGCTCGACCTCCAGCAAAGTGGTTCAACAAGCCAACCAAGCGGCCAATCAAGAAGGTCACTCCAAAGCCCCGTCCAACCCGGCCTTCCCAAAACCAACAAAAGCAAACTCAACGGCCCAGTCGACCAAATCAGCGGCCAACCCAGCGACCGACTCAGCGACCTAAAAATCGACCAACTCAGCGGCCAAAAACTGAGGCTCCTCGAAAAACTCAGCGGCCAACCAAGAAACCAGTCACCCAAAAACCACGACCAAACGCTCAAAAACAACAGCAGCAGAATAACAACAAGAACACTGGAAACAAGAACACATACGAAGGACTTTACGCTCCAAACGAAGAGGTCAACTACACCAACAACAATGGCAACGTGTATTCTCAGCCTGATGTGAACGAGTGCTACAAGGGAACTGACAACTGTCACTACAATGCTCGATGCGTTAATACTGTCGGGTCATTCCAGTGCATTTGCAAGAATGGCTACCAAGGCAACGGAGTTAACTGCACTCCGAAGGATGTGAACGAATGCGCTAATGGAAGTCATAACTGCGATACATACGCACAATGGTAAATAGAGACTTTTATTGAAAGATGTTAGTAGACTCGGTTTATATCAGAAGCATTTGCTCTTTTGTTGCAAACTGGGCAGCGGCCATTACTTTGTAAAGAGTCGCGAATGCAGTTTTCCCCGAAAGTATGACCACATTTGAGTGTCGCTTGAAAATGTAGATTTGTATCGTAGATCTCATGGCAAATCTTGCACGTGGGTGAGAGCCCTTTCAATGAATTTGAACTTATCTATAAAATTGTATCAAAAAACCTCGGCTTTCCATAAATTGAACGCTGAATTGACCAAACATCTCGCTCATATTTTCATAGTCCGATTTAATTTTCATGAGATCTGTATTTTCAGAAACCAATTTATCGTTTCGCTTTTTGAGCTGTTGGAGTTCTTTTTGCAAATCGGCAATCGTTTTATCTTTTGTTTTTAGATTTGAAGCCATTGACACTTTTTCAGTTTCTAGAAGATGCAATTGCCTTTGAAGGGAATAGATTTCTTTTTGTTGCGTCTCGAAGAAATGTGTGTTTTTTTCCTCGTTCTCTTTGATGGTCTTCGCTAGTTCTAACAGCGTATCTCCATAAGTAGGTAAACTTGATGAAAAATGAGCTCATTTTAGAGCTTATAAATCAGGGAATATAATACAGTTTTAGAATCCTCAGAAGCTAGGGATCATTTTGACTATTCATACTTGGGGGTTTTGCTCATGTCCTGAGGGGTTTTGGGCCTTCCAAAGTCTCAATTAATTTATTCTTTGAAAATGAGAGCGATGAATTCGCAGGAGAATGATTCAAATTGTTAACTTCTCTCTTGAAGCCGCCATTGACAAAGCTGAACTTGCCCTCATCATAGAACTGTTATCTTTTTCATTTTTGTATTTTACCAGTTATTTTGGTCCATAAATTATCGACCATTAATAATGGTCTATTATGTATCTACTTATTTATTTATATTTAACCCCTATACCCGAAGTGTACAATTTTTGTCGATTTCGGGATTTAATCACCCGCTGAATGGAACTGGTGGGTCGGAATGACCTGAAAACTCAAATGAGTATTCGCACAAGACTTACGCACCTTTTCGCAAAATTTCGGCGTGATAAGCCCAGTTAGTACTCCACGAGTACTGATTTTCTCACGCCACCCAGCTCGCTCCAAGAAAGGAAAAATTTCCCTCTATCTCTTGGAGTCACCTTTCCGCCGGTTTTGAGTTTTTCAATAGGTTTTCCAGTATGGAGAATTCGAAAATCATCATTAGAAAAGAATAAGAAAAGTTTTTTTACGTAGTCGTCACATAAAAATTTTATAGTAACAAAATAACTTATATCAGTTTAACCGCTAAGTATTCATTTTTCGGAAAATCTTAAAGTGCAGTTCGAAACAAAATCATTGATTTGGTATGATCTGAGATTTTCAGAAGATTATCTCGAGAGGAAGGTCAAATCGACAAAAATTGTACACTTCGGGTAAGAGGGTTCTTTAGGCAGCTTCGAGTATAGGGATTGAATTCTGAAAAATTTCCTTAGCCGGATAGTGATGACCATGTTGCGGCGGCTCTTCATTTAGTTTTGTTACAAATTCAGGTTTTTTTATAGAACGAGTCCAATCAATTAAATCCGACTGGCGAGGCTCTTTTGTTTTTCTGTCTGATTTTTTTGAATAATTTTTAAGCATTCTCTCAATGTCAAATGAGATCTTGCCTGGAGAATCTTCAATATTTGATTCAATTTGATCTTATTTATTTTAAGCGTCAACACCGTGGGAAGCTATGCGTGCACTTGCAATAACGGCTACAACGGCAATGGCTACACTTGCAAGCCTAACGAAGTCAACGAATGTGCCACTGGTCAGCACAATTGCCACGTCAACGCCTACTGCACTGACCTTCCCAACAATTACGGTCAGTACAAGTGCACCTGCAACAACGGCTACCAAGGTAACGGCTATCAGTGCTCGCCTGTATACGTCAATCCCTGCGACGCTGCAAATTGCGATCCAATGGCAACTTGTCAACCAGGCGCTTACGGTGGCTACACCTGTGTTTGCCCATCTGGCTACACCGGCTCAGGCGTCGGCAGCTACGGATGCAAGGATATCGATGAGTGCTATTCCAACACTGACAACTGTGCTCCTAACGCCACTTGCATGAACACTCCTGGTAGCTATTCTTGCGCCTGTAGCACAGGCTACTCAGGCAACGGCTATTCCTGCGAACAAGACGACGTTGACGAGTGTGCCCTTGGAACTCACAACTGTGCGTCCAACGCCTCTTGTACCAACACTCAAACTGGTTTCAACTGCACTTGCCCAAGCGGATGGACTGGCGATGGAATCACTTGCTATGCTCCCATGCAGACTTGTGGCGACTACAACCCTTGTGTCGGTGGCGCCACTTGCCAGGACACTAGCAATGGTCCTCAGTGCATGTGCGGCAAAGGTCTTAAAGGAAATGGACGAATGGCGCCAGGTGATGGCGATCGAGCTAAACCTGATTGGGCGTCGACTTATGATGCTTCTACTGGCACGATTAGCACTGGCAATGCCCCAGCTGGTTCAGCTACATACCCAAGCTCCAGTTACCCAGCTTCCTCTGGATCATCCGGTTCCAACTACCCATCTTCATCTTCTGGATCAAGCTATTCAAACTCCGGATCATCTGGATCATCAACTTACCCTTCTTCAAGCGGAACCTACACTGGATCATCAGGAAAAGATTTATTTTATAACAGATACGTTTTTCCAAAACGATATTATTTCATCTTCTCAAAGGCAACAATTATCAAGCAGCTACCTACAGTGATGCCGGAAATGGCTGTGGCGATATCGACGAGTGCGCCCCTTGCAACTCTGCTAATTCCTACGCCGGCGGCTGTCCTTGCTCCGAGCCAATGCCTGTTTGTACCAACACTGTTGGCTCTTATTACTGCAGCAGCATGGCTGGCTACGGTGATCCCCACTTCCGAGTTACATCTCCTGGCGAGACTCCCGTCTGTCTCGATGTGAATGCTGTCTCTGGATCGATCATCGATCTCATCAGGTATTTTAAACATTGTCTATCTAATTGACACCCGCTTAGTGATGCGAGCTCAAACTTGGAATTGAACGGTCTTTTCAAAAACGTCCAGAAGGGCAAGAAGCAATTCCTCACTGCCATTGGCTACACCAGTCCTCAAGGAACCCAAATGGCTCTTACTCGAGTAATTATTCAATTCAAGATCTAGAAAAAAGGTTTTCTAGGACACTCTCGAAGTCTACGAAAATGGCAAATTGCTGATCAAATACAATCCATCCGAGGACACCGTTGATGAGTACTTTTACGATGTTCATCTCAAAATGAAGGTGAGAAAGGAAGATTTATTCAATGATCAGCAGTTCTAGCCCGCTGACCACGAGCACCACCGAAACAGACACAATGTCGAGATCGTTCAGCAAGATGGTTTCCGATTCCGACTTACTGTCAAGGTAATGCCTCTCCCTGTTTAACAGCAAAAGACTTTTTTAGCCGGGAGTTGGAAGCTTGGGAATCGAGTTGGAAGATGTTTTCGGAATCAAAAATCCAGAAGGTCTTATGGGTCAGTTCTTGAACGAAGGCTCTTACACCATCGACAACGAAGGAACAATTTCGACAAAGTAAGAAAAAACCTCGTCCATTGTTTTCCATCATCGTTCTAGATCTGGTCAAATTGAGTCCGAAGCTCATGCATGGCACGAGGGCGACAAATGCTTCCAGATTGAAGAGCGCTCCGTCGAAACCTTCTTGGGACAGCCGATTTCGAACTACTACGTCGAAAACCTTTTCGCTGAAATGTTTTACAAGGGTGCTGCTCTTCTTGAAGATACTGTTGAAAAATAAACCTGTCTCTTTATTATTTTAGAACCCCACTATTTCAAATATTTTTTAATCTCTGATCTCCGCTATATCATATGATAAAATGATGATATTCAATATTGTATATAGTATATTGAATATACCTATCTTTGATGGAAGCTCACAAAGGTGCACCAAACCTTGATCAAATATCACTTTGTTCCACAGAAAATTTTTACTTATTTTTGTAATAATTATGAAAACTGATAGTAGGATGAGTAAATGTTTATTTTTCAAGTAGAAATCAATATCGAGAAGAATGGCGGAAACATTCTTTATTGTTCTTGGCATAGGTTGTTCGAGTTACAAAACTCATTATTTCCGCAATTTATGTCACTAAGGCACTCCACAGCTTGGCATCTGTTGTCGCTACAGATTTCGCCGACTTGACAATGACTGTTTTTCTTGCACTCGACCTTACGGCATGAATGCTGAAAGCAAACTTCCGCGGCTCCACAATCGTTATTCCATACGCACTCTACTTTGACGCATTTTTTCGAGTTTTTGTCACAGACCTGTCTTGCTCCGGAGAATCTGCAGTCGTTGCAATGTCGATTCGCCGTGCACTCGACAGCTTTGCAAATGTTCGACTCGCAGATTTCCTGGTCGGAACAATGTCTTTTTCGAGTGCATTCGACGACTTGACAGGTGTTTTCTTGACAAATACAGCTGCCATCGCGACATTGGGGAGTGGTGTTGCTCAGGCAATCCTTATTCTTGTAACATTCTTAACACTGGTTATGCGTCGTCGACCTCTCATTTTATCATAAGAATATCTTACCTGTTGTTTCACCATTTGCAATAGCAAGCAGAAGAACGGAGAAGAAAAGTTTCATATTGATTATTTTTGAGATATTTGATATTTTCTCGATTTTTTTATGAACTCTTCCGTTGGTCTCTTGCTTTTATGTTGTCGAAAGTGGAGCAACACATGCACTTGTGGCTAACGGAAATGTGATGTTGTGGTCTCGTCCCCGCTCCTCGTACCACCAACAATGTGTTGGCCTTGAAAATAACATACCGCGATTAAATTTTGACTTCAGCTAGAACTTGCCCTGGTGACCTAGATAAGAAGAGAAATTTTCACGTTCAATTTTTACGAACATTACTGCTATTTGTTCTGATATTTTCATAGTATTCAATGAATTTTACCATTAGCATCAAAAGTATGGTAGTATCCATTTTGATAGACTCTCATGTGCCCGATTTCATCGCCAAGAGCATTGAGTGCGTTACATTCTTCTTCGTATCCATAATCATGAATGATTCCGTTTTCGTCCGCAAGATTGATTTTTCTTAAAAAAAACGTACGGTCGATCCTTCAAATTCAGTTTTACCCGTTCAGTTCTTTGATATTTTTTATCTGTCCGAAGGAGTGGTTTTCTGGGAAAGTTCCGTTTCGAATGAATTGTCCCCAAAAATCGAGACCAGCCTGTCGCCAAGCCTTTTCAAGTTGATTTCCTGCGATTGGGTTTTTTCCAAAAACCCACGCTGCATCTTGACAGTGGCATGCTCTTGTATTTGCGACGCAGTTTTCTTTAAAAAGCTCGAGTGGATAAATTGGTCCGATATCGGGATCGGTCATTGGAGCGCCAGAAAAGCCATATTGGGTGTTGCAGCTCCACATTTGAGCGTTCATGTATCGATTCATTTTTGGTTTGCAGTCCACGATTTCCCCATTTTCTCCATTTGGGCAGCCAAAGAGGTCGACGAGGTGACGGTTGAAAAGTTCTTCTCCGAAAGTTGTCTTGAGCATCGCATCCGTCCAATTTGATGGATAGAAGAAACCAGACGCTGTTTGGACATCAACCAACACGTCTACTTTGTCATGGTACTCGACCATCGACTAAAAAAAGAAAAACCAAATTATCACCGTCTTTGTAAAATCACTTACGCCAATGATCCCAGGAAGCCTGTTTCCAAGAAGATTCCAAACGTCATCTCGATTGTAATTCCATGAAATCGGCGTATTTTTTCTGACTTCTCCATCGAAAAGCGCTTCAAGAGGAGTCTTGCTGGCTAAAATTCCATCCACATGTGGTCCAAATCCAGTAGCGTGGAATACTTCTGGAATGTTGATTCCTCCAAGTCCACCGACGCCTGCAAAATGCTTATTCAAATCGTCAACCGATTTGGTACGGAGACAATCAACATCTGGGCAATTCACTTGTTCAGCGACGTAATCGTTCCACATTTTGTTCACTTCGATGCTCGTCGGCTCGTCGTACTGGCCGTAAACCCCGATTCCGTTTGAAATTGCTCTGTGGAAATATGGCCAGGAGCTGGGCATTGTGAGATGGTACCAAGTCGACCAACTTCCAGCTGAGCACCCACCAATCGTTACTTGGTCAATGTCACCGCCAAAGGCCTCGCCAAATTGTTGAATCCACTGAAGGGCCACTTGCTGATCGAGGAATCCCCAGTTGCCTTTGTGTTCTTCTGGGCCATCGTGATCATACAAAAACCCATACGGTCCGACGCGATATGCCATCGAGAAAAGGACTACATCTTCAGTATCGACCAATAGGTTGTATTCTCTTCGATTATCTCCTCCGACCAGTCCGCCGCCGTGGATAAACGCAAGGATTGGTTTTTTCTCGCCGTTTTGGATGTACTCGGGCTTTGTGATTACATTCATGTAGAGGCAGTCTTCAGAATATTCATCGGCATTAGGGGAGGATGATTTCCACCAGTCAGTCATGCATATCTGGCCATATTCAGTCGCGTCATAAGTCGCTTCCCAACTTGTTTTCATTACCGGAGATCTCCATCTTTCAGCAGTGGCGTACTTGATGCCTTTGAAATGTACATTGTTTTCTGCTGTCAATTCTCCCGTAAAAGTGGTGTCCCCGAGAGCAAATGAGAAAGTGCCGTCAGGTGGCGAGCTTGTTGTTGAAGTCGTCGTAGGAGGCGCAGTTGTTGTAGCACCACCAGCGGGAACGATAAATGACTCATCTTGGTAGAAATCCTCGAGTTCGTTGTTGTTGCCTTTGTAGACCAAGTACAATGCGTAGTTGAAATTGTCTGGGTTTCCGTTCGCACTTTCTCTCGGATTCCAATCGATATCGATTCCCATCCAGACAGAATCCTTCGTCCCGGCTGGAACAGAGTATGTTTCAGAAATAGCAAGATATTTGTTCGAGTTGTCTGACTTTTTGTTGCATCTGACCATCATCTTCACCCATCCAGGTTGATTCTCAGCTGCTGGTTTGAAGAAAACGCGGCCGATGTAATCCTGATCAAGGAGAGTAGTCCCGTCAAATTCTTGAGCAAGAACTGCACCAGGAGTGCCTCGACCAGAGACGAAAACGGCATTGTCAGAGTAGTAGCCTGGCTGGACAATCGAAGCAGAGCATTGAGCAGTCGCGCAAGTCCAATCATCCATGGAGTCGAAGGTTCCGCCATCGCCGAAGATGTTCGATCCATCAGTGTAAACAGAGCATGGTTCAATATTGCAAGGCTCGTTTGCAATCGTTACACCTCCGTCACAACGAGCGGAACATGTTTCAGCTGAATATTTCATTGATATTGGGCAAAATTAAGCGGAGGCGTAAAAATAAGCAGCACCCTTCATATCTATTTTCTTGGGATTTGACATTATCAAGAGAATAACTTACGAAAAGTCGAATTCACTAGCATCTATCATAAAGAAAATGAGGAGACACTCAAAGTTAATGCTTGTAAAAATAATTTTATTGGTGTGTGAAGAAAAGAAAAGCAAGGATTCATGAAGATTGTAATACAGAGGAATAGAGTTGAGTTGAGTAGAAATTCTGTTCATGAGGTAGAAAAAGAAATAAGGAAGCGAATAAAAAACGGAATAAATTCAATTGATATTTTAGCCCTTCTTTTTCTGAAACCTTGCTCTTCTTTTATTCAAAAAAGCATTTTTTGAGCGAAATTTACTCCGCTTTTTGGGTGATTTCGAAGTTGAACCTTGAAATTCGGGGTTTTTGAGATAAGATTTTTGTTCTGATTTATTCGATTTTTTATAAAATCTGTTCTTACCATTGCCGTCGAAAGTATGGTAATATCCATCTTGATAAACTCTCATGTGCCCGATTTCATCTCCAAGAGCATTGAGCGCGTTGCATTCCTCCTCGTAGGCGAAGTCGTGGACGATACCGTTTTCATCGACCAGATTAATTTTGCTAAATTCTTTTTCACTTTTGAATATAAATCTTGCTTTTTACCCGTCAAGTTCCTTGATATTCTTCATTTCTCCGAATGAATTGTTTTCTGGGAAAGTTCCGTTTCGAATAAATTGTCCCCAATAATCTCGCCCGGCTTGTCGGTAAGTTCTCTCGATTTCAGGCAAGCCGTTGTGGATGTTATTGTTTCCGAAAACCCAGCTTGCGTCCTGACAGTGGCAGGCAAGCGTGAGATCTTCACAGTTTTCCTTATGAAGCTCAAGGGGGTAGATTGGGCCGATTTCAGGGTCCGTAAGCGGGGCACCGGTAAAGCCGTATTGAGTATTGCAAGTCCATTTTTTGGCCGTTGTGAATCTGTTCATCGTATATTTGCAATCCATTACCTCGCCATGTTCTCCATCTGGGCAGCCAAAGACGTCGATGAGATGCTTCTCCCAGAGTTCCTGGCCGTAAGTCGTGGCAAACAACTGGTCGGTGAGATTTGAGGGAAATTCGAAGCCAGAGGATGTTTGAATGGCAATCAACTCGTCGAGTCGGTCTTCAAATTCGACCATAGACTGAAATCAAAAATGATTATGACTTTTGAAAAAGCTAAACTTACGCCTAGAGCGCTGTTGAGTTTTCCACCGAGTAGATTCCACGAGTCATCGCGGTTGTAGTTCCAGGAAATGGGAGTATTCTTTCTTATGTCCCCATCATACAGCGCTTCAAGAGGTGTTTTGAACACTAAAACTCCATCCACATGCGGCCCGTAAAAATGTTCGTGGAGAACTTCAGGGATGTTAAACTGATTCGAAATGCCAGTGAAGTAGAAATTGAGTTCATCGACAGTTTTTGTACGGAGGCACTCAACGTCTGGACAATCAAGCTCGTCCATTACGTAATCGTTGTACATTCTGTTGACCTCGATGCTAGCTGGCTCATCGTACTGGCCAAAGACGCCGATTCCGTTAGTGATAGCTCTGTGAAAATATGGCCAAGAGCTGGGCATCGTCAAATGATACCATGTCGACCAACTTCCTGCAGAGCACCCTCCAAGTGTGACTTGATCAACATCGCCGCCGAAGTAGCCACCAAACTGCTGAATCCACTGAAGAGCCATCTGCTGATCGAGGAATCCCCAGTTTGCCTTATTTTCCGCTACCCCATCGTGATCGTAGAGAAAACCGTAAGGGCCGAGGCGATATTGAATTGAAAACATCACCACGCCTTGTTTTTCGATCAATTCATTGTAATTCTTTCGATTGTCTCCTCCGACTAAACCACCACCGTGGATATACGCTAGAATCGGCCGTTTTTCCCCGTTCTCAATGTATTCTGGCCGTGTGTGAACGTTAATGTACAGACAATCTTCAGAGAAATCAGCTCCTCCAGTCCACCAAGATTTCCAACCGTGTGTCATGCAAACCTTGCCCCATTGAGTAGCATCGTACTCGGATTCCCACGAAGTTGTCATCACGGGAGCTCGCCATCTTTCTGCAGTCGCGAATTCGATTCCTTTGAAGTGAACATTGCCAAAATCAGTCAACTCCCCAGTGAAAGTGGTGTCCCCAAGCGCGAAGGAAAATGTCGGAACAGGCTCTCCTGTTGTCGTCGGAGGGGCGGTTGTGGTTGGAGCATCTCCAGCTGGGATAATAAAAGACTCGTCTTGGTAGAAGTCCTCTAGCTCGTTGTTGTCTCCTTTGTAGACCAAGTACAGCGCATAGTTGAAATTGGCAGGATTGCCGTTTACACTCTCTCGCGGATTCCAAGCAATGTCGATTCCCATCCAAGGGGAATCTTCTGTTCCAGCGGGGACTTGATGAGTCAGAGAAATAGCAATCCATTTGTTTGAATTGTCCGCTTTTTTGTTGTTTCTCACCATCATTTTCACCGTTCCGGGCTGATTACCTGCTGCTGGTTTGAAGAAAACCCGACCAGTGTAGTCCTGATCTAGAAGAGTTGCTCCGTCAAATTCTTGAGCAAGAACAGCGCCTGCAGTTTCCCTGTCAGAAACGAAAGCAGCGTTGTCCGAGTAATAGCCCGGCTGGGAAAGAGAAACGGAGCATTTGTTCCATGTCCAATCGTCGAGGGAATCAAAGGTTCCTCCGTTGCCAAATATGTTTGAACCATCTGTGTAGATCGAGCACGGTTGTGTGTTACATGGCTCGTTTTCTGAGGTAACTCCTCCATCACATCTTGCAGAACAAGTTTCAGCTCCGAGGGAGCGAGCCAAAAGCGCCGCTAGAATTTTTAATTTGACTTTGTTCTAAATTCGCTTTTAATTAACCTCCAAGCTTCATTTCTCAACTTTTCTCTTGTTTAGAATTGTCCTGGGTTCTGCGGTTTTATCTCCGGTCGATGATCGCTTCGGTTCGCACGAGCGGTTGAGCGGGAAAAGTCAGTGAATTATCAGCCATTTCGGACATGATTATTCGCCGCTGATCTTATCAGAATTCAATTCTGACGAATTCCAAATTGAAGAAGCGTTTTCTGGAAAAACCGAATTTTACGGTTTTATTCTTCATAAATACAGTATTTTCATTTTTTCTTCAGAAGAACAATTTCAGTATGACCAGCCTTCTTTATGTCGTCTCCTCATTGTATTCCTCATTGTCTCCGATCTTCCAAAATTTGACGTCAATCGCGTTAGTGTTGACTTTTTCGCTCAATAAAAGAAATTAATAAAAGGTTGCGGCGCTCTTGATCTTCTCGAGGAAGTTGAACATCACTTCGGAAAAAGTAAATTTGGACAGCTCGTGTTCAGAACTACTTCGCACCTCTTTTTATTGAATCGAGAAAAAAGTTCAAGAGGAGCAGGGGGTCATCATCTTAGAGACTTACAAGAAAAATCTAAGCGAAGAGGGGAAGAAAAGAACAATGAAGATTTCTGTTTTCTTTCAAATATCGGTAAGTTATTCGACAAATAATGCTCTTTTATATATGAATGAAAAAAAAATTTGAAACAGGAACCATAAAGTCATAGTTTTTAAGACAAATCTGAACTTCGATAATTTTTGTCGAATCGGTATATATTATTTAAAAAAATCCCTTTCTTAAAAGAGAAAATGAAGTAATGAACTTTCAGGAAAAGTTCCAAAAAGAATTTGCGAACTCAATCCACTTGAAACTTGTTGATTGATGATCAGAGAGTCGATCATCGACTCTCTGCCAGATTTTGAAAGTGCTAGACCGCACGTTCTGGATTTCCGCCCGCACGTTTTTTCGTGCAAAAATTAACACTTTGTTAAAATAGATTTCTACCTTTAGGTGGTGTTTATTTTTCCTTCATCACCCCCTTTACACGCTTTTCTGAAATTCAATTCATGTTCATTTTTTCATTGATCTATGAATAATTTACAACTGCTTGACGGATGGTAATAACGAGTAACCGGGGGTCGTTAACCTTCGTAATTACCATTTTCGACATCGTAAGAGTCTGAAGAAAGAGCATCTGATTTATCAGAAGATCAATCCATCACCCCTCAGATCGACAATTTGACAGTGAGTTGGACAAACAAACTCGAAGGGGATTAATCATTCGATTATAAATTTGACAGAGGCCAGGGGAAAGGGCTCATTATAATCCATTCCACAGTTCAAGGTCATTTCAGGCGGCATATGCGTCCCGAAGAAGCTCTCATTGTCCAGCCAAGCATCAATGCAACCAAGATTTTTGTGGAAAAAATGCGCTCTCTTGGGCGGGTAACTTGAGAGGGGAAGATGTTCAGTGCAAACCGGGAGTTGCCCATTTATGGGACGAGTGCGACTGCTGCCAGAAATGTGCAAAACAACAAGGAGAAAAATGCGATATGATGAATCCATGTGATCATACTAAGGGCCTGGCTTGTTTGGTAAGTGCAAAATTTGACGGTTGGAAAAGAGCCCATAAATTTGATTTCTCTAGAAACAAGGAAACGAGTTCAAATGCGCGTCAGATCCAAAGCTCAAAAAATGTTTCATTTCTGGAATCATCAAAAGCTCAGGTAAACGCAATCTTCTACTTCCCCCCGCTACGATGAAACTTAGGCGATGAATTTTTCCCAAATCCAAAGTCCTGCCAGCTGACCTGCGTCTGCGTCGATGGTGACATCGGCTGCTACCCGACTTGCGCGCAAAAACCTCCAGCAAATGTCAGACATACCCTCGAGACACACTTATTTATTAAATTCAGTGTTTGAACCCTCGATACGAAGAATCAAACGATCCAACTGCCTGCTGTGGAGAATGGACTTGCGGATCTGCTGATCGACCTCAGCTTCGACCTCTCAAAATTCGTAAGATTATGTTTGAAAAAATAAGATTAAAAAAAGTTTTCAGAAAAGAGCGTTTTTGGCGCGGCGCACAGAAAAGTGCCAAAGATCTCTTACAACAGCGAGACAAAATGCATGGTCCAAACGACTGAGTGGTCCGAGTGCTCGAGAGAATGCGGCTGGGGTGTTCGGGAGCGAGTTACCAACAATAATGAGGTCGACATCTGCTCTTTTTCTGTTTGATAAAAATATTTTTAAGGAATGTGATATGAAAAAGGAAACTAAACTGTGCCAAGTGCGCCCTTGTGATGCGTCGCACAGTCTTGAAATCGAGAACCTCTTCAAAACCAAGCCCAGACTTCGCAACAAAATGTGTCTCGAAAAAGTCCGCGTGACGGAGCCCATTCAATTCGAGTTCTCTGGCTGCCGATCTGATCAAAAATACAGACCACGATATTGCGGAAGCTGCAAAAATGACTATTGCTGCAAGCCCAGCAAGACTGAAACGATCGATGTTGATTTCACGTGAGAAAAGTTTTTTTTATATTCGATTAAACTTTTTAAAAGTTGCGACGAAAACGGCAAGAAGAATAAATTCACCAAGAAAATGGACAAAATCATCACTTGCGAATGCACGAATCAGTGTGGCGACGGACTAGCCTCTCTTTTCAGGTAAAACGAGACTCCTTGTTGATTTCAAAAGTGGAAATTATAGCTCATTCCGGCCAATGGTCAATGATGTCTACAACAATTAGGATGCCGAAGTGACAGTTGTGTTAATAATTATGAAATACCGTATCTATCGAATAAACGCGCAATACGACGACTTTTTTGCTCTTTTTTATTGGTCAGTAAAAGGGGTCAAAATTGATTTCAGGCAGATTTCAGGTTTTGATATTTTCGTTTCTTCGGAGTTGTCAAATCGTATTTTGATTTCCGATCATCTTCACCAACTCTCCATCACCTTGAGTGATCTCGAGCACTTGCGCTCTTGAACGGAATTCGCAAATGTTCAAAAACGCCACTAAGCAGATTTTAGGCAAATGTGACCACAGAAATTCTTACATTCAAGAAGACGGGTTCCTCCGTTCAATTCAAACTCGTTTCGTCCATGCAACATTCGTCGATTATTGAAAACTAGCAGAATATTATTTTTGAAATTATTTCAATTTTACCGAGGCATTCTCCTGCTTCAAGTTTTCGAACCGTTTTTGTCGGAGACTCGTTTACTTTTTGCAAGAACAATCTGTAGGCCTTCAAATACTCAGCTGTCATAGAGTCGTTTTTGCTTTTTCCTTCAAACGCTGGTCCCCAGTTGATTCTGAAAACAGTCATTTACAAGCTGAAAAATGCATTACTTCTACCTTGTGATTGTTCCTTCACTGTCGACGACGATATGAGGCTGCTCCCATTCCATGTAGACCGGATCGTCTCGATCCCAGTGAATTTTCTGGTATCGAACTGGGACTTCGCAGAGGACTTTGAAATCTTCAGGGGAACATCTTCTTATTTCTTCCGCAACTTCGAATGCATCAATAAGAATCGACTCACCACCTTTAAAAATAATGATTATTCTGAGCCTTCGCTTTTTTTTATTTACCTTCAACAGACTCATCGTTTCTTCGACAAAGCATAAAAGAAATTCCCGGGGGCGACTCGTAGTAAGGAAAGTCCATGTGCGGACCGAGATAGATGCCCGAAAATGCGATATTCCTCGGAGTCGGTTCCGTCTTGATTTCTTGCGTGAAGCCGTACATTGTCGACTGAGGAACTGCGATTTTGCTGGCGATTTCGAAGACACTGTCTTTGAAGTTGTCGCAGTTTTTGATGACGCAGTAGCCGTTGTCCATGACGTTTTTTGTAAGTGCGTATTGGCCAGCTTCATCTTGGTATTCGGAAAAATCGACCACCGGATTGACAACAGGAGAGAAACTCATTTTCGTCTGTGCGCTATTTCGCGCATCTTCATCGCTTTTACCGAAATTTCAACACTTTTCAATAGTATTGACAGTGCCTCTTTATTTTAGAGAGAAAAGTTAAAAGTGAAATAAGATTTGAAACTTTGCCTGACAAATTTTCGAAGAACGTCTCCTGGAATCACACCCACATGGTCTTCACCCTCAAGGGTAAATTTCAGGACGTCATCCTCGAAAACAGCATGCTCCAGCTTGAGTTCGCTTGGCCAGGAAAGAGGAGAGATTGTCTTTTGACCCGATCCTTGTTGTCGGCAATCAGGGCAGTGGCAATTGAATCTTAAAAAGTCATAACGCTCTTTGCTCTTTTTTTAAAGATTGCTGCTTTAATAAACCTTAGCCAAATTGCTGAGAAATCAGCCTCTCTTTGCTTTCCATCTATTCTAAGATGGACTTTTGCAGGTTCCGTTGTAAAACAATCGACTTTAAAAAATCGTCGAAAAAAATCGGGGACTTAAAGTTTTCAGCATTCTCTGAATAAAGATATTTACGAGTCAGAGCTTTCAGAAGACAACTAAGCTGGAAGTGGCGGAATCAGAACTTTGCCTAAGGCATTGACTACTTAGGTATATCTTCTAGAATAAACCGGGATTATAATCAATGCCTTTGGCAAAGGCGAGAGTGGGTTGGTTCAACTGGTTTCTTCTGACGAAACTATGTAACCTCTCTTGGTCTCAAGACGTACCTCAGCCAAATTGCGGAGAAATCAGCCTCTCTTAGCTTTCCGTTTATTCCAAGAAAAACCCTCGCTGATGTTGCCGTGAAATTATCGACTTTAAAAAATCGTCGAAAAAATTGAGGTTTCAAAGTTTTAAGCATGGTCAGCGTATTTTCGAATGAAAGCTTCGACTCAAGAATTGTTCAGTTTTTAACTGGGAGTGGCGGTGCTAGAAGCAATAACTGACCTACTTACAGGGAAAAAGTCTATAAAGGAAAACAGGGTCATTTGGCCTTCTATTGTCTAAAAATTTCATAAGGCAAAAAATAGACATCTGACATGTCTATTTAGGACATGTTCCTCATCGACATAAAAAAATACGCCCTTGAGGCAAGAAAAAAAGCCCTTAACTCAGCCAGATTGTCGAAAAATCGTTTGATTTCTGCTGTCCGTCAATAGAAAACGAAACACTCGCCAAATCAGGGGAAAATTGATTGACTTTGAAAAATCGCTGGAAAAATCGAGGTCGAATAGTTTTGAGCATTTTCAGACTTGTGAATAAAGCAAAAAATCATTGTCATTCATTTTAATACTCTAATCCGGCTGTGGCGGTAGAGCACTTATTAGCTCAAAAACGGTCATAATGGAGGAAAACAGACGAGTCCATCGGGTCGAGTTTGTTTTCAAGTTTTACGGTATCACGAGGACAGGCTGTACGAGAATGGACCCGTTTTTATTTAACTTCCACGGATATCAAACTAAAAAGGTACGCTCAAATCTCCATTTGGAGAAAATTTTACCTCGCACGCCCACCGTTGCTATGAAACAGGCGACCCCAAAGAATAAGCCAAGATTACGAAGGCAGATTATTTTCGGAGAATCGATCTTAGTTTATTTTTTAACCAGTTGGAACTGGTTTTATTTTTGTCTTTGAGTCGTCTTTTATTTGACCTTCACTATTAGTGAATCACTAAGATCAAAATACACGGGGCAGGTTCAAGGAAATTCAGTCTTATGGCATTTTTAAAAAGGAGGGATCAGATGAGTCCTCGTTGATTTCGGAGGCAGGGTTCGGGAGCAAAGATGGCGGCACACCTATGAGATGAAGTCGTCTCCGATTATTTATTTTGACGGGACTTTTCCAGCTTTCAGACTTCTTTTCATTGAATTTCGCATTCAACTTATGAGTTTATAAATACAGTAAAGTGAGTTAAGCGATGATATACAGGAGCCTAATGTCGCCGAGTGACAGCCCCTGCTGGGCAAATTATCACCACAATGGAGCGTTTGATATCTTCGCACATTACTGAGCGCTCTTGATAAGCACGCGCATTTCCTTTCTCGCGCTAAAATTGAGACTGTAGCTGACTAGAGAGGAAAACAAGAAGATATATAGACAGCAAAATTGACCCCTAACAGTCTTTATTCGACCCTTCAAATTGTTATTTTCCGCAGAAGGGCGAAGTTAGAGCTCATCAAAAATATATACCCATCAATGCGAATCATAAAAGCACTTACGTGACATATCCTTTTTAGCTGAATAAAAAGAAAGGGATGAAAATTTAATGTTGCATCTTTTTTAGCATCAGCTTGTGGTCGATTTACTCAGGGACGGGAAACAACAAAAGAGAGAGAGAGAGTCAGAAGATAATGCTGTTTTTGCTGCTTTTTGGGACGATATGTCCTGGAAACGCGTTTACTGCAGAGGTTCCTGTTCATGTCAAATTGGCCGACGGAAGTCCGATTAGAGGGAAAAAGGTGAAATCGGTTAATGATACGGAGATTGAGGCGTATTTGGGAATCAGATATGCCAAGGTAAGTCTTATCAAAATTGATACCGGAAGATTTGATTTTTTCGAAAAAATAAGGCGCCGATTGGTGAGAAACGATTTGCGCCACCGGAACCAGTCGATGGCTGGAGCGCTCAGTACAACGCGACTCGTTTCGGAAACAGTTGTTGGCAAACTAATGATGATACGTACGGCGAATTCAAGGGCTCAGCAATGTGGAATCCTAACACAAAGGTCTTTCTTTCGTTAATTGCGTTTCATCATTTGATTATTTTAGAAAGATGAAGATTGCCTCTTTTTGAATGTCTGGACCAGCGGAAAAACAAAGAAAAAAGCTGTTATGTTAATGGGTCTGAAAAATTCGATAATTCTAGAGTCAAGACTCTAGAAAGCGGCAAAAGAAACACCATATTTCAGAACCAAGAGTAGATTTGGATTTATGGAGGATCGTTTAATTCTGGAACTGCCTCGTTGGAAGTTTATGATGGCCGAGTTATTGCCGCTCTAGGAAGGATTTTAATGTTTTTGCAAGAACCATAATCTTCGCTTCTTTTTTTAAGAATGGAAATTTTGAAATACTATTTCTATTGATAATTTAATGCTATATATGCTAATTGTATGAAGGCAATTCATTTTCAAATGACAGACTACAATTGTAGTATTGTGTACGTATTTACGTGTAATTTTTATTATGCTTGCTAAAAATCATAAAAGGCGATGTTGTTGTCGTTTCACTAAACTACCGACTCGGTCCCTTTGGCTTCATGCCCCGATTAGACAAGACAGTCGCTGATAACGCTGGTCTACTCGATCAGCGTTTGGCAATGAAGTGGGTCCAGAAAAATATCCACAAGTTCGGCGGTGATCCCGACAACGTCACTATCTTTGGCGAATCAGCAGGAGGAGCTTCTGTTGGAATGCATCTCATTTCACCGGACTCGTGGCCACTTTATAACCGGGCGATTATGCAGTCGGGGTCCACCATGTCTGACTGGGCTAGTGCAACAGAAGAACTCGCCATCAGGTAAAGAAGGCATACTTGATTTTAGGTAAAATTTTCAGCAAAACTCTTGAGCTCGGCCGAAAAGCGGGAATCCAATCATGTGACGTGTCTTCACCTACAGATCGACGTCGATTTTTGGCTTCCCTACGAGATCTCGACGCACAGACCTTGACTGATTCGCAGTGGGTGGACTCTGCTGATGAGATTTTCGAGTTTTCCTTTGTCCCAATTATTGGCAAGACTGGCGACACTCTCCCAGGCGACCCAAAGGAGCTTTTCCGTCAGGGTAAATTCAAGAAAACAGATATCATCTTCGGCTGGAATAAAAACGAAGGCTCTTGGTTCAATACCTATGTTTTGGAAGGATTTGATGTGAATACGGACTCGCTTATTTCTCCAGATTCTTATGAAAAAAATCTCTACAAATGCGGCTTGGGATTGGACAAAGTCGGTCTTGCTTCTGTCGCATTCGAATATGCTCCCTGGGACAGTCCAGCTGATATGGCTGGCTACAGAGATGCCTTAGATCAAATTGTCGGACATAAGCACGTGACCTGCCCTGGAATCGAATTGCTTCAAAATGTCGGAAAGTGCCATCTGAAAATATTTTTATTTTGAAAAAAGCAAATAAAAAGGCATCAAACAGCGAAATTCAGGAATTTGCGCGCATATGGCTACCAACTTGACTCTTTTATTTCTTCGAATCCTTGGCCAAAGTGGATGGGTACACTCTTGTTGTTGAATATGTTGGTTTATATTTTATAGGTGTAATGCACGGTTATGAAATCGAATATGTTTTCGGAACGATTCTTCTGCAGGTTTGTAAATATAAGCCCTCCACTTTGCCAATAGAATTAAGGGACAAGGATTCTATCCGATGGTTAACTTTAACCCTGAAGAATTTGTTCTGACCAAACGAATGATTCAATACTGGACGAATTTTGCGAAAACTGGCTCTCCGATGGGCAACGCTGATAGCAACAAAAATTATCAGCTCAAAAACGTAAGTTTAAAAAGCCAATCGTTTCCTCGAAAATCTTTTTAGTTGCCAAATTGGGAGCAGTTCGACAGTGAATTCAATCGATATCTTATTCTCGATCAAGTCCCAAACCAGGTGAGTCTTTCTTGATTTCAACACTTTTTGAAAAATGTGAATTTGAGACCATGCTCAAATCTGAAATCCTCCCTTATCATCGAAAATGCGAATTTTGGACGCGACAGATTCCAGAGCTCAAGCGTCTAACCTGTAAGTTTTCAATCAAAGACCCACCGAAATGGCAAAGAAAACATAATATTTCTAGCGTCGATTACTGACGATATGACCGCTTGGAAAGATGATCTTGGTCGATGGTCCTCTGCGATGGATCGATGGGAAGGTATGAGACCCTCCGAATATCCCTTTGGTACTTTTTCTTCTAGAAGCTTTTGATGATTATACCCGTGGTCGCAGAAGTCGCAACTAGACGAAAAAGGCGCTTCATGTTGAACCTCGAAATTCGATGATTTTCTTTCGCGCGACTGATAGCATGAAACAGGCGAATACACAAATAATAAATCAGTCAAAAATCTAAGTCGTCGACATTTATTCATGACAGTATAAAACGTTCTTATTTACAAAAAAGAAGCAACAGTGTCAATGCAAAATGGTCCAAAATTTTCACCTCAGGAAGCGTTCTCACCCTAGCGCATTCCTCACCAGAAAAAGGCCATTTTTGACCATTTTTCTAGCGTCGAGCTTTGCCTCTTAGGCCGAAAGACAAAGCTCAATCGGTAAAAATTGCATTTGGTCATTTTGCGCTTTTTATGAATTATCTGCCAGCTCATTAATCAGGGCCAGGGAAGAACGACTGTTGATGATTTTACTTCGCCAAGGCGATCAATTGACTCGCAAATGTTCGAATCGTGATTTTCTTCTTTCCAATTCCAGATGTCGCAGAGTTCGCGGAAGATTTCAGTCTAAAAATTTGCCATTTCGGTTGTTTTAAAATGTTTTTATTACCTTTTTATGAGCTCTGATTCCTCCATCAACCATCAATTGAGGTTTTCCGCGGCCGGATGCGTTTCTATCAAGCTCTCTCATTGACAAAATTACAGATGGTTGGATCCTTAAAAAAACAACTTAGGCTTCAGTAGAATATTTAAAAAGCACCTTGCTTCAGAAAGATGCCCAAATAGCTTCATTTCGTTATTGCTCGGATCAAATCTCCAAATTTTATCAGACTTTTGATCCTTTGTTCCGACGAACCAGGCAAAATCTTTTCTTGGGTTCCAAATCGGGCTCCCGGGCTCAAAATCTGAAAAGATAAGCAGCTGATTCCTTTTCGAAGTGCCTTACCGGAGTGAGGAATATTCCACGGGAACATTTTCCAAGATTTGCTTGTTGAAGAGAAGATTTCAAGAGAGGTACTTTGGTCATTGCCGCCGAAGACGTAGAGTGTGCGTGATGTAGCTAAGATGGAATGGCCCGCGCGAGGGGCGTTCATTGAAGCTTCCTCGACCCAGTCGGTTCCGTTCCAACTAAAGACAAATACCTTTTAAACATAACTTTATTTATAGTGGTTTAACAGTAATAGTTAACTATCATCGGATCATATAGTCGAGAATCCACGTCTACGTAGTCTATACCTATTCTTCTACTTGTATATCATCAAACCCACAGTATAAATATATATGTAATAAAAACGAAAAAATGTGAAATTTTATGGTGTTTATTTTATTTTACCTGAAACATTTGTCTGATCGAATATTCTCCTCCTTATTCAGAAATCCTCCGCATCTCCAAATCTTTCTCGGGCTCGCGACGCAGCCAGCTTCAGTTGTATCTTCAGGAATTCCACCGATTCGTTCCCAGCTTTCAGTCTCGTTATTACTTTAATCATAGATGAGAACGTTTTTGAGATAAAAATACTTCAGGTACCTCTTGAAAAAGGCTCGATGTGAGTCGCTTTCGTGCTGGGCAAGGACGTAGATGGACCCTTTCAGTTTGACATAACAGTCAATGTTGATAAAAGGGGACGATTTTGGAACGCCCTTAATTTCGTTCAGTTGATTGAAAAAACTGATTTTTATGTGTCACGGCAGTTAAAAATTATTGTTAGTTCTCGAACATATTGAAAACAAATAATCTGCTTTAATCATATCATAAGCCAAGTTAGGGTTTTAACATCGTTACCTTCAGATTTGCATCAAGTGCTGAAATCTTCCCTCTTCGTGTGTCAAAGATTTCAATCGGCTTATCTTCTTGAATCGACAAAATATACTCTAAAAGCCGTCAACCCTAAATCAACCCTCAAGTTCTCTTACTGCATCCAACTCTATTCGTATGATACTCAATTTCTTTCTTCGGTCCTTCACAAGTTTGTTCATTTTTGGGTATTTCGAGACAAGTTCCATTTGCCAAGCAGTTTTGACACTCGCGAAATCTTCTTGATTCACAACGATCACTTGGTGCTGTCCACTCGGTCCAAATCGCCCATTGAACGCCTTTCAAAATAATTATCGAAAGAATAACCTTGCTCCTTACATTTTACTCCAACAGCACAAAGAGTAGAATCAGTGGATGCTTCTTCGCCACCTTCACACATTTGAGAAGAAAGAGGATGAAGAATTTCGCGTGTAGTTTCGTTACAGAGCGCGGCATCTCGTTTTGTTATCGCGCATTCTCCTTTGTAAAAACAGCTTCTTTTTCGATGCGCTAGAAAAGAATGAAATCTTAGGGTTCTAAAGCAAGTCTTTATCTTACCGACTCCTCCATCACAACTCGAGCTGCATTGGCTCCACTCGCCCCAGGCGCCCCATTCCGTCTTGCAGAACTCTCCCAGGCCGGGTTGATCAATAGACGATCCATTTTTCAAAAACGTCCAAGCCCCAATTCCACATTTTATCTTCCAGACTCTCGGTTCCTCACTTCCGTCTTCATTCAAAATCCGATTGGGGCACTTTATCCTCGCAATGTCGCCAAACTTGATGTTCTCAGAAATGTCTCGATCGATGTAAAACGGTTGGTTTTTGTCCAAATCACCGGGGCATTGAGAAACCGCGCGACCGATGCTGCCGCAATTTGGAATTTTCATCGGGACCCAATCAAGTCGGCCGTTTTCTTTTCGGTAGGGCTCCCAATCGCCCGGAAGATGACCATGTTGGCGGGTTCGGTTATTTCCTCTCGTTCAATTTTCAACAACAGAGAGTCAGAAATCCCGAATTCTCAAGAGAGAGACAAATAGAGTTGACAAAATTGTTCCTGAAAATTAGCGATTCTTTTGGCACATATTTATAAGCCGTCTCTAATCCGCAATTTCGCTCGTCACGTGTTCGCCTGCACTTGCACTGTACTGATCGCCAACGCCACCTTTCATCCTGAGACGAAATAAATCGACACTTATCTCCATTTTTCCATTTGTATGGGTCTTCATTTGTGCATCCGCGGAAGCGAAATTTACGGTCGTTGCAATTTGGTGGGAGGACTGTGCAGCCGAGGTCTTAAAAATGGGTTGAATTCATTGAAAATAATTTCTTATTAACGATGGAACGCATGAAATAGTTTTTTCCCGGAACGCATATCGTCGATATGATATTGATCAATTTTTGGGTAAGAGGCCGTAGACCCGTTTTCTTGCTTATATCAGCCCAAATTTTTTCATAAGTATGATCTTCAGACAATAAACTTCAAAAATAGATACATACGATATCTCTCATCTGTTGTTTTAGCACGAGAAAATGATGATTTCTGAAGGCATATTTCAGCGCCTTGCCCAAAAATGGGTCGATATGCGTTCCGGCGTTAAGCTTCTTGAAAACGATAAATTTTAGATAAGAGCACTTTTTTTACGGTATAAGTTATACCGTATAACATAGACCTTAAAAAACGAATATTATCTTAGATAATTTATCTATAAAAACCATAAATCTGAGACCTAAAGGTTGAACCGGATTCTATTTTTTCAGTAGTATTTGAAATACACTTAAAAGTTTTCGAAATATCTGTAGTGATCCCCAGACTTAGTCATAATTATGACATTTATTCACATTTGTGAATGAATTCGACTGTTCTAAAAACTGAAGTAGAAAAAATTGACAAAGCCGTACTTCATGGTCCTTACCTTCATCATCATCTTCATCAAATCTTTGCTTTTCCTTCTCGATAAAATTTCCCACATCTCTGTCTTTTCTCGCTTCCGCATTTCTCTCCTTTTTCCACGATTTAAATTTCTCTTCCAATTCTTCTAGTCCTTCTAGTGTTCTGAGTTCTTCATCTGATGGGGCATTTTCATATGTTTCATTAACAAAACTTTGAAAATTGTAATTTTGCTCTTCGTTGATTTTTTCAACGATTTTTTCGACTTTCTTGTCGATCTTTTTTTGCCCTGTATCGTCGATTTCTACTTCTGAAAAGGGATAAAATATAGAGAATTTAACTGTCAATTCTAGCAGTAAATAGATTTATTCATCCCTTTCCTATAGCATTTATCAGCGTTATAACAGCCCATAAAATTTGCATTGCTCTATCTTTTTTTCCTTCTTTTTTAAAACCCTATTTTATTTGTTGACTAGGTGGGGTTGAGAAAAATGATGTTTTTGCACCGGGTGGTGGCACAATTTAGTTTCCGTGGCGCGTTGTTTTCATTAGTGCGATACATTAGGAAATTTCAGTGTGACGAATTTAAGGTTTTCTGCTGCGTTCGGCTAAGCGCTGAGGCGGCTTTTAGAAAAGAGGATTTTTCGATAAGTGGCTTTTGCGTTTGTTTTCTCGAAAATGGGGCAATTAAGTAATCACGGAGGATTTTTCTAATTCGAAATGACATTATGAAAAATAGAAAAAGACATGTTGTATAAAAAGACTGTTTTCAAAAGATTTTTCTTCTTCGAAAAGACTTTTCGAAATGCAAATTTTACTCCCAGAGATAATTTGGTCCGTTCAAAGATCACGGCAAGGGTCCGTCAATTCTATTTATGACCAAAAGAAAGGGATCTCTCGGAGTAATTTTTCATCCGAAAAAGAAATAAAATCCCTTGTATAGCGAGGAAGCTGTGATGCGCCAAAGCATCCGACAATATCTGCGTTGCTTTATTCTAATGCCAGATTTCAGGGGTTGTTTTGAAAGAAAAATTTAGGTTTGATATCAATGAAGCGTTTTCAACCCTTAAAAAGTTCCCGGAAAATCAGCATCGCTTCAGTTTTGTAAAATTTATTTTCCAAACTGAGCATTTTGATCTTAATTTCTAGGGCGCACTCGCAGTTGCCAGAAGAAATAAACCGAAAAAAGAGCTCATGTGAGTAGATGTTTTATCGGACTGTATATTTCGATTGCGCACTGTAGACGTACCGGATTCCTGAAACAGGAAGCTAATAATTCACTTCCAAGTCTGCTGGGAGTAGTGATAACTCGAGATGCAATAATGGAGCTTGAAATTTTGCGTTCAGATCGCCGTGGTTGCGGCCTGGAATCTGCTTGGTGGTTTCACAAAATTGGTTGAGTGAATTTTTATTATAAACGCGCTGTTTACTTAACAGAAGCACTAAACCAGGCGAAGCACAATCATTTGCGCCGCGGTTATAATCATCGCTGCTCTTTTTTGCCTCCTCATTTCGAGAAGGCATAAAGATGTTTTCAAAGATGTCTCGTTTTACATGAGTATCAGTTTGGTTTTTATTGGATTTTTGACGTTTTCCATTGGTTCGGTCTGCCTTATCCTCGGGTAAGCAAAGGGGAGATTTGAACTAAGGGTCTCACAAAAGTAATCTTAGTCGAAAAATCATGGAATATCAATTTTCAAAGCTGAAATAATTCTAGTGAGCGGAAGAGACGACTGATTTTGGAAGAAAAAGAAGATTTTTGACAAAAAAGAATGTACTGCATATATAAGTTTATTTTCGTTTTGTTGGCAGATGCTGATTTTAGTGGTAGTAAATACAATTATATATAATACTCCTCTTCCATTTTTGGCAGTTTTGCTAGTTATTTAAAATCTTCTAATTTGTCTGGGCAGATTTGTCAAAATATTTCTCCAGGTTTGTTTTGAACGTTTGGAATCTGAAAATGTTGAAGAGAATAAAAATAAGGGGAGCATACGGAATGGCATTAGCCCATGGTGTTCCCTTGAAGAGTTGAGCTGCAGACGCCGTCGCAAGGATGCGATTATCTTCAGCTTGATTTTGGGTGGTGACTCGGAACGCCCAGCGGAGCTCAAACATCGGCTGCCCGATTACATCCGTGATCTGTAATTTTTTATTTTATAAATTTTTTTCCAAAGAATTACCTTTGTCAAGACAGTGTACCAGCCCGGTGCCGGCGTCGGAATATCAACTTGAAATTCTGTTCCTTCTCTTGCGTCCAATTTAGTACCAGGTGCCATCAACTCTATCTGCAAGACTTCATCTACGGCTTGTCCTTCCCAAACAAGAGCATGCCGGTAGTAGACTCCCTTGTCACCTCCATTTATCCAGTGAAAGCCTTAATCGAAAACTATGAAGCTTTTTAGAGAAAAGGGAATTACCGAGGTCGATTTTGAAGCTCGCTTTTTCCTTCATTTTCAAAGGATCTTCAATCACGTGCAGCCGCATTTGTGATCCAAGCTCTTGGTGATGATAAACAACAGGATGATCTTCAGGTGTCACTTTTCTCAAGGCTCAAAATATGCCCGTAAAGATCGAAAAATGCAAAAGTTGAATATAAAGGTAGAGCCGATCCTTCAGGAGGACATCCTCCCTTTTCGCATGGGCATCCATCGGATCTAGTAGCAGTTGCTGCGGAAATGAGCTGGGAAACTTCCCGAAGATTGAAGCCGGTGGAGGCATCGGGAGAGTTAGGATGAACAATCGCGATACAGTAGTCGGAGAATTGAGTGCACTGAGGATATCATTTAATTTCTAATCATTTGATTTGAAAATTTAACGAAATCGTGCAATTGCAATTTAATTCTTTAGTGTGAGTTATTCATTGGATTTCGGATGCTTACGTCTAAACACGTTTTGTTATATTAGTTCGCTTCAACATGAGTAGAAAAATTCATATTGAAACTTGATACTATAAATTTATGGTCTCCACCTTATCCAAAGCAGATTTCTTGCTAGCTTTCCAGTTTGAGAGCCATTTCATGACACTTGAAAATCCGAAATCCTTGCAAATATAGGTGTCTTTCAACTCGATATATTTCATATCTTTCTTGTTGTACGTATCGATTTTCAGTAGAGGGGGGCCTTTCTCAAGATCAACATGAGTTCTCGTACTTTGATCTACCAAAATGTTATTTGATCTTTTCCTGAAGTCAAACTTATATCAATCTTCTTCACATCCAATGGTCGGAAATCAACAAAAAGTTTGATATGACTCGGCTCTTTTTCCTCCTTCTCGACTTTGTATTCGATCGACGAAATGCCCTCGAACTTCGATCTTTTTTTCACAAGCCCAATGCTTTGAAGACTCAAAAATCGAAGATCCGAGTTTTTGTCAGTGATCCGATTATTTCTAAACGCCCAGGGATGTTGATGTGGAATCATGGAATATCTTCCAGAATCGTAGTTAACTGGCTTTCGGATTGTCAGGCCTGCAGCTTTGACTCGATAAACCATGTCGTCATCTTCTTTTCCCCAGCCCCAAAACAGGTTGGAATATCCATTGGCAGCTAAGTAATGCTCCTTTTTCAACATCGTCACTCCCCCAAACTCCGTTCCATAGTGATCTTTGTAGTGAAATTTGTCAATGAACGGCGACAAATGAACAGGGCCATCCTGGCATTGGTAGATATTCCGATCATCTTCCAGCAGCATATCTACATCATGAAGAATGATGCAATCAAAACCCCTGTTGATAGCTTCCTTGGCAGCTGCATTCATCGTCGATCCTTTGTTAAAGTGTCCTGAACCCATCGGTTCTGACACGAACACGCAGTACGATCGCCTTTGACAGGTTTTTAACATGGCGACAGGGTAGAAGAATGGAGGAAATGGGATTATCCTCCGTTTTGACGCGGCCCTGTTTTACTGTAAATAAATCAACAAGAATAAAAAACGCACTCTTCAGTAATTAGAAAAATAACTTTCATATTGAAAACCAGTTCCTTTGTCTCACCAGCATCTGATGCATGTGCCAGAGCCACTTGAGCAAATGATCTTCCCGGTCTTTGTAAGGAATAATAATCGCCACTTTCTCTACTGGAATACAATCGCTCGGCTCGTGGCAGCCATCAACAATGTCCAATGATTTCGAAAGTGCGTGAATATCCCGCCAAGTTGGCAAAAACGCTGCTGGTCGATGATTGTCTCCTTCCAAATCGTCCGTTTCATATGGGCATTCTTTTTTCGGGCCGGAAATGGGCTTCAAGGGGTCGATGTCGATCACGGGCTCTTTCTCGTCTGTAGTGGTTGTGGCTGTAGTTGCGGTCGTGCTGACTTGAGTCTCAGGCTGCTTGATGAAGAATTCTTCGTGTTTGTGCTGGACAGGCTTGGGCCGGGATTTGTGGGAAGGATTTGATAGAAGGCTTTAAATCAAGTTAGAAAAAGAATCGACCAAGTAAGAATTTTAATAAAAAAAAATTCTCGACTGAGAAAGATCTGAATGAAATCATGTAATTTTCTTGTTAATCAAACTTTTTTCGCGCGTAGCAAAAAGGTTAAACGTGTAATTCAAAAATAATCTATCATCAACCTAAGCAGGTGCTGCCGCAATGTCTCGACCCCTTTACTCGCCCCTGAGTTCCTCTAAGGTCGTCTAAAATCCTTACCTTCCATGCAACAGCGCTTTCGAAACGATTAAGCCGATGCTGATCCCGAGGATGAAATTCAAAACGTTCTTTCTCGTCACGCGTGCCATTTTTCGGATTTGCAGATTTCGAAGATTTGTTTCTCAAAAATTAATTTTTGGACTAAGAAAAAGACTTTGCAAATTTCATTTTTAAAAATGAAAAAGTTCAGCTTGTTCTAGTACTTGATCAACTTTAGAATTCGAGAAAAAAATAGGTCCCGCCAGATTCGGACCAGCCGCCTCCACCACCAAAAAATGATGGCCGCGGGCGGTTGCGAAGCATTAAAAAATATTAAGCTCCGCACCCGGATGCACCGCACCCAAAATCTGTTTCATTTTCTTAGAACAGTAAATTGATTTGGCAAATCAACTGGCTTTGAAATAAGGGCTTTTATAATATGTCTTCTACGATCATTTTTTAATTCATAATGTCTTCAATAAAATTAATCTTTCTGTCAAAGATAGCCGGATTATCTGTAATTTCTGCGAAAAACATATTTTCAATGACGCAATTCGACCCAATTTTGCCCTTATAACATACCGGCCAGAATGAACTGCTCTGTAGTGCCCATCCCATAAGTTGTTTCTTCAGCTTCATCATATAAAATCCCGGTTCACAAGGAACGAGAGCACGAGTTTGAAATCTATCATGAATTTCATAGGAGGTAAGGAAATCTTGACAAAATTTATTAAATAAAAATCTTTAGTGTTTTCTCTGTTTGTCAGTAGCCAGGCATTTTTCTTCCGCAGCCCACCGAGAAGACAAGTGGTCGAGAAAAAAGACAAGTCTGATGACGCGCAGCTCGAGAGACAGGTTTGATAGTTAGAATTATTTTTAATCTGTAAAGATTTCTCAGAAGGAATTCGAAGAGTTTGTTCGACAAATGAAAATGATGATGATGAAAAACCCGGAGAAGCCTGTCAAATCGAGACACATGTACATTTCTCCTCTTTTCTGAATTCTTCTTTTATCTTCTTTTCTTTATTTTTCTTGTAACTTGTTTCCTGTTTCATTTTTATTCTGATGGCAATATATTATACTGAAGTCATGCATGCATAATTTCTTGTTTTTGTCATCATTTGACAAACACAGTAGCTTATTTGAAATAAGACAGTTGGAATTTTAGTAAAACAGTCAAAATAGAAGAAAAATATTTAATAAAAGAAAATGAAATTAGATGTGAATGTGTTGCATACACAAACAGTTGTGCTCGTGATCATCCAGGTCTAAGAAAAACTTAATGAGCAAGTAAGTCGAAAAATGAGTTACCGTGAACTTTGCACTCGATTTTCTCCGACGATCGATTAAGATCAGGAATTTCAGGGTTGCTCAACTTGAAGTACGGAATATGTATATATATTTATATATATGTATATATATGTATATATATTTATCGAAATATTCGCAACCAACTGAATCGAAAGCATTTCTGTGACTTTCGAGCACTGGAGATGATAATTGAAGACCTTCATCAATCCAGTAGTGGTCAGTTTGATAAACATCTCCTCTTGCCAAATTCCATCGACCTTTTCTTTTATTGTTTTCGATCAGTGCTTAAATATAAATGATAACAAACAAAAAATATTATTTATGTGATATTAATACTGCTTTTTGATTTGTATCCCATCCAGAGTTTGTCTCCAGGACAAGTTAGTCGTATAAACTGAAGAATTTTCTGCGCTTGTTCTTCTGATTCTAACTGGAGCGGTTTGTCTCCATAAGAGTTGCAGTAATCAACGCATTCGTCCCAGCCCATGACGGAAGTTTCGTTCCCGCATTCGAATCTAGAATAATTATTGTTTTCCTAAATTTTTGATCTTACTCTGGAATTGGTATTAATGATGTTGAAGTTGTACTCGTTGTTGTTGTCGATGTACTTGGTGCTGCCTTTGTCGTTGTAGAAGTTTGGGATGCGGTCGTTGTCGTTGTATTCGATTTTGACCCTCCATCTATCTTTCCAACGATTGCTGGGCCAGTAAAAGCGAATGTGACGGATAAGAGACAGGTAATGCTCAGAACGAGTAAAACTATCTTCTTCGTTCGCTCTTCCATCTTTGACCTTCTACCTTCCTCGGGAAAGTCTCCTCTACTAGTGCGATTACCGAAATCAAACTTCTACCTTTAATTCGCCATGCAAATATGTTTATGCGCAGTCAACACCTGCGAGATTAATCTTATCGGTTGAATAATACTGACTCTATCTAACAGCTTATAATGAATTTGTCTCCGTTCATGTTTGATTTTTTTATGCTAGTTCGAGTTAGAATTATTTGACATGGTTGCCATAGTTAAAACGGTTCTCGAAGACTTTGAGTTCTGCACCTTGATATTTTTATTTTCCGACAAAAAGGCAGTTTTCAAATAAGAACATAATGAAGGAAGCGCGATAAATTTCTGAATTCGTCGTTCTCAAAGTGTCATGTGTCTCATACAAACGCAGTTGTGCTCGTGATCGTATCGCTTTTAAAAAAATTAAAAAGAGAAAATAACAAGGCGACTCTTACTGTGAACTTTGCACTCGACGCTTCCCTTCTTTGAAATAAGGAGGTATGGAACTGCATTTTTGTCCTTGTGGTCAAAATATTTGCAGCCAATTGATTTTGTTCCGTCAATATGACCTTGAGGAACTGGAGTTTTGAACTTGAGATTCTTATTTAGCCAGTAGTGAATTTTCTCTTCTGTTTTGTATCCCATCCACACTTTTTTGTCTGGACATTCTTCGATGATTACTTGCTTTATGAGTTCTGCTTCCTGAACCGACGCGATTTGGAGTGGTTTGTCTTGGTGGGATTTGCAAAAATCGACGCAATTATCCCAGGACATCAGTGACGCTGAATCCTCACATTTAAACCTATGAAAATTTTTGAGAAAATATTAAGCTAGAAACTCATACTCTGGGATCGGTGGAAGGGTAGTTGTAGTTGTAGTTGTAGTTGTAGTTGTAGTTGTAGTTGTAGTTGTAGTTGTAGTTGTAGTTGTAGTTGTAGTTGTATTTGTAGTTGTAATTGTAGTTGTAGTTGTAGTTGTAGTTGTAGTTGTAGTTGTTGTCGTAGATGTAGTTGTTGTCGTAGATGTAATTGTTGTCGTAGTTGTAGTCGCAAAAGCTTTTTTGTTCTTTTCGAAGCCATTTTTGCTCTACAGCTGTATGCTGAAATCCCAACTGCCATGAAGATCCGGCAAATTTAAGTTGGAAAAAGATATTTACTTATGCATCTCAAGCACCTGCGGAAGTTAGTGCATATCGCTTCGGAAAACATTCGTTTTTGACAATTGATAACGAGTCCTTGCACAATGATTATGAAATATTTATGCGGATACCATGGTGAGAAGAAAAATGCTTATGCATTCAAAGAGATCGAAAATCTTTTTGGTTTCATAGAAAAAATGAGAAGCGAATTTCGTCAAAGAAATCTGCTTCCATATATTTGCAAGAACATGAACTATATTTTTATTTTCTGAGAATCCCGATGTCGAAAAAGGGTTGAAACGTAGAAGTCGTCATATTGCGCAAGAAACAGAGTTTTATACAGTTGATAGTTTCGGAAACGTTTTGAGACTTGTGAAGAATGCTTTGGTAGAGGTCGATGAGCCAGTTGTCAAGGCGATCGAGAGAAGCGACAGGGTCGGTAGGTGACAATTTAGGACGGTTGAAGACATGACAGAAGATTTCCTCAGGGACCTTTCGAGTTGAAAGACGTTTTGAAGGCTCCCGCCAGAGCATCTTCTTAATTTTTGAGAAGATGCTTGTTGGAACATCTGGAGGTTTATTCACGTAGAAATCAAGATCCGAGTCGTCATAAGATCCATTTTTCAGTAACTGACGGTTTCGAACTGGATAGAAGGGGTTTCCACGGGAGCGGCCTCCATGAAGAATATCTGAAGAAAGTTTCAAAATTAAGAGGACATTCATGTTATTACCTAGTGCAACTAAAGAAATAGACCAGCAGTCTGCCCTTGAATAATCCAGCTCCTTCCCTCGATCAGCGTTGACGATTTCCGGAGGGCAATAGGCACCATTCCCTTTTCTCAGGTCATAACGGCCAGTTGGTTCTTCGTTCATAAACTTTAGCTTGTCTGTCGCACAGCCCCAGTCGCCGAGAAGAACCAAGGGAGGACCCGATTCAGAGACGTTTTTGACAAAGATGTTGTCGGGCTTGATATCACGATGACAGTAGCCGATTTTCTGAAGGACATGAATCGTAAGAATAAGCACTCATCTCACCTCCAGATGTCGAACTGCCTCAAAGAGCTGATAGCACATCAACAGCCTGTCGGTTAATGAAAGGGAAGCATCGTTCTTCTCAATTTTCTTTCAAGAGTTTTAAATATGTAAATCTGTTAAATAGAAATAACACATCCAAGAGGCTAATCCCCTGACCGTTGAGGCTCAAGCCAACGATCATATCGTACATTGATTAAAATTTAAAAGGGTCTTTGTTAAAAAGAATCGTTGCCATCATATTATACTCAAATAAGAATTTCAAACATTTAAATACGAACCATGCTCCTGACCCGATTTTCATTATTTCTCGGACTTTGCTCCGGAAAAGCCGTATCAGGCGAAGACTTTTTGGAGAAGGTAATGAGCGGGGACAATACATTGATAGATGATTATGACACAAGACAACTCTTGAATCATGCTAGAGAAATGCAGCAGTTTGGAATTTTGTAAAGGGGATAAATACGTGTTTAGCTGCGTTATCATATGTGAAATGACTTAAAATTTATCCTTCAAAAGAACGGACATTTTTTATGAAAAACTCTTCCTTGAATAAACCATTCAAATCTGTATCCATCTTTCTTGAGACTAAATACAAAGTCCTATCCATGCCGGATCGGTCCGGACAGGCATCTCTGTACTTGTTCTTCTGCGGATGATCGACAAATGCTCCGGTGAATTTGCGCTCGATGGGCATGATGAAGGGATGTATCAGCTTTCGTTTCGAGTACTCGTCTTTGTTGAAAAGTTCTTCTTCTTGAAAGGCGGAGAAGATCGAGTTCGTATCGTACGCGCTGTAGTTGAACATTTGCTTGATTACCAAGTCGCTCTTTTTGTCTTTAAATTCGTTTGAAAGGTCGAAATCAGGAGCATTTTCTTTTTCCTTCAACTTGGCACTGAAGGCGACACCGTTACAGCCTTTCCCAAGGACTTTTCCTAGCGTAAAATCTTCTACTTTTCGCCCTTCCTTGTCGCCAAGCAAAAATGACCCTTGGAACGGATGCAGCTTTTTGATACGCATCGATATGTCTCTTATCAAGCTTTTCGTCTGATTCGTTCGCTCGTAGAGGCAGTAAAGGGCGTTGAAGAGAGCATTATCTTGTCTAAGAAAGGATCGAGAATGTATAAGGGCGTTAAACGGTACCTAAGACGATCGAGGGTAATGAGTGGCGCCATTTTGACAGGACTGGGATTGATTCTCTTCCTGATAATCGCTCGGAAAACAATCCCTCTCGTACCTTTTGCAATTACCCTTGGCGCAGGGCGCGCAATTCGAGTCATGATCCGCGCAAACATTGTTTGACACTCACTCTATTTTTCCGACTTTTATAGACAGCGCTTTCAGATTATTTTATCGAAGTTCATTCTAGTGAGAGAGAAAATGTTATATTCAAAGATGTTCTTGTTTCGTCCGGTTTATTTCATTTGAATGTGTCGAGTTTTAACTTTTAAATGAAGTTTTGGTTTTTTAATGTGGCAGTCAATACGCTCAAAGTCGTCGTTAAGAAAGGTGGATAAAAAAGGGAAAGTGCAGGATAACTTTGAAGACGAATTCTATTTCTTTTTGTTTATTTACAGTTGATTTTTCAATTCATGATTTGACGACGTCCTCGTCCACGACCACGGCCGACAGCAGCAGCGGGCGGCTCTTGCATTTCGTTCCGCGGCGCTGCTCCTTGTGGAACGTGATTTTCCAGATTCCAAGCTTGTTCTTCCTCTTTTTTCTCCGGCTGAGGAGCTGGAGCCTGTCGGACGCCAAGATTGTCCAGTGGATTGTTTCTCTGGCGAACTTGCTGAAGCATCTGTCCTCGACCGATCGATGGTCCTTGCACTTTTGGGTGGCTTCTTGCTTCTTGACGCGCGATATTCGCTGCTTTTATCCTTTGAAATCGGTGAAAAAAGACTGAGAAATTGTTGACTTACTCTGCTTTCTTCCGTTTTGCCTCTTCAGACTCGGTCTTTTGATCTTTCTGCACCCAGAGATGCTGCTCTTCTGCGAATCGAAACTCAATTCCTTCCTGTTTTCGCCAAGCCGCGTGCGCATCTGCTTGCTCCTTTATCTTGCGCTAGAATGAAAACTCATTAGATGATAAAGATTCTAGAATGGGAGAGAATGAGCTTCGGGAGTTGTTTTGGACATTTTCAAAAGAAAATGAGAGCTTTGATTTTAATTATAGCAGTAATTTCCGGAGTCCAAGGGTTCTTATGGACGGCTGAGGTGGATTTGAAGGATGTTATTCATAAGTTGATGCATGCTCAAGATCATCAAGCCCCACACATTCGAAAGAAACTTGTTGCCAAAGCAATAACAGGTATATTTCAAAAGGAAAATGGGGAAAACGGCTTTTCTTTAATATTTTCTGTTTGCTTCTTGAGCTTAGAAATTTTTTACGATACTATCATATGCGTTTTAGGAATAAGCCAGAAGCAAAAGAAATTGAAGGAAATTGGAAGTGCAAAACAAAAAGAAGCAAAAACATACGATGAGCTTGTTGAATACCTAGATGAGAATTGCAGGTAAAGCATTTTCCCCTCTATTTTTTGTAAAAAATCAAGAAACAAACATCTAAAAGAACTGGAAGAGTGGGCAGACTATCATAGTATCTACCAGCTTGCAAAAGTGACGAAAAATCTCCGAGAAAGTTGCAAAGGCGTTGATTTTTACTCAAAACGAATCAAGCTCAATGAACGAGTTCATGAAGCAAAGAAGCTTATAGCAAGCTTAGAAAAAGAAGGAGTCGGCTGCATCGGTAAATGGTCCATTGAATGTTAATCCAACTGGTTTTTAAGCGTATACAAGAGTGATTAGACTGGTAGAAATTGGTTTTTCAATCGACACAACAATCAAAGACCCTCGCTGGCGAAAGTTTTGGCAAAATACTGTAAGAAAAAACTCTCTTTCAACTTCTATTGCTCTATTTTAGGTGACGAAGGATGAAATAGAACTAACTCTCGAAAAGATGGCGAACTTGCTAAACGATTTTGCCTTAGAATTCTCCTTCAATTGCCCAAATATCAACACGAAAAATTTCGTCCTGAACGTCATCAATTTCAAAAAGAAATGGTACCGAAAAAACTCCTTCAAAAAGCTCGAATAAACTTTCTACTTACCAAATCTTCTTCTGTCATTAAATCATCGGGAACATAGAGACATTGAATCGGTGGCCTCTGTAACTTGTTGGCGAATTCGCCATGTTTGTAATTTGGATCGGCGCGAAAATCGCGCTGTGCTCCGAAGGTCTGCTGTCTTTCTCCTCCTCCACCGCCACGGGGATGAAAATTGGGATTTGATCCGCCTCGACCGCGTCCACGATGGGCCATTTTTTCTTTAATTTATAAAAATGGTTAAGTTCATAGAAGAAATGCTTGAATTTATTGTAAACATTTACTTTGAACGAGGTTTTTTGAAAGAAATCGAAGCGAAAAAAAATCCGACAATATTTGCAGCCTAGGCTTTTGATTGGCCGAAACACGAAATGAAGGCTTCTTGTTGGCCGAATGCTGCCTTCTGATTCAGCTATTAGCTGAATTCTGGTCCTTGATTAGCGCAAAATAATTTGTCGGACTTTTTTCGCTACTTCATGATTTCAGCCATTTTTTGGAAATATTGAATAGAAATAGAAATCAAGAACAGGATTTAACCAGAAAGGGAGGAAAGAAGAATCACCAAATGTTGGAATGTAGAATAACCTATGTAAATAAAGTTAAGGAGGACACATGCTTTGATTTTGATCGAAGAAAACGACTTTACTGTAACTGTAACTGCTATTGTATACCGACAGGTTTTGAGATAACTCTGGAAATACTGTAAGAAAAGTGGACTGCACGGTTTAATTTGACTACTAGTCAAAGACTAGGGTTGCTTTTAAGGAAGACAAAGACGATTTTGAATTGATTTCTAGGAGCTCTAATCTCTTTCTAGATAATAATACCGAGAATAAAAGAAGTCCTCGATAGTCTAGAGATGCTGATGCACATAATTTATTCTATTTATTTATTCTAGAGACAAAAGTTGAGACAAGTTGTAAGGCTATAGAATGGCAACGATGTTAAATTATCTTATGAGCGAAAGATTGAAAATAAAACAGAGGAAAGCTGGTACTTGCTGCTTTTTAAAGATTCCTGATAAGAAAATAGTGATAAGAGAGATTTTGTACAGGCAATTTGTTGTATTTTTCCTTTTGTTGCTTTTTTTCTTTATACAGTAGGGAACGTTGTTTAGGTCAGTTTGAGTGAGAAACAGTCAAGTGGCAAATCTTAAATATAGTTGGATTCACAATTTTTAAATCTTGGAAGGGATTCTTGAAGAAACTTTCGCCATAGTAAAGGGAGCTGTTGTCAGTTAAATTTTCTGCGGCATTTTGGTGATTTTCACGATTTTTTTTTTTCGATTATTTTATGTTTGGTATGAAGGCGCGCGTGATGGGAGTGACATAAAATAGACTGTAACTGTGTTTGAAATTTGTAAAAAGAAGCCTTTGTTTATATTGGTTAGGGTTGTCCGCCAGGCTCGGGAACCTGCGGAAACCTGAGTCAAGGTAAGGACTGAAAGCGCTTTATAACCCTGACTCAGGTTTCTGCAAAGGTCTCAGAGCCCAGTTAGTCTGATTTAAAGCAAAAGAATACCGTCAAGATTCGAAAGAATCTCGATTAAACGATCTTGATTTTAAAGCTTTTCTTGTTAGCTCTCTCTCTTTTCTAGGACTGTTTATGACTCTAGAAGAGTTTCTAGCGTTTCTATTAGAAAGAGCCTTTTGTTGTTGCTCTAATGGGAGATTGGCGAGTTCTCTCAGAACTTTTGATGAAAATTTCAAACACTGAACTTGCGAATTGGAAGGCGACTGGACGGATGCAAAGAAGACTTTGTCATTTCTTTCGCAGAGGAATTTGAGTTTGTTCGCGCGCTTGTGCATGAATACGCCGTCGAGCAAGCCTTGAGAAACAGATCTGATTTCAATGGCCTTCTCGCCCCAGCCCATGACCTAAGATTGGATTAATAATGACAAAAAGTGAAGAAAACGGACCTGGCCCGAGCGAATGTAAGCAACTGAGGCGGGCATTTCGCCCCACTGCATCATCACATCTTTGGTCACCTCGGCGTATGTGTTGACATAGACTCCTTCATCGTTGTAGCATAATAAGAGCTCGTTTCCGTCGGACTCTGGGAGGACCACGATGGCATGAGGAATAATTGGCGGCGTTTGATGACCTTGAAGAAGGATATAAGGACAAGAAAATTTGAGAGTCCAATGTTATCAATTGATATTAGGTGTTACCTGGAATATAAAGATCTATCTGCGCCGTCGTCTCCATATCTATCGCATGAAATCCTCTTTCTGAGCCGAATAATACTTGAAAAGTCAGGTCAGATTTTGGAGGAAAAAGTAAGCTTACATTTTAACCTCGTTCCATCTTCAACAGTGAGATCGACAATGAGCGGCCTGTGTATTAAGTTTTGAAAGGTCTTGTAGAGCATAAAGCGATTGTAAGGTTTCGGAGCCCAGGCGAACACATCGACGCCATTTCGCATTGCAACGACGAGGAATTTGATGCGCTCGAATTTGACGAGTTTATACGACGCGCAACCTAAAGAACCCTTCTTGATTCCTCGACTCTACTGTAACGTACCTTCAAGGTCGCCAACAGAAATGTAGCCCTGTCGTTCAACTCCATCTTTTGCCGGCTGCGTGTTTAGGAATTTCGACTTGAGCCAGGATAAATAGTAACAACGCAGTTTATTCTTCTTCCCTGATATCGATAAAACGAGGTTGTTGTTTTCAAGAACGTCTATTTGTTGAAATTTTCTGTTTTGAATAAGTGGATACACCTGGCCTTAGTCATCGGATTTTCATCGTTTCTGACTCAAGGTAATAATTCGGGAAGCCTTTGCGGCTTTTTATTCAAACTATCGCAAGACCCTCACTTAGGCTTATGATGAAAAACCGTGCCTTGGCCACTTCTGTCTAATAATAAAAGTCCATTGTTAGTTCCTATCAGCAGGTTGACGCCCCAGAGGCTCGCACAATTGATTTCCGAGTTGAAACGTTTCTTGTATTTTCTGATTTCAGGCATTTGATCTGCTGCTTGTTGCGGGCGAACATTGACTGGTCCTTGGTTCGACCCTTGTGGAGCATTTTGTCTGTACATTGCTAAAAGGGAAGATGATGAAGGGACAGACGTCGAATTCCTATGAGCGATCTGTCTGTAGAATCGCATTAAACTAATGCGATTAGACACGGAAAGATTGTGTCTGTCGCTTGCTCAATTAGATTCTCTAACTTACGATGATTGTTTGTGTGATTATTTGAGACGACGTCTGGAAGCGAGTTTTGAGCAATTGGTTGACCTTGGTTTCTGAGCGGATGAGCAACATGGCCAGATCCTGAAAGAAGAAAATAATGCTACTGATAAGGATATCAGACTCTGATAATCAGAGTACATAGCTGCTTGCGAAAATAACCCTTCTAAAGGGTGGCAAATATTCTTTCATAGTCTCAGATTTCTTCCAGAAGAACAAAGCTGGCAAAAAAGACAGTACTTTGTTTCTTCTTAGACTTGAATAATCATCGTCTTGAATAATGGAAGTATCGTAAATCGAATTAAGGTGAGTTTATAACACCTGTTTTAATACACACTTCTTGTTAAAACTGCTGATTTATGCTGTTTCCTGCACTTTCTAGAGCTTGATTTACCTTGTCTTTGATGAGGATTTCGCTGAATAGTGTCGCCTTCTTCCCCGTAAGACGGTCTCGGGGGCGTGTTTGAGTGATTTGGAAGAGGTCTAGGTGGCTGTCGATTCTGATGCTGTGGAGGATGATTCGGGTACTGTTGTTGATTGTTTCGTGGCGGTGCTCTTGGCGCTACGTCTTGTCTGTGCTGTGCCGCGTGCAGCTAGTAAGAAAATGAGGAAGGGAAAAAATGGTTCAGAACGCACCTCTTGACTGATTTGTCTTTGTCTATCTGCCTCTCGCCTCCTTCGATCGTCTTCTTCCCGTCTTCTTTGCTCCTCAGCGCGTCGCTGCTCATCTCGTTGTTTTCTGCTTTCTTCAGCTAAAGGGAAAATTGTTTCATTTATCAATAATGCCACTCGCAAGAGGCGACATACGACAGTACCTTGATGAATTTTCTTGAGCGTCAAGTCGTTGGCAAAATTCCTGGTCGCCGTATCAGTCGGATCAAAGTCATTCTCTTCGTCGTCAACAGCCGCGTGATTCTCAAGAAGAACCTCATCTGGCGAAGCGTTTTTCCGCGTCGTCTTATCGATGTGCTCTGAATTCATTGTCGATTTGGAAAAGGGAAGGGAAGGCGTCGCAAACCTTTGAGCTCGTTTCTGACGCGTCGTTCGATGGATTGCTGGTTCACAAATTGATGCTTTAGTAGTTGATCAGCAGGGGGTCGTTTGTGGTAGTCTTTTAGCAGTGACTAATCACGGGGATCGGCAAATTTGATAATTGAAAAATATCTAGGTTAATGGCAATTAGGATAGCTGAAGGAAAGTACGTCGGAGAGACGACCCGTGCCCTGAGAAACGAAGTTCTGGAAGACGGAAGACCACTTGCCTCGTTGTTTGAGTTTGGGAGGCGCTTGTCGCGGGATTACGAAAAGGGCACGCATCGGATGTTGTTCGCATAGTGGGGGCTGTCCTTCCGCCTGAAAATTCCATTATTAATGATTCTTTCCGGAAAGAATTCTATTCATAAATCGTCAGAGCAAAAATATTTGAATAAAAAGTGTCTCGTCACTTTAACTCCTATTCAAATGCAATAAAAAAGTTGCTGATTCAATAATTTTGGAAGTACATAAAAAGTAGGCCAGTTCTTGAATACGACAAAACCGCGAGAACAGATGTTTGGTGCTATTTTCAAAATTGGAATTCTTGAGTAGCGAGTACGCTTGTTATTTTTCATGTCTGTGAGTCGGGGACTCTGAGAGACTCGTTGAACTTGATGAAGATCTCACCCAAAAATTGTGGCTCATTTCAAGATCAACATTCGGTCAGACGAGACAGGCTCGTCCGCACTCCTGAGAAGATCCTTTTTGCAATTGGTATCAATTGATAAACAAAACGATATTTTAACGAAGCCGGTTTCGATTATCAATGAATCGTCCCCAATTTCATCACAGACAGAGATAAAATCGAAAACCTGCTTCTGGCATTCGTGAGACGAGAGAAACAGGGACAGAACAAGAAGTAATAAATATTTTGCTAAAGTAAGACAGTCAGGGTGTTTTTCTGTCTGCCCCGGATTATAAGAACGCGGCCCCGGGTCCAAGATCCGCCAGAGCGCGAGAAAAAAGCGCAAAGAGATAAAAAAGACCAACAATCAAAAATTTAAAAATGAATCTTTACGAAAGTGCTCTAGTGATGTCAGGACTCTATTTATGTTCGAGGAAAAATAGCTTTCTGGAGCATATTTAGGCCCTGATTCCACTCGAACCGCTGAAAACGACAGAAAAAGAGAGCAACTTTGAGAATCGGAAGAATTTGTGATTGGAAGGAAAAATGTCAGGATCGAGGTTGTGCTTCGAAATCGTTAAAGAAAGCAAGCATAATCGCGATTCTGATTTTTGACGTTCCAAAAAATCGACTAAAAATGAACCCTAGGCTTTTCGCTCAAAAAATATGCCGCAAGAGATGTTCGGTGAGAATCAGTTTCTTACCATTTCGATTGCTGTAATTCCAAGCGACCAAATGTCTGATCTACTGTCGTAAGTCTTGTGCGGATCCTGATCGCAAGCAATAACTTCGGGCGCCATCCAATAGGGCGTTCCAATGAACGTATTCCGCTTCCCGATCGTCTTGTCTAACTGCGCGGAGACGCCAAAGTCGACGAGTTTGACATTCGCATCCGAGGTCAAAAGCACGTTCTGGCCCTTGATGTCTCTGTGTATCACTTTCGCCTGGTGGAGATGCGCCAGCCCGCAGAGCACTTCGCGGCAAATGTAGCTGATCCATTCTTCGCGCAACGAGCGTTTCGGCGAGTTTTTCAACAAATCTGTGACTGATCCAGCGCCGCAGTACTCCATTACAAGCCACAGTTGATCGTCTGTTCTAGCGTTGTGTTTCACGAAAACGCCGAAATATGTAGCTAGAATAAAGAAGTGAGGAAACTTTCAAGAGAAGATTTTTGGGGTTAAGCGGCTCCTCGATTTGACTTTTTTCTTTGATAACAAGAGTAAAAATGCCTTGAAGTAAAACGTCTTACCGATGTTTTTGTGATGTGAATGTTTCTTGAGCATGTTGACTTCGAGCTTCAGCTCTTCTTCCTCATCAGCTGTGACGGGCATGCATTTGATGGCAGCAAGGCCGCCAGTGGGAATGTGGCGGCCTTTGTAGACTTGTCCATAAGTTCCAGATCCGATTTGCTCGACCAGCTCGAAAATCCCGGAAGGGTCTTTGCATTCCGACAGGTCTATGTCATCCAATCCCATTCTACATAATCGAAATTTGTTAAAGCATCTCATTCTGTCTCTAGGTTAAATAAGCAGTCACGATTTTTACAAGCGCTTTTGAAGAAAGAAAAAGATCATGATGGCGCTTGAATTTTCAAAATGAGTCAATTAGCGATCATAAAAAGGAAAATTTTTCCCTAGAACTCAACATTGATTCAAGAGCTTTCGCTGTTGATTTCTCTTATTCACAATTGAACCTAGAATTCAAGTCCATTTCCGCTTGAGAAAACGCATCTATTCATCTCTTTCTATGAAAGAAAAATGACTGGTAAAATCAGCGTGCAAATAAAGATTGAATCAGCCATTTCTTTCTCTCCTCTCTCTATCCCGATTTCAATGCAGCCAATTGGCAAAATCAAGAGTAAATTGAAATTCAAGAATTTGTTTTAGCAAAAGCGCGAGAAGGCATTACGGAGAAGCATGAATCAGCACCGCATGCTTCTATCATAATTTGACTTCGAAAATGAGTTCAATGAATTATTGTTAAAATTTTCCTTTCGTGAAAACTATTCGTTTAAAATTGATTAAACATTGATGGGAAAAAACTTGGTAAAAGTATCAATATCACTAATCACTAGGAAAAGACTTAATTTTTGAGACAAAAGAAGGAAACAAAGAAGCTCGGGCGACTTTTCAGCTTTTGTTCATAAAGAGCCGCTTTTGCGAGGCTCATTCTCAAATCTTGAATCACGAGCCTTTTCTACAGGCTTATTCGGCGCTTTACTTGGCAAAATTCTCAATAACTCAACTTTTTAGTAAACTTTAAAGCCAGCAATGATGACAAATGAACATAAAAATGCAATATTTATCAGTTTTCTTCGGATAAAAAGGGGTTATTCCTCCAGTGAATTATTTTCTTTCTCTCTTTCAAAGTACAAATTCTTCAATAAAAAAAAAGACTGCCGGACTTGTGCATATTGGAAAAAATATGACTGACTGGGGCACGGAAGCGGCGTGGTCCTTTGATCCCGCCGCTCCAAATTTTTAAATTGCCACAAACATCGATGTTTCACTTCAATAAAAAATATCCCCCCGTTTTATTCTTTCTCTTGATCCCAGAAGGGCAATTCAGAAACTGGTTTTCTTTCGGAAAAAAAAGAACGAAACCTAAACGTCTTCCTGCATCATTTGAATAAAAAGTTATCAAGAAAAGATTCACGTGTTGAAGAAAAAGCCGCTTCCGGCTAGACTCGGTTGAAAAGAATCCTGAGTCAGGGTACTGAAGCAGGTTTCTGCGTCATCTGAGGAGAAAGGTAAATATAGAGGAGAAAACTTGAAAAGCGAAAATTTCTGAATATCATTTTTACTCGCTGATGAAAACGTTAAACGAAATGAAATCATGAGTAAATTGTACAGTAGGTCCACGATACAGAAAGAGTCCATAGAAATCGTCCATTTGTCGAATACTCGTCAGAAAATGGAGCAGTAACGATAGACCCGGCTCTAACTAATTTTCGGTAAAACAGGGCGCTATCAACTCACTGCCTAATTTTCTGGCGAAACTTTGAAACCTTCTCAAAATGAAAAAAAAAACGCGGAGCGGCGAACGAGAGAGGGGCGAAAAGACGAATGAATGTTTGGGTTGGTCTCTCGCTGGCTTTGTGTGTGTTTGAAAAATGATGTGATGGTTTTGGTTCGAACCAAGTTGAGAAAATTGCGCTCAGGGAGCCAATCAGCGGGCGCTCTCCACCTACGCGGGGGACACCGTGGCAGCGGAAATTCTCTTCAAAAATTACCATATTTATTTGTTTATTTACGACTAACTAATAATCCAGAAGAAAAGAAATATTTATCATTTTGACTGTTAGCATTTGTTCCTTTCTTTAATCTTAAAAATTCTTATTTTTCAGTTATCAAATTGTCCTAAATTCTTAGCTTTGTTCATAAAAATATCTTTGAAGATTTTAGTTTTTACATAAGTTATAAAAATCATTCAGCTTTTGTATCGTTTTGTATATAAAAACTCTCTCGAAAAAAGCCTTAAACCCCTCTGTCATTCTGCTCTATTCTCAACTTCGCTGGAAAAGATTGAGTCATCGGCGCATCGCCGGCCAATGAGAAGGCGTTTTGACCGCCGCGCCGAGCGAGTAGTAAATTGGTTCGGACCTATGCGCGGCGCTGCGCTAATTTCAGAGACTTTTTTATGAGAAGATTTCGCGGTCGAGTGATTTTAAAGAACTTTCTTTATGATTCTAGAGTCTAGAATCTAGACCAATTTCTTGGAATAAAAATATTTTGCTCTCTAGGTGAAATTTTACGTAGAATTGCTAATCGATTTCTGTTCGATAAACTTTAAAACCCATGTTTTAACTACTGATAACATACTAATTTGTTCTTACTTTAGATGTCGCGAAATGTCCGCCAAATTTCGGCAAGCGAAAGCGAGCGCCTCCACCGCTCAAATATTGAGATGGAGCAGCGGCTGATCGAGGTCAAGAGACTTTTCGAAAAAGAAAAGACGAAACGGGAGCGAGAAGCGTTAAATTGGGCCAGTTCCGCCGGACTGGGAGATGGAAGCATCGGTCAGAGGGGAGTCAAGAACTCAAGGTCGAAGGGGGCGCTTGATTCGCAAAGCAGGAAGATTCTTGGGAAAGGATATGATAGGAAAAGGTTGAAAATCAGGCGTTTTTGATAAGTTTCAGTTTTTTGGTAGGTCTCGCGAGTTTTTGAGCTTTTTCTGGACATACCAAATTAAAACTAATTCACCTTTTTCTTCGTAAAAAGCCGCTTATCAACCTTTTTTCAAAGAAATCTCAAATTTAAAGTGCTGAAAGACAAGCCCTTGGATGTCCCCAAACGCCCTGCCGACCAAGAAATGGCCAATGTCAGTAAAATTCGTCCCTTTTTCATCTCATATTTTCCTGTAGTTCATCGCGAGTGAAAAAGCCCGTTTGGCAGCAGAAGTAAAGCAGACCAAAAGACGAGTCTCAAATTCAAACGCTCCTCAAGCATCCTACCCTCCGCTTACCAGATCTCCTCCGAAACGATCGCCTTTTGGATCAGCTAATAGAAGAAGTCCTAAATCGCTGGAACCAGTCGAGGTAATCCGCTCTACTCCTACACTTTTCCCAACCGTTTTAGGAATACATCCTGTTCTCCGACTCCCAAAACAGCGAAATATACGAACTCCCTCTAACGCGCGAAGGCGATCTCGACCTAAACACAGTCAAAACCGTGGCTTCTGCTCGAACCGTCGGAGTTTACACCATTCGCGAAGGGAGGAAGCGACTGATGCCCTGCGACCCGAGCACAGGTCGGGTTATTCGCCCCGCGAGTGGCTGGAAACAATGCACCTACTACCCGCTCATCCCTCCAAGAAGCTCAAGGCCTGGGACTGCACGCTCCCAAGTCCCTCAATCTCAATCTGGACAGACAAGTCTCTCGACATCCGCGGAGTTCTCCCTCAAGCCATTGAGCCCATCGTTCTCTGGTCCGACCGGCTTCACTCCAAGAAACGTTGAGTCCCTTCCCGTCGTCCCGATTGGCCAGGAAACATCTCTGCTTCACGGGACCTACGATGAAGAAGCTGCAGCGCGGGAATTTCAACAAGCAGTGGCTGAATTTCGCGGTGATCGACGAGTGACTCCTAGAGCCGATTATCACAAACCGACTTTTTCTGCCCGATCATCGAAATCAGGAGAAGTCGGGACAGGAGAAGAAATGCCAGCTTTACCGCATGAAGTGCCAATCGAAAAGAAACTAGACGAGCTTGAAAAGATGTTTGAGCAGAAAACGAACATCACTGCCGTTGAAAGGATTTATCTCGAGCAAGCCAGGTCTGCAAGTCGAATGATCGCTGCTTCCCAAGAATTCGGCGAAGAAGAAGCTCCCGAAAATAATGACGATGACGACGATGATGATCGATTCAAGACCGAGGAAGACTACGAGCTGGAAGAGGATCGAAACGAGCTGCGGGAAATGTTGCTTGACTCGATCTCCTCCCACTCGCTCAACGTCGAGAAACCTAAAGAACACCCAGTACTAATCGAAGAAAAAGGCGCAGCGGCTCCTTTAGAAGTCGTCATCGAGAAACAACTGACCCCGAGACCACCATCAGCGCCTAAACCCAGCCAGAATCGTCGAAAACCAAGCCCAAGAGCACTAAAAGTGAGCGACTACGAGCCAATGTGGATGCCAACGCCAGGGGTCAACTTTGACAACGACGTCGAATCGCGAGTTTCAATGGACTCACTTGAAGACAACGACGAGTTACAAGCTATTACAGTCGCTTCTAGCAACACATCCGTCGAAGAAATACATCGGCCAGAGCTCCAATCAAGGTAACTCTACAAAATGTCTTTTCAAAGTCTTATCTTGTTCGTAGATTCGACGAGCAGCTCCTATCACCAGAAGAACGCATCTTCCAAGAAACCGTCCATCAAACAATCTACTCCGACGGGACGGTAGTTAACAACGTGGTCACAGTCGAGCTCTCCCACGATGAATACAATGCTGAGAACGACTACGATTTCGAGCACGACAACGAGTGGCAAGAAGAACTGCTACGTCAGCAGGAACAAGAGCTTTTTGATGCTCATAGTCGACGGTTCTCCGAGCAAATGACTAGTCAGCCAAATGGAGAGCACGAGGCTCCTCGGTAAAGCCTTCATTCGATCCCTTTTTCAACCCTTTTCTAGGCCAGCATCTCGCTCATCTATCTACACAGATGACGATCTCGCTGACAACTTCGACATGACTTCTCAACTAAACGAAATCGAGTCTCGATACCTACCCGACGATGACGACTACTAAACTCAAAAAACTTCAATCAGCCTAACACTATTTTTGTATTCAATTTCGCACAGTTCCATTATTTACTATTTTTGTACCGCCAAAATTTTCTTTTTCTAAAAATCAGTTCATTCCTTTTTGTCTCTTTCAGATTAATATTTATATAAAGCAATGGTCGAGAAAGTTCTTACCGCGAAGGCCGTCGGACGGGAGTTTGTCAGACAGGTACTGTTAATCTTTCCTATTACAGTCTCCCTTTACGAGCTTTGTAGTACTACACCATGTTGAACAAACAGCCGAAATTCCTGCACCGCTTCTACGGAACGAACTCGGAGATGATCCACGGCGATTTCAGCGAGCAGACACCGGTCATTGGCCAGCTCAAGATCCGCGAGCGCTTCCGCGACCTCAAATTCGAGGATTGCTACACCAAGGTCGCCTGCCTCGACGCCTTTCTCACCATTGGCAACGGCATCGTCGTCCAAGTTGTAGGCGAGATCTCAAACAATTGCTCCCCATTGCGACGATTTGCACAGACTTTCGTTCTCGGACCACAAGAGCGACAAGGTAAATTAACCTGACCTAGGCTCGGCAAACTGTGTCAGGAACAGACACAGGAACAGGAAAAAAAATTCTGTCCCATATTTTACACAGGTACACAGGTCAGGAAGCAAAAATATCCTGATTTTAGACAGGTACTCAGACAGGTTTTTTTACATAGCTTATCAAACAGGTTACACGGGTCAGGGCCTGCATGAACAGGTCGGAGCAGGTCAGAAAACAGGAAACAGGCCCTGTGACAGGACAAAAAACAGGGTATTTCTGAGAAAAATTATTACAAAGAAACAAAAAGACGCGAATTTATCGGTTATTTTGATTGTTGAACTCCTTTTACGTCTTTCGCTATTGATTTCTTTAAACATTTTCCCTGACTTATGCGGTTCCTGACCTGGTTACACAGGAACCTGTCTACGGTCAGGACCTGAGCGGGAAACACAGGCCTGTTTAAGACAGGAACAGGGACAGCTAAAGAAAATTTTTTCCCCAATTTTACACAGGTACACAGGACAGGCCCAAATTATTACCCGATTTTACACAGGTACTCAGACAGGTTCCCCAAAAACAGGAAACAGGACCTGTGACAGGTTTTTACACAGCTCAGTTTGCTGAGCCCAGAACCTGACATCCATGTTTTCTCATCAAATTCAATAGGTGTTGAAGCCGGTACCTCGTTCTACATCCACAACGACATCTTCCGATACCAGGATGAAATCTACGAGGAAGTCCAGGCGGAGGATAATGGCGAAGAAGCCCTCGAATCCGTTCAAACTAATGGTGTATCCACTCATGACCTCCAGGCTCACGGCGACGCCCCTGAGCCAGCAAACTTAATCCAGAACAAGTAAACCATTCCATTCAGCTTTTCTCTATCATCTTTTCTAGCTACGCCGAGCCGGTTCTCACTGAAGCCCCCAAGCAAGTTGAAGAGCCGCAGATCGTCGAAGCTGCTCCAGTTACCAACGGATTTGAGCAGTTGTCGGCTGAGCCAGCTGCTCCAGTCGCACCCGAGCCCGTTCCAGAGCCATTTGAGACACCTGTCGTTGAGCCAGAACCAGTTGTTGCCGAGCCTGAGCCAGTCAAAGGTACCAGATCATTATATTTCGCTCTTTTATCGTTTATTTCAGAACCCGAACCAGTCGCACCGGCTCCAGAACCTGTAAAGCCAGTGGAACCAGTCGCTCCTGCTCAGCCAGCAAAACCAGCCGGTCCCATGTCCTGGGCTGCTCGAATGCGAGGCGGTGCCGCTGCTGCTCCAGCTCCTGCACCAGTCCCTGTCCAGGCGCCAAAGCCAGTCGCACCAAAGCCGGTCGAGCCAAAGCCAGAGCCTGTTAAACCGGCAGAGCCAGAACAAGTCGAAACTTCGGAGCAGCGTGATCAAGGCCGACCGCAGTACGATCGATCTCGGTAAGTTTGTGGCTTCTTAGCTCCAAAAACATCATCGGCTTAATTCAATTCTAGATATAATGACAGCTGCCAGATTTTCGTTGGAGCTCTTCCTCGACAAATGACCGAGGAGGACATCAAAAGCGTCTTTGAGCAGTTTGGTGAGGTCCAACACATTCGAATCAACCAGGGCAGCCGGGCAGATGCCAAAAATGGTTTCGGTTTCGTCACTTTCAAATCGGAAGACAGCGTCAAAAATGCTCTTGAAAAGAAAGTAAGCTCGCCCACCACTGTAACGCGTGTATTAACAAATACTTCAAGCACGATATCTCTTGGAACAACTACTCATTGAACATCGAGGAGAAGAAGACCCGCCAGGGTGGCTACCGCGAAGGTGGCGGCCGAGGCGGTTACAGAGGTGGCCGCGGGGGCGGCAACTACAACGGCCCGCGCGAGGGAGGACAGAACAACCGCGGTCCACCACGAGGCGGCCAGCGCGGAGGCGAGTACAACGGGGGCGACGGCGGCTACCGAAACAACCGTGGAGACAACAGAGGCCCACCACGAAACAAACAATATTAAAACAAAAAGAAAGAACGATATTTTTCCTTCCCCGAAAACCTAGATGTTTATTCTAGAGCTAGTCACTATTTTTCCCAATTTTTCAAGTTTCCCTCGCGTAAAAAATATATCTTTTATTGTGTGTAAGTAAAGAATGAATTATCAAGTCAGTTGTCTGCTAGTCACGTGTCGGGGATATTTGTATTGCCTAAAACTGCTCTTTTTCAACTGGAAAGAACTGTAATTATTAAAATGAAAGAAAAGAAATGAGAAGACCTGTTCAAAATTAAAATTTACTTCTCATTTCTGATATCCGACAACCCCAGTTTTGGTAATCCGCGGTTTTGGGCACTAGAACTTTCCTCAAGCGCGTATTCTTTTCTATTCTATATCACATGTACCCGCTTTTTTCTTCGTTTGATGCGTTCACCAATTCACATTTGCCTCCGGGGCATGTTGATCATGGCTCGGGGCGAGTGATTATTTCCGGCGATCAAAGAAGAATATCATTGGCGAGCTTAAAAATATAAATCATTCTAGAGCAATTAAAATAGAACTTCTTCAAAAGACACAACTCCCCTTCCCCTAAAGAGAGATTGCCCCTTTTTTGCTTCGCTCAAGGTTCAAAAGAGAGTTACGTAACAAAACAAAACCACTATCGATATACTATACCTACAGTACCATACTTACAGTCACCTCATCCGTTCATTCTCCTCCCTTCTTAATATTTTCCACCCCCATCCTTCCAAATTCCCGTAACATGCTAGATCACCTGCCATGATTTATAAATTCTATTTTTATTGTACTGATTATTATTATTACAATTAAATTACAAATCCACGTAACCTGAAATGACAGTAACGAATTTATTCATAAAAAAGTGAACAAGTTAAATCCTAAAATGCACACACTTTCACATCTTTATAGGATATTCGAAGAAGAAGCTTCAAAACTTCAGCGAGATTTTTTCGAACGCTTCTTTCTCAAAACAAGTTTAAAGTTACAGTATTGTCCCCTTGAATTCTCAATTATTACATGTACCAAAAAGTAAGACCAACTTTCTCCCACTTTATTTGGAAAAAAGAACTGTTCCACAATAACAATATTTGAAGCTGCCATTCATTACAAAAAAAAACAACAAATCTGCTCACTGAAAGTTTTTATAGCTAAGAATTTTCGGTTTTTGGCTTGTGTTCATTCCTGCAGGATCTAAGATGCATCATTTTCGAATTTGTGGAAGACCCAGTGAGGAAGAAGAGTTCAATCTACCAATAAACTTATTTTAACGACCTTTTCGATGCTCTTTTTCGAGCCCTGGTTTTAAAGTAGTGAATGAGAAGTTAGCAGACTGTCGTTATTTGCAGAGCTCCTCTTCTTTGTGTTTTCTTTATTAGCTCTTCCGAAGCGAGAACGCGAATTGAACTTCAAACATTTTTATATTAGAGAGGTTGAAGATGGTTTTCTGGTTAGGCTCAGCATGGTTCGATCGAGAGCAAAAACATCGACTTGATGGAAAACTCGTAGCAATTACAGGAGCATCGTGCGGAATCGGCCTTTCTACAGCCATCATGTGTGCTCAAAGGTATAGAAACATTGTTTTGTTTTCGTTTTTAAGTCTTTTTAGGGGCGCTTCTTTGCTTCTCCTTTGCCGAAATCAGGAAAAAATGTCAGCTGCAGCCGAAGAAATCCGCCAAAAATCTCCTGGGGCTAAAATTCTCGAGTTTCAGCTCGATCTTGCAGACACCAAAACTGTTTCCAGAGCGATCAAAGACATAAAAGATCGGAAAATAATGATCGACGTTCTTGTTCTCAACGCGGGACTATACTATTACGACAAGACGGAATGCCTGTACAATATCAACTCGGTTCAAGTGGTCAATCACTACAGCCATTTTTATTTGCTCAATGAGTTGCTTGGAAATTTAAAGGTTTGAAATTTAAATAGTAGTTAATATCTATAATTACTTTTAAGGGAACAGAGGATGATCCAGCTCGGGTCGTAGCTCTTTCGAGCATGGCACACATGGGTGCAACTGGGGACGGAAAATTCTGGAAAACTTATTCTTCTCCTGAAGAACTAACGGCGACCTTGGGAACGAGTATTCACAAAATCGGAATGCAAGCGTATTGCGAGTCTAAATTGGCAAATATTTTGCACATGCGCGAAATGGCAAAGAGACATCCTTCCATCAAATTCATGTCCGTTCATCCTGGCGTGGTGAATTCGAGTTTTGCGGACAAGATCATTGAGACTGATGGAGCGACGGATACCTGGTTTGGTTGGTTGATGAGCTCTAGGTTTTGTAAATGGCTTTTCCCTCTGTTGATAAAATCTTCTGATCAAGGTTTGTTATTAAGTTTAATCTGCTAAAGAATTACATCTTCTCAGGTGCTCAAACTTCGATGTACTGTATCTGCTCTCCAGACGCGGAATCCTGGCATTACTACAAAGAATGCGCCCAAGCTCAAGTCAAAATCAAAGGTTCGAAGAACATCAACGAAGCTCAAGATGAACTGTGGAATCTGTCAATGAAATTTATTTCCGACAACTGTAGACATTAAAATGTGCAATAAAGGTTCATAATGAACTTCATTCTCAAAGAAACAGTTTCATCAGTCTTATCGAAATTATTCAAAATTGACTGAGAAAGAGAACTATTCATCAATTATTCTTATTCAGCTTGAATTGAAAGCCTTTTTTCCGCTCGAAAAGACATTCTTTTCGAAAATAAGATTTTCGGAGGTACTTTCCTCACGGATAGAAAAAAAAAATGAAGATTTTACAATTTTCCGCTCTCGCTATTTTACTATCTTCCTCGCTTTGCCTCTATTTCATAGGCATGCTAAAACCGATAGAGACCCATGATGAGCAATTGAAAATTATCAGCGACGATCTTGAAGACTTTTCGAAAGAGAAAGCAATTATTAGATTCATTGAGAGTCAAAAAGTGTGTCAGGTAAAAATTTGAAGCAAAGAACTCTTTACCATGCAGAAAATTAAGACCGTCATCTCCTACAAACCGGAATTCTTCTCCATAGCGGACAGGCTGTGCACCGAAATTAACGGGACTATTGCAGGTGATTTCATCATTGAATAAAACTTTATTAACATCTGAAATTAGACGCTCCTTTCGAAGTTGGGTTAAAATCGAGAAAATTGCCAGCAGAAGCGTTCTCAGTTAAATGCTTCTGGACGACTGGGAATGTCACGAAGAATGGAGAATACGTTGGTCCAGGTTTTCAGGGAGTCCATATTCTTTGATTTGATTGCTTTTTAGCTATTTATGAAAATGCAGCGCTAGACAAATTCGACGAAATAAAACGATTCGTTGAAGAAGAACTGAATGTTCTTGGCTTTGTGACTGGCGACTTGTGCTTATCTAAACCAGTAAGTTCGTTTCTTTTCTCGAAAGGCGAGGAAGATCAAATGTCTGCAAACTTCTTCTGCGAGAATACCCTCTTTGACAACGATGGAAGACTTGTAATGTTCCATGGAAAGCCCGATTTCTGCGAACATCTTCAATTGAACAAGAGTTTTATTCTTGAGCATCATCTCTTCGACTCGGATTTTCTCGGGGAAAGCTTTGTGATCGTCAATTTGCACGAGCCCAATCAAAGCTGGATTCCGTTTTGGAGCAATTTTAAAAGTGGCTGGAAAGCAAACGAAAATGTGGATGGCTCAGAAATGCCGTTTTGTTTGGAAGAACCGGAGGCTTATCATGTCCAGTATTGTCTTCCGGAAGGCGAAAGTGGAAGATGGAGTGTCCAGATGACGACTTCAAAGACGCAAACGTAAGTTTTAAGGTTCGTTTCTCAGCTAATCGTGCCGAAATGATATTTCAGGGCTTCAACAGTCTGTGTCAACTCTGATTTAACTGCTCCATGCGAGTGATGCTTGTTTCTCTCTTTTATGAAAAATTTATGTATTAAAAGCTCTTAATTTACAAAATATCTCTATCAGTTTTTCAACAAGTGGTATAAAACAGAACATAAGCCTTTTCCGACAGGACCGATTCTAGAGCTGAAACCTTCTCGTCCGAAATTGAGAACCAACTTCCATTGTCTTTGACTGAGGCGACGTAGTGGCCACTGGAGGTAGATTTGCCCTCGTGATTGATGACGGAGGAGAGTTGGAATTTTGAGGAGTCAAGGAGGAGAGGGGACGAAACAGGGAATTTTATCAAGGAGCTGTCTTTCGATTTGGACGAAAATCGCTTGAGGTGCAAAAGAAGAACTTTCGGTATTCTCGAAATTCTTAAAAATATCATTATTACCGTGAACTTCACGGTGTGAAGGAAAAATGATTGCAAACCTGAGGGTCTTGGTCATATCGCATTTTTTCTGGCAAGCGTCGCAGAAAGGCTGGTCTTCGTCAGAAAGCGTCTCGCTCTTTTGAAACTCCTCGATGCATTCTTCAATCGAGCTGCTTCCAGAAATCGGGAGCGAGATATTCCAAAATGACTCCCAATTCTAAACGGCTTAATGTTTCTGCTTAAGGATTGATTTCTCACCTTCGTTGACTCTTGACAAGAAAGACAAGTGAGCGTTGATTCCGCCTGACCGACAAAAAGAGATGTAAGGAACGAGTTTTCTTCAGAAATGTATTGATTCCACGCTTCTTCTGATGTTTTTGGAGAATTTTCTGACTCGGTAAAGCCGGTTGATTTCTCCAAATCGAGGTGAAGTCCGTCTAAAATTCATTAAACTAAAGATAATTGATGAAAGATATCTTACCAATGAGGGTCAACAGAAACTCTTCCGCGTCTTCCTGCTCATCGTCCTCAAACATTCCCGAAAACTCAGCAACTGCTTCTTTCAAATCTTCCACCGAGATGTTCTTTTCCAAATTTTTCATCTTTCCGAAGATTTCTGCCGTCAGTTCCGCAATTTCTCCATCAGCGGGAGAAGTTTCGTTCAGATGTTTTTTGTACTCGCCCGAAAGAAGAAATTCTCGAAGAGGTTCTATTTGATAAAGGCATTGGAGAGCGACAGAGATGTAGCATGTATTTCCGCTGTTTTTGATTCCAATGAGATTTTTTGTCAAATCAGGAGGGGAGACTTTTGCAGGAGCAGATTTTGCTTTCAAAGCTTTTCTACTAGAATTTTGTTTTATCTTATTTATATAAGCGCTATTCTTCATAATTTTGGTTATGAGCTTAAAAGCCATTCCTTGGTCGGAAATCGGTGTCGCCTCAGATTTGGACCTCTCCGGCGCCGATTGATCCTCAAGTCCGACGTTTGCACCGAATATCTTTGCCATTGCTGTAACAGAGCACTTTGGCGGCACATAGACTTCCTTCGTCCCAAATGGATTTTCAGGATTTTGATAGACGACGTTTTCGCTTTTTACTGGCGCAACTGGCGTTGATTTGATGACTTCAGGTTTTGCTTGCTTCGGTTTGACCGGAGCTACTTCGATTTTTCGCGGGACGCTGGTAGCGCGTGGTTTCGGCTTGAGCTTTCCTGCTACTTCGAGGACAGCGGCGTGCTCGATTTCTGTTCGGGGCTTGAAATTGACGGCGTCAGTGTTTCCAGGTTCGGTGGCGTTTTTTCGCGCTTGCAGTTTCGCCATAAACGCTCGCTCATCTGAAAAGGATCAAGAATGAAATGTTCATTGCTATTGAATTATTTACCTGCATCTTTTCTTTGAGCTAATTGTGTAGCATTCAATTTAGGCTTGGCTACAACTTTTAGAGCTTGGACTGGTTCTGGTTCATGCGATGACGGAGGGACTTGATAGGAGCTGGGTATAGTCGAAAGACTGTCTAAGCTGTTATTTACGGGTTTCCGGCTAAGCGGTTGCGGCTTTGCCGGTGGTTGCGCAACTGTGATTGTTCTGGTTGGCTTTAGCTCTTGCTTTGGTTTGATGGCCTTTTCACCAGTGGCTTGAGTAGTTTTGGCTGATTTGGAGCTTGAATCTTTCGACTTCGACTTTTGACTTTTCTTTGAGCGTGATTTTTCAGACGCGGATTTATCGGAACCAGAAATTTCGATAACTCTGTTTTCTGATTCTTTCACCTTCTTTGACTTTTTCTTTTCATCCTTTTTGATTGGCCCAGCAGCGGCGGAAATTTTCTGCTCTTTTCTTTTTATTTCGTTTGATTCCTCCTGACTTCTTATTCGTTCCCATCGATCCTCGCCGCTAGATGTCGATCGAGAGAGCGCATCGAGTGTATTCCGCAACACATCGTTCATGTCAAACAAATCCTTCGCGCTCACAGTTGAGCTGTTGCTCGCGGTCGAGTTCGAAGCAGAAGATACAGTTGATGAACTGATGGACGAGACCCGTTTCGGTTTTTGAAGCGTTTTTGGGGGAATCTTCTGCTCGCTGGTGGATCTTCTCGTTGACTTACTTGAAGCTTGAGTTTTTGAGCTTTTGGGTTTTGAACTTTGTCGTCTCCCGGAAGAGTCGAATTGTTTCAGAGGGCCGTCGTAGAAGATTTCATATGAAGATGGAGTTCTTTATTTTTGGTAAGCAACATTCTTCTTGTAGTTAGAAAATAATGTTTTTAGAAAAATCTATGTTATATGCGCAGATTCGTTATGTTAAATAGCAATGAATCATTGCGTAACCATAACTGTCCGCACGTTTTGATATGTTTTGGTAAACGGGCTCGTCAGTGGAAAAGTGGAGCTGAGAGTTGAACTGCCCTAAAAATTGCGCTGTCAGTTTGTTGTTGGTTGCATCAGAGAGGTTGGAAGGTCGAAGGTTGGAGTTTTTAGTTAGGCTTTGAAAGGGGATTAAATCGAAAGGTACGTTACCGGAAGGGCGAAACAGCTTAGTCGCGTTTAGTAGGTTCCCAGAGTCGGGTAAGTTCCCTGGGTAGGAATCGTTTCGTGGCACTGGAGCAGCGATTGTGACAGAATTCGCGTTGATGTAGTAGGCTGCTGCAGGAGGAGGAGCACCAGAAGGTTGGGATATCGAGCGCTGAAGGAAGGAGTTTTCCTCGAAAATTGGGTCGCGTGAGTAGGTTGTAGCATTATGCGAGTAAGTACGGTATGTATGCTCTGCCTTAATTTAAGAGTAAAAGATTAGTATTTGATGTATTTTCGATAGTGTTAAAGATGAAGAAACCATTATTTCAATTTGTCTCTGATAAAACTTACGAAAGATGAAGAGGAATCTACAAGCATTCTACTGTCCTTTTTCTTATTTCGCGGAGGTATTTTCACGTCGATTACTTTTCTCTCTCTCATTTTGGTTCTTTCTTGTTTCTCAATTAGGCAACACGTTTTCTGATTATTGTCTTCTGAGTGGAGAAAAATAAAGCTTACTCGTGGTTTCGTTTATGCTTTTAGCTTCTTTCGGTGGTGGCGCGGCGCGCGCGTTTGGTGGCGCGGTTTCCTCGCGGTTTTCCGTCTTCAAAAACAAAACAAAACCAAATATTACAATTAGCACCATGAGCTGCTGAATTTTCTCGCCACATATGATTGACTTCATTATCGTTTCGTTGCTTTGCCGAAATAAAACGTTCTGAATAGACCCGAAATAAGACCTTAGAATGAAAATTTTTCTGAAAAATTTTTATTGTAAAAGGCGAGATTTTTAGGCAGGAACGGCACGGCAATGCGTAAAAATAGACTGTTTTCAGTTAAAATTATTCAAGGAGGCTTCGAAACAAGTGTAGCTTGTGACCCACTGCTGTTGGGTCAATGGCATATGCTGGCGTTATTGGTTTAAACATCCGCGAACCATAATTTACTCAATTTTATTACGCAAACATCTAAAAACTTGAACGAAGGACCAACCGTGAAGAAGATGTCAATTTTGAAAGGGCTTAATAAATTATTAATAATAATATTGTAGCGATGCCAGCTTGTACCCCTTAGTACCCACTTGGTAAAAGCGGCATTAAAATGCCATCTTTTATCAAAAAAGATGGAGAAAAACAAATTATTGATCATCAGTCAATTTTCTATTGACCGTACGGAATGGTGTAATCTTGATCGCCATTTCTGATCTTTTGGAGAATGACTACGGCATTTCCGTCAAACATGAAATTGAAAATTGCATCGTGGACTCTGACCATCCACAATATTCTAATTCGATAATTCTTCCTTTGAGTTTTGTAATCATAATAAATTTCAGATTTGTCGAACATCGTTTATACCATTTTTCACGTTTCGTTTATACCCATACACGTGGCTCTGAGCTTTCCTGACTTTAATAAATAGCCGTCACAACAGTTGAATCTATTATGATCTGTATAAGAAAGAAGAGTTCTAAAATGAATCTCCCCTAACACGAATTTAAAAGTAAAACACCAAGAAGTGGGCTTATATTCCCATCATCTTTTATTCTGCGTAAGTTTTGTTGCTCAAACTGCCCAGTTATTAAGATTCGTTTGCGTTTGCAAATCCATTAATCTAAGGCGTCATATTCAAACATTAGATTTCCTCCGCTTCTCCTGTCTGCCTCAGTAGTTATCTCTCCTCAAATGGACCAGAGACTTGCTTTAGTAAATTTTCTCCGCCCCAGAAATGGAGCGTCAATGTTCAATGCTCATCCTAAAATCCAACCGGTTGTGAGAAGACAAGAAGAAAAGCAAGAAATAACTCATTTTGATAAGCCGCTCGAAGAACTGAGAGATCTTTTGAATCAACAAGGAGCAGAGGCGAAATATTTCGCAGAAGAGCTTTGCGAGGGTTTCTTCCGAGTTCGATGCAAGATCGTAAAGTTGAACGTCATCGAGGATGCATTTTCCGACACCAAGCAGGAAGCAATGGAAAAAGTCGCGACATCACTTTTGAGATTGTTTATAACCTGTTTCTCCAAGCGAATTACACCCACGATTCTCCGGATATTAGCGAAAGCACGCATTACTTGATGAAAACTGTCCCTTCGAATCGAATGAGGCCAATTTTTCTACCTGATACTGACGCGAAATCCTGCTTCAACCTTCTTCGGTAAGGCCAAAACGAGAGAAATCGAGGGAGTGACCGCCTAAGCGTGAGTACCTACAGTAAGAAAAAGTGCGGAAAAGTCGCTAGATATGGCGCACCAGAGTTGTTACGCGAAGGCGGCCGGGTGTATCTAGCGAAAATTCTGTCGATTGGAACCTTCTGGAAGCGAAGAAACGCGCTAACGCGACGGCGACTCTCTTGCGCCGTATTTAGAGACTCTTTCAAAATTTTTCAGTACCGTAGGTATTCATGATTACCGACAAATATTCCGATTTTCGCAAATTAATTTTAGGCAAAATACGAATGATTTCCTCGGCAAACTTGTTGGATTCGATATTGACGATTTTCAACGATCCGGTGGAAGTCATAATCCAATGTTTTATTTGCACGGCACTCTGGTCTTTCAAACCGTCGTCAAACACAAAGGATTTCGAAAGAAAATCCCGGTTTTCATCACTGAGGGCGCTATTGGTAAGTTTCTTCAACTGATCTTCCCAAATGTTCTTTTAGGGGGGAATAAGAAAACAACGACGAATCGAGCGTACGCTCGGATGCTCAATAAGATGGTCCGACTGATGAAAAACCTTGAATTGGAAAATTTCGACCCGACTCCTGAAAATGACCCGACACTCGAAATCGGTATGACCGAGATCGTCCCAGCCCTACCAGCTGCTGGAGAAAAAGATGAAGAGGAGGATGAGCCGAAGTTGACCAAGAAAGAGTGGATGGCACTGATGAACAAATCGTCTGAGTCTTCTGAGCCAAAAGCAAAGGAGGCAAAGAAAATAGAAGAATCCCCAAAAGTTCCAATAATCGAAGCGGCGATGACAGAGATGGGAGACAGCGATCTCTATTCAGGTTTTTCCTGAAAGCATTTTATCAATTTATAAGTCTTTCAGACATAATTGAGGCATATCCCGATGATTTCACTCTTCTCCGCGACGATTTTCCTCCTCTGACTCCGATCACAAAACCAACTGCACAGAAAAACGCAAATAAACCGATACCTGCGCAAGAATCTCCAACGAAACCGAAAACACCGGAACTCGCTTCACAAGCAAAAGAAGAAAAAAGTGACAGAGAAAAAGCACTTGAAGATAAAATTGACCGGTTAGAGAATCTCGTCCTGAAACTTCTTGAAGACAAAACGAAGAGCAAGAAGAAATCAAAGAAACGGAAAGAAGAAAGTAGCTCTTCAGAGGCGAGTTCTGAAGACTCCGACTTGTGATTTCTCACCAATAAAAATGATTATCACCAAAATAAGCTTGATGTTAAAAATTTGAAAGTTAAATTAAGGGATGTGGGACCTCAAAGATGGCAAAATTAACAAAAAATAAAGAGGAGTGCCTTTGCAAAGCAGGAGAAAACAAAGACAATGATCTCAAAAAGCCAGTCAAAGCTATCTTTATCTATGAGAAATAAAAAGAATCTGGCATGAGTTGATGAGTTTTGTTGTAGTCGAATGTAATCAGTAGATCATAAGCACGAATAACTTGATGCGGAGCGGACTGAGAAGCGCTTAGCTGCACGAAGTCTTTGATCGCTTCGGCTGGACTGTCTTTCAGAGGCAGAAAAAAGACAAACTGATTTGATAGAAAAGAGAAACGAGACACATGAAAACTTGCTTTTTAGTTTTGGAAGGGCTTTCAAAGTTAAATTGTGACTCATCAAATCTGAATTATAGTTGATAATAAAGCGAATTTATTTAAAAGCCCTCAGTGCCATGTATTTACCGTCACAAGATGCCACTATGGATACCTTCATCCTCCTGGCTCTCTTGTGAACTCGATGACGCCAGCTGTTGTCCGACATATAAACGAATATATTGGTATGTTCCCGATCAACAATTATTAAGTTTTCTCAAAGATCAAATCTACAATTATGACTTTCAATCGGATCCGCTTAATGTGAAGAACTCAAAACACAACAAAATCGACTGGAACTCGGTGATCAAAAGGGGAGGACTTTTTAAATCAGCACCGGAGTCGATCGAAAGTACAATCAATGAAAAATTTTGAAAGCCTCATCAATTTTTAAGCATTCATAATAAATTGCAGTCAAAGTTTGGATCAAATATATAATGTTTTATTAATAATGAGCTTTGTAAAAGTGAATATAAATATTTCAGGAAGGAAAAATGTTGCTGATTGATCTTTTAGAAAATCATTATCCCTCAAAAAATTAAACCTGTTTCATTTTTTGCTTTATAAATATTTTCCCAAAAGATTAATCAAATGATTTGATTCAAATCATTGAACTAAATAATTTGTTACATAATGTCGACCTCTTCAACTGTCGTAGTACAGGAAGGATCACCGGCTGCAACTATTTGACCGTTACAGCAAGATTGGGAGTCGAGGAGAAAGTATCGAAGATTGCCATTTGAAAGTTGGCAACATCCGTGCTGAGCGGAAGCGATCGGTTTTGAGCCACAGCATTGGTCCGGCTAGATTTTTTTGAAAGAAAAAATGGAAATGAAGGATTTACCTTGACCCAGAGTGGATTTGGTTGACTTGGAATATTTTTATTTCCGCCCAAACAGCTTGAACTGGCGAGGACTTCGTTCAATTCTCCCGAGATTTGAGTGTCAATATCACTGATGAGATTGTCCACATTGCCTGTATTCACAGTCACATCAGCAGTGACAGTAATTGCATCAACAACCATTTGTTTGATTTCAGCCGCAGTGACTCCAGCTAGAATTAAACAAGTAAGCTAAATATAAAATTATTGATTGAAAAATTGTAAAAAAATAAAGAAGCACGCTACAAATAAATGCAGATTCACAAAAGAAAAAGCATAACAATCGGAGTCTTACTTTGATGATATGGCCTTATCGGGAGGACTGAAACATTTAAGATATTTTTTAAAGATATTGTTTTTTTGAATATCTCAAATATCAGAGTGATTTTTTAAGAATATTTTTAATATTCAAGGCTTTAAGTTAAAGCCTTTAACAGAAAGTTCTCGTAACTCACATGCATCAACGCCGACGGTGAAATCGATCGAATCGATGTCGGAGTTTAGCGCATCGGTCGCGACGGCGATGTCATTCAGGGCGGTGGTGATGTCGGCGAAGTTGTTGAAGGAAGATGTATCCATCCAAACTCCGAGTTCATCCAAAAGGTCACTGAATGAGATCTTGAGGTGTGTTAAAAAAAAGACTGTACATGAAATCAGGACCAGTAGGTGTTGTAACAGCTCGGCGCATTCTCGAGATATCGTCAGCTTCTCTTCTGACGATTCGGCGGACTCCATCGATATGCATTGAGTTCTAAGAATAGATAATATGTGTTCAAAGTGAGAGAAACTCACGGGTAAGGAGAGATTGTCGTTGATCTGCATGGCGACGGCGAATTTCAGAAGAACGAGCCAAAGAAGCTGCCCAAGAGTCGTTAATTTAGTGACGTCGATTCCGGCCAGAAGGGAGAATGGGGTGCTTCAAAATAGTTTTGATTTCTTTAATAGAGAAAGAGTACTCACTTGCCAAGAGCGTCGAGAGAAATGCTCACAGCATTGATTTGAACGAATGTGTTTGTAACCTTTACTTTGATATCAAAAAGACACAGTTTCTTGCTGACTTATGGCATGAATCGTTTTTGAGACCATTCCTGTTTGCATCGATAGGTTTCGGATGTTCTTGGATTAATTGGCGTCGACCACGAAGTGTAATATTGATCAGCTTCGTAAATGCACTGTGCTGGGAACTTCTTGTTGCCTGAAATTTTTGTTTTTTTATTTTCAATCACAATATCATTACCAGAAGCGTCGATGGCAAATCCATCATAGCAGGAGGCAATCGCTTCCCAAAAGAAGCCTAAGGAAGAGGAGGAAGCGACGGTTTTGTAGACGAGCTCGGTTTGATACTGCTCGTTGTAGTCGTTCTTGTACTCGCCGCACTCGGAGAAACTGGCCGAATGGGTGCAGGAAAGAAAGTCAACCAAGCTGAATTATGATTTGAAAACAGAAGATGAAGAAAGAGTTACCTGAAGAGATATTGCTCGTTTCCGCCATCAGTTGCATCACTGATTGTTGAGAGACAGAGTGCTAGAATTTAAGTTCATTCGTCTAATATTATGATTTAAATAAGATTCATTTAAATATTTAAAGCTATAGCTTTCTAAATAGAAACAATTGTCAACAACACGGGAGACATTGATTTCCTCTATGACTAAGACTATTTGTAAATTAACCGGTTTCTTGTTCGCTCAAAAAAATTCTAAAAGATCAAAAGAAAGAGCGAGTTATGGTCTTTACTAAAATTTTATTATTATGAAACTTACCGTCGCGGCCTTTATGGGTCAAAATTCCTGCATAAGCATCTGCTCCGTTATTTCCTTGCGCCGTTGAAAAATCAGGAGTTGTTGAGTCATAACTCAGTAAAGCAAAATGCAATCCTCCGTTGGATGTCAACACCAATTGAGAGCTTCCAGGAGTTCCAGTTCCGCCAGTAGCGCTATCCCAAGTGACGACCAAGTTGTAGGAAGAGGCATAAGTGGGGTAGGAAGAGTGAGTCTGTACAAAAGCATCGACAGCTGACTTTAAATGAGTTTTTTAAAGATGAAATCATAACGGCAATTACGATCTCGACGCTTCTGATTTTATGGGTTGCGTTTATTTTTCCGCAGAAAGTTGTAAATTTGACCCTACCACGTCACATTCTCATGACTATCTGAAACGCTCTATCGACTAGACTTGATTCAAGAACGAAAATGAAAGCTTCTCAAGGTGTAAAGGCAATATTTCATTTTGAAAACTCATTCCTTTGATGCAGTAGATAGGGTCTGATCGTAATACGTCGTCACAGATGCAAAATCGCCAAGATACGGGCCGATGACGATTTTATGAGGGTCACTCGGCTGCAAAGTCTGACTTCCTCGTCATCAAGGTTCATAAATTTACATGTCTTATTGCCTTCTGTTGGGTAAAAGGGGCCTTTATGAACCTTTCCTGCGTTGATATTCAAAAATTCCTTGTCGAAACTCACTGATCCGGCTTCGTTGACGTAAACATTTGTGAATTCTCTTGTACCAAACAACTCCAAAGGCGTTGAAAGAGTAACATCAGCAAAGGCAGAGGAGAGCTGTGTTCCCGTGTTAAAATCGGAAACAAGCAGCGTGCCTTGGGCCGCTTGTGCCAAGGCCGCTGTAAGAAGCTTCATTTTCGGTGACTTTGAGAGGCTTAAAATTGTCGAATTTATGTTTTGATTGGATTAAAAAAAAAACGGAACTTAATAATCAAAAAGAACCATAAAGTGGTTTTCTTAATTTCACTTTTAGTTTTTCAGTATTCTTAATCTGCGATGATGAATATAAAATGATTGTAAATCCTTTCAATAAATGATCTTCTTCCGAAATTCTTGACCTCTTCCCTATTTCAAAGTTTGATTTCTCTCTCCCTCTCTTCCTTTCGCTTTTGTTTCTTTTCTGTCTCTTGTCTCGCAGGTAAAAATGATCAAGAGCTCGGAGTTGCTCTCTGCTACGCAGGTCGTAATCTCATATAATTACGCTAGGTCACAATCAGTCTCCATACAACTCATTAAACCAGCGCCAATTTTGACCATTTTCTGTTAACCAGAAGCTTTAATTAGGGAATTAAGATGTTTTTCCGAAGCTTTTCCGGTGTGAAAATTGATACTCGTTCTCAGAGCGAAGTCGTTATTTTTGACTCTAAAGTTGACATTAAGATTCTTGCCCGACAAAATGGAATTTATAAATAAAAATTTATGTTTGATTTTCTATTAATCTAAGATAGACTTCCCTTATACACTTTCTTTTGATGATAAATCGGATTTAACAGCTTAGGCGGCCAAATTGACATGAAAAAAATTAACTAAGATAACAATAATTGCGGTTGGATTCATAGCAATCGAAAATTCCTAAGTCTTAATGTCCATTTTGCAATTTAATCATCATAAATATTGGGCAACAAGGGAGTTTTACTTTACAATGCGGTGGTTTTACAATTTTAAAATGATGATCAGGCAGTATATCCAAAGTTTTGAGTTGCTGATGAGCTCGTTTGGTACGCATCGTTGAAAAGTTCTGTCGATTCTTTCGAAAAAGAGGCTTGGATATCCGCAGAGTAGCCAGTGTTGACGACAATTTCGTGCTCACTAGAATATTTGATTTGGACTTATGACCATGAAATATGAAACTTATGAAGCAAGGACCATAATTTTGTTTTCCTTACCCATATCCGCCAACAGGCAATTTTCCAGACGCACCACTCTCTTGTTGGTCTCTCCGACAATCTGAAGAGAGATGCAAGTTCTTCAAAAACTCCTCATTAGCAACTCCTTTTCGAATCTGAACAAGGACATTCGCATAGTGTTTGAAATTCCTTCTCTTCTTCCTGTCATACGCCCAGCATTCCGTCAACGTATGCCAAGTCATGTTCAAATAATCGTCTCCATTTAGGATTTCCGGGCGATATGGGATTGCTCGACGGATTGCAACCTTTTCCCGAAGCTCTAGAATTGTCGGATCAAAAAAGAATCTCTTTTAGGGGAGTACCTTCGAGGCCGGAAACAGAATATGGAGCACAACCCCTAGTAATCGTCTGCCACATGAGAATTCCAAAGGCCCAGATGTCCGAGTAAGTCGAGAACTCCAAGTCTGTCAAAACTTCCGGCGAGCGATTTTCAACTGGAAGAGCTCTCTTTGTCTCGGCAGTGTAGTAAGCCGTCTGAAACTCCTTCTCTGAATATTTCGCCAATCCAAAGTCGGTGATTTTCGGTCGGAATCGCTCGTCAAGAAGAACGTTTCGTAGAGCGATGTCTCGGTGAATGATGCTTCGCTGGGCGAGATAGTCGAGGGCATCTGCGCAGTTGATGAGGATTTCTAGAGCTGACAGAAAGCGTAAAGGAGCTGGGGACTTGACGAGCGATTCGAGTGTGCCATTCGAACAGTAGGGGAGAATGATGATCGGGTGGTAGAATTTGTCCACAGAAACAGCTGTGATTGACTTATCATGGATACGATTCTGTTTGTCACAAAAAAAACAAGATATTGCAGCTAACATGTTACATGTGTGTATATCATCTTATCCGTTCCAAAACATGCTCATGCTCAAAAGTGCACATGAGTCCGGCTTCCATCAGCAGCTCGTTAACACTCGGGCAGTTCATCCCTTTTCCCTCGCAGCAAGTTTTATGAAGCGATTTTACCGCGACTTTGATCTTCTTCGATCCGCCATCAGTTCCAACGATATCGAGCGTTCCGCACGTGACCTTTCCATAATGACCTTTGCCAAGAATTTCCTCCTGGTTGTTTTCAAGTTGATCTGAAACCTTGGTTACGGGCTACTTTAGGGTTTGCATTACCAATTTTGACGAACTTATCAACAAGCGCGTCGCTGAATTTTTCGTTCAAATTGCTCGGCAAAATTTGGCGAAAATACTTGCTGTTCATTCCGAAAGCATATCTGATCTTCTTCGCCGCCAATTTCGTAACAATCACAAGAAGAACAACTGTTATCAAGGAAAGAACAGCGATGATGAACAATGCCCAGGGATTATTCGCCACTTCTTCGGGTGGAATTACTGGGACTTCCTCGACTAGCCTTTCAGAGAAGCATTTTGGAAATTTTTCAAACATCAATGGTATTTTTGCCTGCTCATTTTCGTTGGACTCAATTTTGTACCAAGAATTGACAGTGTTGGGAAACTCAGCTGCTAGATCATTTGTCTGCTCTAGAATTTCCCCATCTTTGTTGATCAATGTCCAATGTAGCGTGTTTTCATGTCTTTTTAAAACATGATTGTCGTTTTCCGACCACCAGACTCCTGCTTCGTCTTTGGACAAGGCAAGCCAAAGACTGTCGATTTTAATAAATGGGCAATGCTTAAAATAAGGCCTTGGCCGAGTCAAATTGGTGAAAAATCGACCTCCAAGGAAGCTATCATTAGTGAGGCAAGGTGTTGTTTGCGCGAGCCCGTTTTCATCGAAAAATGTTACCATGTCTGGACATTGGCCTTCAAATTTAGCCTGCAGGGTTGTTGAGTTTCCAAGCATGCCCCACTGATCATAAGTTACTTCGAACTTCCAGAGATTATTTTCAAGGTAAATTCTTGATTGAATATGCTCATCGTTAAATGTCGACCAGGTGTTGGTTCCGTTGATCTGTCCCATGACAATCGGCATATCAGGAAAAGCCCAAAAGAAGCAGCTCTTCGGGCACTCTCGGTCCGGAGAATCAATTTGGTGAAAAGGAAGGCCAATCGAGTACTTTTCATTTGAATTTTCCATGCATGACTCGGTCTTATTGTAGACGAAATCAAGGTCACCAACGCACCAGTTAAGTGATTCCGCCTCAGCTGTTGCCACTCTGCAGCGTCTGTTCTTCTCTCCCTTGAAGATAGACACGATTCCTGGCTCGTTGATTGGATCCTCCGAGATTTCCAACACATCACCTTTGTACCTCGAAACGTCTGTCAAGAATGACGATATCATTAATGTCTCATTTCCAAAAGAGACACTCGATGGGCAAATTCGCTTGTTGAAGGTCGAAATGTCTGGCAGACAGCGAGAATAGACGTTGAAAAGTCTTTGATACTCATGTTCTTCTACATCTTCTTTTCCGTCAAGTTTTTTCAGGAAAAACGCTGAGCATCCTCGAAAGATGCTCATGTCTTTATTGCTCCAGTAATGGTAACTTGACCAGAATTTAACTCTTCTCCCGTCAAAATTGACATCTGGACAGGTAAATGTTTCACAAGCATTATGCCAGTCAAACGAATCGTTTTCGCGCTCCTTGACGATGTCCTTTTCAAAGAGCGGCTTCTCGCAGCCCATGGAATCGCAAACACCGAACGAGTTCCTAAGCTGGCTCGGGCACTTGGCTAAGCCATATGATCGCGAGTAAATAAGACGACTTCCACTCTCTGACTGTTCTTTATACAACGTCCATCTATCGTCCCACAAGTTGCTCAGCGTATCACGCTCAAATATCAGTTTTTCTGTTGAAGACCTGAATAAATATTTGAAAGAGATAAGTCTGAGTTTCTGAATTTACTCGATGCATGTCCATTTGTTGGTATAGTCAGTTCGGGTCATGAAGATTTGTTTAGTTTCGTGCGTGTTCTTCTTAAAGGGGTACCTTTAAATGTCTTGTATTTGCTAGAAGAACCATTGCCATACCGAAAAATGTTGCAGTTTTCTTTCTCACAGGAAGGGAGCTGATTTTTTTGGGGCGAAAATTCACTGACTGTGCCAAAATTATTATCGGAGAAGTACTCAAGATTCGAATCAATCTCAAGCCCACTGATTTTACCCGTGTCCGGATGGAAGTCTTTTAGCAGCCACTCGTAGCTGCAGAATCCAGCATATTGGCGGTAAATTTGGTCGTCTTTCGTTTGCCACAGCATCCAGTTGTTTTCGAGGCAATAGGAGTCCCACTCGCTGGTGATAAAGGAGTAGTACTCATCGAATACTTTGATCTCGTAGTGTAGAGCTTCTCTGTTGATGGTAGCTTTTTGAATGGAGTCACCAGGGCTGTCCGATGAAGGAATTGTCATTGGCAGAACTTGATCGGGCAAAGACGAGTGACACGGGCGGACTTTACTGCAAGAAATCGACATATCAGGTCCACGGACGTTGAAGAATTTCGATTTTCCGCAAGGGCAGATTTCATCTCGAAAGCATTCACAGTGAACTTTCCAGGGAGAAAGTTTCTCAGGGCAGAACTGATCGGTTAATGGAGAATGAGCCGAAAGAAAATCATCCTTTTTCAGGGTTTTAAAACTTTGGGACTATTTTTGGAAAAATTTTTTCAATAAATTTGATCAATTTTTCTAAGTTTTAAAACCAATTTCTTGATGACTTTCCAGTTTGTCTCCTTACTATCGTAAAAAATCAAATCTGTACTGGAGGCGGTTCCATTCTCTAAGAGGTTGACGTAGAAGAACGAGATGTCTTTTAATCTGATGAAGGGGACTGCCAAATACGGGAATTCATACTTTTCAGTCAGGAAACCGCTATTTATCGACCACTTGAGCCCGCCAAAATAAAGCCTAAAATTTATAAGAAAATTTCATCATCAAAGAATTACTTTTCTGGGCAGTTTTGGAACCAAATATCTTGAGGTGGTTTCTCTCTCTTTTTTCTCATGATTTTCTGCTTTCTCAAGACTGTTTTCATGTTTTTTGACTTCTATGGAATTTTGGTGCTATCAACTATTTGCGCTCTTGCTTGTCAAGCTGCCCGAGGATTACATTGATCGATTCCGTTCTCAAGAACCGAAAGTATTTATAACGAAACGTAATTGTCTTGATTTTCCAAGACGTCTCTTGACCAAAAGTGAGAGGGCTGCTCTTCTTCTTCCGAGCTTGGATACAAGCAAACGCTACCGTGGATTACGAAGTGTTATTTTCTGATAGTTCTGATCTTCTGATAAGCCCACTGGTATTTCAAAATTCACACCAAAAAATGAAACGATCTTTTTTCGCAATAAAATTTCTCTGACTAGACCTCTTCAGACAATCGTTAAACGCTGATGATCACAATTAATGACGATAAGGATTCGATTGATGATGTCATTGATGGGCAAGCCGCCCCTCCTGCAAAGTGCTTTTTCAGTTTAAGGGACCCGGGCGAGTAACGCGAAGGCCAACTTCACGCGCTCGCCATTGATCTTTCAGAAAAGCTTTTTTGAAATTTCTTTTTGCTAAACATATTTTCATTCACTCAGCTTTCATCTCCTACTTTCAGATATTTTATATCATACTTAATTCTTGAGCTAGAGTGAAAAAGAGAAGTTCAACTTCAAAAGGCATCAACTCCTGCAAACTCCATTTGATTGACATGAAACCAGCACCATTGAAAAGCCCATTAAATTCTGAACAGATCATACTTAATGCGCTAAGCTGAAACTGCAGTAATGAGCGATTAAGGCCAGGTAAACAAGAAAACTTAGTGCGCGCGCAGCGGGAATCATGTCCCGGGAGCCCAAAATAGCCCGATCGGAGTGTCCTGCCTTGCTGCGAGCGCTCAGTCCGTTCGTTTATCAGCGCGTTCAGGGCAATTAGTAGAGTTCCAGCTTAGCGCATTAAGTATGATCTGTTCAGAATTTAATGAGCTTTTCAATGGTGCTGGTTTCATGTCAATAGAATGAAGTTTGCAGGAGTTGATGCCCTTTGAAGTTGAACTTCTCTTTTTCACTCTAGCTCAAGATTTAAGTATGATATAAAAAATCTGAAAATTGGAGATGAAAGCTGAGTAAATGAAGATATGTTTAGCAAAAACAAATTTCAAAAAAGCTTTTCTGAAAGATCAATGGCGAGCGCGTGAAGTTGGCCTTCGCGTTACTCGCCCGGGTCCCTTAAAATATTCAATTAGCTCAAAATTATTGAAATTTTTCCTTTTTCGAAACGTCAATTTTGAAATTCAGAATCCATTATGATTTTTTTGAAGTCTTTATTAGGCAGTTATTCGCTTCTTATTAAAAATTTCATCCGGTAGCTCGTCCAGCATAAGCTCTTCTGGACTCGCTCTGTGTTCATACAGTATATCAACAGTGACATTGACAAAACAATGATTTACATACTTGTCGACGACTTCATATTCCAAGTTATTGAGCCCGTCCATTTTCCAGAACTTCTTCTCTACCAAAGGTGGGTAGTTCCATCTGTTGACCATTGGTCGTCTTTCAAGATTCTTGCGATTACCGGATTCGTGTTTGTGTTCGATCATTTTGTACCGCGCGTACTTCGATTCTTTTCGACGAATTTGAAGCTGCTCTCCTTGTTCCACTCGTCGGAACATGTCGTCGTCTTCTCCTCCCCAGCCCCAAAACTCGTTGCTGAAAATATAATGAATAGAAGACTTTCATCTCTTACCTGAAACCATTGAGAGACCTAAAAGTCTCCCTGTCCAGCTGAATGATACCGCCGAATATCTTCTCATAGGGAACTCGATATCTGAACTTATCAATCGCCACGGAATAGTGATTTGGATAGCCATCACATGAATACAAGCATCGGTCGTTTTCCAGAACAAGATCAACATCGTGAAAAACGAAGCAGTCCATCGTCGAGTCATCTTTTAATGCTTCAACAAATCCAATGTTCAGCAATTTTGCTCGGTTAAATGGAGCTCCGGGGAGTTGATTGATAATGTAGAAGCGAAAATGAAGCTGCTGTCTTTTCAGCACTAGAATTTTCGGTCATATTGATCTGCAAGCCTTTTCTTACCAGGAATCATGTACTGAAGTAAATATTGAAGATGTCTTGTTCTTGTTTTCGCTTTTGCTTCGTCTCGGAATGGAATGATGATTGCGACACGCGAGTTTTTTGGAGGAATGCATGTGCTTGCTGTAAATAGGGCAGTTGAATCTGGGCTTTCTCTTCTTGCTATTTCGGCGAAGGAAAGAGGAAGCTGGTGGAAACTGATATTGAGGTGGCCTTGGTATTCAATGTCTGTGTCAGAACAGTATTTTTGCGTCAAGTAGTCGTGTTTTTGTTTTTCTTGAAAATGATTATAATGAAGCTGATAAGCCAATTAATCATGGGGACAAAATCTGGATGTTCATTATTTAGATAAACAAAAATTTATATAAAAATAACTTTTTTAATGAACTTATGGTATTTCCTGTTTACCTTTTTGATGGCCACAAACATTACTCTTCAGTAAATCAGCCAATTTCTCAATATAAAAAAGATTAATTCCGAATAAGATAAAAACGCCGAGAATTTTATTTCCATTTAAAAATTTGCAAAAGGCTTCGATTATTTTCTGCAGCATAGTTTTTCTTCTCTCTTTCTCTCTCGGTTGTTTTAAATTGACGGAAGGGGCATAAAACCGCACGTTTTGTGATTTTACCCGGCGGGCGCTCAGTGAGAAAAATTCAAAATTTCAGATCATGTGAACAAAAAAAAAATGGCACGTTGGATTATTCTTCACTCTTAGTCCTAGAGTTTTGGAGTCTATCTTGACGGTATCTCAATCAGCCTATTTTAACGTTGTCAGCGCGTATTGATTTAGGTGGCTCTCCAGAAGAGGCTTTTCTTGAGGGTTATCTTCTCTTGCTTTTTTGATTTCTTATTTCAGCTTTTTTGAGAGTGGGCAAGTTAGGTTCTAATTTGGAACAGGAGGAAGCTTGTAAAGGCTTTTGACCATTATTTTACCATTATCGCCTATTTTGAATGGGTCATTTATGTCAGATTCGGCTGTTTTATGATAATTTTTCAACGCTTTTTTTGATAATTTTCGCCAAATTTTAATAAATCTGCATATTTCCCAACTATAGAATGCCTGTCAAAATCTGCGATCACCAGTAATTAGTTTGTATATCAAGACTGTCAGTTTTTTGAATACCAAAAAATTGACTGGAAGCCGATCGACTCGCGGTTTTCTTTATTCCGTCTCTTCAGTAAAGCGCGGCTTTTATTTTTTTTTACAAAAATGATCAAAGAACGATTTTACTACAACTAGGGCTGTGATACAAAAAATAGCCCATCTCTAGGATTACGTAATCCCCAAATTTTGTTTTCTGGGACATACTAAGTTGGAACTGGGCTTTCTAAAAAAAATAAAATTTTTGAAAAATTTAAGGGTCTAGCCCCCAAAAACTCACTTTTTCGTCAAAAATCTTGGTTTTTTGGTCAGCGAGGGACGGGAATCAATATTTTTTGGGTTTTTATTCCGCCAGCATCTTCTTCAGGACCTTTGAAAACCCCAGTGAGTGCATCTCGGGATAAAAAAATTTTCGCTTCAGAAAATTTTTGAAAAACCATAATTAAGCGGAAAACTTGAATAAATTGTATTTTCATCCCTAATGGGTGTGGGTGGGGTTGGGGACATAACTGGGATTGATCACCTCAGAGTCCGACGCCGATCTCAAGCCCCTTAAATTTAATAGTCAAGGAAGCCGTCAAAGGCGGCGAACCTAAAATTTTACGAAAATCCTTTCCGGTTTTTTCAAAAATTTTCTGAAGCGAAATTTTTTTATCCCGAGATGCACTGACTGGGGTTAGAAAATGTAGCGAAGAAGATGCTGCCGCCGAGAAAAGGCCAAAAATTGGTCCAAATTTCCTCGCTGGCCAAAAAACCGATTTCGGCCATTTTTCGTATTTTCAATATGAAAAATCAGAGGGATTCCCTTAGAGAATCGATTTTTTTTTGGTCCACAAGTTTTTGGGGGTCCCAAAGAACCTAGAAGAAATAGTCGGATGTACCCCCTTAAGGTATTTCTTGGGGCCGATTTTTGTATCACAGCCCTAACTACAACCAAAACACTCCAGAGAGAATGAACTCGCTCGGGAAGATTTATGCTTATATCATCGCTTTTGGTTAGCTCTGAATGAAATTCTAAAAAACGATGAAAATTTATTTTTAGCTGCGATTCTTTACGCGATCTTGATTATTGCGTCATTTTATATTCATGGGCACTGCTTTGAAAATGGAAAACATTGAAAAAATGACTGTATTAAAAAATGCTATTTATTTGCAGATGAACAAAGAACAAAAAATAATCATGTTTGAAACTGATTTTTTAAACGACATCCAGATCTTCGTTTTTGATCTCTTCATTTTCCCCACCAATCTCTTCATCTCGTTGCTCTTGATTCGCTCTTGTAGGGCTTGAATCAGTTTCGGCCTCCGAGACGACAGAAACGCTAGCTTGAGGCTCGACAGAAGCATGTGGAAATTGAACAGGAGGGATGTGGAAAAGTGGAGGGAAGCGAAGAAGTGGGGAGATCAGCGCTGGTTGACGGAGGCGCTGCAGCTGGAGCAGAGCGGAGAGTCGCGCAAATTGAGCGCTAGAATTGAGGAATTAAGCCTTGAAGACTCTTATTGGTGGTTTTTACCTGTCATTAGCTTGATGATAAGCAGAAAGAAGAGAGCGGGAAACCAAGTCATCGCACATTTGGATCGGCGGTTGAATCGCGACCGGTAGTTGAGGTCGACAGGATGATACAATCCCGCCTGATCGCATTGCGAATCCAGCCATCTAAAAATCCACGATGAGAAATGACTATTCGCAAGTCTTTGACACATACCTTTGCATGTTGTCGAAGAGTGCCCGGAATGGAAGCGTGAGTCGCCTCGTTGGATTCTTGCTTTCGCGATTTTGCTCTTCGATTTTGAAACCAGACTTGCACTCGGGCTTCGGAAAGACCGAGATTTTGACTGAGCTCTTCGCGCATGAATGCATCTGGGTAGTGAGTTTGCTCGAAGAGTGTTTCTAGCGCGTGGATCTGTTCCATCGTAAAATTGGTTCTAGAAAAGAATTGAAGTCTGAACTGTTTGCTTTGTTTGAACCTTGATCTTCGTTGTTTTTGCTTGTCTTTGCTAAGATTTTCAGGCGAGATTTGCGGATCTTGATGGTTGATGTTCGTTGTTCCTGTAATAGAATTTTAAGCTCCTGGTTGATAATAAAAGGAAAATCGATTGATTTCAACAACTTTGGTCTAATAAATCAATTTGGAGCTTGTTTGTTGCGCCGCAAGTTGAGTAATTGATTGCATTATTGCGCTACTAAGTTACAGTAATGATATAATTAAAATATTACCGGCAATGCAATTATCAGTCTCGGTTAAATCTAAGCTAATTAACAGCAAGAGGGGAATAGGATTATTTTACCAAATTAAGATGTTATCATCAGATTAAGCCAGGAGACTGTATTTTTCGTGTGTTTCATTATAATGGAGCGTAATTTTTGATTTGAAGTGAGAAGCCTCCAACTTAATTCGCCGCTTACAAAAAGGGGAGGTAGATTGATTTGATCAATATTTGATTAAATTTGTATTTAATAATTATCGCGCTTCAATTAAATCGCAATTCCGTCCCATTAGTGGAATGCAATTTGTCAAATTTCATGCCGCAATGAGCTAAATTTACCGCGGCAAAATGCTTTTCTGCCAAAATACAAAACCGCAATTGTTATTTAACAATTATCAATAAATAGATAACGCTAAGTGGCTCAATCAACATTCACTGTGCAATGCACAGTCTGTGCATGATGCGCAATTGACAATCAAGAATCAATTCGAAGCCATACTCGGGTTAGGGTTCAGCTTCAACTTGAGGGGTAAAATAAATATCTGCAAAGAACTTGGAAACTTACTTGGAGAAAGATCAAGAGCTGGAACATGCTCATGCGGTCGGAAAAGCCTCGTCTTTGGCGCTGGGTCTTGCATCTCAGAAAGACCATTTTCCTGCTCTAAAAATTTCAAGTTATTTGGATGAAAAAATAAAAAAGGGAATATTTCGCATTCAAATTCAGCTTTCTTTCCGCGAAAAATAAGCCATAAACCACGCGCGCCTTTAATTAACATTTGATTTGAAGCTGTAGTCGGCTTTCAAGATATTGAAGAAAAAGTTACCTTCGGTCTTGAGAATATCCTTGAAGCGTCTCTCAGCTGCGATTTTTGGCGAAGCGAATTGTCCGGAAACGAATTTGGCGAGTTCTTCCATGATTTCAAAAGTTAGAAAAGAGTTTGATTTTTGGTTGAGAAAAATCGGCAACTCGTTTGCTTGCTAAGTGAATACAACGAGGGATAATTGTATTTTTAATTGTATTTAAAAGGTGAGCGCCACATGCGGGCGATGAAAATGCACCTTTCTTGGAGGTGCGCCGCCGCTTTTGATAGTACCGCGCCTCGGGGTAGGTCAATCCTCCCTCGCGGCGCTGATTCTCAATTAGCAGCAAATTAAGAAACGCGTGAAGATAAAAGAACATTTATTTATTGGAAACCTTCCTGGATGATTGATGACTGAATTCAGGTTGAAAGGCTACTATTTCGTGAGAGTGGAGGACTCTCGCCCAAGTGGACTCTCGCCCAAGTGGACTCCCGCCCAAAGGACTCTCGCCCAACTTGGGCGGGAGTCCATCTTAGGCGAGAGTCCATGTGGAAATTTTCAAACATGAGAAACAGAAAGTTGGGCGAGAGTCCATCTTGGGCGAGAGTCCACTTCGGCGAGAGTCCTCCACTCCAATTGTTAATGACTATTCAATGACAAAAGAAAGCAATGAGCTGTATATAATATAGATGCAATGTACTTTATAACCCTAAAGTTAGGGTTAGGGGGCACTGGGCAAAATGACAGAACAACCTTACCCGAGGGTAACCCTAAGTAACCCTAGACTAGACCCCGGAATCTTAGGACCTAAGGGGCGAAGCCCCGTGGTAAGGGGCAATTAGATTTGATAATTTTGGCTGACAAGAGGTGCAGTAGGACTGACCTTCTCTTTCAACCTAGTCGAAGATTAGCACTTTTTGAGAGTTCCAGTTTCGGTTTGTCCAGCAAGATAAGCGAAAGCATAAATTCTTTGATGTGAGAAAATATTGCGCTTCGCTTATAAAACTGGAACTCTCAAAAAGTGCTAATCCTCGACTAGGTTGAAAGAGAAGGTTAGTCCTACTGCACCACTTTTCATCCGAAATTATCAAATCTAATTGCCCCTTACCACGGGGCTTCGCCCCTTAGGTCCTAAAATGCCGGGGTCTAGTCTACGGTTACTTAGGGTTACCTTCAGTAACCCTAACTATTCCTAGCCTATCCGGGATAGGCTATCCCCCTCGGGTAAGGTTGTTCTGTCATTTTGCCCAGTGCCCCCTAACCCTAACTTTAATTTATATAAAGTACATTGCATATTTATTACATACAGCTCATTGCTTTCTTTTGTCATTGAAAAGTAATTAACAATTGGAGTGGAGGACTCTCGCCCAAGATGGACTCTCGCCCAACTTTCTGTTTCTCATTGTTGAAAATTTCCACATGGACTCTTGCCCAAAAGGACTCTCGCCCAACTTGGGCGGGAGTCCATCCTGGGCGGGAGTCCACTTGGGCGAGAGTCCACTTGGGCGAGAGTCCTCCACTCATTTCGTGAATATCGGTTCAGTTTTTTACTCCTGATTATTGTGATAATTGGTCGTTTTCAATTTCTCAGAAAAACTAAAAAAAGATATGATAAATTAACCTTTTATGATTTTCTTAAATATCGCTTAGTCATTTTTGAAATCGTTTTGGAGCTTTTGAGCAATAAGATAATCTTAGTTGCCAATATCTTTAACAAAACAATCAGCTGTTTACATAGTCAGCGCTCGGGTTTCTCATCCTTCGGGGGATTCGGTTCAAACCCTTTTTTTAAAAATGAGGATTTCAAGCTTTTGTATATGGCAAGTTTGTTTTTCAGAGAATTTAAAAACAGACGGGAACCCATGCAAAAATGGTGTTACAGGTGAAAATTGTCCGAAAAAGTCAAAGTCTAAATTTCAAAATCAGTTAAAAATCTGCCCGAGTGGGAGGGCAACTACGTCCTCGACGGTCAATCTGATAATGGCCACCCTATCTACGTGGCAAATGGCGACGAAAGGTATCTCTACGTCATCGAAACCTTTGGCGTGAAAAAGTGGCATTTTTCCTACCTTCCCGACGGCCTTGGAGCGTATGCTTGGGGTAACTTCCACAAGAATTGCCCCTCAGAGCAGGAAGATACCGAATGGTGGCTGTTCAAGGTTGATGAGTGGAGAAACTTTGATACTGTTCTGACAGAGATTGAATGAAAATATAGGAATTTCAATGAAGGGAACACAGGACTTTTCTTTTATTCATTGACAAAAACGACAAGGTAAAAGTGGATGCAGAGCATGACAAGGACGCAGAAAACGGCGATGAGGACGGAAACTTGACAACATCGAACTCGAAGGCTGAAATTTTCGATGAAATAAAACTGCAATTAATTATTTAGCGTTCGAGGCTTTTTCCTTTTCAAAATGGGTTGAGAACATTTCTTTGCTTGAATTTACCGGTTGCTTATTTTTTCTTCTGAAATCTCGTCAAAATCGTCATCCGGTTTTCTAGCTTCTTCTCGATCGACCTCGTCCATTTCTGCCGCTCGAACGAGAAAATTTGCTTATATATCTATTTTTTTATTTGATGATTTCTCCCTCGAATATCTCTATTTCTGGATCATTTGATCGACTGTGAAAGAGACATGCAGAGGGGCTGAAAGGGCAATAAAAGTTGTTGACAGTTTCTATCACACGTATCCAGGTGATGAAATTAACACGATAGCTGGAGCTGTATAAAAAGAGAGAGAGGTGACGTTGAAAATGAATTTGAGCTTGTCACAATGCTTTTTTATTGAAAAAACTTGTCGGATACATATTTTAATACAGGAAGATAGGTGGACATTTACATGCAGATTTCTAGAGCGCCTTCGTTTTGAAGAGCTTCTCGCTCATCGATTTTTGCGAGAATTTCATTAAGAGTTTCGTTCATTTGTCTTTTGACGGGTTTCAAAAGCTTATTTTTTCAATGAAATTCGATAATTTTTAACTAAAAATTGATTTCAAAACCGTTCCTTACAAGTGCCGGGCGATCTTCATATTTATTCCTCTTTTCTGATCGATCAGCTCCGATATGAAACAATTCATTCGTTCCTGGAATCCATTTCCAGTCCCCTTGTCTCAGCGCTACTCCACCCAAACTGATTTTATGCGCGACCGAGTGGTGAATCACTTCTTCAGGAAATGGCTTCTCTCCTTTTTCGATGAGTGGGACGAGCGATCGACTGTCGGGAGCTTCGTTGCATTTTCGCTCGTAGCCGATGATGTCAGCGAGAGTTCCAAAGACGTCAAGGTAGGAGACTGTTGTTGTTTCAATGGTTTGTGGAGCCCATTTTGCTGGCCAGCGCCACATGAAAGAATTTCTGTGGCCGCCTTCATATGGAGTGTTTTTTGTTCCTGAAATGAAAATGTAAAAACCGTAACGTAATATTCTTATAAAACAATAAATACTTTTCAATTCGACTCTCGGTGAATTACACCGTAAATCTCCATTATCCCGTCGAATCATTACGTTACTCTTGGCAGTGGGAATTGCCTTTCCGACCAAATTTCGAATTCTTCTTTAGGTGGATAATTGTCAATAATATATTGATTCAATCGTGATATCGTTATATAACATTACCTCTAAGTGGAACTGATGGCCGATCATCAATATCCATCGAGTTCTGCATGTGTCCATATTTCATCCAGCTAAAATCCGAGCTCTGATCTGCTCCATTATCAGACATGAAAACCATCAGAGTATCATCATCGATGCCGAGTTCTTCCAACTTGTCGAACAGGATTCCAACGTTCTCGTCGACTTCTTTGATCATTTCGCCAACAAGGCCAGCTTCGGTTGTATTTCTGTATCGCTCAGGAGAGTTGAAAGGACGATGACCGGAGCGAAGGCCGTAGTACATGAAAAAGGGCTCATCTTGGTTCGCGTTTTCCTCGATGAAGTTGAGGGCTCTGGGAAGAATGACATCTTCGGCATTTCGCGAGTCATAAGAGTTCTTGTAGGTTGTTTTTATCTGTAAATATCTATCAAAAACATCACGTCTGAATACCATACCAATTTCGCTTTTTCAATGGCTATCGACTATCTATCCAAAAAATCTTCATACTCATACGACTAATATTGTTATTATGGTGTTTATTAAAACAACTTTCCTGAACAAGAATCGAGCTTGGATAGTTTCCCATCAAAACTGGTCCATATTCTGGCTCTTCAAAGAATGGCTCTGCGACGTAACCGCTCTTGAACCGCGCGGTAATACTCTCTTCTTCCGTAGACCATCTGTAGAAAGGATTGAATGTGTGGTATGACCAAAAATCATCTCGCTTTGCAATTTCTTCGGAGAAACCATCTTTGCTTCGATTTTCAACGCCTTCTGGAAATGGCCGCTGAATTGCGTATCTGTCGAAGGGCTCGATCCCGACTCCGTTTTCAAAGAAACCAGCAGGAAGACAGCAAGGTGAAGTTGAGGTGAAAGCATAGTCGTAATTGAAGTCTTTTTGGCTGACGGTCATTTTGTAGTCGCCCGGAACGTAGAAATTCTTATTGTCCATTCCCGGATCTCGGACCATATCTTCGCCGAAGTTCTTCTTTTTGTAGGCGATTCTAGCGTTCATGATTTCGTTAGCTTTTTCGTTGCTGATGCTGGTGTTCTTGATCTTGACATTGAGCGGTTGATCTTTTCCGATGACCGCTGTTCTGTAGCCTGCTTTTTTGAACATTTCGCCAAGATGCGGAGTTCCCTTCTTCAAAATTCTGTTTCGCTCGATTCCCAGACTGTATCTTCCCGTCATGAGCATGTACCGACTTGGAGCACATCGACTTGAAGCACTGTGACCATCGCGGAAGTTGATTCCTTCTTTTCCGATTCTGTCAATGTTGGGAGTTGGGACTTTGGCGCGGGAATTATTGATTTGAAAGTCGCCCATGCCAAAATCATCGGCGAGAAGTAGGATCACATTTGGTCTCTTTACATTTTCTTCACTCAAGGAAAAAGCAAATAAGCTTGGTAAAATTTTCATTTTCTCTTTTCTTAAATTTTTCTCTCTTTTTAGTGACTGAGGTTCTGAATTCAACGTGAAAGGAACTCCTGATTTTTGGTTGAGCTCTTGATCCCCGTAGGCCACGAATTCGACCGTAATAGTTATTTAATTCACCTGCGCCCGGTTTACAATTTCGTAAGAACAAGGAGTCGCACTAAACTCAATTTATTAACTCGTCTATTTCGCAGTTTATTTTGAAAAGATAGATGTGAAAAGCGCCATAGTTTCTCCAGTAACGCGTTCGAACTCTTCACCAATATCGTAAGCTAAAAATTGTAAAGAAAAAATGATAAGAAATCAGACCTGATAGGTTTTGGACAATGTCGTCTGCGATCCAGTTTTTGTGCTGCTGCTCAGTGCCGAAGTAGCAATCGCCGATGAGTTCTGTCACCGCGCAGTGGAAATCTTCGAAATTCTAGAGCAAAAAGTAACACTGTATTTATGCGATAAAGGAATTACTCTTTCTCCGAGAGTTGGTCTTCTTGGCCAAATGTAAACTCTCAAGACAAACTCATCGTTATCAATCTCGTGATGAAGATGCTTGCCTCTGATTAGTGCGACGTTGTGGGCCATATTTGCTTTTGCCCAAGAGTTGGTCAATTTCGCAACGAATTCCGCTACTTTTTCTTTGCTCGGATGATGAATATAATATTTCTAAAAATAATTTTCTATAATTTAATATCCGATCCTAGATTTCGGTCGTTTGCTTCAACAATAAATCCTCTGACTGGAAAGGTTCGTTTGATGGCGTACAATTTCTCCTCCACTTGCCGGCCGGAGTCGGACTTTGAAACGCAAGAATGAATTGGGTCGCACTCAATGTCTTCTGATGGAATTCTGTAGTCATTGTAGTAGCATTGGAAATGAAGGTGATTTACTGAGCCGCAACCGCAGACTTAAGGGGGTGGTAGTCGAGAAAAGTTTTTTCGACTTTTTGAAATTTTTATATTATTTTTAGATTCCTTGATAAAAAAGGAGCATTTTTGGTCGCTAGCTTTTTTTGATTGGACCAACTTTATTTAAGAAAATTTTAGATTTTATGCTATGAAATCGCCATTTTCGGGAGTTTTGAAACGCGTTTTTCTCACTTAAACCGACTCAAAATTGTTTTTTCATTGCGAGGTTATGTTTCTTGATTATGTTTCAATTATAAAAATCTAAAAAAATTACGATTATTGTGAGGTTTACGAAAATTTCATTAAAAAATGAGTGAAATGACGATTTTTCAGAAAACAACATGTTTTCATTCAATTACTATTTTCTTTTCTAACAAGGTGAACTTTCTAAAACTAAGCCGCCCACACGCTAAAGGGTCTAAACTTTGCTCTTAGTAAGTTTTATTTCGAAAAAATAATAAGGGGATCGAGTTTTTTAGGTCAAGAGATGGGTCTACTTTGAAAAAATTTTCACCATTTTTTCGAAAAAATATTTTTTGCAAATATAGCCGCCCACATAAATTGGACCTTTTTTAACTTATTTTCGATTAGAGAAAAAAAATTTTTTTTGAAAAAGTTGGAGTTTTTTTAGGTTGAAAAAAGTCTTAGTCTCGACCACCACCCCCTTAAATGATTTAAACATTTTTCTAGAGCGAAAAATCCTACTTGAGTTGAACATCATTCTGAATCCAACAGCATTGCTCTGGAACATTGTCTCGATTGCCGTCTCGATCGCGTCTTTCGTCAACAACTGCGGGAACTCTGCTTTCGGTTCTGGAATCAGCAGAGAGTGGCCAAAAGCATAGGGGGAGTTGTTGATAATCATTTCGTATCGTTTCCCTTTATTCTCGAACTCGAATAGTCGCTCCTCATCCTTAACTTTTGAGAAGTTGAACTTTTCTCTGGGAAAGTCTTGAATCACAGTCTTGAAATTCGGAGTCGATCGTTTCTTGCTCGCGCGAACTGGAGAAAAGACCCCGACCCAGCCGCGTTTTCCTTCAAAATGTCGAACTTGTCCATCAACAGGATGAAGAAAAGCCCCGTTTTCCATCGCCTCGTTCCATTTTCTCTTGAGAATCTTATCCAAAGGCCCATCATCTTGATTATATCTCCTTCTCATGCCAGCGATCAGCTTAACCCGCCGGTCAGCATAATCGATCGTGAATCTAAACGAGTTAAGATCGTGGCATTTTTGCTGGAAATTACTTCTCTAGGCTCATCTGGAGAACTATATTATTGATTTGTTATTAGGACAAATTTTCATTCCGCCGGAAAACGGAATTAGCCTAGGGCAGTACCGCACTTGAATAAATTTGTATCAGCAATTGCGAATAGCGCTTATTATTAATGCTTATTTAACGCATTTCTATTTCTCAAGATCCAGCAACATATAAACACGGGTGTATTTGAAATACAGTATTTCCTCAACTGAAATTCACTGAGAATCACTCGATAGTAACTAAGTTTCCGGAACACAAGTATTTAAAAACGCATGATAAAAGCGGGAGAAGAAGAATTTAATTAACAGTCTTCGAATCGACAGGCAAACTTGATTTTTGCATCGCACCAAAAATCATTGAAAGTTTCGAATTTTGTCATGCCGACGCAATATTCAATTCCATCCATGTTATTGGGCTCACCAGGCTGCCATTTGACAAAAGTTGCTTCATTTCCGTCATCTGTGTAAAACGTAGAGAGGTCGCACGAATGATAGCCTTATGAGATTTTAACTAAGAACTTAAAATTATTTACCTAAATATTCATTCGCGTAATCTTGCCAATCATCATTATATCTTGGACGAGCTCGTAAATAGTTGTTGTATTCAATTCTATTTCTGAAAAATGCAACATAGCCACCTTGGCTGCGGCAGATCTCATTCGCAGTAGCATAATTCGTTTCAATAAAATTTCCAGACTCATCTTTTTGAAAAACGAAACTTGGATTACAGCTTTTTTGACCAGACAAATCTAACTCATTAGCCTCTGAAAGCTTTAATGTGCTTTGTTTGTGATTACAGACGATCGCATGATGGCAAAAATATTCTTCACAGGTATCCATGGTGAGGCAAACTTGAGGCAACCGACAGGAAAACTCAAGCTCTTTATCGCATCGAATATCGTTCATTTTCAAGAAAGAATAAATCTGCACGCAGTTTTCTTTTCTACCCTGATTATTATACCCTGAAGAAGAGATCATCATTACCATCAACAGTTTTGAAATTTGGGTGATCACATGAAAACATCCCGAGATATTCTGTATGCGCATTGTAGCCAGAGCTGTTAGTATACATATCGAGCTCATTCTGATCCAGAAAGAATGTAAGATAGCCTCCATTATCATTGCAAAGCTTATGCGCTACTTCAAAAGTAGCTTTTAGAGGGCGTCCATCATCATCGTATTGCTTTTCGAAAAGAGGTGGACATTCACAATCATCGCCAGTATATGAAGTTGGACACTTTTGTTGTTCATACTCACAGATTCTCCCGACGTTGCAGAAGAAGTCATAACAAGTGAGTTTCTCTGGTTCGCCTACCAAGCTCATATGTGTTGTTGGAAGGTAAGCGCTTGTTGTGATCACACTTAGGGGAGTCGATTTCCTTGATTGATCGGTAGTGGTCTTAGCGCTTTCTTTTGAAGTCGTCGTTTTCTCTGTTGTTATTACGATTTTTGTTTAAATTTCAACGGCTTCTGTTGTCAAATGCGTTCTTGAAATGATTTTTGAGGTCGACAATCCTGTTATTTCCGAAATACTCGAAATAACTTCAATCTTAGCTGTTGTTGCCTTGGTTCTTTCTGGTATATAAGTAACTTCACTTGGATTCGTTTTAATTTCTTTCGTGGTTAGTTCTGGCGTTGTTATTGAATTTGATTGGGTTGTCTGATCGGTTTCAGCGCAAATTGGGTTCGAGCAGTCGATGCAGCCATTTTGGCAATTTTTTCCACAAGGACAGTCTTCGTTACATTCATCGAATGCTTCCTTGCAAATGCTCTGGCAGTACTGAGTCTCACACAGGATACGACAGTTTTGATAATGTTTGCATCTGTCCCGACATTGAGATTGCAGATGTTGATCCCTGAAAATTTTAGAAAATAAAGCAAAAATTGACCAACTTGCAGGGGCGAAGGTCGTATACTCTCTTATTAAGAAATACGAGTGAGCTCAAAATTGTGCCGACTGACGCCAAAGCTGCCATAATAGCGAAGAAAAACAGACATTTCTCCATTTCGGCGGCATTTTTTGAGAAAAATGTCTTATTTCGCAGTGCGAGTTTGATTTTTAAGGTCATGACTTTAAGACTGATTGAACTCTTGACTTTTGTATGAATATAATGCATAACTATCTGAATCGATAATTTTGTGATTTGCTCAAAAAAAAGAGCAGGATCAGTAGATAAAATCCAAATTGTCAGATACTTCTTTTGAGAAAAAAACACTATCAATCATTTTTGAAATTTTTGAAAACGGAACTAGCCTAACAGAAGGGCAGTACCGAACTTGAATAACTTTGCATCAGAAATTGCAAATTGCGGTTATTATCAACGCTGATTAATCGCAGTAGCCAAGATACGGCACATGTGAAATCTGTTTTTTATCTATGACATATTGACACTAGCTTATTTCCCCAACTAAAATTCCGAAAGAATCGCTCGATAGCACCATTGAGTTTCCGATAACCAGCATTTATTTTTGGTGAAATACAGAATTTCTGAAAAAGACCAAAATGGCTAGAAAACGAGACCGTTTTTTATTTTTCCTCGGCCTAACACTTTCTTTTGCGGCAATCGGGACGATTTTGAGCTCTCCAAAGTTCTTCAAGAAAATATTATTCGAAGAACATGAGTCCTCGGAAGATCAAGAAACGACTTTTGCACTAGAAGCATCGACAACAGGACCATCGACGAAGGCAACAAAAGAAACATTGTCAGCATCAACTTCAGAGGTTTTGACTATTTCGAGTATTTCAGCAACAACGACAACATCAACAACGACTAAACCACTTAAAACAACAATAAAAACGACAGTTACAGAGATTATTCCTACAAAAGGAGCAGCAACTAAAGAATTTGCCACAACACGACCGCAAACTTGCGAAGAATATTTTCGGGAACTCACAGAAGAAGAAAATCCGATACAAGATTGCCCAACTTCTGTGACTGGTGAGAATTGCAAGTGTCCATCGAAATTCGAAAGACAAAGAGATAACAACGGGAATTTCATGAAAGCAGACTATTCAACAGCGCACAAGCATTGTCGGAATCAAGGAGGATATCTTGCTTTTTTCTTGGATCAAAAAGAATTTGATGATTACAAACTCAATAATAATCAGGAGTATATTGGCTATTGGTCATGTGATCATCCGAATTTTATGACAGCTGATGGGAACGAAGCGGAGTTTACCAACTGGGGCTGGGGCGAACCGAATAATGACAATGGAAATGAGGTTTGTATCTCTCTCCTCCCTAATGGAAAAATGAGCAGTGTTCCATGCGATAGAGAATACGAGTTCTCTTGTCGACTGCCTCAACTTTGTCTGTCTCAAGATAACTGTGAGGAATACTTTTGTCGCTATGGAAATATTTGTTATCACAATGATGACGTCTCGACATCCGAAAAACCAAAGTGTCCGACTTCTTACAGTGGACAGAATTGTGAATGCGGCCCTATTTTTGTCCCTCAAACAGACGAGTTCGGAAAGTTCATCGAAGCAGATTACGCAACTGCGAATAAGATTTGCCGTCGTCAAGGCGGCTTTCTTGCGTTTCTTTTGAATCAGAAGGAACACGATGATTACACGAGTTCTGTTTGGTTTCCAAAAAGTGACACGAGTGATGCATTTGCTTATGGCACTGAATACTTAGGTAAAACAGAAGGTTTTCTCTCTGAAAAATTGTTAAGGCTATCACTCTTGTGGGCTTCCTACATTCTACACAGATGATGGAAACGAGGCGACGTGGATAAACGAAATTTGGGCACAAGGCGAGCCAAACAACAGGGATGGGATCGAGTACTGTGTTGCCATGACTTATTGGAAAGAGTTTAATGATTATTACTGTGATAAATCTCTTCCATTTGCCTGTCGATTTTCCAAAAATTGTCAATAATAATTGATACAATAAATCAAATAATGCATAATGCGATGAATAAAGCTTTCTTCTATCAAAATACTTTGTATTTCCTCGAATCTGTTCTCGTGTGAATTCTAAATGAGAAATTTTAACAAAAAGAATTGATTTTATTAACAGTTTTTAGAAAATCTGCAGGCAAAGGGGAGATTTTCAGTACATTTATAATCATTAAATGTCTTCCATCTTGTATTCACAACACAGTATTCAATTCCATGAAGGTTATTTGGTTCGCCTTCTTTCCAATTCTCATGTATCCACTCTGCCTCTTTTCCAGCATCTGTGTAGAATGTTGGAAGCTCACATGAATGGTAGCCTTAACAATCATTTATTGAATAATCTTTTTTCCTTACCGAAGTATTCAGTGGCATAATTGAAGGCATCACCTTCAAACTTCGAGAAATCAACAGAACTTAAGTAATCTTTGTATTCTTTTCGATCCAAAATAAACGCCAAGAAGCCGCCTTGGCGACGGCAAATTTTATTAGCAGTAGCGTAATCTGCTTTGATAATGTTTCCAACCGCATCTGTCTGTGGAACAAAAACAGGACCACACTCACAATTCTCCCCACTGTAAGAAGTTGGACATTCACTTCTTTCCAATTTTCGGTGGCCCACTTGATCATTGCATATTTTACCATAATGACAAAAATATTCCTCGCATGTGTCAGTAGACAGACAAACTTGAGGCAAGCGACAAGAAAACTCAAGTCTTCTGTCGCACCGAGCATTGTCCATTTTTCCATTTGGTCGAAGAACGCCGCAAAATTGGTTTTCTCCTTGATAACTAGGCACGGTTTCGTCCCAGTCAGTAAAAGAAGCTTCATCGCCGTCTACTGTCTTGAAATTCTGATGATCACAGGACCAATAACCAATGTATTCTTGATCTGTATTTACTCGATAATTATCCTTGTAATTATCGAACTCATCCGAATTCAAGAAAAAGGCAAGATAACCTTGTTTGCTTTCGCAATGATTATGAGCCGTCGCGTAATCAGCTTTCATGAAGTTTCCACTTTCGTCCTGTTGTCTTTCGAAGATTGCAGGGCAGTCGCAATCCTTTCCTGTAACAGAAGTCGGGCAATTTTGTTCTGGTAATTCTCCTGTTAGTTCGCCAAAATATTTTTCGCAAGTATTCGAGGCAGTAGTATCAGCTTTAGTTGTTGTAGTTGTAGTTGTAGTTGTTATTTTCATCGTTGATGTCGCCTCTGTAGTTGATTTTTTAATATCTACTTTCCTTGTGGTTGATACTTCTATTGTAGTTGTCGATGGATATTCGCTCGAAAACTCCTCTTCCTTTGTCGTTGTCATCGTTGATGTTTTTGATGTTGATGTCACTGATTCACTCTCATACTCATAATGGCCATCTGTTGATATCGCTGATGTTGAAGTCGTTGATTCTGAGCTTGTAAAAATATCATCGATCGCTGTTGTTGTTTTCATCTCTTGGGTTGTCGTTGTTTTTGCTGAACTTGATTCGCCCTTCGTCGTTGTTGTCGTTAGTGTTGTTCTTGCTATTTGGATTGTCGTTGATTTGAAAACCGAAGAATAAATTTGATCCATTACGACGCAAATCGGATTGCTACACTCCTCGCAACCTTGTTCACAGTTCTTACCGCATGGGCAATTCTCAAAACATTCTTCAGAAACATCCTTGCATCTGGTTTGGCAATATTCTGTTTCACACAAAAGTCGGCATTGAGCAAATTCCACTTTGCAAACGTCCTGGCATTGAGTTTGTAATTTTTCATCCCTTAAAAATACCTAAAACTCAAACTGGTAAACTGACCCACTTGCAAAATTCCTGCGCAAAAGCTCTCTTCTTTAAAAAAGACGGCGAGCTCAAAATTGTCCCAATCGAAGCAAGACTCACTAAAATCGCAAAGAAAAAAAGAACTTTCTGCCATTTCGGTGTCATTTCTATCATAAACTGAGATCATGAATCCAAGACTGATTGAACTCTTGACTTTTTATCTCAGAAGTGCATAACTATCAGATCTGATAATTTTCAGATTTGTCTAAAAGAAGAGCCACATCAGCAAACATAACCAGTACTGTCCGCTCCAAGAATTGGAAAGTCAAAATGTCAATCTTATTTTAAATCAACAAGGAGATCAGAATACATCGTTTCGATAAGATTTTTGAAGTTTTTTATTTACAGACAGTATAAACATAATAGTGAGCATGTATAAAAATGAGCTGGAGAAATAAATGTAGTTAGAATTTTTCAAAAAGTGCTTGTAAACTCGCTGAAGTATCAAACATCTCCACCACGCGGCCCAAGTTCGAATCTGGCTCTGGCAACGGGCAAGGAAGGATTGTTTTCTGAGTCGCGACGTTTGGCAGGTGAATTTCTTGCATCAAAATGACAAGGAGGAAGATAAACAAGTTTCCAGCGCCAAAGATAATCGCGAAAAGAGTTGGAGTGATGATTTTTCTTTTCAAAAGCGAAATGCCGAAAAACATCATTGAAAACATCCAAGTTGTTGGGACGTAGACAAAACTCGTGAAGCTCAGTCGCTGGGCTGGGTAGAGTTCTTGGACGCACTCGATCCATTCTGATCCTCCTTGCCAAAGCTGGAATGGGAAAGCGGAAATAATCAGGACAAGGATGGAAGTTCCGCCGACGGCGAGGATAAACCACCATTTGTTTAGCTTGTTATCTCTTCGCATGTTGGTCCAACCGGCCCAGAAGAGGAGGCAATTGCAGATCATCAGGGTTCCGAACATGGCGGTATCAGCGAATTGAAAAACGGTCTCAGTTATGTGTCGGTATTCAACGGGAACGGGGACGAGTAGCTCATCTGGTCGAAGTCGGAAGCAAAGGTAAGCAAATGCGAGTTGCAGAAGCGCTCCAAGCTGGTAGCAGATTTTGACGAGGGCGGCGGTGGAGCGGGTAAGGATGATTCCGGAAATGGCGTTGACCAGGGCGGAAAAAATGAAAACATAGAGGACCCAGCTTTTGACTAGCGTGAAATTTCCGATGATCGAGCAGATCGTCAGCACAAGGCCGAGGGTGAGACAGATGATGCCGGAAAGTCCGTGTGGCAAGTAGAGAGCTGGAGTAAGCCATTTGAGGCGTTGCATCTTTTCCATGGGAGTTTTCATCTCTTTTATTTTGTAGTTTTGAGTTTTTGGATGAGAATCGGTGACTTGCAGGTTGGTTTTATAGAGGAGCAAACAAGACCAATTCGTTGAACGCGGTCGCTGATGAACGGGCTTAGCAGAGTGCGCATAATCGGCAGACAAACACAAAGCGTTCACAAAATGAACCTGGCCAAATATTGCAGGATGAATTTTGCAAAAGTTTCTAACTTTAAATTTCAATTTCTGAACAAAAAAAAATGAATTAAAGCTCTCACCACCGTTTTTTGTTCAAATACAGGCAAAAAGTGGTCTCTTTTTGGGCTAAAATTGAATTTTCGAAGGTTATTTTAGATAAATTTATTGAAGAGAATGAATAACGCTGTTTGGTTATAATATAGAAGGAAGTTTTCAGCTTCTTTTTACGATGTTATTTTTCAAAAAAAAGGGATAAATTCAAATTTAAATATCGTAGACGAGTGTTCCCTGCATTCCTTTCTTCCTAAACTTTCCTAGGGTCTATCAACAATTTTTGCGGCAGTTGTGCTTTCCTGGTGTTTACTCGAATTCGAGAACTCGAGATAATCCATTTTCGACGAACGCGTGTTTTTCAGTACCCATCTCCAGATTGCCTCTTGGCTCGTTACTAGTCAGAAGTAAACACAAGAAAAACTAATCTTATGTTCCTCAGTTACGGCCAAATTAGATAACTGAGTCTTAAAACGGCTCTTTTTTGACCTGATGCCCTTAAAAACACGTGTTCAGTTTACATAACCAAAAACTTCCGGTGCGTCATTTTCGAAAAAACTTGGGCTCCCGCCCAATATGCGAAACAAGAATCGCAAAACACAAATCGCGTCAACATCGGACAATGTCGCATTTTAAAAATTTTCCAATCCAAAGTTTATTTTCAAACAAACTAACTAAATTTTTCGATGGCAGATGTACGGGCGCTTCGTTCTCTCGCAATTGTCAATTTTCCAAACGCTTTATTCAGGATCTTATAATTATTATTTGGAAGTAATAACGGTATAAAAAATACTATAAATAAAACGATATTACTTATACGATATAAATCGAACGGTATAAGTAATTGTAAGTAAGTGTTTGTCATCGGTAGGTTAAAAATTATTTTCATAAAGATACTATCAATAAAAATCATTAAAGATAAAATCAATAATTATCTTATGGTTTCATAAGTATACTTTCTGGAAGCATCTGTTATCTTATTTTGACTTTTAATGTAAAATTATAACAAATAATATCAGACGTTTTTCTGTCCTATCAATGATGTACTCTCGAAACAAATAAGACCCTGTTCCCATAGTTCTCCTGAGACATAAATGCTGAGCATTCCGACGGATGAAGCGTGTGCCTTTTCGCTCTTTGAACATCATTGTATGACCAGTTCCTAAAAAAGATATATAATCCTTTAAACTTTCAACCCTTGGGTGGCCATCAAACTCAGGACAGGAGGATTTGTTAAAGCTCAAAAGTTCTTACCGTCTTTTTTGACGATCGTTGACGAGCGAGAAGTCGGACACCCAGCGCATGCTTCCTTGGAAATTCACGATTCCTAAAAGGTTTCGATAAGTTCGGAGAGCAAATAATAACCGGAAGAAAAAGACTGACCTATCCATGGATTGAGCCGTTGCCAGTGGCGGATGGCCAATTGGGACTGCTGGATCCGGTCGGAAATGTTCGCTAATGTCTGGCTTTTTTAAAGGGCTCGGTTTTATGATGTTTGGATTGCACTAGAGTTTTGCAATTAAACATTTTTCTCCGGGCGTCAAAGTAAATGGCAAAATTGAAGATTTGGCAAAATCGGACCCGATTTTAATTGACCCCGTTTAGTTGCCTGTTTATAATTGAATGACTTTGATGCTTATTTTATCAATCAGCCCTTTCCCGCGCTCATCACAGAGCTGAACCGCTTCAAGAAATGTCACAGGGTCTGCGTACAAGTAGTCTGAAAAGTTAATTTCATAATTGTCATTGTCAGGAAGGAGATAATTACATTTCAGCCCTCGGACGGTCGTCGATTGCACATGTTTCGGAAGAGTCGTGGATTTTTGTGTTCGTGAGAAACTCGAATTGATGCAAGCAATGAGCGCTTTTGATGTTGAAAATATAAGTATTTGTCGAACAGGAAACTTGCTCTACCAATCATTAAACTTTTGAACGATGTTCGTCACTAATCAATGTTAATTAATGAATCTAATTCTATAATCAAAAAAAAATATTTATTGTTTTTGCAATAATTACAACGAAAAATATTAATCAGTATTTTTCTCTTTTGAACTCTTGTTTTTTTTTATTTCTTTTCAACTTCCTGAAAACTTCAAAATCTTCATTCCAATGATCATTCTCTCTTTTTTGGTTCTTTTCAATTCTTTTTTTTTTCTTGAAGTTCTTGACTTCCCGGACTTCCTGTTTGGCTGTTTTATGGAATGCACGGGGCGCTAGTAAAATCCCCTTGCGGAGTTGAACTTGGCAAAGGTGTCGGTAAAACAATAATAAAGGGCGCTTATTTCGAGCTCCGCAGCGCTCTCCGTAAATTTTCGCCGAGCCCTTTTGGACAGCCAAACAAGAGTGTCCGCCTTTGATCCGCCGACTCGGGCATTATGGACGAATAATTTGTATCTTGTACTTTTTAAATGATCCAATTTTCAATAAATATTTTTCAAATGAAAGAATCGATTCTGCTTTCAAGAAATCTGAAGGAAAAGGAAGCCTCGATTTGAAAAAAGAAAACAGTGTTTTCTTGTTTGAGCCAATTTTTTCATGTTCCCGGGCGGCGGACAACCCTTTTTGGATAAAAATAAATCTTGTTCATCATCGATTCCGCGAAGAAATCTGGTATTTTCAATCATAACACGAAATGGGAACTTTTGTCAAAACTTGCTGAACGACCAAAAATCGCCGAAAAATGAACTTTTCAAATGAAGATCTTATGTAAAGTCCCTTGTCGAGAAATCCATATGGCTTCAAGTTCAAAGGCGCCTTGCCGCGCGGCTGATCCGAGGTGATATTCCCGGGATAAACGCGTGCCTTTATCTCAAGGGTATTAAAATTGCGCCTTCTGTATACAAATATTTTCGTTATTTATGGTGGAAAACTTTTAATAAAAATTATGGATAACCATAAAAATTTTCCAGGACTAAAAAGTCTGGCAATATTGCGGGAAATCTTGATTCGAAAATAAAATTTCAATTTTTAGATTTTTGTTAAAGAATAGCCGCTCTGTACTCCAGACTCCGGAGTCCAGAGTCTAATATTGCACCCGAAGTATACTCAGGTTTAAAAGGGATGTATTCATAATACTAAAGTTAATCCCATATCATTTTAGAGCGCGCTTATTTTCGCTCCGTGCGATAAGTCAAAAAAAAAGTTGTTTGCCGTGCGTTTTTACTATCTACAACTCCACCTCACTACCGCTTGTTCCCACAACACGCAAATGATTCAATCCGCGGCGCAATCAGGCGCGCTCTCTGACGCCATCTGAGCCATTCTGAAAAGAATCCAGAAAGTACCCGAGTCATTCTGAGGCTTGATAAAAGCACGAATTAGCTGTAAATTTTGAAAAGTACTTTTTGAAACATGAAAGTTTTTGGTATCTTCGCGATCTCGGCGAAAATCGCACAGGCTTCACAACCTGAGAGACTGGACACGCTTCTAGAGATGATCAGACATTACAGGTACAGTTTTTACTGAGATGAAAATTTTGAGTTTTTCTTTTGAAATTTTGAAATAACCGCTAAAAATCGAAAATTTTTACCCGAGATTTCTAGGCCAAATTTTGACGATACAAAATACTTCTCGTATGGTTGCCATTGTCTCATCAGAGGAGATCAACTCGACCACCACGGAACTGGCCAGCCCGTCGATGCCCTCGATGCCGTCTGCCGAAAGTACAAAAACTGCCAGAAATGCGTCCAACGTGAATATGGAAAAGACTGCACCGAGGCGGCGAATTACAAGATCCGATACAGCTCCAGCGGGGCTATCAGAGCTCGAGATCGACTTGCAACTTGCGAGAGAGAAGTGTTCAACTGCGATCATCAATTCGCTCTGGACATTGCTGAGGAACTTGATGTCTACCAACAAACTTTTCATACTTTCATGGGGCCATTTGATTACAATGGTTAGTTTTCGTCCAGGAAGTAATGAATTGGCAAGTTCATGCTGCAAATTTTTGGACACCTATATTACCAATTATTAGTTGTTGATTAGACTCATAAAATTCACCGGCGGTTTTGATGATTTTATTTTTAAGACCCCGCTAATTGCTCGAAGATTCAATCGAGGACAATTTTCAAAGCTGAATGCTGCGGCGGAGTCAAAAGGAAAGGGTTTGCCCGATCGTTTATTTTTGTTATTATGTAACTTGGGCACTTTGAGAACCCGCGGAAAGCGCCTTTACTTTATTTAATTCATTTGGAATTCAAAAATGCTGCCCCGACGGCACCGTCCGCAACGAGTGCTGAGATCCGATCTGGAAACTGGATTGAAAAATATCCTGATCAAGCGATTTACTTCGAGGAAATACTCTTTGAAGCTGTACAGTTATCAGATAAACAATTTTGTAATAAATAAATTCAAAAATTTTAAAAATGCTTCGATGATTTGTCGACAAAAAAAGTCGTTGAGTAACAAGAACGGTTTTATTTTTGCATTGATTTAATAAAAAAAATGATCTTTAACTTCCCAAGAAAAGCAGGAATCAGCGCAGGAATCAACACATTTATCAGGGGATGTCTTAAAGACAATCGGATGAAAACACAAATGATTATGTTCATGTATAGTCGTTGATGAAGTTACGTGAGTTCCATTCCATTCAAGTCGCTCAACAATGGCATTTCTTAATAAACATATTGAAACTATGTCATCATTTTTTCGGGATCTTACTCGGAATAAGAGCTTCCAGCAAAAGAAATTATAAATTCGTCAAAAAACAGAAGACTAGATGTCACAACTCCCTTAATTTTAGCTCGAATAAGAACAATTATATGTAATGACCTGTTGCAACCGACCCGCAAATGACCATTCATTATTCCGAAGCAAATAAATTTCATCGGAAAAATTATTTTCACCATCAGTTATTTTGTTTCCTCCGAGTGTAAGTATTCCATTTCCCAAAGAAACGCAGCCCATGCATCTTGCAGCGATCGGGTGATTTTTACCGTATTGCCAACCACTGAGTCCGAGAATTTCGATTTTCGAATGAACATCTCCTGTTTCTGTGTCTCTACCAGCAATAGCAGTTGGCATATTGTTGTCCAGAGCCATACAGCCACAATCATGTTGGAAGTTCATTACATACGGATTATTTCGCGTTATTTGCCCATTGAAGTCTTCGCATTTTGTATAAGGAGCAGAACCAGAACACAGGAGAATCTCATTTGGCATTGTTGGTACTGTCACAAGCATGCCATCGATTTCAAAATCGTTTAGAAGCGTTATAGAAATAAGTTCTATCGAGCATTCATTTAATTTTGTAATTTGTCTTGGACTATTATTTCCACCAAAGAAGAATATTTCTCCGTTCAAATATCCATTTCTGACACCTTCAAGAGAGAATCCATCTACATCAGGAGTTGAATAATAGCGATTGTCCTTTCAACAAGCTCAAGTGATATATAAAATTGATGACTCACACACTTGAAGTCATAGTAAAAACAGAAAAAATGCATTATTTTCTTAACCAATATTGTAAGAATTTTTCTGAATATTATCAAAAGCTTTCCTTGAACGATCCATCAGCTGAGATGATATAACTGTGCTTATAACTATATCTCTGACATATTGAAGTTATAAATGGCTGACATTTATAACCGCCATCACATGGACACCCAGTTGGACATTCTGACATACAAGGGCATCTTGCAGAATCAATAAAAAAGTCGTCGTTACATCTCTCGAAACATGCGTTATTGGCGTAGCAAGTGGTAACGCACTTTTTTTGACGAGCTGCAGCCTCTTCAATACATTGCTTGTATATCGGATTGTCAAGCTCCGGATTCTTACAAAAGCAAAGAGGGTGCTTACAACCATCACATCCATCGGGACAATCATGAAAACAAGGACAAGAATCATTGCATTCTGAGTACTCATGCAAGCACACAGATTCGCAGACAGAATCTGCACAGTTTCCTCGACATTCAATGAAAATAAGACGGCATTGAGCATCGCATTGATCTCCAAGTTCTTGATCCCTTTATTATTTATAAGTATATCGAATGAAGTTCAGATACTTACGGGCATGATCGTGTATTCTTTGAAAGACTACCTGCAGTGCCGAATATAAATAGCAATATCTCTCTCATTATATTGAGAAAAACTGAATTTCAGAAGAGTTGACTAGAAATCAGCCGGACTCTTTGACATTTACAGTCACATTGAGCCAATTTTCGGCAAATATTATACAACAGAAATCAAGGAAGAAAATCCGATAGTCTATTCTCTAAGAATAATATTTCAAAAAACTTACCAGCAAAAAGACTTTTTTCTAATTTTTAACATAAGTATAAACATCAAGAATCTTCCATCTTTCTAAATATAATGTTCATGGCAGGCGCTAGAATTCTGTAAGTTGATGTCTTGCTCAAAGCAATTATGCATTATCGCTCACTTCCTGCAGCAACAAGTGTTTTCTTCAGCGCGCTTGCATATAACATTGCTCATTACAGTAGGGCGGCGCTGAGGCACTGTGGTACTTGTGAATAAATTACATTTAGCTCTGCACTGCTTTCGCATATCAATTTTTTATTCTTGCTTCGCATGACGACTTCCTGCTTGTAATTGCCTCTTGCTTAGTTTGAGAGAAGATTTCGTGGATTTCCACCGAAACTTTATCAACCAGTATTCAAAAAAAAGTATGACGGAAGAGTCGAAAGATGAGGAAGAAAAGTCAAAAGAGAGTGAAAGTAAAGAAAAGAAGAAGATGGAGAAAGAGAAGAAGACCAAGAAGCCGGGAAGCTTTGGAATTACAAGAGAAATCGTTCATACATTGCTTGTTTTCGTAGCTTTGATAACTTGTCTGATAACCAGGTACACCTTCTGCTTGAAAAAATGGTACCACTCTTCTATGTTTACAATTCTATAATATTAAATTATAGACTATAAATTAATTTATCCAAATTTTTTTCGTATAAAACTTGATAACTTATACAAATTTTAGAGATATCATTCTAGCTGAGGTTTTTGCGTGCAAAAAAATATTTTAGGTATTCGAAAAAATGGTTCTCTTACACCATTCATGACCCTGGTGGAGGCGAAGAATCAATAGACATTGCTGTTGGTATCTCTTCCTGTTGCCTCAACACAAGTTGCTATCCTTCTGGTGGCACCGGCTACTTCCCAGATGCAACTCAAAAAGCTTCCATTGATGCCAGAGAAAACCTCACTATTTCTGTCTTCCTTCTTAGGTCACGGTTATCGAAATGTAGCCAAAAACACGGAAAAATTTCAAATTTCCCGTTGATTCCTGAGTTTCTAGAGCTAATCAAAATCTCGTTCAGTTTCGTTCCAACTTATTGCCCGTTGCTGTCAACTTTGTGACCGCAAGTTCGAAAGGTGCCCTGCTCTAAACGAAAGAAAACGGTTGACAATGGCCTGGCAAGTTGTGCGCTCGCCAGCGACCGTGGTCAGCTTGTGGTGATAAACGAATTAGTGACACACGTCGCAAATGGTCCGCTTGGCTTAGGGGCGTGAGCGGTTGCATTTCCGGTTGCTAAGGGGGTTACATTTTTGTACTTTCAGTCATTCGAGTTTTGAAACAACGAAAGTTCGAAAACTTGATTCGATAACCGTTGAATAGTTTTGGTCTTCTGATAAGCGTCGCCGAGTTATCTATGGATACCAAAGGAATGGCTCTCGCACGTGGTCTCTCATGCAATTTTCATATTTTTACCTCTTTTTTTGATATGTTATCAATAATTTTATCCCGTTCAATGAATGAAATTTCACGAATTTCGCTGTAAAATTCCGGAAAACCCAACTTTCGCCCTTCCAATCTCGATTTTTCTGGGGCTGTTACGCGCTAATCCGATTTTGAGGGCGTCTCCCTTGAGTTAAATCTGTACCGGAATTCGTAAAGATCGGTACGAACTCGCTTTATTATCCTCCTCGCACCAATTGCGGATTTGAAAGTGGTCAATTGGCGCGTCATCCGTCACCAATAATCGAGAATTATGGAATTGAGCGGCTTAGTTCGCTGTCATCGCGAAGAGAAACAGTTCTAGAGCCTTTTGAAAAGCGCTTCCAGCATCGCAATTTCAAAAATTGAAATTTCTGCGAATAATGATGTTTATTTTGGTCCTTTTTGGTTGTGTTTTCAGCGGGATGTCGGCAAAATCGTCACTTTCTGAAGGCAAACTTCCTTGGATTGGGCATTGCCGAGGATACTGCAACTTCTTTAATACTCAAGAAGGCGCGATTTCTACTTTTACGGAATTCAAAAAGGTACAAGATTTTCGAATTTCAAAATTCATTATAAGAAATTCGAGGGATGACCCTAATAATTATTTGAACAGAGCGGATAAGATAGTGTTAGAATATTCGGAGTTCAAAGCCGGCGACTGCGGCTGGTGATTGCGGCAAGGCAAACGCTGCTAATATTTTTTGCTCTGTGCGCACTTGAGATACTGTCGAATGGCGAAGTTCTAACTGCATGTTCTAGGGCACAGAGGCTCTGAATTTAAGGGGGACGCTCCGTTAAAACCACTTTTTCATCAAAAATACTCTTTTTTCAGTAGTTACTGTAGTTTTCTTAGTTCTGCGAGATCGTCAAGAAGAAAACTCCCGAAGAACTCGTTGACGGCCAAGAAAAAGATCCGAAAATTGGACTTGGAGTCATTTTTATTTTTCTGAGTAAGTATAACTGCGAGTTTTGTCTAAAAGAAATGAATCTACTGATATGTTCTTAGCAATTGTGGCGGAAGTTTCGGCAACCTTGTCAATGGGCTTGTTCCTCGTCAAAGACATGACACAAGCAGGCAAGCAGAGAGTCGAACCCTTGCCCGCCGCAAAAGGAATGTTTTCACTCATTAACAGATCTCTGTGGCTCTTCCCGTAAACTCACAAAATATATTGAAAAGGCTTAAAACTGATGAAAATTTCAAAAAGCAGATGAATCGAAAGAATCAACAGAAAAAACGACCGGTTCTGAGAAGGAAAACGACGAAAAAGGAGCTTCAAAAGAATCTTCTGAAGAAAAATCAGAAGAAAATATGACAGAGGCCGAAAAAATCGCCAAGAAAATTAAAGATAGTCAAGATAGATGGGCAGAAAAGCAGAAGAAAAAAGCTGAAGAGGAAGCAGAAAAGGAAAAAGCAAAGGAGGTGGAGAAAAAAGAAGAGCTTTCAGGTCTCGGTCAAAAAAATGAGAGTGCAAAGTTAAGAGGAAATGTTTTTTGAACGAGTATAATTAGAATCGCCCGAGATGGAAAAATCGAAATACGAAATTTACAAAATCGTGGAAGAGGAAGAAGAGGAGCACATTGAGGATTATGATAACAAATTCATGATCTGGCATTTTGGTGCGATCCCGAGAGAGTAAGTTCATTTAATTATTTAACGCATCCTGTTCTTTCTCTTACGTGCCTGACTATATATTGTATATGCAGAAAAGAACGTCCATAGGGAATATTAGGCTCTAAAATGGACTATTTTTGCAAGTCTTTTTGGTCGTTTTTGGATCGACTTTTCAATTATTTCGCCGTTTATTATTTCAACTTCCTGGATCGAGCCTGCCTTGACTTTGGCAGAAGAAAATAATCCAATTAGCCGTCTCGTTAAAATAATCCTTCTAAAAGCCCTTCTTGAACTCGAGAAAACGTCAATTTCTAAAACCCTGTTTCTAGGCTGTTCAAATTCGATCTCGAAGAAGCGGAGAGACAAGAAGCCCTGCTCGAGTGCGACGATTCTGAAGCTCTTCATCAAGCTCATTTGAAGCTTCCGAAAGCGGAAATAGAAATTGCATCCGACAGATCGATAAATTCAACTCCCGATAAAAGGAAAAAGAAGAAGAAAAAGAAGCCAATGTTTAGGAGAAAAACGATTGATGTCATTGATAAAACATTGTTGCTGGCCGCGATGTTTGGGAGAACTTTCAAAAGGTAAATATGATTTTTTTTCAAGAGAAAAGTCAAAAACCATAATAATACGAAAAAATTTGACAAAGAAGATTTTTACTTTTATGAATTCGATGGATAATAATTTAAAAAAAACAACCTCGTAGATTTTACTAAGATCAATTATACAAAATTGAAGCAATTGCTTCATCTGATAAAAACCCTTACCTTACCAACGAATAAGACTAGTAGTGAAAGAGAATGAAAAGCTGGTTTCCGTTGATTAGGTTCGTTATACTTATGATGACAAAACCCGTTCCGCGTCTTGGCTTCAAAATAAACGATCAAAGGATGACAACTTTTTTTTCCATAATAAGAGGACGTATTGATAGTCTTAGTTCAAATCAAAGCCATCCCCAAATACCCTCCTTTCCTTTTCTTTTCAGGTCGAAAAACACGCTGCGAAAGATTGGATCATCCCCGGCTCTTTTCGGCAATACTTTTTATGCAAGGAAATTGTCGAAAAATGACATTGACGAAAATCATATTCTTACGGGTTCAAATACGGTGGCAGTGGCCGCTGCCCGCTCAGTGAATAAATATAGCGGGCTGAATTTTGTGAGGTCATTTTAGACACAAACGTGTTATACTTGCGCTTGCTACTGTAAAAGTAGAAGTGATACTGTCCGATATTGGAGAGCGACTTCCAGTTGTTTCCATAGTGTAGTGGTTATCACGTTCGCTTTACACGCGAAAGGTCTTGGGTTCGAACCCCAATGGAAACACCATTTTTATGATCTTTTTGATATTTTACGGTAATTTGAGAAACAGTCAATTTTCGACGATCAAAAAGACCCCCAACACCGGTGGATCCAAAGGTCCAATTCCTCAAGCAAATCGTCTATCCAGCAAAAGTAAGACCTATCTTCCGACGCAGAATACTTATCGGATATCCTTAAGCCCGTCGAAAAACGATTTGGCAGATTGGATTCCTTCAACATACAGGCTGCAGAGAAATTCGTCCGGAAGATAAAGAGGCGCTTATCAGAGCCGAATCTAAAGAAGCTCAAGAAATTGACGAAGCTAAAGGTCGAACAACTGAGAAAATTTGATACAAATGCGCTTCTCAACAGGATAAGTTTGAAAGTGAACATTGGAAAATAGAAAAAAACCATAATTATTTGAGAAATCGGCGAAAGCAGACTTTTTTTCTTTCAAAAAATAATTGATTCCTTATTCCTAAGTAAATTAGTCCATTGATTTTGATCAAAAACTCAAAAAAGAAACGCATTCACTGCTCCGCCTGCATCCCCGTTCGGTCGTCACGTGAGTCGCAAGGTATGTTTCTAGCCCTCTGTTAGAAGAACGACACTTGTTTCGAACACCTGAGGCTTCTCTGAAAAGCTCTCTTAGATAACTGGTCAAGTTTAGTTGAGAAACTTTGATTTAGGATTCGAGGACTGGAAAGCTCAAAAGACGATTGACGAAGCCTCTTTCAACTTTTAACCTTGGACTGTTGTTTGGGACGGAGACGAGTCCTACATACAGTCAGGGTTAAAATGTGCTTCTTCCATCTAAAAATGAGGCTGAGGCGCAATAAACCAATCAAAAATCAGTAAAATTTGGTGAAAGCAATCAAAATTCATTATTTTCAAAACAACCAATCAAAAATCAGAGTTTTTTCGGTCAGCCAATAAAAACCCATAAAATTCCATTTCTTTTTAACCCAAAAAGTCAACAAACAACACCAGTGGAGAGTTTCTACGTAACCATGTCTGCAGATGTAAGTAGCAAGCCAAGATTAAATTCAGCAGCATCCTGCTTTTTCATCCTTGTTTTCCAAGATACAATGCATTATTTTAGGAGGCCAAGGACGCGAAAAAGAAGAAAATTCACAGAAGAATGAGCACTTTCAATCTTGGCCTTCTCTTTGGCACTCAAAACTCGCCGACTTACAGGACCAGTTCACCAACAATTAGCAAATTGAAATTCTTCCGTCGAAAACACTCTTGTTTACAAAAATCACTCTAGAATTCGTTGAACTTGGGCTGAGTCAAGAGACAAGTCCAAAAGAATCCCTCGTTGTATCCGACTCCGACGGGGACACTTTGTCAGCGGCAAGTTTCAAGTCCGAGTCGCCCAACTCGGAAATTCTTGACGAAGGGGCCGCTGCAATCAAACGAGCCATGGAAATTCGAAGAGAACAGGCCAAGGAACGTTTTTCCAAAATTAATCATGTAGAATTGAAAAGTCTGAAAAAACCATAATTAATCTTTTTCATGATCGTTAAAGTAATTTTTTTGAATATTTTTAATTGATAACTTAATTCTATTATGTCCAATATCTTTATAATTACCATCAATCTGACCATAAGATATCCAAAATAAAAACCCTCTCGAAAAACCAAAAAAGCTGAAAGCCGAGGAAGAATCCGAAAAGAAGACCCTAAAAGTCCTTAACGATTGGAATAGGCAAGCGCGTATGATCGCCTTTATCCGTGATGCACCGGTGCCAATGCCGCCTAAATGCGCCTATCTACCCCTTCGTGGCGACTACTCTTCATTCCCAAAGGCACTCGTTATCAATTTTTATCCCAAACCACGTGAAACGTGAGGAAAAAAGTTCCCGGTCGAACCCATTTTCATAAAAAAAGGACTCTTGATAACAACTTTTTAAAGGCTCCAGCTGCAGTTGGAGTTGTTGATACAAGCTCTATTTATCATCCTGAGTCGCCACCGAGAATGATGCAAAGTCAGAAGATTTTGCATAAACTTGTTCATAAAGGGATCGTCCCCAATTTTAAAGACGAAAGCCATCTTTTTAATTTTTCCGTAATCAATATTGTCAAGGCCGAATTCAGCGTGTAGAATTCGTTACGGGATGATCCCGCTGTTAGAACGTCCCGGCGATTTAGAATCTCCAGAAGCACTTCCGGTGACTCTACGCGATGCCAAATACGAGAGCGAGGATCAGAAACAGGCGCTAAGCACCAGACCGGATCTGGCATTTGAAGATGAGAGCTACCAACTCATGAGCGGCCAAGGTCACGTTCGAAAGATGCAAATCCGACGGCAATTTTTCGTGCACTTTTTTCGGTGACCTGTGTTGCAGGGAAATTCAGAAGCGTGACACGAGCAGACTCAGACTTTCCGAAATATGCTTAGAGATTTTTCATCCCCTTAGAATCAGTAAAAAAGTGTAAAAGTCGGATACGATTAGTGGCAATGAGCTTATTATTAGCTTGAAAGACCTTACCGTTTTCTTGCAAGACGTTAGGTTCCAGGCGTTTTTCAAACGTGAGAAAAGCAACAAAAACAAACTGGATGCCGATGATCAAAACTGAGCAGGTACGTAACCCTAGCCCTTGGTGTTTTTGAGAACAACCTAATGAGCTTTTGAATTAAGGAGAGCACCTCTTGTGTAATGATCAATGAAAGATGGAAAGGTTGAAAGATAAAGCTTTTTTGTTGAGCGTGGAATAAGGAGGACCTATTCGAATTTCGAACAGTTTTGTTTTTTTTCTTATATCTGGAAAAAGCCAGATTCAAATAAGCTCAATTAGGATTTTTGTCATTATTGACGAGTAGACCCTTAAATTGTTATGTTCAGAGAACGGAGCTAGAAATTCTCCACGAAATGATCAACTGCCGCCGCCGGAAGAGAACATCTTACAAGTCGAGCTCGTGAAAAAACGGCCAAGAGTTCGGAAGGGCCTGTATATTTCTAGAAAACATTTTTAAAAACTATTCATTCCAAGTTCTTTTGCGCTCACTGCCAGCTTTAAATTCTGATTTGAATAAAATTAATCTGCGATATTGTAAAATTCCGAGTATGAATCGTTTTATAATGTTCAAGGCCAGTAAACTGCGGTGGCAATAAAAATTTGTCTGGTCAGATAGAGCAAATAGTCAGAATCGTTTCAGTACAGAACACTCATAATCGTAATCATCAGTAGAAAAAGCCAAGAATATTTCAAGAAAGAGATCTAAAATAGAAATATGAGAGGGATTCCAAAGGAGTATTTCAAAGGACAGTTGGCTAAAAGCTATTATTGCCATTTTTGCAAGTATGATTAATGTATCTTGCTGGTTATTAACGAGGATTCTAGTCATATCAGGGAAAAATTGTACAGGCGTAAAACAGTGGAAGATTCCGAATCTGGAACCTGGAGAAGATGGGTTTGCGAAAAAAGAATTTGTGATAAGTGCATTGAAGAGAAAATCCAAGGAAATTGTCTCGGTTTTAATATGGGATGCTGTGGGTTTCTTTGCGATGGAAAGACAGAATTGACACTTGTTAATATATATTTTCAAAATGCCAAATTTTCTTGTCCTCATAAACTATGCGACAAAGATCTTTCCTTCGACGAATTCTTTAATCACAATCATCAAGAAGCAATTGAAGACGATACACTAATTTCGACCTCGACTCTGATTGATGAAGAGATTGCTCGTCTGCAGAATCTCAAACTTATTGAAGAGGATCTCAAAAATACGGAAGCAAAATTAAAGAAAGCATCAGACGAGGAATTGAAGAATAAGAAAGAAATCGAAGAGCTCTGTGAAATGATATCGGGGCTGCAAGATAAATTATCCGACTTGCGGGAGGAACAAACTCGCCTTGTCAATACAACGAAAGATCTGAATACAAAATTGACGAAACTGAGAGAGGACGCAAAAGAAATCAAACTACTGGAGATCGGTAAATTTTAAATTCATTTGTATAATTATTTTTTATTTGCTTTAACCATTTTTGAAGCTCGAAAGATTACTCCTCAAGAAGTAGATGCTTTGACGTGTGGAGTATGCCTGGAAAAGTATGACAACGAAGATCATCATCATTCCATCATTATAAGCTGCTGTCATTCATTTTGCTTCCAGTGCTTGAATATGCTTCAACCGAAAACTTGCCCAAAATGCCGACAAGCGTTTTCAGCTGATCAAATTAAGAAAATTTTCTGAATCAATTTTTGCCTTTTATATTTTTTCTGATTCTTCATAATTCAATATTCTTGGTTACTGCAATAATTTAAATAAATATTATTTGATTCATTTCATTTTATGTAAATGTAAGTTCAGCTCGAACTTTTGAAAGTAATTATTGTAATCGTGCATTTTGATTGACGCAAAGATGGTTGTTTGAGGGTATTTTCGGAATGTCGAGCTAGAAAAAAAGAAAAATGAAAAATTAACGTTCTTGCTTTGAAAATATGAAGAATACATCCCCGAAATTCTCGGAGACGCGAAACTCGGAGGATCTTCCGCTCATCCGAATTTTTCGCCTTTTTTCTGAAATTCTTCTGAAGCATTACGACACCTGTTTGGTCACACTTTGAAGTGAAGATTGTCGAGTTCGTGAGGCGATGAGAAATTTTCGGAAGGATTCGCGCTCGTGATGCTGAAAAGAAGTAAAATTAGTGATTTGAAACTTGCAAGGTGAAGAGTTCACTGAAAAGAACAGCTCTCCTCGGCTCTTGAATTTGGAGGAAATGAGGCCGAAACCAACTGATCCCTTATCAGTGAATTATTTACCAAAACTTCTTGTTCAGCGAAAATAATAGCATCAAGCAAATCGTCGAGTCTTGATTCGTCGGCGAGGGATTTATTCATTTCTTTGGCGAATTCGAGACTGAAATCGAGTTTTCACGAGGAGGGGGACAATCAAATTAGAAACATTACCGAGCTGATTTTAGACGAGCCGAGGAGCGCTCCCGCGGCGTTCCAAATTCAATCACGATTGCTTGACTATTGCTCTCTGAAGAATAATTACAGCAAATTTCTTGCTTTACAAAGTTCAAGAATAAACTGGAACGGGAAATTTCGCAAAACAAAGTGAGAGTTAAAACTTTCACTTCAAGTGATAGCCGGTTTGCTTATTGCATTTTAAGAGGTTCTATAAAGAGTTCTCATAATTAACGCGACTGTTGCAATTCGCGGATAGAGCAGCTTTTTGGAATGCTTTTGGAAAACATGAGAACAACAAAGCTTTTCCAATAGGTATACCCTTAAGAAAGTCATAAGTAAACTGTCACCCGAAGCTCCCTAACCCTAACCCTAACCCCTGACCAAAGAATGAGATCCTCTTACCTTTACTGAGATTCTTCGCCTTTTTCGACTTTCGACAAAGAATTTGGTCCTTCAGCCTCGTTCCAATCTTTTTCATGCTTTTGCAAATTTTCACAAAATATAATATTTTCCCTCGACCCATTTTCTCTTTTCAAAGACGATTCTAAGACGTAGTTACAGTCAAAACTAAAGCTTGGAAATAATCGAGTTGCACGTCTGGGGAGTCCAAAACTCGTTACGCGAGTTTCACCTTCTCAAAAACCCTCTTCTCATTTGGGAAATTATCGGACTTGACACTTATATATTTGCCGCTTCGCCTCAAGACGTCTCATTTTTGAAGTTAATCAGAAAGTGTCTCTGATGAAAATTTTCCTGATTCTTCTGTCGCTGACTTCGATTTCCGGCATCAAACTCTCAATGCTTTTCTGAGTTTCTTTTGGGAAAAAAATATAGTAAGCGGATCAATTTTCTAATATCAAAGCTCTAGAAGAGCCAAACGAAGCTTTTGAACTCATCCTCATTTCGGTTTGACCTTGAACCATTAAAAATTCATCTTTTCGTCTATCAGACAAATGCAGCTTTTGGCCTGATGTGCTCGCGTATCGTGCTATTTTGAAATATTATGAATGATTATGAATGATTTTTACTGCGATGAAACTGGTCATACACCAAAGTTGAATTTTATTATCGCATCTTCAAATTAAGAAAAAAATATATTTCGATGATGCTTTTTTATTTTTTATGGTTTCTTTTACCTGAACAAATGCTTGAGCAAGAAGCTGCTGCGTACATTGCCATGTTCTTTCTCTTTCGGTATTCTAAAAAAATCTTCTTGGCTCGCTTTTTCTAAAAAGCCAAAATATAAATGCCGAGTCAGTCAGTTTGCTATCCCGAGTTTCTACAGATTGAGCCCTTCGCATTCGCGGCGAAATGAATTCATTAACAAAAGTAACTGTCACTTTCCCAGCGCCGCCATAAACAACAGAGCCCGCACCCTATTAGCTCAGACTTTTCAATTAAAAAAAATACGTCTTTAAAAGCAATTTTGCCTAATTACAGAAAAACCTGACAGAACTCCTCTTTCGAAAACATCTGTACCCCGACAGTACCTTTTTTATATTCCTTGAGAAAAAATGCTGAGTCGTTAATAATTAAATTCCGTGTTGAATATTCTTCTGATATCTCTTCAGTCTTCTGTTACTACCAGCCTCATGCGTAAATGCGCAGTCTATAAATCCACTTCCAGCCCCCTTCTTTTATTAAATGGAAGGTTTAAAACGGTAAAAATTCATTTGTGTGAAAGCGCTCTTGTTCTCAATTGATTATGCTCTCCTTCACTTATCCGGAGGATTTAATCAGGAATCTGGCTAATTTGCAACGCCTTGTAGGTCAGTTAAAGAGACAAATGTCATATTTAGCGGCAGGCTGAGAGCCTGAAACAATAACAAGTAATTTGAAAAGACTCCGGACGAAAATTATTTACTGAAAAAAATTTTTATCTCGGGCCCAATTCTCCGAAATTTGAGTGTTGTTAGGGCTGAATTAGGAGAAAGAAAAGCAAGATAAGCCAGAAAACAGAAGATGACAAGATTTGTTTTGAGCAAAAAGCGCTCTTATCAGGTTTTTTATGCTTCTTACCTTGGTACCGCCCATCATGTTTGCTTTTTTTTCCGAGAATGAGGTTTCAGCAATTTTTTATTGAAAAGAAAGAAGCATGAATTACGGTTGTTTTGTTCGTCGGCAGTAAAAGGGCAAAAAATGTCTTCATGCACAAAAGTGAGATGAAAAATAGTGATTGTAAAAGTAGAACTTGAGAAGCATGAAAGGTGAACTTTTTTATACAATAAAAAGGATGACCCGATGATGATCGCGACTCATTTCTTTTGAGAAACGGCGATTGATCGATTTGAATTTGAAATCGGAACTTTTAGGAAGTGAAGAAGAACAGCAGCTTTAGTCCTCGTCTTCTTCGTCTACCGCTCTGCAGATGGACCGATTGAGGAGTCGCCAAGCGGTGAAGCGGTAGAATAAAACAACCGTCAGCAGAAGATGAATCACACCCTTAATAATTTTATTTTGGCTGAGAAAAATCATTCAAGGTTAATTAGTCCTGAAATCATGATTTTCATAAAGCGTCAAAAGTTCGCGATTTCTGACGCCGTAACTAACGCCATTGAGAGAATTCTAGCAACTTTGATTTCTGCTGAGTTGTGTAAGATTACCTTGGATAGAAAATCGCCGCAGACATCCATCGGCCTAATGCCAGGGTTTTCTTCCGCGATCCAAGCAATTGAAATCCAATCTGAAAATGAGAATCTCAACAACTCTTTCTAAATGGATTGTTTTTGACTCAAAAATCGGGCTTTTCTGAGATCTTTCCTCTAGTGAACTTTTTGCCCATCTTTTGCTCGGACGAATTTCTAAGAGAGAATAAAAAAGGGAGTGGCCTTACCAGAGCAGTTGTAATACATGAGTCCAAAGAGCCAGAATTTGAGTTTCGGAATTCCAATCACCAGCCGCGAACGGCGCAAGTACATGATCATGATTGTCTGCAGAGTCACGAGAAGCAGCTCGCCGAGGTAGTAGAAGTCGTAGAAAATCCCGAAAGCCAGGACATCCGCCGAGCTTAAAAGAAAATGCTGATTTTCTGATTCTCGCGCAAGAGACGTTCTCACGTGTCAATCATGTGTCAATCGGGGTCATGAAATTTGCACAATTTAGGAAGCCAGGTCAAAAGTGGCACGAGACTTTTGCCAGTAATCACGCTAAATATTTTCTCGATAAATACAGGCAGCGTTGCGTATGTTAGAATTCTAAATCGAATTCTTCTAGAAAAAGAAAATCATAAGAAGTCGAAATTTCTTATTCAATATATATTTTCTCACAAACAACTCAGCGATTATCCATGACTTCCTGTTTGTATGTTGTATTCGATCAAGTGAGTAAAATTATAACCAGGACTTGATAATTTGAAATCACCAAAAATTTCAAATCATATTTTGTCTGAAATCTCATTTCCATTTCAAAATTTCGCATCATCTAAGCAAATTTCAAATCTCAGGATTTTCGCAACATCCTCGTCATTTTTTCCATATTTCTGAGATTGCTGAGATCTCAAAATCTCAAAAATCTCAAAGACTTGTGATTGGTTCAGATAGGTCTGAAATGCTTGAGATCTCAAGATCTCAGATCTCATTTCATTGCATTGCGCGAATCTAATTCATGTCGATATTTGAGAAAATTGAGATCTCAGCATTTCAAATATCATTTTTTTTGCAAAATTAAAATTGAGATTTCAATCAGAAAATTTCTTGAGATCTCATTTTTGACATGGATGTGATGGCTGATTCATAACAAGGAATTCCTCCACCCTTTCATATTTTCAAATGTTTTTCGAACAATTCTTAGATATTTATTTGAATTCAGGCATCATATGATCATATAATATAATATATATGGTATAATATGATTCATCTGATATCTACACGCCCTACCTTGCTTCAAGAAGAGCAACTTGACTTTCGCCTTCTCCACCTCCTTCACTTCTCCTGACTCTCTCCACATACGCCATCTCTGTCGAGTAAAAATTCTCGCTTGCTCGTTCGAATCCTTCATCCTTTTTTTCGCACAGTAACGAGTCAATAATTCTTGGGAAAACGAACCTGAGGAGTGCCAGTCATCAAATTCGCGCATTGTTCGCGTTCCTTTTCCGTTGCGAACATGGAGTAGTACGCGCCAACAATCAAGTGGTAGGAGATATTTAAATAAACCGCAATCGAGCTGTTTTTTTGGATAAGAAAAAATTGCCAAAAATGCTTGGCTTTGGTATCACTATCAGTTTATCCGCTTGTGCCTGAAGTTCATGAGTCCGTCGTCCTCGTCGTTGTGACAGCGGCGTTTGCGGATCGCCTTTTCCGGCTGCGTAAACGCGTAGTACACGATGACCCCGATGCAGGCCAGGCCGAGATAAGTGTTCAACAAACACATTCCCATCGTCAAATATGCCCATAGTCGCGTTTTCTTGATCACTGAAAAAATAATTTTTCCGTTCATAATTTTTCAACCTCAGCATTTTGTTTCGCGAAGAAATTACCTTGAACAACCATAACAGCAATTCGGGTCGATTGAAGCCCTGAAAAAAACAAGTGCCAAGTAAATCTTCTGAATAGCGGCACCGAAACACCCAGTTTTTCATGACTCTGTTCGAACTTCGTGAATTCCGGATTTGGAGTGAAGATTTTGAACGAACCGTTGAGCACGAACATCCACTCAAAGATGAAAATAGTTCCTTCTGTTTTCATGACATACATCACGTCTGAAAATAAACGTGAATGCGGCATTCCTAGTGTTCCTTTTAAAAGTTCGGGTGTTCCGATTCTAATTCTTTATTTTTACCGCCTCTAGAATAGCAAATCCAAGAACACTCTTTTTCTTTGGAAAGGATTTGCATTAGCACCCCTGCCCCAAATTTGGGCGAGCGTCTTTGGAATTACGCCCGGCCAAAATAAAGCTGCCCGAGATTTGATTTGCCAGATTGTTCAACAGGAAAAATTTTCGAAGAAATTTTTTTACCTTCGAGTGTCTTGACCCACCGCTGTCGAGTTTTGAACTGTTCGTCTGTCAAGTCTCCTTGGACCAAAAAATCGGCGCAAACTTCTTTCGCCTCGAAAAAGATCACGAACCATTGAGTGACGAGAGTGACCATTATCCAGCCGATCATGAGACGTACTTTTATGTTTTCATGAAAACTCTGATTGGGGATTCTTGATTTGCTAAATTCTAGACACCCCCCCCAATTCGGGAACCCCCCCCCTAATTCGGGATGGTGTCTGGAACCGACAAAAAAATTTCGACAAATTTTGCGTGGGCGGCAACTCGGCTGCTGATTGGCCGTTTTGCCGAATACAGGCTTCTGATTGGTTGAAAATTTCCACGAAAATTTTTTTGTCGGTTCCAGACACCTCCCCCCAAATTCGGAAATGAAGTCCATTTAGTCGAAAAATCCAAGGTTAATTAATTCTAGAATCCCAATTCTCCCTGTTCATCAAATTCATAAAGGCAACCATGACGAGGTAGAAAAGCAAGTCCTGATTCCGGTCATCAAATGTCTATTTCCGCCGCAAGCGATAGAATACGTTAGCTTTAATTAGAAACTTTCGTGGCTCGATTATGCAAAAAGCAAGTCAACCAAGACGAGATATTTTGACATAACTGCTGATCAACCAATTTCACTTTCGTAGAAATTCTAATTGATTTCTTTAAAAATTGATGACCGGCTACCGAAAAATGAATGACGATGTCAATAACTTCCACTTCATCCTAAAAACGATTATTTTTCTTTACAAAACGTGGGTTGGGTAAAATCGAAATTCGATTTCGCTTAGTTGGTTAATTCGTAAAATTGGTATGAAACCGCAGAATCCAAAATCGCTGCGCAAAGTACTATTTTTATCAATTCCGCGGTTTTCATTTTTGCTTAGAAATTTCCGATCTCTGAATTGCTTCATTTCAAATCCCCAATTCTTTCTGCTTATTATTGACGAGAAGAATTGACTTTGATGGTTTATTGAATAATTAAAAGAATGAGTAACCATTAACTCTAACTCTAACGCTCAGATACCCTTAAATGAGGCTTACCTGGTTCAGCATCAAAATAATCAAGCAAGTAAGATTATTCGTCACCGCACCAAAACTAAGCACATTCAGCGCCTTGAGCTAGAAGTCACGTTTAACGGAAGTCGCGATCACTGATTAGCCAAGGTCGCTAACCTTGAAGTTATCAACGCGCCGCCTGCGACTTCTATCGCAGAGAGTTGCGCGATTCAGATACATGTAAAAAGCGAAAACGCAGGAAACCACGTCGAGAAGGATTTTGTAATATTTCTCCGCGGCGGAGTGAATTGGGGTCGGACTGTTGCTTTCTGATTGTGATTGGGCGTTGTTGAGGTTGACCAGGCAGAAGGAAATGGCAAGGTTGATGAAGGAAAAGGCGATTGTTAGGGTGCCCCATAAGTAGGCTTACCGGACTAAAATTTGGCCAATTTTTCTAGCTTAGTTTGAGAGTAATATGATACATATTTAGAAAGCCCAGAAGCTGGGCTTTCATTTGAGCCCAAAATCAAGGGGTCTCGGTCATGGCCGGAAGGCAAATTATGGGACCGGAAGTTCTAAAATCGGCACAAGAACTCTTCTACCGATTTTTTCGATAGGTTTGGGATCTCTAGAGCTTTGAAAAATAGGTGAAATAGAAGGCTTAGACTCTGAGCTTTCTTAAGAGCCAATAAAATTTTGCCGCCCGTCGGTCTAGCGCCCACTTCTGGCCCTAGAAGTTGACTTCGAAAGTGCTTTATTCTGAAAACTTCAGGTTTCGACTCAAAATTTTCGACATCTAAACCTACTTATTATGTTTCTCAAACAACTATAAACAATAAATGTGTCTTAGAAAATTGAATCGCGGTTGACCCGGGAGGTTTTTTTTCATTTTTCCTCGAGTTTCTGTTGAAAAATACCCATATCCCCAAGTTCTCTTGCCACTAGAGGGCGCTTAACCCAAGGGCGGCAAGATTTTATTGGCTCTAAAGAAAGCTCAGAGTCTACGCTTTCTATTTCACCTACTCTTCAAAGCTCTAGAGATCCCAAACCCATCGAAAAAATCGATAGAAGAGTTCTAGTGCCTATTTTGGAACTTCCGGTCCCATAAATTGCCTTCCGGGCATAACCCAGACCCTTTGATTTTGGGCTCAAATAAAAGCTCAGCTTTTGGGCTTTTAATATATGTGTCATAAGACCCCCTTAGTAAGCTAGAAAAATTGGCCGAATTTCAGTCCGGTAAGCCTACCCATAAGTCGGAAGGAAGTTCTCGCTTTTTGATTGGTTGGGATTTTATAGGCTGGAATTGAATATATTAATCATCAAATATTTCGGAAAGTCCATCTTTGATAAAATCAACTGTCAAAGTGATCAGTTGGGAACGGTCAGCGTTGACCAGTCCTGATTCACGGCCAAGGTCAACCGCATGCTAATCTTTCTTCTGATTCTAATAAGACGGCAATTATGCGATGCCGCCACCTTGATGAGGTCTCTTTCCTCGAAAAGGTAAAACAAGTTCACTCATCAAAAATCAACCATTTCCTTGAAATTTTCTTCTCTCAACTCCGCTGGGTCCAGATCGGGTGGTGGCTCGTATTCTGGTAGTGCTGGTTCTTCGCCTGTTAGGTGATGGCCTCCGTTTTGATGATTTCGTACTTCGCCGTTTTGAAAACTGAAAAATTTGAAATCTTCTTCGTCGAGATTAAGGGGGTGGGCATCAATCAAGCTTAATTCGCAACGATTTTTTTGACTGAAATAAACAAAGTGAAACCCTTATTTTTGACCGAGGGAGATTCGATAGACTCCTGTGCTTCAAAAATAAGGGTGTCACTCTATTATATCTCGAAGAAAAATGCTCGTCGGAGGGCTTTTTCTCGATGCCTACTCCCTTAAATTCAAGTGTCTCTGAATCTTGACGATCAGTTGTCGAAAAAGTCGTTATTTTGATCACTCTGCAATTTGAGTAATTTTCATAAATTGTCATTTTCTTTATAATCTCTGCTTGAAAAAGTTTCCAGTAGTAAATACCTTGTTTCAGGAGCCACGGAAGATAATTTCTTGGTTGATATAGTGCCATTGAGCTAAATTTTTAATAAGCTCATTGGAAATAATCATTGGTAATATGTCAGTATGCGGTCAATGCTAAAGAAAATGGATCGACTTTGTTCTTCTTTCTTTTACTGTAACAGTATTACTGTTGATGAAAAGGACTGGTAATTACTGAGATCAATTCTGAACGATGAACTTTTCCGGTCTACTTTTGTCCGAAAAGCCGATCACTTCCGAAAGGAGAGAAAAAGCAATAAATTGAATAAAAGAACTATTAGTAATAGTCTATTACTGTTGTAGAAAAAACAAATACTGAAATGATTCGGGGCTCTTCAGTATTTCAGATCTTTAACAGATGTTTTTACAGGAAATTTTTGCTTCATGATCTCTTCTGGAATTAGGTCTTGAAAATCTTGACCTAGAAATCTTTGTCTTGAATACATTGGCATTTGCTTCTGCCATAAAAAGCGGACCGCTGACTGTATATCCGTTATTGGTGACGATTGAAAATGGTGGCCCAAGACCAAAGCCGTGAATAATGACCTTGAATATTGTTCCTTTTTACCTCGGAGACGATTATGCTTCCCCTTTTCATTAAAATCTCTGAGGCAAAATCCCGCTCAACCACAAAAGTGACAGTAAAAGAAAAGAAATGGAACTGCCAAGAGGGATCTTCTTTTTAATTATAAATCTGATCCCTGGAAATCACAATAAACAATATGCGAGGCTATAAAGAATGCAAAAGCGCCATTCAAAACAGCATATTCGACCAAGGGAATCATAACAGAATCATTATTGAATGAATACAGTATTGACACAATTTTCCATTATTTCTGTTGAGTAAGCGAAACAGACTACGAGTCATATTTATTATTCTGAGGTTCGGAAATGTTCGTAAAGGTCATTTTAAGGGTATTTTATGAAGAAAATTTTTGGATAAAAATCATATTTTATGTCTAACCTGGCCATTGACAAGATCTTGTAAATTCTCTTGTGTCATGAAGTCCTCTTGCATCTTCGTATACTTTGGCCTGAATCTTATTCCCAAGTTCTCAAAAACGATTAATTCAAAAGCCAACAAAGGGCTTTATGACATTTTTTCACAAAGAGAAATCTTCAAACTTACACAAATAAGCGCCCGTTACTAAAAAACTTGTTTCCGGAAAAAAAATATTTCAATTCTGGGTCAAAAATGAACTCAATAATTAAATTTTACTTCACGAAAATTGACGTGAAGGGTTAAATTAGTCGTAAGGCGGGGCCTCTTGAATTTTTAATGAGAAGTTAATGGTTTTGAACTTGGTCCTGTAACTCGAAAATGTGGTTACTGTATGTGAATTGGTCTTTTTGGGTGAAAACAGGTATTTTCGCCTCTTACAGTATCAACCTTAGAATCTACTTGCGGACTTGTGTAAACAAATTAAATTCATTAAATTTGTATTCCCAATAGTCTATTGGCAATAGAGAGAAATACAGTTATCTTATTTTTTCTTGCCTATTTCAAATAGGCTATTTGACTAATAACTGGTCATTTGATTTATTTTTGCGAATCCGCAAAGCCCAAAATGCATTGTTCCGAAATGACCTTGCCAGTCCCCTAATGAGATGATGATCCAATTTTATAAAATAATAACTGTTTTGCTGCTGATCCACCCAAGTCCCGGAATCACAAACATCGAAAAATTTCCACTTGCATCATCTTCTCGGTTCAAATTTAGCTTTTTATAAATAAATTCGAAAAATGAATTTGCAAAAATTTTTATTAATTTAAAATTTGAACCGGTTTCAAGAGTCTTTGGTCGTTTTTGCTGCGGCATTTCGAGCCCGTCGTAATTTTTGGGTACTTCTTCTTCGTCAATTTCTATCGTTGATGAATCATCATGGGTTAAAATCGTTTCTGAGGACTTTTTTCTTAAGGGTCTCCCAACCCTTATTCTACAAAAGGTTTTTGTTATTAAAATGCCTCTTTCCTATTGAAATATCTCTGCAAATCTGTTCCAAATCGACTTGACTTTCTTCAATTTCTTCTGATGATTGATTTTGGTTCGTATTCTTATTCTGATTCTCTCTGATTCTAAGAAATACAATAAAAAACGAGAATGGAAGATGAGAAGTAAAGAAGGAAAATTGAGCGTATTATATGGACAGTAACGATACGATCGATGCACCGTTCATAATTAATCCCGAAATGCAAGTACGCCTAGCTTCACAACAATAAGAATTGAATAAATAAATAGAAGCTGACTTGTGAGCTGCGAGTTACAAGTGGCAACTCAAGATGAATTCTCTGAAGAAAGTTTGATTGAAACTTGTCAATAATAATTTATAGGAGGAAGATACTGTTATAGCAAGCAGAACATATCTTTTGACTGTACTTTCTCGTCAAGACCAAATTAAAAATAGCGGAAAGATTTTCTGCGATCTGATTTGCCGTCAAGATGAATCTAGAAATCTGATTGGTCTGAAAATAAAAAAAAAATGGTCAAAATTTTTAGTCGAAAAGTTCCCTTTTTGAACTAAAAATGTTCGTTTATCAATGAATAATTTGCAATATCTCTCCCAGACAAAATCACGTGACAGTATGTGTCAATATCCTTCTTGAGCATCGCTTTTCTCAACATATGAATGATATGATTTCCTTACTCTGTATTGTTCTTCATCCTAAGTAGCAATCCACTGTTTTCTTTCGCTTCCTCCATTTTTTTTTCTTTCTCACTGAAAATTGTGCTTTTAGGAAACAATTATGCAATGTCGTGATCAATTTTGATTGAGCAACGATTCAATTTTGACGTGATAAAAATAAATCCAGCTGGGAGGATTGAAGATCTTTGATTTCATAATTTACGACAAGGGTCTCCCTCGGCTAGATAATATTGATAGCCTTTATGGTTATAATTGAATAGATTTGATGATTTTATTTTGATTGATAGGGACAAATCTGGTTCGAAGTTGGAAGAATATTCTAGAAAATAAGAATTAATTTCCGATAAAGCATTTTTTATTTAAAGAAATGAACTTTTAGCAAGTCGTTAATGCATGCAATTAATTTTTCATTAACCCCAGTACAAATGTTTTTACTGACCTTTCTGCCTTCAATTTCTAATTTGCGATGCAATCTATCATCCTTTTCCCGGCCGCCTGTTTTTCATATTGAGATGATCGAACTCTCTCTTTTTCCGAGTTATCGTTTTCGACCTATTCGGCCTTTTCCCGATTCTGAGCAGAGCAGCTACGGTAGCTGCGGATAACTGCCAAAACCAATAGTTCTTTATCGACACTTTTTCGTTCAAAAATGCATTTCGCGAAAGTGAATAAAATTGAATTTGGCAATATCGGATCAGTGTCGTTCTTCTTTCTCGATATAAAAATAAAGAAGAAGAGTTCTTCTTTTTCGATTTGTTTTTTGTCGCGATCGATCTCTGCAAATTAAGCTCATTTCGTTTCTCACAATCGCTCATTAAACTCCTAACTCGATTCTGCAACGAAGCTTTATTTAATTTGATCTCAACCTTTCCTCGCTTGTCCTTTTTCAGAAGGACATAGTTTACGTCCGACTTGATTTTCATTCTCTAAGCAAATGATCGAATTATTTTTCAGAATGCTTAAATCTGATTATATTTTTCCACTTGAGTTGTTTCTGAGTTCAGACTATGAATTGAATTATAACAAAAAACGAGCTAAAGTTTCCGTTAGGGTTATCGGTAACGTAGGGTTAGGGTTAAATCGAGTCAAAAAAGTGGTTTAATGAACTTTTGTTTTTCAGAAAAACTTCTTTATCTGATTTTTACCCGATAGAAAAATGTAAACTAAAAAATCATTAAGAAAAAGGATGAAGCTAGACTTGCGGTCAGAGCTTTACAATTAATCTCAATCAAAAAGCATTAACCTAGAAAGGAAGTTTTCAGGTTCTATTTAGTAGACATACAGTCATTAAGTATTGACCTCATTTTATTTTCAGACGATATTGTCATTTACAGTCTAAATACCATTTTATGCCAATAGTCATTTTTTTATGTTTTTATTAATGAGTTAGTCTGGGCAAGCGAAAAAGAAACTAATAACAAAATTGTCTGTTTTAGTCAAAAATTCGAGGAAAGTCAACATAAATAGTAATAAAAGTACAGTAAAAGAATTCTTGAATTGATGGTTTTTAATGGATAAATCATGCTAAATGAGGTAAAAAGTATGCTTTCTGATTTTCATGGCAAATTTGGAAATAAATTCCGTAATGAAGCATGTTCAAATTCGGCGTTGGCGTACGTCTTCTCTTAGAAAGGAACGATGAAGCCCTTTTCTTGCTCGGATAATCCTCCGTTGAGCGCAAATCCGGTTCTGTTCATAGGCACATATAAAAAGCGCCAGTACCCGAGAAAACGCTCTATTAGAAGAATTGGAAGAAAAACAAACATGAAATTTCTTTTTGCATTTTCGGTAAGAAAGAAACGAATTTCAGGGTTTTTGTTAGGGGCCCTTTAATAGAAAGCTCTCTCGTTATCACTTGTTTCAGAAGAAAAAAAATAATCTTAAGACGTTATCAGTAACTGTTGCAGAACTGATAAGAAAGCGAAACAGTGATATTTACAAAGAATTTTGTGGCAACCTCATCGATGCTGATTTCTGCTACATGTGTACCATGCTCTGGGAGGAAGAGTTCCAGCAATTTCTCTATGCAGCGGATCCGGAACTGAGTAAGTCGAAAAAAAACCGTGTTTATGATGAAAATTCTAGCGCCGGAGACGTTGGAAATCACCGCGGAATTATGCATCCAGGAAGATACGATCAATTGTTGCGAAACTTTTGACTACTGAATTCATTAAAATGACTAAAATAAAAGAAAAAAGCGAAAATTAAGAGGACATTTGATTAATTGAAGCTGTATTCTTTTGATTGAATGGATATGGTAAGGCGGATGCACGGGCTTAAGGAGGTGGCGGCGTGTTTTTGGTGAAAATACATTCTGTTTTGGCGGATACGTTTTCAGACAACACGATCTGACGAGCGTTCGTAACATCATTCGTCTCTTCAGGAAGAATCTTCTTCTTGATCAAAATCTCAAAATCTCGCTCAATTAATTTGACCGAAAAGACCTTAATTGGCGAGTGGGCAACTTTCACCGCGATTATTTAATCTGCGCTTATTTTTGATAATCATGTTCACGCTTATTTTCTTCTGTCAGGCGGAATTAACATAATGGTCAAGGCCGTCGCCACATGTTTATCTCACGTTTATGAACAAACTATTTTTCACACTTCTTTCCAAGATAAAATAACATTTTCAAGGATCTGCTTGCTTGGGGAGGAGGAAAATTTTGAACCTGGAATTCAAGAATAAATGAAATTCTAATCAATTGATTTCATTTTTAAGATAATTTTAAAAGTCGGCGTTAAATGATAAAATAGGCTATCCCTTAATCTACTCTTAAAAAACTTAAGGGTATATAGTAAGAAATCGTTCTTGAAACCTTTCTTCCTAAACTTGAACTTGAAAACTTAAGGGTATCCCCGAGTTAACCATTTTTTGCACTAGAACTCCGTGTGGGCCACATAAAGAGACCAAAATCGCTTGGTGTCTTAAGGGTCTACAGGGAGAAATTGTTGTTCTAAATTTGTTCGAGATCCACAGGGGGATCCTTAAAATGGGTGATCTCTTTGAAATTTTTGCTGAAATTTGAATGAAGAATCGATAAAATAATGGTTTTTTTCTGAGCATATAAATAATTTATTTACAGCAAATATGTTCAGAATAACAATTTCGGTCACTTGGCAGCGGTTAAACTTGTTTTTATTTTTGTTGGAACTTGACGGTTTCGGAGATTCACGGATTCATCATTTTTTATTCTTCGGAATCATCGTCGGAAGATCGTGTTCTTTTTTTGATTGAGGCGTATTTACATAGTTTTTTGAATGGAAAGAAAAAATAATTTGCTGGGCAATTTTGGGCCCTCTGAGTTATTTTCATGGCTATCACTTTGGATTTGAACTGATAAAAGAAAATTCTTGAAAAAGAAAAATAATTTGTGTTTCAAATTGAAAATATTTAAATTTCGGAAATCGAAAAATTGAAAATTTTAACTACATGTGTTTTTGGATGTAAGGGCTTTCTTAGAGGCCCAAAAGCATTTGCCCTTTTTGCATTTGCATTCTGCTCGCTTGTATCTTGGTTTCTTGTCTGGATCGTACTTGCAGAAGATTGACACTTTTTCCTGAATAGAAAATTGTTAAAAGGGGGTTCTTACGGGAAAAGGATCAATTTGATTGGCCAGAACATGAATTACCGCGTTCTTATTGGCGCAGACAAAAGAGGCTCGAATTTGACTCGCTTTGAGTCGAAAACGAGCATCTGATTGGTTCAGATAAGATCTCCTCATTTCTGATTGGGCGAGACCAAATATGGCCCTCTCTTATTGGTTCTCACCTTATTGGAGTAAACTTGTTTCTGCGGCGAATAAATATGAATCGGCTGCAAATCTGGCGGCGAGCATCCATCCGAAACCTTCCTCGGCGAATTACACTGAAATAAAATATCAATTCAAATTACAGTTCGTTCTCTTCCTGCAAATAGGGAAACAGGGCGTGTTCGTGTTCTAAAATAAGCCAGTGGTCGAATTCTCAGAGGAGATGCAAAAATAAATACATGCGCTTATTTAATTCTTGTTATTTTTGAATCCTGGATCGCGATAAATTAATTCGATCAGCCCCAGAGTTGGCTAAATACGAAAATACGCTGCTGGTTCAAGAAATACCTTGATGATTGAATCGAGTTTGTTTGCTCGGTAGTCCATTCTGTCGGAAACTCCGATCCAGCGGCAGTTGAATGATGAGCGGCAGAAGCATTTGAGACCGGAGAGACCGTCCAAGTTCAATTCGTCTTCGGGATTTTTGCACTGAAAAAGATCATCATTTTCCCAATGATTTTTCTTCAACTGTACCTGAACTGAGCATTCTTTATCAGAAGCGTATGGCGTTCCTTGACGACATCCAATATCAACATTGTCGAAGACCATAAACACTCGGTTAATCTCTTCACAATGGTAGTATCCTTTAATGAGTGGTGAGTTACAGTAAATGAACAACGTCTTACTGTCTCTAACATCGAGTGTATCCGCATCGTCAACTGCGGCCTTTATCCACTCGCGGAAACGAGCCACGTTCGTGTAAACCCCAGGATTGCCGGGCAGCGCGCAGCCAACGCCGAACGACACGATTCCGTAGAGCTCGGGGTAGTTGCCTTGGGAACTCATGCACACGAGAGGTCCGCCACTGAAAATGAGAATGATGATGAAAAAGGAAAAAAAAGAAAGCCGCTGAGAAGCTGAGAATCTGTTTAGTTTGTCAGCTTATTTCTAATGGTTACCTGTCGCCCTGGCAGGCGTCGACTTGTCCTTCTTTGAAGCCCGCGCAGATGTGTTGGTCGGATCTGACGTTGACGCCGTCGTCTTGATAGCTCGCCTGACACTGCTCCACATCGACCAGGGGAATAATCGCCTTCTGGAGAATCGAGTTATCGCCTGTGTTCTGCGTCTCTCCCCAACCAGCGACGATACAGTTTGTTCCAGCTTTTAGCAAGGCTCAAAAGTGCGGCCTGGCAATTGGAATGTATTTTTAGCTAACAATATAAATATTTGTTCATTTATATTATCTCTTAAAGTTTCCACAGTCATTTAGCTGACGTTTGTCTTATGGTTTTTAGGAAACTAAGATGCCTTTCCTGGAGGAGGATAGTCAACTTCTGGCAGACAAACGGGCATAACATTGTCCGAAAAAGAAATTTTCTCCGTCAATTGTAACAGACAAATGTCATAGATGATTGTATCGGCTCTGGATTCGTAGTTTTCATGACATTTGAGATTTCCAATGAAGTAAGTTTTTTGGTCCGATTTTGCTTGCGACTCATGGTCTAGCTTTGAGTACGCGCCGAGGGTAACTGTAAATTGATCGGGCTTTTATTGAGTTAACACTTTTAAGTAGATAATAATTATATAAATCGATGTAGCAGTACAAGTGAGAACTGCGTGCCTGAATAACGCCCCAACCACGAAAGCAGTGGGCCGCGGTGAGAATGTGCTGATCGTCGATTATGCTTCCAGCGCAAAATTGTCCGATACCGCCGTATCCACTAAATCATCTATTAGAAACAGCTTACAAAACCCTTTCTGGGTAAATTTCACGCCACTGATGTGTCAAAATATTTAATTTAATTAACACCAAAACCATAATAGTTACCGTTCAAATTAAGAAAAGGGGGCGCTAGAAGGAGTTTTTCATGAGAAATCATGATAACGTAAAATTCCAAATTACGGATCGAAAATTCAATTTTATCATGATTTATAATGATAAGTACTCATAGCGCCCTCCAGGCCCGATGGCTTAGTTGGTTAAAGCGCCTGACTAGTAATCAGGAGATCCCGAGTTCAAATCTCGGTCGGGCCTTTTTGTGTTTTCGAAATTTCAAACTTACCGAAATCCAATCATCGCGATAAAGGGCCACATATCATAATCCGCGGCGGTTCCATTGACGATTCGGCCAAGTGTGTTTCTGCTTATTTCACGGTTCAGAATTTCAATCCCATTTTATTTTTTGAGCAAATTCACGAAATAAAACAACGTTAGTTTATTCAACTATAATTGCGTTTTTTCAAACTTGGCCGAGAAAACACTCCAAAACAGAACTTTTTCCTACAAAAGCAAAATTTTTTTTCGCGATCAGCAAAAAATCAGCCTCCAACGGATTTTCAAGCTGATTCTAGAGCTGGCAGAAAATCGCCGAATTTCCGTCCCCGGCGGTTAAGGAGATGTGACTCTGATGTCTCCATAATTACGTGACAAGACGCTACATAATTACGGAATAAGGCTCCCGTCATAATTTCATTAGGGCTCTTTTAGCGCCTTGTCTGCGGTTTTTCGCTTTTGAAAATTCGGTGCTGAATTTTTTTTTTTTGAAATTCTTAGGATTTTTAGCCTTTTGATCTTTTAGAAAATTAAGGCTCTCACTTCATTAAAAGAAATCACTCTTTTCTTCACTTTAAATATCGAAAAATCATTAGATAAAATTTGAAGACAAAAATTCGCCAAAAACCCAAACAGGTTAATTTTCTCTCTGAACCCTTTCCTTCTGCCTAGAGTCAACGGCTCTTCATTATTATTCCATCTCGGCCTTGGATCTTTCCACTCATCCCCGTCTTCATCATATTCTTTGGCGGCTTCTCTCCTTCCTCGCCAAACATTGGCATTTTGAGAAATTGAATCCATCCCAAATTTGAAGCATTCTCTGTGAAGAAGCTGCTCAGCTTCCAACGAAGCCAGCAAAACCGCTGTTAGACGCATTTCAGTCGATCTAAAAGTTTTAATCAATAAATAAATTTTCTAAAAAAAATGAAAAAAAATCAGTCTTGGCCCGAAGAATAAATCAAAGGCGTTGCCAGCTGAGAAAATTGATAAGAACTTGTTCAACATAAATTTTGTGGAACTTGATAATTTGTTTTATCATTTAATTGTTTCCTTGAAAAGCAACAGTATCTCATTTGAGTCATTTTCAAACAATGTTTTAGCTTCATTACGGTCTCTTGGTGCTTAGATAAGGAGAAGCCGTTTTTTATATTTTTATTTTTTAATAAAAATCAAATAATTTAGTGGATTTTTAACATTGGATATCATGCATAATAAAAGCCGCGCGCGGCTTTAAGCGTCAGGAAAATAAAACAGGAATTTTTCTTCGAGAATTTTCTTTCTTTTACCGTATCATCTCGAGTAATTTTTAACATAAAAACAACAAAAATTAAATAAGAAATTAATTATTGAAAAATTTTTTCTTTGAGCTTATTACCTGTAAAAGTTTGCTGTCGTTAAGTCTGATACTCTCTTTTGATGTCTTCAAATTTGTTTTAAAAACTTTGTTTGATAGAAAAGTGTTTTGGAAAAGTACAATCGGTTGTTCAAATAACGAACTCAAACGTTTTCGATAGAAAAATCTCGTATCCGGAAGATTCGTGTGACGGTATGTCGTTAAGGAAGGAGCATTTGGGGAGGCGATGGCCCGAGAGCGCCCTCTGCGCCACCATTACTTTTCATGATAATTCATGAAAAGTAAAAACTTTGTTATCAAATCTTCTTTATTTAGATATTTCTTTTATTTAATCATTCAAAAAGGTAGAAATAACAAGATCAAATTCTATTTATGATGATCTTTTAGCTTTCATCTTCAAAAATAGTCTATTTTGAGGCGACAATTACTTTCTTGGTATAAAAACTAATTCGGTAAGCTAGCTTTTTTATTTTCATCTTGCTTACTATCAAAGTTTGTCAACAGAAAGTCGGTAAATGGCAGAAAATTGACAGAAAAAGACATAACAGTGTGACAATTTGGACAAAAATTTTAGATTTACCAGAACATTTCGTAATATTTTGATGTCGATTCCGATCGTGCTAATCTTTCTAATCGTTGTTTTCAGTAAATTATATTAATATCTGATTTGTCTTTTTATGTTTACTTTTCTGAAATGACTTTCTTTCAACTATTTTTTCGACTTTTTTTCATGCCAGAGACGAATTTTTTTACAAGAGGCTGCCAGACAAATCGCTTGAATTAATTTGCAATTAGCATATTTTGGGGTCAACGGCGCTCGAAAAAAATTGTAATTTCTTCTGAAATCGTGCACGGTGCAAGAGGCAGTGGTGCTCCTTACGATTGGTTATCTTGTTGTGCCACAAACAAAAGACGAGGTAATATTAAAGTAGCGTAAATACGGCCACATCCGAAAGAAAAACATCGTGAATGAAAATTCTCCTTCCAAAACTGGTTTTAAAATCAGGATTACGGAGATTCTAAACATGGTGAATCTTATCGAAAAGACAAACTGTTTTCTAAAATATGAGTTTACTCATATTTGGATGGTGAAACTGAGAAAATGTTTAGTTATCTTTATTTGAGTAGAAAATTTGATGCTTCTGAAATCAAGGAAGACTATCCATCTTTTCTAGATTTCGTCAAATTCAATTCTGTTTTTGCGAAGAAAGATCAGTTTGAAGATTTTAAAGGAGCCTGAAAATGCAACGACAACGAGGGCAAGCCACAATGACTGTAATTCTTATCTTCGTGTTAAAAAATATTCATTTTTTCAGTTCTCGGAAGCCGAGAGGAGGAAAAATCTTCGGGAAGATTGGATTTTTTGCGGCGTCATTTTATTTTACGTGATCCTAGGAACGGCTTTAGGCGTAGATAAATCCCAATTTCAACTCGCCTAACCAGAATTAAGTTACAGTTATCATCACATCTTACGTCAGTCAAGATCGATCCTGCGATTGCATTGGAAAAGGCTGCTTTCCGGAAATTGAAGAGCGCTCGATTTTACAGAAAAACTTCGATTTCAAGAACTGCTCGACTTCGTTGATGCTTACAACTACTGATATTGATATTTCAGATAACCAGCTGACTACATCTTGGCTCAGAGTAAGAGATATTGGCGAAAGGGAAATACTAAGTTTTTAGGAATACATCACCGACTCGACTGTTGTTGATAAATTTGAAATTTATTGCTAAAAAATAAAATCTCTGTACAAAAATTTGAATTGAAATCAAGGAAGAGTTATCTAAAGTGAAGGGGTGTGTTTCTTTGCAAAGAGCGTCTGAGCGAGTTTCTCGTTATGAGTTTAGTATTTGCTTGTCGTTAAATAATAATTTTGGTAGAATGAAAAAAATCACCTAACAATCAGAATAAATTGAGATGTTGTTCTTACTTTTCTTTCTTTGCGATGGAAAATTTGCTTATCGAAGAGATTTTCAGCTAAGAGAGAATGTTTATGATTGCCCGTGAGTACCTTCTGGTGTTTTTTTGATAGCAAAAAAAAAAATTATTCAGTGATAAAGATATACAGGATCAGTGCCATTCCCTGTGCAGGACCGATTATGTGGGTTGTGGATTGCTTTGTGAAAGCGAATACTGTCAATCTATTTGCAAGGATATGTACGAAAGTAAATGATACGATTCAGACTACTTTTTATTTACTGACAATTTTAAGAATGCCTCTTCGGATGCCCATGCGGAGAATACTGCCCTGAAGGGTGCAAAGGCTGTGATCATCCTCTTGCTCTAGTGAGCCATGTCAAAATGGGGGAACATGTACAAGTGATGGGGGATCTTATGTATGCCAATGCCCAGACGGTTTCCGGGGGGACAACAGTGAGATTACCCCTTGCTCATGGAAACCTTGCCTCCACGGAGGAACTTGCATAATTGACGGTTCAAGTTTTATCTGCGCCTGCAATGATGGCGACTATGGTGATTTCTGCGAGTTCACCCCTTGCACTGATCATGGTTGTTTGAATGGAGGAACCTGTTTAGCTGATGGAACAGAAGCAATTTGCAATTGTTTGGACGGGTTTTCCGGAGAAGATTGCGAAATAACTCCATGCAGTGGAAACGAATGCAATGAAAATGGAAACTGTATCATTGATGGATCTCTTAGCTACTGCGAGTGTTATGATGGTTTTTCTGGCGATAACTGTGAAATTGACCCATGCTCGTCCATTGATTGCGGCAACAATGGTTACTGTTCCATAAATGGTTCAACTGGGACATGCATCTGCTCGGATGGCTACTTCGGAGAACATTGTGAGTTCGATGAGTGCTCAAAAGTTGAATGTCAAAATGAAGGACACTGCATTTGGAATGGAATAAACGCCTCCTGTTTTTGTCCTCCTGGTTACTCCGGAACACTTTGTGAGGTTACACCATGCACACATGAACCCTGCCAGATAAAGGTCTAAATATTATCTCAAGAATAAACTCGTATCTCTTTTATCAAGCTGAGATTTTTCAAAATCTTGACAAGAAATATGAGTCATCTTGTATGACCTAAATTAAAGAATAACGGAACATGTCAAATAAGCGGATCGAGTTATTCTTGTGAATGTCAAGATGGATTTTCTGGCAAAGATTGCCAAATGACGCCCTGTTCTCATTATCCTTGTTTCAGCGGAGGAACTTGTATCATTGATGGATCGAGCTATATTTGCTCCTGTCCTGATGGCTTTTCAGGAAATAACTGCGAGTTTAATGCTTGTTCAGGACAGTGGCAAGATTTTCTGATTTTTTATATGATTTTCTCGAAAGACTATTGACCAAATGATAAGACTTTGATTGCGAAAACGGGGGTGAATGTAAAGCTGAAGGTTCGAATCCGATTTGCATTTGCGAGGAAGGTTTTTATGGAACACATTGCGAGTCAGAGTCCTGTTTGATAAGTTCTTGCCAAAACGGCGGAACATGTGCTTTTGATGAAAACAACCAGGAGTATATGAAAGGTTCAACAATTATAAAAATAAATCCTTCAGAATCAATAAGAATCTTATAAAGATATGAATGTATTTGTAATCATGGATACTCTGGTAAATTCTGTGAAATAACGCCTTGCACAAACATTGCCTGTTATCATGGGCAGTGCTACATTTTTGGTAGCGGCGACCAGAACACTGCTGTATGCGAATGCTTCGATGGATGGATAGGTGACCATTGCGAGCTGGTTGAAGATCCCTGTTTGGATGTGGACTGCAATCCAGGCCATGGTTATTGTAACATAATCGACAACCAGCCCCTCTGCGATTGCAACATTGGATATGCGGGAGATAATTGCGAGATAACTCCTTGTACAAATCACAACTGTTTTAATGGCGGCACTTGCTCGATCAATATTTGGGACGAGATCACGGCTTATTGTAAATGTGTCGCGCCGCATTTCGGAGACTTTTGTGAATTTGATCCTTGCACCAACAATCCTTGCAAAAACAACGGGCAATGCTCTTTTACTTATGGCGAAAAGGGCTACAAATGTGATTGCCAAGAAGGATATTATGGTTCAAACTGTGAGCTTACGCCATGCTCGCCGAATCCTTGCTATGGAATTGCAACTTGTGAAATTGATGGACCAGGATTCATTTGCATCTGCGCAGATGGTTACTCTGGCGACTTATGCGAAAATTGGGGCTAAATTTGCTTTTTCTATCATGTCTTCGATGATTTGCGATAAAAATTGAAAAAAAAACTGAAAAAAAACAAGAAAACAGGATTTTTTTATCAAAGCAGACAATAATTTTAAGCAAACGATAACATAAAATTTATTTTGATTTTCAACTCTTGAAAAGGTGTAATTTGGACAGGCTAAGAACTCTTGGCGACGCGTTTCTCCTTACTGGCTCTTGAGTTTTTGCTTCTCTTTCGGAATCGTCAAGACGCGGATCTAAAGGTTCATTTCCCATCCAGCTCTAGAATGTCCTCTTACCTTCAAGAAATCCGCAATCTGCGTGTACACTCTAATACAGTATCTTGCCAAGTCAATAATCGCATATCCAACAAGACCCGCAAACAACCAATTAGGCGGCAGCAAATCTCCAACATACTGAATAATAATATTTCAAAAAGAAATTCGTCGAGAAAACCCGTAATAGAAGGTTTCACGTAAGAGTTCGCCCTCGCGCTTCCCTTTCTGAAGTAATTTAACCACTTGGTTACCAAAATTATGCGGTTCCCTGGGGTGAATTTCTAAAATCTCAAACTCCGCGGACCACCGTTGTTTCACGTTGTTTTATGAATAAATGAAAGGGCAAGCGGGGTTTATTTGAAGAAATGAGCTCTAGAATTGATTTACCTGGTTGAATCCCAACAAGCAGATACTCCAGAGGCAAGGGTCGGCTAATCGAAGCGATGCTTTTGTCATTTGAGCGACGATAAGCTGAAAAATAAGGCTTACGAAGACTTTTGAGGATTTCTTACTTTGTGACCAGTTTTAGCGCAGAGCATCGAAATATAAAAAATGAAACCGACGGGATATCTAGCTGCCAATCCGGTTTTATTTCCGACGACGATGCCTAGTCCGATAATGAGCAAGATAGAAGGAAATGGAGAAAGAATCGAGGTGCCTGAAAAGAAGGTGGAGGATTTGAATAAGAAAATTTGACGAGCATGAGCTTTCACGATTTAACACGAGCGCTAGAATTAGAAAGCGAAAAGAGTTCTTACCGGCACAGCTGGAGCCGTTCGGTCCGCAGCCACCTTTAGAAAGCAAGATGAACATTCTTGAGGAGGAATTCGGAATTTTCTGTTAATTCAGCTGATTCAAAAATGGCTTTCTAGAGCATTTTAGAGCCCGTTTTTATCAAAAATCCGAACTCCTTCCCTGGTGAGCGCAAAGAAACAAATACAGCAAGAGCCATAAACAACCGTATCTCGATTTGAAAGACCAGGAATCGGACTTGCTTCTGCCCAGTGATCTTGGCCCATTAGACCTGTCATAACGAGGAGGCCCATCGTTGAAGTTTGGATTTCGGTGATGTCGATAAGCCCGAACGTCAAAGTTCCAGTGATGTATTGGAGACTGTGCGAGAAGTAGTACACGAAGAAGCAAAGATAGCTCAAGAAATAAGCTAGGAATAGAAAAGTTCGATGAAAAAGAAAAGGTCGGTCATACCTTTTTCTTGCTCTTCAGCGCAGTTTGTCGACATAATTATCATCGGAAGAAAGAAACAATTGGCTTTCGAGGGTTAAAATTTGTTGCTGTTAAAAACTTATATGTTGATAAATTTATGAAGATCAGATATTTACCTCATATATTGAAGATGATCAGCTTATCTTATCACAATTCAGTGAATAATAAAAATATTTAATCATCATATTTTTAAAAATATTATGATTTCAAAAAATTTTCACAAACAGCTTTTGCGAAGATTTTTTTTTATAAAATTTTTATAAAATATATACCCAAGCCTATTGTATCCATTCCATGATCAAACAATTCTCCAAGAGGAGAGCCGGTTCCAGTTCTTCGAGCTTGTTTTCCATCAATCGCATCTGAAAATTATGACGGTGAGTCAACCCCCTTCTATCATTCATACCCATAGTCTGATAGAAAAACAAGGAAAACGCAGCGTAGAAGAAAACCCAATTCGGCGCAATTCCAGATCCATCTAAGCCGCAATAACTTATCATGGCTCAATTTTGAAATGAAAATGATGAAGGTTGCAAAAATATTTTCAATGTGACGAAATAATCTAAGCATTATTTGGGGATCTGATAAGCTTTTCGCGGTTTTCTTTGGAAGTGGCAAAGGCATAAGATTATCTTTCTTCTAAAAAGAATAAACTTGAGCATCGTTTTCCTAAACATGATGACAAAGCTGGAAAGATTTGCGAGAAGGCCGATGAAGGTAATCATATTGGGCGCGATCCACAGGGGACAAAGTGTAATTGCAAAATTCCACCATGGATCGTAGAAGGGCTCCAGGAGGGATCGACCAGAGGCAGAGTACTTGTGATTCTGTAGATTTTTCAGCTGCGTCGGGGTTAGCTTGTCCAGCAAAAGGGTCACATCTGAAATGAAAAGGACTAGTAATCGGCATTTCTTCGTTTTTTGCTTCGTTTGAATTCATTTGCAAATGAAAAATTTAACGTACTGACACCCTTAAGCGAAGGGGACAAATAAGGGCTTCTTCCCTACAAAAACTTACTAAAAGGCGCTAGAGACAAGCATCTTCTTCGTATTTTTGATTCCTCTTTTTCCATAATTTTCTAATTTTCTATTCTTTTCTTTGTTTATTTGAAATTTTTAAGAGCGAATGGAAAGTTTCTTCTGTCGCCTTGGAATGTCGTAATAGTAAGTAACAATCCGTCAGATTTGTAATCGTCTGATTTTTTTGTTTGCCTTCGGAGCGAACACTCCCCTTGGGCCAAGGCAATAATGCCTTAGCAAAATAAACATGAACGTCTTGAAACTTTAAAAATTTTCAAATCCAGTAACAAGATTTCTTCTTCGTCTAATATTTTTCGCAATAAAAATTGACTCCTAGATCTGATGAAATTTAATTTCGCTCGTTGTCACTGACAAGCGAAATATATAATTCTTTAAAAAATGCAGCGATTCCGTGTCCAGCTTTCGCGGAGAATTCTTTTTGGTTTACGTTCTCGCCCGATTTTACGTAAAGGGCGACCGCTTTTACCAAGGACAAACGTCTGATCTGAGGTCTGATAAAGAGGGCGACGCAAAATCAAGACGTTGCACTTTCTTCTTCTGGTCTTTATTTCCGTAAATCTGTTAGGGGCAAATTATATGAAAAGTTACCATTTTTTTGTTTTTTGAAAAAAATTCTGATGGTTGAAAATTCCAAAGCTGGTAGACAATGATATAAAAACGTGGAAAAGAACTTAGACGGGAAAAAGACCAAACCGAATATTTGCAATTTTGTTTTTAATAATTTTGGAACGTACTCGTTCCAAAAGATTGAGAAGCGCCGTCTTAGACACAGAAAACACTCGAAAATAAGTGTCAGGAAGTTCTTTTTTTATTTATCAGTCAGGTAGTGATAGTCAGTCAGGGAAACAGTAAGAATCGCGGTGCGATTATTTATAGGTGTATCTTTCAAGCAATTGCATTTCATTTTCCGGCAAAGATTTCTTTTCTCGCCATAATAATCGTTCTTTCATTATTTTTAATTGAAACAAAAGATCATGAAAAGGCTCTTTGTTTTGAGAACTTTGCGGTGACAACAAAAACATCCATAAGATTTCCATCAAAAAGGCGAGTAAAGAAAGGCCACCAACGAAAAATAATTCCAATGGTCCCGTCATAAAGTAATAACCAAACAGGGGTCCGAGGTGAATTTTATGGTAGACATAGACAGCGATATGTTCGATTTGAATGAGCGAAAAATTCACGAATCCAAGAGGTTTCTCCAGGTCATAATAGAACGTCCTCGTCAACCCAAACATCTTTTCTTCTACGCTTTTGGAAAAACAACCAAGAGTGAATATGATAAGCCCATGGATGAAAAGAATAAAAGGGAGGGAAGATGAAATTATCCACCGATCGTAAACCGGTCTGAAATTTGTATCCCTTCCAAAATAGCAAGCAAAGGAAAGCAAAATACAAAATCGAGCCGTCTTTTGAGAGAAAAACTAAATTTTAATTTTTCTAATATTTATATTATGCATTGTATAACAATTAAGAGATATATCGATAAGGACTCACCATAATACTGAGAAAAATTGAATGGGGGATTTTCAACATGCCTTGAAATTGCAACTCTTTTTTCACGGAAAAAACCATCCAGACCAGTGATAGACTTGATGAGAAAATTGACAACTTCACTGCCCGAGGAAAGCTTCTTATAACACTTGGAATATTTCCAAGAACAAATTCGGCTGAGAAAATATAATGGGGTTTGTCTTGGTGTAGGAGACTTTGGAGAATTACGTTCGCCATGAAGGAGTTTTTGTCTTTTACGTTCATATTTGCCGCGCAAAACTCATTGGGATGCGATTGAAATTGATTGTTGAAGCAATAAACGCCATACAATAATTGTAACATCAACTTAAAAAGAGATATTTAAAGCGCCAAAAAAGGCATTTTAGGTACCTGTGGAGCGGCTTCTGTCGATCCTTCGATTAGTCTTAATTTGGCAACGTTTTTGTCAAGCGCCGGATCCGGTTCATCAGATTTTTTATACTGCATATAAAAGTGCCAAATTGGCCCAAGCAACAGAAGATGAAGAAGAAGAATGAAAGGGGATTTTTTATCATTTGAATTAAATGATCCCGACAAAAACAACGAATAATATGCAGCAAGCCAACCGGAAAAGATGACAATTGAAATTGTTCCCATCCCTTCGATAAAGTTGTCCGTCAGAAAGTATTGAATAGCAAGGTTGATATCAGACCTAAAAAAAAATTAAAAAGATCAATCATCACTTGCATACATAGAAAGAACATAAATGATATTATATAATGAATGTATTATATGTTTATTTATTTACCCGACATCATAAACATATAATCCAATTTTTAGCAAAAATCTAATAAACAAAAAAAGTTTTTCAAAAATATATAAAAATTGAACTAAATTCTGGCTTTTCCCTTCTATCATTCTCTATATTTACTTTCTTGTTGTAAGTCGATCGGATGTTCTTATTGCATATCAAATAATAATTCGTCTCGAATCATGACAACGTCAATATCTATTCAGAATCCGGTGCTTGTTTTCTTTACGATTTTAACGACGATTTTTGCGATTATATTGTAATCAATCTTTTCCTCAAAACAAGAGAAGAGCGAAGTTATGAGAAAATAAAAATCAGAAACTTCGTTCTCAGAAGGCTTTTTTGGATGATCTCATTTGTGCAGAATCGCGCAAAACAACTTCGAGCTCACACCCTTGCCGGGCTACTCAATATACTCATCAAATTCACGTTATGGTGCTCTCGATGAGCAATTATCGTTGAACTAGTTCAAGTCCTGCCAGAGTGGTTTTCTTTAAATATTTATATTGTACGTCTTTTAACTGAGCTCTTTCGGTAGTACTTTTCAAAATGAGTCACGTTTTGTCGAATTCCACTGGTTCATTAAGATTAACCCAAAAGGTCCGAAAAACAGGTGAAAACCGGCGGAACGTGTGAAAAATGAGCGGAAAGGTGCGAAGGTTCAAAGTGATTTTTTCATCGTAAAAATTTTGGTTCTTGTTAAAATGGATGGTGCATGTAGTTCAAGTGATTCGTGATGATTTTACATCATGTTGAATTTGACTGCATGTTTTTGGGTTAACAGATCACGCATATTTTTTTCTCAGAACTTTCAAAGGTATACCCTTATTTTAAAAAGTCAAAGTTTACTCAAAAATTTAACCAAAAAGTAAGAAAACAAGATTTTTTTTTAAAAAAAGCTGTTCTACTGACTTGAACCAAAGACGAAAGAAATTAACCGACCTTGAAATTGAAAAGGCCGAAGAAGCAATTTTCTAGCGACTGAAACAAACAACGCGGTCTTGGAGACTTCTCAGTCAAGGCCATCCTCGGTCAAGAGTTATTTCTGAATGATTGAGTCCGGTTATTAGTTGAGTCACTGTTTTGGAGCGATCTTTCATAACTTACCATTTTCGATCACTGAAAAAATAATCATCGACAGTTGTTGAACCGCAAACGCTTGATAAAGACTCGTTGGTAACCCATCCAACTTTTGTTGAAATAATAATTTTGTGGCGCGTTCATAAAATAATACTTTTCGAGTGTTACCAAAGAGAGTGCTCTTATGAGAGTAATACAAGCATACAAGCATAGTCATTTTCTTGAAAAAATATTATAATGGCTTATAGCAAAAAATCGCTGATTAGCCGAGCAAGACTTGAAAATAGAAATCTTATCTAAGCATAATGAGATTTCATCCCTTCCAATAAAAACACATGTCGTCGAGTTCATTGCGGTCGATTCTTTCATAAATTCCACCGAGACGAATTTTCAAAATCATCTTCAGCTATAAAAGCCTCGTCCCCTTTCTGGCCTCATTCACTTTTGCCCAGATAGAAACCGGATTTTTCCCTTTTTTTGAGAAAAATGGTTCTGAAAAATAATGTTTTGGTTTCTCTTGCATCAGCTGGAATTTTGAGCGGATTGGAAAATGACAAAAGGTACAACCAGCTGATCGAAACAATGACTATGGCAAACGAAAACTTCTCCGCAGAAACATACTGGGCTTACGGGTGTAACTGCTTGATGGGCGATGGAATTTCTCAAAACGGCCATGGTCCGGCTATCGATGAAATCGACACTACTTGCAAAAAATACAAAGGTACAGAAAAAAAAGAAGAAATGGTCGAAAAAGTGCAGCGTTTTTATTCACCGCGAAAAATTCAAGAGACTTTGGGATATTGATTATTTCCGGCCAGAAAATCAAAGATCCTGCGGCTTGAGCTTTTGGCTTGAACATTTGTCGTTTTTGCGGTGGATTCTAGAGACAGATCCTCTTTCCGAAAAAGTGAATGATTTGCGTTTTTTTGTTTTAGACTGTATCAAATGCGTCAAAATGGAGTTTGGCGAAGAATGCATAAACAACGATTTCCGCTACAGAATCAGGCTTGGGTTCAACTAGGCAGCAAGAAATAATGAAGCAAGTCATTAGAATAACAACCACTCTTAAAAACCCGTCGGTGCTCACACGTTTTTTCAAAATTTCAAAGTTTAAATTCTTCGCGTCATCTAGTCTGAAATCACCGTTGCGCAAGAATCGTAGAAAAATGTTCAAGGCATTCGTAAAAAACCTCCAAGTTGACCTACATAAACTAGTTCATCCAAAAAAGACAAACTGACAGCGGAAAAATCACGTGCAAAGATGATGGCGAAACATGCAAAAGAGCAATTTGTGAGTGCGACAAAATGTTTGCCGAGTCGCATGCTCTCGTTGCTGATCAGGTTCATTCCTCATTCTTCAGGAAGTCACCTTTTCTTAGTACAATCAAGACTATCACATGTTCTACTCAATGATCGGCTGGAATCCGGAGGAGCAGTGCGTCATCCCAGGACCTTCATCCACGCCCCAGGTAAACCAACAGGTATCTTCGTTTATTTTACCTTATCGAAAAACCGACCTTATCTTAACCCCTCACGGCGGGCTGTTCAAAAAGGACCTCGACGAAAAGGCAGAGCTTTTTAACCTCTCTTCGCTTTTCTTTCTAAAACCTTTTTCTGAATCTAAACTATTTAAATTCTAGTGCTGCGGCCCGGCGGTGGGACCAAAGTCTATTTTCAACACTGCTACTGGTAAAAAATGCTGTGCTGACGGGACAATCCAGGTAAAATTAAAATGTCTCAAAATTATCTCAAACATAACTTTTTTTCTCAAGACGAGTTGCGATGGCGAACCAGTTTATCCTGAAGAACCTTATTGAGGAATTTTTTGAGCTGAATAATTATTCTGTTTTTGCACTTTTATCACTTTCTCGCGCTGTATAAAAAGTTCGTTTTCTCTTGCAATTTCTGGTGGAGTCAGTTTTTGAACGAGTTTTTCATTTTTGATGGGAGGCCACGGATTTAGAAAAATTCGTCTGAAATAAATTTCAATTTAATAAATTTATTATTATTTAATTTTCGAGAAAAGAATCGATAGTGTAGTTGAAGAGAATAAAATCATTATAATACACAATATACAGCTCTTCAATTATCTCTTTGTCGACTTGATGCTCCCTGAAGATTTTTTCTGTTGCATCCGGGACGTGGGTATCGTACATTCCAGGCATGTAGGTTTTGTCCCGAATCGACATTTTTTCGAAGATATAGGCTGAGTCTTTCAATTGTTTTACGCAAGAAAAACCCTTCCTTAGTAAGGAAGATGAATCCTGGGCCCCTCAACCTGTGTAAAAAAAAACCTGAGTCAGGGTTTTGGCGAAGCCGCTTCGACCTTTCAGATCCTGACTCAGATTTCTTAGACAGGATGTCGAGCCCAGAGTAAATCGTCTAACTCAAAATGGCGAGAAAGCAAAACAATCCTTGATGAGAAGTCTCCTGCTTCGTAATCGCATTGAGCTTGAGAAAACACGGCTCGCAAGAATCCTGATAGCTGACCCAATGATGATTCATTGTTTCCTTATCTTCCTTGCTCTTCAAAATGACATATCTCAAAAACCCTTTGAAGGAGCAAACAAAGCCAGGAGGGATGATATCTTCCTCGCCACTTGCCGCTTTTTGCTGCTCTCGAATGATCGCTGCGATGGGTTCAAATTTTTGCGCGTTATGGAAATTGACTGAAAATTTTTGCCTCCAAGCAGAAAACAGACGAGAAAAGGGATGACGGACATTGATAAATCGTAAATATTTTTTATCTTCGACTCGCTTTTGGAACGCTTTTTCGCCACATTTGTCGATGATTTCTTTCTGCTCTTCTGTCGGTCGAGTCGCTGATTTTTCTCTTTGTTCTTCGAATTTTTGAAAAAGCGGATCATTCAGGCGAATTTTCCGGAGACTTTTCTTTTGCTTCATAAGATCGATTCCATGAAAAGGAAAGTTATTTCTTTCCCAAATTTCCGGCGATCCGAAAACTCGGTTTTCATATTTCCAAGCGTATCTCGGCACGAGTTTAAATGCAATCTCCGAATTGATCATTTCCGGATCGACAGTTGGTTTTTCATCGCTCAGAAATCGAAGAGCTCCGAAAGATCGTTGCCAATTAGTCGTCCCTGTTTTCAGCGGAACGCAGCCGGCCCCGTTGTATTTGTCGAGTAGAAACGTATGTTGGTATATTCGATCGTTGTCTGGGAGGATTTCGTTTTGATACGTCGAGTTCCAGTCCGACTCGCAGTTGGAGCCGGAGATGATGAGAGATTGGAGTTTTTGGAGAGCTTCGCGTTGTTGAGAAACGGAGAGTTTTTCGTTCTTTTTGATGGTTTTGGCGATATATGATTTGCAAGAGCTTTTCAAGGGTTTATAGATTATAATAAATTGGGCTATGTCTGTTGTAGCAAATGGATAACGGAATAAATAAATTTTTATGTTTAGTCACAATTCATTGACAAATATTTTCCCCGATTATTATAATTTTTCACATATTTAGGGTTTTTCACGGAAAGTGGTATATCATTCAATGGGCTTGAAAATTTCAAAATAAGTGTAACTCGAGCCGCTGATTTCAAATATGTGAAAATAATTATCAAATTCTGACCTGGTGGTGGTGTAATAATGATAAGGAAGATAAAAAAGGATCTCATCAGTTTTGTTGTTCCGAGTGATATAAATCCGTCTAATTCATCTCAAATACGAAGCTTGACACTTCCGGGAAATTGTTTTTGCAAATCACCCGGTGTAATTCGCATCAGATTTCGGATACTAGGTCATAGAAACCACCCGCTGGGATTATGGCGCGCGCTAATGCTTTTTGGGCGTCCCGCGCAGCGGCGTAAAGCACTAGCGCGCAGTCACTTTCACTCACTTATCTGACGATTTGAACACCTTCCGAAAGTTTCCGAAATCCCAAATTTTGAGAGCTGAAAATTACACATCTTATCTCCTATATATTTGAAAATAGAGAGTGTATTTTGATGTACTCAGATTAAAAAGTCGAAATTGAGTAAGAAAAACCGTCTTACAGCAAATGCTTTCATTCGAAAGAAAAACTAATGCGATATTATGAATCTATTCCCTTCAATTAGTCGGTTTCATTTTTTGAATAATCAATTTCGCTTCAATAGAAGACTTTTAATATTCGTGGATGGACCCCAGAGCGGGCCGCGCCGTTCCGTGAAAAACCCTACACATATTTATGGTTTTTTTTCAGAAATCAGACCCGCATGAAAATACTTAAGGATATAGCCATTCTCAAGGCACTTTCGTAGCGCCAAAAGGGGACTATAAAATTTTTTCATTTCAAAAGGAACGCTACCTAAAATTGCCTAAGAAACCCGATTCTAGTGTTCTCTTATATTTTTTAATGGAAAAATTTCTCTCTAGAGCAATTTTAAATCTTACGATCACTTTTTCTCGAGAATTTTCCATTAAATTGGTCGAGTTTTTTTGATAAATTATAAATTTGGACCTTTCTCTACATTCCTAGGGTCTAAAGTTTAATAGATTCCAATTATTTATGATTCTAGAGCCATTTTTATGAGGCTTACTTGGGTAAGCCGAAGCGTCAGACAGCGCTCTGGTTTGCTGCGCTGGGCGCCCTCCTCCATCGCGCGGTGAGGCGGGCATGTGAAAGAGCGCGCTGATTCGTCGAGCGCCCTGAACGCAGCATTAATGAAAAAGAAAAGCTAAAAAGAAAAAGGCACTAGAATGTAAATTTGCTCGGGTTTTGAAATTTTGAGGCCCTAGGAAGATAGATTAGCAGTTATTTATAATAAAACACGGTTTAGTTTTAGCGATTTAATTGAAAAATTTCGAGAAAAAATGATCGTAAGATTTCAAATCGCTCCAGAGATAAATTTTCTTTGAAAAAAATTTTAAAAACATCAGAATCGAATTCTAGACATAATTTTAGGTAGGACCTGTCTTGAAAAGAAAAAATTTTATCGCCCCATTTCGGCGCTACGAAAGTGCCTTGAGAACGGCTATATCCTTAAACCCAAAACAGGCATGGTTGTAAACTTCCAGTCTCGATTGCATCTCTTCTTCTGGCGTTACGTAAGACCACGGAATTTCCACTTGGGAAAAATTCATCTTTAGATACAACTCATCTCTGACGGGAAAATCGAGAGAGACTATTTTATCCAGCGTTTTGCACGCTTCTTCCTTTTTCAAAAATATATCAAACACAATTTTGAAAAAAAAACAGACCTGGTCATCGGAATCGAGCGAAACTTTTAGTTCTTTGAATTTTTCTTCGCGATATTCTTCGTGTGATTTTAATCGTTCGATTGTCATCTCTGTTTTTCCTTCATAAAAACTGGAAAAAGTCGAAAGGTACAAGTAGATAACGCATCCAAGACAGTAGCAAACGATGACATTTCTCGTTGCGAAGATTTCGTCGAATTTTTTCGTTAAACTCATCTCTTTTCTACGCGTAAATTGAAGAAATATGCCTAATATTTTAAGTGAAAACCTGTAATCAAGCGAACTTTGCGATTCTAGAGGCCCGGAAATCGCCCCAGGGCACGAGCTACCTCACAAAGTACCAATAGTAAACTGACCCTTTATTTCTAAGGTTTATGAAACTTCCTATTTCTCTGTCTTGCAGACAAAACTGCTCATTTTTTTTCAATTCAACCTATCGATATCTTAAAATTTAGAGAGAGATTGAGGAGAGTTTGTTTTTACAAATGCCCGCTCGAGCTTATATTTGACATTTCGCGAGCATTTTTTAACAAAAGGGGCAATTTTCAAGATTTTTTACAAAAAATAGATAGAAAATGAAGCGTAAAAAGGTATTATGAAAATGATTCATAACTGTGCCTAGCCTTGAGACACGTTTTTAAATCACATCCAAGTTGCCGCTCTATTCAGAAATTCTCGTCTTATCTCGAGTACCTCTCGCACTCTCCTCGTGAAAATGCTCTCATTAGCTTACGACATTGCCGAATCTTATGAAAACTTTCTCTCGAGACCTTAAAAGCAAACGAATTGCAGTAAAAAGACAAATACCGATTGTTTTTTTTTCAATTTTATTATTGCTGAATTTCTGTTAAGAGTTTTTTCATTTTTCGAGCTTCAAAATTAATTTCTTGGTTCGATTGTTGATTTCTCTCGATATTTGATGGAATCCATTGGCAATGCGCCTCAATGAGCAAGTTCGAGCACTCACGCAGCATTTCTACAAGTTTCTGTTTCTCCTCGCAGTGTTTTGGATACTTTTGAATCTCTTCAAGCAACTTTTTTGCTTCTGCAAGATTTTTCTCCGAATTTTCCAAAATTGTTTGCCTCTCTCTATCTTGATTGATTCCGATTCTCCATAGAACGATCCAAATAAGCATCAAAACTAAATTTATAATTACGCTTTTCTGCATTTTTGCTAAAGAAATGAAGATTATATTCAAAAACGACTTGATGATCCATGTTTCAACCAGGCCTTTTGTCTAATTATCTCGTTTTATTGAGCTAGCCGAAGCTATTCATAACAAGACTGTTAATATGGGCTCAGGAACCTGTGCAGAAAATTTGAGTAAATGCCTTAAAAGTCTGATATGAAAAGCCGCGAAGAGAAAGCCCCTTTGCCAGAATTTGAAAATTGATGGCGAATGAAATTTTGAGGCTTTTTTAAGGGATCTTTGAAACCCTGACTCAGGTTTTTACACAGGCTGCCGAGCTCAGCGAAAATCCCGTTTCATCGGACTTACATAATCTATCACGAAAAGTATGGGTTGACGTGTCTTTCGATTCTAACGGGTGCGATAATCAGTTGTTGACAAGAGGTGCAATTACGCTTTTTGTCTGAGCCGCCTCGACCACATTTTTAGCGTCAGTTCCTGGACAACAGCTCCTTCGCATTCTTGGCGAGAACGCTTGAAATTTCTTTAACGATAAAACTCTACTTTGGACACGTGACACTCGCGAAGTAAATATTTGCGATCACTTCAGAAAGAGAGTTTCCTATCTTGTTCTTTCCGGGGTCTAAGCACTTTAATCAAAAACCAACGAAGAAAAACAGTACTTGAAGTAGTTTTCCGAAAGAATTTGCGGTAGAAACGCATGTTGCGGTTTTTGTTAAGGGGGTACACCTAACAATTCATCTTTTTCCATAGTATTAATAGAATTGCATATTAACAAAGTGACACCGTTAAAAACACAAAAAACGACAAATTACCGCGTTCCAGAAACGATCGGAAAATAAGGGTCTCACTCAGTAAGTCATAAAAAGCAATTTTATTTTCCGAATTTCAAGATTCGTTAAAGCAAAAACATCGTCAGCGAAGAAAATTCAGAAGGGAACCATTTTACCAAACATCGCGGTTTTTGTACGTCATGAACCTGAACTCTTAGTTAATTTTAATCGAGAAATCGAAGCCTTTAAACTTGACCGAGAACCTCATGAATTGAATGTTTTTCTGGACCACGTGACGGTCCTTATTTTTCCAATCAAAAATAATAAGAGAAAAAAGCTGTGGAATCTTAAAAAGTCGAACTTGAGTTCAAAATCTTGATTTTTGCTGACACTGACGGAATCGAAAAACCGTTGTATCCGAATTTCGGAGATTATCGAGATCTTGAGGGCGAGATATCTTGAGGTGGGTAAGCGGGATTAAATGTGAGAGGATGACTTGACAATTTTTCAATTTCGGAGAGTTTAGAATTTTAATGACGAAAGACCGTTTTTTCGACTCGAGGAAATATCTCGGTCAACTCTGAAATACCGAGTATTCTTTCTTTTTATTTCAAACTAAATGGCGCAATTTTCTGTCCTCTTGGTCAATAAAGGAAAGGTCTTTCCGATAAGAAACCAAAGATTATTGATAAGATCCACGATGAACCCGATGGGAGTTGAATAAATTCGATAAATGCGGCATATCGAACCTCGTTACAAAAATGCGTCAATTTTCCCCCATCTTCCACGTCCCAATTCGGCAAAGAACACGACTTTTTGGTCGCCCGAGATAAACTCAATATGTTCTCCTCAAAACTCCGCAACACCTTCCATCTCGCCATTTTAAACAATATGTTGTTACGCGCCGCAAAAGACGATAAAAGCTCATTTAGAAAATTTTAAATTTTAAATTAAAATTTAAGCCGAACAGAGTACAAAAATTTTGATTCATACAGAGGAGGGGGATCTTTGTTGGCTTTTCTAAAATGAACTCAGAGTAACCACAAGGTTATTGTTAAAAAGTCAGATCGTTACTTACATTGTACCACATATTTCAACAAAGTTCTGTCAAAAAATGTTAACAACGGATTTGCGATTCTCAAACAGAATAGAAAGGGATGCTCAAGATCAGGGAAGATCTTCATGATTTAATTTTTTTTCGATATAGGCAAAAATATTTAAACCAACCCATGTCATTTTTATTCTTGTCAAACTTTATCCTGAATCTTTTTTATTTCAAAGACTCAGTTACGCCTTTTTCCTCGCAAAAATTCAAAACGAGAAGAGATCAAATCTAAGGAAAGAATAACTCAAAAATCGTTGTCTGAACTCTTTATGCTTACCTTCAATTTTTAACATTTTTCAGCAAAATCGTCAGAATCATGATCGCTCTCGACCAGGCTTGAGCGCCTAAGCCCGCGCGCGCCCTCAATCCCGCGTGGTCCGCGGTTTTTCCGCGCGCTATAAAAGCATCATCTTTCCGAAGATTCTCCAACAAACTAAATCAATAGTTTACAAAACTCAAAAAAACCTTTTTCGAGAGTAAATTTTCCAAATCACAAAACCAAAAAATGATGATCAAAACCGCCACTTTGATGACTCTCGCCGCCGGTGCCCCTGCCGAAGGAGAATTCGCTGCTGCCGAGAACAACAGACGATACAATCAGCTCATTAGCTGGATGGAGTTCTACAATCCCACTTTTGACGAGAGAGACTACTGGACTTACGGATGCCACTGTCTTATGCTAGGAAAGGGTTGACAAAAGATCCAAAGTTAAAATTTTATCAAAATTATGAGTTTTAAATCATGAAATTGAGCTTCAAAAAGAATAACTAAGTCGGCTTCTGATTGGCTAGAAGAAACTATAATTGACCCTTTAGCCAATCAAAATCCTAAAATTTCAATTTTATCATTTTTCTTATGCCAAACTCATTCGATCTCTTCTCAATCCCTCGACAAGGTGATCGACCAATGACCCAGCCCGGCAAGGGAACTCCCGTCGACGCTCTCGACACCACTTGCAAGGCCTACAAAGATTGCCTCAAGTGCGCTCGAGAAACCTACGGCGACATGTGCATCGGCGAGTTTGTCGAGTACAACTTCAACATCAGCAAGCAAAAGTGCCGAGACGACGCTGGCACTTGCGGTCGAGCCCTTTGCGAGTGCGACGCCATGTTCGCTAGGAACCACGTTGATGCCATCGCCGTCTACAACGAGGACTACCACATGTTCTACTCGACAACTGGTTGGGATGGAGAGAGCCAGTGCCTTTCTAGCACAGGAGGAGCTGTTGAGCCACAGGTTAGCTTCGAAATAATGGAATTGACAATTTTCTCTTGCTTTACAAATTTCAAACCCTGATTTCTAGTGCTGCGGAACACCAACCGGACCTGCCGCAATCTTCAACGCCCTTACTAAAGAATGCTGTGCCAACGGAACCATCAAGCCTCTTGGACAGTGCTAGTGCTAGAAAAGATAGATGCCAATTTTAATAATCAAAAGTATTAATGCAGCTAGCTTTTATTTTGAACACTATCAAGCACAAAGTTTTCGTATGCCCATAATATCAACAATCTACTTTGTAAATTCTTTCATAAATCAGAAAAAAATCAATTAAAAAAACACCCAACGCACATAAAAAAACACAAAATGTACAGTCGATTCGCCGCGAAGAGATGAGAAGAAATCTAATCAACTGGCCCGAGAAGAATGATGCTCAGCAAACGCGATGGATTTTTCTTTGTAAAACCAATTTTTAATAAAAAATCATAAAAATAGTTTGTTTCTTTTGTTTTGCAAAATTTCACTGAAAACAACAAGGACCCTAAGAGTTGTAAATTGAGGCAGGTCCGGTTGGAGTTGAGTAACACTAGAATAGATGATCATCATTGTCATGTCGTCTTTGACGGTTTATCGCAAATGTTTCCCTTAAAAATATTGCAATGACAGCCAAACGTGAAGTATTTTCTTTCGTCGAAGGAAGGGTTAAAGTTCAGCATCAATCGAATGAACTGAGGGTAAGGTCTAGTGTTTTCGACGATTGTGGACTCTTCGATAGCGGGGGCACCGGTGGTGAAGGTTGTCAAAATGGCAATTTTGATAATCACTATTAATTTTTTATATATATAATATATATATAATATTTTTATTAATTTGTCTGGGACTTTCTTGAAAACTTTAGCCTAGTAAAAATGCTCAAAATTTGTTGAAATTCAAAGAGAGGAGCATTATCGGATTAAAACATCACCCTGGATTCGAAAGCAGATCCGATAATTCAACCCCGTCCAGCGCGGCCCGGGGCGATCCCCGGCACTACTCGGACAAACTTTTTTTTCAAGTCGACCCTCTGACCACTTGTTAATTAAACCTAAACATGCTCGAGATCACTCGCCAGGAAGCATATCCGAGCTAGTCAAAAACCCTTTTCATGCTCAGAGAATGAGAGCAACGCCGAATTATAAAAGCAAAAGAGGCAAAAAGAAGCGATCACGATCGAAGTCAAGTTTTTTATGCTTTGGAAAATCGAGACCGCGGCTGGAAATTTTTGTCGCGACGATTTGTGTTTTTGTTTTGACGTTTTTTATAAAACTTGTTCACAATTTGGAGAAAGAATGGGCAGAGAAATGGTCAAGTTTGAATGGATATCTCGACAAACCGGAATCGCAGAGGCTTGTAAATGAGAATGATGACTATCAAGACATCAATTCTTTCAGGTTAGGGTTGACAAATGATAATTGAGGGTGATTATAAGTAAAAAAATAAAGATGATCGACCTTTTTTCTCTATAAAAATTCTCGTCAACCCTTTGTCAGATCTCAACAAAATGAAAACAAGAATGATCTTGGCCCATTTGGCCTTGAAAAAACATCAGATGTGCTAATGAACAAGCTGATAAGCCAGCAAGTTTCCCCAAAATTTCAAAAAGAGTCGGACGAAACCGTCGATTTCTCGAAAATTCATGAAAACTTCATCGATCAGAACATACAACTTCCCACTCCCAAGTTAGAACTACTATCTGCCAATTCAGAAACAAGGAAAATCGAAGCAGAAGAGGGTCGACAACCGGGCGAGAAAACAATAAGGTGAGGAGATGTTGCTTTTATCTGAAAATTAATCGCGGATTTCGGGGGTTTATTGGGAGAACATGCATTTTTTATTGAAAAGGGGGAACTTTGCGGGATAATATTGAAGAGTCAATTACGCAGGATATTTATCTTATCGAGTAGACTTTTTCTCGATATGCAAGGTAAGCTGTTGTAATGCAGGGTTTGAAATCTGAAAATTTTGCGTGAGCACGAGCACGCGTGAGTGTCAAGCCCCTTAAATTAAGAAATCAAGGAACGGGGCTGAGACGGCCCGAAGGGCCGTCAAGCCCCTTAAATTAAGAAATCAAGGAACGGGGCTGAGACTGCCCAAAAATCCCGCCAGCGCAACCCCAAGTTAGAACTGCTTATAAAATTTGCCAATTTGAGTCGTAAACGACTGTTAGCACGTCAAAATGTGAGCTATGAGCACGCGCTCACGTGCTCATGAGCACAGAATTTGCCCTTCCAGAGATCCATGAGCATGAGCTCGCGTGAGCACGACTGTGCTCTATAATTGGTGAGCATGAGCACGCGTGAGCACGAAGGGCGCAGAATTCTGTGTGCATGAGCACGCGTGAGCATGCTCATCGAGCTCACTCACGTGCTCACGTGCTCGTGAGCTCGTCAGATTTCAAACCCTGTTGTAATGTATTTTACCGGATTTCGCTTCGCCAAAATGACAAACCAAGATGCAAAAAACTGCACGATTAAACCCGCAAATGTTTTGTTCAATTGGCACAAAGACAGACTCAAAAATCTGAATTTTTTATTTGATTTAGGGGTTCCATGTCCTGTTGTTCGAATCCTTTGGGTTTCTAAAAGACACTCTTTTTTCTTATTTCATGACAGTATTTTTCTGTAAAAAGTTCATTGTGTCAATGAACTTGAGCATACGACCTAGTCTAGTGGAAATAACTCCTGTGTCTTTTTCTAATTTTCAAGTGCAGACAGCTTTGTCAATCGCGTTTTATCCAAGTAAAACAGTAGATTTGCGATTCTGTCCGCTCTCTTTTTAATATTCTCAATATTTCATTACAAGCTTTGTTGGACGAAGACCGCTAACTTTGTTATTTCATTTTCATCCTATCTTGAACTCAAAAGATGGGTTGTTGTATATATTTAATTTCTTGTTTGAAGCCTTCTGATCCCGATTAATGAGCGGGGAAATTCATCAACAATCATCCGAATGATCCAGCGCCAATGGTACAATTCGATTTTAAGCTCATGGAAGAATGAGAAGCCGAAGATAAACATTCGCTTTGTTCTGGCTTCACCTAGGAACAGATTCTTGAAAATTTTAATCCATAAAAATTAGAGTAATGACAGTTATATAACAATAATACCAAAAAGTGCTTTTCAATTTGCGTCGTATGTTTTGCGAACATCTACTTTTTTATCGAAGCATTCACTAGCATAACTATTTGGTTTCAATCAACTTAATAAAGAATCTGATGAGTGCTCAAAGTAAGGCCTCAACTCTCGATCGAAATTTCGGTGATCTTCGAGCGTCCAAGAAACGAATTCTTTCCAGTCTTCCTTTGGATATGCTGAAAAATGCAGAAATAGAAACGCAAGTTTCTCCAGTAGATATTCTCATTCTACTTCACAGCTCGTTCATTCTTCTCAATCAAGGAAACGGCTTTTTCTATTAGAATTTATGGCTTTTAAATGATGATTAATTTGGTTGAACTTTGTTGAACAAGAAAAAGAGGTATTACAGTTGAATTTTATTTTTTACAGTCTTTGATACAGTAGAAAAAGAGGATCGCTAATGGCTTTTCTTAAAAATATATAAGTGCGATAAGTCGCCCCTAATCTCGTTTACCAAAATCTATAAATCGCCCATTTTCTCAAAATGAAATAAAGCCGTTTCGACAGATGGCCTTAAGTTTCTGATGGAGAGCATCAATAAGGATAACACTGTGATTTGCCTGGGCACAGGAGCAATCCAATGCAAAGACGACTCAGTTGCTATTCATCGAAGTGTGGCGACGCTTACTTACGAACAAGCACTAATGCTTCTCAAGGAAAAGAAGCAAACAACGAAAATTGCTCCTTTCAAGGAAAATGTCAAGAACAAAATATTTTGTTGATTCTTCTCAAGTGCTAAAACGTGCAAAAAATAAAAGCAAACTTGGTTCTCCTTGAATTTATTTTTCATCGCGTCACTTGTTCTTGACAGTGAAAACAGCCGATCACTTCGTATTCTCTTGAAGGGCTTCGATCTGCATTTTTGGAATCGCTTTCTCAAGACGCTCCAGGACTAACATTTCCAACACGATACCTTGTTTCTTCAACTCCAGATTTTTCCACGATCCCTGAAATTCTTTCCGCCCCGGATTCCGGCGTCTGTAAATTTTCAACAAAACATCTTATTTTCGTCGTTTCCAGCACAAATTCAGCGGAAAATCGTGAAAAACTCCGCTCAAGTTTTCAATCCGACGGGCAGCTGTTTGTCGGTAGCTTCGAACTCGTCTTTTTAGCTGGAAAAGAACAAAAAGTCTCCGCTCAAGGTACACAGCTTATGACGGCAAATGTCAGCCGAGATTACCCTGGATTCGAGGAAAGGGACTACAATCTTGTCTACCGATTTTTCCGATGAATTATGAATCTTAATCCCTTGAAAGTCTGAAGCTATCTTTTCCGCGCTCAACTATGTCAAAGAAAACTGCCATTCAGACACGCTTGAAACCGTCACGATTCTCAGGGACACAATGAGACTGAATATCCGCCGCCTTTTTCGGGAAATCCTCGGCCCTGGGCTTCAACAAAATGACCTGGTCTGTCTGGAGTCGTTAGAAGAACCAGCGCTGCCAGAATATTTTGATCGAAGGAGGGTTCATTTTAGAGGAGAGATTACTTCTGACGCGAATTCGATACGTCTTAATCCTATTAATATTTGGGCATCAGCTGACTCGTCGCGATAATAGATGAACATACTGAGATGTGTTCTTGACGCTCACGAATACATTAAAATTTTTTGATGACTGGATGATAATTCGATGCATATGTAGAATATGTATTAAGTCGTGTACTTCGTTTTGAAGAATAAATTCATTTTCTGAGTCCATTTAAATACATTGAATATTCAAATTCGATAAATAGAAAGGTTCATGTTCAATTCATCGTTATTTTTTGACCAATAATCAGGTTCAAACTCGACAGCTCTGACCGGTATTTTCCAAAAAAATTTTCTAAAATTTCTCAAAATGAACTCAAATAGCTCCTTTATTTGGGGCTCCAACTGGCCGAATCCGTCCCTTGCGCTTCCAGCCTCGTGCAGTACTCTTTCTTTCTCAATTTCTTCAAAAACTGCGGAATCGTTCGTTTTGAAACGCGCGCAATTATCGCCAACTCAAGTTCATCATTCTGCAAAATTCTTGACCGGGATTATGCGACATCTCATTTCTGTTCAAAATATTACTGAGCTGTCAATTTCTCGAGTCGACCCGGTTTTCAGAGCTCAGAGCAACTTTGGAGAGCCGAAAATCGACGAACAAACACTTTTTATATCTTGAAATTTTTATTTATTCACTGTAAAAATACGCTGTTTCTTTTCCCCCGTTGTCTGTCACTTTTACCAAGAAATATAGTTGAATATTCTTCTTTGTTATTTTCTGGCAGAAAAGCGATAACGTGGATAATGCACGCCGACGTTCTTTAGCGCCACTTTGCGGACATGTATATTTGACGCTTTCGATATATTTAAGGCACTCGCTTACTTGAATTGGCGTAATCGAGTTTCCCACATAAGAATTGAAAAAAAACAAAGAAATTATGAAAAGTTTTGTCTTTTTTCTTCCTTTATTCATTGCATCACCGGTAAGATAATTTTATCGATGATTTAAAAATTGTTGATTACAAAATAAAGTGTTAATTTTTTCTTTCAATATAAAAAGAAAAAATAATTTCTTAGTTGAAAAATTTTGAGATTAAAAAAAATATGATGATTGAAATTTATTTTTGGGACGCGTTTCGGTCTCAGTGGACCTTCGTCAGCCCTAAGTACAGATTTTAAATGAAAGTTCAAAAACAGGAAAAACAGTCTCTCACCTAGAGTGGACAATTTCGAATGAAGGCAGAGATTGAAAACATAAAAAAAAATAGTTTTTAAATAAGATAAATTATTTTGATATTTAAGATACATAAAAATTTACATTGATGATGAAGACCTGAGATTTTTACTCGGTAATTTAAAACATCCTTTAATGAGTAAGAAGGTCAATCTTACTGACAGACAATTACCGTTAGAAACAAAGAATAAATAATTCATCGAGTGCCGGTAATATTTTTTGATAGCAATACATGCAAAGAATGAGAAGATTCGAGTCGCCGATTAATATGTTCCTGTCAGACAGCGCAAAAAACGACGTCCCTTCTGATGCAGGCTGTAAGTTATCCGATCTTACTGTATCATCCTTATGCTCTTTTTCAGATTTTGGAGGACCCGCACCGATTGGCGATTCGGATAAATACAATGATTATATGCGGCTTTTCCAACTGAACTAGTTCCTTTTTTAATGTATTGAATAAACTGACGATGAAAAAAAAACTCGCCCGTGTTCCGAAATCCCCCTCAAAATGCGACCTGTCTCGTATAATGAGCAACAAAACTCATCATGAGTAAAAAAACTTGTCACGATTACCAAAATGTCACAAGTCATCTTGCCTAATCCTCAAGGACTATTTAACCAAGTCCGCCTTTCTCAGGCTTCAGAACTTCAAAACTTGTATAGAAAAAGAAAATGAAAATATCAATTTTTCTCTTCAGCTCCATTTTCGCTCGACCAAGTCGATATCGCGGCTCTAACAGGGCGGAAAACGCGATTCAAGAAGAAATAGACCTTCTAGACACCCCTTCAGACGCTTATCTCGAATATCTCCTCGCCCTCGATGCAATCAACAACGACTTCCCAAGCCAAGTCCCAATCAACGGCCGCGCCAACAACTTCAACCAGCCAAAGAACATCGGCTCTAGCTTTAACCTCCCAAGCAACCTGGACCTTTTCCTCGAGCAGAATCAGGAGTACTTCCAAAAGCCATCCTACCAAAATCAACAATTCTACAATAACTTCGACTCCCAAAATCGCCAGAATCGACGCTACTTGAACAGATTGAGCGATTTGGACGAGCTATTCCGCGACTATTAGGCATTTTTGATGGCGATTGACGGTAATTGACGGATTGTGACTGTATTTAACGGACAATTTTCAATATTTTTGAGCAATAAAAAGGGTTGATTAAAAATGTTTTCATTTATTATACAAGAAAAGTTGCAGGGCAGTGAAAAAAGCAGAAAACGAAGAGGATTCTAGGCATCATTTTTTCTAGGGCTGATAAACAGTTTGACTCCATTGTGTGGATTCATCGTCATCACCCTCGTCATATTGACATGATGGGCTGTATCCAATTTGAACTCGCATTTTTCTAGCAGCGTCGCAATCACAGTTCGCACTTGAGTAATTCCATATTTGTATCCAACGCATTTTCGCTGCCCGGCTGAAAAGGGGATGAAAGCATTTTTTGCGATATCGTTGTCCAAAAATCGTCGTGGATTGAACTTCTCTGGCTCGAAATAACTTGTCGGGTTCATGTGACTCTCCCAGATGCCGAGCATGAAAGTGGTTCCTTTAGGAGCAACGAGGCCATTTGGCATGGTGACGGAGCGCTTGAGCGTGCGGGGAACGATTTCTGGAGCGACGGAGTAGAATCGCTGAACCTCGGAAACGAAGGACGAAAGAAGGGACTCCTGCTGGACGTATGTTAAGATATCAATGCCAAGGGCTTTCTTCTGGTTGAACTCTTCCACCAGCTGTTTTTGCAGTTCCGGGTCCTTCGCCAATTCATAGAGAGCCCAAACAATCGATGATTTGTTGGTCTCGTGACCAGCCATGGTGAAGAGAAAAATATTCGCAGCGATCTCATCCCTTGTCATTTTTGTCTTCTTCTGGAGATAAAACGCCAGGTCGGAGATTTTCTTCGTGTTTGCGGCTTGATCCAAAATCTGATCGACCAAATTTCGAAGATTTTCAAAAGCGGCCTTTTCTTTTTGGCCCTTTTTCGAGAAGCGGCGGAGGAGGGGAATTTTGGCGAGGATGTCGCCTAGTGACTTGTCGAGCTTCATCGTCATCGAGACGGTGATAAAATCGTCGTTGAGTTGTTTCGATTCTTCTTCGGAAAGATCAAGCTCGATTCCAAGCAAGCTTGCCATCAAAGTTTTCAAAGTGAGTTCTTGAACGAGTTGGTCGACCAAAACTGATTTTCCTGACTTTCCAGCATCAAGAAGCTTCGTTGAAAGATCTTGAGCGCCGGAATAGAAGTATGAAGCGTATTTTTTGACCATGTCGTAGAAGCAAAAAGGCTCGAAGTGCTTTCGATCGGCTTTCCAATCTTTTCCTTCTTTGAAAAGGACGGAAGAGGTGAGATTGTTGAAGATTCGCTTGAAGTTTTGCGACTTTTCGACAAGCTCCGCGTCGAGATTGGTGAAGAATTGGACTATTTCGGGCGAGTAGATGACGAGCATTTTTCGGGAGAAAAATCGGATCACGTGGGCGCCTGTTTCAGTAATACATTTTCGTCGCCAGTCGAAGCCGGCGGAAGTTGAACCGCTTTCCCGGCTGAAGTCGATCAAGTGGCCGAAAATCAGCTTTTTGATCAAGGAATCGGACTTATTCCCGATTTCTGGAGTTTGGAAATTTTTGTAGAAGGCGGTTAACTCGCGGTTTTTCAAGGTGTTTTTTAGAAGAAGCAGCGCGAGAAGAAATATCGCCAAAAAGGCGAGAAAAAAGAAGTTTTGCATTTGGTTCTCTTTGTTGATTTCAGTTGATTTTTTTTTGAAAGATTGATGGATTCGGTAGACTGAAAGGAGATTTTATAGGGGAGGATTATACAGCCAAGGATTATTTGGGTCCCAGACTGGTGGATTGATGTTGGCACAGCTTGGGGTGCAGTCGTTTCCGGACGTGTTCTCAGGGAGAGAGTGGCTTTTCAGGGACAAATCTTTGCACTCGGATCTTTGAACTTGTCTGATTTCTTCTCGAAAACGATAAATATTTCGATAAACAGATTTATTCATTTTTGAAATCAAATTTCATTTTGTAGAGTGGAAAATAAAATCATCTGTTTACAACATAATTTATGTTACATAAAGCACTTCTTAAAGAAACAGAAAAAACTAAAATATTCCCGTCTCACAGTTCCGCCGCTTCTGGAAGTACACAATTAGCCTGGGTCTTTGCATCCATTCCTGTTTTTTTAATTAACAACATAATTACTAAATTTTTTTATTTCTAGAATCTGGGCTAGTGGAAAGGGGAAGTATCCCCCTGGGTTAGGTTAAGGGTTAGGGGGAGCTCGAATCATAACCCCCTACTACCTTCATTTTAGACTATGTCTTCCCTTGGTTATACTTTCCTGGAAATTTTGACATAAGAAGCCCTTCTCGATGCTTCGGCTTTCTTAATTCCTTTTCATCGAATCCGGTCCATAACACGTCATGTCATTGACTCTACTTTTGCCAGACATTTTTTCGAGCAATTTCGCACAGTCTCGCATCTATTTTCGGATTAGATCGCAGCTGAAAGCGCTTTTACGCGCGATAAGAGCAAAATTCCTTCCCAGCGAAATGATACATTGCCTAGGACCACCAGGACTATCCTAGACCAGACTGGAAACTTTTCTATTTGCATCAGATGGGCCCGAAGGTCGAGTAGATCAAAATTATTCTGACCCGCATTGCACCAGATCGCTCTCGTCTGGTCCCGCTAGCAACACCTGAACCGGATAACTTGATGGATAAGTTCGCTCCCAGCAGCGGCAACGCAGACAAATGCCATTGCAGTCAGAAATTTCAAAATAACAACTCAAGGAGAGACTCACTGAGACGTGAACTCATTGCGATCTGCAGCTGAGCGGACTTTGCTACTTACCATTTGCGTAGAAAAAACGACAATGTTTTCAAGGTTATTTTTAATTTGAAAATTTCAACATCTTTGAGACGGGGTCTTTCGTAATGAATTTACAGTCGAAAGTTTCGACTCGAAACAGATTAATTTGAATAGCCTAGATTTTCAAAGAAATTTCTTCGTCATTTCTTCGATCTTTTTTCTTTCCATAAGCTTGTTCGTAAAATTCCTCAGCTTGATCCTTTGAAATCATCATCGGCATCGCCAGCGTTTCTGGCAAGAAATATGCTATAAACAGTTAAAAAATCAGTAGAAGAAACAAAACAAGGAGAAAAACCAACTTACTCGATGCAATCAAAACCAGCCCAAAAACAGAAAACACGGCAAAAGGCAAATATGAAGCCGTCCGACTCAAATCAGCGATGAAAGGAGAAAGAACACCGCCAATTCTTCCACAAGCAGAAGCAGTCCCCACACCGATGCCTCTCATCGGAGTCGGGAAAAGCTCAGAAGCGTAAATGTACGCGACGCCAAAGCTAGCCGAAGCGCCGAGTTTTCCAGCAAAAGCGGAAGCAATCTTCATCATTTTCAATCCAACGAGGTCGCCAACCAGAGCAAGGAAGCAACCAGCTGTGGCAAAGGATACGATCCAAATATTTCCAAGTCTTCTTCCGAGCCAGGGCTTGTCGATGATGAAAGAAACGCATCCAAAGCCGAGAGATTCAGCGACACCATACATTAAATTTGTGTAGAGAATGTTTCCTCCGAGATCTTGGACGCCAAAAGTGAGCCTAAAAAAGAATAAAAAGATAAATTTAACCCTCAGTTTACCCGTAATATAGAGCGACCAGGCAAAACCAGAACAAGCAAATCGTCAGCGTCGTTCTTCTCATCCCGGATGTCTTGAGCAAATCAACTTGCGTGTATTTTTGACCAACATTCGCCGATTTCTGACAGTTCTTGATCTCAACCTCCAGCTTTTCCAGGAATTCATCATCGATTCCTTGCGCATTGACATTGTAAGAAATTTGATAGATCGTCTTTCGTGCTTCTTTAAATTTTCCGATTGAGTAGAGCCATGCCGCGGAATTTGGAAGCAGCCAAAAGAAAATTGTGATGAATGGAATCGGTGATAGAGAAAAGGCAATCTGCATTTCGCGCCAATCCTAGAATTTGCTGGAAAGAAGCATTCGCTCGATTCTACCTTGAAAATCATTCCGATAGGAGTGATGCACATAAATCCAAAAGTGAACATAACAGCCGCCCAATTTCCAACCCAAGTTCGATATTTTGGCCCTGCAAATAGCGATTGTCTTCTTGGCAAAAGGCACGATCTACTGACCTGTCATTTCGACGCAGTAAACAAAACAACTAGTCGCTTGTAACATCGAAAAGAACGCAGCTAAAAATCTCAGTCCCGCGTACATCCAGATTCCACTTGAAAATGCGATCGCTAAATTCACGACGACGCTTCCAATCTGGCCCATTAGACACGCCAATTTTCGTCCAAGGCGATCCATGATGATTCCGCCGATAAAAACGCCGGCAAACATTCCTGCCATAAAGGCACCAGTCAGTTTACTGTTTATATGAGCGCGGTCGCAGACGATGTTGAATTCTGTCGCAACGGTGTTTGTAAAGCCAGGAGATGATTTCTTCTCGAAGACGTTTTTTGAACAGGAGACAATTTTGCTCTCTGATAGATTTGCGAACTTGATGAAATTTCTAGCGCAAGCGAGAGCTTCAGTCTCGTCTGTCATCGGACATATTGATGGCCAATCAAGATTATACATTTGACAGCTTGGGTTATCCAATCCTTTTGTAAAAAACAGCCCGTCTTCATAAGATATTCTATGATGACCAGTGTCATTTTTGAATCTCCTGTCAATTTCGGTCTCGCACCGGTGCTCAGGCGTATACTTTTATAGCCGCTCGTTATTTGTCTTATCTTTTTATTTTAATGGCGCCATCTGATTTTTGATTTCTAGCGGCTTTCCTGAGTAAAAGTGCTTCCAACCTGGAAGAAACCGGAAGTGAACCAGCAATAGGCGGCCATCGTCGTCCACATGAATTGAAGCGGGCTGAATTGAGGCATCTTTCAAGGGGATACTTTAAATTTGAGGAGAAAGATCACATCTTTATTAATTAAATGGGTATCCTTTTTCCTTTTTGAACAAATAGTCATATCCCAAGTTTTCTTCCATTTCTTCCTTCTTCATCTTTTCTCTCTCTCTCTTTGCTTGAGTAAATTCTCAATTACGAAGAACAAAAAACGTAAGGGTAATAGTTTTTGACCCGTAAAAGGCGTAAAGTCTAAAAAGTGCCCGATCGTAAAAGCAAGTGGGTTTTTCCCCAAGTCGGACCTTGCCGGGAAAGGAACATTTTTCTAGAAGAAAGTACTCTTTTTGGAAGGGAAATAAATGTCTGGACGACCGTCCATATGATGGAGGAATCTTATGACTCAACCCTCGAGGCACAAAGGTATTTTGTTTAGTTGTGAGAAAGACACGTCTGTCCAACAAATTCGTCATAAAATACTGATGTAGGAAACCTGAGTCGACTTTGGACTTCTATCCGTGATTCAAAGACCGCAAAACCCCGGCATTAATAATTTCAAAAACACAGTTTCAGGAGAGGACGCCGCACTTCACCGAATAATCCTTTTTTCAATTATGAATGAAAGCTACAGAGTCTCATGTCAAATTAGCCAGAACACAGATTTTCACAAAAAAATGCGATTTAACCTTTTTCTTTGCCCATTGATTCTTGTCTCCGGAGAACTTTTCTCGAAAAAGTATTTTCATAATAAGTATCTTTATTCAAATTTCAGTTATTTAAAACATTTGGTGAAGCACGCATATCTCCATAAAGTAAAAACCCCTCACTTCGAGCCAGAAGAAGAGAAACATCAAGATATTATGCACAATTTTTTCGAACTCTACTTCAAATAAAAAAAGGAAGAAAAGAAAATTCGTCGAAATTTGGATTGCATTGAATGAAAAGAAAGAGATAAGAAAATTATATTTATTCTTCAAGAAAAATATCTTTTCGCCGTTTCGTTTTTCCATCAAGCTTCTCCACATAAAACAGCAACAGCATGACTTTCCCGTTGTTCCAAAAAGCACGCTCGTTTGGACCCTACTAGGCAAGGTGCGAAAATTATGCACGTGGGTTCCAATGCTTCATTTTGGAACCGCTCCTGACAAGTACTCGCCCTTGACCGAGTGGGTCTACCTGAGGGCCGCCGAAAACCGCCAAAAATAAAATAACCCTCGAGATTTCGTTTTATCTGACTCGAGCAGCGGTCCTTCGCGAAGCCCCGAGCCTAGAATTTTCACGAGTTCGGAGACGTCTGAAGGCTCCAACGGGTCTAAAAATAGATTAGTTCTTTTTTAGCCAAATTTTTTTTTATAAATTCTTAATCCTCTTGCTGTCAAATATAAACGGCTCAAAACCAAGTGTTTTCGTCTCCAAATACATGTCAGGTCGCGCCCTCTGTATGTTCCAATACAGACAGCTGTATTTATTATTTTGGGCCGCTCAAGATTTAAAATTACTCGGGTTCGACTTACTCCGATGCTCGTAAGTTCAGGATAAGCCTGACTTGTAAATCTTGGTTTCGAATAATTTTCATGTTCGGCGGGTTTTTATTTTACCTTCTCCAAAATTTTCGACGAGTTGCCGGAGCTGCCAAGTAGTGAAAAATGCATTCATGGTTGCTTCCTCTTCTTCGACCGGGCCATTCTGTTCAGCTAAAATTCATATTTTGAGAAAAAAAAATAAGAAAATTTCGTTCATTATTAAGACCAATCAGGGGTCTGCGTTCGAGTTGTAGGCCAATCAGATTTTAGAAAGAAAAGTATTCTTTTTAATTCGAATTATTTTTCGATATTCTTGTTTTTTTCTTCATAAAAACTTGTTTGATTGTTTCTTTTTTTCCTTGTTAACATAAAAACAGCAGATAAAACAACCAACAAACGGACATTATCATTTAAAAACCGATAAGAGTTTGAATTATTCGTTTCCCCAGATTCCAAGGAAAAGATGTTTTTTAGAAGTTAAAAACTGCTATTTCCGTTTCTATAAAAATCATGACCTACCTAGTTTGTTGAAAACGTGGCTCAATCTTTGGCGCTCGATTATCTTCTCATCTAAAGCATCTAATGACGGGTTCTTTTCGCGCTTCGTGTTCGGCATAACGCAACTCGAGCTTCTTTTAGTTACAAATCGTAACAACTTCACGATTTTCAAAAAAAATGAAAATGCTATTTTTGCGGTTTACGGGGGGCCGGGCATAAACAGTGTCTACGCCCTTAAAAAATCAAGCAAAAATCTTTAAGATTTAATAAGCCTAAAGCTTTAAGAGTATCAGCATCTCGATTTTCAGAATGAAAATCTGTTTGGCTTATCAGATTATCCCCGTCTAAGCTTGCAACCAAAAAAAGCGAAGAACCAAGGTTCATAAGTGGAAAGGGTTCATCAAGCGCTTATTATGGGATCAACAAATCAGCACGTTTAAATTTTTGAAAGGTGTTTCTTTGAACTAAATTCCTGTTCTTGTTCGTTCAAAATAACTCTCTCCGGTATCAGTTTTTTTAAAGAAAAACAGTTTGCATAAAATCTGTTCAACAGAAATTTCTTGAACAAACATTTGTTATTCTCAGGGGCACGCCTTGGCCTGATTATTTCAAATTTCCGTATTTTCCCGCCTTTTATTCTAGTTTTTTTGCGGATGGGAATGTGGGAGGAAAGTTGATAAGAAATGAATTCGCTAGAATTTTTGCAGGTGGCGGATTTCGCCTTTTTTGGGAAAAAATTTGAAAGGACGAAAGTTAAATATTTATTCTAATGAACGGCCAGCGCACAGATACAGTCTGTCGATGCTCGAGTCAAATCGGGAAAGATAAGGGACCCAGGCGTAAACATGCTTTCATCTTACAAACTACAGCTCTACTCATTTTTAGCAAGAAGAAATTTTTTTGGCGACAATTTTGACCGAAATTTTTTTTTCAAGTTCACGACCAATCAGATGGCAGCTTTCTGGCGATAGGCCAATCAGATGGGAAAAAGTTTGCTGCAAACAAGATCGAGTTCTAGGCTCATTCGTGACACCGAATCCGGCCACAAAATAGATTTCTTGATTCGTTTAATTGCTAGTGGTTCCAAAAATATTGGTTTTCAAGCAACGTTGGTTCAGTGGTAGAATTCTCGCCTGCCACGCGGGAGGCCCGGGTTCGATTCCCGGACGTTGCAAGTTTTGAACTTTTTTGAACCATTCCGAACACTAACCGATTTGCGACAAAACAAATTCTTTGCAAATTCTAGAGTAGGGTCAGGCATTTTCACGTGATCACCGCTGTACACGCTAATATTTTTTTGGGTGATAGCCTGGGGGGTACTGATCACAAAAAACATAGCGGCCCTCGCTTAACCCAAAAACGTACTATATATTTGAACCCATTTTCGGAAATTGCAATTTTTCATTGAAATAAGAATATTTTTGGTGTTTAAATTGTTTTTAAACGTGTCAAATTGAAAATTATTCTATAAAAATATCTTTTTAACCCATAGTCGAAGGTTTAAATTTAACCCTTTTTAGTGAACTCCGATTTTTCATAAAAAAAATTGTAATTTTAATCTAAAATTCGGGCCGTCTCAGCCCCGTCCCTTGATTTTTTAATTTAAGGGGCTTGACGGCCCTTCGGGCCGTCTCAGCCCCGTCCCTTGATTTTTTAATTTAATGGGCTTGACGGCCCTTCGGGCCGTCTCAGCCCCGTCCCTTGATTTTTTAATTTAAGGGGCTTGACGGCCCTTCGGGCCGTCTCAGCCCCGTCCCTTGATTTTTTAATTTAAGGGGCTTGACGGCCCTTCGGGCCGTCTCAGCCCCGTCCCTTGATTTTTTAATTTAAGGGGCTTGACGGCCCTTCGGGCCGTCTCAGCCCCGTCCCTTGATTTTTTAATTTAAGGGGCTTGACGGTCTTTCGGGCCGTCTCAGCCCCGTCCCTTGATTTTTTAATTTAAGGGGCTTGACGGCCCTTCGGGCCGTCTCAGCCCCGTCCCTTGATTTTTTTAATTTATGGGGCTTGACGGCCCTTCGGGCCGTCTCAGCCCCGTCCCTTGATTTTTTAATTTAAGGGGCTTGACGGCCCTTCGGGCCGTCTCAGCCCCGTCCCTTGATTTTTTAATTTAAGGGGCTTGACGGCCCTTCGGGCCGTCTCAGCCCCGTCCCTTGATTTTAATTTAAGGGGCTTGACGGCCCTTCGGGCCGTCTCAGCCCCGTCCCTTGATTTTTAATTTAAGGGGCTTGACGGCCCTTCGGGCCGTCTCAGCCCCGTCCCTTGATTTTTTAATTTAAGGGGCTTGACGGCCCTTCGGGCCGTCTCAGCCCCGTCCCTTGATTTTTTAATTTATGGGGCTTGACGGCCCTTCGGGCCGTCTCAGCCCCGTCCCTTGATTTTTTAATTTAAGGGGCTTGACGGCCCTTCGGGCCGTCTCAGCCCCGTCCCTTGATTTTTTAATTTAAAGGGCTTGACGGCCCTTCGGGCCGTCTCAGCCCCGTCCCTTGATTTTTTAATTTAAGGGGCTTGACGGCCCTTCGGGCCGTCTCAGCCCCGTCCCTTGATTTTTTAATTTAAGGGGCTTGACGGCCCTTCGGGCCGTCTCAGCCCCGTCCCTTGATTTTTAATTTAAGGGGCTTGACCCCTTCGGGCCGTCTCAGCCCCGTTTGATTTTTTAATTTAAGGGGCTTGACGGCCCTTCGGGCCGTCTCAGCCCCGTCCCTTGATTTTTTAATTTAAGGGGCTTGACGGCCCTTCGGGCCGTCTCAGCCCCGTCCCTTGATTTTTTAATTTAAGGGGCTTGACGGCCCTTCGGGCCGTCTCAGCCCCGTCCCTTGATTTTTTAATTTAAGGGGCTTGACGGCCCTTCGGGCCGTCTCAGCCCCGTCCCTTGATTTTTTAATTTAAGGGGCTTGACGGCCCTTCGGGCCGTCTCAGCCCCGTCCCTTGATTTTTTAATTTAAGGGGCTTGACGGCCCTTCGGGCCGTCTCAGCCCCGTCCCTTGATTTTTTAATTTAAGGGGCTTGACGGCCCTTCGGGCCGTCTCAGCCCCGTCCCTTGATTTTTTAATTTAAGGGGCTTGACGGCCCTTCGGGCCGTCTCAGCCCCGTCCCTTGATTTTTTAATTTAAGGGGCTTGACGGCCCTTCGGGCCGTCTCAGCCCCGTCCCTTGATTTTTTAATTTAAGGGGCTTGACGGCCCTTCGGGCCGTCTCAGCCCCGTCCCTTGATTTTTTAATTTAAGGGGCTTGACGGCCCTTCGGGCCGTCTCAGCCCCGTCCCTTGATTTTTTAATTTAAGGGGCTTGACGGCCCTTCGGGCCGTCTCAGCCCCGTCCCTTGATTTTTTAATTTAAGGGGCTTGACGGCCCTTCGGGCCGTCTCAGCCCCGTCCCTTGATTTTTTAATTTAAGGGGCTTGACGGCCCTTCGGGCCGTCTCAGCCCCGTCCCTTGATTTTTTAATTTAAGGGGCTTGACGGCCCTTCGGGCCGTCTCAGCCCCGTCCCTTGATTTTTAATTTAAGGGGCTTGACGGCCCTTCGGGCCGTCTCAGCCCCGTCCCTTGATTTTTAATTTAAGGGGCTTGACGGCCCTTCGGGCCGTCTCAGCCCCGTCCCTTGATTTTTTAATTTAAGGGGCTTGACGGCCCTTCGGGCCGTCTCAGCCCCGTCCCTTGATTTTTTAATTTAAGGGGCTTGACGGCCCTTCGGGCCGTCTCAGCCCCGTCCCTTGATTTTTTAATTTAAGGGGCTTGACGGCCCTTCGGGCCGTCTCAGCCCCGTCCCTTGATTTTTTAATTTAAGGGGCTTGACGGCCCTTCGGGCCGTCTCAGCCCCGTCCCTTGATTTTTTAATTTAAGGGGCTTGACAAAGGCTTGGAACACTGACTTGATCAATCTTAGTTATGTCCCCAACCCCACCCACTCCCATTGTTATAAAAATTCTAATTTTTCTTGTTTTTTGCTTAATTATGGTGTCTTTCATCGATTAAACTCGATTTTCTCCCGTGGCAACCCCAGTTCAATTATTTAGTTTCCATTATAAGATTAATTTAAACTTATCAAAATAATTATTTGTTTGTTTTGTACGTATAAAATCGAGTTAAAATACTTTTTTTCCTTTAAAATGGCCAAAAACGAGTAAAACAGAAAACGGGTTAAAATTGTTAAGGTGTTTTTGGGTTAAGCGAGGGCCGCTATGTTTTTTGTGATCAGTACCCCCCAGGCTACTACCCAAAAAAAATTTAGCGTGTACAGCGGTGATCACGTGAAAATGCCTGACCCTATTCTAGAGCTTTGTCTCAAATAGAAAAAACCACGTTCTAGTGACAAAAGACTGATGGGAAAAGCCGCAAGATAAAAAGCAGAACTGCTGTTTAAAAAGAAAGTATAGCAAGTATTCTCGATCGCTATCGGCTTTTGGTACAGCTAAGCGGGGAATTTCTGACGGAGAAAACCGATAACAACATTTTATCAACCAAAAGATAACAGTTACGAAATATGCAAAGCAGCGGGTGTTTACCGTATCATTTTTTCTGATTAGAAAATGTATTTTTACCGTCTTTTTCTTCTTGTTTTCTCTCTTCCATGATTTTTGAAATTTGAAATTTTAAAGTGCGAAAAATTTCGATTCACTGAGTTTCGCTCTGAGAGGAAAAGAGATAAGCTTATTTGTTCCGCGGAAAGAAGAAGGAACAAATTCGAAATGAAATTTTTATTGCGATCAAGCTGTTTAAATTTGAGGCCATAAATTGCCAGAATTCAGATGCAGCATCTGAGATGCTCCTTACTTGGCTTTTTGAGTATACGCGCTTGTAGATAAAATTGCCATATTCACGAGAAATGCAAAAACAACAAAAATAGACATCGTCGGTTTTCCAATGAAAATGCCACTTGGCTAATCTCGGCCACGTTCAGCCGAAGCCATCGACGGCCACTTCAGCTAAACGCAGATTTGAAGCGATTTTGTTCCATTTTCGCACATTTCGCTGAATCAAAAATTAAATCCTCAGCCTTAGAGACTTTGGCTGATAAACGCCAGCTGTTTTTAATGCAACGTTTCTTTTTGGCTGGTGTCAATTTGAACAGTAAGATTCAGCTTTCAAGCAGCCATGGTTCCATTGGTTCATAATTATTAATGGTTTCATTCAGGTTTAATCTACAAGCAACGTTGGTTCAGTGGTAGAATTCTCGCCTGCCACGCGGGAGGCCCGGGTTCGATTCCCGGACGTTGCAAGTTTTGAAATTTTTCGAACCATTTTGAACCAATTAATTTAATCATCTTTCCTCAGGAAAGTTTCCTGGTTCTATAAAGGGATGCAATAGACTTGATATCAGTAAGAACGATTTGATGCGCGATAAAAGTCGCAAAATAAGTTGGTTCAAAAAGGTTCGAAAAAAGCTCAAAACTTGCAACGTCCGGGAATCGAACCCGGGCCTCCCGCGTGGCAGGCGAGAATTCTACCACTGAACCAACGTTGCTTGGAGAACCAACCGGCAAAGGCTCTGAATGTCCGGTCGCGAAAATTTTGGCTCGAAGAAAATTAATCTGAAAAAGCCTCGTTCTTATAGCTAAATAGCCGCTTATCACTGTTCACCTGAAGCAATCTATGCAGGCTGCATTTAATAATAATTATGATTTGATTCGTAATTTATTTGGGATACGCGTTTCGGCGACTATGGTGCCTTCATCAGTCCCTAGTACAGATATAAATTTCACAGCTCAGAAAAAAGAAAGAATACTCTCACCTAGAGTTGGACAATTTCGAATGAGATAGAAAGTTGAAAACAAAAGATGAAAACTCGCTTTCGCGGCAGATGTAATGGAGCGCCAGAGAAAGCGAGTTTCAAATGCTCCATTACAGAAATTTAACTTCAGCGAACTTGATCTGCTTATTTAAGCTTGGATCTTTTAATTTGATTGAAAACGCTTCACATAGAGTACGGTCTTTGTAGTACGGTTGATTGGAGATAACAGAAACGAGTTTGTGTTTGAAGCAGAAATTTGTTTTAATTTTAGCTCTAGAAGTCGTAGGTTTGTATTTAGGAGTGTCTGGCTCACTTAAATATTTGTCAAAGAGTTCCCTGAATTTTGGACACCTCAAAGTGTGGAAGAACATAGGGCTACGGTATCTGGGTTCGAAATGCTCCTGGATTCTTGTTCCGAGCTGCCTCTTTGTTTCCCCCTGATAATCATTTTTGCCACAAGGGCATTTATAGTGGTAAACAACCCCACTCTTTTGCTCAATCGGGACTGGACGCTTCCAGGTTGGATGCAGACATTGTTCTATTCTCACTGTTTTCCAGCAGAGTCTAAGAAAGAATTTTGGAGTTACTTTCTTGAGAATAGCACGCATTCTGCGGCCAATACTGTCGCACCTCGCACCAGTGAAAACCGCTCGAAAGTTATGACAAATTTCATCCTCAGATTTAATTTCAGGTTTTGGCTTTTCAAGGAGTTTTATCTTTTCTTCAATGAGACTTGGTGGATATCCATTTAGAATGAATTTCCTCCTTGCGTTTCGAAATCCGATTTGGACTGCTTCTTCACAAGATGAGGCATTTCTGACTCTGTGAAGATGACCGACCAAAAGACTTATTTTCTGGGATTTCGGGGCAACATTTGTTCGAAAATTCGGCAAAAAATCTTTACTCGAACTTTTCTCAAAATGAAACATTTCAATTCCGCCGCCGTGCTTTCGGAATTCGGTATCTAAAAAAGACAATTTCCCATCCACCATCAGTTCTTGAGTAAATTTTATATTTGGATGAAGCTTATTTGCCTCACACAAAATAAAGTCTGTTTCAGATTTTTTGACACAAAAGACACAATCATCGACGTACCTAGCCACATAAAGTGCTCGGCCTTCCCCAATTAATTGGTCAAAAAAGCTCGTTTCAAAGCTCGTTTGAAACTCGTTTTCTCTGGCGCTCCATTACATCTGCCGCGAAAGCGAGTTTTCATCTTTTGTTTTCAACTTTCTATCTCATTCGAAATTGTCCAACTCTAGGTGAGAGTATTCTTTCTTTTTTCTGAGCTGTGAAATTTATATCTGTACTAGGGACTGATGAAGGCACAATAGTCGCCGAAACGCGTATCCCAAATAAATTACGAATCAAATCATTATGAGAGGTCAACACTGACAATTAATAATAATTGCTTGAAGCTTGATAGTAGAGTCTCAAAGCTCTTTATCTAATCATTTTTGTTCGCGGTTGTTCGTTAGAAAACCCTTTCAATAATATTTTATAGAAGTCTTTTTTCATATTTGCTGATTTTTGCGGTGAACTGGGTCAGTGAGGAGCAAAATTGGAATTCATTTGGATCCAGGAGAATTCAACAGCCCGTCACTTTATTCTCAATTTGCAGAAGAAGACTCATCTCTAGAAAATACCTCAAAGCCTGAAGATTGAGTCAACACTTTCAGCGCCCTTAAAACGCTAGAAAATCATTTTTGGATCGCTCCCACGTGAGATTTCAAAGCAATAAAAAATTCCGTCCCTCCCGTGCTTTTGAAAACAAACCCTTCCCTCCACCCTTCTTATTTTATTTTGGAAATCTGATCAGTTCGTTTACTCCCAATTTAGAGCCTGAAAAAATCCACGTCTGCAAAGCATTAATTTTAACCGTGCCCGGGCGTTTGTTTTGGTATCATACGTGTTCATTTGAAAACTGCGCAAAAAAGCTTAATTGCGGATGAAAATAATTTTCCCCAAAAATAATTCTACCTCGGTTTTGGCAATAAAACCCGCCTTGAAAGAAAGATCTTCAGCGCTTATTGCCAATATAAACCGTGGTGGATAAGCACTATCGACGGATCTTGAGGACTTAGCAGGGCGAAGAATGTACATTCATTTTTCGCTGGAAGAAATTATTGATAAGCCTTAAAACCGGGTGCTATTAGTTGACTGTAATTATCTCGTTTAACATCGTTAAACGGCAAACCTGATAAGATAACCTGAGTCAGGATCTGAAAGACCTTAAATGGAAAGCCGCGTAGCGGCTTTTTAAAAACGAAGCCGCAAGGCGGCTTCGCCTAAAAAACATTTGAAGCTATCATTGAACTCTAGCGAAGCCGCTTTGCGGCTTCGTTTTAAAAAAAGCCGCTACGCGGCTTTCCATTTAAGGTCTTTCAGACCCTGATCAAGGTTTTCTACAAAGGTTTCCGAGCCCAGGACGCGATAGCCTGTGTAAAAAACTAAGTCATGGTCTAAAAAGAAGTTGACTTATTACTGAGTTATTTTCACAGGACACTTGCGACCTAGCAGAAAACCTGCTCAAAAAACTGTTGATGCGAATCAGAGAATCGAGGTTATTATTATGATAAAGAACTCAATCATTATATTTTTCTACTTGCTAACAAATTTGTCGAGCAGAAACAGCAGAAAAAGCACCTATTCAAGAGTGATTTTTAGTGAGAACCTTTGTTTGTGTGATTTTTTTTATATTCATATTCTTCGTCAGATGTTTCTGAGTCGAGTTTCGTCCGTCTTCGAGATCATCTGGCGTGAGTCGGTGCGAAAAGAAAGGGGCGACAAAACATTTATGTTTTATAAAAGAATTTACAGAAAGATAGATAACAGAAAGTTATGATTTTATATATCCTGATATTGGTGATATGCATCGATTTATACAAAAAAATGATTTTCTTAGATTTTAAACAATGAAATTTTGATTTTACAGTTTTTTAGAAAAAAAAAGCTGAATTTGGTTTTAAATTAAGGGTATCTAATCGATATCGATTTTGAAAAAAGGCTTTTCTGAAAATTTAACAAAGAAAGACCCTTAATTTTTTGTCGAAAACGATCAAAATGACGAAATTGACAAATAACTCATTGACACCCTTAATAAAAAATAAATTTTAAAGACCTTCAGAGCTTTTTATTTCGAAAAACAAGCTTTTTACGGCGAAATTCAGTCGTAAAAGAAAAAAACTGTAAATCAATTTCAAAGTTCGGCATGATTTTATATTCATTATGTTCAAAATTGCGGCGCGTGTAACGTGATATTTATAAAACAAGTGTTAATTCAGCGAGAGACCTTATGTGAAAAATAATTGCGTGAATTTCGTTTTTGTGATTTAATTTTACAATTCGCGAGCTTCGCTTTTTTCGTTTTTACATTTAACATGAGCGTTCGTTTTTTTCGTACAGGAGAAGCCACGGAGAAGAGTTTTTACATTTTTTTGCATTTTTGGTTGTGGATTTTTGAAGCGACGCCAAAGCAGAAAAGCGGATTTTTAGAAATTTCGCTATCTGAAGAAAAAAAGGTTTAAATAAAAAAAATTTCTACATTTCGGTCGCCAGATAACGAATGCTGCTGATCTACGCTCTGATTGGTCGAAATCTTACACAAAGTTGGATCAGTCAAATTTTGGATCAGCAGAGTCGTTCACTTTCTAACAGCATCAGCCCAGCATTTGGCGCCATTCTGGTTGAAATTGGGAAGATTGGCCGGTCGCAAGTTGCGGTCAAAATCGAGCGCCGGCGCGATCAGGTTGCTCTCGGCGAAGACTAAACTCATTAGTTAGCGGTCTGGGCGAAGAAAGGGGGGCTTTTTTCGTCATCTTTCACTTTCCAAAATCATGGAAAGTGAAATCATTTTTTTGGAATTTTAGATTTTTTTTTGAATATTTTTTCAAATTAAAACCATCATCAGATTCGAGCTTCATTTGTCCAAAAGCACTGAGAGCCGAGTTGTTCAACACCGATTTCAGCTGCTTCTCTTCCGTCGAATTCCAAGTCGTTCCGCTCGACCAAAGGGTGGACGAGTTTGCTCGTCGATTACCACTTCCAATTGCCTTGCTCGATGCAGAAACCGAGTTTGTCCGGCTTCGCGATTGCGTCTCCAACGAGCAGGCGCCGTATTCGTCCATCAGCGAAGCGATGACGGATGGGACGGCGGTCTTGGCTTCGGATTGTCGTTCTTGGCGGATTTGATTCATGTACGCTTCGTAGTCGTCGTCCAGGTCGCAGTCGAAGATGTCGGGGATTTGGACGTTGGAAGGGCCAGATTTGACATAAGAACTAAAACAGGGTAAAGAAAGGGCCTTCTTTCAACACTATTATTTTCTCACCTGACGCATTCATCCCCCGATGCCCCAGAACTCTCTCCACAACCAGAATCATCTTCAGACGAGAAGCCATCCACGCCAAGAAGCACAACATTAATCGTCTTGAAGATTTCAGAATCTCTGAAATTCTCCGCGCTGCCCAAGCTGACTTGATTGTAGGCCATCGCGGCGCCTTCAGGTGTCTCGAATTCGACGACAGCTGAGATTCCAGAAACGTGCTCGATCGACTTTCCGAAGAACTCGCGCAGATCGTGAGGAATTTCCTGAATTTAAAAATGTGAACTCGAATCTTTTTGATCGAAGAATTTTTTAATCCAGAATTTTTGAATTTTACCTTTCCAGGGCGGAGAATTCGGACGCTCGAGATTTCGCCGAATTTGAAAAAGACATTCATCAAAGAATCGATCGTTGCCAGATTACTCGGGATTTTCGAGACGAGGATGGAACGTGTGAGCTAGAAATGAAGAATTTCAGATATGGAAAATGGAAACTGGAATTTTATCGGATAAGTGGGAGGAACTATCGCGGGAAACTTCGGCTCGAATTTTTCACGAGTCTGAAATTTGAACAAAAACTTGCAAAATAATAAGGGTATCAGAGTGTTAATTCTTTAAGAAAGAAGGCCGGCCCAAAACGGCTCAAGAATTTCTGTTATGTTTAATTTGATTTCAACTTTCAAGGTATCTCCCCCAAGAGCCCCTTAATTAAGGAGGAGCCCACCGGAAGGAATGTCACCTCATCAATTCCGTGTTTGGAACATTGACATTCCTGTTCCTCCGAAGAGAGTGAGAGTTAGTATTTACTAAAAGCCGTGTTCTTTAGATAAGGAAGTTCACGCTGGGCTTAAAATCTGACGCCGTCCGGTAACAACTTGTAAAATTTAAGGATCTGTCGACTTACCGTGTGAAGTCGCAAATCTTCGGGGATTGGCTGGATTCGGCGAACCTTTGAGCCCTCTTCGTTTACCTAGAAAGGAAGGTTAAAATCTGTTATATTTTATTGATAACAAAACTGGCCAATCAGAGCGCTTGATGGAAAATTTCTTATTTCGAGAAGCGTCAGTAGAATTCAAAATTATTTTTTTTACCTGAAGAAGTTTCGATTTTCGAAGACAAAAGCTCGTGATTCGTGGATCTTTGCTGAGCTTTCGGACCTTCTTGAAGTTGGTAATCAATTTCATCGACAGATATCCCTCCCGTTTGCGGCGGATCTGGCGGAGGAAGTACGCATCGCGAGTCAAATACTCATTTGAGAAATAATACTCGACCTAAATTTGAAAGATTAATTCTCGATCGAAGATTGAAGATTTTCCGCTGAGTCAGACTCAGACAGAAAGGACTTGTAACTGGTATTTGGGCGGAACGTTTTTGATTTAACTCTTGGCCAGTGCGGGGGAGGCTTTTTTGCCCTTTTGCACAATGGGATACCCTTATGGAAAGTTGGACGTTCTAAATGTTCAGACAAAAATGTCAGAAAAATTAAGAGTCTGGGTTAAAGAAAGAACCTTTTTGCAGGTTTAAGCTTTTAAGACGGTTAAATAAAGACCTTGATTCTCTTTCTTAAGGATATACCCTTCTCTAATTAATGAATCCGAAAAAACGAGAAGCTGCTTGCGGCTTCGAGTATTTGTTCAATTTAGCCGCGCCTTTGCGCGGCTTTTTTTTGTGCGCTCGAAGCCGCAAGCGGCTTCTCGATTCAAAAATTTCTGTCTGTAAAACAGTTAGTGCTCTAAAAAACTGTTGACTATTTAAAAAATACTTTGTAGCTTGCTTCTGCTTATCAGCAGTAGCTTATCAGACCAGTAAACTTTGCGCGCTGAATTTTTCTAAACTCGCGCTGCTGGTTTTGGAATAAATGAATAATAATTGAACATGCAACTTTTGTGAATCCGGATTCAAGGCGGCTCAGAGAGAGCTTTTTGCAAAAGCGCGCGAAATATATAAATCCGGATCAGAAAGGATAAAATGATAAGACAGGCGATTTCTAAAGCGAGCCGGATTTTCGAGTTCCAAGAGAATTTTGAAAATCCATCGCTGAATTTTTGAAGAATCAGCGAATGTCTTGATTTTTGATTGAAAGAAAGACCACGTCTTTGAACAGTAGATAAGGGTATCTCCTCGAGTAAATTGTGGTAGAAGGAAGAACTTGAATCGATAGTAATTATTTTCGATAAGAAAAAACTGGGATTCAACTGAATAGAGATAGTAATTAGTTGATTTTATCAAGATCAAAATTCTAATGGAAATTTTGTCGCTAAAAGAGGGTTGAAGTTTATTTGGAAAAGATTGGGCGTAAACCACAAGCTTTCGATTGGATGAGATAAGGACGGACGTCGGTTAACCGCGACTTCTTCAAATTTGATAACATTTCGTTTCGGATAATTTTTAATACAATTTCTATTCGGCTCGAAGAATGCTTCAAGTTTATCATTCATGATTGCATTCATAGTAGCTTTGAAATTTGTCCACGCAGAAAAAAAAGAAGAAAGTTACGTTATTTAATTCCATAAATCTCCCGCAAAAGCCGCGCTGTTTCACCGATAATAAGCTTTTTTCGAAAAAAAATTTCTGCCACAAAAGTTGGCCTTGAGCTTATTTTCTCGATCAATGAAAAGTTTTTACGTTCCAAGCTGGGATCATAATCGCCGAATATTGTCTTGCAATTATTTCGTCAGACCAGACTGCCGAATTCTGCGAAATTCGCGGAAATCTACCGATTTAACTCTGTCTTAGACTATTTTGGTTCAGATCAATTAATCATTTTTGAAATTCTAAACATCATCGATCATCAATCGATCAAAAGAGACTCTCAAATCTTGAAATTAGAGGTCCGATTTGCTCAGAGCATTCCTCAGGTTCCTCCAAACCGGATCCTCCTCTGACATGATGTCAATGCCTGTCTCTCGAAACGTAATAACCAACGATCAACTGACAGTCACGACTACTCGTTCTGTTTCCGGGCCCGTTCCTCCTTATCGCTCACATGAGATCGATTCCGACAGTACAGCAAAAATAAATACGGAACTTGAACAAACTCAAAAAACGCGGTCTTCCTGTTTGAAGCCAAAATACAATCGAGCTGGAAACAGAAAAACGACAGAGACGAAGCGAAAACTTCCGGAGGGGCTTTTTCGAAACAGACAAAAAAAGGGCTGATTCTAAGAAGTCAAGTTATTGTGAAGTTTTCTAGCGAAGCGGCTTTGATTTCATCCTTTCATAACTGTAATTTTATGCTTTCAAGGATTTTTTTTTTGTAACAACCAATTTTTCGCTCAACAAATTATCCTCCCAAAACCAGTATTTTCGAAGTTTTTTCGAAAATTTTTTACCAGAAAATTGCATCGTTTTTTGTTCTCTAACAAGGGCGAAAACATGGGTTTGGTGAAGGTTGAGCATAGATTGAGCGAAAATTAGAAACAAAGAGTAGAGGTATGAAAAGAGTTAAAGCGGCTGCTCTAGAATGCAGGTGGAATGTTCCGCACCGCAGCGAGTTATGCAAACTCTATCATTTTTAAGTTCGGTTTTACTGGTTTTCGCGGAAAATCAAATCATTACCGGCTTTTTGAGGGATTGGACTTATAGTACTTATTCATCACTATACAGTGAAAACCCAAAATTTGCCCACCCAAAATTTGGCCGTTTTTTGTCTAAATCCGCCTTTTTTAGAACCTGAAATCAACCCAAAATTTGGCCGCTTTTTCAAAAATAAAAAATTTTGAATCCGAATTGGGCCAAAATGATGCTATTTCTGATCATTTTTAGCTTTCTTAGAGTGTTTTTATCATTTTAAATGACAAAATTCTCAAAAAAATGTCTTCAAACAAGCAAAAATTTGAATAGAATTTATCAAAAATGTGAAAATCATGCCGATTTTCGAAAATTTCGAGACTATGCTTTTTGAAATGGAAACTTGGCTACCCGGCAAAAAAAACCCAAAATTTGGCCGCTTTTTTCGGGAATTTACATCTGAAAACCGGCCAATTTTTGGGTTTTTACTGTAATATAGTGACTATATTCACCCTTAATTCATCGAAACGTAATTCACGGAAAACTGTTCGAAGAAAATGAATAGCCGATCAGTTTCAATCTTCAATTATTTATTGCCAAAATATCCACTGAATAAATATCAATTACAAAAACAAGCAAAATACAGTGTTTAGAAAAAGTGCCACACTTGAAGCTCGAAGCCTAAAACTTCCTCAGAACCCTCACGAGCCTCTCAATCGTTCAAGTGCTATGCCCTTACTCATACTCGAACTTCTGTAACACGAATTTAGTTTAGTACAATTTTGTAAACACCAGGTTTCATTATGCATTCTTCAGAGCGATTTTGAAGGGTTCAGACCGTTTCGAGTTTCCTTCAAAAAAAGGAGGGCGGAGAGCCTTAATAACTCCTATCACAGGTTAAGCCATAATGAGACTCTTTAACGGGCTAAAGGGACTTGAGAAAGTCGGCACTTAAATTCGAAATATGGCCTAATTTCTAGTTAGGGTTAATAAGAACAAGCCCCTCTTGCAAAAAGAAAAATGAGTTACAAGGTTAACCAACCGTTGTTATCAAGAAAATGACCAAATTAATTCATGTTCCGTTAATCGTCAAAATTTGCTCTTTGACAGGTTAAATCGAAAAGAGTTTATTTTGAAAATAATTTCTCGATCAAATCGCGATATTCGTTTATCACGTGTTTCTCGTGTTATCTCACAGCGTGAAAGAAATATTTTGATTATTTTCAACAAAATTTACCTGCTGCGTTATTTTTCGCTGAAGCTCAGGCGACGGAATTTCATGATCTTCGATAGAATCGAAGGTTTTGAAGTGATGCGTCACCGGACTTGATGTTCCAGAGGATTGGAGCTCGGGTGAGCTGGAAATCGCTTTTCGGGAAGTGATGAAAGTTGGCTGGAAAGTGGCAGACTTGTGAGTTGCGAAAGTTTGGGCTTGGGCGACTTGAGCTTGCTGGTAAGCTTGAGCTTGTGCTAACTGCTGCTGGTGCTGCTGGAGGAGCTGAAAACGGTGTTTGGGAAAGAAAGGTAGAAGGGAAGTATAAGATCGAGAAGCCGCTTGCGGTTTCGAGTAGAAAACAAAAGGAGCCGCGCTTTGCGCAGCTTTTATTTCAACTCGAAGCCGCAAGCGGCTTCTCTATATTTAACAGTCAAAAAAGCTTCAAGAAAAACAAAGGTCCGAAAGGATTGACTCATTCTGTCCTGTAACCTAGGATTTGAGAGAACACGATAGAAAGCTGGTATACTTTGGGCTCTTGAACAGATCGGATTTGAAAGGATTAGAAGTGCTCCTTAGGTTTCAAAAATTTTTCGCCAGCGCGTAAGGGAGCTTTTCTTACTTGCGTTTCCTGTTACTGTAGCTTTTGGTCTTACCTGGGCTCGCTTGATGGCGATTTCTTGGAGGAGAAGTTGCTGCTGTTGGAGGAGGATTTGCTGTTGAGTCGTCGGAGCATAGTTTGCGTTGACGAGGAGTGGGTTCATTCAACCTGAAAATAAACAGTTAAAAATTTGATTCTACAAAGAAAAAAACAAAAACTATTATTGCGTAAGGCCGAAAAGCCGCTTGCGGCTTTGAGTCAAAAAAAAATTAAAGCCGCGCATAGCCGCCCTTTTCGCTTTTTTTTGACTCGAAAGCGACCTACTTCTTTTGACCTTGAAAAAGATTAGTGAGAAAAAAACTGCTTCCTGAAAAACCATTTTGAGCAAACAACTGTTATCCTCCTAAAAGGGATGAAACATGTTTTGTAACGTATTTTGTCAATGCGAGCTTCGGTGGTACGGGTGAACCCTCAGCGGTATTTTGGCAGCGGGTTCTTTCGCCTCGCTGCTCAGGATTTATTGAGAACTTGGACTGAGCTGTTTTCATAATTTCGCCGCTGAAAATTTGAAATTTTTAATTTTAAAATTTGAGAATATTTTGGCGGTCAAAATTGAAAACATGGAACGGGGGAACGAGGTGTTTTTGCGAGTTATTACCGCGGCTAATTATAAATTAGCGGCGGGAAAATAATCAGGATAATTTGAAATTGTGCAATTCCAAGCATCTTTTTTTCTCTTGTAGAACAGTTTTTCTGACTCATTTTTCGAGAAAAAAAGACTCTGAGGTGTCTCATTGATCCTGGAAAAAGGATCAGAATTTGGAGCATCGGATATTGACATTTTTGCAAAAATAAAGTCGTTTGGGCATTTCCGAGGAATTGGACAAAACTCAACAATGACGTTTGTTTCTTGCTAGCCAGAAGACAGTGGTTGTTTGTTGTTTTGAAAAAGGGTGGGATACTTATAAGTAGGGGAAATCACTAATATTTGAGCGTTTTTTCTAGCTTAGTAGGGTGGGAGTATAATACAGATTTAGAAAGCCCTTAGAAATTTAAGTTATTAGTAAGATCCAGAAAATTTGACTTTTTACGGTGTCATTTTATTTTTGGAAATACTTTTTGTTATAAAACATGAAAATAATTTGAGTTCCTTGCGTGAAATTTAATCAATGTAATCAAAATAATTGGCATAATTAGCTTACAGGTTCACCCTTATTTTCTCGGGATATTTTTAATAATAAATTTTTAAATAGATATTATTAATTGATTTATTTTTAACTCTTTTTCAGGGTAAATACTTGAGTTTTAGTGAGATTACGCAAATTTTGTGCAAGAGAAACAGAACGGGTTAAAATTTGGCTAACTCATTAAAATCCAAAAAAAGCCCGCACTTTATGTTCTATTATTCAACGTGGAAAAATAGCGCCTCGATTCGTTCCTGTTTACAAATTCGCGGGCTTGAAATTGAATCACAAGGACATAAATATTTTCGTCAAGCGGGGCCAGAAGGATCTAGCCCTCTAATGTTTTTACGTGATTGTTTGTCTCTTAGAAGGCTTTTTTCACGGAATCGCAATCTTCGCAAAAATAGCTCGCCAAGGAAAATGGCTGAAATATTGAAATATTAACCTATTTCCATGAATCTTCCCCTAAACGTGCGGGTTTTAACCTGTCGCCGTCCAAAAAGCCGCAAAAACGACTCTCGACAGTCCCAGAAATTCCCGTTTTTCCTCGGGAAAGAAAGCGTCTCATAAATATTCATGCGTAATTTTACCGATTTCCGACTCAGTCTGATAATGATTGAGAAGCGGGAATCGACTCCAGATAGGTTGAACTGCCACCGCAATTGGTCGGTTTCTAGAGCGACCAGCGAAAGTAGCTCATTATGACCGCCCGCTGTGGTCGCGAAATTTTAGCCGACCGCTAAGGAGCGCCCGTTTCAGAGCGGCATTACCCCCTTAGCAGGCTTTTTATGGAGCGATTATGAAATTTTTGGAGGGTTGCGATAAGCTGAACTCATTATCAAAATATCATTTCTATTGAAAAAGAAGGAACCCTTACTCATAGACTGAGGAAAAGCGAGTAGCCGCTTGCGGCTTCAAGAGAAACAAGCAAAAAAGCCGCGCAAAGCGCGGCTTAATTCTTGTGAAACTCGAAGCCGCAAGCGGCTTCTCGCTTTTCCTTAGTAAATGAGTAAGGGTTCCTTCTTTTTCAATAAATTGAATATTCTGAAAAATCAAAGAACAATATTCAAAAAGCGCTTTCTCGGAACGTGCGTCTTGTAAAATTAAAATTCCAAAAAGCGCTCAAAAACGTGTGAACCGCGCCACGTCGCGGGTGTTTTTTCAAAATTGAAAATTCCAGCGTTTTTGCATTTTTGCTCGAACGCAGAATTACTAGTCGTCGCTTGGGATAATTTTCCCGCGAAAGCGAAATAGTAATTTTAATGAATTTCGTTTTATTCATGAACAATTTGAAATTCAAGAGTAAAAAGAAAAAAAATGTGAATTCGTAATTTCGCGCAGCTACGGGAGTTGAAATAAGTTGCTTTCGTAACCAAAAATATTCACGTAACCTGTCTTAAGTTCCGCACTACAAGTTCTTGCAATTCGCGAATTCTAGAGCCGGATTTTCAGACGCAGAAATATTTTGAAGGCTTTTCCCCGTTAAAACTAGGCTCGGCAGCCTGTGTCCAAAACCTGAGTCAGGGTCTGAAGGACAAGTTATGAATAGCCGCGTAGCGGCTTTTTTTTTAAATTAGCCGCAAAGCGGCTTCGTTTTTTAAAAAGCCGCTACGCGGCTTTAAATTTTTTGTCGTCCAGGCCCTGACTCAGGTTTTCTACACAGGTTGCCGAGCCCAGTTTCAATGGTGAAAATCTTTCTTAATGACGTCAGTTCAAAACTTTAAAACGTGCATGTTTCAATTCGAAATTATAAGGTTGAAAAATATTTGCGCTTGCTTGCATTGCAAAATTTTTCGCTACACGTGTCGGCTCGATTCTGTTTTTAGAAATGAAATGAGAAAAAGGACCAGTCGTTTGAAAACCGCAAGTTGGGTTTACAATGTTTTACTTCTTGCTGAATCGAGGGAAACTAATGTGAAGCATTCGCGAAATAATTTTGGTGCTCAGGGAGCATTTTCTTAGACATTGAACAGATTAACCTTTGCTGAAAGATACAGTAACCACAAGCTGTTGTCTGATTCGAGACCACCTTCAATACCAACCGCGGTTTCAATTCATTTTTGCGTTAAAAAGATGAAATTCTTCCATGATTTTTTGGATAATCCAGAAATGAGATTCCTGGTCTCAGCGGGCGTGGTCTGCTGCTTATCGCCGGGAAAATGTATCTGCCGCGCGAAAAATGAGAGAAAGCGCGCGAATTTCACCGCGCAATTTTGACAAGTATGTTTACTCCAAGCCACACGCCTCGGAATACCATTCTTTGAACTTAAATTGTCAAGTTTTTTCTTTTAAAAATGTATCTTTCTTTAATTGAGCGAATTACCGTATTCCTCAATTCAATAAATGTCTTACACCAAAATTAACAACTCAAAATTGCCGTCAATTTTCGTCTGATCTTCTTTAACTGGCCTCAATTGCCCCTCAATTTGCAATGTAGGAACTACGTCCACTATCAGACACCATACATCGAATCCCTCCCGAACGATAGTACCTTATCATTATGTTATTCCCAATGTTTCTGGGTCTGTTCTGTGGGCGACTATCGACCGCGCAAATCTGAAAGGTGCTGCGCCACTCTGGCGGTCGTATCAACGGATCAGCCCGGGATAAATTTGATCCTCTATTTCGCGATTTTGCGAGAAATCAGACTGCGCTTCCGATCTGCGGATAAAAATCAACGGCCAAAGCCGATTTTTTCAAAAAAACGTTGCTTTCTTTTTGAAATGTGAGATGTTGGCTTTTATTGAGCACGACTTAATTAAGGATCTAGACCTCGAAAAAGAAGTTTTTCGAAAAAAAGATAAGAATTATAGAAATCGAGAAGCCGCTTGCGGCTTCGAGTATAACACCAAAAAGCCGCGTGAAGCGCGGCTAAAATGTTTATATCTCCAAGCCGCAAGCGGCTTCTCGATTTCAATGAATTTTATTTTTTGTCTCGAAAACTTTGTTTTACTGAATTTTAATTAAGAGCCTCAAGTAATGTATGATTAGATAAGTTTGTTGCGTTGCACTTGCTTCGTAGTAATTAGTACCTGACGAGGAGGATGGTTGTAGGTTTTCGAGTTCAAAAAGCTTGCTACAGGCATGTTTGAGATGCGTGTTAAAGGAAACTGAGCAACTGGTCATTTCCGCGTAGCGAAGACGCACCGGCGTCAGCGGCCTGAACAGCGGCCCGCGCGGGACACGCTTTAGAAGGCGCGCTAAGGGGTTAAGGAGTAGGCGAGAGGCGAAAATTATAGATCAGTTAGGTGTGTAAATATATCCACCAGCCGCCAGCGCGGAATGAAAATGCAGCTTGACGGCCCCGCGCGCTCGAAAGCGCTCGTTTTCGGGGAGAAGAAATGAGCTTCAAAAAGGACAAGTTTTTTGAGGATCTTCTTTGAGAAAACAAAATTTCTGGCAAAAAACGACTCGATTTTCCGTTTAAAATAGGTCATAAGTAAAGTGGCTTCTATCTTAAGTAGTTTAATGTGATAAAGGAAAGCCCCTCGACCGTGGTCATTTTCCAACCCTGATAAGAAACGAAACGCAAGACCACATACGTAAGCATTATTCTCTCGCGTTTCCTCTGACTCGCTATTGCGGAGTTTGAAGGGATTGATTTTCAGATTTGCAAATTGCGACTTCCAACTTGCGACTTGCGACTGGCAAGGGGAAAGGCTTTCATTTTTAGGATTAACGGATTGACTCCCTTAAACTCGTTTTTCAGGAAGCCCTTTATTCTAGTAAGACTGAATTAAGATGCGCTCTTTTACAGTAAAAAGTGATTTGAGTCAGTACAGCGACACTTTATCTTCTTGTTTAACCAACTCATTAAAGCGATAATCGAACATTTTATGTTTTCCCAAAAACGAACCGCGTTCTCTTCAAAAAATTAACGATCTTTCATCTAATCCATTTCCCTTTAGAAATCAGCCGATTTCGATTGAGTTTTAATTTTATCGAAACCTTATCGATAATTTTACTGCGACTCTCGTAAGTAATGACTCATAAATCGGATAATCCCGCCGTAAAATCAAGCACCTGTCAGTTTGATAACTCGATTTTCTTTCATTCCTTTTTTAATTTCTAAAAAGGCTGCTTTGCATAATAAATTGATGACAGAAATCTGCCACGGGAGGCAGAAATTAAGGGACAGGACCCATAAATGTCGATTCTGCGGTCGAAAGTAGAGCGAGATTGTGATTCTGGAGAAATCCACTTTACGCAGATTTACCAAAAGTTCATCGCCGACTGTCACGTTCAAAATAAGGTTCTAACCTTGGATTGGTCTTTTTAACCCGTCTGGGATAACATGGCATTTTCTAGGCTCCTAACGCTTGATTTTCAAAATAAAAAAAAACGAATTCTTAAGGGACTTCCTATAATTTTGATCAGAGAAATTTATAACGATGATGCCCTTAAATTATAATACATTAAATCAAGAAAAAATAACGACCATTTTAAATTTTTTTAAGAAAAATAATAACCAGATTTTCCTAAAACCCTAAAATTTTATGGTACTTCAATTGCCGCCTCATTTTTCTAAAAAAGAAGAGAGTGGAAGATTGACAGATGTTTGATTTTCCGCGGGTTTTTAGTTTCGCTACGGGAGCTCTAGAAATTTCGAAAGCGCGTCGCGCGGGATCAGATTAATTGAATTGTGTTCCCGGAGAATCTAATATCGCTTGGCGGGATTGATGCTTATTTTCATTAGGCGGAAAGATTTTTCATGCTGATTTTCGTTTTTCGAGCGCCTTGGTCCAAGATCTTATAGGGCTTTTCTAAGCCAATCAGAACGCGCTATTGTCTTAGTCAACCAATCAAAAACAAATTGCACCTCTTTAAATTTGAATCCCTATTTTTCCGATCCTCTATAATTTCCCGTCAAAAACTGATTGTTTTAGCAAAATTCTAGTTCTTCAGAATTGAAAATCATTTGTCGAATTACCTTTTTAGATTAAGCTTTTTCGTAAAAGAATTCTTTCTTCTTATTCAAATTTACACTCTCGATTTTTATTTAACCGGTCGTTTTCGTTTTCTATTCAAATCTTCTTTATTTTTTCAAAATCTGATTTTCTCTGAAAATTTTGTTTCTTCAAAACGTCAAAAAGCAAAACTTGATGCAATCTTTTTTCGATGCCGAAACGCCTCTGTTTCTGATTCAAGATGGCAAAAAATTTAGTAGAGCGAGAGAAATTCAAATTTATTTCTTCGCCTCAACCCGCTGAAAACGCGCTCTCTGGCGCCGCCTCAAAGTCACGATCAGAAGAAAAAGGGATGCGGAAAACGCGCGCTCGTGGCTCAGGAGCGCCCTCTGAGCGCGGAGGAAACGGGCAGACAGGGACAAATTGAACTGAATTGAGAGTCTGAGTATTGTCGATAAACTTTTTCCGCAAAATGGGAGTTGTTATGATCGAATTTATTTCTTTATCAAATTATTCCATTCAATGAATCTGATAATAAAACTGACAAAAAAGACTTCCATTGCTTTTCGCTCGAATCATTTATTCGTTTTCGTGAGGAGCCTATTTTTTCTCAGACTTCTAGTGAGTTTCCTCGAGCTATACTGAAATGATTTTGCCATTGACTGATCTTTCCTGATCCCCCGCACTTCCAGGCTTCTTACAATTCACGATAACTGTGAAGCTCAAGAAGCGTGTATAAAACGTTCCCGTTGAGTTCTGAGGATAATCGCTTCGCTCCGATTTCAGCCAGTCTTGAGCTCAAGTTCATGCTGACATAAGCTCAAAAGAACTGTGTTCGAAAAATTTCCTCTTTGACTTAGCCTCCACTAAGGAGACCTCCGTTGTTTGATCTTCGTCTTTTCTGGAGAAAAATCAACACCGTGAACTTGAAAATGACGGTTATGATTCATTACTTATGAAGAAGCAATACAATGCTGATCTGCGTAGAAGCCTGAGTAAGACGCTGACACAGGTTTCTTCATTAAGGGTGTCAACGAAAAAAGACTGTTTTTGAATCAACGATCTCGTAACCTTCCGTCGCCTGTGATGCTAAAGCCACTGTGTTATTGATGGATGTACAAGTGCTCAAACAAATCAAGCTGTCAGCGCTTGACAATGATCATGACATCCGCAGATGGTCTCAATCTGAGCCCGCTCGGTTTGCTTGTTTTTTCAAGTCGTCATAGAAAGATCCAGCGACTTATATATACCAAGAAATTTATTTTATTACAAAAAAATATTGCAGTTAAAAATTGACAGTTTCAATTCAAATGTCGCTTGACATGGCGGCTTCTATCTTTCATGCAGCTTGTCAGATAAGCAGATGATAATTGCCTTTTGATTTTGACATATTCAAATCCGTGTCCTACACTTTCTAAGAGAGAGACAAGTGGCCGCGCTTTTATTTTCGCGACAATTAAAAATGACTCGTATTTTTCGTCTTGATTGACAAAGAATTGATTGGCAGAAAGAAGAATTGGAAAGATTTGGTATTTTGAGGGCGAGTTTACGGTTCGCAAAGGAGAAAGCTTATCGCAAACGCAAAACAAACGCGCTTTTCTGAAGAAACATGACGTCGGATAAAAAGAACCAGAAAAGTGCAAACATGTGTTTGCGGAAAGGAAACTAGAAATAACGTGAATTTTGGACCAAAATTTGGAGAGTAATAAATTTTGAGGAGAGAGATAAAAAGCTACGAATTGGGTGGATTTTCGAGTCGACAAAATCTATAAAAAAATTTGAAATTCTGCGACGACTCGTTATCTTATTGGCCAATTATTAAAGTCAGCCAAACTCCACCATCTTATTGGTCTAAAATCTGACCAAAATTTTGGTCATAATTATCCCATCTTTTTGTCAACTTAATCCGTATCCTTATCCTTCTTGCAAGAAAAAAGGTTGATGCAACACATTCATTTCCGGTTGTGAGGTTGTTTTTGGTGCTTTCTTCACCCAGCTGCGGTCGGTGGAATTGACCTTTACTCGCCGCTTCTTTAGAAGTCACCCGGAGATGAGCTGGTTGAAATTGGATTTTCTTCGTTTTTTATCATTTTTTTCGTTCTGTGTTAGGGTTAGGTAAAATAGTGTCGTACCGATTCAACCTCTTTTCCAGAAGAGCAATTATCCGAGGAAGAGATACAGAAGAGCATTTTTATTGCCAAAATCTCGACTGGCGACCACCGCTACGGTTATCGTTATACAAGTCAAAATAGGGTTCAAATTCGCGACCATAATTTTCAGGCCCTATCTATCGATAAGCTATCGCGGTCTTCGTAAAGCTTCAGAACTTCGCTAATGATCACTTTTCAAACTGGAAACTCGGGAAGTTGAAAATGGGACTTTTAAAAGGCCAAGTTTACGAGTCGAAAGAGGGCAAGATCGCTTTTGGAAAATCTTCGACGGTGAAGTTTTACTGATAAAAGTCATTGCATCAAAAATTCTGTTTCGACCCTCTTTTGTTGGGCTTTGTTGGAAAAAGGCGTCATCTGAATCGAGGTTTTCTGAACTCGTCCATTTTCGATGGGTAAGAAATGATAGATAAATATTCTTTTAGAAGCTCTAGAATATCTTCTTGTCTTCATCGGTTTTTCTTCTTACGCGAAAGACGGGCCCTGGCTCTATCGCTATTTGTGTTCACAGCTAGAACACTCTGATAAGCGAAGCTTAGAAAACAAAAAAAAAGAGAACGCTTAATTTTTTAAATTTTTAGAAACTATTCAAGCAAAAAAAGAAAAGAGAAGAAAAATTCATTTATTCAAAGAAAAATTTCAATTTCAATTTCGAGCAGCCTGTTCTGCTTCGAACTGATCCATGAGCGCAATGAATCGTCGTAGCATCGGGTCGCCAATGTTGGCCCGCTTGACGAAGGGCATCGAGTAGCCGCTGCGTTTCTGAAAACATGTTTTTTAAATTGATCTTTTTGTTTCAAAATAGAGTCATAATTAAGAGCATTTAGTGTTTTGTATTCAAATATTTTTCATTTCTCAGTCTATTTCTTGCACCTCAATTATGTTTTTGATGAAATTAAGGTTAATTTAGAAGGTTTCATAATTATAACTGATTATTAGAAATTATTACCTGATAGACATTGGCCATGTCAGTCAGCGAAAAATCCGTTGCAGAAACCATGGTTCCGAAAACACCAAAAAGTTTTAAAAAGTTCATTTTCTTATCCTTTCTCCTTTTTTTATTCGGACTTCGATTCTGATTGAAAGACGGAAATCTGTCGATTATATAAATGTCGCGTCCATTAGAGAGTGGAGGTGCGAGAAAATAAGGTAAGGAAGGATAAGCCGGATTCTTTAGACGCATGTCAGATATTGTAATTTCCCGTTTTTGCGAGATGTAAGGCGAACTCTTCAAAGAGATTATTTTTTGAGGAGTAATATTGAAAGAAATTTTATGATTTGAAATCTTTGATTGTTTTCTAGGAACAACCATTCGAAAGGCGATGTTTATTCGCAAAGACCTTGCTCTTGCCTGACAAAAAGCGCATAAAATCATTGATAAATACTCGCGGAAAATGTATCTTAGGCAGCTGCTCTTCCGCATAAACAAATAAAGCGCAAAGGATAAAACATTCGAATGACCTGATCTTAAGTATTATAAATAATGTCTCCGGAAAAAAAAGAGAAAATGGTTACAGATTTTTTTGTACGCAATTTGATTTTGTCTTGTTGGAACAGTTTTACTGGAACCGCTTTATATGGAAAAGAAAGATGTTGTCCTTTTAGAAGAAACTGCCGCTTCTGAGGAAACAACAGTTTCTTCGACAACAAAATATACATCAGCGAATACTCCGAGCTCGACAAGAACTCAAACAATATCAAGCTCGACAACTTCAACCTCTCATAGTTCACCGACTCCCACATCAGCGATTTCGACATCAGCGACAACACATTCTTCGACCACTATGAATACTTCAGCTTATACTTCAAGCTCCACTAGAACTTCAATAATATCTAGTTCGTCATCAGCAACCTCACAAAGTTCGGCAACTTCCACTTCAGCGATTTCGACATCAGCGACAACAACTACAGCACCATCCTCCCCAACATCAAATACTTCAACTACGAAGTCAACAACAGCAACTCTCCTCACAACAACAACGAAATGATCGACGACATCATCATCGATTCCAGCGTACGATTTTGAAAAGTCCTGGATGCAATTCGACGAATGTGTTAGCTACTGTCGCTCATATGAAGATAAACCACTTCAAATCGAGTCTGAGGAAACGGCTGAGAATATAATAAAGTTTCTTGCTGCAAATTGTCACGAGGAAAAAGTGTGGATGGGATACAAGACCGAGAAGAAAAAGCAATGCTTTTTAGTTTTTGTTTTAAAATGAAATTATAACTCAGCGAACTTTTTGTGGGCTGATCAATTAAAGTTTTCATAAGCATTAACATTTTCATTTCCCGCGCGCTGATTGGTCGAATTTCTGACTGTGTTGTTCAGATGGAAGAATCTTCAGTCTAGAAAAAGTCCCTTGCGCAGCTGACCAATCAGAGCGCAGAAGCTAATTAAACTTTGTATTTTTAAATAGCTTTAAAATGACAGAAAAAATGGCTTTTAGGAGAAACTAGGATCGGAAATGGATTCTACTAGTCATTTTTAGTAGAATAAAAAAATTTTGGTAAATTTAAAGTCTCTGTCCCAATCGTGCGGAACCCTAAAAAGCATTACTGGTTGGATGAAAATCTAGAATTCTCAGAACCCGTCCCACAAGAACATGTAGCGACGTCAGAAAATATTGACTGCGACTACTTTGAAGATGAAGATGATCCAATTGTTTATTACTTCCAGGCGAAACCTGATGGCGACTGGAAAGAATGCAAAGAGCATGGTATTTATAAAGACTCTTATTCGAATATTTTTCATGATTTTTTTAGATTATAACGATCACGAGCATATCTGCGTTTGCATGAAGCATTTAAGCGGATAGAAACTAATTTTCTTTTGTCTAAAGAAAATCAATAAATTATTAAAAAGAAGAACCTGTCCTTTACCAAGCTTAACTTTTGCCCTACAACAGCCACGTCCGTAAAGAATGATATGGAAGCAAATACACGTAAGCGCCCGATAACGCTTGTAATCACTTGTTATGAACAAAGCCCTAATTGAATTCGCGACTCGCAGCAGCTCAAGTTTGGCGCACAGTCAGAGTTCAGAATTAGTTGATAAAAATGTTAGAAAGCCATCTTATAAATAGAGAAACATTCAAAAGGAAGAACAAGTCATCCTGAGTAAACCATAATTCCTCTTTTTTAAATATGAATTTTCATAATGACACCCTTGATCTCGCTTTTTTAAATGAAAAACTGACTAAAATAAAGCATTTCTTTGATTGTAAATAATGGTAACTTAAGGGCTTCGTCAACATAATTCCAATTTTTTGACTTGGTTTTGTGCTAAAGCTAATATATTGACACCCTTAATTTTTTCTGTTTGAAATCACTCAGACTGGAATTAAGCTTCGAATCCATGGAAAGAAACCTGGAGTAACCCCGCAATAGCGAGGTTTATTCTAAGAAGTGGCGGAGAATCAAGATGATCCACCCCTGGCGACCTCTAACCACTGTAGTCATTATGTGATGGTGTGACAAGTGTTCTGTGGCTATCTCAGATATTTTTTTCGCTGCACCTCACGTTTTTTAGTTCGAAAAAAGTTGCTCTTCATAACCTGAAAGCTAGGCGGAAACGAATGCCAGGAAAGTTGGTTGAGCAATGTAAAAGTGCATGTAGCGGGAAAGGGCAGCTGCCGTGATAAGAGTGACTTGATCAGATTCGAGCGAAGTGAAAATTTAGCGCAAAAAGGTCACGAGCCTGGCCGGCCAAAATCACCATGATTTTCATTCGATTAAGTTCTACCGCTCTAACCTCGCTTATCCAAGCCAAGGTAATCAGGTCAGCGCGTGATTTTTAGACGTTCGTTGAAAGTCGCTTATGAAGGTTTTATTTGAAAAATGATTCGATTGAGAGAAAAGTGCGATATGAAATTTTCCGGTGGGCGCTTTGGAAAGCTCATTTCTCGTCTCATTTTTCCGGAAACACGAAGGATGATTATAGCCGCTTGTCGTGTCGGAACGTCATGTTCCCGCGATTTGATGTTGTCAGGTTAAACTCTTTCTTTTTTTGCAAGATTTTGTTCAATAATTTTAATTTGTTCATATCATATCATATGATTCATATGAATCATATGTAAAATTCGTCTTATTGAAAAACTCGATTATTTTCGAGCATGTTCAATATCAACGAAAATCAATTAAATTACCAAAAAACGTGGTTGTTTTAGTTGCGGCGGATTCTAAAACCGTCCTTCCGCATAAAAAAATGAAATGTCAACCAAAAAGAAAATGACTCTCTTTGATCGCGAGGAGGAAGTATTTTTTCTTTTCTGGCAAAAAGCTTAGCCGTAGATTCAGCGGGCCCGTCGTGCCTCCCAAACCCGCTCTCGTATTAATCCGATCCAATCCAACACGATAGCCGACAACTCAGACGTTTTCAATTTCTAAAATTTGGAAAGTGCTGTTATTTGAAACAAAAATTTCAGGTTTCGAAATAAACACGCAAAAAAAATTTATCAAACCATATTTCTTAAAAGTTTTCAGAATTATAGAAAGAAACCGAGTCACGTTAACTTCCCCAAGACGCTAACTTCCCCAGACGCTAACTTCCCCAGACGCTAACTTCCCCAACGTTGGGCATTTCAGCGTTTTGGGGAAGTTAGCGTCTTGGGCAAGTTAGCGTCTTAAATGCGTGGGCGATCCGTTGAACGTTGAATGGCTCTTTCAGCATGTCTTAGTTTGGTAGACAGTCGTCTCTTAGAATCTAACCTCGACCTTTCCTCGTGAATATTTTCTATTTCTTTTGAGCAAATTTAATTTGACGTTTTGAAATAATATTTTTGTACTCCGGGAGTACACTTATTTTGACAGTCAATAATAAAATCTGAGCTCTTATTATTTAAAATATATAATATCTTTGATTATTTTGAAGCGTTATTATTAGAACATTAATCCCAAAAAATGCCTGAATTCTCAAACCTCTGTCTAAATGACTTATAAAAAATCGCTCCTACTAATATTTTCTGAATACTGTATTAAGTGTTCCGAAAATTGAGGCTTCGAAAAATTTCGAGAAAAAATATTATTTTCTCTAACGGGAAGCTTTGACGCTAACTTGCCCAAGACGCTAACTTCCCCAGACGCTAATTTGCACAACCTTGGGGAAGTTAGCGTTTTGGGGAAGTTAGCGTCTGGGGAAGTTAGCGTCTTGGGCAAGTTAGCGTGACTCAAAGAAACCATAAGCATACTTATCCTTCGTCCGTATTTATATTTCTTATGACATTTGTGCGATGACTATCATATTTCATTAACACCAGAGGTTCAACGGATGTTACTTTAAAATCATATAAGTAACCACCACGGAACACTTATACCATATGCTTAATGCATATGTAAGTTCTGATGATTCAGCAGTCAGGATGGGTTGGGTAAAGCTGAAGATTGGGAGATAGAATTTACAAAAAGAAACTTCAAAAAATCTTATTTCTAACAAGAACGGCGAGCGCGTGAAGTTTGGCTCAGCGCTGCTCGCCCAGGTCCCTTAAACATTTTTCGAGCCATGATCATTTTGAGCACCCGAGCACCTCTGTGCACTCCCTGGAAAGTACTTTTACATACTTAAGGGATCACCCCCCGATTTTTCAAACCTTTTGCGCGGATCATTATCGCCTATAATTAGATTCCTCGTGTTCTAAGGATCATTTTGATATATTATACTACTCTTTTACATGAATGCATCCCCAAAATTTCGCCTTGCAAAGTTCGGGAAAATGCATGTAAATTGTACTTAGCGTAAAAATCGTTAATTTTTTCGATTTTTCAATGTCATTAAAAGAGGACAAATAAGGGGTCTATCGAAAGCTTAGAATCTGTAGATTAAGAATATAAGAACCGCATTAGAATTTTTGGCCATTTGCTGGCGCTGAAGAGCAATTGAATACCAAAAAATGCCGAAAATCGCTTCAAAAAGTATTACAACTATCTAAATTTTGTTTCGCTCATCAGATTATGCTGGTTCTACCAGAATAATAAGTTTAGGGTCCAAACTTGCTTCTCCAGCTAAAAGATCTGTAATTAAAAAGGCCAAAAAAAAGTAGATACGATTTGAAAATGACCTAAAATGGCCATTTTTCAAAATGTTAATCACTTTGACGGCCTGTAATGCATAAGCGAATCTTTTGCTAGCAAGCTGATTCTACCAGAATTTGCTCATTTCGATGCGGGCTTTCTAATGCGCCCAAAACCAGCCTCCTACCAGGGTTTGAAATCTGAAAATTTTGCGTGAGCACGAGCACGCGTGAGCACGTGGGTGCTCAAATTTCAGTGAGCATGAGCACGCGTGAGCACGGGGCTGCTCGAATTTCAGTGAGCATGAGCACGCGTGAGCACGTGATCCTCATATTTTCGTGAGCATGAGCACGCGTGAGCACGGGGGTGCTCGAATTTTCGTGAGCATGAGCACATGTGAGCATGCTCATTCGTGCTCATGAAAACATAAGCTCAAAAAAAAGTAGATAGAGGTCAAAGTTGGCGAAATCGGGGGGGGATCCCTTAAGAAAATCGCGAAATTTGGGTCGTATTTTGCTCAATTTTGCTGTAGTCGGGCATTCAAAATACCTGTCATTTCCCGGGGAAACGAGTTTTTTAAGATGATACAGTAAGATCACGTGTACTGTGAGTGTCTTCAGGTGTTATTCTAGAAAAACCGGTTCTTCGACATATTTTTTTTCAAAAATGAGGGATGAAAATTTTTTTTTATTACTTTTCCGCGAAAAGTTCTTTATTTGGGTCAGAATAAGCATCATACAAACAAAAAGCGAAATCGAAAGACCAACCCTGAAAGTGACCCAGCCTTGTCAGTCTTGACCGGTTTTTTCTATAATTCTTGAAGCTCAATGATGATTAAGCTTGTATTTTATCGATATTTTCCTTCGATTTAAGCTAAAACCGACTTTCGAATTTTATATCACATTTGTATTATATATAAAACCCTTGCCACGTGTTTAATACAGCAGCTTAATCTCAAATCAAGTGGGATGATGCCAAAGCCTGCATGTGGCCAAAGCGGCCAAGGAGAACGCATTTCCGAAATGTGATAGGGTCCTCTCAAGGCCGCACGGGTTATCTTATCAAACAACTCGCTCTCTATCTCATTTTCTCTGTCATCCTCAGCGAAAAAAAGGAGAATACGTTGTTTCTCGTAAAAACGAAAAATGCGGTTTCTTGAGTGTTTTGGTTCTTAGCTGGACAATGTTTTGGAGAAAATGAAACATATGATAATTCTTTTAGGAAACAAAAAAGATGTCGTCTTTTGAGAAATAATTGTTTTAATGGTAATTCAATTTTTGAAGAAAAGAACTCATCAGTTGGCAAAAAGCAAGCGAAATTTCAAAAAATTCAAAAAAATTCAAAATATTTCAAAAATTTCAAAAATTTCAAAAATTTTCAAAAATTTTCAAAAATTTCAAAAAATTCAAAACCCAAGAAAAATTTTCAAGAGTGCATATGAGTCATTTCATAGAAGAATCAAACCCACTTGTATTAAGGCTCCGCCTCTTGACTTTTTAAGAAATTAAGCTGACCCTTAAATGAATCAGTCATTATTTTTCTTAGTCGACTTACAAAAGGCTTTCTGTTTTCGTTTCAAAGTGTTCAAAAAGGCCGTTTTCGCGACTCGGAGTCGTTAGAAAAAAATGCAGTTTGGAAGTGTGGAACTTGAAAAAGTCGTTTCATTTTTGAACTGGATATTCGTTGAGAGAGATAGAAAATGGCACACTTTTCATGTTCACCGCTCTCAAGTGGTTGAAATTCACCTGGTTAGAGTATCATATCTTTGCGGTTGCGTAACATTGAAAAAATGAGTAAAACAAAAAAAGAA